CCCCTAACCCCCTAACCCCCTAACCCACCTAAACCCCCTAACCCCCTAACCCCCTAACCCCCCTAACCCCCTAAACCCCCTAACCCCCTAACCCCCTAACCCCTAACCCCTACCCCTAACCCCCTAACCCCCTAACCCCCTAACCCTCCCCATCCCACAGGATGCTTTGTATCAGACTCAGTCTCACCCTCCTTCGCGCCAGAGTGAGAAACTTTGATCTCTGGTCCCATTGAGCCAAGAAACTGCCACGTCTACTATAGTATCCTCCTCCCATAGTTCTTAGTAGTCAAAACCGATGCAGCCCCCTACCCCCTAACCCCCTAACCCCCTAACCCCCTAACCCTGGTCCCATTGAGCCAAGAAACTGCCACGTCTACTATAGTATCCTCTTCCCATAGTCCTTAGTAGTCAAAACCGATGCAGCCCCCTACCCCCCAAAAAGTGAACAGGGTCAAGCCTACACCTTGTGCTCGACGCTCGACGACCTTGGAAGATACAAGATATTGTTTGACAGTCAGTTCGCTATGCGTAGAGACTGTGTCGATATACGAGTAGAGTGATATATGTATACATTTGTCTTGTTGTAGCACGGGCCCCCGTGAGATTGTACTTGACGGCGCCGCCGCCGGCGCGTTTCATGCATCGCACACTACCTCACCACAACATATCTGTCCGTCGCGAAACTCTACACGAGTGCTGTCTCGCCGCGGAGTTGCACAATCGACCCCCTCCAGAAGTCGCCGTTTGGGGTGCTACTTTGTCCTCTCCAGGTGGTGACAATGTGATCCTATGCTCACGACACGAATTGGTCCGGAATTTTAGTACTCTGAGGACCTGGCGTACCAACGGGCGGCCAACGCTGATCCGTTGCCCAATCCACCGTCCAGTCCCACCTGCCGCTGCCGACCACCTCGTCCACACCCGGCAGGAGGACTTGTGCCTCTCCATTGGGCGGGACATGTACCTCAACCATCATTTTCCGTGTCTTGTGGCTGCCGTGTCCAAGTAGCTTCCAATTTACGCGGTACGGACCGTACCGACTCTCAAAAGCAGTTGATGCCGAGGTGACGGTACCACCTGGCTGGGGGTGAACGAGAGCCCGTTTCCACCCCGGGGCCGCGGGTGCGAGGCCGCCGACGACCGCGTGGAGAAATGCGGCGACGGAGCCGAGGGCGTAGTGATTGAACGAGGTCATTTGGCCTGGATTGATTCGTCCGTCCGGTAGTTGAGAATCCCAGCGCTCCCACTGCAAATCAGGATATAACCGTCTGCGGGAGAAGATACGTACGATGGTTGTGGCACCCATACCGACCGAGTAGAGCCAACTTGGGCAGTCTTTCTCCTGTAGCATCCGGTAAGCCAGGTGGAGTAGGCCATTCTCCGCAAGCGCATGCAGCAGCAAGGGGGTGCCAGCAAAGCCAGTTGAAATCTTGAAAAAGTCCCATCGGATGAGCCAGTCTAGCCTCTTGGCAGCGTGGGCCCTTTGGCTTTTGTCCAGCAAGTCCAGCTTGAGGGCGAGTGTCAGAGCGGTCTGCGTATCGGACGCGAGACGGCCATTTGGTGTCACGTACTCCTTCTGGAACAGCACTCGAAGTCGTTCAAAGTCGGCTTGGTACCGGTCAGCCTCTGTGGGGCGTCCAATGAGGCGAGCGATGCGTGCCACGAGACTTGTTACGTGCACCAGATACGCGTTGGCAGCGAGTAGAAAGTCGGTTCGTCCGTGTGCGGGGTACTGCGGTGGTGCTTTCGGGTCTAGCCAGTCACCGTACTGCGCCACAGATTCGCTCCACATGCCCAGTTCGTTGCGTGGGAGACCCTTGTCGAGCCACATCATCATGCTGTCAAACTGTCGTTCCAAGATTTGCCGATCGCCGAATGCCATGTGCAGATCCCAGGGTGTGAGCGCGACGAGGTCAGCCCAGATGGCATGTGGGCGCGGCCTGTGTCCTCCAAGGGGGTTTACCGCCTCCTTTGGGGGAGGGGTCCACGGCACGAAGATGGGCGGCACACCGTCGTACAGTTCCTGCTCGGCTGCAACATCCTTGAGCCAGTCGCCCAGAAAAGCGTCAGTGTCGAACAGAAAGTTGGCTGTCGGCGCAAACACCTGAATGTCGCCCGTCCAGCCGAGCCGTTCATCTCGTTGCGGGCAGTCGGTAGGAATGGATACAAAGTTGCCACGCATGCCCCAGACGACGTTCTGATGAAGCTGGTTGATTTCTTTGTGGGACGAGGCAAAAGTGCCAGTGCGGCGTAGATCGGATGCAACAACGATGGCGGTGAAGTCGCTCAGGGAAAGATCGGCAATGCCGGTGACCTCGGCGTATCTGGTCATATCAGCCCTGGCTGTCAAGTCGGTATGCCCACATACCTGAATCCATGGAAGGTGAACCGCACCTGCCAGCCCTTTGTCCCTCCGCCGCGGATGATGTCGCGACACATGGCTGTCCGCAGTGGACGTACACCTAGCTCGTGTTGCTCTAGCACCTCGGCGTGGCGCAGGACAATATCCCCCTCCCCGTTGCTCTCAACGGCTACGTCACGCTCGAGTCGGAGCCAGCCGACCAGGTTCTGCCCGAAATCGAGGATTTTCGCACCAGACGGCGTAGTGATGAGCTGAATTGGCTTTATCTCCATGACCCGGCGGATGGGCGGCGCGTCTGGCGACACCAGCCGGGCCTTGGGCGACGCGAGGCGCTCCGCAGGGCCTTGGGCGGGCCCGATAAGGGGCAGTGAAGTGTCCACAACCTCGCCATTGTAGATCTCACTCTCCACCACCTGGCCGAAACCCCACGTCCACCGGTCCTCCTGGCTCCGCAGAACGACTTGACCGCCAATTTCCAGCTGACCCATCCATCCCAGTCGCTCGCCCCAGATGTTCCGCGTCGTCTTACCCAGGCGACCGGCGAACCAACCTTCACCGAGTTCAACAACTATCTCATTGCTGCCTTTGCATAGGTAGTTGCGCGCATCAAATGTCTGGTAGGCCAGGCGGTGGTTGTATGATTGCCACCCAGGAGTCAACACCTGGTCACCAACGCGTCTGCTGTTGATCGTGACATCGTAGATGCCAAACGCCGTCGCATATAGTCTGACGGGGGTGTCGGGCGTTGGCAATGATGACAGGTGGAAGGTCGAGCGCAGTTGGAAAGGCCTTTTCGGTTCTTCCACAGGTACCGGCGAGCGCGATATCATCTCGGCTTGCCAGTCGCTCCGGTCGAGCAAGGCGACCTCGATGCGCATGGTCGCCCACGCAGAAGCCGTGCCGTCCGAGCCGATGGCGCGCACTTTGACTCCCGCACGCTCACGCGACACCAGTGGCGAGGACGGCCATGGAACCAACACGTTAAGGCTCGACTGGACGTGATACGACTCTTCTTTGTTATCGCGGATGATAACGACATCGTATGCAACTTGAGTCCAGTTGCGTACGGAGGACGAGGCAAAGCGCCACGATAGGCGGGGTCTCGAGTGGGCGATGGCGAAACCTGACTCGTGGTTCTCTGCTTGCAGGGCGGCAATGGCTACGGCCATTGTCGCAGATCTGTTTGCACCAAGATGTCTGTTGACAAGCTTTCAATCCCATCTCTACGCCTCTAATACTTTTCACCGGCCCGCCGGGCCCACCCGCTCTGTCAACACCATCGTCTACGCCGGGCCATGCATGGTGTTGCCAACAGATGGAACGGCACAATCCGGCCCGGGTGGGTGCTCTCAAGCATTGACAACCAGAGCTTGACTGATACATTGCCTTGCCCACATCCCCCTCCCTCATGGTAGCGTCGGCGCAATCTCGGCTTCGGTGTGTTGTTGTTTTGGCATGTGACCTGCTTCTGTCTGACCTATACATACTTATGTTACGCCACTCGGCGTCTGTCACCGATGCGCAACATCTTCACCCCGATCTCAAGACAGTGCTCACCCGCTCAGAGTCAATCATCGTCATCTATGCCGGACCATCGTCCCGGGTGTTACCGTCCGGTGGAACGGCTTACTCCGGCCCGAATGAATGCTCTCAAGCCCACATCTTGGCTTGTAGCGTTGCCCACTCGTACTCAACATCTCAGTGTCGGCGCAATTTCGGCCTTCGGTGTGTTAGAGTGAGAATTCCAGCATTTTTGACGTACTTCTACAGTGGGAGCCATACTCAGTTGAACCCCCTAAAGAAGGTTACGGCGTAATGTTACCCCAGGTAGGTCGCCAGTCCAGCGGTCTTCTTGGTATATATAGCGTCCGTATGTACAGTACATACTGGTGCTGAACACTCAAACAATCGCGACTACTAACCATTGTAACTTCTCAGTTCGACATGATTGTTGCCCCCGCAGTGAGCACCAAGGACGGGGCGGCTTTTGAACATGAGGCCGAGGAAAAGATCGACCTGGAGCACGTGGAGGTCAGCGATGACCCAAAGCGAGGAGACGGACACGAAGTGCCGGTATCGCCATTCAAGGACATGCCACGCAGCAAGGCACTTCGAGTCTTCTGGAAAGCCACTGCATTTTGTATTCTTGTGGCCTGGGCCGCCATCATGGACGGCTTCTTGATTTCCAGTCGGTATTTGCCACTTGTTTGGGGGCTTGTCCTGACATGTAGTCCCCGGGTCCATCGTCGCCAACAAATACTTCATCAAGCAATTCTGCACTGTCTCCGAAAGTGGCTCATGCCAGCTCGATGCGGTCTATGTCGGTGCTTTCACCGGTGTGCAGTCTGTGGGCCAGATCATCGGTACGTGCGTCTTTCGGGAGCGCTCGGCTGACGTTCCAAGGCATGATGTCCGGTCCCATCACGGCGGACATGTTTGGCCGTCGCTTCAACCTCGCCCTCTTGACTGTCATACTTACAATTGGCGTCGCGCTCGAGCTGGTTGCGAAGACTAACCCAGTGTGGCTCGTCGCCCGGCTGTTCGCCGGTTGGGGCACGGGTATGGTGCAAACTGGTGTCCCCGTGTATATTTCAGAAATTGCGTACGTCCTGACATTCCGTATTGTATCTACTAACGTGCGTAGCCCTCATATGCTCCGGGGTGGTCTCATCGCTACGTACAATTTTTGGTTCGGCGTTGGCCAGTTTGCAGGGGCAATCGCCTTGCAGGTTGCGGTCAATCAGATGGGCTATAAGGGTCCTATTTATGCTCAATTCGTCTTTATCGGGGTGATGGTTATCAGTTTCCCATTCATCCCAGAGACGCCTTGTGAGTAGCTTGCTGGTGCATCTCTATGGCCGCTAATGGTAGGGTTCTATTTAAATAAGAACCAGCCCGAGAAAGCCAAAGCAGCTCTCAAGAAGATTTACGGCGCTGTCGACGGCTATGACGTCGATCTCGAGTACCGCGTCCTCAACTATGAGCGTGAGCAGCAGAATGCCTCGGCGGGCCAAACCAAGACGGCCAGCTACAAGATGCTTTTCCAGGGCGCCAACCTGTAAGCCAACTTCTATGAACGAGCATTGTTGACATCCAAGGCGTCGTACTTGGGTCTCTTGGTTGCCTTTGCAGTTCCAAGGCCTTGGCGGACTGTCCTTCGTTCTGTCTTACACCACCTACTTTTTCCAACTCGGTGAGTCCTCTCGCTTACCCAGCGACAGCGGGCGCTAACACTATTAGCCGGTGTTGCCAACCCCTTCCTCGGCAATGTCATTGTCAAGTGCATCCAGCTCACCGCCCAACTCGTCTCCTTCTACAACATTGAGCGTTTTGGTCGCCGTCGTCTTCTCCTTGTTGGCGGTGCAGGCATGACGATCATGTGTCTCGCCATCGCTATTGTTGGCACACCCAAGTGGACGCCGCCCGGAGGATTGGTCGTGGCGTTTTTCTGCATGTGGACTTGGTGCTATTCAAGCAGCTGCGCGCCCATCGGATACGTCTATCTGGCTGAGATTGCGACACCCCGCCTGCGTGCAAAGACAGCCGGGTTTGCGGCCTCAATTACTGCCTGCTTCGGGTTTGTTTTTGTGCCCGTCGACAGTCAAGGACGCTGACTTGCGCAGAATCGTCACCAATTTTGTGACACCTATTCTTTTGTCCGAACAAAAGGCCGGCTGGTCGTACAAGACTGGTGAGTGCAATTTTGCCACAATTTGAACGACATGCCCGGCCTCCCCGGAACTCAGACCGGACAGGAATGCAGGTCTAGGAGGCTGACCGCAAAGGGTACCTATTTTTTGGACTTGCCCTGCTTGGGTGGGTCGGTATGTTCCTGACAGTTCCGGAGGTGGCTGGCCGCTCGTACGAGGAGATTGACGAGCTCTTCGAGAACAAGACGCCAACTCGAATGTTCCGTTTGGCCAAGACGGAGGTCCAACTTGAACGGGAACGCGACACAGCGGCGAATTAGTGTCTGCGAGAAACGAACAGCAAGGCCTAGTTGCCCTCACCTTGAGAGAAAGGAAATGAGACTTTTGTTGGCGATGGTCTGGGCGGCTATGAACGGCTCCAGTGGCACTCTTACACTGACATACACTTAACAATTCAGATACGTATTACCCCTTTTGCGTCTTACACATTTTGCTAGTTGGCAGTAACGACAAACGCGGCGGGGATAGGAGCCGCTGTTTCCCTAGTCCACCTCACTCGATATCCACTCCCGAAATGACCGCCTCCCTCCCTCCCGTAGCGACTGTGTCCATCGTGGACTGCACACGACGCCGATCCCAGTACAGCTGCAGTCAAGAAGCAAGGTTAAGTCCCGCTTCTGTGCGAGGGAGGCTCAAATGCGTGTGTGCAGATAGGTCGGAAGCCGTGTACATATCGAGAAGGACGGACTCGACCTTGGATCGAGAGCGTCGACCTTGGGTTGGGCAACAGTACTCTCTCCTTGTCCATGCTATTCAGACTTGTTATCGTTCCTCCCTATGGACCGCTGCAACCGCTACGCAGATTTCTACGTCGTTTGGAAAGTACTAAAAGTCTCCTCTTAACGCGGAAGCGAGGCTCAGCTACGAGCAAGACAATCGCAGCGACGGAGACGACGGACAGGGGGGATGATGATCGACACCGGACGTGACCCCAGAGAACCTGGCTGGGCACACTGCAGAGAGGTGCAAAGGCATACGCCGGAGTGGCCACCGGAGGTGTAATAAGAGGAGCTAAGACCAGAGGAGCTAAGACCCCCGTTGTATAGCCGCCCGAATATGTTTGTCCTGTGCGCGTTATTTCCACACGGGACACCGTCCACCCAGGAAACCACAGGCTCCGCAGGTCAGTCGGGAGCAGACTAGGGGAGGCGGCGCGGTGGGATGCTGAGGCGTACGTTCCGACCGGCGGTTGCTTGCACGGTGGTTACCACGGCCGGATGTGGTAGCCACTGCCTGACACTAGAGTCACCATCGGCGATCGGCGGGGCGGCCAGTAACGGGCTGCCCGGCGGCGTGGCAAACTGAGAGCAGTCACTGGTGACAGAACTGGACGGTTGATATCAACAACGCCCCATGACAGCTGGCGAGTTGACACGTTGCCTCGAGGGAGGGTCGATTATCGACATTGGGAGGATATCGGAGTCCGGGAGCAGGCTTAGTCGGTGCACTGATTGTCGGTGATGAAGGACGCTGCCCCACGAGGCCTCACTCGACGCACATTTCCTGAACACCGTAGCTCAGTTTCACTTCATCCAGAGACTCCTGCGCGCGACGGTAGGGTGCAAGGAATTCGATAATGAGTGTTTGGTCGAACTGCTGTCTGGACTTGCGCGGCAAGCGGTCCACCGTGTCTCCATAGTTGTGGCCCCAGTCCAGGGCAGCTCGTGCCAGCTGGTAAGCAAAAGCGACATCGAAACGTGCCTGGAGTGAGCACAGTTTGGGGCGCCGCCTAAAACAAACTCACAATCTCTGCAGCGCGGGAGATCAACGCATCCGTTGCCGCCTTCCACTCGAGGGCTGGCAAGAAGACCATCCCCTCTGTGCGGTACGGCCGCAGGTGGTCCCGCATCTGAAGAACAAGGTCGATGACGGCCAACTGAAGGACGAGGGGGGGTATTGGGCGTGATTTTGCACGGCTTTTAACCAGTGTCCTGCTCGCCACTTGTGCGGCGAACAGGAGCATCAGGCAGTAGTCGTCAGGGCGGTAGGGTGGCCCGTGGTAGTAGCCCGACCACGATGTGCGCGGGAAACTGTATGGATGTGAAAGGACAACGGCCATTGGTAGAAACGAGCAAAAAGGCGAGTGGATGGATGGATGCATGGATGGACGGGGTGGACAGGTATCAATAAGGGCGCATTCACGTGTTGGGTGGCGACGGAAGTACGGAAGCAACCCAAAACTCCGGTCGAGAACAACCCTCCACGACCACGACAAGGTGTTGACCGCTGTATACGGCGGCGACGGTGCGTCGAGGCCAGCGTGTACCCGCTGGACGGGCGTCGACGCACGTCAGAAGCAGCCTCCCTGGACCACACTGGTATACCGGCGGGCAACAACAACTTGAAGATCGCCTCTTCGTGCCTGAGCATTGTCCCATGCGTCTCAACCTCCAGAAGCTCTACCACGACTCACTCCTAGATGCACACTCAACTTGTACCGCCCTCAACGGCTCGGTCACCAGCCCAGACAGCCGAGGAGTTGGGCATCCCCGGATAGCTCGAGTACGTGTTTGCAGGCGACAAGGTAACAACAATCTTTTTGTCCTATCCTACAGAAACGCCTACGCCCGCCAACACGACCACACTACCAACCCCTCCGACGCGTTCCCCTCCTTGGTGTTCGGCTCCCTGGCCCTCCCGTCCCGCGCCCGCGCGGTGGACACCCGCAGCCGAGCATGGAACTTGACCCATCCCAGACATATGTCATTGTGTTGTTACGATATGATCCATGAAGCAAGAGATATGATTGAGGTGCGCTCCAGTGCGCGCTCGCACCTACGGGACCAAATAGTACTCAGCCAAGAGTGGCACCTACAACAATAATATCATGGCCATGACCTTGTTGACACCGCGTCGTGTCGAGCTCTATTGTACCACGCACATGTGTCTGATAGGCAGCCCCTTGCCACGTCTGAGCTTGTGGGATGTCAGTTGAGCCTCATACGTTCAACGCGGCAGGGGCCACCGAAGGATATGCACGGTGCCATCATCCAACACTCGGCAGACGATCCTCGCCGCCGGCGTGTGGTAAGGCCAGGCCCTAAGGGATGGCGGACACCCAACAATCCCGCAGCTCCTTCCAAGGGATGTGCGGATACAAGGTTGGTCGGCTGGCCGCGGCTGGGAGTGGTGATGCCCGCCGATCTGCATTTAAACATGTTGAGGGGCATCCAGCCAGACGGGAAAGGGATAACCAAACATGTACGTAACATTGCCTGCTGCCGCCGATGACTGTAGCCGCCTTCTAGAGCCATAGTCCTTGTTCTCGGAAAAGGGTTTCTGTGCCCTTGCTTAACCGACTGCAGCAATCGCGCTTAACGTCATTCCAGAGTTATTCCGCCCTGTCACTGTGGCCGCATACCTGTGTGTGTGCAGCGGCCGCCGTGGGATGACTTGGGTAGGGTTCATGGCACATCACCGACTAAATCAGTCATCCCGCGATGATGACCAGTAATGAGGTGAAGACAGCTACCTCCTGTCACTCCCTCAACGTCTTCACGCCATTCACCCAACACCACCTCTCCGACTACACCAAGATCACACTCAACTTGCATACGTCCCACCTGAGTCCTACAGCCATCACCAGTGTCGCCCCCGGCACGCATTCTTCTCATCAAGTTCGACTCGTCGCATTCTTCCCACCGCAGAGCATACCTCGGTACCTGGCTGCGTACAACTGGCGGATCCAAATCAACCGCGAAAAGACGCAGGTTGCAACATGTTTTCGTCAATTGAAGAGAAGACCATTGAAGAGAAAAGGACAAATCAGCGGCGCTGGTCGTCTCCTCCATTGAGCGAGCTCGCCAGGTCAAAAGGACCTGTGGCTGATGGTGGGTACTACACCGTAGGGCACGATGGCGGCGTCGTCACATACCCACCTCCATCCCTCCAACAAGTTTGCCACGGCCACCACAACGTGGTCGAGGTGTGCGACCTGGACCAGCAACAAATACACGCTATACATATGGGCTCCGCGACCTTGCCACCACCCCACATTGACATGACCGATGTAGCCCATGTCCTCGCGCGGCAGAAGGAGCTGTCCGAAATGGGCATTTCCCGACGTGAGCCATGGGGCCAGGCTTGCACCCCGCAACAATCCTTACAGGACAACACGGATGGCCTTGACCAAGAGTTTTCAGAATACCAACTACCGTCTCAACAACAGCTATACGAGGCTTGCAGGCTAGAGCTCTTAGACGAGGATGGCAAGAGTGTGCGCTTTGGAGAGTTCTATCCCGACTGGCCGGAATTGTTGCCCACACCACTTGGTACAACGACTGCATCTGATGTCGCCCAATCGCCTAGCGAGCGGCAGCTGCCAAAAACAGTAGTCTTCTTTATCCGCGCACTCGCCTGTGGCCAGTGTCAAGACTACATGGCGGCCTCTGTAGGCCGGCTTAATCCGGACGCGATCGCTGCTCACGGAGTACGTGTGATTATCATCTCGAACGGCAGCTGGCGAGGCATCAAACGGTATCGTCAGATCATGAAATGCCCCTTTCCAATGTATGTCGACCCAACACTTGACGTGTATCGTCTGCTAGGGTGAGTAAGTACCGCGTGTGGCGCTCATTGTAGAATGTCTCCACCGATCGGTGCACTCGAAAGACTAGCCGGAATATTCACCGGCCCAAAGGACAAGCCTTCTTACCACCAACACCCCACCTTTGTCCAAACTCTCCTAGGGGTTAAAGTAAGTCGTGAACACGCACGTTGTTGACAATTAGAATGCCACCCAGATGGGGATTATAAACGTCGGCTCGACTAAGCAAACGGGAGGCGAATTCATCTTACTCCCGGGTTACAAATGTGAATACGCGCATCGCATGCCCAACAAGTTTTCGCACGATCTCGCCGTGAACATTCTGCACAAGGCCGGCGTCAACTTTCCTGAACGCTCCTGTCCATTTGGACCTGTAAGCAACAGTGACAACTACACCGAACAGGAGCTCGTCAGACTGCAGCAGCAGGACCACACTGTCATGCAATGGCGGCGGCAGCTGGATAGTACGGTCGACAGTTCGCCCGAACAGCCGTGCCTCCACGATGTCGGAACCAAACAGGGCAACGATCACCAATACCCCACGGTACAGCCCTTCGGCCATTGGCTTCGTCAGCGTCTTACATTCATTTAGTTGAAGCGGGATTTGGCCAGCACCTGGTATTGTAATGCTTGTTGAAGCTGCAGCAGAAGGGTCGTGAATGGCCTTGACTGTAGTTGTGTTGGTAAGCTGGGTGTCACCGGCGCTGTACGGATTGTACCCTTGGCGCGTTGCTGCAATATGGTGACGCAGCTGCGGAGCTGACGACGACGCCCACGAGGTCGTTTTGTCTGGCTGGGATGGTGAGCAGATCCATGCCGCACAGCTGCCGGGATGTAGTCACGTTTGATTGCCCCCGGTTGTAAGCGAAGCCATGTCAACATCGCTGGCGGGTCCACAGCAGTACACCATCGGGTTTCCGATTGCGGCTCCATATCTTTAGTGGGAAGGCTATTACCTTGGGGCCTGGCTGATTGAGTCGGCTGCCGCTGCATGTGCGGCCCGAATGTGGCGAGCAAAGCCTAGGCTGCACCGCCAAGCACCGCCCGTAGACCGCCCTGCTTGTAGTCTGTGTGTCCCAACGCCATGCACCTGTGAGTGCTTTGGCTCTTGAGCTTTGGAGAGACCCTAATTGTACCCGTGCGCCGCAGAAGCAATTTTTCCCATTGTAAGTATGTATCGTCGGCGAGTGATGTATTGCATTGCGTTGTCTATGAGTGGAATAGAGAACCCATCACACGCGCTCAGCGTTCCTATCACGAAGTAGCAGTGCCTGTTTGTTGCGGCTGTTCGCAGACATGTGTAGGTACAGTCCGAGTCCAGTGGTATCTGCTGGTCCGGTCTCTTGTCCCGGCAGGTCCGTTCAAGCAACGAAGTATGTACAGTCGAGAGCGTCACCGCCACCAGCCTGTCTTCCCTGCGCGAGCACCACGAGCCGGCCGTGGAATCTTATGAACGTCGCCCCGATAACCCCCTCTCAGTTAGAGAACTGCTGAATGGGTCGTTATCGCAGCACACCCACTAGCCGCTGACGTCAACCGGGGCACATGAGCGGCGGAGGGTTCATCTTGTGACGTGTTGGGGATTTGGAATCAGGCGCCTTGTCGAAGCCTGGTACTCTCTGCAGGCGGGCCTCTAGCTCTCTAGCCAGGTAGTACTGTGTAGCCATTCCGGCCTTGCATCAAATGCACCCCAGCCTGTGGAATCTGAACGGACTGCGTGGGCATGCGGCCTTCTCCGTCCTGGTCCATGTTCCAGAGCCAACAGCTGGCAGATCTCATACCGACGCCGCACTTGGCGCCACCTGGTGGGCTGGCCCTCGTCCAGGGACACTGAACAAAGGCGCCCGATCTCAAGAACACCCCAACACGCCTCAAGCGTATGTCATCCTTTGTCAAAGGCGGAGGGGTCGGCCTGCTGTCCAGACTGGGAGCAAGCACGATGCCATCGTTAGTCAAATGTGATTGAAAGTAAGCCCGAAGAGCCATCATTCAGAGTCATGGCTTTCACATCGCATGCACAAGCAAGTCACGAGGCTGCGTACAAAGTTCTCACGCCACCGCCGCCATCGCCGCCATCGCTGACGCCATTGAATAAAGTTGACGCGCGCGCACGATCCTGCCGCCATAGATCTGCCACGCTTGTCACTGTTTGCCCAATGTAGTCACATCGCTCCTAAAAGGCATGTGCGCAAGGCATGTGCGCTATCGTAGTTACTGTTACTGTATGTGCGGCGCAAGGTCAAGGGTCAAGACTGAAGAGGCGACCGTCTTTCTGTTGGGGAAGAAGGCCGGTATAGCGCGTTTCTGTCGCCTCAGTTGAGCTAATAGAAACCGTCTGCCCTTGGGCCTGCAAGGCCTGACCTTCTGCGGTCAACATTTTACAGTGCTGCATTAGAGTTCCACACGACCCAACCAGTCGTTGAACTAGGTGCTGTGACCAGATGTCGAGTCTGCTGGCGTAAGGCCATGACCGCTGTGAGGCTGACCGTCCCAACCACCGGCAGCAACCAGACGAGCAAAGTCCATGCTGCCTGCCGGGCCAAAGCTCATGCCCTCGATCGAGTAGCCGTTCAGGAGGTCGGCCATCATCATCGGGCCTGTGTAGCGTCAGCACAAATCCATCACGACCCCAAAGGGAGACTTACTTGGACCGCTGCTATGCCGCGCTATACTCTCACGCAGAGACGAGTCAGTCGCAGGAGCAACATGCGCACTGGCCGGGTTGTCGCGGTCAACTTGAAAGCGGCGTAACAGACCCTGGTCTGGCAACGAGATGAAGGTGCGACGGAGGGCCGTGGATGATGAGATTGAAAGGCCAGACCCTGCAACCCCCAGTCAGCAAAGTGTCTTCAGATTCACATTGTTACTCACGCTTCTCCAGAATAGTGGCAACATAGTTGGCACCCGCCCAATACGCCTCCGTGCGAACGATAGCTCTAAGCAAAGCCGTGAGGTTTTGTTTTGTAATAGTGACGAGGAACATGTCGCTCGGCGCCGCGCTGCCGTTTTCACTCGCCGTCTGAGCGTTGCGCATCTCGTGCACGAGCGCCATGGCCGCAACATACAGCGGCTGTACGACAAATGGCGAGGCGGTATAGCTCGTGTGAGAGACAAGGTCTGCAAACACCATACACTCGCAAATCTGTCGCGAGCTGGCACTCGCTAGGCGAACGTTGCGCGGCATGCTCGCACTGAGTGGCGTGTCGACTCCCGATGGCGAGCGGAGGAGGTCAGGATGGTATACGAGCGCCAGCACTGCATGCGCCCAGAGGTGAAGGGTGAGGAAAGTGCTGCCGTGACCTCGTGCATGCTGAAGCTTGAAATTGTCGGCAGACCACCGCATGGTGTCCGGAAGGGCGGCATAAAACGCGACCAGTCGAGCCTGGAGTTCGACAAGTCGCTCCCCGAGAGGTTTGTCGGCGGCAACCAGTGTTCGTGCACGCCCACGCCTGCCGTTGAGAACGTTTGCGATTCGCGCAGTGACAATCATCAGCCGCACCAGGTAAACAAACGGGACGGGTTGGATCACTTCGTTGGGGGCGAAGGTCGGATGTGTGGGGCAGTCGCGTGATGGGTCTGGGAAGAAATCCTCGTCTTCAGGCAGAGGAATCTCGATAATATCTTCGGGGATCGTGGTTGTGCGACCCGTGGAAAACGCCAAGACGGTGTCGGTGATGAAGAGGGACCAGAACAGGTTGCGCGTGCGAATGACATGAGCCTCGCTCTCGTAGATGTCACTGTTTTCGTGGAGGCCAAGGTCGATAGCCATGCGGATGCTCATTCCTGTAAACTGCCAGAGGCCAGCATCCGAGTTTTGGCCATAGCTTGCCCAGGCAAGAAACAACAACCCGGTACACACATCGTGCGCTGGAAGGTGCAGTAATGGAACGACGAGCTCTTGTGCCTTGGCCACAAACGGTGCGCAGGCCTCGAGGTGGTCGCCGTCTTGGCCAGTCAAGGGGTTGCTCTCTCCGAACCGAGCGCCCAGAGCGCAGATGCAGTTTGCGAGGAACGCGCTCATGGTGCCCGACTCGTACCGTTCCATCATGCGGTTGCGTGAAACGCTGGGAAAGTGCGAGCTCATGTGGACGAAGAAGCGGTCCAGCATGACATCCCACACGTGCCTGTGAGGATGGCCAGTTGGATCAAACAGGTCGGCAGGGTTGGGTGGTGGTAGTCGTACAGAGCGACCGCCGTCGGACCGTCCATCGTGTGACTGCTGCTCTTCGGGCTCTGGGACACCTGGGCCAGGTCGCCGTTGCAGCTTGAGGCTGATGCGGTGAATGCCAGGGTTGATAGCTGTGGACCCGCTGAAGCGGTAATAGTATAGTTCGAGGGGGTCGTCGGCGGTCCCGTCGCCAGAGAGGTATGCCGTCTGGTTAAGAGCGTTCAACAGTTGCATGTCAGTCGCGGGCGAATGTTCTTTGAGAAAACTGCCAAACCCGTCGGCCGAAGTCGAACCTGTGGGTAGAGACGTGGGAGCCGTTGCCGCAGTCCCCATCTGGGAGTTGGGGTCGAGCGGTGGGTTGTTGAAATCGAATGCGCCAGGAAGAAAGTTGGATGGCCACACAAAGTTGTTGCTGTTGCCCCACCCGTCGTCCATGGGCGCCAAGCCCGTCGACCAGATGGCAGGGACGGTACGGATGCCTTCTGATTCGAATGCGCCGTTGGTGGGTGGCATTGTAGCGGCCTTTTTGGCTTCTGCCTCGGCCTGTTCACGACGAGCCTCTTCCATCTCGCGACGGGTACGCTTTCGTCGGCGACCTGCTGGCCACTCGCACTCGACGCGAGCCTTCTCGCAAGCGGTACAGACGGGTTTTGTGCCGCTGCATCGTATACGCTTGGTACGGCAGTAGAAGCAGGCCAACTGGACGCGTGTGGTGCTCTCGTCTTGTTCACTGGAGGGACTGTCAGCGGGGGTGTGATGTTGTTTGTCAGTGGTCACTGGTCACTGACGGGTCGTGTGATGCAGTGTGTGCCGGCGCCCTTGGATCGAGTGTTGCGGTGGTATTGGACGAGGCGGAGCGGTGATGGCCAGATGTGCCAGACGCCCCGCTGTGCGCGCTTTGGGGTACGGGTTCGCTGCTGCCGCTTGCTGAGCTGCTTGGCCCCGGGGGGAAGTGGTTCATTGTGTGTGGGTGATGTTGAGCGGCGAGGATGGATGGGGGATTGTGAGAGGGTGGGAGGGGGGGGAGAGAGAGGGAGAGAAAGGTGGAGTTTCTGTTGACGGGGGCAGAGAGGAATGTGGGTGGTCTGGTGTGCATGGCATGGAGTGTGTCCTGTGATCCGGTGTTCCCCACCCCCGTCCCCGTCCCCGTCCCCGCCGTTGCACATGCCGCCTGCCCCCCCGTGATCGCCGCACAACCAGCGCGCAGCAACATATATGCCCAAACAGCATCCGAAAACAGCCCCCGCCCCGGCGGCGTGTGGTGTGTGGGGGCCCCCATCCCCCAGGCGGCGCACTCAATTAAAGTCCAACCCCGATCAAACGCACACGCACACACACTCCCGCCGGCTCCAGCATGTCCGGCGAGACGGACAAGCGTCGCACACTTTTTTATGGGATTTGGTCTATGCAAGTTGTGTATTAGGGTTGTTGTCATAAGGCACTGCGCAGTGGACCGGCTCTCGGGTTGGCCGTTCGGGTTTTGGGGGTTTTTTAGGTCACCGAAATGTGACCCGCGCGCGAGGGGGGGGGGGGGGGACGCCAGCTACCGTAAATCGGTCAATTGGCTTTTCCACCGCCGGCGTCGCGGCCCCGCCGTCATCCTCCCCTCTGTCGTCATCTCATCTTGGACAACAGACGGACAGACGTACTCGATACGTACTCGATCGCTGCTCCACAGGCAGGATCTTCTTACGCTATTCAACACAGGTGTGCAGCGCATGACTGCTCCATAGGCACCATTCGTCACTGCACTTGCCAACTGGCCGTCCTCGGCACACCACTTGCCACACGTACACTGAACGCCTCCCCTTGTCTCTCACATCCCACAAGATAGTGGTGCTCATACACGCTGCGCCATACTCTCGCATACTCCTTATATCTACTGCAATGCATTGCACTATGTATCTGCAACATGGTAGGTGTGGCCCAGCATCTCGCTCTACCAAGGCAGGTCCTTGCCGGCATAGTCGACAAACTTTCCACCATTTGCAACAAACGTTGCGTTGTCAATGACGTTCTTGAGCCCAGTGGCCGACTCGACGGGAGTGATGACTTCCACACCGGGGATGGCGACTCCGTCGGTGACGCCCATGGTCTTGAGGGCATGTTGGCCCATGTCAGTGCTAACCATACCTGCACATCAGCATGTCGCCATTTGCGAGCAGGACGGTCATACTTACCTGGGTGAATGGGGATCACAACCAGCTTGTCCTTGTCGCCGTGCTCCTGGTGGATCTTTGCCGCGACAAAGTTGATAGCGGCCTTGCTGGAGCCGTACGCACTAACGGGGAAGGGCAGACTGCCCGCGATGCCGATCGACCCAGCCGCCGTGGATGTGATGACAAACTTCTTCTCCGTCTTGGTCGACTTGAGCAGCAGTGGGTAAAAGGCTTGGAAGAGCACCACAGGGCCGAGCACGTTCACGCGCCAGTGCGACTCAAAGTCTGCCACCGTCGTCTGCAGGACCGGCTTGTACACGTCCGAGATACCTTGACATACAGGTCAGCTCGGAATCCGGTGTCCTGGCATATTCTTGTGGACCTACCTGCGTTGGCCCAAAGGACGTCGACGCGGCCGACCTTGGCAGCGACCTCCGCTGCGGCAGCCTGGTTCCCCTCCTCGTCCCCAGCGACAATCTTTACAACATGGATAGCCGCCGGGGACGACTTGGCAAGCGTGTTGACCTCTGTCGCACCAGCCGGGTCGCGCACACCCGCGATAAGGATGTTGCGGGCGTCCGATGCATACAGCTTGAGCACCTCCAGCCCGATACCGCGGTTCGCGCCGGTGACTGAGATGAGCCGTAAGCCAGAGAATGGACATGTGGGGAGCCCGAAACCTACTGAGGTAGACGGTTGAGTCGGACATTCTAAGGTGATGGTGGCTTCTTAGGGTGTTGGGAATGTTGCTGTGCAGATGGTGGGGGACTGACTTGTTCGTTCGTCTCAGTCTTATACATACATACACTGCTCTGGCCGACTGCTTGCTCCCCGACGCAGACGTCGGCGCCGATTTACCAAAGCTTTGTCACTGGGCGACGGTTTCATGACTGATCAGATTGCACCATGGCCATCGGGCTCGACGCCACGTTCCCGATCACAGCTTGGTCATGCAACGCGCGCATGTACTGACGTATCATCTCCAGCATGAGTTCTTTTCACAGGGCAATCCGCATTCCCATCTGACACACCGGACACCCTTACCGACTTTTTTTTCCGGCGGCGACACACGGCCGGCAACGGCCGCTAAACGCCCACGGATCCACGGACCTATTAGGAAATCCACCCGTTCTCTACTATTGTTACAGTTGATTCCTTGCCCATGTCATACTGGGCGCGTTTAGAAAATCGCGGCTCAACTGTTCAGGTTACATCATTTCAATGTTCACAGCCCTGTTTTATGCCACGTCGCTGCTCACATGCTGTCTCTCTCCCTTCCTGGTTCGGCCCACCTCCTCCGACCTGGGTGAAGCCCCATATTCCCAGTTCGTCTCCCTGCCACCGGTGGCCGAGGTGACACAGCCGGTCTAAGGACATGTCCGCATCAGAAGCCACGCGGGGTTGGATGGCCTCTCACGCAGTGTCCGAGTGCTTTTCATTCTCGGGCCGATGCTGAACCAGAGGCCTCACTGCCCATAATCTTTTTGCGCTGGTTGCGTTTGAACTTGTTGCCGAAGACCCAGTGGTTGTACATACCTACAGTACAGTTCGTCGCCCGCCTTCTGGCTCGGGGCATGGATTGGTATCCGGGTGGGACGTCTCTCGGCCTCCCCCCCCCCCCCCCTTGTCCTCGATCCAGGGACAGACATCAATGTGAGGAGCAATGGGCCCACACGACGTGAACCATTCCTGCTGTGCTGTCTAAACTTCGGCTGGTAGTCCTGATATACCATCTGCATCTATATCTGTCGACGGCGGCTGTCATGATGACCCCTAACCAACACTTCGCTCACAACGGTAACCAAAGCCATCCTGCCTCGTGCCACACTATGCATATGCATTCGTCAACTTTGATGACCTCACGTGCGCCATCAAGGGCGTGACACCATGCTTGTTCACCGCCAAGCAGTTACAACCAAAGACATCTTCTGTATGTGAGTACGCACTGCCTATGTTAGTACATACAGTATTTACTTACACTTGGTCGCTGCATGGCATGAATCTGTGCGCTTTCTATAGTGGTTTATATTTATAATAGTTCGGTTAATTATAACCCCGAAGCAATTTATTTTTGGGACGCCCACTTTTAATCCGCGAAGAACAGAAAGAGATGTTCGTATCGAAATAGAAGAACTACAAATACAACTGCATCAATAAAGGTCACCGAGAGAGGACATGCTGCTTCCAGTAAGCTCTCCCCAGACAAGCTTGGCCCATGTCAAGACGAAGCCTCAAACCCATTGCAGTGCAACTCACTTGACATGCGCTGGCCAGAACGTCTACATGGCTAAGACTAACAACATGTACGTCCAAGCCCACGGACCTACCTGTCCATGGCAACAGACAGGTATTCCGACACCCTGGCCGACAGAGCGACCGGCTTGTTGCAATCTGCCTCTCCCATTGGTATGCCGGCCACAGACGTCCCTGTGTAGGGAATAGCCAGTCCAATATCCTTGGAAAAGAGAGCTAGAGCAATGCACCATCAACTGCAAGCCCTTCGACAATATAGATTCTGTCTTCCGCGAACGCCACAATCTTGCCACCGGGAACGAAGCAAAAGTTTGCGCAGCCGGCGCCAGGGTTGTTGTCGGCGCGTCCGAGGACAATCTTGCCTATGAGCTGGCCGGCAGTGTCTGTAGTCAGTTGAAAGTTTCAAGGTTTTATGTGACCTACTCCATACGTGGATGCCATCCCCACAGCCCGAGTACACGTTTCCGAACGTGTCACATTTGACTATCCCGTCAGTCCCTTACACCGGTGTCAAGTGCGACTCACTGCCATCTGGCACTCCACAGTCGGCCATTGCAAACACCCTGCGGTTGTGTAGCGATGGTGCGCCGGCCCGCCATACGACGTCAAACGCATATCTAAAGTGAGCTATGACGCTCTCACATACTCTGGCTTACACTGTGCTGGGGCGTGTTGCGTCAAGCCGTCCGGAACCATGGATGTGGCCAGTGTCTGTCACATAGCATGTACCGTTGTCGGGCGAGAAACAGATACCGTTGGGGTGGTCAAACCCGTCTGCGACCACGCGCACAGCACCACTCTTAGGGTCAAACATGTACACTTGCGGTGGTAACTGCGGCACTGGGCGGAATTGCTGCTCATGTCCATATGTCGGATCGGTGAACCATACAGTGGGGCCGGTGGCCGGTGCACGTCCATTCAAGTCCTGTGCGGCGGCCGGTGGTGGCGGGAGCACAATAACATCGTTTAGGCTGTTGAACTGGCGTCCATGGAAGTTGTTGAGGATTGGGGTCACGGCGTGAGTGACTGGGTCAAGGATGGTGAGGGCGGAAGGGGTGAAATCATCGCCCTGGTCACAGAAGAGCAACTTGCTGCCATAGGGACATGCTCCATTGCCAGTTCGAATGGCTGTGGGGACAGCGCGTACGATACCCGTGGTGAGATCGACAGTCTGAACGTTGACGCGCGCTTTGAGTTGGGGGGAGGCGACAGATGCAGCACGGTCGTCGCCATACTCGGTGGTGATCAGGTTGCTGGTGAACCACACCTCACCTCCAGACGTGCTGGGGACATACACTCCCGCTTCGTGAGCAAACCCCGGAACACCCGAAGCAAGGACTCTGACAACGGGCTTCGGACCAAGAACTTCAAGGAAGGCGGGGTCGGTGGCGATAAACGGACAAGTGGCCGGCACAGCCAGTTCCGCAGCGTCGGTGTCAAGAATGCTGTCACTGAACGGATCACGCGAAAAGCCTGCTGGGAGGACAGCGTGTGCTGAGGGAAGGAGCATCTGTTCGTCAGCACAAAGCCCGTGCAGCTCCGGATGACCGGACCGCCAACGTACATGATACGGAAGATCGGCTGTCATGTGAGGTTGAGTACTTTGACAGAGGGAAAGGAGGCGCTTGAGCTACGACAGCATGCCAAGATGAATACATATTACAGATGGAAACAGTCCGGACCGCGATACCGGTCCATGGGTCAGTTGTTGGTTATCGTCTCGCCTCTCCGGACCGACTATTTGTGATTCATGGGACTGCGGTTGGTGATATTATTTGTTCGCACTATGTGTACTCTGGTCATACGGCTGAGAGGACGCCACAGACAGCGGCTATAGACGGCAACGGTCGAAGTAACCGAGGCAGACCGACCAATTTACCGCCTGCGGCCACTCTTCTGCCATTTGGCGTCGACTACTTGCGACCACCTGCTCTCCCACATGCCCCCCTTTCTGGTCAGGTGTCATTCCAGTGTCCCTGGTTACACGGTTCAAGTACGGCTGTGTCTGAGACAGTGTGGCGCGTGCATCGGAGAAGGGGGCTTCCGTTGACGCGTTCCGACGATCGCCAACACAAGCGCTGCCAATCCTATTCATAACTGCGCACAGTGGCTGCGGCTGTCAACGTCTGTGAACGGTTGGCCTTTGTTCCAGATCGAGGCCGTCGAGGTCCAAGCGCGGGGCCATGGAGAACAACGCGGGGCCATGAGCAGAGGTCAAAGCGGGGCCGTTTTCTTTCGGCCTCAAGTGTCCGCATGTCCGACGAAACAGGATTCCAGTGGTCATTGATCAGCCGGATTGGCAGATGTCGACAGCATTTGATGGTGGAACCGGTCCGACCTAGCCGACGGGACGATCCTACGAGCTGCCTATAACTGGCCATGGGTGTCTATTGTTGTTGTGTCCCACATTGACATTTTCAACCATGCTGCAAGGCCCCGCACTCCTATACACAATCACGGTCCTGAACGCACTGTCGTTCCTCCTTATCGGATATGTGCGCTCCAGTTCTTGTGACTATCTACATGGCTGACAACCCCAGGATAATGGAGTCATGGGCGGAGTGATTAACACCTCCGGTTTCCTCAACACCTTCGGTCTCGCCGCGGACACTGCCCACAACTCAAACATGCTTGGAACGAGTATGTATTCATGACTTACAGTCTCCTAACGGCGTCTTTAGTCACCGCCATGTACGAGATCGGTTGCTGTGCAGGGTCGCTGGCCTGTGCGATCATTGGCGAAATGCTCGGCCGACGCTACACCATTCTCCTTGGAACATGCATCATGCTTGGCGGCACGGCCTTCCAGTGTGCCGTCTCCACTCCCGGTGCGATGATCGGTGCCCGTATTTTTGCCGGCCTCGGCATGGTGAGTGGATCCTCATAGTGTGACCTTCTGATCAAGCAGGGCTTTATCAATTCGACGGCTCCCGTGTTTCAAGCTGAAATCTCGCCCTCGGCCACTCGCGGTCGGTTCGTGTGCTTTCAGCTCACTCTTCTCAACTTTGGCATTATGCTGGCCTACTGGGTCGGCTACGGATTCACCGAGCTCGACTCCCCTTGGGGATGGCGTGTTGCCGTGGCTCTGCAGGCGTGCTTCCAGATCCCCATGGCCGTGCTGTGCCTGCTGGTGCCCGAGTCCCCACGTTGGCTCGCATCGCACAACAAGTCTGCGGAATCTTTGAGCGTCATTGCGCGTTTGGCTGGAAGGGCTGAGGACGACCCCGATGTCCAGGCTCTCCACAGTGAGATCTGCACGGTCGTCGAGTTTGAGCGGTCCATTGGCTCTGGAACCTGGTCGGACTTGGTCAAGTCGGACGCGATTCACTCGCGCCGCAGGTTCCTTATCGCATGCTCCATTCAATTCTTCCAACAAGCCGGTGGAATCAACGCTCTTATTTACTAGTGAGCGTAACGTGACAGTACTGATGCTAACCAAGCAGCGGTGGAACGATGTTGACCGCTGCGGGACTGGACTCGAAGATGAGCTCTCTCATTTCCGGTGTCATGTTCACCTGGTTCTTCCTTGCGTCCTTTATTCCATGGGGCCTGATCGACACTGTGGGACGCCGCAAGCTGCTTCTCGTCTGCATCTCCCTCATGGTGGTGTGCTTTGCGGTTCAAGCCGGCATGGTGTCGATGGTGGAGAAGACCAACAGCAAAGCGGCAGGTGGCGTCGCCACCTTCTTCCTGTTCGCCTACCTCGGTCTTTTCACCACAGGTTTCCAGGCCATTGTATGGGTCTACCCGTCCGAGATGCTTCCCCTGCGCTTGCGCGCCAAGGGATCCGCCATCTCCACCGCCTGCAACTGGATCACCAACTACGCTATCGTTCAAGTCACGCCGATCGGCATGCGCAACATTGGTTACAAGTTTTACATCGTGTTCGCACTCATCAACGCCTCCTTTTTGCCTTTCATCTACTGGTTCTACCCCGAGACGAAGGGACTGGTCCTCGAGGACATCGACGCACTGTTCACTGGAGACATCTCGGGTCCCGCTAGTCGTATGCGGTACGACCACCCCACCGCGGACGCAAACGATCACGGTAGCAAGATGGACTACGAGCACAACGACAACAAAGTGTCTGTTTAATCCTGCAACGCGTGCTGTAACCTATCAGTTGCGCTTGGGGACTACAAGCGAAGGGAATAGCAGTGGAAGAAATCGGGAAAAGGATGAGAAGCCAGCGACGAGATTGTAAGGTGCTCCCAAGAAGAACGGAGAAGGAATGCGAATGGCGTGGGCAGTAAATGTCTCCAGATGCGACTATAATGGGTGAACACAACTAGTATTATTATGTACTAGCTGGCCGTTGGGAGATGCGTTGCACCTCCCATGTTACTTGTGCCCGGTGCCTCCAGAGCAGATGACACTGACCGTTGAGCAAGCTGGCAGGTGATGTCATGACCAGTGTCAGCAAGACTTTTTATTACACTTCCTAATGGGCTCGCGGCCTAACGGTTGCTAACCGTTTGAACCCTTTTTTGCGACAGCCAGTAGGAGAGATAGACTAGCTGCCCGTTGGGAGATGCGTTGCATCTCCCGTGACGGCCAGACTCGTGGCCAGTGGCCTCCTCAAATCCTCAAGATGACACTGACTGTCGAGCAAGCTGGCTGGTGATGTCATGCCCAGTGTCAGCAACACTTTTTATTACAGTTCCTAATGGGCTCAAGGCCTAATCAGTGCTAACCGTTTGGACCCTTTTTGCGACGGCCAGTAGGAGAGATCGATGAATAACTAACGTAAAGTAAGTACAGTGCACAATTGGATTTGCTCCACTTTGCTAATGAGCCGCGGCCTTAATGAAGCTAATGCTCTCGACCCTTTTTTCGCAAATTCGTAGTGCACATACATAATATGATTTAAAAATACCAAAAGAATTTAGAATTTATAATAAGAAATCAACAAATGTACTTTCAATTTAATTATTAGGTTTTGCGCTCCCGAGCCAATAGAAATATGTTATCCTTTTCTAATCGAATCTTTATTTATTCAATCTAGAAATGATATATCCTCTAATCCACTGAACTCATTGTCAGGATACCGGCACGGCTGTCTCCATGTCCATCTCGTCTTCCCAGCCCCATCGCCTCAACACGGAGCCAAAGTAGGCAGACAGTCCCCGCCAAGGCAGATAAAATCTACCTCCTCCTCCCACGCAACCCCTGAGCTCTCAGCCCTCAGGCCTATATTTGATTGCATTTGATTCACCCACTACAACTACTTGTGCACTTTAATAACCCTCGTATCTCCAGCCCATGTCCACTTGCTCGGTCGTCACACCACGACCCTTGACCTTGTCGACCTGTTCGGGGGTTCCATCCAAGAGCTTGTTCTCGTGACGAACATACAAGAGGTATCCCGTAATCGTAATAGCGAATGCGACGGCCGCCGCGATAACTGAGTCGTCAGCGCCCAATCTAATCCACAAGTACCCACAAGTGCCAAATGCGGCAAAGTACCTTGGTCCGGCGAACCAAAGGTAGCTGGCCCAGATATTCGACGTCCCGCCAATAGAGTTCATCAAGGCGATCGTCGCGGCTCTCTTGGCCAGTGGGCGCGGCATGTGGTGGTTGATTGTCTTGTAAAGCAAAAGTTGGGGCCCAACGCTGGTGCAGGGCATGAAAATCATGGCAACGTAGCGACCGGGAACGCTGAGCGTTGCCATCGGCACAATGTACGTGCAAATTGCGAGGCCGATGTTGATCATGATAAACAGATAGATTTTACCGGTTTTCTGTTCCGTTAGCGACCCGAGTTTCTGTGTGTACTCACGTCACTAAGTGCTGTCAGACCCATGTAGTAGAAGCCCGCAAAGATGTAGGGAGGCGCTGTCAGGACCAAAGTGAGGATGGAGTTGTAACCAAGCGTCTTGACTGTGTGAGGTTAGCTCTGAGAAGACACGGTCAGACCTACCAATGGTCGGGAAAAAGTTTGCGATCGATCCTTGAGTTTGCGACATCATGTTGCAGAAAATCAGGAGATAAAGCTTGGGGTCTTTGAAGCTTTGCAAGAACCCAGCCCATGTACCGACAGTCTCAGAGCCCTCGGCCGCACCGGCCTCCTTCTCCAAGCGCCACACGGCAACCTTGCGCTCCAGAGGGGTGAGAAGTCTGGCGTTGTACGGGTACTCTGGCAGGATCAGGGCTGACAGCAGCGCGATGCCGACTGTTGCGGCGCCTTCGATGATAAAGAGCCACCGCCAACCGCTTAGGCCCATCCGGCCGTCCAGCTTGAGGCAACCAGCTGCGATGAGGCCTCCAAACGCATTTCCGACTTGCTGGCCGACGTAGAGACCGCCGATGCGTTTGCCGAGTTCGTTCTTGGTGTACCACGCACTCAATAGGTAGATTGCGCCGGGGAAAAAGGCTGATTCCACTGCGCCGAGAATAACACGAACGGCCAAAAGGGCAGAATATGAGTGGACCGCTGCGGTGCAGGCACTGATGCAACCCCAGATGGCACAGGCACAGCAAATGTCTAATGTCAGAGGCGCACACGTTGCAAGTAAACTCACAGAGTCCTGGGCGAGACAACCTGCTGATGAGGAGGTTGCTTGGAATCTGGAACGGCAGGTAGCCCACGAAGAGGATGGATACAGCAGTGGCAAACTGGTCCGTGGTCATATTGAGATCAACCATAATTCCTTGAATCTTAGCTGCGCCAAGGTTCTGGCGGTCAATGTAGTTGAGAATGTAAAGGATGCCCATGACAGGTCTGACGTTAGTGGCCGTAGGTTAACTCCGGAGTGCTCACAAAATCACAAGGTCGGCCTTGCGCACAAGCTTCTTCTCGATGGCCTTGAGCTCTTCCTCTGAAAGACCGCGGAGTTCCTCAGGCATCGAGTCATGGTGGACTTCGAGAACCGCGATGGAGTGTTCTTCCTTGTCGTCGTCGATGAGGTGTGTTGCCATGTTTGCTGATGGGGATCGGCTGACGGTCACCGACGTTCCCTTTATAGTTACCGACTGGGAGTCATCTAGACGGGACAATAGGTAGATAGGAGGACGAGGAGGAGCTCTATCATGATGTTTGGAGCTTGTGGAAAGTGGGCAGAGTGGAGACGGTCGCCGTGCCTGTTGAAAGTGGGCAAAAGAATGTTCGGAGCATCGGGGGAGCTCCTCCCGGACCGATATCCCTGAGCTCCTCCCGTCCAACCAGGTGGGGCCCATTTCCGCACCGTTTTGCATGTGACTGTCACAGGTAGCCGATAATGATCCCCAAGAGACAGACCCCGCCACTGATGAGTGCCCGTGACAAACCAAGGAGCAATGGAGGAGCGCCGCCGATCCACCACACATGCTATGGATGATTTATATTAAGGTGCCACTGTGGCGGGTCTTGTCATTCATACCCTCTCGCACATCACCTCCGCATTACCACCACATCACCACGCATTCACCATGACCAACGCCGTCTACCCCACCGCCCACACGACTCAGGTCTCCAACCCTCGTCTCCGACTCCTCAACCAACTCAAGTCGGGGCAGAAGGGCGTAATGACCTTCATGGCCATCCCGTCCGTGCGCATGGCGCAGATTGTCGCCTTGTGTGGCTTTGACGTGGGTACACAAAGATCGATAGAGCTGACTCCCAGGCCGTCATCATTGACTGCGAACATGGCCACATTGGTGACGACTCGATGCACAACGCCGTCGCTGCCATCTCGGCACTGGGGGTTAGTCCTCTTATTCGAGTCAGGGCCACGGCACCCGACCTCCTCAAACGCGCTCTCGACACTGGTGCTCAGTGAGAATATCGTATGGATACAGCTAACGGGGTTAGCGGCTTGATGGTTCCAATGATCAACACGGCTGAAGAGGCTGCCCAAGTTGTCGCCTACTCCAAGTTTCCTCCACAGGGCCTCCGCGGTCAGGGCTCCGCCTTCCCAGCCATCGGACACGGTCTTACAACCCCCGAGTACATGCAGAGTGCCAACCAGACTATCCTCACCATCGTTCAAATCGAAACTCGCCAGGGCGTCGAGAACGTGGAGGAGATTGCCGCCGTGGACGGCATCGGTGAGTTTTGAACAGGGTGACTTTGGGGCTGACGCTTTCCAGACTTCCTCTTTATTGGCCCGAATGACCTTGCCCAGTCGTTGTTGGGATACACACCTGCCCGAGGAGACGAGCCGGTCTTTGTTAACGCCATTAACCGCATCGAGGCCGCCGCGAGGAGGCACGGCAAGTGGTTTGGTCGCCTGGTGAATGACGGTTCTTTGGCCAAGCAGGCCTTCAAGACCTTCGACGCTGTGGCGATCACTGGTGACACCAAGGCTATCACAAACTGGTACACTGCGGAGATTAAGGAGGCTAGGTCGTAGATGCGAAATGCAATTGCTCGTTTTTAAGATCTACGCTGCAGCGCTTCGAAGATCCACGAAGTTTACGAAGTCAACACCAGCCCAGACTTTCATCTGTAAGACACACAGCCCACCTGTACAATACACCTGTATTCCCGCAACCCTTGTCTCTGCGTCGGAATAAATAGGTTCAGCCTTCGCGAGGCTGACCTTGGGCAATGAACGAGTCTCAACGGATCGTTATTGCTCGCTCATCTTGCTTGCCTCGTCCGTACGTCGTTGAAGGGCGAGGGTCCCAATTGGAGGGCCCACATTCACCATGCCCGTATAAGTATCCAAGGTCTGTGACTGGCAGTACTCTCCGACGATGTAAAGAAAGGACTCTTGATAACAAGTACAGATCGACAGAGAGATGGAGTCAGTGGACAAAGTTATATCGTCTGTACCGTACTTACACATATTATGCAGTAGGATACATTAGGAAACGCATTCAAATGCGCATTACAACCTATAATTCACTATTTGTCTGGCATTGCTCAGTGGGCATGGAGTTCGGCACGATTAACCGAAGGCGAGCCTACGAGGGTATTCTGTGTCCAGCGACCCAATAGGTAAGCCATGATAGTCACTCTGCATACATCTAAATGGTACAACGATTAAACCTGAGCAATGGCTTCGATCTCAATCGATGAGCCGCCAGGCAGACAGCCAGCCTGGATACAGGTGCGAGCGGGGCAGGGCTTGGGGAAGAACTGTGATGTCAGCCGTCGAAGGGGTGCGCACAACTTACATCAATGTACACTTCGTTCATGGCCGCAAAGTCGGCCATGTCTTGCAGCCAGACGTTAACTTTCACAATCTTGTCCACGCTAGAGCCCGAGAGCTCGAGAACGGCCTTGAGATTGTTCAAAGCCGTGGTCTGCGTAGGTGATTAACGAATCTTCTCGCGAACTGTTGACCCACAGTGGCAGCCTTGATCTCGCCTGTCGCAGTCTGGCCGGCGAGGAACACGAGGCCGGGAACCTTGACGGCGGGGGCTGGGGATTGTCAGATGAAGGTGTTGCCAGCCACCAACCATTGTGAGGCTTGAGCGGGAACTGCTCAGAGTAGATAACTTCGCGAGTCATGATGGCAGATAGAAGGTGTTGGGGGATGTTTGTGATGTGTGGGGATGTTTAACAAGTTGTGACGCTGGCAAACCCCTTTATAAGAGACTGTGATCGGGAGGAGCACCTCCTCCGGTCCGATATTGCTTGAGCGGAGCACCGCTGACGCCGCTTGACATTGGGGGCTCCGCCAGTCAAGTTGAGCTCCTCCGTGGGGTTGGGCTCGATGTCCTCCGCGATGAGGGGGTAGTGCTCGAGATGTCGACTTCTGACCGATATAAGAAGGATCGACGCCGTAGACACCACAGCATCACTCAACATCACTCAACATCACTCAACATGACCGCTACACCCGCCTTCAACCCTCCGGCCGCCGACCTCCCAGGCAAGCCCTACGTCCGCCCTTGGGTGCCTCCCCCTGTCACCAACGAGAAGCACAATTTTGCCGATCTCCACGCCATTGACCTTTCGCTGATGGACTCGTCTGATCCCAACGTCGTCGCCCGGCTTGTGGACACTGTCAAGCAGGCCATTCGTGACGATGGTTTCCTGTTCCTTGAGAACTATGGCATCTCCCTTGAACAGGCACGTTTATCACTCCCTGTGCCTCTCGGCTAATAAGCTCAGCTGCATCGCCAGTTTGCACTCGCACAGTACATGTACGACAACATTAGCGAAGAGGACAAGGAACGCCTTCTCTTCCACCCCGACACTGGCCGCTGGGCCGGATACAAGCACCCGTTCGGGTTTAAGGTTGGTAGTGAATGTGGTTCCCTCACCTGACGGCAGCGCGAGCGTGGCCAGCCCGATGGCATCGAACAGTTCAACTGGTACACGAGGGAATGGAACAACCTCCAGTATGTGCCTACCTGCCTTCACCCCTTCATGGACGAAATCACAGCCTTTGCCGACTACCTGACGGGGTCTGTCAATCGCCGCCTGCTCTGCCTCTTCTCTCGTGTCCTCGAGCTTCCGGACGACTACCTCTGGAAGCACGTTCAGAGTCACGGCAGCCCGAGCGGTGAGGGCTACTTCCGACACGCCCTGTTCCGTCCAGTCAAGCAAGAGACCGTTAAACAGTCCCAAGGTCTGCGTATGCATGGCCACACCGACTTTGGAACTACCACCCTGCTCTTCTCGGTACCCGTGTCGTGTCTCCAGATCTGGGGCGATGACGAGACGTGGCACTACGTTCCTTACAAGCCTGGAGCCCTCGTTATCAACATTGGCGAGACGCTGGAGATTGTGTCGGGTGGGCACTTTAAGGCCACTCGTCACCGCGTCTACAAGCCCCCTGCCGACCAGGCGGAGCTTGAGCGTCTCTCGCTCGTCCTGTTCAACAGCAGTCTTGGTGATCTTCAGATGACACCCGCCATCGGTGAGTGAAGCGTCCGTGGTGGTGGTGGTGGTGGTGGTGGTGGTGGTGGTGGTGGTGGTGGTGGTGGTGGTAGTGGTGGTTGCTGACAAGCCGCACAGAATCTCCTCTGATCCAGCGTGAGGGATGCGTCGAGTACCAGGGCGTGTACAAGGAGTTTAAGAAAGTCATGGACAGCGGCCTGAGCCCGCCGACAAACAAGGAATGGCGCGAGATTCAAATTGCCAACGCCACGGACCCAACCGACACTGTGCGCAACCGTATTGGTGCCGACCAAGTGCTTATCGGTGGCAAACTCATGAACCAGCGCGACTTTATGGGTGTCAAGGTTGTCCTGCCCGTGTAATACATAGGGTTCTGTGTGTCGCGTGTGCCATACCGCAGTCGATGATGCAAAAGGGGTGATAGCATTCCTAGTGATCAAAGTGAGGGGGAGGTCCGAATAAACAAACACCCAGAGGCCCCCCCAGGCGGAGCTCCGCCCATCTCTATCCGCAGCGCCCGCAGGTGGAGAGAGTGGGCGGCGACACGGTGGGCAACCAAACAAGAGCTCCCACACCATCATGATGCTCCTCCCGCTCACCCACTTCACCATGACCTCGCTGGACGCCGAACGAGCTCAACAGCCATTCCAATGCCCTGTATGCGCGAAGAGGTTTACAAGACACGTGAGGTGGACGCTTCTCAATTCTCAAGGCGTACGTGCGTTGCTAATTGTCAACAGGAGAACCTGAAGCGCCATTCGAGCGTGCATTCCCGCGTGCCGGGGACTCTTCCCTGTCCCCACTGCCCCACGACCTTCGCCAGAGACGACCTGCGCAAGCGACACATACGGCGCAAGCACCCGCCGCCGCCATCAAACAATGCTGTGGTGGTTGCACAACCTTGCGAATCGCCAGTGTCGGAAATCACAAGCGTGGGCGAGTCATCAGGACGGGTTGGGACGGAGGAGGTACCCATCTATGACGACACGGTCGACGGTCTGGCATCCCAAGACACTCTCCTCTATGGCAACACGGTCGACGGCCTGACACCTGACGAACTCGAACACGTTCTCGAGCTCTACTTTGACAATGTCTCGCCGTTTGTACAGTTTATCCACCGTTCAACATTTGACCGACAAACGGCATTCAGGCCGCTCGTTCTGGGAATGGCTTGCCTTGGGGTTCAATACGCACCTGTCGACAAACCTAGCGGACTATGGTTCAAAGAAGCGTGCTCGTTGCTGAACGGCCACGATATCCAGCCTGGATCGCCGCTCTGGCTGCCCAAAATCCAGGCGCTAGTGCTGCTCGAGTTGTACGCGATCATGTACGCGTGCGGCAATGAAACGATCGACGGGTTGCGCATGCACAGCAAATCTGTAGAGGTGGGTTCTGCCCGTGGCCTAGCCGCTGACATCAGATGGCTCGACAGGCGGGTCTTTTCAACCCTCTGCCAGCCCGATCAGCCGTCACCTCTGATCTCGACGCACTCTGGCGCGACTATGTGCGAATCGAGAGTCACAAGCGCACTTGCTACGCCATCTACCAGGTGGACTCGATGCTCTATCACTTGCTGTCCCTGCCTCGCCTGCTTTCACATTTGGAGATTGGCCACGGCCTTCCTGGGCCATCCCAGTTGTGGTCCGAGCCGACTGCTGCTGGTTGGGCACATCGGTCTCTCTCAAATACGCAGTCGGAATCGATAAAATACATCACAGCCATCCGCCAGTGTCTGTCTGCGTCACCCGAGTGCGACTTGACCAACGTCGGCGCCCATTCTCTGTTTCTCATCCTCGCTTTTGTTCTTTCAAGTGTCCGCGAGAATTCCGGTTGGTCGTCGATTACTGGTAACCCTTCGTTTGAGCGAGGAGCGGTGAGTGACGTCAGTTGATCGTTTACTGACGTGGAATAGGCCTTGCAGTCGTCCGGACGCATCATCGAGTCGGCCTTGCATTTCATTGATGAGCACGACGTGACTGCTGTCCAGGCAGAGGTTCTTTTCCGTGTCGCCATGATCGATCTCCTGATGTGGGCCCCGAGCCATACCAGCGGCATCGTCGAGACAAGCTTGAACACTGCCATTGCGGCTGCTGCATACTTGGGCACTCGGCCATTCAGCGTCCCTGCCGACCTCATGGAGCCGCTCGAGTCACACATCAACTGGTTCCTCGCATACTTGGAGCAGGACGTCGACTACCAGCGCGAACCGCCTTGGGTGACAATGTACGCGTTCCGGGCGGTACTGGTTGGATTGGAACTGATCCGCGGTGGAAGTCTGGCACCACGGGAAGACCTGGGATTCATTGATTTCGAGAGCATGCTCGTGTGGGCCAGAGGCGCGTTTGGCAAGAGGAGTCGGTGGGAGGTGGGGCGGTTGATTGTGCAGAACCTCGACCAGTTGTAGTGTGTACACCGCAAGCACAGCGCATGTAGAAGCAAGGCGACCCATGCAAGTCACGTGATACTGTTGTCCCATCATCGCTGTCCGTTGTTTGTCACGTCTTGGGTGTCCCTCGCCACCCACACAACTGCCACCACCGCTACGGTATGTACCACCACCGCTACCACCACCACCATGGCCGACTCCCCCCTCTTCCCAGCAGCCCTCCGGTGCTTCCCACGCAGAAACTGGGATGGCGTCCTCTTCTTTTCACACCCCATCCCACACGGAATGCTCGACGAAAAGGCCCGCTCAGCAGCGCGCACAGCAAGCCAGCGTTGGCAGGCCGCATTCGACGACGGACAAATCGGTACCCTCGACGCAGTCGATTTTACAGTGGCCGTTTTCGCTGTTGCCTATGGCATGTGCGTCCGGCGTTCCCTCGTCCTGATACATGCTCACCACCATCTAGGAAAGACCACCTGCCCATCGTCATGAAGAGGTTGGGCCGATGCGTGGCCACAACCGAGGCATGGCGAACATTGTCAGATGAACTAATCCGTCGCGCGTTCAACATTGTGGGTGTTGTGATGCTACTCGTCACACACTCACTTCGCAGGCCTGCACAGAGGTGGCGGTGCGCTTCCCCGACTTTGAGCTGCCTACACTCGATGACGTGCGCCTGTTTGCTCGCGGCGCCATGGACTGTGTATGGGAGGAGGACATCGATTCTTGGGAGCTGTTGCGCCGGCAAGGCTACGACGAGGCCCGCTTCACCGACCGGCAAGTGCAGTTGGAAGACCACTGTCCATGTTGCTAACAGGCTCCTCTCAGCTACATGCCTGATCCTGCCTCGCTTCCGCCCCGCGCGTATACAGTCGTCAACCACGACCTCGAGGAAGACCCTGCCGCAGAAGACAAGAAACTCGTCCTGTTCGTCGACGCCGAAGGCAACATTATTCAGCAGTGCTTGGGAAAAGACCTGCCTCCACGTCTGCCGCTGTCACCGACGATCGAGGACCAGCCATCACCCAACACGTCGTTGTCAGTTTCGTGAAGCTGCCCAAACCAGTGCACGGCGAGAGAGACATCAAGGCCAGAAGCCAGACGCCGATAACTGTCCCTGCAAGATGGTTTTCTACTACCCACTACAGATAATCACCCGCATCCTAGTCATGATACAGACCCTTGAAGCCCGGCACAATTGTCTGGCCCTCCTTGGCACGGAAGGTGCTGCTCTTCTGCTGCTGCCACGTCTGCTTTGCCTTTGTGAATTCACGCATGGTGGGCACGGGGAGGTCGCTGCGTTCAAACTCGTTGGTGGTGAAACCCTCGCGCTGGAGACGCGGGGACGGGACAGTTTTCAGTACAAGGTCGTTGTCTGGGCGCGCAAAGTACAACAGGCCCAGACGGTCGACGCCACGCTGGTCCTTTGGCGGAACATGCACGCGGTGTACGGTCGAGCGCACATAGTTGCCGGTGAGGAACGAGAGCGCATCGCACGTGTTGACGGTGAGGCTCGCGTCGAGGGGCTTGGCCCACTTCCACTCACCGGTCGCGTGGTCCTTGATCTGCAGACCCGCGACTGGCTGCCGGAACAGGAGCGTGATTGTGCCGAGGTCCGTGTGGCCCTGCGTGTTGAGCCCATCGCCCGCCTCGAGCTGCGCGTAGTCTTCCGCCGAGAGGCGGCTGTACTGAGTCTGTCAGCCAGGAGGCGCGCACAGCATGTACTCACCTTCATGTAGCGCAGATGCGACTCCTGCGCGTTCTCAAACCGGTGCAGATCGGCAAAGTAGCCTGCGGGCAGCTCGAGCGCGGTCTCGATGAGCGTGAAGAGCGGGTACAGCACTTGCTCGTGCAGCTGGCGCTGGAAGTCGTGGATCTCAGGAAGGTTGTCGGCAATGACCTGCGGGAACTGCTGCGGCACCTCGGGCTCTGGGCGTGAGCGGTCGCGCAGGGTACATGCACGTACTGGGAATGTTGTACACCTCAATACTGTCCTTGATACCGTTGGCCAGTACACGCCGACCAGCGGGCCGGTACCCGTTGTACTCGCCGTTCTCGAGATCGGGCGTGTACTTGGACTTCTCGTCGAGTGGCAGCTCGTAGAACTCCTGCCCAAGCGCAAACTGCCGGTCGACGGCTGCCTGCGAGATGCCGAAATTGGTCACGTAAAAGAAGCCCTTGGTGCGGATCGCGTCGATGAGGGTCGCTGCCAGCTCGGCACGGCCTTCGTCTGTGGCATACTTTGACAAATCGATTGTGGGGACTAGATACAAGTGTCAGCGACAAATCCCGTCCTGGCACAGATGTGCGGCAACACAGAGACTGTGTCCCAGCGATTCCCGGCTTAACGTTGCCAGAAATAGCAGGAAACTGTTCAAGGTAACGCCACGCAAGACGAGGGTGGAAGGTGACGGAACGTGGAAGCTACCAGCCTATGCACTACGGGAGATGCACTCACGGTCCGCCCAGTCAAGCTGCTCCTTTGTCTCAGGGACGTGCTCGTACGACGAGAGCGGGACGGGGATGGGCATGGTCGCAGGGGATGTCTGGTACGGGTGTGTGTGAATGATGGGCTGGGCTAGGAGTCGGTTTTTTGTGGCAGTGGGGCTCAACCCTGTAAGAAGCAGCAGCAGCACCTTTATGCTGGAGCTACCGTCGACAGCAATGTCTGGTCCCAACACCTTGGCCGGACTTAAATGGCCAGGTGTTGCCAAATGACCGGGACGTTAATGTGACCGCTGATGCCATGCTTTGTGCTTTCGGACTTGGCCGTCGCCGCAGCAGAAGCAGCCCCCACTGCTGAGTAATGCATTGCACATAGACATCTTCGCTGTGCCTTGGGAAAAGACGACAGGACGGGTTGACTGCATCGGTGATCAACCATCACGTCATGCGTGTTGATCATGGCGATCTTTTGCCCGGGGGAAGCCGAGCGAGATAAGCGACGAGAAGCTCGGTCAATAGAATCGTGTTGAATCGCGAATCGTGCCGTGATCACGATCTGGGCCTCGACACTCTGCCGTCGCAGTGACTGTCGTCTCCATACCAAGGGGGGGGGGGGGGGGCACAGTGAGATGAACTAGACTAGTGACAGTTCTGGCCGAGGGAGTGGCTATAAGTACGCCCAGTGACTGGGACCCAGACTCCCGCCTTCCTCACGCACAATGTCCAAGCTCGTATCGGCGCTCAAACGCACAAAGGGCGGCGCGGTCCTCGTGGACGTGTTCGACTGGTATCCATCACACTACCCGGCACAGGAGCGCCGCCTGCTACGAAAACTCGACTGCACCATCCTCATCTTTGCGTGTTTGTCGTTTTTCTGCAAGTTTCTCGACCAGTCGAATGTCACCAACGTGAGTCGCCCCAGCTAGATCTAACTAACACGTGCAGGCATATGTTTCTGGTGAGCGCGAGCCAAGCCCAGAAGTTAGATCTAACGCCAGGCATGGAGGAGGATATTGGGGCGTACGGGAATGCCCTCAACTACTTTAATGTGGCATGTGAGTTGGCGAGGCGACCGTACCGTGTCAGTGGCACTCCTGACGTGCAGTCTACACGGGTTACGTGGTGGGACAGATCCCACTTATGGCGCTGCAGACGCGGCCGCGCATCGCGCCGTACTTGCTGCCCACGCTCGAAGTCGTGTGGGCGATATTGACTTTTGGCGAGTCACGCATCCAGAAACCGGCGCACCTGTACGCCATCCGCGCGCTGATCGGCTTCTTTGAAGCGCCAAGCTTTGGCGGCACGCACTTTATTCTCGGATCGTGGTACCGGCCCGAGGAGCTGTTCAAGCGCGCGGGCGTGTGGTTTATGGGCAACGCGGTTGGCCAAATGTTCTCAGGATACCTCCAGGCCGCGGCCTACAAAAACCTCAACGGTGTGCACGGGCTCGCCGGCTGGCGCTGGCTGTTCATTATCGACGGTGTCATCACGCTCCCGATCGCACTGATCGGCTTTGCGCTGTTTCCCGGGATTCCCAATAGCCCGAAACGATGGTTCCTCAGTGACGAAGAGTATGAGCTTGCCCGCACCCGCATGCCCAAGGACCAAGGTTACGACGACGGTATCACCTGGGCGACCATCAGGCGCACGCTCACGCGGCCCATATGGTGGATCTGCGTCTCGGGCTATGTGTGCGTGTGGGGTGTGATGTGGGGGGGGGCAGGCCTGTGTGTTGTGCTGACCCCAATAGATGCATGATCCAGGGATCGTACTGGCAGGGCTACATGACCTTGTGGCTAAAGTCGATCGGCTACGACGTGGTGCATACCAACATCCTTCCAACAATGGTGCAACTCGTGCAGGCGTTGTCCTCGTGGCTTGGCACGACGTTTGCCGCCACCATCGGCATCCCCATCCTCTGGGCGTGGGGAAACGTAAGTGTGGACTCCAACTCCAGCACACTCCAGCAAGCAAGGTTGACTCACACTTGCAGTTCTGGGGCGTCCTGGCCGCTGTCGTCCTCACTGTCTGGAACGTCCCCAACGGCCTCAAGTTTTTCGTCTGGTACGCGGCCGGCATGACCGCCATGAACAGCCCCATCCTGTACTCGTGGATCAACTCGTCGTTGCGCGACTCGCCAGCCGAGCGGGGCCTGATCATTAGCAGCATGATGGTGACTACATCGATGCACTCGACGTTAAACGTTGCTAACACCACCAGACACTCGGATATTCGACGTACATCTGGATCCCTCTCTTCACGTTTCCAACGGTGGAGGCCCCGCGCTTCCCGAAGGGCTATCCGGCAACGATCGCGTTCAGTGTTGGCCTGTACACTATTGTCCAGTTTGGTATGTGGTATGTCCCTCGATACCTGGCGCGCGAGCGGGGCGAAACAAGAAAAGGATGCGGCGCTGGACGACGACGACGGATCGGCGAGCAACAAGTCCGTGTCCGACGTGTTGTATGGCAAGGAGACGGACGTTGAGGCCGCAGTCGCGGTCGCGGTCGTGCCCGTTTCCGCTACGGCCCGCCCCTCACACAGCGCCGTGACCGTACTGTGAGAGCTGCAGCGTATACATAGGTAACAACAGGCAATAGGTTTCATGTCATCGCGGTGTCAGTCCCGTTGTGCTCAGTGATACCCCTGTCCACCGGCTCCTCCAGTCGACGCCGTACGCCGTGGCCACATACCACGGCCCGACGGCAGGCCGGTCTCTGCTGGCCGCCGGCCGTGCCAGGGGGCCACTGCGCGCGACGGCTCTCACGATCGAGAAGGGTCGTGTCAGCCCACATGCCCCTCTCGCTGTCCAGCGCCCAGCGTACAGCGTCACATCACATCAACGTGCATATCCGTCTCCACTTTGCACTTTGCTTGAATGGGAAACATCCATCGACCCGCGCCTTGACCCACGTTGACCCGCTCTGGCGCTCTGGCGCTCTGGGCAATCTGGGCCCTGCTGTGCACCAAAGACAAAGGCGTTCTGCTGGAACGGCCCACCAGCTACCAGGCCCACCAGGCCACCAGGCCACCACAGAAACGTCAGCGATCAGACAACGTTTGTTGCATGTCACCGGCCCGTTCTGTCTCAGTCTCTGACAGTGGTGGCGCAGGGGCAACGTCGCCGCAATGTCGCCGGACGGATATCAGAAGACACTTGCCGGTGCACAACAACAACGGACAGCACTACAGCAGAGCGAGCTGGCGACGGTCCACACCTCTAGGCCTCTAGCGCGCCCAGTCCTGCTCTTCCCGTCATTATCACCGTCTCGTCGTCGCCCGCCATCATCATCATCATCATCATCATCATCGTTGTCTCATCCGGCTCATCCATTCCCTCCGACGCTATCGCCCGCTGCGATCCATATCCATTCAACCAACCACCCATCACTCCAGACGTTCCATGTACGGCCAGTCCAGTGTGTCTGATGACGCACAGGGTGAAGCGGTGCACGGGCGATCCCGACGCGAACACGAGGCCGACAGAGCCGACAAAGGTGTTGTGACCGTCCCAGCAGCTACCAACAAGTCGTTGCCACTGCAGCCCTCGTCGCCAACCGATCATCCAACAAGCATCTCTTCCGAGGCCTCCATGTCGACCGTCACTGCGTCCCCACGCAGCAGCACGGGAATCGGAATAACTGAGGAAACGTCCACCACAAGTTTGACCGAGCGCAGCCGGCCACCTAGGCCACCGTCGAAGGCGCCGACACCAGCGCTCCCACCCAAGCCCCAACCTCCATCAACATGGAGGGCACGCCCTCGTGCAGGGACGAGTGCGTCCACAGGCGCCGCAACAAAACGCCGTCCGACATCGACTTACAGCGTGCAATCAATGGGCGGCGCGCCCCTCGCTCCATCCGCCAGTGTGCCGCTCACCCCACGCCCACCCGAACCGTCCAACGCGACGGCCAGCGCAGCCGATTCCCCCTCCCAGTCTCGCTCAGGTCTCAGCTTGCGTGCGCGCCTACACCTCCCCGGCAGCGGAGGGAACAGCATTGGCCACATTACGCATAGCAGGCGAGAGAGCAAGCCCCAGGTGGGCGCTCCCTCGTTCGGCGCGACCCATTCGGTGTCGACGACGCCGACAGCGAGGTACGGACCGGGTGGGGTTGGCATGACGGCAGCAGGAGCACCGGCTATCTCTTCGTCGTCGTCGTCCAGCACACCGGCATTCTTTGGGAGAGTGCACAAGAAGGTCTGGGGCGAGAGCTCGTGGGCTAAAGGAGTGCACAACAAGCTGTGGAAGCCTCTTGGGTGAGTGATGTTGCGTGGCGTCGCGGCGTGGGTTCGGGTTGCTGGGCCAAATATAACAGTGACAGAGTGGTTTCCATGCGGGACCGTGATTGTGGTTGTGGTGGCCGTGGTGGATGGCTGGGTGATGTCATTGCCGGGTCCATCTCCTGGATCCCCCCAGGCAAAGAACACCAAAAGACGTCGCGCACTGGTAGATGGACAATGATTTATCCACGCCCTATCTACCATGACCACGGTGGCCCACACCGAGGCCTCCTCCACGGAGCACAAAAGGGCGTGGGGCCTGCTATGTGTCTTCTTGCGCGGCACGGCACTCTTGGAACAGCTGGGGAGATGATGGGATTCAACGTCATGGGCCGTGTGGAGTCGGCTGTGTCTCTCATTTCGTCCACGCAGCTGGGCTGACTGGTGTGCAGCGACAAGTTCACCATCAAGGACTGAAGCAGAAAGACTGCATGAAGGATTGAGAGTGTGATTTGTATATGGTCGAGCCTTTATAGTACAGTAGGGTGTTCTTATACGACAGCAATGTCAATTGAATGGAGATGGCCTGACGAGATGGGTTACATCCGACGTGTCGCTCATTGACAAATGCGCAGCAGGCGCAAGTACAGGTGCACCTTGTTTGTCAGCAGCTCAGCAGATCACAGCGATCACAACAAGCTGACTCAATTGTCAATGAAACCCACTCTTGTATGCATCAATTGGGTGGTGATGTCATTATGGCCACATGGCCGGTACTTGTGAGAACATGTCTAGATCATGTCTTATGTCTGCCTGGAGCTCGTGCTCCACCGTGCAACACCGCGTGGTGAGGACCCAGGCGACACGGACCCACCACCGCAGACGTGCGTCATGTCCATTCGCATCGTATCTCGTCGTGGGGAGCAGATCTGAGGCAAATGCATGTATTGCCACGCACCCACCACAACCGCGCATTCATCGTCATCGGAAACTAACACAGCTGAAAGGCGGCGGCGGAGTGCCCGTCAGCTGTCGGTGGGCGGCTACCGGGGGCTCGATAAGGGTGGTTTGGGTGGCGGCACTGTCGACTCACATTTGTTCAACGATAAGCGTCACGGCCACCAGAGATCCACAGAGATGGCGGGGAGGCCGTGTTCCGCCCGAGAGTGTAGTGTATATACATCAGTGAAAGGAGCTGTCCATTCTGGCATTCATATCCTCCCTTTCAAAGTTATCGTGTCCACCACCTCTCACCCTCAACACGGAAACCCTCACCTCCCTCCCTGCTGCGCAGACCTTGCAAGCCCTCCATCCCAAACGATGACCTCGTCAGGCGCGTCGACCCCATGCTCGGAAATGTCCCTCGGCCTCCCCTCTGCGTTGGAGGCGAGCGAGCCGCCATCTCCCTCGTCCATCGCCGCCGCACTCTTCCACCGCAGCCCTGTCCCGCCCGCCACCCCACCGAGCGAGGCTCTCAAGGACCTTCCCCCAGCCGTCAACGTCAAGCCCATGGCTGAGGACGCGTTGCTAAGCTGCATAAAGCCAATGTGGGGCAATGTGGTATGGTCGCGTGGATTTGGCAGTGTGGGTGCCGCTGTGAGACAAGGCGTTTACCAGGTGAGGCGGCTGAGAATAGTAAAATGGCCACAGAGGAACCGTGCTGACCGGTGCCCAACCAGTGACAACTACGTCACTGATATGTACGTCGCAGGATCTCGAATTGCTGGTCAATTGCCATGAGCTGTTGTAGTGCTTTCCAGATCTCCTCTCTGTATGCAAATGTGTGTGTGACGCAGTCAAAAAACAACGCCGTCTGAACCCGACTCGTATGCACGGCTCCTCCGTACAGGTGCATATAGCGTGATACAGTGGCCCGCCGCGTTGAGGCGGGGAAACTAAGCCTCTCGTCGCTCGTCCTTGTCTCTGAACTACCTTCCGAATGGCTACTGATGCTGTAGTGGTCCTCCTTTTTTTTGTTGCTTCTTTGTGACGGGCGGTGGCCAAGCAAGGGTGTACCTCCCCCAACCTCTGGTCTCCCGCTTTTAAACGTCGCCCAACAGGTACGCTTAGTTGCCGCGGTCGGCGTACGCGGTCTGGTGGCCGGTCTTGACCTCGTCCTTGACGCTGATGCCGACCATGGCGGGGCCAAGGTTCTCGCTGATCTCGGCGAGCATCTGAGGGTTGTTGTAGTGGGTGACGGCCTGGACGATGGCGCGGGCACGCTTGGCGGGGTCACCAGAAAGGACTGAGCCTGTCAGCGGGAGCGCACACCCAATGCGATACAAGTTACTCACAGATGCCCGAGCCGACAAAGACACCGTCACAGCCGAGCTGCATCATGAGCGCAGCGTCGGCGGGGGTTGCGACACCACCAGCAGCGAAACTGGTTGTCAGCAAAAACAGGAGGAAGGTGTCGGCCAGTTTGGAGGGTTGGAGCATCAACATCCAAGTTGAAGCACACTCACGCGACAACAGGCAGGCGCTTCAGGCGAGCAGTCTCCTTAAGGAGGTGGTAAGGTGCCTGGAGCTCCTTGGCAAGGACATAAAGCTCCTCGTCGGACATGGCAGCGGCACGACGAATGTCGTTGCGGACGGCACGCTGGTGCTTAACGGCCTCGACGACGTCGCCGGTACCAGCCTCGCCCTTGGTGCGGATCATACTGTCATGTCAGTTGCAGGGCTCTGCGTGGTCGACCGGACGTAGGGCACTCACGCAGCACCCTCCGAGATACGCCTGAGGGCCTCGCCGAGGTTCTTGCAGCCACAGACGAAGGGAACCTTGAAGGCGTGCTTGCCGATGTGGTGCTGGTCGTCGGCCATGGTGAGGACCTCGGACTCCTGGGGGCTTGTTAGCATTGCACGAGGTGGTCCGGGTATGACGGGGTCAAAAGCAGTACAAAAATGGCGCGACCGGCCCAGAAGATCCACATGCGGCCGTGCAAGCCTGTGTCACGGACGGCCCGCAATGCCCAGACAGCTCGCCGGACTATTCGGCCTCGCAGAGCCAATTCCAGCGCCTCGGCTCTTCATGTACGTTGATTACGGGCCGGGTGGCCTGAACATTGCTGACATGGGGTGACTGGCCTACTCACGTCAATGTAGTCGACGCCGACAGCCTGGAGGATCTGGGCCTCGACGGTGTGGCCGATACGGCACTTGGCCATGACGGGGATGGAGACGGCGTTGATGATCTCCTTGATCATGGCGGGGTCGGACTAGATGAGTCAGTACGGTGTACACGGCCATGTCAAATGTCGAGGGGTAAACAACGCGACGGGGCAAAGAACGAGGGTCAGAGGTCTAGTTGTTGGGCACGACCCAAAAGCCTTGCTGTCAAGGATCGTAGCAGCGTCGGCATGGGTGCAGCGTCTTCAAACAGAGACGTCGATCGACTCTGACAAGCCCGACGCCGCACGCCGGGGATCGGAGGGGACCCCGCAGGGCATATGCAGGTGGATGTGCTGCGCACCAGGGAAGGACCAGCGCATGCCGTCCACTCCGACCCCGACGCTCCCAGCAACAACGTCACTCGCCCGTCCTCTACCCGATGTCCGCTCGCGGCCGCGCGGAATCCCGGAGTGCAAGTCTCGCAAGGTGGGCGCTATGCTCCGACGACGTAGACTTGGCACTGACATCCAGAGGGCCAGAGATGAATGCTCGGGATCCCGGTAGGCAGGAAAAAAAAAACCCCCCCAGATAGCCGGCCACTCACCATACGGGCGACTCCACCGTCACGACGGATGTTGGCGGGGATGCGCTCTGTGCCATGTCAGCTGCTGCCGCCGCAGGGAGTGCCCGGCTCACCAAGGGCCATGACGGCGACGGCACCGGCCTCCTCGGCAATCTTGGCCTGCTCGACGTTCATGACGTCCATGATGACACTGGAATCTGTCAGCGGCTGCTTGTGGTACACAGATTGTTGTGAATATGCTGCTGTGCGGTATCCACTCTGCACAGCGCCGGCACAGACTGGACACTGCACGATGCGACTCACCCGCCCTTGAGCATCTGGGCAAGACCAGTCTTGACGCCAAAAGTACCACCAGCGGTGCTGGCACCCGAACGGCCCGGGAAGGACGGGGTGGTCGCGCCGTTGGCCGGGGCGGCGGGGGCGGCGGCGCCGGTGGAGTGGACGATAGTGGGCTCGGAGGCGGACATGGTGGGCGAGAGTGGAATGCGGGAGGATGAGGAAGAGAGAGAGAGGAAAACAGGAAAACGGTTGGGACGTGGGGGATGAAATAGGAATAACAAGCGCGCGGGCAGCAACGGGCATGCCGCGCGCTCCTTCAGCTACGCGAGCGACGGCCCATCCCCTCAGTGTTCCGTCCATGTGATCGCGGGCCTCTCGTCTCTTCCATGCATGACACACTTGGTATGCCCAGCTTTCTCGTATGGGCATTGGCCCATGCAACGGCACGCACACACTCTCTCTCCTGCAGTCTCTCCGTGTCTCTTTTGACTCGAACGGCATGCACCCCTCGCTCTCCCCCGCGCCCTCCACCACCATATGTTGCGGCAATGGACCTGACGGACCCAGATCCGTTTTTTTTTTTCCTTTTCCAATATTGCAGGGGGGCTCTACAGGCGACGAAAAATCCGGGGTGGCCGCCCAGGATGCGCGACTTTTGGCCAGGCGTGCCCAGCGTACCAGCGTCCATGCCCCCCTCCCCCCCATCCTGCATCCATTCAATCACACTGTACCTTCAGGCAGTCGTCTGCATATCCTGAGGCCTGAGGGGCCGGCCTGCTTTCAGCTGTGGACGTATTGGAGAGAGAGAGAGTAAGAGCGACCAGTGGCCAGTGGACGCCACCCTCACTCGTTGGTGCAACGCGTCGCAGAAAATAGAAGGAAGCATGACAGTCGACCCTCAGTACCACAGCCGTTGCGTTGGCTCGTTGGAAAAACGTAGAGCTCATGGCCCAACCCGGCCAACCCCCGTTGCTTCGGAACATTGCCGAAGTCGACTCGAACGGACACCCCGCGCCACACAATCGCTTCCCGACGCGTACATGGTTTACCTCATGGTGTGTGTGGAGGTCGTCAAACGCTTAGCGGCGAGAGCCTATGAAGGGACACAGCTGTCAGCGACATTTGGTATGCACAGCTTCTGTGGTGGTGGCGTCCTCTTGGCAAGGTCTTGGGTACGCACCCCCCTGCGGATATCGCATACCGCATGTCGCCGGAGCTTGTAAGCGCCCGGCCCCCCTCTAATCGGATAGCGAGTGGTGCCGCCCCGGGGGGGGGGGGGGGGGGGGCCGAACGAGACATGGCTCTTCATACCTTCCAAGTGTCACATTGTACACGTCTACGACTCATATATAGTATAAAAACACTGCTTCCTCTCCGTCGCCTAAGAGTAGTTGATGTAACCTTCGCTCTCGCAAGCACGGTACTCGTCCGCGAGCTCGGCAACCACACGGCGCGAGTCGTCAAACTCCTCCAGGCCGTTGGCAAACATGTCCTCTTTCTTGTACTGCTCCAAAAACGCATTACGCTTGCGCAGACGGTCGTACTGGTCGATCATACGCTTGAACAGGGATGCCATCGATGTGTGGTTGGCCATCATGATGCCCGATACGCGGTTCTGCGTCGTCTTGCGCTTGGTCAGGGCCACTTGGATACTGGCAGGGCCCCAGGGGATAAAGTTGGCAAGCTGGCGTTCACGGATACGAAGCAGCGACTTGTGCACGTCTGTGGGGTCGACGTCGCCAGAGATAATGTTCAGACACGAAATGTAGCACGACGAGCGGGTCGAGGTGGTGGAGACGAGGCGGTTCTTGGGCTGCAAGAGACGGCGCATAACGTCGAGGGTTGTGGTCTTACGGATGGACTTGGCCTGGGCATTGTCAGGAGGCGTGTGCGAACACATTTACACTTACATGGTCAATCTCGTCGCCGGTGAATGGAGTGTAACTTGTCATGAGGAAGTGACACCTAGGCGTGGGGATCAAGCTGGCAATGATGCCGACGAGGTCATTGTTCATGTAACTTGGGTAGCGGAGGGTGGTCGTGCTTGCGGCCATGACGGTGGAGACGAGCTGGTTCGTCTGGACAAAACTCGGGTCCTGGACGTGTAGGCGGTCGGCCGCAATACGCGTCAACGCGGCATTGTCCAGAACCACAACGCTGTCGGCATTGTTGACCAAGCGCTTCATTGCCAGCAACGAGTTGTAAGGCTGCACCACGACGTCTGAAGACTCGGGGAACACCGAGTACGTCTGGATGAGCTTCTTGGGGAAGCGGTCGTTGAGACGTTCCAGCAAGAAGGAGCCGAGGCCGGAACCTGTGCCACCTGCAATCGAGTGGAGGAGCATGAATCCCTGCAACGTTCAGCCAGAGGTCGTTGATGATGATAACCAGCACTCACCTCCAAGCTGTCACTTCCGTCTGCCTCGCGATCAATCATCTCCATCAAGTCATCATACACCTTTTCTCCCGCGCTGTATCCTTGAGCCCAGTTGTTTCCTGCGCCTCCACCGTGCGGTGAGACGTAAATGTTCTCGGGGTTGTACAGTCCCTTGAAGGGCGATGCGAGAATGTTGTTGATCACCTGGAGAACGAGTCAGTACAGTGTCAGAGGATGACCACGGGTATGGTACGCATGGTGTTCAAATACCACATGGCCGGTCCAGCCAACATGGCCGTTAGACTCACCCTTGGCTCGAGATCAATGAGGATTGCGCGGGGGATATAATGCTCGTCGTCTGCCTGGTAAAAGAACACGTCCTTGCGGTCTCCTTGGTTCTCGGCCCAGTCCTCGAGCATGCCGTTGGGAGAGATGCCGTGCTCGGCGCATAGCTTTTGCCAGAACTGGAGAGTGTGTCAGTGAGGTATCCAGAGTGGTCGGGAAACGTTGTTGGTGATGGGTCTTGACCGTGAACGGAATGGCCACCGGTCGCAACCTCTGGCCACCAGGTCCGTGTCCGCATGGCGTCATGGAGCAGGACGTTTGCTTCTAGTCGACAGTGACACATACCTGCTGTCCAACTGCATTGTCAGCATGTACCCTTGGTGTGGATAACAACTGTAGACTTACTCTGGTTACCAGCCTGTCCGGCCTGGAGCGAGATGATCTCGCGGCCCATGGCCACAACAATGGATTGTGAAGGGGGGGTGGGAGATTGAAAGGGTGGAGGGGATGGCCTCGGCTATATTTGTGTCGATATGGTCTGTTTGAAGCTGCAGAAGAGTGTAGAGAGGGCAGGAGCAAGAGGTGGGTGGTTGGATGACGCGTATGATGCCCAAGTGTGCGCCTGTTGTTGACGGTTGTCGCCGCCGTCGCGTCAAGTGTCGTCGCGAGCCACGCGAGAGTCACGTGCGTTGGAAGCGGAGTTCAATTGCGTTCTCCGCTTTTTTTTCTTTTACCCCTCACGTCGTCTGAGTTGTATATGCGCTCTGAGATCTGAGAGGGCATGTATAGATGTACACCGCGCTGTGCCACGCACACACGTCGCACACGCTAGAAATGACGTTGACAGGCATATGCCTGCTGCACACCGGGGGCCTGGGTGCAGCTGGGTGTGCGTGCCGCCACCGAGGAACGAGGGGTTGTTTTTAGACGGAAGCAAATTGTCTTACACTGGCAATGATGGGCGCTCTACCGATCAGGCTCTTGATGTTCTCTCTCTGTCAGGCCATTTCTCTCCTTCCATCTCGCACGATGCCCCTCCCGCGCGTCTTTCTAGACTTTACATACGCCGACAAGCCAGTAGGCCGCGTGGTGGTGAGTTCTGGAATAGGACAGACAAGCCTTCAGGAACTGGAAACTGACCCACGCCCAGCTTGAGCTGTTTACAGATGTGTACGTCTCGACCCTTCTCCTTTCGGGAGGAGTCTGTTTGTACATGGCCATCGCTGACCGTCTAGTGTGCCTAAAACTTCTGAAAAGTACGTGTTCTCTTCAACCTCAGGCCATCCCTGCTGCTGCTTGCCCAGCGGTAGCGCGAGCCACAACAGCGGCGACCTCACGTCGTCCAACCTTGTCCCATCCGCAACACCACGTCATACTGACCTTCCCAGCTTCCGCGCGTTGTGTACGGGCGAAAAGTCGACTCCCAGCAAGCAGCTGAGCTATAATGGATCCCCCGTACACCGCATCATTGAGGGATTCATGATCCAAGGAGGCGACTTTACCAAGCGGAACGGTACCGGCGGCGAGTCGATCTACGGCGGCACCTTTGACGACGAGCGCTTGAGTGGAGAGGGGACCGAGGTGGACAGCAAGGGGTAAGTCGTGCAGGATTGAGATTCAGTCAGGTGGCGTGCTACTGGCCTTCACCTGCCATTTCCGTCAACTTGCCCAGCCGGGCTCTAGTGCGCGCAGCTGACATGCAGCCTCCTGGTCATGGCCAACCGCGGCCCCAACACGAACGGCTCGCAGTGGTTCATCACCCTCGCCCCGGCACAGCATCTCACGGGAAAGCATGTGTACGCCGGCTGCATCCTCCCCCGCTACTTCTAGCTAACCGTTTCCAGCGTCTTTGGTCGCGTGGTTGGCGGCATGGAGCACATTGACACCATTGGGGCCCTCCCCACTGATGAGCGCGACCGTCCCCTCCAGCCCGTCATTGTCGCCAAGGCTGGCGAGCTCGAGCTCCGCCGTGCTGCAGTCCCGGAAGCTACTCGCTCCCGTTCCCGTTCCCACTCGATCACCCCCGAGTCGGACTCGGAGGACGAGCGCGAGCGCCGCCGCCGGAGGGAGAGGCGGGAACGGAAAGAGCGCGAGAGGGATGAGCGCCGTGACGAGAAGAGGAGGAGCAGCAGGAAGGATAGGGGTGGCGACGACAGTCATGATCGGTCTCGGTCCCCAGACCGTGCTCGTGGCGGCGACGACGAGGGTCGTGACCGCGAAGAACGCAAAAGCAAGCGCGACAAGAAGACTAGCAGCAGGCGCCGCGACAGGTCACCCTCGGAGACGCTTTCTGAGCTCGACGAGCGTTTGCTCAAGGAGGAAAACGAGCGCCTCGATGTGGAGAAGCGCGAGCAGCTGGCGGAGATGAAGCGCAAGATTGAAGAGGACAGGCAGGCTATCAAGGACGCCGGCGGTGTGGTCTACAAGGGTGAGTCACGGCTGGAATGAGATGAAGCGGCTCGGTGCCGCTAAATCACAACTTGTTGCTGACCGCCGGCAGGACGTGGCAGCATGCGCTACCGCGACCCGGAATCCCGCTCCCACTCCAACTTTGGCATGCCGCGAAACTACGACTCGCGTGCACCTGACACGCGCGCGCGGTACCGCCGCAACGACCGTAACGACGACAACACGCGCGGCAGTGGCAGGTGGGAACGCGGTGGTGAGGCGCAGCGTCCGTCCTTTGAGCGCGAGCGTCGTGACGACCGACCCCGCGATGCGGACAGGTGGGACCACGGCGGGTTCCGCAAGGACCGGACGGGTGATCGTGGTCGCGATGACGGTGGCCTCGCCGGCCGTCTTGGTGATCGCCTGTCATACGATGACGAGGCGGAGGACCGGGCAAGGGACGATCCCAGCCGTTCTGCGCGGGCGGATGCGTGGCGCTCAACTCGTCGATCGCCCGCGCCCCACTCGCCGCCAGCCCCGCGCTCGACACAGCGCTCACCTAGCCCCGGTCCCGTGAGAGAGCAGCGCAGTACAAGCCTGGAGAGGAGGGACGCTGGGAGCGACATGGAGATGGACGACTAGAGAATGTAGACAAGGAGGGCGTTTGTGGCCATTTGGAAGATGCGACTTTGATGTATACAGTTGCTGCAGTCTAGGATCCCGTTTTCACAGTGCATAGTGACAATGCCTCGAAGCAGCTACAGATCTACACATATCTAAAAAGAAAACACCTACACCCCCCTACTCGTCATCCTCCTGGGCAATTGCAAACTCCCACGTCCTGGCCTTTCCAATCCTGCCGACAATCTCCTCGTTCTCGGCCTTGGACACGCCAGCCTTGAAACCAATGGTCCTGCGGTGCGCATAGCCAGGCCACGCGTCGGGGACGAATTCAAAACTCCTCAGCAGGCGGTATTTGGTACACTTTGCCGACGCTGTACCGGGGCACACTGGTGGCGGGCGGGTCGCGAGCGACTTGAGGTCCCAGAGCGAATAGGGGGACTGGGAGAGCAGGGTGATGCACAGCGAGCCTTCGCGGTTGGGCGGGGTGAACGAGGCGGGAACAATGCTGGCAGACGACACCTTGTACGCGTCGTCGTCGTCGTCGAATGGGTTGGACGGTGCCACCTCGTCGTCGTCGTCGGGGGTGACAGCGCGTGCGGGCCGCTTCTTAACCGCAGGCATCTTCCTGTTGGCACCACCCTTCTTGCCCTTCTTCTGGATCACGATGGGGAACGCGGATGGTCCCTCGGTGAGGACGTTGGCGACCGACCTGAACGTCCGCAAGAGCATCTCCTGGTTGGCGCGCACGTTGCGGTCCTGGTCTGTGATGCCCTTTCCGACATGGGGAAAGTTGAAGATGGCCCTCGACCAGCGCTTTCCCTTGCCGACATCGCGTGACTTTTCCAGCGCGCCGGCGTCCACGCCAAATGCCACACGCACACTCTTGGAACGCAGCAGCTCGACGTGGGCCTCGGCGTCGGGATACTTTTCGTACGTGTCCGCCTGGCTGTCAAACGCCGTGGCACAGATGAGGTGGCCCGAGTGGCCGCGAGACACCAGCGCGACGGCAAAGGAAAAGTTGGCCTCGCCAAGGAGGAGAACGGTGTCGTCGCCCTTGATGGGGATGGTCGCGTCGGACGCAAAGGCAATCTTGACCGCCGCAGCCATGTCAAACGCCTCGGCCTCGTCGGCCCCGTCCTTCATGTCCACATCTCCCTCGCCACCGCCGACCTCACGTTGCAAGCTCTTGGCCTTGCGCACAGCCTGGGCAGCGGCAAGGATCTTTTCCTTCTCGGCAGCAGCCTGCCTGCGCTTCTTGTCGGCCTTCTTCTCAGCGGCTGAACGGGGACGCGCCTTGGCCTTGGCGGCGGCCGCGACGTTGGCTGCCTTCTTAGCAGCGGCAGCACGCGCAGCGGCGTCGTACTTTGCGTGGTCAAGCGAGGCCTGGAGACGGGATCCGCGCGCCATGGTGTGTGGATGTCTGAGTGGGGGAAGTGGGAGGAGGAGAGCGGAGGCCGGTCACGTAGGCGAGGAGGCCGAAGGCGCTGAAACCGAACTTGACGAGTCTATGAAGACGAACGACGCTTTCTATCCAGCAGTGAAACTGAAGACACAAAGGTGGACGGGTCGAGAATGGAGTGTTGGGCAACAACAGGATTGCCGGCTGGGAGATCGAATATTTACGCCTGGTCATTATTTTGTATGTTTCCGTGCCTGGCGTGGGTGTTCACCTCCACTTGCCAACACTTGTTTCCGTTGGACGTCTCATTGCACCCTTCACCAGCTTCGCCCTGCACTTTTCATCTAATTCGCGGGACCACGGCCCGCACATGCATGTTGTTGTCGGGTGAGTCACCTCTATACATGGCAGGGACAACGGTCTGATAGGCGGAGAGACCATGTCTTCTAACGTGTAACGTCCAAGTCAAGTACGCCGCACAATGACGACGAACACAAGAAACCATCAAGATGAATTCCACGTCAGCTTTCACGGTCGCCCCTGCCACTGCTGGTCGCTGCTGAGCTCTGCTCGGTGGATCGCACATTGCGTCTCGTCTCATACATGCCACAGTATAATATTTTTTTCGGCCACACCAGGCGGGGCAACAGAACAAAGTACACGGGACAGGATAAATGTGGTGGGGGTCAGGTCGGGAGGAAGGGATCGCGGCGGGGGCGGGGGGTATCGAAGGAACCATGGGTGACATCCGAAGTGGAGCGGGGGTGACGGGGGGTCATGCGACAACCGGAAAGACAAAATGGGGGGTGAAAGTGTGCAGGTGAGGGTTTTGGAGGGCGGTCATGTTGGGGTCGGTCGGCACCTCGCTATCGCTGGCCGAATTCTCTTACTTGCGCTTGGCAAAGAGCTGCCGTTCAGCGGGTTGGAGCGTGAGCAGGCCCACCTTGTTGAAAAGAGCGAGCACCTTGGGGACATTTAGCTGCACATACTCGAGATCGAGTGTGGCATCATTGTCCTTTTGCTACGCCTGTCAGCAACAATCTTTTTTTACCTGGCCAATACGCACCTTTTCCAAGAGGTCATCAATCTTGAGGTCCATCTCGAGGATGGGCTTCTCGCGGCCCTTGAAGTGGAGGGCAATGATAAACGTGCCGGGAGTAGGCGACGTGATGTTGAAAAAGATGTTTGCGCGCCTGTGGTGGTTAGTGTCTATGCTCAGGTCTCCCCTTCCCCCGCCGCTCAAGCTTGCGCTCTGGTCTCGCTCACCTGTTCTCTGGCACATTGCTGTCCATGATAATGCCCTCCTTCTCAAACTGGCTGTGAGTGAAGCGGTAAGGTCCGAGAGCCTGGGTCCTGGAAAACTTCTTCTCCTTGCCGTTGATGCCGACCACGCCAACACCGCCAACACCGCCCTGGGCCTTGGCCATCATCATGCGCGAGTTGACAAGGTAGGCCTTGTACTGCTCAATCTGGGAACGGAGGTAGTTGTTGTGGTCGCAGATCGTGCGGTAAACGGACTCGAGGGAGCGGGTCTCGAGGACAACTTTTTCGCGTGCGTTACCGAGGTGAACCATCTCGGTGGAAACCTCGTCCTGCAGCAGTTTATAGTTGTCGTTGCGGTCGACAACGCTCGCAGCCTCGAGTTCGGAAAGAAGGTTTTGGACCTTTATGCCACGGCGGACAAGGACGGGGTCCTTGGATGTGGCAGCACGCTCTGCCAGTGCAGGAAGGTCCATTGGCCTACGGTCGGCCAGTTGGGGCATGGAACGGAGGAGTTGGACAAAGATGGACTTGGTCTCCATGAAATTGATATCGTTTTGCGTAACAGAGTCGTTCATGAGCGCGGTGGACAGGTCCTGGATGGGAGTCTCCCAGCGCGAGTACAGGGGGAGCTCGATGGAGGCGTTTTCGGCTCGTGGCACCTGGGGAGGAGCGGGACCAAGCTCGTCGAGAAGGACACGGAGATGTTGCCTATCGTTTGGCGACAAGGTCTCGATGTGCTGCATGAACAGCGTGTGGGTGTTGTACAGCTCGTTGATGGTGATGCTGATCTGGAGGTCCTTCTTCGAGAGGGCCATGTACTGGTCCATCTCGAGCGATTCGTAAAAGTCGCCGACTTCACACAGACTGTTGAGGAACTGGTTCATCATTTGCTTGTTGTTCTCGACAAACGGGTTGAGCGACATCATGTACTGCTCCTTGGCGTAACTCGGCTTGTTGGCAAGGTTTTGGAGCATCTTGGCGATGAGGGTCAACGTTCTCCTCGGGTGCTTGGCGGGCACGCCGTCCACAAGCATGTACGCCTGTGGGGTGACAATGGCCGGGTTGATAAACCTCAAGAAGAAAAAGCCACCGATGAGCGAGCAGATGGACGCGTCCGAGGCTTCCGGGTACTTGCGACGCGTGAGGGAGCGAATCTGCTTGCAGATCCAGCGGATACCATATGGGACGGCCTCGAGCGACTCCATGATCGTCGACAGGAAGGTCTGCGCGATATCCATCAGGACAGCGAGACGCGGCTGGATGATCGCCTGGACATCGGCGTTGGTTGCTGCGACCTCGGGAGGGACACCACGCGGCAGAGATGGCGGCAGTGCGCCTTGCTCTGCCTCAATCTCATGGATCATCTGCTCATAGACCTGTTGTACATGTCAGCTCTAAAGCCCACACAGGGACATATCTGAGACAGAGGCCACCTCACCTTTAAGGGATTGATTTCAAGGTTGAGGTCCTTGTGCTCGATGAGTGCGTTGATACGCTCCGCCAGCACATCCTTGAGGTAGCTCTGACCGGGTCCTCGGCGGGTGTAGGTGGTCATCATGCGGGACACGGGCGTGTTTTGGCGCAGCAGCGAGCCAAACTCTGTAGTGGACTCGAACTGGGCTGCCAGAACGCTCTGCGGGGTAGTGTCAGCTCTTGAGAGACAGAAACGCAGGTAAGGAAGAGCCAGGCAGAGCTGGGAAGGAAGGCACGTCCGACGCCACGCGCAGGTGGGGAAGGACTGCTAGCGCAAAAGGTTTGTGTTGCGCCGTTCGCGTGCACGCCTGCCAAACTCCTGGTGTAGCATGGCGCACGCTAGCGCCCGCCCGCTCACATGGGGCGACTCACTTGAAACATGGTGAGAAGCAGGTGCTCTTCGCGCTGCTCGTACTGGTTACCGTAGAGGGTGAACATGACGGTCTGGAGAAGGGTGTCGATTTCGGACAGCTGGACCAGGCGACACAAGGCAGCGACGTGTCGGGGCTCGGACTGGAGCAGGAAGAACAGGTTGGAGTACTGGGCAATTTTACGAGTGTCTGGGTACGCTCCCGAGTCTTCGACGACTTCCTCGAGTGTTTCCTGTACTTGACGCTTCTCGTCTGCGGCGATACGGTTCTGGATGAGGAGACCGATACGCGAGTCCAGGTAGCGGACGTCGCGCTCGAGGACAAAGTTCTTCTTTGACTGGGAGGAAATACGGCCCTTGAGGTCACGTAGACGCTTTTGCGCGCGTGCCAACTCGTCCTCGACCTCGACGTCTTGCTCCGCGGCAAGCGAGTACATGGCGTTGACGCTGTACCTGTTTGTCATGCGGTTGGTGACTCGCCTGCTGGATGTGGGAGAGATGCCCGGCATGGGCGGCACGGGGACGCCAGAGCCAGTAGATGGTGTGGGTGTGGAGGGACCGTTCACCGAGATGGCCGACGCGGCGCTTGACATGGGCGAAGTCAGGGAGCCTGATGGAGCCGAGGATGGCCCAGGCGTTCCCGGTGCCGACATTGTGAGCGCAGCCATTTGGGAAAGAACGGCGGGCGGTGGTGGTGTCGCGCGACGACGACGGGGGTGGTGGTGATGGGAGGAAGGGGGAGGATGGGTGCGAAGGCGGCCCGCTATGTGCGGTCGCTAGACGCTCAAGAAATCCGCCCCGAGATGTGGGAAGGGGGTGTGGGGGAGCCGTGAGGGTGAGTGGCGACGAGCGAGGTCAAGAGGCCGGGTGCGGTTGGTGATGGATGGTGATGGTGGTGGTGGTTGTGGGTGTGTGCGTAGAGCAGTGACCAGTGGGGGGTTTGGGTGGGTGGACGCGCGTGTTCGTTGCGTTCCCGACGGCCAAGAGTCCCGGAAGAGGGCCGTGCGATGTGAGCACGGGGCAAGCAGGTGGCGTGCGGGGTCGGAGAGGGCAGCGGTTGGAAAGGGGGGGTACAAAAGAGTTCGTGCTGGGCGAGACGGGGGTTGGCTTTGCGATACACAGGTGCGGGTGAGTGGAGGGATGTTGTGGGAGGAGGAGGTGTGTGTACGTGTGTTGTACTGCGTGTGTGTATGTGTGTGCGTGTGTGCAAGGAAAGAACACGAACACGCGGGGACCGGCGTGTGCTTTTGGCGATGGGGTGGACGTGGATTTGGTGGGTCGGGTGGTGGTCGGTGCGCGCGCTGGTGATCGTGATGGTGGTGGTGATGGCGAAGGGTGTGAGGATGAGGGGTGAGGTGGTGGGTGGAGATTGAAAGCCAAGAGGCCGGGGGGACGGAGAGTGGGTGTGGGTGGCTCGTGCACACGAGAGGGAAGGAGCCAAAGGCGGCGAGGGGGGAAAAAAAAAGGAGAGGGGACAGAGGTACAGAGGGGGACAGAGCTTTTGGTGCAGCGCGCGTGCGCGTGGACGCGTCTGCTCGTGGCGTGTGCGCGACGAACAGTGTTCTCGCGCTGGTGGTCGGTTCGATCGGTTGGTTGTTGGAGAGAAAGGGCGACAGATGGATGACCAGATGGGGGACGGGGGGACACACCAGGTGAGAGAGAGATGTACAGACAGATGAGACAGATGTGGAGTGGAGACTGACTAGTGCGAGGAGCCACAGAGCCTATAGCATATAATGTTGTCTCTGCTGCCATTCCTCTCTCTGTCGTGTCTCTCGTGTCTCACTCATCTCTCGACTCTCTCTCTGTCTCGCACACTCCCACTCGCGGCCACTCGCTCACGCACAGACCCCCCACACCCAGCAACCGCAGGGGCTACCAGGGGGTTAGAGGGCAAAAGGGGGGCAGCAAGAGGGACGGAACTTTAACTTGGCACAGAGCATGTGCCTCCTATACTCTGGTTTGCCTCTTTGGGCAACCATGCCCCGTTTTGTCGCCCGTCCTCTCTCTGATATCTCTCTGATCTATACATCCTCCGAGGTCAGTTCAGTCTGCTCACTGGATCACTGTCGTTGCCACGTCCATGGCACACCTCGTCCAGTGCGACAGTGCACCCTTGGTGAGACCTCTGGTGTTCTCTTTTTTCTTGTCTCTTTTGACCCAAGTCACCCGTTAGTCTTCCCTCTTGCCTCTTGCCTCCCTCTACATGGCACCCAGTACGGCATCCATGTACGGCATACATCTCTCCCCTGTACCCCCTTCTCCCACAGCTCCCACACTCCCCCTTCCACGACCCAGAGTCGAGTCTTGTAATAGAGAAGAGCAAGGCGATGGTAGCGGAGTCAGAGCAGAAAAGACCGCGCACCCTAGCGCAGCCTAGCGCAGTCGAACTCGCAGACGTGCTTGGGCAGTTTACTTCTTCGACCTGCGCGAAAGTAGTGCGTCAGCATTCATTTGGTTTATTCACGGCCGGGGGGGGGGCGGGGGTGGGGGGGGGGGGCACAGAAGAACACGAGCGGTGGAATCGAAAAGTTGGCAGTCGCCGGATCGCCGGCCCACAGACACAGGCGCGGCAGAGGGACGCGGTCTGGACAGTCCGTTTTCAGGCGACCCGAAACTGTAAATGTCCCAACTAATGTTGAACTTGACAACAAACGCCCACCCGACATGACACTATTTACATGACTGGTGGCGTGTGACTTTGCCATTGTCATTGTCATGAAGCCACGCACACCATTCAATGTCCATGCCATGTCGGTCCAAGCAAGGTTTGAGGCCGCTTCCATGCTTGCGCATGCGTTTCCATTGAACCCAACAGGGGCCGTCGCAACACGCCGATAGAGCAACACGTACTCCCACGCGCTGGCAACGAAGCCGCCTGTGGGTTCCAAAATGGACCAGCAACGTACGACAGCCCTGGCAGGAGGGGGCTCGGAAGTCCCACCATGCCAAGGCACCCAAACTTACACTGGACAGACGAGTCTGTCACAGTACCCGCTTGCTTCTCATTTTGGCACAATCCCCCAACTCCAGTTCGTCACAGCACTTCAGTGGACACGCGTACTCACTTCTTGATACCGCCACCGGACATGGGGCCCTTCTGGCCAGCTGTATGCGGTGTCAGCGTTGCATCTGGCTGAGGTCGAATCAAGGCTTGTTTAACGCGTCGTTTGTGTCCTTCCACCTGTCCCTTGTATGTTGCTCCATGTAGCCAGCTCGCCGAGCGAGTACGTGTGTGTCTGCGACCAGCTTCACCATGCGCCATGGCGATCACTGGCACATCCACAACCCCAGAAGCCAAGTTGAAGGCCAAGGGTCGTAGAGACGTTCTGCCAGAAGAGACATCTCTCTCCAATACAGCGACGCATGTGGCATTGCTCTGCACGCCCACGATCCACGATCCGCGGCGCCAGCGGTAAATGAGGATGAGAGTAAACTCAAACGCAAATGCCAGTTTGTGATACCCAGAATGCACGACAAAGTGCAGATGTCCGGGGCCTGGACCTGGGCCGACATCGTACTCTTGAGGCTGCACAAAAGGGAATCGCACCCAATGACACGGCATTGTCATTGTATTTCGCAGACGCTGGCAATCTCAAGAGATAGGCGCAGGCAACGGCGGGGCCTGGGACGGAGATAGGAGAGCTTGATGCCAGGACAAAGCCATTTGAGGCATCCGACCAATACACCGCTCACTTGCATGTGGCACAATGCCACCACCACCACCTCCCAAGTTCCAAGCATTCTAGCGCCCAACCAACCTCTTCGCTCTGCCGTCCATTCCGGCATCGCGGCGATGTTGGTGTATGCTGCAGCGGATGCCAGAACGTGGGTGGTCCCGCATGTACGGCAGCATGCCGGGTGCGCAGGCCCGGTTTTTGGAGCTGGAACGGGACAGGGCGAGGGGTGTGGACGCGGTAGCAGCACAGTCCCGCTCTCGAGACTTCAAGCACGGAAAGGAAGCGGCCAAGGAAGCAGCCTGGGTGTTCTGTCCCAGTGCACCTGCCTCGCGCCAAATGGCCATGTGTTGGAAGGTCGAGGTGGAGGTCACCAACATAGATGGATATTTCCGAACTTGAAGTGATTGAAACCCATGTCACCCACAAATGGCGCCAACAACTCCCACCACGACAACTCCCACCACGACGAGATTCAGACATGGAACAGGGACAAGGGAGTGGAGGACACAAGGAGAACCATACTCGGGAGAGCCCACCAGCTCCCCTCACACATAACAACAGAAAAGGACTCACCCTTGGCAGCGAGGGCCTTGAGCTCGGCAGCCTCCTTCTTGAGCTTCTCTGCGTGGCTGTCAGCTACAGTTCAGAGGAAAGCCTCAAACGCCAGTGGGGGCCCGTATCGAGCCCGTAAAAGCTAGAGCTCATGTCGGCCCAGAACTCGTTTCAACCTCACGGCTTCTTCGAGCTCTTCCGTACACTTCTCGAGTCCACGGCCGCGCAAAAAGAGCCCTTGGATACCTACGCTGGTGCGCGATGTCGTCATCATCAAGCTCCCGTTTCTCCTTCTTGGGAGCCTGTTGAAAGAGGAAAGGAGACGAGTTGGAGTGAGTAGAAGAGGATAAGGTCGAAGAGGGGACGATCGGAGGGTTGGTTCGGGAGGTAAACGCGCGATGACGGCCCGGGGACAGTCGCGAGTGGTCGGTGCGAGACATAGGTAGACGTAGGGTAGATACAGTAAGGTCCATGACAAAAAGAAGCACAAGGTCAGCTGCAGAACAGCATGGGCAGGAGGCAACATACCTTGAGAGGCTTAGCTACACGCGATCGTCAGTCATTGTTCGTTTTCCCGCTTCCCCGCCGGTCGGTCCATGTTTCCGCCGCACAGTACGCACCCTTTCCACCTGGTATGTCAGCTGCGTGAACTCGATTCGTATGGCTACCCACCTTGACGACCGGACATGATTGATAGAGGTATGAGATGTGGAGAAAGGTCAGGTTGTTGGTGGTGTGCCGAAATGCAAACTGAAAGGGGGCTGGCTTTCCCACGGTGCGGTCATTGACGGGGCACCTAAAATTAGCTTCCGTTGGCCACCATGGAGATACATACTAGAGACCGTCATGAACCGTCTGCAACGCTGGGTGTGTACTGTTGTGTGTTTCTCGTTGCGCCTGAAAACACCATGCCGCGGCGGTGCGGCGGGTCACCGCGACGCACAATGTGTTCCCCCATGAGTCAATGTTCAGTCAAGCGAACACGCCTTTGTCCACCGTCCACAATGTCCAGGACGCAGGCCCATCCTACTTCCTCCTCCACTTCTCATGTCCCCTGTTCCCCATGTCCATGTTTCGTGACGCGAAACGCGACAAAGGGCGCGACGCGTCCCGGTTCCTGCTGGAGACACGGCCGTCTGGCTCCTTGTTACCCGCAGCACCCGCACGGATGGCTGTTACGCAGTGAGTGGCATATGAGATGGCCAGGGGCAGTGTGCTACTCGACACTGTCGTCCACTGGCCACTGGCCACTGGATTGTATCCGCAGGGGAGACTTCTTGGACCGGTGTGCCCTCCCTTTCCAACACCGTCGCCCATGCCTCTGTCATTGGCCTTGCACACTCTGTCCGCCTCTACTCACCATGGCTCCAACCATGCACCGCTCCCTGGCAGTGTCCTCAGCCACACTCTCGTGGCACCCCGGCACACACACCTGCACATCCAGCCGACCGCACAGGTGAAGGCTGTGTTCCACAGCAAAACCAAGTATGCTCTGCCAAAGGGAGGCATACTCTTCCTTGACATTGTGGCTACGACAGGCAAGCGTTGACCAGTGGCCAGTGGCATACCACACTCCACGACGACCCACACACGTCAACAGCAATTGTGACATTTCGAACCGCAGTACAATCTCATCAGTCATAACAGGTCGTGAGGGGAGACATTATTAACGCAGGGAGATGTGGTGCGGGGCACTGACGACATGGACATGAGCGACATTGCCATCTACACCCCCACCCTTGGCGCCCAACAGTGGGTGCCAGCACGTTCAGCGACAGAGGAGCTTCTTCCATGCCGGCCTCTTTTCATCCAGCTCCAGTCCGTCCGTGGACACGACCGACGGCGCCTACGTGTGCTATCAGCTGCAGTTTCATCTCGTCTCATCGCCATTTGACACTCCATCTGACACCCCACTTGCCGCCGACCGCCTTGACCAAGAGTATACTCACATTCTCAGCGTCCAGCTCGTCCGCTCGCTTGGCCAGCAACCGCTCAATCTCGCCGCTGACCAAAATCGCGTTGGTTGACGCCTCGCGCTGGATGACGGCCGTGTATGCCGGGTCAAACACAATATCCGGGTCGACCTTGACTGCACACGCGTGCAGCGCCTTGCGCGCAGTCTTGTCCCACGGTCCCCACAAAAGTGCAGAAACGAGCTTGCTGTTTTTCAGGACGAGTGAGCGGAACTTGGCCACGGTCGGGTGCGGCGGCGGAGGCAGCGCGGCGCCGGCGGCGGCAGTGCGCGAGGTGGATGAGCGGCGAAGTTTGGGGCGGTCGGCCGCCGTGGAGGCTGCGACAGCCGGGGCAGAAGCACTGGGAGGCGGAGCTGCCGGTTTGAGGGCATCGGGCTTTGTGAGTTTCTTGGGTCCCATCGAGATACCGAGGCCGACGCCGGGAGTGATGTGCGGTACCGCGGTCGGAGGTGGGGGGTTGGCCAAGCTGAGTGATGAAGGGGACAGCTGTGTCGGGCTCCCCGTGAACACTACCGTGTTGCTACGACCTCTGGGTGTGTTGGCGTTGGAACCGAGCTCGAGTTTGAGGCTGGGCTTTGGCTTGGGTGAGCTGGGAGAGTTGAGACTCAAGAGTGTGTTGAACCGTTGCAGCCAGCCGGGGGAGCCTGGTGGGAGTTGCGAATGCTGGCGGGATGGCGAGACTGGAGGCGATGGTGGGATGGATGACGGAGACTGAGGTGGTGATGGGTGAGGAAGAGGACTAGATGAGTCGGGAAGAGGTGGAGAGGTGTGCAACACAGGGCGAGGGGCGGACATGGCGAAAGGCGTTTGGTGGTGGCGCGCGCCTCGGCTTAAGAAGGGATGGGCATCCCTTGTCTTCTACGAGAGGCAAGAGTTCAAGACTGGTGGACAAGTGATGGGACAAGGACAGATTGATGGGCAGTAGGTATGATTCGCTGTCTTTGCCGCGTGTCAGCAACGCTGCAAATGGAGAGGACATCCATCAGCGATCTTTTGTGTGCCACTTTGCTTCATTGTCCACAACAGATCTGCACATGCCTCGGGTACCTCCATCTCAGCTGTGGTTCTCCCACCTCGCCTTCACACAGTCTCTACGTGCTTGTGCGCATTGGGCCTTGCTGTAGCGCCATGGCTTCCTGTATGGCGTCAGGAGCGCGAGTAGTCATAGCGAACGCACGAGCACTGTACCCAGGTACCAGGAAGCAGGTGGCGTTGGGGAGGGGACGGGGGTGCTTCTCCTGTGCGCCAGTATCTCTTCCGCTTGTTCTCGGCATGCAAACGAATGGGTTGACGCGGCGCTGTGGGGTGCGCTCAGCCCGTCTGGGCCAATGTTTCACGGTAGATAGGTGTATAGGTGAAGCAGCGAGCTTGGCCCGTTTCGTCTTCGGAAAGCCGTTCCAGACAGGGATCCGACTATCCGCACGTTGTGAGCGCGTCGATGTCGTCGAATGTGTGGTATACCGCCGGATGAGAGGGGGAGCCGGGCAGTAGTGCCAGCAGAGGAAGGCTGCAGGCTGGTTGTTGTCCACAGGCCACCAGTCTCGGCGTGGAAAGGTACCTGAGGACCAGCGAGCCGTAAAACGGCAGTGCCGCCCGTGTTGTTGTTGTTGGACGGGGGAGCGCTGGTAGGCTGTTCCCCTTCGGGGTCGTCTTGACCGTGAGAGGGGAGGAGTACGCTTTGGGGCAGTATGACACGTATTGCCTGTATGATTGTTGCAAGTGTATTATACCCCCCAAGACCGACGCTGAGAGGACAGGGAGGGTTTCGCCCCACTGGCAGACTGCATCGCGAACTGTGTCGACGACAAGTAGCAAATAGCTGTGTACATGGAGGCAGATATGAAGAGCCGGCCGTTGTTCGCCACTCATCTGTCATATATGATCTCTCATCCATTATCCAAACGTCTCACCCATCCATCCATCCACCAGGCAGGCCACCAGCAATGCCATCGCCCCAGCACGCTGTATCATTAGACAGCACCGTCACAGTTACCCGCATTCCCAAGGACCTCCCTCTCACCGACCTCGATGCTGTCGTGATCGACGAATGCGGACAGCACGACATCCAACTTGACCCGTCCCAGCCAAACCTCGTTCCCGACGACGCCCAGTATAACAACGGCATGTACCAACCACATCTATCCAGCCTCTTACCTGACATGTCCCAGCTTTTCTTTACTTTCCCAGTACGTCGGCCGCCCAAAAGGCCAAGGCCATCCTCAACTACCACCCTGTCTTCGACGCGACGGGAATAAACTTCAAACTGCCCGCCGCGTCCAGCCCACCACGGTCGCTCATCGGAGCACAGCGTCTTGTACGCGGCATCACACCTTTGCAGTCATGTTCTACGAGTAGCCGCCCACAGTGGACAGAATGGTGTTGCCATGGCAATGGGTGGCCGGCGCCCGCCCCGCTTCCCAGCAAGCTCTACGACGAGCTCGTTGTCTGGGGCCGTGTCGAATATCTGGCACCCTACATCATCGATGAGGCGGTCCCCACAAGCCCATACTTCGCCTGGGAGGCGACCGTTCAGTTCATGGAGTCCGCCGACGCCGAAAACTTTGAGCAACACTGCGAATGGATGTGTGGCTGGACAGTGTAAGTGGCCTTCCACGTTGCCCCCTGTCACTGACCACTTAGCCTCATCAAAGCGACGTCGGCTCATCCCTCGCCGCTCTCTTCATCTGAGACTTCGTCCCCACGATCAGTTACGCCTCTGACAGACACTGAAGGACCATCCTTGCCCATGGCCAGACTAGTTCGAGGTGGCAAACATGTCTCTGTGATAGTGTCCGACATTGACGAGTGCACGCTGCCGTCAACACAACAAGATGTAAGTTGCTTAATTGGTTTGATGTTGACGACGATTGTAGGCCCGACATTTGCCCTCTGGTGCGGTCGTCCGTCCACGTCTCGGCGGGCCCGTGCTTACAAACGATCCGTGGTGATGGCTGGACCAGAAGAGACGCCCGCGCTCTCCACATCTGAGCACACAGCTGTGTGGACCCTTTTTCGCAAGTTCAGCGATCAGTGTGTAAGTTCTTCATTGTAGACAGAACTCTGAACGCTCAACTCAAGTAGGTACTTGGATACCACACGGTTAACATCTGTAGCGCAAATTACCAAGGAGATGCGGGTGAATATAGATAGGAACCGATATTGGGAAGTTCTTGGGTGCTCGTTGTGCCGGAGGCCCTTGTTGTCGTCGTGGTATCTTCGTTCCAGTCGTTGTGGTGGCCACTGCGCCGTACAGCTGAATGGACTTTTGCCATGTTCGGGGATGCGTGGCGAAGAGTCGACTTTCAACGCCGCATTCCGCTCAACAACCCACTGCACACCTCTCATTAGCCCCATGTCCGCCCCGGTGCGTGTTCTGCATAGGCAGGGGGTGGAGGGTTGTTGTGGTACAGCGCATCATCGGCGTGCACCACGATGGTGGGTGTCGGGGGCATCGCACTCATCGGCACCATCGCGGCCGTCGACGAGAACGAGGTTTCGGGTTGCAGGAGAACAAGGTTCTTCCTCCTTCTGCGCCGGATATGTGCCCACACGCCAAGACCTGCAATGATGCCGCACACACACCCAAAGACGACACCGAGGATCAAGTTTGTATTCGAGTGTGTCGCGCTGGCCACAGATGTTGTCTGGTACACGTTGGTCTGGCTGGCGTCGCTCAGTTGAAACTGGATGCGTTCGCCAGAGGGCTGGTTGACAAAGTATGGGGCGATAATTCCCGTCGTGTTGGCCGCAATGCGCTCAATTGTGGGGGGATCGAGGTAAATGACGGCGTTTCTGATGTCAGCGTGGGGAGTAAGAGCCATCGCAACGAACAAGTTGTACGGCGGGACACCGCCGGTCCACTCGATTATGACATTCTGGTGAGCGAGCGGTTGGATGGTTTTGGTGAAAGTGAGAGGCCCGGTGACGCCTATGGCAGTGACGAGGAGGGGCAAGGTGGCCAGGCTGCCAAAGCGTAGCAACATGATGGACGAATGCATAGAGAGACAGGTGAGTGAGAACAACGTCTTCAATGTGTGGTGCACCAAGGCAAGTGGCCTGTGCGCGCTGCTCGCCGACCTGGACGCGCACTTTGCGAAGCGAGGTGCATAAACCCTGCGCCGCGGTGCATGGCGAGCACTCCCTATACCTGTGTAGGGCTGTGCGAGGCGGCGGCGCCAGCAGCAGCGGCCCGGACGGACGCGTCCACTGCGTCCACTGGCCACTGTCATTTGTCCACTCTGCTCGTTGGGACTGGCTTAGGGATGGCACCCCGTTTAGGCGCAGGAAGTAGCAGCAAAAGGTTGCACTGTTTGCCACGGTGCGAGCACTTTGGCCACGATGCGGGACATCCGTGTCAGGCATCGAGTCCAGCGATCCAGCCATGGAGCGTAGTCAACCGAGGCCGAGTTGTTGTCCAAGCAGCTGGTCATCAAGCGACATGGACAGATGGAACAGATCGAATAGAACATGCACTGCGCAGCTGGAAACGCTGCTCTGGCGCTTCGAGATCATCAGATTTATTCCCCGCCCGCCTCCGCCGGCTGCTGGCCGCTTGTCCAAGGTCCCCGCCCTAATAACTCGTCAAAGGAGCTCAAGGTGCACGGCCTGCAGTGAGGACGATGCCTCTGTGGATCTATGGCACGGTGTTGCTGTCTGGCTGGCCCTTTGGTCACCAGGCCCGAGGAAAGGGAAAGAGAGGGGGACGGGCCGCCAGTTCGAAAGCCAGTTGCGGATAACTACGGGTCAACCGAGCCTCCGTCGTCCAGTGATCCAGTGGCTTTCTCCACAGCGCAGTATAGGCATGTAGCGAGGACATGACGTCTAGGACAGAGCACTCGTCAATGAGATGGCCAGCACCACAAGCATACGAGCGTCGGACGCTGGGTGGGGTCAACCCCGTCGACCCGCTGGTCTGCCTGTCGGCCCAGTATTGCGGGGACCCCGCGGAGGACCGGCGACCACCATGATCCGGGGGCCGCCATCAGAGGGCGGGATGACGGCTACAGTACATCATCTCACCTTTTCTCCCCTTTGCACTCCTTCTCATATCCCTTCCCAGTCTGCACACATCCCATGAATCTAGAACCACCACCTGGTAAACATCTTCTCCCGACCCCGCCGACGGTGGATGACGACCTCCCCGATCCAACCTTGACCATGGGCAGCGGAGGGAGCGGCCCATCCGCCCTAGGATACGCCGACGACGATTTCAACTACGGCGGCATGGGCGACGAGGGGGACGCATTCGACAGCTTGGAGGCTGCAAGCACACCCTCGGCAGCAGGTCCCGATCGTGTCCGTGTTCGTGCAGCCACCCGCCGCAATGTATCCCGTGCATGCGAGCAGTGTCGCACACGCAAGTCCAAGTGTTCAGGTGGGCACACACAACAAACACCGAGGGCGGATGGTGGGAATGCTGACCCGCGCTAAGGCGAGTCTCCCGCGTGCTCCTTGTGCGTACGTCTCGGCAAAGACTGTGTGTACTCTACCATCGCGGATGGACGTCTCACGTGAGTACCGGTGCAGTCAACCATTGAAACTGCGATTCTAATGCCCAGCGACCGCACGGCCAAGCGCCGCATCGAGATGCTCCAGGACCGCGTGAATGCCCTCGAGAAGGCGCTTGCGGATGCCCTCGTCGTCAACGCGCGCGCCGGGCAGTCCAAGGAGGCCGCTCTAGATCAAACCACTGGTTCCAGCTCGATTCCCAACGCACCCCTCCCAGCGCCTACCATTCCGCCGCCCGCATCGCGAGAGTACTTTGACGTCGACTCTGACGACCCGGAGTGGCAGCCGTTCGGCACTGGCCGGCTGGTCCTTGCCCCCACTGGCAACCTCCACCTGTACCCGGCGGCAACGTTCTACTCGCCGGCCCACCTTGTTCCGGACTGGCAAAAGGCTCTCGACGCGCTCGTATCCCACCCACCCAACCGCCGTGGCTATCTTGCGCCGTACCTCCCCTTCCCGCTTGACCCGGCGCACCATGCCCGCCTCATCGACCTCTGCTTTGCGCACCTCCTCAGCTTTGGTGTCAACTCCTTCCAGGACAGGTTCATGCAGGAGATGGAGGCGGACCCAATGGCTCGTGAGTTGCCAATCGCTCATCGCACTGCTTACTCTTAGGCGGCATCTACTTTTCGCCAATGTGTCACTTGGCAGTCCTCTCTGTTGGATGGCGTTACATGAAAGACCCGTCCGTGCTGTCCCTCTACTACACGGACGACGCAGTTGCCGAGCGCGGACATGCGTTCGCATACAAGTCACTGCAGATGATGGCCGACGAGGTCGCCGATCCGCGCATTAGCACCATCTGGGGTGTGTTCACCCTCTCACAGTACCACACGGGAATTCTCAAAGAGTAGGTACCCATGTTCTGTGTGTATTCTGACCCACCAGTTCCATTGGCACAACCCTCTACTCTACGGCGCTCACTCTTACGCAAGATCTGCGCCTCCATCGTCAGTGCGACTTTCAACTTGCGGAGATTGGTATGGCCGTGGATGGGGCTCTGGATGTCGCCCGGAGGGATGCGTACGGCAGCATCCTCAACCTCTGTGAGCTTGAAGCACCTCTCGTTAGAGCTCGTCGACTAACGGCATCAGCGGCATGGCACAGTTCTTATTACAGTCAGGTAAGTGTCATCGACGAGGGCCTTCCTCCCGCCTTTGGCGACAAGAGTCTGACTTTCAGGATCCACTACCACTTCGTGAACACGCCGACCAGCGTCTTCCACTCATCCGTACCGACCTTGAAGGCCCCGATCGTGACAACTCTGAAATGTTCCACTACCACGTCGAGATGAGCGACTATGGTCTCCAGGCACTCCACTGCAACCACACCATGCGTGCACCCCTCGCGCACCGCGTCGCTCGCGTAAAGGTCATTGCCGAACGCATGTTTAGTTGGCGTGAACAGCTGCCAGACAACCTTCAGTGGCCGCCACGTATCCGCCCCACGGCAGGCAATACACTGCACCCAAGGTGAGTTTTGCTCCGAAAGTACCAAAGGACTGACCGTCGCCAGCATCGTCACAACCCATGGCATGTACGCGACGTACGTGATCATACTTTTCCGCCCGTACATTCTCGAGCTCGGTGAACGGTCTGGTATCCACGAGATGGCCATCCAGGCTTGTCTCGGTGCGGCGGCCGATATTGTTACCCAGTCTCGGTACTTGAGCGCCACGGTTGGTGTTACGAAAACACCATTCTCATGGCAGCAGTGAGTAGAGAGCACCTGGCACACAACCAATGGGCCTCACCTTTGGGATGAAGCTGACATTGCAGCATACTATATGTCTGTGGCTCCATGCTCGTCCTCCAAGCCAGCGGCCTGCCCTCCGTCTCCGAAGCAGAACGTGCGCGTGCGGTCGTCGACCTGGCATATGTCCAAAAGGCGCTCGATGAGATTTCAGAAGTCTGGCCAGCAGCGAGCCACACTTGCAGCTCGCTGCGCCAGCTCCTCATGGTTACGGAATAGGCTGAACACCTGATAACAGTCAAAGGGAGAATAATGTAAGCAGAGGTCAGAGATGGGCATGGTGTTAGGTTTGCGATGTCAATATTAGGCCCAATGACCGACCAGTGGGGCTGGTTGTTTCGGAACGGTCGCCTCAGCCAACCAGCCCAAGTTCTGATGTTCAATCACATTTGACAGATGGCATCTGCCGATGCTGAGCCGGAGCTGTTGCGCCAGCGTCGTGAAGTGGATGGTGGGCTTCGATGTATCCAGCGTGAGGTGCAGAGCAATGGGGACGAAGTCGACGTGTTGAAAGCAACGATGCGGTGCTGTCAACGCTAGCAAGATGAGGCCTGTGATCCCTATGAGGGACTTTACAACGTCCAAAGGATGAATCAGCCTCTCCATTCATCTGGAAGGAGCACCCCAAAGGCCGTGTTCTGTGCTCGCTGGACCGCCGGCCATGTGTGATCGCGTATGGGGAGGCCGGGCGACGTCTCCACGGCCACGAGGATATCTATAGGCCTGGCCGGCCTGGCGTTGGCGACGCCGCGAGGCCGACGGTCATGCCACGCGGCCGCGGAAATACACTGTTGATCCGTAATTTTGCCGCGGCCTCGCCGGCGGGGGACCTCCACCAGCGGCCAGCCAGCTAATGCCAGTTAGATGTGACGTCACGTGTGGCAAGGCCGCGCCGGCGGCCTTGGTGACAACTGGCCACTGGCCACTGGGGAACAGGACCCAAAATATCGGCATGCAGCAGTCTTGTCTTTACGCGACACCTTGCCGCATAAATACTGGTGAAAGCAGAGCCGGTGGTAGACCCCCACACTCTCTCATATTCATCTTGATTCTCACCCGCTCCAAGCACTCTCAATCACATCCACAATGTCGCAGCCCGGAGACAAGTTTGACAAGAACACCACGGCCCAGCAGGTGGTCGACACCTTTCCGGACGCGGTCAAGGGCCGTATGAGTGAGTCTGCAGACGTGTCCCTGGCTTCTGCGACTGGAACTCACACTCTCAGTCGTGGTCACTGGTGTCAGCCCCGGTGGCCTCGGATTCGAGACTGCTCGCGCTCTGGCCACCAAGGAGCCCAAACTCCTTGTCCTCGCGACCCGTGACCCTGTCAAGCTCCAAAAGGCCCGCGACGACATTCTCAAGGAGTCGCCTCACGCCAAACTCGCTTCCGTTGTCGTCGACTTTGACTCGGTCGCCTCCGTTCGCAAGGCCGCTCCCGAGATTCTCGCCCTCGGAAACCCCGATATCCTCATCAACAACGCTGCTGTCATGATGTGCCCCTACGGTACCACCTCGGACGGATTTGAGAAGCAGTTTGGCGTCAACTACCTCGGCCCATGGCTTCTCACCAACTTGCTCCTTCCCGCCATACTCAAGACCCCCCACCCGCGCATTGTCAATGTCTCCTCAGCCGGACACAGGTACAGCGACATCCGCTTCGACGACCCGGGATTCTCTGAGGGCAAGGCGTACCACAAGAGGGAATCATACGGCCAGTCCAAGACCGCCAACATGCTCCACGCTCTCGAGCTCTCTGAGCGTTATGGCAAGGACGGCCTGGTAGCCATTTCGCTTCACGTGAGTGGAGTCTCCCCCGTCACTGGTCCCGCGTACTGACCATTTCCTCAGCCTGGAGCCATCATGACCAACCTCAGCCGTCACGCCACGGAGGAAGACCTTGCGCTGTACAAGGCCTTCCTCAACCCCGACCTCACCCCCAACATGTCCACTGGCCTGTGGAAGTCCATCCCAGAAGGTGCCGCTACCACCCTCACTGCCGCCCTCGACCCACGCATGGACGATATTAACGGCGGTTACCTCGCCGACTCCCAGCTCGCCAAGCCGGATGACGGCAAGTTGGACTTTATGGATCTCACCAAGATTTCGGACTATGGAAAGGATAAGAAGGGTGCCAAGAAGCTCTGGGCTCTGACCAACTCATTGCTGAAGACCGACTTCTAAGAATGTCTTTGCCCGCACAGCAGGAGGGGTCTCTAAGTCTGTAGACACCTGGTAACATTTAACCCATGTATATGTCTGTATATCCGCTGCTGATTAGCTGTGTACTGGCTGGACTTTTGGACAAGGCCGGGCAGTAGATGAAGGTGCGGGTCTCGCTGCGTCCTTGTGCAATACTGAACGATAGTGGCGCAAATGGAAATTGACCAAAATTCAGACATGATCACATCCACCTTTCTACTTCCACATTCTGTCTTTAAGAGCTGCAGTTTTATGTTCTGAACCATACCTCACTCGTCAACGCTTTCGTCAACCTTGATAGACTTGAACCTGCGTGCCGGCACATGACGGTGGAAGAGAATGTCAATCTCGCGGAAACTTCGGTCCTTGAATTCTGGAAATTCGAAGTAGCAGAGGATCCACAGACAGGTCGCTGTGCCGCACCACACCCATGCACTCTTCCCGACCATATTCCAGCCCGTGGGGTTGAGCATGTACGAGTTGACTATGCGGTGTTGTTAGCTTGTTTCGGGGCATTCGGGAGTGCGCAGCTCACTAATGCTAAGTGGGATGTATGACAAATAGTACGCGTCCCTGGAGAGTCCGACAGTCTTGGCGCGCAGGCGCACTGAAGAGGTTTCGCCAATCGTCGTGTACGTGATGGGACCCATTGTAAATCCCCACTGAAAAGAGATCAAGATGAGGAGCACACCTTGGGCCCAGAGGATGGGAGTTGTCTGTTTGAGGCACGCCAGAGTTCCAATGAGACCGAGGACGACGATGTTGAATGCCAGGCCACCGAGATACATGGATCGACGGCCTGCACGAGTAGAGAGCCACCAGGAGCCGAGGACAGCCACAAACTGGATTCCAGTAGTGCCCAGACCAAGTGCGAAGGCTTGCTTGCTGGGAAGACCAGCGACTGTGAAAAAGTACGTTCCGAGGTTGCTGAGGAGTAGACCGGTGAAGTTGGCAAACGAATGGATAAAGCAGGTAATCCAGGTGCGGCGCAGGTCGGTACCCTTGAAGCAGTCGGCGTAGGTAGTGCCAGCGGTCTCGGCCATTTCGATCGCATTGGTTCGCACCATTGTGGCTACGGTGTCCTTCGGGCTGGCCCGCGAGTGGTTGCCGCCCAGGCGCTCGACAACATCCTCAGCATCCTCCAGGCGTCCGGCGCGAACGAGCCACCATGGTGACTCTGGAGCAAATGAAATCATGGCCATCAGAGGCAGTGGCCAGACCCATTGCAAGGCGAAGGGGATTTTATAAGCCCACTGGGTGATTAGCATTGACGGATACAAACAAATTTTGACAGCGTTGACCCACCTTGTCGTTTCTGCTCTCCAAAGCATAGAGCACTCCCGAGGCAAAAAACTGGCCAATACACCAGCAGACTTGGATCCAGATTGTAAGAATACCACGCAGAGGAAGTGGGGCGACTTCAGAAGCATAAGAGGGCGCAACAACGATCTGAGTAAGGTCACAGTGGCACAGGATCATCACTCACAAAGGCACCCCATGGCAGGCCACACAGGAACTCGCCAACGAGGAGTACGGGGAGGGACTCAGCAAAGAAGGTCGCGAATATCACAAGGTTCATGATGACGAGGGCCCCAAGGGCCGACTTCTTGTATCCCCACTTGGTGGCGACCTCGCCAGTTATGATGACGCCGATGATACACCCTACAATGGGGGCTTGGGTAAGTCCGGTCTGCCATGGCGCGGAGATAACATATCCCGAGGTTTCGCCCCTGCTATCTTAGCACTGGAATTGGAGTTTGGCAGCACTCACACATATGTGCCAAAGCGCTCTCTGAATGCCGGCTGCGCCATCAAGTTGCCCAGGAGTGCATTCTAAGTACGATCAGCATTTGCCAAGGCAGGCGGTGATACCCACGTCATAAGCTTCCATCCTTTGGCGGAGTCAGTTTCTGGACCACCTCTTGCAACTGGCCAAACTCACACAATGCACATGCTCATGGCCAGGGACCAGAAGACGGCCCACTTGTACGTGCGCACGGCCTCCCAGACACCCATAGAGTGTTCGGCAGCCTCGCCGACCATGGCCTCGGCAAGGATATCCTCATTCGTCACCTTCTCACCATCGCCGACATGTTCGACATGCTCGGCGTGGTCTGGCGACAGGTCCTTTTTGTCATCGTTGTAGAGGTCTGGTTGCTGTGTGGTAGACATTGTGTTATGCGCGTGGAATCTTATCCAGCGGTTGGTGTGAACATGTTATATAACAGTTAATTGTACAGTTAGTTGCCGGGTTGCCGTGGGGTCTCCGTATCCCACCAGGGTTCAGACTCGAGTTGTCCTGGCTCCAATACCGTGCTGCAGCTGCCCAGGCCTCCAGCCGTCGATAGAAACAGTCTGTGTATCATGCTTTCGTCGTCAGCCAAGGAAACGGACATGATGGTCGCTCTACTGTTGTCTGACGGCGCCAGTTTCGTCCTATCACGAGGCTTTCCGTTTCCGAATGGGTTGGCGTTGTGAGGGACCCGAGTAGTCCTTGCAGTCAGCTGATCAGCTGACACGGTTTGAGGGAGAGACGAGACCGATGTCTTCGATCAAGCTGACTCAGTAGGAATGTGCCTGCCGAGTGTTATCGGCCGAATCATTCAGCCAAGATTGTCGGCAAGTATTTCTGCCTTGGCATCCGACGTGTACAGTCTGCGGCCGCAGGGGTGCTGGTGATCGTGGGTGCGTTTATCTCATGTGACCGGTTAGAGTCAGGAATTGCCCAGGGAGCGGCCACAGGCGGCCGGTAAATATGGCAATGGGGTGACGGAGATGTTTGCTCCGCTTCTACTTCGCGGACGGACAACGTCAGCTCGTTTCCTCTGTGCTGTCTGTGTCGCTGTAAACGGACAAGGGGAGGCCTTCAGATACCGTGACATACCTGTATATAAGCGGCAATGCACGGTCAACGACGGCGCTCAACGGCATCTACAGTCACAAGCCGGGTCGGTCAGGCGCGGCGGAGGACGGTAGCTGGCGGTAGCTCTGGAATGTTCTTATCGACCGGCACGTCGCTGAAGCCTTGAACAACCTGTCCCAGCCGCGATCTGCCGTAGCCTTGTGCATTGCGTCGGTATTCTACGCTTCGGCACAGACGGGGTTCTGGCTGTGCTGGTGACCGTGCTGCTTCTCATACATTGCAAAGGGTTGAAATCGCCGCCACTCGCAACATATAAAGCGATATTCCGGTGCCGCACGTGCCTCCGTTCTTGTGCGTTACTGCCGCCCCGACAAAAGAGTGGTGGTGGTATACTACTAATCTGACGGCGTGTGACAATTGGCCCCTGTCCATGTTGAAGCGCACGCACTGGGTAGCTCATTCCGTTCCAAACCGCGATGCGCAAGGGTGTAAAGCCCGACAAATGTCCGCGAATGCGAGGGGCGGAGATGGTGTCACCATTAGCCGGCGTGCGGGAAAGGTGGCACCCGGGTAGACATAAACCCCAAGTCTACGATCTACTCTCTGCTTTAGCACATTAGGAACCACATTTATGCCAGTTGACACATCTCTCCCGATTTCCATAATTGGGGGTCACATGTCAGGTCAACAGCAAGTAGCATTGCGTGAAGAGGCCGACCGTTTTATCAGCAGACTCTTTAGCCTGTACACGGCACCCGTCCGGCTTTGGACACAGAACAGCCGGTACCGGCACGTGTGCGCCGGACCAGTAGTTATCTTAACTCGCGGCATCCCACTGTTAGTCCCAAAAAAACATGCGGGATCGACATGTGCTGGTCAGCATCCTGCCAAGCCAACGGGGCCGCGTGATCATGATAGGACCTAACCGACAATCAGCGGGCAACTTGGAAGGAAACACATCAGGCACCCTTGGATGGCTCTTGGCAGTGGCTTCGCATTTCCGCGGCGAACGCGAAGGGTTATGTATGCATATTGCTGTGTTCCCCGCAGCACAAGAGGCTGCCAAGGAAAAGAACGATAAAGGTGCAAGAATTAATGGAAAAGCCACGCCAAGAACGTCTATGAGGCTTATGTAATACACTGCCTGGCTTGAGTGTGGCACCCGGGGCCATGGTGTTAAAAACGACCGTTCTCTCGATGTCAGTCACATTCAACCATCAGAGGTGTTGCAATCCTCGCCGGAGCCATGTGTATGTAACGAGGTATCAATTATGGGGGCATCAATATGCATGGCAGACCGCCCTCTCGACCCACTCTCTTCGACTAACAACTAAACGGCGCGGACATTACAATAGGTCATAGTATAGATATTTTTAAGCGTGCTGGTACGACTGGTACGACTGCTGGTTGAAGGTGGGGTCGTAGCGAGTGCCGCGCATGGCCTCGGGGGGACCACCCGAAAGGTCCATCTCATCGAGGGGGACCATCTTGGTGCGCTTGATGACCTTCCACGCAGCCCAAGCAACGAAGATGACGAGGAGGGTGACATACGAGGCGAAGAAGTCCGAGACCGAGAAGGTAGGGATGAAGCAGGTATAGCCGTTGAAGATGAGGATAATGGTGAAGAAGATGACACAGAACCAAGCCATGTACGGCTGGAAGTAACCCTTGAAAGTGAACTTGTTGCGGTCAACGCCCTGGACGACGCAAGCCCTGCGGAAGCGGGTGTACGAGAAGCAGATGAGGGTCCAGGTGACGAGACCCGCAAGAGCCGAGAGGTTCGAGAGCCAGATGAAGGCCTGGTTGGAGCCGTTCGAGACCGAGAGGAAGGCAAGGAGCGAGAAGGCAGCCGAGACGCAGACGCCGACCCAGGGGACACCGTGCTTGGTAGTCTTCAGGAAGGCCTTGGGAAGCTGGTTGGCACGGGCCATGGCCATCAGGTTACGCGAGTTGGCGTAGGTCTGCTCATTACCCGAGGACAGAGCCGAGGTGATGACAACGGCGTTGACAATGTGGGGGAGGACCTTGACACCCATCTGCGAGCAGAGGACGACGAAGGGCGAGGCACCGGCGGTACCAGCGTCCTCGGCGACAGCACGGAGGAGGTCGGGGCTGTACTGCGAAACAGTGAGGCCGATCAGGAGGGTGGCAAGCACGTAAATGCCGACAATACGGTAGAAGACAGTGCGGATGGCAGTACGGAGCGACTTGCGGGGGTTGTGGGCCTCACCGGCCATGAGTCCAATACCCTCAATGGCCGAGTACGAGAAGGCAGCCTGGGTGAAGACGGACCAGAAGCCACAGAAGCGGGCGAGGGCCACAGGTTGAATGTTGAGGTAGGTGTCGTTGAAGGGCTCGGTCCTCCAGTACTTGCCGCCAATGTACTCGTGCTTGGGGGGGATACCACCAAGGTTGGCAACAAGAGCAAAGATCATCAGACCAACGAGGGTCACGACCTTGAGAATGGCGAAGGCGAACTCCATCTCGCCAAACCACTTGACACCGCAAATGTTGATGGCCTGTGAAATCATGTCAGGACCAGTTATCTCCAAACAGAGCAGCCAAACGTACAACAGTGAGGACAATGAAAAGGGCAATGTAGGCGGGGGCGTGGGCGGTGTTGTGGTCCCAGTAGGTGAAGAGAACGGCAATAGCGGAGATCTCCGAAGGGATACCGAAACCGGTTGAGAGGGTGTAGTTGATACCAGACATGAAGCCGAGGGCGGGGTCGGCATACTTGGTGGCCATCTCAGTAAAACCACCAACGTTAGGGGCGTAACAAGACCTGTGCGGTGTCAGGGTGGAGCGCAGAAGACGGTTTCCGGCGTGTGGAGCCGCAAAAAAGGGCTCCATCAGAGTGCAAGTGGCATCCCAGGATCCCATCCACGAACCGCTTTTTGTTGCAATTTACTCACATTTCACCAAGGGTGGTCATCATCATACCGACAGCCATACCCATGATAGAGTAACCGAGCCACAGACCGACGGGGCCACCGCGGACGAGCGAGTTACCGGAGCCAACGAAGAGACCTGTACCAATGGTGCCGGCAATGGCAATCATGGAAAGGACACGAGGGGGCTACATGTCGTTAGCGTCATTAATGTGATTCCAGTTGGCCCCAGCTGGCTGGGAGGGGCACTCACAAGGTCACGCTTGATGCCGTGGTCACCGAGGTGGGTTGTGGCAAGGTCATCCTCGAGAGGCTCCGTGACCGTCACCACACCGTGGTTGGCCTCCTTCTCCTCGGCGTAGTAGCCATCATGCGGAGGTGTGGTCTTCTCATGCTCGTACGACATGATGTGTTGAGTCTGTAGAGTGGTTGATGATTCTGCGAGTTGGGGGGGGCGGACGGGAAAACACTCTTCACATGTGGGCAGGCAGTGCTGTTTAATAGCGGGGCGGTTGGACAGGCCGCCACATGACCGTTAGCCGCGTGCCGTCTTCCCGTATCATCTCGTCTGCAAGGCAACCACCAATCCCTTGCACTGTTGGCCTGTTGGGCCCGATTCGTGCCTTGACCTCGGTTGAGCATGGCCCTGTGCCCCCCCCCTCCCCCCCGCGTTGGGCTGCAGATTGCCTTTGCCTAATGTACGTACATCGTATCTGTGCCCCATGCTCTTGGCGCCTGTCCGTAAGCGTTGCCCTCCCGTTTATTCACGGCGCAGTCCGGAGCTAGGGAAATCCTTGGCCCGCTCAAGATAGACGGGGCTCGCGTGCCAAGCGCGGCATGGATGGGTACCAGGGCAGAGCCCCCATTGGGGTCTGGGCCGCCGCTGCGACGCGGGCAAGTGGGCAGCATGGGGCACTCTGCAACCTTCTGCCGGGCTGCCCAGTGCGCGCTGTTCAGGCGGGGTTGCTATTGGACATGTGTGCGCGTACTATCTAACACCCTCGCTGTACCCCGCATAGGCATTTTCCCTTGAGAGCATTGACCCACCCTCAAGTGATCTCATTCACCAGGCGCGCCACGGCGTCACACAGGCAAATTCTAAACCCGGATCTCCCCCAGACCCGTTGCAGTTCCGCTCGGCATTCGCTTCGGTACAAAACGTTATTGCAACTCAGGTGATCTGCTGCACTGCTGCGCATGGATCGCCTACCTGCGACCCGAGTATAAAGGGGTTGTCCATACGGAGCTCCGCGTCTCTGTTGGCCCATCGTTGCTGTTGCCCACCCTGCCCAACATCCTCGGCCCCTATCGCCTGCGATGGCCGACAAACGCGTTTACTGCGTGTTCGAGACCCGCATTATGGCAAGACAAATGTACTGTACTACGACATTGCAGATGGCTCGTAGTGATCACTAGAGAGTGCCAGGACCAAAGCGGCCACGCCAGCGTTGACGGGCCCCGGGTTTGCGGACTGGACCAGAAGTGTACCGCGTGGACCCACATGATTCCCCCGCCCTCCCGCCTCGACGTGGGCGGCACCATATCATCATATTGTCCTCCGCCGTCCTCGGTCCTGTCAGTGTCCCTGACCCCGCACGAACCCATTTATCTTTCACGATTACCCATGATAACCTGTTGTTCCGACTCTGCCAATAGCATGCCCAACACCATTTCTACAGCACCGATAGTCGCTTACCTTATCATGTCTTACTTATCGGTCAAACATTTCATCAAACAAGCGTACGCTCAGATATCAGAGACATTTCCCGTTCCACCAACGGAACGGCTATTGTGTGATCTGGGACGGAAATGTCGTCGTATGTGCGTGCACACATGGGGTCGACGAAGCATCGAGATTGCCCGGCACGGGCACGACACGACACCGGCACGGCAGTGGCCGACCAGATTCGAAATCCCAGAGGGGTGTATGCACTCGCACCGTGATCCTGTGATGTCATGCCACAGGAAGGGATCTGGGAGCATGTGACCATGTACTGGAACCACAGCCCATGGCGGCACGGCGAGTGCATGTGCAGGCCGCTCGACGCTCCTCACGCCCGAGCCCACTCACATACGGCAGGCGCCGCCCCGTCAGCCCCCCCCAAACCGACAAGCGGCCAGTGGCCACACCAATATGGGTGGTGGGTGGCCATCGCGGCCATCGCCCGTGGCGTTTACTGTGTCTTTTGGTCGGAAGGGCCGTTTGAAACCACTTGCGGCATGTGCCCACCTCTCGGCGGCACCAGGCGCTCACCGCCCCATACACCGTGTTATGCGCCACACCGTCGAGGAAGGCTCATGCCACCGCTTATCATCACATGCACACGGGCAAGGCTCCACGCCGCCACAGCCACAGGCGTTGTGGCCAAAGAGCTGTGCCCACACGGTCAGGCGAGGCTCCCCTCGCTCCGCTCGTGAACCATCCCAAGATGGCCAGCACATGGTACCAAGATGAGCACATCGTGGCCCGACGTGGCTCGACGTGGCTCCGACGTGAGAAAACAAAAAGTGGGCAACTGGCGTCAGCCGAGGTACCCACAGCCACCGACGATCAATGGACTGGGGGTGTGCTGCTCTGACCGACAGACGCTTCTTCGTTCATTAAAAGCGACGTTTTGGATGCCGCGGAAACCCGCGGTGTGGAGCTTGCCGCCCATCTGTTCGGGTTCTTGGACAGGGGGAACACACGCTTTTGTGTGAGGGAGTACGCAAATGCCAATTGTTTGATGTCATCGTATGGTTATTCGATTGAAGTGTTTGATAAACGAGCGTAATGACATGTGTTTTATTTACAATTGGTGATAAGCGACCACCTGGCTGCGGCAATGACCGGCTAATGGCGCCGCGCGGAACGTCGCCCTCAGCAGCGGATATCAGCGGTACCGTGGCATGCCCTCTCGTTTGTTCGCTCGCTTGCAGAGACGGGTGTGCACACGGCCTGCCTGTTATTCATACTAATCTTTCCGTGGTCCAAAAATAAACCGCAACACATCGTCAATCCCGTTTACAACAATAAAGGTGCATGGGGAGCGTCCGTCGTTGATCGTTCCTGTGGCGGCTTGCTTGTGATTCCAGTGGGCCACTGGCCACTGGCCGTTGCAGTGGCCCCATCAATCGGCCAAACAGTTATTCCTATCACCTATTGTGGCCGCCGGAAACCCACGGCAGACTGCTGCACTTGAGCGCTCCGCTCCGATGAAAGCTCGTGGACCTCGTGGGTCTCGTCCAACTTTTGCCCGGCCAATCTAATCAGAACAATACCACCATGATTTGCATTCCTCAACTATCAATTAGGCGGTCGGGTGCATGACCTCTGCACTCTCCTCGACCGACGTCTTGGTCTTTGCAAAGTGACGCGGGGACACGCCACGTTCAAAGAGCTCGTCCAAGGCGGCATAACTGCGTCCTTTGGTCTCGGGGAACCACAGGTAAGTCGGAATCCAGTACAGAACGGAGAGACCTGCGAAGAAGAAGCCAATCTTTGTCCCCCACCCGGCGTACTGGGGCGACAGCATCAGGGGCACAGTGTAGTTGAAGAGCACACCGGTGCAGGACTGGATGACGGTCGCCATGGCGGCCGTCTTGGCGCGCAGGACGGGTGACGAAATCTCGACCAGAGCCATCCAACCAATCGGGCCAAGTGAGAACGAGTAGAACAACACCCAAACAGAGCACAGGGTGATGAGGGCAATGGCGAGGCGGTCGTTGATATCTTGAGTGCCGAGAACACCGATGATGAGGCAACAGACGATGCACACGCCCGAGCCCACGAGGACCAAGGTACGTCGTCCGACACGCTCGACGAGGTACAGGAAGGATATTCCAATGCTAGCTATGGTCAGCAACCCACACTCTTAAACATCATGAACGATCATCCACTCACCCGAAGATGCCAATGATGCTAATAATCAAGCTTCCCAGGAAAGCGTCCTGAAGTCCGGCAGTTTGGAAGAAGTAGGTGGTGTTGCCGTACACAAGGGGCACTCCAACAAAGTTCTGGAAAGTAAACGGAATCGTGCTGATGAGAGCGCGTTTGAGGTTGGAACCCTTGAACAACGCCTTCCATCCATTGTCCGTCTTGGCAGCAAGGAGTGCCTTGGACTGGTCCATCTCAGCCTTGATGCAGCTGTACTCGTAGTCGACGTCATAGCCATCGACTTTGCCAACAAGACGGCGGAGCGACTTCTTTGCCTTGTCGTCCTTGCCCTTGTCGGCTAGCCAGGCTGGCAAAGTCAGCGTTTCATTAGGGGTGTCTCTCGAATTACTCACCAGGCGATTCGGGAAGGAAAAAGAGAGGGGGCAGCCAAATCGCCAGCAAAACAAATTCGCTGTAGAAGATCCTCTTGTACTCGAGGGGAGCGGTGGTCGCCAGCACCTGGAGTCCAATAGCCGAGAACAAGCCGCCAAGGGACCACGAGAACGAGAACGAAGCCAGCAAGGTACCACGCATCTGTGGCATGGCTGAGAGGATTAGCCGCTGTCAATGTGTTTACAGTACTCACTGATCTCTGACATGTACGCCATCACCGTTGTACCCAGGAAACCGCAACAGAGTCCACTAAAGACCTAGTTTTGACGTCAGCAAAGTGCCGATGTGCCGTTTCACAGTTGATCGATTCACCTTGGCGACAAGATACACTTTCCAGTCTTTTGCGACGATCTCAAGAATAATCGCAATCACCATGGCCATTGTGAAGCAGTACATGTTGAAGCGACGGCCGTAGCGGTCGCCACTGATTGGGGAGAGGATCTGTGTCGTTATCTGCGCCACATAGCTGAATCCAGCCCATAGCGAAATGTGCGAAGCATTGAGCTCAAGCGCACCAGTTTGCGCGTTGTGTACTGTGCCAAACTGGTTGATAAAACCTGAACGGGTGTGAGTTGAACCCCTCTGTAAACGGTTCTCCGAGGCGCACTACGTACCTTGGTTGGCCACGACGTTGCCTGGGGTGCTGACAGTGTACCCAATGTACATGGCAGCGAGCGAAACACTCAGACCGCACAGATACAGTCTCCAGAACTTTCGAATGAGCTGACTGGTGGGCATGGCCGCGAACTTGGACAAGGGTATGTCGGCAAAGCCGTCATCCGCCGCCCGGTCAGCCTTGTCGATGTGTTCAGTGGTCTCCTTGGAGAGCTCGAGGCCCGCGAGTGCTTGCGTGGTTGTGGAAGTCATGGTGTCCATGGAGAGAAATGTTGGGGACTCCAAGGCCCCGCAACTTATATCCTCGTGTCGATCAGTGCCCACAATACATGGCCCCACGCGCCACCTGCGACGGAGGTCGGCTATCGGAGCTTTTACGGTTGATATTGGGGGCGACGACTGCGGTAGCGGAAAAGAACATCACCTGACATTGGGACTTGCGGTAGATTGGGGCTTCTGCCGTCGTCGGCATTCACACTTTCATGCTGGCGTACAACAAAGCGTCGTTCTGCCAGATGAATGCAGATCGGACTCTTCTGGGGCCTGGGGGAGGGCCGGAGCGGAGAGATTGGGCGGATTTCAGCCGCCCCCGGGCCTCAAAATATAAAATAGCCGTGTGCGGGGTCGGATAGAACACCACACAATGCTTTGCGAGTTGTGGAACGGTAAAACTTGCATTGCTTGCACATGGAGCAACGGTAAAAATGGCATCAAAATCCAGCCGCGCGGTAAAACTAGCCACAACTGCACGCACTAGAAGGAGCGGCAAAACATTTAATCATCGCCGCCGCAAGATCAGCCGAAGCCCACCAATGCTGCCGGTTCTCAAACCGAGTTGCCGTTCCGATGGCTCGGTCTGCCTGTCACATCACTTCGGTCTTCAATTCCAGCGAGAAATGTCCGCCCATGGAGTGCCTTTAAAGCACTCGGCAGGCATTCAAGACCGTCAACACACACACCCTCGAGCACCATCATGGCAACTGGATACCGCAATCCCATCATCCCGGGCTTCAACCCCGACCCGACCATTATTTGTGTCGGGGACGACTACTTTCTCGCAACCTCGACCTTTGAGTACTTTCCTGGCGTACCCATCTACCACAGCAAGGACCTCACCAGCTGGGAGCTCATCGGACATGCCCTCAACCGCCCTACGCAACTCACCATGCGTTCCCCCGAGGCCGGTGGAGGCATCTACGCTCCTACGCTCCGCCATCACAACGGTCGGTTCTACATGATCACCACGTGCAACCACCGCATGTCGCAGCGCGCTCCACACGAGACCAGGCCCGGAGTCCGTGGCTTCTTTGTCTGGACGGACGACATTTTCGACGAGACCAAGTGGAGCGAGCCCGTGTTCATGGACCTCCTTGGCATTGACCAGGACGTGAGTTGGCATAAAACTTGGACCCCAGGCTCACATTAGCTCTTCTTTGACGACGATGGACAGGTCTACCAGGCATGGGCTGCCCACCGTCCCAACGTCCCACTCTTCCCCTCCCCAGGCGTATTCAATCTCTCAGTCTACGGTGCCAAGATCGATATCGCGACGGGCGACACGCTCTCGGAACCGGTCCTCCTTCGCTTCAACCCGGCCACCGGGAACCAAGTGAGCGAGGGGCCACACATCTTCAAGCGCGGCAACTACTACTACCTCATCACCGCCGACGGTGGCACCGAGGTAGAGCATCAGGAGTGGGTGCAGCGTTCCGATGTGTCGCCGCTGGGACCGTGGGAGGTCGGCCCGAAGGGTGTCAACCCCATGGTCTTCAACGACGACGACCCCTACGTCCAGCAAACCGGTCACATGGACATGGTTGAGGGCCACGACGGGCGCTGGTGGGCCGTCTTCCTCGCCGTGCGCAACCACAACGGCAACCTCAGCCAGCTCGGCCGCGAGACTTTCCTGGCACCTGTCGAGTGGGTCAACGACTGGCCGATCGTCAACGGCGGCAAGCGCATCACTGTCGACGGCGATCCCAGTGTTGGATTGGCCAGGATCTCGCCGGCTCAGTCATGGAGCTACGACTTTACGGCAGACACAAGTACGTAACACCTACGTGAGCTCTGCTGACACACGCCAGACCTCACCAAGGAAGGGTTTTACAACCTGCGCACCCCTCAGAAGGCATTCCACTCTCTCGTTTCGCACCCGGGATCGCTCGCGATCCGCGGTGGACCCTTCCGTCTGGAGCAGGACGAGTCGGTCACGATGCTGCTCAAGAAGCAGACCGCCTTCACTGGCGAGTGGACGGCGGATGTCGCGTTCCAGCCGTTGGCTGAGAGTGAGGAAGCCGGCGTCACGGTATGGTGGTCAAAGTGGTGCTATGCGAGCTTCACCCTCCGTGGAAAGGCACCAGTGGATGGTAGCCCGGTTCCCACAGAGCTTGTCTTCCGCAGGCCCGACGATGGAGATGGCTTTACCGTAGGTCTTTGTGTTCTGTTGAGTGGCCAGCTTACTAACCCGCACAGGAGACCGTGTTCCCTTCGTCTGGTCCGGCCGTGTCAGTCCGAGTGGTCGCGGCGAGGGATGGCTACACCTTTTACGCAACCCAGGAGGGCGGCAAGGAAATCCAGGTCGGTACCATCGAGGCCACTGCCCTCGTGCGGACCCGTCCATGGGACTCGCCCTTCACTGGCACCTTTTTGGGCCTCTTCGCACAGGGCAAGCATGGTCATGGCTGCCGGTCGCCAGCCGTGTTCTCAAAGTTCACTTGGAACAGTAACGGCGACGAGTAGAGGATGTGTTTAAATGCATGAAATGGAAGCGAAAGTGCAGTCTGTTCGAAGCGCGATGTGGCATGGCGACTGTGCAGCTCACCTCGTGGGCATTTAAGTGTCGCGGAAAGATTCAACAAACGGAGGGGAAGGGCTTCGGCGAATATCTGGCTCTTAATCTCCTAACATACCCATTCTTCACCGTTGTCCGACTTGAGGTATACTTGTGTGTGCTCGTCCTAGCTTGCGTGCTCTTGGGGAGAGGTTTAGGTGTCGCGTGGAAGAAGTAGGGGATGCCTCGGTGCTGGAGGTGCGACATTAGTGTGAGTTGCCCGTAACATCAAACGTAGGCGTGAGCTTGTCGCCGTCCACAAGGTACGTGTTGTGGGGGACACCGGGGTAGACCACAACAGTGCAGATGTTTGGGCATGAGCGCACCGTTCATCTGTTCAACAAACGCAGGGTCCAGGGGAAAGGCAGGGAAGTGGGTGGAGTGACGGCTGAGCTCTTCGGCGGCGAGGCGCTCGACATGTCCACGGTAAAGTCGTCGTCTTGGGTCTCGACGCCCATGCAGTGTCGGCTGCCAGGCCCATAAATCTGGCCGAGAAAGGGTGTACGACGCTCTGCACGAAGGCTTTGTGCCGAGGTGCGTTGTGCTCTTGATGGTCGAGCTGATATATCTGACCTTGCGTGCGTCGACTTGCATTAGCAAGCCGATGAGCTCGCGCACAGCTTTTCAAACATTTGGGCCGCCGGGCAGGAGGACCTCTTGAATCGCACGTTAGCCAAGTCCTCGAAGAAGCGATGGCCCAGGTAAATGGTTCCAACGCGGATACTTGCCCGCCCTGTGCGGTCCAGTACGACCTGGATCAAGTCCAGGAAGCTGCCCAGGCCTTGGATCGAGTGGATCGTGATGACGCGTGCACTGAGCGCGTTACCCCAGGCGCCAAGGCATGCAGAGGACGGGTATGGCGTTGCGACGGTGCCGTCGTCGAACTCGTGGTAGGCGTGATGGTTATTGAAGATGGTAATGCAACGCTAGGCGAGCTGCGGGCGGGCGCGTGGACGTGATGATACTCATGGCTCTCGCGAAACTTCATCGTGAAGGTGCTGGGGCAAGGGCTTGGGTTCGGGTTTGGTCTCGACCGACTCTGTCTGGCGACGGTAGCCGGCCGTTGAACGTTTGGGACCGGTTGCCGGCGGCATCGTATATCATGTCAGGTCCACGAGTGAGGGGCCAGGGGCCCCAGATGTTTCACATGTTTCACCGCGAGTGCGAGTGTGGGGTGTGTTTGTTGGGTGCGTGAACGTTGGATTGTATGAGAGAAGATATGAGAAATGGAGACTAGTGAAAGAGAGAAGAAAGGGGAGACGGTCAACACAAAACACACCCGCTGTTGCCACTGTTATGTGGGGGGCGGGGGGGGGGGGGGGGGGGGGGGGGGGACTGATATGCAGGGGTTACCACACACACGCACACTGCCACAGGCCACAGGTGGGGCAGCTGGACGACGGTCGCGTGTGAATGGCGCCGGGGCGTCACAGCGTCAGAGGGCCCTCCCAAACTGGGTGGTACGTGGGGTGGCCAACAGCGCACGTCTTATCTCTCTCTCTTCTCTTCATCAACCGCACCTCCACCATGTCCTCCTCAACCGCCTCCTCTTCCCCTGGCCCTACCGCCGCATCCATCACCACCGCCGGCCACACTGGCACCACCACGGCCGCGGACTCGGACGCCTACTGGGACTGGTCCGAGGACGAGGACGAGGACGAGGCGGAGCAGGAGCGCGAGCGCCCCGAGCCCGCGTGTGAGTCCCACCAGGGCAGTGACTCCCACCCTGCCACGAAGAGCAAGGTATGTCGCAGCACACCGCGTCCACCATCCGACCCCCATCGATACACTCTCTCCGCAGAAGCCCACACCGAGCTGACACTATGGATCACCATCTCGCCGCTCGTACACCCTTGTTTCCGGGTACGCTCGGTCCATCCATTCTCCTCTGCCCAACGCCCACCCATAATCGATCCCCCCTCCCAAACAACAACAAACGACGCCACACACATTGACCACACCCACATCGATGACCACGCCCAATGTCTTCAGTGCCGCGCCGCCAAGGACATCGGCAACAAGGACAAGGCTGTCAAGACGAGGAAGACCTTGACGTCGCACAGCACCCTACCGGGAGGCAGGGCCTGCAGCAAGCCCAAGGTGCGTGTTCACACCGTCGTTCTCTGCTCACCACCAGGCGTCCCAGAAGAAGGGTGGCAACAGGCGCGCCAGCAGCGCCAAGGTCGACACTTTGATCCGCCGTAGGTGCCATATCGATTTCCACATGCTGACCCTCTCAGCGGAGTGGGAGGCCAAGTGGGCCAAGATCGCCGAAGAGGACGCAAAGGCCGCCGCCGACGCTGCCGCCGCAGTCGAGGCGGAACGCGCGGCCCTGCGCAAGCGCATCCTCGACTCCAAGCGACGTAACGTATCCTCCTAGTTGATCACAAGGACTGCTACCTGATGTCTGACGCTCTAGGCACCCCTAGCCCCGGCCCCCAGATCTCCAGCAGTGACTGGCAGAGCAAAGCCCGCAACAAGCCGATTTACCACGACTTCGGTTGGTAGATGGTGTAGATAGTAGTCTGAGATAACGCCGGCGTGCATGTACATGTTACATAGGTATTCCGACCCTGTCCATACTTCTGGCAGCCATTGTCCACTCTCATCTACGAGTTGCCCCCTAACTAGACCGTCCCGCAGCCACCGCGTGGTGCGGACCTTGGCAACGATAATGCAGGAGGTGTCTGGCATCCCTGGTTGACGAGGCTGCCTTGCACAACGGGTGCGGACCCATGATCATCGTGAACGGTGGTACACAAGTGGCCAAAACAGCACATCTTCCAGATACACAGCCATTCATCCGCGCCACGCAGCAGCCTCGTCGACAGCCAGGCAGCTGTTGTCATATAGCCATCATCGGCATACCCCCACATTCCGATCGTTCAAAGCAGCTTATTGCATAATGTGACGTTCTACTTGACCACTTCTACTCTTCGGGCAGAACAACCATACGGAAGCGAGGGACGTGGGCGAGATCCTTGTCAAACGATGCGCGGTAACGGGAGTAGCTCGTGGAGGCGATGAAGTATGTGTCGACCTCACGACCCGGGTTCTCCTTTTCGAACGTGTCGATGGCATGCACCATGACGGAGCGCTTCAATGACATGTACCTTCCGATGGTAAACAGGCCCAGGCCAGGAGGGAAGATGCCGCTGAAATGCTTGTCATAAAACTCCCTGGCTTTCCTGGTCGTGTCTATGGTGGTGAGCTTCCATCGTTTGTCCAACTGGCTCACCTGGGTTGCTGGATGCCAAAATGGGCATAGTCGTCTGGGCATCCGACAGCTCCACCACCTTGGCCACGACCTTGAGAGCGGCGGCCATGGAAATGCCAGCATGCTTCCTGAGAGGGCATCCGGGGTCGGCCGTGTTGCTGTTCAGGCCCAGAATGTCGCCCTCTGGCTCGTCGTCCGAGTCCATGCTGCTGGCAAAGTCACGCGCGGCGCTCTCGAGCTCGACGACAGACGTGATGGCGGCACCAGTCATGAGAATGGTGAGGGTGTTGGCAGCGTACACGCCGCCCATCGGCACCGGTAACGTCGGAAGGAATTTGGGCGCCGGGTCGTCAAACCACATGACCGCGTATATCTGGCCTGGGAATTCAACGTGGCCTGTTGGTCAGCCTTGCCTTGTGGGATGAAACTCACGGGCAACGGCGCCGCGCTTGCCAGCCGGCGTTGACTTTCGGGTGTAGTATGTCGCGGTGCGCGGGCTTAGTCCCAATGAAAACGACATTCCGAACAGACAACATGTCTGGGCGTCAGTGTTCTGAACTGGAATGAACTGGACTCACTCCGAACGGGTTGACCAGATAGAGACCAGGCCACTTGATAGTGGAAGCCAGCGGGATGTGACCAACCTTGAAGGCCTCGAATAGGATGGGGGACGTTCTCGATTCTGGATTCTCAGAATGCGCAATGTCGAGAAGAATCTGCGACAACTGGCCGTGGGTCGACAGCATCCATGCAATCTGCGCCTGGAGGAGCTCGATGTCTCCGTGTGTTTCGAACAAACACGGCGCAAGGGATGTGTGGCGGTCGCGGTCGACCAGTTGAGCCTTGCCGTCGACCGAGCTGATGTTGTCAGTGGACTGTTCGTGAGACTTTCAGCTCACGTGAAGAGACCTTGCGTGTCATTGTTGAGGATACAGTGGTGGACAAAGGGAAGGAGGAGCTTGGCCTGTGTGTCAGTTGCTGCCCGACTGTGAAGATTTACCTCTTTCATGAGGTCCGAAAACGTTTCACTCGTGCCCGACACGTCCAGGTCGATAAGAGCGACCAAGAACGCTTGAAGCTGCCCATCGAAGCGATCCATCAATTCGCGCTCCTTGTCGGTCGGAGACCGGTGACTGGTATTAATACCCTCACCGGCAGCCGGAGTCTCCTCCTCCTCGTCGACGTCTGTTGCCTCGTCCTCATCACCAGAAGGATTGTCGTCTGGTTGGATTCCAGCACCCGTGTCCTCGTCCTCGCTCTCGTCGTCGTCGTCGAAGTTGGCGGATGTTTCGTGAAGATGAACGCGGTAAGGCTGAACGATATCCGTGCGCTCTAGGTTACGAAGGTATTCCTGATGATCGTTGGTAGCAGGGACCGACTGGCAAAGCTCCTCCATCGGCCTCTCGTCAAGAGACGGCTGCTGGCTTGGAAGAGTGGTAGTGAAAGAGATCGTGCCTGCCCGCAGACGCCGGTGAAGCTGTCATTTGTCAGTTGTTGTGCTGGCAAGATATACCACTAACGCGAGGCCCAATGATAAATTCAAGCGTCTTGGACAGGCGCTCTTCTGCCCACAGATCCTCTTCGCTCGCGTGCCGGCCGGGGACGGTAAGCAGCTGGCCGAAAACCTTGTTGATGTCATCGAAGTCGTTAAAAGTGAGATGAAACGGCGCCAGCATGTCGTCTTCGTCCTTGAGGAGACGGAATATCTCAGGATCAAGCGACAGGAGATCGTGCGCAGCGCGCGCCACCTAGATAGAACATGTCAGCGGACAAGTAACAGGAGACAGGCAAAATACTTACATCACTTCGTTCCAGTTGGTGGAAGGGTAAGATCACCGACACATCCTCAAAACCGCAGGCCCGCCACCACCGCGGGGAATGAATCTTCAGAGCGACGACCGCTAAAGCAGTGTCGCGGATAGACCACTCCTGGGGATTCCAGTTGACGATGCCGGGTTCCACCCCCATTGCGCGGAGGGTAGCCAACACTTGCTGGGCCATGTGGTCCGATACCAGCGGGCTTTCGTGGCTCAATCCCCTCTCCACGAGCAGCTTGGTCACGACGGCCCTGTCGCCAGCCGTCATGATTACGCGGCCAGTGTAGCCGATTTGGTTGTTGCGGCCGGCCCGGGCCACGAAGGTGCGGATCTTGACAGCAAGAGTGGCCCGCTCATTCGCCGACCCTCCGGGGAGCATGTTCTTGGCTGTAGTGTTGTCAGAATGGCATGTGCACTATTTGACACTTACCGAGCTGATTGGTCACCTGCGGCAGATTTGGCAACGAGAGGAGTTGTCCCAGCATCACGGTAGGCTTCCTGGCTCCCGGCGGCTTGTCGGTATAGTTGCACCAGGCCTTGTACAGCCACGTGCGAAACTCGCCGGGCGGTACATGGGTGGGCCCGCATGCACGGCCAAGTATCTCCTGGAGGTTGTCTTTGACAAAGGTTCTCGTCCCAGTGGCAGCTGGACGCATGTCGAACAGGCCGAGGTTCAAGGCTGGGTTATGAGAAAGCTATCCCAACAGGTGTTACTCACAGACGGCAACGAGGTGCACCTGCCCCGGCCCAGCCATTTTGATGCCTTGCAGAGTGTTGTAAAGATGGACGACATGTTCTTGCTTGCTCCAATTAGGATGGAGAAATACCTGAAGCCAAGGTCAGCATAGAGGAGAGGCCTCGTTCACCAACCTCGCAAAACGAGTCGATTGTCGCTAGGGCGATTTCCCCTGCGCCTTGGTGAAGCGTTCATGCTCCCCAACTGCGGGAACCCCGTCTGTTTCTGGTCAGCACCTGCACGCAATGGAGGGGGAGCACTCACCCTCCACAATCTTCTGGACGCTGGATGGAATGTTAGCGGAGAGGAAAGGCAATGCAAATAACTGGGGTTCGCTCACCTCGCCGGCACTCGCGGCCATGACGTAGCCAGGTCCTGCGGAATGTAATAACGGAGGTTGCCTCCGCGGTTGGTAACGTTCGGCCCAATTCCCCTATAGGGAGGGTGATTACGAAACGCCGCGTTGCGGTACACTGCGGCGAGCGGGTGTTAGACGTCTCATACATAACACAAAACACAGATGTATGACTCACGGGCGAGCACGCGCACTGCTCTGGCGCACAGGCTGTGCTCTCCGACAGTGTACGACTGCATGGTGGCAACGATGAGGCGTGGGTCTTTCACACCGAGGCGGCTGAAACACTCTGTGACGTAGCTTGTCAGGTCCTGATAGGTGACCGAGTCCTCTGGCACTGATGGGTCCCAGTACTCGGTTGAACGCTGGTGGATGCCGCCTTTGCAATGGCCGCGACCCGTGTAGAACTGCTCACTGTGTGGTCGTTAGGGGCTGCGAAAAGGCTACATAGAATCGCTATCGATGCCTTTGACGCACTCGTTTGTAAAGCCATTGAACACATTCAACGGGCCAGCACTGTCGCTGGACATTGTGAGTGAGGTGCGGCGCTTTGGAGTGTGAATATTGGTTTGTAGAAAGATGGGCAAGACTTCAAGGATGGACAGACTAGATTGATACTTGAAGCGGTGAGCGGTGGGTGGCGAGGTGGGACACGGGCTGTGCAGTCCAGCGCACGCCAGCGCCCCCCTGTGTGTGTGAACGTGAAGCGAGCTGAGTGTGTGCCCAGTGGCCAGTGTACCAGTGTGCGCCCAACGAGCCATAGATCCATGTCTCCATCAACTCCCTCACTGTACACTGTCCCTGTGATCCTGTGATGACGTGAAACAGTGGCCGTGTGTGTTGCAGCATCACACACCACAAGGCATTGTTGTGATGTTGTCCACGGGCGGCGGCGTGATGAGTGAGAAACCGCTGGCGCACACTTCTCCTGTATCAGTGATCAGTGATCAGTGAGCAGTGACATCAAACTTGGATTAGCACTTTGAAAACTCTGTGTACTCTGTGTACACTGCAATCCCCTACAACTGGTCTGCTCCATCACCATCACGTACAGGCGTCAGGGCGCTCCAGTAGAACGTGTGGAAGGAAGGCGCACGCGGGCACCCGTGTGGATGCGGCCTCTTCGCCATTGTTTCTGTAGGTGCGCACGGTGTCGTGTATGTGATTCTCTGTGATCTGTGACAATGCTGTGTGTGTTTCCCAGGGGTGCGGCAGAGTGGGATATGTTGCAACAAGATGCAAGCATTCACACGCCACAACGTCAGCAACGATGGCGAGCGACAAGGCTCGCGAGGTCTATACGGCCGGTCAGGCCCCCAAGTGAGTTGACAACGAGGGGACACAGTGTCTGACCGTGACCAGGCAGCACACCACCACTACGGACACCTTAAACAAACCCACCAAGCACGATGTCGAGGAGGTGTCCAAAGTTGCCGTCCCCTCCGAGCCCGAACCGTGGCCCACGAATCACCGCACGTTCAACCCTTTCCCCACTCTCGCCTTCAAGTACAACGAGGTTGGTCGCCCCCTCGACTTGAGCAAGATCAAGTCGTCTCTGCCTGACCACCCTTCGCAACCCCGGCAGTTCCCCTGCGGCCAAGGGGTCGCCCTTCCGATTCCCAGGCCTGGTATCTCGCTCCTCGACGAGTGGAACGCCGCGGTGGCCGCCAGAAATGCCGAGGTATCTGGCACGAGTGCCGAGGTCTCTACCAGCCACAAGACGCCTGAGACCGGTCCCAGTGCCGACGCTGACGGTTTGGGCGACCGTGTCACTGGCAATGACAACTTCCAGAACATGGATGCTGAGCAGGGGGACGAGGCCACTGTTGCTGCTGTCAAGGATCTGTGAGGCGACAAGGGCAGATGCCTCGGGCCGACAAGACGGCGTACGGCTGTAACGACACCACCCACCCGTAGCACCATGATGCACACTGTATACACACACGCCATACATGGCCATCACCCTCTCACACCAGGCCACGCGCTGAGTACTCTGGGATCCAAGGCTTCAGTTGAGCGGGTGGAACGGCGACAAGCGGAAGTAAAACGGAAGTAAATAGTTCCGGCGATCCCTAATCCCTCCATATAGTATAAGTGGGGTGCTTAATTAAAAACAAGCCGAAGTGCGCCCCCAAGGTGGCAGCGGCCTCTTCGGATGCTGAACAATCATTCTGCACGCTCTTCAGATATGCTCTTCACATATGCTCCAGATATTTTACAAAATTTCGGGACTCGAAAATGAGCCTGGCGAGTGAGGGAGAAATCCAATGCAGTGGGTACCTTTGTTGCATTTATTTTTGCATACTTCTCTCTGAGACGTGGTACTGAGACAACACGCGCTACTACTCTTACATTTTTAAACCTACACCTTCTCAACCCACTCCGAATCGTACTTCTGTTCAACGCTACCAACGGACAGTGTGGTGCCAGTGAGGCGATTGAGAATGTCGTCCTTGGCAATAAGGTCGTCGTGCGCGGTGTGGCTGCCAAACACCTTGTCCATTTGCTCGAGGGTAACACCCCTGGTCTCGGGCACGAAGAAGAATGCCCACAGGCCGGCCAAGGTCGACCAGATTCCAAAGAACAAGAAGGTACCGTACCCAGTTCCACTGATGAGGGGCGGAGTGATGACACCAATGATGAAGTTAAAGAACCAGTTGGTACAGGTGGTAATTGCCAGACCCTTTGCACGTCGACTGCTGGGGAAAATCTCAGACGGGAGAGCCCAAGGAACAGGCCCCCAGGACAATCCGAATGGCAACATGAATCCGATAATGAACCTGACCGTCAGTTATGGTCGTGGAGGACGTTGTGGAAGAGGAGGACGTTATAGAAGAGGAGGAGGATGAGTGGTGGATGATCGGCGGTCGAGCGGAACCAAAATTTCCGCACCGCACCACATCCTTTCCACCCCTCTCCACATCTCCCTGGGCAACTTCTCTACACTGGGAATCACTCACCCAGCAGCAGTCCAAGCGGCAGCGGGGTGGGCGGGCCAATCAGAAGCGTAACGGGCAGTCAGGCCGCCAACGACAAAGTGGCAGAGGGCCATGGCAATACCACCCAGGACGAGAGGCGGCTTGCGACCGATCCTGTCAAGGAAGAAGCAGGGGAAGATGACTGCGACCAGTTGGGCGACGTTCATGACTCCACTGAATGTGAGCTGAAGCTCAGAGTCGAGACCCAGCTGCTGGAAGAGGGTTGGCGAGTAGTAGATGAGCTGTGGCATGATCAGCACCGGACCCAAATTGATACCGCTCGGAGATTCAACCTCCACCACAAGATGTACTCACGGCGTTAATTCCAGAGAACTGCTGCCCGATCATGAGTACGATACCAATCATAGTACGCCTAATGACAGCTGGGCGGAACATGTCAATCCACGAGGCCACCTCGAGCTTGAGCGGGGACGAAATGAGAGTGGGGTGGGTCTGCACAAGGGTCTCGCGGTTCCTGCAAGCCTCGGCGCGAATGGTGAGCCACTCGGCCTGCACACGGGCGTCCGTGTCAGGAAGGTTGCGCAGACGGCAGAGTGTCTGCAGGCATTCCTTGTCACGGCCCTTGGACGCGAGCCAGCGGGGAGAGTAGGGGAGGAAGAACAGGGCGATTGCGAGTGGCAGAGCCGGCACCATCTGGAGAAGGAAGGGCAGGCGGAAACTCCACTCCGAGACAATGTGTCGTGTGGCGTACGTGATATAGAACATCACTACGATGCCGATCACAATGGAGAGCTCGTAACGTCAGTAATGGTCTCCAGGAGGCGTGGGAGGGACGATGAAGAGAAAGGACAAGTCGAGTGGAAAGAAAAAGCGGAATCAATTTTCCGCCACTCAAGGACCTCTATGTCCCTCATCATCTTTCATCGTCTTAGAACCAACGTACCTCTCCCATGGCCAAGAGACCTCCACGGATGTTCGGTGGGGCGACTTCGGAAATGTACATGGGGCTAGTAGTTGAAAGCACACCAATTCCCACGCCGCCAATGAAGCGGCCAACGATGAGTTGAGGCAGGCCGAATGACGCCGTCTGGAGGGTGGAGCTGAAATTTGGTCAGCCTCAACTTTTATTTCTATTGTCATCTATCTTTTCGTTCTTACCCAATGGCAAACCAAGTAATTCCGAATCCGATGGAGGCCTTGCGAGAGTACCTGTCGGCGACGTAGCCGGCCATGAGGGCTCCCATGAAAGCACCAAGCTCCAGAAGACCAGTCATGATACCCTTGTTGAGGGAGGCGGAAGAAGTGACTGCCTCGTCTACTTCTGGGAACTGCTTGAGGAAGTGTGGCATGACGAGAATAATGGACACGAGACCCTGGTCAAAGCCGAACAAGAGGCCACCGACACACGAGCAGATGGCGCTGAGGAATGCCACCTTGTTCTGCACAACAGCCTTGAAGTCTGAAAGTCGTCAACAAATGCCGTATCCACTTTGGTCCCTCCTCCCTACTTACTCGCTGGACCATAGGCTTCCGCCAACTTCTCGCTGTCATGGGCGAGCTCCAAAGCATCGGGAGCCAACGTGACCCCGAGGTCTTCGGGCGATGGGAGGTTGTCCCGGTCTGGGGCAAATTGGGACTTGACAGTGCGTTCGGCCATGTTGGCTGGACACGTGATATCGGCAAGTTTCGTGCGGGGGATAGATAGAGGAAGGTTGATGAGTGTATCGGCAGGTTGCTGGTAGGCAGTCACCTGGGACAGTGTGTGGGGACCCTCCGTCCCCGGGAGGTTACCTATATGTACCCCGGTGATGGCGGTGGTGGCCTCGCCGGGGTACCAAGGTGCCCCAGTATGCCGTCGACTCCGGTTCCGGCGCCGGAACGGCCAGTCCGGCCGGGTGGCGTGGTCTCGACTTCGGCGAGTATTGTTCGGTCAAAACAGGGAGACATGGACTGTTACTCGTGCCTGAATATACAGGTGGTCTTGACAACTGCATCCCCCCTTTTGGCCCTGCTGTGCGACGGAGTTCCGCCCGACGATGCCAAGACCAAAGGTTAGCCTGACTAGGTGGAGGAACTCTTTGCATGTCCCTACGGCCTACGGGTTCACAAGAAACGACATTCTGTACATAGTGATTGAGTGACATGGCCCAAGCTACCCTCCTCAATATCTGACTGCGGCGCCCGTAGTAGTCAGCGCCTTGGACCCTATTGGGCTCGATGTAGAATCCTACATTGCTAATGCTGGGCGTAGCACTCTGCGACAGGCCTGGTCGTTGTCGGGCGGTTTATGGCTCCGGTGGATTGTACCTATGGAGCGTATCCTTCCGGCCCATCATCCCGGCGGTTGACTGCCGTCCGAGACAACGGCGCCAGGCATGTGCACAAGCGAGATTGGCATGGACAGGCACAAGTGGGCATCGTCGGCAACCAATCCAACACATGTCCATCCATTTCCAAGCCGACCTACCCCTTGGTTCAAACAGTCAATTGCCGCATTCTCACAGGCTATCGCTCCCAAACAGGGGAAAGCTCCAAATCCAGCTTGTCGACGACGCTAACCCAATTGACCATTTGACCCTGGCCAGTTCGATCTTGCTCGTACTCTGGGATTGGCCACCACCTTGATGGCTATAGGCGGCCGTTGTCTTTGCGCTTTCGGACCGAAGTGCCTCCCTCCACGGACGCCGATCGGACGAGGATCGGCCTTGCGATAGACATTGGGACTCACCAGAATGTCCGACGCAGAGTCAGCAGCAGAGCTCTGAACACTGCCAAGGCTTGAGTCATAGAACTCCTGCAGATTCATGTTCCTGCGAGCCGCGTTGTCACCCTCACGTGGGGCCACGGCATCGCCCCCGACGATGATGCAATCAGGCGCCACGATCCCCGGGAATGCGGCAGAGTTGGCCCCAGGTGAGGCGTCGGCGTAGCTGTTGAGAACACGGACCAGGGAGCCGTTGCCACGCGCACAAGATCGCCATGTCGCTGGGCTCTCCGGACCGCACCCCGATTGAACAAGCTCGGTTGGATGCCCAATGGTACTGTCTATCTTTCATGGCCGGATGACTACCGTCCGTTGGCCAAGTAAAGCTGTAGTCGCCGGGACGTTCGGACCGTAGACTCGTGAGACTGCGGTCTGCTTTAAATAGTCAAGAAGGTGAGAGCGGCGAGCGTTTATTCGCGAGCCGTCCAGAATCGTCCTCAACAGCTTGCAAACCTCCTACAGCTGCATCAACCTTGGACTGGTGAGAGGACTCTTAGGTGCGTTTATCGCTATCGAAGCCAAGCACACCGCGGCAGACGAGACGTGCTGCTGGTGTCAGTGGCTTGCCTTGTTTGGTATATGCTTGTGGCAAAGCAGTGACGTCTTGCGACAAGGGAGGGAACGCTCAGTGAATGTGACTGGTTGCTCTGGCGGCGGTGGCCTGCAGGCCATGTGGTGGTGACGATATGCTGCATGTGCTGCATATCCTGCATATACCAACTGCGGCGGGTGGTTGCATGGTTGTCAGGTCTGGAAGGCTGTCAACAACGGCTGTCGGTGCGGGAAGACATTACTGTAACCATCACGGGAGTATTTGGGTGCCCAATTCAAATGACGTCACTCTCCATTAGAAGGTGATAAACAACGCTCCTTTATTACCCAACTGCTAGCACTTCTCGTCCTCTTGCCTCAGCACCATCACATCTGCCTCGCTCAATTGAGCTACCAATTTCTTTGCGTGATCAACCTAAACCATCAGAAATTGGCCGTTGTCTAACCCACCTCGGACTGTTCAAAGTTGTCTTCCTCGTACGGAATTGCCTCCCAAACAGTCGACAGTCCACAGGCATCCCAGAAACGAGGGCCATACGTCTTCAGTGTAAAAGCCCCGACAAGAAGGTCCAGTTTCGACCACTTGGAGATGTTGCAACACGCCATCCGCCCAGTCAAGCGGTGCATGCCTCGAGAGACATGTTTGAGCAGGGCAGGGCTCACTTTGGCTCCATGCTCACCCCAGCCCCCTTCCATGGACAGCTTGAGGATGAGAGCACACTCCTGGGGGGTGAGCCTTGGCTGGTTAGCGCGAGGAGGAGGGGGCCATGGAACGGAAGGGGATCGGTCGCATTTCAGGAAGAGACATACACGTCAGCCTGTGGAGTTGTTGTCCGCTCGTCCTCCATCCCCAAGGTCGTATTAGAGGGAACAATGGCAAGTGGAGTGGAAGTGGGAGGATGGCAAGAGGACGCGAAGCGCCATTGGCGGTTGACAAGGGCTGACAAGGGCCCCGCTGCCCGCTGGAGGTCGGAACGCCGCTGACGTTCACGGGCTGTAGTTGCTGGTTCACATAATCGCCGCACACTGGGACTGACGGCGTGTCTGCGGTGAGCACAGACTTGGCACCCCGTCGGTGCAGAACAGCACACCACCCACCCGCGAACCGCGGAATTGACATGCATGGCAAAACACATGAACACGGTCAGATAATCGCATTATGGAGGCTGAGGGGCCTGAAGGGGTACATACTGTACATGCCGATTTACTTCCGCTGGCCACACAGATTCCGCTAGCCAACGGATTCAATTTACTTCCGCTGCCTCCACTTTCGTGTCTCCACCACAAGTGCCACCAAAACACCACTTGCAATCCACAACTCTTCTTCATAAAGCCTGATCCCCAAAGCTCGATATTAACAGCATGTCTCACAACCCCCTTCCCACAGTAACACCTTTACTCAAGAAGCACCGTGACGTTGTAGTTGGTGCTGCAAACCTCGTCATAGTACGAGTTGACGTCCTGAGAGTACGACTGGGCAGCGACCCACGCGTCGAGCTCACACATGCCCGCCCAGCCATAGTCGCCACAGCCCGGGAAATCCATGGGCGAAACCGCATCATTGATGAGGATGCGGACGTACTTGTCACCCGCCTTGTTCGACAGGCGCTCAATCGCGAAACGAGCAGCAAAAGGGACGATCTGCGAGACAGTGAAGTGGTGGCGGGGGATCTTGTCCGTGGCGACACCAGTGGGAAGTGGGTCGTCCTTGCCGATACGAAGGGCTGCAAGCAATCCTGACATGTCGTTATCGTGGGTCGCATCCATGTAGAACGTCCTGTCGAGGGGGAAGTCGACAGCGTTGGTGTCGAGCGTCGAGTTTGTGGAGCCACCAAGAACGACGGGGTTGCCGGTAAGGCGCGAAATGACCTCGTTGACGTAGCCACTGTAGCGAGGGCGGGCGTAGGGGTTGCCCCAACTGCGTCCCCAGTACTTGCTGACGTCGAACCAGTCTGGACAAGTCAGCAAGATCTTTGGACGATGTGGTCCACTCACACTCGTTCTGGTCCCACTCGTCATCGGTGAAGACGCTGCACCAAGGGCCAACGGCATAGTCGAGGTTCTTGATAGCGTCGTAGCCGCACATGCTCATGAGGATGGCAACATCGGCATCAGTAAAGTTGGCTCCCGAGAGTTTCTCGTTGAGGCGGGCAGTGATAGGTGGGGCAAAGACCTGGAAATAGAGTCAGGATCCGCGTTACAGCATTGACAACTCACGGCAGTCCAGTTGTCCTCCGCAACGTCTCCAGGGTCTACAGTCGCATCGTCGAAAGCAGGGCAGTTCATGTTTGCCATGGTGTTGTTCATCCCGGCATCCTCAGACACAATAACATCCGGAAGAGTGAGCAAGGTTGAGTTGATAATGTTGAACTTTTGACCAGAGAAGCCTTGAATAAAGTATTGGCTAGACTCAACCACACGGTCCTGCGAGGCCGAACGTGTGAAGGACTTCTTCGCAAGGCTCTTGTAGCGCTTGGCGTAGGTGACACCCGAGTCGTACATTTGGCGACGGCCAAAATCGGTAAGCTGATCGGCAGTGTACCCGTCAAGGGTGTAATTTTTGACAAAGGCGAAAGCGTCGTCGGTAATGGTAGCATTCGTTGCCTTGGCAATGGTGGCGGTGATCTTCTTGAGTGCGGAAGCGGTGGGTGAACGAGCACCATGGCGCGACACGATGGTGACCTGATCAACCGTGAACCCCTTGGGAGTGTCGCGGCAAAGGGATGACTGGCGGGAGATGAAAGGCGCATACGCGCCAAGGCTGAGGATTGTATGCTCACTTGTTGAGACCTTCGGACCCGACGAGTAGGGAGCAGTGTCACACGACTGGGTGCTCCGCGACTCGATTGGGCCGGCAGTAACGAGGGTGGAGAGGAGAGCGAAGAGGGCGACGGTCTTCATTGTGGTGCTGGCTTGTCTTTTGTGAGTTGTTCGTCACAAGTGCGGCTCTCTGGGCAGCTTTTATGCTCCTTCAGAAGCTGCGGACAGATCTTTCGACATGAGCTTCGGGTCGGTCGTCCGACCTTAGCGAGCTTCGGACTGGTTGAGTTGCAGCTCATCACCACGAACGTGCTTGGGGTTGTTGTGTACATCCCTTCGACCGTAGTTGGGGCTCCGGCCAGCCTGGCCCTTCATCTCTTGCTGCGGACATTCCAGACCCGGATCTCACGTCGGTAGGCAGCACCAATCTGCGACCTTTGGCCATCTTGTTGTCTCAAACAACAACGCGATAAGTGTTGGGCGCTCGTGTTTCAATGTCCCCGTGGTGTGGTATAAGAAACGAGAGAGTTGATTGACAAGTGGTGGTTGACTCGTGGTCGGTTGGCTGACGTATACAGTTTGGCTGCCAAGACCTGGCAACCCTTTGCTGCGCATGTAAGTACCAGGGGTTTTGGGTCTCTCACCCGTGTTGGGCCCAGTTGACCACAGCACCACAGTAGTCTGTTGTGTTGCAAACGTGCCAACTTTTGAGGATGTGGGATGTGAGGCCCCGTGCGTCAGAATCGGGTGATCGGCAAATTCCGGTGCCTTTGCGATGACGTGCCGACACCGCAACACCATATCACCAGAGCCTTGTCACCGTCCGACACGGTCGGAAACCTCAAGGCAAGTCAACACTACACCATCCATCTCTGTTTCATTGTCCATCTCTGACGACCGCATTCAACTCACTTTCTACCAACATGCTCGAGAACGTCTACATTGCCCGGCACGGCTACCGCGCCAACTGGGAGGACCCTAGTATCGTGACAAGCGCGACAGGAATGTACCATGACCCTCCTGTAAGCTGCCCTGTTCACAATGTCGGATAGCAGGCAACTTACCCCAGCTTGCCCAACGAGGTCTGGTTCAGGCCCACCACCTGGGGGACTTCCTCAGCGACCCACCGGCACCGTTGCCCAAGCCCGACGTACTCTACAGCTCGCCCTTCTTTCGGTGTCTCCAGACCATCCAGCCTCTGGCCAAAGCGACAGGCAAGGAGGTGCACTGCGAGCACGGCGTCATGGAATGGTGAGGTCACGGAGGCATGATCCTTGAGCTGAGCGTAGGTTTTCAAAGGCAGCACCAGGCTCCGGCTTGCATGCCCGCCCATACCCCGTTGCGGAGCTCCAACCACACTTCCCGGATATGACTCTGCACCCAACCTACCAGTCGACCTACCTGCCCACTCGACACGGCGAGACCCTGGAGGAGCTCAGGGAGCGTTCTGACACCTTTGTTGAAGCCTTTGTCCGCCGTGTTGAGACCGAGTATCCCGATGCCACGACTGCAGTCATTGTCGCACATGCCGCTACTGTGATTGCGCTCGGGCGCTCGGTGAGTAACCCGAAATGATTGCGCTGATGCCAGTTACTTGGTGACTATGCCCACGACGTTCAATCACCCACCGCTGGCGTATCGCTGTACCGTCGCAAGAACATTGTTCCGATCGCCGGTCTTGAGCCTGTCGACCTTGTCTACAGCGACGATCGCTACCCCAGCGACAAGCAGGTTGCGACGGCACAGTCCTGCAACGGCGCCTGCGACGGTGTGGCACACGAGCCAGTTCTGGGCGACTGGGTGCTGCTGGTCAACGGCCACACAGACCACCTCCCAGCTGGAGCTGAGGCGAACTGGAGCGTAAGTGAGATACGTGTGGCAAAACAGCTCACTTCCTAAGTTCCGCGAATGCGAGTTTACGCCGGATGGGCAGGTCGTACTTGTAAGCTGCTCGCGCGACCTTTTGTCCCCCCGAGCTGACGTTTCCTCCAGGACAAGGGCGATGGAGAGCCGTTTACAGAGCATGATTTGAAGCCTGTGGGATTGTCAGCTGGAATGGAACAGCACCTTTGCAAGGCATAGAGTCTGTAACGATAGATATGCATATTTGGGCTGGGTCGCAGTCGCTCATTACTTAGCTTGCTTCAGCCAATATTCCCCATGCCCACAGGCCCCTAGCCTGTCGATGCTGCACAAGGCCAAAGCACATCCCGCGCTATATCCAAATGCGGTAGGCAATGTCCGTACCATCAGCAGCGGGCGAGAATGTTGGAAAATAACAAAACCAAACCCGGCCGCTCGTGGTCACCATCTGATAACCGACGAATGAGACCGAGTCAACAGCGACCAGTAGTCGCCGACCGCGGGAGTCAACCTGTAAAATCGATAAACTTTGCATTTCGTACAGCCACTGCCTTGCTCTATAGCCCCCCACATATGTCTCCCTTCGGGTCACCCAATCGCACAGATGCCCGCCTCTTTCGTCTACCACTTGATCTTGTGAGGGATGTACTTGGCAATGAGACTCTCGTAGTATGGGCGAAGGGCGACGGGGTCCGGCTTCGAGTCGGACTTGGAGTACAGGTCGCTGCCGTTGTCAGCAAAACAATCGCAAATGCGGACAAAAGACTCACTAAGGGTTGAAAGCGAGAACATCCTTGAGGGCCTGCTTGTCGGCCTCGTTCTCAAAGTAGGTGTAGGCGCGCTCGCGGTGCCAAGGGTAGAACGAGTGGTAACGAATCATGTTGAGAGCACTCTGAGGCAGGTTGCTCTGCTCCTTCATAACCATGTAGAGGTACTCGTCGTGGCCCCAGGTGATGAGAAGGTTCTCAAGGCCACAGCCGGGCTCGTAGATGCCATACTTGGTCGAGTAGACTGGGTGGTTGAGGTCGGGGCAGTCCTTGAAAGTGTCCTTGTACACAATCTTCTCGGTGGGGAACTCGCACCCGACAACATAGGTGTCACCCACGACGTCCCACTGGCCGTCAGAGCCAAAGAAGTAGAGGAGCTTGCCGAGGTCGTGGATCAGGCCGGTGAGCTGCATCCACTCGGGCTTGCCGTCCTTGCGCATGGCCTCGGCGGTCTGGAGAAGGTGCTCAATCTGAGTAGCATCCGTGTCGGGGTCACTGGCGTCCACCAGGGTGTTGAGCATCTCCATGGCCTCCCAGATACCCATGATCGCACGGGGCTTCTCAAAAGCCTTGCGGCGTGCCTCGCGGTTGAAGTCGACAGTCTGCTTGGTGTGCTGCTCAATGTAGAAGCGGCGCGAGCCTTCGTTCTCGTCGACAAACTGGCGGAACGTGTCCTTGTCCTTGGAGCTGTCAAACTCGGACGCATCGTACGCATTGTCGACTTCTTCGACAACGGGCTGGTCCTTAAGCTTGGCGATGTTGATGTCGTCAATGGCGTCCGAAACGGCGTCAAACTTCTTTCCCTTGGGGTCTGGATGTATCCGTCAGCAACTCTGTGTACTTTCGCGTCTCAACAGCCCACGCGAGCGGGAGATCGGAGACGCGGAGAGCGAGCGGCGAGACAGGGAGGTATGGCCCGAATACGAGAGCTGGCCACCTCTCGCCGCCCCCGGCTATGGCGCTGCACCGGCTACAACCCGCACTCACCGTCCTTGCGGACAAAGTCCTCGAGGTTGACGGGCTGGGCAACGGCGACTGGAGACATGTTTGGATTGTCGGTTCTTGCGTTCTGGGGCTGCCCAAGCGCGACACCACATTGCTATATACCTGTTTGACAAGCCTAAGCCTCGGTGGACGGAGGAGACGGACTTGGCTGTCAACACGTCACTGACCACCGCCCGTGCCCACATTGGTTGCATGGGCTCTCACACCATGTCGTTTTACCGAGCGCCAGGCCCGCAGTTCGACACTTCGGCAAGCTCGGTCGGTAGATTTTACAACGACATCATCTCCCCGGTCACACAATCCCCCCCCACATTGCTCCGGCATCCCATTGCTCCGGGGGATCCACAAGTCGCCATGTCCTATGTCCGAGCCCCTAAACTCTGGCATTCTGGGTAGTCACTGGTGCACTCTTCTTGCTACCCCATCAACCTCGCTCGTGTCTGTCACCCACCCCCGCGGGGAACTTGGTTTATTTTCCATCTGTGCGAAACCCATACAGCCCGGCAGGTTTAGACACCCCCAACCACAACTCGCGCTTTTGTCTGCCTCGGTGCGTTCTCTGCTACCCGACTACCACTTCCGAACTGACGTGACGGATTAGATAGTACAAGCCCTTCCACATCTCGCTCCTCATGGGTGAGAAGGCCCAGCCGACGTGCGATCAATGTCGCACGCGTAAAGTGAGTTGATGTGTTTGGAAAGCGACGAATCAATCTCCCGACCGATGTCACTACCCTCCTCGTCGCGTCGGACGGGCGCCATTGTCTCGCACGACGATATCCACATCTACCATCTTCTCACATGGGTCCGATACTCCCAAACACCAATGATCGGCCCTTGCCCACACCAATGACCGGCCGCTGACAAGCATAGGTTCGGTGCAACCCCGGGCCGCCGCGCCGACACGGTGGTGACGATTCGACCGAAGACGGCCACGGGCCGCAGCGGACCTCGCGTACTCAGAGCTATGGACAATGCACCAACTGTGCACGCCGTTCAGAGACGTGTACCTACGATTACCAGCCGAAGAAGCCTGGACGACCGCGCGCGTGAGTGCACGCAGTTTGACAGGCGACTCCCAAACTGACTTCTCAGTCCTCCCTCGGCCCGCACACAACGGACGTCGAGCCGAGCCAAGACATCGGACAACTGCCCCTCGTCGTCCCCCGATGCCGGCCACGGGCAAACCTCGTCGACCGATGAACTCCTGCCGAGCATGTTACCATCAAGCCCACTGCTGGGTGGCCCTATGATGAGCTCCATTTTTGGGTCCGCGCGGCAAACACTGCAAAGCATCGAGTTTGACTACACCCTTCCGCGCACCCGCGAGAGCAGCGTGCGTCCACCTGATCCCATTACTGCCCCACCAGCGGCCGCAACGTCATTCATCGGTAGCTGTGGGCCACCATTTGGACTGATGGACGGACACGCGCCGCTGTCACAGCTCAACGCCATGCCACTGTTCGATTACTCGAGCGCGGACGGTGTTGGGGCCGGAGCCGACCGCACACTCGCGGTCGACGCGACCAAGACCATCTACTCGCCTACCACAACATTGGGTGACCTTGTTACTGCCAGCGATGGAGCGGGTGGGATGACTAGTTGTGCGAGCGTCAGCGCCGGCCCCAGCACCAGCAATGATATCGACATCAACCATATTGAGAGTTTTGCGACTTGGGAGGACATCGGCTCGTTTCTCTCCCTGTACATGAAACACCAGCACATGCTGGTTCCACTTGTCCACCGGCCGAGTTTTGCGCAAGACGTTCTTCACCGCCGCGATGAGGTGGACGAGGCGTTCCGAGGTTTGCTCCTCAGCATGGTTGCATACACCATCTGCCAGTGCCCGATCAACTGGCTAGTGGGCAGGATGGACAAGTTACAGCTTGAGACCCTCCTGGAACGCTGTCAACGGGGAAGCCGTATCATTCAGATCCGACACCAGACACGACCCAGCCTGGTGGTTCTCGCCTCAACTATCCTCGACTGGATCTCGAGCCAGGCAGCATCGGCTGCCGAGCTGCCAATGAACCTCCTGTCGGACGTGCGCCGTTTGGTCTACACCCTTGGCCTCAACCGCGAGACCCCCAAGGAGGGACTGTCCTCTCTGGAGCTTCAACTTTGTCGCCGACTGTATTGGGAGGCCTATGCCATCGACAAGACGAATTCGTTGAACGGCCACCCGATGATTCTGAACGACATGGACGGCGTCCCTCCACTTCCACTCGAGATTGACGACGAGTACATGGCCGGCGACGCAACCTTTCCCCAACCAGAGGGCAAGTTGTCCTACATGTCGGGCTTTTGCTACGTCTCCAAGTTGTTCCAGGTGCTCAACGGCTGCATTGTCCGACACCGGACGCTCCAGGCTGCCGACACATCTACTGGTCCCACTACCGAAACGTTGCAAGCATGGGTCGACTCTAAACTCGAGGAGGTCCAGGATCTGTTGACCGAGATACCGGAGGAGCTCCAGTCCGGCTCAATCAGCCAGGACAATCCCTCCGTGTTCGGCACACAGGCGGCCAACCTGTACATCACTGCGCTTTGTATCGAGCTCGCATTACTCGACCTCAAGGGCAAACTCCACCCAGAGGAGGACACGCATAATGAAAAGGCGAGACAGGAGATTGCACAGCGCGCGTTTCGACAGCTGGAACACATGCCGCTGGAGTGCTTGGCTTCAAATGGAGAGAGTATGCGCGGGAAGGTGCTGAGAGTGATCCTGGCACTCTTGAACGTTTCATCTCAAGAGGCAGGTACACTTGGGGAGGGTCTGTGGGATTGGTGGAATATGTTCAGCAGAGTACAGTTTTTGCAGCTCATGCCAACGGCCGGCGCTTCTTAGCGCGGGGTGCAGGCGTGCAGAGTCGAGCTTGTTTACTTGTACATGAGGCCATGGAGGCTTGTATCAGACGGCTCGGAAGAGGATCTTATGTGAGCCATTGTATGTAACAGCTATTCTCGTTTTCCTTTTGTCCATCTCCCGCCCTCCCAGCGTACCAGAGTGCATGAGATTCACAGATCACAGATCACACCACAGACGGGGTGCACATATGTTTACGTAAGAGAAACCACGTAAGGGAATCTAATCCTAATCAAATTTAATTACACCCACAAAGTAAGGGTACGGCTAATAGGACTGCGGGCGTTGGAAAACACATAACCCCTCGCGTTCGGCCATTGTCGTGATGTTCTACATCGGCATAGTGTGTTTTCCGCTTCTAATGCCGCAAACCCCGGCGTGAGTGGCAAACGAGGTTTCCGATCCCCCATCCTTTTTCCACGCACACACGGGCGGTGGGACGGCCAGGACACCCCAGACGACGACGACCGCAAGAAGCGACGTCCTTGCGGCTCACACCACCCACTACCTACCCCCCCAAAACAACAACAAAAAAACAGACATCATGCGTGAGCCTCAATGCACAGAAAGCAAGAGCGTTCTCAGGAGCCCAAGCTGACCACGTCAATCCGTTTCTTGCCCTCCTCCACCCTCCACCCTTTGTCGTTCTGCTTCCTGGCCGCTCCCACATCTCGCCGCTTGGACTCTCGACCCCCTTTTGCCGCCGACCTTACCGGACGACCATGGCCCTTCTCCATCCTTGTCGTGGTGTGATCCTTTGGTCCTGTGAATGTCCTATGAACTCGGCTTTGCTCCACGACTTTGGGATGCTTTCGTTGTCGTCCACAACATGACACGTGCTGTTCAACCATTGCCCAACCCATTGTCCACGTCCGTCGACCTTCTTTCTTGTTGTTCGCATCATCGCCATCCTGTGACGATCCATGCGGCTACGATACACTGTGTCACTCCCATGTTGCTCCTGCCTCCCCCCATCCTTCGCTTCGCCACTTGCTGTGGACTGAAACCCATCTCGTCAACATTACCCTGGCCTTGGCATGTCTCACGATTCCAACAAATGTCCACACAACTTTCCGGAAATTTCAATCCCTTAAACTCGACATGTGCCTCGTAAACAGCTCCCAAGAAGAAGGCCCAGAAGATGGCGCTTAGCGACTTCTTTGAGACCACCGGCGGTGGCACTAGCAGCTGGGCCGATGAGATGGAGGCTCTCCCCACTGCCCCTGCCCGTCGCGAGGACAGTGGCCCCCGCCGTGGCGAGCCTGGCTACCTTGACAGCATGCCCGACCGTGGAGCCCGCACCTTCCCCGGCGCTCCCCAGGGCCGCGAGGAGCTCCCTCTCCCCGATGTCCCTCCCTTCACCGCGTTTGTCGGCAACCTCACCTTTGAGACTGAGGACGAGGAGCTCCGCGAGTTCTTTGCCGACCTGAACCCCGTGTCGGTCCGTCTCGTCAAGGACCCCCAGACCGGCAAGTCCAAGGGCTTTGGCTACTGCGAGTTCCCTTCGCGCGACAACCTCAAGGCCGCCCTTGACCGTACCGGTGTCAGCCTCGCTGGCCGTTCGGTTCGCGTCAATGTTGCCGAGGCCCCCGCTTCGCGTCGTGACTTCCCGTCTTCGGCTGCCGACGAGGCCAGCCAGTGGCGTCGTGCTACCCCGATTGTTGCCCGTGACGCGCCCGCTCCCCGTCGCCAGTTCTCTGGTGCTGGTGCCCCTGGTGCCGGTGACGAGGACCGCGACTGGTCGTCTGCCCGTGGTGCCAAGTTTACCCCTGCTCCCCCCGCCCGCGAGTCCGGTTTTGGTGGCCGCTCGCGCGAGCACTCCCACGAGCCCACTGCCGCCGACGAGGCTGGCCAGTGGCGCTCGAGCCGCCCCTTCGTCGAGGCCCCGCCATCCAGGCGTGAGGCTCCTCCTCACCGCCCCGCTGGTCTCGCTGACACCGAGTCCACCTGGTCGCGCGGCACTCGTGCACCTGTCACCCCTGCTGCGGCCCCGGAGCCTGCTGGTCGCCAGCGCCTGGCTCTCCTTCCCCGCTCCCAGCAGGCAAGTGCCACCCCTTCCCCCGAGTCGACTCCCGCGCCCGCCAAGGCTTCGCCCTTCGGTGCCGCCCGCCCCATCGACACTGCCACCCGCGAGGCTGAGGCCGCCGCCCACGCTGAGGAGCGTCGCAAGAAGGAGCACGAGGCTGCCCAGAAGCGCAAGGAGGAGGCCAAGAAGGCCGCTGAGAAGCGCGAGGCTGAGCAGAAGGAGGCCAAGGAGCGCCGTCCCGTCCGCGTGCACCCTTCGCGTCTTCCTCCCAAGGAGGCCGCCGCGGCCCCCGCCGACGCCGCCCCCGCTGCCGCACCGGCTGCTGCCTCGGGTCCCGACGCCGACGGCTTTGAGACCGTGACCACTTCGCGCAGCAGGAAGGAGCAGTCGGACGCTCCCCGCGCCGCCGCTGCCCCCGCCAAGAAGGCCGCTGCGGGCTTTTCGTTTGCCGCCGCCGCCGGTACTATTGCCGTCGACGACGTTGCCGACAAGCTCGCCGAGACCCAGGTCTAGGCGTGTGGTATAGTAGCCGCGCGCAAGGACTCCTTAGACCGTTGTGTAGATGCCGCGTCTTGTGCGCGGCAATGTTATGATTGGGCTTGAGATTGATATTGAGCAAATGGGCGGCTCAACGAGGACCGCGACGCCAAGGGCGATAGGGCGATAGGCGATGAGCCTGCCTGTGCCCTGCAAGGCGAATGGCAAGCAGGGTGGACTATGACCTAACGACATGGGAGGTCGTCAGGAGCATGCTGTCAGTTGAGCGGATGGGTGTGGCGCGGGGCAGACTGTGGCATAACGACCCCAAAGCTGGATGCCCCGAGTGCACGATGCCACCTCCTTCCCATTCACTCGCTTCCTCTTCCTGCAACCACCCCACTCGCCAAGCACTCCAGAAACCATACACTCGTCCCGGCCAAAGATACTCGCTGCATAAGGCCTGGGTACGCGTACAAAATACATCCATATCTCGCGCTTTAGCAGATGAAGAGGAGGTTTGTGTCGATGGGGTGGGACGCGGAGAGCTGGGGCTTCTGGTCGTACCTGCCCTGGAGCTCCTGTCGAATGGAGCGGAGGAGCTGGACGTAGCTCTGCTGGGAGTTCTTGGTGATGGCCGCGATGAACGCGTACGACATGGCACCGGTAGCTTTACCTGCCTCGCTGGTGTCTGCCGAGGTCTGTGAGTCCTTGCAACCGGACCACATGACCACGTCGGCTGGCGAAGTACGCGTCTGGCGCGTCACGTTGGTCGCGTTCGAGTTTGTGCCCATCATCTGCTTGCCGACGTTCATGAGGCCAGACATCATGCCACCCACGTCGCCCTTGAGGTAGGACATGCCCGCCGAGAGGACACCAGAGCCGGCCTCGGCAAGGAGGTTGGGCTCCTTGATCTTGCCTTCAGTCGAGTAGACGTACGGCAGGTCGAGGGCCGTGGCGCTGTGACACGAGTCAAAGATGGCAGTGAGACGGGCGCCGGCGGGGAGGGGGCGGACCATGAGAGCGTGCAGGTCGTCATCGACAATGTGACCCTGGGTCTTAAAGTCGACGGGGTAGATGACCTCGTCCATTCCGTCGTCCTCGTCGCCGTCCAAATCCTTGGTCTGACCACCGTGTCCCGAACTGGAAAGTGTTAGTCGAGGAACTCCCCATACTCAAAGCTAGTCGAGCAAAACGCCACCGATGCTACCGATCGAGGGTAGGCTAGGGATATGGCCGAGGTGGCTTTTCCCTTGTTGGCAAACAGAGAAAGAAGCCTCTCGCGCCGTCCCACAGTCTACGTGGTTTTATCCCGCCACTCCGTTACTTACTAGTGGAAGAAGAGCGCGTCGTTGGGCTGAGCGCCGTTCACGAGCCACTGCATGGCAGCAATCATGTTGGCCTTGGTGGGAATCTGGCGGGGGTTCTTCGAGTCGTCGGTCAGGATAACCATGTCGTCGGAGCGGTAGTTGTAGCGCTCCATCAGGAACTTTTGCACGTTGTGGACATCGTTGATACAGCCGCGGAGAGCGTTGCTCTGGCCAATGTAGTTGATGCCGATCAGGAGCGCCTTGCGCTTACCAGTACCTACAGGTGGCGAGATAAGAGTGGGTATGCGAAGGCGATCGAAGGGGATTCAAACAAGAGGCAGGTGGGCCATGTTGGAAGCGAGAGAGAGTCCTCTGTCAGCGGATATCCCCCATGTTGCGGCGCAGAAACTCACACTGCGAGTACTGAAAGAACGGCTGCTGGGTGCCGCCCTGGCCTTGCAGCTGAGGACCGTAGTGCTGGGAACCGGTCGGGGGACGCGCTAGGGTGTGTTGTTAGTCATAGCCCACCACCAGAAGACATCTAGTCGTCCAACTCACCAGGAGCACCAGCGGGGGGAGCGTAGTATCCAGTCGGCGCCGACGAAGGCGGCTGGTAGCCCGCGGCAGTGGGAGCGTAATGCGGGGGAGCGGGCGCGCCGGTGGGCGGCTGGTAGCCTTGGCCGCCGCCGTACGACTGGCCGCCACCGTACGACTGGCCACCACCGTACGACTGACCACCGCCGTAGGACTGACCGCCACCGTAGGCCTGACCACCGCCGTACGACTGGCCGCCGTTGCTATAGCCCTGTGGCGCGCCCGACGGCGGAGCGTACTGGCCGTACTGTTGTTGCTGTTGGCCGTAATTCGCGCGGGTGTTGCCCTGCTGCTGCTGAGCCCAGGTCGGGGGCGGGGGGTTATTGGCGTATGCGTTGTTGCCTGGGTACCCTTGTCCATACATCGTGATGGTGGATGTGAGAAAGATGGAGGAGGAGATGGAGATGGAGAGAAGGCGATGCCCAAGCGATGAAGGTGTGGCGACCGGTGTTACAGCCGCGATCGACGCGGCGGGCGGTTGATGACTGCGGGCGGGGCGGACGCGGCATCAGATCCACGTGGGTGCGCAGCGACAACACGACGCGAGTAGGCTGGGTGCATGCATGAGGCACTTGTTCTCTGCACTCTGTACTCTGTCTGTCTCTGTCGGGCACAAAGGAACGCATCTCAAGAATGGAAAGTGCAACTGCATACATGTGATAAAAGCGCAACAGGCTGCCACCGGTCGACCACGCCATTGTTTTGCTCACTACGACCCTATTGCTAATAACACACTCTCTTTACTTCTTCTTGGGGCCGTGGAGGGGCTGGCCAATCTGGTTGGCAGCGCCACGGAGCTTGACACCGACGACACGCTCGAGCTTGGCCAGGAGGGCCTGGTTGGGGACAGCGCGGCCAGACTCGAGGTCACCAATCTGGGAGAAAGTGTCAGTCAATGCCACTCGGACAACGGGCGGCTATCGACGTATCCGTTTCGTCTGGACTGTCACACGACCAGACCGAGTCTCGTCGGTCTACAGCGTCTGCACACTCACATCCTGGGGCTTGGCGTTGACGGCGGTGGCGAGCTCCTTCTGGGTCATCGACTTGCCGTCGGCGTTCTTCTTAGCCATACGGGCGGTGGCGAGCGCCTTGCCGACCCTATAATGTCAGCTCATGGCCCATTATCGGCGAAGATGGCGAGGATCGCAGTAGTTGCACAGCGAGGCCAAGAGGCTGGTGCAGCCCCTCGATCCCACAACCTCGTGCCGTGGTGCCGTCCGGTCCTCCAGCTCGCTCCACATTGTCTTCTCTTCCTTGCCTTCCTTCTCCACTCACGAGACGTCGACCTTCTCTGGGGGACGGGGAGCGTCGTCAGCATCGAGCTTGCCGAGGCGCTGGTAGTCGGCGGCTGGATAATGTCAGTCGTCTCCCTCTTGCTGCTTGGCAATGTCCACGACTCACGGCCCTTGGCCTGGGTGCGGTCCTTGGCGGTGGTGGACTGAACGGTACCGGCACGCTGGGCGGCGTTGAGGGCAGAGCCCTTGGTGACGGTGGCGCGCTTGGTGCCGTAACCAATAACCTGGGGCTTGTCGTCCCAACCAGACTACATGTTGTCAGCACCTCGTGCGATCAGAGATAGAGATTGTTGCAAGGACGACGAGGTGGAGGCACCACGATGGCGGCGCCCTGCAGACATGCTTGCTCACCATGTTTGCTAGATTGATGAGGGGAAGGTGATGGGAAAGGTTGGAGAACGGTCGCTGAATGTGCTATATACACTGAGCGAGTCCGGGGGTAGTTGGTAAGATGACAAAGAGATGTTGGAAGACGATAGAACAGTCGTGCTCGCTGTCCCTCACCCAACCCTCACGCACACGCTTCCTGCCCGCCAAAGGAGTGAGTCGGGGCTCGGAGCCGGAAGAAACTGCGGGAGCAAATCCCTCCCACGTGGCACCTGGCGGAAGCAGATACTCTGGTTGCGTCATCTGGGCTCTGATCACTAAAGAATCCGACCCCCAGGTTGTACGCATACCCAAACAACCAACGGATCGGCCACTCGTCGTCACGCAATTCGTTTTCTTCATTCATCTCGTCCCATGTCTCAATCCTTCTCGCTTTATCCTGCCCTCGTCATCCATCGTTTTGTGCTGACACACCCCACTTGGTTGACGGTTGCCGGGTAAAGCAAACCGTTTAGATGCCGAGTTGAGCCGTAGCCCGGCTGCGCGGCTGTTGACGGGCACAGCCGAAAGCCATGCTTGATCGCGACATGGCTGACACATCCATCGACCACCTGGGTGGGCGGAAACATATATACAACAACGCCCACCCATTGTTCAGCTGTCGTTCCCCTACATCCCTGCCGTGCACCAGAATTCACTCACAATGGCTGTCACCAAGCCTCTCCTCTTCTCGCCGATCAAGATTGGCTCGACGGCACTCAAGCATCGCGTCGTCATGGCCCCACTGACGCGTTTCCGAGCCGACCCCAAGACATTTGTCCCCTCGGAGATTGCGATCGATTACTACGATCAGCGTACTTCCGGTGAGCTCGATGCTGCCCTGCCCATAGTCGTTGTAAGCTAACAATATCCAGATGGTGGCCTGCTCATCTCGGAGGCGACCTTCATCGCCGAGGAGGCCGGCGGCATGAACGGCGTCCCCGGTATCTGGTCTCCCGAGCAAGTGACCGGATGGAAGAAGATCACGAGCGCAGTGCACGCCAAGGGTGGCCGCATCTTCCTGCAGCTTTGGGCTCTCGGGTGAGTTACTCAACTATAGTACCTGTGCTCAACTTGCAGTCGCGTTGCCAACCCCAAGATTGTCCAGCCCGTCTGGGGCACCACTTCCAAGCCCTACCTCGTTGGCAGTTTGGCTCAGCCCTCCGCTCAGAACTCGACCCCACTTACTCCCATGACCGCGGCCGACATTGAGCGCTTCGTGGGCCACTACCGCCGCGCTGCTGTTAATGCCATCGAAGCGGGCTTTGACGGCGTGGAGATCCACGGCGCTAACGGATACGTGGGTTCACGTGCCAGTTACCGTACACTAACTCGCTCAGCTCCTTGACCAGTTCATCCAGAGCGTCTCGAACGAGCGCACTGACGAGTACGGCGGCTCACTCGAGAACCGCTTCCGCTTCCCTATCCGCGTCGTCAACGAGGTTTGCGCCGCCATCGGTGCCGACAAGGTCGCCATCCGCATGTCGCCGTTCAACAACTACCAGGGCATGCGTGAGCCCGACCCGCTGGCCACGTTTATTCCGTGGGCCAAGACCCTCGTTGCTGCCCAGCCCCACCTGGCCTACATCCACGCCGTGGAGGCCCGTGGCGCCGGCGTCTCGGGCTCTGATGCGGCCTCGGACAAGGCGAGCCCGGATGATAAGCTTGACGATATCCGCCACATTGTGCAGGGTGCGGGGATCCCCTTTGTGGTTTGTGGAGGTTACACCCCGGAGACAGCCGTGGCGGAGGCTGAGAAGAATGGCGACATTGTGGCCTTTGGCCGCCAGTTCATCTGTACGTTGGAATGGAAACACCAACGTGTGAGCTGACATTGCAGCCAACCCCGATCTCCCGGCCCGCATCGAGAACGGCTGGCAGCTGAGCAAGTACGACCGCCCGACGTTCTATGCTGGCGGTGCGAAGGGTTACATTGAGTGAGTCGTTTTTATCAACGGATAAGGGCAGCGTAACTGACTCCGCAGCTATCCTTTGTACGCTTCCCGTCTCTAATGTTGGAAGTGGCGTGTAATTAAGCCACGAAGATAGTATATCAAGGCCATAGAAGCGTGAGAAGGAAGACGAGACTTGATCAGATGGCATGCAGATTGTAGTGACACCAAACGGCAGCCAGGCCAGTTAACCGAAGACGGGTAGTAGGGGATCCCTCTGGAGAACGACAACGCCAGTAGTCAGTGCCAACAGTCTTGCCCTTGCGGAACAAAGACGGCAATGGAGCTGTGTCTCCACTGTGACACTTCTTTTGTCGTGGCCTTAGTTTCACCGCCGTGTTCAGCCCACATCGTCTGACCGTCAACATGCCCGCACAGCTGTAAGCTTCAGACTCAATAGTAACGCCACTCAGACGACCAACGCCTTCAGGCCACCACCGAATGCAACCGCATTCCTTAAAAACATCATCGCAAACTTTTGTTTTCATACCCACCCGCATATAGGCAAGGTGGTCAATTGTTCAGCTATTTAGGAGGAACGTTCTGTGAATAGTTCCTCTATTATTAAAAACTGTCCTTCGTCCTTTTCTTGTGCTTACTTACTCCTCCTGCTTGAACCTGTAAAGCCTGTAACCTCGGCGGTATACCGTCGTAGGGCACTCGGCGATAGTGACCGTGACAGTGCTCGGCCCGCAGAACGTGCACTCGCCGTTCGTAGTCGAAGGCGGAGGCTGCGTTGAGGGCGGCGGAGTCGTGACGCTCGTGGGAGGGCCGGTGTGCGAGGTGTGCGGAGTGTGTGAAGTGTGCGGAGTGTGCGAGGTGTGTGAAGTGTGTGGCGTCTCAGTCCCAGGAGGAACCGTTCCGGTTCCAGTTGGGGGGGTGCCGGTGGAGGTGTTCGGTGTCTCAGTCCCAGGAGGAGCCGTTCCGGTTCCAGTTGGGGGTGTGCCAGTAGAGGTGTTAGGTGTCTCAGTCCCAGGAGGAACTGTCCCCGTTCCAGTCGTGGGGGTGCCGGTGGTGTTCGGTGTCTCAGTGCCAGGAACAGTTCCCGTCCCAGTCGTGGGAGGGATGCTGCCTGTGGTGACGGTCTTGCAGAAGTTGTCCAGGTAGGCGATGCCCATGTTCACCTCTGACTGACCATACTGGGTCAAACAGGTCACGATGTACTGGCGGTATTTTGAAGTACACTGGCATCCAACAGGGTCGGTTCGGCAGAGCTCAATGTTGACGTCCGCGTCGTTGAAGCATATGCCAGCACAACCAGAGAGACCGGGAACAAGCGTGTGCATAACGTCGCACGAGGTTGATGTTGACGTTGGTGGCGTAGAGCTGCTTTCTGGTGTGGAAGAGGGTGGCGACGTTGGCGGCACTGTTCCTGTGGACGTCTCCGGCGTCGAGGCAGGAGGTGACGTTGGCGGCACTGTTCCTGTGGACGTCTCCGGCGTCGAGGCAGGAGGTGACGTTGGCGGCACTGTTCCCGTTTCGGTTTCCGGGGTCGAGGAAGGGGGCGACGTCGGCGGAACCGTTCCCGTGGACGTCTCCGGGGTCGAAGCCGGAGGCGACGTTGGTGGCACCGTTCCCGTTTCGGTCTCCGGCGTCGAAGCAGGAGGTGACGTAGGCGGAACTGTTCCTGTGGACGTCTCCGGCGTCGAAGCGGGAGGTGTCGTGGGTGGTACTGTTTCCGTGGTGGTTGGGGGAACGGTCCCGGTCGTGGTGACACTCTTGCAAAAGTTGTCCAGGTACGCAATGCTCTCCGTCTGGTCCTCAATGCCATACTTGCTGGTGCAAGTGATGATGTACTCGCGGTACTCTGTCGTGCACATGCAGGCCACAGAGTCTGTCGAACAGCCGTTAATCGCCTTGTTTGCGGCATCGAAACAGCTCCCTGCACACGTCGACAGCCCGGGAATGACGGTAAAGTCGGCACCACAAGCCGTCGATGTCGGCGTACCGGTGGGCGTATTGGACGATTCGTTAGGCGGCGGAGTGGTGGTTGACTCGGTGGGTGGCACGGAGGTCGTGGATTGAATAGGAACCGTGCCCGACGTGACCCCGTTGCAGCGGGTATCAAGGTATGTAGTAACCTCGGTGACCTCGCCATACGGGCTCACGCATTGGATGACGTACTGGCGGAACTCGGCCGTGCACACACACGAGCTGTCGCTGTTGCTGGTCAAACAAATGTCGAGCGTGGTGGATGCCTTTTCGATGCAGCCACTTGCGCAGCCAGAGAGGCCAGGGATGTCGCTGGATCCGACATCGCACGCCGTAGAGGTTGGTGTCGGGGCCGTGGTGGTGCCAGTGGGTGTGCTGGTACCAGTGGGTGTGTTGGTCTGGGATTCACTTTGAGGGGGTACAGTGTTGGTCTCGGTGCTGAGTGTCGTCGAAAAGCCCTGGCATTGGGTGTCGATATACGAGAGGCTTTCGTTGACATCCTCCTGACTGTACTTGCTCGCACAATCGATGATATAGCTGCGGAACTCGGCAGAGCACAAGCACGCTTGGGCACCGGCATTGTTGGCACAGACATCAAGGGTCTTGGTGGCAGTATCGAAGCATCCACTGGCGCACGTCGAGAGACCCGGAATGGCAGTGACGTCCACACTGCAGGCAGTTGAAGTTTGCGTTGGTGGAGGCGTCGTCGAGGTCTCTGTCTCACTCTGAACAGGTGGTGTCCCTACGCTAGTGGTCTGGGAAACCGGCGGGGTCGACGAGCTGTCGGTCTGAACAGGTGGCGTGGTACCGGTCTGGGTATTCGGTGTTGAAGTGGCTTCAGAAGTGGAGGGCGGTGTGCCAGGAGTGGTGTACCCATGGCAGAGCGAGTCGCGGAACTGTTCGCTGGCACGCCTCTCGGCGGCGGAACACCCGTTGATGCAGTTGGTGACCGATTGCGTGAATGCATCCGAGCAGGTGCAGCTAAGGTCTCGAGTTTCGGCGCACTGCGGGGTCGAGCTGATGGCAGCGTCCCAGCAGTGACCTCCACAAATGCCGAGGCCTGGGATTTCGGTGTAGTCAGGCGGAGGAGGTGTGGTGTGGGTGGCAGTGCTTGGGGGGGTCGATTCACCTCCCGTCGGGGGCACAGAGGTGGATCCGGGAGGGACAGGCGTTGTCACCTGACCGTTGCAAAGGTTGTCGATATAAGCCAGGGCAGCTGTCTGGTCCGCGCTGCCATACTGACTGGCGCACTGACTGATGTAGTCCCGATACTCCGAGGTACATTTGCAGCTGTTCGAGTTGGACTGACACGTGCCACACTCGTACATGGCAGTGGTAAAACAGTGACCAGCACAGGCCGACATGTTGGGGATGGTGATAGAGGTAGCACCACAGGACGAGGCGTGAGAGGTTGGAGTACCGACAAAGGTGTAGGAGTTGTCGCCACCACCATCGCCGCCATGGTTACCACCGCCATGGTTGCCGCCGCCATGGTTGCCGCCTCCATAGCTGCCGCCGCCATAGTTGCCGCCACCATGGTTGCCGTCTCCGTAGCTGCCGCCGCCATGGTTGGAGCCTCCATGGTTCCACTTCCAGCCGCCACTGTAAGACCAGCCTTGGCCGGGAAGCCAGCTGGCCCAGTGAGCCATGGCGGGAGTCGCCGCGAGGGCTGCGACTAGTACGAGTCGCGCCATGTTGAACAAGTGTAAGCCAAGTCGAGATGAACTTTGAAAGAAGACTATGTCCAGCAGGCGAGAATATAGGTGACGCTGTGGTTACTTGACGGATGAAGGACTAAAGGACGTGGGAGCCGCATGCTTTATACCATTTGTCGGATTGTCGCATGCGCGCCAGCATCACAGGACCCCAAAACGGCTTCATGGCCCATCAACATGGCAGAGGGAGTGGGCACTTGCACCCAAGTCAACCGCACTGGGGCACTGGGAACTCTGGCGACCGGTGGTGAGGTACGATCATTCTCGTCTTGCCCCGAGATATTCATGTGTTGTTGGGTTCCTCGCCGATGTCGTCCCGGTATCATAGGATGATAGGATACATCGTTCCTGCTGCGCATGACCTGTATTTGGCCTCAGCAATCGCAGTCGCCGTGTGCAAGCTGGTCGGGCGGTTGGTTGGGTCTGCAGTCGGAGCATACAGTTGGGAGGAAAGGAGTATGAGGAACACCAAAGAACAGGCTTATAGAGAGACCAGGTCCCCGAACGGGACGTTGGGGTGGTCGCTTCTGTGAACTATGTCGAGGATCACGGCAAGATGTCGAGAGAAACGTCGAGATGTAGAAACGTTGGAGGAAGGCTGAATGAAGCATGCCTGTAAACAGCGTGCCTGCCATTGAAATTGCTTCCGGGGGCCCAGTTCGATCCCTAGACGAGTCTTGAACATAATGTTGGGTTGATGACAAGTCAGTACCATTGGGTCCAGAGCATGCGAGTTTCGTAGTAGAGGAGGCGGTTAGGGCTTGGGATGAAACAACCACAAGTCATGTGCAACAAGTATGTTGTCAGAGATACGAGATAACGGGAGTGTGAGACTGCTTACTGACGGGAGTGGTTTCATACAGCGCTTAACAACATCAATAAATTACTAGAATAGGTCTGAATAAGTGCTGGTCGGCAGGAGAGTAGCTGCATTGAGCATGCACCATGTTGCACATAAAACAGTGATACCTCGTATTTTGTCGCTCTCTTGGCAGCGCGACACGGACCGTCGCTGTTGTGCAAACCCCGGAGCGAATCCACCAGGTGAATGAAGGCTGTCTGGGCTCGCAAAATGGGTGCCAGGGCGTGCCGTCCCTGTCCCGGGTGCGGGCGGCTAAATCAGTGGACGCCGGAATGCCGAGATTGTGTGTCGTGCCTGCCGCACGTCTGGTGTTGTTGTCCGGGACTGGCGAACGTTGTGAGCAATATAGCGGCTTCTGCACCTAGGATGGCTGGACCATGCTGTATGAAAACAGGATCGCTCTCATTAAACAGAGTTGCGGCTGCGAAAGAGTGTGATACGGGGGCCCAAGAGACGGCTCTTGTCATGTTGTTGCTCCAACTTTAGCAAGTCGCAATTCATCACTACTCCTTGTTACTCAAAGCGGCCCAGTGGGGGAGTGAGTTGATGGCCGCTGTGGCTCTCAATGTGACGTACAATTACTCTGAGCGGGGCCCAGTTACCCACATTCTCATCGGGGTATGCCGGCAGCGGGAGCAGCATAGTTAGGCAACCGGTTGTCTCTGGTCATCAGTCACAGACGAACTCGCCATCACAGACATATACATAGTGGTAACCGGCCTTCGAAACGGAAAGTGGTAGCAGCACCCTAATGGTCCGTATGGTGGTAGGAGGATTCCCCAGTGATTCTTGAGTGACGCCTTTCAAAGCTGTTGCCGAAAACGCAAGCCACATGGATCTACCAGCATGCATGCTTCACCCCACACCAGGTGGGATGTCTACTAACGTTAAATCTAGATTCCTAGCTTTCCCGCACGCCTAGTGCGTGCGAGAACGACGGCGGCGCTTGGAGCACTTCTTCTTGCCGCTGCTCGCGATGGTTGGCGTTGAGGCGGGAGTGGTAACACTGGCGTCTTCGGCCAGGGTGGACTCAGCTACTGTGTCGTTACCGGCGGTACTTCCAATCGCAGTAGCCACCGGCGTCGTGTTGTCATTAGTGCTGTCCGTTGTTGGTTGGGCTGCAGCCTCATATCCAGGTGTAGAAACGACAGCTGTAGTCAAGTTACCAGTAGCGGCAGTTGAAGCAATAGCTGGGGTCGGGGTCGGGGTCGGGGTCGAAGCACCGGTCCCACCGCCTGTCGACGACCCATTGACAGTGGCGTACGGTCCGGAAGACGCTGGGGTGATGGCAATGTTCATGGTCGAGGTCGCAAGAGTGCCGGGAGCCCAGTCACTCTCGTTGACGGGTCCGAAAGCCTTGTGAGCCTCCCACAGGTCTGTTTGCGCTCCGTTCATGAACCCGTAGTCTTCATTGTAAAATGGTGGGTCGTGGCTCTCTTGGAAGTTGTTGTTGCGCTCCTTTTGCAGCCAGTAATGCATCTGTTTGGAGCCGACGGTGCAGTTGTTCTTGTCAAATGGACACTGCTTGGTGAGCAGGTTGGCGCACGTTTGTCAACTCACCTTGCGAGCTATCTCAGGCGCAGGGATGGATGGTGCAGTGAGGTCCGGGTTGGTGATGTTGCAGCGGTAGCCAATGGTGAACATCTGGGACGATCCAGCAATCTGATATCATTGTCAACACAGGCCGCTAACAGAAGAACAGGCAACTCACAGCACTGTGGATCCATCCCCACATGCAGTGGCACCCACCCTCTGGGCAGGCGGGCAAACCGGATGGGATCTGGAAGTCGGTATCGCGATACCACGCGCAGCTGTGGTTGGTAGTGATGACGGTAAAGTCCTCTGGCTTGATCTTGGTCACATCAGACTCGTAGGCAATGGCAATGGCGCAGCCCTTGAGATCCTTTGTCTCGCCGATCGGGGTGCCATAAGGGTCTGCCGAGTGGACAGAACCGTCCTTCTTCAGACCTGACATGATGTTCCCATCCTGGGCCTTTAGGGCAGAGCTGTCCTTTGCGTCGTCGTAGTCGTATCCATGGTCGGGGAAGTGTGTAAACTGAACATTGGAGGCAATCTGGGCGTGGAAGGTGCCACCGGAGGGAAGGGACATGGTCTCATTCGCGGCAGGCGGATCGTTCAGCTCGCCCTTGAACCACCATTGGTCGAATGTGAAGTCTGCCTCAGGCAGAGACATGTCCTTGGCCCAGCTAAATAACGGATGTCAGTGCAAACTCTCCTGTGAACCGGAGGTGGTACTCACCCGTACATGGCCGGGTGCCAGAGGGTCTGGTGCGCAGCGGCCGGCGCTGCGAGGGCCGCGAGGACCAAAAGTTGGATCATGTCGTTGGTGGTGTGGAAAAAGAATGTGGAGAGTTGGTCAAAGGAAGGTAAATAAGGAGCCAGTCCGTCGCGTCGAGCGAGGTGGTAAGACTGGAGAAAGGAAAAGGGGGGCAAACGACATGAAAAGCACAAGCGATAGATGTGTCGTTGCTTTATACCTCGTCCGTGTTTCGAATGTTTGATGCTCTTTGGGTCGCGCACGGAGGATGTGGACCTTGACAGATCCAGGCCCTCGATGTGTTGTGCCAAAATGGGTCTGCCGCCTGCGACGCTGTAAGCGGGAATCGCGGCAGGCGCGCCGATGAGAGGGAGGGAGCCCACAATGGCTTCACATGTGTGGTGTTGAAACACCACGCAAGGGGGGGCCATGCCAGGATCCTACCCCGCATTTCAGTCTTGCGCAGCTGGCGCGGCATGTAGGGGATAACCATGAGGGACGCGACTGATGTATCTCGCGGGTCGTAACAGAGTACATACGTGTCCTCGACGATAACACCAGGTTTGGGTTCCAAAGGCTCATCGCTTTTGCGTAGGTTCAATCGAGCGTGTGGTTTGTTTCCACGAAACTCTGTGCTGGAGCTACTGTCAGATGCACCAAGGAACTATCTTAGTGTGGAGCAGGCTGGCAAAAGAACCAGACATACGTTGGAGACTTAGTCGGACATGCGTATGCATACAGCGCAGCCAAGGGGCAGACGAATGAGAAACGGGGAGTGGACGCGGTCCAAGAGGGAACAACACTAGCCGCTGTGGTATTGAACGCAACTTGGAAAGAATAGACACGCACTGGCGTTCAGTGATCAGTGAGTGACGTGGTGGCGCATGCACGCAGCAGAGGTCAATGTCTCCCCTCAGGCGACCGTGCACGTCCTAAAACAGCGCACCCACGACCTCCAACGGACACTTGTGACAGTCTCTTCCTGTGGTAACTAACCCAAAATCTGTTTCGCGTCGCGTCCATGAGTGGCCGTCCACCGCGTCAATACGTACGCCTGATGCACGTACATGCGGGATGTCCTCTCGTTCTGTCCCAACAAGTCTCGACAAGCCTAGTTCCGTTTGCCAGGTCCCTCGCCAGGTCCCTCGCGCTCCTACTTCCCTTCGCAAGCCGAAACATTCCGCCGGCGGGTTCACCCAGGGGCCCGGGTCGTTTCTCCACAACCGCACTTTTGCGTACTCTTGCAGTACGGCATACGCACATAACTGAGGAGCTGGTACGGTACGCCTCGAAAGCGAACGAGACGAAGAACACGTGTTGCATAGGATGCGCGTTGCGAAGGATTCACGTTGCAAAGGTCCATTGACAGCGGTCATCATCTTAGGCCTCGTGTGGATCCTCGCGAACGTTGGCGCTCCTAGGTGGAGTGGCGCTTCCCCTTGCATGACCCCATTGCCGTTGGAGGTAGATGTACTTTAAATTTGAGTCCGAAAAAGAAAAACGCGCAGCTGTGCTCATGTATGGTGCAAGCTGTGCAGGTGCGTGGTATACCCTCCTGTCGGTTATCGGTATGCGGACGTTTGTCACTCTTTAAGTTGAATGCTTTCGAAACTTCGTGCCCAGTACAGATTGAGTGGAGTGTGGCCATGTCCCAACGGCACCTCAAACGCGTCTTCCTGCGGCAACTTTGCCTGCGGAGCACGGTCCTGTCGTCACCTTAACGCCTTCCCTCACACCCTCACGCCGCGGCACCGTCACACCTACCTTATCCCTCGCAGGCCAGCGGTGGCGCTCGGCTTCGGTCTCTTTCTCCCTGACCACCAACTGGGGACACCTCGACACCAGCCTCCACGGGCCGCCCCGCTCGCAACAGCGCACCCAGCACAGATCAATGATCAAGCTACATTGAGGACCTGAGGGGACCGTTAATAGAATACAGCAAGGGCGGCCCTCGACGCGGTTGTCAAGGTCTGTTTCATAGTCCCACACCCTCCCAACCGTCCGCAGACAAGAAGGCGAACGGGTCATCGGTGCCCACATTCGAGTCGCCGAGAAGATCTGCCAGCGCCTGGGGGTCATCAAAGAGCGGCAACAGGTCGGCCGGGGAGGTGTGGTACTCGAAGAAGTTCTGGAGCCCTGGTGTCGCAGTGGAAGATGCCGAGTTTGAGCTCACTGGCGGGAAAGGCATCTCGAGAGGTCCGGTGGACGGCGCGATGGGGGTGTCGTGCCTCATCGAGCTCTCGGCGACGCGCTGGAGTCGATCAGCGGATCGAGCAGGAGGCTGGTGACGGTCTGTGCGCTGACGGTGCTCAAGCGCAGCACTGTGCTTGGAGAAATGGCGGTCGCGGTCCATACCCTTACGCGCGATGGCCGCCTGGAACTGGTCCGAGATGGTGGCTATCGCGCGACGGATACCTGGGCCCTGGACAGACGACTTTTCGAGAATCTCCAATGCCGAGTGGACACGCTTCAGCGCTTCGTCCTGTGGCGGGCCCTCGGTGAGGCGTACGAGGATGACGTCTACACCAGCGGCGATAAAGGTGGTGTACATGAGCAGGTAGACATAGTTGATGTGCCCAAAGGTGCGGCCCCAGAGCGAGAGGATGGCGTGAATCTCGATCGCAGACGAACGGCACACGTCAAACGACGAGGTCGTGACACCAGAAGCCTGGTTGCGTACGGTCAAGAGAGGACGATAGAGCAGAATGCGCATGACGTGATACAAGAGGCTAGGCGTCAGTTCATCCCCCGAGAGACGATCACTCACTTGAGGACCACAATGTTTGTGGGCGGAGAAAACTCGGGTAGATTGCCACGCTCCAGAATGAGGGTACGCGGGAGGGAAGCGCGCCACGTCTTGAGTTTCTCATCTGTATCCTGGATAAACGTCGAACTACGCGCATGCGGTCGATGGGGCGAGTACATGTTGACGAGGATGGACTCGAGGATCATGTACATCGTAGCCGAGTGACGAAGAACATGTGAGATGCGCGCCCGAGTGGGAGGGTACCGTGCGCCGAGAGCAGTAGTCAGGCCTCCGCCCGGGATAAACGGATGCCAGTCCCAGTCATCGTCTCCATCGCGAATGTTGACTTCTGGAATCGAGTTGGGACGGACGAGAAGCGCAGGTTCGCGGCCCATACCTAGCGAGATTGTCTTGTCCCAAAAATATGCGCTCCAGTACAGCCTCACGCGCATGGCGCGGTTTTCCTGGTCCAGAGCGGCGTCGAGGAATGGCTCGGCGATGGCGAGGTGGATCCCTAGGTCTTGGATCATGCGGATACCCTAATTCCGTCAGCCAAGATCATCACATAATCAAAAGCTCACCATGCCTGTGAACATCCACGCTTGGGTATGGTCACCAACCGCACAGCGTGTGCCTGCTAAACTCAACAGTGCCTCTGGAGTTGGGTTAGCCAGGGGCACTCCTACGCTGTACCACCTCGGGATGGTCAAGGGCACTCACGAGCCGTAGCCACACTGCTCGGTTTGCAGAGCTCCTCTCCGATCATCGTCATAATAATGTTCATGTACCGCTGGGTGCGCACAGCACGCTCCTCTTGGTCGAGGTTGGGCGAGAAACGAAGGCCGGAGACATAGACGCACATCAGCAGGAGGTCGGAAAAGTATGGTCCGCCCATGGCCATGTCACCTGAAAGTCAGCGGAGCTCACCGGTCTTTTCAACTCACGCAAAAAGACATTGCGGCTAACGATACCCGTACTGGGACTCGTCCACATAAAGTATGCCTCGATGAGGGACTCGCCTTCCTCGGGGGTGGCGTATTTGTGTCGCAGGCGCCGGAGACCGCGCATCTCGACATCACTCCAGCCCTCAATGCTCGCACGTTGCTGAGTTCCTGGAGATGGTCCCATTCCAGCGTCTCGGCCGTCGTCGTGCATCGAAGTCTCGCCGTGGTACTCGTTCAAGTCTTCGCCACCGAGCTTGAAACGCGGAGGCTCCATGCCGTCTTCCTTCTGACTCTCATCGCTCTGGGATGTGGCCCGCAGGTGTTCAATCTTTGCAGTGTGAGAAAGTGGTGGGAGGTTGAGGTACTCCTCTATACGCGCGACGCGCGCTTCCATAGATGGCGCGATGGAAGACTGGCCAGCTACAGCGTCGGGTGCTGCTGAGACGGAAAGGGCTGTGGAAGTGTCGACTGAAGCGTCGTTCCCACCGCCATTAGAGCTCGGAACGGGTGGGGGACGGCGTCTGCGGCTGTGTTGAGGAAACTCGCACGGGATGCGCGATGTCCTGCATGCTTTGCAAGGTGGGTTCTCCGCTTCGACGCATCTAATCTTGCGAGCCTTACATGCCTGATGAATGTCAGCTCGGTTGGAGGAAGCCAGGACCATGAGCTTACCATGCAAGCGGCTGCATATGGCCGCTTTTTATAGTTGTACGTGTTGAGACGGTCTGTTGGAGGACTGCTTGCTGTGGGCGGAGATGGCCCGTTAGTCGGGGGCATGGCGTGTGTGAGAGAGTAGATGAGGAGGAGGATACGAAGGACATCAGTGGGCCCCGCTGGGTCATGTTGGTTCGAGGCCGGGCTCAAACCAAAGGCGGCACACACCAAATTGCTTCCGCCATACACACACAAAGAAGAGTTACGTAATACAGTATTACAGCCAACATGCAGCCTCCACCGGCGGTCTGCGCCGCTGTCGGAGTGCGATGGGGCATAGATATATAAACACACTCGTGCAACGATGCATGCGACGCTCCGGACGTCTCCGTCGTTGTTCACAGGGCTCTCTTCAGTTCGGCATTGGATCTCGGCTTTCGGACGCTGTGTGGCGAACGGACGCCTTCGGCCGCGCCGCCGATGGTTGTCGATGGGAATTCGGCGAGTATCCGGAATCCGGATTGTTGTTTACTCTGGTGGATTTCGCACAACCACACACACCCATGACGCACATTCCGAGCCATTCGTCTCCATAATAGCGATCCAGCGTCGGTGGTGGGCATGTCGGCATCTTGAACACTATTCTCTCCTTACCACTCACTCACTCAATCGCTCACAATGCCTCTGCATCCTCAACTCGGCGCCATGCGCGCCCTCCGCTCGTCGACAGCCTCCGCGGCCACCTCGATGTCTCGTCGAGCCTTCTCCAGCACCATGGACACTACGATGCTCACCGAGTCCCAACGTGAAGTGCGCGATGGTGTGGCCGAGGTCTGCAAGAACTTTCCAAACTCGTACTGGCGTGAACGTGACCAGACCAAGACGTACCCCTTTGATTTCCACAAGGCGATCGCGGACGGTGGCTGGCTCGGCGTCTCGCTGCCCGAGGAGAACGGTGGTTCCGGTCTTGGCGTGTCGGAGGCATCCATCATGATGCAGACTATCACCGAAAGTGGTGCTGGTGAGTGTTCTGCAGCAGGTCGTGTGACATACAAGCTGGTCGTGTGACATGCAAGCTAACCGATCAAAGGCTTCCCCGGTGCCCAGTGCACACATGCCAACATTTACGCGACCCAGCCTCTCGCGGTGTTTGGCTCAGCCGAGCAGCGTGCACAGCTGATTCCCAAGATTATCTCGGGAGAGTACCGTTCATGCTTCGGAGTGACGGAGCCCAACGCAGGCCTCAACACGCTCGAGCTCACGACCACCGCTACAAGGTTGGAGAATGGAGATTGGGTGAGTGGCGCTTCCTCATGCCTGCAGCTGACATTCCAGTCGATCAAGGGCCAAAAGATCTGGATCACCAATGCGCAGAACGCCCACATCATGTTCCTCCTCGCTCGTACGACACCCGTGGACCAGGTTAAGAAGAAGTCTGAGGGTCTCACCATGTTTGCCATCCCAGTCGACAAGTCCAAGAACGGCATCGCGATCAAGGCCATCAAAAAGATGGGTGGTGGCTGCGTCGACTCGAACGAAGTGTGGTTTGACGACTATGTGGTGCCCGGCGACTGCGTCATTGGCGGCGAGGAGGGTATCGGCAAGGGCTTCCGCATCATCCTGCACGGCATGAACTCTGAACGGTGTCTTGTCGCTGCCGAGGCTCTGGGTATTGGATACGCCGCACTCCAGAAGGCCGCCGACTATGCGGGCGACCGTGAGGTATTTGGACGCAAGATTGGCCAGAACCAGGGTATCGCCCACCCACTCGCCGACGCCTGGGCCCAGCTTCACGCAGCTTCTCTGGCGACATACCATGCCGCAAGGCTGTACGACAACGCCCTTGTTGACAAGACCATCTCGCCCATCACCGTTGGTACGGCAGCCAATACGGCCAAGATGCTCGCGGCCGAGGCCGGGTTCAATGCCGCCCAACGCGCAATCCTCACACATGGCGGCATGGGCTTTGCAGCCGAATTTGACGTCGAGCGGATGCTCCGGGAATCATTCGTGCCGCGCATCGCTCCAATCAGTGGCGAGATGATTCGCAACTACATCTCGGAGCGTGTGCTCAACCTCCCCAAGAGCTACTAGGTGGAGTCTCACTTGTAGAGTCGCATGTCAGGTGTCTAGTCTGCACATTTGGCCACGGCTGTGGGGGATATCATAGCAGACCACGACAGACCTTCAACTGAGGACCACCGCATCCTTCACTTAATCGACCAAGCCACTGTGGCCCTACGATACAACATCGCTATGTGGTCACAGGATCTACACATACTGAGCCGACGACCATGTTAGTAAGATAACTGAACAAACTACTACTTGGAACCACGAGTTGACGAGCAATGGATGCAAGGGTACGTGTGCTCGTCATACATGCGGACTTGTTCCATGGCGTGCGCTTCCTGGAGATCGTGAAGGAGGTTGTTGGTCGTGATCAGGTCCAGTGGGGTCATGCCAGCCATACCGGCGAAGACCTTTTCGTGATGACGGGCGAGATAGTTGCCCTCATCATTGGCATAAGCGTGACCATAGAGGTACGTTCCCGGAGGATAGTCGTCGTTGTATTTCTCGAGGTTGGAAGTGGGGCCGACCTCGCTCTTGCCGCCGGGGAAGGTGAATTGGCGGTTGAAATCGAAAGGGTTGGTCCAGAGTTCCCGCTCGGTAATGGTTGCCGCGCCCCGGTGGAGAGTAGTATTCGACGCATGCTGCTCCAAAGGGGTACGAGTGATGACCTTTTGCTGATAACTGGAGTTGACCTTGGTCTGGACGAGTATCGCTTCACGGGCCTGGTGTTTCGTGGCCTGATAGTCATATGACATGGCACCGTCCCATTCTTCCTTGTCAAGAGCGGCATCTTGAGCATCCAGTTCGGCGTGGAGGACGTCTTGCAGGCTGTAGCAGTTACTTTGGGCAAGTTCATGCTTGCCTTGGGTGCTGGGAACGGCGGGGCGAGGTTCAAGCGCAGGGTTGGGCAGAGGGGGTTGACTGGATGGGACTTGGGGGAGAGGGAAGGGGCTGGCGACCCGTGGAGTGAAGGCATGGGGCTGCAGCCTTGGGTTGGGCGAGGTTGGGTCGCGGTTGACAAAGAGGGGGTGCTGGTGGAAGTGTGACATGGGGGCGAACGGGTAATAAGCCACGTCGGACCTGGTAGGGTTGCGTAGCGTCAGCAAGTGCATCCACCAAGACTGGATCCTTGACGCTCCTGGCCAACACAGAAACCTGCATGTGCTACTCACTGCCCATGCCGATGTGGATGCGTGAGTTGAGATGTGGACATTCTGTGATGGTGGAGTGTACAATGTCGAGATGGAGGGAAGGTCAGGAGGGAAGGTCAGGAAAGAAGACAAGGACGGTTACGGGTGGTTGACGCGGCTGCCACTCACGCGGTGGATAATCCGGCGTCAAAATCCCAGCAGCCAAGTCACACATGCGCACATTGCACCTCGATACCTCAATGTCATCAACCACAATGAGGGTTGTGACACCAGTATCAGAAACGTATCGAACATATTGTAACGTACTCTCTTCGCTTTCGGTTGCAATGTGCTGGACACTGGTACACTGACTACAGCACAATCGCCCGCTCACAGTTGAGACGGGAATCGAACGGCTTTAATTCCGGCATGTGCTGTCACACCGCGGCGGACGGTAATATTGGGAGCTTCCTTGTACCACCAACCATTCTTCAAATGGCCGCCGCTGGAGGCCATGGACAGCGCTTAACATCCCCTTCCTACAACCTATGAACACTCGCTCCTCCCCAAACCATTATGAATGTTGTGACTGACTACGCTACTGGTCCTTTAGAATGTGTAGCGGAAATGGACGTTCTGGCGATCCGTCATGTCGGTCTCGCCAGCAAGCTTGCACTGGTACTCCATCTCCTCAACAGTAACACCGGAAGCCTCAAACGCCCGGTCGCGGCGCCTGTTCTCGAAAATGTAGTACACAACCCATACGACCATGAGGACGACATTGACCATCATGACGCACGCGGTCCCGGTAAGACCCTTGAGATACTTGGGCGCGTCCGAGGCGACGAACATCTGCGAGCCGATAATGTTACCGACGCAGTAGGTGACGAGAGAAGTGGCCGAGAGCCAGGCCTTCTTGGTACGCCCAGCAACGTTAATGGACATGAGAGGCCAGCACATGAACATGCCTGTGGCAAAGACTGAGGTGAGGATGTAAACGCCCCACTTGGTCCACATGGCCGTGTCGGCGGGAGCGAGACCGGTGTAAAGGAAGGCCGCGCACGAGAACAGTGTGGCAAAGATGGCCCAGAAGAAACGCGTCTTGGGGAAGAAGGTCACTGCGATGGCGGGGACCATGACAAACACAAAGCCGATTGCCTGGGTGGGGAGACCGTACAGAACCGATTCCTCAGCAGTGAAGCCCAGGGAGAGGTAGATGAGGCCTCCAAAGGTGGTGAGACCTCCGTTGGGAATGGTGACGAGAATGTTGAACAGGATGAAAATGTAGTACTGGGGGTCACGGAAGCACTCCTTGACTTGAGACCACTTCCAGGCGTGCACTTCACCGCCACCGGCTGGACATCCGTTAGTACTCGTCGTATAGGTAAGTATGATCTGTGGTCACTCACTTGCGTTGGATACAATGCGCGAACGGGCCATCTGCTTCTCGCGGGAGGAGAGCCACCAGACCTCCTCTGGAGTGCCGATAAAGCAAAAGTCAAGGATACCGACCGCGACGGTGATCGAACCGAGGAACAGGTTGATGACGCGCCACGCGGCCAGACCGCCGTGAGTGGCGACATGGAGGGCAAGGTAGTAGATACAGACACCAGAGATGATACCAAAGAAGGTGTTCATGGCGTAGTAGCAGCATTGGCGGAGGGTCTGCTCACGACGGAGGTACCAGGACGTGGTGAGAATGGCAAATCCAGGGATGATTACCGATTCGAATACGCCAAGGAAGACACGCACAGCGGCGAGCTGAGCATAGTCGTTGCCTGGACCATGTCAGACATGCTTCAGCTGCGGGATATTACTCACAAGCAGCAAGGCACATCACCATGGCACCCCACAGAATGATACAGATCGACAGCGATTTGCCGAGGGGAAAACGCTGGATAAGCCACGACATGGGGAACTGGGCGACACCGTATGCCATGTCTGGGACAGTTAGATGACGAGGCGATTTGGAGGCCCACTCACAAAAGAGAGTGGTTAGGTTGGCATATTGGTTGCCGACCAAGCCTGTGTCCTGGCGAAGGCCAAAGAGAACACCAGACGAGAGGGACTGCTTGTCGGCGAACTGCAGACCATAGGTGAGCATGAGAAGTGGCTGCAGTGGTTAGTGTGGGGCTCTTGACGGACATCCGCTGGGTGTGACATACCATAAGGAACCTGAAATACGTTAGCCGGAGAAGGATCGGCACCAAGTGCCACAAAACTCTGCACTTACAGGTCGACCTTGCGTACGAGCTTCTTGTACTCTGCGGGAGTGTACTCGTGCTCTCCCAGAATGTGCTTCTCGGCAGCAGCGAGCTCATCGTCGTCGGTAGAAACAATCTTGACGCCGACATCGTTCTCTTTCGAGGCGACCGTGTAAAGGCCAGAAGCCTTCTCGTCTGTAGACAACATGACGCGGTGGTAAACGGATAGTGGGATGGAGGGGAATGTGTCCCTGAATGGGGCGAGGTTGGAAAGGATGGGTGTGGTGATCAACGAGATACGGCTATATTATAGCAAGTCGTCCTGTAGCAATCCACTCGGGCGGGTTGTGTCGTGGAGTATGTATGTAGCAGCGATAACAAGTGGTCGAGGTTCGATAAGCGTTTGGGAAAGAAGGCACCGCCAGAAAGTGGGAGTCAGGCAGCTTAAAAGTCGCCAAAAAGCAGCGGCTTTGAGTGTAACAGCATCTGATGATGAACGTGGGTGCCTCTGGGCCACCGCCGTGCCCGATAAGTGAAGTCATATGGCGATATCAGTAGAAAACCAATTCTTGTTGGAACACCGTCTGTATCCTGCAGGGTTTCATGGCGAAGAGCAAGCGCCAAGGGCATGCGTTGCTCGTTCCGCGGCTCTCGTGCCCATGGAATGTAAAGAAGCTATCTCGTTTTGTCAGTGCGTTTCCGGGAATCAGTCGCGTCTTGGTCGGCAAAGCAGCCAGCGGGATCGCAGGACGGAAGATAGGGTACATTGGCAGCTTGGCTCCTTCGTGCTACGCCTAAATCCTGTACAGCAGCCTCTACTGACACCCCACATCATTCTGAGCGTATTGCACACTGTGAAGCATGGATTATGCTATGCACCGTAAGGCGAGGGCACAGAAAGACAGAATGGAGACTACATCGCTAATCTGACCATCGCCAGGTGCCCAATGGCAACAACCCACTCAGGGGACCCGGATATTGTAACTCCACGAGTTGCCAACAATCACTCGGATGTTGAACATCCAAAAGATCGTATGCATGGGTTTGCATATCAAAGTGAAGACCGAGGACACATGAGAGCGCGTGAGACAGACCGAACGGAGCGCCACCGTCGGACGAGGGGGGTGCTTACGGCCATCGCCGCCCACATGCGGGCCGGAGAAACACCGGCCCAGCGGCCAGCGGCCAGCCAGCGGCAAAGCGTCGCGCTTCGAACCCCGCCGTTGCTTTTTCTCCATTTTGCCGCGCGGATCCGCCGAAAACAAGCGCGCCGTCACACGCACACAACATTGCAATCACGTACACATTCACAATCTCCACCACATCCATTAATCTCCAATGAGCAGACATCCGGGCCTCGGTCAGGAGGCTCACAGCTCCGTCAATGCTCATGGACTTGCGCGAGGGCCAGCATACTTGGCCCTCCGACCTCCGCAAATAGCCCTTCGGCACCCATTCGCTCACTTGACGGCTCAACAGGCCGATGCCCCTCAACATGGTCGTAATCCGATGGCCCAGGGCATGCACTCTGGATCATCGACGCCTCCTATAGCCTCTCGCCGCTCACCGCCCAGTAGGAGCGACTCGGATCCGTCGATTGCGCAGGCCCAGTCCTCTGTGGGTCGTGCCCCGGGTCACCGTTCTCGTAACGGCTGCTACACCTGCCGCCGGCGCAAAGTCAAGTGCGACGAGCGTACACCCGTGTGCATCAAGTGCGAGTACAGCGACAGAAAGGCAGGTATCGATGTATGGAGCATAGATGTTGACGAGGACAGTGCGAATGGCCGCCAGATGACCCCCTCATCCGACGCAAGAACCGGCCGCGCAAGATGAAGCTCGGCCTTGCCGACGCCGAGGAGGAAGGCATCATTGGCGCGCATGCAGCTGCTGTTGCAACCGCAGGTGCTTCTGTACGTCCCACGTTGGACGAGCGAGCAAGGCGAAAGATGCGCGTGCCCTTGGACGCCCTCAAGGCTTTTGCCGCTACGTTGCCCCCGCTCAAGTCGATCAAGGGCTATGACAAGACTCTGGCCGAGAGCCTCATGCCCAGCAAGCTACGGGCGAACATGATGATGGACTCGTGCGTTCGTGTGCTGTGTGCTGTGTTGACCCCTCCCAGTGCTTTCCTCGCCCCTTACTTTCCTGGAGTGTGAGCTTCAAGTCAAGAAGGCTGTACTGACCAATGTCCAGCGACGAGCGACTCATTTTCCGGCACTACATTTCGCGCACCGTTCACCTGAGCATTGCCTTTGACGATTCCACGAGTACCTGGAACCCATGGCTAAACCTCATTGCCCCTCTAGCTTTCACACATCTACCAGGGTGAGTTTGCCTGTTGCGCCAGACCTCGATACATGCTGACGCGGCGTACCCGTTGTCTCCGCGTCTTGCTCAATGTTTGGCACGCTCAGATCATCCGCGGCCGCAGATGCCCTGCGAACTGCGCTCCTCACTATTGGCTCTGTACACCTGCACTACATTGCCGACCCCAACGACCATGCCGGTGCTGGCCGTATCATGAGCTTGGCTCGGCCAAAGGTTCTCCGCCTTGTGCGCGATGCCCTGGAGGGACCGAATGGAGAGGCAAAGGAAGTGGACAAGCTCGAGGTGGAGCTCATCCTCGCTGCGCTCCTCGGGTGCATCATTGCTAGCGTAAGTTGGATCTACATCGACAGAGGCTAACCGTCCCAGTCACTCGCCTCTGACGACGGCTGGCACCCGCTCCTATCGGCAGTCATCTCGTTTGTGACACAGATGGGTGGGACGCAGTCGCTCCTCCAAGACGCACCGCGAGACCACCTCTCGACCAGCCGTTTCGTATTGGAGCAGCTCGCCATTAGGGATGTCTTTGGCTGTATGACCACCGAGCTGGCCCCCACCATCCTACGCGACGCCTTTACCCCCTGGTTCTTTGAGGCCGAGAGCTGGTCGAGGACCGACCAAGAGTGGGAGAGTGTGGAGCGCATGTTTGGTGAGTTGTGTCCTAGTGTGGGAAGCTGACACCCTCAGGTATATCGCGTGGAATGGTCGACCTTATTGCGAGGGTAGGTCTTTGATACCACTGGCATGTCTAACTTGACAGACATGTACGCTGGTCTCCAACGTTCGCCAGGCTGGGCGGAGGATGACAGAGGGCGATGACTCGCATCTGGAAACCCAGAGTGATATGCGTACCTCCAACACCGACATGGAAATAAACCCTGCTGCCCGCGCCGAGCTGGAAGAAGAGGCAGAGGGCCTCATGGCCGAGCTCAAAGTCTGGGACGAGGCGTGCAACTTTACACCGTACCACCCACGCACACAGTATGGCAACATTGCGCACCGCCACGCCATGACAATTCGGCTCCTCCGAGATGTGTTCAACGTCCCACCCACGGACAGGAGGGTGTACCGCGCCGCGCAGGCAATCCTGGAGCTAGCCGTGGAGATGGTGGTGCAGTACAGCACAATGGTTTGGTGAGTGACAGACAATGATAGCTGCTAACGTGTCAGGCTAACGTGGCCGGTCGTTATCGCTGCATACCAGCTGCCCAAGGGCGACGAGGCCAGGGAAGTTGTTCTCGACTTGCTGGAGAACCCTGGGTGGGTATGAAGCACTCGTCATTGCTGACCACTCAGACCGCACTCGTGCTTCGACATGAAGGCCGCCCAACGAGTTGTTGTGGCGTACTGGGAGTTCCACGACGACGACAAGCACCCACCTGGTGCATGGGAGATAGCCAACGCCGGTCAGCGGCCGTTCTTCGATTAGATTGGACAGTGGACATTGTGCCAATACACACAGACGGCTCTGTCTTTTAGTAATACGAGAGTGCAATGTGACGTGCTGGAGTGCTACGCAACGGTGCTGCACAGAGCAAACTGCCTGGCGAGTAAGACGCGGCTTACGCCGTCCACTTCCCATATCCATATCCGCGTCCATATCCATATCCGGCGACCCTCTCTTCGTCCGTGAGAAGAGAACAGTCTCCGAATGTGTTGCCAGGGTGCCAGTTCAAGATTTCCAACTGCACAGAGAGGCGCCGCCACCGGTAGCCTCATGGGACCCAGCCTGCAATTGTTGGAAAACGAAGGAGCACCTTGGCCGCAGTTATCAACCCGCATGTACGGCAATGTGAATATCCGTCGCCACAGGCGATTGTAGTTTGGGCAGCTCTAAAGATTTGTGCATGAAATAAAACTGGACGATAACGTGTTGATTAACTAAGACAAAGGACACCTGCTTTATAGAGCCGCCTCGCACTCCTTGATCGACTTGGCAATGATAGAGACGATCTGGGTAATCTCCTTGGCAGTGACAATATAGGCCGGGGCGAGGACGAGGCTCTCGCCGTTGTCGCCGTCAATGGTGCCGCTCATTCCCAGTGTCATGAGTCCATTCTGGAAGGTGCTTGCCTTGACTCGGGCGGCGAAGCGGGGGTTGAGGCTCTTGGGGAGGTCAAACTCGATGCCGATAAACAGGCCCTGGCCGCGGACGTCGAAGACCGTCTTGCAGTCCTTGAGTGCCTCCCTGAGCTCGGCGACCATCTGCTGGCCGCGGAGGCGGACGTTGGCGTACACGTCCATCTTTTCCATCTTCTTGAGAACAGCCAGGGCCACAGCGCAGTTGATAGGGTGGTTCTGGTAGGTGTGCGAGTTCTTCCAAGCACCGGCGTTGTTGATTGCGTTGTACACTCGAGCGTTGGCGAGGACACTGGAGATGGTGACGTAGCCGGCACCCAGGCCCTTGGCCATGGACTGGATGTCGGGGCGAACACCTTCAGCAACGGACTGCCAGGCAAAGAGCGTTCCCGAGCGACCCGAGCCACACATGACCTCGTCCATCACCAGCAGGATGTCGTACTTTTTCAAGACCTTGTCAATGGCAGGGAAGTAGCCCTTAGGAGGTGGCATGACACCGAGAGCCGTGCCCACGACGGGCTCTGCAAAGAAGGCCGCAACGTTCTCGGGACCAAGCTCGAGGATTTTGGCTTCAAGCTCCAATGCTAGACGCTCAGAGTAGGCCTCCTCCGTCTCGCCCTCGAAGGCGCTGCGCTTGTAGGTCGGCGAGGGAACATGCTTGTACGCGTCGGGGATGTAGGGAGAGTAGAGGTTGCGACGACCTGGAACGTTGCCGGCCTACATGGTCAGCGAATCTCTGTCTTTGTGGCACTTGGGTTTGTGTACTTACTGCCAGGGCACCCAGCGTGTTGCCGTGGTAAGAAGGAAAGCGGGCGATGACATACTGTCGCTTGGGCTGTCCAACCTCGAGCCAAAACTGGCGAACCATCTTGAGAGCGGCCTCCATTGCCTCAGAACCCGAGTTCAGGAACGCGGCTGCTGCAAAGTTGCCCTCGGAACGATCGATGAGGAAGCGGGCAAGGTCCTCGCCGGGCTGGTTACCGAGGAGTTGGTGATAGGCATAGGGCATCTTGGCAGCTTGGTTCGCCATGACCTGGACCAAGTCGGGATTGTCAGAGCCAAGGCACGCAACGGCGGCACCACCGCTCATGCAATCGATCACCGTGCGGCCATCGTTGAGAGTGAAGGTGAGACCAGAAGACGACTCGGCGATCGGACAAGGAGTCGAGGTGACGTGAAACTGGACCGAGGAGGTGGAAGCTTGGGCGGAAGACTTGAGGGCCGCGATAGGGGCAGGAGTGACACGGTCGACGGCGATAGGGGCCATTGTTGTGGAGAGGGGAGGAGTGCTGTGCTGAGGAGATGGTGATGGTGAGCAGCTATGTGTGAGTCGTGAGGGCTTCTTATACGGCGAGGCTCAGTTTCTGTGCTTCTTGTCGCGCTGGTTGGGAAGACGGACTCTGCATGTTGGCCGAGGGATAAGCGCGTCTCTGACGCGCAGTAGGCGGTGATAGTCCGAGCAGATAGCCGTCGAGGCCACCGACAACAAGGTCGGCGCCACCCTGAGCCGTTTGGGGTCTGAGTCCAGGCTAGAGGCTTGTGTGCGGCTCCATCCGGACATCGTGGCCGCCGCCTAACTCTTAAATGCTGCGTCTTTCGCCAGAATCGCGGCTTTTTGGGCTTTACCTTGGTCTTCAAGTGATAGCAAGGGGCCTTATCTGAAATCGGTAGCTCGGCTCATGTGGGTAAACCGGAGGGCAAATGGAATTAAAGCGCCTCTTTGGCCCCGCCCCGGCTTGCACCCCCTGAGCTCGGTCTTTGCCGCTTCGCATATACGGCGCAAACGACATCCGTGCAAAGGCTGACGTGCGAGGGGTCCACAGTCAGGCCCGTTCCATCGAAAGAACGGTCTTCACTGGATCTCTGCTCGTCGGGGGCGGCTGTTGTTGCAAATTCCGATAATCTACAGTAATCCGACGTGGCCGAAGGCCTCCTCTGAGCAACGTTGTGGATGTACGACATCCGATGACTGAGGGCATCCCATTGCCGCTGAACTCTTCAAGAGGGCGCTCCTTTCAGCTCTATCCAGTATCAGACCCACACATTCTTCACACTACTGCCACCATGACCATCGAAGCTTGGGAGAAGGTTGCGGCCGACAAGGTCGCCGCACGCGAGGCGCTCATTCCCGCTGAGTGGCGTATCACTGTTCCCAAGGGGCTCAACGTCATCGATGTTCCTCGCACCTGCGGCCTCCTCAGCCCTGCCGAGCTCAAGATCACCGAGACTCCTGCCGTTGAGCTCATCGCCCAGATGACCAAGGGTGCACTCACCAGTGTCGAAGTCACCACTGCATTTAGCAAGCGCTCGGCCATTGCCCACCAGCTCACCAACTGTCTCACTGAGATCTTTTATACCGAAGCTCTCAAGGCTGCCGCCGAGATCGATGCCGAGTTTACCAAGACCGGCAAGTCGGCTGGCGCCCTTCACGGTCTCCCCATCTCGCTCAAGGATAATGTCAACGTTTCTGGCCTTGACTCGACCACTGGCTTCATCAGCTACGCCAACAAGCCTGCAACGGACGCTGAGGAGGCCGACTTGGTTCACACTATCAAGAACGCGGGTGGAATCCTGTTCTGCAAGACAAACGTCCCTACTGGTATGGTACGTGCTATACAGTGACGTAGCCACCGGGAAAAGAGCTGATGGCTGCAGCTCATGGCCGAGACCTACAACAACGTCTGGGGCTACACGTCCAACCCTTACAACACCGAGTACGGCTGCGGAGGCTCCTCGGGTGGTGAGGGTTCGCTCCTCGCTCAGCGTGGTTCGCCGCTTGGCGTCGGGACAGACATTGGCGGCTCCGTCCGCATGCCTGCGGCGTCCAACGGCATCTTTGGGCTCAAGCCTGCTGGTGGCCGTCTGTCGTCCCTCGGCCTGCGGGCCGGCTTGCCTGGCCAGGAGGCGATAAAGTCGGTATCTGGCCCAATGAGCCAGGACCTCTCTGCCCTGGAGCTCTACTGCAAGACCATCCTGGATGCTGCCCCTTGGGAGCGTGACCCCAACGTCTTCAACATTCCCTGGCGCGAGATCACCCTTCCTGAGAAGCTCTGCTTTGGTAAGTGCAATTAGACTTGGGCAATCTAGCTGACAATCAGGTATTCTGATGGACGACGGCATTGTCAAGCCTACACCCGCTGTCACTCGCGTGCTTTTGGAGACCAAGGCCGCTCTCGAGGCACAGGGCCACACTGTCATCGAGTGGACGCCTTACGATGCTCCTGCTGGTAACCAGCTCCTCATGCGTTTCCTGATGGGTGACGGCGGCTTCAAAATGCGCGCTCAGGTTCGCGAGGGGGACATTCCAGAGCCCTGGCCCCAAGCTCTCGAGCCGTTTGAGCAGCTGTACGCCATGTTCAAGGACAAGCCGCCCACCGTCGGCGGACTCTGGGACCTCCAGATCCAGCGCGTCACCTACCTCCGCAAGCTGCTGGAGGGTTGGTACGCGACCAAGGACCTTAGCGGGACCGGTCGCCCCATGGACGGTGTCATCTCGCCCGTCACTGCCTTCCCGTCGTGCCCACGCCACACCTTCAAGCATGCCGGTTATACTGCGCTCTGGAACCTTGCCGACCAGACCGCATGCACCTTCCCTGCTGGCTTTGCCAACAAGAATGATGTCAAGCCCGACGAGCAAGAGTTCCGCAACGCCGAGGAAAAGGACATCTGGGAGCAGTACGACGCCGATCGGGTGGACGGCATGCCTGTTGGTCTCCAGGTGATCGTTACCCGCCATCAAGAGGAGCTGTCGCTCAAGCTTGCAGGTGTGGCTTTTGAGGCTCTCAAGGAATACCGCAAATAGATCGCTATAGCAGAATAGAGTCCGTAGCGCTGTTGGTAATGGATTAAGTTTGGATTAAGTTCGTGAACGGGAGGAAGGGCGATGGATCACACGTCGCTTCTGTTCACCACGAGTGTTTCGGTTGTACATCCAGTTGGCATAACACGCTGTGAGCTTTGGCCTACTGTGCAGTAAGCAGATGGTCCCCCGGAGCTTGCATCTGAGGCCCGAGTTCATGTGCTGTTGGCATCGGGGATCGCCGCTTGCAACGTGGGGCCCAAGTCATAATGTTGGAATACACGACCGCCGTCCATGGATCCATGGCGAATAGTTTGAGAAACATTGGACCACATTGAGCCAAAAGCCTGGAACCGGGAGCGCCGCAGCGCCCATCACGAAAAAGGTCCTGCAAAGATGCAGAGCAAGCAGGTGCGCTGGTGTGCGCACTCAGGGGCGCCAGCCGCAAGGTTTCTTCGGACCTGCCCGTCCATACGGGCAGGCCGGGATCTTTGGCAAATCCAGGTCGGCAAACGCGTCTCATGCGCGTCTAATCTGGGTGGCGAGGCACGCGAGGTCAAATCCCGAGATATGGTGGTCAAATGGGTCTACGAAGACACTCGAGATATCTGCCAAAAATGCGAGTTTGGCAGATATGCGGAATTGGACCTCGAGTGAGTGGCTGACTGCGGTAAAGACATTATTAGCGAGGGAAATGCATTGGTGGACAGCACCCGCCCACCATGTCGTCTGCCCATATTCCTGAGCGACCCAGCTCGACCAGCTCAGCAGAGACAGTGTACTCTGCACCACTGGAGAAGCAGAATAAGGCGATGGCGGAAGCCCCAGTGCCGGCTTCCCCTTTGTCCGACGCATCCACATTGCACACCGACACAGACACCATGCACTACAACTACGAGCCACCAGACGGCGGACGAGAAGCCTGGCTCGTCATCTTCTCGGCCTTTCTCCTCATGGTCTGCGTCTTCGGTTTCGGTGAGAATCCCGACTACTGTTACCTTGCATACTAACGATGCAGTCACATCCATGGGCCAGTTGACCTCGTACTATCTCGAACACCAGCTAGCAGCATACACAAAGGCCCAAGTTGCATGGATTGCGACGGTCCAAAGTACCCTGGCATTCTTTGCAAGCATATTCTTTGGACGCTTGTTCGATGCTCATGGCGCAACGTGGCTGGTGCGAATCGGCACCACGCTGAGCATCGTGGCTCTTATTGGCCTTGCTTGTGAGTATAGTGATGATGAAGGGAAGTGCTGGTGGATTAACGGACCAAGTTTGCACAGACTACTACCAGTTCCTTCTCGCCCACGCTCTCTTCGGATTCGCATGCAGTGTGGTCTGGTCACCAGCCGCATCTATCGCAGGACATTGGTTCACCACGCGCCGATCCACGGCAATCGGTATCGTAGGGTGTGGCTCTGGTGTAGGCGGCGTCCTCTTCCCCATTGTCCTCGCGCATCTTCTCCCGGTCCTCGGATTCCGAGACGCCATCTTTGTTGTCGCTGCGATCAACGCCGTGCTCATGGTTCCATCCTGGATCTGGCTGCGAACGAGGCTGCCCCCTCGTCAGCCCTTACCATGGTCACGACTCGCTGCCCAGTGGAAGGAACCCCGGTACGCATGCCTCGTCGTTGGCAGTGCCATCGTCATGCTCAAGTGAGTACACGCGTCTTACAGCTGCGTTCCGAAACTGACAAACGTTACAGCCTGTTTTCGCCATATTTCGACGCTCCAGTCCTAGCCGAGGCGAATGGCGTACCTGCTGCCGTCAAAACATACGCCATTGCCATTCTCCAGGCGGGCTCGACCCTGGGCCGTGCTGCCAGTGGAGTCATGGCAGATGCGTTTGGCATCTGGCGGGTCTTCCTGGCCACGGGTTTGGCCACTGCCGTCGTCCTCTTCGCGTTCTGGACTGTGCCTGTGGGGACAGCTCCGACTGTGCTAGGCATGCTGCTGTACGGTTTTACCTCGGGAGCGTGGATCATGCTGCTCTCGGCCGTCACAGTGTCCATCTCCAAGCCAGAGGAGGTGGGTATGCGCGTAGGCATGTGCTGGACAGTGGTCAGCCTGCCGATCCTTGCAGGGCCGGTGATTTGTGGAGGTGAGTGCTCGGTCGCCAGAGAAACAAGCTGACCCTTTCAGTTCTTATTGCTGCCGACGACAACAAGTTTACAACAGCCGGCATCTTTTGCGGAATCACCTATGTTGTAGGATGTCTCCTCACTGTAATGCCTCGCGGAGTGGAGAGGTGGCGGGGGCCGGGACGCAAAGCGGATGTTGAAGCGCACGAAACATGCGTGTGAGGGAAAAGGGGGACAACAGGTCTGTGGCGAATCGGTATTTTTGAAAAGCAATGACTTTGCATATGTTTATGGCCTCTAATACGTTGCGACTCCACCAGGGAGCCGTATGTATGCGCTGCTGTGTATACAAGGTCTATAGAGGGCACTTGGTGTTCATGATCGCGCCGTCGGCCTTGAGGATCGACCAGATATCCGACTTGCTGGCGTACAGGTCCATGCTGTCGCTGCCACCGCCCTGCCACACGCTCGAGCCCTGTTTCGTTAGCTATGCTCGAGGAGTGTGTAGCTCACTGTGACGCTGAGGTCCTCAGCACCGAGACCCCAAGGCATCCAGCCAGAGAGACCACCGCTGATGGCCAGGTCGATCCACGACGGAAGCGTGGCGAGCTGCTCGGCATAGGTGTTCATGTTGAACTCTTCAAGGACGACGGGCTTGCCAATTTCGTTCCTGCGAGACAGTTAGCACAGTATCCAAGTGTGTATGCATACGCGGCTCACATCGAGTTGATGTGGGCCTGGATGTATCCAAGACCCCACTCCTCAGCGGGAGTCTCTCCCCAGGCCTCGGGGTAAAGGTGGAAAGTGCCAAAGTCAATGTTCGAGAGCTTGAGGTTGGCCTCAAAGTCCATGCCGGCGTATCCGTCGTAGGCAACGTTGGTGTTGTTGCTCCAGTTGTAGAAGCCTTCGTCACTGGCAGGTCAGGACGGTTTACAGAGCCCACTTTGACTTACCCAATGGCAACCATGTGGTTGGAATCAATGCTCTTGATGTAGGCCGCACGGTCGGAGATCCACTGGGTGAGCTGAGCGACAGTGAAGTTGGGGTCGGCGGGCTTGTCACCGGACTTGCGAGGCTCATTCGCAATCTCCCAAGCAAAGACGGTCGTGCTGCTCTTGTATCTCGTTACAATGGTGTTGATGTACGACTCGAATGCGGTGATGGCCGGCTGGTACGTGTAAAAGTTCGAGTGGTAGGTTGTGTCGCCCCCGGTTTGAGAGAGATACATCTCCATGCCTGAAAGTTGTTAGTACACCTTCTATGCATGCAACAGAGTCTCTGCATGCACAACCGCACCGCCAAAGTCGCTCCATTGATTCGCGAGGGTCATGATGAGCTTTATGCCGTACTTCTCGGCATACTTGACGGTGAGGTCGAGGCGCTCGAGACCGTTGGCGCCTTCGTTGATGGTGCTGGTGGTTTAGTGATCGGCGCGCGCAAGCAAATCTCACAAGTTGGAACCGCTCCAGAGCTTTGTTCAGTCAGCACCAGCAGCACACAGGTTTCCACTCACCTGGTAGTAGGTCATGTCATAGGAAGGGACCGCGGTGACCATGGAGAAGGCCCAAGTGCGAAGAACACGGACGCCGATCGACGCCAAAAGGGCAAAGGTGGCGTCGTACTGGGACTCGAGGACGAGCTGGGGCACCCAGTATGCATTCATGCCTGCAAAGCAGTACTGTTCGCCATCGAGCGTAAACTTGGTGCCCGAGGCCTTGACAAAGCCGGCGGGGACGGTGCTGGTGGCTGGCGCCGAGGAAGTCGTGGTCGTCTTAGTGGTTGAAGTGGCAGCGGTCGTCGAGCTGATAGGCGCAACCGTCGAGCTGACGGGCGCAACTGTCGTTGTAGACTGCGCTGTGAGCGGGTTGGACGTCGACTGAGTAGTGGGTTGCGCCGTCGTAGTCGTAGGCGCTGCTGTTTCCGTTGTGGTGTACTCGTTGCCACAGCTGTCACGGACAACGATGTCGCGGCGGTACGGCCTCTGCCAAGCGAGGACGAACGGGAGGAGAGCCACCACCGCAAACAGCTTGGTCGGCAGCATGGTGAAAAGGAGTGTGTAACGTTGTTGGTGGGGAGTCTCGAGCTCGACAAGGATCAAGAGGGCTGAGGACGTCGTCGAAATATATAGGTGTCCTGCCGCTCTTGGCGTCGGCACGAGATTCCGGCGCCACAGTTGCCTGTGGTTTCATCGCAGCACCCCCTGCACATTCTCGCGGCCCGTCGCTATACCACATGCCGAGAGGGGGGTATTGGCCCATAGGAGCGCAAGTGCATGTTCGCACCGACGTGTCAGAGCATCGACTATGGGTCGGCATGTTTGTCGGGCCACGGACGACTGTATGGTGTAGTGGCAGTGGCTGCCAACCGCCATTAACTTTAACGATGTTAATAAAGTCGTTGTGTTGCGGCGCCTGAAGCCGCAGTCTAGAACTCGGACGTGACCGTTAAATTGAAGCTTGTGGCTCAGTTTGCAAACGGCATTCACCAATCGTCTGCACCATGCGGACCTGTACGGCCCATTTTCGCGGCGCATTGTTGAAGAGTAGCTGACGACGCAGGCGGAGGAGAGAAATGTCTGTCTGTCGCATTCCAAACAGGAACAGGGAGTGTAACAAGCTCGAACAACGCCACGTTGGGCCCGTGGCCGCCGCGCGCCGCTTCGAACGCGTCACTTGACCCTCATCGACTGGTGACCCTATATACCACGGCGGCCATGGACGACGCCGGACAGAAGGTTATCGGGCGAACCTCTCAAGCCACCAGGTCCGTGTCGAGAGCAGATAGGTCCCTCATTTTGACGGGCCCCGCACACCACGCGCCCAGCTGCAATAAGGTTGCGCACCCACCATCCCGGGCCGTCAGTGCGGGGCGCCACGTGCAGATGGCCAACAGTTAACAGGGGCCAGGGGGTCAGGCGAGTCCTATTCCGTGACTTCAATGCTCTGAGGACTTGAATGAGTGTCCCCGAACAGTCTTGACGGGTTTGATCTCCAGCCCTCTTCCGTTAATAGCATTGCCAGCTTTGTCATTGTATGTCGGGCCGGTGAATGACCCGTGGATGGCTGTAACGAGCTGGGTTCTGTGCTCGTGCTGAAGCCAGGACCGCTTGCAAGTGGAGAGAGATGGGGCTGACAAAGTACAGGTGCACGCTGCCTGCTGGCAAGGCGTGGAGACAACGGGCTGGAAGCAGGGTGGACTTGACGTTCTATGTCGTGGACCTTCCGTCAGATCAACCTGTTACGACGAGACGCGAGGCGGCCTCGTACTGAAGGTGGTCCCTCTGGCCGCTGGGATGTGCAGGTGTGTCTCCTGTGGTAGGCTATGCGCTACCCTATGAAGCGTAAGCTGGAGGCCCTGGGGCAAGCATGTTCTTGACAAAATGGAAGGGCGTGATGGGACGGGTGTGCGAACAGTGTGTCATGCACGGGGTGAGGTACAGTGCTGTACTGAGAGAACCGATTATATGCCAGTTGGGATGATTTCACAGGTGTGGGTGGTTCGTGGCCGGGTGGACGGTGGGCTCTCTAATGGCTGCGGCCCAGCGTGGGAGAGTGACTGGAAACACAACATGAACCGTCCTATTTTGTGGTCTTGCACATCAAAAACCTCCCATACTCCGTTCTCAACAGGTCGACAGCATGGGAGAGTGAGGGAGCGAACCGAGTATGAACGCATTCCACCGGTTCGCACAACAAGAGTCCATGTATAGTGCGTTCTTCATGGTTGTGCTCCAGCGAGGGAGAGCGGTTTGAAAACCCAACGTGCGGCGTGAAGGGCCAAAGGGCAGCATGAAATCGTCCTGGTGTGTTTCTCGGCCATGGATTAATGGGTAACCCCCGTGGGAAAGTGCCCTCGGGGGGTTAGGAGAACTGGTGGTGAGTTATTCCTGGCTGTGCTTCAGCGTGGGAGAGTTCCTGAGAAACCCACTATGACGTGTAGAACATGGCCCACGATACCGAAAACGGCCTCTAGTGCGTTTCTCAAGGGGTTACGAGAACCGAGTATGGATTCATTTTCCATCCTGGAAAACCGTCGTACTGCGTTCTCCGACTCGTCGTCCGCAGCCGGGTGAGTGGGCGGGCCGTTGCCTCTTTGCTTCCTCTGAGCTTTCAGCCAGACCGTTGTTGAGTACTGTTATGCGAATGCACACGGGTGGGGCCTCCCTCTTCACCCTCCCTATGTATGACGCGTCATGAAATGTTGAGTGACCATGACGATATGACGCGTCTATCGGCCACATGCTCAGACCACTCCAACATCGAGCAAGTCTCCGAGCGACGGAACGTACTGTAGGTATGTAGCATGACGTGCGGTCTAACAGATGGAACTGTGAAGTCAGTCGTGCGTGCGTTCCCATGACGCGACCAACGGCCCCTTGAAAGGACATGCACCGGACAGGTGTCAGCACACCCTGGGGCATCACTGTTGTGCCGGGGGCCTCGGGCCTCAACGTCAATCGGGGGTGTGGAGCATGGGGTTCCTCTCACCCTCGTCTGGGCACTTCAGCAACCATGCCAAAGTAGCTGGGGTCGTGGGATGCAGGCATGAGCCAAAACGTGATGACTCGTCAAACAAGAGGAAAATGCATCACTCCACCGCCCACCGAGTCAGCCTGATGCGTCATTTTGCCACACCGTCGACCGGGAGTCTCCAAGCCGGTCAAGCCACATGCAGCCCACGCGCAGCTGTGTCACCATGATGGGCTCCAATGCCTTGAGGCCTTGAGTCTGCTGATCTCCTGCGTAACGATCTACAACGCAGCTCGGGCGGGGTCCAGTACAGAGGGTCTCAGGCGCTGGAGCCTGGCGACGCCACCTAACCCCCCAGTGATACATGCCCTGCCCTTCGTATACTCCATGGCACGATGTCGGCGATGCGCAGAGGTTGATGGCAATAGACCTGCCGCCGGCTGTGGGTGCGGACACCCAATGGCCAGGGCGACAAGGGCCGCGAAGTAAGCAAAGGATGTGGACGGGGGGGGGGGGCAGTCGTCACCCTAATCCGCAGCTCATTCAGACGCCACACTGCGTCCCTCGATGGACCAGAGTGCTCGGGCTTGGCACACGGGACCCCTTAAACATATCCTCCTCCTGCCATCGTCCTATCTAGTTAGCGAGCGGGGACTTGCGATATCGCGGAGGATGGATTCCATGTCCGAGATGCCGAGATGCCGAGGTGCTCTGCCCCTAGGTATGTAGGCCGATCATCTCCTCAATCCCTCGCACCAACGTGAACGGAGCAGCCGTTTCCTCCGGAGTGGCCGTCGTTCTCCGTGTTGCCTCTCGCACGCACACTACCGTATGCTGTGCGGGTCTTCGCCATGCACCCAAGCCTCCGCGCGCCGCGTGCGTGTGCGCCTGAACCAACTGCGCCTAGGGAGAGTGGAGTGCCGGCAGCGATCGGCACCGGAGCGTACCGCCACACACCTCTAGTCGGGCACCAACGGTCAAAAGACACCGTCTGACTCAGGGGCGGTGTGGCAAGTTGAGGCAGAAGTGTCAATGCTTGCAACATTTCGGGTCGCGAAAAAGGATGCTCACGGTCGAGACGGGAGCCCATGGGTAGAGCAAGTGAACACCAGGGGACGTCGCTGCTGCTGTGGCTGTGCCATCCCAAAAAGCAACACCACGTCCTGTCAGCAGCCACGTTCCTTGGCCATCCGCCGCGCCGCCGCCGCACTCCCGCTCCCCGTCAGTCAGACAGACATGCCATCCCAGACTAGTGTGGCAGCTCTGCGTCTCCAAGTCAGTTTGTGGCTGCTGCCTTTTGTATTCTAGAGTGAATGCATAATACGAAACAAGACCTGTACATGTAAGGATTTCTTAAACAACAAAATGGGCGGGGCGCCGCTACGGGCCCGGGGAGCTGTATTAAAACAGAGCCACCTGTAGAGCTAATGTGGACGAGTGTGTGATGAATGCGAATGGCAACATTTAGCGGTGTGGAATTGGTCTAGCCTGCTCTTGAGGTTCTGTTGTAACGACCACCTGCGGCAATTGCGCAGGAGATGTGGATGGCGGTGATGGAGCGTCGGGAGAAGACTCTGACTTGCGCAAGTCGCCCTTGTTGACGAGCCGGGAGAGCATGCCCTCCATTGTCCTGCCGACCTGGGCGGCCTGGAGGAGCCAGATGAGGCGACGTAGAACGGGGGACGCCTTGAGGTGTGTGGCGCGACAGATGGCGACGGCGCCGTCTGCCTGTGTCAAGGGGTTGCGCGAGCCGAGGATGAGGAAGGTGCGGATTTTGCGCTCGGGATCCGGGTGGAACTTGTCGTGCAGGATTTTTTTGCCGGCAAACCCAAACGCGTCGTAGCTGGCCGCATTGATCAGGCGCGTGTCGGCGACAAACGTGTTGCGAATGTTGCGAATCTCGCCAACCTCGCGCAGAGGTTCTAGGCCAAACGACATGTGGCGCACACCCATGCGGCGGAGGTAGCCCATGGCAGCCAGAGTGAGAAAGTCAGAGGTTCCTGGTGGTGCCCCCGGAGCGGCCACAACGGGGTCGAGGAGGTACTGGCCCGGTCCCACTTGCATGAGCCCAGCCATGCCGTTGGGGAGACCATCGTCGCCGACAGTGTAAAAGTAGGTCATGAGGTGCGGGAGGTCGAAGAGGTGCAGTTTTGTAGAGTAGGCCGACGTATCGCCCTTTGCGGCCTCCTTGGAAGCATAGCAGCGGTCGTAGACGCCCTGGAGGAAGGCTTGGAGAACGGGGTCGACGCCATCGGCTGGGTTGTACATGCGGAGGACATTGTCCTTTGCCAGCTTTTTGGCAACGAGCATCATGCGCTTGCCTGTGGATCCGCCCGCGGCTCCATTGAGAATGTCGTTTGTGACTGGGTCGACCACTTGTTCCACTGCAAACTCGACGCTAGTCCAGCGCTTCTTGTCGGCAAACTTGACAACGTGCTCGCGGACACCGACAAACGCAGACCGCCATCCGTTGGCACGGCAAAAGGCGCGGAACTCGTGGATGGCACTCTCGAGGCGGTCCGGGTGGCAGACGGGGTCACCAAACACGACGGCGACGGGGTTGAGCATTCCGCCCACGACCTTGAACGACATGGCGGCAGCCTTGTCCACGGTGATGAACATGCGGTAAGCCGGGTCGGAAAAGGTAATGCTCCATCCGCCATATGCGGCGACGAGACGCTCGACAATGGCGGAGGCGACGTTGTGGGTCGCGTCAAACGCGAGGGCGGGCACGGGGCTCGAGCTCTCTAGCAACAACTGGCGATCTTGCGGCACCTTGAACGCATGGACGCTCTCCCAGGACGCACGGGACGCGCGAGAGGTAGATGGTGGGCAAACCAGATTGTCGAGAGCCGTCTCCCATGGCTGGGCTGGAGGGTGTTGCTTGTTGGACGCAAGTTTGGTGTTGGCGGCCGCGGCCTCGGCTCGGCGCTTGTCCTTGTTCAACTCTTTGCGTGCCCGGCGTTTGGCACTCTTAGCTGCCGCCTTCGACTGGGATGCCAACTCGACAGAGGAGCAGAAAGAAGGGGAACGGGGCCCGAGGGAGGGCGACGCGGTCGACACGGTATACGAACCGAGGGACGGTGTGGACGGTGTGGCAGTGAGCGAGACAGTGGACGCGGTGGGGCGCGTCGGTGTGGTGTCGCTTGGTAGCTGCTCGTCCTCGTCGGAAGACCCGCTGTCATCGGCCATGATTTGCTGGCCTCGCTTCTTGCCGGGGACGGCGGTTTGTTGGTGGTTCACAAGGTTGCGTTGCTTGGAGCCGTCGGCGTGGTCTAGTTTGTGGAAGGCTGGGGCTTGCCAGCCATGGGCAATGCCGTAGGGAAGTGGACGCTGCTTGGAGCCGCCCCTGGTCATGACTGGTGGTGGTGCACGAAGCTCGACTTCGACCATGCCGGCTGGAGGCTGGCTGCGAATCATGGCGGCAAGATGTGATGAGCGAGTGGGTGGGTAGGTGTCTCGGGCGGTGAGCCAAAATGGAAAGGAATGAACTGGAGTGGATTGAAGGATGAGTGGTGGGAGAAGACAAGGAGGTGGGACGATGGTAAATGCGGCGGGTGTGAGACAAAGAATGGCGCTCGAGCCTGTAGTTTCTATGGTGTGTGTGTGTCTGTGTCTGTGACCCGATGGACCGTCCGCAGGGGAGAGGGACGACGGGCGTACCGGCGTGCCGGCGAAAGGGCGGTGGGTGGTGGGTAATGAAGGTGCGTTTCTCTATGAGAAAGCGACGCCAGTGAGAGAACGTGGGCGGTGATGGATGCACAACGTGAAAAGGGGAGTGCGATGGCGAGATGGTAGGCCTCTGCAATGGGAGAGGAGCGGGGTATGGGAGGAAAGAGGCGGAGTAGAGAGGTGTGGCTCTGGTTGTGGCCAAAACTCTACCGAACAATGGTATGCGTGTGTGACGTTGGTGCAGTGAGAGTTGTCCAAAGGGACTCGTGAGGTGTAAGCTCTGGACTCGCTAGATCTAGAAAGACAATGCTGGTGTTTACCCCCAGAGCAGCGAGCGAGCAGGGGGGTGCGATGATTGATGGAGGGGTGGTGATGGGCGGCGGCGGCGGGTGGTGGTGGGGTGGAAGGGGGGGAGCCGCCATTCCTTTGTTGTTCTAAATGGGAACTCTGTCATCTCTCTCCTGGCCTCCTGGCTTGATGTTGGCCCGTCTCCCGCACGCCATGCTCTCTTCTCCCTCCCTCGCTCTCTGTGATCGTTCTTGATGATCCGCCTGGCACTGCCCATGACACGCGAGAGGGAGGGGGGACTCAAGGTTGGTGCGTACAGCATATGGGAGATATTGTTTGCCTTGCGGGCGGGGCACCTCCACCGAGGGTCTCTCGCAGGGCCACGGGCCACACAGGGGCCCACAGGAGCGTGCAGTGGACATGGCCCACACAGTGTGTGCCACCGTTAGTTTGTGCCTTTGGCGGTTGGGGGGGTTGGGAGGGGCAGTGCTGTTGCGCGCTGGCTGGCATCATGGCACCAATACCAATACCCATAGTTGGAGCCCAGATGGCCCAAATGGCCTCAAACGGCCCAAATGGCCCCAGGTGGCGACGGCGGAGAGGCCGAGACGCGGAGAGGGAGGCGCAGCCCATGACGAGCGCGTGCTTTTTTTGGTACACGCCGCGCGTCCACCCGCGCATCGCCCCCCGCTTTACGCGCGCTTGCGGTTGGGGCCGGTGCGCGGATGGTCCCCCATGCATACCATACCCGGCCACTCTCTGCCGGTACTGCCTTACAGCCGTACTCGTCATCATCGCATGCACTCACTGTACCACTGGCCACTGTACCACTGTACCACTGTACCACTCCCTCAGACCGCGGGGGGCCACTGTACACTGATTCTCTCGTGCCGGATATCCATGGTGTTATTCTCCGGATATTGCCCGCACCCACTTTGCAGCCCTAATCTATTTCGGGGTTTCCACCAGGCATTCATTTATAGGAATTGGCGGCACACATACGCACTCGAATGCACTCATGCTCCTGCCACGCGGCCAGAGGTGCACTGAAAGATCGACGCACTGCGGATCCTTTCAGCGCGTCTCGAGCACACCACACCACGACCGGGGGCGACCCAAAGGTCCTAATGCATGGTTAACAATCGTCGGTCACCCGTTGCCCTTCTAATTGTTTTAAATTGTTTTGCTTTTCCCATTTGCGTGCACACTCACCCAGCAACCGCCCCCAGGGCGTCGCCATACAACTCCTCCTGAGACGACAACACACGGGCACGCCATACCCACCCCCACACCCCCTTTCCACACCCAGTCCTGCCGTGGCCGCCGCCTCTCATAAACTCTCGTGTCCCAGAGTCGGAATACCACACATGGATGGAAGAGCTGTCGAGTTTCCGGCCCAGGCATGAACCGCCGACGACAGGGTAAGTAACATGGGCAACTGCGGGAGGGGACGTGTCGTCGAGACATGGCTGAAAACGCTGCTCCTGCAAGCTGTACACTCTGTGGCCTGTGGCCTGCATGGCCTGTGGGCGAGAAAGTCGGCATTGTCCTTTTGGACATTACTGTACATTGTGGCAGGGAGGCGGGAATGTCCCTGCCACAGAGTCCAGACGCGTCCAAACATGGCGTAGACGTCGGCCCAGGGGTGTGGACGGGCTATGGCATCGAACCCTTAGCACCGCTTCGTTGCTATTATAACATGGATGGACGGCAGACACGCGCATCCGATAGGCTAAGCATATGTCACGCACTGCATGCTGTACCACTGAGTGTTCACGCCAGGTGATTTTTGCCGGGCGGACTGTAGTACTGTAGTGCTGTGGCGATGCGCGCTGCCGAAACGAAAGCGGCCGGAAGAGACGCTGAGCCGCTTCAAGATCCCTCGTTTCTTTTATTAATACTCCCAGGCATAGTTGCCCACCGTTCTCGTCATCCAGTAGCCAGTGGTCTCGGCTCAACGCACACCCCCCCCACCCCCGGCTGTTTATGCTGTGTGAGTCGGTGTATTTGGCAAGGTTCAAAGATACAGCTTTTCGGATCAGCCCCCTTTGTGTTCCTCAACAATCTCGGTTGCACGAATCGATTCCGAGACACATATGTACATACACATCAGGAAATGTACATTGTAAACAAGGTGGGCGGTACCCGATGTCTGCTGTTGGCACTCCATCTTCTGACCTTTCAGTCCGCAGCAGAGATGTACATCTTCACCCCAGTCGACTGCGGCTGAACTCACACTCACTTGCCCGAGTCCGTGAAAGGTGGCAGCCCGGGTTTCTTCCTTGACGGCAAGGTATGTACGTACACCCACATCCCCAGCATTCCCAGGTGACGGCCTCGGCGCCGCGCCGCTTAACGATGGTAAACGAACCACGGAAACCCGAGAAACCGCACGTTCACGTGGATGGGCGAGTTGGCCACAAATAGCATATCCAGCCCAGCGCCACAGCCAAATATGCCTTTGGTGGCTCATGACCGCCGGTAACAGCAGGCACAGCACGGTTGAGAAGGCGAAACTGGTCTTCGTATCAGGTCAGGCCTCTCCTGATCTCCTGAGGCCCGTGGCAATCGACCTCACACTTTCCCGCTCCCTCCGGGCCGCCGAACAGTAGGCACCGATCCATGTCGGCCCCGCAAAACCCAAATTCTCAGAACGTCGGGCCCACATACATACTCCACCGTATATCCCACGGACACGTGATGTCCAAGCTGCGGGGCTGGGGCCCATGACCAGGCGCTCAACGTTCGCAGAGCGAGGCGGTCGCTTTTGTGGACGACAGACGACGAACGTGTGTGCACTACTGTGGAGTTTGGCATGACACAGTAGAGTCGTGCTGTGCCTGCTGAGCAGGTCGGCGGTTTTCGTTGTTATTGGCCGAAGCGCCGGCCAGGCCGACTGTGGTCAGCGGCGGTGTTTTGGTGGGAATGCCAGTCCCGTCGAGAGGCCACGGACGATGTCGTACCACTCACCGTACACTTCTTGAGCCTGTCCTATCTGTCAGGAAGAAGACCGGTGGTATCTGCGGTATAACGGGAAATCACAACTATTTATTTCAACAACTCTGTTGCGCCAAACGACACTCGGTTAATGACAATGTTGACTCGCCTGGTGTTCAGGCCCTGGACAGAAGCAAAAATATACCGTCACAGCTTCTTTTCTGGGGGACGTCTGTCGTCTGAGACGCACACTAGGTCGGTGACTTCGGGGAGCGCTCAACCGACGGAGGAGCTTTTAGCTATTGGGCATCGATTCATCCACATTTTTCAAGAGCAAACTTGTGGCCTCGTCACCCATTCCATTCACTAACGGTCCATCCCTCAAGCACGGTTCCTTTGAAGCTCTAGCGCCTCACAGCCATATCACTCTGCGTATTGTTCCGCAGGTCTACTTCCAGGCCAAGGTCAAGTGAACGACACTTGCCAGCCATACCGATATATACGGACAAACGATACATACGTCTGTGGCGACTACAGGCTAGAGGTACTTTGCAAAGAACGGCGTGATCTTCTCAAACGCCTTACGGACGGGTTCGGGCTGGTCGTACAGCTCATAGTGCGTGACGCCTGGGAGCATGACCATCTCCTTGTCCTTGGATCCGGCGCGGGCGTAGATCTCCTGGCCGTCGCGGTACGCGCCAAAGCCGCCGGGGAGGTCGCCAAATACGACGAGCAAGGGCTGGGTCATGAGGGTCTCTGCGTGGTTGAACGCGTCCCACGCCATGGCGCCCGAGTTGAACGAGAACAGCCCGCTCGTCATGCCACATGGCTTCTGGCCGCGGGAAGTCTTGTAATACTCGGTCGCCTCGAGGACGTCGCGGTCCGTGATCCCCGCAGCCTTTCCGGCAGCGACGCTGTCGGGGAGGTAGTTAATCACGTTGCGCTTGGCGCCGCGCGCCTCGGCCGTGCGCTGTGCGCCCATCGCCTCCATCGCCGCCACGGGCTTGTACTCGCTAAACCCCTCGCGCATGAGGCGGCCAAAGTTGACGCCGGTGATGGACACTGCGGCGCGGATACGGTGGTCGGTCATGGCTGCGTTGACAGTGTATGCGCCCCCGCCGCACACGCCAATGGCGCCGATACGCTTCTCGTCGACATATGGAAGGGTTACGAGGTAGTCGATCGCAAAGCGGATGTCGGCGACGCGGATCGCCGGGTCCTCGATGTATCGCGGCTCGCCGCCAGACTGGCCTTGAAACGACGCATCAAAGGCGACCACGACGTAGCCCTCCTTGGCCAGGCGCTCGGCGTAGATGTTGCCCGCCGTCTGCTCCTTGCAGCTGCCGATCGGGTGAGTCGACACAATGGCCGCGTACTTGTTGTTCTCGTCAAAGTCCGGAGGCAGGTACAGGTCGGCGGCCGTGTCCCACGCGAGGTTCTTGTAGGTGACGTGCTTGGGGCTGGACATGGTTGCTGGTGGTGGTGTAGGCGCTTGTACAGTTGCAATGTTTCTGTTGTGAGGCAGAGATCAGTCGGTCTCCTTTATATCTCCTGCCAGGCGGTGGTTACCCTCCACACTCTCCACCTTTGACCCGAGCCCGCCTCAATCCCGACGGCCCTCCACCCAACAACTGCCCGGTGGCCCTCCACCAGCAAACTCGATGCCGTACCCGCCATACGTCACAGACCAGGTGTCCTTGAAAGACCCAAGGTCGACAAGAGCACCTCCACCAGGCTGCTTGAGAAACAGGGCACTGGCCATGGCCCCGCTTCCATCTCTCAATGCATGCTGTAGGGTGTTGCGTGTTGTAGTACCGGCCGCATGTGTATTTGGCCACCTAAGAACCGATTACGGTCTTCCGCAACGAACACATTTGCCGAGCAAATAGAAAAACGGCATGCATTTCACGTTCCATATCAGCGTAAGGTCCTACATACAACTGGTAACCCATAAGTATATTTCGGGCACTTTACAACTCTCCGCACCGATAAACACTCAGTTCTTGAGCGATTTGAGAGCCTCGTCCAGCCTCTGCAAGGCAAGATCCAGCACAGGCCGGTGCACACTGAAGGTGACCCGCAACCATCCCGGTTGAGCGTAGTGGTAGCTCTGGCCGACTCCCTGAACACAGGCGTTAGCCCCGAGGCCGTTCTATTGACGTCTGCGGTCTTCCATGACCTGTGGTAGGCACAGACGTGCCGGCGCATAGCCACTACTCACCACAACGACACCAGCATCAATACACTTGTGAGCAAACGCGCGCTCCTCCTCAAAGTTCTTGAAGTGGAAGACGTCCCGGCCGTCGACCATCATGAAGTGGCCACTGCCACGTCAGCCAACTGATCCTGATCACACCTGGTCGCAACACTTGTACTCACGCATTGCTCTGGAACGGCTTGAACCCGCGTTTTTCAAACCAGTCACGTACGTGCGCCGCCGAGTCGGCGAGCCGGGCCTGGTTGAGCGCTACCATCTTGCGGAACGTCGGCTTGTCGTTCAAGAGGTATGAGAGAAGGGCGTCTGCCGGGGAGGACACTGGGTAAATGGATGAGCTGGGTGACATATGGAAGCCGCAACAACACCCACCCTTCATAAGGAAAGCAGTGTGCAACAGTGCACGCAGGACAAGAGGGTTGTGTTGGCTAATAACCGCCGCAACGCGGAAACCGTTCACCCCAAAGCTGGCCTGTCAGTGTCCGCCCTCTCCGCGAGCTGGACCCACTCCTTGCTGAAGCTGTACACGACATGCAGCCTGCGACTGTCAAATGGCTTGCCGGTCTCCTTCTCGATGTCGAGAGCGAGCATGGAGATGAAGGGCGGTGCGTCGGGCATGTCTTCGCTCGTCAGCTTGGGTTGCTGAATCGGGGGAGCTCACTGGGGTTGTCATACACGCTGAGAGCGTACAGCTCATCCGAGATCAGGTGAAGATCGTGCTTCTCAGCAAACAGGGCGTAGGCGAGGAGCGTCTCTTTGTCGTAAGTACGGCCATATGGGTTCTGGGGCGAGCAGAGCATCTGGAATGTCAGTTGATGAAGAGCAGTCCCCTAACTCACTACAGCACGTGTGGTGACACCTTTGGCGGCATACTCCTTGATAGCCGTCTCAAAGTAGTCGAGGCTGGTGGGAGAGAACGCCTCCTCGTTGGGGACTGGGACGGAGACAATGGTTGAACGCGAGCGCGCGACCATGTTGACGTTGAAGCCATTGTAGCTGAACGTTAGCTGTCGTTGACTGCAAGGCGCAAAAGCAGCTGCACTCACTGAGGAGCTGCGATGAGGATTGCGTCTCCGGGGTCAAGAAAGACTGCCACAAGCTGGTCGAGCACGCTCGTAGCTCCTGGACCGGTGACAATGTCGTCAGGCTTGACTGGAGTGAGAGGTGAGAAGTTTCTGAGCGGGTCAGCCACAATAAGACGGCTCAACCCACTCGTTCCAGAGGTCCGCGATAGCGGTGTGCAGGCGACTACTGCCTGAGCTCTGGTTGCCATAGGTCAAGTCCCCGGGAGTGAGCGCGTCCTTGAGCACGCGACTGTAGTATTCAAGGTACTCCTGTGTGAGAAGCGAGTTTTCGGCAATGCCCCTGTCGCCCGTTAGCCTTGCTGTCCCTCAAGCCATCCACAGACGTCTCAAGCCCTCAGAGTACGTACAGGTTTATTAAGCCTCCAGGATTGGACTCGCCGTCATATGCTGCGGGGCGGTCAGCGTTGCCTCAGGCAGCAACACAATTCGACTCACTGGTCCTGAAGATTGCGTCAAGCTTCTCCGCAGTGACATGCGAGTCGGGTACATCGATAATACGCTTGCTCAGTCGCGGACCAGCGTATGCGTCTACAGCATCGGACCACGCGCCAACCGAGACGGGGTTGGGCTTGGGCGCTGGGGTGCGAGGCTTGAGCGGCACGTCGGAGATGGCCAGGCTGTTGACGTGGGTTGTGAGAGACGATGCCAGCGACATTGGTGGTGGTGAAGGGTTGACGGGGATCTGATACCGCTTTCCGAGAGATTGTGAGCAGCAGCTTATGAAGTAGACAAGTAGAGTCAGATGTGACTCGAGATCAGTCCAATGCCAAACAAGAAAACACTCGATACGAGCCCACCAGCGGCCAGCGGCTAGAAGAACACGCCAAGTGATCAAGTGACATTGACCCACCTCCACTTTATCTCCGATGACGTAAATATCGGAAAAACACACTATGCCCGCCGAATATAATATTATAGGCGTGATGCTGCGTTATCCCCTGTTGGCCAAAACTCATAAGGACGAATGTTTAGGTCGTCTACTATGTCTGTACATGGCGATACTGCGTTCTCCCCAGTTTAGTGATGTACCGTCCTGCGGATGCAACACTACGTATCTGCTCACCCAGGGCAACACGGTGTACACTGTACAGAGCGTCTGGACAATGCCTTCACTTTTTTAGCTAGACTGACGCCTACGCAAGACTCTTCATGGACTTGGCTACCGGTCTTATTTCAATAAGGCTGTCTTGTAATGGTGGCGGGATATCTCATTAGTGGAAAATGTCTAATGAGATATCCCGGCTGCGTCGCTTCATTCCGTCTCGTCTCCATCACTCATTGTCTGCATACCACTTGCGCGACATCAATAGAGCGGAATACTCGTCCCGCTACTGCACTCGGGAGAGGTGAAATGAGGAGCAAAGACGGCGGAATAACCCCGCTAATGGCCAAAAGTGTGTGCATGTGTATAGGTTGCCTAATTGCCTACACACTTGGCACTTTTCGGCAATCATAACCGGAGGCCCCAGACTGGACGGAGCTGACCGACCACTCGGTCAAGTCCATGACGCCCACCAACCCACGGATACATGGTCGCATCACTCTCTCCCCAACAACTTCCTCTTCTGTTCTTAATATCATCCTCTCGCTCACTTGCATCGCCATACCCCACGCTCCCAACTCACTACCACAATGACCCAATTCGCGCGCCCACCACCCGCTATCCCCAACAACATTGCGATCCTGTCGTACCCTTACCCCAATGTCCTGCACGTCGCGCTCAACCGCCCAAAGGCATACAACGCCATGAACCGCGAGTTCAACAATACTCTCGCGGCCGTGTTTGACTGGTATGAGAACGAGCCAAGTCTGCGTGTTGCGATTCTCGGCAGCACAAACCCCAAAGCATGGTGTGCCGGGGCAGACCTCAAGGAGTGGGTGAGTGCAGCTGCTGGAGCATCATACGAGAGTGATCCATCCGAGTGTGTGCTGACGTGGGCTCCAGAAGGATACAAATGCGGACAACACGCCCAAGCCTCCGGCCAACAAGGTCGGATTTGCGGGCATGTCCACGCGTTCTACCCGGTGAGTCGTGGATGGTTACGCTGCACGCACCCGACGTGTTTGTGCTGACGTCGTGCAGCAAGCCCGTCATCGGTGCAATTAGGGGTGTGGCCCTGGGTGGAGGCTCCGAGCTCGTCATGAACCTCGACATCAATGTTGCAGGCCAGACGGCAACGTTTGGATTTCCAGAGGTCAAGCGCGGTGTCAGCATCAACGCCGGCGGTCTCCCGCGCTTCGTCCGGCTGGTCGGACACCAGAAGGGTGAGCACGCCGCCGCGAACCTGTGGAGACAATGTTGACGTCGATCCCAGCTGCCGAGCTCATACTCACGGGACGCAACATCCCTGCCAAGGAGGCGCTCGAGTTGCGCATGATCAACGAGGTTGTGCCGGACGCCAACGTCGAGTCGCGCGCGCTCGAGATCGCAAAGATCATTTCGTCCAACAGCCCCGACTCGGTCATGGCGCTGCTGTACGGTGAGTATTGGCTGCTGTTTAGCTCTGGCTGGCAGGGTCTTGTGTGAGGGCGCCATTGTCACCGTCGCCCAAGTGGATCTCCACACCACTTACCCCACACCCCCTTCCCTTCGCCTTGTGCTGACTTGCAGGCATCCGTCTCACGGCTGAGGCCGGCAGCCTGCAGTCGGCATCCGACCTGTACGACCAGTCCCTCCAGGTCCGTACGCTCCTCGCCGGAGACAACATCAAGGAGGGCCTCCTTGCATTCCAGGAGCGTCGTGAACCGCGCTGGCTCCCCAGCAAGCTCTAGGATAGGCCACGGAGCAGCCGTCACTACGGGATGGTTGATGGGGAAGAGACAAGTGAAGATCAGCAGGTTCAAAAAGTTGTCAACAGTAGCCAAGGGATGCATGGTGTCGACCGTAACGGGCGAAGACGATGGGCAGAGAAGAGCTCAGCGGCGTTCTACGGACTGGCGGATCTTCGATGCGGCTACTCACTGACGCATGCGCCAACATGTCGACTCAATATGCATGCGCTGTCTGAACTCACCGCAGCATCGGCGCCGATACACCCAAGCCCCACAGTGACGTCTGCGGCAAGTTGGCGCCTGGGACATCATTCTGGAACATGGGCCGGCTCTTGGCAACGCCCCTACCAATCCTCAACGACCTTTCCAGCGGCCCGGAAACTGGACACTGTACCATGCAGCCCGACTCAAGGCACTTACTTGTACAGTACCTCAGAGGACACTGGGGGTTGCGCCGCAGCTGCCTCGGCGCTTGTGGGCTACGGGTGCCGCGCTTGGCCTAGCTTGGCATCGGCCGGAGCTGGTTATCTGATTAGAGAGAGAGCCACCAACACTCGGTTAACAGGCACTCTCTTGGGCGGCTCTTCTCTCTGACCTACCTCCTCTCTGTGTCTGCCCTCTTGCGGTCGGCCGGACCGGAATGCCATGTGTGCTTTATCCGCCAAGCAAGCGCCTGTGTTAAGCCGAAGAGGGTACAATGTTCTGCTCTTGGCACATGGCTGAGCAGTATATGAGGCGGTCGCAACAAAGCTTACATCGCTTTCCCCCCAAAGCAACCACTCGGAAAGATCCCACTTACACTACCTCCCTTCACGCCCACTCAAAATGCTTCCCATCCTCGCGCTTTTGGTCTCGGCTGTTGGTGGGTACCACCACTTTTTCACCACTGACCGTTCTTGTAGCCGTCACCGCCCGCCCTGCCGCCGGTAACAACATCCTCACTCGTGCTCTTGCCCTTGAGGCTCGCCAGGGCCTCTCGTCGCTCCTTCCCGAGGCGTGCAGCACCGAGTGCACCACCCTCAACACCGCCTACGCCGGCTGCCACACGGGCGACATGGCGACGTGCACCACCATGTGCGAGGTGAGTAGAACTCCTGTCCTGTCTGCGCGCACATGTTGCTCTGTAATCCGTAGTCTCATCTCTGCTCAACATGCCGACACCCCAAATCTCAGGGGGGGCTCAGTTGACGGCCGAAAGGCCAAAAGGTGGCGGAATGTGTGATTCGGGCCCGAATGTCCCTATTCGGCCGTTATCAGATTACAGAATCCCCCCCCCCCCGGTCATCTCCTTCGCGCCATGCATAGCTAACGCTTCCAGACCTCCGCTTGGGCGGACGTCGAGAGCTGCGTCGACTGCGCTGTCGCCGCGGGCAACTTCACCGCGGAGTATGGAACCACCGTCCTCACCCAGCTGCAGGGTGTGTGCGGAACGTCGTCGTCTGACAACTCGACCGAGTCGTCCAACTCCACCGACTCTGCTTCCGCTTCCGCCTCGGGCACTGGTGCCGCGGAATCGACCTCTGTTGTCAGTGGCGCCAGCTCCAGCGCTTCGGGCTCCGCTGGCGCCACGGCCACCTCGTCGTCCTCGCACGGCAGCCACAACAGCGCCTCCGGCTCGTGAGTAGCTTGGCACCAACTCGTATGCTGATTCCAGGTCCACGGATGCCGCTGCCTCGGGATCGCGCACTGGCGGTTCATCTGCTACCAGCTCGGCTGCTGCTGCTGTAAGTTGACGTCTGTTGTTGTCAATGACCAACCACTGACGCGTCCGTAGGCCTCGTCGTCGGCCGCCACGTCCGGCGCGATGGCCCAGTTCTCCGCCACTCCCATCCTCGGCGCTCTCGCTGGCGTCGTTGCTGGTGTCGCGCTCCTCGTCTAAAACGTTGCAAATGATGTTGTAACGGGTCCATTCTCTCTTGGTTAGACTCGTAGAGTGCTTGAATAATGAAATATTTGATCCGGTTCACGGAGGAGGAGGATAAAGATGCGACCGCCCATTTCAACGACCCACAGCTTGCAACTCTGAAAGAAACTGGGATGTCAAAATGCAGGCATACCTTCAGCAGGTATCCCAGAACACTTCTAGGGTCTTCCGAGCACCGCCAAGGCCCTCAGACGCTCAGGCCAAGACTTTTTTTGAAGGGCCTCGCGCGGCAACATTGCCTGAAAATGAAGAATATCACAACACCGTTGGTGAAACGGTATCATGCGTCGTTGCCATCGACGCGGCAGGGGTTCGACTCCCTTACGGTGTATCTCTTGTGTCTGTAGAGGACGCGAGCGTTGTCTTTTGACCTGTTCTTTTGAACAGGACGACGAACGAAGATGTCGGAAGAACGCGACGCGTAAAAACGCGCCTCAGGGCACCGGCGAATTTGCCGAGCCGAATTTGCCGAACCCTGACGGCTAGTTGAGTGGAGGTTTCTATTAGCGTTAACGTTATAATGCGAGATATAATAAATTCCATGACCCCTTAGGAAACCGTGTTGGAATGACTGTAGGTCGAGCATGGATTCATTTCAGGCATCTGGACAACGGAAAACAACTGCTTAGAGAACAACTAGAACATCTCAGCCTCTCGAAATAACGAGGAAACTGAACCCAAACTCATTAGGCGATCGCCTGCTCGGCATACTTGGTGCCAATAAGGGCACTGGCAGGCCCACCGCTCAGGTCGATCTGGTCGAGCGGGATGAGTGAGTCGCGACGGTAGATCCACCAGGCAAGCCAGGCGAGGAGAATGACGGGGATCGAGATGTAGTTTGCGATAAAGCTCTGGTAATCCCAAACGGGGACAAACGCCTTGAAACCGCTGAACAAGGTGATAATGAGGAAGCAGATCATCGAACTCCAAGCCATGTACGGCTGGCACCAGCCGCGAAGAGGGAAATTGCGGCGATCGAGACCCTGGACGTCACAGGCGCCCTTGAAGCGAATGAAACAGAACGAAATGCAGGCCCAGTTGATGAGGTTCATGAGTCCCGTGAGGTCGGAGAGCCACGTAAAGGCCTGGTTTGAGCCGCTGGAGCAAGACATGTAGGCAAGCAGTCCAAACGCCGAACCGATTGAGACGCCCACCCAAGGCACACCCTGCTTGGTGGTCCACAGGAAGCACTTGAGGCCGTAGCCGTTACGGCTCATGCCCATAAGGCCGCGAGCCATGCCATAGAGACTTTCGTTGCCAGCCGACCATGCCGAGGTGACGACAACGGCGTTGATCACATGAGCAAGGGCGTCAACACCGCAACGCTTGGCGATAACCACGAATGGAGACGAGGCGGCGGTGTCACCGCCGAGGTCATTGGCGGCAAGAAGCATTGGGTCGTCGTAGCGAATGTTGAGGCTGAGAATCAAAATGCCGAGAATGTAGATCACAGTGATACGATAGAACACGGTGCGGATTGCAGTGCGTAGAGTCTTGCGAGGGTTGTGTGCTTCACCGCCAAGGAGACCAATCGCTTCAATTCCAGAAAATGCGAATGCGGCTGATCGTTAGCCCATTTGTTCCACCTTCAACTCATAGCCAACGCTTACCTTTGACGAAAGTCGAGAAGAAACCAAGGAACTGGGCAAGAGCCACCGGTGAGACCCCGCGGAAGGTAGGGTTGAACGGAGCCTCCCTCCAGATCTTCCCGCCGATAAATTCACGGTGACCAGGGACTCCTCCCAGGTCCGCGATCAAGCCAAAGATCATGAGGCCAACGAGCATGAGGCACTTGATGATTCCACAAACAAACTCGGCTTCACCGTACCATCGCACTCCAAGCAAATTGCACCCCCACGTGAGGAAAAGGAAGGCGGTGATGTAGGCGGCCGCATGTTTCGTGTTTGAGTCCCAGTAGCCGATCAGGACTGCCACAGCCGAAAGCTCCGAGGGGACTGAGAGGCCGACGTTGAGACTTGGTTTGTCAGCGTCTGAGCAGAAAGAGGTTGAAGCAGGCCTGGAAGTGGTAGGGGAAGGGGGACATGCGTCTAAAGGTTCAGAGCGGGATTTCGCCCCATTTCTCTCTCTCTTCTGGACGTCCTGGTTTTGTGCTCACCAGAAAGAGAAGCCCATTAAAAATCCGAATGACGGACAAACGTAGTTGTTTCCCATCTCGATAAAACCTTGGGCGATATCAGCGCAGGAACTTCAGACAATCACCCACCTCCGATATTGGGCTTGAAACAGACCATCTCGCCCTGTGACTAGTTAGAACCAAAAAACGACAGTCATTTTTGCGGATTTTTCGTTGCTTGTTCCTGTTTACATTCCACGACCATAGCAGGACTTACAAGAGAATACATCATGAAGCCAATGAATGTGCTGAGCACCGTATAACCAAGGAAGGTTCCCACGGCACCACCTTGTGCGATGGCGGAGCCTGAACCCAGGAAAAGACCAGTTCCAATCGTGCCGGCGATGGCAATCATGGAAGTGATGCGTCCTGGCTGTAACCGCAGTAAGCTTCTGGAAAGAAACGTTCGTTATCCGCACTCACGAGGGCACGCTTTGTCCCGTGGTCGCCTTCGTTGGTAATGGCAAGGTGGTGGTCCTTTTCCTCGAGGTGGCGTTCGACGTCTGTTGGGTAGGCATCGGTAACGACGACTTCGGGTTCGACCCCCTTGTAGGAGTCATCGGATCGCTTCTCGTCGTGTGAGTTTGTCATACCCGGTTGCTTGAGGGAGGGAGACAAGACAATGTGTCAGAAGGCTTCATTTCTTAAGGGGGTACATATAAGAGCAGGCCTTGGCAATGTTGGGCGGGCACTGGCGGCGGTGGTGAAGTAAGGTACAGATACAGCGATCAACCAGCGAATGGCAGCCTACACAGTGTCAGTGACATCGGCGACAGTATGCCGGCCATCGGGCCGACCCGGCCATCACCGTCGCGCATGGCCGTTGGTACATCTCCACGCAATAGCGGCTTTGGCTTTAACAGTGGGTTTCGTGGGTTTCGTGGGTGGCATCGAGGACGGATATACAAAGGATAAGGCATAGTTTCCTAGGGTTCTGGTCTTGGCCTGTCCAAAGGCGTGCTCTATACAAAATGCCAAGCCGACCCACTTTACGTCTCCATGCGAGTCTTCCAGTCGTAGCCCCGCTCCCAGGTATCTGCAATAGATAGGAGTTTCCCCTCACTCCAAAAGTTTCCTATCAGCTGCATGCCCACTGGCAGGCGTATCTGGGAATCCTCGGGATTATGATTGTCGACCGGCATTGGTGAGACAAGGCCCACTGGAACAGATAGCGCAGGGTGACCTGTGAGGTTGAAAGCGCTGGTGAACACGCCACCTGTGGGTCAGTCCAAAGGTGTTGCCAACAAACGTACAACTGATGCTATCCCATTCCGCTGGGCCACCATTAAAGGACAGGTGGCGACGCGCAGGTTCGATGCCGGTTGGGGTCACAATGGCGTCCAAGTCCTCCAACACCTCGTCAAAATCATCACGCAATTTGCGGGCAAGGTTCATTGCGCGACCATAGGCGGTTGGGTGCTGGGACCATGCGTACGCGCTAGAAGTCAGGCTCAGATTACCTGCTCGAAACTCACCCATTGAGAGCACATCCCGTCACAAAGTACTTTGCCTTTTCAAACTTGTCCTGGGTCCAAGGCAAGAGTTGGTCCCAGTAGTCGTTGAGGTACAGACCGCGCCGGCCAACTTGCATCCCTTCCCGTGTCGGCATGGCTGCAAAGTCAACGCACACCGACTCAATTGTTCGTGCCATGTTGAAACTTGTTGTCAGCCACGTCCTTTCCCTTTTAGGCCTACTCACAAAGGAACCGATACCTGGGTAACAGTGGCCCCAAGCCGCTCCAGATCCTTGATCGCCTTTTCAACAGAGGCTGCATACTGCGGTGCAAGCCGTTCTTCCTCGAATGCCTCTTTTAGGACTCCAATCCGAATTCCTTTAAGGCTGGGAGTGCCTTGGCGCGAAGCCAGTACTGTGGCCCCATAGTCTTCAACATTCTTGGGCCTCGGAGCACCGAGTTGGCGGTCGTCGATGCCGTCGTACCCTGCAATCGCATAGAGTAAGCGCGCGGCGTCGAAGGCAGTGGACGCCATGGGTCCGGCACTGTCGACTGCTGGGTCGAATGTCATGATACCAGTGTAAGGTACTAGTCCAAAAGTTGGCTTGAGGCCGACTAGACCGCAGTGCGCGGAGGGCTTGGGGTCAGGAGGAGGAGACCCATCTTCCACTCACAATACGAATCGAACCACCTTGGTCGCCGCCAATGGCCATATCGGCAGCGTTAGATGCCACCAGCGCGGCACACCCGGAACTGCTTCCACCAGCCGAAAACCCCACTGCATATGGGTTCTCGACAGGCCCGTACGGTGTTGACGATGACTGGCCGCCATACGAAAAGTTCTCACACATGGCCTTGCCAAGAATGCGACCACCGTGCTCAAGTACGCGGGTCACGACTGTCGCATCTACATCGGCTGGCATTGATCAGAAAAACACCCCGGCTTACTTCCACTCACGCACATAGCCCTCAAATGCATCCGTCCCAAAGAGCAGAGGCACGTCAGCCAGGCAGATCGTGTCCTTAAGCACGACCCTCTTGTCCGATAGCGCCTGGTCTGCACCAGTGCCGCCAACGTTGGCGCGGTAAGCCCAGCCTCGAAGACGATTCTCATGGCCTGTGGGCATATGTATCTCGGTCCGTGGCCATCGGGAACGATCTACGACTGGTTTGTAATCTGCATAGTGTCAGTCCAAAGGTATGTGTATAGCATTAACGAGGCGACGGACCTGGGCAGGCGAGGACCTTGCGTACCGCCTCATCGATGCTGTCGAGTTCCTCACGGTACTCGTCAACGTGCTGTGGCGGGACTGTGAATCCGATCCGCTTTGCCGCCGTGAGGACGTCGTCTGCGGTGGGCATGTCGCGATGGATGAGGCAAGAGCAAAATGAGGATTGGGATGGTGTTTCCTGGTGGGCTGGCTCTGGGCCGGTCAACATGGCGTCATGGGCGTCGCAGGAGCGTTTTCGGTCAAGTCCGGTCGGCCGTTATTCCGACTTTGTTGCCATCGCCCACTCTCCCATCGCGGTCGTCTATTCGTCCGCACTCTCTCGCACACTTTCACGACAGACAGCACATCCACATCAGTGAACAACAATGGCCCCATCTACACCAACAACACAATCTCAACCTCCATAGCCATGACCCACTTTCACCGTCAAGCGGGCACACTGTTTGTCGAAGGTGTGTCTGTTAGCCAGCTCGCTCAACAACACGGCACGCCGCTCTACGTCTACTCCCGCGCGGCTCTCGCAGAGGCATGGGAAGCATATGCCGCGGGCACAGCGCTCGCCAAACGTCACTCTGACCCAAATGCCAAGGTCAAGGTCCACGTTGCAGTCAAGGCAAACAGCAACATTGGCGTCCTCAGCGTCTTTGCGCGGCTCGGCGCTGGGTTCGACATTGTCTCTGCCGGCGAGCTCGCACGTGTCCTCGCCGCTGGCGGTCAGGCTAGTGACACCGTCTTCTCTGGTGTGGGCAAGTCTGCAGCCGAGATGCGCTATGCCCTCCAGGCGGGGGTCAAGTGCTTCAACGTCGAGTCTCTTCCAGAGCTGGAGCGGCTAAACGCCGTTGCTGGCGAGTTGGGTGTCCGTGCGCCAATCTCCCTACGTGTCAACCCCGACGTCAACCCCAAGACACACCCATACATCTCGACAGGGCTGAAGGGCAACAAGTTTGGTGTTGCCTTTTCAGAGGCCCGCAAGGCCTATGCTACCGCTTCCAAGATGCCCAACCTTGTCGTCCACGGCATCGACTGTCACATTGGCTCGCAGATCACCGAGACCGAGCCCTACCTGGATGCTATCGACAAGGTGCTGGAGCTTGTCGACGAGATTGAGAGCGACGGTACTCCGATCCAGCACATCGATGTCGGTGGCGGCCTCGGAATCGACTATGGTGATGGTGGCTCGCCCCCTCCCAAGACGGCTGATTTTGTGCGCACCATCCTCGACCACATTGACGACCACTCGACCAAGCGCCGCGATGTTTGGTTTGAGCCTGGGCGATCGCTTCTGGGTAATTCCGGCATCCTTTTGACAACAGTCGAGTACCTCAAGCCCGGCGAGGAAAAGAACTTTGCCATTGTGGACGCCGCCATGAACGACCTGTCGCGACCTGCGTTGTATCAGGCCTTCCATCGCGTGGAGCCGGTCATCTCGCGTGACCCCGACCCAGAACCCGGAGTGCTTGCACGCACCTATGACATTGTTGGTCCCGTGTGCGAGAGTGGTGATTGGCTCGCTCGTGACCGTGAGCTGCTGCTCGCACCAGGCGACACTCTGGCTGTCTTCTCTGCCGGCGCGTATGGTTTTACCATGGCGTCCAACTACAACACTCGACCTCGAGCAGCCGAGCTCCTGGTCGACGGTACCGAAGCACATGTTGTTCGTGAGCGTGAGACAGTGGCGCAGCTGTTTGCTGGCGAGCGTGTGCTGCCGTGAGTTAAACGGGACGACTCTGACTCCGGAGTACCTCATGCATTTGCATTCAATGGCCAGCACCTGATCCCATTACTCTGTGATTGACTAATCGAGGGTCTAACGAACCGGCGGATCCAAGGACCTTCCAAATCAACGGCTAGGCCACTGCAACCCGCTGCTGATACTCAACGGACCAGGCATGACTGCCAATTTGCGTCACGTGATACCGGCGACGCGGTCTGACCGAAATAACGCACCACCATCAGAGCAACAAAATTCCTATCTGTATGACCAGGTCCCAAATGAGCTCCAAGATGGAGCCCCGTTCGGTGCAACGGAGCGCCTCGCCGGTCTGAGACAAGGGAGGACCGAGTCTGGACGCCTCGCATTCCTTTCGTGGGGCACATGCCTCCGAGGCCACGCGGACGGGCGCCTAGCTACAGAGAAGAATCGGAAACAGGGTGGTCAAGAGAACGTGATGGTGGCGTCCGCTCGTCGACTGGCTACGCCGTCTCCGCCAGCGGTGGCCCTCCCTCAGTTCGTCGGTGCCGGTGGTGGTTGTGGATCGATGGCACCACCAAATTACACCACAGCCGTACCTCGGCGTTGTGTTTGCATGGCTTCCCGCTTAAATTAAGGAGTGGGAATAGAGGTATGAAGTGTCGGTTCCCCTCGCATGTTGCAGCCAGTACTCATGCCGAGCGTGGCTGGAGACCTTCGGCCGGCCACCACAGAGTCTCTAAAGTCCATCACCTCCAATGCTGCATGCACAAACTCACCAGCCTTTCGGATTTGATGCAGCATCACAGGAAGCTCTTGCGGTCCCGCTGTCGGTGAGTCACATACCCTTTGGGTCAAAGATGCGTCTCCATGGTCGTTTGGCTGGTCTGAAATCAAAGCCGGAAGGATGTTGTGGGACGGAATCAAATCCAACCCGGTGGCAATCAAAGAAACAATGGGCCACGGTGTGGACTACTCCCTTTTGTTGTTTTGATCCAATGTTTGAGTAGAAATGCGATTGCTACACGCGTACAAACACTGGATCGGGGGGTACGAGTGAGAATCGGCACTTACGGAACCAAAAACGACGGAGCTTTTAGGCTGCCAATTGTGTGTGGCAGTCATCACGGAGGCTCTCGTTTCCATGTTTACATGTTTGGCCTTGAAACTCGCACCCGCACCTCGGACGCATCACAGTCACACGGTGATGAAATTTAATACTGCATTCACGGCATATAGACCAAAAGGTTGAACTTTTCCAGCCTGTCATATTTCCTTCTCATACGTATTCCACTGCGCCCAAGGTTGAACATGTGCGCTGTCCATGTTTCCTTTCCTTATCTCGCATCACATGGCGCGACCAACTGCCATGGAGGCGAGCTCAAGCTCGGTGGTTGGCATGGTGTTGGGACGTCCATTGATGATGACGGCCGCGGGGCTAGCTTCAATAAGGGTGGTGTTGGCACGAGGGCGGGGGGCATCAGTGGTGCCAAGTGCCGTGATGTTGTCCTTCGTAGTGCCGCGGAGAATTCCCGTGAGCTTGCGGCGCCTGTACTTGGGTTCAGTCTGCTGCTGCTCGGCGAGACTGGGACGGGGACCACGCCCGCGACCAATGGAGGAGAACCACTTGGCAAGCTTGTTGTCCTTGTTGTCGTCCTTGTTGTGTTCCTTGTTGTCCTTGTTGTCTTCCTTGTTGTCCTCCTTGTTGTCCTGGTTGGGCTTGTCATCATCCTCGCTGTCGGAAAAGTGGGGCTGGGGCTCCTCGACGATGCAGAGAGGAGACCGCGACCTGTAGTCAGCTCTGGGGTAATGGCTGCGACTTACGGTTCAAATCCGGGGGTCAAGTCGTCCAGCTTCGCGAAGGGATCGGCAGCATACTTGATGAAGCACTCCCTCTTCTTCTTGATAGTGGCTGGGCTATGCGGGATATTGTTCTCCTTGCCAACGGAAATCCAGGGGCTCAGCGTGGACGGAGTAGGGGGCAAGTTGTGGGACGACGTGGAGCGGATGCCATGAGTGATCACAGCAGTGCGTGGCACAAAGCCTACGGCGCCAGTCGAAATAGTGAGGGGCTGGGGTTGCTGGTTGCGGAGACGAGAGCTATAGGGGTCAGAGGGGGGATGGCTTTATGGAAAGCGCTCACCTAAAACTCGAGTCGAAGCGGCGCGTACGCGCCCAGTCTTCACCGTTGATGCCCTTGGTTGCGGTGTTGGTAGAACCAGTGTCCGTGTAAGAGTCGGGGAAAGTCATCCTTGGGGCCCTCGTGCGTACTTTGAAAGAGCCGTATTGTCCCTGTCCCATAGGGCGGGACGGGGGGTTCTGAGAAGGGCCATTGACTCCTGGACGGGTGTCAGAAAAGAAGAACACTGTCTATTCACTCACCCCTCATGTCGAGACGTGCCAGGGGGTCTGGGCCGAGATCCTCATAGGGAATGACTTGGAGTAAGCGGTGGTGTTACTGTGGGGCACGTACGTTCTTCCTGGTCATCGGTCGTCGACCTCGAAGACTTGTTGCGGCGGTGGTCGACCATGGCTGCTATGTTTGGTAAGGATTGACAAAAGTGTCAAGTTGAGGATAGCCATCAATGCATTATTCAGTCGCGCAAGAGAACCATCACTGTATGACTTTGTTGCCGGCAGTGTTTTTTTTTTCGACTACGTCAATGTTTGTGCTTGGAGAAATGGGGTGGTCGCGAATGTGTTTTGTTGACGGAAGGAATGTGAACGCAAGCACCTTGGTCTGTTGATGGCACAAAGGTACATACTGATGGCGGGTCCGTTGTTGATCTAGGGGGTACATCCCTGTCTGTTTGAGATATAATATGGTGCTCATTGTTGGTAGAGGCTACAGCTCGGTCATTTGATGCACGCTAGGGAGGGAAAAAAGACAATAAATATGAAAAAAATGAACCTGTCAACAGCTCTGACTCTAACAGGGGGCTCTGCAGCGAGTGATCCTTCCTTAGTAGTAGTTTTTATGGATAAAAAAGGCAGGGGAGATGTAGTTTGTGCTTCTCTAGGACATTTAAGAACGCTTGTGATATTAATGTTGTGGAGGTGGGTTATTTAACAAGGGCACAATTGTCGGTACTGTTTTGCGCATCACGGTAGATACCCGTCTCCGCCCTCCTAGGAAAAGGCCTTCAAACGCATAAACATACCAAGCACCTACTACCCCAAGACGTTACCATCTGGTCCGCTTCCCTCGAAACATAGGCAACTGCCGCGAAGGTATGACAGCAAATGTAGCTGGCCAGGTCGGTCAGATATCATGTTCAAATGCAGGCACAATTGATAGGAAAGAAGCAAAACGTATCATCCACAGACCCCAAGAGAAGGCAAGAGGCCAGAAAGCTATGCAGAGGCCCGGCCCATCGGCTGCCAATGGAAAGGAGGATGAATGCATGGCCAAGTTGCCAAGGGGCGCGCATGGTCACGCCGATGACGCTCGACGCCGAATCAATGTCACGTGATGAGGGGAGAGGCAGCGGGAGTAAGATTGTCACGTGTCGCGTGGGTAATCCACCACCGCTGTGTGGCACTCGCACCACCTTCCACACAATCTCCGCGGCATGCATGTTGACGGGGGTATCACAATCCAGGTTCCACGGTCTGCGATATGCTCATTCGTTCAAAAGCGTTCATATAAAGGATCACTTTTCACATGTCAAGTACTTGAACACCTCAGCCTTAAACCGTATCTGCACCACGAATTAATTTGCATGTTTAGGCGTCGTCCTCGTCGGTGACAACAGTCTTTTTGAAGTCGCGCGCAGGAACTTCGCGCTCAAACAGAATGTCGAGCTCGCGGTAGGTGCGGCCACGCATTTCTGGGAGGCGGAAGTAGCACCAGACGGTCATAACCGTGTTGGTACCGGCCCAGAGAAGCGCAGAGCGCGACTTCAGGTTCCAGGCGGTGGGGTTGACCATGTAGGTGTTAAGAATACCGCAGACGATGTTTCCTGTTCTGTCAGCGTCATGCAAGGATTGAAAGTCATTTGTAAGTAGATACACAAAGGGCATATCCAGCTTGGTAACGACCGTAGAGTGGAGAGGGCAACGTACCGAGGTTGTAGGTCATGCGCGCGAGTCCGACCGACTTGGCGCGAAGACGGGTGGCAGATGTCTCACCAACGACGCAGTAAGCCAAGGGACCGACGGTGAAGTCGTATGTAAAGACGCTGAGAGAAAACGTGTCAGCTGGCATGTAAAGAGAAATGAAGGTTTAGAGGCAGAGTGATGGTGGGATGGATAGAAACTCACAAGATCATAATGAGGGCAGCCTGGCCCCAACGAATGTTCTGGTTGTGGTCTGCAGCAAATCCAAGGCCACCGATAATGTAGATGATGACACCCATGACGATCATGCCGCCAATGAAGAAGGGACGACGACCACCGAAAGTGAGGGCAATCCACGAAAGACAGGTACCGGCAAAGGCCATGAAGGTAATGCCGAGGTTGACCTGGAAGGTGTTGTTCGTGCTCATGCCAGCCTGCTGGAGGAAGTAGACAGGTGAACCGGCAAAGACCATTCCACAAAGAACCTGGCAGAGCCAGCCAAGGCACGCAATCTCGGTACGGCGGCGGTCGGTGCGCTTGAAGCAGTCGGCGAACGAGCCCTGGGTGTTGTTGTCGATCTCCAGCTGGTTGGTGCGGACCATCATGGCAACAGTCTGGGCAGGGTCGACGGTGTCACCCTTCCGGGCAAGACGCTGGACAACCCGCTTAGCGTCCTCGAGGCGGCCTTTGCGAACCAGGAACCATGGCGACTCCGGGGCAAGCGTAATGGCGATAAAGAGAGGAATCGGCCAGACCCACTGGATGGCGAAGGCAATCTTGTAGGCCCACTCACTCTCAATATCGAGGACGCGGTAAAGGATACCGGCAGCGAGGATCTGACCGATAATCCAACACAGGTTGACATAAGTCGTCAGATAGCCACGGAGAGCGACAGGTGTGACGTCTGAGGCGTAGGACACGGCAGAGGACGAGAAGGCACCCCACGGGAGACCGCAAAGGAACTCTCCGGCGAAGAGGACCTCGATGGAAGGTGCGAAGAAGACGATGAAGATGCAACCAACAAGGAAGACGAGACCGGCCTGGAGGGTGCGCTTGTAACCCCAGCGGTCCTGGCAATAAGAGGCAAGAGTAATACCGCTGCAAGGTGTGTAAGCACTAGCGACGGTCGAGATGTAGCGCAGCGGTTCACTCACAAGAGACACCCAATGTTGGGTGCTTGGCCGATCGCGGTCTGCCAAGCAGCCGACAGCTGGTATCCGTTCTCCTCGTCGATAAAGGTTCCAAACTTCTGGCGGAACTGGGGGAGACCAATGACATTACCGAGCACTGCTGTGTCGTAGCCCTCCATAACTGTGGGGAGTCAGTTCGCAGCAAGGGCAGAGCTAGAAACGACTCACTGATACAGCAGGAAATGCAGAACGACCAGAAGACGGCTGCGGGGTAGGTCTTGAGGCCCTCGATCACACCCATCGCGCGTTCCTTGTCTTCAGCGATGATGGCATCGCTACGGATGTGGCTCCACTCGTCGTGGCCAGCAGCCGACTCGATGTGAGTGGCGTGGGCCTTCTCGTCGAACTTCTCGTCGATCTCGGGGACAGTCATGTTGGGCGAAGTGTCGTGAGCAGTTGTAGATTGACTGTGCCGGGGTAGATGGGTGAGATCGACGTGCAGACTAGGCGTTATATAAGGGAAGAGGGCTGCCCCCTCATGTGCCTCTGGGGTATGGGGTCGAATGCGGAGCCAGCCGCGCTGAGTTGACGCGCAGTCGCAAACTCCCTCGCCCTTCGACGCCGCGACACCGGTGCTCCTGTGTCCGAGCGGGGACCCAGAAGCCTACCACACGAGCTCCAGTGGCCAGCTGCCGGCTATGCCGTCGCCTCGGTGCCCGGGCCGTGTGGGGGTGAAGCTCGACAGGAAGAAAGCGCTGTCAATACGGGACGGAGTTGCAGTGTGCCTTGCTCAGCTGCTAGTGGAGAACATGGACGGGATGGACACGAGGTCGACAAAACTCCCTGATTCGAGTGGCTTGGCATGTAAAACTGCCCACCGTTCCAGCCTTTGGGCAGTCGGCGGCAGGCCGGGGGTTTCGGAGCGCCACACCGAGCCTCCGTGATCTCGGTGCACTCCGAGCCATGTGGCCTATTCGTCGGTCTTTCAGCAACAACAAGCAATGTTGTCGGACGAGTCGGCCTGTCGCCGACCTCACCTCGCTTGTTCTCAGACACAATCAGCATGGAGCTCGGCTACGCAGTGCCCCACGCCAAGATCAAAACACGGAAAGCAATGTTGCGGTCATCGATGGTGATATTCTTGGCTTACGGACATTTCGATTAAGGCCCGAACAACGCTGCCATTGGTACATTGACCGGAGGGTCATGTGATCATGTGAGGCGGGTGCGCAGCGACTGGAGCTTCGGTTGCTGGAGAAGTCTGTGGATCTGTGGGGAGACACGCAGACACATGCCCACTAAATTCACTCATCAGCTGCCACACATACCGCACTAAGTCACCGATCCCCGACTCACACTTGCCGATTACAGGTGGCTGCACATCGTGGATGACTGCGGCTGGGGTAATACTTGCGTGCCGCTCTGCACGCGCAAGGTCGGAGATGACGGGGCATGCTCCGAGCTGGGTAGAGGCCCAAAGCAATGTGCGACACAACCCCATGCGAGCTCGCACAATTGGGCAGGTCTTCTTCTCGGCCGGCCGGTTCGGTGCAGCGCCGATGTGCAACTTGGGCTGCGTGTCGAGCAACTGCGGGGATGCGGGACTACGGGCGGTTGAAAACGGCAGGTCGCGGCCCCACGAAACAGCCAGGGACGCCGGGTTTCACTAAACGGACAAGGTTTACCCACCTTTCATCGCTTGTCGAATACTAGCCGCTGTCCAAACGTGTGCCAACGACACCGACTCTTGCTCAAACACACATCTGCATCATACACTGTGGTGTGCATGAGACTCCAGCACTGGGCTGGAGGACGTACCAACCCTCGTTCATCGAAGGACAAGAGCTGATTCTCCAAGTTGTCCGTTCGATTCGCGCCGAGGTCGAAGATCGACAACTGCAAAGGGTCGAGAGGGAGCCACATGCGCAGCACATCGTCAGCCGTGTGGGTACAGAGCAATGGCGCACTCGGTAAACAGGTGCCAGCAGGTACGACACGGAGAATCCTGCGTGATGGACGAGGGGACTCTTGGCGCACTATTCGGTCCTTGGCAGGGGGCGTTGGGTACGCATGAGAGATTGGACACGGCACGAGAAGCGGTGAGAGTGCCGAGTGGAGAGGGGTACAAGAGTGGTAAGCGGAAGTGTGGTGGTGACAATCAGTGGTGCGATGGTACAGCGTTGCAGGTGGATGGCAGACTGGGTGTCCTTTGCTAGTAACACACATCCTGAGCGACGCACTGCTGGTATTTATACATTACGGTCAGTCGACTCACTGTCGGAGCCGAAGCATGGCAAGGAAGGGTGCACAGCAAGGCACACATGGTGGAGCCATAAATATGCGGGTCGCTGACTGGCATGGATTAACTCGAAGCGAGGCGGGTAGCGAACGTCGCGTGGCGTGACGTTAACAGAGCACCTTCAAGTGTCGGTCAAGGTGCGCCAACGGCCGATATTCACAGTTGCATGGGACATTGTCATTTGGCCACCCCAGGATCTGTTTAAGTATCATTTCGACAGCATGCGAGAAGCTAGGGAGAAGGCGACCCGAGCGCCGGAAGCACGACCAATTTAGGACATTCACGGCATGCGCCGACCTCCTCAATAATCTCCAGCGAACCAGACGTCTTGATCAGTAGCATTGACCGATCTCAGGTTTCCATTTATACAGGTATAACAAGCGATGGCTACATGTGTGCCGGTATTTCTCGGTCCCTACCGAAGCCCCCCTGCGCCCGGGCCGACCTTGAGGTGTTCTACAGGCGAGCCTTGGGTACGCTGTATGGCGCTTTCTGGGCGGCCCACATTGCTTGGACCATCTGCTTGACGTCCTTCTTCACAATCTTGCCAGCTGCGTTGCGAGCTAGAATAGTGTCAGTCTCTGAACACGTGTTGTTCTCTCATTACCCACGGAAAGACTTGGTGATTACCACAATGACTGGCACAGCGGCGCGACGCAGTCGAGGCTCCACGTGGGCGATAATGTCCTTTGGAGTCGCAGACGCGCCAGGAGCAAGCTGAACGGCAACACCCACCAACTCGCCGAGCACATCGTCCGGAACAGGGACAGCTGCTGCGTGGGCGATACGGTCGTCCAGGTGGAGGGCATTCTCGACCTCGGCAGAGGCAATCTGTTCCCTCAGTTAGTCATCAACCAGCAACTAGCATATTTTATGGACGGTGGCTTACGTTTTCGCCGCCACGGATGATAATGTCTTTGTAGCGGTCCCTGATGTAGATCCAGCCGTCGTTGTCGATAACGGCCATGTCACCCGTGTGGTACCAGCCCTCAGGGTCGAGGGCCTCCTTGGTCGCCTTTGGGTTGTCGAGGTAGCATACCATGTTGTTGCTGCCTCGGTACTCGATGATGCCGAGTTCGTTCGGCCCGAGTGGCCGGCGTGTTTCAGGATCCACAATGCGGACATCACCGATGGCAAAGGCCATGCCAATAGAGTCGGGCTGGTGAGTTAGTGTGGGCACGGCCCCCTCAGGCCTGTCAACGTACTCGGTCGATGTAGTCTTGGCCTACGACACCCGCCAGGAGACCGTTCGTCTCGGTCATGCCGTAGCCGTGAGTTCTGAGGAGTCAGCCACACGTCTATGGTGCGTTTGAACTCACATGCCTGCCTCTGGCCAGCGCCGATGCACGTCCCCGGCAAGCCGCTTTGCGGGTGGAGCACCGCCATACGATATCGAGTTGATCTTGTAGTCCTTGGGGAGAAGCGGTGACTGGAGCAAGGCGGTCACGATGGCGGGAACGCCGCCAATGATGGTTACTCCCTCCGCCTCCATGACCTTGACGGCAGTCGGAACGTCCCACTTGCGCATGAAAACAATCTTGAAGCCGTTGCACATGGCCCGGACCAGCCAACTCAGGCATCCCGTGACATGGAAGAGTGGAACGGGGACAAGCATGACTTCTTGGGGCCCGCTCTTGGGTTTGGCACCAGCGAGGGCAGTCTCAAGGCTGGCACCCCGGCGAAGGGCGGCTCGAGCAGCCACTGAAAGTGTCAGTGGTCAAAAATGGAACGTGCGCTTACAAAGCTTGGTGGACACCTGGTGGCTGAGGGCTGCACGCTGCGTGACCATGACGGCCTTTGGCTTGTTGGTCGTGCCAGAGGTAAACAAGATGAGGCCTACGCTTTCGGGGTTCAGACGTTCCAGCCCAAGGCCCTGCTGTACCTCCTGGACAGTCCGTTGCGATGGGTGGGGATCCAGTTTCTGGCACAGGTCAGCAACAAACCCTGAAGACTTTGGCTCACCTTGACGGTAGCCTTGGATGCATGTGGCAAACGGTCGAAACCTGACCAGCAATACACCTGCCCAACTCCCCTCGCCATGAGTTCGGCGCCCAGAGGACCCAAGGTACGCGCAAGGCGACCGTCCACCAACACGATGGCAGGTTTAGTGTCGCCGAGGCAGCCGAGCTGCATGTCGCCGTGGAGAGTGGAGTTGACCAAGATGGGAGCTCCACCGAGGAGGTGCACGGCCATGAACGACACGACCCACTCGATCGAGTTAAGTCCGCCAATAGCGACTCGCGTTCCGACTCCCACACCTTGCTCGCGCAACCAGGCTGCGAGAACAACTGCACGCTTGTAGGTGTCGCCGTATGTGATGTGTTCCCGGTCGTTTTCCTCGCCGTCTGCAGCGGGCGATGAGAGGAACTCGCGCGCAGCAGACTTGTGGAACACGTCGTCGAGGAAAGAGCGGAAGGTCTTTGGCGCCTTTCACGTCAGCTCATTTGCAAAAGGGCCTCTCAGCTCACGTTTTTCCATACTCGCATGACGTTGCCGTCAAAGGCCATGGTTTCCGTCTCGAAAAACGAGCCGGAGCCCGGTTCGCAGAGTAGCTTGTCGCCTGGGAATTAGCCTGGCCGGCCGCTGAGGGACGTACATTCAGCAACGGTCAGCTGCTTCGCTGATGGCGCCATGGTGGTGACAGATGTGTTGTCCATTGAGAGGTTACAAGTCGGCAAGATGGCATCGGTGATGGGGGTTTAAGCTTGGGTAGTTATCGTGTCAGTGGTGACCTCGTCTCAAACAAACCGAACGCCGAGAGTGACACAACGGCCGCTTTACTCTGTCGGAGATCTGCGATGGTTTACTTCTGGTGTCCGTGTCCGCGGGTCCGCGGTGTACGATGTCTCCAAATGGGGGCAGGTGGCACCTGTCAGTGGTGCACGAGGTCGGGTGGGCATTGTCAAGATCAGATGCAGTGGGGATCGTCCGCGATGTCGAGGTGGGCATTAACAGCGTTGAAGGATACGAGTAGTCGCGGCTCAATTTAGAACCATGAAGTAATCAAGTGCATCAAGTCACGTGACCCATGTTCGCCACCTATAACATGTAGTCCTCACTGATCACTGATGACGAGAGCACGGCACACATGGTATGCAGTCTGAGGAACGACACGCGGGCTGCCAAGCGTCCGACCTGTGCAGCTCAATGGCCGAGAGCCTGTGCTCGAGAGCGGCTGTTGGAGATCCCAACGGTCCCGGCTTTCAGACGCCATTTTGCTGTGCATGGATCGAGGCACCGCCCATTTCGTCGTCTGTGGCCCTGTGGTCGTTTCATTTTGGTCTCACCTGCATGATCTCAACTGACAGACCCCGCTGTTCTTTGTGTTTGCCAAACACACACACCTCTCTCAGACTGAAATACGGTGCTGAACGTATACCAAGTGGCCCAGTGTACCAGTGTCTTGGTTGAGATGACAAGGCGCCTTCTGTTGAGGACGAATACATACGCGGTAGCCCCTCGTTGTCGGCCACCCGTTGTACCAGCCCGATGGGACACCCACGCAAGCCCCGGACTTGGCAGACTGGGGCTACCCGTCATGAAACATATCATAGAAGTCCATTCCGTCGGCTCTCTGGATCTCTGGATCTGTGAATCTCTGATCTCTGAGCCAGTCGGTAGGCATTACTGATGGTGTGCCTCGCCCCCCTGTGCCATTTGCTCCGAGAACTAACGGCCCGCGGTACCACCGTTTGTGTGTTTGCCTCATTCCGCCGCCCCGGCGATGCAAATGTGTGCCAAATTGCTATGCAACAAGGGTTGTATTACGAGTTCCTGCCAAGGCAACGACTCTATTAGGCGTGACCGCAAAAGTCGGGTGCTATACATTTCGCACGGCTCGTAGTGTGGGTACTTTGTGGCAGGCAGCACTGTTGCACAGCAAGTGCAACCCCGAGAACCATGTCCAGCAGGTATAAGATGCCCTCCCTCTTCTCCCCCCAGGCATTCAGCATTCGCATTCATCGACACCGTCACCATGTTCGTTCGCCTTTCCAGCGCCACGGCAGCACTTGTCCTTCTGGGTCAGTCACAGACACTGGGAACGTTCATTGCCCCTCGATACTGACCATTCCCAGCCTCAGTCATCGCCACACCTCTGCCTTCCCGGGAGCACATTGCTGTCCGTGACGAAACAGAGAAGGCATCGGCCGGGATTGTTCCAATCTGGGGCGAGAACGGGCCGCAGCCCCAAGATGTCAAGCAGAGTGAGTAGTTGTACGCGCTATAAGTAGTCCCCTGGTGATGCTAACAGGCCTCTAGCTAGTATTGGAGACTGCTGGATCGACGCAACCATGGTAGCCATTGCTGGTGTCTCGTCCAAGTGGATGGAAGCCATCTTCTACGGCCAGCAAAACCGATACGCGTCACAGTGCGTTGTCGAGCTCACTGGTCCTCAGGGACACAATTGGTTCACCACAGTCAACTACGAGGATGTCAACTCTAAGACGCTCAATGGCGGTGACGCTTCGTTGGCCGGCGAGTACTGGTGGCCTGGTGCGATCGAGGTTGCCATGTTGCAAGCGCCGAACCTGAATCGCACCATTGAGGGCGGGTGGCCCAATGTCGCTCTCCAGATGCTCACTGGAGTGGAGGCAGTCATGGAGACAGACCCAGCCCGTTGGTGGGGAATTATCTCAAACTGCGATCGGTCACCCATTGTCGTGAGCACTGGCGAGAATGTCAAGACGCTTGTCGGCGCCCACGCCTACGCCGTCACTGCCTGGGGGAAGTCGGAAGACGGGATCTTGTACGTCGAGCTGCACAATCCATGGGGTATCACTCGTCGGTATGTGTATGACGACATTATCGACGACCTCATTGGCGCTTATCACCTTGTCAACTTTGACTACTGGGTGGACGACGAGACGGCAAGGAAGTAGAGCAAGTTTAATATGTACAACCTTGGTGTTCCGACTTTTGTCTGTAGAAACGAACACAATGCATTGGATCAGGAGGAGGGTACTGTGCCCCCTTCACTATACTTGCCGCTAGCTTCGATGTTCCTCTGTCACTCGCGCACGGTCTCACTCTCGGCTACTGCTCAATTACACAATCACCTTTGGCCGCGAAAATGTTGTTGGGCGGGACAGTTGCGGAATGTGCCTTTGGTGTGGGAATCTGGCCTCGTCGTGACGTTGCCGTAGCCGACATTGAAGTGATCAGTGATGATCTCTCACAAAATCTCATTTACTCACTCGTTCTCCCCGTGATGCGGTACGAGAAGCTGGCAGTTTCCCGTCCACGTCCAGACGTATGGATGCTCACCCTCAACTCGCCACCAGACAACCGCTTCACGGTCCGCGTCCTGGCGGAACTGTCGGCGGGGCTGGACCAGGTCGAAGGAGAATGGCGACTGGCCAACAAAGGCAGAGAGCCATCCAAGAAGAGCGGCGGTGCGATAGTCATCGCTAGTGCGCTGGCCAAGTTCTTCTCCAACGGCTACGAGCCGGATATCGTCCATGGCCCAGGGTTCATTACCGGTGAGTCCCATTCAAATACACGGGTGGTGGCGTAGGCGCTATTTTGCTGATAAGATCAGATACCGCCTATCCACCACTGTACCGCGTGCTGTCGTTCCCACTAGTTACAATCGCAGCAATCGAGGGTCATGGTTTGTGCAGTGCAATGATGGAAGCCTCGGCTGACCTCTCAGCGTTCGCGGGTGGCTGCCTCCTGGCTATGTGCTGCGACTTTCGTATCATGGGAACCGGCAAGGCCTGGATCTCGATGAACGAGGTGTTCGCCGGCATGCCGCTGAGCTACGCGGTGGCTGCCATTGTGTCAACTCGTGTAGACAAGCGCCTGTATCGAGACATCACACTGGGAAAGAGATGGACGGCCTATGAAGCCCGCGATGTGGGAATCATCGACGAGGTGGTGGACAACAGTGTCGACAGCCGGGCCGTTATCGACCGTGCGGTCGCGTTGGGCGAGGAGAAGGCCCCGTTGGTGGCAAGCGGCGCGTGGGATTCAATAAAGGTGAGTGATGTGGGCCGAGAAGCCGCTGACCTCATAAGCACGGGATATGGCGCCAGATCAGCGAGCATGGGGAGAGCGGCAAGCTGCCTCTCAACCCAGAGGAGCAGGCAAAACGGTTCTGGGGCAAGATGGAGAAAAAGAAGGCATACTTGTAATCAAAATGCACTTCTGGACTCTACAAAATCTCGTACTCTAGGCTTCCTCTGTGAGACCGTAGCGCCAAAGCCACTCGGCTGTACGGCGCACCATCTCTTGGCTCACAATGTGGCCCGCGTCAGGTTGGACGTAACGCTCTGCAGCCTTTGCCTCTTGGGCAATCTCCAGCCACCTGTCGTCTCCCAGCGTCCATGGCAAGACGGCATCAAGACCGCCATGGATAGCGAGGATACACTTGCCCGCATATGTGCCAGGGGGGCTTGGCGTGTTAAAGAATCTCTCCACCACGGGCGGAACGTGGCTCGGTGGTGAGTTTGGCGGGAGCTCGCGGTTGAGCAGCTTCCTACCCAGCGTCTCAGAGGGGAGGGAGCAGATGGGGACACCGATACGGATACGGTCATCCTCGCGCAGCAGTCGCCATGCGACGTGTCCTCCCATGCTGAACCCTGCGACCATGTATTCGACTACTTGGCGGTCCCCAGAGGGGAAGAGATGCCCTTCAAGGAACTCCATGAGGAAATGGTGGTCCTGCTTTGCGCCAGCTAGATTGTTAGTTGCAGACACTCTCCAAACTACACTCACTCAAACCCATCGCCATGTCGATGCCGCTGGGGTCAATATGAGACGCACTCTGCCTTTTGACACTCACAAACGGTAGGCGTTGGTCTCAAACGACACTTTGGTGCGGACACGTCGCCTGTCGCCGTGGTTGCGCTGGTCCTGGAGCCGTCAGAAGGAGAAGAGTGCAAACGTTTATACTCACAAGCGTCACGACAATCACATCACGCGTCCTCTTTCGCCCACCGACCGTGTCCAGCCGGTTCGCCTCTCCAATGAGCCCAGAAGCCATCGGCCACATGTCACGGGCCTTGTTTGCCCAGCCATGCGACAGGATCTGCGTGTGTGAGCTTTATGGGCAGTACAGTAGAGTCTCTTACAATGACGGCGATAGGACGCGTGCTGCCTGCGATCTCTTCCAGACCAAAGATGTGGAGGTCCATGTCGATGAGGTGGATCATCTTCTGGCTGGATTGTGGGTAACCAATGTTGAGAATGTCCCAGTCCATTCGGTGAGCGGCGTCCATGGTGCTGACGCGGGGGCTGTCTGTTGCTTGTTGCTCTGGCATGGTGATGTTGTTGAAAGATGAGAGAGAGAAAGAGTACAACACCAAGATTGTCGTCATGATGTACCCATTGTGTCCTCTGTGCCCCATGTCATGCACACCGGCCGCGTCGTTTGCCGGAGTCCAGGTCGGTCCTCGAGGCGCGAGGGCCCCGCGCCTCGCGTCGGACATGGCCGTGTGAAGGAGGGAGCGGAGGCATTTGAACAACGGATACAATATTACGTCATCAACGACACGGACACTTGGACCGGTGACTAACGACACATTTGGGTGCGACGTGAGGCCTCTTGACGTCTCTTTGACCCAGTCACTCTCGGCATCATGGCTCTCAACCGCCTTGGAACAGTCGTCAAGCTCTCCACTCCGTGGAAAGGAGTCGGACCGTTCATCTATGCCAACCACCACGTCGACAAGTATCCAAAGGGCAACGGCCGGATGGGCCCCGATCCCAAGCTGCTCAAGGGCCGCAAGATTGGTCAGGACATGTCCGGCGAGTCTGGCACGGGGTGGAACATGTACATGTCCACTGGACCTATCCCGGGCTTCCCAGCACACCCGCACCGCGGCTTCGAGACGGTATCTCTTCTTCGATCTGGAATTGTCGACCACGCAGACTCGACGGGCGCGGGCGCACGCTATGGCGCCGGCGACGTGCAGTGGGTGACTGCTGGAGCCGGTGTGCGGCACTCGGAGATGTTGCCTTTGATTCACGACGACAAGCCCAACACCATGGAGCTGTGAGTGTGGGGTCGCAGCTTCACGCAGCTGACACGCACCAGGTATCAGCTCTGGCTCAACCTGCCAAAGAAGAGCAAGTTTGCACCACCTCAGTTCTGCATGCTCTGGAACGAGAACGTGCCCATTGCCAAGCGGGGCGGCGCATCCATCCGAGTCATTGCTGGCAAATATGAGGACGTGACTCCCCCCAACCCTCCCCGTGCAAGCTACGCTAGCGAGTCCAGCTCAGACCTGGCCATCTGGCTCGTCGAGCTTGAGGCTGGAGCAACCGTGACACTCCCTGGCGCCAACGATCCCAAGACCCTGCGCACCCTGTATGTCCATGGCGACGACGCAAAGGTCACTATTGGAGGAGCATCGGTTGAGAGCGAGTATGGACTCGAGGTCACCAAGCCGACTGACCCAATGGAGATCAAGGCCGACACAACGTCTCGCATCCTCGTGCTCCAGGCCACCGAGATTGGCGAGCCCGTGGTGATCAAGGGCCCATTTGTCATGAACACTGAAGACGAGATCAAGGACGCGTACCGTGACTACAAGGCGACGCACTTTGGGTGGGAGAAGCACTGGGATCGCCAGGACCCCGTCTATCCAAAGGACACGCCGAGGTTTGCCGACTTTGGGGACGGTAACAAGGTCTATCCGCCCACCAAGTAGTGCAGGAGAGTGTGTATTATTCATAGCTGTAGCCGCATCATTTGAAACCATCCTACTTGCGCTCCTTGAGCAGTTCCCCCAGACCATGGAGGAGGTCCGCCTTGAGGTCCTCGACCCCCTCGACGCCAATGCTGACCCGCAGCAGCCGTGGGTCAACTGTACTGTCCGACATGGCGCGCCACTCAATCAAGCTCTCGACGCCGCCCAAACTCGTCGCATGAGCAAACAGCTCGAGCTTGGATGGGAGTCGCTTGGCCGTGTCAGAGTCCGGCAGCCAAATGGCAAACACGGGTCCGTAGCCGTTTGGCATCTGCTTTTGGAGCCATGAGCCCGGCTGGCTGGCTTCTGGCTGGAGACTGGCGTGCTGGATGCGCTCCACGAGAGCCGCGACGGGCGAGTTGGGCTCCTTTCGTTGCTCCTCCAACCAGCGGACAATCTCCGTCGCGCTCTCGCTTTGCTGCTTGACGCGCAACTCGAGGGTGCGCACCGAACGGAGCCCCAGCCATCCCTCCAGCGAGCCCATGACGCTGCCCAAGAACACCCGGTCGGATCTGAGCTGGTTGATCCACTCGTCGCCGCGCTTGGGGTTGAAGGCCAGGACACCACACAGGAGGTCCGAGTGGCCGCCGAGGTACTTTGTGCCCGAGTGCATGACCACATCGGCGCCAAAGTCCAAGGGTCGCTGGAGGGGAGGCGGGCCAAATGTCGCGTCCACAGTGAGGTATGCGCCGGCCTTGCGAGCCTTCTCGGCATAGAATGCAAGGTCACGAGCCTCGCCGGTGGGGTTGAGTGGTGTCTCGACGTGGATCACATCTCCAGGCTGCAGTTCCTCGATCGCACAGTCAAGAGGCAGCTGCTTAAGTCCTGTAAGCCGGGAGAGTAGCTGGATGACACCGTGGCATCCGTGGTATCCGTCACCGATGGCAATGCGCTTTGGGTTCAGGAACACGAGCATGGCATGGAAGGCGGCCAAGCCAGACGTGTACGTGAGCGCCTCGCCACCGAGGATCGAGGTGTAGACCGCCTCAAGGCGAGTGGTGTTGGGGCCCGAGACGCGCGAGTAGATATGAGAGTCGCGGGGGGCCAAGGGCTTAACGGGGAGTCAGCAAACACATCTATAACCGTCCTCTCACGTCCACGTTTCCCAGGGTTACGAGCTCTTCTGGGTCAGAGCTGTACCGAAACGTGCTTGACACATGGAGTGCTGGAGCGACGGCACGGTGGGCTGAGATACCGTCATCGGCGTGCACGCTGCGTGATGCCAGCGACAGGTGCGGCGGACTGAGGCGGTCGGCGGCATCCTTTGACTGTATGCTGGGAGTACTACCGGCCATGACAAAAGAGTCCAGTTGGATGAGTGGATGGACGAGAAGCTCAGACTGAGTCATGGATCGGTCATAAACCAGGCCAGCAACCTCGTTTAGGTGGCTTCTCGGCTACACGCGGCTAAAGCACGTCATTGCCCACCCTGTTAATGAACTCTTCCCGTCCACCTGTGGCACCACTCCATTGTCCCATACAACCGACAAGTCCTTCTCATCTCTGTCTATCTCTCTCATTTTAAATCTTGCTCTTCACCTTGTCCCAGTCGCCCGCAGCCAGCGTTGTGAAGAAGCGCCAGAGGGCCTCGGCGGCCTCCTCGGGCGCCTCCTGAGGGAGGAGATGCCCGGCCTTCATGACACGCTCGTTACGAGTACGCGGCGCGCGGCCGGCAATCTCCTGCGCGAGCTTCTCGCCTCCCATCCAGTCTTCGTTACCAGCCATCAGGAAGCCGGCGGGGACAGTGATCTCGTACAGCTTGTCCCAGCCGCGGATCGAGCCGTTTGGGTCGGAAAAGACGGCGGCTTCGGCCCAGGTCGGCGTCGCGAGCGTGACCTCGCCGTCGGGGTTGGACGGATCCACAGGCACGAGGTGGTGCGAGAGCCAGGTGTCAAACACTTCATCGTGCCATGTTGCAAACAGCGGGTTCTTGCGCATGGCCGCAGCGTCCTTCATGGAGGGCCAGTTGGAGCGACGTTTGATAGCTGCGTGCACGATTGGGTAATCGGCCTTGATGTTCAACGACATGATCGCGGCATTGCACTAACCTTTAGCTGGGCCGGGAGCGGGGGACGCACCATTGGCTCAATGAGGAAGAGGGAAGAAAAGACATCGGGGCGGGTGACGCTGGCCTGGACGAGACCGTTGCCGCCGTACGAGTGGCCGACAGCAACGAGGTTTGGCGTCTTGGGAGCCTTGCCCTCCTCGTGCCATCCCAGCTGCCACTGGTGCGTGTTGGTGGAGCTGTATGCGGGCAAGATGTGGGTCGCAAAGTTGAGCATCTCGCGTCCCCAGTCTGCCCAGGCGTAGCGGCTGGACAGGACGCCGGCGTTGAGATCCACCGACACGCCGTGGTGGGTGTCGTCCAGGAACCACATGTCGTTGATCACCACATTAGTCGCACGTGAGAGGGGCTCGCCAGTGCCAAACACAGCGCCGAGAGCCTGGGGGTCGTTGGCAACCACGCGGCGGGCGATGGGGAACCAAGTCTCCTTGTTCAGACCGTTGGCGTGGGCAAAGAGCAACGTCAGACCGCCGGGCACCTGCACATCGCGCCTCCATCGCTCAGCGGCAAGCCACTGGGCCGGCTGGTCGCCCTTACTGGCTTCGTCGAGCTTCCACTCGTTGCATGCCAGGCGCTCGCTGACACACTTGAGCTTTTCGCTTTGCACACGCGCACCGCGCTCCTCCTTGCTCTCGGTCGCGGGGACAGCTCCAAAGGGCGTCGAGAGTCGAGAATAGTCACCTTTACTGCCGTCGAGCTGCTTAGGCCACGCCGCTGGAGATGCGTGTACTGTTCTTGTGTATCCTGGAGGAGGCGGAGGGAGGTCTGGGCGGGGTGGGTGCTGTGGCGCCTGGGCAGTGGGCGGTCGAAGAAAGTCTAGGTACGGAACATAGGGCGTCTGCGGCGAAGGGAACTGCGATGCTTTGGTGTAGGGTGGGAAAGCGTCGACGCGGGGCATCGTGGAGGGTGGTCGCCGTCTAGACGGAAAGGCTGCTCGAGAATAAGTAGACGTATTGTGTTGACGAGAGGAGATGGATGAGATGGATGTGACGGACGACGACAAGAGGCCATGTCGTCAAAGCCGGTTCCCCCAAGTAACCGGGCGGGCATCCCCGAATACCGGAGCAGCAATCCCACCGGCCGAACGACCGGCCGGTGCGTCAGTCTCCACCATAAGCAAAAGCATATGCACCTTGACATGTGTTCATGTGTCCTCATGTGCATAGGTACATCAGCATGCGAGGCTCATGGCTGTACTGAAAGCGCCCGTATACACCGGGATAAATCGGTGTGGGACTCGGTGCAACCATTCCGCGATCCGCACTGTTTCGCGTTGTGTGCAGATCGGAAACGATTAAAGACCTGTTACACACAAACAGATGCGCGGCAGCAACCCGGGGCCTCTGCGGATCTGCAGCCTGCGGGGTCTATCACCAGCACGATCGGCATCATGTTTGCGCGTCTGGCCAGCTCTGTCGGGACCTGTGGATAGACTGCCCGGCCTCTCCCTACAGGCCACAGGCCACAGGACCTGACACGACACCCTGCACGCCAACGTCTCTGTGAATACTGCACAGAACAACCAGATGGGCAGATGGCACGCACAGCCCAGGACCTGACGCTGCGATGAATGGGCATGAGGCTGCTGTAAGCTATTCAGCTTCAGCTGGCCAGAGCTGGCCATGCGCCATACAACCTCCATACAGCACGTTGCCGCGGTTCTTTTAAGTTGTCAAACGTGGCCCATTTCCTGCCCAATTGCCCAAAACACGGGACTGACCCTTTGGTTATGGGTTCCGGCATGCCTCAAGACGGCGTTACGGCACGGTCCGATTGCCACAACATCGCCAGTGTTTGTGCTCTTGTCCGCTGCACGACGTGTGAAGGAGTGTGTAGAGGCGTCGCGTCCTGCCCAGAACCTGGTTGATGAAGTAGGGGAGGAGCTTCCTGACACCCGAGACGGCACGCGTCGTGCAGAGATTGCCCAGCGTGAGGGCTGTTGTTTGTGGTCGTGGCTTCCGAACAGCTCTGGCCGTTGGTGGTGGTGAGCCTCAGGCGCCAGCCCTTTCTGACCTGAAACGGTGTTCTCCCTGTTCCTCTGCCGGCAAACCGGGTGGCTGCGGGTTTGTTTGGATCCTTGTCAACGTTATTGCTCTCATCATCCGCTGGTCACTCTTGCCTCTCCCGCCATGCTTTGCTTCTCCTTTTGTCTCGCCAGACCCAAAGGCCCAACAAGGCCATGTTTGCTGCTGGCCTGCTGGCCCGCTCGACGCTGTCGCGTGATGTGCGGCCCCGTTGCTGTTCTGCAACCTTGCGGTGTCTGTTTGGGCTGACATGCTCTGGCATTCCAAGCCAACCCTCCTGGTCTTACAGTAGTGTAGGTCTTTGTCCCTTCCCGCCAGCCCCTCGTCGTCAAGTCTTGAGCGCGATTACCCTGTGCCAGTCAGTCACCACATAACGACAGATACAGGTGGCGGCCCAGCAGTGGCGCAGATGCTCAGAAGCATGGCCAACAAGCAGATGAGCAACATCAGAGGACAGACAACACTGGCAAAGTCTCATCCATCCACTCCCCCATCTCCTCTTTCCAAGACGATTGAACCACAGCAGCGATGGGACTGCTTCAACGACGCAGCATCCACGCAGGCGCCGATGGCCCTGTCCCCCAGACTCCCGGTCGCCAACGCGCCCGCAAAGGCAGCGTTCCTTCCCAGCTCGGAGTACCGGGCATGCCAGACGATGCTATCCGTACGTGATATGCCTGCGCCAGCGCGTCGTTTCTAACCTCCATCACAGAGAAACGCAAGTCCTTTGTGAACATCTTTCGAGGTCTGCGCAAAGATGACATGCCGCCGCCACCCGTCCCGTCCCTCCCTATCGGCCCTGCGCCAGTCTCGATTCTCCGCACGACGTCGTCGTTTGCCGACGGCGGCGGACCTGCAGTGTCGAGAACGAGCCTGTCAATGCCGGGCAGCCCGCCGCGTCCACCTCGCCCGCTTCCAGGCGTAGGGGTATGCTCGACCCTCCCGCCACCGCGACCATCGTTCTCCCAGCCCCAGCGCGCATATGGGCACTCGCCGGCCAGTTCGTATAGCTCGATGATAAGCTCTGCCAGCGGCGGTCGGCGTCCCCTGCTGAACATATCGGCGCCTATTCCCGGCCTAGGAGACGTTCCGCCACTGCCAACCACAAGTGCGGTGTTCAGTAGGGAGCGTGGTGGCGTCTCTCCCACTACTTCCCATGACAATATGGCTGCCAACCGTCGCACACTCCCGGCTCTGCCAACTGCGTCAATTGAGAACACTTTGGGTCATGCGCGCACCGACTCTGTCACGACGAATGACTCGTCAGATCAACCACCGCACTCCAGGCGGCGTATCCACTCGCACCTCCAGGACCGGCTGAGCAACGGCTATGGAGGGGAGATGTCCCCCAGCCCATCGATGCCATCCACTCTTGCGAAGCCACCCACTCCCGCGGTGGCCTCAGCACCGGCGCCAGAGCGCCAAAGCACTGGCGAGCAGGACTTCATCTTTGACGCCCGCGTAGCTGCAATGTTGAGTGACCCGCCTCTTCCACCAACGACCACACCATTCACCCGTATCAAGGCCACAGACCCTGGCACGGACGTGTTCACGACGGTCCCAGCCTCCCCACTGTCCAACGTCCCCCCTCCTGGTCGTCAGCAGTCACGCCTGCGGATGTATGCCAACACCCACTCACCTGTTCCATCGCGACCGTCGTCCGTTGTCGACAACTCGGAGATGAGGATCCTGCCACCAGGCGCACTGTTGTCGCGTGGAGAATCGCTCGGAGTGTCCAACCGCGCGGCGTACCCTCGAGCCCCTAAATTCGTTGCCGATGGCCCCCGCCCAGACTCGTTGCTGAGTACCGCCAGCTGGGCTTCTGCAGCATCGGGTCCGCGGCTTCAGGCACATGATGGTGTCCGCGTCCACCGTGCGGGATCCATGTCCGACTCGATCATGGGCTCGGTGTCGGAATCCATTTCGGGCTCGATCTCGGGCGGCGACTCGTCCATGGACGACTCTGTCGAAGACCTCCGGACGGTCGAGGATTGCGGACCCATGCTTCCTATCCGTGTTGGTGCGGATCCACGCAACTCGTTGATTGTCATCCACCCTCAGGACCCCATTACCCCCAAGTCGCACCAGTTCCCTCCCTCGGCATTACTGGCACCCCCTTCCAGCTTTGCAGACGGCACCCCTGGATCCATCTATTCGAACACTTCGGCTTCTTCTTCCAACACGGACCTTCATGACAGCGCCAACTCACGAACCCCTACCGCTTCGCGTATCAAGCTGATGCGTTCGCCATCGGCCACACGTGAAATCGATACCCTGCGCACACGCAATTCACTGCTCGAGGTGACCAATGCGCGTCTAGAGGCCGACCTCAAGAAGGCGCGATCTGACGTCAGCCTGCGTCCCGGAAACGCGTCCATCTACTCGTCGGCGCGCCCTGGTACCAAGCGCGACTCGGCGAGCACTACAAAGACGGCGACGGCCAACAAGCGCGACTCTGCTCTCACCATCCGCGACGACGGAGCAGGCATCTATTCACAGATGAATGCTGGCGGTGGTCGTTCGCAAGCCGACCTTGCGGTCCCTGCCCTGCTGTCAGAGATTGAGTTGCTGAAGAGGAGCGGCGCGCAACTGCAAGCCGAACTCCAGGCAGTCAGGTCCCAGGTTTCGCTGCTGTTCCCGCCAACGCCTGCTGAGATGGCCGAACAGGAGGCACGCGATCCCAGCGGCGGTCTGTCGAGCCCGGGACGCATGAGCACCGACGCGAAACCGGACCGCAACCCCTTCCGTGCAAGCAAGCACGGCGGCGTGCAGAGCGGCCTGGTCACCCCGACACTGTCATCGACGTCTGCTGTGGGCATGGGGTCGCCGTCGTCCAGCAGTTCACGTTCGCACTCGGCCGCCTCGACCGCCTCCACACCCCTGACGCCACAGATGAGCACGCAGTGGGCACAGGTCCAGACTGGGCCTGGCAGCACCGTCAAGCTGGCCAGCTACGACAAGTACACGACCATACCACCGGCCCACTTTACGTCCATCCCCCCCACGCTCGCTCCCGTGCCCGCCACGCGCGCCACTGTGCCCGTGCACCATCCCCAGCCGCGCCCGATGAGCGCATTCAGCGCCAGGAGCATCAACACGCTTAGCTCCAGGACACCCCCTCCCCGTCCTCCGAGGCGTGTTTCGCGTATGCCCGCTGTGCCGGCAGCCAACATCAACATCAGCACGAGCGTCAGAGCTGCATAGACATTTGAGTCGTCGTCGTCTTCAGAGTTGTAGGTAGCCCGCCCCCAAGTATAATATGTAATGCTTAAGAAGGATCGGCCGCGTAGCCTTAAATTCGGAGGAAATTCACTGATAAATCATCTGCGGATGTGAAAGCCGAAAGCCCGTGCAAACAGCACACTCTGACGCGCACATATGGGCCGTGGCGTGTCGAGTGAGATCCTTGTAGCTGCGGAAGACGCGCCAGGTGTTACAACCAACCCCAACCCGCTCTGCCAAGAGCGTTTGGTTGCCGTGTTCTTTTCCCTGGTTGGTCGTTTTTAGCCACGGTTTGCGGTCGCGCTGTGGGGTCAAGCCTCCTGAAACCGCGCCACTTCGTTTCGGCGACGGTGGCGTCCTGAGTGGGTGCCATCATGTTGCGTCTCTCGGTGGTGGTCTCATGACCTTCATCGTCTGTGCCTACGTCTGTGTACGCCTGGGCGGCCCGGCGGTCCGCAGGATGCGTCTGTTCTCTTCTACCACTTCTGATCCGCTGAGGAAGACCGAGTAGAACAATGCGTGCCGGGCCGCCCGCCCCCGTCAACCTTACGTTTTACGTTTTGTTGGGTTCGTAAAACGAATCGTCTTTATGACACCATGTCAGGACGTTTCCAGCAGTGCGCCGGTGCATAAGTGGTCCCTAAGGTTTGGACACTGTGTCAGTGCGGGCGCACCTCTGTCCAGCGACGGGCCGTTCGATCAACTACCCCATCGGTGTTCTGTTACGAACGGGGCGACATGCAGGTCACGATGTACTTAAAGCGCGGTCGCCAGAAGCCTGCTCAAGCACGGCACTAACCCCCTCCCCAAATGATCTTCACTCGCTGGGCCTTGGCCGCCTTGGCCTTTGTTGGCAGCGCAGCTGCGACTCTCACTGCGACCGAGACGACCACGACGATCACACTTCAGAATGAACGTATGAAGTTTGTGCTCACCAAGTCGACCGGTTACATGACGACTGTGACCCTCGACAGCGTCAACCTCCTCGGTACCAGCGTGTCGAGCTCCACTGCCGTTGGACCCTACGTCGACGCCATGTTCACCCCGGACCAGACGCTCCTCACCCTCGGCAGCGCGGCGAACCACACGATGATCACCGGCACCGACTCGCAGGGCGTCAAGTGGGGCGGCATGGTCCTGTCGCTGCCCAATGCAGATGGCGTCAGCGGTGTGTGTTACTGAAAGGAGGTGGTGAACCGCCACTGACATGAAAAACAGGCGCCACCCTCCAGCAGTACTGGTTCTTGCGCGAGGGCGAGACCAGCCTGCACGGTTTCAGCCGCATTGCCTACAGCGGCTCCGTCTCCAACCTTGCGACTCTTACCCAGATCCGTACGCTGTTCCGCCCTCACGGCACCTTCTGGACGCACATGAGCGCCTCGGAGGACTTTTACGCCCCCGAGCCCACACCCGACCCCGCCGTTGCTGCCGCGGACCTCGGTACCGCCACTTTGGTGCAGGACACCACTTGGTACCTCGGTGCTCGTAGTGGTACGTCTAATGTTGTCCACGAAACAGTCGCTAAATATATCCAGCCGACCCATGGGTGACCCAGGTGTCCGACTACTTTACCAAGTACTCGATGACCGACACGTACCGTGACCACGACGTCCACGGCCTGTACGCCGACGGCACCCAGACTCCGAGCAACGTCACCCTCGGCGCGTGGATGATCTACAACACCAAAGACACGTTCTACGGCGGCCCTACTTACTCTGACCTTACTGTCGACGGCCTTCTCTACAACATCATGATGTCCAACCACCACGGCAACACGTGCCCCAACATCACCTCGGGCTTTGACCGCACTTGGGGTCCCAGCATCTACTACTTCAACAAGGGCGCCGCGGGCCAGTCGGTCAGCACCGGTCTGAACGCTCTCCGCAAGGACGCTGCCCAGTACGCCACCACCACCTACAACGCCCAGTTCTACGACGACATCGCTTCGTATGTCAGCGGTTACGTGCCCACGTCGGGCCGTGGCAACTGGAGCACGACCATCAAGCTTCCGACCGGTGCCTCGAACACCATCGCCATTCTCTCGGCCCCCGGATACGACTTCCAGGACAACGCATACGACACCAAGGCATACCAGTACTGGGCCAACGTGTCTTCCACTGGAGCTGTCGAGATTGACCGTGTCAAGGCCGGCACGTACCGTCTCACCTGCTACGCGTCGGGCATTTTCGGCGACTTTGTTTACGCCAAGAACATCACCATCACTGCTGGCAAGAAGACCACTACGCCTACCATCACCTGGACGGCCGAGTCTGCGGGAACCGAGCTGTGGCGCATTGGTACCCCGGACAAGTCTGCCGGCGAGTTCAAGCACGGTTACGCCCGTGACACCACCCGCTCGGACAACATTCCCGAGTACCGCCTGTACTGGGGCGCCCACGACTTTGTCAGTGACTTCCCCAACGGTGTCAGCTACACCATCGGCACCAGCACCCCGGCCAACGACTTCAACTATGTTCACTGGAGTGTCTTTGGCGGCAGCTACACTCGCCCTTCGCTCGTGTCGACCACGGCGGTCAGCAACTGGACCGTCAACTTTGACCTCACTGCCGCCCAGATCCAGTCGATGACCACCGCCACCCTGACCATCCAGTTTGCGGCCGTCAGCGGCGAGTCTGGAAACGAGGACGTCGGTACCCGCAAGTACTCGAGCCTGCCGTACAACGTCGCCATCAACGGCTACCAGCTTGACACGTTCAAGGCCCCTTACTGGCACTCGTCGTCGTGCGCCATCCGCAGCGGCATCATCTGCTTTGGCGTGCGCAACAAGTGGACCTTCCCCGTGTCCAAGCTCAGCTCGTCCGCTACCAACAAGCTTGTCCTCAGCATGCCCAACAACCCCACCGAGGGCGGCGTCACCATCTCGAGTCTGTCGGTCATGTACGACGCCCTCCGTCTCGAGGTCGCCTAAGGCGCCACGAGCCGGGCGCCACGCGCTGGTCGCGACGAGGTGGTCACTTTCAGCAGACTTGCATGCAATTTCATTTGTGCCATCTCATATCATACTCTGGGGCCAGTCCACCAGGAGCGCCATACATATGCAATGTTGTAAACAAACAACGCCCTGGGTCCTTTGATCCTTTGGGTTCGGGTTGCAATGCCACTGTCCTTTCATTTAGCTTCTGACGTCATGGTTGATTAGAATATTATTGTAATCACCCCGCCAATCAATCCGTGTGCCGTATTTGTCAGCCCAAAAGTCGCCGATCCCTGATCACCAGATCGCCGCCTAGTTTAAAAGGTGATCTCGCATCGGTCTCCAACCTCCTTCAATCACCTTCACACCCACTTTCTACCAAGCCAATGAGCTCTACACCGCCAGAACAATCACCAGCGCCAGAAGCACGCGTCTCGCGCAAGCTCACCAAGGCCGTCGCCGGCTTTGAGACGGCCGAGGGCGCCGGGTCTCGCGTCAAGCGATCGATCGGCACGCCGGGGCTGTGGAACCTGTCCCCCTTCCTCATCCTCGACTATGCGCGCGTCCGCCCCGGCGAGGGGTTCCCAGACCACCCGCACCGCGGCATGTCGACACTGACATACTTGCTGGAAGGGTGAGTGTTTGCCTTGTGGGGTTTCGTGGAGCATAGCTGACACACACACGCTAGACAGATGCAGCACGAGGACTTTACGGGACACGTCGGCGCGCTGCGTCCCGGCGACGTGCAGTTTATGACTGCCGGCCGCGGGATCGTGCACAGCGAGATGCCGGCGTTCGACGAGGACCGGCCCGTAGACGCGGTGGTGCTGCAGCTGTGGATCGACCTGCCGGCCGCCAAGAAGATGGTCAAGCCGCACTACCAGGAGAAGAAGGCCAGCCAGCTGGGGCACGCGACGTTTGACGGCGGCAGCGTCGCCATTGTGTCTGGCGAGTCGCATGGCTCCGTCGGCCCCGTGCGTCCCGTGGCGGGTACGTGCTGGTTTATGGATTTCCGCCTGCTGCCCGGAGGCCAGGTGTGGCAGCCGCTGCCGGAGGGATGGACGGCGTTTGTCTACGTCCTCACGGGCACGCTCGCGGTTGGCGATGGGGATAAAGTGATCGAGCCGCACTACACTGCCGTGTTCTCGTCGGACAAGGGCGAGAACGGCGTCCTGCTGCGGAAACCCTCGGGCAAGCAGGAGACGCGCTTCGTCCTCGTCGCTGGCGAGCCACTGAACCAGCCCGTCATCCAGCAGGGACCCTTCGTTACGACGTCCAAAGAGGCAGCGGTCCAGGCCCTGCGCGACTACGATGGATACCGGAATGGGTTTGAGAAGGCGCGGGGGTGGTCGAGCACAATCGGAAACCCAGGTCGCCGTCCGGCCAAGAAGCGTTAAGGGGCGGTTCTTGGTGCAGAAGCACTGCGAGGCGGTTCTCGTACATTAGAGTCTTATTCATCCATGTATCATATCATATAAAAAGTACAACCATTGGGGCTCCCTTGTGCAATGGGCCTAGGCAGTCGCAGGGAACTCGATCACGACCTTGCCCTTGGAGCGCTTGCTCTCGAGACGGGCCAGCGCGTCGGCGTAGTCGGCAAACTTGAAGGTCGAGTCGATGACCACACGCAGCTTGCCAGCGGTGACATAGTCTGAGAGCTGCTGGAGCTCGGGGCCATCGGGACGCATGAAGAGGAACTCGTACGCGATGCCCCTGGCGGAGGCCGCGTTGCGGACCGAGCGGCTCTGGAGCCAGATGGCGCCCGAGACGAGGTAGCGCTTCCAGCTGGGCAGGTCGAAGCTGTCCAACATGCTGGGCGTGGGCGTGCCGGCAATGGTGATGACGCGACCGTTGTCCGCGGTCGCGGCGAGCACGTCTGTCATGTCGCCGCCGGCACAGTCAAAGACCTGGGTGAACTTGGTGTCGAGGTCGGCAAGCTTGGTGGTCTTGTAGTCGACGACGACGTCGGCGCCGACACTGCGCACGAGCTCCTCGCCGGCGGACGACGCAGTGGTGGTGACATGGGCGCCGCGGATCTTGGCCAGCTGGATGGCCAAGAGGCCGACACCGCCCGCACCAGCAGTGATGAGGACCTTGTCGCCCGCCTTGACCCCGAGCTTGTCGAGGACCTGAAGTGCCGTGAGACCCGCAAGGGGGAGACCGGCGGCATCAACAAGGGAGATGTTGGTCGGCGCACGGGCCACGAGGTTGGCAGGCTGAACGACGTATTGCGAGAACGCTCCAGTGCCGCCAGTCTTGCTGACGCGAACAATGACCTTGTCGCCCACAGCCAACGACGTCACACCCGCGCCGAGGGCGCTGATCTCGCCCGAAAGCTCATTGCCCACTACAAAGGGGAGCGGCAGGGGAAGGAGGGCCTTGAGAGCACCCTCGCGCAGGCGGAGGTCGACGGGGTTGAGGCCTCCACCAGCGACGCGGATTTGGACCTCGCCCTCTGCGGGGGTGGGGACGGGCAGCTCGATGATGGAAGTGACCTCGGCGCCGCCGTATCCAGAGTTGGCGATGGCCTGCATTGTAGACATTGTTGTTGCGTGTGCGTGTGTGTGTGAGAGAGAGAGAGGGGGGGGGAGAGGGAGCGATAGAGGGAGAGAGGGACAGTTGTGTTGAGAGAGTTTGTCTTGAGGAATGAGCTGGAAGAGAATTCAAGCCTCTTGCCTGCCTTTAGTAGTCAAAATAACATGACGTCATGCGTTCACCTCTCCCCGTCCTTCCCACCACCAAGCACCTCGCGCTCCCACTGAAAATACTTTTCGCGACGCGCTGTGCAATGGCCCTGCCCGTCGGCCTCGCACGGCGATGACCAAGACGGTGCGTCCAGTAGCGAGCGGGCGCCGGTTACTGGCACGGTGGTCCTGTCGATATCCTGTCCATATCGGCGACAAAGCGGTCAGGAGTTGACGGCCGAGAGCGGCGTTGGGCGGCCGATCGGGGTTTAAAAATGTTCTCGCAAACGATCGAGCGCGAGCCTCTTCCACAGATCCACAGAACAATAGCGGCCGCCAAGCTTGCTGGAACGGATGTAGATCACGCAGAGTCCAAGCAGTGTTCATGGCCGTATCCATGTAACGAGGTATGGTTTGACAATCAGTGGAGCGGTTGCTCTGCGCCGTGCCGGCCGCCAGTTGATACCGCCAAGGCCGTCGGCATGCCGTCAGCCACACTGGGCCCTCACACCCTGCTCGCAAGCACTACGCACAGAGCCAAGCTGTTGCTCTGGGTGCGATTGCGAATCAAGTACTGCCACAAAGTGGAGCGTGCACATATGCATTCCGTACCGTCCCTACTCTTCTTCGCATGTACTGTACTTGGTCCTTCTCTTTGCCTCCCCCCGAATACTACAAGGTCACACACACAGTATTACAACTTGTCTTGCCTCACGCGTGTACATCCACATCCCTCTCCGCACGGCGCTCGCGCTCCTGGTCGGCCTGGCTGACTTCGCCGGCCGCCTGCATGGCCGGGTGGCGCGCCAGCATGACTGAAAACACCGACGCAATGATACCCACGAGTGCCATGAACACGGTGGTGGCACTCCACCCCGGGATATACCGTGGCTTGTCGGTCGCGGGCCACAGGAAGACACCGTAGATTGAGGCCGAGTTGCCCAGCGCGTTGACCAGGGCGATGGCGACGGCGCGCTTCTCGGCCGGGTACGTGATGACGTTGGGAACCCAGGTGAGGACCAGTGGGCAGACGGCGTAGACGCTGCCGAAACCGAAGCAGAGGAAGACGTCTGGAGGAGGGGGTCAGCACAAGAGTCGGGGAAGCAATCGAAGGTGTGCAACTCACATTGAACGGTGTGGTGCGTCTGGGCGACGGTGATGATGAAACAAATGGTGCCAATGGCGGAAGCGATGCCGATGAACAGAGGCTTGTTCCTGCGCCAGTCGGAGCACATGCAGAACACGAGGATGAAGACCAGGGCACAGGCGTAGACGGGGATGGTGTGGTACTGGGCGGCGTAGCCGGTCCAGCCAAGCGACGACACGAGGGTGGGGACAAAGTACTGCACGGTCTGGGCACCGGTCGAGAGCATGTACATGACGACGAACACCCAGACGCGCCAGTCGGTCACGCAGAGCTTGAGGGCCTGGAGCTCGGTCGTGTGCTCGCCACCGGCCGTGTTGCCAAGACCGTCGTGCGCCAACCTCTGGGCGGCTAGCTCACGCTCGGCGGGGGTGAGGAACTTTGTCGTGGCTGGCCAGTCGGGCATGAACATCCACGTGAAACACCCGAGGAATGATGCTCCCACACCTTCGATGATGAACAGCCACTGCCAGCCCTTGAGGCCGCGTGCACCTTCGAGATGTTGAGTGATGAGGCCGGCGAGCAGTCCAGAAAAGGCGCCCGAGATGGCCGTGGCCGTGTAGTAGATGGAGTAGCGGGTCGACAGCTCGTAACGCCTGTACCATGACGAGAGGTAGAAGGCGACTCCGGGAGCAAAGCCCGCCTCCACCACACCGAGACAGAAGCGCACGGCGGCAAGCTGCTGCCAGTTGGTGGTGGCGGCCATGCATGCGCTGACACCGCCCCAGAGGACACACAGTCCCGACAGGTAGAGCGATGGGCGGCAGCGGACGATGAGCATGTTGGAGGGGACCTCGAAGATCACGTAACTGATAAAGAACACCAGCAGGACGATCGAGTACTGCTCCGAGGTGAGGTTGAAGTCCTTTTCGAGGCCACCGGTCTTGGCGTTACCAATGTTGGCGCGGTCGAGATATGAGAGAGTGTAAAGTGCCCAGATGCATGGCTGAGGGACGTGTCAGTGCATGTTTTCCCGTTTTACTTGTGCATGTGGCGTTTGTGTCCAGGTGCTACTCACGACGATGCGCTTGTCAATTTTGCGCACAAAGGCCTTCTCCTCGTCGGAACCGGGAACGTAGGCGTTGGCATAGGCCTGGATACGCTTATCTTGGCTGACCTCGGCCTCTTCGGTCCACTCGTGCTCCTGCTTCATCTCGCTGTCGTATGACAGGGGTGACATGGGGTCTGTGGTTGTTGTTGTTGTGTTGATGTGGGGTTTGCGGGTGTTGAGACGCGATGTGACGCGTCAGGTAAAGTCGGGCTGCTTGTTGGGTAGGAGAGAGCTGTGCCCAGGGGGGGGGCCTTACTATATAGTCATTCGCGGTAACCTGGGTGGTGGTGTTGGTGGCCGAGTGTCCGGAACGATACGAGATGGGCGACAGTGAGGATGCAGCAAACATTGTTCCACGGTGAGAGGCTCAAAGTGCAAGGTGGCCACCCGGAATGTGCGCGCGACCTCACTGTGGAGCCCTCTGGTCGTCTCGCAGTTGACAAACGCCAACCCATTGGCCACATTTATCCGGCCGTGTGGCGTTGCGGGGTGAGGGGGGAACACGGGATCTTGATGTCATGGACCATGGGCCATGCATTATCGTTCCGGCCCACCGACCAGTTTGCCAACAGCTTGCAAAGGTCCGACGGCTGCGTGCATTGCGATCGTTCGTGGTGCTGCTTCTCTTGGCAGGCCACGTACACCTGTTGGAGCTGGGTCTTCCATGGTGTGCCTGCGGATTCTTTCCAGGTTGCCGTTTGCCGTGGCTTGCCGACTTGGCCGCCGCAGTCGAGATGTGGGGTAACCGTGGTGTCCCTACCGCCGCTCCGGCTTTCGCTCTCACATCACCGCGGCATCACCACCGGCATCGCCGTCGCCGGACGCCGGAGAGACGAGTCTTGACCATCTGGTCTGTTCTGTTCCTCTATCTATCTATCTCTCTCTCGACTCCCCACTCTCCACAATCAATCAATCAACCAACCAACCATGTCTGGCCTCAGCAACAACCGCACCCTCCAAATCCTCCGCAAGGCAGAGGACGAAAAGTATGGTATCCTCGCCCAAGTCGTCTACGATGCAGGCCAAGCACTCGCCTTTGTGCGCGCCATGGAGGCCAAGCGCTCGCCAGGCATCCTCCAGATGTTCCCCGTGACTGTCCAGCAGCTCGGCGGCTCGTTCCTCAAGTACTGTGTCGACATGTAAGTACTGGCATGCTGGCTTGACAAAAACATGTGCCGCGATGCTCACGCTCGAACCAGTGCCCACAGTGCATCCGTCCCAATTTCGGTCCACCTCGACCACGCGACTGATGACGCCGCTCTCCAGTTCGTCCTCGGCCTCGCGGACCAGGGTATCAAGTTTGACAGTATCATGGTCGACGCCAGCCACGCCGACACGGACGAGGAGAACATTGCCATTGCCGTGCCCTACATTAAGCGCTGCAACGACCACGGTATCGCAACCGAGGTCGAGCTCGGCCGTCTCGAGGGTGGCGAGGCTGGTTTGCGTGAGATTACCGGTGCCATGCTCACCGACCCATCAAAGGCAGAAGCGTTCATGAAGGCGTGAGTAACGCGATCCTCCAACGGCGTGCTGACAAGATAGGACTGGTGCCGACATTCTCGCGCCCTCCATCGGCAACCTCCACGGCTCGTACAAGTTTGTCGCTGGCGGTCCCAACTTTAGGCAAGAGATGTAAGCCGACTATCCCGGTTCCCAGACTCCTCCGCTGACAATCTCCCAGCCTCAAGGACCTCCAGTCGCGCTTCGCCGGCCGTACGCCGTACGTGTGTCTCCACGGCACCGACGAGATTTCAGACGACCTCTTCCGCGAGTGTGTGCGCAACGGCGTGACAAAGGTCAACGTCAACTCGTGGCTCCGTGACCCCTATGTCGACGCGCTGGCCACGGGCCTCAAGACCAAGATCATGCCCGAGGCGATCGACGACGCGCTGAATGCGTTCCAGAAGGAGGGAGAGCGGTTCTGTGACCTTTTGGGCAGCACGAACAAGGGATGAAGAGCGGTAGACTAGATGCAATGCAGTGTTTGGAAGTGGGAAAGACAAGCACGGGGGTGATCATCACTGAACGGATTGGCAAACTGTCGAACACGGCGCCCAGCTGATGCTGATGTGACATGGCCATCATGCATTTACTTTGTCTTGTACTCGTACATTGCTTACATTTCCCCCCTGTAGCCCTTTGCCGTGTGTCGTGATGCCAAGCGCAGACGCTCCAGTGATTGTCTAACGAGAGTCCATGACCGCTGACTGCCACTTGTGGCACATTGAGCCATAACAACGAGACGGGAGGGATACAGCCCTCCCGGGGACATGTACATCCTGTCCTCAACAGGGAGTCCACTTGCTTTCGCTCCACAGGAGTTCAAGAATAGATCCTGAGGACGGTAGGACGTTAGGACGTTAGGATGCGCGATCGTGACAGAAGACAATGCTCAACTCGCGTCGGCCACGGTTCCACTCCACACCGTCCCGCGGCTCCACTGCAACTCCCGCCCTCCGTGGGGAAACCAAGACGCGAAATGCCAAATCGCCTCTTCATCTTGCTCTCAACTGTCCGCGGTGCACCACTGCCCGCAGCTGTACATGACTGGAAAGTGACCGGGCGTGTATTCGTTGCACATTCTGGACATTCCAGTCATGTAAACCCGCACCGGATGTGGACTGAAAGGGATTAGAACCCAACAACACCGGAACGATACTCGTCTCCGGGCCCATCATAACTCCATTGCTCCGGGTGGGCAAGTGAATGGTGGTGGTGGACTGATGGGACGGACGTCTCCGACGTCTCTCTCTGATGGCATTGTGGTGCCGAGCGTGAGACTGCCGCGCGCAATGTTGCCACTACTACAAGACCCCCACGTCCCCGCACAATGAACAGCTCCAGTCCCTCTCACGTCCACACTCCATCCACCACCAACATGACCATTTCAAACCCCAGCTCCAACGTCGTCCTCATCACTGGCGCAGGTGGATGGCTCGGCGGCATTCTGTCGTCTGCGCTGCTCGCCGACCCGGAGACCCCAGACGTCAAGCTTATCCTGGCCGACATTGTGGAGCCTCAAGTCCCCGCCGGTGCCCCAAAGGGGTCCGTCATCACGCGCAAGGCCGACCTCTGCGACCCCGCCGAGATTGACCAGCTCTTCACCACCGCCCACGGCGTCCCCGACACCATCTACTGCTTCCACGGCATCATGTCGCGCGGCAGCGAGGACAACTTTGACCTCGGTCTCAAGGTGAACATTGACTCGATCCGCGCCATGCTCGAGCGCGCCCGCGCCGAGAGCGACAACGGCACCTCGCCCTCGCCCATCCGCTTCATCTTCACATCGTCGCTCGCCGTGTATGGCGGCCCCCTCCCCGACGTCGTCGGCCCCAGCACCATCGCCACCCCCGAGGGCGCGTACGGGTGCGGCAAGCTCGTGTCCGAGATCATGGTCAACGAGTACACCCGCCGCGGCTACGTCGACGGCCGTATCCTCCGTCTCCCCACCATCGTGGTCCGCCCCGGCGTCCCCTCGGCGGCTACCTCTGCGTTCATCTCCGGCATCATCCGCGAGCCCCTCAAGGGTCTCCAGGCCGTTTGCCCCGTCGGCGACTCGCTCCAGTCGCCCGAGCTCGACCTCGCCGCGTGGGTCGCGTCTCCCGAGACGACCATCCGCAACTTTGTCATTGCCAAGCACGTCCCGGCCAGCAAGTTCCTCGCGCACACGCGCGCCGTCTACCTGCCCGGCTTCACCACGACCGTCAGGGAGGAGCTCGACGCGCTGCGCGAGGTCGCGGGCGAGGAGGCGCTCAAGCTCGTCACGTTCAAGGACGACCCCACCAACCGCCGTATCGTCTCGTCGTGGCCCGCGAGGTTTGACAACTCGTACCCCGTCGGCCTCGGGTTCATCGCCGACGAGGGAGGCATGGTCCCCATTGTCCGCCGCTTCCAGGAGGCTGTCAAGGCGGGCACGGCGTAGATAGGTAGCTGTTACTGTGAGAAGCTGAGGGATAGATGCACATAATTGGTCTACTCGTTCACATGTCGTCTTGTGTATACTACAACCATACAAGTTTTGCTCCTGTCCGTTTGGTGTCTTGGTCAAAAGGACCTTGACCTTATCGTTCTCCTAATCCGCCCCCAAGCCGTAGCGACTGGGGCCTCCATGACGTCTACTTCACATTGCAAGCTACGATTGGTCGAGTCAAGCTGGCGCATTGAGACTGCCGGAGGTAGGGAGCTTTCTGTAAGCGATTCAGTCTCGGCAGGTGGACGTACCTTGGGTCAGGCCTCGTCCATGTCCTCCTTGGTCGTGGTGGCGTTCTGCTGGTTGCTCGCCACCGTGACTTCCTCGTCCTTCGCCTGCGCGTGCTCGTCTGGCACCGGGGCGGAGTCGGGGCTAATCATGCCCGCCTTCTGAGCGGCCCTGTACACCTGTTGTGTCAGCGAGTGAGTCTTGGCAGGTGGACGTACCTTGCGCTGGCCACCGTCCTCGCTCGCCGCCAGGCCAACGGCTGTCTGCGCGCTGGGCTCGTCGTTGTCGGGGGCGTCCTTGTTCTCCGCGTTCACTGATGTCTTGTAGCGTTTAACAGGGGCCTCCAGAGCCGCCTGCTCCTCCTTGCGGTCAGCGGGTGCGGCAAGTGATCAAGCGTACCTTCCGCCTGCGAGTAGCCTCTTGCCACTGGGCCGCCACTTCATCGGCCCTCATCCAAGCGAGGTACTTCTTCTCCCTCTGGACCTCGATTTCGGTCTCGAGCCTCAAGAGGTAGAGTTCCTGCTTACGCTCCTCAATCACATCCGAGCGCTGGGTTGGTGGAGGGAAGGTAATGGAGGACGACGTCGACGCTGCCGGGCTGTTGTCGGTCACCAGGGAAGGTGCGGCGAAGTGAAGTGGGGGGAGACCCGCCGCGACACGAGCTTCTGCTCCCTTGGCCTTCTGCTTGAAGCCGCGGCGCGCCTTGGAAGTGCTGGTCGTGCCCATGGTTGATGGGGAGAGAGATGGATGATGAGGAAGGAAGACTATGGGGCCCCGGACTCAAAAGGACGCGGCTGAGTTGTTTGTGTGTGCGAACGTTGTGGCACTTTGCTTCCGTCGCGGCCCCGCACGGGGTGGCGGGTGGTGGATGCTGTTCTTCGTCACACTCAGATGGTACACATCTCGGTCCGTTCCACACGTTTAAGCGCACGCTAACACCCACCCCGAGTCCAAATGGTGCATGTTCTTGGCCAGTCCATCCTCTCCCGGCAGCTCAAAAGTTGAAACGGCCCTCACAATGGCCCGAGATAATGACCCGACAGGAGCTGAAACTGATCATCTGACATCCAGACGTCACTGGTACTTATAACGGCGCGCCCCGAGCAACCGGTGGGTGACGAAACAAGCTTGTGGGCGTTCCAAAGAAGCTTATTTAATCTTCCAGATGCCGGCAGGACCCGAGAAACTGGCCGAAAATGCGGATGGCAAGGCTGACGATGTCAGACCAGGAAGAGGCCGGATGTGCAATTGTGCCGACGAGCCGGCGGTGCGCTGGTATCCCGGATGGACACGGAGAATGGCATTCTCTGTGGCGATACCACTGCCACGATATGTTGTCCTGCGCTAGGACATGCCTATAAAAGAGAAGGTTTGTTGAACAGGACAGAAAGCCCAGACAACTCCCACTTCCGACAACTGCCACAACTCCCACTAGCGTCTTACAATGATCGCCTTCTCCAAGCTTCTCACGCTCCTTCCTCTTCTGCCATTTGTCTTTGGCGCGCCTGTTGAGGTTGTCAAGCGCAGTGTCCCCTCCGGCTTCCCCTATGCCGAGGGCACCAAGTTTATGCTTGACGGCCAGCCGTTCTGCTTTGGCGGCATGAACGCCTACTGGATCCCCCAGCTCGTCACCGACGCCCAATACACCCAGGCGTTCGACATGCTCAAGGACCTCAACGCCAAGGTCCTCCGTACTTGGGCCTTTTCCATGGTCGAGACGGTCCCCACGAACAGTCTGACCTACTACCAGCTCTGGGAAGGCGACAGCTTGTGAGTATCTGCAGAAAATTGGCCTCGGGTCTGACGCGCAAGCACCGTCAACACTGGAGCCAACGGCCTTGAGCGTATGGACAAGACCGTCGCCATGGCTGAGAAGTACAACATCAAGCTTATCCTCGCCTTTACGAACAATTGGGACGACTACGGAGGTGCAGATCATGCCTAGAGGCTGTGCTAACAACATTCAGGCATGGACACTTACACGAAGCACACGATGGGCAGCCTCGAGTACCATTCCGACTTTTATGTTCAGGCGGCGCCGATCGCAGCCTACGAGTCATACGTCCAGACTATTGTCAACCGCTACAAGGATTCGCCCGCCATTTTTGCCTGGGAGCTCGCAAACGAAGAGCGTGGCTCTGGCTGGCCTAGCACTGCTCGTCCTGGCTTTTCAGCTTCGGACCTCACCAAGTGGATCAAGGACCGCTCGGCCTTTGTAAAGTCCCTCGACCCCAACCACATGGTGGCCGTTGGGTGAGTGCTGAACCCACCTGTGGCAACAACAACTTACGACCCCAGTGACGAAGGCTACTACAACTGGGCTGACTCGACCGACTACATCTATGACGGCGATTCCTCGCTGGACTTTGACGCCAACCTGAAGCTTCCCAACATTGACTTTGGCACCTTCCACCTTTACCCACAGAGCTGGGGTAAGACGCCTACTCTTGAATGGGGAAACACCTACATCGAGCAGCACGCCAACAGCATGTAGGTGTTAAACACTGGGGACAAAGATATACTGACACCCATAGGAACCAGATTGGCAAGCCCGTCCTCTTTGAAGAGTTCAACCTCGAGGGCTGGCCCGAGCAGCTCTCGACCATGACTGCTTGGATTGAAAAGGCCAAGGAAGTCGGCCTCCCGGGTATCATGCCCTGGGGTCTCGGTGCGCAGGACATGGACATTAGCGTGAGTCATCAAGTCTCCTGCACCGCCACTGACAGCTAGGGAACCACCGTCTACTACAACGGCAACGTCGGAAACCTCTCGGGCATGGACATCTACCCGTCCAAGACTGAGCTCTGGGACGTCCTCAAGGCCATGGGCCAGTGGATGCCTGCCAACTGCGGCGGCACTACCACCCCGGTGACCTCGACAGCCTCCCCCGTCTCCTCCACCTCGACTCCTGAGACGACCACGGCCGCGCCCACCTCGTCTGACCCCGTCACCGCCACCCCGTCTGACCCCGTTACCTCGACCGACTCCTGCTCGGCCGCGCCCGCCACGTCGACCACCGCCTCGTCCTGCGCCGTTTCCAAGTGGGGCCAGTGCGGCGGTGTCAGCTACACCGGCTGCACCACCTGTGAATCTGGATCCACCTGCACGTATGGCAACGATTGGTGGTCCCAGTGCCTGTAATGGAATGGCTGGTCCATCCGTATCGTGGCAGCAAACATCCGCCCAATGTGGCGGAGCGTTGAAAAGCAAAAAAAAAGAAAAGAACAAACAAAGTTGCTTGAGAAATATGATGGTGGCCTGGTGCCCACCTGCTTTATGCATTGAATTATCATTTTTTGTCTTTTCTTCTTCGGTAGACACGGTTATTCACAAACCTTTTCATGGTCCTCTGCTCCCCACACGGCAACTGGTCCTGCTTGTCCCAGCTCCGCCCTGTTGAGTGAGGATATTTCCAGGGTCTATCCGGATATGGCCGCGTCAGTCACGCCTCTCTCCCGTGGTGATGGTCGGTCGTTGTCGCTATGGGTAGCGGTCGGTCGCAGCAGTGATCCTAGGCGCTACATGGCTAGTCAGCAGCCCGAGCAGACACATTCATGGGGCTAGAGGAATACAATTTGGAAGAGACATACAACTGGCTTGATTCTATGAAAACAACGGCGTACAGAATCACCCGTGGATATCCAGTCGGTCCATATCCGCGACGAGCCGCGATGACACTCCCGCGGCCTCGCGCGTGCGGCGGTGGCGCTCGCTGCTTGATGGGAGCAACTTGTGCGAGCGGGCGGACACTGACTTGCGCGTTTTCCGTGGTGCAGGCGGGCACACGGTGGCCTTGGAGGTGGGGACACGGCGGGCGAGGATGGTTGTTGGGTGGTTGTGGGCAGAGGGTTTGCGCGGAGGAGGGACGGGCAGGAGACCGGTGAGCAAGGAAAGGTCGAACACACGGCGCGTCTCCTTTGGGAAGGCTGCAGCGGCATCGACGAGTTTATGAAAGGACTGGTCGAGCGCCGCGCGCGCAAATGGGCCCACTTGATCCAAAGGGGGCGGGTTGACACCGGGCGGGAGCGCCCCGAAGGCCTGGAATTAGCACGAAGGATGGAGGAAGGATGGAAGACGAAGGGGCTCCGGATGAAGGGATGCAAGGGCAGAGAGAACGAACACATACCAGATTGTATGCCGGTGGGATGAGCGCATCCGACGCGGCGGTCCACTCGGCGACTGTCTTGTAGTATCCCGTCCAGCCGCGCGCAACACGCGCCCACTGGTTCCTGCCGTGAGCTGGGGGCGAAGACCACGACTCTTGTCGCACACGGCGAGGATGAAGATCTGGTGAAAGGAGGGCGATGTTTGCTTCCCTCTCCTTGCAGCTCGCGCTGCACGTTTTCCTCCCAGGCGATGCTGGCGTTGCGCGCTGCCCAGGCGATCATGACGCGCCTGTCATACAACGGGTTGAAGGGGGGGTGCAGGAAGGGGTCTGCCCGTTGCCAGCTGGCGCGCGGGAACGTCGGGGGTGGCGGGGGCGGGGGTGCCGATTGCATGGCGGTCGTCGATGGATGATATGGATGGTGTGCGAAGGACAATGGGTGGCGAAAAGGAGAGTTTGTTTATGCCGTAGACGGAAGCACAAACGAAGCGTCATTTGGGGAATTGAAAAAATGGCCTAATGACCTTGTAACCAGACCTATTGGCACACATTAATCCACCCATCACACAGCTTCAACTCGACCGTTTGGTCTTGGGTTCTCTCCATCATCATTTACCACATTCTGAGAGCGATCAGCTTTGTAACCCCACAACATTAACCTCGACCGCCGACCTCGCGCCCCACTGTATCAACACATTACTCCTATCAGCTTCGCGGCTTGCCTCTTGGGGCCACTGTCAGTCCTTCGTCAAGGTCCCGTCACCACCACCGCCCCCATAAGCATATCCACCTGGTCCGAAGCGCTGCGCACCTATGCGGAGCCGGCGCGGCGGTTCCCAAACAAGAACACTCCCCCATGCCGGCAAAGATGCCTTGAAGGCCGTCGAGACGAACCTTTTTGAGCGGACAGACCTGTTCGTATTTCACAAGCAGCCGAATAATCCGTCAACCCGCGCCATTCGGATAATGCCAGAGTCGAGCAATACAACACTCGCCCGCGTCAAAGAACTCATAACTGTAGTCATGAAGGTCGAGACCGGGCTTGCCCGCCGCCTGTGCTTACTGCTGGCGCAGCGACACTGGTGGAGGTGGGGCGGCTCCCTCCATGGCTCCCACCCTCCATCCCAGCCCTCATACCCGCCATCTGACCTCTCCCACCGGCCCACCCATCTCTCATCAGACTCGCCGCATGACCTGGGCGAGGCGCAGAAACCGTCGACACGTATTCCTGCCAGCGCATATGGCCCCATTGCGTCCGCGCGACGCCCCGGAATCGACCACGAGCTTACCCTTGTCGTCGCGGACGTTCCTACCTCCTGGTCAACCGAGAGGTTCCCCGGATCGACAGCGTCCACACCTTGCCCGCAACGCACCTCGCCTCGTGCGCTCGCTTCATCGCCCTTGCCCTCGTCTCTCACACCGTTCATTGTCACGTCCACCACCTCTCCTTTGACTTCAGCGCCTCCTTCCGCCTCGACTCTGTCGCCAACCGCGACCCCTGAGCCACCTGCCGAGTCATCCTCAACGAGACATGTCACTTCACCGCTGGTCGACTGGTCAGATCCCGACTACCAGCCAATTCTACACTCCTCCGACGATACCACACCGCAGCCAAAGCGCAAGCGGTGAGAGAAATAGACCATTACGGGGCACTGTCGAGGAGTAAACTGTTGTACTTCATTCGTTCCCGATAGTCGGCTATGTACAAAATGTACCCTCCTGCGATATATCGTTGGGATGACACATGTCGCAGGGCTGTGGCAGCATCGAGTCACGTTCGGTCGCTGTTAACAAGCGGCCGCCGTTTTAACGAGTCGAGTTGATTCGAAAGTAAGATGGCCTGGTGCCACTTGCTTTATGAACTGTTCGGCTCGTTCCCACTTACCGTCCTTGCCCAAGGAGCGAGATTTTTTTTAACCGATTAATTGGGATTAACGGGGATTTTTACACACGACGCTCCGCACTCAAAAACAACACTCATCCGGCGTCAGCCGCGCCATTCTTTTCCACAGGGAACATCCAAGCGCCCTAGAACCAAGGATAAACATCTGCTTCACCTGCAGGTGCATATCTGAGCCGCAGGACATGGGAAAAAGAGAAGAGTGGACGAGTTAGGAATCGAACCAAAGACCTTGTCAAGTAGGGTAGAAGATGCTAATGACACGCTCTACCAACTGAGCTACACGCCCCGCGATGTTTGTTGCAAAACCGTGATGCCCACGAGCGTTGATTCGCGTTTTAGGACTCTGAGCCTCTGTTCGCCGAGCGTTCTGGCCACTTTTCGTAACAGACCATGATGCAGTCATGCATATTTGTACAACTCGGACGTTACACCTGTGAATGATCCTCTGCCGCTCTCTCTAGCCACCCAGCCCTCACTAGCCACCCAGCCCTCACTAGCTACCCGTCCCACCGCCCTCTCCCGACACGGCAGCGACTGCCGTCGCCGCCTTTGCTCTCCTGCGTCTTGTGGCCTCATTCAACCGTTTAACAATGTCCGCCTGGTGTAGCGGCTTCGGCAAGATATCGTCCGCCCCCGCGTCAAGGTACGCGTCCTGGTCCTCGCGCAGCGCGTTGCCCGTGCACCCGACAATGTACACCTGGATACCGAGGTTGCGGACTTCGCGCGCCACCTCGTCGCCCGACATGGCCGGCATTTGGCTGCAAGCGTCAGCCAAAAACAAAGAGTTACGAGACCGGAGTGGCTCACTTGTCCAGGAAGACGACATCGAACGGCAGACTCTTGTCACTGGGGTGCTCGTTGGCGGCGCGGATCATCTTCAGTGCCACGACGCCGTTCTCGGCTGTCCGGACATTGTGTCCCAGCCGTTTGATCATGCGTGTCATGAGCTTGCGTGTGAGTCTGTGATGTTAGTGTAAGATCTAGTGGCGAGACGCTTACGGATCGTCGTCAACTACAAGCGCAGAGAGCGGCGCTGTCTCCCCTTGTTTGCCCTCGCCTCCTGCAGTGTCTGTTCTCAGTGGCATTGGAATGTGCGGCGACAATGGCGGTGTCGGTGGCGACCCAGCCCGTCGGCCGTTGGTATCAGAACTTGGCGGAATCCATGTGTGTGGTGACTTGTTCTGAGGTGTCGCAATGGGCGAAAGAGTTTTCCGCGGTGACATTTCACCGTCCGGCGTGGTGGTCATCTCAGAGACGCCTGGGAGCCACATTTTGGCTGTGAGGCTCTGTACTGGTGATGACGGCGTGATGCTGTCATGTCGAGCGAGCGGCAATGTCGATACTTGGTAAGGTAGCTCGAACCTGCAAATGGGTCAGCTTGGACGACCAGACAGTTGGTACTCACCAAAACACGCTCCCTTTCTTGATCTCCGAGTCGACACCCAGCCTTCCACCGCTGAGCTTGACAATCTGCATGACCAACGCGAGACCCAGGCCGGAGCCCTTGCCGCCTTGCCGCCGTCCAATCTCCGTCTGGACATAGGGCGAGAACAGACGGTTATCCTGGACGTCGCTCTCGCGCAAACCAACACCGGTGTCGTGTACCTCGATGCGCAGCACTGCTGGGCGGTCGGGATGGTGGGATCCGTCCGGCTTCTTCTCCGAGGAAACCCCATTGCCAGCGGAGTGTCGCCGTTTCTCGGTCCCAACGCAGCCCTTTTCCGGATCCCGCTCAGAACCAAATGGTGCAGGTGCAGGCGGCGCAGCCTGTGATATTGGATATACCAGCTTGGTGACGATCCGAACGCTTCCGCGGTGCGTCTAGCCCGTCAGCCATACTGGTAAAGAAGGCTCACTCACAAACTTCAACGCGTTGGACACCAAATTGGAGGTGATCTGACGCAACCGCATGTCGTCGCCGATAAACACCCCGCCCAGCGCGTCGATACATGGATCCAGCTCGGTCACGAGCTCGACACCAGCCACCTCGGCCTGCACGCGGTGCGACAGTGCGACGACGTTGATGGCCTTGTGGAAGTCGAACGGCTTGCGCGCCTGGATCAAGTTGCCGTTCTCCATGCGCGTAAAGCTCAGCACGTCGTTGAGCACTTGCTCCATTAGACTGAGGCTTGCGTTGAGGCCGTGTACCATTTCAGCGTCGTCTGCGGCGCAGTCCTTGAACACGCCCTCTCCCTCCAGGTTCTGGACGGCGAGCAGGGCCGTGTTCAGGGGCACGCGCACCTCGTGAAAGATGTACGACACGAAGCGTTTGGTGGTCTGCTGCGCCTTGCGTTCCATCGCCTGCGCGCACTGGACGGAGCGGAACTGGGCGTTGAGTTGCTGGCGGAGCAGAAACAGTTGGCGTTCTGAGCGCTCGCGATAGTACGCATGGATCGCGAGCATGACGTGGTAGATCCACACTGGTCATGAGCATGCATTCACTCGGTGCGAAGTACTCACGGGCAATCCAGTTGCGGGAGAAAAGGAGTGGCACGCTGGCGTTGTAGAGACACAAGGCGACACTGAAGATGACCCAGGCCGTGACGGCAAGGATGTGGAGGAGGCGGTTCTGGCGCATGAGGATGATGGCGAGCGCCGGAAACCCAAAGACACAGCCAAAGAGCGCAAAATACAGGTTGTGAGTGCACGTGTTGACGCCAAAGTAATGGCACCCGGTCTGGTTTTAGTCAGCCCTTGAGCCCACATGCGTCACGACGTACCATCTCGATGATAATTAGGTACCCCCAAACCCAGACCGCTGCTACCAGCATGGGCTGGTACAGGCGAGGGTGCTTGAGGGGAGCGTTGATGGCGATGAGCACCGGGAGCGGCAGCGTGATGATGCCGCAGATGCCCACATACGCATAGTAGTCGAACAAGGATCGCTCGGTGACAAGCGCACAACTCATGACCCAGTACCCGACAAGAAAGATGGCGCAGGCCATTGCGCTCCTCTTCTCCACGCGCCATGTCTTGTTTGGCCCGTCAGCCATAAGCAACAACCGGTTTGCGTTTTGTGCGGCTCACCTCCTTGAGAAACGCCGTCTCCCTCTCCGGGTCCGGAAAGCGCTGCTCGCAAAAGTCGCAGAACGGCTCCCACACGTGCCGTATCCACGCCTGCTTCCATCTCGCCAGTGTCCTCTTGGTGGATGGGATCGATGGCGGATTGTAGAGGACCGGGTCTGCGTCGGGAGGAACGTCCGAGTCGACACTGCCCTCGTCGCCCGTCTCCCCCATCTCGTCCTCGTACGTGTACTTTTTCGCGGCGTGCGCGAGCAGGGCAATGTCATTGTCGACCACGACGACGGACACGGGGCCCGAATCCTCGCCGCCGACGTCGTCGGCCCCGCCCGAGCTGGTCGGTTGCGACGACGACAGGCCTCGCCGCGGAAGCTTTGCAAACAGTCCACTGCCCGTGGGACACGTCGGGCGGCTCGTCAGGCTGGGCCGTGGGACACTTCCAGAGTTCGAACTTGCAGGCCCGTCTGCTGCGTCTACGGGTGGGAGCGACTCGAGCGTGCCGTCCCAGATGATCCCATGGTGGCCGAACCGGGGCCTCTCCACTCCCCTGTGTGTCGTCCACCTGTCGCTGTCGCGTCGTCGCGGCGCAACCCCGACGCTGCTCGTCTTGCTGGGGATGGTCGATAGGGGGGACACCACGCGCTCGCTACCGCTGTACGATGTCTCGTCGCTCCGCGATGGGGTGCCCAGGTCGGGCATGGTGAGATGCCGCGACGCTCACGGGCGGCTATGGCGCGGGGGCAAAGGGCAGAGGACCAGTCGGCCCAACGGGGAGAGTAGCGCACGATAAGCTCTTGTTATTTGGCCGGTCGATACACTAGCTAGTGTGGAGTCGATGTTGTGGACCTGAGCTGTGAGGATGTGGTTGAACGCTGGAATTGGGACGACAAGTAGTGTGACGCGTGTTTGCACCGACCCCACCCAAATACCCTCGACAGAGAATTGTCGAACCGAAGGGCTGGACCTGGAGAGCCTGGAGGAGCAATGACGGAGTCTCACGTCTCGACGGGGGGTTTGGGCTCGGATGCCGCACAACGGCCATTCTGCATCCTGACGCTGTCCTGAGCTTCCGGCAAAATACCGACAGTAAGGTTTGTATCCCATCAAACCGCAGAGCAACACACACATTGTATTTGTATGCTTTTGGCCGTAATTTGGCTCGTGTCATTCATGGCGCAAATGGGCCACATACAGTCGGACGATCCTCTCACGTCATGGGCGTCAGCCTTCGAACGCCAATGCTGCCTTCAGTCTTGATCAGCGCCTCGTCCATTAAATTGCAGTGGGAAAGGACACGGCGGCCGTCCGTGTTTCGACAGCCACGACCTCACGATCGGTATACCTTGAAACCTATGCATGGTGGATGTAACAACTATACTGTGTTTTCTATGCTTGTTGTGTGTTTATGTGTGTGTGTGTCTATGCACCCCCTCGACCCCGCAGGCAGGAGCGTTACAGGTGGGAGATGGTGACTTCAAGAGGGGGCTCATCTGCCGAGTCGAGGCTCGACTTCTCCGGGCGGATGACATCGTGGACCGCAACCTCGATGATGGACTCGGGCGCGGGCCAGAAGTGGTTGGCCGTGAGGTAGACCGAGATGGAAATGACGTACGCGACCAAGTTGGACACCATGTAGACATACTGGATGTTTCCAATGTCAATGCTGTTGTTGATGGCATGGCACATGCCCGGGAGGTTGGGAGCGAACGCGCAGATGAGCGCAAGGTACGCCCTCCAGTTCCAGCCCTTGACGTAGCGGTAGATGCCGTTGGGCTTGTACATTTCGTAAATGTCGTACTTTTGGTGCTTGACAACGTAATAGTCGACGACCATGAGCATGGCGATAGGCGCAAGGACGATCGAGTACGACGACATGAAGGCGAGGAAGTTGGCCGCAGAGTTGAGCACCTTCCAGGGAACAAAGCCCCAGACACCGACGGTGATGGCAATCATCTGTCCACGACGGATGTTGATGTACTTGGGCGCAAGCGAGCACATGTCGTTGGCAGCAGAGATCGAGTTGGCCGTGCTGCAAGGGTCAGCTTGTGGTCCAGGTAACGGTAAGCTCACATGTTGGTGGTGACGTTGGACAGGGCCCAGGCGAGGCCGCCCAGGAACATGGCTGCGCGGCCACCGGCAGAGGTGTTCCACTTGGCAAGCAGGTCGTACGGCTGGTAGAGTTCCTCGTTGTAGACCGCGTAGCAGCACGTAGCCGAGATGGCAGCAAAGATGGAGACGATGGTGTTACTGAGGTGTCAGCCGAAGGTTTCGCTTCAAACATCCGCAACTCACATGAGGGGAAACACGATCAGCTGCATCCAGTTGGAGCCGGGCTTCTTGCAGTAACGTGAAAAGTCACCAATGTTGAGCGAGAGGGTGGCCCAAGTGCCCTGCACGGCAGTGACCGAGGTCATGAACGCAATAAAGCGCATCTTGCCACCAGAGGTACGGTTGCGACCCGAACGGAGGAGAGGACCGGCTTCGGGACCAGCAATCTTGACCGCCTGGAAGTAGAGTCAGCCGCCTGCGCAGTTGGTCCCCGGATAAAGCCACACATACCCAGATAAGAGTTCCGATAGCCACAATAGGCACAATCACGGCCTTGATGTTGAAGACCATCTTGAGCTTGGACGGGTGGATGAAGATGAACGGCAGCTGGAGAAGCCAGAACAGGAAGAAGGACAGGAAGTCGGCCGTAGTCGCACCCTGTGCGACGGGCACCATGTTCGGCAGCCTAGCGTACTGAGGCCAGATGGCAGTGATCATGACCGTGACAAACTTGCCACCCCTGCACGGTCAGCCACTGCCGAGTGCACACACATGGCGCAGAAGAGACACTCACGACCACGAGTTGATCGAAAGCCAGAAGCAGGCAATGACGGCACGCGACTGGTGGCGGTCAGTGCTCCCGTTCTGGACTTCAGGCTCCCAGCCGCCTTGGCAGGGCCAAGCGGGGGCGAGAGCAGGACGGACTCACAAAGACAACAAACTTGCTCCCCCAGTAGCCGAAAGTGGTACGCGTCGTCACTGCAAAGGGCGTATGTGTGGTCGCACCAATGATACCATTGGCTGTCGGTCAGCGTCTCGCCCCGTTCGCACCTGGCAGTTTTCGTTTCGGCGCCCGACAGGGCCCATACGTACCAGTGATGACCGTGGCGACAAAGACAGAGCCGACAAGCACAGCAAGACAAGACTCCCACCAAGTGAGACCAAGAGTGACAAAGGACGAGACGGTAGCCCACGAAGCCTGGTGCGAGGTCAGACCCACAAACGCCACTCGCAAACCACGAAATGTTGGCCAGGCAGCGGCCAAAGGCCAAGTGTCGTGTGCTTATGGTATACTCACGGGGTACATCAGGTCAGAGACCCAGTCTTGCAACGAGTTAGCTGTGGGCTCGTTGTCAGAAGAAGTGACGTACAGGTAAAGAAAGTCCACCCGGTCCAGGTACGGTGCTCGGCAGGCGACGGGTCCATGTCTGTTTTTCAGATCGCATCAGCCACACGCTTCGTTTTGCTGTGATGGCGAGGACGGACCTTTGTTGGACCAGACATTGTCTGGGGCGATGCACGAGTCCTCCTTGGGGAGGGCCCAGTCCTCTGCTTTGAATGTCAAGGGCATGTCGTGGTACGGGGGGGTGGGGGTGTGCTGCTCAAACCGCAAAGGTTGAGAAGGAAAACCGAAAACAAAGAACCATCGATAAAATCTTGGGCCTGGGGGTGCCTGCGCGGGCGGACTGATCGGCGCGCGGGCATGGCCGCATATACGGGGACAGGTCGGGCAAGGTCACGTGATAATTGTCACGTGACCCCGTTCCAAGAGATAAGGGCCGATGGGCCGCTCGGGCCGAACCGAGACGGTGCAGTGTCAGTCGTCCACCTGTGGGGTCCTCGTTTGCACAACAAGTCCCGCAGCCGCCATCGAGTCCTCGTCGTCGTCCCGCTTCCCATCTCTCCATCGCCCATCCCCTCTCTCCCTCTACCAACCTCCACCACAACCATCTCTACCATGAAGGTCCTCCTCCTCGCCGGCGATTTCATCGAGGACTACGAGCTGTACGCTCCCCTCCAGGCCCTCGAGATGCTGGGCCTCGACGTCCACATTGTCTGCCCCGACAAGAAGCCCGGAGAGATGATCCAGACCGCCCTGCACATCCTCGAGCCCGGACGTCAGACCTACTCGGAGCGCCCCGGCCACCCCTTTGACATCACCCACGACTGGGACGAGTGCGCTGCCAACCTGGGCCAGTACGCCGGCCTCATTGTCCCCGGCGGCCGCTTCCCCGAGTACCAGAGGTAGTGAGTATCAGTTTTTGGGGCCCGTTTTCGTTGTCCAGGAAGCTGTAGTTGCTTACCCGTTTCAGCGACAAGCGCGTCCTCGACGTCATCCGTTACTTTGTCGAGAAGGACCTGCCCCTCGCCGCTCTGTGCCACGGCCTCCAGCTCCTCGCCGCTGCCGACGTCCTCAAGGGCCGCTCGTGCTCTGCCTTCCCCATGTGCAAGCTCGATGTCGAGGCTGCCGGAGGCAAGTACATCGACTTTGAGGCCTTCTCGAAGAACGTCCACGTCGACGGCAACATTGTCTCGGCCCCCGCCTACCCGTGAGTTCCTTCTGTGGCCGCTTTGTGTCCCCACTGACATGTTCACAGCGCGATTGGCGTCTGGCTCGGCGCGTTCATCAAGCTGCTGGGCATCAAGGTGCAGGTCCCGTAGTGTGCAGGCTTGTGTGCAGCAGATGGTATGAGGTGTGTACCGCAGCGACAGTGCTGGGGTGCGATAACAGGATGGAATGCAAGGCAGTACAGTACAAAAGGATTCGGGGGCCGACGGATCGTGCAGGTTGCTGCCGTGACGGCGTGGCTGGCTGGCTTCCTTGTGGCTTGACTGGCAGGTCGACCTCTGGCCTCTGGGGTTCGCTGTAATGCTGTCCCGTAGCCAATCGCTGAAAGGCCCACCTCCCCACCAGGACTGGGTTGTGCATTCGAAGCAGTCACACCGAGAGCAACTACATGTCATCTGACCTGTAGCAGGCGCGACCATCTCCCCGCAGTGATTGGCGCCGAGGAGCACGCATTCAGTCTAAAGAGCTGCGACTACACTACTGCACCGATGCGAGCAAACGGGCAGACAGAGCAGGCAGATAACGTCATAAGCGGCGATCATCGAGGAACAACGAAAAATGGAGCTGCAGCTGCTGCACTTACCACTAGCAATCGCCAATTCCTGTCTGCTTTCTTGGATCTCTGGGAACACATGCCGCCGGAAATCACGGAGGACGGTTTTGTATATCTCGCCGCGGAAAGCGGAACACCGCCCAACAATGACGCCATGGTGTTGTCTGTCCCATTTTCGAGAACCGGTCGACTGCTGCTACCGCTGCTGCTGCTGCTTCACTTCGAGCAAAAGGAATACACGATGCGTGGGTCTGGTGATGCTACAAGGAGTACAAGGTGGTCTACAATCCAATGAATCAGTCTACATGGTGCTCTGAACGTTGCTGATGCGGCCCAGTGCGTCAAAGTGGATTTCCGCCGTTGTGGCAGCGTCCGCGATCCGCAGGCCTGTCGAGGTCGGCGCGATTGCCCATCCTTGACTTTCAGCCAAGAATGTCACTGCTTTACGGGGATCGTGCAGGTCTAGATCGGCCGCTAGGCGCGGCAGCTTGGCCACGGCTTTGCGTAATGTCACGGGCTGGAGGGGTGGCTCGGTAGCCTCGATCAAGAACAGGATTCGCGAACCGCCCGCACCCGTCGACGCCGAGTAGTATGGTCCCAGTCCCAGGATGCCTGCTGCGGCAGTCCCAATCTCGTGCGTGAGCGCTGCGACGGCGGCGTCGTCGTGGTCGTCAAAACCGGGAGGGAAGCGGAGCTCCTTGCCCAGCAGGTCCGGGATGCGGTCGCGTTCGCCCGTCTCGCGCAATTGGCGCAGGACTCCGTCGGGTTTGCCCTGTGGGTGTGCCCAGCCCCACAGCAGAGACTGGGCTGCAGGTGACAGTGACGCCAGGAGCTGCATCCTGCAGACAATGGACGGAGCCCGGTGGTGCAGGGACACAGGCGCAGTGGAGGTGAGCGTCAGGATACCTGCGGAAAGCTGGGCCGCCCAGCGGTGTGGCCCAAGAACCTCGATCGACTCGAGTAAGGACTCTTGTTGCAGTGTAGCAAGGAGGAGGCCACGGTCGATGAAGGGCTGTAGGGATGGAAAGAATGCCATCTGCATCTGGGCATTCGTTAGGTCCATCGCCCAGAGCGGTTGCCGATAAAGACGGTAGGCGGCCGGCAGCGAGTAAGGATCATCCTCGTAAGATCGCACTCGGCGGAGGTGACTGATTGACATGCTGTACGGTGGTGTCTTGACTCTTCAATTTCCACTCACTCACTTTGTAGATCTTTGCAGAGGGTAACCGAGTGTAAGAAGCTTTACACACGGCTACATATACATATGACGGGGCGGGCCTTGCAGTGTAGATCGAGGAATGCTGGTCGGACGTTCATGTCATCTCAACTGGCACCAAAGCTGCATCAATGCTGTGCCCGTACCGGTTCAAGGGATCCAATACTCTGGTGACAGACCCCCAACGGCCGAACATTGAGGACAACCTGAGTGCCGGCGATCAGGTCATGCTGATCCTTGCCTGGCCTCCTGGAAACAGATCCAGAGCTCGTCATCCCCGAAGAAAGAACAGACCCAGAACAACTGCACAGACCAAGGGGCTTGGACCCGATTTTGCAAGTGTTGGAGTGAAATGCCGAGCCGCGGTCGCATCCCGCAGGTATCGCGCATCGCCACCCCCGTCAAAACCGCAGCGTCCCCCTGGCCCTCACCAGTTCTGCCCACTGCCGAAGGCATGCCGTATGCGCATTTGCATGCATGCTCGGCGCGGCATGGTGGCGCGTCGAACAAACATGCTCAGCCAGCATTCGCCGGGTCCGACGGAGTTGTCGTGGCCCTGCGATCCCGTCGTGGCCGTGATTTCCGGCCATGTTCACTGGATCACTGGATCGCCAGGCCTGAACCACTACCCATCGGTGCGTGGGCTGTGTGAGCGTCCTCATTCATTAGTTTAGCACAGTGGCGCAGAGGCCAGTCCTAATGACCAGCTGCATAGCCTACTAGGAGACGTCTACAGCTCTATTTACACCGCTCCGTTTCATTCGGTCTCACATCGCAACAGGAGCAACGCGTGACGTCAGCAAAGGCCCACTCGCCACTCATTGCCCTCATTGTAAGCATCCCGCAGATCACGGACAATGTGGATCCCGACTTTCATGGGATTCCGGTAGATGGACCATCTCATCATCTGACTGATTGCTCTGACCTTTGCACGCTTCTGATGGTCTGTACTTGCTGCATGTGACTCTTCTTACTCGCTTGCCCCCAACTATGAACGCATCCTATCCTCCGCTTACAGCCTGGCATCGCCGGCCTCGTTCACAAACAGACCAGCAACGCCGTACCCAGTACCCGCACACATCGAGGTGACGAGGAACTTTGCCTTTGTGCGCTTGGCCTCGGCCATGCCGGTCGCGACCTGGCGCGCACCGGTAGCACCGAGCGGGTGACCAAGCGCAATGGCGCCGCCGTTCGGGTTGAGTTTTGCCGGGTCAATCTTGAGCGCCTCGGCACAGTACACTGCCTGTCCGGCAAACGCCTCGTTGATCTCAAAGATGTCAATGTCGCCGACCTGGAGGCCGGCGCGCTCGAGGACCTTGGGGATGGCGTAGGCGGGTCCGACGCCCATGATGCGCGGGGGGACACCCGTGGACACCACCTTGCCGACCTTGCCGATAATGGGCAGGCCGAGGCGCTGGGCGACGCTGCGGCGCGCGAGGACGACGGCGGCCGCGCCGTCAGTGAGCTGCGACGAGTTGCCGGCATGTGTGGTGCCGCCGGCCTTGAAGGCCGCCTTGACGCCCGCGAGCGACTCGGCGGTCACGCCGTACCGCAGGCAGTCGTCCTGTGCGATGGCAGGGTTGTCGCCGAGCTTGACGGGGGCGATCTCGCTCTCGAAGCGGCCGGCCTTCTGGGCGGCTTCGGCCTTTTGGTACGAGCCGGCAGCAAAGGCGTCCTGCTTTGCGCGAGTAACGCCGTAGCTGTCTGTCAGTTTCCTCTCGTACGAATTTCAACTCACTCCTCGACAATGTTCTCGTTTGTAATACCCATAGGGATGAGGCAGTCCTTGGCCACTGTTTGACGTCAGTACAGTACACCATCTGCACACAGCTGCTGCACCCACGGGGGTTCTGCTGAACATATTCAGAAACAGGGTGGTCGAGGGGCTTGTTGTTATAGTGGTGGGTCATGCTCTCGACACCGGCAGCGATACCAATGTCAATGTCGCCCGCGAGAATCTCGTTGGAAATGGTCCAGATGGCCTGGAGCGACGACGAGCACTGGCGGTTGACCGTCGACAGCGACGCCTTGATGGGGATGCCGGCCGCGAACGCTGCCATGCGCGAGATGGACGCACCGCCGCGCGGGGTGCGCACGGTGCCCACCTGCACGTCCTCGACGAGCGCCGGGTCGAGGTGCGCAGCGTCGATTGCGCCCTTGAGAGCTGCCGCGAGAAGGTCTTCGACACGAGCGTCCTTCAGACCGCCCTTGAAGGCCTTGCCCATGGGTGTGCGCTTTGCCGAGACTGGAGGGTTAGCTGCAGACATTGGGTGCCACCCAGCTCACGAATCACGACATCGTCGGGGTTCTTGCTGAGGAGAGCCTGTTTGCCGGACATGGTGTAGTTGCTACAGATACAGGAGAGAGACGGTGGTGAGAGAGAGTGCAAGAAGGAGATGGAAATATAAACGAAACCGAAGACCGCCCCAATGCGTCTTGGTGCAACCGACTGCACTGCTCGATCTCTCTCTCGTCGTCCCAACCGCGGAGCCGGGGACCGGTTCGCTGGCTTCGGACATGGCCGGTTGGCCCGTTAAACCCCGAATGCCGGGTGGGAGTCGCCGCGAGGTGTGCAGATCTGGCGCCAACGTCGATGGGGGAGTGCATGCATGAGGTGTATGCACATGCATGAGGTGTATGCACATGCATGGTGTTGTCAGAGCGAAGCCGCGGCCGAAAGGACTGGGCAGCGTGGGCGGGGACGGTGTAGGCCGTGTACTTTGAGCAAGTACGAACAGTTGAACACGCACTATTCGCTTGCCTCTCTACATTAGGCACTATTAGGAGCAGTGCTTCTACAAGACTAACAATCAGATTAACACTCATCATCCCCAACCTTTGGGTCCACCTTGACGAGTACTTTACCCGCCGCATGCTGCCCAGCGAGCTTCCTGTATGCCTCCCTGGCATCCTCAAACGGCCACACACTGTCCCGCACAACTCTCACTTGTCCACTGCCGAGCATATCAATCACCGCCTGCCTGTCCTCGAGGGTGGGACTCATCATTGACGTGGCTCGCCATTCACGGCCCACCCCACCAAACCAGCGTGACGTGGGCCAGAATGCGTTGACCTGCATTTGCCATACCGCCCGCAGAAAGTCGGGGACGTAGAACGTTGGCGGTTTGATGCCCACGCTTTCGTAGATGCCTGCCGGTTTGAGGAAAGCGGGGCTTGCGAGCCACAGCGAGTGGTGTCCGAGGGTGTCGATCACAGCGTCGAACGGCGTGTCGCTGAATCGCTCGGCAATGTAGCGTGCCACCGACGTGTGCTGCGTATAGTCGATCACCTGGCGTCAACACACACACTCACATGGCCAAGACTCACTTCGTCAACACCCAGGCCCTTCACCATCTCGGCATTCTTGCCACTGCACACTCCGACGATGAAACCATTCTCGCCAACCACTTGACGAACCATCTGCACAACCATGGTGCCGATTCCACCGCTTGCAGCGTTTACGAGCACCCGGTCGCCGCTCTTGGCCTCGCTTTCGTTCACCAGCTGCCGCGCCGTGAGGCCTGGGAGGAGACACGCCGCGTCGCCGAGGGACACGCTCGCAGGTTTGGCGACGACATATCGGGCCGGCAGTCGGATGACCTCTGCGAGAGCCCCCGTACCCGTTGGTAGCGCGTGCGATGCCGGAATCATGCCTGAGACCTTGTCGCCGCGTGCAAACCTCCCAGGCTTGTCCTCTGGGTGCCAGACATCAATGACTGTGCCCGTGAAGTCGAGGTCGGCGACACAATCGCGTGATCGAACGAGCGGCGGAACGAGGGTCATCTGGAAGATGGCGCCTGGGTTGAGGCCCGCATAGGCTACGCGTACGAGGACCCATTCTTCAGGCTCCGGTGCGTCGCGGGGTAATGGAGTCAGGGGAGGGAATGTAGGCGTGTCGCGGGTGGTGAGGGAGAGCACCTCCCATGGCATGCCGCGCTGTTGGTAAACCCAAGCCTTGGAAGTCATGGTCATTGTTGTTGTCGCATGGATGCAGTGTAAAGATGGGCCTGTCGTTACATATGTAGCATGCTAGAGTGGCCGCGTCAGTGCCGGCCGGCAGAACGCTGGTGCATTGCTTCGGCAACATGCCAAGCTACCGTTATCCCGTTTAGTGTCAGTACCAACGTGCAACATCGTCACGTGCCTGTCCTTCAACTGCCAAGCGATCTGACGGTCCCGCAAGCGACTCAATCGCTTTGAACACGACTATGCATTCCACTACCCATTGCTTCTTATTCTTCTACTTCTCACTGTGAATTTTTCCATTCTGGGACGGTCCCAAGCCGACGGAACGAACTGCAACACGGACTGTGGCTTACGACAACCAAGCTCCGCCCTGTTTGCCGATCAGACATGCTGTGCTTTGTTCTGAAACCAGCGGTCACTCACGTTGCATTGCATTGCTTGGCCATTGACAAAGTCCGAGTCTGGTCCTGCAAGGAAGCTGCGCGCGCGTTACTACTTGTGCCTTCATATACACCCACCCCACGAGCTTGGCAATGTCCTCGGGCTCTGCACAACGTCCCAGCGGAGACAGGTCGGCCAGCTACGGTGTCTGTCAGCCACATTGTCGCGCATCTGTTGGCCGTTGTGCGCTCACCTCTTTCGTCCTTCCGCCGGAGTTCTTACCGTCGAGCGTAACGAAGTCGTCGTCGATCTTCTTCCACATGTCGGTGAGGACAGGGCCGGGGCAGTAGACGTTGGCGGTGATTCCATACTTGCCGAGCTCAAGCGCCGCGCCTTGGTTGATTGCGCGGACGGCAAACTTGCTGTGGAATGTCAGATTGGACCCAAGCATGCGGGTCAACGTACCTCGAGCAGTAGGCGGTTTGGTGGATACCGACGCCAATCTGAATGTCAGCGCTCGTGGCCTCTCTATTCAAACCTACACCCGAGACAGAGCACGCCGCTGGCGGTCAGCGCGAGACAGAGCACTTGGGACTCACCGATGAGCTTGCCCCCACCACCCTGGGCGATCATCTGCCGCGCCGCTGCCTGGTAGGAGAAGAGCACGCCACGGACGTTGACCTCGTAGAGATTGTCAAAGAACTTGGGCTCAATGTCCATGAAGCTGTCGGTCGGCGCAATACCGGCGTTGGCCACCATGACTGGTTTGTTAGCTCCATGCCCCCCCTCCCACCCGGCTTCACCTACCGTTCACTTGGCCCAGCTCCTTGGCCGTCTCGGCCACCAGGCCGTCCACATCCTCCTTCTTTCGCACATCGCACGGCAGGGAAATGGCCTTGGTGCCAAACTTGCCCACTTCGGTGACCACCCCATCCAGGGCCTTGGCGTTACCGCTCACATCGGCGAGGGCAAGGCGGAAACCATCCCGGGCAAGACGGTGGGCGATGGCACGGCCGATACCTTGGCCGGCGCCGGTGACGATGGCGACGCGTGTAGAGTTGATTCCCGTCATACTGCTACTGCGGGGCTCAGTTGTGGGGGTTGTGGGGTTGCATTCTGATGGCGCGTATCCTTTATGTAGGTCGCCATCTCCGGAGCGGAGGAACTGGAGGCATTGGACCTTGAGTTGCCGTGATATGATTGCCGGCCAGGAACCCATTCGGAACCCTCGCAGTCAGTCACTCAGCTGCTCGGCAGGTCAACAAACTGGCATAGGGTGGGTCTCGGCATGCACCTTTGCGGTCACGACCTGCTTCTGAGGAACCGTTGGTGCAATGATGCATGGCACCGCAGCGCAGCCTCTTGCGGCCACCCCATCGCCACCCCATCTCCATCCACTGCCCGCCTTCCGTCAAAACAAACAGTTCAAATACATACAATGGACGCGCAATTATATACTTTAGAATAACCAGGGCAAGACCTTTGAGAACCACTTCCTCGCGCCGTGCTTCTCAGGCTCCTCCTCTTCATCAGCGACGGTGTAGACGTCCGTCTCGAGGTCCATTTCCTCCAGGTGCACCCAGCGCGTCTTCTTGATGATCTTCCACCCCAAGTACATGACGAACATGATCGGGATCTCGACGTAATAGCTGACAAAGTCGACAGCGGCGAATGTGGGACTGAAGCACGACCAGCCTTGTACGAGGATGATGACGGCGTTGAGGACGATGGCGATCCACGGACCCCATGGGTACGTCCAGTTCTTGAACGGCAGGAGGTGCGTCTTGCCCTGCAGCTTGAGTGCGCGGCGGAAGCGGATGGACGCGATGCCAATGAAGAGCCATGCGAGCTGGTTTGACACGCCGACAAGACTGGGTGTGAGCACGCAGTTGAGCGGTGTAGACACTTACTTTTGAAGCCACGTCCACAGCTGGCCAGCACCGATGAACGACGAGCCAAAGCACAGGCCAGATATGAACCCTGTAGCGAGCACAGCGATCCATGGGACCTGCTGCGAGTTGAGCCTGGCGAAGAACCGCGGGGCGTGACCTTCACTGCCAAGGGTGTACAGCAAACGCGCTCCGGCGAACAAGGCGTGGTTGCCTGCAGACAGCACAGAGGTAAGGATGACGGCGTTGATGACACTGCCGGCCGCTTTGGCCCCCGTCATCTGGAACACGATGGTAAAGGGCGAGGTCGACGCGGTCTTGGTGCTGAGGTTGGGATAGTCGTATGGAACGTTCAGACCGATGAGGAGGACGGAGAGAATGCTGGTGGGGTTAGCTATGGGCGGATTTGCAGCTACTCACTAGAACAGGAGGATGCGCCAAAACACGTTCCTCACGACCTTTGGCAGGTTCTTGGTCGGGTTCTTCGTCTCACCAGCGGTAATGGCGATCGACTCGGTTCCACCGTCTGACCGGGTCAGCGATAATCCCCGTCATGACTCCAATACTCACAGGCAAAGGAAGCCGTCACGAACACGGATGCAAACCCGCCGATGCCACCGACGAAGGGGGCATCGCCAATGAGCCAGTTGGAACCACCAATGTACTGGTGGTCCTTGTTACCACCGCAGTTGACGACGATTGACATGATGATAAAGACAATAATCGTAATGACCTTGATCAAGCTGAGCCAGTATTCCAGCTGGAGAGTGTCAGCCATGCGACCTCGAGACGCCACGTACCTCTCCATAGAACCGGACTGCCAACAGGTTGACACCCATGATGACCACCCAAAAGATCAAGCTCAGTGCCCAGCCCGGGAACTGGTCAGTCCAGTACTCGAGGATGAGCTGCAGAGCGACCAGGTCCGAGCCAGTGGACACGGCGTCGTTGAACCAGTAGTTCCAAGTAAGCGCAAAGCCAAGCGCGTCATCGACGAAACGGCTGTTGTTGGTCAGGTTTTACTGTTTGCGGAAAGTGTGAACTTACCCAACAAAGGTACAGAAACTGCCGGCCACGGGAATGAAGGCGGCCATCTCTCCGAGACAGAGCATGGTGACAAACACGATGGCGCCCACAATCGAGTATGCAATGAGCATGGACGCGGGACCACCGGTGTGCAGGCTCTTGCCGGTGCCAAGGAAGAGACCCGTGCCGATCGTGCCTCCGATGGCAATCATCTGCACCTGGCGTGCGGAAAGCGAACGCTTCAGGTGGTCGCTGTCGGCTGCCTGCACAATGTGGACCGAGGCGTGGTGTGCCAGTTCGACATCGGGGATGGGCTTTTCGTGGCCATGGCTGTCCTTGTCTTCCGACAGCGGATAGTTGTGGTCTGACGAGTAGCGACTCATCATGGAAGAAACGCTGGTCGGGAGTGTGTGTAGTCGAGAAACAGGAAGAGGAAGAGTCTAGCGCTCATGGAGCAAACCCCGTCTCTTGATAAATGAGAGCAACGAAAAACACCAATCGACGCCACCTAAGGCAGCATGTACGCGCCGTAGTTCCGTGCTGATCACGCCACATCCGGATCACGTGGGGCAGCTCCATGACGCCATACAGCTCGCTTGCAGCACTGCAAGCTGTTGCTCTTGTACCCTAGTTTCGCCGGACCTTGGGCCGGTGGTTGCGATTGCGTGCTGCGGTTGCTTGCATGGCTGATCTTTTTGCCATTGCGGCTATTTGGGATCTGTGCTGTCTAGTCTTGATGTGTCGCCCGACACAAAAAGTGTTTAAAGTGTGGCTTCCAGGAATTCCAGGCCCGCTGCAGGTTCGTCCCGATGCAAATAGTGAACATTAGCGCTGGGGCATTTACAAACACCTAGTTGCAGCAACTAAACTACGGATGGTCCAGAGGCAAAGCTGATGAAGTACTGATTACCGATGACAAACGAGGCCATCCCTTGAACGGGAGCAGTGGTGTACTGGGCGAAATTGAAGCTGTCCCTCTGCGGCAAGCCGGTGCCACTTTCACCGCTGGACGACGGCTTGGATGGCGTCGGAGGCGGCGTGTGTTTCGGTGGTGTCCCGGCTCGACCAATGGCTACGGGAATGCGACTCTTCGGTTTGGGCTGGAGACCTGAGGCCACCGGTTCGACAGGTGCACGGGGCGGGACAGGTGACGACCCTACGTCCTCTCGCCAATCCATGAGAATCTGGCGCACCTTGGAGCGATAGTTGGGCAATGATGGGGGAGAGTCATTCCATTTAGCCTCCATGCGGCGCACACTGTGCGATCAGCACAACCATTCAGTACAAGGCAGAATGAGGAAGCATACTCGGGATCGTCGCAGCCCTCGAAGAATTCAAGATAATCAGATAGATTGTTGGTGTGCAGATGGTGGCACCGCAATAAAACGTAGTATCTCGGCAACAGCTCTGCCTCGTCCTTGTTAAAGTAGTTGTTCTTGATCCAGCTCGTAACAGCGGTTTCGAATAACAGAGTCGCGGCGGCAGCCGCCTTGCGGATCTCGAGGATGTGGTCAATCGGGCTGCGATCTTCCAGTGTTTTCTTCAATCCCTGGTCGCCCCAAACCCATTGTAGCCAATAACGAGAATATTGATCCCACTTAGGGGAACCGAAGTTCGTGGTGGCGTGAGCGATGAGGAGCGGTATGACAAGGCTCATTTTACTGTCATTGCCATGAACAATGCCATCGATGGAAGATTCCAAGTTGTGCATATCCGATTTTATCTGTTTGAGGCGTTGGGTTTGTGACCACTTCTGATGAGGGTGACGGCCTGGGAATCCGTGAAGGATATCCCGTTCCTCAGCTTCGATATCCATGTGGATGAAGCGCTGGGCTTTTGCAGCGTCGTCGTATTCCTTGCACTGTCGCATGAGTTGGCGGGCGATTATGTCTTGTTTGACCGTTTGCGACGCAGGAGATCTCCAGACGAGGTGGCCATAGGGGATCGTAAACGGTCGACCGTTATGTTCCAATTCCCGTTCCCATTTCGCAGAAAACATGGTGTTATTCGCCCAGTCGGTGTATAAGTCTTTGAGGTGGCTGGTGCCATGCAACCGTGCCGTGGTGTCAGGCGCTTGAAGCAAGCGGACGATGGTATAAAGTTCGCAGATGTACGCGTCGTTGTCGTTTGGAAGTCTGTCAAAGAGCTGGAACAGCTGGGTGACTCTATCTTTGAGAGGTAACGTCTCCCATTGGCCGATTCTTTCTGCGACAGTTCCTTCTCCGTTGTCCACACTGTTGTCTTGAACTATGGAGCCTGCTTCGTTCATGGTTGCGTGGGATCCCATGTGGTATGTTTATCTAAAGAGTGTGAGCTTGGGAGTGCCGGCGAGTGAACAGTTGTACCCCACAATGTTGAGTTTCCGTGGGAGTGGCGCAGTGTTGTGTTGAAAAGCGGTGTGGAGGGCACAAGACACTTACCGGGTGCATCCAGCGATAACGGTGGTCCAGTCCCGAGTGGTGCTATGCAATTGCAAATCCACAGTCAGCCATGGGCAACCGCACCGGATTCCTGTGGGGAGGGCTCCTGTACGAGTGGCGCTGAGGCATGGTGTATGTAGAGATCTGTCTCGAACCTACAGTCAGCCGTGGCGTTTCCGACTGAACTTCTTTCTCGTCGTATGTATTTACGCAATGGTGGCGTTGGAGTTAACTCGGGTGCAACCCAGTGAAGCGCACGCGTATAAGAAAGCTGTGGAGTTCCTCTCTTTTGGCAGCCAACCTCTCGAATATGCCACCGACTCTCAATCAAATCAATGGCGGTAAAGCTGTGGGCAACAGCCAGTTTCAACAAGGCAACGACATCACAGTACCCGAAGGGGCTAGCATCGTGGACATAGCACATTTGCTTCGAAACAATCCCAACACACGCCGGGGGATCCTCGAGAGTTTTCCCAGTGACTTGTCGGCCACACAGACCAACGAGGGAGAGACTGTGGGAGTCTCTCAAATTCGTGAAGGTCATACCTTTCGCATTCAGGCAAAAAAGTGCGTCAAGGCTACTGAAGATTGGTCAGAGTCCAAGTGTGAGTCTGATCAGTGCAACAGTGCTCAAGAGAAAGCCGACAAATAGGGGCCGTCACAGGCGTGGCATTGTTCTTCATCGTAACGCTTGGGTTAACGATCGGCCTTGGGGTCAAGTTCGGGTGGGTACAGAGCATGGCACCACATCTGTTGACTTCCCAGGGCGTCGAGCGTAGGATTCGCGCTCCCATGCGCCTTCTGCCTAGCGGCGTTGGGTCCGCTTGCTGCAGCAGTGTTTTTCCAGTTGATTCGATGGCGCAATAAAGGTCAGGAGGCGCAGAGCGCCGCTTAGCAGGTGATGGATATATGTATGTTGTTCGGGGAATGGGGCTGCAGCTTGCAGGACGGCGTGAGAACTGATGCCAAGCCTCACCGAAATAGATTTGGGCCGTTGTTGCCTCCTCTCTCCTGTGCTCATACCCCAACACAAACCCACATATGACACACTGCCATTGTGGTATGTCTGTTGCCTGTTGTCTCAGTGCCAACGGATCTGCAGATCTGCAACGCAACACGCCAAATCTGGTCACGCAGTGACTGAGTGCTCTGCCTCGCCGCGCGGACCTGGACAAGCGCCACCGCCGCCACATGAGTTCCTTTGCAAACGCAGTCCTCTCGCTGTCGCTGTACTGTGCGTCTCATTAATGTAGGCCAATAGAGGGCGCCATTTTAGAGGTAAAAAGAAGCACATCTGTTTCGCAGCCACTTAAACAGTCTGCCAGCCTTGGCTCCCCGTGGCCTGTTTGAGTATTCCGCCTTCCGCCTTGCTCGACAGGCAGTCGATTCCGACATTCGCTGTCATATCTTGAATGCCATCGGAATGGTTCGCCGCAGTGGTCGGCAGTATTAGCGGTATTGGAAGTGGTAGCACCCAGATATAGATAGACAGATCCAGGGAGAGAGCCTGCCAATATAAATGAAAACGCCAACAAACGCTCAAAATATGCTTCTTGCAATGCTGAGAACTTCCAACATCACGCTGAACGTTGTCCAAAGTTTAACAAGTTATATGATCGAATTTTGAGCACGTTGTCCCATGGTGTTCTCGTGATACCCCTTGCCCGCCGGTGGCGGTGGCTTGGCGTTCGCCTCTGAAGCGAAACAGTATCGCCGCCTCCAGCTGTGCCCACATATGCTCGCCCCACTTGCCTCCTTGGTCCTCAATGTCCGTTTATTCCACCATGTCCGTCAGCCCTCCAACACCACTGTTTTCCCAGAAGTCGGACAACTGTGAAGGCGTGTCGCTAATTCACATTGGCAACCGTGTCTTCGGGGATGAGAACACTGTGATCGAGAAGCACGAAATCACAGACGACACTGTAACGAGGCTGCTCAAGCTCATGAACGGAGTCGCCCCCGGCGCGTTCGAACAGCGCGCCACCAACTCGCGCGGCGTAGCCGTGCTTTCCAACGGGACACAGTACTTCACTGCGAATGCTTCGGTTGCAGGTCAGAAGGGCCCGGGTGGCGACGGATGGGTGAAATCAAAGTGTGAATCGTCTATGATGCGACCGTTGTGGCTCACTGTCAGTTGCACTGGGTCTCCTCCTGTTTATATGGGTAACATTGCTGTCTCTGGCCATTGGTCTGGGGATCAAGTACGGGTATGTCCACGGGAAGCAGACGACCGCAACCACCACTGACTTGCTTAGCCTAGACAGTGTGGCCTGGGGGATTCCTTCGTTATTCCTCGCGGCGGTGTCGGCTCCGCTCGCGAAAGCTCTGGTCTTTCAGTGGGAAACCTGGAGGGCACCTCTTGCTCGCAAGGCACAGAGTCCTCCCCAAGGCAGACCTTGAGAGAACGTCTTCGGCGTCTAGTCCGTTGAAGCCCAGGTCATGGCAGATACAGCTCTGGAGAGCTGCTGCCGGGGCCACCGAGGACGGTAACGTCAGGACGAATATTCACACCATCCACTGCTGCCACAACTGGCTGGTAGCGCCTCTGGAACGAGGAACATGGTCGGTTCCAGCGAACCACACCGCCCCCGCTCCCAGCTTGATGCAAGCAAAACACTCGATCGCATGCAAGAAAAAGGGGTGTCCGCAGACGTCTATAGCTAGTTAACCAGATACAGCAACGAGATGCGCTCGTCGTCCTTGTCCTTTCGTCCACTACACTGCACGTTTCCGTCGTCTCTCTGTTCATGTATCATTTGATGATCCGACGTGTCCGACATTACATTGGGCTGGGGGAGGGGGGCGTGCGGGCGCCTGGTCGGGTTGGTGGGTGGGCTCGGCGTCCAAAAATCGCGCGCGGGGTTTGATCGTGTCTCTTGTCTCGTCGCTCGTCTTCATCCGCTACTCATTACCGGCCATGGCCGTGTGCGGGCGTGCTGCTGTATTACTCATTCGGGGGGGCTCGTTGCGGTGGGTCCTATTCGATGGCGATCATGAGACCCTCGAGAATGGTGTCCTTGTCCTCGGGGCTGTCGGCGAACATGAAGAATTCCTGTTTTGCCGTCAGCATCGGGCTATAACACAACGCCTCCTCGCTTCCGCCTCCGGGACGATCACTCACCTGTCCAGTTCCACTGCGCAGCTTCCAGCTCCCCCTAACCTGGCTCTCCTCGTACGTCTGCGAGACGATGGCGCCCACAAGCGACGCGGTCTGGAGGGGCGTCTTGTCGGTCTCGCCGGGCGCGTCCGACTTGTACATCCTCAGCTCGTGGCCCAGGAGGTGGAAGAAGCGACGGCGCCAGGTGAGGGACTGCATGGTCTGGACGGTGACCCACTGGAAGAGAATGTCAGCTACAACCCACTGGCCTTCAGCTGGTACTCACGCCACGCAGCATGACGCCGCCATCGGCCTTGCCCGAGCGCATCTGCACCCTGGCCACCTCGAGACGCTTCGCGGCCTCGATGCGGTCCTGCTCGGCACGCTCGGCGTCGATACGGTCCTGCTCGGCCTTCTCGGCCGCAAGACGCTTGCGCTCCTCCTCAGCAGCGAGGCGGTCCGCCTCGGCCTTTTCAGCCGCGAGACGCTCCAGCTCGACGCGCTCAGCCTCGAGACGGGCATGCTCCGCCTCGAGACGGGCATACTCCTCCTCGAGACGCTGACGCTCTGCCTCGATACGCTCTGCCTCAAGCTCAGCCTCGCGCTCAGCCTCGATGCGCTCGGCCTCGAGCCGTTCCGCCTCGGCCTGCTCGGCGGCCAGGCGCTCAGCCTCGAGACGCTCCTCCTCTGCGACGCGCTCAGCCTCGAGTTCCTCGGCTGTAGGCTCCTCGGGCACGTCCTCGGGCACGGGGATGGCGTTGATGCGCTCGACGCGCTCGACGCGCTCGACGCGCTCGACGCGCTCGACACCGCCGCGGTTGAGGTTTGAGGTCTCGATGGACATGTTCGGGTTGTTGAAGAGCGAGTTGTCAAGCGACACTTTGGGGCTGTTGAACATGGTCGACGACGAGACGGACGACTGGGGCGAATGCATCGGCATCTGGGGCGAGTCGAACGAAAGCTTGGGCGAGGTGAACGTGGGCGTGCTGTCCATGGACAGTGTGCCCTGGTGGCCGGAACCAAAGATACCGTCCGACATGGTGCGCGCGCGGGCGACCTCGATGGACATTTTGGGACTGGCGACATCGGACGCCGAGTCAAAGGACATCCTGCGTACGTTCTCTGGCTCGGCGATGCGTTCGGTCGCCTCCTCGTCATCGGGCTCTTGCATCACCTCGCGCGCGCCCGCACCCATCTCCTCGACGGCACCGGCATCGCTCGGAACGACAGGCGTGACGGCACCAGCGGGCGACTCCGAATCGGAAAAGCTCTTGTTGCTGTTCGCGTCGATGCTGTCCTCGCGGGCCTCACGCCTGTGCCGACGGGCGGCAGTCGCAGCGGCCGCGAGCTGGTCGACGGGGGAAACCAGTCGACCAGCCGCACCGGGCCCGCTAACCATGGCGAGGGACAGGGAGTGGACCTCGTCGCTGTGGTCCTCCAAGGTCGCGTGGCCCTCTTCGCTGAGTCCCGACGACGTGGCCATGCTCACGACTCGCGGGGACGCGCCAGTCGACGACCCGGGGTTGGTCTTGACTGGCGACGTGGACGAGGTGGAGCCCGCAGCCGCGGCAATGTGCGCAGCAGACGAGCCTGCGCTCGTAGCCGACGCGTGGCTCTCGCGCATCGTCTTGGCACGAGCACGCTCCTCTTCCTGCCTACGCCAGCGCTCGAGAGCCTCAGTCTGGTCCGCAAGCCCCTTTTGGCGCGCGAGGAGCAGCGCACTCTGGGCAGAGAGGTTGGGCGAGGCTTTCGCCTTGGCGGAAGCCTTTGCCTTTTGCAGCTTGGCCGCCTTGGCAGCGGCGCTCTTGGACACGGGCGGAGTGTACCCGATCCCTCCTGACGAGGTGCGGTACGCGCTCGAGTCCATGCCAAAGTTGCCGAGACCAAGACCGGCGAGCTCCTCATTGTTGGCTGCGGCGTCTTGGGGCTCGCCGCTGCCAACGTTGTCAAGAAGGGGCGAGTCGGGCAGGACGCCAGGTGGCAGAGGACCGCCCTTCTTCAGACGGAACGCACGGGTGAGCGACGAGGTACGCAGACGCGCGTTGGCCGCCGAATTGGGAGACGTGAGGGGTGGCGAGCTGGGATCGGGAATGTCGCCGTTAGGCTTGGGCGAACGGAAGAGGCGGAGCTTGGACTTTGACAGTGAGCCGCCGGATCCACCGCCGATGGACGCAGATGATGAGGCGCTAGGTGGCGACTTGAGAATCGACACCGTAGGGGAGACGGCGGGGTTGTAGCCGCCAAACTCGGCAGAAGCGAATAGCGGAGTCACGGCCGAGTTGTAGTTGGCACGAGGGCCCGGTGCGGCACCAGCTGCCTCTGGGGTAGGCAAGGTAGACATCTGGCCAATGGACGGCGACTTGCTGAGGTCAATGACGTTCTGGTCCATGATCGGCATGAGCATGTCCGGTGACGACACTGGCGACGCCAGCGAGACCATGTTCTCAGACTGGGGCGTGGCAGTGGCCATGGACATGGCGTTGGACTGGTGAACCTGTGCCGTGGTTTGGGCCTGAGCAGGCGCGTCGGCGGTCTCGGCCGTGGTCGAGGGCATTGCGGTGATGTGGCCGTTGCTGAGCTCGACCACGCGAGCACTGGCGACACCAGCAACATGGGCCGCACCCGCCGCACCGAGCGACACGACAGCCGCGCTAGCCGTCACGGCAGAGTATGCCGGGCTGATGGGGGACATGGCGCCAACGTCCGAGTCGCCGACTGACAGGTGTGCAGGAGGAGTGATGGGCAGCTCGGGGGTGCCTTGGACAGCCTCCCCCGTGTCCGCATCACCTTCCTCGACGTCGGCGTCGGCGTCCGCGTCCGCGTCGGGAACAGGAGATGTGGGCGGGAGAGCCTCGGACAGCTGCTGTTCGGGAGTAGGAGGCACGGTGAGCGAGTCGCGCGCGCGCTTTTCCCTGGCGGGGCTGGTATCGGCGAACGACGACGGCGGTGGCGGGCTGTCCTCGGGGTTGTGGGGCTGAGTCGAGATGGGCGCGGGCGGATCCATCGGAATGGTCGGCAAGGTGGCGCCCACGAGACTCGACTTGCGCGGCGGCGGCGGCGGAGACATGGCGAGCAACTGGGCGTCGACGGCGGGCACAGGCTTTCGTGTGGACAGCTTCCTCATCACGCCAGGGGTTGGCGGTGTACGTGTACCAGCCGTGCTGGGTCCGCTGGGCCCAGGCGGGGGTAGAGGCGGCAGCGACTCAGCAGGTACAGGAGGGACACTTCCCTGCTCGGCAGCAGCGAGCTCGGCAGCAGATGCCTCAGTGACTGCGTCAGGGACATACACCGGCCTCTGCGCGTCGGCGAGGATCTTGTCAATGTCATACTCGGTCGGCTCGCGCGTATGGCCTTTACGGCCACCGCCAACAGTGTGGTGCTCGCGGCTGGGCAACGTGATAGGCAGACCGTGGCTTCCCTGCGCCGCGGACGACTGTGGGGGGGAAGGGATGGGTACCGGCGGCAAGGGTACATCGGGCGCCGGCGAAGGTGGGGGGAGCGGGGGACGGTTGCTCGGTGACATGGTTGGTGGGACACGGTTCCTCGAGCGCTGCGGGATAGGTGGGAGGGGTCCATCGGGCGCGGGCAGTGGTGGCAGAGCATAGCCTGGAGGAGGGAGCTGGGGTGGGAGAGGCGAACCAGGTTCGCGGGAGACACGGCGGCCACCGGGGGAGGCGACGGGACTGCCGCTGTAGGCGACATTGAGCCCCTCGTGCGAAGTATGCTTGAGGGCGGACGACGACGGAGGAGGAGCAGGATGGTCGCGAGACGACTTGCGCGAGTGCGATCGTCCTGGACTAAGCGTCGCAGACGACATGTTCTGTGGTGCCAAGTTGCCCATGGACGACGACTGGGCCAGGGGCGACGCCGCCGCCAGCTCTTTCGAGCTCCGTGCCGAGTCGAGGGTCGAATTACTCGTCCAGTCGGCAGCGGTGACAAACGAATCGCGCGTCTCCGAGTGTTCCTGCTCCGCCACGGCAGCACGCCATTCCGCCGGCCCAAACGTACCAAACTTGTTGGACGTGCTGTCCCGCAACCCGGGTCCAAAGTCCGATTCCACGACCGCGGCAGCGGCGGTGCGATCTGTCTGTTCGCTGCCGGACGCCTGTGAGTCACGAGAGTCACGAGAATCGCGGTTCTGGCCGGGCGCGTCGGCGGGGTTCCGTGAACGAAATGCGGCGAGGTACGAGTCGCCGGATACACCACGTGCCATGCCCGCCGGACTGGGCGGGCTGAGACCCGCGTGCTCACGACTCGCGCCACGCTCGGCGCCGGGCACGTTCAAGCCCTCACGGTGGGACCGCGAGGCGGTAATCGCGCTAATAGCGCCATCGCGTGGGGAGCCAATGGCACCCAGTCCCAGACCGACACTTCCGCTCGGACCAGGCATGGCAGCGGGTATGGCCGCGGGCATGGCAGGTAATGGCTCCGTGTGGGGATCGAACCGCCTAGAGCCTGTTGAGCTGCCAGACATTGGTCGCGCACTGCCGTGCCCGCCGGTATGTTGCGACGAGGTCGACTGGCGCGGCGAGCGGTCGTGCGCAGAGGGTGGGCGACGAGCACGCTGAGCCGCGGTTGCCTCCGCGGCAGCGGCGGCGGCAGACGCAGCGAGGGCACGGGCGTGCTCGCGCGACTTTGAGCGGTACACCACCGACTTGTCCGAGTCGCTGCCATAGCTCTTGCGCAAGGACATTTTGCCACTGTCGGCTGACTGGCGCGGGTCGTACGGTGCCCGTGGCTCGTATGGTGCTCGTTGCTCGTACGGTGCTCGAGGCTCGTACGGTGAGTGGCGGCGCGGGTGTGGCAAGGGCTGGGCCCCGGGAGGGAGAGGGGGAAGGGGGGAGTACTGCAGCTGTGCTTGAGCCTGAGTGCGGGCGTGTTGCTGGGCTTGCACCAACTGCAGCTGCTGTTGGCGAAAGGCCGTCTGCTGCGCTGCCAGCTGGGCCGGGACAGGTGGCACTGGCGGGATGGAACTGGATCCAGAGGGCGTGGGGGGGAGCGGGGCGCTGATGCCAAACGCAGACATCGAGGGGATAGCCGGACTGGGCCCATTTGACACTGTGGGGCCGCTCGAGGTGGTGGCGGGGCTCGATCCCGACCTCGATGCTGTGGCCACCAGCGGCGAGAGCGCGGCACTAACCACTGGCGGCGTACCGAACGCTACGCTGGTATCGCTCTCTGGCGAAGCAGCCGGCGACGAAGCGTACGCAAGCTCCGACGGTGGCTCGGCCCATTGTTGTGCCACGACCGCGAGGGCCAGAGGCACGTCCTCATGCTCGGCCGAGTCAGCATGTGGGGCCAGCCTTGCTGTATGGGTGAGCTCCTCTACGGATGCGGATAGAGTGGAAGGGCCGGCAGCGGCTTGAGGGAAGAGGTTGTGGTCAGCGGCTGGTGGTGGTGGTGGTGGTGATATCGGCGACATGGCAGCCCTGCTGCGACCAGCCGCGCGTTCGGGGATGGGGGGAGCGTCGCCGACAGCGCTTGACCGGACACTCGACATGGCCGACGGAGCAGGCGAGAGAGTGGCCAGAGCAGCCAAGTCGGGAACAGAGACGGTCGGGAATGTGGGGAATGTTGGTGGGTTTGACGATGCGGGTGTAGAGGTGACAGAAGTTGGGAGGGACGGTGGCGGCGGACGCTCGTCTTCGTCGTCTGTCAACTCGTGGTCATGGTGGGGGACACTTTCGCGCCGGTCTGGGGAAGCGATGGTGGGCGTTCCTACCGACGTCGAGGTCCCTTGCACGACCCCTGCGCCTGCAGAAGCAGCCGCGATCGCTGCTGCAGCCCTTGGGCGGGGCTGGAATACGCGAGCGGTCACAGGGGTGAACCCCTCCGAGTCGGTGTCGCTCAGCTCCGGTACAGGGAGCTCAGGGAGGTCACCCTCAGCGAATGGTGCGAATGCGGAGGGTGGCGTCGCCATAGCACCTGGAGGGGCGAACGACGAGGACGCAGGTGTCGATGCTAGCGCAGCTTTGGTGGCTGCACGCGCAGTCTTTGGGATGGGTGGAAGTGGTCCCGAGGGAGGAGGCATGGCGATCTCTCGTGGTAATTGTGGATCCGCGGCTGAGAGGGAGCGGGCGATCCCCGAGATCTCTAAATTACTCGCCGACGACACACCGGGTTGTCCCAACGAGCTCCTCGCAGCAGGTACGCTGCCATTTTGTCGCTCCGGTGGCGCGACGTCTTGTGAGGCCGTGGGTTGTGGTGGTGTTGGTGGTGGTGATGGTGGTGGTGTCCGTGCTGGTGTTGCTGCATTGGGAGCAGAAGTCGAGGGCTCTGCGACCGAAGACGCTGTGACCTGCACTGGAGCGGGGGTCCCAGCGGCAGGGATTGCATTCCCAGCATTCCCGACATTGTGCAAAGCGTCGCTGTCCACGGTGGGCTCAGGGCCGGGTTCGGATTCAATTGCTGGCCGCGCGTCCACCACTGTTGTTGAGGACGACGACGACGGTATCAAGGCGTCGGCAGAGCATCCGAGACGGTCTGCAATGAGTTCGTCGGTGAGTTCGCCGTGTTTCGTGACAGTGACGAGGGCGAGATAGTCCTTAACATGTGTGTCAGCAGCAGGACACTCTAGTACCACTCCTGGGAGGTGGGGAGGGGAAAGAAGAAAACATGCCGACGGCGCCGGGTTTGTGTGTCAGGTGTGTTTGTGTCAGGTTGGTTGAAGGGTCCTCGGAATCCTCGCAGTTTTCCGTGGAACCTGCGTACCTGCACCCACCCGCACACGCTATCGGCAGAGATTGCAGGCTAGTGTCACGTCGTCCCACTGCCAACCAGAGCAGAGAGCAGGTTGACGAGTGTCCGGGGATACGGAGCCGACGCTCACGCCACTGTTCGCGAAAAGGTGACTCACTGGGAAGAGGGCCGCAAACGCGCGTGAGTGGACGACGGCCTTGGCTCTTCGAACGCCACTGCGGGAGATATCAGCACACTTTCAGATCTTCGTCACAGAACATGAGAACATGGGAGCATGGGGTTATGCGATCGATCACGCAGGCTGGACATGACAGCTCCGAGATGCACGTTTGCAGGGCAGCCAACACGGGGGTGTGTGCGCGCGGGGGGAGGATGGGGTGCTGAACGAGTCGCAAGGCCACCGCATGGCACCAAGCAGCAGACGCATGTTGTGCGCTGGTTGCGCTGCGGGGGTACGCCGGCGCAAGCTGCGGAGCGGGCTGGGGCTCGTGCAGGTCTGTCTGTCTCTGTAGGATAATGGGCGGAAGGCACCGCGTAGCGAGAGCGCCGAGACCCAGACACAGCTCGAGCACGCTCTGGCACATCTGGCAATGCCCGGCAGGGACCGAGACCTAAACAGTGCACGGGCTGCAGAGCTCTTTCCTCGACGCCGAGCCTTTGTCCTGCTAGCGAGGGCCGCCAGCCACACCCTCCTTCGACCTCTTCCAGCCGTGCAATCTGCCTGTGCGCGCTGTGCGACGTCGAGCTGTTCCTCGGCGGCAGCCACACCGCTGGCCGCGTCGTCAAAATATCACCCAAACATGTGCACCCACCCGCCCCAGCCAGCGCACCCGGGGGGTACGCCGCATGCGTCGTGCCGCACGCCCACGCTCGCACAGAGAACCGCAGAGGGAAGAAAGAAAGGAAGAAGAGAAACTCACGAGACACCGTCAGCGAGACGCAGCACCACCAGCCCGCGGCCGGCGATCGTTGCGAACCCGAACGCCGCGGCGGATCCGGCCTGGGTCGTGGTGTCGAGACTGGTCCGGAGCGGGGGCAGCGACGGGTCCGGACCTTGGGCGGTGAGGATGATGGCCGACGAGGCTGGGGAGGGGTCGTAGCCTGCGACGAGCCTGCGGGAGTGTCAGCTGGGATATTCTGTTGCGCTGCGCGAGGGGCAAGAGAAGGGGGGGGGGGGGTTGGCTGCCGGGAGCTCGCCAGATGGCGTGCCCGACGACGCGCAACGCGCGCGACGTGCACCACGGCCAGCAGTGGGGGGCACACGGCCAGCTGTTACGTCCTCGTCGCGGCCACTCGTCATAGCCGCCTTAGGCGTAGCGTCATGGTGAGGGGATGCGACAGCCGGCCAAGGTGCCCACCGGCACCGTTCGGGAGCACAGCCGAACTGCGACGACAACAGCAGCGTCGACGAGCGCTCGCTGCAAGTCGCGGCGCGGCATGCATGCACCCCGCGTGGGCCTTAGTCGGTGCACAGGACGGCGCTGCCCCGTCGACTGGCAATGGCAGCAATGGCAGTCAACGGAGTCCTCCTCTGGGTCGACTCTCTGGCGTTGTCTTGGGATCGGGGGACTCAGGCACACACCATGCAGTCGCGTCTTGGGGGTCATGCACGGCCTCGACGGCGGCGGCGAGCCTGGGGTCGGAGGTGTCTGCGGACATGCCGCCGTGCCAGTACCCAGCGAGGGTGTGATGGAATGGATGTGAGATGAAGAGAGAGAGAGAATGGATGGATGGATGGAGATGGGAGATGGAGATGTGGACCGTTTGGCTGAAAGCGGCGGCGGCGGCGGCGAGGCGCGCGGGGGCGGACGCAGGCGGCGGGCGGTGGATGGGCGGCGTGCGTGCTTTGCGTTTACGAGAGATGATGGAGCTCGACGGCCTACACCTGTGGCCATGGGCTCGACAACACGTTGCAGCTATTTACATGCTTGCTTGCTTGCTTGCTTGCTGCTGCTGCTGCTACTGCTTCTGCTACGTGTTCTCCCACAACCCGTGAATGCATGGAGAGAACACGACGCCTACAAGACCCGATATCCAGAGACAATACGCGCTACCGAAAACGTTGACAAAACCTATAGTTCTCTCTCTCTCTCTCTTCTCTCGTTGTCTCGATCTCTCGTCGCTTGTCGCGCTCGGCTGTGGGATCGTGAATACCCAGTGATCCAAGTGACAAACCCTACAGAAAACCCTCTCGACCCGCTCTCCCTGCGTCGCCGACGGCCCTTCACGCGATCCACAGCGCGCACCCGGCGAGCAACCACCACCACCACCACCCAGGGCCACAGACGCCACCTTGCATTCCTGGGACGCGCGCGCACCCTTCGTTCGCCACCGCTTCGTCGGCCCTTGGTCCCTTGATGATCCTTGATCCCACTCGAGACATTTTTCCTGCACCTGGGACTGTGTTCCCTCAAAATCAAACACCACGACCCACACCCCCCACCCACCACCACCACCACCCCACTGCACACCACGAAACACACCCCCTCGCCTGCGGCCGCTGCATTTCCGAGGACATGGGGCACAACCGGGCATAGCCGGCGGCCCCCCACCTCTCCACTGGTCCACCGACATGCTGCGCGTGGCCAAGGTGGGGGGTCCTGTGCCACCGCTCTCAGTGCGAGACGGCGTGCGGACCGGCGCCGCCGGCGAACAAGGCCGCAGTGGGCGGGGTGGTGGCCAAGGCATGGATCGGCTGGTGGCTGTGGACCGCAGGCATGCCGGGCACGGGGGTCGCGCCTGCCGTATCGGGTTGGCGAGGCGTGTGGGCGCCGAGGGTCGGCGCGCTAGTGTGGTACCCGTTGGCGATAGCGTCGCTGGCAGACGCAGACGTAGAGGTAGAGGTAGAAGAGGTCGGGCCCGTCGGCGTCGCGGTCGGCGTCGTCCACGTAGAGTTTGAACTTGCGGGCTGCTGCTTCTTCTTCTGCCGGGCTGCGCGGGCAGTGCGGGCAGTGCGGCCAGCGCACTGAGCCCCGGTGTGTTCGGGAACGAGGCGTTCGGGGATCAGGTGAGACACGGGCTGCGGAGGCGCCGACGCCATCTCATTACTGCCGGGGCCAACACCTGCGGTCGGGTGCTGGTGCTGCTGGTGCTGCTGCTGGTTCTGCTGCTGTTGCGCGACCATGAAGACCAGGAGGTTGCGCAGGGCAAGGATGATCTGCAAAGACAACGTCAGCCAAGTGTCCCTCCTCCGTCCACTTCCCTACTCTTGTCCACTCACATCATCGTGGCTGCCGACCTCGATGTACTCGCCCACGAGCTTGAGCTCGCGGAAATCGTCAATCTTCTCCCAGCCCAGACCGCGGTTGAGGTGGAAGGTCGAGTACTGGTCGTCATAGCGCATGCGCAGCGACATGATGTCTCCGCGGCCCTTGGGGCTCGTCGAGCTGACGGCCTTGAAGTTTGTAAACGCCGCGCCGACCACGGGCATGGTGATGCGGTAGATGGCGTCCTTGTGGCGCGTGTACAGCAGGAGCTGCGGGGTAGAGTGGCGGACGGCCACGGCGAGGTCGGCAGTGCTGTTGGTGATGTTGAGGACGCGCGTCCAGTCCTGCATGCTGAAGCGGTTGGCAGGGATGATGGCGAGAGACGCTGTGGCACAGGAGTTAGCAGGCCGCCAGCGTACAACGCAACTCACGGTCATTGTCGCGCACAAGGTCCCAGAGCAGCCGCTGGTCAATGTCACGGGGCATGGGCACGTCGGGGTTGCGGCGCGGCCCGCGGTCGCAGCCACGGTTCATAAACCACACGTCCACCGTCGACTCGGAGACGCCCAGCGCCTCGCCGATTTTCTTCTCCTGCGCAGACGTGGGGTTACTGAGACGTGTCAGCCGAGTTCACGTGAAAGTCGTCTCCGAACTCACGGGACAGTCTTGGCGACGCTCTCCAAAAAAGTGCGCTCCTGGCGCGTGGGGTTGAAGCGGTCCTTGTGCTCGCCGTGCGTCGACGAGAAGAACGTGGCCATCTCCGCCGCGTTCGTGTACGTCGCCGCAGTGCCATACTTGTCCGACTCGTTCGAGTCGAGGTCCGAGAGGTCGGACGTGTCGTCGTCGTCGTCGCCGTAGTCGTCAGAGTCCTCAGACGACGTGGGCACGCGGCGGGTCTTGACCTTGACGGGTGTGTTCTTTGCCTTGGCCTTGATGGACACGGACGCGCCACTGGTCTTTTTGCGCAGCGGCCGCTTGTTGCTCTTGGTCGGCGTCGTGGGCAGCGGGGTCACAGGGCTCACGGCGTCGGGCGAGGAGCCGGTGAGGTGCGCAAAGCGCGGGTCGAGCGGGGACGGCGTGGCTTCGGACTCGTACGGCGACACCGGGTCAGACGTGTTGATCATGAGGCCCGAGCAACCACCATCACCACCGCCCGGTGCCGCGGCTGACGTGGCCCAAGCAGACATGCCCGCGTGGGTATCCGTCGCCTCGTTGAAAAACCCATTGTACTGCTCGGCTGTCATCTCGACGAGGCTCGAGTAGTTGTCCGGCAGGTCGTGCATGAGGTCCATCGACGCAAACACCTCCTCGGTCTGCGATTCGGGCAGGGGAGCATGGAGGGTCGCGTTGAGAGCGTTGAGCGCGTGGTCGAGGGTCAAGTCGATGCCGCCAAACGAGCTTGCGCTCACGCTCACGCCACTGTCGGGTTGGGCGGCGGCGGCAAGGCACACACCGGTGGACGACGTGGCCAGTGCATCGATCTGCGGCGCTGGGGCCTGAGTGATGGCTCCAGCGTCGACGGCCGCCGGCTTGGTGTCGGTTCCCACTTGGACTGGAACCACGGCAGTGACTGGACGCGTGCTGCCTGGGTGCTCGAACGCAAACGGCGAGGGCGAGGGCGGCCGCACAAAGCTCGGACCCATGTCGGTGTATGCTGTTGCCATGCTGGGGACGAACGGGCCGACGCCAGAAGCCATGGTCGGGGCGCTGGGCTGGGGGGTCACTGCAGCGAACGCATAGTGGTCGTGCGTGTTTGGCTGAGCAACAAGGTGAGGCGCGCCGTGGACGCTGTGGACGCTGTGGACGACGCCGTGGCGGGGAGGGTAGTGGCTGCGCGGGCCGGCGAGGTGCACGGCCTGGCTGGCGTGCACGGCTGGAGACGGGACGGCGCCGGGGTAGACAAAGTGCGGCGTGTGCGAGTAGTACTGGTACAGCTCAGGCTGGGGTTGTTGCTGAGGATAATAGAACTGCTGCTGCTGGTTGTTGTTGACAAACACAGGCGCGAGGTTGGGCTGGCTGGCGTGATACCGCGGGTACAGGTGGCCAGCGTACGACGGGTATGCTGGGACGTGCTGGTACGCCTGCGCGTGAGCCTGCGCCTGCGCCGTGGTCGGCAGCGAGCGCGGCGTGCGGTTGGGAGTCGGGGTGGTTGGGTAGCTCTCGGGTGAGAGGTCGAAGCCCATCCTGTGGAACGAGGGCGTGAGGCCGCTGCTGTTGGCCTCGAGGAATGCGGCGGCAACGTGGGCGTGGATACTAGTGTTTGTCGCAGACGAGGCCGTGTTGATCATGAGCGTGGCGCTCTGGTCCGCAGCTGCGTGTGTAGGAATCATGGCGGGGACAGCGGGAATGCTGGGGACAGCGACGGGGGCGGCAGGAGCATACACCGCGAACGTCTCGTCGCTCGCCTCAGCCTTGACCTTTGCTGTGACCTTGACCTTTGAGCGACGACCACGGCGCGACATGTTGTGCCGGTCTGTGGCGTGGCGCTGGCGCTTGGTAGGGGATGGCAGCGAGTCTGAATCATCTCCGCGGCTGTCAAGTACAGAAGCGTGGTCGATGGTCGGGGTGCCAGGCTCTGAGTCTGTGGGACAAGACGAAGACGAGCTGGTCGACGCCGCGGCCTTGGTCGGCATGATGAGTGCGGACGGCTTGGGGGTGACCGAGGCGGAGGTGTCGCTGTCGGACGGTGTGCGCATGGTGCTGTCCCGTGTGTGCAAGGGGGGATTAGAGTGATGGAAGAGAGAGAGGGGGCGTGTATATGATGATGATGATGCTTGAAAGATGAAGGGAATCCAGATGTTTGTTGGGGGGGGAAGGGCTGTGGGCGAGGGGAAAGAAGACTGTGTGTGTGCGTTTGGGAGGAAAGTGATGGCCTGTTGACAGCAGTGGTGGCTGGAAAAAACGGAGTGATGGTGCTGTCGCCGTCCACTCAGTCGAGTAACCTCTGTCTCTTTCTCTCTCCCGCAATCTGGAGGCTTGTAAGGACAGCAGGTGCGAAGACGTGAGAGCACGAGAGAGTTACCACAGGATACGAGGTGGAGAGAATTTAATCATCGCCTGGGGGGGTCAGGCAGGAGGGGAAGGGGTACACGCACACGGTGGAGGATCAGTGCGGTCTCTCTTTTCCTCACTGGGCAAGAGAGGGGCATGCATGTAGCTCTCATGGAGATCCTCGCACTGCCTCTGTGCACCCCAAACCTGTTGCTGCGATTGTCAACGGGACCCCGTCGCGAATCGTGCGGCTGTTCACGGTCAAAGGTCGTCAAGAAAAATACCAGCGGCCGGCCGTGGTTGCTCAAAAAAGGCGCACATTCTGCCTTCACGAGCCCATCACTTGGGCTTCTTCCGCGATCACCCGGGTCATGGGCACCCCCCCTCTTCACACTGGGGCACTGGCACACATGGTCCGAGCCGCAGAGGCCAATGCTTGATGTTTCTGGTCCCTCAGTGCTCATACTCTCCTCAGTGGCAGCGGATGAACAGACAATGGGATATGCAAAATGTAATCTCTAAAGTGACGCAGCAGTCGCGCGCTCTACAAGCCCTGGAAGCTCTCCTTGCCGCCCTCTTTGCCCTGCTCGCGCTCGCGCTCCTCCCAGCTGGTCATGTGTCCGTCGACCATGAGCACGCGCCAGCCGATCCGCGCCGGGTCGGCGTCGAGCTGCGTCGGCGCCGGCGGGGCATCGACATACTCCCACCCGTCCTCTTCCTGGACGACAGCGACGGGCGGGCGCGGGGGAAGGTCGCGCGCGGCCGCAGACAGAAACTCGGCAATGGGCGTGCGCACCCAGCGCGACTTGGACTGCGGGCCGTACGGCGACGGGCTGTCAAACCAGCCCAGGTGGCCGCCCGAACCCGTCACGGCCAGGTGGACGTGGGACGAGTTCTGGACCTGTTCGACGGGCAGGGCTTCGCCGTGCACGACCGGGTCGTCAAAGGCGTTGATGCCGAGCGATGGGCTGGGCATGATGTTAGCGTCGGGACTCGGACCCATTGTGATTCATGTTTTACTCACACCTTGATGTTGTGGATGACCTTGTGGCTGCTCGCATAGTTGTAGTACTCCTGGAACCCGTTGAACGGCCACGGCGCCGAGGGCCCGCCCACGCGCGAGGTCAAAAACTCGTCGACCATGTACAGCCTGATCTTGGATCCCATGTCGCGCAGCCGCCTAAACTCGTGCATGACGTCGTGGACGCGGCTGTTCTTGGGGTCCTCGAAGAGCGCCGGGTTGGCGTCATAGTTGCGGAAAAACATCTTCATGAGGTTGACGCCGAGCGCGCTCGAGTAGACGCGGGATGAAAACCAGCCGTCCTCGAGCGAGTGCGAGAGCGCAGGCATGTCCCATGGACAGCCGATCATGCAGCCCGACGACAGCTGCGAGTCCTCGCCGCTCTCGCCGAGGTAGCGCGCCAACGCACCGGCGCCGAGCGAAAAGCCGATGCCGTGCACGGCAGACTGCGGGAAGCGGTGGCGAACATAGTGCGAGATGGTGTTGACGTCGACGCTGGCGGCCGCAGAGTAGAACTGGGTAGAGGTCACGGGCTGGCCACCGCATCCGCGGAACTGGGGACCGTCAGTCACTGAGGAGGGCCTGTGTGCACTCCGATCCACTCACGTTAGAGACGACACCACGGCCGCCAAGACCGCCCTCGGACTTGGGCTTGATGACCCATGCGAGCACGTTGCGGACATAGCTCTCGCTGGCGTTTCCGGTGAGACCGTGGCAGACAAGGACGGTCGGCGCGTCGGCGGGCAGCTCCTCATGGTTGGGCGGGGTGATGTCGACGGCGCTGGCGGTTAGTGTGTGCGTGGACACATCACGGGTGAGGTGAGAAGCCAACCTCTCCACACCTCCACACACGACACTCACAGAGTTCCTCCGTCGGGGACACGCAGGGTGGTGCTAGCAATGTCAGATAGGGCTACGTTGGGCCATGCCTAGCTTACCGGACGTAGTCGACCTTGTCAGTCTTGCTAAAGTCGCCCGAGATAATGAAGAAGGTCTGGAGGTGGCCACTGGCGTCGCGTCAGCTGCAGGAAGGAATCTCACAGCTGGAGACTCACTTGGGAAGCCACCACGCCGGCTTGTACGTCCCATTAAGCGACGGTGTGTTCTTGACGATCCACTCGTCGACATTCATCGCGCCGTCGGCTCCGTCCGCTCCCTCCGTAGTCTTGTTGAGGACCACGGCGCCGGCCTTGCGCGGGCGGACACGCACGATCTGGCGCGCATAGTGCGCCATGCCGACGAGACCCATGAGCGCAAAGAGGATTTGCGAGGGGATGGCGAGGATGCGGCCAAAGAGGCCGGTGGGGAGGTAGAACGACTGGACGGCCGGGTGGGGGTCCTGTTTCGGTGGCGAGGGGAAGCGCTTGATGGGGTCGCTGTGGCCGTTGGAAGTCCCGTTGGGTGTGCGAGACCTGTCGTCGCCCATAGTCGTGAGTGTTGTGAGGATGAGGAAAATGAGTAATCGTGTAACCCCCCGTCTCCTCCCCTCTCCCCATAATCCAATGGGTATAGTCGTACCGATCCCTCGAAAAGTCTACAAAACCCCTTGTGGTGCGTGTCATCAGGGGGGGAAAAGCCCTAAGCCGGCAATTAACCGGGATCGATGACACCGGCGGAGGCCGATTTTTGATCCCGTCGGGCGATCTGACCCGTTATCAGTAAGCCAGCGCAACAAGGGGTCGGGGTGGGGTGTTGGCTTGCGGCAAGCACGACGCGTATGCTTTCGGCGGGGGGTCATGGACAGGGAGCAGGCAGATACGGCTATGATGTGCCGCCGGGAGCAGGATCGACAAGATAATCCCTTGGATACGTGGACATGTGGCACAGGGCACAGGATATCGAAAAGGATCGAGGATCTGCGGCACTTCCGAGCCATGGTCATTCATAAACGGCGTTGTAAAAGACAAGAAAAGGATCGTTATTTGGTTAAATTACTATTAAAAAATACGTTGCTGGAGTCCACTTGCTTACGAGAAAATCCTTCGGAACACCATCGCTTCTGAACCGCTTGCTTCTCTTTCATCCAAACCTCACACGTTGGAACCCGCCGGAGTGATCAGAGGCTGCGCCGCGTCGTCGACGGGCGGCGACTCGACTGACGCGTTCGAGACCACGGGCGTGAGGTGGTTGTCAGCGGCAGGGGGCAGGCCCAGTCCCAGGTGCGAGGCACTGTGGTGCTGCTGGTGGAGCTCCTCGTCCTCCTCCTCGCGGGCCTGGGGCGAGGTCGGCCTCGGCGGGGGGATGTCGGTCAGGACGTCGGGGCGGACGCGCACGCCCGTGAGGCCCGGCGGCATGAGGCGCAGCGTCGGGCGCGGGTTGGGTGCGCCGTGCGTGAGCGCGTCGGCGGGGTCGACCTGCCATAACGTGGCCGTGTGCAGCAGCTCGCCCGTACGCGTGACCGCGGCCGGGAGGCGATCCTCGAAGATTTGGTACGACGGGAACGGGCGGTGGTGTTTCTGCCCGATCCAGTCGCTGTACGCGGTCGTTCCCGCCGGCACGCTCTGGTATTCTGCTTCAAACGACGACAGCGCGTCCGACATGGCGGCCGCAGTCGTGCGGAAGCGCAGCCAGCGGTGGTTGTCCCACCCAGGAGCCGCGACGACGCCCGGCTGCGAGCCGGCAAACTTGGTGATGAGGTGGGTGCCGGCACACTGCCCGCGCTCGGCGAGGGCGACAACGGTGCTGGGCTTCATGTTGAGGTTCATGCCGCCCTCGTCGTCATCGTGGTACACGGTCACGATACGGTCGCGGTAGCCAGGCATGCCGACTTGTCCTTGGTCGACCCACCCGCGGGCCGTTTCGACAATGGTGGTGAAAAACGACACGAGACCAGCCAGGCCCTTGTCGCCGATGGTGTTCTGGGGACGGATAAGCCCCTCGTCGTTGTTTTGGGCGAGGAAAGTGTTTTTCATCTGGTCGACGTTCATAGACTTGCCAGGCGGGAACGAGGCAAGGTCGATTGCGAATGTCGGCCGCAGCGGGAGGACAGAGTCGAAGAACTGCAGCGGGAGGTTGGCGCAGATGCCGCCGTCCGAGAACCAGTTGAGGACAAACTGGAACTGGATGGTTTGCGCGGCGGCCTGCGCGGGCGTCCTGCCCGTTCCGTAAGTAGCATCGACCGACTTCTTTGCATCGTCGTTTTTCGGGTACGTGTAGTCGACATCATACAGCGGCACAGCACTGATAAGACCGGGGAAGCTGAGGGACATTCTCACGCCGACAATAATGGGCAGGTCGGCCGGGCGAGGGAACATTCTCAACGCTCCATCTGGACGGTTACGAGCCTGTTGGTGGCGCACGGCCGATTCCCAGTTGGTGAGGCTGAGGTGGGTGGCACGGGCGGCCTCGAGCGCCTCCATGCGATCCGCAGCTGCTTCCATGGCGGCGACGACCTCCTCGGGGAACAACTTGCGAAACTCGACCGGGTTGAAGTAGTACCCGCCCTTGTCCCACGGCATCGCCAGCGGCTGCGACTGGCCGAGGCTGGTGGTCATGAGCATGAGGTTGACGCCGGCGTCGCTGAGCGTGCCAAACGTGATGGGGTGCCCGTCCGTGATGCCTGCGAGGTCCTGGAACGTGTCGTACATCCACGTCGTGAGCGCCGGGAACTTTGCGTCCTTGGCAGTGAGGCAGTCGCACAGTCCATAGCCCTTTTGCGGCATCTTGCCAACGTCACGGAGGAGAGCCAGTGCGAGCGCCAGCACGCCGCCCGAGACCGCAAGGATGAGGGACAAGACGAGCGCAAACGACAGCCCGACGTACACGATCGGGCGGCCCGCAAACGACAGCCCGGCAATGCTGATGCCTAAGCCTGCAAGACCCGGCAGCGTGCCCGCGAGCGTGGGCAGCGCCCACCCGCCCAGCGCAGCACGCACCATGGCCCACGCACGCGCCGCGCCCGTCAGGCCCAGACCCGCGGTCGCGAGGTTGAAGAGGCGCTGCATGCCCGGCTGCGGCTGGAACAGCGTGAACAGCTTGCTGTCGGGGCTGTTGGGTCCGCGCGCGAGCGCACTGAGCTCCTGGGGCATGCGGTAGAGCTTTTCAAAGCCGCCCCTGTCGCGGCCAATCTCGGTACACGCGGCGGCGGCGGCGGCGATGGCGCCAGCGGACGCCCCTCCCACTGAGCGCAGCTTGTAGACGGTGGCGAGCTGGCAGATGGCGAGCGGGTAGACGATGCCACTGGTGATGCCACCCTTCATGACCAGGTCGCAGTCGAGTTTGGGGTGGCTATAGTCGGATGGCGGAGGCTTGGGCGGGGGAGCGGCAGCGTCGCTGCCTGTGGGCTTGTCGTTCATGGTGTGAGGATGTTAGTGGGCGACAGCAACTTGCGAGATGCATTTCTCTGTGTCCTCGCGCATGATTTGTTCTTATATAGGGAGCATTCCGCACATCCCGCGGACCAACGGCCAACGGCACGTGCCAGTGTGCGCTGGTTCTAAACCTTATCTCTGCGGGTCGCTGTTCGGGGCACTGCTCTGTGCAGCGCCTTTGCTTCTTGTTCCAGGCCTCCAATTGACCTTGGGGCTATCAGGTGATGGTGTTCTGGCCCATGCTGTCTCGTTACGCTCGCACAAGTCTCAGCCACGGCGTCCATAAAGTGAAATAACATTGGCGCCACAGAGGTACAGAGATCCCTTCCATAAAGGCACCAAAGTGATTAGTAAAATGGGCGGATTAGAAATGCCCTTTCTAGAAACAGAACAAGACTCTAATGGGCACGACGCACGACATTAGGGAAACCAGTGCTGGGTTGTTTGGTTCCACGCTTGGGGGGGGGGGTTGTTTTGTGAATGGTGAGTTCTCGCGTGTCCCGCTCTTTCTCTCTGGATCTCTCTAGATCTCTCTCGCTTCGTAATACCCGTCATGCCAGAGAAACGACATGCACCACCGCAATCACACGTACCCGCGATAAAGCGGCCTGCCGAGGATGACGCTGCAAGCCAGGCCGCCAGGCCGCTCCTGCGTCCCCACGCGGTTCACGTCCTCTCCAGGTCCCACCCACTCCACCGGCGGGTTCCTCGCATTGGCCCCAAAAGCGTGCCCTTCGCTTCAGTACACCTCAAGCCGATTCTCTTCCAGCAAAGTCTTTTGGGCAGGACGCCGCGTCGTCATTGACCTCGTCAACGCCGATCGACTGGTACACTCCCGCGGGCGATGAAAACCAGCTGTCGGGGTGGCAGCAGACAACTGCTCCCCCCCAGTCTCTACCCTCTCGACTCGCATCACCTCCTACAGTCCGACGTCACAAATACGGCTCGTATGAGTCTCCAGGCGTCCTATCCCAGCACTAGTCCCTTCTCTCTTTGTGAGACCTTGACATCCTCATACTGCACGTCAAGACTGGGACCTTTGCAATCATGGCTACACCGCGTAAGACTACCCCGTGGTCGCCAAGTTTGTCCATCTCGACACCTTCCCGCGTGACCCAAACCCGTGGACACCGTACACCTACACTCGCAAGCAGGCGTCGGCTGCTGCGCGCAACGAGGTAGCACTCCTCACCGGCGCCTTGCGTTTGCTGCAGGGCACCGTCGTGCCCGGCTTCTACAGCATGTGGCCGGGCCAAGTCCAAGATCCAAGACCACATCTCACCGGAGGACTGTGGCGATTGCTCCCTTGAGTTTGAGGCTGGTGCTGTATTTTCGCATGACCAAAAGTAGGTTTCTTCAGTAGTTCCATGCCACAACCCACACCGCTGACCGGCAGACATATCGTGCTTTGTGCGTACCAGCAGGTCCACGGCCGCCGGGTGGTACAGGACGACGTGCAGGCCCGCCACGTTCTTCTGCACGCTGACGGGCGGCCCCGCGTGATCGATTTTGAGGGCTCATGGAGGCCGACCGAGGCGCAGATGGGAGGGTTCGTCATGGTCCGCGCGGCCGAATGGCGCGGTGTGCGGGAGATGCTGCAGCTGTGATGGTTGCTAGGACCGGGGCTAGGACGGGGGCGGGGAATAGGGGGATGTGAAGAACAAGCGGCGTCCCAGTTAGTCCATGAGAAATGCCAGATGGTTGCGGTGGTGGCCAGTGTGATGAGTAAACCAGGCAAACAGTGGAGATGGATGAGATGTTGTGTACGCCGTGAGAGCCCGGTGCCATCCCGGTATGGCGGTGCGGTCACACGTCGCACGGGGGCCTTGTCAATTGTGGAGCTCATCGCCAGTGGGGCTGGTACTTGGAACGCTCGCGCACGCTGGACATGGTTACTGGTTACATACATGAAAAATCCAATGTTCCTTTATAGCTACCTTCTTTATACTCTGCTGTACGTTGTACTGTAGTTGTTTACACGACACGGTTGGTGCGGCGGTATCCCAAACTGCCATCGGCACCCACCTGCCCGTGCCCCGACCCTTGCCCATGGCCATGGCCGTGGCCGTGGCCGTGGGTCTGGCTCTGGGTTGCCCACGACCACATCCCCCCGCTGGCACTGCTGCTGCCACTTGCCGACTGCGGCGGGCCCATGTGGCCCATTGCGAGATCCATGCCTCCTCCGCCCGCGCCAAACGCGCCTGTGCCCGCGCCGTGCCCCGTCCCCGACGGCGTGCTGCCCCCGCCAAACGCAATGTTGCTGTCGAGGCCCATGCCGCTCTGTGGCGTCAAAAAGTCGGCCGAGGTCACGATCGTGTCGCTCGGGAACAGGGCCGACCAGTACTGGTCGTCGAGCGCGGTAAAGTCAAACTCGGGGGCCGGGTTGGCGAACGCGCCCAGTTCGGCGAGGAGCGCGTCGATCGTGTCGGTCCCGCTGCTCCCGCTTCCTCCAGCTCCGCTCGCACTCGCGCCGGTCATGCTGCCCACGTCGAGCGTGCTCAGCGCGAGCGGGGTGAACCCGGTCGTCATCGTGGGATCGTTCTTGGCTGCCCCCGCCCCCGCCCCCGCCGCATGCGCATGCTGCTGCGTGCCTTGCTCAAACACCTGGCCGAGGTGCGCGAGCACGCGGCGGATGAAGCGGACGACAAAGGCAGTAGGCACGTCCGTCTCTCCGCCACTGGCCTTTTCGTACGCTGCCATGACGCGCATGAGCAGCGACGCGACGGCCCCTTGCTGTCCGCGTGTAAACGTCGGAAACATCTTTTTCAGGTAGATGGCCAAGACGGACGCCGACGTCGATGCCAGGTCTTGCAGGATGCGCAGCGTGCCGTTGTGCGCGAGCGTCTCGATGATGGACACCATCTCCGAAACGACGAGCAGGAGGCTGTCGACGTCCATGGCCGAGTTGTGCGACGCGCGCAGCGCGTACCGTTTCGTCGCGACCACGAGCTCGAGCATGACCCATTTCGTGCGCAGGTCGTCGTGCACCACAAACCCGGACAGCGCCGCCGGACGCCGGTTGCCAAACCACTTGTCAATCAGGGCGGTGGCGCGCGACTCGAAATCGGCAAGCACCACGTGCTGGTACGCAGAGTATGTGCCAGGGTGGCCCTGGCGGACGAACAATTCCCAGTGTTCTCGCAGGCTCATGGATCTGGAAGCGGCGCGTAAGCGGGGCGAGCTGCGGCGCAAGCTGGTGGAAAAAAACCACACGACGTCAAAAGCAACTGGCAGGACATTTCACCGACTGTGCGGAGGGACATTGCGGTTCCCCCGCATCACCTGGTCGCTTTCTCCGGGGATATCCCGTAACGATGTCCGCACGCGTCCGCAATTCCACACCCGCACAAAACCCCTCGACCGATCAAAACTCACTCGATGACGGCGGCCAGATGCAGGTCGGCCTGGTTGTAGTGGTTCGGGTGGTCGAGCGCCCACGCCTGCACGTCCCCGACGTGGTGCGGCTGCATGGTCGGCGGCAGGTCGAATGTGTGCGAGTATCCGCGGTCAAAGCCTGCGGCCGTCAGTGCGCGCGCACCCGAGTACCACCCTGGTCAGTCTCACTCACAATACAGCAGAACCCACGTCCGTTCCGCGTCCTGGTCAGGTGGTCAGCACCCGCCACGACAAGGTGATGCCACAATGCCCTCAATACGCACCAGTACTTCCAGCGCCTGTATCCTGTCCGCAGGGAGCGGCCGCTTCCTCACGTCGTCCCAGTGGAACTGCAGGCCCATCCGCACCGCCCAGCCAATCTTGCCCCAGGCGCCCGTGTCTGTCGGCTGCTTCCAGTACACCAGCACGAGAACGGCCTGGACGAGCGCCGTGTCCTCTCCCGCGGCCCAGAGGGCGCGCGACGCAATGGTGTTGGCGTGCGAGAGCAGCGTCGGGTACACGCCCTTTTGGTAAAATTTGGACGCGGCAGCGAGCACGGCGGTAAACAGCACCGATGAGCGGCGCCGGAGGTAGTCTGTGGTGTGGAGTTTGGGCTCGAGCAGCGCAATCTGGATGTTGAGCTTGCGGTGGAAGAGCTGCACGAGGTTTTCTGCCTCGACGAGGGACACAATGCCGAGGTGCACTGGAAAGTGTCAGTGCTGGTGCTCGCCTCGGGTTAGACAACTGCTGTACCCACCTGGATCCTCGAGCTGGAACTTTTCATGCCGCTCCCTCGCTGGGCCCGACCCACCCGGCGTGCCCGTCACGCGCGGTCCGCGCGCCATGATGGCGGCCATGGCGCCCGTCTGCGTCATGGGCGGGTAGACGCTAAAGTCGCGAAAGTCGGACTCGGTATTGTCCACGGCCGTGAACCGGTCCCAGCGGTCGATGTAGTCTGCCATGCGGATATGTGCGCGCGCCTGGCTCGTCTCCATGGCGTCCGTCTCGACGTCGACGGGGGCCGGGACGAGCGCGTCCGAGGTCTCTGGCAGGTCGTCCGTCTCCATCTCGGTGTGCTGTGTGGTCGCGTCCGTGTCGCTGTTGGACGAATTTGTGCGATGGGGTTGTCTGGGAGGTGGGTACAGTGCCGAACCCATGGGGCGGGGCAGACGTGCTGGCGCGCCTTCAGCGGCAGAGATGGGGGCCGAGGTCGACGCCGACGTGGAACCAGAGCCTGTCCCTGCCGCACCTTCTGCAAGAGCAATGAGGCTCTGCGCGAGAAAGTCGCGAGTGTCCGTCTCGCCACGTGTGCCGCCGCCGTTGGTGTTGTTGCTGGTCGTTGCTGCTGATGATCCTGACCCCGTCGCTTGGGTTGCTGCTCCTGCTCCTGCTCCTGCCCCGCTGCTGCTGCCGCCGCCCGCCGAGGAGCTGAAGCGCCGCAAGTACGGCTCGCCCTTGACACTTTCCGCTCCTTCTCGCTTGCCAGAAACAGATTTTGGCGGGCGGCCGCGTCGTGATGCAGGCTGCGGGACGCACGGGTGCTTGATACGAGCTGGGAGGGAGTGTCAGTCGAGTACGGGGCTCGGATAGCCTCAGCACCTACCGCAGCGCTGGCATGGGTCGGTCTCGGGTCCTGTCCGCATACATCGTACCTGCGCGGGGGTGTCAGAAAGAAGCACAATGGTGGTCGCGACGGCATGCGGCGGTGTGGGTGCGGCAGCGAAACAGGCCGACGACGAGGAGGGGAGACATACTTTCAGTGCGCGACATGCCTTGCAGCTGAGGAGAGAGCATGTCAGCTGGGGTGCAGATGCACTGGCCACTGCACTCACGCGAGGATGTATGGTGGTGGGTCTTGGTGCATGGTGGATGAGGAGGAGGAGGCAGATGGGACGGTGGTGGAATAATAGATGTATGACGGAGACGGCAAGGCGAGTCGCGACCCGGTGGTTAAAGGCCCGATTGTCGGGTACATCCGCAATGGCCGTGGAGCTGGGCGGGCAGGTCGATCAGCAGCGGGCGACGGCGGCATGGCGTCGAGCTGGGCTGGGCGGGGGGGGCAGTGGACGGGTGGTGGCGGGGACACTGTGGGCACAACGAATAGCACGAGGTGGGTGGTGGTGTTGATGGGTGAGGCCCGGGACGACCACTTTAAAAGCGGCCAACGACGGGACGTGTTTTGCTGTTGCTGGCGGCCCCGCACACATCTCGGCGCCATCTCGGAGGGCCGCCGATAATCTTCGTCTACAGTGGCCAGTCGGTGGGTCCTGTCGGTCAATTAGCGGGCCAGGACGTCTCCTTACTGGATGCCAATGCACGCACAGTTTGCCAAGACACGGCCTCTGCTGTACTTGCATAAGCACCGTACTCCGCACAGAGACCCGACGTGGATATGCTTTAAAAAGAGACCACACGGCGGCCCCCAGTGTGTGGGTTGTTCGGGTGCATCGTCATCCTCGCCAAAACGAACGAGAACGACCTGGGGGCCCCGTTCAACATGGCTCTTCCCCGGTTCCGACGCGTCTCGAGTCGCCTCTGCAACACATCGTCTCTCTCTCTCTCTCTCTCTCTCTCTCTCTCGTTGTCTCTCTCGCTCTCGCTCCCATGCTCTTATAACCCCCACCTGCCCCTCGTCTCGTCTCCTCTCCTTCTCACACACTCACACACCTCGTCCCAATGACCGACCACCGCTCCTTCCCCGGCCGCCAAGGCAACGCCGCCCTCTCACGCGACAACGAGTCCTTTGTCGCCGCAGGAGGATACACCTACGCTTCCACATCCACCCACGTCGACCTCGCCGCACCCGTGTCCGCCGCGCTCGCTGCCGTGCGCTTCTACGACCCAGCCGCCACCGCCACGCACCTCGCCAACGTCACCTCTGTGCCCGGACCAGGCATCCGCACCGCCTTTGAAGTCACCCCCGAGACGTCGACGGCCGCCGCGGCGCGCGTCCACGCCGAGGGCGGGCACGCGACCGTCCTCAACTATGCGAGCGCGACCAAGCCCGGCGGAGGATACCTCTCTGGCGCCCGGGCGCAGGAAGAAGACATTTGCCGCTCGTCGGCGCTGTACACCTGTCTCGCGTCGGCCACCGCCAGCGGGTTCTACACGTTCCACCGGCGCAACCGCGACCAGCGGTACACCCACCGTATCATCTGGACACCCGACGTGCCCGTGTTCCGCGACTCGGCGTCGTCGGCCCTCTTGCCGGCCACGTACCCCACGTCGTTTATCACCGCCGCGGCGCCCAACGCCGGCGCACTGGCCACAAACAACCCCGCAGCCCTGCCCTGTACCCCGCTCCTGGCCGACCGCGCCGCGCGTGTCTTGGCCGTCGCCGCGCACCACGGCGCACGCACGCTCGTGCTCGGCGCGTGGGGCTGTGGCGTGTTCCGCAACGCGCCGCACGACGTCGCAGACGTGTTCCGCCAGCTCCTTGTCGGCGGCGCATTCGAGGGCCGCTTCGAGCGCGTCATCTTCGCAGTGTACGACACGGGCGCTAGCCAGAGCACCATCTCGGCGTTCAGGCAGGCGTTCCCTCCCGGGACCGACACGACGCATCTGGGTGGTGCTGCTGTCGGCGCTGGTGGCGGTGCGGGACCGGGACCGTCGACCGCGTCTGCGTCTTCCAGCAGCACCGACCCACGGTTCCCCGGCCGCGGCCGCGTCGTTGGCGCCACGACAAGCGACATGACCACGACCACGCCCCCCTCGTCGAGCGCAGTGGCTTCCACGGGCACGCAGCAGCAGCAGCAGCAGCGAGCACCCTCACCCGCACCAGCACCAGCACCCGCACAATCACCAGCACCCCGCTCGCCTCCCAAGCCGGCAGCTCCCGCGGCGTCAAGTAAACCCGGCAGCGGCAGCGGCAGCGCAAAGGCCAACAAGGGTCCAGCCCCCAACACCTCGCAACGGACACTGCTGGACGCGTGGTTGATTCGCAAGCCGCCTGCACTTCCTCCCAAGCCGTAATGTGTCTTGCCGTTGTCGAAGGCCTGGGGCCCGGGGGGGCTGTCGTGCCGCCCGGCCTTGTGGGAGGGTCGTTTCGGCGCCCGGGGGGTTGACCGTCTCGACATCCCAACACGGGTAACTCGCCCATCCTTGCTCTCGCCATTGCCAGTCGCCAGTCGCCAGTCGCCAGTCTCTGTCTCGGTCTCGAACGTCCTTGACGTCCTCTCTTGCTCACACACCTCGTCTCTCACACGTACACGCACACGCACACGCACACGCACACGCACACCCATGACACGGGCGGCATCACCACCACCGGCGCCACCCGCCACCCGCCACCCCCGCCAACCATCCCCCACGCGGATCACCTGCCGTTGGGGTCTCTGTATACAGTAGCTTGTTTATTGCATGAACGACACGGCCAATACCAGCCACCAGGTAATAACGCTGCAGGCGGGAGCGGCGGGGTAGGGCGAGGCAGAGGCGAGGCAGAGGCGAGGTTTTACAAGCGAGGCAGAGGCGACCTGCGCGGTACTGACAGGTACTGACGGTACGTGCTGACGCCAGAGTCCATAGCCCACAGTCCACCCAGCGACTGGCCAGTGCGGGCCTCATGAGGGACAGGTGTTGACTTCTTCTTCTGACATTTGTTTTTGTACACATTACAACAAAAAAGTACTCTCCCCAGATCCCCTATCCTTCCGCCTGCTCCCCCTGCTCCCTCTGCACCTCCCGCCTCCCGCCTCCCGGCTCGCGCCTTGCGCTCCGCGGTCGGCGTTCGGCGCTCGGCGCTCACCACAACTCGTCCCTACGCCGCTTACCCGCCGCATCGCGCCCGTCCCCGTCATCACGACCCCGCACGCCCGTGGCCCCGTTCTCCCACCGGCCATCCTCAATGTCGCCGCTTCCCCCGCGGCTCTGCTGCTGGCTGTGCGGGTGGCTGTGGTATCCGTGGGACCCGTGGGACCCGTGGGACACGCGCGGCAGCGCGTGCAGTTCGCGATCGCGATCGCGGTCTCGCTCTCTTTCACGCTCGCGTTCCCTCTCCCTCGCGTTGGCGCGGTCGGCGGCGTCCCGCCTCTCCTGGTCGCGCACCATGTCGTCCTCTGCGTCGGGGATCGCGGCGGTCACCAGCTGCCAGAGGCTGGGGCCCATCGAGTTGCGCAGCGACGACGAGGCAGGGTATTCTGCTGCAGGTGCCCACTTCTGGTCGCGGTCGCGGTCACGGTCACGGTCGCGGTCGCGGATCGCGGCGCCGGGGCCAGAGCCGGGGAGGCCGGCGGGGACGGGCAGCGCACCGGGCGCAGCGGCGTGCCCGCCGAGCGAGTCGCGGCTGTCGCTGCCACGTTCGCGTTCGCGTTCCCAGTCGCGATCACCTCCACGGTCCATCTCGCGCTCGCGCTCGCGATCGCGGTCGCGCTCCCGGTCCATCTCGCGTTCCCGGTCGCGTTCCCTCTCGCGGTCGCGTTGGCGCAGGTCGAGGTCGTGGTGGTGGGGGATATACGGCTGCTGGTTCTCCACAATGAACGGTCGCTGGTTCTCCACAATAAACGGGCGCTGGTTTTCCACAATGTACGGTCGCTGGTTCTCGGCATAGTGTCCTTGGCTCGGGTGTGGAGGCGGCAGTGTTGGCGGGGGAGGCGGGTATGGGTCGGCGTGGCCCGGGTGGAAGCCCAGCCCACCACCACCGCCACCCCCGCCGCCGCCGCCGCTGCCGGCCACGCTGCCGCCTGCACTGCTCTCCCTATCCCTGTCCCTGTCCCGTTCGCGCTCGCGGTCGCGCTGTGCCTCGCGCTTGCGTTCCAGGTCGGCGGCGTCGGCGGCCGCGTCGTTTGCGTTGGCGGCCTCGAGCGGGCTCAGTCCCGGCAGGTCGCGCGCGCTCTCGCGCCTGCTGCTGAACAGCGACGAGTGCTGCGGTTCCGGCGACGCGGGGAGCGACGGCTGGATGTCAAAGTAGCCGCCTTGCGGTAGTGGCGCGTATGGCATTTCGGCTGTGAAAAGAGAGGAAAGGGGAGGTATCAGCACATGGGGAGTCGCTAGCTTGGAATCAAACCAAGGTGGTAGCCCTCATTCCACTCGAGTTTGTACTCGAGTTCGCGAGCTGTATGGGGGGTGAGGACAGGGTCATGGAAAACACGGACAAAAACACGAGGACACACGGGGCCACACGGGGAAAGCTACTCACGACGAAGATGAGGCGGGATCCGGCCCCGGTACAGGATCCCAGGCTGTGAGGGGCCTCCAGTGTCCGACTGGTGCGCGTTGGTTTCGTTGTTCGGGTCCAGCTGTTGACACAGGCGGCCGTACTGGAGGATATCGCCGGGGCTGTCGAGGCGATGGGTGGCCCACCATTCCGAGCGGGCCACTCGGTCGAGGAGCGCCGTCGGCGCCGTCGGGAGTGTCTGGGTAGTGTCAGCAAAACGGATGTGGATGTGGATGGGCATGTTGGGGGTGGATCGGGACAAGCGCCGCAGGAATGGAAATTCGAATTCCATGTCGGAAAAGGAGGAATGGAACGGCCGGAACAGACGGACAGCCGCGGCGTTGACGAGAGAGAGAGGGTGAGAGATCTAGATCTCTTTTCGGGATTGCCCGCAGCCGCCGTCTCGTGCGAAACGAGAGCACCAGACCGCCAGCCAGCGCCTGTCATGGATGTTGCACAGATGCAAAGGCTGTCCCATACGTGTCCCAGCAAACGTCACGTTGACGAGCGTGTGTGGACATGCACGACCACTCGCCGCAGGCCACACACAGCCCCCCCACCGATGACGCAAATACGCGGGCAGGTGGGGCAACCCCACCCGGCGACACTCACCTCTACCCCGGCGACCCGGTTGAGCGCTTCGTTGACTTCGGGCAGTTGGAGGAGATACCACATGGCATTCTCGCACTGCTGGACGCGCCATTCTGCGCGCTTGGACAGGCCTGGGACGGGTCCGCTGGGAGAGACAAGTCAGCGAGGAGACTAGGGGAGGGAGGGAGGGTGGTTGGAAGCGCGCTCATGGAAAGGCGCCCGCCCGCTGCCAAGACTCGCAGAGGCCCATTGTTAGGCCACGCAGGTAACGCAGGCAGCACACAGCGAAGGGTCGAATGAACGAAACAACCGGCGCAACGGTGGTGGGCGTAGGGCACCTTCGCGGTCGGGATGTACGCTGGCTCCGGGGTGGAGGCGGCGAACTGTCGTGTCGTCGACGCGCACTCGCCTGCTACTCACCGTCGTGCTTGTGGTGGTGGATACTCGCACTCGACCTCGAGCTTGCCACATGATCCACAGATGGGGCGCTCATGGTCGCACTAGAGGGAGATGTGGTGTCAGCGGGGTCCAAGGGAGTGCTGAGCGGCGCGTTCTTGGGTTGTAGATGTTTTGCTGTTGCTGACGCGCGCGCGCGCGTGTGTGTCCCAACTTACGCGACGCTTCTTTGCAATGCAGCGCAGACAAGCGCGTGACATTGCTGTGCGAGAGAGAGAGGGGGGAGAGGTGTGGGTGGAGAGGGGGTGTGGATGGATGGGCGATGGATAGAGGTGGAAAGTGGATGTGAGAGACACGGACTGAAAGAGAGGACTCGATGGTGGTGTGGTGGCGACGACGACCTTCTCTCTCTCTGTCCGCCCTCACGGCCCCCACGGTGCAATGTGGCTCCGGTCACTGGCGATTGCCGGGGCAAACCATACCATCGTGGGGGCCCGTGGAGCATTGGCGCGCTGGGCATACCGCAATCGGCGTCTCGCTCTATTGTTCACACACCATGCAGTTGTACAGCAAGGTGGCTTCTCAAAGAGACCGCCCACGACCATCACCATGCATACGGTTCACTGCTGTGGACCGAGAGCCAAAGAGTGCATCCGACGTGAAATTAACTCGCCGCGCCTGGCCGCACCCCCCCGCTCTCTCCAGGGTGGGCATGAAATGGCCGCCACAGTCGTCCCCCCCCCACAGTGTTGCGGCCACAACCCCCACACACCCTCTACTGTTGCTGTTACTGCTGCCGAGAGAGCGGCATGGTTTCCCCACACTTGCACGTGTTGTCCGGGAGCAACCCTCTTTGAACCCTCACTCTCGTCGGTGCCGAGAAGCGCAACGAAGCGGTGTGGAGCCGCTCTGGCCCGCGCGAGGGGAGATATCAACGAAGCGAGAGATCACTTGATCACACCACACACGCTTTGCGGCGACGTGTCATCGAGCATGGAATCTTCCCATTGGGACATATTGCACTATGACGACGGTGGGGAACCTGCTGTCAATGCTATGCGGTCAGATGCAGCTGGCATGAGGATGCAAGCGCATTAACTTTTGAGGGGACGGGTTCGTTCCCATTGTCCCAAATCCTTTTTTTGGCAGCAACGTCACAGGGGCAACCACCGGATCAGTGATGATCCACCCATCCAGCACGGGCGATTCACACGACAACGCGACAACAGCACCCAGTCAACACCCTCTGGTCCTGGATATTCTCGGTAGCCACCATTGCATGGATACCACTTACATCTCGACTCGATTCCAGGTAGAGCGCACACATTACGGCTCATGCATGGGATTGCAGACCACAGGAGCGGAGCGCAAACGACAAAGGTCGCCCATGGTCCAGTCACCTTTCGTCAACTTTTGTCACCCATCACACTCGTGGTCACCCGTGCTCACCTGATGGCCAAGTGGATAACCCCGGTGGACAGGTGGCCTCCAAGTCGAGAATCTGCTCAGAAGCTTGCTTCAAACGCCAGGTCATCAAGAGGCTTTCTGCAGCATAACCTGTGGAGACTAGGCCGTTCTGCACAATAACAACAAGCGGTCGTGATGTGGCTCCCACCAGCAAGGGTCCCAGGACCACTGCCTGGCTCGAGGTGGGACCACGCCGCACATGTGGTAGAGGCGAGAGAGAGGCCGAGAGGGTGTGGATGCTGTTGAGAGCGGTGTCGCTAGGCGAATGGATGTGGGATGCGACGAAGATCATGCATGGGCCATTCCAAACGACTGCTCTCGCAGTACCAAAAGGTTGGGGATCCTGTCGAACAAACAAACAACCAACGATCACTCCATCACTCTCTCACTCCATCACTCCATCGCTCCATCACTCATACACCCAAACCACCTCGCTGCCACACCTCGACCATGTGGGCGGCTGCCTCCCAAGCCGACCTCGAGCGAGCCGTCGACCTGCTGGGCCTCATCAGCGTCCCCGCCACCTTGGACGTGGACGCGAACTCCTCCGCATCCTACAACCCCTCTACGTCTCAGGCAAGCTCAGCGCCGTTCCACCCTAACCAGGTCACCTTTGCTGGAGATGTGCTCGCTTCTGCCGCACACGACACCCTCAAGAGCCTCGCGCCCGCTCTCGCCATTCTGCACGACAGCCACGCTCAGTTCCTGCGCATGACCAGTGACCGCGCTGCAGCGGTGCAGCAAACACAGACCATGTCGGGTGCCCTGGGTATCGCCGTCTACTTTTACGCCCACGTCCTCGAGCCCATCAACGCCATCCTGCAGGCGCTGCTTCAGCACACGGGCCACAGGGTGTATTGGCAGATTGCGGGAACGGGCGAGACGCACGCACACCTCCGCTGGCATGTCCCTGGTGCTGGTGCGCAAGCCACCACACTCGGCATCATCCGGTTCAAGACCAAGCTGTCGCTGCCGCTTTTGACGATGGATAGGATGCTGGACGAAATCAGTGGGCAAGTCGGGAATGATCACTGTCACGCCGCGTCGCGTCGGGTGCTGGACGAGGTATGTTTTCCATGGCCAGGACGCGCACCGCTGACTCGTGCACAGCTTGGCGGCCAGGTGGGTAGCTGCCGCCCAAACATCGCCTTCCTCTGCAACTACGAGACCCTGCTGCCTTGTCGGTGCGACCACGACGGCGCAACGACCGTTTTACACTTTGACGAGCTCAAGACCGTCGACGAGTTGGCCTCGCTCAACAGACCAGCCGGCTCAGTGCCAGGACTGCTGCTCGGTGCCAGCCTGTGCGCTCTGCTTCACCACAACCCCTCAATCAGCAGCGCCGTCCTCATCTGCGCGACATTTTCGCCGCCGCCACCAACTCCTCTGTGGGCGCAAGCGTTCCAGCCAACGCAGGCATATGCCCAACCGGCCGCCACGCCCGCTGCATCGGATACACCGCCCGTCTTCCGCCATCGAGGCGTTGTCAATGTCACCCTCGGCGCGGACACCAACGACGTCCTGGTGTTCACCACCACTGGACCCTTTACAGCACCCGTGCCGCCTCGCGACAGTCTCCTCCTCGGCCCTCCCTTCGGCTACGGTTCGACCGCGACCGCGTTCGAGGGTATCCTCACTCTACTCCCCAAATCGGTGCGCTGCGTCGTCAAGATGACCGAGATGGATAAGTTTGCGCCAGAACACGGAGGTGCGCCAGGGGACAACGGCGACGACCACTTGCGGCCGACACGTGCCCAAGTCCGCGCTGCGTTTTGGGACGAGGATACCGTCCTGCGTCGGCTCGAGGGCTATGGAGTCGCGCCGCGCCTGTACGGCAGTGACGAGCTGTACTGGGGCGACTGCAACGGGCAGGACCGATCCGGGACGCTGTTCACGGTCATGGAGAACGTCGGCGAGGAGATGCCCTTTGCATGCGCGCGCGACGAGCGCATCCAGTGAGTGGTCTCTAATGCCCCAGTCCCAAACTGACCCCCGCTACAGATACGATATCCGCTCAATGTACGCGGCCATCCACGCTGCGGGCGTGTGCCACGGGGACGTTGCGTGGCGCCACGTCCGCCGCGATGGTGCCGGCCACCTGCGCCTGATCGACTTCAACCAGGCGACGCTGCGCGGCGGCCATTGGGACGAGGATTGGAGCGCACTCTGCAGCCGTGAGAGGCGCGAGGTCGAGCGCATGATGGACGAAACGGTCCGCCTCGCGCGCAAGTACGGCCCATACTAGGTCCCCGAACACTCAACTGCGGCCCGGCACCCCAAGCCACCAAGGATCGCGGCACGTTACGAACGCCTTCTTCGTCTCTCCTTCCAATGTTCGTCGTATATTGTATACTATAACTAGCCGAACGCGCCTCATGCGCACACATGTGCTGTACATATGCCTTTATGCCACCTGGCCCACGTCTCGCAAACACGAGCTGGAGCCCCATGCCCCATCCATATCCCCCCTGTGCCTGAGTGTTTCGGTGCCCGACAGCAGTGACGTGACGACCAACTTGCTCTTTTGACCTTTTCGACGTCTCATCTCACCCACTCACCATCCATCAAACCGCACACCCGGCCTCTCCTCCAACCATGGTGACGCCATTCAACCAGCGCGTCCTGCTCGTGGCCGGTATCACCGCCCTGTCCCTCCTCGCCCTCAACGTCGCCGCGTGGGGGTCCGCGGCATACTGGCTCGCGTACGCGTCCACCGTCGTCAGCCTGTGTTGCCTGGGATACCTCAGCATTGTGGGCGACCCGGACGAGAGTGCGGCGCCGGCAAGTGCACATGCGAGCGCGGCGGAGGGATCGACGACAGTGGACGACAAGAAGGGACAGTAACGTGCGTGCTGCCTGCGCGCAGAGCCATTCGCCCAGAGATCCAGAGACCGTCGCCGAACCGAACGAACGAACGTAACCTGATCTCACCTGATCTCACCCCACGTACCGCACACATTGCGTTCTTTGAGCATCACCTCACACCCACCCACGACCCACCCATCATGCCCGTCGCGTCCCGGGGCCGGCAGCAGCGGCAGCGCTTCTCATACTGTATGCATCTTGTGATCCGGCACGCTCGCGCGTCATGGAAATAACACCCCCTTGGTCATTGTTCCCCGTCAGCCGGACACGCTGGCTCCGACCACTGCCTGGTTACTCACTCACCACATGCCCGGATCGGACCATGCAGCGATAACGATGACAGTGACAAACTGTGTAAACTGCGAGACGAGGGGCGACGAGGAGCAGGCTGGCAGACTGGATTATCCGTCCCAGACCCCGCATACCCCCGCAACGGCTTCGGCCTCGTCCGCGATCAAGACGCCGTACGCCGCGACCTGTGACCACCCCATCCCACCCACCCATCTCATCCCGTCACTCATACTATCAACACGATTCGCCCGCCCGCCCGCCCGCCCGCTCGCGCTCGCGCTCGCTCACAGGCCAAAAGACGATCCCGGCCCGAATCGAACGGACAACCTTGAGGAATCAGCGCACACGCCTCGCTCTCGACGTGCGTCGAGGGTCGAGGACGCGGCTCGTATCCCAGTGTTGGAATCTCACGCGCTACCATTACGCCACGGGATCGAACACGGTGTTGAGCGTGTGCAGAGCGTGCGGTGTGCAAAGCGAGTGGAGATGGTTGAGGGTATGGGTCGAGGAGAAATGGGACCGGGGGGGTAGTGCGTAGGTGCCACATTGGTGCATTTGGGCTGCCATCGCAGATCCACGAGATCGGGCATGGCATGTATGCATACACTATGGCAGATCTGTGATCTGCTTGCGGTCTGCAGATGTTATCAGTGTGGGTACTGAGATCTGAGGGCGGGGGATGGATGGTTGGTGACGGGTGGTAGGGGCGTGGGGGCCATGCTGTTGATGCTGCCACTGTTTGTGCAAGGAATGGCTGCGCGACATAGATATTGTCAAGCCCAGACGCCAAGATGGCAGATGGCTCGATGTAGCTGTTTGGGCGGTACGCAGCACACGGCTTGTCGCAGCAGCCTGTCGCAGCAGCCTGTCGCAGCAGCCATGTACTGTCCTGGCTTGCCACAACCAAGGCTGCCCAGATAGCTACACAACATGTGCCCGCGTGATGTACACCACAGGCCACAGGCGACTCGGTCGGTGCTGCGATGAATTCGTCCATTTGACTCTCCCACTGCTCCTCGTAACGAGGCCCCAAAGGTGGGCAAGGTTGCTTAAGGTTGTTTGCCCGACCGATGTTGCCGTCAGTTACCGCCGCCGTCATTTCTCCCAGTACCAGCGAGGCCCTGCTGCAAGGACGACCCGTGTCAAGCATGCAACAGTGATGTCTGGTGTTGTCAGCATTGCTATCCTATATCCTGCTACGCGTTGCCACATGGTGGCAGGTCGTTTGGAGACCGCAATGGCGGATTGACCGACCACGAATATCTCAGTCAGCCTCGACGCTTATCGCTCACAGCCGGGGGGTGGGGGGGCGGGAAAACCACAATAGAACACGCTGTCTCTGTCGCTTGACACGCTCGTCCGGACCTTGGGTGTCTCTGTCGCATGGCCGGGCGAGTGGGGCGAACGAGTCGGCCATGACCGATGCGCATGTCCCAGTTGGCCGACGCATGCCATGGTCAGTCTATCCCGGGGGGTCCATGGCAGAGGTATATACAGCCGGTCGGTCACTACAGGTCCCAACCCCCACGTCCCACACGGCAACAACACCCATCCCACATCCCCTCCGCTCCCTCTAAACCACAACCACACTCCACCCACCACCATGGCCCCCGTCGCCGTCTCCAGGACCCAGGAGGCCACCGCGCCCGCTGCCGCCCCCGCCGAGCCCAAGCAGAGCCTCAGCGACCTGCCCAAGGAGGCGCTCAACCGCGTGTGGCGCGGAAACGCCGAGGGCACCATCAAGCTCGATGCGTTCCCGGACTACTGGACCAAGACGGACGAGGAGAGCTTGCTCAAGAAGAGGCAGTATGTCAAGGTGAGTGTGGATGGGAATGCGATGGGACCACGATGCGGGGTTGGGTGGCGAGCAATGCATGGGGCTCGGCGGGGCCGCACAAGAGAACGATGGCTGGCTTGGAAAGGTGGGCGGAGGGACGGCAAACGGGGGTGGACCGTATAAAGGTGTACTGGGGAGTGTGGCGGATTGTCACAATCTCACCACACCACCGTCTCCTCTTCACCCCTCTCTCTCGATAGCATGCAGCACACAGACACCAAAGCACACACGTCCACCCCCTCTCCCACACTCTCCACTCACCCACACGGTGACACCCGCTGACACCCGCACAGGAGCACCTGGCGCTCACGTTCCGCTACTGGGGCAAGATGGGCTTCAACGAGGGTGCTGCCGGCCACATTACCGTCCGTGACCCCATCCTGCACGACCACTACTGGATGAACCCCTTCAGCGTGCACTTTTCCTCCATCACTGTCTCCAAGCTCGTCCTCGTCACTCCCGAGGGATACGTGCACCCGACGCTCGGCGCGCAGCTGCCCATCAACGCGGCAGGGTACTGGATCCACTCGGCCATCCACAAGGCGCGCCCCGAGATCAACAGTATCGGCCACTGCCACTCGGTCCACGGCAAGGCGTGGAGCGCGTTCGGCCGCCCCGTCGAGGTCACCAACCAGGACTCGTGCCTGTTCTACGACAACCTGGCAGTGTACAAGTCGTTTGGCGGCGTCGTCCTCGCGGGCGAGGAAGGTGCGCGCATCGCCGCGGCCCTGGGCCCCAAGAACCGCTGTGCCATCTTGCAAAACCACGGCCTGCTCACGCTGGGCGACACGGTCGACGAGGTCGGGTACTACTTTGCCCTGCTGGACAAGCAGTGCCACGTCCAGCTCATGCAGGAGGCGGCCGAGGCAAACGGGATCAAGAAGAACCTCATCGACCCCGTCGACGCGGCGTTCACCGCCGCCACGCTCCAGCACCCCACGGCCGTCCACTTCTCGATCAAGTCCGAGCTGGACCTCATCGCCGAGCGCGAGCCCGAGTGTCTCAAGTAAACAAAGATGGTGTGGACAAGAAGTGAATATTGGAGAATGTGTCACGTGGAGTGTTGTAGTAGTTGCGACGGATGTACTTGTCAGCAGGCTGGACGAGAGCGTGGAGAGTGTGGAAGCTGGCAGTGCGGCGTAGGTCCATGTGCAGTTTGTCGCCTCTCAGCAGTAGGTGCCCCTGGGCATATCCCGGCGTGAATCTGCCAAAGGTTCATTCTGATCTGGACCCCATACTCCACTCCCATCCCACTGCCTAGCTGCCGCTGTCTACTTCTTCCCGCCGTACGCCGTTTTTCCCTCGTACCCCTTCGCCTTGAGCACCTCCTTACTCTCATCCGCAAACCACTTCAGCGCATCCACCTCCGTCGCGTCGCCCACGGGCCCGTCTGCCGCCGCGCCCACCGCCGCGCCCGTGGCGCGCAGGTCGGCCGCCAGCCGCTCAAACACGGCCGCGAGGCCGAGGTGCGTGAGCCCTGCGTCGGTCGAGTTGAGCGACGACGAAATGAACGACGAGATCTCTTCCATCTCGCCCACCCACTGGCAACACGTTGTTAGTTGCTGCGCCAGCCACATGAGGACCAACTCACGCGGTACGCCTTGCTGGGCATGTCGTTGAGCGTAAAGCTCAGCGAGTTGAGCACGTCGGCGCGCGAGCTGGCCAGTTCCTCCATGAACGCCTTGGCGGTCGCGGGCGAGTGGGCGTTGGCCGCTGGGGCAAAACCGTCAGCACATCCCCCCTCTGCCTTCCCCCTCCTCTTCCCCGACCCACCCAGGACGGTGATCGCCGCAAGACCGTTCGTGCCCTTTGCCAGGCCCCCATAACACATCTTGAGCGCGCTCGCGCCGCCGGCGCCGGCGTCGGCCAGGATCTTGACTTTACTCAGGCCGCGGTCGCCGCCGAGCGCGTCGCCGACGTATTTCAGCTGCGCGGCCCACCGCGCGTCGGCGGCGAGGTACAGCGTCGGCTCGTACCCGTCCGCGAGGCGGGGCGGGAGGCCGATGATGCTCGCGTCGACGAGCGGCGTCTCCCCGAGAATGTCGCCGATCCTGCCCAGCGTCTCGGGGGACACGGCGTTGGCGTCGACGAAGACCGGTGCGGCGGGCGCAGAGGCGGAGCCGGAGCTGGAGCTGGACCGGGGGTGGGCGGCCAGGAGGGCGGCCACGCTGGTGGCCAGCTCGACGGCGGCCGACGGCGGGAGGATGGAGAAGATGATGTCCGACTCGGCGACGACCGTGGCGAGCGACACGTTCTCCAGCCCCGCGGCCTCGGCGCGCGCGAGCGTGCTCGCCGACCGGCCGGCGATGGACGTGAGCAGTCGCAGGGACGGGTTGCGCGCGTGCAGGACCGTGGCGAGCGCCGCGCCCATGGCTCCCGGGTAGAGAATCGCGATGGTGGATGCCATGGCTTTGGGGTTTGGTTAGAGAGAGAGAGAGAGGTGAGAGTGAGAGAGAAAGAGAGAAACGGCGAGGGCATGGAAGAAGAGGCCGCGCGCTATCTATAGCTGTGGATGGCGTCAGATGGTGAACCGAACGGGTGACGGCACTGTCGGACGTCGCCGGCCCGGGGCTCCAGCTGCGCACCACGCAACTGTCCGGCGGCGTGTGTCTCCCATTGGGGGCGATACCATGCAAGAGGTCTAGCATACTGATTTTGGATGGCGCGGTGCAGACACTGACGAGAGCAAAAGTGGCAGTCGGCTGCCAGAAGGGCGCCCCACTGCACACACCGATCGGCATGGTTTGTTGACACCTGGACATCCGCCACCACAGTACTAATCTCACATGCCATGATGGCATGGGGCGGTCTTGTGGCATTGCAATCTAGTTGTTCTGTACAAACCGCACGATACTCTCGACCGTCTCGTCTGGCCGGTCGGCATGCACCCAATGCCCCGCGTCGAGGGTCACAAGCTCCATGCGCGGGAAGAACCGCCTCGCGACCTCGATGTTATCGGGGCGGATATACGCTGCGTGCGCGCCCTTGATGAACAGCACCGGGCCCGTCCACTGCGGCGACGTGGGCGACACGGGCGGCGGCGGGGTGTATGGAAACTCGCCCAGCCTGTTGATTGCGTCGGCGAGCAGGGGGAGGTTGACGCGGAAACCGACGTGTTTCCGGCCATACGGACCGCGCACGGTGATGGCGTTGGTGAGCAGGAACTGGCGCGTGGCGGGCACGGCTTCGTACGGCTTGAGCAGCTCGTCGGCCTCGGCGCGCGTCTGGACTTTGGCCGCGGCAATTTCCTGCATGCCCTTGGTGTAGCCGTTGTATCTGGGGTGTGAGCTGGAACACGGAGACAGAGCAGCTCTCACTGAGGCTCGATGGGCTCAATGTTGGGAGTCATGTCGATGGGCACGAGCGACCGCAGCGGCGCGTTCAGGTCGGCGTTGAGGGCATAGGCCATGACAGACTTGGCCCCCCTGGTGGGTCAGCTGAGCGTCTCAGACGTAGCTGTCTGGGGCTGGTATCACGCAGGCAAGCCAGCCCACAGCAGCTCGCTCACTCACATGCTGTGTCCCACGAGATGCACTCCACTCGTCAACCCATGGTCCTTGAAGAACAGCCCCAGGTCCTCGGCCATGGCCACGCTCGTGTGCGGCGCGGCATGTGGAGACTGTCCGTGGTTCCGCATGTCGAGCGTGAACACGCGCATGGACAGCGCGTTGGCCATGCGTTTACCCAGCGACCGCCAGTTTTGTTTTGATCCTCTAAGCCAGGGTGTCAGCAGCTTCAAGATAAAAAGCAAAGCTGATAAGAGTAGGTGAGATGACTCACAAGAATCCATGACACACCACGAGCGCCTCGTCAGGCCGCTTGTCCTCTTTTGGGTGGACGAGGTCGTACGCGAGCTTGACGGGTGGAGGTGCCGGCGCGCTCGTTCCCCAAGCGCTGCGCGTGAACCGTGGTACGGAAACTGCAGCCCTAGGCGACGACGACGACGACGACGACGCAACGGCGTTGAGGACTGGCCGCCTCACTGCTGCTGTGATGGAGGCTGTCCGCATGGGTGTAAGAGTATTGTTGTTGAGGACAGAAAGGATGCAAGATGAAAGTGAGTCACCGTCGGCGGCACTCCGAGTCAAACATCCTGTCGGAGATCGGCGACGAAATGACGAGTGCGGAGCTCCGCCATTTTGGTGTGCGCGTATGGACCACACCCAGCTCGAGGTCACCACGAGCTCTCATTTGCACTGTGGGGCTGCTTCATACGACAGCTACACCCATCACCCCTCCTCCTCGGTGGCTACAATCTCCCTCTCCGGTCCAAACAGCAGACTAAACGTCGGCCTGTGGGGCCTCACCTCGCCAAACACCTCGTACACGGGCATGTACCGATCCACAAACCGCCTCACGTCCTCATCACTCATCCCCTTACCCCCATTCTTCTCTTTCATCATGTGCTCCTGCTCCAGCCGCCAGGTATACACATAGTCAAACGTCATCGGGCGGATGGCGACGTGGCAGTCAAAGAACCTGCCTACCTGGCCTTCAAACGCCGCGAGAAGCGTGTTGACTTGCGCCATAGAGCTGTAAGGGTGGGTACGCGCCGTCCTGCCCACTGCCCATCGCGCGCGCGCTTCAGTGTCGGGCAGCGGGCCGTACCCCAGACTCCAACCTTCGAGGACGAACACGTCCAGCCCAGCCGGGACGGGGACAGTGTATCCGGCGCGGTCGCCGCGGCCGCCATGTGCCGCCTTGTCAAAGACGGGGAGGACGACCTCGCCGCCCCGCGGGGAGTGAACCTGGGATAACGTGTCGACGAGCAGGTCGACGTCGTGCGTGCCCGGGGGACCGCGGCCGGCGAGCATCGCGTTGGAAGGGTTGGCCGCTGCGAGAGCCGTGAGGCCCGCGTGGGGCAGGTAGAAGTCTTAGCGCATGTCAGTTGGGGCGTGCCGTGGTGCGGTCTCACCTCAACTTACCGTCCAGGGAGGCTGCAGCTGCAACGACGCCCTTCTCCCGCAACACGTCCACGAGGCGTGCACAGATCGTGCTCTTGCCTGAGAACGAATGTCAGTTGTCTCCGAGATCTCAGTGGGCAAACGTACCGGAACCCTGGGGGCCTTGCATCGACACCACCAGGGGCCGCGTACCCGGCCGCGGCTGCTTGACAAGGTATCCCGCCACGAGCTCGGCCTTGTGCCGGATCACTTGGGCCACGGTGGACATTGGGGACGAGTGGGTGGTTGTGAGAGGCGGGGGGGATGGTGGGTGGGAGGAAGATGGGCTGGTGGGTGGAGGCGGAGCGGATATGGTCCGATCAGATGTGTTGTGGCGAGTGCAGCTCAGTGCTCGGGGAGACACCTCTCGCAGTAAGCGCAATGGGCATGAGGGAACCCCAAGCACTTGCTTGTCCAAATCGAATACCCATGCATGGCATATGCGTACACGTAATGTGTAATAGAATGCTTATTTGTGCGTCTGTGTAGAATGCAAAATCGTCTTTTCTCTCTTACACCACCTCGTTCCTTCCTCCCCAGCTGCTGAACCCCTTCCTCTCCACGCTTAAACAGAGTTGCTGTTGTCGGCGCACGACCAGGGCCCACCGCCCCCGGGCTGGTTGATAATGGTGACGACGGCGCCGTACGTGCCGCCGACGGTGATGAAGAGGCCCACAAGGATCACAAACGTGGCCCACACGGCGTGCGCCTTGGTGAGGGTCGGGAGCGACTGCCATGTCCTGCCCCTTGTGTTGTCGTGGAACCACATGAAGCCAAAGGGAATGATGCAGAGGAGCGGGGCGATGAGGGCGCCGACGAGCGAGATGATCGACGACAGGATGGGGATGGCCGAGCCGATAATGTACGCAATGGTCGTGCACGCAAACGTGCATGTGAACCAGGTTGCCCAGTGGGTCGGGGTGTTGGCGGCCAGGTGGTGCGAGCCGCGGAGGATGCGGACGAGGATAAACTTGGCCGGGATGTGGACCCAGAGGATGACCGAGAAGAAGAGACCGGGGATCGAGAGGCCGTAGCTAATCTTCTTCATGAGGGGGCCGGCCGAGCCGAGCGCCGGCGACGCGACGTACTGGCCGCAGTACCAGTAGACGATCGAGCCAATGATGCAGTACATGGCCGTGACAAAGACCTGGTTGAGGAGCATGGCACGGTGGTACTTGCGGGGGTCCTTCATCTCCGAGATGATGCCAAAGTAGGTTGGGGTGCCGGCAGCAGCAAAGAGAATGGTGGCCACGGCCGAAATGGCGTCGGCGAACGTGGGCGTGGTGAAGAGCTTAAAGTCCTTGTCCCAAGGTCCAGTAGCGGGAGCGTCGTTGGGGCGGTCCTGCACACCAACCGAGACAGTCATGACCATGACAGCCGAAAAGATGGAGATGAGACCGACCCAGCCAAGCCAGGCAATGTTGCCCAGGGTACGAATGGACGCGCAGCCCATGGACACGACAAAGACGACGACCATGAAGACGGCCGTGCACGTCCCGTGCGTCGAGACGGCGTTGAGCGCCGTGGTGACGCCGACCATGCCCGAAGCAGAGAAGAAGAGCATGCAGATGCACACGGCGACCGAGAAGAACTCTTCGCCGGCACGACCGGCGAGGACGCGGCCTACATCGGCGAGCGAGTACGTCTCACGGTGGTTGAGCTTGAACGAGCCGAGGACAAACGCCGACCATGTCGTGATGCACTCGATGACGACGATGAGGATGACACCTGGGATAATGCCCACGGCCTGGAAGACAAAGGGGATGGAGAGCACACCGAGACCGAAAGCGCTCTTGATCATGAGAACCGTCGCGCCGACCCAGCCAACCTAGCCCACGAGTCAGCACTGGACACACGGCGCACCACATGCACACCATCCCCGCGCGCAGCACATCACTCATCACTCACTGCACGAAAGTTGGGTCCCTTGTCACCCAGCTCGCCAAAGACGGCATCGTGCTTGGTGTCGTCGGCCGCCTGGACCATGTACGAGCCCTCGGGCGACTCGTCGGTGAACTTTTGTGTCTTTTCGTCAACCGTCATGGTCGAAAATCAGATATCCTGCTGTATCTCCAGGAGAATCGGTATCGATCCGGATCCCGGGCTGCTGCTGCTGCTGGCTAGCTGCTAGCTTCTAGCTCCTGTTGTTTGTTGTTGTCGGGTGGTGTCCTGCGGACTGATCTTGTGTGGACCGGAGAAGTATGGTCTTGTTCCGGTGCGGCCAAGGAGGTGGTTGGGTGGGTTTGGGCAAGCGGGTGTCGCGTGGGGTCTCTGGGCGATGGAGAAAGAGTGCGAGGAAAAAGTGGGGCTCAAAGCTGCGACCAAACTCGCTCTCGTGTCTTTAGGTAGGTCCATGGTGCTGGCTCAGGTTGTGGTCAGGACCCGACTCGGCATCCCCGCAATTCCGGACACCCGTGTCGACCCGTGTCGACCGTGTCTTTGGCCGGCCCACAGCGTGCACCTCGGCTGCGCTTCTTTGGCCCATGCTCCGTCGGTTGCGCTCCCCAACACCCCTGTGCTTGCCGCGTATGCTGGCAAGGGCAACGACGGCAGTTTTACGGTTGCCTTTGGTCCGCGTTTGAGGATTTGAGTAACACAAAAAAAAACCTGCCCTGTGTGAGATCCCTTTTTTGACCAAGGTCGCCGGCAATCCACGCGTGCCACGCAGCCACGATATCAGGTTTGGACATCCGGCCGAGATGGGATGAGATCCTGTGGCCAGTTGGATCCTTTTGGATCCTTGGTGCGCAGGCAAACCGGATGGGCTGGAGCTACACATCGCCACTGCATTGTCCACAGCCACAGCTACACGTCTGGCTGTACACTACTGCTACAGTCACCTGCGATCGTTGCTGTCCAACAGCCACTGCCCACCCATCCCCAAGTGGTCAGAGCGCTTAGTTGGGGCGAGCCAGGCCCGGAACATGTCGAGCAACGAGCCAGGCAAAGGACATGAAAATTGTTACCTCGTCTCACTGCGTCGCTGTCCTTAAAAACCCTGTACCTTTTGCCTGAGTTTACGCATTCTCTTACGGGCCCCGCGGGGGGGCAGACGACGAGTTTGCCCGCTCTATACGCAACGAGACTCGACGGCAGAGGATGGCAGACAGGCAAGCAGGTACAGTGTACAGTCACAAGGGACCTGGCCGACCTGGTTTGACGGACGACGGAGAAACTCGTTGGCTCTTTGGCAGTTTTGGCAGCTCCAAGCGAGACGGAGTTGCCATCCAGAACAACGTTGCCCATGTCGGCGCGGCTCTTGTCGGCGTACGGCCGTTCGCGTCAGTGATCAGTGCATGGCAGCAGCCCGGAACATGCGAACGAGTCGGCTGCGGCGTGTCTGATCTCTGACTCGATTCCATGCTCTGCAGAGGCCAGAGGGTCACAGGATCACAGGCCACAGGCCACTGGCGATTCCGAAAAAAGCTGCGCATCAAAAGGTGGTCAAAGTCAAACCCCCTCGTCCATCCCTGACGCTGCCCACGTCAGTCTGCATCCTGGTCCAAACACGCCAGCGGGCTGTGTCGAGGACGAGGACTGCTACTGCGAGTCAGGGGGGTGCATGCAGTACGTCACACCGCCGCGGCAAGCAGCGGGAGACAAGACGGACGTGTTCCGCAATGACGTTTTGCAGGTGTCAGCTGCTGGACCCCGACAGTCCATCTCGCACCGGCCACACTCCTCCACACTACTGCAATCTTATCTCTGTCCGTCGTCATCACCATCTGCATCTCACTACTGGTATCCAAAAACCAAGCGGACGCGCTCAAGTTCCCTGAATAACAACTCCTTACCTACATAAACAACCTCTTTCAACACGCACTTTCTTCTTCACGCTCGTTACGCTCGCGCCTCTCCGTCTACGCCCTTGTGCTGTCTCTCTTTTTTACTTGGCGGCGGCAAAGGCCTGCTCAAAGTCGGCGATAATGTCGTCAATGTGCTCTGTGCCGACCGAGAGACGGATCAGGTCGGCGGTGACGCCCGACGAGACCTTCTCCTCGTCCGAAAGCTGCTCGTGGGTCGTGGTCCAGGGGTGGATCGCGAGGGTCTTGGAGTCGCCGACGTTGGCGACGTTGGAGATGAGCTTGAAGCCGTCGACGACCTTGGATCCCAGCGCGGCGTCGCCCTTGACGCCAAACGCCAGCACACCGCCGTAGCCGCGCGGGAGGTACTTGGTCGCGAGGGCGTGGCTCGCGTGGCTCTCGAGACCAGGGTACGAGACCCAGGCGACGTTGGGGTTCTGCTCGAGCCACTTGGCGATGGCGAGCGCGTTCGACGCGTGGCGCTCGCAGCGGAGGGAGAGGGTCTCGAGGCCGAGCAGGAGCTGCTGCGCGGCGAACGGGTTGAGGGCCGGGCCGAGGTCACGCAGAATCTCGACACGCACGCGGATCGCAAACGTAATGGGCCCAAACGTCTCCCAGAACTTGAGGCCGTGGTAGCCGTCGGCGGGCTCGACCATCTGGGGGAAACGAGCAGCGTTCTTGCCCCAGTCAAACTTGCCAGAGTCCACAACAACACCGCCAATGGTGGTGCCGTGGCCGCCAATCCACTTGGTGGCCGACTCGACGACTGGACGGTTAGCCAAGGCGCAATCCACCACAAGCGCCCCGTTATGTTACTCACCAATGTCCGCGCCATGGTCAATGGGGCGGGCAAAGTAGCCACCGGCGCCAAACGTGTTGTCAACAACAAGCGGGACGCCCTTGGAATGGGCTGCCGCCGCAATGGCCTCAAAGTCCGGGACGTTGAAGCGGGGGTTACCGATGGTCTCGATGTAGACGGCCTTGGTCTTGTCGTCAATGGCCGCGGCAATGGCGGCAGGGTCATCGCCCTCGACAAACTTGGTGGTGATGCCCAGGCGCGGGAGTAGGACCTTGAGCTGGTTGTACGTACCGCCGTACAGGCTAAAGGATGGGTGTGTCAGTGTCGCGCGCCACTGGCTGCAGACGACGGGGAGCTTGCTCACTTGGTGGTGGCGACAATGTTGTCTCCAGCGTGGGCGAGTGCGGCAAAGGTCATGAACTGTGCCGACTGTCCCGACGCAGCGGCAACAGCAGCCACGCCGCCCTCGAGAGCGGCGATGCGCTTCTCAAAGACGTCGACGGTGGGGTTGCCGATGCGGCTGTAGATGTTGCCAAACTCCTTGAGGCCAAAGAGACGGGCACCGTGCGCCGAGTCGTTGAAGGTGTACGACGTGGTCGCGTAGATGGGGACGGCGCGCGAGTTGGTGGCCGGGTCAGGCTCCTGTCTGGGAGAGTGTCAGCTGGGGGGCATGGCGCGGTTTGTTGAGGCGGTTGCTGTACGCTACGCACCCGGCGTGGAGCTGGAGGGTTTCAAAGTGCTTGCTGTCGACGGGCATCGTGTGTGCTATAGGTATGAGAGAAGGAAGAACAACATGGCCATCTGCATCATTGTCTGTGTCCTTATACGCGTTCGGTGGCATACATGTTGCGGATGGCGTGCTCAAGACGAACCGCGGCAACGATCTCCCCCGCATGACGTGCGCCGTCCGCCGGGTCCTCTAGGCTGAACCGTCCGCCAAGTGTGTCCTTTCACTGCATGCGTCCACATCCACATCCACACAGTGTCTCTCTCTCTCCCTCTCATGCATACTGCATACGCATGCAACTGTTACCCTCCTCCTCGCTTTCCACGTCGCTTGACATGCACATCGCCTCTGCAGTGCATTCTCAAAAGATCGGATCTGATCTCTGCTGCCCACCGCCTGGGCGCGCGTCTGCGGGGTAATTAGCCGATTTTGCGGCTACATCCGGGGGATGCACTGGCGACATTGCGTCTTCGTTGCACATTCACACACCGCTCTATTCGGACACACGAACAGCAACGCCGGCGGTGTCACCAGAAGCATCGCCAGCAGCATCGCCGAGTGCGTTCAGACAGATTGCTGATGACCGATCACTGGTCACGACGCGTCGTGAGGGGCATCGCAACAGCCCGTGTCGGTGCAGGTAATCGAGATCGTAAAATTATTCTGTGGGACACAAAATTGGAAGACTACTTAGTCGCATGTGCGTCTTCCGCTTGTGCTGTACAGATCGCATATGAGGTGGCGCTGTGGCAGTGTTGCAGACAACTCCAGAGGGCATACGAACAACGTCATAGCTGATGGAACGAACACCGATGGCGGTGAGCTGCGCGTAGACGTCGTCGTCGAAGAGGACGGTTGGGTTGGGGATGAGGCAGTGAACCAGTCGACCGCCTTGCTAATGACGTTCGTGTATTCCTCGGCAATCTGCTTGTTGCTGATGTCTGTAGAACCACATGTCGTCTCCTGGCGATTGGGGACCGCTTGAAGTGCTGGGGCGGGGAGGAGAGCGGCTGCGGCTGCATGGAGGCAATGGTCGCGACATTCCTCTGCAAACAGAGGGTCAGAATCGGTGGACGATAGTTGGCGGCAAGTACAGTTCTCACACTTGATCAAGTCAAGTCCAGGAGGCTGAGAAGCTATTAAAGAATACATGGGCGAGTGTGGTTCCTGCGGGAGATGTCGTTGAGCGTGGCAGTGGTCGTGGCGAGGAACATTTCAGCTGGGGATCAAGGTGCTTAATGATTGTGGAACTGTGGAGCGCCGGTGTTGACCGCAAGTTTGGCAGCCCACGCAGCCATTGGACGAGTCGAGGTAGCATTTCATATAACGAGTCTGCAACTCGACCATGATAGGTGTAATGGTGTATCGAGAATGTCCTTGGCGTCCCTCTGCAAACAGTCTGACTTGCGAGCCATAACGACAGCGGCTCAGGGAATGGCACATTATGCATAGTCGATTGTTGTATCACGATGGGTATACGTTAACGCCGCGAGGCGGCCAATAATGGTGGTGAGAGGAGTCGGGTGTTTGAGGGAGACCAGAAAAACATATGGTATACCGAATGTCAGATGCATACATGCAGGCTTTGTGGACATGCTGTATAGGCCATGTGGCGCGTGGTTCACGGGGGTGGGTGATTGCAAGTGGCACAACGTCGTGCGTTCATGCGTCGACGTTTTCCGACGTTTTCGGCATGTACAGTAGCCCTCTTTGACACACCTGCGGCCAAGGCGCGAAGCGTGAATATCACCCTGTAACAGTCCAGAAAGCGAGCGGGACCATGTGCACTGTAAAGGGGACACCACAGAAAAGTCTAGCATCATGGTGGGTGGGGGCTCGATTAGCAAAAGCATTAGCAAAAGCTAATGTGCCCCCTTGAGCCCCCATTTGCTTTTGTCGAACCCTAGCAGTCGAGTTCCTCACGGGCGGTCTTTTGTTTAATGACTCTGGCCTGGCTAGTGGCGCTACAGGCTCTGCCCTCTATTGAAATCGAACCCCGGCTGGAGCCGGGGAGATTTATGAAAAGTGCAACCCTTATAGCAGTGTTAACGACACACGCAGCGACTTGGTGATTGTTTAGACATTAACGCCCGTTATGAACCGCGTCGCGGAGGCAAAAACTGTGGTCACTTGGACACACCGCCCAGCACGTCCCTCCTGCTCCGACCTCCAGAGACACGAACAACAAACACCATGGTGCCCAAACCAGACTTCCACATGAAGGTACTCCCACCGTGAGTGTGTTCTCGTCAGTGACCCTGATGGGCAGACGAAACAGAGACGCCAGACCTAGGTTAGGGTGAACTCGGATAACGATTGCCTCCTTGTTTTGACATTTCCCCTCATCGCATCCGCAGCAACAAACTTACTGCTGGACCCACCTCGCACGCCTGGAACCCACGCGCCTACCACCTCCATACGCACGCGCACTCACACACACTCAGGCCCGTCTGTGATGCCGCTTGTTGACCGCTCGCTCCCATCCATTGACTGAGCTATAATCACATTCCCACCAGCCATTAGCTGTGACAAAAGAACGCACATGAGGCTGTACACCGCCATCGATAGTGATGTGTGATGTGCCAGTGTATTCATAGCCCGCACCGCTGTCCATGAGGTATCCGAACGTGTCGGGGGAAAAGCAAACACGATGGTCCGATTCAGCAAAAGTTACGAGGTGGGTTCTTATTGTTCTCGGATTCCGGTGGCATTGGCCGTCTCCCAACCAGTGTGCATGGCTGCCGACGTCCACACAAGCTTGCATATGGCTGGCCACGACCTTGGCCTCACCTCCGCGCGTCCGCTCTGGAACCCCCGGTCCTGGTCCCCTGCCGCAACAGTGTATGGCTTGGCCGGCGGCTTGAATGAGAGTGTACCCGGGCACGACTCGTACATGGCACGAGCCACGCGGGCGTGGCGCCACCCGACGGATCTCACTGGGCCGACCAGGACAATAGAAATCCATCTGCGTGACTTGCGTGCGGCAGTGTTGGGGTGTGTACTGCAAGCACAACACCAGGGTTACCCGTAATGAACCAGGAAAAAGCTCGTGCACCAACACAAACGAGCCGACAGATTCACTGACGGCCACAACCGTACTCAATGTTGTGTCCTTACACTGATTGATTCACTGGGCCGAGTCCTCGCTGTGCAGTTCAGTATACGCAAAACAATACCAGAGCAACACATCCGGGCCCGCTTGGCCCGGAGCGTACTGTCTGGTCGTGGGACCCACTCGTTCATTTTATTGACAGAGCTGTCACCACCGGCCCAACCTGAGCACGGGGACCGTACGGCGAGATCTGGTCGTGACCATTGCCGCCGTTGCCGACATCTTGGCCTCTTCAACACGCACACAAGATTCCAGCAGCCCTCCATTGTCGCGATCCGCTAGACGGGACGCTCAACGTTGCTATGACTTTTGGTCTTTCCGCTACACCCTGTCAGACATGAAAAGAGTCCTGGACGCCATAACAGCCCCCGCTCGCGAGACCTGCCTTGCACTGGCCGAGGTCGAACCCTGTGTCAATCGCACGCCACCCAAGAGTGGTTACTAACCATCAACACCTAGCTCCGGGCTGCCCCGAGCCTCACCCCCGCTTTGCGTTCTTCCGCCGCATTCCCCACCCCGTTTCTCTTTGCCCACCCCCTCCTTCCTCTGTCCTCTGGCCCACTCCCTCGCCGTGTCGTGTCCCACGCCAAGTCCTCGGAGCCAGTCCGCACTATGGCACGGCACAGCAATGCGGATTGTGTATGTCCGTGTGACGCGCCACGGGGGGGAATGTGTAAAATCCTCGCGCGCGCGCGACGGAGGCGTGGCGTTTTCAGAGTGCGCGTTTGTTGTGGACTATGCCAGAGACCGGAACGCCTCTCAGAAGCCAAGAGTTCTGTTGGGTTTATCCACTGACCAACTAATAACGTCTTGTTCCCTCTGTCTTTCCCTCTCTCTCTCTCCTTCAACAACTTTACTCTCACCTCACTCTCATTTCGGCGTTTCGTTGGGGCTCCCAAGTCCAGCGATACACATAACATACCCCACATAACCACCCATGCGGAGTACCTTTACTCTCGCCCTCGCTGCCGCAGCGGTCATGGGACCGGCGGTGGCGTCCGGCTCGACGTCTAGCTCTCGCAGTCGCGAGCGCCGCTCCGAACCATACCACCACTCAAAGGGGCGCGACGGAGCGTTCAACCCCAACCACCCCGAGCTGCAGGCCATCAGGCGGGGCGCCATCACTGCCTCGGTGGCGGATGTGGCCAACCAGTCATTTGACTTTGTCATTGCCGGCGGCGGTCTTGCGGGACTCGTCGCTGGTGCACGTCTGTCGGAATGGAGCAACGTCACAGTCCTCGTCATTGAGGCCGGTGGCGACGGCTCGGATGTCGAGACTCAACAGACCATTCCAGGTACGTGGTGATTGAATGCCGGAAAAGAGCGGCGTCTGACGCGGGCCTTAGGATACACCTACCTTCACGGTATCTCCAGCAACAGTCCCTATGGCTGGAACTACACCACGACCAACCTTGTGGGTGGTCCTCGAGTTTTACAAGCTAATAACCCGCACAGACTGGATGCAACATGTTGACCAAGAACATTCCCCTTGGCCGTGGCCTCGGTGGCTCTGGTGCGGTCAACGGCATGTTCTGGTGCCGCGGTGATTCCGTCGAGTATGATGCTTGGGGATGTGAGTGAACCCCCCCAGACAGAGCCACGTGAGGCTGACGAACAAGCACTCAACCCCAACGGCAACCAGACTTGGGACTGGGCCGAGGTCAACAAGTACATCATGAAGGTGAGCTATGATCTCTTCCGTCGCAAGCTAACGTTACAGGCCGAGAACCTCACGGTCCCTTCGCAATCAAACATCGACACTTTTACTATTCCCATCGACACTTCGGCACACGGCTCGGGCGGTCCTCTTCAGATTGGGTACGTTTCTTTACCGTAATTACGCGGCTAACCCACTCAGCTGGTCATCCTTCATCTACCCCGTCGTCGCCAACTGGGTACCTACCTGGGTCAACATGGGCTTTGCCGCACTGGACCTTGCTGCTGGCAGCACTCGTGAGTTGCCTCCAAGAGACTGTAGCACACTGACACTTGCAGACGGTGTTACAATTACCCCCTCGACTCTCAATGCTCCTATCGGCTCACGCTCGGACTCGAAGACGGCGTACATCGAGCCCAATAGCGCTCGTCCCAACCTCGTCGTCCTCACCGGCCAGCAGGTCACCAAGGTCCTGTTCAACGGCACCAAGGATGCCTCGGGCAACATTATCGCGTCAGGTGTTCAGTTTGCCGCCTCTGCCTCCGACACCACTTACACGGTTAACGCGAACAAGGAGGTCATTCTCACGTGCGTTTAATGAGCAACATTGCAGTGCTGACGGAGCAGAGCCGGAACTATTGGCACCTCCAAGCTGCTCCAGCTTTCGGGTATTGGCCCCACCTCGGTCCTCACCGGCGTCGGCATTGACACTGTCCTGGATCTTCCAGTTGGCTACAACTACCAGGACCATGTCTCGTACACCATGTACTTTGACACTGTGTAAGTCGTTTACCAACGAGTTTCAACGCTGACGGGTAAGGGATGGTATCGATTCATGGTACAACCTTGCCACCAACGACACCCTCCAGGCCGAGGCACTCGCCGAGTGGGAGGCCTCCAAGACTGGCGTGTGGACGTACATCAACGAGGCTGTCGGCTACCTCTCTGGCTCGGACATTCTGGGTGGCTCTGCGGGCGCAACATCCTTCGTCAGCGGTCTCGACACCACTGCCATGGTCACCACCCTGGCTTCCAAGTACACCTTGCCGTCGACCGTCCAGGCTGGTCTTAAGAAGCAGCTCGACCTTCAGACCGCCTGGCTCAGCCAGAGCCTGGGCCAGTTTGAAATTATTCTGCACCTGTGGGGAAAATCGGCCACATCGCTCGGCGTCCAGGTCGCCCTCCAGCACCCCTTCTCCCGTGGACAGACGTACATCAACTCGAACGACCCCTTCGTCATGCCCATCCTCGACCCTGGATACTTTGACATTGACGCCGACGTTCAGATGATGCAGGACGCGACCGCTTGGGTCCGCACCATGACCAACACGGCTCCCATGAACACGATCATGACAAACGAGTCTCTTCCCGGCGCCTCCGTTACCGGCGACGCGCTTACCACTTACTTCAAGACGGCGTGCGGTACAGAGTACCACCCAATCGGCACGGCGTCCATGCTTCCCCAAGAGCTCGGCGGTGTGGTCGACACCAACCTCGTCGTGTACGGTACCAGCAACCTGCGCGTCCTTGACTCGTCCATCATCCCCATCCACGTCTCGGCACACACCATGGCCTCGACGTATGGCGTTGCCGAGAAGGGCTGTGACATTATCAAGTCTCAGCACTGGTATGTGGCTCCCGTCGTCAGCTCGACCTCGACTTCGGCAAGCGCCACGTCCTCTGCGACGTCATCGGCCAACACCGAATCTGCCACTGCCGAGGCCGCCGCTGTTGCATCGACTGGTCTTTCCACCGCTGCCAAGATTGGCGTCGGTGTGGGTTGTGGCCTCGGTGCCATCGGTGTTCTTGCTGCCATTGTGAGTTGCAAAGCAGTCATTGGATGCCTGACGCTAACTCTCTCCAGTTCCTCTTCTGCCTTAGGCGCAAAAAGTCCAAGCCCGATACCGTCACCAAGGGCGCGTACATGCAGGGCAACACCAGCGACCAGTGGATGGGTGAGTAGATCTACGAACAAACACGACGACAGAGAATACACAAACAAGGACAGTAGTCTAAAGGACTGTAATATCAAGGACAATGGCGCGAAATGTGCGATGCCAACCCACCTTCCCTCGCTTGTGTTTCTCTCTCGATTTCTTGCAAAAACTCACCGACTGACCACTACCCTCGCAGATGGTTACAACACCCCAAACGCGTTTGCCATGGCGGGGCAGAATAGGCCGTCGCTCGATACCATGGCCACGGCTGATCTGCACCACCCCAACCCGCAGGCCGCCGGCTACTACAACCCCCACTCTCCCGCACCTCAGCAGTACACCCCGCCCAGCCAGCGGCCGAGCCACCTGGCCTTGGAGCAGTACTATGATCGCCAGTGAGACCGTAAAAGTAGCTGCAACTAGCCTCCCCTCCTCCATCACCCTCACCCCTCCTCCGAAACACGGACAAGGACACGGCCACCAGAGCACGCATGTTGTCAATAGCACCCCACACGATTCGTTACCGAGAACACTTTTTGTAAACCCACATCTCCATAATCTTATAGTTGGATCCCGTGAATATCGTGATGCAGCTCTCAAGGCGACAGCCCACACAGTTCCCCGGGATGGTGGGAGGTCATGCGGAAGATTTCAGACGGTCAGTTGAAGTGGTTGATGTGCGGAGAATTGCCGCCGCGGCGCCGCGGACCGCGGCCGCCGATGTCATGTTGCGCGCGCAACATATCAACAGCCAGTGCAGCGTTGGCTGTCTCGCGGGCCAAACACGGTCGGTTAGGGCGACCTCGACGTCAAGTCGGGTTGAGGACGGTGCATTTCCGGGACAGGAGGGGCTCTGGATGGCGGAATCTCGCAAATTAAAACAACGTAGAAGGCAGATGGAGATGGCACAACCCGGGTACACGGGTGCGTCTATGCGACCGGATATCTACCGCCATACCAGCGATCCAGCGACCTTGTTTGCACTATCCAGATCTCGTCCGATAGCCAGAACATTCAGAACATCCGTAGCTCGGCGCGGCGCCGGTTACCACTTGTGCCGCGGCAGTTGCTCGGAACCATACAGGCCACTGTGGCGCGCCGAACTAGTGACCCATTTTGTTGTCCTTTTTCGCCTCCTTGCTACTTTTGATGCAACCAAACCAAATACATACACAGTATCGTACAGCCTACTCTTCGGTTCCACTCAAAAGCCGAATGTTGCTCACGAGGCTCATAGCTTGTGCGAGCGGTACAGCAAACGGACCTCCAGCACGGTGGCGCGTGACAAAGGTGCCGAGAGACTGGAGCACGTCCCCCCACTTTCCCGAGTGCACGACTGCCAGGACGCCCGACTGCATGGCGCTACTGTTGCCCAGCAGTTCCGTGATGATGCTTGCAATGTCGACCCTGGAACAGTCAGCTGTCTGCAGGGAGAAATGGTGTCTCACAGTTTCTCGACGAATCCCTGGCCATGCTTGTCCATGGCATCCATCGAAAGACGTCGACAGATGGCGACCGTGGTGGCTGCGACGTCCACGACGTATCCCACTCCGAGCTCGTACGGCTGGTCGCCACCGTCTCGTATGTCGGTGTTGCAGAGCCCGTGGGCGGCAGCCAGTCGCCAGATTCGATTCCGGATCCACTGCCACGTAATGAGCAAGTCGGCCTTTTGACAGTCTGTGAGACCCATGAGGCCGTCCTCGTCGCCAAAGACTTCCGCCGCTGACCCCTTCAACCGTCGCAAGATTGACACGGCGCGTGACGCCGTGAGCGTTTTACACGTTGATCGGTCACAGCGTCCATTCCAGCACGCAATGATGTCCGAGTCGATGACGGTGAAGACTTGGGCGAGGTGGTGGAGGGAACTGCCCTCACCACGGTCAGGAGAGGTTGCGATTGGACCTGTGAAGATGATGGTGCCAGATCGCTGCAGCGCATACGCTCGCTCTGTGATTGCGAGGATCCAGTACATCCTCATCCTGCGCTTGGCGTCGTCCGCGTCAAGCCCCTCGTACGTGCTGAGGTCGCCCAGTCGCATCGACTGACCCATGATGATGCTCTCCAGGAGGCGGAACTGTGATCCGTCCGTGTGTCCCAGCTCAAACAGCGTGGCGAACATGAGATAGCTGGTGAGGACCGACTCGACGCTAGTCTTGCATCCATAGTTCCAGCCGCTCCGCAGCCGGCACACCTCGTCCAGTAGAGTCGTAGCTTGCCGAGCCCTGGCGTCCTTTTGCAGCATCTCGTCGGCGTTGAGCGGGTGCACGAGGGACAGAGCGACCATGCCCAGCACGAGGGCTGCAAACGACTTGTCTCCCAACGACCGTCGGTCGGCCAGCTTGGCGTGCATCCACGCCGCGTTGAAGACTGGCATCATGGAGTAGATGCGTTGGTAGAAGACATCGAGTTGCGGCTTGATGAACGTTTCGAGCGTGAGCGAGAGGATCGGGCTCGCTTCGGCGGGAGGTGTGAAGGGCATGTCGAGCATGGGCGACGGTGTGAGGCCCGGAATGTTGAGGACACCAAGTCCGCCGAGGCCGCCGAGACCACCGAGACCACCCAGGCCGCCAAGACCACCAAACCCGCCGCCAAACATGGGACTGCTGCTGTTGCTCATCCCAAAGTTGGGTGTACCGCCCATCCCGCCTCTGGGCGTAGGTGGGAACCCGCCAAAGCTTCCTGCTGGTAGCATATCGAAACTCGGTCCAGTTGGTGTAGTCGACCCGCCTCGTGATCGGACAACAGCGAGGCTTCGTGACAGGGGGTCTGGTGCGGATACAAGCCAGTCTGGCAGTGAGAACTGGTTGTTCTCTGCGACCGTCTCCATGTCGGGCTCGTCCGCTTCGTCATTGACGACTGCCGAGCTTCCGCTGGAGCTGGCCACGGACTCTGGCGTCGCTGCCGGCCACAACTCGAGGAGGCTTGAGGATGCCACCACTTCAGAAACTGTGCGGTTTGGCGATGTACACGACGCTCCGTCCGAGGACGAGCTTGCTGCCGTTGTCGCTGTCGCTGACGCCATTGGTGGACTGGGTACCCTGGCCGGCGTCATCGACTCGCCCGTCGTCGTCGTTCGTCCGTCCCTCTCGTAGAACTTGACACGTCGCCGCTCCCGTCCATCGCCACCCCCCACGCCTCGTAGCCGCTTCGGCGGAGGTCCCTTGGGTAACACAGGGTTGTCAAACGTACACCCAATCCGACCTTTGGAGCATCGTCCGCACGGCTTGCCACCATCACACTGCTCCCATCAGCAACTCCCCTGTTACGTTGCAGAACCGTCGCGCACCTTGACTTTACGAGTATGACACTGGTCGCACGCTCGCTGCACTGGGCGCACCATGGGCGGGGAGCTTGACCGGCGAGACGACTCTCCCAGCGCCGACATGTTTCCTGGCAGTGACATCGACAATGAGTCCGAGGTGAAGCCGTCGAGGCCGGTAAAGGACAGCGCCGAGGTGGAGAAGACGGTATTGGTCGCGTCTTGGAATGGAAGAGAGTTGAAGATGGAAATGCCGAGGGGCCGAGGAGGCAGGAGCCCCACTGGGGTCGACATGGGGCCTACGAGGAGACTTGAGACGCAACAAGTGCACGGTCTGAACGTGAGGTGCATGACAGAGAGCCCCACTGGCCACTGGCCACTGGACGACCAGAGATGGAGTGAGTGCCTAACGTCCGCTATCGGACCCGTCCGGACCGGACACGAAAGCTCGGCCCGACTCGTCAGCCCACCCACCTCGCCCACTCGGCGCTATGGTCCTCGGCGCCTCGGTACCGCGGTGCGGCTGTCGCGCGGCGCTTCTCTGCCAGTCCCTGGGCACCTGGGCTGGGCACCTGTGTCCGTGTGCACTTGCTGTGGACGCCTCGGCCGTGCTTCGGACGCATATGATGCCTCCGAACATTCCAAGTGGGGTGTGGGGCTGCTGTGGCTCCAGTTTTGCCGGGCTTGCTGAGACGCGGGGCACTGGCGGGGGGCCGAATGCTACCCCGGCCCCACCCCCCCCACCACCAGCCCGGAAATCGAGGTAACGCGCAGTGCAGACACTGGAACTCCACAATCACTAAACGACAAACGCGGTTGTCTGGATCCACTTTGAGACTCAGCCCCAGTGCCTGTGTCCGCCGACATCCGCCCGTGCCGCCGACGACTTGGCTGACTTCCGGACAGGCGACTCCAAGACACCGATGATATCCTGATAGATATAACAGCACAATCCGACACGTTCAGGTCCATCATCCCACACCTCCCTCCCATCTGAGGAACACCCAACGCAAACCACGGGCCTGTTGCCATCGCAGATCTCGCCACCCCCGCACCACCACCGCCGATCCCCCCGCATTTGTCCACCATGAAGGAGGAAGTCGTCACGACTCACTTCTCCGCGGACGAGCTCCATGAGGACGTCGACCTCATCCGCCGCGCACAGCAGGCCGACGAGGCCGACCGCAAGCTCACGATCAAGCAAGCTCTCAGGAAGTATCCCAAGGCCATTGCGTGGTCGTTGTTCCTGTCGCTCGCTCTTGTGGTGCGTGCCAGTTGACCCAGCACAGCTCAAGCAACTCTCCGCTGACTCGGTCCGCAGATGGACGGATACGATGTCGTCGTCATCAATTCGTTCTTTGGCCAGAGCCAGTTCTCGCAGCGCTTCGGCGACGTGGGCGAGGGCGCAGACAAGAAAATCAGTGCCAAGTGGCAGTCGGGTCTTTCAAACTCGAGTGTCGTCGGTCAGATTCTTGGTCTCTGCGCGAACGCCTACACCCAGGACCGCTTCGGAAACCGTCACACCATGATGTTTTTCCTGGTCTGGATGTCATGCGCGATTTTTGTCCCGTTCTTCGCTACCTCGCTCCCCATGTTGGCTGCTGGAGAAGTTCTTGTGAGTCGGCCGTTCGCCAGCATCATTGGCGGGCCTCATTGTCATCGTGCAAGCTAGTTGGCTGACGGATCAAAAGTGCGGCATCGCATGGGGTACGTTTCATTGGCATGTTGCCGACTCCGGTTAGCTGACGGCTCTCTAGGTACATTCCAGACACTCACCACTGCGTACGCTTCGGAAGTCGTCCCCACTGTCGTTAGGCCCTACGTCACCGCATATGTGTGCATGTGCTGGGGACTCGGTATTACGGTCTCAAGTGCTGTGATTCGTGGCGTTGCAAACATCCAGAGCGACTGGGGTACGTCTGTTGTTCATGTCTGGAGCCAAAAGCTGACGGAAAAAACAGCCTGGCGTCTTCCCTTCGCCATCCAGGTAAGCTGGCCATCCTGCCTCGTTTTACTAACAACGTGCAGTGGGTCTGGCCCATTCCCCTCTTCCTTGGCGTGTACTTTGCTCCCGAGTCGCCATGGAACCAGGTAAGTGACTAGGAAGAGGACGAGAGTGGAAGAGGAGGCGGCAACCGTTCCAGCATCCCATGGGCTGTGAGAGCACGCTGACACGGGTACAGGTGAGGCGTGGCAAGCTGGACGATGCTCTGAAATCGATCCGTCGTCTCGGATCCAAGGAAGAGTCGGAGGACGATTTCCAGGGCAAGCTCGCGTACATGGTCCACACTACCAATGTCGAGCGCGCCGAGACTGGCGGAGCCTCTTTCCTCGAGTGCTTCAAGGGCACCAACTGGAGGCGCACCGAGATAAATATTGTGATCTGGTCCGCCCAGATTCTGTCTGGTAACGCCATTCTCGGCTACTCTGTCGTCTTCCTTGAAGCAGCTGGCTTCAGCGAGGTCCAGGCGTTCGACATCAACATCTCGCTTTCAGTGTGCTACCTCGTCGGCGGTGTTGTCTCTTGGTTCCGTGAGTTAGACAGCAGCCCCCATCTCATACTCAAGCTTACCTTCAAAGTGATGGCCCGCCTGGGTCGCGCGACCATCTACATGGCCGGTCTGGCAGGCATGCTTATGTGTCTGTTCGTTATCGGCGGACTTGGCTGTATCAGCAACCCATCGAACGGCGTTTCAATCGCCATTGGTGTCTTGATGATCATCCAGACCGTGAGTTGCTTCAGCTCTATGGCACCTTTCTAACTTGAATACAGCTGTGGAACATGTGTGGTGTTGGCCCCGTCTGCTACCCCATCGTCGCCGAGACTCCCAGTGGCCGCCTCAGGTACAAGACCATCGTCATCGGTCGTATCGCGTACAACGTGGTGGGAATTATCAGCAACAGTGAGTCTTTGACGGCGATAAGCGGCGGCGGACGCACGCACTAACAGGCAGCCATCACCCCGCGCATGCTTTCCGCCACCTCGTGGAACTGGGGCGCCAAGGCTGGTTTCTTCTACGCTGGCACCAACCTCCTCTGTCTCACCTGGTGCTGGTTCCGTCTGCCCGAGACCAAGGACAGGACTTTTGGCGAGATTGATCTTCTCTTCGAGAACCATGTGCCCGCGCGCAAGTTCAAGTACACCAAGGTTGACCGTGAGTATTGGGACCAGCCCTTCAGCAAACGTGCAAAACCACTGACCATTCAGAATTCTCCGCTCTTAACAACGACGCTGTGATCCACGAGAAGAAGGACATCGAGGAGCACGCAGAGTTCGCTTAGGGAGTGCTGGAGGGTGGCGTTGTCTCCTGGAGGACAAGGGTTTAAAGGAGAAGTGCGAAATTCGGGGGAAGTTACTTGTGATGTTACTGTGTGCTGTTTTCGAGAGGCTCGCCACTTGTACATGTGGGTAATATGCACGTTCCTGGCGCTCGATGAACTAACTCGTTTGGTTGACCTGGGGCGGGTGGTTAGCTGGGGGCGAACAAACTGACACCCAGAGCTTTTTAAGTCGATTTGATCTTGTTTTATGACTTTGCCACAAACGGAGGGGTTGGGGGGAGGATACGCCCGTCCGTGTCCAGCCCGTCCACAGATTCGCGGCCTCGCAGCTTGCTGATCGGCGAGCACGTGAGTGCTAAACACACAACATGCACCACACACACGCACAAGCCGTGTCGACGTGTACGAGCAACTTTTCTTCAACGTGTTTTGGAATGCTCACTTCCTTCAACAAACCATGCGTTACATCAAGACTCACCAGGAAGTCTACAATGAGGTACAGTCTCTCTCTCTCATACACTGTCCCCGAAGCTGACCTTGTAGCTATGCTCTCTCCTGCGTGACCATCTCGAACACCTGGACAAGATTGAAGCTGCTGGCCAGCCAATGTCCTTGGAAGACTTCCACGTTAGTGGGCCAGGGACTCGAGGACTCATCCATCGCAGGCGCGCTTACTCGCAGGACCTGAAATATCTTGCCTTCTCCTTGCATTACCAAAAGCACATGCTCAATAACAAGTACAAGTACAAGGTTCCTGAGTGAGTGTTTTGGCGTCCCTCGCCAACTGACAGTACAGGTGTCTTGCCACCATCCGCCAGATTTTGCCTGGCTGGCAACCGTACCGCTGCATGTGACGAGGCTGTCACAAGCAAGGACAGTCGTGGGGCCACCTTGGATGCATCGTCTTCACACACAGCCCTGCCACACTCTCCCTCGTCCTCTGTCTTTATCCCTGTCCGTTTACGTATCCCGGTTTTGACTCAGTGACAGGCCCACTCTCTTCCCCGTATGCCATCCACCTCTCCTCGACAGTCTGTGCAACCGCTCAAGCCCAGAAACAATCTCCGTCGTCACCATAACTCCACCAGCGATCCAGCGACCAGTTCCGAACTACATCGGTGGTTAAAAGAGTTTAATATTAGGTCGACATACATTGGGCTCAATTTGCCACAGATCCAAAGAATCGCCTCCGGTCTCTGGCCTCGGGGCGGCACCGGTTCATTGACCATTGACACATCCTCTGTGATCTGTGAGTTTGCTCCAGTTGGGTACTTGGCCTGCACTCCCGAGAGCTTAGATGCCTCAAGTTGTGATGTGGAATGTTGGTTTGAAACAGAAAGCTGGGGTTACGCCCGCCACTGGCGGGTTACCGGCGCTCTAGCCATCAAGGCCAACTGGGATGCATGTCTACGACCACAAACTTCTCACAACTCTCTACAATCATCTCTGACTCTCGCCTTTTCATGCTGCACGCGCAAAGCTGGTACGGAGACGACCGGCGCCACCACGGTTCGCGCGCGCAAACCACGGAACGAGGGTGACCTTGTCCTCGACTGGCGACCACGTCGCTGGCTTGGCGACCGTGTAGCCCTGGTTCAGGTCCCACCGGTCCAGGTGCTTAAAGTCACCGCTTGCGCTGGTGAGCAATGTGACAGTGACGCCCTCGAGGGTCTCCTCGCTCTCGGTAAACGTCGCCGTGGTGGTGAGGCCCACACCCTCAAAGTGCGGGAAGCGCTCGTCGAGGGCCACATTGTCGACGCTCTCGGCAACGTACACGATCGGACCGCGGGTGACGGTGAGGAGGTCATGTGCGGCCGGGTTGGAGGCGAGGATGCGGACGGGGAGGTTGAAGTCGAGCGAGACGGAGGCGGTGGCCGGGAGGGTGGCGGCGAGGAAGCCGTTGTCGGCGGTGGTGGGGACAGACACGGTGACGTCGGTCGCGTAGCCTGGCGATGGGAGGTGCAGGTCCCATGACCAACCCTCTGGCGCGGCAAACTCGAACGTGGTGTGGCCCTGGAACGGCATGCCCGACTTCATCGTCACTGTGGCAGTGACGCCGTCGCCGAGGGGGATGGTGCGGGTGGCAGACAGGAGGAGGAGGACGTTGAGCGAAATGCTCTTGTTGTCGGCATCCACGTTGGCAGACCAGGTGTATCCTCCCAACAGACCGAGGGTGCGGGAGAGGTTGGGCGGGCAGCAGCACACCTCGAACCACTCCTTGCGGAACGCAGTCTCGTCACAGCATGTGGCCATCTTGTTGGCATACGAGAATGCCTTGGCATCGAGCGACGCGCCTCCCAGCGCAGCGTTGAGGAACGCGAGCTCGAGCGTGTCGCGCACGCTGCCATCGAGCTTGTCGGCGAGGAAGCGCTCGGCGGTCATCATGGCGGCGATACTGGCACAGGTCTCGGCGTAGCAACCTCCCTCGGCCGTGGACTGGGGCAGAACGTGCTCGTACTCGTGGAAGCCCTCAAAGCTTGGCTCGGACCCGAAGCCGCCGGTGACATACATCTTGCCCCTAACGGCCTGGTCGAAGAGTCGACGCGCAGCCACCTGGAGCTGGCCACCAGCGTCGGCAGCAGCGACGAGGAGGTAGAACGCGCGCACACTGTGGCCGAGGATGTTCTCCTGGTCCACAATCGGCTTGTGCGCCTGCTGGTACTCGACCTTGTTGTTGAGGATGTCGTCGCGCAGCTTTGCCTCGTGGTGGTAGAAGTTGTCGTACTCGGGGCGCGAGACACCACGCTCGTTGAGCAGGTACCGCACATACTCGAGGTGACGCTGGTCGCGGGTCACGGCGTACAGGCGGAACAAGGCCAGCTCGAGCTCGGGGTGACCGGGGTATCCGTGGATCTGGCCCTCGTTAGGACCCACTTCCTTCATGAAGAACTCGACGTTGCGGATCATGACGTCGAGGAACTGGCGCGAGCCGGTGTACTGGTAGTGCGCCAAAGCAGCCTCGAGAAGGTGGCCTGCGTTGTACATTTCGTGCATGTCGCGCAAGTTCTTGAGGCGGCCGGCCGGGTCGACAACGGTAAAGTAGATGTTGAGGTAGCCGTCGGGCTGCTGAGCGCTCTCGATCATGTTGACCAGCTCGGTGATGGCGGCGTCAAACTCGGCCTTGTGCGAGCTCGCCTCGCCAGACATGAGGAAGTAACATGCGGCCTCGACCCTGGGGGTTCAGTTCAAGGTCAGGCAAAATGTGAACTCACCACTTGCCGACGTCCGACTCCCAGAACAAGGACGGGGGGATACCTGGCTGTCAGAATCACGAGATCGGACAAGGTCAAGCCGGAGCGGAATGGCGCGTCGTCTCCCATACCGCCTCCCATACCGCAAGGCGACACTCACCATCGTTACGAGCCTTGGCACCCTGGAGGGGCCTCACGTCGTAGGAAGGGTGCCATTGGAGCTTGAACGCCTCGTAGCTGCCCTGCTTGCGGAGCTGCTCGAGCTGGGTCTTGAGGACGCTGTCGGCGAAGATGGTGCGGATAGCCCCGTAGAAGGAATCGCGGTCGACCTCTGCAAGCAAGTGTGAGCCATGAGGTGGATGAGGTAGAGCCCGGCGCTCTGCAGCACTCACTGGTCTCGTTGAACGTCGACTGCGGATACTGCTTGCTCACAGTCGCGGGCTTGGATCCGGTGACGATGCCAGAGTTGTCGGCTTGACGCATCTTGTCTTGCTGTTCAGGTGGTGGTGGTGGTGGTGGTGGTGCAGTCATGGTCGTTGTGTGAGTGACTCATATACTCCAGACACACCTGCTGCATGCTAACAGCAGCAGCAAAGTGGCCGAGCGTGCCAAGTGGAGGCGGGCCGACACACGCTGTGGGGAATGGGTGGGCGGACGGTTGAGCGGATGATGGACTTGGCCGGATAACACCCGGGCCGAGTCCAGGAACGGCCGAGTGGGTTGGCTGTGGGGAACACCGAGACGCCGAGATGTACCGACGTCGGCCTTGCAGATATCCTGGTACCGCCCTGTGGTGGTGCACCACCGACACGCCGAGCAGGGCCAGGGATAAGGGAGGGCTCCTCGGTGCTCCCACTCACCCGCTGAGACCCGGGGTGAAGCTCCGCGAGGGCTCTGTAGTGATCTATGGTGTGCTGAGCTACACGTGGTATCGAAATGCCACGGCCGTCGAGCCGTCTATTGACAGCGGCTGTTCTTTCACGGTACGGTACAGCAGAGGTTCGGCAGTCATATGCGATGTGACTTGGGGTCATATCACACATGTTCTCGCTGTGAGAGCGGCGCAGACGACGGCAGAGGTGACTGTGGCGGAGTATTTGCCAGAGCGATATTTGCACACCATGGAGCTTGATCGTCGGTAGATCACGGATCACAGAGCTGTAGTTATCATTCCCAGACGCGAGCGGACGACGACGCCCAACGCAACCCTCTCCCTTTTGGCAGTTGAATGGCTGTACGTCACATGGTAGTCTTGTACGGACGTCGTCCTACCGGCCTGCCAAAAGTAACGAGTTCACGTCACATCAGCAGACCTAACTTGCCTGGCCAAAAAGTGGTTGCAATATGGGCCCGCCGATGCGGCTGCGTGCGCTCGCACGCAGGCTCGAAGGCTCCTTCCTACACCTCCCTGACTGATTTTTGTTGGATATGCATTGTACACATCCACAGCCATGGGTAAAAGCCGGTTCAGTGCATACCAACATGGTTGCATGGTCACGGAGGCGGCCATCCATGGCGTTCTGGCCACTGCAAAGGCCTATGGCTGCTCTACCCAGTACATCTACTAACTAAGACGCCTACACTCCCAAGACCCGGCATGCGCGACTCCTCCCAAACCTAGAGGAAGACCCAGCACGTTTAGTGACGCCAACATTGCCACTCTGCGCCGACTGCTCAAGCGCAACAAGGATGCCACAAACCAACAACTTGTTGACCTCCTACGACCATTTGGCATCCACACGTCTGTGCGCTCGCTACAACGCATCCTTCCACAACTTGGCGTACGCAGAAGCAGCGGTAAAAGCGGGGAATGATCAATGAAGTGCATGCAACCATGGCTTGGGTCTGTCGAGTGGAGTGACATTGCAGATGCACAGTGTTCTCAGGATTGAGCAGCAGACAGCAAACCGGCAATCAAAGTCGAACAATAGTGTGGTCAATTCTGCTGGCCCTTTTGCCTATGCGACAAAACGGGGTTGTCACACGACCAGTACATGTCTCATAAGCATGTGCTTTACGTGCTATGTGCGTGATGTTGCGGACAGTGGACTGGTGATGTGAAACTAAGGCGTACTCCTACTGGCCTTTCGCTCATCCCACCATCTATTCCCTCACACCTCGGCTGAGCGCAGCCTTGCCATCCTCTCCTGGGTGATCCTAAAGCACTCGGGCATGATCCCCTCCCACTCCCCGCTGTCCATGTATCCAACCAACGTCGGCGCGCAGAGCGCAATGCGCGCCATTCCATGCCCGTTGAATCCCACCGCAGCATACTGTCCGGGCTTGCCCGGCAGCTCGCCGACAAACGGGACCAGGTCGGGCGTGGCGGCGATGATCCCGGTCCACGCGTACTCGAACCCGACACCGCGGTCTTCGCCCTGCACGTCCGCTGCCGCGGGCCAGGGAGCGTCTAGCGCAGCGAGTGGGTCGGTGGGCTTGAGTCTTGCCGCGCGGTGCGCGTCGGCCTCGAGCGCGCGGAGCGATGGGGGGCGATATCCTGCCTCGGGGTAGATCTCCGCAAATGCCGTGAGAGCGTTGGCGGCCAAGCCGGCGTGGAAGCCGGCATCGTTGGCGCGGTTGTGGTATTCGTTCAGGGGGATGAGGGCTCGCGAGGCGCCGAGCACGATGGTGCCGTCTGGACGGGGAGCGCTGCGATTGTCAGCTTAGAGGTGGGGAGATGCCCAGCTTACACAGAGTAGAACTCCTCCATACTCTTGCGTAACGAGTAGCTGCCCTGGAGAGGTGTGAAGGTGCTACCTGCGGGGGGCCTAGAGAGCTTGTGCGCCTGTGCTGGGTGTAGCTGTCAGCAGGTGAATCGCGTCACTCCAGGCAACACCACGACCTACCGCGCTGGGGCACTACAAGGCCCTTGAACTCGGGCACCACTGCGGCCGTATACCCATTGGTCGCCCATACGACCTTGTTGCACCTCACCGACCCCCGTTCCGTGACCACCACCCATCCCCCGCCACCTTCGAGCGGCTCGCAGTCCACGACCGGCGTCCACGCAAATGGCTCGTACCGCCCCGTCAGCCCGTTGACGGTGTGGACCCCGAGCGTCAACTGGGCCGGGTTGACCGTCGCTGCGTCCCACGCAAACGCTGTTTCGGCATTGGTCCCCGTCGCCTTGCGCGCTTCCTTGTCGTCGAGGCGGATCAGGTCGGGCGTGCCGCCCGCAAACTGCAGCCCGGCAATGGCTGCTTCGGTGTACTCTGTAAACTTGGGCGAGAGGCAGGCATCATAAGTCATCCGCCGGGTCCATTCACACTCGATGCCGTTGGTCTTGACCAGGTCGTCCATGCTGCAGCCACACGTCAGCAACCCCGTTCAATGCGCGTTGCCTCCACCTCCACACATACAGCTTGAGCACCTCCGCCTCGCTCTCGATGATCTTGCGCGCCTGCTCGCCGCCATGCAGCTTGGCAAAGGTCGTAAACCCCCGCGCGGCATCGGGCCTACAGTGCCCTGCGTTACGTCCACTGGCCCCCGAGGCGAGTTCGCGCGCTTCGAGTAGCACGACCTTGTGGTGCGGATGCCTCTCGAGGAGGTGGTGGGCTATCAGTGCGCCCATCAGCCCGCCGCCGACGACGATCGTGTCGGCCGACTCGGGCAGCGGGGTGGTCGCGTTGGACGATAGCAGCGGGTGCGACCGCACGGTGCGCTGCCATAGGGAGAGGTTGGAGAGTGGCGGTGGGAGGGTCGCCATGTCGTGTTGGTGGTCGTGGTCGTGGCCGTCGTCGTGTGTAGGGGCCGGATGGAGGGAGCGATGGAGGTTGGGTCGGATGGCAAGGAGGATGTGTAGCATGCGCTCGGTGCTGGCGTGGGGGGAAGAAAGATTGGGGTTTGCACAATGGCCTGCCAAGCTGTGCTTTGGTAGAGGTGCTCAAGAGTGGCAGAGATAATGAGTGAAAGAGAGAGCGACAACAGTTACACGGGACGACGAGATGGATCCCGCAGATCACATCGGTTATAGCCGGGACTCGATGACTCGATGACGCACAATGCGGCAAGTGATAACAACACTCATACAAATGTACGGGTGTCCATGTCTTCATTGTCCAATCCGCAGGTTATCGTCGCCGCAAGAAGACCACACTGGCACACCACACGTTCTGTTGGAGCACATTCTCGTCACCTGGCCTGTGGAGCCTCTCACGGATCTCGGAAGAGCCGGGACGATAGAGGTCCAGACGACAACCAGAGTCCATCAGCTCCTGACGCACCCGAACTCAAACCTTCAGTGTCATTCCTCATTCCGCTTAGCGTGTTCGCCACCGCACGACAGAGCCAGCGGGTTGGATCTCCCAAGCGTGAGGATGGGATATGCGAGGAGTACTACGGGCGAGGGACGCCGAAACTCTACTCTTAGCCCGGAACGGATGGCTGAGCTCGAACCATCGGCACAACACCGGACAGTAGTGATGCGCCGGGGATGGTGTCTCGTGGCAGCTGGGGAACTCCGGTCTGAAGCTTATGCAGCGTCTCGACCAGCCCTGTGGGCGACCGCCAAGCCATTGAGCTACCACTTGCAACGGGCGTTGTAACTGCGGTAGTGCTGACGTTTGTGCTCTGACATCCAGCCAACAAGGCCGTTTCGTGTCTCGCGTTCGCGCAACGCGGGACGGTGTTTGGTCCCAGCTGGGCCGGGTCGACACGCAGCCCACCACACTCCCCCCAGACCTCCAGCAGCCTGTCACTTGACATTTGAATACGACGAAACGAACAGCACCCCGACGATACGTTCTTGACGTGCCTGTGCCTGTCCTGCTCCTGTGCCAATAGGTTCAACACCTTACCGACCGCGTCGTTCCTATCCTCTGTGGCCGTCCCGTTGGCCCGTTACCTCCAACCAGGCCGTGGTGCTGCTCAGCAAGCAAACGTGGCCCCCGGCGACGTGGAACGTATCCCCGAGTTGTGCAGTTAGTAGTAGAGTATTCCCAGATCCCAGTTGTGGCGCGCGCTTGTTCGGCAGCGCCACTCTTCATGTTCGTGCCAATCCCACACCGTCAGTGTCAAGAGTCAAGAGTCAAGACTCGACTCACAGCCGAGCGTCCAGCCAGGAACACCACATATCAGCCATCATCCCGCCCTCTCGCCGGACGACTGTGTCCCTCGCCGCGCGCCGCGCGCCGCGTCCACCCCGCCCGACACCCGAGAGACCCGTTTCGGCGGGGCGGACGACGGCTCGGGTGTGTGGCTGTCTGTACGTGTTTCGCGTTGCGGCAAGCGTTGTCACAAGTGTGTGTCTAGGGTGGGTTCTAGGAGTTTGTTCAGTTCCTGCGGGGCGGGCCGCCGCCGACAACACCAACAACCAACGAAAACAGAAAACAGAACACAGAACACAGAGATCCAGAGAGAGAGAGGGACAGCGTTCGTCGTGTTTTTTTTTTGTGCTCGGCTGAGTGGGAAGCACATGCGGAAAGTGTGCACCCTACAGTCACACACCCCTCGCTGGGGCCGTGCGCTGGCGTCGGTCGTGTCGGTCGTGGCGCTGCGCGATTCGGACCGCAGTGGACGCTCAGACGTGGACGGGACGGACGGGGGTGTGCGTGTCAGTGTTCTGAGGGATTTGAGCCGGCGGTGCAAACGTGGAATCAACGGTTCCCGAGGACAACTGACATGGCGGCCCGCGTGGCTCCTCCGAGACAACGCAACAATGGGTCATGTTGGGTCAAAATCTCACTTCTTTTTGCACCTGCTCCACAGACAGACACACACACGCGGGGGTCGGGCTCTATTCGTAACCTGCATCGGATACTAGTACATAGCTTTTGCTGCGGCTCAAAAAAGTGTTCAAGAGAAAAGAGTGGGCGCGGGTGGTTCACGTAGCGATTTCTTGATGTATAATTTCGTTTCGGTCGTTGTTGCCACCCCACACAGAGACAAGGTGGGTTGGCGGGGCGTACCGTGGAGTGAGGGTTGGGCGTGCAGTTGTGAATAAAAGGGGGCGGGGGTAAGGTGGTGGTGGTTGATGTGTGGCGACAGACAGAAGCGGAACAACGGTTCTTGACAGGCCGGACGTCGACTTTTGCGCCGACTACAGGTCCAGCTCCTCCCTCGTCCGCGCACCTTCGTACTCGTCCTCCTCGCTCAGACGACGTCCCAGACCCAGGGCGCCAGGAACACCGCGCAGCGAGCTGGACACTGGCCTCAACATGCCCGCGAAGCCACGCGACTCGCCCACTGGTCCCCGGGGGTTGCGCATGGGTAGTGAGCCAGTGTCACCTGCCGTGCGGTCGCCACCGACACCGCCTCCGGACGAATCACGCGAGTCGCGCAAGTCGCTCAGCGAGGCCGGCAGAGGCGGGACGGGGGGTGCACCGACGGGTGCGCCAAAGAACGAGTTGAACGTGCCGGAACCGAGGCCGTGGCCGTTGAGACGGCGGCCGTGGGAGGCGCCCATGGAGGCATAGTCACGTCCTGCGACGATGCCGCCTGCTGCCTCGGCGCGGAGGTTGCCCGACGAGCGTTGCGGCGTCAAGCTGCGCGCAGGGTCGCGGGCGACGACGGGTCCATTGAACCCACGCAGGTCTGGCATCGACTTTTTGCTCCTCAACGTCGAGGTCGGGTGGTCCATTGGGTAAGGAGAGAGATACGAGGTGGTCTGAGGAGTCTGAGTGCCGCCGCCGCCGCCGCGGGGTGCGTCCTTTGTCACCACGACATGCTTGCCCTCACCGTCGCCCTGGGTCACACTGGTCAAGTCGAGCTTTTGGGCAACCAGGTGCACAATACGGCGCTCGGTAGGCGAGAGGTTGCGCGACAGGACGAGCTCATCGCGCATGCGGTCCTCCTTGAACATGTAGACCATGTTGTAGATGCGCAGCGAGTTGGGGTCGTTGAGGTCGAGGCTGTTGGGCAAGTCGGCCGAGTTGCTGTTCATGCTAGAGCCAGCGGAATGAGGAGGGCTCCGGTCGTCGGCTGCCGTGTCAAACGAAAACTGCGGGTGGTGACCGTTGCCGGCAGAGTTGCCGTTGCTGCGCACAGGCGGCGGCGGCATGCTCTGAATGTCGGCGGGGACAGGTGGCGACGCCTTGACCGCCGCGTCAAGCTGCATCGACTTCATGCGCTTGATGGCCTTTTCGCGCTCAATGCGGTCCTTTTCACCAGGCTGGAGAACCTTTTTGTACTCTACGCGCAGCTTGCGCCCTTGCACGTCGTAGCCGTTGAGGGCGGCGACGACACTGGCAGCCTCCTCGGGTGCTCGAAAGTTTGCAAAGGCCAGACCACGGAAGACACCGTTGTCGTGGTGGTAGTTGAACGCATAGGGCAGAGGCGCGCCGAGCGACTCGATAATGGCCAAGAGTGTCTCGCGCGACACGGCAAAGGGAATGTTCTTGATCACAATCGCCGTCGGGATGACATCCTCGTCCGGCGTGGGGATCATGGGAGCGGCACGCCACTGCTGGGGCCGCTGGGGCATGGAAGCGAGCTGGGCCGAACCGAACGGCTGGAGCGGTCCACCTGCGCCAAACCCACCAGCCGAGCCAGCGTTACCCATGCCGTACGGAGTCATCTGAGGCGGTGGCGAGGGCGCAAGGCCGCCCATTGACGGAAAGGCCTCGAGAGCAAACGCGGGGTAGTAGGGTTGGGCCGAGGTGGCTCCGGAAGCGGACGAGGAAGGAGGCGACAGCGTGGGCGGCGAGCCTGCGTCCCGCCGGAACGCATCGCCGCTGCCGCCGCCGTGATGCTGGTGGTGGTGGTGCATTGACGCCTGAGGTTGCGGCTCAAACCATGCCTGAGAGTGATCTGTCAGTTTACACTCGTTGTGTTGCTTCTGTGTCGTGCGTGTCCTTACCAAGGGGATGCCCGAACGCGATCCACGCTTCGGGCTGCTTGTCCAACCACGCGCAGGTTGTCCTCCAGGAGGCGTGGCAGTGGGAGGTCCAAAGACGCCGTTGTACGGGTAGTCGGACTGGACGCCGTAAGGTGCAGGCGAGATGGAAAGGGCGTGCAAGTTTGGGAGAGGGGGGGATGAATGCTGGTGGGTCATTGTAGGGAGAATGCAATAAAAAAAGCCAATTGGGTTGTATGTGTGTGTCTGTGTGTCTGTGTGTGTGTCTGTGTGCTTTTGCTGTATGCCGAATGTGCCGTGAGGGTGCGAGAGTGTGTAGAGCTGGCCCAGGTGGTGTTGGGATGTGAGTGTGCTGGGGGGAGGAGGAGGAGGTTTGAGGTCGTTGTTGCGCAATTACGTTGGGTCGTCACGGAGGCAATAGACTAGGAACGCGTGGGCATTGGGGCCTGCGACGGGGGCGTGCACGGGCGATGTGGTGGCGAGGAAGGGGGGTAGGTTGACGAGCAAGAGGTTGTGGTGGATTGTGGACACACGAACGACAAGGTTTGGGTGTAAATGGAAACCAGGAGTCGTGTGGAATTGTGTGTTGGGTTTGGGCAACGCCCGGGGTGACGAATGTGGGATTGGGGGTTGTGGGTTTGGAGGCGTCGGGGCAAAGCTGCGCCAAGGGGGGGGGGGAGGATGGGGGGGTGGGGAGATGGGTGATGGGTGATGGGGTGTGTGTTCGTTTGATCGTTATGTGTTGTGAGAGAGAGAGATGCCGTTTCCGTCGTGACGATGGATACTGGGATGGGTGGGGGAGGGGGGACGGGGGGGGGAGGGGAGTGGGGGGGTAATGCGTGAATTAGAAAGATGCGTTGGAGAAAAGAAAGGAGAAGAAGGAAAGGAAACCCGCAACAAGCTGCTGCACCCACACCACCCAGGCCATGGGCCAAAGGTCCTACCGCGCAGCAGTGTGTGACGGCCAGGACACGACACGGGCAGTCGTCCACCCAACGCCTTATCGGGGTGGATGGCATAAACTCTTGTGCGGTACACACAAAAACGCATAACGGCGTCTGTTTGGGTGTCAATATTATTGTCTGCCGTGGTTAGTGTGTTTATTTTATTTATTTTTTACGCCATTCTTGTCATGTTTAATCCCAAACCCGGCAAAACCCAATGACACCCCATCACGTGACCTTTATACCAATGACGCAAAGAGGGCGATTGGGGGGGGCGGACGACGCTGCGGGGGGCGGGGTGTGGGCGGTGCGCACGGTCGTCATCGCATCTCTCTCCCCCACCCACCCACCTGCGTCGTCGTCGGTCGGTCGTGTTGTTTCGTCCATCGCTCCCTTTCCATCCACACAGTCACATCCACCTCCATCTTATTATCACAACAATGGGCCTTGCATCCAAACTTGCAGCCGCACAGGCAACCGGCGCAGCTCCCACTCCCGGCGCTGCTCCTGGCGCCGCCCCCGCATACGGCGCTGCCCCCGGCGCTCCCGCTGCCGCCGGTCAATACGGTGCCGCTCCTCCTCCTCCTCAGCAACAGCAATATGGTCAGCAGCCACAGCAGTATGGCGCTCCTGCTCAGCAGCAGTACGGCCAGCAGCAGAGCCCCTACGGCCAGCAGCCCGGTCAGCAGCAGGGACACCCAGGCCAGAGCCAGTACGGTGCTCCCCCTGCCGTCCCTTCGCGGTATGTTTCTCTTTCCCCCATCGGCTCTCGGCTTTGCTCTTTTCGCCACCCGTGCCCTTGTCGGCTTCTTGGGTACTGAAAATGCGGGAAGGTGTACCTTGCTTGTATACACAGATACACCTCCCCCCGCGCGCATTAGATAGGCCTCGACGTGACACCTTTCAACAACGCTGACATTGTCTTTCAGCCCCGGCCAGCCTGCTGCTCCCGGCCAGCAGCAGTACGGACAGCCCCAGCAGGGCCAGTACGGTCAGTATGGTCAACAGCAGGGACAGTATGGCCAGCAGCCTAGCGCATATGGTCAGCAGCCTGGAGCATATGGCCAGCAGCCAGCAGCATATGGCCAGCAGCCAGCAGCATATGGCCAGCCTCAGCAGTCCCAGTATGGCCAGCAGCAGGGCCAGTACGGTCAGCAGCAGGGCCGTTATGGCCAGCCGCAGAGCCAGTATGGCCAGCCGCAGAGCCAGTATGGTCAGCAGCAGGGCCAGTATGGTGTGTTGAGGATCAAGCCACGGATTGTTGTCTTGCCCTAACGAACGAACGATCCACTGACAATGTCCCAGGCCAGCCTCCCCAGAGCCCCTATGGCCAGCAGCAGCAGGGCCAGTACGGACAGCCTCAGCAGGGCCAGTACGGACAGCCTCAGCAGGGCCAGTATGGCCAGCAGCCCGGAGCTTACGGCCAGCCTCAGCAGGGTGCCTACGGCCAGCCCCAGCAGCCCGGCCAGTACGGTGCTCAGCCCGGCCAGCAGCCTTACGGTGCGGCCCCCGGTGCTCCCATGGGCGGCTCCGGCGCCAACGCCGGGGCCCTGCTCCAGTCGCTCCAGCACTGTGTCCAAGACGTGAGTGTCTCTCGGGCCACCACCACAACCCACAGCCCACTGACCACCCTTCTCGCAGCAAGGCATCCAGGCCTTTTACCCCCCGGGCTCGCTTGAGCAGATTGCCCAGCGCGTCGCCCAGTCTGGCGTGCTGAACAAGATCGCCGCCGAGTGGCGCATGCCCATGGAGCTCGCGTCCGACCTCGTCAAGATGGCCCTCTTCGACTTTGTCCTGTACATTGACGACTCGGGTTCGATGGCGTTTGAGGAGAACGGCGAGCGTATCGACGACCTCAAGCTCATCCTGTCCCGCGTCGCGTTCGCCACCTCGCTCTTTGACGCCGACGGTATCCAGGTCCGCTTCATGAACTCGAACCTCCAGGGCGACAACATCTCCACCGAGGCCCAGGCCATGCAGCTCGTCAACCAGGTCAAGTTCTCGGGCCTCACCCCACTGGGTACCAGCCTCATGAACAAGGTGCTCCAGCCCCTCGTCCTCGGCCCCGCGCGCCAGGGCACCCTCCAGAAGCCCGTCGTCGTCATCGCCATCACGGACGGTACCCCGGCCGGCGAGAACAAGGACGAGGTCTTCAACGTCATCCAGCGCGCAGACCGCGAGCTCGGCTCTTCCCGTTACGGCCGTGACGCCGTTTCGTACCGTGAGTGCCGTGACGCTGAAAGTAGAGCTGCAAATAGAACACGAGCACATACACAAATAATAATAATAATAAACAACGAACTGACCCGACACAGAGTTTGCTCAGGTCGGCAACGACCAGAAGGCACAGCAGTTCCTCGCCGTCCTCGACAACCACCCCGTCGTCGGCGGTCTCGTCGACTGCACGTCAAACTACGAGGCCGAGCAGGCCGAGATGGCCCAGAAGGGCGTCGATCGTGAGTTTCGGTTTTCCACAAGTGCTGTACACCTCGCTAACTAGGGAAACAGTCACCCCAGAGCTCTGGCTTGTTAAGGCGAGTACACAGGCGCCAGACGAGTTGTTTTGTCGTTGCGTCGTGAAGAAACGAGTTGAGAAAAGGATTTGGAGGTGGTGTGGCGAAAAAAAGAAAAGACAAAAAAAGGAGAAAAAAAAAGCCCCTCCCCTCCAAATCCACATACTCGCCCTAGTCCAGTCCCAATGGCCCACGCTCCTGTCACAGTACCCGGGCACCAAGATGCCCGGGGTACTCGACGCACGGGGCCGTCACTAGTGGACATTGTGTGAAGGAAGGCCCCTGTGGGGGGTTTTGAAGTGGCGGTCCTGTGCCACCAAGGTCTGCCCCCGGTTTTCGTGTCTGCCGCTGGCCTATCGGGCGTACCGTCTTGTCGCTGGAAAGTTGGGACCGTGACCATGACCGCGGCCAGCATACCCAGCTGCAGGTGACGGGGCGACGCGCCTGTGCGCTCTGCTCACGGACGCTGCCACTGGAGAATCCCCGCGTCGACCCCCGCCTCCCCCCCAACACACACACACAGACAGTAACCCAAACACATACTGACCCTCCCTCGCAGCTCCTCATGGGTCCCATCGACACGTCGTACGACACCAAGGATGAATAGACGGAAATGCGAAACGACAAGCGGGGACCGAAGCCAGGAGGGAGGAGGAGGGAGGAGGGCGATACACGCACGCACCGTGAACATTTTTCTGTTCTCTGTGTTGTTTTACTGAAGACGATCTCACCAAACCCTTTATGTACAGTACATAGCGGCGCGTATCCAGCCCTCTGCGTAATCAGTGATTCAGTGATGCAGGTTTATGAACGAATGAACGAATGAGTGAACGAACGGTGAGAAGGGCGCCGCCGTTCACCGGGTCGCGCGCTGCAAGCTGCAAGCTGCCCTGCCTGCAGCCTCAGCCTACTGACCTCCTGTCCTGACCGCCCGACTTGCGCTTCGGCTTCGGCCCGTACGACCCCACGGCTTGCCGAGTCGCGCGCGGAGATGTGCGCGGATCTCGTGCGGGGCCGCCGCGTCGGCGTGGCCCGTGGCCCATGGCGATGGGTGAGGGCGATGGCGGTGGCGGCGACGGCCACGCGTCTGTTGGCGTTTTTTTACGGCGTCTGGTGGGCGATGGGCGACTCGACTCGGCGGGCCGGGGGCGTACGCCCAAAGTCGCAACATGGCCAGCCGGCGGTGGGGGCGGTGACGAGGCGTACGGCGTGAGTGTGCGGTACACGCTGTGTACGCCGCTGCGTTGCTGCACAGCTGTATGCTTTACGACGGGCCAGAATCCACCTCTAGGCGTGTGTGGTGGCGGCTCGTGGCGGGGGAATGAGTGACGGGCCATCGGCGTATCAACCATGCGCCATTTTGCGTCTGCGTCTGCGTTCACGTTTCGTCGGAGGATGGGGGCCGAACATGGCCTCTTGCGTGGGCCCCAGTCGGCGGCCGCCCGCGGAGCGAACCACTGCACGACCAGAAGCCACGCATTGCCCGTGTGGCGCGCACGTGTAAAGCGATGTTGTGGGGGTGTGGTGAGGCGTGGACTTAGGGTGCATGGTGGCCCATCGTCGACGGGCCGTGTGCATGGATTGAGGCCGATCCCAATCTGACTGACTGGCTGTCCCCGATGGCAGCGTCACATGTTTCAGTGGTTGTCTGCATTTACGGGTTCCACGCCGTTTCCCGAGCGCCGTGTCCGTGGTGTCTCACCTTGGTCGTCACTTCGCAAGTAGCGAGTCGAACAGTATGTGTACGTTTGCATGTGAGTATGAGTGTGAGGGAATCGAGGAGACTGCACACATCTACTCACCGCGTGGCCTGTTTTGTCAGATCCATCGAGCGCAAGCTGCACGTGTCGCTGCCGACCCAGACATATCTATTACGTGTCCGTGTCCGTGTAGGTGTCTGTGACAGTGTGGTCTGTACCTTCTGACGTCTTTCGGTGTATGTGTCTGTAGGTTGTTTCACTACAGTACTCTTGGGGGTAACGGCGGCCATCGCCACATCGCTGTTCCGTGTCGTCGTGTGTCAACCACCTCGTGCATTTTCCGTGTCGATAACCAGTGGACGGGGCTTGCATGCCCCCCCAAACCGTCCACCGTGACGTGCATGACGCACGCGAGTTCTTGTGTCAGACACGAGCGTCGTGCATCCACTTGTCGCCGGCTCACATGCGGCACGGCACAGACGATCGGCAACACACAGGTACACAGATCGGCCGCGAGGCAATGACGAAAGGGGTCTCCCATTTCCCGATGTTTTCTCTCATTGGGGTTCCCCAGTCCTTTCCGTCCTCCCCGCACTCCTCTGCAGTGGTGGTCGGATAAAGGGGTATATACATGTTTACAGAGCGTACCGGGGCGCGCGGCAATGGTGTGGTAAAATTGAGATCCACGGCAAAGGGAGTCAATCGCGAGATCTGTGGCAAAGGACGTGAAACGAGTCCACACTGCGTGCCGAAACGAGTGTGCAGAGGGTCGACGGGCAGTGAGGCGCCGTGTGCGTGTGTGCGTGTGTTGCCATGCTGGCGTCAACGTGGCTCCGTACACGAGCATCGGGTGCTGCAACGATCGCCTTTGGGGTGGACCTGGCGGCACAGTCCGATGAAGATCGGCGCCTGTTGACGGTGCTGCGATGGTAAAGACGGAAAAACAACCATGTACATGTGCAGCAGCCAAGATGATCTGTGCTGGAGAAACCACCAGCCGTAGATCTTGGAATCTATACAAAAAGATCTTGCGAAGAAGCAAACACGCAAGATCCTGGCCCCTGGACTAGACGCAAGAGACACGAGATCGCCACTGCGCGCCGACATGTGGCTGGCATGTGGCATTGGATTCCCGCCGGCGAGATCTGCTGCATGTCACACAGGTCTCGCAAAGGCAGAGGGCGTCACGCATGGCACATCGGTCGCTCTGAAAGAGATGGAGGCTGGCCATCTGGTAAGCCAACGTTAGGTGATGTTGACTGCCTGCATGTTTACTTGTTGTTTTGACACATGTCGACCGCAGATGCTAATAGCTTTGCTTGGCACGGATACTAACCTTTGAGACTCCATTTACGGCACACGACATGGACCCTGGGTTCACAACTGCTTTGGCTCCTTACCTTGGTCCCACTTGCACCCACTTGCCACTTGCCTGCCCGCCATTACCCCTCTGACCGTCGCTTACGCTTAAGGGATTAGAAATATATATTGTCCACGGCCGTGTGGCCCCAATGCCTCGGTCAAGCCATAAAATGCAAATGACATTGGCCTGTGCCCGGTCGGCTTAGCCGGCGGTCTGTCCGGTGGAAAGTGAGCGGGAGATCACCGCACCGTCGATCCCAGCAGTTTGCCGAGGTCTTAGGTCTCTGCGTCGGCGTGTGGCCAATGTCCATCACCCATATCCTACAGGAGGCGTGCAGGGTCGGTTGAGCGAGCATGAGAAAGAAATAAGGAGCAACGGGCAAAAAGGTCAGAAATGGAGGTTTTGTCCCTGGTGGCGTTTGGCATACTCCCCTCTCCCTCATTCTCTCTTGCTTGCACCACTGCCGTTGCCCTCTATTTACTCTCTTGGCCGTTTGGCCTCTGGGTTCATGGGACACACTGCGTGCCGATTCCCAGTCTCGGCGGGACGCCACGAGGTGAACAACAGGTAGTCACGCGCCGTCGCCAGCCTCTTGTGCCAGAGGTGGCAGGCGTCCCAAGTCCGGGACCGGAGATACTATTTACTCAACTGCCCGTTGCTGCGCACGCAACCATGCTACTGTACCGGATGGTACCTCCTGGATGGATATGGAAAGCCCACGATCCCCACGACCAGGAGAGTTTGAGCTCGCAGCGGCGCAGGGTGTGTTAAGGTGAGAAGGGGCGGGAGTTAACTTTGTCTTCCGAAGAGTGAATGTCCCCGGCCTGGTGTTTTCCTGTTCTTCCCAGAGAGATCGAGCGCAAAGGAGAGACAATGCTGAACGGAACGCAGGCAGGCGGCGATCAGCAACGTGGCACTTGTGCTTCAACAACAACAAATGCAATGAAATCTGGACCCATTGAACGGAGCTTTTTGTCCATGGCCTTGGTTCCGGACCATCGTCGGTTTCGTGCCAAGAGTGTGAGTGCGTCTTGGATTTTTACGCCACAAATGTCGCCGCCATGGCTGCGTGGCTGCTCAGCCGGGCGATGCCGAGGATTGGCCATGTCTGTTGATTTTAACGGGAATGGTGATTATGGTTTCGGTTCGCGCGGCCACTGCGTGGTACGGTGCAAAAGGCATGCGAGCGCGGTGACTGGGCCGGTCCCCCCCCCCTCTCGGTCAACACCCTCCGGCAGACGCGGCATGGGCGAGACATCCTAGATCCTCTTCCGCCGCCACACTTGGCGCCTCATGCGACGGCCGCTCGGGGCAGCTGCACCTAAACTCTACCCACGACGCCAATGAAAGCAAAAGGGTGCAGGTCCGTTATATGTCCGCCCGCTCCGCCTCCGGAGCCTCTCGCCAGCCTCGTATGCAGCTGCCAGCCTGCGGGGGGCTGTTCCCAGCGGGGTTTGAAAGCGCATGTGGCGTCGGGGCGATCACCAAAGGTCTATTCAATGAAGGTGGGACCAACAGGGAAACACAGCAGTGAAAGCGGCAGTGGCAGCCAGCAGGTAGACAACGGTCGTGGGTGTGGTGGGGGGGTGTTACAGTTTAACAGTTTGTAGGATTCGCAGGACGAGATGGGTATACAGTTTGGCACTAGTGTGTGCCAAAAGAGACGTCTCCTCTGCTGGATGTGGGAACTGGAGAAGCGAGAGACAGGAAGCAGGGAACGCATGGACGCGCATGCGCACGCACTGGCGGCAACACCCACTTATACCGGAATTACTGCTGTCGCTGTCAGCCAGATAGAGAGGGGAGGCTAGCAATGTCGACCGTGCGGAATAACTGCTGCATTCTGTTGCTGAGAATGAGATCGGGCCAAGCGTGTGAGACACCCAGCAGAGACCGAGAGGCGGGGTTCTGGCCACGAGAAAGCGAGCGAGAAAGCGAGAGAGACAAGACGTTTTTGATCTGTTTCGCAAATATCCACATTGATCACACAACTAAGACTCCGAACTCCAAACTCAGCTTCCGTTGCATGCAGTGAGGCACTAGACCAGGGAGGTAAAAGAGCACACTTGCAGAGAGTGGACTGGCAGTAGAAGGCCGGTGTTCGGACCGCTGTGGAACAGCGCACGAGTCGGTCGGCCGGTCGTCGTCGCCGCCGCCGCCGCCGTCGTCCGGTGTGTGGTTAATCTCTCCGGAACGCCAACGCCAAGGAGGGCAGCGCTTGTCTCTTTGACGGCCATTCTGTCGGTTCCTCGGCGTTCGTCTGGCGCACATGGCTTGCTGGCGGCGACACCTCTTTGGGCCCGTGCTCAGTTGTGCGCTCTCTGTGCATGCCTGGGAAACGCGCTGGGACTGCGCGTGCACGCTGGGTAGGTGTGTGGTGGTCGGCCCAGCTCGGATGATCCGAAATGGGCCAAGAGGGGGCCAAAGGCAAAGGCCCCCGACTGGAACCGCATTCAGTCAACTCTATAGTGTCACCTGTTCAGTAGCATGGTCTGCTGCTCTCGCTGTCGATGTATTCATCGTCTCCCTCTGTCTCCCTCTCTCTCTCTCGTTCTCACCATCACACCGTCGTCGCCGTCGTCGTCGTCTCCACTCGCACACACATACATATACATACCTCGATCAAGGCGCAGCGCAGAACACAAAGGACCCCTTGACTCCCCTTCCCCACTCATCCGACCACACCCCTTTGCCCCTACCATTTCCCTCGATCTGGTCGTCTCATCTCCACATCTCACACCACACATCCGACCACCAACCAGCCGTCACACACATCCCAGACAACACACACATCCCAGACAACACACACACACACGCACACACACACGAAGGGAACAGACTGCTGCGGGCATAAAGGCGACCACCTATGCTCGCTCGAGAGACTCTTATCTAGCAGTCGACGCAAGAAGGAGCTCGCCCCACAAACGTCTCCACACCCCCTCCTCCCCCCGTCCTCCAACCCGCCCGTCAAGTCCATCCGGTCGACCCCATCTCTCTTCTTCCCACCACACTTATTCAACTACATTTCTCTCCCTCCCTCCCTCCTTCATCTCTCTCTCCGCCGCCGCCAGTACTCGGTGCCTGGTGCGCTAGCAATCAACATCAGCACACACACGGCACCTAGCGACCGTTCGCACCGGCAGCACGCCGATCGGACTTGGACCGACGGTCCGACGACCTCCCGCTCCAACACCCTCAGCCTCGCCCAGGTCCTCTACCGCTGAGGACCGGCACTGGCACTGGAAGCCTCCCCAACACCCCAGTGCCGAGTGCTGCGCGCGGTATGTCCCTCCCGACCCCTGCGCCATCGCCCCCAGCCTCGCCAAACCTTGCAGCCCGTAACGGTCTCGAGCCCGCACCCCTCCTCACGCCCGACCTCGAGCTCACCGCGCCCCCTCTCTTCCAATTGCTTCGAGAGACAGGTGCCGGCGGCACCGCCGTACAGGTTGGTAGCGAAACGTCTGCTCCGGACGCCTATGCCGAAATGGTAGCGGCAGCAAAGCTGGCAGCCGGCGGCAGCAGCTTTGACACGGACGCCGACGAGGACGTCGTCAACGACAACGGGTTCGAGCACATTGACATGTCAAGACTCGGCCTCGAGGCCATGCCGTCGCACACCTCGGCCGCCGGCGACGCTTCTCGCGTGTTGGCTGACCACGTCCACCCTACGCCCCATGCCGTGAATGGGCCCCCTCGACCCGGCCACATGCTTGAGCATTCCGCGGCCACGAGCAGCATCAGCCGCGACGCCAGCGCCATGGCTGTCGCATTTGCACCGTCCTCTGCAACCGACGTGTCCGTCGCTACAGCACTTACCTCGGACACAGCGGCCGACTATCTCTTCCCCGTCATCCCATCGATCGAAGGTTACCGCCAGCAACCCACCGAGGCGTTTGGCGTGGTCCCAGGATTCGCCTTTGGTGCACCACCACTCCTGCCTCTTGTCGAGCCCCAGACTGTTATCGCTCCAGGCTTCTCCTTTGGTGTACCAGCCCCCGCGTTCATCGCGCCCGAAACTGATGCTGGCATCGTTCCCGGGTTTGCTTTCGGTGCGCCACCACAACTGCAGCAGCAGCAACCCGAGCCTGCCACCCGTATCGCCCCCGGATTCACGTTCGGGACGTGTCACTCCGCCTCCTCGGCCACCACCCAGCCTGAGACGGCCTCGACGAGCTCTAGGAGCTCATCTCGTCGTCCACAGGACGCTCTCCGCCTCAGCCCTCCACCACCTTTCTCATTTGGCACATGCCCCCCAGACCCGACACAGTTCTCGTTTGGCCAGACCGCTCCCACCCTCCCGCAACAACCACTCGTCTCGACCCCAGCAGCCGAGCTTGGCCCGTTCGAGTACCCCGTTGCTGTCGCCGCGACTGTGGCCACTCCGTCGCCGCGTGATGGGTCACGTGAACGTGAACGTGACCTACGCCGCGCGGTGAGCGGCTCGGTGCTGGGCAACAACACGCCATACATTCCTCTGCGCACCTCGCGTTCACCTGGAACGTCTGCGGGCACCGGCCGAGCCTCTACACACTCGTCGCCAGCGACCACCCCACCTGTCACTGCCAGCGGTGCTCACCCCTTCTTCCCGCGTTCGCCGCCCATGGGTCGTCGTGGCTCCATCGCCCTAGGCCAGATCTCACGCCTCGCTCGCAACCTTCCGGGACCGCCCAAACCATCTGTTGCGCCCCCAATTGCGCGTCGGCCGGGCCACACGCCTTCGTCGAGTATTGCGTCCAACTCGGCTGTCGCAGTACCGACACCTGCCTCACCCAGCATCGGGTCATACGTCTGCCCCAGCGGGTCGTACTCTAGCGTCTCGCCAGTCATGACAGCACCCTCGCCGTTGGCTCTCAGGCCCCAGCACGGCCGCCGGTCTTCGTCTTCGTCGTCTCTCCCCACCTCGTCACCCAACCCCAGCTTACCACTTCCCTTGGCCGTCGCTTCCCTGCCTGGGGTCACCACACCTGGCGCTACGCCCGTCAACATCAGCGGACCAATCTACCTCCCGCCCCGCGCGACCGTTGGCGGCCCCCTGGCCTTTGCCCATGCGCCTCTCCCAGCACCCATCCCACCCTCCCTCCTCGCTCGCCGCGGCAGCGTCCCTCTCAACGCGTTTGTCGGCCTCCCAGCCCCGCAAGGCGGCTGGAACCCCCAGGTCTCCAAGCTGTACCACCAGCCTCAGCGCCGGGGCGTATCAGCACCCCGTCCCCGTCGCTGGAGCGGCAAAGAAGACTCACACCCAGCCCTCGTCTCCAGTGTCGGCAGCTCGAGCAGCGTCACGTCCTTGGCCACGCCTCTGACGACGCCCACAACCGACACCGAGAGGAGGAGCTTCTGGCCCCTGGCGCCCGTGCCCGGCAGCGGCAGCGCCCTAGCCGTCGGGCCCATCGTGGACAAGGCCCTGGGCACGACGCCCACCCCGACGGGCCGGTCGGACGTTGACGCCGTGGAGCAGCTGGTCACCAACCCGCGTGGTCCCGGCGCGTACCGTCGCCTCATTTCGGCGCCGATCCCACTCTCCACTGTCCCCAGCTGTGACGGTCTCTAAACCCCGTCGCCTCCGTTCATCAAACACACACAATTCACACCCTCCATCCTACACAAACTCAACACAACACATGCACAACACACACGCAACATGGCACATGACACAATCTCCCTTGCTCGCCCCTCCATATCCTCCTTTTTTGGTTTTCCTCCAGCCGGTCCCTCTCCTCTCGGGTTATTGTTCTTTGAGAGCTAGTCTCTCCCTCTCTCTTTTTATTTGGGTACATTCATCTCTCACTTTCTTTTTGGGTCTCTCGGTTCTCGTCTCTCTCCACCACACGCACGCAGCACATACACGTCAAAAGGTCAAACAAAAGCCTTCATGCAATCTTTCTCTGATGTCCACTGCTGCAGCTGTTGTGTGTGTGTGTGTGTGTGTCGTTGTAATACTGAGCAAAGATACTCGAAGCTGGCGAGCGCGCGCGGCGTCGCTGAGACCTGTCGGGCTGACGACACGCGAGTGGTCTGAAACATGTCCGGTTTGTGTACGAGTGTGTTTGAAAGTCTGCACGAAAGCATCGTGCGTGTGTGATCTGCACAGAAAGCGTTTCTTACGCCATGGACGCCAAAGACGCCAAAACGCGTTCCAGGCAGTGCGGATCTTTACGAGGGCGGAGGTTTTCCACCGCAGCGGACAATTTATCGCGCCCACCACATCCTGTGCATCCTGTGGGCCTGTAGGCCCGTTTGTGCTGTTTCGCGGCCCTTCGCGCAGCAGCACATACATACATACATACCCATGGGTGCCTACAACACTGGAATTGACGCGTGTGCAAGGGATTCCACTGGTTGCGGGTGCTGTGTGGGCGCCCAGGCGGCAGGGCAAGCATAATTGCGGCAAGAGGCAGTGGTAGCGGCATGTAGGGAGCATACCGCCGGCCCCGCCTCGACCAATAGCTGAGAGCTGAGAGGCAAAGCACACAGCTGTGCCACGCGTCAAGGCCGACTGTTGGCGACGTTCAGAACCGCGGGGTCGCCCCAGTCAGATATCACAGTGAGCGTGCGCGGCCCTGTGGGTACAGACTGCCCCACTGGTTTGCCATACCCGTCCAGTCTACAAACGTTTGAATCGACGGCCTTCAGCGACGGCCAGCACCTCCAGTGGTACTTTCCAAGAGTACGGCGTACATCTGTCGTGCATAGGCGTAGGTTCAAACGTCGACACTGAAGGGCAGGCAGTCATGGCCCATCGTGTCTCGACACAGCACGGGCCGTCTCTCCCAGTCGCCACACGCCACAACCATCCGGGAGCCGAGCCAACGCCAACAGGAACCGCGCGCTCGGTGTCGTTTGCAAAAAGACCGCGCCGGGTCCGGACTCGGGAGAGCCCCTGTACCCGGAAATCTGTCACAAAGATGCAGCGTAAAGCTTTGGTACGGTTGTGCTACGCGGCCTTGGAAGAATGGAGCAAAAAGCGGCCGTTATGACGAGGTGACCTGGTGGCCAGGTGGGTGATTCGAAAGTGCAAAGTGTGTACAGTACACTATGGGTCACCGAACCGGGACGTCTTGGCTGGTCCCACCGCGCCCCTCCTTGCACTGGGTAGTTAGAATACAGGCACTGGGTCAAGTGAATAGGTATAGTTAGATGCATGGAGCTTTCGGAGTCTGGGCAGGGGCGAATGCCAAGAACGCAATGTGACGACCACGTAGAAAAGAGTGACTGTTGGCCTTGGCCTTGTTATAATGGTCAGCTTGCCTTCACATCAAAGCCCAGGCCAACAAGGGCACTCCGATTATTGCCGTCGGTTAGTTGGACTGCTGTTGAACCCGTGCTCTCTGATGTCAAGACGCCACTCACGTGAGCTTGCCCACTCCGAGTCGACGGCAAACTCGACTCAACAAAAACCCGCACCGACGAGCGGCGTATGTTGGACGAATGGAGGATATGGAAATGAGGGTTTGTGAATGGATTCACAGAATGGAACAGGTTTGCGACACGGTCTTGAGATAATGAGGCAATACCGGCCGTCAAGATGTCAAAAGGAGGGAACAGGAGTGATCGGCAGGTGTCGGCAGGTATCGGCAGGTGCGCACCGACGTGCATGGAGGCGAGTTAGACGAGAAGGCTGTGGTCGATCTCTGGCCATGTTACGGCACTCCTGGCCAGGCAATGAACACGGGAACATGCACGTCGCCAGCAGAAAGTCGCGGGCTCCAGCTTGCCCGTCTGTCCGGTTATCATGCCCACCTCGATCCCCGCCGTGCAGCCGCTCGAGACCATGTTTGATCGAGCCCAAGCCGCACGCCACAAGCCACGAAGCCACGAAGCCAAGGCTGGACCACATCGTCGGAGCGAAGGTGGCTCAAAGAACAACACGGACGGCTAAAGCCGTGACAGCAGCTGAGACAAGCGGCGAAGCGGGAACGCTTGGCACGAAAAATGGTCATGTTACCATGGTATCGTTGAGGCAGAGCCGCCATGGATCCTTTGCCGCCCATCGCGGCTAGGGCTAGGGGAGTGTGCCAAGCAGCACCAGCGGCCAGCGGCCAGTGATCCGCAAATCCGCTGCCAAAAGGCTTAGTGTCTCACCTCAACACCGCGACCCAGGTCACACGACATAGCGATCGCCGCTGGCGAGAGACGTCGAAAAGGAAAGTCGGGGGGAAGAACATCACTGTCGTCGCGGAAGAGTGGGGTATCCTGGAGATCCTGGAGGCCACTGCGTTGAGGGCGCGCGGAGGTTTGGTGCGAATCAAACGGTTTAGATGGGCATGCTTTCATGCCTAGCGCAAAAATGTCAAAGAAAAAAAAGAACAGAGGCGAAAGCGGCACCGGATGGTTTGTGCGTTATACGGTAGTTTGTTTAGGTCAGTCTTCGCCCCCATCAACATGCTATTGGGTGGGCAGGCCGCAAGGTTGGGGACGGACGACGTCCAGCATGGCCTGGGCACCGTTGGGGGCAGTCTGTAACCGACGACACCGGACGTTTAAGTGTGCGGTGATGGGCAACGTAGACGGAAAAACAGTGTTGGTTTGACTTTTGAACCGCGGCCAGCGCGTATAAGCATAGTTGCGATCTGCCCAAACAGTCCCAATCTGAAGCGAGCAGTTTCAAACGTCCGCGGCCGTCTTTATCGATATCTCGGCCCCCCGCAGGCGCCCCACAACTGCAGGCATGTAACGTCCGTCCCATCTCAAGATATATATACACTGGACAGTTCTCGCTTACGGGGAACCGACCCACCTTGAGCCCGAAACGTTGGCACACGGAATAAACGGCAACGATTGTGGTATGTCGATAGGTCGGGGGCCCAAACGGAATTCTCGGCCTCGTCGGTTCGCAGCCTCCCAGTGTGTGGCCATGGCAACCAACACGACGTGGTGCCTGTCTCCCTCGCCGGCGGGACGTGGTAGCGAGCACCGGTGGTGAAGCGGCAAAGGCGGCAACTTTGGCCTATTCCGCTGCCTTGGGGCCTCTGCTGTCAGGCCAGCTGTGTTCAGTTGTGGCCAAAACGATTCCCGCCTTGGAGGAATGGCGCGGGGGTGCGGCGTCGCTGTGCATGTGGGACTCAATGCCGATCCGCCAAAGGGATCTGGTTCGTTTGCCCGCCTCGACGCCTCCTGTACCTCTGTACTCTGTGGAAACTCACTTTTCCGCCCGGCAGCTGCAGTCCCGAATCGCCTCCTCCCTTCTCATGCGTGTTCCTTTGGTCTGGGCACCCGGGTTACAGGGACGAGGGTGTACGAGCACACATATGGCCTCGTTGCTTTTGAGTGTCATGCCGCTCCGACCACGACTTGTCGCCACTTCAGCCCTTGGCCGCGGTCCAACCTTTTGACTTGCCTGCGGATTTCGCTTGAAGCGAGGCATGCCATCTCAGGCCCGGCAATTCGTACGTCACAGCTTCTGGCTCCCCCACCCGTTTTGGATTCCTCTGATTCGCCCAGATTGACAATATCCACTGGGTTTGAAAGGCAACAAGTGCGGCCATGACGTTTTTGAGCCTCAGTCAGGCCCCCTCGGCTGGCCGTTAGCTCGGTTCTGCCCATTTGGGCTTGTTACGTTGGTCGCAATCGTTGTCTTGCATCCCGCCCCAGTAGTGGAAACCCTTCAGAGAAGCCGCGTGATCAACTCCTGACACCCGGCTGACACTGTTGACCTGAGCACCTGACCTTAGCCGCCGGTCGCGCGGTGGTGTGTGTGGAGTGCGTTAAAACGGCACAGACGACGCGAGGTGGGGGAGGCCGAGTCCTGGTTGCAAGCGTGCCGAGGACAACTGCTTTGTCACTGCAACTGGCCTTGCTGCCTTCTGCAGTCGCGGGCACGCCTCTGATGTGGTACGCTAGTGCCCTTCTTTGCACTGGTCTGGCTCTCTTGTGCCTCTGCGCTCCCCGGGCCACACCGCGTTGTGCGCTGCGCCTGCACGATCCGTACGATCCGGTGATCTCCCTCGTTGCGTTGCCTCAACCCTGCGCGACTTCTCACACGACCGCCTACGTGCCCGACATACTTATAGCTGCCAAGAACCCCACGGGCACTCCCCCGCGTCGCTCGCTTTCGACACCCACACCCACACCCACTCCACATCACACCCCTTTTACCCCGCCAAGACAAGAACGCCATCAGGACAGACGGCCACAATGTCCAATCCCCACAGCCACGATAGCAGCATCGATGCGGACACCAAGCACGACGCTATCCACTATGCCGACAACACCAGCAAGGGCCTCGACGAGACCGAGCATTATGAAAACCGCGGCCGTCGCGAGTCGGTTGGCGTCACGCCCGACGACGTGTACAACCCTCTGCAGAAGCTCACCACCCCGCAACTCATGGCCGAGGTCGACCAGTTTTGCACAGAGTATGGTCTCCAGGAGGACAACGAGGTCTTCCGCAGGGGTGCCCTCGCTGCCCGGAACCCCAAGAACATCGAGGGCATCACGGAACTGAGCGCCGAGGACAGGGAGACGCTCATCTACGAGCGTAACCATCCGTGGCACCTGCCCCGTCTGCTCTTCTACTCTGTCATTCTCTGTGCCATTGGTGCAGCCACACAGGGCTGGGACCAGACTGGTTCCAACGGTGCCAACCTGTCCTTCCCCCAAGAGTTCGGCATTGGCGCCAAAGTCGGCGAGCCCAACGGAGAGCGCGACGAGTGGATTGTCGGTCTCGTCAACTCGTCGGTCTACATTTCTGCCGCGTTTATCGGCTGCTGGAGTAAGTGGAGCGCACGCGGGGTGGCGGTTGCGGTTCGCTTTGGTCGCCTATAGCTATACCTATATCCGCGATCGGCAACTGCACCACCGTGGTTTCATTCCGCCACAATGGCCGAGACACTTGAGACACTGACATCATCTTCTTTGCTACAGTTTCCGACCCGCTCAACCACTGGTTTGGCCGTCGTGGTGAGATCTTCATCACAGGTATCATCCTCATCGTTACGCCCATCGCTTCCGGATTCACCCACAGCTGGGAAGCACTCATGGCCGTGCGTTTCGTCATGGGCATCGGAGTCGGCGCCAAGGCCTCCACGGTGCCCATGTTCTGTGCCGAGCTGTCGCCCGCCCGTATCCGCGGTGCCCTCACGATGGGTTGGCAACTCTGGACTGCGTTTGGTATCTTCCTCGGTTTCTGCGCCAACGCCGCCGTCAAGGACACGGGCGCGATTGCCTGGCGTCTGCAGCTCGGCTCGGCGTTCATCCCCGCCGTGCCGCTCACAGTCGGCATCTTTTTCTGCCCCGAGTCGCCCCGTTGGCTCATGAAGAAGGGCCGCATGCTTGACGCGTGGAAGTCGATGCGCCGTCTTCGTCACTCTGACATCCAGGCCGCCCGTGACCTCTTCTACGCGTACGCCATCTACTCGGAGGAGAACAAGATCGTCCAGGGCCGCACCTACTTTTCGCGTCTTACCGAGCTGTTCACCATCCCCCGTTGCCGTCGCGCTACTCTCGCCGCTGCTGTTGTCATGATTGCTCAGCAGATGTGTGGTATCAATATTGTGAGCTTCATCTGGTCGTGTTCGCTGCTGTTAAAGAGGTGGACGTGGGCGTGGCTCAGCAGCCACTTGAGTCTCACAGGATTTGTCCAATGTGGCACCTCCCCCATATACCCTCAACCCCTATTTCCACCGCACACGCCCGTTCCCGCAGACCTTGTGGCTAACGCACACCAGATGGCCTTCTACTCGTCTACCATCTTCGAGCAGGGCGGCGCCACGGCCTCGGAGGCACTGTACGCCTCGATCGGTTTCGGCGCTCTCAACTTCATCTTTGCCATCCCGGCCGTGTTCACCATTGACTCGTTTGGCCGTCGTTCGCTCCTCCTCGCGACGTTCCCCAACATGTAAGTAGATGACGGTTCCCTCGCGGGAAACACGAAAAAGAAACTGACACGCCTCAGGTGCTGGACCCTCCTCGTTGCCGGCATGTGTTTCTTCATTGACCAGGGCGTCGAGCACTCCAAGACGCGTACCGGTGTCGTCGCCTTCTTCATCTACCTCTTCACCATTGCGTATTCGATTGGTGAAGGTCCCGTGCCGTTCATGTACTCGGCCGAAGTCTTCCCTCTTCCTCAGCGTGAACAGGGCATGGTGAGTCGTCGTTGAAGCCTTTCGTGTCCACTTCCTTGTCCTGACACACCGCACAGGCCTTTGCCGTTTCTTGGAACAACTTCTGGGCCTCGGTCCTTTCCCTCACGTTCCCGCGTCTCCTCCGCTCGCTCACGTCGCCCGGCGCGTTCGGCTTCTACGCCGGCCTCAACGCCGTCGCCTTTGTGTGGATCTACCTCTGGGTCCCCGAGACCAAGCAGCTCACCCTCGAGGAACTCGACGCCGTCTTCAGCGTCCCCACAGCCACGTTCTCGCGGTACCAGGTCGGCACGGTGCTCCCCTGGTGGTTCCGTCGCTACATCCTGCGCCAGAAGGACGCGTACCTCGCCCCGCTCGTCGTGCCCGCCGACAGGGTGAACGGTCCCGGCGCCGGCCACGGCGGCGTCACGATCAAGACCTCGGCGGCGTAGCGTGCCAGCGAGTGTCCCCTCCCGAGCAAGAGTTTAAGAGCCCAACGCGCAGGCGGAAGTGGAGAGCGGACGTGGAGGCCGGATAACTGCGCACAGCCCCAGTGCGCTCAAAGAAAACCCTAATATGATGTGTGGTCGTCGGCGGTATGGTGATAGTTGTGTAGTACGCTAGCAGTTTGTGAAGAAGTATGAAAGTCAAGTCGCTTTGAACACGATGTGTGCAGTGTGGTGGTGTCAGTCGGGGAGAGGAGGCCGGACAAGTACACGCCCGCCACTCCAAATACCAAACGTCCGATAAACACCCGACACCGACTCTTCCCTCCCAAACACCATCCAAATCCGCATGCATTCATCACACAGCCAGAGGACCATTACTCCCATCACCTAAGGCTCTAGACGAGCACGTCCCAGGCCGACATGACCCAAATCTCGCGTTTTTTACAAATTGTCTCGGCATTTTTTTCGTCTTCCTTCTGTCCACCTCCGTTCCACCCGCATCAACTCAAACCATCAACATCGTCTCTTCGCTAGTATATCGGTTAGTATAACCGCCTCTCAATAGGGAGTTTCCTAATTGGAATATCGCGGTAGAGCAGGGTTCAACTCCCTGGCGGAGAAGCTGAGCAGCGCGTGAGCGTTGTGTATCTTTTGCTTTTGCTCCAGGATCCAGTGGACCCAGTGGGATGGGCCGTGCCGATGGTGACTTGCTGGTGGTCGCGTACGAGGGGACGGTGTCGAGGTAGGTTTTGGAGGCTGGGTAGACGGACCTGGGTCCGGACCCGGGTCCGAGTCTGGATTCCACGTGTGTGTTGTCGTCGAGTGACTTGTGAGTGTGTGTGTGTGTGTCGGACACGAGGACGGCGATATGGCGATGGGAGCCATCGCAGACTGTACTGTATACAGGCTTCATCACGATCTATGGAAAAATACACAGTTACCCCTCCCCTCCTCTCTCTCTCTCGCCCTCCACAAGGTATTCGTCTGCTTCGGTCCTCATGTCATACGCCCATACCCGGCCTGTTGTCGCCGATATCCCAGCGAGTGTTCGTTTCTCGTCTCACAACCCTAAAGCGCGTGTGTCCACTGTCCCGTCTGTCTCTACTTGCTGCCGTCCTTCTTGAAGCTCTGGAGGAACGTGGCCATCTGGTTGATGCGGGCGTGCGCGACTGCGAGCTCTCGCTCGAGAAAGCGGATACGCTCGTCGCGCTCGGCGACCTGCTGCGACAGGTCGACGAGCTCCTCCTTCCTGCGCAGACGGTGCTTTTGCGCGCTCTTGCGGTTGATCGAGCGGCGGTGCTCGATGCGCTCGATTCGGCGCGCCTCCTCTTCCTCGCGGCTCGTGACACCGCGCACGCTGCGTTTCTGGCCCAGGGCGCGGGACGAGCTGCTGCCAATGGCGTTGAGCGGGGACTGGGGAAGCTGCGCGGCTGCAGAGGTAGCGGCACCGCTGCCCCTGGCGTGGTGGGGACGCGCCGAGCCCAAGGCGTCGGCCGACGGCGAGATGGTCGCTGTGCCCGAGGGCCCGAGGTTGAGGCCGCGGATCCCGGCCAGAGGGTTGGGCGAGACGTGGTCTGCGTCTCCGGCGTCGCCGTCCACGTCTGTGTCCATGTCGGTGGTGTAGAAGCCGTCCGTGTCCACATCGGTGGAGCTCAGACTCAGCCGCGAGTGATTGGACATGGCCGAGCTGGGGCGATACAGCGCGGTGTTGTCTTGAGCGCCGCTCTTCTGGTACGCAAAGGTAGCCGGGTTGACTGATGCGGGGCCAAGGGCACCAGCGCCGAGCGCCAGGTCGCTGAAGAACGTGCCGCCGCTCGTGTCCGGGTCATTCAAGAACTGGAGAGGGTTGAACTCGGACACTTGGCGCGCGAGTGGCGCCGAAGTGCTCATGGTAGTGGAGGTGGACGCCGTTCCTGTGAAGCTTGCGTTACCGTTGGCGTTGGCAAACTCGCGCAGCTGCAGATCAAGTCAGCGTCCGCAAAACAGCATTGCCCCGTCCCCAGCCACCTCGCTCACTCACGTAGCGGTTCAAGAGGTTCTCATCGCCCACAGCCGTCTCGCTCTGGAGCACGCCGGCGCGCCCGCCAATGATGGCATCAAGCTCGCGGCCGATGCTGGCAGCGGGTCCCAGCTGGGCACCGGTGGTGGTAGACGGTGCGGCGCGGGCGAAGCGGCGGTTGTTATCGTCGCCGCCGGCCCGGACGGTGGCCGAGGACGAGTTGAAGCTGGCATAAGAGTCAGTACGGGGAGGATGGGGAGGAGCGAAGATGTTTGGGGGTGGGGAGGAAGACAGCGGGGAGAAAGGAGAGCCCGCTCGGTGTGGGTGGGGCAGGAAAGCGTGGAAAGATGGAGTGCAGGATGGCCAGACTCACGAGTCGGCGGCTCCAAGGAGTTGGGGCATGGTGGCGACGGTGGAGGGAGAGTGGATGGCGGCTGTCTAGATGCGTGTTGGGGAGACAGAGAGAGTGGACGCAAAACGAGTCCGGATCCGGACAAGGGTGGGGAAGGAAGGGATACGGGCAAGGAAGGGGCGGCAAAATGACGCGTTGGTGAGACTCTGCTGCCGTCTGTGTCTTGGGCGCGGTGGACGTGGAATGTACGGTGTGTAATGGGCACGACGGGTCAAGTTGGCGACGAGTCTTGCCTGTGTGAGAAGGATGTATGCTCGACTGCAAGAGACCAAGGATGCGGATGAGTGAAAGAAGAGGTTGTCGTGGGTTGCAGCGGAGCGATCAGCGAGAGACAGAGAAGGGGATGGCCTAATATCCCACCCAGCACACGCATGGGCCCCGCCAGGAACAACCGCGCAGATAAACAAGCTGACTGGACTAATCCGCCACGTGGCAGATTTTCTAATAGGCCATAGGCTTCGTATACATTTAAAATAGACAGTGTTTCTGTGGCAAGTATTGACACCAAAAAAAGGAAAACCGTCTGCCCTCAACACCCTGCCGTCTACTCTCTCATCCTCGATATCAACAGATGTCCCTTCACATGTCCAAGTCCGGAATCATGCGGCCGTTGCGATAGTGCTTGGCCACCAGCTCGCGCACCTTGTCGATGATGAGCGCCGGGTCGACCCGCATATCGTCGCGGGTGGGCCCCTCGCTCTCCTGACAGCCGCGCGTGGGGCACTCGAGCGGTGTACACATGTCCTTGGTTTCGTGCACGAGGAAGTGCTGCACACCCGCGGCGAGGGCGAGCGGGGAATAGTCGTTCTGCGTGTGGTGTAAGCGGATGCTCACGTCAAGGAGTCGTGATGGGTCCAGGAGCGCGGAGAATGTTGCAGAAGTCGCTGCTGAAGAACAGCAACGAAAGTGCAGCAACGAAAGTGCAGCTAGCCCCCTTGCCACGGTGTCCGATATGAGGCGCCGAAGGGAGCGGATCATGGCGCTGACACCGTCTTAAGCCCTGCTCGTCACGACCCTCGTGAGCCCGACGAGCATGCCACCGCTCGCTGTGTCGAGCTCTATGCTCTTCCGCATCGAGGGTCTTGCGAACAGACGACGGTGCCATGGACACAGTTCCATTCCCACGGCCACAACAACGTTCATGACTCACCACAGAGCAGTCGTGCGGCTGGATTTCGAACACGGCACGGCCTTGACCTGGCGACATCCAGAGCGAGTGGGTGAGGCCGTTTCCATGGACAGCGATGACAAACTGCAGAAAAGAACACGGTCAGCACGGCACACAGAACGCGCACAGACGCCAAGCAAGCCGCGAGCCGCAACCCATACGCACGTCAGTCTTTGAGAATTCGGCGAGCTGGTCAGGGAAGGGCGTGCCGTCCACAAACTGGAGGAGGGTAAAGTCGATCACACCCTCGTCGTGCAGATCCTCAAGGGCGATGACGAGGTTCTTGTGCTGGTCGTCGTCGAGACGGCGGCCCGTGTCCTGGCGCGAGAGGTAGACGAGACGAGGCTTGTCCGGGTGCTGGAGCGAGACGGGGCCGGTGTAGCCCTTGAGCACGCGGTCGCGGAGGTTCTCGAGCCAGTTGTCCTGGACAGGCATGCGGAGGACGTCTCCCCACGGCTTGAAGCTGGCCGAGGGACCCTCGTGGCCGCCGCGACGGTCGCTGATGACCACGAGGGGCATGCGGTAGACCTCGTCCGAGTCACGGCGGTGGTGCCAGTCGACAGCGGTCTCGATACGCGCCTTGGGGCTGGGGGCCGTTAGGGAACCGAGCATTTGCGGGGAGAGGGCGGCCGCCGGCCCTATACAACAACTCACAACCAGGTCTCCATGAAGAAACGGTTCGCACCCGCATGGTCCTCCCAACCTTCCTTGCTGTGGTCGACCTTTGTCTCCTCCACGTTGAAGACCTTGGGGAAGGCAATGACCTTGAAGTCGGGGAGTGATGACAAGCCACGGGCCCAGGCGTAGTTGTTCCAGATACGCCAAGCACCGAGGAAGGTCTCGCCAATGAAGTGGTAGTCTAGTTTTGTTGTCAGCCAACAAGCCTACGCAATGGTCCCGCCACATTAGCCAAACTCACAGTGGCTGATGACTGCAAGGCGATAGTGGTCAGCATGTGGGTTCTTATGGGAGCAGCAACCGCGGCTACGCACACTGGTGGTCGTTGTTGAGGAGCTACGAGGGGGCGTTAGCTGAAACCCCCAAGGACGGGCACGGCTCCAACACTCACCATGGGGGCACCGAGTTCGAGCGACGTGGCCGTGAGGAGCGAAGCGTTGGCGACCGAGATGCTCTCAACGTCCTTCTTGTGCGCCTGCATCCTACCGATAGGGGGGCCGCGAACAGCCAAGATCTTGAACGAGCTCCCAATCTGTTCGCCGGCGTTCTGGTGGTTCATAACCCCCAGGTACTTGAGCTCGGGGACAGCCCATGGCTCGTCGGTGACGACGAGGAACGTGCCGTTGTGGTAGTAGCTGTGTGCAGTGTCAGCAATGTGATTTGTATGCATCACACTGCGTGCCAGACGCGAACGTTCGGCACACCCAAGCGTTTGGCACACCACAGTCGACGACGCGATGCAGCACAATTCAACGCGTGTACGTACACCCACGTACACACACGCGTAGTAACCCCACCACCACCGTGTGCGGCTGCAAGCGCGCGCTCGAGCCTAGTCTACTCACAGGTTCTCGATGACGCTGAATCCCGGTGCATGGGCGACAAAACGGGTGAGCAGGAGCTGGTCGTGCAGGCCCCCCTCGGACGGACGCAGGGGTGTCAACGCCTGCTGTTTCACTGCGGCGGGCTTGCCATGCTGAGCGATACGGCCGCCCACGCCACCGCCGCTGCCGCTGCCATGACCGCCGTTGCTGCTGGCGGCGTACAAGTCGTGGTGGACGGCCTTGCCGGAGATGGCAATGTACCCGTCGTCAATCTCGTAAACGTGCTCAGCAGCGCTGTCGTCCGAGGGGAGGAAGAATGGGATCTTGACCACGGCAGGGATGAGGAAGAGGGTGACGAGCGCCGCGAGGAGGACGCCCCTTGCCAGTGGACCTCTGATCATGGTGCGAGGACACGTGGTAGCTGGAGGCGGGTGTCTACGTGGTGGGGTGGTGGACGAGACGACGTTGATAGTTGTTGCAATGTACGAACGCGTAAAGCAGCACAGATCACAGAATGGCCTGTGGGTGTGTGTATACATAGCTGGGGGTGGGGAGTGCACCAGGGCGTTGGTCCCAGACCCACGGACTGGGCGATCATGCGTGGGGTGTGGTCCAGGCTCACACCTTTACTCCTTTGCTCCCCCTTTGCCTCTCCTGGCGTGCACCGTCGTGGTCGTCGCGTCGCGCAAACTGGGAGCGAGCGCAGCAAAGTTTGCACCTGTGCACCTGTGTTTGCCTATTTTTGCCGCATAGAGTGAGAGAAGGAGAGAGAGAGGGAAGGGGGAAGGTTGAGAGCCACCTAGGAGCGAGAGAGCGAGAGGGTGGTGTGCCGTACCCTAGTGCCATCTCGCACTCGATCAGGGCCCTGGTCGACAAACGCAAACTCTCATCTCATGATCGGGTGTGCGTAGGTTTGGTGGGACAACAGCGCACACCTGTTGGCGAGATCAAGAGACTCGTGCCGCCTTTGGCACAGGCTTCAGTCAAACACGGCAAAACCCAATCTGAGAGCGAGAGAGCGACAGCATGGTGGAGAGGATGCATGGTATGAGGCTGTTGTGGGGGTGAGATGAGGGTGGGCCTGTGTAAGGGGCCAAACCTATAAGGACATCGGTGACCTCGAGGGGCTTTGTGGTTAGTGCCATTGTCGACCCGACTGCGCCTGGCAATCTGCGCAATCATTCATCGCCAAGCGTGCAAGCGTCGTCCTTGCTCTGCTGCACCTGGACGCCACACCTTGCCTAATCTCTCACCCAGGCAGAACGCCCAGAAAAGACACTGTTCGGGAGCAGAACGGCAGTACGGCAGTACGGCAGACTGGCAGAAGCCACCGAGATACAATGAACCACAGGGGCACAGGCCGGGACGAGCAACAGCCAGCGCCAGCACACCCTCGATAGCGGGCATTGCACCCTCTCCCTACCTCATGTCCTCTCTCATGAGAAACAGCTCTTTTGCAGACTCAAGCTCCCGCAGGCACAAGACGTACATACATACGAGTAACAAGGCTGCCATCGTGCTTCCCCAGCAACAGTTCCTTGCAGCCATTTTGACCAGATGCATTCTCATGGTCGGTATGTTCAAAGTGTATAAAAATGACGTACTGTACCTCGCTGCACCTGGCAGAGAGGCGTAGACAAGCCTTTGGCGTTTCCAGGTGAGGTATGCCGTAGCAACAACAAAACCATTCCCCGGGGCCGTCCTCTCTGATCTCTGCGATGGCCCAATGGCCACTCGCCACTGCTCTACATTGGCACGCCTCCTACGCCTCGAAGGCAGAGGCGTAGGCATTCTCCTAAATTGCGCTGCCGGTCCGCGGGTCATGAGTCACAAACGCCCTCCGGCCTCCGACCGGATCACTGGCCGGTTTCGTGTTGCAAGTGGTGTCTCGTGTCGTCTGCCGCACACACCTGTGCAACCTTCAACTCCTGCCATCATTCCATCCTATGAATTCCGCACTGTGGTGATATGACAGATTAGCTAAGATAGCTAGATAGCACGACAGAACACACCACTTTCCGTCGGCAGAGCGCAGAGCACATGTGGCCCTGAGAGCAGAGCCTGAGGAGTGCGAGCGTGTGGCTGTGTGGCCGCGTGTGGGTGCAGCTGCTGCTGATCCGTTGAACAACCGAAAGGCCGTGAAAGGGTGCCTCTCAAAAACCATGCTGCGGAGACAAGCAGGACACGAGATGCATGGGTTTGCCCTTTGCAGGAATGCGCTTCTAGCGTGATCCCCCATGTCTTCTTGGATGGCCGCGACCTCACGACATCGCCCAGGTAAGATTGTAGATCGCAGATGTGTACGTGGTCTAGGGTAGGGAATGGAGGTGGAGCAGCCAAAACATGAGGGCTGAGAGAAGCCTCTCTCCCTTGCGTCCGTGCAAAGCGGACCAGCACGGCCGGACCAGTCCGCGGCCTGCGATCCGCAGCACAGAGGGTGTGCCAGCGTACCAGTGGCCAGTGGCAGAGTGCTGTTTGACAGACACGGGGCTGGTAAGCTGATAGGCTGGCATAGGCGTCCATGATCCACGGCGAAAGTTACTCTGATCTTACATGTCGTCCCCTGTGGCACCTCAAGGCCGCCCGTAATCCCCGCACGGCGGACGATACCCATGGCATGCCAAACATACAGCACGCTGGCCGTACCCTGGGAGATCCTTGGCCGGCACTGCGAGGTGGTGGCCGCTATGGCCAGTTTGCCAGTGACCTGACAGAGAAGCATAAGCATGGATATCCTCCTGGCCCCGACCAGAAACTGCGTAAAGGGCAAGAGAAACGCATAACGTAAGTCTTCCCCCAGATTGGGTTTGTTCTGTACTGGATTCTCCAGCGCACCGGGAAACGCATAGATCGGCGGTAAGGTCGTCTTAAGGGCGTACATGGTTGGTTTGAACCGTGCATGCAAAACACAATGTAGGTGGTATGATGCGTACTTCGTCCGCCATAGGTGGTTTTTTTTTCACAGTTGATACCGTCCGTCCGCAATATCACGTCGGTGATGATCGTGCTGGCCTCCCTCCTGCCGGCTGCCTCTGGCCTCTGAGTTTATAGACCGGCGGCTCTTATGCATTGCAACTCCTCTGCATATGGACGCTTCTCTATTTCCTCCACGCGTGCACACCCCTTGGCCCTTGGTCGTTATGAGGACGTTCCTGTTACGTAACGAGAGCTGCACGGAGAACGGAGACTGGACGGTCTTTGTGACCGCTGACCGTGTCCGAGGCGACCGGGGGCGTCCAGGGGTCCCGAGGCGCCGGACGGCGCATTTGTACTTTCCGACTCGTGTGTGACGCCATTCTGATATTCTGTGGTTTCGCCGCCGTGCTGAAAGTTCTGCGCACGGGATGCGACACGGGCTTGTGTGATGTTTTTGTAATATTGTAATAGTTGTACTATGCAACATTGCCATATTGCATTAATTGCATTTGGAAATTCCACGTGGGTAATAAAAATTGCTTCCGCCAAGATAAGCGGTTTGGTCTCTTAAGATAACATGCCAAACTGTTCCACTTGGCGGTGTCATCCACGCTTACCCACCCCTCGGTCGAGATTTTTGCTTGCAAGGAACCTCGGCCGTGGATTCTATACTTGGCAAAGCTGCACTTGAAGAAAAAGAAGAGAAAAAAAAAACACTGCACCGCCACCGGATGTCAGTAGGGAGGCATGCGGTGCGGACATCTGGTCACCTTCAAGAGTGCGATACACATGCAGAGTCATCTGCAGTGTACAGTGTGCCTCCCAGTCAGTGTCAACAGATCAACAGAAGCCACCGTGCTTATCTGAGTTCCAGCGTCCACCTGCGGGCGGCCATGCCTTAGTAGTCGGTCATTACGTGTGGTGCATGACGTGAGCATCCTCGAGGGCCGATGCCGACCTACCACTCATGACACATCGCAGCTGGGTGTCAGCCCGAGGCCCTGAACCGCTTGGTCAACGTTCGCTGCACACGTATGTGTACGGCACATTGGCGCGCAGTACGCACTACTGGCAGGCAGCGCGGCGGACATGTGGGAAACGCTTGTCGCCAGATATGCGATCGACCACCCACAGGCGAAGCGCTCGCACCGCGTTCTGGCGCCCCGCTTCGGTGACAAGGTCAGCATCGCAACGTGATGGCCGCTCTCCGCCCCTGACAGCCCTCGGCGCTCGGCAGAACACCCACCATGTCCGCGCGTCGTCAAACAGGTTTATATATACTGAGGTTGGGAAACCATGCTTCAAACAACCTCTTTCCCCCCCTCCCAATGGCCTGGCCCGCTCACCAAGCATAGAAGAGCCATCATACCAACCTTTTTGTTCTTTTTTCCGTCACACTCATTGATTTCTCCCTTTTGCCACATTTTTCGTTTTCGTATCAACAAGGCCCCGGCAGCAAGCCCCCGAGACATCCCTCCGCCATGGATCCGTCCACGGAGAAACCGTTTGCCGCTGACGGCACCACACGCTCAGAGGAGGCTACCCTGCGTTCGGAGGCTCCCAGTGTCAGCGCCAGCTACGCTGAGAAGGACGAGGAGCGCTGGACGTATGGTGCTCAAATCCAGGTACGTGATAGTGCCTGCCCCCGCACCATGCACTGTAACTGACGCTCTGTCCAGGCCGACCAGGCTGCCCTCGAGGCTCGCGGTCTTCCTGGCACCCGCGACCTGTCCTTGATCTGGAACCACCTCTCCGTCCGTGGTGTTGGTGGTGCCGATGACGTCGTGTTCGCCCCGGACCTCGGTGCGATTGCTGCCCCCTGGCTCGTGGCCAAGGCCAACAAGCGCGTGGAGGCGTACACCGCCCGTCGCCGCGAGCGCGACCCACACAACAAGATGGTGTGGCGACCCGAGATGGGAACGCCAAAGAAGGGCGAGCCCGGACTCCGCAAGGGCCAGCGCTACCTGTTCCACGACTTTAGCGGTTCGCTCTCGCCTGGCGAGACCATGCTCGTCGTCGGCCGTCCCGGGTCGGGATGCACGACGTTTCTCAAGTCCCTCGCGGGCTTGACGGGCTCGTACGCCGGTGTCGAGGGTTCCGTGCAGTACGGTGCCCTCGAGGCAGGCAGCAAGGAGATGAAGTCCATGTCTGGCGACGTGGCCTTTGTCGCCGAGAACGACGAGCACGACCCCAACCTCACCGTGTCCCGCACGATGGACTTTGCCCTCCGCACACAGACACCTGCAGAGGGTGCGCGTGCGCTGGATCCCGAGACGGGCAAGCCCATCACCCCCGAGCAGTGGCAGCACAAGACCAAGCTCGACGTGCTGCGTGCCTTCCACATCGAGCACACCCTCCCTACAAAGGTCGGCGACTCGTACGTCCGCGGCGTGTCTGGCGGCGAGCGCAAGCGCGTGTCGCTCGCCGAGTGCCTCACCACCGGTGCGCAGATCACCATGTGGGACGGCGCCACCCGCGGTCTCGATGCCTCGACCGCCCTCGCGTTTGCCAAGCAGTGCCGTACCATCAGCGACGAGGCGCGCAAGATTAACGTTGTCTCGTGCTACCAGGCAGGAAACGGCATCTACGCCCAGTTCGACAAGGTGACCGTCATCGCCGACGGCCAGGTCATCTACTATGGTCCCCGCGCCGAGGCCCGTGGATACTTTGAGGCGCTGGGCTTTGTGCACATGGACGGCGCCAACACTGCCGACTACCTCACCGCCGTCACTGCCGTCGACGAGCGCCAGATCGCCGAGGGCTTCGAGAACGTGCCCACGTCCGCGGCCGAGTTTGCAGCCATTTACGCCCAGTCCGACGTCGCCCGCCGCATGCGCGCACAGGTCGACGGCATGCTTGCCGACCGGGCCGCACGCGAGTCCGAGACCGAGCAGGAGCGCGCATACTACGCCTCGCACAGGTCCAAGTACGCCATGAGCCGTTTCTCCCAAAAGGTCTCGTTCGGGAGCCAGATGAAGGCCGCGATCGTCAAGGATGTTCAGCAGCGTTGGGGTGACCAGTGGTCCTTCTGGGCCCGTCAGCTCACTACCATCGTCATGGGTCTCGTCAACGGCTCCATCTTCTACATGATCCCCGCAACCACCACCGGTCTCTTCTTGCGCTGCGGTGTCATCTTCATGATGGTCCTCTTCCCCACCATTCTTGCCTTTGCCGATGTCCAGGCCTCGTTTGAAGGCCGTGGCGTCCTGGGTAAACACAAGGCTTGGTCTCTTTACCGTCCCTCGGCCGTCCTGCTCGCTCAAACCATCGTCGACCTCCCAATCCTCGGTGCCCAGATCATGCTCTACGTGGTCAGCACCTACTGGATGGCTGGCCTGCAGAACCTTGCGGGCAACTTCTTCATGTGCTGGCTCTTTGTCGTGGTCTGCACCTTGTCCCTCACCACTCTCTTCCGCACCATCGGCTACTCGTTCAACGTCTACAATGACGCGTCCAAGGTGTCGGGCTCTGTCTTCACCTTTTTCGTGTTTTACGGTGGCTTTAGCATCGTGAGCTAAACTGCGGTCGAACTCTCCAGCTGACAAAACAGTACACCCCCAGTATGCACCCCTGGCTGTCGTGGATCCGTTGGATCAACCCGATCTACTACTCTATGGAGGCCATCATCGCCAACGAGCTCGACAACCTCCACGTCACCTGCGCGGCACCCCAGCTTGTCCCCTACGGCACGCCTTACGCTGCCGCCGGCATGCCGTCGGCCTGTGCCATTAGCGGCGCCGTCGCGGGCCAGGACTACGTCTCGGGCACGGCGTGGATGGAGGCTGCCCTTTGGTTCTACAAGCGCCACGTCTGGCGCAACTTTGGCATCATGATCGCCCTCTGGTTCATCTTCATCGTCTTGGGCATGTCCATGCTCGAGTGGCTCCCTGCACAAGGATCCACCCAGGACGTTACCCTCTTTGCGCGCGAAGGTAGCAAGGTCTTTACCCGTGATGAGGAGGACGACGAGGTGCCCGGCCCCGCAGCTTTCCCCGATGGCCACTCGATCCGCCGCAAGCCCACCCGCCAGGACCTCGAGCGCCAGCTGACCGCGCAATCGATCCACCGTGTCGGCACGACGTTTACGTGGAAGAACCTCACCTACACTGTGCAGGCCGACGGCAAGGACAAGCAGCTCCTCGACAAGGTGTCGGGTTACTGCAAGGCCGGTACCATCACCGCGCTTATGGGCTCGTCGGGTGCCGGCAAGACCACTCTCATGGACGTTCTCGCCGCTCGTAAGAGCGAGGGTGTCATCACTGGCGAGGTCCTGCTCAACGGCCAGCCCCTCCCCATCTCGTTCCAGCGCACCACCGGTTACTGCGAGCAGCTCGACGTTCACCTGCCTCAGGCGACTGTCCGTGAGGCTCTCGAGTTCTCTGCCCTTCTCCGCCAGCCCCGTGCCATCCCCGACGACGAAAAGCTCGAGTACGTCGAGACCATTATGGATCTCCTCGAGCTTCGCAACATTGAGGACGCCATCATCGGTGAGCCCGGTGCCGGTCTTGGTATCGAGCAGCGCAAGCGTCTCAACATTGGTGTCGAGCTCGTCTCCAAGCCGTCGCTCCTGTTCCTCGACGAGCCCACCTCGGGTCTCGACGGCCAGAGCTCGTACATGATCGTCTCGTTCCTCCGCAAGCTCGCCGCCACCGGCCAGTCCATCCTCTGCACCATCCACCAGCCGTCCGCCGCGCTCTTTGCCGGCTTTGACCAGCTTCTCCTCCTCAAGGCCGGCGGTCGTACCGTCTACTTTGGCCCCACTGCCGACATGCCCGAGTACTTCCAGAGCCAGGGCATCACTTGGCCCGAGGACGTCAACCCGGCCGAGTACATGATCGACGTCGTCTCCGGTGACCTGGGCAAGGGCCGTGATTTCGCACAGGTCTGGCTGGACTCGCCCCAGTACACCAAGATGATCCAGGAGCTCGAGGAGATCAAGGCCGACAGCGCCCAGCACGCCGTCCACGCCACCGAGGACGGCTTTGAGTTTGCCGCGTCGACGTCCACCCAGATGCGCCTCGTTACCATTCGCGCATCGAGGCAGCTCTACCGCAACCTCGAGTATGTCATGAACAAGTGCATCCTGCACATTGTCACCGGCCTCGTCGTGGGCTTTTCATACTGGAAAATTGGCAATTCGTATGCCGACCTCCAGAACCGCTTGTTCGCCATTTTCGCCTTTGTCCTTGTCGCGCCCGGTGTCATTGTCCAGACCCAGCCCAAGTTTATCGCCAACAGGGACATGTTCGAGACGCGCGAGAAGAAGGCCAAGTTTTACTCTTGGAAGGTGTTCTGCTTTGGTGAGATTGTCGCAGAGGTCCCTTACCTCCTCATCTGCGCGTTCCTCTTCTGGGCCTGTTGGTACAACACTGTCGGTCTCGACATGAGCCCCGGCATCGCCGGCCCCGTGTTCCTCCAGATGATCTTTTACGAGTTCCTTTACACCGGCATCGGCCAGAGTATCGCCGCCTATGCCCCGAACGCGACGTTTGCCGCCCTCGTCCTGCCCATCGTCATGAGCGGCCTCCTGTCATTCTGCGGCGTCATGATCCCCTACGGGGCCATCACCGTGTTCTGGCGTTACTGGCTCTACTACCTCGACCCCTTCACATACCTCATCCAGGGCCTCGTCGTCTTCCCCATGTGGGACCAGGAGGTGGTCTGCAAGGCCTCGGAGATGGGCAGCTTTGACCCGCCCTCCAACATGACCTGTGGCGAGTACCTCACCACGTTCATGACCTACGCCACCGGATACGTTGACAACCCCGACGCCACCTCGGGATGTCAGTACTGTGGCTACGCAAAGGGAAGCGAGTACCTTGCGACCATGAACATGACCCGCCACATTGACGGATGGAAGGGCATCCTCATCACTTTGCTCTTCTGTTGCTCGTCGTACGCCCTCGTCTTCCTCCTCCTCAAGCTCCGCTCGAAGAAGACCAAGACTGCCGCTTAACCGCAACACACACACACACACACACACACACACACATAGACTCGTCCTATAGACTGCAATACAGAGATTCGGTACCCTTATATCACTTCTCCCGCTCGTAATGCAAATAGATTGTTTAGAACTTTCATGTCGAGAAACGACAACTTTGGCCCCCCCTCTGTGACCGCTCTCGCGGTCGCCCGCCTCGTCCTTGACCTCACTTCTCCAACACCCTCCCATGCATCTCTCGTTTCCTAACAGTGGCAACTTGGTTTGCATTGGGAGCAAGTCTATGAACAAGAGTAATGGGAAAAGAGGGCGTTTCATGTGAAACACTAGATATGTATCCGCGATCCGTGTGGCGGGGGCGCGACAGTGTGGAGAGGTGTGTGACGGTCCGCAGAGTGGAGCCTGTCAGCACAGCCTCTTCCCGCACACAAGCTGCTCACAGCTGCCGCCAGTCCTCACTCCGTGACGATGACGGTGGGGTTGGGAGTCTCTTTCTTGTCCTTGTCGTCGCCCTCACGACGGGACTTGCCACCCAGGACGTTTGAGAGCTTGTTGACTTCAAGCAGTGTCAGTGTGCCACGTCACTGCTAGAGGTATCGTATCCTCAGCCTCACTGATGCCGGGCTTGGACTTGGCCTCTGGAGCCATGTACGGGTTGGTCTCGGGGCCGTCGTTGGGTTCAGACTCTTTGGGCTTGGTCTCGCAAGCTTTGTCGGTACTGGCGTCGCCTGCGCTCTGTCCCTGAACGGGTGGGGAACCGCGAGCCGTCTTTGGAGCCTTGTGGAGGTGGAAGACGTCGACGATACCGCTGATGCGCTGGCTGAGACGGCGACTGGGAGGCTGGGTGGCGTTGCCGGAGGACATTTTGACGAATTGGGAGGTTGTTCTCGTTGGGCAAACTTGTCGAGTCAAGTAGTGTGCGAAAGTGCATTGGAAAGCAATGCGGTGCAGGAGGTAGGGCAAGGGGTTGCCCCCCCGAGTCTTGCTTCTTATGCACGGTGCACCCGGTGGAGCTGTGATCTGCATGTGGGCTACACAAGCGTGAAAAAATCCGAAATATTGTGTTCAAAATAAACAAAAATCACAAACTTTGATGCATTTCGCGTTCTTCCTAACAAAACAACCCACAAGACGATACCCAAACCCCCACAATCGACATCCCGTTCCGACAAGCGCACACACCACTACTCTCTCTGAGCCTGGAGAGCCTGCTTGTGCCGTTGGCGGATCTCCTTGGACTTGCGCACGCCGAAGCCGCTGCGGAACACCTCCTCGAGCTCCTCGAGGCTGAGACCCGCAGGCTCGGGGTAGCAGCAGAAGATGAAGATGAGGCCCAGGACGCAGATACCGGCGTACAGCGCAAAGGTGGCGGTGGGTCCAATCGCGTTCATCATGGTCAGGAACGTCGACGAGATGACAATGTTGGCGGCCCAGACGCCACCGGCGAGAATCGAGGCGCCGAGACCACGGAGCTCGAGAGGGAAGAACTCGGAGACGGTCCAGGTGATGTTACCACTGCCGGTCGCGTAGAATGCGATGAAGATGACTGCAGGGGGTGTCAATATGAGAGTTCACAAAGGAGAGTGCGGCGGCGTACCCATCATGCCCAGCATCATGTTGCTCCACTGCAAGGGGTAGGTTGCGCCGTCGATGAGACGGCCTCCAGTCGACTGGGTCATCTTCCAGAAGGAAACGGAAGCGAGAGCGAGGCCAAGGATCATTCCCGGGTAGGTGATGCTGGGTGACTGTCAGGTTTGTGTTCTCGCTGCAGAAGCAGTCGACTTACAGGAGCAGACGACGGCGGCCAACACGGTCACTGGTCATCATGGAGACGATGCTGAAGAACCAGTTGGTGCCACTGACAATCAGGCCTGTAGCGGTGGGGTTGTCAAACCCAGCCTCCTTGAACATGGTAGCAGAGTAGTACTGTAGAGTTAGCGCGAGACCTCGTACATGTAACCCACCATCAGCGAGTTGAAGCCACAGAGCTGCTGGAAGATGCCGACACCGAGAGCAAGGAGCGCAGGGCGGCGGTAGCGACCCTCCTTGAAGACAATCTTCCACTGCTGGAGGGTGGAGGCCTGGCCGAGGTCCGACTCGCGGCAAGCGGAGACAACTTCCTCGAGCGCAGCGAGCTTGATGGCGAGGTAGTCTTCAGAGACCTTGGGGTAGACTTTGCGGAGAGTCTTGTGCGCGCTCTCAACACGGCCCTTGAGGACATCGTAACGCGGCGATTCGGGAAGAAAGTGAATCATGATACCCTGTGCCAAGGCGGGGACAATACCGATGGCAAACTGGATGCGCCAGCCGTGGTGGCCCGTGAGCGGGATACCGATGCAGTACGCGATAAACTGGCCGCCAGTGATGAACATGGCCTGAACGGTGACCAGCATACCGCGGTACTTTGTTGGCGCGAGCTCGGCAATGTAGACGGGGGCGATGGCAGCGGCAGTTCCGACACCAAAGCCAAGGACAACGCGACCGACGATAACCTGGGCAACGCTGAAACCCGAACAGATGAGGATGGCGCCCACGATGAACCACACGTCGCCGACTGCAAGAACCCATTTACGACCGATACGGTCGGTAAGCCAGCCGGCAACGAGAGAACTGGACCGTCAGATTGTCGCTCGATAGGGAAACAGGCCAACGTACCCGATCAACGCGCCAACACTGGTGGCTGTGGAGATCCACTCCTTCTCGACCGAAGTGAGCGCATGGCCCAGGTCAGTTCCCATGGATACGAGGGATGCGGAGATGACGCCCGTGTCGTAACCGAAGCAAAAGCCTGAAACGGCTGCTGTGGCCGAGAGCGCAATGGTGAGGGCGTTGAGCTGCCGCCGTCAGTTACCGTCCATGGTGCGGGTGGAGACGTAGATCCCGATAGCCGGCAGGGCAGATCCGGAGTCACACACCCAAAGATGTCAACTCACAGTTTCCTTCTGCTCGCCGACTGCCAAAGCGTCGTCGTCATGGCCGACATTCTTGGTGTAGACATTCTCAACGTGCGCAACTGTCGCCTTTTCAAGCGCGCTGTCAAACTGTGGCGCCTCAGCTGCCGGTGGTGGGGTCGAAGCCGTAATGGTCATGACTCGCAGAGATGGCCTGGAGGTTTAGCTGTAGGAAGTCGGCGTTGGGTAGTGTGGTGGTGGTGTTGGTGAGGTGGTGGTTTGGTCCCAATCCAGTAGGCCGGTGCTGGGATATTGGGACCAGATGGTGGAGCGATATATGTACAATCTTCAGTGAGTTTCACAACTCTGTGGTTGTCGTATCCCTCGGCGTTGAGCAACAGAAGCGGTACCTCTACCTCGACGGTGGAGGAATGTGGACAGGCTCCACAGCGGGGGTGGCGCCGGGGGTCCCGGGACCCCGGAACGGAGATGTTGTGACTGACTCTGGAGCCCAAGTCCGACAAGAGGAAGCGGAGTTCCTGAAATCCGTTTGCTCCACCTCAGAGAACGGTCACCATGCCCACCAAGATAGCACACCTCTGACCTAATTCAAAGGCACGCAGGAGCTATACATGAGACCGGGCGGATTAAGGTGCCGGTGGGCACGTGTACCGTCCACAACCGACTCGTCATCAACGAAGCGGACTTGACTCCGGGAGCTGTCGGCACTCGGTATCTGACGGCAATGGAATGGCCTTGGCCTGCGATATAAGCATAAGAAGACTTCAACTAGCCACCTCGCGCTCAGATTCACGACAATGAAGCGAACAATGACGCGTTGAAGCAGGTCTTTGACGTCCAGTCATGCTGTGTTCATTGCTCGACAAGTTCAATATCAGAAATCGCTATGGCTTAGTGGGAAAGCGCCAGGCTCATACGTTTGTGATCACCTGGAGATCCCTCGATCGAAACGAGGTGGCGATAGTATTTTTGCGCTCCTTGCATACACTTTTGAGCTTCATGGATGGAGATTGTGACGCGGTGACGAGTGTAGCGAGTCAGAGGAAGATGTAGGTGGTTTACAAGCGGGGCGCAATTTCGCCACTTTGGGATCGGCGCCGCCACTACCTCGTATTTTTATCCCTCTACTGTGGTTTTCATCGACATGCCGGCCGGCAGGAGCTCTCACGGTCTCAGAACACTGCATGCTCATGGATAAGTATCTGGTGCATCCTCCTGTGGACGATGGCAACGTATCAAGCGCTTGGAAGCGGGGGAAAGAGGCCAGATGATTCGTCGGCCAGAAAAATCATGAACATCTTCGGGCGTGTAGCTCAGTTGGTAGAGCGTGTCATTAGCATCTTCTACCCTACTTGACAAGGTCTTTGGTTCGATTCCTAACTCGTCCACATCTATCTTTTGCCCTTCGTGGCAACCTTTTTGGGGTCGCAAATGGTGAAAGGAGCAACTGGGTGGTGGACCGGGTGTCAGTGATGTATTACATGTGTGCTCGCCCTGGCCCTTTCTAAATTTTGCTGCATGCCGACTACGTTTACTTGCGCCACAGTCTCCACCACTTGCGTCTCTGTACACCTTTGGGGTCAGTCTAGCAACCAAACTGGGCCTCACCATTCCTCTGCGTGTTGCTGTTGGTCTGAGGCGGTTGCGCTTGCCCACCCGGCAAGTTGACAATCTGGTGCTGACGATCCTCTACCGATTCCTGCTTGTCAGTGCCTCACCGTGTAATTCCCCGCCTACCGATACAGGACTGATAATGTTCTGGCGCTGAGCCACCTTGAAAGCGTCATACTCGTGCTGCAGGTCATCATAGTCGAGCCGGAGACTTTCGTACTGGGCCTGGAGTCTATGATTCTCAAAGGTCAACCTCTCAAAGGAAGTTTGAACATGTTCAAAATCGTAACCATGGCCATGGTTGGATGAACCCCAGCCATACCGCCCACCATTGGTCGCCTCGAGTCGCCCAAGGATCGCAAGGAGCTGGTCCCGGGCATCACGAACGTCGGCTACCAGGGGCGCGATGCGCATGTCTACCGCACCTGGAGGTGAGGAGGGGCCCGGCTGGAGGGTGACAATGGCGGCAAGCGCGTCAATACGGTGGGCAATGTTGATGTTGGCTTGCATTTGGGTGTCGTGGTGGGCATGGCTGCGGGCGTGCATGTCCACCAAGATGGAGTAGACGGCTTGTAGGTCATTGGCGATGTTGACCGGCCCGTTGCTGTGACCAACACTCGCCGGCCCTGTCGTAGCCGCTGTGGCAGTGATTGTGGGTACCGGATACGTGTCTGTGGGAACCGCAAACGACTCTGCCTTCTTGGCGTTGCCCTGGAGGTCGACATTGAGCACGCTCTCAAAGTCAAACTCGGAGTTAGCCCCGTGGGCCTTGGGAGGAGGTGACCCAGGAGTAAGGGGAGGTGCCCGCGGTGCCAGCATTCCGGAGAGGATGGGATTTGTGCTTGTCTCCGCACTGTGGGAATCGGCATTGATGGGCGTAAGGAGCGTAGTGGGAGGGGTAGCGAACGGGTCGCTGTCTTGCTTCAGAATAGGTGGGAGTTGGATTGGCTCCAGTTCGGGCGTTGGCGCTGCTGAGGTGTTGGTCGCGGTCGGTACAGCGACCGTTCGGACCGTCCAGTCGTCAAAATCGCGGTCAACTTGGTCGGGAGTTTGGACCCGGGGGACGGGGGTCTGAGGTAGTTGAAGGTGTGCCGTCGCTGGTGGCAGAGAGTTTTCGTCAAAGGGTGGTGGAGAGCGGACCAGGTTGCGACCGAGGATCGACATGGTCAGGTGGAAGGGTGCGAAGATGATAAAGTCAGTACAATGGTCACAAGAATGGGAACCAGCTACAGGGGCGCAGCGATCGCAGTGAGCGGACAAACACACTCCTCGCTTGAACAAGATCCCTTCAAGGGATGCGTGACGTGGGAGTTGTGTGACGTGGGAGTGCGGGGGAGTGTGTTGCACTGGAATGGCCACAGCAACAGATGCAGATAAGACTGCGGGGACGTCCGAACCGGACAGCTCACTGTCGGGACAAACCCCGAACACTGACGTCCTTCCCTCCGCGCCTCCTCACACGTTGGCAGCATGGCAGTAGCGCAGTAGTCGTGTGTGTCGCGTTTCCCAGATCATCCGCGCTAAGGCATGTGCATGACAGTACCATGGCCATACCATCAAAGTGTCTTTAACAACAACCACCACTCCATTGGCATTACATGTCCACTGCAACAACACACTCCCCCTGCATGATGAAGTTTGGCAGCCACACCACTGGCACCAGTCCGACGGCCTCTGCACCAACCACATCCCCGCCCCCGGCGACCACACACACCAAGTCTCGGGCCGTGCCGGCCAATTCTCGCGCCGCCGCACTTGCCACCCAAAGCGGCGACACGTCGACGACAGTCTCGTGGCCAGTATCATACCGCAACACTCTCCCGGGGCAAGAGGACGATATCCGACAAGAACTACGTCGGCCAAAAGCAATTGGGGGGGCATTTGAGCTGGCTGTCGACAACGAGCTCCTGTCCCAGTGCCCGTTCGAGGGCTGCGGCAAAGCCAATCTCTCGGACGCCACTGCGTTGGCCGTCCACCTGTACACACATCGTTCGGCAACAATCTGCAAGATCCGCTTGGACAACGGATTACTGTGCGGTGTGCCTCTGCATGACGAGAACGGCTCGAAGCACTTTGAGACGGTTCATGGCATGGTCGCTGTCCGCACTGTCTCCAGTCTCCCGTCATCAACGTTGTACTGCAAAGCCTACTCGGTTTGGGCGGTTAGTCAAGCAGCCATCAACGAGCACTCGGCTCAGGACCTCGCGGCCATTCTCGCTGCGCTGACGGCCGACGCGCGCGCCATCGCCTTTGACGCCGTTGACAAGTCGCTATCGTCCATGAACGTGTGCAGGTATTGCCTCCAAGATGCCTCAATTCCTGCTCATGACCGTGTGAACATGTTCACAACGTCAACCGCTTGGGCCGTTCACATGAACAAACACGTACTCAAGCTCCACATGGAGGACCCGGACGCCCGCCACCCTTGCCCATTCCCCACGTGCCCTGTTCCCGCCACGCTGTTATGTGCTACCGACCTGCCGGACCACATTATCTCGAGGCATGGCATCACCCTCGTCTACCGTCAGCGCGGTGAGCCTCAGGCGCCGTTGACGCATGGCGACATGTCACGACTCGCTCTTCCCGCGACCGACGTGGCCAAGTTCGCCACCGGAGTCTGGAGGAAAAGCTCGACGGCCTGTACCTCCGCCAGCTCAAAGCCGTCGCCAAGGCCCTTCACATCAAGACCAAGACTGGCACGACCGCGCACCTCAAGGCGGATGTCGTGGCCGACATTCTCAAGGGAGCTGGACCGACAGCGATCGAGGTCGAGCTCCGCAAGCTGCCGTTGACTGCCGCCTCTACGCCCGTGTCCGCCCACAAGGCTGCCATTCTCGGCCGAGTGCCCGCGCTACACAGCAAAGCTCACTTTCTTCTCAAGACCAAGGAGGAGCTCACTGAGCTGTGCGCGACTCTGCGCATCTCGTGCTACAACGACGTGGCGGACAAGCACGGCAACCAAGGGTTCCTCGCGCAGCGCCTCGCGGCCCACTACGCCGGAAAAGTGCAGCCCAAGGGTCGCGTCAGCCGCAAGCGCAGGGCGGCCGAGGAAGCCGCCCAGGCCGACACCGACACCGAGACGGAGACCCACGCTGTCGAGGCCGAGTCCGCCAGCTCTCGCAAGCGTGTTGCCGCCGGCGATCAAAGCTCCAGAACTTACGACACACCACCGCCCCCCCTCAACCAGCGAACCTTCCGCAAGTCGAGACTTGGACACAAGCCACTCGATCCGTTTGTCCAGCACGGCGAGTGGGCAGCCTCATCGTCTCTCGCGGGCCCAGGACCCTCGACTACTGCAGCGGCGGCCATGCGTGACGACGAGGATATCCACGAGTTCACAAACGACATCCCTGAGTGGGACAGCGAGCCCGTCCCCGACTTGTGATTCTGTCACAGTCGGGACATCACCTCAAGCCATATTATTAGGCATATTATTAGGGATCAATATACATAGATTCAACCTGAATATGTATAAATTCCATCCGAACCTCTATGTCCTGGGTTCGGACCGTACCATGACAGGGGTTTGTCCTGCGGGCATGGTTGTGATGGTGAATGGATAGCACGAGCGCGAATGGATATGTGGGTTGTCGGTGTTGGTGTGCTGTGAGCTGCTGTGGGTCAATGTTCTGGACGTCATGGGATCACACGGCACCTCAGAATCACGGGGAACTGGCGCAAGAACCCCTTCGCATGTCGCGTCTTCTCGCGTCTTCTCACGTGTTCTCACGTCTACGTCTTCCCTGCGCCCACATGTCGGACTGTGCCCATATAACCAACGGCGGGAGAGATGTGTGTACACCAGATCATTCGGCCGTAGCCATGGCCTCTAATCCTCTTGGATTCGCATTGGCGGTTGGCTGTGCACACAAAGGGGGGTATTCGCCTCGCAAATGCGTCATGTCGGAGCCTTGGTCTTGGTGCTCGCTGGAACGTATATGTTCTTGGGCGCTCAAGGGGAGCTCGACATGGACAGGACAGACGTCAGTGTCCTCCGTCGTTCGCCCTGTCCCACACACCTCCCCGGCTCGAACACGCCAACAACTGAGGCACAGAGGGGGTTGTAGCCATACTCTTCCTCGCCCCATCAAAAGTTCTCATGCACCACTGCGCGGCTGCTTACCTCGCGACCTCTCACCTCCGTCGCGTTTGGTCGGCGCATATGCGCACATGGTTGTTCTGCGACGGGCCACAGAGGCCACAGACCCACAAACGACAGGGCCACACACACGGCAGTATTCTCGCCACCCGTTCAAATTGCCGCCTTTTGCACGCGTCGCTTTCTTCTTGACACTACTCTTCATCCCCTCTCGGTTTTCCGTCGTTGGCCCCCATCCAGTGTAACGACCGTCAAGATGGTGGGCGACAAGCGCCCATCACAACCCAAACAGGATGCATCGGGCAAGCGCCAGGGCCTGACGGGTGACTCGTCCACTCAACCACCCCCTTCCTCCGACACCGACGAGACGTCTTCCTCGGCCATCGTCGACGCGTCTGCCCACAAGGGGGCTGATCCTCACTGCCCCGAGTCTCCCGGTAGCGACCACATCAGCCAACCCGATGACGAGGACATGCTCTCAACGAATGGTGACACACCCACGGATGGCGCTGGTGTGCTCGCCGCTTCTCCACCACACAACGAGCAACGCCCCATTGAAGAGTTCACCGACCCAGGTTTCGTTCCGTCGCCAGAGTTTCAGACGCTGTTTCGGCTCTCCGAGTTAATCAGCCAGCGCGCCGACCGTGGCCTAACCCCGATCGAAGACGAGGACGTGAGTCTACCCTCAGCGAGACTGCTATTTCGGCCGGTGTTGACTTGTCACAGGAGTTCCAGCGTGCCATAGATGCCTTTGTTGGGCAGCGGCCTGGCACGGCCACCGCATATGAGGAGGCTCTGCAGCCGCAGGACGGGGGCAGTTGCCTGTCCCCGCTCGCCTCCGAATATGGCGAATCCGAAGCCGATGAGTGTCCTATGACAGGCCTACAGCCGTGGTCCGTGATAGAACAGTTTGCGCCAGAGTTGCTGCCAACCTTGCGGCCAGCCCCAACGCAAGCCCCAACGCAAGCCCCAACGCAAGCCCCAACGCAAGCCCCAGCGGAGACGTCGACGCGACCTTTAACGCGAGCGGCTAAGCGCCAGATCGAAATGAATGCGATCCCACCCTACACCGGCGAGGACACTGGTACCGACTGCCCCTACGAACCATTATTCGTGTGGAACGCCAGCGACAACCAGAGCGACACCTGACCTCACACCTTTGTGCATATTATGAAAGATACGTTTCGTTGTGTATATATAGGAGTCGTACGAGTATAAATGCTGTTGTTGAACAGAACAGCGTTGAGAGAAAGGAGCCATAGGATTTGGGACGCGGGATGCCTGGACGCAGCACAATCCCTGCCCACCAAAGACCTCTGTCGACGGCCATCACTTTGCCCTCGCTCTACAGCTAGGTGTCATGAAACCATAGGATTACACAGAATGACCTCTCTCTTACACGCTGTACGCTGACCGTTGCGCAACGCTGGGACATGCATGGAACACCCCCACCCCCTTAGGTGGTCTGGGTTTCGGTGTGTCGTCGCTAGCCGCAGAGGGTAACTCCACCAACCCGCCATAGCCCAGCCCGTTAAATCGAGCCTTCATGTGCTCTGTTTCTATCCCACTTTGCACTAAGCCACCGCTGTCCAGACAGCAGCCCTTGGAGTCCCGTTTCCCAGATCAGCAGGGATAATGCGTGCACTGCGACCGTGCAGGTCCACACCGCATGACTGTGCATGTCAACACCATGCTCATATACTTGCTTGTGCTCCCATGGACGGAGAGTCGGCCGAACCGGGGACGTTCTAGGGTGGGTCTGTAGATTGTTGGGCGTCAGGAGACCGAAAAGCCACATGCGAAGGTGAACGAGCGACCCGAACGGTCATGGGCTGGGTGGTATATAGCATCCCACACAATGCACCATTCGCACCCGGTACACTCACCATTGCATCTCTCTCTTCCCCGCCAGACCATCTCCTTGCATAGCAGAGTCTTGAGCTTCCTGCAGGGGAGGGTATGTGTCTCACGTAGGCCGACAGCCAGACATCGGTTACTTCGGATGTCGGTCATTTTCCCCGAACTGCAGGCGTCCACCCTTGCCCCCACCTCCTCGGTGCCCTTGTGGCAGGGACGCGTCCACGGAGACCTTGAAGCCTTGACGCTCTGTGTCGCTGGGCTTCCTTTCCCACAGTATCAGCCCCATGCAGAACAAGACATCCAACATACCACAGATCATTCCGGGCGCAAGGTGGTGCTGTCGGCATAATCGGTAAATTACCCGCCACTTTGAGATCAGATCAGCGTCGAGGTGGCACTGTTAGTGAGTGCCACAACCGTCCCTCCATCCCCGTCAGTACATGACAAGGTCAGTGCTACTGGCTGGATGCACCTAAACAGTCGAGTGAAACACCTGCATCCACTGCTGAGCTACGGACCACCTTCTGATCTGATTTTCCCGTTCCTTTTTTTCCTAAAACCCAATCGCTTGCTGCGACTACACCGCAGCGGCGCAGCGAAAGCGGGGAGGATAGAAGCCATGAGAGGCTTACTTCCAGAGGTCAATGACACCGCGGCCAGCGAGGGTACCCTGGGCCATGCGGGTGTAGAACGAGTCGAGAGAGTCGAACGGCTCGACGACGATCGGGCACTAAGGGGGGCGTCAGTTTTAATTTCCGCGGTCGATTTTGACCAGTTCTTCGCCAACATACCGTAACGTGGCCCTTCGCGACGATGTCCAGAGCTTCGTTGGCGTCCAAACGATTCCCCACGTACGAACTAACAAGGTTCTTGTTATGAAGCACGGTGAAAAATACGTCGGCCTTGACATATGCGCCAGCAGGAGGAAGACCAACAGCGACAACAGTACCACCTGGGGGGTCAGTTTTTTCGACAATGAAAAGCCGCCGCTTTTGAAAGCAAGGGGGACCTGGGCGCTCTTGTCAAGCAAGGCACAATATGCTCACCAGGACGGATGTACTCCATGGCGATAAGGTAGGCCTCGGGCTTGGGGGAGGTGATAATGGCGGCCTGGGGACCGAGACCGTCGGGGGTGGCGGCCTTGACGGCGGAGACAATGTCGGTGACCTCCTTGAAGTCGATGAAGGCCGAGGCGCCGTACTTCTCACAGAGGGCCTTCTTCTCAGCGCCCGAGTCGATGGCGATGGTCGAGATACCCATGTACCTGGCGTACTGGAGGGCAAGCGAGCCAAGACCACCACCGGCACCGGGGATGCAGACGTACTGGCCGGCGCGGGCCTTGGAGTTCTTGAGGGCCTTCCAGACGGTCACACCGGCACAGAGGATGGGGGCGGCCTCAGCCATGTCGAGGCCGTCGGGGATGCGGGTGAGCTGCGAGGTGTAGGCGGGGCAGCTATGGGGTTGTCAGCGGGCATGTCTTTCGGCGAACAGAGCCACATCGGTGGCATCGGTGGGTGTCGCCGGATAAGGGTGCGCCACTGGCGTCATGGACGTCACCGGGTCCATTGTCCGATGGTGGAGGCGCGCCCGTTCTATGCGGGGAGGCGCCCTTTGTTCGCAAGCATGGGCTTGCTCAACGTTTGTGTACTCACTACTGCATGAAGGATCCCTGGGCGTTGATACCAGAGCACTTGGCCTGGAGACAGAGGGGCTCGTTGCCAGCAAGGCAGAAGTCACACTCGTTGCACGAGGTGGCGATCCACTTGATGCCGACCCTGTCGCCGACCTTGAACTGCGAGGTAGCGTCGTTGATGGCGACAATGATGCCGGAGCCCTCGTGGCCAGCAATGCAAGGGCGCTCGGGGTGGACGGGCCACTCGTTCTTGATGACGTGGAGGTCGGTCTGGAGAGCTTGTCAGCCTGTGTAAAGGTGCGGTAGGCCGACATGTGTGTGGTGGAGCTGAAAAGGATGTCCCAAGATCCAATTGATCCAGGGTCCCCATCGCTACCGAGAGACAGCTGCTCGCTGGCCCAACCCCGGCTGGTCCAGCACGAGGCAAACTGCGTCGGCCGACAGGCACGGCCGCAGTTGTACGTCACGAGGTGTGTTACAACCTCAACTCGGGGGTGTGGGAACCAGCAAGGACAAGCGTCCAGTTGGGGGGTAGAGAACAAGAGTACTTACGTGGCAGACACCAGAGTAGAGGACCTTGACGAGGGCACGGCCAGGCTCGAGCTGGTCGGGCTGAACGACGGGGATCTCCTTGATCTTGAAGCCGGAGGGGTCGTCCGAGACGGCGGCGCGCTGGGTCTTGGGGATGGGCTCGTTTCCGACCTGGGTCATTGTGGTAGATTGGTTGGGTTGGGTAAGGTTGGTAAAGGTAAGAGGGTTTTGGTGTTGTGGAAGCTGGGGAGCTGATGGAGACAGAAGCGTCGACTGGGTCCTGGAATATATACCATTTCTGGGCAACTGTCTCTCTGTGGGAGCGCACACAAAAGTAGTGTCTCCCCATCCCAGCACAACCACACAAAGGTGACGGCGGTGGCTGTCCAGCCAGCCAGGCTCTCTGTGACCCGCGCGGCGGTGGGCGTGCCCTGTGGCTGCGGCCTCACAATCCCCCAGGTTGTCCAGGTTGCGAGAACCTCCGAGGCCATGGCGGGCGGGCACATGAACAACACAGGTTTGGGTGCATGCCCGCTTGAACGTGCGAGCAACGACCGCGGCAGGCCAACCCGGGCAGCGCGGGACGAAGGGCATCAGGCTCTGCCTTGCTCTGACCGCAAGAACGCGAGGCACCCCTTGGCAAGGTTGTCATCGGGTGGTCGTCGTGGTTCAGATCACCTCTACTTGCCCGAGATAATGATGACCTTCACGTGACAAGTCAGCGTTGTTGGCAGTCGGGTACTGTGAACCGGGACCCCAAATCCCCACAAATCTGATGGGCATACCGCACAGGCCGGAGCATCTTTGCGGCAGTTGGCGGTAAACCTGCGAACTCCCACCCAGAGGGCCAGAGACAGTAGCGGTAGCGAGGGGTTCACTTTTGGCCAAGGCACCTTGTTCTCATCTTTGTTGCTCCGTCGTGCCGTCAGCTGCCGCAGCCCGCCTCCCGCGCAGGACAGGCTGTCGAGCTGTCGATCGTCTCCGCGAACACCCGTCCCTTGTTCTCGACCCTTTACCCCACATTCACCTCTGCGACCTCGGCGAGCCACCGAGCAGGCCAGCGCGCCAACCGAGCTGTCCTCACTGAGCACCGGCACATCCTCCCAGCGTGTTGCTTTGCTGGCCACGCAGGTGCCCTTGTGGTATGCATCCGGTAAAACATGCTCTCGCCAGGTGGATCAACTAAAGGCCGGCCCGGTCGGGATCCCCGATCATCACGCTAGCCACGATGATCCATCACGCTAGCCACGATGATCCACCTCGGCGCCAATCCCCCCTTGCACGCTACGCACCGATAAGACTTGGCGCATGCCGTAACCAAGAGCTGCTGCAACGTGAGGCGATATTCCGTGTCGTGTCAGTCACGGGGTCGGTCCATTGCATCGAACTACACACAGTGTCGACGTATGCTGCGTCCACTACCCAGACACAAAAGTCAAGCGACTGGGCAATGTTTTCTATTATTTTCGCGCCCACCGGCGCCATAGGGCCATGGGGTGCGCCGCGGTGGAAAACCCGGCCCATTGTTTGATGCATTGTCGGTTGCACACCGAGACTGCAGCACAGACGAGTACACACCACCGCCATCGCTCTCGTTGTCATTGTTGGGCATGCCGCAGCACTGCCCATATTGCTGCGCAACCGCAACGTGCAATCCTGGGGTCCCGGGGGGGAAAAGGGGACGACAGGTGCTGTCGTTTACCCATCGTCCGTGAGCTCATTTCAGTTTCTCGCTACCTGAACGCCGAAGCAACGGCGAAGCCGATCCGCCGTTGGCTGCGAGGCCCATCCAACAGAACGTGGAGGAGTTCCTGGACCCTGGCGTCATGCAGAGTGGATACCTAATCGACCGTTCCCGACATTGATATTTTGGCACCACAATTTGGCATTTCAACACCGCGGCAATGGACCTCAGCGGTCATTTGCATGGTTGTGGTGGGCCGGGGAACAGTAACCGGACCGCTGCGTCGCCCGCGCCACCAGATTGTTATCGAATCAGCTCATGGGGCTCAGGCAAGTGCCCGAGACAAAGAGTGCGACGACCTATCGTTGGAGAGCATGCAAGGTGCCGCCGGAGTTCCCCACCGAGCCCCACGGCCACCTTCGCAACACACACCAGAACCAACTAAATGTTGATCCGCCTGGAGAATCTCTCACACGCCACATACCTTATGCCCAACCAATGTGAACCACAGTTCCCCTGCGCGTGCCGGAAAAGTGGCGGAGGGTCTCCCCTATTCCAGATGCACATGAAGAGGATACCACGAACAGACGTCGGTCCGCCTCCACTTGTTCTTGCCCGACTGGAGCTGTCTGCCTCGGCAATGTCAACGGGATGCACCCAACTGACCGTTTCAGAGGAGCAACAGCTGTGCAATTCAGCCTTCATATAGGAGGCTGGACGGCCCACAGATCCTGCCAATCTCATCTGCTTGCCGCAGTCACCTGCCGCAGCCGTTCAGCGGGCTCCACTGCTCTCACTGCCGTACTTCCCCTTCACGGCTGTTGGGGTTCACCAAACGGAAGGTTATGGACAGACTTGCACTAATATAGCACGAGGGCTCTACACATGTTTGGTAACTTTGGTGGCCCCGCGTGTCGTTGATCCGACATGACAGACATCAACCTTTGTCAAAGGTACCCTCTATCCCGTTCCCACCACTAAATGTCGTACCGCGTGGCAGTCACCGCAGTAAGTAACCCTTTCTCCAGCCAGTCACGGGACACGGCTCCTCGACGACGACCAGCAGTGGACTCCTCGGCTCCCTCCCAGCCCTGTCGACCATCAAACTGCGTTTAGTGATCGTAAGTGTATACGAATGGGCGAAGAGTACGACGAGACCTGGATATAGCACGGCAGGATATAGTCCCAGTACGTGAGTCCTGGCCCCTTTAGCCTCGATCTTGAATCACAACTTGGACGTTGGGGGGCCTTTGGGACGCGTCAGCATTGTTGCTGTGAAACAACATCCGCGCCGGCCTGGAGCTTCCATCGGCCCCCGTTGCCCACCGTTGAAATCCACCCATCCACCGAAGCGAACAAGGTTCCCACACAACGCAGGCAGCACACGCTGGCGGCCCAGTACAATGGGCTTTACTTCAGAAACCCAGATCCGGACATCCAGATCCTATTATTCGGAAACCGGGGTAGCCTTTTTGTGACCCTTGCCCCACGAGGCCACGAGGCCGGGCCAACGGTGATACATTCTTGAAGGTTAGAAAGAGGTAGCCTGTTTGTTTGGTTTCAACGAGACCCGCAACTCACCATTGTGCCCGCGCCACAGCTTCTCGGTTCCCGTCACCTGCGAGCTGGAGCTGATGACGATGACCACTACCAGCCAGGTATATCAGCTTACCCTCCAGTTGACAGTTGAAATGGACGAGGACGTGAAGCCATCATCGGCGTCGCTGATGACCACCTGGCAGGGCAACGAGTGAGATACTGATGGTAACATCGTGCACCTGGGACATGACCTAACTGGCAACTTGCGTAGCTCGCAACACTACAAGGCCCGCAAGGCAGGCGATGGGAATCAGAAGACGTCCGTGGGCGAACGCCCAGACGATAACGCCACAAGCCCCTGCACCCCCCGCGGTGCGTGTCTGGAGTCCATCATTGGCCATTGCGCAGTATCAACCGCACAGAAGCACAGGCTGCATCATCGCAACAGGGGCTAGGGGGAGTGTTCAGAAGCATCCAGCTTGATGGTGATGGTGGTGTTGGGGAGGACGACAGCGGCCATTCTCTTGCCATCATATCCTCCTTTCCATCCCACTCCAAGCTGCAACATGACTGCTACCATCGCTGCGACTGTGCTTCCCACAGGCTCACCGGCGAAAGCCGAGCCACTTGGCGCTGCTGTTACTCCCTTGGACCCCATCGACCTGCTGTACACGCACTTTGATGCGCTCGACCTCGACAAGGCCCTGCCCATGCTCGACGAACAGGCTGTCCTCATCTTTGGCAACAACCCACCTGCTCGCGGCCACGATGCCATCCGTGCCGCTCTGGAAGGGTTCTGGACCGTCATTCGTTCCATGCAGCACGAGACAGTCAACCGCTACGAGCGCGGTGAGGACACGGTCGTCCTCGAGGCCCTGGTGCACTATACCACCAAGGCAGGAAACGCCTTCTCGTTCCCTGCCGTCACGATCGTTGAGCGGGCGGTCCGCACCGGCCTGGTCACGGCCTTGAGGATCTACATTGACCTGGGGCCCATGCTGGCGTCCATCGTGAGCTGAAGCTTGGGTTTGTCAACTCTGTCGTTACCCTGTCACCCTGGTCACCTCACTCGTACCGTCCATCGCGTCCACTCGGAGCATGCAGGGCCGACACGGATTCCTGGCCGCAACATGAGCGTGCGCGACGTTCAGGACCCTGGGTGGGGCCGAGCTGGGGTCAATGGCTGGAGAGGGTGCAGGTCGCGCAAGGTGGGCCTGCTCAGTTGGGTCTATAATGTGTTTCGTTTCTTTCTGTCTCCATGTTTAACTATGACCAGTTATGAGTTATGACAATAGCCGTGTACGTCGATAACGAGTGCAAGGAAGAGCCAGTGTTGAAGTTCCTCCACTACGCTTACGGCGGCGACGACGTTGACGAAGATGGCACCTTGCTCGAGACCATTGACGAGAGGCCGAATGAAGAGTACACTGCTGCCCCCGTTGGTGATGCCAGCACCCGTGCCATGATAGTCCGTGATCCGTGACCGTCTCCCTAGGTCCGCATTGGCCAACCCATGACCCAGCCCCTTCGGCCGGCCTGACATGCCAACAGTGATCAAGCGGAAGAGTATGTCTGCACACCCACACCTCGCTTTGCTTCCAACATACCATCATCTCCACGGGCGGTCGGTTTTGACACGCTGCCGCAAGTTATGAAAGTGACTAAGACCCATACGGCATAACATTGGCGGAGGATGTAGCCCACCAGCAGTCATCATCAAAACTTGCCCATGCTCGGTTCAATCGTGGGCGCCTCACTGATAGTGAGGGCCGTAGATGATACAATACAATGTGTTCAGAGGCAGCTACGAGCCAGCTCATCTGCAGAGGCCTCTGCTAACGTACTCTAGGATCGGCACTAGCGGCTAGGGTATTTGCCGACATGATCCGCGGTCTGTATCTCGGCATCCTGGCCTGCAGCTCTGTGCAGTAACAACCACTATGCACTGTTCTTGATGCACTCGCGAAGATGCCACAAAGGAAACACCACAATACGTTTAACTGGACCTCGTTCGGCCACTTCATCCGGGTTGCTAACCGAAACCATTCCATAACTCCGTGGTGGAGCGGAACGGATTTAAGTGTGGCCCACCAAGAGCGACTACCCAACTTGACACCTTGGCCGCCACCACTTGCATCGTTACTCACTCACTACCACACCCAATGAGCTCGTCACCAAGAGAACAGTCACGCTCACGTTCACGCTCGCCGAGCACGAGCGACGATGCATCCATGCCGACGCGCAAGGTGCAACGAAAGGAGCGGAAGAAGTACAGCTGTGAGGGTACGTCCGAGCGCTTTTGAGCCCCGCTCCACATGGTGGGACAAACCCGCTTTCCGCCCCCCCCCCCCCCCCCCCTTTGTCCAAATCCACCCGTCACATCTCCGTGGGGTAGATACTCACCTTGCCCAGAATGTCGGCGACTCAAGCTCAAGTGCGACCGCGAGTGTAAGTGACTGCCTTATCGCTCTTCGCGACTGACATCCCAGTCCCATGCCAGAACTGCACCAAGCGTGGATGTAGGAATATCTGTCCTGGTGGGGTCCGCGCTGCTGTCCGGTCGTGAGTCACACACGTCACTGCCCTCCAGCTTCTTCCCCCCCTAACAACACATTCTAGTGCGCGTAAGCCCGCTCCCCTGAGTGCACGCGAACGCGAGCTGGAACGCCTACTTGCTGAGAACGGGATCAGCGTCCCAAACACTCTCCGGACCGGGACACCGACGCGGAGGGCTGCCCGAGCGTCTGGGTCTGTATCAAGGACCCCAGCCATATCGGATGAGAGAACTCGTGGGGACCGCAGTGCTTCCCCTAACATCACTGCGAGCACCGTACCCGCTGATCTCCCAATCCCCGACATGGAGCTGGAGATGGAAATGGACCTGGCCAACCCGGGACCATCGATGGGACTGGACATGGCAGGTGGGATGCACTCGCTGCCCGAACCAGAGCCACAGCTGCCTGGTCCTCAGTCAGTCACTTCGGTATCTGCGTCTCTGCCATCCCTTGGCCCCGCGCCACAAGTCCACCCCGAGGCAGCGTTCCTCTTTGACGAGGATCCGCACACGAGCGGTACTCTGATGATCACTGCGGATGGACGGTCCAAGTACCTCGGGCCCCGCGCCGGCAACGAGTGGCTGAAAGATGTGAGTCGCTGCCTGACGCGTTGTCAGCGATGCTAACTCTCACCCAGCAAGAGATTGACGAGCCTGACGAGACTCCCGCCGCAACGCGCCAGCCGTCACCTAATACAGAGGACAAGGATGAGGGTTCCGCGGCACTGGATCGGGCTAGCCACTCGTTCCCCTTTGGATCGTCGAGACGTTCGCGCGGGGTGAGCATTGCAAACCTCCGCAAACGGTTACCCATCGAAAGCCAGGGACGTGCGCTTGTGGACTCGTACTTTCGGTACTTTGCATGGTCGTGAGTAAGCGTACAGCATCCGATGCTGACAAAAAAGATACCCGATCGTACCCAAGGACAAGCTGCGCGCACTCATTGACAAGGTGTATGCCCCCGAAACTGGCAAGGGTCACGGTATATCACCCGACACGGCGCTCCTGTTTGTCCACCAGCTCGCCCTGGTGTTCACCGTGATGGCGATGGGTGCACTTCACCACCTCGAACTGCAGCCAGACGACCCCATGGCCGAGGAGTTTCTCGCTGCCGCACGGGCATGTCTCACCAAGGGCAACTTTCTCATCATCAACACTGTCCCAGCTCTGCAGTGCCTCCACCTCATGGCCCATGTGCACCTGGAGACGGAGCATGGACGCAACGGCGATACGGCATGGCCACTGTGGGGCCTAGCGATGCGCATGATACAGGCTGTAGGTTGTCTTCGCCATCCGCAGCTAACCTATACCAGATGGGTATCCACCGTGACGGTGTTCGCTGGAACCTGCCGGAAGAAGACATCGAAGAGCGTCGCATCGTGTTCTGGAACATGCAGGCCGCAGACACGTTCCAAGCCAACTGCTTCTCGCGGCCCAACTCGATCCAGGGGCGGTACTGCGATGTTCAGTTTCCGTACGACGCCCGGCTGGCCGAGAGCAATGGCGAAGAGAGAGGCTATCACACGATAAAGTACCAAATTGCCCAGCTCAGTGCAGAGTACGTTGTCACCTCCGTCTGGTACCAGCATGCTGACGAAACAGTGTCTTGGACCAACACTCGACCTCAGCACCCCGACCATGGACGCTGTCATGGCGCTGCACACGCGGATCATCGATTTTGAAAAGGCGATTCCATACCGCCTGAGATGTCGGGCAGCGTATCTCGCCTTGCCGTCCATGTTCTCGAGCGCCGACGAGGCCATCCAGAATTCACCCGAGGTGGATAGATGGGACCTCGAGCTCACTCTCCACCAGTACAACATTCCGTTTCTCATCTCCGAACAGCTCATCAACCTCCACCGGCCGTACTTTGTGCGAGCGCTCAAGTCTCGTCCAGCCGACCCCGTGCGCTCCCCATGGGGCCAGAGCTTCCTCGTGGTGATCGAGCGTAGTAATGTGAGTTCTCTCTCTCTCTCTCCAGCCTGCATGCCCCCCAGACCTGTACTGACCATGTGCAGATCATGATCTCCATCGCAGCAGGCCTTCACACCCTCCATCCAAACGTCTGCGCACGGCACTGGTTCCTGTGGTTCCACAGCTTCAACTGCGCCGTCACCATGGGCACCGTCATCCTCGCGGACCCATACTCTGAGCTGGCGCCATTCTGCCTCGCGCAGATGGACCTCGTGATCAGCGTGTACTCGACCTTGGTCCTGAACCGGTCGTCGCCACGCATGAGCCAAAACCTGCGCTGGCTCATGCGCCTGCGCCAGCGCTGCGTGGACCAGCTGGAGCGTCTGGCCGAAGGTGGAGGCGGAGGTGCCGGGCCTGGACCAGTTGATGCATCCAGCTCTGGAGCGTCAAAGGAGGTGGGGGCAGGTCTGCCTGGGGACATGGGGCCGACAGGCATCCCTCCACGGCCACCTGCACCCACACCGAGCGAGCACGAGGACGAGCTCCTCGGGTGGCGGACGCGATTGATTGAGCGGACCAGCAAGGGCGTCCGCCGGGCAACCACCATCAGTCGGCGCGGCATCGGTAGCGAAACTGGGGGAGCGCTGGGGAACATGTTCAGCCCCGCGGCCAGCACGAGCGGGCTCACAAACCTCACCACACCGAGCCCCAACACCCGCCTCGACCAGCACATTGCCACGGCGCTGGACCAGCTGCTCGCGGGTCCCAGTACAGACCGGCCGCTCCCGGCTGAACGTGGTAACCTCGACGAGCTGTATACCAGCACCGACCAGATGGTGAGTAGACTGCCAAAACAACCAAACCCAGGCTGACGGGGCAGTTGCACAACTTTTGGGACCCAACCACCATCCTCGGTGTTACGGGCGAAACGGGCGGGATGAGTGTGAGTGTCAGATCCATAGCGAGTGGCGCTGACGTGCCAGTCGGTCGGATGGTGGGATCTCGAGTTTCCACAACAAAGTCCCGCAGTTTAGCAATGTAACTTTGTAGCAGAACGCATGGATGCGGTCCAGACCTGGATGCTTGGTCAGTATCTGTGCGATGATTTTGAGGGCGTTGGCTTGGGACGATGGAGAGGCGGTGCCGGTGCCGACGCGAGCATCATCGAACAAGCATGTCTCGAGATTCCGCCCCGTTGACGGATGGCCCTGGGGCCTGGCACTGGGATGACATGCTTGCCCGCAGTCGCTCCGTCCCTGGTTGCCGAGAGTGCTCAGCAACAGCAGCAAAAGGTGATTCTTGACGACCAAAGCAGCATCTGGTGCACTGCCTCCGTCGGAAAGGGCGGCGACAGGATAGAGCAGCACCATTGCGTCACAGGGACAGGCAGTGACACTTGTCTATGTTTTTTTTTGGCAGTACCACAAGCTCGCCTCGAGACATTTCGGCACGCATGCACGTTTTTTGCTTGATGGTGCGAGTGCAGGGCCCAACGGTCTGAAGAGGGGTCCTTGCATCCTCCTCGTCCCTGTATACCTACTCTTGCATGCATGCTGCCATCCAGGCGTATTGAAGAGGAGGTTCTGTGGCCTGTGACAACCCCCTTATCGAGACTGCTACATCGGACCCCTTGCTGGCCCGTGCAATGGACAGTATGACCCCATGGCCCGTGGGTTTGTCGCAGTGGACGGGGGGTGTTGACAACATGTCATGACGTATATGCGGGGAGGACGGGGAAGTAGACGTGCAGAGGAGACGACGACGACGATGCCAGTAGTGAGTGTAAGCATATGCGCGGGGAGGAGGCTGCAGGTCGATGAGTAAGAGGTAGAATGCACCCGCCTGCTTGTTGACTTGACGTCTGTCGCGCCCAGAGCCTAGAGGCTAGAGGCTAGAGGTTGGTCACAAGAACAACACTTGCGGTGCTACGCATGGGGACGCAGAGGCACAGACCGATGCTCAGGCCACCAGCTAGTTACTCGGTATACTCGGTTTGAGGCACCCATCAGAGGGGGACTAGGAGTTTGGGGTGGTGGGGATATATATCTTGGCAACGCAAAACAAGGGCCACCCGTCCAGCAGGCCCCCCTCTGCACATCACTCATCGCCACCCGAGCAAACCAGTCTTTCACAACCACCTCTAACACCATCAAAAGCTCCATCCGTCATGACTGTCGGCGCCAAGGTCTCCTGGGGCATCAACTTCCTTGCATTTGCGCTCCTCTTGGTCTCGTGCAGTGAGTGCAGGCGTCCTGCCACAATGGTAACCGAAAGCATCACGGACTGACGGACAAAGTTTCGGCACCCATCATCGACCACCTCTCGCTGGGCACCTTGCACACTCAGGACAGCAAGACGATTCGCTATGGTGTCATGGGTTACTGCCAGACAGCAGGCATTAACAAGTGTTCGGCAAAGCATCTGGGATACTCCATCTCCGACACTGTCACCACCTCCAACGGCAATGGAACCGTCATCGCTCCAGCCCTGGACCACTTGACCTACGGTCTGGTAATGCACCCCATCGCCACCGGTACGTTGTGGAGCTGACCCATTGGTACGAGTTTGTAGCTAACACCACCCTTCTAGGCCTCGCCGGCCTCGCGTTCATCATCGCCCTCGCCTCTGACCGCATCGGCTTCTTCTTCTCGGCCTGTGCCGGCGGCTTTGCCTTCCTCGCCTCCGTCATCGCCATGGCCATTGACCTCTCCCTCTTCGGCCAGATCATCTCCAAGACCAAGAAGGCCCAGGCCGTCTACAAGAACCAGTCGGCATCCTATGGCGTGGCCACTTGGCTCACCGTTATCGCCACTGCCCTTCTGTTCATCGGCATCTTTATCAACCTCGGCGAATGCATCTGCGGCCGCCGCAAGCGCCGCGGCACTGCCTCGTACTAGGCGACTCACCGATGTCACCAGTTGGAGACGGGGGAAGCCACGTGCAGCGCAGCCTCGGACGTTGACGTTGGCAAGACGCATGCTGCTCGTGGCCCATGAACGTGTCGTCGTCGGTTGAAGTCGGGGAGAAGCAAGGGAAGAAACGAGTTGCGGGGGTGGCGTGTCCGTGTGCCGCCGGCACCGCAACGCCTCCATGGTGTCGTCAATGGCGTCCATCTCGCCACCGTCCGGTCCCTGCACGCCGTCGCCCTGCACGGCTCGTTTGTAGCGTTTGGTAGGTCGTAGATATAATGCACCTGTCCATTGTGCTACCTTATTGTGCGGGAGACCCATGCGGAGGGGCACAGGTAGAGTATGGGTCCAAGCTCAACGAACAATGTCTAGAGGTGCACCACACACCTCAAGGCGTCCAGCCAATGTCGTGTAACGCGTGGGTGGTGCAACTAACTATACCTCATTGTTGCGACGGTGTGGCGTCAACTATCAACAGACACCGCCGGCTTCGAACCCGACGATCTCGGCGCAGCCCCCGACATAACGTCAGTGGCTACACGCTGGGCTCCGTGTAGAGGCTGCAGACGGCGACCAGTGTACCAGTGTGGTACCAACCCAATGGCCAGTGGCCATTCCCGCGTTCGGGCAGAAGACTCCTGGTTGACGGCAAGAATCAACATTGCCGCCCAGGACATGCAGGAAGGACACTTGGTGATGGCGGCGGAACGGGAGGGTCTGACATGTCCCATCCGCAGTTTACCATTCGTGCCAAGTGGCCGACCCACAAGTCGCCGTCCATGAGGAACGGGGTCCGCAAACGCCGGATTGTTGCGGCTGAACACTCCCGTGTCAACCTATGACATGTTTGGCATCCAAGGGCATGCATGTGAAGACCGACCTGCTGGCCGAAAGGCCACTTGCCTGTTCCAGGCCGGCACTGGGGACACCACTCTTGAAACAACCAAAACAGCAACAGCCAACGACATTGGAAGAAAGAGGCAAGTTAAGACCCGACGGATGCTCTCGCAGGTACCCAACATGGTCAGCTGGATACATGCTCACACGCCGGTTGTAATGGCCAGCAACATATAACTGCGACGGGCGAAAGCTTGCTCAAAGTCTGTCTCCACTCGTCATGCTGTTCGCTTCTGCTGTAACTACATTCCTATCCCTTGTTGTCGCTGCCACTCCGCTTGAGGATCGCGGCGGCCACAAGTCGAACGGGTGTTCTTCAGGTTCAGACCAGCCGATCTTCCACTCATTCTTCAACAGTCCGTCGAGGCGACCTTCCCGTTTGCACGTCTCTGACGCCACACAGACACCTTGACACAGGCTACATGGCCAGCTGCCAAGGACGTCGCGTTTAGCCACCTCTCACTTGCGGGATGGCGATCGGACGCTCTCCGTGGCGTGAGCTTGGGTGTCATGAGTCAACGCTGACCGACAGGCTGCGGGATCCTGGGCCAACCTCACCGCCGATGCGAGAAGCGCCATCCTCAAGGACTACCACCGCCTGGGCAAGACGCTGCGCGTGAGCGCGTTTGGGCAAAACGACAATGTGACCACAAACGCGAACGATCCTGAGGAGGTTGCCGCCAGCCTGTCCAAGTTTGCTGCCGACTACAACCTCGATGGCGTCGATATCAACTACGAAGGTGGGCGAAACGTTGGGTGTGCCATTGCTGACGACAGATTTCGCGGCCGTGGCCAGCGGCGCCGCTTTCGACTGGCTGTCCAAGTTCCACGCCAAGCTGCACTCTGACCTCGAGGCTTCCAACCCGCATGCCGTGTTAACGTACTCGCCCGTCGCGGACTGGTTTGCCAAGAAAGACGATGTCTGGGTTCGGTTCATCCAGGCTGTTGAGAGTGATGTCGCTTGGATCAATATTCAGTTCTACGACGACGGGAGCTTCAACTGGACGGACTGCACTGTGAGCTGAAGTGCTGCTGGGTGACGTTGTACTGACGACACCAGCAACTGCTTACCAAGACTGGCAGCTCGTCATATCTGTCCAGGCAGGAGATTGCCGACTTGACGGGCTTCCCGGTCACCCGCATTGTGGTGCAGAAGCCGCGCCAGGAGAATCAAGCGGGGTAAGCTAGGACTTCCGCCGGTGAAAGCTAACGCTCAGCTTCATCTCCGGTACAGACCTCGGCAAGTGCTTCAAGGCTACAGGCGCACAGTTCAGCGGCGTCTCGCTCTGGCGCGTGGACCCGACCAACACGGTGAGTGCACAAAACCCATGCGACCTAGCTGACACGCTTAGAACCTGTCCCGCGATTGGGTCAACGACGTGGTCGAGAACGCTGGTGTCTGCAAGAACCACAAGTTTGCCAAGAATGCCCAACACGACCTGGGTATCTGCACGAGTTCATAGTGACCGACTGCCCAACAATGTACATGTCTACTCCAGACCAGGGGCCAGCGCACGGGGGTCCTCACCGCCTGCGGCTCCAGGCTTGTCCATGACGAGTTTCCACCCTCCGTCAACCGGCACGTCGATGGCATTGACGCCCACGTTCTCGATGATCCACTTGACAGTGCTTGCCATGTGCTCGGGGCCGAGTGGCACGCGCGGGAACGTAGCGTGCTTCTTGAGTGCGTCGCCAAAGTAGCCGGAGAAGTTGGCAGTAAGGCCAGAGAGGACAATGCTGGGGCTGATAGAGACAACGCGAATGCCCGAGGGGCCCAAAAAGTCGGCCATGGCCTTGGTGATGCCCACCACGGCCGTCTTGCCTGGTCCATAGCCCAGAACACGAGCGTAGGGGTTGGCAGCCGCCGAGGCAAAGTTGATGATCACACCGCGCTCCTCGTCTGTTGTCCAGAAGGGGGCGTGCTCGGTGGGCGACTTGGGGTGGTTGAGCGGGTAGTTGATCGCGTCCGCGACGTGCGCATTGACAATGAAGGTGCCGACGACGTTGACATCGAGCATCTGGCTGTCAGCTATGGTCACTTCCGACGCCTCACCTTCTTAAAGTCGGGGATTGTCTCGGCCACGTCGTTGGTCCAAGGCCGCTTGATGGCCACACCAGCACAGTGCACGGCGCCCTTGAGGTTGCCCAGCTTGTTCACCACCACTGCCACGGCTTCCTTGACCGCGTCCGAGTCGGTAATGTCGACTTTGACGTAAATCGCGCGTCCAGTGAGGCCGTTTGGTGTCATTTCGACAGCAACCGCGTCACCCTTCTCGACCGGGATCATGTCAAAGAGCGCCACTGCTGCTCCTTGGTCGAGGAGCATACGCGCACAGCCAGAGCCGATGCCGCCAGTTCCGCCGGTGACGATCTGATGGTCAGTTTCGTGTGCTGAAGGTTGGCAAACTCACGAAAGTGCTGCCCTTGATGATCATTGTTGTAGCAGAGGTCGAGTAAGAGATGGGGAAAGCACCTTCACTCCATGCCTGCTGTCTTATGGGCTGCTGCGTAGACCGTCTCGGTCACTGTACACCCCGCTCACGGAGATATCGTTGTAGACAGATGGGCAAGCTTCGAAATGCAACTCCGCCGGACTTTCTCCCTTGCCGACACAATAACAGTGACGTGAGGTGGCCCAGGCTGATGGCAACCGTACGTTACCGCGAATTCCCTCCACCGTGCCGTGGTATACCGCATTCACTGCCAGCAGATGCGAGTTGCCGTCTGAAGCCCACTCTGAATGCTACAACAACTCCGCTCCGGCGTCACGGAATAAGCAGCGCCACAGCACCCAATTGATCCGATCCCAACTCCGCTCTCCACTCTCACTCCCATTTCCGCGTAGTCTCGGTCCAACAATCGCCAGCATGCCTGGAACGCCGACGCAGATAGCAGCTATAAACACAACAGTACTGATGAACTGGCCATGACTCACTCACCCCCCGTCCTCCTTTGCGCATCTCACAGCATGACCATCACTCTTGAGACTGGCCCGGCCACGGTCCCCCTCCCCACCGACTTCCCGACCCATGCCGCAGGCTACGCACCCCCTGCCAACCTGTCGGCACACGACGTCGCGTCAGTCGCTCAGACATGGTTGAGCACCTTTGAGCGTGCCGCGACCACCTCGGACGGTGCCCTCCTCGCGACTCTGTTCACCCCCGATGGATTCTGGCGCGACATTCTCGCGTTTACCAACGACTACCGCTCGATCCGCGCCCACAACATTGCCGCCGCCGCCAATGTCGTCTTGCCCCGCGTCCAAGCCAGCAAGTTTGTCTTTGGCCAGACCGCACCCTCGCTCGCACGCCCCTTTGACGACGTGACATTCCTCTCCATCCAGTTTGCGTTTGAGACGCGCAGCGGACCGGGCTCGGGCTCGGCCAACCTCGTCTACCACGAGGGCGAGTGGCGCGCGTTCACGGCCTTTACCCTTCTGGAGGGCGTCAACGGTGTCACCCAGAGGATTGGCGAAGACCGTCCTCGTGGTGTGCACAACACCCCACTGGGTTTCGACGACATGCGTGCGCTCGAGTCCGACTTCAAGGACCGCAACCCGGGCGTCCTCATCAGTGAGTTAACCAAGGGCGAGGAACAGCAGCTAACATAAAGTCGGAGCCGGCCACAACGGCCTCTCACTCGCCGCACAGCTCAAGACGTACGGTGTCGACTCGCTCGTGATCGACAAGCAGAAGCGCGTCGGCGACAACTGGCGACTCCGCTACAAGTCGCTCTCGCTCCACGACCCCGTTCACGACTGCCACCTGCCCTTTGTCCCCTTCCCCACCACGTGGCAAAAGTACATGCCGGCCGGCAAGCTTGGCAACTTCCTTGAGCACTATGTCGACATGCTCGAGTTGAACGTTTGGTCCGAGGCCACGGTGGATCCCACGCGTACCAAGTTTGACGAGAGCACCGGCAAGTGGACCGCCACTGTGCTCCGCACCGTGGACGGCAAGGTCGAGACGCGCGAGTTTACCGTCTCGCACGTCGTCCTCGCTACCGGTCTCGGTGGTGGTCGCCCCAAGATGCCCGCACCCTTCGCTGGCCAAGCCAGCTGGGACGGTTCCGTGATGCACTCGGCGCAGCACAAGTCGGGTGCCGACTGGCGCGGCAAGCGTGCACTTGTTGTTGGAGGTGAGTTTAATCCTGTGCTTGACCAAAACTGACATCCAGCGTGCACTTCTGGACACGACCTCTGTGTGGACATGGCTCAGAACGGCGTCGACGTCACCATGCTCCAGCGCTCCCCGACGTTCATCATGACGGTCGAGAACGGCATGAACAAGATGGTCGTGCCGCTGTACAACGAGACCATGGGGGATGTCGACGCCGTCGACCGCGTGGCCGAGTCGTCGCCCAAGTTTGTCGTCAAGCTGTTCCACCAGCGGTTCATCAAGGAACTCAAGGTCGAGGACGGCGAGCTGCTCGATGGCCTCACGCGTGCCGGCTTCAAGCACTGGTCTGGCCCCGACGACTCGGGCTTCATCATGATGGCCCTGGACAAGGCCGGCGGCTACTACTACAGCACGGGCGGAAGCGAGATGATCGCCAATGGCGACATCAAGGTCCAGCAGGGCGAGATCGCCTCCTTTGAGCCCGGCAAGATTGTCAAGTTCAAGGACGGCACCGAGGGCCAGTTTGACGTGGTCATCTTCGCCACTGGATACACTGGCTTCCCCGACATGGTCCGTGACACGCTCGGCCCCAAGTGTGCGGCCACCTTCAACCCCGTCTGGGGTCTCGACGCAGAGGGCGAGATCCAAGGCGTCGCGCGCGACTCGGGTATCCCCAACATGTTCTTCACCGTCGGCGCACTGGCAGCCGGCCGCCTCACCTCCAAGGTCATTGCGCTCCAGATCCTCCAGCAGCGGCTGGGCGTGTTTGGCGAGCGCTACACGTACGCCAGGCAGCTCGAGGATGGCGGTATTGCGGGGGCCAAGGCCAAGACCAACGGCACCGTCTGAAGATCTGGATACATAAGAGGCTTTAGGATAGGACAGTACGATATCGGGAAACCATAGAAGTGAAACATGCAAGTTCCGTTAGCATTCATCCGCGCCTACGCTCCGTAATTCTCCTCGTCTTCATCTCCAACCGTCCACGGCCCAAAAACGTTGCAGCTGCTCTGAAGAGCTGCTGTTGTGTGCCTCCACAGAGACTCGAACTCTGGTTGCAGGATCTACTCGTGTTCGAGCTCACACTTGCGTATGAGACCTACGTCCTAACCATCTAGACGATAGAAGCCACACGTCCGGCATCGCGCCGATCAGTGGACTTTCTGACAGCATTGAGCGCCGTGCGCTTGTCCCCCCAGGGCGAGTGCCCGTCGATGAGAGAGGAGAGGATATGCATCAGGAGGGGCACGGCCAAAAACGAGTGACCGAGGGAGGGACACGGAGAATACGAACGTGGCACTACCGCCGATCCCGCCACACACCACCTCGGCTCGCACTCCAACCTCTTACTTTACTTTTCCTCGCTCAACACCTCCTCTGCATCCACAAAAGACATGCTGCATGCACAGGGGGCCAAAAGCAAAGGCCCTCGCCGGGATTTGAACCCAGGACCACTTCCATAGCTAGAGAAGGATTAGAGACCGACTGGACCCTAAGAAAGTATGATAGCCACTACACCACGAGAGCCGAATTGATCATGTCTTATTGCAGCCCCGGCTGGCTTAACAAGCATTTCGAATGTCACAGGACGTGCAGAAGAAGGTAAGGGAAAGATGTAGACGGTCATTTGGGGATGGTAAGTGACTGCTGTGGAGGGTGGACGGGTGTCAGGCATGTTTTGACATCAAGGGTATGAGGTGCGGCGCGATGATTGGCGCCAGCGGTGTGCCGGGGCTTGTCCCTGAAGATGAGGTTTTTACGGCGGTTGGTTCGGACAAGAGGACGTGCAGAAGCATATGTACCTGAAGAAAGACGTCTATACACCCTAGCCCACTTTGTTTGTACATTCTCCAGAGAAAGGAACACGTGCATTCTCCAGAGAAAGGAACACGAGGGAGGGGCATGACCACGTTTGGGGTGGAGTGTGGCAATTAATTCGGAATAAATGGGGAAAATTCAGTTTCGACCTCTCAACCCCCTCCAATTTGGGTGCCATCTCGGAAAGGTGCACACTCATGCATTTTTTTCTAGACATAACGACGTGTGGTTGGCTTACTTGACTATGCACACACCTAGTGTGGGCTCCCAGACCGCGCGGCGCCATAGATGCCGGGCGGAACTGGGCTACGGCTTAGTTATGTTCAAGATACGGTGGGTGGGTGGGGTGGGGATGTTATGAGGGGGGTGGGTGCGTTCATAAACAGCTTGTTGTTTTGGTGTTTGATTGCGTTTTGCTTTCGAGCGAGGTACTTTTGTGGGCATGTTGTAGGTAATGGGCAATGAATTGACGCGCGACTTTTGGGGAACGGGGGTGGGGAGACGGTGTGTAGGTAGGTAGGTGAGAGATGTTGGTTCCGAGATCTCAATGAGATGATGCACAAATGCGGATTTGACTGTGGGGGTTGTTTATTCTTGCTATCGTGTGTGGATGAGGGATACGAGTCGAGTCGAATCGGGTCAAGGTGCAACGGTCTCTAAGGCACAGGCAACTCGGTCATCGACGCGCCTTGCTTACTGCGCCGCCGCCGCACGCGAGTCCTCGCCATGACCGTTGGGAAGGTCCTTGAACCGGCACGTGTCGCCAAACGTGCAACGCTCGCCACGGGGACAGCGGTGGCTTATAAATGTCAGTTTTGAACCCAAAAGACTAGTCGTCGGGCGGAACTTACCCATAGACACACTCGTCCTCGCTAAAGTGGCAGCGCTTGCTGCGGACATATGGGCAGATGATCTCCTTGGCGAGACGCGCGAGTTCCTCAGTCTGCTCCTCATTGAGCTTGTAGTGGTGCGCATACTCGCAGCCATCTCCGTTCTTGCAGCCCCAGGGCGAGAGGTAGAACGTGTGGCATGGGCGGGGCTTGAGGTTGCGCACAGTCGGGACGCTCGCAGAACGAGCGGCCGGCTTGTACTTTTTTCCAGGGCCGGCGGTAGCCTTCTTCTTGTTGTCTTCCCAGTCGCCGTCCTCGTTCTCGCTCTGCTGCGAGTGCTGGGCGTGCATCGAGGAACGGGGAACGCGGAGGCGGGTCGAGGCGTTGACACCGCGACGGGGAGGAGCGCCAGCTCCAGGGTTACCAGCGGAGTGAGGAGCAGAGTCAACGAGACCCTCCCACTCAATAACCTCGATCTCAACGTCGGGGTTACCATCCTCGGAAGTGGAATCAGAGTTGCTGTCGGGGTCGTCGACGCTCGACACATCTTCCTCCTCCTTGTCTTTAGGCTGAGCGCGGGCTGGGTAGCCACGGCGCGCGCGAGGGGAGCGAGGGGAGGGAGGAGCACGAGAGGAAACGGCAGGGCCGTTCGCGGTGTTACCCGAGCTACCGTTATCCTTGCCGTTTCCGTTGGTGCCCAGAGCAGCCGAGAGATTGTTGGGGTTGGGGACGCGCGACGTGCGGAAAAGGTCGTTGACAGTCACGCAACGGGAAGCATACGGCTTCAGGCCAGCAGCGAGCTCGGAGTAGCCCTTGAGCAGAACGAGTTTGGACAGGCCCGAGGTGGTCTCCAGAGACGACAGAACGTTGGCATAGCCATTGTCATGTGTCGCGCCGAGGAAGATGGTTGAGCACTGGCGGTGGCTAGAATATAGGCGGAGGTGCTCGCGGATCTTGGCATCCGTAGCCTCCTTGCCGTGGCCCGCGTCGATGACGCTAAAGAGGTCGTGAGCCGACGAGAAGCCCTGCCAGAAACCGTCATATACGGTCCACGAGGGCACGGAGCCGGCGCGGAGAAGCGCATGGCCGAGACCTGACTTGTTCACAAAGACCTGAACAATGACGCTACCAAGGTCGTGCTTGGGTGCGTCACCGTTGGCCTCGATGCCTCCGTCGTTGGTCTGAGGCGAGAAGATTGTGTCTGCCAGACCAGGGAGCGCGGTCGCGAGGGTACGAGCGGCCTGTTGACCGCCGGCGAAGCCCTTGCGGAGATACTCGTCCTGGAACTATTTTTGTCAGTAACAACGCACCGGTAGCTGTGAACTCACGATTAATCCATCACCGTCAAGGAGTACGACGGAAAATGCCTGGCCATTCACAGGTTCATTGTTCTTGGTGGCCACAATGCCGTCGAGACGGCGACGCTCACGGTCGCAGCGCTGCCACTCGCCGCGCCACAGCTCAACCTCTGCACGGAGACGAATGACCTCCTCGCTCTGCGCAATAAGAGGGTTGAGAACCGACTGAAGTGCGTTGAGGTGGTGAGTGGCAGTGGCGGCGGGGTCGGTAGCCGGTGGGGCGGGGTTGGCTGGCGTAGCAAAGCTGCCCCGGTGCCGTCCGATGGAAGCGGCGCCACCAACGGCACCGATAGGAGAGGGAAAGCTCGTGTCGAGGAAAGAGAGGTTCGGGGTAGGTGCCACGGGGGTGACACTGCCGCCCGTCGCCGACTGAGCGCTGGGCTGACGACGCATTGAGCTCTCGCGGGACCGCGCGCTCGATCCGCGCCACTCCTCGTCCCACCGCGACGGCGATCCGGAACGTGCCGAAGCGGCAGCGAAACGTCCAAAGCGGCTACGGTGGTCGAGCTCGAGCTGACGCTGGCCGTGGGCCATTAGGGCTGTGAGGTCGAGTTCGTCGCCGCTGGAGCTGGGAGGGGCAAGCGGCGTGCGCGGACGGGGCGCATACGACCCACTCCGCTGGTGCGCCGCTGACGGGAGCGGAGACGAGACTCCGCCAGGGAACTCGCCGATAGCTCCGTGCGGCGATGGCTGGGGCGATGAAGAGTGCACGGCGCGGGCGTCCATGGCTTCTATAATCTACTGGGGGACTGTAGAGAACAAGTCAGTACAATGACTAGGGAAGGAATGGTCGAAAAGGTTTGCCGCTTGCAGATCTACGCACAGTTACCGCAATGTCTGCCCCAGCAGTTCGAAATCTGTGATGTGGGCGAACCGGGGGGATCGGAGCTAAAGCGCAGCGGACGCGCTTGAAAGGGGGGGGCGCGAGTTGTTGTCTAGAGGGAAAAGAGACAGGAACAGGCGATCTAAGAGCACGATGGAGATGGGGAGGATGGAATGGTTTGTCCGGTGTGCCCGGGTTAGGTTAAGAAGGTTATGGGTAAGCCCTTTCGAAAAGTTGAAGTCGGGCAGCTCTGCACACAATCTGTAAACGGCCGTTCGGGCCCGGTGGAGGGGAGAAGGCAGACGGTGCGCCGGGGCGGAGTGGGATTGATAAGGATATCACGTGACATTAACGTGGACACCACGTGGGTAATCACACGTCACTGCCGTTGAAAATGACAACTTTCCCACGGATGCCGTCTTGTTTATTGACGCCCGAGGGTGGACGGTTTTTTTCGAGATTTCTGGCACGCACACGGAGCACGCCATCGACGAACGTGGCGATGGATGGCAATAGCAGGCGAGGTGGTGTGATGCGAACAGTGATGAGCTGCGATGACGACTACGCCACGACATGCACAGAGTGGGGAGAGCTGGCGGAGAGGCTCAGGGAAAGAAAAGGAAAAGGACATGGCCAAGAACGCGAAGCTCGTGCTGGCTCGCCAACTGTCGCTACGAGGACGTGGACCGAATCCGGCTTCTTCGGCCGCACACCCACGATCTCATGTTATAAAGCGGCGCTGAATCAACATCCCCCCATCCTCTTTCACTCACTGTCTCACTGCCCTCTACCACCCCTCCCCCATCCACCACCCAAACTCTAGCAAACATGGCTCTCCGTCTTGGTGACATTGCCCCCGACTTCGAGGTACGTCAACAACATCACCTCTGAGCATTCCCACTGACACGCTTCCTCTCTAGGCTGAGACCTCGAAGGGCCCTATCAAGTTCTCCGAGTACGTCAAGGACTCGTGGGCCATCCTCTTCTCGCACCCCGACGGTGAGTGCCATTGATGGTTCGCATAGGACCAGAACAACATGACTGTTCGGCGTCGGCGGCGTTGAGATCGTTCGGGACCTGTCCGGGTCCCCGGGCTTGCCCCACATGCCACGCCGCCGCCGACCGTGCCATCCCTGCTTTGCTGACACAGTCTCCAGACTACACCCCCGTCTGCACCACCGAGCTCTCGGCTGTCGCTCTCTCGGCCGGTGACTTTGCCTCGCGCGGTGTCAAGGTGAGTCCATTCTGACAGCTGCGGTAGCGTCTGCGAGCTGCGTGGCATCCATTCGCAGCATGGAGTATCGGCGCTGACATGAGCAGCTCATTGGTCTCTCGGCCAACGATGTCGCCAGCCACGAGGGCTGGATCAAGGACATTGACGCCCTCACCGGCTCGGCCGGCGCCAGCAACGTCGACTTCCCCATCATTGCCGACAAGGACCGCTCTGTGTCGACCCTCTACGGCATGCTCGACAACCTGGACAAGACCAACGTCGACGCCAAGGGTATCCCCTTCACTGTCCGCTCGGTGTTCATCAGTGAGTCCTCCCTTTTTCCTACTTTGCGCGTTCAATGTCGTGCTGGGAGATAGCCGTTGGCGATGCCCCCGCAGGCACCGGAGCGTGTCCGGTGAACGCGGGGACCCGGGCAGTTGTGACGACGTTCGGACCTGTGTCCCGCCAACTACGGTTCTATACGAACCGTGGGCCTGTGTGTGCAGGACCTGGGGTCGCACATTGCCGTCATCAACACGTTCCATCCCAGCGGAAGCTCTACCGTACCGCAACCCCGAAGATCCCATCCCACCACTTCAAACCCCGGTCCACTGGAGCTTTGGCTAACCTTTTCCAGTCGACCCCGCCCGCGTTATTCGTCTTACGCTCACTTACCCCGCCTCTACGGGACGCAACTTCCCTGAGATCATTCGCGTCATCGACAGCCTTCAGCTCGGCGACAAGCACAAGATCACCACCCCCGCCAACTGGAACAAGGGTGAGTAGAGATTCGACCTCGCGGCGAACAAATACTCCGATTTCATACTCCAAAATGCTGACTCTCTTTCCTTCAGGCGACAAGGTCATTGTCCACCCCTCGGTCCAGGGCGAGCAGGTCCAGAAGCTCTTCGGCGACGACGTCGAGGTCGTCTACCCCTACCTCCGCTTCACCTCGGACCCCTCGACCAAGAAGGCCGCCAACGGCTCGGCCTAAGGTTGACCCTTTTTTTCCAGGTTTTCCGCCACACGCTCAAAAGGGGCACACACACACACACACTGTGTTGAGAGCCCAGCATAGGCATATGGGTTCTTGCTGGTACGGTCGGCTATAGTAGTGGTTTTAGTTGTTAAAAGGAGTTGCAGACTCTACGTTGTGACGATGCAATGCAGTTTATGTGTACAGGAAATAGATAGCAGGGACCAGTTGTGCCACATTGGGCCTATGACGCATGTGGATTGCTCGGCGCGTGAATCGCCTCTGCACAGCTACCCCCGAAGTGATACGCCATTGGGAGCATCTGGCTGGATGCACCAGCTGTGGGGCTCTTCGCCTCTGTGCGTTTCCACGTCGGGGACACAGCTGCAGGGTACTCTTTTGCGACGCCGTGTCGTTGTGAAACTAAGTCTGCATAAACCATTGAATATGTCCCGAACCATGACAAAATGATGGGGAAAATTACGACGCAGAGACTTTGGGATGGGATGGGGGGGATGATAGGGAGATGGTGTTTGCGGTGCGGGGGGATGATGTAACGGGGGCCGGGTGGGGGAGGCAACATGGGGATTTTGCGCACAAAACAAGGTCTAGACAACGTCCACCTCTCGCCGAGGTGGACGGTTTTTGTTCGGGGCGATAAATCGTGGAGCGTGGTGTATGCGGCGACGCCGTTGTTGGGGTTGGTGATGATGCTGGGGTCCATGTCGAATTGTGACGGGTATATATACTCGTTCTGGGATGGGGTATCTTCTCTCTCTCTCTCTCTCTCTCTCTCTCTCTCTCTCTCTAATGCACTCCGCTACCTGATACGCTGGTAGAACAACAAGTACGCACACTTCTCCCTTCCGCCAATCGCCTCTGCGCGGCCGCGCTGCACCTCCTCCTCCGAGACGATAACGTCGTCCGCAGGGACAGGTTGGGCGATCTCGTCGTCAAAGTGCAGCCAGCCGGTTCCGTTGGGGCGAGAAACGGCGACAGTGTAGTGTCCTCCTGTGGCGCTGTGGCCGTGGTGGTAGACGACACCAAAGAGGCGGTACATGACGGGCTTGGCTGTCCGCTTTGTCGCCGAAATGATTTCCTGAGGAATGGCGAGTTCGGTGGAGTAGGCCACGGGCTTGTCGCGCTTGACAACGTTTTGCTCTTGCGGGTCATACACAAAGCGCTTGAGGTGCAAGATGAGGACGGGCGGGAACGAGTCAATGTACACTTGCTTGGTAGCGTCGACGTTGGCGTTACGGCTCGCACTCCAGACTCCGCCGACAGTCTCGGGCTCGTTGAGGTGGCGAAGGGCGTCAACGACAGACGATACCTTGGCGTCCTGAACGTCAAGCTGGAGAGGCTGGTAAGGCTCGAGGGTGACCGAGTCCTTGGCGCCCGGGGTGTGCAGGACCGAACGGAGGGTACCACCAAAGACGCGCGAAACCGACGACTCTTTGGATTCGGCTGTTCGCACCACGTGTGTCTTTTGCTTCTTGCCCACTTCGAGCCAGTCGTCATCTTCACCCTCTCCGCCAGCGCCAGGAGACACAGGACGGTTAATGGTGCGCTCCGAGTCGCCGTTTGTAGTCGCAGCCTTGGCGACTGCTCGTGCCGGCTGAACGCGAGAGTAGAGGCCCAGCAGCTCCTCGTGCAGAGTGTTGAGGAAGAAGCCGAGATACTCTTCGGCGTCTTCCTGGTATCCACGGCGCATCGAGTCAAAGCGCTTGTTCTCCTTCATGGCGTCGTAGACGTTCTCGGGAACAAAGGCCTCGGTGGGCTCGCGGTTTTTGCCCTTTGGTGTGGCGACGCCGCTGTTGGACGGACCGGGAGCAAATTCGCGCAGGAAGACGATCATGGCCTCGAGAAGGGGAGTGCGGCGCGCAAAGTCGGCCTTGAGGCGGCGACCAAGCTCCTCAAACAGTTCAGTAAAGGGCGTGCAGTACACGAGAACCTGGAGAATCGTGTTGGCGAAGCACATGTTGCCAGTGTTGATCAGGCCACGTGGGACAACAGCGGCCGGCCCGTGTGCGGGGCGCACGCGCAGACCCTCGGTAAGAAGATGAGCGAGGTCCTCGGCCGGGGTGGGCGGTGCACCGACAGCGGCAGCAGCGGCGTAGTTGAACGCCGGGCGGGGCTGGGCGGGGGTCGGGCCATTGGTCGCAGGGAGCGAGGGCGCAGTCGAGCGGGGCGTGGTGGCCTCGTCTGAGGCGCGCGAAGGTCCGGCATCCGAAGGGAGCGAAGCGGTGGAACGCGAGGGCGAGGGGAGGGTGCTGCTCGCCGCGACAGAAAGGCTGTCGGGCGTGCCGGCAGGCTTCTTGCCGCGCACCAGGGCGGCCCAGCTCGAGGGGGCAACCTTGGCCTTTGGCGGGGCAGCAGCGACCGGTGCAGGTGCAGGTGCAGGTGCAGGTGCTGGAGAAGGGGACGCGGGGCGAGGAGGAGCAGAGGCTGAGGCAGGGACGGTGGCGACAGGAGTAGGGATGGGGATGGGGACGGGGGCGACGACGGGGGTAACCTCGAGCACCTCGGAGATGGTGCCGAAAGTGAGAGACACAGGGGGCGCAACGCGACCGCCAGCGATACCGACAGCGTAGACGGCCTTGCCACGGGGCTGGGCATGACCAGCGGCAGACCGCTTGCGGGTCACACCAGCCATGGCCATGGTCGAGACTGCCTCTGGAATGGCAGCAGCGAGGGAGGCGGCGTACGAGTTGCCATCGACCTCCAGCGAGGGACGGCTCGAGCGGAGGTACAGCGGGTCGGACGTTTTAGCCTTGGGCTGGGCGGTGGAAGGAGAAGCGACGCCAGCAAGAGCGGCGCCGGTGAAAGTGAGCGGCACATCGGGAATCTCTGATGCAGCAACGGAAGCGGGCGCCGACTCGACAGTCGGAGCCGATGTTGCCTCCACCTTGACTGCCTCCGGCTCCTCCTGCTTTACTGGTGGCTCTGGAACAACCTCTGCGAGATTCTCAACAATGGGCGTTTCGACAGCTGGGGCGGGCTCTGGCTCGAGCGAGAGACCCAGGCCAGAGGTAGGGATGGCCGCATCAGACGAAGGGGCAGGGGAAGAGGTACCACGGCCGTTGACACTGCCGTTGGCCAGCGACTCGGCCTTGCGGGCGGGGTAGCTGAAGCCGGCAGCGGCGGGGTTCAGCGCCTTGCCACTGGAAGGTGGTGGGGGCGGTGGCTGCTGTTGCTGGTGCTGATGTTGAGGCTCGGGTATGTAGGCGCCATCAGGTCGGTAGCCTCCACCGTTGTACGGCATGGGCTGCTGGTAGCCGACGCCGCCTCCGTAGGCATACGGGTGTCCGGGTGGGTAAAAGGGCTGCTGGAATGGCATGCCTGGGTTGAAGCCGCCGTTCTCGTCTGGTCCTGTTGGCATACCGTCGCTACCGTCTGGGTATCCAGAGTATTGCCGTGGGTAGTTGGGTGGCATGTAGTAGCCGTTCTGCATCGTTGCTGGTCCGGGTCCAGATACTGGGACCTGTCCGTAGCCCTGGTAGAACTGAGGAGGGTATTGGTAGGCTGGGTATGCCTGGTCGTAGCGGAACCCAGGCTGGAAACCGCCGCTGTTGGGCTGGTGTCGTTGTTGAGGACCACCGTGAGGAGGAGGGTAGCCGCCGTTTTGGTAGTACGGGTTGTACTGCCACCCTGGTGGTTGTGGTGGGAAGTGTTGTGGTTGAGGCTGCGACGGACCGGCGGCGGGGTTGTAGCTTAATGACGGGTACTGGGGTTGGTGGTCAAAGCCATTGTCTGGTGGTGGAGCCTGGGTGTGGGGAAGGGGAGGGGGAGGAGGGATAGCGGCTGCGGGCCCGCTAGATGATGGTTCTCTGGCCATAATGGGAGAGAAAAAACGGGCTAATGTGTTCGTCAGCTGCAAGCTCCCAGGGAAAGGAGGGAAGGCGATGGACGATCTCTGATGGGGAGCAAAGGGGTTCAAGGCCGGGAGCAAGGCCGGGAACGCGTCCGAGGTGAAGACGACGATTGCTGATGAGGAACAAGGGGTAAGGACCTCCTCTGGGTGGCCTCCATGTAGTACAGTGGCACGAGCGGTGGAATGAAAGGTGGCAAAGAACAACAAGGAACTCACGTGAGCCTCTCTCAAACCGACAACAGGTTCGGGGCAAAGGTGTGCGAGGTGGGCAAGTGTGATCCGGCGCTGACGAGTGTGCGCGTGAGACGGACGTTTGAACAAAGGGAGGAGCTGGATGAGGTGCTCGTCGATGCCGTGTGCGTGTGAGGGAGTGCGTGGGTGACGGCGACGGTGTGTGTGTGTGTGTGTGTGATTAGAGATTGCGAGACGGGTAGGTTTGTAGTCGATACTGGGGAAGCGAGTTGGTACTTGTGTCTGATCGGAGCAGCGTCTCTGCGCGGTTGGGGACCCAATTCTGTCATTGGCGGGGGGGATGGCAGCTGGTGGCGCCAGAGTGACAAGGATTTGATCCCGCTCGTTCCGGCGATCCCATCGACAGACAGACAGAGACCACCACCGGCGATTTTTCTCGGCCTCTGCAAACGCAGTCTTAATTAGGAAATTTTGTTACATCAAAAATACTTTCCTAATAGCTCATTGTTAGCGGAATCAAACCCTCCCTCTCCAAGTCACGTGCAAATATTTCGATCTGATGCAAATTCATCCACCCGTCGTCCCCCCCCCCCCCCCTGCTCGCTCGCTGCACAGACACAAATCTTGACGACACCAAGTCAAGCCTACTCAAATCTCCACCCTTACCCCCCCCCCCAAACAACAACTCAATCAAAATGGCATTCGGCGAACGCGGTGGACGTGGTGGTGGTAAGTAACATCTGCTCACCAAGGGGTGGAGACTCGGGCCATTGTGGAAGGCGCAGAGGGCTGTGGAGTTCCAACTCCACACCCCTCCGTCCTTCCCTTCGCATACTGGCCTTGTCACAACTCCACCCTCCTCCTCTATCTTCTAGCACTGACATCCACAACAGGTGGTCGCGGCGGTGGTCGCGGTGGCTCGTTCGGCGGACGCGGTGGCGGCCGGTGAGTGTGCTCACGAGCGGAAGAGATACTTGACCGCTCCATTTGTAAGAAGATCATCGACTGACTTTGCGCAGCGGCGGTGGTGCCGGTGGTGGCCGTGGTGGCTTTGGCGGTGGTGGCCGTGGTGCCCCCGGCGGTCGCGGCGGTGCCGGTGGCCGTGGCCGTGGTGCTCCTGGTGGCCGTGGTGGTGAGTGCTCTCCGTTGAACAGGAAACAGGAGTCCGGAGCTGGTTGAGACGTACAACCCGTGGGCGGCAAAAGCTTCTGCCGACTGCCTGCCCATAGCGCCCCACTTTGTTCTGGACTGTCTTTTGCTATTCCTAGCACACGACAAGACGCTGACGACGATTAGGTGGCCGCGGTGGTGCCCGTGGCGGCAAGGCTGGTCTCGGCAAGGGCCCCGGTGCTGTCACCATTGAGAACCACAAGCACGCTGGTGTCTACATTGCCAAGGGCAAGGAGCACCTCCTTGTTACCCGCAACCTCACCCCCGGTGAGAGCGTGTACGGTGAGAAGCGCATCTCGGTCGCTACCATGAACGCGGAGGGTGAGGAAGAGAAGGTCGAGTACCGTGTGTGGAACCCCTTCCGCTCCAAGCTTGCCGCTGGTATCCTCGGTGGTCTTGACAACATCCATGTGAGTAGCGACCAGAGCGCTTCTGCCTGTACACGACTGGGAAGGGCGGATGCACGCTCTCATTTCGGGCGTCTGGTGGACATGACAATTCTTGTCTCCTGTTGGCCCTGAAGAACTTCATACTGACCCCCAATCCCAGATCAAGCCCGGAGCCAAGGTCCTCTACCTCGGTGCCGCCTCGGGTTCGTCGGTCTCGCACGTTGCCGACATTGTCGGCCCCGAGGGTGTCGTCTACGCCGTCGAGTTCTCGCACCGCCCGGGTCGTGACCTTATCGGCATGGCCAAGAAGCGCACCAACGTTATCCGTGAGTGGCCCCCGCCTATTGCCGAGACGTCTCCAAACTAACACCGTCTCCAGCCATCGTTGACGACGCTCGTCACCCCCAGAAGTACCGCATGCTCCTCCAGATGGTCGACGTCATCTTCGCCGACGTTGCCCAGCCTGACCAGGCCCGTATCATTGCCCTCAACGCCCACCACTTCCTCAAGCAGGGTGGTGCCATTGTCATCTCGATCAAGGCCAACTGTATCGACTCGACCGCGCCCGCTGCCCAGGTCTTCGCTTCCGAGGTCAACAACATGCGCAAGGAGGGCATCAAGCCCAAGGAGCAGCTCACCCTCGAGCCTTACGAGCGTGACCACGCCATTGTCGTTGGTATCTACGAGCGCAACTCTGGCAACTAAAAAGGACTCGCTTTTTGGTGCCGTGGGGTTTTGCTGCTCATCTATATCAACCGCAGTAGCTGCACGCACTGCTAGCTAGTTCTTCATTCTTGCGCCTGGATCATACCACACTCTCCAGGCCATTGTACCTGCGCCGACGAGGCTATGTATTGGGATCGAGCACTGCAGCCGGAGAATATTATCCAAAAGTGTCTTTTTTTTTCGCTGACGTTTTCGTGTTTACGTAATCAATATTTTGCACGCTGTGACGTCTGCTCTGTTGGGTTCCTTCATTTACGAGCCTTCCAGTCCTCTCTCTCCCCAATTAATGGCCAGCCATGGCGCTCACACCGACCGACCTCGTTCGCCTGCTTGGGTTGCATGTCTTCCATACCCCCCCAGTCGCATCGACGTCTGCAATTTCGTATGTTATGACCGAGTTGGCGGCAGACAATTTCCTTGTCCGCGCCCGCCTCTCCTACGACTCGCTTCTTGTACAGCGCCTTTCGACTTTGCTGGCCCAGTCGGCCGCCCTTCTGACTCCTACCGCTCCAATCCTCGCCAAACTTACATTAATTGAGGCCACCCTGGTGTCGGCCACGGTAGCTGGGTCGGATTATGACCAGCCCGGAAGTGCGGTTTCGGGAGAGCTCGGCCTCACCGTCTTCCTCCTCGAGTACGTTTGCCACCGATGTTCCTAGCTCCTAGGAAACTCTTGTTTGACGTGCTGACATGTGCACCAGGGCTCTTACGGGACCGATTAATCGTTGGCTCTATTACCTCCCCAAAGACACGCCACTGTCCTCTGCAAGGTGGCAAGTCGTGGGAAATGGCCCCCCAGGGAAAGCAGACATACGTCTGGTTCTTAGGGACCCCAAGGCCACCGGCGAGCCTATGACGCTTGTAGTTGGCTAGATCAAGACCTCTATCGCTCTTTCTGACACGGTGATGCTGTCCATGTGTGATGACATCGCGCGCGGTCAGCTGTACTGCTTGGCCGATGGTTCCACTGTCCGCGTTGGCGAGGAGCGTCTGGCTCGCAAGCAGCGCTCGAAGCTATGCAAGGTCATCGACCAGGTAAGTGGGTGCGGTCCCAACTAGTAACTGACTTTATGTTTAGATTCGCATCGAAATGGCAAGTCGCGGTGTGGATGTAGCGATGTGCACCAACGGCACGTTGTTCGTCCCAATCGTGCAGACCCACTCGCGGACGAAGCCGGTTGTGACCTTTGGCGACCCAATTCGCCAGACCGACGAAAGGCTCAGTTCCTCCACACTGGCCACCACACCGCTGGGCCTCGTACTTGCTCTCGTGTTCGAGGGATTCCGTCTGAAAGGCATCAACATCGAACGCTCCCCCGATGAGCGGCCAACGGACGACCATGACGGAGCGCGCAGGTCCGATTCTCTCCCGTTCGCCGCGCCGCCAACCTCAATGCGTACTTCGACCTCGTTGGCGGCGAATAGTCTTCCAACGCCGCAACTCACACCTGCGGCATCGCCGACCAAGATTACCCTTCCGCCGACGATTCTATTGCAATTCCCAAGACGAACTCGGCCAATGCAGCGCATCTTCCCGGCTGTGACCTCGTCCTCTCACCGCTCGGCAAATGTCATGCAAGGCGGTCTACGTGGCAGTGGTGCCCTGGCCACCTGCTTCTCGGGAACAGTCAACCACGTCAACTCTTATAATGTCCTGCTCAAATTTGTGGATATCACGTCGTTTCCCGAAGAAGGGGCTTGGAACGGCCATACCCGCGATGAAGCACTGTCGGCGATCTACAAGGAGGCCACCCTCCTCGCCGGTCCGCTGGCGGGCGTGGCAGGTGTCCCACGGATGATGGGAATGTACAGTGCTCCCGACAGCGACGGTGGAGGCGGACAGGTAATCTGCCTCGTCGAGGAGGACTGCGGGCAGCGCCTGACAATGTCGGCTCGGGCCGACCTTTCCAGACAGTGAGTGCAATGCGCCATGTCGTTTATATCCTCGTTACCCCATCTAACATTATGCAGACAGTCAATCCGCGATTTGTACACGACAATCCACGCGGCGGGAGTTCTTCACGGCGACGTGGAGTGGCGTCACATCCTGGACGGTGGACCGGGTGGTGTCGCCATTATTGATTTCGACAAGGCAACGGGGCGTTCAGACGAGACCGATAAGCAGTGGGCGGCTCTATGCGAGGAAGAGATGAAGAAAGTGCAGGCCATGCTGGAAACGTCGTAGGTTGGTGGTTTTATGTAGCAGTAGTCCATGTCATTGAGTAGTCCATGTCATTGAGTAGTCCATGTCACAATCCCATCTGGGCACCGATACTGCAGCCATCAGTGCTTGTTTTCGATGTAGACCTTAACACACATATGAGCATCTTTGGGGCCAGAGACATCCCCAGTGCACTCTTGGCGACAGCTCTTTGCGGGCTCCGTCCCCGTCTGACACGACTCGCAAAACAGCAGGCGTTTCCAATAAATTGCGACATTCATGGAAGGAAAGGGGTGAGGTTTCGTCTTTATCCGGTTGCGTTATGCATGCATAGTAGCATAAATCTCTGCATAAAATCCATCCATGGCGCACGAATGCATCAACCAGTTTCATCCCCAATGCATGCAGGCGACCACGACGCAAGTAGATTTGGCCGCATGCGGAAAAATGCCTGTTTTCGGTGAATTGATGTCCTTAATGCGGTTGGGTAGTGCCGACACCATTTCCGCGACGCGTAGGATATAAGACGCCCACTCCTGTGGATGGACGAGAGGTGTCCCCCAGTGTTGTACTTTAACCTATCTTTATCTACATCTCGTTACTACCATCTTTGCCCCATCTTGATTTTATCTTTGGCTCGACATCTTTACCCAATTTTGCTCAACAATGGTCGCCACTCGCCGTCCCAACCCTGGTCCCCATGGGTACATCAGGCCGCCCCTGTCATATCAGCACCCTTCCGATACATCCAAGTGTAAGTCGTGGGTACTGACTAGACCTCGTTTCTGCCCACAGCACTAACCATGCACAGTGTCCGGTGCCGAGTTTGTCAGCCTCCTCGCGGCGGCAGTGGAAGCGGTCCAAGAGGTACGTTTTCCGGTGCCGCGGACGTCTAAAAGGTTGTTTGTTACGTTACTGACTTTGTCGCGACAGCGCCATGTCGCACAGGTCTGCTCAAATGTAAAGTCCACACACAGCCATGCCCCGCCAGTGGGCAATCCCACCACGGCGGCGATCCCAGGACCCAACGCGGCTTCAGCACCCGACAGGAACGCCACTCCCGGTGGTACCCATCCTCCTCGTCCACTCCCGACCTTTGACGCCCAATCCTCCCCCTCTGGCGCCGACACCGCACTCCTAACCCGCATTTCCCTCAACCGCACCTCGGACCCGGCGCGTCTCGCGGCCGTATACGCCGCCGTGAGGCATTTTGTCGGTACGCTCTGGGCCGCCACTGCGGGTTTGGACCTGGGTACGCCGAGTGGCGACGGCGCCGCGAGCCTGGGCATCCAGGCGGCTCTGGTCGCGTATGCCAAGAACACGGGCGACGCGAGTGTGGCCGTGTACGCCCAGAGCGTGTGGATTTCGCTCGTGCCCGACGCGACGTTGGCGGCTCGGACCACAACGTCGTCTGCGTCCTCGACACGTACACACGAAAACAAGAATGTGGCACACAACCCTCGTTCTTCACCTACCCACAACGACACGCCCGCAGGCGACGAGGAGGAGGACGCGGCGCTCATGTTCCTCAACGTTTACGAGGACACCAGCATCCCCGCCACTGCCCCCACCAACCAACCCCAAGCACCCAGCCAGACCCAGCCCCAGACCCAGACCCAACCCCCGGCGCAAGCGGCACCCTTCCCCCCTCCGGCCGGACACCGTGTCCACCTGCGCATCCCCAGCACACTCTGGACCCAGCGCGGCAGGGACCCGGGACTGTGGTTTGGCCGGGTGCTGTGGTATTCCGTTGCGGCCGTGTCGTCCACTTGTTCCCCGCCGCCTACCGCATCTTCGTCGACATCTTGAAATAATCTCAAACACCCAATCTACCCAAACCCAATCTTGTGTCGAAAAACAATGTCACAAATGTCAAATGAAAATGATAGTTTATCTCTCCCTTTATCTCCCTTTATCGATAATTTGTGGATCTACCCAACAGTTGTAGGCCTAGTTGTACCCCTAGTAACCTGCCTATACCCCCTGTTCTACAAGTTGTACCCCGCTCTAGTTGGTTGTAGCATACAACGGCAAACCTGTGTGTATGTATCAATTGCCGTGTTGTACTGCACCGAGCCATGAACGAGAAACCCCGGGGAACGGCATGGTGTCAACCCCCTCCCCCCTCCCCTTCACCCACCCATTCATTCCCATCCGACGCCACGGCGACACACTTGACCACCGCCACGGCCAGCAAACACACCGTCTCAGAAGCATACTTGTATTCCATGTCACAACGCACGCCTACGCAAAAAAAGGGTCTATCGTACACACGTCTCTCCTCGTTCTCTCTCTCTCTCTCTCTCATTCTTCGTCTAAAAGTCCGTCGCTATGCTTTGTTTGTCCAAATTTCCCCTTTCCCTTTCCCTTTCCCTTTCAAGCTGAGCTGTACCAGCAGCCAGAACGCGTCAAGCGGGCAGAGGTCGTCGTCCCACGCCGTGGGGCGAGGAGGAGGGGAGGGGGGGTGAGGTTCTTGTGGGCCAGATTGAATTGCTGATACGCTGTACCGTTTTGTTCTTGTTCCGTGTATGCTGGAGGTGTGGTGCGGTCCGCTGGCTCACTCATCGCTGGTTGACAGTGGTGCTGACGTTGCGGCTGGCCCTTCGTGGGGCGTTCTTGAGGGCGGACGATTCCCGTCGCTTGCCGGCGCTTGCGGCGGCCTGGTCGCGCTTGCGCTCGGCGTACAGCTCGGCCCAGAGCGGGTTGGTCGGGATACGCCCAGACAGGAGGGATTGGAAGGTCTCCATCCTGCAAACCGTCAGCTCTTGTGCAATTACCAGCCGCCGCAGTTTTGACTCACCACACTGCCTTGTCCTCGTCCTTGTCGGCGCTGAAGACAATGCCCTCGCCATCCCGGAACCGCAGCTGGAAGCTACGCAGGCGCGCAGAGTACGGGTCATAGTCGTCGTCGTTGGTCTTCTTGGGAGCGTTGAGGTCGACAACAGACTTGAGCTCGCGCATGTCGATGCTGGTGACTTCACGCTTGGTCACTTCGTTGATGGCGAGCAGGGAAGCACCGCGGAGCTTGAACATCCTTCGGCGCGGGACGCGGCAGTCGCCGCCAATCTGGGTGAGGATGCCCTCGTGGTACTCCTCCTCGTGCCACTTGTGGTGCTTGAGGCCGCGGAGGGTCTCGTCAATGCTACCAGGGAGCTCTTCTGGGGAGAGCCCGGGAAGAGGGGGCAGGCGGAGGATCTGGATGGTGATCTTGGCGACCTGGGGACGAGGAGCAGTGCCGTCGGGCAAAGTGGGACCCTTGAACATGGCAAACATCGGGTAGCGGATCTCGAGGACCTTGGCCTCACACTGGGACGCAATGGGCTTGAGCGCAATGTGCGTCTTGGCAACAGTGTTTCCGCTGTCGATAAAGTACTTGGCAATGGTGTCGACACGGGGGCGAGGAGGCTGGACAACAACAGGAGCCGGGGCAGGAGCCGGGACCACGGGGGTGCTCTGGGTACGCGAGTGCTTGTTCTTGCGCGGGGTGCCGAACAGCGCGCGGAACCCACCACCGTGTGAGCGGCCCGAGGAGACGGACACGGCGGGGGACTGGGCACCGGTGCGTTCGGGCACGACAGCAGGCGGAGGCATCGGCGGCTGGGGGCGGTTGCGCTCGTTGATGAGCTTGGTGATGTGCGGGTCGCGGCGGATGTCGAGCGAGAGGGAGAACTCAAAGTTGGCGTGCTCGACGAGCGAAAACTCCTGGTTGACACGGGCACCTTCGGAAAGCACGCCGTAGGGAGTGCGGATGTAGTCGATACCGTTGTCGAGGGTGATGCAGAAGAAGGTCTGCTCGCGTGGCATGGGGAGCTGGAGCGACTCGACACCAAGCACCTTGACGTAGACGGTACCGCTGGACTTGCCCTCGCTGACCTCGCGAGCACGCGCGGCACGGAGCTCGCGACTGTGCTCATTCATGTCAGAGGGACGACGGACAGGTCGCCAGGCCTTGTTGGTCTCAAGGTCGCCAGCGGCACTGCCCTTGATGCCATCAGTGTACGTGGCACGCACATGTCCGCGGTCACGAACGCGGTAGCCACGCGTGCTGCCAATGTGCTCAATCTCGTCGCGGACCGAGTCGAGAATCGACTCGTTGTCGTCGGCAAGCCCCAACGTGAGGCGGGGCGTCAACTTGCTGGGGCTAGCGTCCCCAGTAGATGCGCTACGGCGACGGCTGTTGCGCATCATCCTGCCGGCACGCGTCTCGTTGATCGAGCCCGACTGCGAGTTGGGCAGAGGCGGCTCCACGTCAGGCTGCTTGCGCAGGATGCTGACGGGCGGGACAGCCTTGGTGGGACTCTCGATAACGCGGCTGGACGACGACGAGGGATCGTCCTTGCCAAAGGCGGTCATGATGCGGTCCAGGGCAGACTTGGGCGAGTCGCGGCCGCCATCCTTGAGCTGCTGGAGAGCCGTGGCCTGCGACGAGCTAGAGCTCATGGATGAGCGCGTAGGCGTGTCGGGAGAGAGCACGCGGTCGAGCTGGGCGCCGCCTGCAGGAGGAGCAGGGAGGTCCTTGTCGATGCTGGTAGCGCTCGAACGGTGCGGACGACGGAATGCAGGCGAGGGAGCGTCAAAGCTCACCCTGCCACTGGTCGGGCTGGTGAGGGGCGACTGGCTCGACGGGGTGACAGACTGCGAGACGTTGCGAGGCGCGTTGATCTTGATGGGGGAGATGACGCGACTAGGCGAGTCCATCATGGACACGGGACGACCGCCAGTGGCAGTCTCGGCGGCGACGCGCTTGCTGACCTGCTCGCGAATGAGCTCGCGCGAGATGCGCTGACGGACACGCGAAGTGGTGCTCATCTCGCTCACGTCCTTGTTGGACTCGACAGGCGGGCCAAACTCGTCAGAGCTGGACGTAGGGATCTCAGCCGAGCTCCTGACAGGGGCCGAGGCGAGCGGCGACGACATGGAGACGCGTGAAGGCGTGGCCCTCGACGGCGTGGCAAGACCAGCAGGCGAGCGGCTGGGTGTCATGCGAGAGGGAGAGCCTACAGGCGAACCGCGGTCCATGATGCTGGGGCGGGTTGGCGTCGACGGAGCAGGCGATGGGGAAGTGATAGTCACAGGGCCGGGAGTGCCGATGGGAGTCGAAAACTTGGGGGAGTCGGGCTCCTCCTCGACAACCTCGTTCTCGTCCTTGGGCATGTCGAGCGAAAGCCCGGCAAACTCAAACGACGGGATGCGTGGGCTCTCCTTGCGCGTCTCAGACTCGTCGCGCTTGACTGGCGGCGGGGTGAGAGGCTCCTCGACCTCAGACTGCATCTCGACCTCGTCCTCGTCCTCGTCGGCGAGAACAGCTTGGTCCTCCAACTCGGGTGAGAGGTCAAGCTTGGGTGCCACATCCGAGACACGGGGATGAGCAGAAGCAGGATGCGTGGGGTCACGCTCGGGCTCCTCGTCCTCAATCTCAGACGGGAGGCTGAGGCGTGGGGCCGAGAGGGAAACGCGGCGCTTGATGGGCGAGACCGAGGCCTGGCGCTTCTCGGGGGACTCGGACTTGAACACGGGGTCATCCGCAATGAGGGGCGAGACGCCAATGTCTGGAAGAGAGAAGCCGGACAGATCGGCGCGGTGGGCAGTGTGCACCTCTGCAATCTCAGTCGCCGAGGTCTCCGCAGTTCCCGTCTCGTCGTCGTCCTCGTTCTCCGACTCGGACTCGGGCTGAGACGCAACCATGTGGACGGGGCTAGGAAGGTCGAGAGCCGCAGGAGGAGGAAGGGGAGGGCGGGGCAGCACGCGGCGAGGGGTGAGGGGGGCAGTGGCAGCCGCTGCCTCCTCTTCCTCAACGGGCGAAGGAGGAAGGTCCTTGCCGGACGGCTTGGGTGTGGTTTCCTTGGTCCTCTTGAACATGGCCATGCGCTTGCTGGGGCCCTGCAGTTCGGGAACGTCGGACACCTTGCGGTCAGAGACCTTGCGAGGGGGAGCCGGGGACGCAGGCGACACCTTGCGAGCCGCAGGGGAGGCGATCACGGCCCCAAAGACATCGTCGGACGGGTGCGCGGGGAGCAGGGCCGGGGCACTGTATGGCGAGTCCGACTCGGAACCCGACGTCGTCGAGGCAGAAACGGGAGGACCGGAGCGGGGCGGGTGGCTTGGGAAACCACGGCCGAGTGCCGACTGAACAGCAAGAGCACGGGCAGCGTTGCCACGGTCAGCGTGCGACGTGCGGCCGAGAGGGACGCCGTCCTCGGAACGCTCGTGGTGCTCGCCGTTGAGCTCGGTGGCGGTCTGGATCGTGATGAAGGGGTCGTAGAGACCACCTTCCTGGTGGGAGTGAGGGCCGGGGGATGCGGGGTGGGGCTTGCCAGCGGCAGGTTGAGCGGCGTCGCCGTTCAGCAGCATCGAGTGGTCGTCCGAGTGCGGAAGGTTGGGCTGGACTCCCGGGTCCAGGTGGGGAGTGATGGTGTGGACGTGGTGTGGGGACTGGGGCAGAAGGAGCTGTTCGATGAGCGGGGTCGACAGAACCGCGCCCTGCGAGCTCACGCTTTCGGTGTTGTCATCCGACTGCGAGTTACGAGCCGGCGAGTCCTCCAGGGGCATTTCAAAGGACGTAAACGACGCCTCCATGGGGAGCTCAAACTCGGCCTGGTCCTCAAACGCCTCGGTCTCTGCGCGAGGAGGCGAAAGGAAGCCGTCGTCCATGAGCGAGTCCATAAAGTCGGCCGTGGCGCTGGTGTCACCGACGTGGGGAGTGTCCTCAGAGTCGTGGCTCATCTCGCGGTCGCTGCGCTGTGGCGAAGACGTGTCGGCAGTCTGGACAAGCTGGCCGACCCAGTCGTCGCCATCAGCGTCGGTCCACTCTTCATCGTCGCCGTCGAGGTCAAAGTTGCTGAAACCAAAGTTGTCGAGCGACACCTCGCGGCTGTGGGGCACAAACTCCTTGACGTCAGGGACCGTCTGGAAAGTGACAGTCTTGCGAGACGGCGAGTCACATCCGCGCGTGCGGGGTCCAAGCAGACGACGCGATGCCGAGAGAGCCGACTTTGTGGGTGTGGGCGATGGCTGAGCCGGTGGGATCGCGTCCACGCCCAGCTCGGCCCTGTCGTGGCGCAACGGCGACGGTGTGACGGTTCCAGAGACCCTGCGCTGTGGGCTTGCAGAGGGTGAGTCCGAGGTGCGAGCTTGGGAGAGGTTGGCGCTTGGGCTGGCATTGCGCTTGTTGGTGCCAGAGGTGCGGCGCTGGGGAGGCGACGCAAGTGTCTCCTCCTCTCCAGCGGACTCGGCGTCCGACTCGGCAGGGTTTTCGCGGCGCTCGCTGAGGAAGGGAGAGTTGGTGACGTACTCGCCCTTGACGAGTGCCTTGTATGCGAGCGACTTGCGCGGAGCGCGTTTGGGCTTCTCGGGCGGCGTCTCGTTCTCCTTGGATCCAGACACTTTGCGTTCCAAGCTGGCCACACGGTTGGCGGAACGCTCAATGGAGACCTTGCGTTCGTTGGAAACCTTGCGAGTGCCGGTGACGGCAGCTCCGGCCGCAAACCGTGAGGCGGTGCCGATGCCCAGTCCGATCGCAGACTTGGGGGTGTTGGCCGATCCCGACGCAGTCTTGGGGACCTGGCCGTATGCGCGGTTGGGTGTGCGGCGCTCGTGAATGACGGAAGAGGCCTCGACGTTGCGGCCGTTGCTGAGGGCACCCTCGCGGGTGCTCAGGTCCTTGAACGGCGAGTTGGCGACGAGCGAGTTGGTAGCCATGTGACGGAACGAGCTTGATGTGCGACGTGGTGTGCCGTTCGAACCGCCACCACCACCGGATGCCGACTCGCCAGTGTGGTCGGGTCGGAGGGGGGAGGCGTTGACCGAGTCGGTCCCACGCTTGCTGATGTTTAGTGGCGACCACCCCTTTGAACTCGAGTTGATGATCGAGTTGCGGGATGCGGTCGCAGCGTTGCCGGAAGGGTTATGCAGGCGTATCCTGTTGTTGGATGTCGGCGACGTCACGGTCAACCTGCTCTTGGGGGGCGAGGCAGCCATGGTGTGCCGAGGAAAGGATGAGGATCGGACGGGTGGTGGAGTGGGGAGACAGGTGATGGGTGGCCTGTGTGTTGTTGTTGTGTTTATTGGGTAACGGGGTCAGCTGGTGGTGACCAGGGGTTGGGGGAGGTTTGTGGGCGACGGGCGCCTTGGTGACCTCTTTGAGTGTTGTTGGTGGTGGGTGTCGTGTTCCTCTACGTGGTCGAGCAGTAGGGAGGGCGGAGAGGGTGTCGAAGACGTGGGGGTGAAGAAAGAAAAGGGGAGAGGGTGGCTGTTGATGATATGGGTGATGGGTCGTTGTGGGTTTGTGTGTGGGAGTGTTTGTGTCCCCTCGGTTGTGTTGGCGTTTCCACCCACACACAGTGCGCCAAGGGCGTGTGCCCACAGAGTGCCCGCCCGCGGCTCAACCGCCACCCCGGAAAGTCAGTCGCGCTCCCATGCTTCCGCGGATGTATTTTCCCTCACCCTGGGAATCCATGTTGGCGGCGTTTGACACATGTGGCACACTGATGCACCTACGCAGCCAGGCACGTCCACTCAATGTTGACACCCGCCGAGTTCATGTATCCATGTCCACGGCATGTCATCTCGACTGAGAGCTCTAGAGCTCACTGCCTGTGGCCTGTGGCCCTAATATTCAATGACCAGGTGCACATATCAAGCCTCTTTCTGGTCTCTTCTGGCCTCATACGGCCGCTGTGTGTTTGAAAGCGCGACAACCGGCAGACATCCTTGAACTCGGCCACGTTTTTTCTGTTACGTAATGTAACGTGGCACATTATTACATAATGCCTTGTGCCTAATCTCTGTGACGCGTGTGTTGGCCGGCTGTTTGTGTCCGCGCGCGGCGCTGACCTGGCCCAGGCGCGGGCCGCTGCCAGGGATGAGAGAGGGACCGTTGGGTGTTCGTTGGTGTCTCGTCCTTCTATCTGTACCAGTCAAACACCCTCTCTCACACCTCTCGACCTACTCACAATGTCCCTCCTGGCAATCCAGGTAGGTAGACACACTTTCCAGGTTGTTTTACTGTGCTAACTCGCCCCGCAGAGCCAGTACTGGGCCGTCCGCGACTACCTCTCGCCTGTACGCACGCACTCGCCACCCGATTAGTCTGGAGAGCAGCCAACTGACACTTTGCCTTTATAGGTCCTCCGCGAGAGCAAGTTTAAAGAGCACGGCCGTATCACTCCTGGTACGTACAGTGGTATACAACGTTGGCTGACGGTGTAGAGGAGTTTGTGGCAGCTGGCGACTTCCTCACGTTCAAGTTCCCCGTCTGGCAATGGTGGGTTTGATGGTGCCCGTCGACGAAAGGCGCTCACCACCGCACAGGGAGAAGGGAGACCCGTCGCGCACTCGCGACTTTCTTCCAGCCGACAAGCAGTACCTTATCACGCGTAACGGTGAGTCTCACCGCCCTCTGGAGGCTAGACTCCCACCATCGTTGCTGTACCCCAGGGCTTGCGCCAGCGTGTCCAGCTGCGCACGGCTACCCCGCGCCGTGACCGTTGTACCGCGCACTGGCCATCTCGCGATGACTAACTTCTCTTGCCCCATCATCATCACATACTGACACAATCCAGTGCCATGCCTCCGCCGCGCGACCGCGATCAACTACACAGACGACGACGAGGACGCCGAGAAGCTGCTGAGCTTCATGGACGAAGCCGAGGCCGCGGCTCCTGGCGCCGACGAGGAATGGGTGGCAACACACCTTGGAAGGCGTGAGTATTTTGGATATGCCTCTGGAACCCGGTCCGCGCTACCTACAAGCTGACACGTACAGCGACCCAGGCTGAGACCGTTGCCGAGATTCCCGACTCGCCGTCGCTCGAGGCCCAGGCTTCGAACCTGCACATTGGCGACGACGACGAGATCCCCGACATGGACGACATCCCAGACATGGACGAGGCGGCGGGTTTGGAAGACGAAGAGGACGAGGCGGCCGTGCAGCGCGGAGCCAAGTCGTCGTCTGACAACCTCTTGCAAGTGCGCACGTACGACTGCTACATTTCGTACGACAAGCACTACCAGACACCCCGGTTCTGGCTGTTTGGCTACGACGAGAACAAGCGTCCCCTCACTGCGACCGAAGTGTTCCAGGACGTTCCCGCCGACCACGCGTTCAAGACCATGACGATGGAGGCGTTCCCCCACTCGGGCACACAGCTGGCGTCGGTCCACCCGTGCAAGCACGCGAGTGTGATGAAGAAGTTTATCGACAGGATGGAGGCCCAGGCCGAGGACAGCGGCGACGCTGCGGGTTCGTCCACGTCCCCAGCATCCAAGCGCAAGTGGCTCGGCGGCGTCATGCGCAAGGTCACGGGCGGGGACAAGGACAAGCCCAAGGCCGCCGACAAGAAGGACGGCAGCAGCCCCGACGACGAGCCGACGGGCATCCAGGTCGACTTTTACCTCGTCATCTTCCTCAAGTTTATCGCCAGTATCGTGCCGACTATCGAGGTGGACTCTACCACTCCAATCTAGGGGACGGGACGTACCCATGTTTTTTCCGAAAGGTGGACGTGAACGTGATCGTGATCGTGATCGTGGACACGCGGCATGTGCGCGGCGAGTGGCGGGCATGGGCTAGACAATCTGGCTGGCTTCCAGTGGGACACGCAGCGCGTGCGTCCGAGCACCACACCAGATCTAGGGCTCTGTAGACCTCTAGAGCGATTCTGTGATTCTGTTCATAAAAGCAGATTGCTTTCTTTCTTCTCCCCTCCCTTCATTTGTAAATCAAGTACATAAAAAAAAAGGCAAAACGCAGATATGATGACGATACAGCACACCGCGTTATTCGTGATGTCGTTACTACTACTACTACTACTGCTACTACTACGTGGCCGTCAAGGCTGTCGTTACAGGGTGTCGTGATACGGAAAAGGTCGTCTGGGTGAGAGGGGCAAGCTAGAGGCAAGGAAGGGAGAGAGAGTCGTGTCGCGTTTCAAAGAAGTGTCCTGCCCGATAGAGGATGATATCCATGGGTTTCGGGTCGTTTTGTATGAGGCGTGCCGGGCAGCCTGCGTCTGTCAGTTACACTGGTATATGCACAACTCACGGATGTAGTGGAGCCAGTGCCAATAGGCGAGGCGAGCGGTGACTCACATGTGGGGGGAGGCGGTGATATCCGACGAACACCACAGACCACAGGCATGTCACTACGGTCCCGTCAGCTTGGCTGTGTCACTTTGGCCTTTGACATTCCTCCTTCTTTCAACCATCCCCAGTCCGACCCAACCGGGGACCTGCGCCTTGGTCGCGCGATAGCCCCTCCTCCTCCTCGCCTCCACCATGGACACGGCACTCACTCTATGCAAACGGCCTGAGAAACCACTTGACAACCTTGGGCTCTTTGCCCTTCCACATCTTCCTCCTGAACCGCGCCATCTTGGGGTCCTTTTCGCCCGTCGAGAGGTCCGTCTCGTCCAGAATGTCCATGACGTTCGTGGCGAGCCCGTCGCGTCCGCCGGCGGCATCCACCGTCGGGAGGTGAACGCTCGACGGCGAAAACCAGCCCGCGCCGCCCCCGATACCGCCGTTGTGCGCGCTGCCGGTACTGCCGGCGTGCTGCGAGGTGGCGAGCGACAGGCTGGACGCCATGGCCGCCTTTTGTCGTCGTGCATAGACGCGCGCGTGGGCCTCGCGGCACGCGCGCAGCGGCTCGGGATGCAGCGATACCCGGCTCGCGTTCGGGTCCGTCGTGGCGCTGCTGTACCCCGACCGGTCGTGCTCGTGGTACGAGTCGAGGTTGGACGTCGAGTAGGCGTACGCGTACGCCGACGCGGGCGTAATGGGTGCCGAGGACAACGGTGCGCTGATCGACACGTGTCGGGACGGGGCTGTGGCGGTCGCGGTGTGCGTGCCGCCCGAGGACAGCGCGAGGTCACTGCGCGCGCCAGGGACGCCGCCGCTGCCACTCACGTTGACGCTGTTGTGCGGGTACGAGCGCATCGGGAGCGAGTGTCGGTTGGTGCGCCGCTTGCTGGGCGCTGACGGTGGGAGGAGGTCGGGGACGCTGTCTGCAGCACTGTCGGCGACAAGGGCCGAGTCGGCAGGGATGCGAAGCGAAGACCGGCTCGAGTGGACGCTCGGAGGACGCACTGCTTGTGGCGGTGACAGGAGGGGGTCGGTTGAGCTCGAGCTCGAGTTGCGTGGCACGGGGTCTACTGACGAGCCTGGGGGAGACGTGGTGGTGGGGTGACTTGAGGGGGAGGTGTCGTCGTCCATCTTTGTGTCGTCTGTTCTTTAAGTGTGGGTGGCCGTGGTGGGTACAATCAGCGACCTAAATGACTTTTATGGGTGGCGGAGGCGCCGGCGGCGGGGAGATCGAGGCAGGACTTTGGTAACTTTGAGGGACGGGACCGCGGGAAATGTCACGCCGTCAGGTATTAGGTGGCGTCTGCGGCGGCGCTGCGGTGTGCGAGGGGGGATGGCGAGATGGAGTGACAGCCGCGTACAGAGTGTAGATGAGAGCAAGAGAATGAGCAATCAGCAATGGGGGATATGGGGGGGTCGTCGTGAATGGTGTCAATGCAAGCAAAAGATATCCGAAACGCGCGCTAGGAGAAGGTTGACACTCTTGGATCTCGTGTACTCGTGTTGCGTGATGGTAATACCCGCGGCTACGGTGCACCACGCGCTTCCTCCCGCGAGACCGGCTCTGGTGGAGTCTCATGCTTATCCGAACTGGCCGTCATAGAACGATACCCAACAAAAGAAACAAAAGACCTCGTTGCGCAGTGGCCACAAAGGCCAGAAGCCAGAGGGCCAGAAGTGCCCGAACGGACGAAGGGACAGCAGAGACACACCCAATCTCGACATCCGATATTATTTCCCTGCCTTCCACTCTCGATCACCCTCGTCGTCCTCCAGCCTGGCAGTACCAGAGCAATGGTTACGTTCAATGGTGGTCCGAAAGAGAGGCCAGAGAGGCCAAGACCCGTGGCTGAAACGATGCAACAGCCGACAGGTGCAGGCAGCGCACCCTAGACGGAGTACTCTTCCCTAGACACCGGCCACCTGGGGCCACCTGGTGCACCTGGCGACACCTGCGCAATGCCGGACGGTGCGAAACACCCATGGTCGACCGACCTTTGGATCCTTTAATCCATTGAATACCTCGGCATTGCGGCTGTGCGCCTCACTTCTGTGGGTGCTTTTAGAGAAGAGCAAGCTGCCGGCATGCCGGTTCTGCTGGGTCTCAGCGCGGACCCTCTCGACCCTGGCCAGTGACTCACCAGATCTCACTGGAGCTTGCAGCCAACAAAAGTTGGGGCCAGGTGAAAGGATAAGGAAATTGAGAATGGCAACATGTAACGCTGGACACCGCGATTGAACTCCGCAGCACCTGCGTGGGAGTTGAACATTTTTTTACAAGGAGACGGGCACGCATCGTGCTCAACAAGGCCTCCTGATCATGGGAGCTCACTACGGTATCACTGGCCACTGGCCGGTCACTGGCCCACTGTGGCCGGACTGGGGGGGACCAACGAGCCGTCTGTCACGCGGTCGGTTGTCTAGCGCACCCGACAGGCTGCTCCGAAGCCCAGTCTCTTCTGCCGACACTAGCGCCGGTGGCTACACCACGTCACTACTCGGTTCAACCATGTCGATGCATGCCGAAAGTGCCTACATTTGAGGCCTCGTGTTTTGCCTCGTGTCTTGTAATCGACTAATGGTCTTGTTTTGTTGCTTCTGGCTTTGGTATTTGTGATCGAGGATCGGGAGGAGGTAGGCGGCGAGGCGGCGAGGGCGAGGACGAGTACAAGCAGGCGCGCAGCGCCAGGTGCAGACGACGAGGCATGTGGTAGGAGAGCTCCACGATTCCACAAGAGTCCCCCCAAGATCGGGTGCGCAGCGCACTTAGGGCGAGCGGGTGTCGCCATGGCTCGTCGTTGTGGCGTACAGAACGTACTGATCGTACTGACTTCTGATGCTCTAGCCTCGGATCTCTGAAACGATGTGGCGTGTCCACTTTGGTACGTTGGTGTGTTGGACATGCACATGCCCGACTAGGTGGACAGACGCATGCTCGCCCAGGTAGACAGGCGCGCAGTTCGCAGTATACAGCAAAGCCCCAGAATGTGCATGTCTCCGTGAACGTCTGGCCTGGTGCGAGATGCGAACATGGCGCTTAGATGTCGCGTGCATGCAATCAAAGATGCGTAGATTAAGAATGGGCGTTTCTATGGCTGCGACATGGCTGGTTCCAGGTTGTCATGATACTGGCCCAGTGGTACACTGGTACACTGGCCACTGGGGGTGTGAAGTCGGGACATGGATCCCTGTGCTCCCAGGCCTCATTGCACATCTTTTAACGGAGCCTGTGCAGACTGCACGTACCGGGCGTGGGTGGGTGTGGGAATGAGCACAGACGGTACACGGTGGCACGAGGCACAGGCCACAGATGTCAACAATGCTGCTGCTGCGCTGCTGACGTCTGTTTGTTCAATCCGTGAAGTCGATGTCGGGTCGGACGATGTGTCTCACAGGACGGTGCAATCTGTTTACTGCAGCGTGCTCTAGGCGATGTCTGCATGGTGCTCTATTCATTCTCTTCGTCCTGCGATATGACCTATGGAGGTTCTAGCACTGGCGCGTGGAGGGTTGGTTATGTATGGCAAACACTTCAAACGCACATTCCCAAGCAATCTACAACTGTGAGGTTAACACGAGTTCCTGACCGTACCAAGACCCATCCGACGGGGCCTTGGCATGCAAATAGAGTTGTGAGGATTGACCCCTCCCGCTAACATCGATGGACGGGTAGTTGAATTGGTGGCAATGGTGAGGCCTCGACGGCGGTCTCGCTTGTTCGTTGTTTCCTGCGGTCCTATTAGCATGGCAGTTGCTGTTCGCCTAGTCCATTTCCAGGCTGGGAAGAACACACGTGCCGCTGAGGGGACAACATGACAACATGACAACAATGTGCTTGGGCTCTTGACTCCGGCAGCTGAAATCAGGCGCGTTGTAATCTTAAGTCTTGCTCGGCTAACTCCGTCAGACCGACAAGATCGAACAACTTCCCTCGGCCGCATCGACTGCTAGTCGGCTTCGTTTCCGACTGTCAACATAGCCCCGGAGAAGAGGCACGGCAGAGCGCCGACATCTCCGCCGTCTTTGATGGTCCTGTGGACCAGGAAGGTAGCTAGCGACACGGAGCGGAGCATGCAGGACGGAGCCGGACTATGGTGCAAGGGTGGACGGTCTCTCCGCCGCGTGCCGAGTGACCGGCTGGCGCGGCCAAGAGTCCTGGCGGTGCCCCATGGGTCCACCTGTCTTCACCACCATCAAACCTACTGCTTTGATTCTGATTTACAGCACGGCTTCCTGCTGCATACCACACTCCTCGCTCTCATTCAGGTGACAGAGGACCTGCTCGCGCCTACCAAACCAGACTGCCCCAAACGGCGCCCGGTCCCGTGGCAAGCTTAACCGGCGGCGACATCCGAAGCCACCGAGTGAAACGCACATCCATCGCACAATACATCAAGTCTCTCTCTCTGATGCTCGTCCTTCGTGCGACATCTCGCATCCACCCATTACGCCTAAGCACCAGCACCAGCATCACTACAATGTCCCGCAAGTCGTCCTCCGGGCCCAAGAAGCCGCCAGCTGTGCCCCGTCCCAGCTCGAGGTACGCGACACACGTCGAAGACAGGCACTGACGCGCTCAGCATCATGCTCCTGTCCCCAACCAACCAGCTCCTCCTGCTCCACCGCGTCCAAACGTCGTCGTCCTTTGCGTCAGCACACGTCTTCCCCGGTGGCAACCTCTCTGCGTTCCACGAAACTATCCCTGCCGAGGGCTCGGCGGAGAGACACCTCGATGGACCGGCGTACCGGATCGCCGCGATCCGCGAGACGTTTGAGGAGAGCGGTATCCTCCTGTCCCAGGCCGAGGGCGAGGGGAATGGGCTGCTGCATCTGAGCGAGGACATCGCAGAGGCCGGACGCAAGGCCATCCACGGCGACAAGGTGCGGTTCACCGACTGGCTCGAGGGCGTGGGCGGCACGCCGGATGTCGGTGAGTAGAGGACCGGCGGCGGGGTTCGGCATCCCCCAAACCCGTTTACAGCCGCCACCACATGGCATGGCGCTGACAATCAGACAACCTCATCCCATTCACGCGCTGGGTGACACCCACCACCGTGCCCAAACGCTTCACGACCCAGATGTACGTGTACATGCTCCCCCTGTCCACCGACGTCGACTCGGAATTGGTGGTCCACACGCCGACGCACGACGGAGGCCTGGAGCACACCGCTGCGCAATTCGACGACGTCGCCACATGGCTCTCGCGTGCCGACAAGGGCGAGGTGATCCTGTATCCTCCTCAGCTATACCTCCTGACCCTGCTGGGCCAGTTCTTGACTGGAAAGGGCGACTATGCGGCGCAGCGGGCCGCCCTCTCGGCCTTCCTCGCCAAGGTGCCCACCGGAGACCTCCCACACCCAACAGCCAACATTAGCTGGGGCGACAAGTCCATGTCTCCCGTCCCGATCCCTATCAAGCGGGCTGATGGGCGGACGACTGTTGGCCTCGATACGCCTGGTCCAGAGCTCGCGGGCAGTGGCCGGGGAGGAGATTACGACCACGTGGTGGTGGTCAATTTCGCCAAGATTGGTTCGTCTAAGATGGAGGTGAGGTCGAGGAAGGAGGTATTGGCAGAGGCGGAGGCTGAGAAGGCCAAGCAGGCAAAGTTGTAAAACCAGTTGCGTTGGTACACTCAGTAGTTGTGACGTTATTCTGTGGATGGAGTTGTGGCTTCGGGCACTCTCAGACGAGCACTCCAACGGACCATACCTCGAGGACCTCGAGGTACACTAGCAGCACGAGGAGACTTGTTAAGTCTTCTTTTGCTCTCTCGTTTGCCGGCAACGCGCTCGCCCAACAAACATCAGCGGCTATGGGCCAAGATCGCCACGTTCAACAGACCTTTGGAGCAGATGACCCGTGAAGGATATACCACGTCACCCCCTGCGGAGTTTGCAGTAACGACCGGAGTGGAGGGTTGTTTGTTGACTGGCCGTGCGAGGAGATTCGAAGGTGCCACCAGTTCTGCCTCGTCGTTGTCGTTTCACAATTCATGCATTTGTAAGGGTATCATCCTCGCAATGAACTCCCCGGGAATGCAAGAGGCAAACTGGGTGACGCCGGACGGCCGATACTTGAACACAACACCGAGAAAACGGACGTGTGCGCTTCTATCGTCTAGATGGTTAGGACGTAGGTCTCATATGAACAGTGTGAGCTCGAATCTCGAGTACATCCTGCAACCGGAGTTCGAGTCTCCGTGGAGGCACACAGGACGCCGACGAGTAACATCGTGAGCTTCTCCTTTTGCTGTTTGGTGTATTGGAGCGTGGAGAAACGAAAAGGAGTGTTGAGAGGCAGTTGTGGCAGTGTCGATCGAAGTTTCGGGAGGATTTTTCAACATTTTTCAATTCCGCCACTTACTTACTTTGACGAGTGGTTGGACCACACCAAGCGTCTGCCCTGCATCATACGTCGCTGTAACAGGTAACAGACCTCAATCTGTCATGAGTAGCTACCGCGATGATGCTCCAGTACAGTCACACTGTTTGCGAACGCACAGAGTTGTCTGGCGCACGTTTTCCACAGAGCGCCACGGATGCGAATGTGTGGCTTCTATCGTCTAGATGGTTAGGACGTAGGTCTCATACGAAAGTGTGAGCTCGAACACGAGTAGATCCTGCAACCAGAGTTCGAGTCTCTGTGGAGGCACACAGCAGCTGTTCTTCAGAGCAGTAGCTTCACCTTTTTTGGGTCCTGAACGGTCGCGAGAGAGGCACAAAGGAGTGCCAAGATGCTGAGCCGTGTGGTGGTGATCCCGCACTGACAAGAGGCCACGCTGGCTTGCCATCCGTCAGCTGCTGCAACGGACCCCCTACGCACCAGAGGTATAACTACCTCTTCATGACATTCAATCTGCGTAGTCTGGCCTTCAAAGTGACCTGGTTGATGCAACTTCCATACTCGGAGACATAGCTCAGCTGGGAGAGCGAGCGACTGAAGTTCAGTCATCAGACCATGTGGATCGAAGGGTTCACTTGTTTATCGCTAGGTCGGGTGTTCAATCCACTCTGGCTCCAAGACGTGTAGCTGTTCAAGAGCAGCTTCTCTTTTGCATGTGGACGTCACTCCCCCGGCCTCATGAGAAGCTAGGGAAGTGCCATGGGACGGTTCTCGTGCAGATGTCGCGCAGCTCACGAGCAGTTACTACTACTTCATCCCGACCTACTACTAGTACTACCCACACTGCAATACTACTTACTACCAACCCTAATAGCTAGCCAATACAATCCTCCTTCGCGTCTCGTCCACATCCCGTTTACAGGCAGTAGCGGAAGTCGGGGTTCTGAATGTCCGTGAGGTCGTCAAAGGCCAGCATGTTGGTCGGCTCGTGTCCCTGCTGGGCGGCCTCCTTCTTCTTGTTCCTCGACACCAGGAGCATGCGGCCGAGACAACAGATGATGATGAAGCAACCGTAGAGGGCCAGGTGGATCTCGAGTGATCGCAAGTAGCGCGGCGCCCACTTAGCCTGGAACAGCTGCGGCGCTGCCGAATTGCCTCCGGCCCATCCGATATACGTGACTGCGTAAAGAATAGACTTCTTGGTCTGTCCAGCAACGTTACTGTGGATGTCAGCGTCGATTTGAGCGTGGATGAACGAGCTGAGACGAAAGAAGGCGATCATTGCCACTCTGGCGATCATTGCCACAAACCCAAATACTTCCGGCCGCCGATCCGTCCATATCTCAGCCCTCGTCAAAACTCACCGAGAGAGCATCAGGAAGATTGCCGGGTTACAGGATTGGAACACCTGCATAATGTAAAAGGCCACCACAAGGCCTCCCTTGGTCTTGTCGGACGGCGTGACAGTGAGGAGCACAATAGATCCAATGATATTGGGAATAGTAAACGCCATCATGATGAGGAGCGTTTGGTTGAAGCGCTTGATGAGCCCCGTGATGAGGAAGTAGGTCAGGATGGTCATGGCGCCGAGGGGAATGTTGAGGAGCTGGGACTGGAGGACTGTAAACCCAAAGGCCTTGTTCATAAGCAAGTTGTTGAACGTGTTGATGCCGCCCACGACGAGAGTTTGGGTGAATGCCAAACCGAACAGGACAAGAGTGTACGGGTCGGTGAAGGCCTCGACAAGTTGGTCCCTGCGGAAGTGCTTTTGCTTGATACCCTGGTTGTTGGAGCGGACACGCTCAACAAACTTGACTTTCTCGTCCTCGGTGGCCCATCGCGCCTGCGTGGGCGAGTCGGGGAGGAAGAGGAGGATGACAGTCCCCGCCACGAACGAGAACAGCGCAATGGCGATTGTCATCCACTGCCATCCGAACAGACCGTGCGTCTTCTGGACGTGGTAGAATCCGAACCCGAGGAGACCACCAATGGCGCTCTGCGCGCCGAGCATGGCCTGCCAGCATGCGCTGACAAACGGCTGCTCGACCTTGAGGTACCACTGCACAGTGACTGGATGTCAGCAGGGTCTATGACGTTTCGGCGTTTGGCTTACTGGAGAGCAAAACGGGTCCAACAACAGACTCTGAGAAACCCAGCAAGGCGCGAATCACGAACACGGGAATAATGCTCAGCGAGAACGCGAGGCCCAGGAGGAGAGCCGACCAGATGATGATGGCGATACCGATGAGCTTGCCCAGTGGGAGACGACGGACAAGCTGGTTGGCGATAGGCTCGCCGACAATGATACCGATCCATAGGAAGGTCGAGGTGAGCGCATAGTCCTGGCCCACAGCGCCGACATCGGCTTGCCAGCCCATGATACTAGCTGTGCCGAGAGTACCCCTGAGGCGTTAGGTCTGTCTGACTGTGCAGTCGGCTACATACTTGTCCAGAGCCTGGCAGATGTAGGCGAGACAAAGGAGAGGAAGCACCCTGCGGTTGATCTTCTTGCGCAGAGCATTGTTCTCCTCCGGAGAGATGATGAGCGTGGGGTCGACATAGCCGTCCGCCGCGGTATCAGCGACATGCTGGGCCTTGGCGCGAGCGATCTCGGCATCATCAAACTGAGATGCGACTTCGACGTGTGCCGCGTCGTGCTTGTAGTCCTCTTTGAGGTCGGACATGTGGGTGGATCTGTTGCGTTGCGGTGCCAGGCGAAGTGAACTCGCGGTGTGTGGAAAAGAAGCTGGAGCAACGCCGATATCGCTGGTTTAATACCCAAACGCACGGTCGGGTGCGGGGTACTAACGGGGCACCTCTTCCCGGTGCAATCAAGCCCCGTGGTGTTGCTTGTGGGGAGTGGGGGAGGGTACGCACAAGGCGCAACAGCCAGGACGCCGACAACCGGCCTGTTTGGCGCTGGGAAGTGCCTCGGTGTATTTCCACCCAACATCCGTATTGACCGACCATAAACAGGGTCCAGCTTCTATGCCGAGCGGCAAGTGCGTGGGCAACGACGAGCAGGCGCGGATTGTCACCGGATACACGGGTTCAGGAGCAGCTGAGCCCCGTGGAGAACCGCGGATGGCCGCATGGGCCCGTGAATGTTGGGTCGTCATCCCATCAGCTGATCTTGGCTGGCGGCTGAACTGTCTTGGGTGTATCCGTCGGCGCACAACCGCAATGTTGCGCCGTAAGGCCGGATGTTGCCCACAACACTGATGTATAACATGTTGGTGAGATTGGGGACAGCTGTAGCATGGTGGTGGCCGGCACCGGTCCGCATCTCCGGTGGACACTTGTCGGGAAGTTCGTTGGAAGCACCTGGTGTGAGCGCCATTTCGTCGGGGGGCGTTTTACCGGCGAGGATGTGAGTAACAGTGGCTGAAGGCGTGTTAAGGCTGTCTCTTCCGGGTGAGTGCTGCGGTGTCCCTGTTGCACATGTGAGTCGTTAAAGCCCCACGATTGTCACCTTTTCAGTGACCTGGGTTGGGCACTTTGCCATTGCCCTCGCCAATGACAGTGCCGGGATTACTGGACACCAAGGTATCCTTCATGCTCTCGGACAGCCAGTGCATCAAGAGAAGTTACATACGTATTCGAACAAAGAAAGACCGGCTACCGCGATAGCATGCAGCACAGTATCCTATCTGTATTGGCCAGTCCTTCTCACCTTGAGATAAAGAACGCAGGAGTGTCGGCGTATTTGGGCTTGCGGTTGGTGGCACCGCTACGCCTGCGGAACCCTTCACACAAATCACTGAGCTGGTGCTTGCGCATGCGACAGTAGTTTTCGATACGTGGCTGGGTAGGGAACTGCGTTACTCGTCAGCTAGATTTCGGGATCCTTCTGGTACTTACCCTGTCTGACCAGTAACTGTAGAAATCCGTCTTGCTGGCGTTGGGGGCATCCCAGTCATACTCCAGCATGGTGTTGATAACCAGGTCGTGGAAGTCCCGGCTGCTTTGTGGTTTCTCCTTCACTACAGCATCGCCTCCAGCAGTGGCAAGGCGGTAGCCTTCGCACCGCTCTGCGATAAACTCGTGGTGCGTCGCAACGAACGCCGCCAAGTTGAAGCCGAAGGGCAGGTCATGCTGGAATCGTTAGTCTTCATGTGGCGACGAATGTTTACTCGGAAGACTACTAACCTTGCGCTGCCAAGTGACGCAAAACCACTTGACTGTGTTTCTCCCCGCCCAGTTGAACCTGTTCATGTCGGTGACAATGGATTCAAGGAGATCGACGGTCATCGCCACTGTCGATGGAGAGGGTTCCAGACGCGTCTCTGAACGCCTGCGAGTAGAGACAACCGGTTCGTCGTCGTCATCTTCGCGCTCTTTCCTCTTCCGGCCTCCAGATGTCTCATAGGTTAGGGCTCCGGCAGGAAGTGCCAGTTGTGCAGGGAGGTGTGGCGGCGATGGTTGCGCAAGACGTGGTTGGTAGTTGGGTTCCACCGGGAGGCGTTCAAGTGGAGGAAGGCAGATACCAGTCGAGCGGCCAAAGACCCAGTCAAGGTCAACAACGGACACGTGCGACCACCCGATAACCGAGATGATGGTCGTCATGTTGGGGAGAACAAGTAGGTCAATGTGCACGTCATGACGGGGGCGAGATTCAATGCGAAAGCGGGCCCCGTTGCGCTGTGTAGAATCAGCAGGGATCCAATGACTCGCACTCACAGATACACTCTCCCTGAGCTCGTCCAGTTGACTGGGTTCAAACATTCCCTCTATGACAGCCAGGGTCTTCTTGGACACTCGCAGGTGAGCCTCAATCGGGTCCTCGGGTCCTCTCTCAGGCCCAGGGTCAGGGAATGGCAGCGCCTCACTACTGCTGGATGAGCCTTCAGACGCTGGGCTCGAGGAACACGACGAGCCTTCTGAGCTTGTTTCGAAGGTCTTGTAAAGGTCCAAGGGGAACATTGTGGTAGGGGTAGAAGGCACTGTGGGGCAGGTGGCGTTGAGAAGCTCGAGCATCTGGGCATCGGTATACTTCTCCACAGGAGAAGGGACCTCGTCTAAGGCCTGGAGGAGAGCCAAAATATCCTCATGGCTAATATCTTCACCGAGCGTCCCATCATCGCGGGGGTCTACAGGTCCAACCTTGTCGTCGTTGTAGTCGTTGCCACTGACCGCCGCGTGGAGTGCGGCGTCACCACTGTTGGGAATGTCTGGGAGTGGAAGTTCCGTAGGTTCTGTGGAGGCGCCATAGATAGCGTCACCAAAGAGGTCGTCCTCATCAAAGAGCGATGGGCTGTAAAGGACCCCAGTGTCGGCCATGGTGTGGTGGAAGTTGATGGGTTATCGCGAAGGTGGGGTGTATTCATATACATTCCTCTAGTTCCCGGGAACCATCACTCTGGAACCATCACTCTGGAACCATCACTCTGGTGGGTGAAACAGATGCTGTACCCAATACCAACGGCCCATCAGTTTGTTTGGTTCCCAAGAAGCTGATGCAGGCTATTGTCCTGCCATCAAACGACGTGGGGGAGGCAGTTTCGCATTTTCGGTGATTTTCCCTTTATTTTCCGTGCCTCATCCATCACTGATATCCACGCAAAAGAACCGAACACAAAAGCAGTCCCAGATCCTCCAGGATCTGCACACGCATACACCGTAAGGGAGTTGAACCCCTGCCGCGTCGATGGCAACGACGCATGATACCGTTTCACCAACGGTGTCTTGATGTCTTCCATTCTGCTGTATGCCCGCGACCTGCCTCCCTTGCCGCTTCTCTGTTGCCACGAGACATGCTACTTGATACATTGGGGAACGTGTTACAGGTTTCTAACGCTCCTCTCCCCCACTGATCTCCCTCAGCTCTTCTTCATCTTCAGAATTGGACAGGTCGATAGGAACTTGAGGGCGCACGGTCCGACCAGCCGGCGATTTGTAGATGGCGTAACTTGGGCAAAATGCCTCGAGAACATGATCGTTGGCCTGGAGCCATTGCTCAATCGACTGGTCGGGATACTAACGTCAACTCTGCTGTGGTCCTGTCTGAACTTACCTTGGTGTACCACCACTGCATAAACCCCTTCCTCGAAGCACTGGAGCGGGAGAAGTCGTACTCATTGACCGCCCGCACGATTCGACTTTCCATTATCGTTTGAGAAGATCTTTCGGGAGTGGCTGGAGGAGTAGCGAGAGCGTTCATTGCCGAGGCTACATCCAGGCGTGTCTTGTAGACTCTGTACCTCGGACATTCCTGCCGCAGCTTGTCATCGTTGGTGTTCATGAAGGATTGTACGTTCAGCGAGTATGGATACTTCCAGTCAGCGCTGACAACTGAAGTAGCTCACCAGTTGCTTCCATGCCTCAATGAACCGCTTCATTGTGGGGGTTGTCGACCCAATCAAACCTGCGAACCTCCTGAATTAGGCGGTCCAAGAAGTCGGTCGGGTCATGGTTGCGCACGGCATGCGTCTTGAACCCCGGACTGTACTCGCGGAGCTCGGCTACATGCTGCTTGCAGTACCTCTGGATATCCCCCAGCATAGGATACTGGGATCAGCTCAATGGTACAACTGGATACCCACCTGCGCGTTGCAAAAGCTGTAGAAAGATTTGCGGCTGACCCCTGGAGCATGCCAGTCGTACCTGTCCAGCGCTTGCTTAACCAGGAGCATCCTCGCCGCAGCGGTCAGGTACTGTTTAGGAGAAGGTTGATGGGAGAACCACTCGACGCGCTCCCGGAGCTCGTTGGCGAACAACGTCAGAAATCCTGCGACAGTCGGACGATCGGGATACTGTCATGTCAGCTGTGGTATCACTGTGCGCCTCTCTTACGTTGCGGAACCACCAGCAGTCGAATCCATCCAAGTCGGGCCCATTGAGCACATTCTTCATTGAGTGGGTGGCGAGTTCGAAGGAGTACTCGTGCATACTGGTCACCACATCCTCAAACACCTCACTGCGCTTCCAGTTGAAGTTGAGGCAAGAGTTGGTCCAGTCCACTTTCGGGCGAGGATGCGGGCCAAATTCTCTTTTGGACTGCGTCTTCCCCTGAGGGAATGGTGGCAGCACAGTGGCCCCCGCGCAACTAAATACCCATTCGGGGGTGACGGCATTCATGTGAGCCCATGCCATGGGACGAGGATGGGACTCGTGAGGGATGAGGTAGAAGTCATCGGTGGTGTCGTACTTGGGCGACTTTCTGACGCGAACCCATCCGCCACAGTGCTGCCGTATTAGTGGGTCAGAGATCACCGTAACTCACCTCGATGTAGTCTTTGACGGTCTGTAACTCGATTGGGTTGAATGTGCCGTCCTTGACAGCAAACGACTTGGATTTCAGGAGTGTTGCCACCTCTGCGGGAGGGAAGGCCGGTTCGCTTGTCGGGGGAAGACATTCTCTCAGACTGAAGACACCCGGAACTGGTGAAATGGGCGTCATGGGGAACTTGAAGCTGGTAGCGGTCACTATTTGGCGTTGTGGGGTCTGGGGCGGTGACATGGGAGTTTGGGACGACCATGCAAGGTCATTGTCAAGTAGACGGCCAATGCCGGCTGGTTGTGGGTGAGCATTGATCAGTGCATATGCTGGTTGAGACCCACTGAATGTGAATGGGTCAGTTGAGACGTTCTGAGCCAGTGAGATATTAAGGGGAGTTACGGTCATGATGCTGGTGGTGGTGATGAGAGAGAAAGTCACTGCGGAAAGTCTCTCGGACTCTCTTTATATCTACGTGAGGGAAGGCCTTCCCTCGCCTTCCTTCATTCTTCAGCCGGCGAGTCAAACACATACGAGTGATCGTCGAACGAAGGCACACAGATGAAAAGTTGAACATTTGATGCGTGTATTGTAACAATGCAGATCCACTCAGTGGAATGTGAGGAATGGTGGGAAGCTTGGGATCTGGAGAAGCGGTGCGAGCTGTTGATGGCATCATACGCTGTCGTGGAACGCACATGCAGACCACACCGTCGGGTCACTGCCTGGGTTTCAGAGGCAATATCCTGGCCTGCTTCACAGCTTGAACGGCGCACACTCTATTACGCGCTTTCGATGATCCTTATGGAATGTGCTAACCCATGTGAACGGCACACAAGGTCTGGTGTGTGTGCCCTTTTGCCATTCCAGGGTACGGGGACATTGGAGCCCAACACTGCCATCAACGGTGACTAAGAATATTCCTGGATATGGCACCCAATGCATGCGCAGATTTTTCTCGGATACTTGAATATCTTGACTCATGGATCAAGCAGCATCGCCCTCATGCATGCAATGCTGCGACATTAACAAATCATTGAAATAAAACCCTTGTCCGAAAAGGAGGCTTTGGTACGTCACTTGGCGATGAAGGCATAACATGTATTGCATTCAAGTCTTCCTAAGCGGACGACGCTTTGACGTGCTAGACAAGGTATCAAGCATTCTCAAGAACAAGCGTCGCTTACCATCCTTGATCAAGGACATGATGACCTGGTTGCGAAGCTGTCTCGCCCCCTGGACAAGGGCGAAGTGGCGCCTTTCGTGACGCCGAACCTCCCCCAGCACACCGACATACCAGTGTCGCCACACCTCCGTCCTAACGGCTAACCAGTGAGACCACTCTGGATCCACATTCCCCTTAGCTTCGTGGAGGTATGTGAGGTGCTTGCGACCAACTTTCAAGTTGTTCTCTAGGTACGTCGCACGGACCCACGTGCGGGGGTCGTCGAATCGGTCCATGCCGCGCATGTGTCTTTCAACCTCGTTCATCACCCAGTCGGGGTAATCGTCTTCGGTGAGGAATGACTGCAAGATCCTCTGAAGCTTTTGAGTGGTGAACCTGACCGCGGACTCCCGAGAGTCGCCTTCAATGTTGTCGGTATCAAGGGGAATAGGAGTGAGGGGAAAGTCGTTGTGCGGTGCCACGTACTCGCGCCACTCGGTTGGGGAGAACTCGGAGTCGAGGATGATCTGCGACACCTCGAGGTTACTGAGGCAGCTGGGAACAGGGGTAGGTCTTGTAGACGGAGCAATGGATCGACGTGAGAGTGTACTGGGAGACTTCTGGTTCTCCTTTACGCATCGAACCGAAATGCCACGGCTGGACTGTACTGCAAAAGGCTCGGGAAAGGGCTCTTCGTTGTCATCAGAGATGAAAACGTCGGAGAGGGCTGGGCGGGTGGGACGGGTAGCGTTTGTATTGAGATGGAGACCGCCAAGGGTGGATGCCATGCCACGTCGTTCACGGAGGGAGGTGGGCGACTGGCGAATGGTCGCCGAAGACTGATGAATTCCGTCTTCGTTGATAATGCTCAGCGGCCGGTACTGCGAGCCGGACGGGCAATCGGAGAGGGGGCTTGGCGTCGTACGGCCTGGAACCTTGAGGTCCTCAGGGGTCGACGAGTTGTGAAGGTCGAGTACCTGTTGGTCAGTGTTGGGCTACTAAGACATCCCACCGGCCACCGGATTCCATCCACTCACGCCGTCAAGCTCATCTGACGAGGAGCGCATCTTGATATGACAAAAAAAGGTTCAACGTTCAACCTCCATCCCTCCGAACTATTCTTTAAGGAATACAAAGCACACCTCCTGATGCCATCAACATGGGGTCTGACTTCGACTTCCCGCTCGCCTCGGAGACGGACGGGCTCATCATCAAGTGTGTCTCAACTTCACGCATCAAACGAACTGAAACACCCCTTAAAAACGGAAGCCAGCCTGATCCGCCCGCACGCCGTCATCGACCTTCACCATCAGCGAAGTTGCGACAGGTGATGCACGTAGCATAACACAGGCTGTGTACATGGGTATGGATACAAACTGTCCAGTCTCAATCGTAGAGAGTGTCAGATGGAGAACTGGGCTCAGAAACCCACGTTTCGCGGATGTCAGTCTCTGTGAGCTCGGTCGATCCCGTCGACTCGGTATCCTGACTTGACTCCGTCTCGCCCTTGGGCGAGGTGGTGGTAGAAGATCCCATTAACTTGGACATTGTAAGGGAGGCATGCATGGCCTGGTCTGCTGTGAATGACCTCCGCAGAGGACTGGTAGCTCGGTGGGACACGGGAGGGCCAGTTGAAAGGTTCGGAGCCATGGGGAATCCGCGTCGTTTACGCGGGGCGGGGCTGAGGGAAAAGTTGGTTTTGGCCATGGGCGTTGGAGTTGCAGGTGCCGTATCGAGGGTCGATGAAGCGAACGATGAATCCGCAAGGCTGGTATCACCATCCGGCGTCGGTTCGACCCCTTCGTGAACCTCCTCGGGATAACCTTGACTGCGGGCTCGAGGCTGCAGCTTGCTGATAGGTGGCGTATGGGTTGGTGTGGTGGAGATCAGGTGAGCTGGAGAGAAGAGACTTGAACTCCGACGAGCCGGATGCCACGACGACCGGCGCGAGTTTCCTGCTGAAAGGACCATGGGGCTCGGGAAAGCGCGAGCTGACATGGGGTTCCAGGACGATCGGCGAGGGTTGCCAGCAGAGAGGGCCATAGGGGTGGGATAGTCGCGAATGGGCGGCGAGTCGTGCGGGTTGAAGTGTGGAGTGGCACTGTGGCTTGCCGGACTTGATTCCTCGGCTGCGTTGACTCGCTCCGCATTCGCTTCCCGCTGAGACTGCCACACCTCGTCTTTGGAGATCTTGACTCCGTGCGAATACGTGCCGGTCCACGGGCTCTGGGGGTTGCTACTGCGGATGGCGTCGGAGACGAGCGAATTGGCGTGGTTGACGGCGACAGTGTACTCCTTGCACCGCTGTTCAAGCCCCGACCAGATCTTTGCACTCTTGGCGTTGGCCTCTCGCTCGATCCGGGCAAACTCTGTGGGGTTTGAAGGCTTGATGTCTTCCTCGGCAAACACGATGCTACTCCTGAAACGAGCACGTCGGTACCGAGTGCGGAGCTGGTCGTTGCGAAGCTTGGTGAACCAGTTGGCAAGGTGTTCGCCCATGCCTGACAGCAGTGCCGGAGAATGAGGTGGGGGTGGGATGCGGGGGAAGGTGCGGAGTGAGCCGGTCTGGAGCCAATCACGATATCCTTCCGATGTGTCCGACAGTGACGATGCAGACGACCCAATTGGTGAAAGTTCGCCATCATCCTTGTCTGGTGGGAGTGTCACCAGTGTAGAGGGTGTGTCGCGATCGATCTCGAGTCTCAAGGTTGAGTGACTGCCGCGGACCAGGTACGTGGCTGGGAGGTCCATCTTGCCAGTTTCGGCATCCTCTATCTCGAACTTGACCGAGAATCCCGGAGAACCATGTCCACCAACGTGCAAGGTGATAGGAGGAGCGCGACCCATAACCTCGGTGGCTGTTGTGGTGGCTGCCTCGATGGGAGACTGAGGTGGCGTAAAGTAGGCGGTGGGGGGTGTCGGCGGCTCCGCCCAGCCAACGAGACCCGAGTGGCAGTGGCATTTGAATACCTCCTCCCGAATACGAGAGACAGTGTCAAAGAGTGTGTCGTCTGAGATGGGAACGGTCGTACACCTTAAGGCTGTGATGCAGTCGTGAACGGCCTCGCCCAAGCGAACGGTCTTGCTGGCGTTGGCTCCAACCAACTTGTCGTACTCGTCGCGGCTCTTGTCCATGGCCTCCAGGTGGGTCCTGATTCGGAGGTTGAGTGCGTTACGTTCCCGACGCTTGGTGGCAAGAAGAGTCTGAAGGTTAAACATCTTCTTGCGCCTGTGGTCTGCTTGAGTATGAAGACTGGCGAGGCGGGCTTGGGCCGCATCGAGGGACTCTTTAATCTCCGCCGTGGATCTCGACTCGGTTGAAGAGGAGTCGTCCTTGGCTGAGCTGGAGCGAGGCTTGGTTTTGTCGGTATTCTGGCGCCGACCGAATATAACCCCTGTCTGTAAGTCTTTGTTCTCGGCCTGCCATCCTCTCATCCTTGAAACACACTCACTCAGTGGAGCCAGTACCAGGTCCCGTAGCCCACCTGCGATGGCGGGCACAGTCATGACGGTTAGGTGGTGTTCACAGTCTGGATGCAGTGAGATGTGGGCAATCAAGCTGTACGCTAGACAAGTGGGGGTGAATCCTTATGAAAGATCGGTGTCCATCACCCCGGCCGCTCTCATCATGTCCTCAACACTGGCGGTGCTGGCGGTCAGCCTTGAACAAAAGAGCCACTCCGGTGCCTCGAAACGAGTGATGGCAGGGGGATGCGTTGGTCTTCGCCTACCGTTTGAGATTTGTTGCATTCGAGATCTGATACCGGTGGGGTCCTTGGAGTATACCAGATAGGATATGAGTTGCAGTGCTGAGAATGCATGGAGGACGGTGGTTCACCACACGAGGACTGGGAGCAGTAGTGCCATTATCCCGATTTCGGGCCACCCTCGGTTGTTTGTTCCGTCCGACGCATCCCCTGCACCGAACGGCTGATGATGTTTCTTCTGCTCCCTGCAGCAAAATACTGATGGCCCTGCCTCGTGCTCCCATGATCACGGGTCTTTTGTTCTTTGTGCCAGCATATGTGGTGCGCACTACTGGGCAGGTTGACGGTGTGGGAGACGAGTGGCCAGCGGAATGTGAGAGGCCACCGGGCAATGGGGGGAGATCACATCGACAATGGGAGTACAGTGTGTGTACGTATATTCTGGTTACACTGGGCCCCCTAGTTTAGCCCAGCATTCCGCTAGTGTTACCCAACTTGAGGCGACAGATGTCGAGCATATCCCCCGCCCGAATGCGCTCGGCGGTAGTCTTGTGGAGGGTCTGTTGAAACCTGACAAGGAGACGGCGCAGCTTCCAGATCTCCTGGTGGCTGGTGAAAAGGGCACGTTCAAACTCTTCGAGGCAGGTGTCGAGGTAGTCGAGGTGCTGGAGTTGGCGACGGAGTCGAGCGCCGACCTGAGGGGGTCCGGGCGGCGCACTGCGGTGGGCAACTGCTTGACAGGTGATGATCATGCGGCGGTGGTCAACACGACGCTTCAGGTCAGCGAGGTCGAGCTCTTCGTCGTCGATGCGTGAGGTTTCCTGGATGATGCGGCCCCGCAAGAGATCGCGGAGTTCCCTGTCCTTTGCCTCCTGCTCGATGATGGCATTGTGGACTGTAGTTGCTTCGAACAGGTCTCGCCGACGAGCAACGAGCTGTATGGTGGTTTCGGCTGGAGTCTCCAGGCAAGCAAGTAGGTATGTCAAGAAGTAGATCTGTTTGTCAGTTCTCAGCTCGGTCCGAGAGGCATAAACTTGCATGGTTTCTGATACACAGCGGGTGACAAGGGGAGCGAGACCTGCCATTGCTCCTAGATCGGTGAGAGTGTACCGAGTGTGTGGGGACGGAGAAGCCTGTCAATGGGTCAGCTGAAGAGCCGCAGGGTGCAGTACTTTGGTGCTCAGCGTCAAGTTGCTCGGTCGTCTCTTCCGCTGAGTCGGAGACGACGATTGGGGCCTTGATAACGGTCACCATAGTTGTTGTTTTCAAGTTGATGAGAGAGTATTTGTGAAGAGACGAATGTTTGCCTGACAGGAAGATCAGACGCCATCAAGAGCGACATGCCGCTGCTGATCAGTTTGAGACGTCAACAAGGGCGCACTAAACGGCGCCAGAACTGCGCACGTTCCCACTTTTGAGGCATGCTAAGCACGCAGGACTGAATGAAGAAGTGTAGAGCATATGGCCATCTTGGACCGTGTTCATGTGGCGTAAGGAATGCTGAGCACTCCGTCAAGGGCGCGGTGGACAAAGTTTTGTTTTGCATCAAAAGCGCTATAAACAGGTTTAAAGCCACGATATTCTATAAACTCCCCCTTCTAAGAGCGAACACCCCAGAGGCGGTCAATCTCCTCCTCGCAGTCCTCGACGAGCTTTTCGATGGTGTGGAAGAGACGAATGATGCGCTTGGCGGGCCCGTAGCCGTGGCGGTTGAAGATGTTCCACTGCTCCTGGATCCCCTGGTTGTGCAGCTTCATCTCGCGCGCGTAGATCCTGGCAGTCTTTTCCGCCGAGTCGACATCCTTGACAAACTCGGCCATCAGCGTGCTGCGTGTAGCCAGCAGGCTGGCGGACCTGCCGCGGGATACACGGTTGGAGACGGACTCGACAAGACGGCGAGCCAGTGCAGCTTCGCTTTGGGTCTGGTCCACAAGGGCATTCAACGCGTCGGTGTGCTTGAAGGAATGGACAAACTGTTCCTTGTGCATCTCGACCATGTGTTCCGTCATGTTGATGAGAGCTACACGATCCGCACGCTGAACATAGTAGGCATCGAGGATGGCACCACCATGGGGAACAACGAAGCGGCCGTCGGGCAGGCGAAGGCGGTTAAGGAGCGTTTCGAGGCGGTGGACCTCCTCCTTCCAGGATTTATCGTCCCGCTGAAGAACACCGATGATACGAGCTTCCCACTCGTTATGCTGGAAATGCTCTTCCTCCTCAGACTGGGTGTAGTGGACGGGGGCGGCAGCCGGGCGGGTAGTCGGACGGGAGTCGCCGCGGGGAAGGGGAGCCGAATTCATTTCAATTAAATAGCTGATACTCAGTTTCTGCGAGCGTGGGGTGGAATCGACAGAGGTACGTACCGTACTGGTCTTGGCTGGGATGAGGTAGAAGGAAAATGACAGGTACGTCAAGTCAGGTACTATGAGCTGAGTCGCTGAGCCGTTCAGAAGAGTCGATATATGCGGGAGGATGACACTGTTGGTGGGTAATGTGAGAGCCAAAGGACAGTCGATGCAGGCCTTGGTGTGGACGGGGTTCTAGGTGGTTCAGGCGGTGACGGCAGGAAGTTAGCGGGAGTGAGAGATAAAGCTGTCTGGGATTTCTATCCAAGAAACGTTCGCTTATTTATCCCTTCTGATGGACAATGATGGTGATCAGTGCCACACTTCTAAGAAGGACGGTGGCTGGAATCCGAGTGGTTCGTGAAGGCGGTCCCATCAGGAAATTCACTCTAGAAGGGGAAATCAACATACTCTGGCCTCAACAGGTGCCAATATTCCAGCTTCCATTGAGCACATACCGTGTGCATGTGGGGCAGGAGAAGATACAGCAAGACGTTTGTTGTCCGGGGCCTCAGGGGCCTGGCGGCTGTTTCACATCGGTGCCACAGCCCAACTACTTGAGCGTCCTTGCATACATTCGGCTACACAGTTTAGCTGGCGAAAGCAGGGAGGGGTTCCAGGACTGGGGTTGGTTTGATGCTCAACGTCTCGTCCTCTCAGCTGCATGCACAGCCATGTTAGAAGACGTGAAAGCCAGGGGTAGCCGACTCGACAGAACGCTGATGGGAAGCGGGCTGTGTTCTGCCATCAGAGAGGATACCGCGGTGCTTTGATTGTTCGTCTATCCCGAAAGAGATCTCTTCCCCTGGCTACATTGGTTCCTCAAACTCACGAGTCGTAATGAAGGCTCTATCGTCATAGACAGGGCCACGGCCGGACGGAGTTTTATCGCTTTCTCCTCAATATTGTTCATTCTGCATGCCGGTTGATGACCCACTGGGTGTTCCAGGCGCCGCCATCTGCATAGCCTCTCCTATGACTGGAGGGTAGCTATCTTCAATCCAATAGTAAAACAATGCCAGGAGACGTGCCAAGATGTCTCGGGCAGGAGGGGTTAGGAATGAAAGCGGCAAGGGGCAATGAACGACAGTATCGTTCACAGTCATCGAAAAGGTGAGGTATGTATGTACACACGTTGATGTGGGGGCTTGGCTACGTTGGTTTGATTGTGTCGTGTCGGCTATGCCGTGCTTCTTGGTCCAGCCGTACGCATTCCCGAGCGTAGCGCGCTCGCAGTGTTCCTCGATCTAGCCCACATGCTCGTCATGATCTTGATTGAGATCCACGGATGGATGTCGGTGTTGGTGTGTCGACGTTGTTGACGTCATTGTCGGGTTGCCTCTGTGTGTGTAGCAGCGGCCGTACACTCGAGGAACCGAGGTGAATCTCACAGACCACCCCACCGACCCATGAGACAGACAAGGATCTTGTCACCGACACATTAATGCCGTCACGCGCAGGACTGGAGAATTTGTGGAATCGACCCTGTAAATCAGTTTAATCGGGGTTTATTCGCAACTTGTTTGATGGTGAGGAGAGCCTGAAGGCGTGAATGAATCGAGCGACACCTCATGCACCATGCCCACCATGCCCACCATGTTCCCCTCTCTCTCAAGCTGACGGGCTGAGCACCGCTCGGCGCTTCGACACCGAGGTGCTGGCCACTCTGCGGATAGAGTACGGATAGAGAACGGATATATCCAAAACAGCCTCCTCGGGCCGATATTGGGGTTGTCATCCTCCCACAGCCCACGCACGGGGTGAGACGCGGGCGCGCGCGCCTCCCCACCGCATGACGCAACGCCTCCAGCCGACGGCCCACCACACAGTGTACCAACGTCCCATGCTATTATTGGGGTTGCACCATGATGCTGTATCTCTTAAAACCTCCCATCACTTGTGTGCCGTCCTCATACCCCCCTCTCAACTCCTCTCCTAACGTCTCACGCACCGCAAACATCAAACACCATGGCGCTCCCTCCCCCTTCCAGGCTTGGTCGTTATCGCATCCTGTCGCCCAACTGCGGCCTGCGCGTGTCGCCGCTCCAGCTCGGTGCCATGAGCCTGGGCAACGTTTGGGACTTCATGGGGCCCATCACCAAGGAGCAGGGCTTCGAGCTGCTGGACAAGTACTATGACCTCGGTGGCAACTTTATCGACACGGCCAACACGTACCACAAGGGACAGAGCGAGGAGTGGATTGGCGAGTGGATGCAGAAGAGGGGCAACAGGGACGAGATTGTGCTGGCTACCAAGTACACGTCCAACCCGTTCAACGGGCTTGTGAGTTGCTGCACTCAAAAGGTTGCGGTGGTGAATCTGACACCCGCCAGGTGGACCAGCACCCCATCCAGGTCAACCTCGCGGGCAACTCGCTCAAGTCGATGGTGACGTCGCTCGAGCACAGCCTGAAGCGCCTCCAGACGACCTATGTGGACATCTTCTACGTCCATTACTGGGACTGGACCACGCCTGTGGCCGAGCTCATGCAAGGGTGAGCTGAATGACGCTGTGATACTGCTTCAGGGGCAAAGCTCACATCCATATCAGCCTCAACAACCTCGTCAAGGCCGGCAAGGGTGAGTCCAAACCTTTTGCACGCCGTTCGTGCTCATGTCGTCCACAGTTCTCTACCTCGGCATCTCGGACACGCCAGCCTGGGTCGTGTCAAAGTGCAATGCGTATGCGGAGGCCCACGGCCTCTCCAAGTTTGTCATCTACCAGGGACGGTGGAGCGCTGTCTCGCGCGACATGGAGCGCGACCTCCTCCCCATGGCTGCGTCGGAGGGCATGGCCATCGCCAGCTGGGGCACGATCGGCCAAGGACGGTTCCAGACCCGCGCCCAGCGCGGCAAGGCTACCGAGGGGCGCAGTGCCGGCGCCTTGACCGACCAGGACATTGCGGCGTCGGACGCGATGGAGAAGGTCGCCATTGAGCTCGGTGTCAAGAACCTCGCCACCATTGCGCTGGCGTACGTTTTCGCCAAGTACCCTTACGTCTTCCCCGTCATCGGTGGGCGCAAGGTCGAGCACCTCGAGTCCAACCTTGGCGCGCTCGACATTTCCCTCACCCCCGAGCAGGTCAAGAGCATCGATGCCGCCTTGCCGTTCGAGTACGGCGAGCCCATGTCCATGTTCGGCCTCGACCCGCGCGTTTGGGGATGGCAGCAGCACGCCCAGCTCCAGGCTGCTGGTATTGTCGACTACGTCAAGTGGCCTCAGGCCATTGACATGACCCAGGCTCGCGCGAGCGATGCCGAGGGTAAGGAGCGCAACCCGATTGTCTGAGGCGAAGGTTATTGGGGATCAGCAATAGCGGTAGGAAAATGAGTCTCTGTAGATGTGTGAATAGCACAGTCAGATGCAATGAGTAGGACTGCGCGTCGCTCAGAGATGGCAATCAGTGCAGTGTGTTCTATGGGGGTATCGCTCTGACCGTCTACTGGGCCGTCTTGGCCTTTTCCGCGTCCTCCTGCGCGCGCCTCATAAGCACCGCCGTTGCCCGGCGCAGGTCTGCGGTCTCCTTCTCGGTCGCCAGACCACAGCCGGCCCAGCGCACCTTGGCGTTCGAGTCGACGAGGAAGACGTAGCCGAGGAGCTTGTTCTCAATACCCAAGGGGGTGGTGATCTGTACAATGTCAGAAGGGTTCTCGCAGCTTGACGCCAACAATCCAGCTACAGCCGACTCACATCAATGTCGCTCCACTCTCCCGAGCTGACCATATATGTCGCCCAGCGGTCCTCGGAGATTGTGCGCTTCATGCTCGAGGTGAAGAACGACAGCAGCATCGACTTGAGGGGGTTGGCTTGGTGGTTGATCTGGAATGTTAGTCAGTGTACTCTCCCATTAAGGCGTCCCAGGCCGCCCAAGCCGGCATAGCATGGCACAGACATGCCCTTTTCAGCTCACCTGCACATAGTTGAAGTGAGGGGCTCCCTCCCAGTCCTCGAGCACCGGCTCGACAAACGAGTTGGCGTGCTCTTCGGAAATGCGCGTGTTGAGAATGGTCACGAGCGAGACATTGCCCTTGAACAGGTCGGTCGTGTGCGTCATCTTGCCGTTGAGGGCCTTACCGGTAAGGTCGGGGAAGTAGAGAGCGGCCTGTGGAAGAGGTGGTCAGCCACTGAGGGGGGGAGATGTACCTCATGTTCCCGCACTCACATCCTCGCGGATCAGAACTGGCGGGCCAAGGTAGAGCTTGCCGCCGTTGTGTTTGCGCGCCAAGTTGTAGTCGTGAAAGTATCCTTGCGAGGCCTCCTTGATCCTATCGCACAAGGTCAGTAACCCAACCCACATGCACAGCCAGAACGGTGTACGCACAGAGCTCGCCTCTTGGCCTTGTGCCTCTCGGCATCGAGCAGCTCCTTCCTCTTCTGCTCGGCCGACTTGGGTTCGGAAGTCGGGGCAGAGTAGACACCCAGTGGACGAGCGAGTGGTGGCACAGGATAGATGGTACCATTGTTGGCCTCGCTCTTGACGTCCTTGGCCTTGCCCTTGACATCGGCGGCGGCGGGTGTAGCAGGCGTCTTGGATGAGGACGCCTCGGACGACGACGCGAAGCGCACTGCCGCTGCCAGTGATGGGCGAGAGACCGGGGGTACGGCGACGCGAGTGCGTGCGAGAGCGCGCAGCGGGAGGCGGGCAGACATTATGGTGTGTGGTAAGAGAGTGTCGACACGCAACAACAACCAGCGATCTATATCGCAACCATGGACTTTTCCGACCCGTCTCGGACTATGCGGAAAAGTGCCGTAATTAACTTTGTAATAAGACCCCCAAGTCTATTACCAATCAGTTGTAATGCGGACAATCCACACATCATTATTTGACCGTATCAGTCCTTCCTTTCCTCCATCTTCCGACTTTCTTAGGATCGTTGTCCGACCCGTTGAGCAACACACTTTACACGGCCAGCACGGTCCCACGCCCATCCTCTACCCACATCACGACCACCCCCGGCACTCGCGTTGGATTCATCACCCGTCCTCGCCCCACGTTCCCCTCTCCCCCCGTCCTATCCCTCCCCGCACACCGTTCACGCACAATGGGTGGCCTTGGTCCGTCTCTGCGCAAGCAGCTCAGCAAGAGCACTATCCAGGAGACTATCGCCGCTCTGAGCACTGGTGAGGGAAGCACGCCCCTCTCGGCGTCGGTCAAGTCGATCTCGTTCAGCTACGTCGCCAGGAACTCGCAGGTGGCCCCTCGGTGAGTGTCGGCGATGGCCTCGTGCCATTCGAGATGTCGGTTGTCTTGCGGCGCCGTAAGGTTCTGTTCGGGCTGTGTGAACCTATAGCCAAAAAGGAAGACGACGGCAGGCGCGCTCATGCCCTATGCCTTGACACCACTCTGACCCGCGGTACTGACTCTTTCTCCAGCAAGTTCCTCGGCCAGATCGCGCCCAAGATTGCGTACAACAACCCCCAGCTGCCGTTTGTCGTCCAGCGTATCCCGGACCCGCGCGTCAAGTCGCTCGACCCCAACTCGCCCCACAAGGGCGCCGAGTGGATCGAGGGCATGCCCACCGCTTCCATGACCATTGCGTTCCGTGAGTACATTCAAAAAGAGAGGAGGAAGGAAGGGGCTGGACAAATGGCACCTTTGTGTCTGTGGATCTTGCCTGGACTTGTCGTCGATGAGAGAAACGCTGCTAACGCTGTGTCTTCTCTTTCCTTCCCAACCCTCCTGGGCCGACTGGTACTTCTCCTGCATCCCGTTGTCGAACGTGTACCGCTGCCTTTCAAACATGGTTTCCGCCGTTTACGCCTCTCCCCTCGCTGCCGCTTCTCGTCCTCGTCCTCGTCCACCCACAGACGACCGCGCCGAGCACACCATCCCGCTCAGGGCCATGTCGTACACGAAGATCTGGGACGCGCTCAACGCCGTCGCGGGCGAGGGTGCGCCCGGCATCGAGGCCCCATCAGCATAAAGAAAGAAAGAAAGAAAGAAAAACAAGACAAAACACAACCACCACCTCACACCTCACACCCTCCCCCCCACATAACACCACACGCACACGCCCCCCTCCGGCTCGGGATCTTAGATATTAGCTTGTAGCAGGCTCTGCCTCGGACGTCTGGACCTTTGCGTGGTTCGTGATGATGCATGCTTGATATGGACACAAGACAAGTACAGGAGTGTGGCGGTGGTGGTGTGGATTGTGGTGGAGTGTGTGGGGGTAGGCGATATGCGGGGTACCTATGCACGTGTGGTATGAAATGCAGTTGAGAGACAAAGGGAGAGAGAGAGACAGAAAAAAGAGCAAGGGCCTAGGCGTTCTTGCTGAGGAAGTTGTCCATGGACAGCTCGGCGTACTCGTCTTCGGGGGGCAGGTCGTCGAGCCCCTCGAGCACCTTTGAGAGAGATCCTCCAGTGGCAGCGGCAGCGGCGTTGGGCGCGTGTTTGCGGGGCTTGTCGCCGTCGGCCGAGACCTGGAACAGGTCGAGCACTTCGCCCGTGTTCATCGATCCAAGACCGGCGTTCTGCTGCGTGACGACCGACGAGGCAATGTTGAGCTTGAAGCGCTGCAGGCCCATGATCTTCTCCTCGAGCGTGCCGCGCGTGATGAGGCGGTAGACGTTGACGACCTTTTTCTGGCCCAGGCGGTGCGCGCGGTCCATGGCCTGCAGGTCCTTCATGGGGTTCCAGTCGTGGTCGACAAAGATGACCGTGTCGGCGCCCGTGAGGTTGAGGCCGAGACCGCCGACAGAGGTGGTGAGGAGCAAGACGTCGATCTTGGGGTCGTTGTTGAACGTCTCGACAATGGCGTGGCGCTTGCGCGGGTCGGTCGCGCCGTCCATGCGCATGTACGTCACGCTCGGCATGTGGTTGCGGAACAGGTCCGTCTCGATGAGGTCGAGCATGGGCCGCAGCTGGCAGAAGATGAGCACGCGGTGCGAGCCCGTGAACGGGCCCGAGCCGTCGAGCCTGTCGCCGCCAGCGGGGACGGTGCCGAGCCCGATCCCGCAGTCCGTGAGGAGCTGCTTGAGCGCCTCGAGCTTGGGCGCGTGCGAAATGTCGTGCAACGAGGGCACCTTGCCGAGCTTGTTCTCCACTGTCGCGAGGGCGGACGAGTTGTCGCGCAGGACAAGCGCCGGGTGGTTGCACAGCTTGCGGAGGTACTGCAGGCTCTGGAAGACGTGCTGCTGGCCCTGGGGCTTGCCGTCGTCGGCGCCGCCCAGGACCTCGCCGGCCTCCTCGGCCGCACTGCTGCGGGAAAACTCGTCGTAGAGGGCCTTCTGGACGTCGGACAGGTCGCAGTAGTAGTCCTGGATGATCTTGGGCGGCAGGTCGTCGAGGACGTCCTCCTTGAGACGGCGGAGGAGGAAGGGCAGGACCTGCTTATGCAGCGCCTCGAGGGCGGCCGTGGCGGCCTCGCGCTCCTTGGGTGTCGCCTTGCCGTCGCGGTCGGCCAGGATGGGCTTGGAGAACCGGTCGTTGAACCCGCGCTCCGAGCCCAGGAAGCCCGGCATGAGGAAGTCGAACAGCGACCACAGTTCGAGCACATTGTTCTGGATGGGCGTACCGGAGAGCAAGAGGCGGTGGTGCGACCGGACCTGCTTGACGGCCTGGGTGAGCTTGGTCTTGGGGTTCTTGATGACGTGGCCCTCGTCGAGGACGCAGTACAAAAAGTTCATGCGGCCCAGCTCGGCAATGTCGTTGCGCACGCTCTCGTACGACGTGATGACAATGTCGTAGCGCGACAGCGTGGGGCGGAGCGCAGCGCGCTGCATGGCGTTGCCGACATACTGGATCGGCTTGAGGTCGTCGGTAAACTTGAGAACCTCGTGGTACCAGTGTCCCGTCAGCGTCGGCGGGCAGACAATGAGGGTCGGGAGGTGTGCCGAGTCGACGCTGCCGGTGAGCTTGTGGCGCGCCGCGCGCTCGTGGTGCATCGAGCCGACGATACAGATCGTCTGGAGCGACTTGCCAAGACCCATGTCGTCACAGAGGATACCGTGGAGCTGGTACTTTGCCAAAAACGCCAGCCACGAGACACCATCCTTTTGGTACTGGCGGAGGTCGGCCTTGATCTCGATCGGCAGAGCATACTGCTCTGCGCGCGAGCCGTCCAGGAGCTGGGCGAGGAACCGGCGTTCCTCGTCACGCTTGGCGAGGAGCTCGGGCGAAAAGCCAGGTGGGTCCGGGATACCGGCCTCGAGAGGCACCATCTTGACGAGCGAGGCAAACGTGCTCGTGGCCAGGAGACGGACGCTCTCGTCCGAGTCGGACATGCGACCGAGGATCGGGACAATGAGGAAGAGCACGTACGGCAGCGCCTTGATGTCGAGGAGCTTGATGATGTGGTGGATCGCCTCGACGGCACCTTGGCGCGAGTGCACGCGCTCGGCGTCGCCGACAAGGGGCACGAGGTCGTCGACCACGACGCGCATCCCTTCCACCGTGGCGACGTTGCACAGTGCGGCAAGGGTACGCGCCGCACCGTTGCGGACGACCGTGTACGCCGACTGGAGGGCAACGATGAGGGGCGGGAAGAGCGATACGAGGCGGTGGTGCACACCTGCGTCGAGGTCGGGGGCCACGAGGCGGAGCGACGTGAGGCTGTCGACGAGGTCCTGGCCACCGCCGGCCACGTCGCCCTGCGGCACAAGGCGCGCGTCGAGGGTGACGACGTCCTGCTGGGCAAACTGGAGCGGGGCGGAGATACACTCCCAGAAGCGGGGGACAGTGTCGAAGAGCGACGGGCCAAAGCGCTTGGCCACGGCAGCGAGGGCCGCAAGCGCACCGCGACGGGTCACCCGCGCGGCAATCTGCTCCTCGGTCTCCTCTGGAGCCTGTGCTGCACCCTTCTTCGTCGTCGGGGCCGCCGGCGCGTCCTTGAGCGACAGGATGCCGTCGGCGTTGGTCGAGAAGACCGGGGTGACGCTGACATCCGAGTTGAGGAACGTGAACAGGTTGCGGAGCACCTTGTCGGTCGGGTTGACGGCAGCGGTAAACTCGGGTGAGCAGCAGTATGCCACGAGCGCACCGACACTGTCGGCGGCGCCGGCCTGGAGGAGCGCAGACTCTTCCTTCTTGACGCCGTCCATGACGGCCTTGACGACCGGTCCGAGCTTGGGCGGCATGGTACCAAGCGAAATGAGCGCGCCCGCCACGCCCGCGGCCACCTGGATGTCCAACCGCTCCTTCATGGCCGAGAAGAAGCCGAGAGACGCCAGAACCTTACGCTGCCTGTCGCGCAGGTTGGCAAGCGCGCCCTTGCCGCTGGGGCCCTTGAGCAGGCCGGTGAGAGCCTCAAACGTGGGGCCGACGGCACGGCGCGCCGTGTCGAGCGTGAACGCGTCGGGGCCACCGAGGGGGTCCACGCGCGAGGGGAGTTCGGGGATACGGTCCTTTTTCACCTTGCCCTCGGTGGTAAAGGCGGTGAACAGGGCGCGGACCTCGGAGTGGACGCGGTTGAGCATGGTGGACATTTCAGTGTAGGTCGCCCGCGGGGCAAGGAGCGGGATGAGGACAGACCCCAGGTCCGAAGCCCGTGCGGCGTCGGGCGAGGCGACGGCCCACTCGCGCACAATCTTGGTGGCGATGAAGATCTGGTGCGCGCACGCCCCGCCGAGGTACCCGCGCACAATGGCGAGGTCGTCAAACGAGTGCATGTGCTGGCGGAGAAGGGCGAGCGCCTTGGCGGCCGCAATGCGCGTCTCGAGAACTGTGTCGGTTGACACCAGACTCATGTCGCCGGCAAACATGGCCTTGTCGACGTCGTGGCCCCGCACGCGGCGGCCGACGAACAGTGTGTCGTCCAGCTGCGAGCCAACGGGGGTCATGACAATGGCGTACCAGTCCTCGATGCTGGGGCCGACGGTCTCGTCGAGGTTGGTCTCTGAGAGTGCCGCCGCGAACGCCTGCGCAGACAGCTCGCGGATGTCGGCACGGTCCTCGAGGACGAGGTTCTGGAAGAGAAGCGACAGGACGTCGGCGCGGATCCAGTGGCGCGGGAGGGCGGGGACGGTGACGAGAACGAGGAGAGCCTTGGCCACGGCAAGGCGGACGGCGGCGATCGGGTGGCGGATGAACGCGTAGATGCGCGAAATGAGCGCGTGGCTGTCCACGCTCTGGGCCATGAGGGCGATGACCTGCTCGTGCACCAGCAGAGCGCCGAGGAGGTCCATGACCGCACCGGTACTGCTGCCGAGCTCGTCGGTGCCCTCGCCGAGGCAGCCCCAGAGCGTGTCGACAATCGAGTCAAGCTCGGCCAGGGTCACCAGCGAGGATGTGATGGGGAGGAGAGCCGAGGCGGCCACTGTACGCACGTCGTCGTCGGCGTCGCGCAGCGCGAGAAGCGTGCAGGCAACCACGTCGTGGATAATGGGCTGGGGGTCCCGCACTGCCACCTCGTACTTGAGACCGAGCAGACCAGCATGTCGCAGCTCCCACGAGAAGCGCTCAGCACGAGGACGGCCCTCGGCTTCTTTACCGCGCTTGGCCCATGGCTGGTTGACCATCTGGACGAGGGCGGCGTGCACCTCTGCGCTCTCGTCGACGCTCTCAAAGCGGAAGAGCACACCGAGTGCCTGTGCGGCCGTCTCGCGAACGGGTGCCATGACTGTGTCGCCTACGAAATCGCCAAAGCGGTCGAGCGAGACGAGGACGAGGAGGCGGCGAGCGAGCGCACTGAGGAAACCAGGGTAGCCAACAGCGAGGGTCGAGCCGGTGGAACGAACGACCTCCATGAGGCCGAGGGCGGCGCCGTGGCGCACCTCCCATGCCGGGTCTGTGAGGGCTGCAGCGAGCTCGACGACGACAGCCGACCAAGGCGAGTGGCGGTGCGCGTCGAGTTTCAGCACCTTGGACTCGTGCGGCTCGACGGCGCCCCCGCCAGCTGCTGCTGCGGCGGCGGCGGCGGCCTTCTTCGCTCCGGGGTCAATGACGACCGCCTCGTTCTTAATGTCGGGCTTGACGTCTGCGTCCGGTTCAGACTTGATGTCGGGCTTGACGTCGCGCGGAGGCGTGTTCTTGGGTGTTGTGCGGGGTGTGTTGGGGTCGGAGCCTGACGCAGCCTTGTCGTTGAGTCTACGCATCTTGTTGGCTTCTTCGACCATGTTGTTGCCCTTTTTGCGCTTGAGCATGGCGATCTGGCGCGCCGACAGGCCCTCAAAGAGGTCCACTGGCGGGCCGGACGGTGCCGAGGGCGGTGTTGACGCACTGCCCGCCACGCCTTCCTTGTCGTCTGCGTCGTCGAGCACCTTGTCCATGTCTCCGCCGAGGTCGAGGCCGCCACCGAGACCCACTGCTCCCATCATGGCCTTGCGGCGCTTGGCACGGTCGGCAGGTCCAGGCTTGGCAATGTACTCGCGGCCGGCTGACGCGAGCAGGTATTCGCCACCAACGACTGTAGATGGCACATCGAACGCGCCGTCGGGGCACGGGATGGGGCATGGCTCGTCGGCGACAGCACCTTGCCATGCCGGGAGGACCTGGGCAATGAGGCCCAGTGCGTTGGCAGCGGCATTGCGTGTCTCGGAGCTGCGGGATCGCAAGAGGGGGATAAGTTTGGCAATGGTCTCGAGGGCGTCGGGCCATGCGTCGTCGGGTGGCAACGAGGAGAAAGTCTTGAGGGCGACGTCGGCGAGCTGTTTTGCTGCTGTGCGGCGGACGAGGGTGGACGTGCCCGAGTCGAGGAGTAGGATGAGCTTTGACATGGTGGTGGTGGGTGTGGAAATATATTAGGTGGTGGTGGCGGGGGGGTCGGAACGTTGACGGTGTGGCCGACCTCCACTCTGTGTTGAGAATTGAGGGTTTATAGATTAGGCGATGGGAGTATATATATATATTTCAATTTGTGTGTGTGGCGGCGACTTTGCCCAGCGTGCCAGCGTACGCGCGCGTGCAGAGAGCCGAGAAGGGTCGGTTGGGGGGGAAAAGTTGGGCTCTGTCGCTCATCGCGCGCGGCGCTCCATATATCCATCTCTCGGCGGGACCAAATTTCTCTCTCCACCCGGCCACATCCCCCCGCCCTCGTGCAATCGTGCCTCCCAATCGCACAACGGGGTCTCTCAATTTTTATCGCCGCGGCGTTATGGTTTTTCTCAGGCCACGTTTGATTACTAGCATTAGGCTGTATTAGGAAAACGGTAATCGCAGAATAGAAATCCCCCGGCATTGTATATCGCCACCCGGCAGCATATTTGAATATGGCGATGCGGGGCCCGCGGCAGCCGCTCTTTACATGTAAACTACATGCTCTCGGGTCCGAGTACTCCGACTATGCCGATCATGCTTGAAAGCTTGAACTGTGCTCATAGATCCTCCGAATGAATAACATGATGCACAGAGTGACCAGGCAGCGTAGCGCAGCCAGGCGCAGCCAGGCGCTAGGGTATGTACCCAAACATCGACAACATCGAATAAACAAAGGACAAGCCGCGCGCGTATGTTAATTACCTATACGTAACGCTCTGTACCAACCGAACACAAAACGCGTCTACGCGTCCAGAACGTCCAGAGCTAGTGGCTGCAATTTGTGGGTCTGCGGTTGCCGTCCACATCTCCCAGCGACGACGCAGGTGCGCCATGCGCCACAGCGACGCGTTGTGCGTATCTGCAGGGGCCTCTGGCCTCTGGCCTCTGGGTGAGAGCGCGCAGGAGGAAAGAAAGCAAGTGGCGTTTTCAGACTCCCAGCGCGGTCGTGAAGCTTTCGCGCGTCCAGGGTGGGTGGGTGGCCGTTGGCCGTTGAGTCGCGCCAAGGAAAAGTCAAAGGGGGAGACACACGTCAGTGCGATCAGTGCCGAAGAGGCCGATGACAGGAGAGAGGGAGAGAGGGACGGGAGAGACAGGGAGAAAAGATGGTTGTTGGTTTGTATTCATGCATCCTTTAGACCCCTCAACCGTCCAAATGGGCCCAAATGGACTCTAGGTTTCGGCTATTGCTACCAGCCGCCCAATTGATGGCGTCCTGTACTGAATAGACTGGCTATCTCAACTTTTGGACACTGGACCCACGGCCAGGAAAGCCCCAAAGGACAAAGGCCCAAAGATCCAAAGAACTCTCTCTTTCCATTCAATAGACCCAAAATGGTAAGCCCAATGGCCAATGGCGAATGCCTTTGGGGGAACAGTGGTACAGTGGCCTAGCTCACTCAACTCGCTCAAGCGCGGCGTGGCGCGTACGCCAACCGTTCGGCCCCTGAGTGACCACGTCTGCGGGGGGGAGAGAGCAATCACAGGGGGCAGGGAGGGTGCATACCGTGGACGAACATCACAGGACGTACAGAAAGAGGCAGATGGGCGTGCGTTACCAGGAGTGCACCGGTGATGTTCAGGGGCAGACGAGTGGTCAATAGAGGACGAAGGGTGGTCTGGGGCATGCCGGCAGAGGACGCGCTCCCATCGTAGTGCGGAGGGGTTGGGCCTGTAGTGGCGTTCTCGGGAGAGAGCCGTTAGACGCTTTGTGCTCCTGCCTGGGTCTAACCATAGCCAGCAGGGGGCCAGGAGCATGGAGGAGAGCATCTCTCAAAGCGGCCGCGGTCTCGGTGTTCTCGCTGTGCTCTACACACGCAGAGACAATTCAAAGCAAGACACCCCCAACTCATTCTCCCCCCTTCTTCTTCTTCTTCTTGTTCCTCATACCATCCGTCTTCCATCACCGCCTGTCCCAAGTCGCAGCCACAGCCACTCCCCCCTCACTCCTTCACACCCACACACACACAACACAATGTCCAAGCTTGCCCTCATCCCCGTCGCTGCTGCGCTCTTCGCCGCCGCCGCCAACGCCCAGTCTGCCCCCAACTGGAACCTCATCCCCAAGGCCTGCGCGTCCGACTGTGCCCAGACCATCGAGGTCTCGTAAGTCCACCCACACCCATGTCTCTGTCTGGTGCTGACACCTGCCTCCTAGGTACCTCTGCGAGAACCAGTACTCGTCCGGCACCGCCGTCTACGGCTGCTTCTGTGAGGCCTTCCCCTCGGACGCTTCCGCCTGTGCCACCTGCCTCAACTCGAACAACGCCGCGGCTCTGTAAGTGTTCATTAACTTTGCTCGCTCCGATCTCCTCATGGAACCGCTGGGACCGCATCTGGCAATCCCACCACACTCCGTTTCCCGGATGTGTGTTCTTGCGCATGTGCCTGCGTGTTTCTAGCGCGGGGACCATCACAATGCGCTACGACTGGGGGTGCCAAATGGTCGTCCGTGTAGAGAACCACCCACACCCATATTCGCGAATACCGGGTCCTCGCGGACTGTTTGAGACAGCCGGCACAGTCTGGGCCTGGGTGCCTGGGTTTGCCCACAACTCTATTCCAGATCCGGTCGATCGGGTCACAACACACATTCATCCGCGCGTCCCCGGGATCGCTGTAGTGTTGTCTTCGCGTCCAGCTGCGCATGACCCCTTGCCACTCTCCCTCCCCAACTTGTATGCAACATGCTAACCCGTGCCCAGCGCTACCCTCCTTACCGGCACCGTGACCGACTGCCCTACCCAGGTCAAGTCGTGCGCCTTTGCCTGTGCCTTTGTACGTTTTTACAACTGCCTCACCCCCACCACCACCATGACACTGACAGCCCCGTGCAGGAGACCTGCGAGTCGACCGACGTTGCCTGCCAGTGTGACGCCACCTACCTCGAGAACATTTACAACTGTGCCTCGTGCAACACCGCCAACGGCAACTCGGGCACCGTGATGTAAGTCCCACCCCCCTGGCAGCTGCCACCCGCTCGTATTTCCAAAAGCTGACAGACGTCCGCAGCGCCGACTTCACTTCGCTCAACGCCTCGTGCGGTGCCCAGAACTACACCGGTGCCGCCCAGGCCTTCAGCACCTACATCCAGTCGCCCTCGACCGCCGGCTACGTCGCCCCCACCCTCACCGCCACTGGCGGTGGTGACGCCGCCTCGGGCTCGTTCTCCGCTGCCACCGACAAGGTCGCCGCCACCGTCGCTGCCGGCGCCTCGTCCGCCGCCGTCTCGGCCGCCACCACCTCGGCTGGTGCCGCCGCCGCATCGGGCTCCTCGGTTGCTACCGGCTCGGCTGCTGGCTCCGCCGCCGGCTCGGCCTCGGCCGCTGCCTCGACCTCGGCCAAGGCTTCGTCGGCACGTGTCCTCGCCGTCCCCGCCGGCGTTGCCGGCCTCGTCGCTGCCGTCGCTGCCCTCCTCTAATCTGAGCACCCACCCACACGAGGTTCTGAGATCTAGCCGAACACAATCTAGCGAACAATCAAACCTACCTACACCGGAATAATACCAATCCCGAGGTCCATAACCCCCTCCCCCCCCATCTATCCTTCTTCTCCTCCTCTTTTGCGTCTCCTATGAACTATGGGCTGTTTTCGATGAAAATCCAGTTTTAGCTGCTTAGCACGTGCTTTCTCCTGTTGCTGCTGTTGGTTTGTTGCTGCAAAATGCAACACAAAATGAAGGTGCCACGCGCGGTTCTGGTTCAGCACATTCCATTCCACGGCTGATCACTTGGACGCTGGGTGGGACGCGTTGACCATCGTCACGCCCGTCGGAACGGACAGCTGACAGCGGCTGCAGCGCGCCACTCGGACACCCCCACCCCGCGTCGGGAGCGGCCCGTGGCCCCAGTGGCCCCGCGCGAAGCTGGGCCATGTGACTGACAGATGGGGAGCGGACGAGGCATGCCCAAGGACCTGCGACGCGACGACACGAAGGGAACACGAACAACGCGTAACACGAGGCCGCGAGGCTTCTGGCTTATCCGGTACATGGCGTCTCGGCACCCCCCCCCCCCCCCCCCCCCTTTCCGCCACTTGTGTCGTCTAATTCTTTAACATCAATTGCAGCGTGCATGGTCGTCACACAACTGTACAGTGGCCACACTTGAAATCGTTTCGTCTGGTTTGGTTTGAAGTGTCTCGGTCTTGGGACGCCACGGCGATCGCGTTCGCGTGCGCGTTTCGCAGAGAAGACGCGTGAGTGGGTACTGTAGGTCAATGGTGGGTCAATGATTATTGCCGGTCAGTGAATCCAACTCTGGCCTCTCTTGTTTGGTGCCATCAACATGGAATAAAGACGGGTTGTCATAGGCCTGTACTGTATGAGGCATCAGCAAGGGCCTGGTACTGATACACTACCATCAATGCATGGACGCATGACTTGACAGCCACAGTGTCTACAAAGTACTACTACTACACGTTCATTACTGCCACTCGTCTTGGTTCGTCGCGTTGTCGTCGTTGTCAATCTACAATCATGTTTCCGCACACTTGCACACTTGCACGCACACACCTTGGCTCGTGTGCGCATTCACCGCCGGGGTTCGCGGAGACCCAGCACTTCCTTTACTTGCTTTAGTTCGTCTCTTGCCCACACGTCAAAGCCATCCCCGATGTCGTCACGCGTCATGGAGACGCCGAAATCAATGACGAGCATGCGGCCGTCCTCGATCGAGCGGTGCCAGTGGCGCGCACCGGGGTCGCGGTGCAGGACACCAGCGGCGTGGATCTGGCGGTATCGGCCCACAATCGCGAGCTTGTCGGCTGCAGTCATCGAGTGGAAGTCGACGCGCTCGGTGCGCTCCATGACCGTCGCCCACAGCTCCACCGACGCCTCGGGTGCCAGAGCCCAATCTTGCGAGTACGCCGAATGCGGCACGAGTGCGTGGTAGGCGCCGAAGAATCGGGGTACGGCCACGCCTTGCAGCTTGGCGAGGGGTCCGGCGAGGACGAGCGCCTCGGTCGCGTGCATAAACCTGACCTGGCGTTCGGCGAGCGATATGTCCTCGGCGGAAATCCTCGTGGCCGAGTCAGAGTTGACGCGCATCGCCTCTGCAAACGGGACAGACAGCTTGGCCGCCACAGGCCATGGCACCCCGGGGACCGTGACGGCTGCGTAGACGTCCGAAGTGCCGCCTCGCCCGAGACAGTGAGTGATAGCGACAACGGGGGTGGTGTCGTCGGGGACAGTGCCGGAAGCTGCGGTAGGCGGAGGAGCGAGGGTGCCGGTGGTGCCGGTGGGCAGGGTTTCCGCTGCTGTTTCAAGCCAACCATGCTTGACCTTGGTCAAGACGACGCCAGGACTACCCGTCTCAATGTCAACCATGTCGAGAGAGTGCGGTCCAAGTACCTCGTCCAGAAGGCGAACGATGATACATGGCGACGAGAATGGGGCACTAGGCAGGACCTCGCTCTTCGTGCTCGGCAAGGACGCAACCAGCGACGCATTAGGGATGGTGTGCGTCGCGGTCGCGGCCGCTACCGCAGGCAATTGTACAGGTGCCGGAAGAGGATAGGAGTACTGTGCCACCGGGAGCAGGCTCAGCGCCAGAAGAAAGCCCAAGGGAGTCGTGAGCGGGTCAAAGGTTCCAACCCGGGGCTCGCAAGAGATGCCCTTGTCGAGGACATATATCTTGTCCATCACACGCAGCGGAAGCCAGACGTTGCCATTGGTGAAAAACAAGTATCGAAGCTGCCTGGTGACGAGCTGAGTCCATACCTGGAGTGTGAGTTGTGGCCAGACGAATCTGTCAGACCTTCCGACGTCACTCACTTGGAAGAGATGGCCACCAACGAGGGTACGCTGGCCCTGGACATGGACGCCCAAGGGCGTGGTACCCCTCCCCTTCATGTTCATGTAGATATTGGCATGGGGTGCGTCCGTCGGCATTTCTTGGCGTATGAGATGGTCGCTGGCAGCGGACGAGGGCTTGATCTCGCCGGCAGCGACGAGCGTGCCGTTCAGGCGGTACTCAAAGTCGGCCCGTCCACCGCCTGGGGAGAACGCGAAAGTCCAATTGCCACCCGGGGCATCACCAGGTGCAAAGTGCGCAGCATCTCGGAGGATGAGGTTGAGCGACTGTACGTAGAGACCGTGGAGGTAACTCTGTAGACCAGGCTCAGTGTCCACGCCATGGAGCACAGAGTACCTGGTGGACTTGAGGAACACAGCGAGCGCCACGCGAGCGTCGTCGGAAACGTCGACAAGGCGCGCGAGCGCCGACCCAAATCCGTCCATGAGTACGTTGGCAGATTGTGCGCCAAACGTGTGAGGATACGGCGACCCGGCACGGCTGCCCAGTGTGGTCACGCCAGGGACGCTGGCGGTGGTTGTCTGGCTGCGGACATTGATGTAGCCTACGTTGTCATTGAAGACGCGAATGACGTCGAGAACAGTTGGGGCATTCTGCCGCGACAGGACGTCGAGAGGTATTGTTGGGGTTGAGGGTGGGGCCGCCATCGCGCTCACTGCTGTGTGCGATGGAAAGATGGAGAAAAAATGGCGATGTTGAGGATGCTGCGAGACTAATGACAGGCCTGACGAAATGATTTATTTTTTAGGCGACGAAAACAACAACAACAAACGCAAATGCTATCCGCCCACATGCACGGACGTATTTGCCCAGCACTAAGACAGGCAGTCCCATGAGCAAGAGCGGGCATAACCCAAGCTCGATGGAGACACTTACCTCGCATTAGTACGACCTTGGTCACTGCAGAGGGATACATTATGAACCTGCTACCGGCACATGTACAGTCTCCAGTATGGCATCGACCTCTCGGGGCAACGAGAAGGACCGGAAGAGTCTAAACCAAGCTCACGATGGCAGTCAGTAATGGGAAGGGCAGCCCAGGACATCGAGGCACACCTCTGCCGTTCATCGGTTATCGATTACCCACCTGCCACGCCTGGTATCCGAGAAAGAGCGCAGGGCTGTAGAGACAGTACAATGGTCGTCACAGGTCACATGGGGTTTTGCGCAACAAGTCTATAGTGGCCACATCAAATCGTATCGTTGTTGGTGGACGGTGTCTCGGTCCAGGACGCCACAGCGATCGCGTTCAGGGACGGCACATGGCTGGACGCGTCACGCGCCAACGCAACTCGTTCTGTCTCTCTCTCCCTCTCTCTCTCTTGTCTGTCACTCCCGTATGCTATTGTACATCTTGACACGCACTCCTGGCCTCTCTCCCCGTGCCTTGCCGTGACACACTGGGCGTGGCCCGTGGGGAGTTTTTTGTTGGTGGTCGGCGGGTGTTGCGCGCAGCCATCGCGTTGTCCGACATGGAAGGACACGGACGCCGCGCCTCACACGTCCGTGGCGCGCACACTGCCGCCGCCAGCCACGCTCGCCTCGTGCCCGGCAAGCAGGCTTGTGTGCTCGTTATCGTGCTCCTGCTCGTCCAGGTCCGCCGCGGCCACCACCTCGCCGACGGTGACGATTTGCTCGGGCGGAATGTGCGTGCCCTCGGGCACGGTGATGACGCGCCCCGAGCGGGTGCGCTTGTGCCGGCGTGCTTGGCGTGCCGAGCGGCCCGCAGCCCACGGCTCGCCGCGACGTGCGGCCAGGCCTGTGAATGTCAAAAAGGCGAATGTGGTGGCCGAGACAATGGCGGCAGCGATTCCGAACCACATCGAGCGGGCTAGCGCAGTGTCAGCAAGTGCGGCTTCGTTTCACACAGAATATGGGAAGCCACAGCTTCGGCACTCACAGAGATGGGCTCCACGCGCAAACCGCGAGTCGGTGCAAAAGACGCGCAGAATGATGACCACGGAGGCCACCTGCAGCAGGCAGTGGACGAACATTGCGCCCGAGACGAGCTTCCACTGCTTTCTCCGAGCACGCGCACGGGCCGACCGCTTGCCTGAAGGGGAACTGTCAGTCCGACAGGTTCTTAGGTCCGAAGAAAACACGAGATTGGGACTGGGTCGGCGAAAGCATGTGTGTCGGCTGCTTGCAACCAACACGCTTTCCACGACTGGGCAGACGTGCGTGCAGTGCTAAAAACAACGACCTTGCAGCGTAGGCACCGTTTTAGTGTCGTCGCACGGGCGCGCGACATTGGCGGAACCAAGCCCCTATCCGCCTCCGTCGGGCGCCCAATCAACCCAACTGTCGTGTGAAACTCACCTCGGTGGAGGAAGATAAAGAGCAAGGACACGAGCGCAAACAGGCAAGGCACTAGCGCCAGCTGGGCAGTGTACCCCGCCGAATCCCACAGGACGCAAAAGCCCTCGCCAAACTGGTTACACTCCGACCTGCGATTGCGTGTGAGCCCCACGCCGAGTGTGTCTTAGCGGGTTTGGATAAATCCCTCAGAATGGCCAGAATGGGACTGGTGGGCGCCGCCAGCGCCAGCCAGCCTCCCAGCCTCCAGTCTTCTCTTCGGAGTGGGGAGAGGGGGCGGTAGCAAGTAAATCACTCCGCCGCTCCGCGTATAACATGCTCACCTCGTGGGGAAGGGCTCGCACTTCCACTTGCCGGGCTTGCTGTGGGACTTGAGCGGCGAGGGGACGGCGCTCTGCGCCTCTAGGAGCGGAGTCGCATGGTACAGAAGCGCCGGGACGGGGAGCTGCCGCGTGCACCGCTGGTAGAGGCCATACCTGGAAGCACAGGTGTCAGCGCGTTTCCATTGCTTTCAAACGGGCACACCCCAAGGACGTCGGTCGGTGTGGTGGCGACAAGAGCACACATACTTGGTCTCGTAGCCAATGGGCCCAGGCTGGCGGATGACGACACGGACGAGGTCTGCGATCTGAGAGAAAAAACGTGTCAGCGGGTGAAGGCTTCACTGAGCAGGGTCTCGCCACCCACGTAGATGTTGAGGAGGGTGAGGGTGGTGGCGGCGAGCAGGAAGAACAAGGACACGAGGTAGGGGCTCTTGCGCATCGAGTGCTTGACGCGAACCGATGTGCGTCTTGGCTCGCTCCACGGCCTGTGGTGGGGACTTGACCGCTCGGTGCGGTCGCGATGGCCGTTCATTGCCTTCATGTGAGAGCGAGTGGGAAACGACGAAACGCCCGAACCCGCCAGATGGCGGCCAAAAGTGGAGGGCGGAGAGAAGCGTGCACCCAACGGAGCCTGTTTTTCTGGGAGCAGCGCGTTTCTGATGTCACCGTTCCACATCCCTGCCCTGTGTTGTTGTTGCTCAATTACACGCCCGCGTCATGGACCCCAGCAACCCGCCAGACACAGACGCCAGCACAGCGCAGGACACAGGCGGCACAGTGCAGCCCAAGTCCATCCGCAAGCTGACCGAGGACGTCGTCAATCGCATCGCAGCTGCAGAGGTGAGACCCCCTCATTTTGCCACCATTACGCGTTTTCGCTGTCGTGTTCCTGACGCGCCGTCGTTCAGATTATTCACCGCCCAGCCAACGCTGTCAAGGAGCTCCTCGAGAACGCACTCGATGCAGGCGCGACCTCGATCCGCGTCAATGTCAAGGAAGGTGGACTCAAGCTGCTCCAGATAACGGACAATGGACACGGTATCAACGTCAGTGTCGAGGGAGGGAGGGAACTGGGGAACCTGTGGTTGGTTGAGTCAACCTGACTAACTCTTTACCCACAGCGCGCCGACCTGCCCCTCCTCTGCGAACGCTATGCGACCTCCAAGCTCCAGAAGTTTGAAGACCTCCAGTCCCTGGCCACGTATGGATTCCGTGGCGAAGCGCTCGCGAGTATCAGCTACTGCTCGCACCTCGAGGTCATCACCAAGACGCACGCAGACTCGTGTGGATGGAAGTAAGCTAGGGGACCACGGAGACCACAGCTGACATGCCCAGGGCACAGTATGACAGCGGTGCGCTCAAGGACGACCCACGGCCAACAGCCGCCAACGACGGTACTGTCATCTCGGTGAGTGCCAGAGGGGTGCCGGAGAAGACGAGGAAGGCAAGGAGCTGGAGCCTGATCACTGACGCGCCAGGCCGAGGACCTTTTCTACAACATGCCGCTGCGCAAACGCGCGTTCCGCTCTGCCTCGGACGAGTACACACGTATCCTCGATGTGGTAACCAAGTACGCCGTGCATAACCCACAAGCCTCGTGGGTCTGCAAGAAGGTGAGCTGCGCGGCTCCGGTAAACGAGCGTAGCTAACAAACAAGGCCGGTAGCGCTCTCCCAGATGTGTCCACAAGTGTCGACTCGACAGCCCGTGCCAACATTGCGCTCCTGTACACCCCCTCGCTCGCTGCCGAGCTGCTAGAGGTGCCCCTCACCCACTTTGCACCCAAGTTGGGCGCGAGCTGCCACGGGTGGGTAAGCAATGCCAACAGCAACTGGGCACGCAATGGCGGCTGGATCTTGTTCATCAACAGTGGGTAACTTGTGCTGACTGTTGTAGCTAACCCGCCAGACCGCCTTGTCGAGAGTACCAAGATTAAAAAGGCCATTCACGGACTATACACTGCCTTCCTGGCCAAGGGCGCCTCGCCGTTCGTCTACCTCAGTCTCCATATCGACCCGGCAAAGGTCGACGTCAACGTCCACCCGACCAAGAGCGAGGTGCACTTTCTGCACGAGGACGAGATTGTCGATGCTGTCGTCGCTGCAGTGGACAAGGCTCTGGCTGGCGCCAACGCGTCTCGCTCGTTCACCGTGCAGACAATGCTGCCTGGTGCCGAGGCGTTTGCGAGTCAGCGTGACCGTGGCGACGGTCCGTCGACGCAGAGGCCCAAGTCGACGGCACCAAACTACAAGGTCCGCATGGACCCCACCAACCGTACCCTCGACTCGATGGTGGCTGTTCTCAACCCGTCCCAGATCTCGCCGTACGACGAGCGGGCGTCCAAGCGACGAGGCGTCAGTGGAGGCGACGAGGTGCAGCTGGTGGGCGACGATGACGACGACGAGGACGACACACCCATGTGGAACGCGACGGCCGAGGACAAGACCAAGGAGACCCCGGAGAGCGCCTGTGATTTTGAAAGCATACAGGACCTGCGGCGTGCAGTACGCAAGCGTGCCAGTCTAGGTGAGCTAGGACGGGCATGTCTCTTAGCTAACGCGAAGACCTGATGGAGACACTGTCACGCCACGCGTTTGTCGGCGTCGTTGACCGCCGCATGTGCCTCTCGCTCGTCCAACACTCGACCAAGCTGCTTCTCGTGAACCATGCTGCCCTGGGGTGGGTGGCTATCCGAAGACTTTGGCTAACCCACCAGTGACGAGCACTTTTACCAGCTCGGCCTGCGACAGTTTGGCGCCCTTGGTCGTCTGCGACTTGAACCTGCTCCAAAGCTTGCCGATCTCTTGCGGCTCGCTGCTGAGGACGAGCCGGGCATCGAGGACAATGGCCTGGATATTGACGCTGTTGTGAAGGTGGGTACGAAACTCGGAGGAGTCTGACCCATCAGAAAACCACAGCATTGCTCGTGTCCAAGCGTGAGATGGTAGACGAGTACTTTTCGCTCGCCATCTCATCCTCTGGTGCTGTCGAGAGCATCCCTCTTCTCCTCAAGGGCTACACGCCCAACCTCGACCGTCTGCCACATTTCCTCTTGTGCCTCGCCACACGCGTCAACTGGACCAACGAAAAGGAGTGCTTTGAGACGTTCCTCCGTGAACTGGCCTTTTTCTACTCGCCTCGCCCCTTTGACGACCGAGGAGACGACGACGAGACGGCCGAGGAGGTGGCCCACCAGCAGTGGCAGCTCGAGCACGTCCTGTTCCCCTCATTTAGGCGGACACAGTGGCCACGTTCACTGTCAGACCACGACGTCAGCCAAGTGGCCAACCTCCCTGACCTGTTTCGCGTATTCGAGCGTTGCTAGACCCCGTAGCCTCACCCTCCCTCCTCTCTCCCCCGTGTGTACCCGGTCGACCGGTGACCCGAAAGCCGTAGCCGTGAGAGGATGGGCCCCGGCTATACCTGAAAGTAGTGTAAGCAACTGCTGCTGTAACATTTGAGGCCTGCGGAGAGGACCGGGCCCAATGCATGTACTACCCCGGTGGTTACCCCAGACTGTACTCGGCCGTCCTCGGGATTGGAACGTATGGCCTCATGGGCCTCGTGCACGCCAGCCAGGAGCACAGGCCAGTAGTCCAATCACAGCTGCCAGCCCCCGAGCACTTCCCGGCGGCTTCGCTGGTTTGATCCTGTGGGGTCTGCGGGCCCTTCGCTGGGCGGAGAGACGGTGTGCCACACACGGCCGCCCGGAGTTGCGTCAGAGATCGAGAGCGAGGGACACCCACGCCCAGTGGGTTCGGCTGCTTTCCCCTCACACTGTCTGTCTTTCCTTTCATCCTCCCTCTCTTTCTCTCTCTCTCTCTCTCCACCTCTTACTCCACAAGTAAAAGACAATATATCCAAAATGGTCGCTCGCACTTTCTTCATTGGGTGAGTAGAACCGTCGACATTACCCAGCGCGAGGTTGGGGAGAGATGGGGTCACAGCAGCGTGCCGAGCCATCCTTTTCCCGACCTTTGCTGGCGTCTTTCCCGAACCACCTCCCCCCCCCCCCGTAACTTTGCACACACATCCCGTGCTGTAGACACCTTGGGCGACTGGGTCGTCGTTGTCCCAGGACATGCGCTGACGCCCTGCCAGCGGTAACTTCAAGATGAACGGCTCGGTCGAGTCGATCAAGGCTATCGTTGACGGCCTCAACGCTGCCAACCTTGACGGTGTCAACGGTGAGTTGTCTCAGCGTGTGGAATGGGGAGAGGGAGTGGGAGACGTGGTGGCTGGAGCGGCCTGGGAGCTTGAGAGTGGGGAAGGGTTGCTGGAGACTGTCCAAGACGTGTCCATGGACGCTGGCCGTACGCTGGCGGCTTTGGGCGTTTTCTTATCGCCTGGGAACGAACTCGCCTGCTTCTTCATGCCTTCACACTTGAGCCAACCACACTTCCTGCACACCACAGTCACATACGTCACAGCATGCTAACGCGTCCACACAGAGGTCGTCATCGCTCCCCCTGCCCTGTACCTCCTCGACGTTGTGCGCAACGCCAAGGCGCCCGTCCAGGTCGCTGCCCAGAACTCGTACTCGGAGGCCTCGGGCGCCTACACTGGCGAGATTGCCCCCCAGCAGCTGCACGACGCCGGCGTCCCCTGGGTCATCCTCGGCCACTCGGAGCGCCGCTCGCTCTTTGGCGACTCGGACAAGGTCGTCGCCGACAAGGTCAAGGCCGCGCTCGCCGCGGGCCTCAAGGTCATTGCCTGCATTGGCGAGACCCTCGAGGAGCGCGAGACCGGCGTGACCAACCAGGTGTGCCAGCGCCAGCTCGAGGCCATCGCCGCCGTCCTCGAGGACAAGGACTGGAAGGACATTGTCGTCGCCTACGAGCCCGTCTGGGCCATTGGCACCGGCAAGGTCGCCACCGTCCAGCAGGCCCAGGACGTGCACGCCGACACCCGCGCGTGGCTCGCCAAGCGCGTCTCGCCCGCCGTCGCCGAGGCCACCCGTATCATCTACGGCGGCTCGGTCAACGGCAAGAACTGCGGCGAGCTCGGCGGCGCGGTCGACATTGACGGCTTCCTCGTCGGCGGCGCCTCGCTCAAGCCCGAGTTCATCGAGATCTGCAAGACCCACAAGGCCTAGAACCAGGTCAACCGGCAAGACGGCGAGGGCGGCGGCGGCGTCAACGACGGCGCCAAGCCCCGCTTGTAGTAGTTATAGGGCCCCCACCCAGGCGGAGGCTCCGGCCGCCACACTGATGGGGCCGTAGTAGCAGTTTTGCATGAAGGATACGATAAACCAGCCTCACAAGTGTTTCTCGTAGCCTTTGCTGGTCACTGACCGCCCTGCCCTGTCGTCGTGGTTGCGACCTTTTTTTGCTCAGCATGGAGCGGTCTCGTGATGCGCTGGCCGTCCATATTCACATGTGCGCGGTGGCACGTACCATGGGCAGACGGACGATGGACACGCCCGGCGTACCGTGCTCTGATTTTACAAAACCCCTTTCGTCCCTGCCTCATCATGCTGCCACCGCTTGGTGATGTCAAGAGCACCCATAACGATCTTTGGGAGCCGTGCCGCTGTCACCATTACACGGTGGTCGAATGTTGAGACGATTCCTCCCCTACTCTTCCTCGCCAACCTCATTCCTCACCTCACCCACTCTTCCTGTCTGGTCATTGTGCTGCGCTGTTGCCTTGGCTTTTCTGTGGCCCCAGCAACCGCGCGCTCCTGGCGCTTGTCCCGGGCTTTGTAGACTATTACAGTTACTACCTTGGTCTCGCAGTTGTGGAGCAGCACCAGGCGGCAGGGGGACTGGTAGCCCACGAGTGATACCACCAACGAACGGGAGTGTGGCGTCATTCAGTCTCTGCGTTTGCTGCGACCGCACCTCAAGAGGTCCTTGTGTCCGTGCAGACAGACGCCCAGTGGCTGTTTTTGGTCACTTGTAGCAGTCGTATTAGTTGTGGCAGGGAGAATATCCAGTTAGTTGTCCCGCAAAATGGTCAATCGGCAAGGCAGCCAGCACGTCCAGAAATTGGTCCAGTACGGACCAGGTCCAAGGCGCACGGCGCACTCTCTCGTCACCGTCTCCCTCTCGCCCGAAGCAGATGCAGAAGTGTGTTCATCATGTCCCCCGCTCACCCAGCTCGCTCGCTCGCTCGATCGCTCTCTACCAAGCCCAGCCGCTGACAAACTTGCGGCGGATCTTGCCATCCTCACGGACGATACCGGCCGAGCGGACCTTGTTGAGGACCTTCTTACGCTCGGCCGCGAGCTTTTCCTCGTACGTCTTGCCCTCACGGAGGACAAAGTGGATACGGGCGGTGGGGTGGTGCTTGATACCGAGACGGCCGCGACCCTTAATGTCCACACGGGCGACCTTGGGGCCCTTGGACACAAACGTCTCGGCGACGACGAGGCGGTCGCGTCGCAGGCCCTTGGCCTCGGCGTGGTCGCGGGCGAGGGCGAGCGTCGACTTGACCCACGTGCGGCCCGCGCGCTTGCTGCCGTGCACGAGCTGGACGATGGCCTCGTCGACGGGCAGGCCGGCGACTTGCCTCGAAATGTCGTTGAGCTTGCGGTGCGACATCTTGTGCTGGCCCGACTTGTACCTGTGCTGCGGGGGCAAGTTAGACACCAATGCCGCTGGGCTGTGGGGAGAGAGAGGAGAGGAGAGACGGAGGGAGAGAGAGACTCGTGACGTGCTCCGCATCTCATCCCTCTTATTCAACCGCGACGCAACTCACCTCGTGCGAGATCTTGCGCGACCTGGCAACCTCGGCGGCCTCCTCAATGACCTCGTCGAAGAGACCACCCTTGGACACCTCGGCAGGGTCCACCTCCTTGACCTCCTCAGTCTCCTTGACATCGTCGGCATTGTCGCGGCGCATGGCCTTGCGCCAGCTCTTGGGCAGGCCGACGTCGGGCAGGCCGAACAGGCTAAAAGACAGTCAGTGGATGTGCTTTAACGGCGGCGGTGCGCCTCAACGGCATGGACGAGGGGGCGAGGACAGCAACGAGCTCAGTCTTTGTCTTTGCCTGGAACAGGGCCGAGCTCTCCTTGTCCTTGCTCCCCTCCCCAGGTCCATGGGTTGTTGGAAGAGGCTCGAGAAGGGGGTGGGTGTACGCACGAACGGGTCTGGGCCGGAGCGACAAAGACCGGAGCAGCGATACGGGGACGGAGCATGGGGCGCGACGGGCCCGCGAGGCTCTGCGCGACTGGGCACGGGGGTCAGCGGTCATGTTCGTGCGTGCGTGCGTGCGGGTTCTTGTAGACGTACCGAGCGCGGCGGAGCGGAGTGTCCTGGACATGGTGTGTGTGAGTGGAGACGGGGTCTGGACGACGTTTGCTTGTGTCTGCCTTCTTCGTCGTCCTCGCTCGATGCCATCCAAGTGCGCGGAGGGGTGCGTCTCGCCGACTTTCGCAAACGGAGGTAAATGTATCAAGCGAAGAGCCTCAACCCACGTGGCTAAATAAAGGAAAATGATGTGTACTGGAATACAAATATAATGATGTGTGTACTGGTAGTGATTTATCTCATGTGCATTTTGATAATGTGGACAAAGGATCGGCGCCGCCTGTGGCCTGTGGCGTCCTCTCACTCAGGAGGCGGAGGAGGAACGGGGCCAGGGTGGGTGGTGCCGTATAGCAACAGCCGTCGGGGGTTCGTCTGTCTCGCTCTCTGTTGTCAAGCACAAGCAAGAAAGCAAGAGCCCGGGAGGAGCGAGCGAAGGGGGACGAGGGGTGCAGAAGGTGGGGGGGAGACGTGGTTGTCGTTGCTGTTGGACAGTAAAGTACTCTGGTACTCTGGTACTCTGGTACTCTGGGGCATGGACATTATCGCTGTGTGGCTTATCCTGGATCCTGGAGTCGTGTCCTCCCTCAACGTTGCACAGACGGTGCTGCGGCCACTGTCCGTCGGTTGAGGGGGGGACGGGCCAGACGGGCCAGACGGGGCTCATACTGTATTCAAAGCTGCGTGAATCTGTACGCGCACATGGCGCACAGTGGGGCAGCCTAGCTAGCAGCCTCGTCGAAGCCACGAGCCACAGGGGGGCCGAGCCAAGCAGCGCCGCCAGAAAATGCATAGAGAGGAAAAACTCCCAACGGAGACAGTCGACACCTTGAATGGGCCATGGGCCATGGGTCTGGGGCGAGAGCCGTGCATCAATCAATCCAGGGCTGTGGACCCAAACACCACGGCACACAGGGAACAAGATGTGACTCTGGCAGAGATCAGAGAGACATGGGCGGCTTTTGCTGGCCGCTGGCTTGCACGCGCGCGCGCGCGCGCGCCACAAAGGCAAAGCAAATGCTGCAAGCAGGAGGCTGCACAGGCAAGCGCACAGGAGAGAGGGCCTACAGGACGCGAGGAGGCGTTCCGGCGACATTAAAGTGACAGAGAGAGAGAGACACAGAGCGCGCGACAGCCAGCCCAGCCCAGCCCAGCCCAGAGCCCGGCGGCGACGGCGGCGCGCGCGCGCCATTCCAAGCATCCATCTCACACACACACACTTCTCTCGAGAGTTTGTTTCCCGTTCCTCCCCGTCTAACCTTACATTGCCTCTTTTCCATTCCCATTTTCATTTCCACTTTTGCCTTTACCTTTTGCTTTCTCTCAACCAAACCTCCTCCCCACCCTCTTTACTCTCTACACGCCTCCCCCCCCCCCAACACCACCATGAGCAACGAGCGCAACGACGAGATCAAGGACGACGTGAACGTGTGTATCAGGCTCCCTCCTCCCACAGTTCCCACAGCAAGCCCCCACCTGGCGGGCAGCGGCGCCGGCGGCGGTGACGGCTGGACCGTACGGCCGCGTCGCCCTTCCCAACCGTCCTCCCCACCCACAAACGCGTGTTATCGCTGGCCGCTCTGGTGGTCGCGGTCGTCGGTGAACGCGTTCTCCATGCGCAGGCCTTCTCGCACCCGCTGCAGTGCAAGTGCTCCGCCGCGGGTCGCAGGTTCGCAGCCGACGCGACTTGCCAGCGCGCGCCAATGCTAGCTGTGACTGGCGCGCACACTAGCTTTTCCGTTCACGCTGTCCGCGCCCCTCTCCTCCACGTTGGCACTTTCCACCAACAGGCAGTTCGTTGATAAACGTGTGCCGCGGCGAGAAACTCACCACCTCCCACACATCCCCGAAACTGGCTCCACCCTTGCCCCGGTCACCGATGACAGCTGCTGACTACCCTCCGCAGACCGCGATGCTCGAGAAGGCTGAGGAGTGAGTCGTCTAGGTCCAGCGCGTCCACAGCCCGCGCCACCGCAGCCTTTATATTCAGTCCGCCCTGGACTGGATGTGACTTGACCACGCGTGCAATTGTTGCGCGCGCGGTTGGGGCGAGCTCAACGACAGGCGGTGGCCGGACAGCGGCGACAGCGTCGTCGTCGACGACGGGCGCAAGGCATGTATTGACACCTCACAGGGGCGCCGCATCGCCTGCCCAGCGCTCGGGTTCGGCGGCCAAGAAGATTGTCATTCCGGCCATTGTCAGTGCGTAACCCCCCAACGACCTGCGCGTACGCGACCGTGTTCCTGCGGTCTACGACGCGGCCCCTCAGACTAGAGTGCTGACCCGCAACAGTCATCCCCATCTGGATGGCCTGCTCGATTTCCGTCATTCTCTACAACAGTGAGTCAACTGCTTGCCGACAAAGAGGCAACCTGACGTCCTCCAGAATATGTCTTTGCCAACCTCAACTTCCCCTTCCCCGTCTTCCTCACCACCTTCCATCTCGCGTTCTCGGCCGTCGCCACCCGTGTGCTCCAGCGCACCACGACCCTCGTCGACGGCGCCAAGGACATTGAGATGACCCGCGAGCGCTGGGTCCGCACCATCCTCCCCATCGGTGCTCTCTTCTCGGGCTCGCTCATCCTTTCCAACTACGCCTACCTCAGCCTCTCGGTCTCGTTCATCCAGATGCTCAAGGCCTTCAACCCCGTCGCCATTCTCCTCATCTCGTTTGCCTTCAAGCTCCAGGAGCCCTCGGGCCGTCTCCTGGCCATCGTCTGCATGATCTCCGTCGGCTGTGCTCTTGGTGCGTAAAACTAGGATCGGCCGGCCTGGGCCTTTGTGAATGCGCGGGAACGGTTTGCCGAAAGATGCGCGCAAGGTTTCAGATCTCGTGGGATCTGAGTCAGCATTGTGGCACGTACACAAACACACCGTTCCGTTCGCGCGCGCGTTCAGTGGCCATGTGCCACAAACAAAACCCCTCTGTGCGATCCTGCAGCTGACACTCAATCCGCAGCTGCCTACGGTGAGCTCCACTTTGAGCTCATGGGCTTCATCTGCCAGTGCGCCGCTGTCGTCTTTGAGGCGTCGCGTCTTGTCATGATCCAGATCCTCCTCCACGGCATGAAGATGGACCCCATCGTGTCGCTCCACTACTACGCCCCCGTCTGCGCTGTCATCAACGCCATCATCATGCCCTTCATCGAGGGCTTTGAGCCCTTCTACGCGCTCCACCGCGTCGGCATCCTTGTCCTCCTCACCAACGCCGGTATGGCGTTTGCCCTGAACGTGAGTGCAATGAAATGTGGGCAGCACACACAGTGTACTTACGCGTAAACTCGCAGGTCGCTGCCGTCTTCCTCATCAGCGTCGGCTCGGGTCTCATCCTCACCCTCGCTGGTGTCCTCAAGGACATTGTAAGTGGAGAAGGGCGCGCGGTGGTTGGCGGTGGCAGAGGAGGAATAAACACTGACAATTGCCCAGCTCCTTATTTCCGGCTCGGTCATTGCCTTTGGCTCGCAGATCACCGCCCTCCAGGTCTTTGGCTACTCGTGAGTGTCTGTGCCGAGGTGGTGCCATAATCTCGTGGGCCTGTCCCGTGCTTGCCGAACAACAATCGCACGAGCGAGCAACCGGACCGAGCGACGGGGCGACTCGTCCCGAGTCCCCGAGATAGAGCATCACATTACATTCCCCCCCGGTTTGTAGCAATACGTGCTGACGCCATTGTAGGATCTCGCTTGCCGGTCTCGTCACGTTCAAGACTACCGGCGGCAAGTAAAAGAGAACCGCACACCACAAACATTCACCCTCTTTGAATACAATAGATGGTTAGTCGCCGCCACCGACCGTCGCCGGTTGTCGGAACTCCCCAACCACACATTGGGGGGAGATGGGCTGTGGGTGCTACGTGGGATTGGTGGTGTCCCCCCAGTTTTACGCGATTCCTCTTCTCCCCGGCCGCGTTCAGAACAATTATGGCAGAGTGTCCAGTACTCTTCGTCTCTCTTAGCTTCGTATAGATTTGCTTTCTTTCCTGATTTTGCACTTTTGTGTCTGTGTGTTTGTGGTGTTGCTTGCTGCCTGGCTGCTGGTGCATGTGGGGTTGGTGTGGGTGGGTGTGGGTGGGTGGGTGTGGAGGGACGACCCTGGTCAACTGCCGCAGGAGCAAATGGCTTACGCGTCATTGGGCCAGTCGCGACATTGGGTCATTCAGGTGTGCATGGAGAGAGGGTTGTGCTGCGGTCGCTGCCACCTGGCCACCTGTGTAGTGGGCGGGTGTCGCGGGTGTCACAGCTGTCTCGAGACACCCTTCAGTCGGTCGACATTGAGCGCTCGGTGGGATCGGTGCTTTGCCACGCGAGCGTTTTGCCGAACGCACAATGACCTCCCCGCCCAGGGGCAAAAAGAAGACTACGACTGTGCTTGTTGTTGCAGCCGGCGCTCCGCAAATGGCCAAATGGCCCCCCATTTCCAAAACGGACGGCCGCGGGTTCCCGGGCCTGCCCACCGTAACCCACCCGTACCCACCGTATCCACCGCTCTAAACAATCGCGCGGGAGCATTAGAGAACAATAACCCCCCGAGTACCTCGCGGTATTGAACATGCGTCCCCGGCATGCGCCCATGCCTTGCTCCATGCATTATTGTCGTCGCCCAAATGGTAGTTCAGGCCCGGAGCGTCCGGGCCGTCGCGGGATGAGAGGGTTGTACCAACCGGGGAGTTCCGGCTGCCGTGATCACGGACACGGGAGGACCGGCGCGGGCGCCAGACACACCAGTGGCAACGGATTATATGTTTTCAAAAGGCAACAAAAGTGTCGCTGTTCACCCTCTGCATACCACATCTACCTCTACTCGTCACTCTCAGCTCCCCTTCGAGCTACACGCACAAACACACACACACACTCCCGTACTGCTTCTCCCTCGAGTACGACCGAGATCCAGCCCAGAGCCCAGCCAAACCTCCAACCTACCTAAACCGCACCCCTTCGCCAACTGCCGCCGGACCGGAGCTCCGCGTTTCTTGGCAGCACACCCTCGTCCGCTGCTTCTAACCCAGCAAAGTGAGTTTTTCGAGCAGCTCGCACGACACGGTGCACGGTGGCGAGCGGTGTACCCCCTCTGCAGTTTTATATTCTGCTGTCGGTGCTGGGGCTTGGGTCGCACACACTGTCATCCACCTTTGCCATACCGCACCGTCGCCGCCGGCACACGATCCACACATAGCCCGCCACCGCAATTCTAGTGCCACCTTGCTGCTACATTCCCCCGACTCTCCCGCGCTCTCCGTTGAACGCTGTGCTGACCACATTGTCTCTCTCTCCCCTGCACCTGTGCCTCCTCATCCACCTCGTTGCTTCCTATCTTTGTTCGCTCTGCTCCTGCTCCCTCCTTGCCAACCGCCCGACGCTCCACTACGCACACAACCACGCAACCCACACAACCACAATACAATACAACCAAACCCACCCGTCCACCCACATCGCACGCCCATTTCCTCTCCCCTCTGCAATCCCTCCTGTCGCGCCTTGCAGTCACTGTTACAGATCGACTAGATCCGTCTCACGTCAGCGTGTAACCCATCACGCGACCTGTCCGTCCACTCCGCCGACACAATCCACATTTCGGCGACGTCCGCGTCCTCTCGCACATCCCATATCCCACTCTAAACGCCCGGCTACTGCCCGCTCCGATCGTTGTTTTATACATAAATTCCCCCCGGCAACACAACCACCCCTTCTCCCCGTGTTCTCCCACCACCACTACCATCACCACAAAACCCCCGCTACAATGATCTCATCCCAGCCCTTCCCCGCTGCTGCGCACCTCACCTCGTCCCCCTCCGCCTCGCCCATCCTCCGCCCCGTGGCCGGCACGCTGCCCGACGACGACCACTCGCCGCGCACCCCGCGCTCGGCCACCCGCGCAGCGTACACGCCCGCGCGGCTCGCGCGCTCGTCGTCGCGGACCCGCGGCGAGGTCGACGCGCCCACGCGCTCGTTTGCGCAGGAGATTGCAGACTGCGTGCGCGCACGCAAGGCCCGCGCGGCCGTGCTGGGCATCTCGCCCGCCAGCCCCGGCGGCAAGGAGCGCGACCACCTCGAGTTCATCGTCGACATTCCCGTCTGGTCCCCCGGTTGCTTCTCTGGTGAGTAGTACATTTGGCGCGAGACTTTTGGCTCTGTGGCCCTGGGCGGCGGCGTACGGCGTGCCCGTCTGTGGGGGATGCTGTGGGGGTTGCCCGGTGGGCCGGGTGTCATGTGGCGGCGGCGAGAAGCTGAGAGAGACGGCGGGTGGCGGACTTCCGCGACCTGCTCTCTCGGTCTCGGCACGAAGCTATGCCGATTAGGTTTTGGCTGTGCAAATGCGCTGTGAGCTGTCAGCCCCCGCTTTGCCCATTTGCCACGGCGACGGAGGCCCCGCACTGTGCATAATACAAACCACCAGGCCACCAGGCTGCGCCTGACGCCACGGCTTTGCGCATGTGGCCCACGCTTCCTGCAGCCTGTGGCGCTCTCAACGGCCCCTTTGCTATCCCGCACATCTCCGTCATATCTCCGTCATTGCGGGTGGTTCATCAATGCTAACGGACTTGTGCAGACCTCTCGACCCTCCACGCTCTGCGCGACACGACCCTCGCCCATGTCCACGCCCTCCTGGCGCACCTCGTGTCGGAGCACGCCCTGCACGGCACCTACCGCCTGTTGGCGCGCCCACCGGCCGCCGTCGGCTGGGCGGGTATCCGCCTGGCTCCGTCCCCACTCGACATTGACATTGAGACCGGCGCCATCCCGCTTCCCGTCCGCCGCACGAGCTTTGTCAAGCCCGAGCGCGACGGCAGCGGCGGCGTCGCGTCCCCCAAGGCCACGGCCATGAGCATCTCGCCCGCGGCCGCCGGGTTCTTTGACCACGACCACGCCATTGCCGACTCGGACTCGGAGTCGGGATCAGTCATCGACGTGCCCCTCACCCCCGGGTACAGGAACGACACGCCGCTCGCCGAGGAGCCAGGCCACGACGACGAGGACTCGACCGACGACGCCGTCCAGGCCGAAGTCGCCCGCCGCGGCGGCAAGGAGGGCATGGTCTTTGTGGCAAAGTTGAAGGGCCAGCTCAGCTTGATCCTCACTTAAACCCACCCACACCACAAACGACACCAAAACGCAACGACCCCCCCTCACCCTCACCTATACGTTTATCCCAATGGCGGCGACTCACACCGCGTCGCATGTACCACCACCCCAACAACGTCCCACACACACCCACGCCAACCCACCGCTGCAGCTCGCCGTTTAATTGAACTCCCCCCCATCAATATATCGCACATCTCAGGCCGCCAAGCACCGCTTTGTATGACTGCGGACACGTCCGCGTTTGTATATGCATCGAGTCTAGGAAAGGAAAGAAGAACCGGGACATGGGCATGCGCAACAGGTCTCACTGACGAGAACGAGGTTAGCAGCAAGCAAGCAAGCGAGGCGACACGACCGACCCGACCCGCTCGGACGCGATCGATCTAGACACCGGTCCGTGGCCGGGGTGGCTGACGCTCCACCGATGTAGTCGTCCACGCTCACGTCCACATACCTCCACATACCAGACCATGACACACCCACATCCACGTCGCGCCCCCCAGTCTCCCAGACTCCGGCGCGTGTGTTGCAATAGGACTCCGATACGGGCTTCTCTTTTGTCCTTGTAATCTCGTTCTCCATTGTTCTCGCCACAGATCGGGATCTAATCTCACCTTGCTCTCGTGGCTCGGACCGAAACGAGGCGAACCCAGAGGCGAACCCTCGTCGTTCCATCAAGTCGCCGCGGTGCAGGGGGGGGGGGGGGGGGGTTTGGACCCATACCCGCGACGTCCGTCTACTGCGGATGCCGAACCGGGTATGTATGTATATGAGGAATGGAAGGACAATAGCCACACCGTCGCCTACACCGTTTCTCTGGGTTCGTGGTCTCGGGACCCACCCACTGCCGCGGTTCACGGGACTTGGGCTGCTCGATGGGATCTGGCTTCCCACATTCCCACTGGCCACGACCACGTGCAACACCATCCCCGGCCGGCCTCCGTGTGCAGATTGTGGATCAGGTTTGTGGATCTGATCTGGCGTTCTTTGCTGGATCAGCAGAAAAGACGTTCGCACACCTCGGGCTTGTCGGGCTTGTCGGCTGGACCCCAGAGTTGAAGCAAGCCGACGCGGAACCCGCCACTTTTCCCATTTGACGACGCGACCCGCCACGTGAGCGTGAGCGTGAGCGTCAACAGCGTGAAGCTTGCAGCGATGTCTCAGGCTGGACCACCTGCAGAGGCCGCATAGTTGTGCGAGCGTCGCCGGGTCGAGGGTGGGTACCGGGCAGTGACTGTCATGTTTGGAGAAGTATGAGTGGTGATCTGGGGGCATGTTCACAAAGGGAGGAGTGGGAGGATGAGGGACATGGATGTGTTGGCGGTGTCTCCAGGATGTACCACCTTCGTTATAAACTATATCATGATCCCGGTGTTCACCATCATGGCAGTGGGAACAAACTGTGGCACAAGACCCGACCTCAGCGCAAGTGACATTCGCGAGTTGCCTAGCTTACGCAAATGAAGTAGTCAGATGTCAGATGAGGTGCACAAGGCGAGCTGGAACCAGCGACTGTTCCGAACTGCTGTGGGTTGAGTGGGTTAAGGCAGGAGCAAATGGGTGGAAACCATTGGTTATAGCATGCAAAGCAGCTTCTGAAATGCTAGTAAAAGACTCCCCTCTTGCGACCACACTTCCCTGAAAGCCACTGCGTATCAACGAGCTCTTGCCAGACACCGTACCTCTTGACCTTGCTAACGGGAACTCATAAAGGGCTGTGAATCCAGCTGACATCACAGGCAAGATGGCCGAGTGGTCTAAGGCGCTGTGTTCAGGTGACTTCCTCCTCATGATCTCATGAGGAGAGCAGTTCGCTTCGCAGTCTTCGGGCGTGGGTTCAAATCCCACTCTTGTCAAAAGAGGATTCAAGTCCCTCAGATGTCGTCCCTTTTGGACATCTGGATGATGGTGGAAGGATACAGTCATCAGTAGATTGTCGGAAGGTTCGTGAGGTGGTCGAGGGCGGATGAAATCAAATGTCCAGCTGCCGACCCGGGTGGTTGCCGATGTCGTGCCTGATTCGCGTCATGGCTACATCTGCGACACGCTCTAACTCTCAGACGTGTCCGAGCTTTCCGGTTGGCCTCGTTTCGCAGTGGTCCGTTATGTGAGCCTCATCTGGACTGGTCTGGTCTGGCACGCTCCTTGATCCTTGAACGTACCACGCTCAAGTGCGATTTGGACTGGTATTTACGCTTTGCTTCCTCTTGCTTGCTATGTGAAAACAGTCGCTCCAATGACCCTTCGTCCGGCTGGCCCCATGCCTTTCTCTGATTGTGTGTACTGTTTACTTGGCTCTCAACCGAGGTGGGAAGCGGTAAATGACAACAAGCATGTCTGCCGCGGGCGATAGCATCCCCCCGTTCTCATACCCCCCTGACTGTTGCGCCATAACACACTGCCCCCAACAGCTGCCGAACTAAACTGCATCCACCCAAACGCGTCGACGCCAAGTCTCGGCGCAACACGGCCCTTGTTTTGCACAATTCTTTGCGTACACGCCACGGCCTCGTGGGCGGTCTGTCAGACAGGCCTGACAGGCTCGGCATGCTAACAACGGTACACGCGGATGCCGCGGGAAGCGCGGAGTCTTTCCATCGGGCCAGCAGAGACGTGCGTGCTTTGTTTGTCGCAAACACGGTCAGCGGCTTCATTTTTGTCTTGTTTGTCGTTCAGTCATGTCGTGTTTCTGAGTTCCTGGCCAAGCACTCCGAGCAACAGAGCAAGGGGCTTGAACGTGCATGACGGAACCGTGTTCCAGCACGCCTCGCTCGGAAGATCTGAAGGCATTGAACGGGCGGTGCGAGGCTGGGCCACTGCTCCTCCTCTGGCCTTGCACCGGAATCCCGCCTGAAGGCCTCGCGTCGTACATGCCCGCCCCTCGCGGCATCGATGATGTTCCTCAAAGTGGTGGTACCACAACAACTGTCGTGGCGTGCGCAACAGCGCACGCAACAGACTGTGAACGTGTTTGAACAACTCTCCATTCCTGTGTCTACTCTGCAACTCATCTCACCGTGATCCCCCACACTGTACCCACCAAGATCTTCTGCTCCCAGCGCAGTTCACGATGGCGCAGGTGCAGACGACCGCCCAAGTGGTCACCACAGCGGTCATATCCCAAGTCAACCCAGCCCAAGCCACCAGCCAAGTCACAAGCCAAACACCAACTCCGCCCGCTGGGTCCACCACCCCAGCTGCCAGCCAGCCTGTATCCACCGCGTCGCCAGTGCCGACCACGTCTCGCAATACGCTCTTGGAAGGGATAGTCGCGACGCAGAACAACAGCAGTAGCTCAAGTTCAACCTCTGCGACCAGCTCATCTGTGTCGTCTGTGTTGTCTGTGTTGTCGGCATCGTCTGTGTCGCAATCCCACAGCAAGATCCGGCGTGAGTGATAGTGATATTCTGCAGTGTTAACCCCACCCAGACATCACTTCCTTTGGCACCGCGTTCCCTAAACCGACCCATGGTACAGAACCCGATGACACGAATGGACGGGGGTATGTCTTTATGAACAACAAGTTGGGTGATAACAGTGCGTACCACTAGATGGCGGTGAGAGGGGCCACAGCTGACATGTTGTCTCACGCCTCTCTCTACGCAACATACACTCGCCATCAACAGTGACCCTCTTTCTCATCTCCCTAGTAACGCTTGCGCTATTCATGTGGTCCGTCCTTCGCTGTACTCGTTGGGCAGAACGTAACCGTCGGACCGTCGACAACATGATCAGTGACGAGATGCGCTGGGCAGAGCGGGGTGAAAAGTACGAAGACGACAATGACACGGAGCCACAAGCCACTGGCTCCATCCCAAATCCTCACAACCCCAACCAGCCCTTGTTGCACGGTAGCTCGTCGCTGAATCCAAACGCGATCCCATCCCGTGGACCAAGTTCAAGCAGGCGCGGGACACCCACTCCCAACCGCTCGCGGGCCCCATCGTATCTCGCCGCGTCGTATGACTTGCACGGGGCGTTTGCCGATACGGGCTTGTACGACCACTACCCCATCCTCCCTAATGGAGGGTCGTCGCGACACCCGTCCCGTCGATCTAGCTACGCCGGAAGTGCCATGTCGCACGACACGACTGGAACGACTGCCCACATTGGCAACTACTACCCCACTCCACCAGGCCGTGCAAGGCATCAGAGCTACCCATACTCGGTGTCGGAGTCGGGCCCCTCGCGAGCTCCGTCTCCCCTCAACCCCTCGCGAGCACCGTCTCCCCTCTCGCAGCCGCCGCTCGGCGGCCAGGGACCAAACAGCAACCACGCACAGCAGCATTTACAGGCCGTCAGGCCGAGCGGTCTCCGCCACGCCCGCTCCATTAAAAGCCTTGGCGAGTCGCGCATCGACCGCGAGCTGCGTAACCAGACTCGCTCGCCCAGCCCCATCCCCGACGCGCCGCCACTGCTCTTGCCTCACCCCAACATGCAAAAGTTCCCGGCTCACCTGGAACGCAGTGCATCGCACCGGGACAGGTCGTCGAGTGTATCCAGCGTCGGCTCGGGCAGCCGTAGCGGGCATGGACACGGCGACGGGGGGCACACGAGCCGTCCCAGTGTCGGCACGAATGGGCTGCTCTCGCCTCCTCCGACGGCCGGGACGCGCCCCTTGAGCCCAGGTCCACTGGGGTCCCCCAGGCGCTGAGACATCTGCTTGAGATCTGATGAGATCTGATGAGACGCGGTACGTTTGAATGTATGTATTGTTAGCGACACGACTGTAAAAGCCAAAAGGGAATGAAAGGATGGGAAGAGCGAGTGGCGCGTCGGCGTCAATTGGCGGCAGAGTCCACAGTATCTGCGCAAGCGAAGCGCCGCTATCCGAACTAAAATCAAAAGCATCTGCCGCCATTCCCACGCGTCGGGCACAGTCTGCACGCCTGCACGTGGGACATCTCGTGCGTGTGCCTAGAACGCGCTGGCTGCGGATGACAATGGGAAATAAGCTCTGACAGAACCCTTTCCCAACCTTCAGCCCTCGGCCGTCTTCAACGTTCCATCTTTCATCAAGTGTCATCATGATCCATGCCAACAAGCTCCACTGCGCTCGCATCTCTGGATTATTTACCTCAGGGGCTGGGCATGGTGCATTTTGCATGAACATCATCGGCCGCTTAGCTCAGCTGGTTAGAGCATCGTACTAATACCCAGTCCTGGTTACTAGTCCATGCGGAGGTCGGCAGTTCGATCCTGTCAGTGGTCATTTTGGCTTCCACGTCGACAACGAGACGTGGTTGTTTCCTTTTGCATGTGGGGGAAGCGTTGGTGCTTGTGAAGAGGATACCTGTCGTGCTTGAAGTGAGTGGAGTGGCTCCAAGTGGACTGGGATTGCGGACGGCTTGTGTCTGTCGCGCGACGAGTCAGTGCCACATTCCGCAATGCCCGTCGCGTTCTGGTCCTGTCGCCAGTGCGCCTTTCAGTGTGCTCACATGTCTCCATAGATTCCGACTCAAGACAAGAAAGTATCATGCATCTCGAACAAGAAGTGCCAAGCTAACTGGTAGAACTGTCTCCCTGCAGTGCCAACTCTGACTTGACTCTTGCGGCGACCCTTGAGAATGTAGCTGTCCGTCAACGCGACCCTCTCCTCGAATGTGGGGTGTGGAGGCCTTCCCGCTCACTGGCTCGCCCTCATCCGCGAGCCCCCCAGGTAGGCAGAAAGACCCTATGACGAGCGGGGTGCTGTTGCAAACGCAACCCCAGACGGGTCCGAACAACCCGCCTCGAGCCGGCTAGGTCACAGCCCACCCGGCACATGCCGCGTTGACGAACACGTGAGTGATTGCTCACCTTTGCTTTGTAGACCGATAGAGATCCTGATGGGGTCAGCCGGTTCCCTCATTGATGTTCCACGATACCACATGCTCCCACTTTGACGCCAGCTGTAGGCGAATTGTGTGGAGCGAGGTCATCGACGGATGTTATGCTACTCTGTGTGCCTCGCCTCGCAGCCATGCAAGCCCATGGGTTGCCATCGAGCTCTGCGAGCAGATGGAGTCCATTGGGCGCTGTGGCAAGCGGCACTGGCACATTCACACCATCGCTGTAACCAGGATCTGTTGCAAACGACAAAGGACCCAGAGGTTGAGTCTCAACGACAGCGGCGAGACATTTGGGCAAAAGCCACAACCGCCGCCGCGAAACTCACACGATGAGGTTGAACACAATCGTGCCCTGAGCCCTCCCACGGAACCTGCTGACTGCCCATACGTGATTACTCACTGTCGATAGTCCAGGCTTGGCCAGGTAACGCAGCTGACGGCGGGGTGGCGCTTGGTCTATTGAAGTTAAACAGGGAATATAATCGACGGCTTGTGAAGGAGGGGTGCGTGAATGGCTGATAAGGGGGTTTGGGCGGACAGTTGATTGCCATACTCGTACAAATCCAGTTAAACGGGCTGTGGTGTCAGCGCGCATGCGACGGTGAACAATCCTTTGAATCATTCACGTCATTTGGCTGGGGATGTCCTTAAGACCTTCCCCAGACCCGTGGATGTGAGCCATCCATCGACAGCTCACAGCCATTTGGCCGCACATTCCCTAAGGGATGTCTATGGCGGATGCTGATCGGCTCCATTCTATGAAGCGTCTAGCATCGGACCGCTGTTGCAAACGCGGACCAGGCCGGCGTCCTAAGAACGCCACCCTCTGTCCCACAGCTTCTGCGATGGGACTTGATAAAGAACGTCCTCAGGACACCCTTCATCGTTTGGCACCGGTGAGAAACTCACAAGATGATCCGTGGGGCGATAGACGGGATTGTTTCCATAAGAAAGAGCCTCGAGAGGATAATGTCGGTGTAAACGGCGACGGGGACCGGGACGCAGGAGGCATACGGAAGAAGAAGGAAATGTTGCAAAAATGCCGAAAAATCCTCTCTGTGGTTGTCAGTGCGAAATAGCGACCATGGCAGATTGCCATACGTCGACAACGCCAGCCCCCTTTGAGGGATGGCGCTTGGACCACCATTGCAAACGCGGTCGCGAGGCCGAGCAGACCTGGAGCCCGCCACCAAGTTGTTCAGTGGGACCACCACCGAACGAGACACCCTAGGCACTTGGCCAGGTGTAAACATCCCCCCTGAGCCAGGTGGCCCAGGAGGAAACCAAGACTCAGAGTTACTGGGTCTCAGATGTAGACGTCCGCCTGAGCCAGGTGGCCCAGGAGGAAACCGAGACTCAGAGTTCCTGGATCTCAGATGTATAGACGTCCAGCACAGCAAGCTGTGTGGACAAGCACCGGTGAGAATACTCACTGTGATAAGGTATGTACCAGACGTGAGATGCAGGTTGAGGGTGCATATGGGCTGTGGCATCAGTAAGGCAGCTGGATTAACCCCCTTTTTTGTAATCCATCCTGCCAAGGCAGGAGCGCAACTGCAAAGCAAGTTGCGAATTCCCCCTGGAAACAGGACGACATGTCATCTCCGGGAGTGAAGTCCCATTGGAGAGAGGTCCCGGTTATGCTGGGACACACGGCAGGCGGTCCGCTATTGCAAACGCGTGGGGTACGCCTGTCCATGGCGCCGACGATTTCGACGCAGTACGCCAACTAGCTAAATCGGCGTGTCTAACGGCCGCCTGGCAGCCGTTTGCCGAACCGACGTCCACAAGTGAGAGCTACTCACCAGATGTAAGAACCAGGGATGACGCACCGAGGCATGGATGGAGCGCGTTCCTGGAAGTCAGTATGTGTGCGCTGGAATAACACCTCGACACCCAGACGCGCTCGGGGCCTTTCACCGGTACGTGGTCAAGTGCCATGAGGTTGCGAGAGGGCCGAACAACGTTGGGTGACAGAGGGGTAGGCAACGCCATTAGCGATGCCTGGTGGATAAGCGGTGGGAGGGGTCTCTCTCCAAAGGAACGGATATACGAAATGGCCATTTCAAACGCCAGGCCCTCAGTGTTCCGCTGCACCACGCGCCTTCAACGAGACGTGCGATTGTCACGGCCAAAGAGGGGAGATGGGGGAGCGACACCACTGACTTCTGGACGAGAGATTACTCACATTGGGACCAGATATCTGGATGTGGCAGAGTTGAGGAGTCGGGGGGGTGGGAAACTGTGAGTCCCGTCAGTCCTCCATTTCATTCTACCGACAAGACCTCGGTTCGCCGAAGAGTGTCGAGAGATCTATCACGGCCACACCATCACATCTGGGGTGTGATGGGTGGCAGTGTGGGATGGGGGCCATTGAAAACGCTCCCCACGAGTAAGCCTGCACCGGATATACCGAAAACAGAGCTTACAGACTTCCCGAAAGTACGAAGAGAGGTAGAAGGTGCTACATGGCGAGTGATGGGTAAAGTGGGAGTGTATGGTGGGAGTGGCAAACGGAGGTGGGGATGGAGAAGGACTGGGGAGAAAGAGAGAGTGGGTGGAATGAGAGAGTGTGCGAACGTGAGAAGGAGACAGAATGCGAAGGAGGGAAGACGGGTCTCATGGGGCGTTTATATGTCGTCTTCCCTCTTCCCTTCCCGTTCACACGCTCACACCCCGCCGCCCTCGACGTGTCACAAGTTCAGCTGGCCAGCTGATTGTTCTTGGATCTCTGTATTTTTTGGGGATACGGCGCAAAAGTCTAGACCCGCTGTGGTCAGACCACCTTGCCTCCTGTGTGCGCCCGTTGCCGCCTTTGGCATCTGCGCTGGAGTGTGGTGTGAGAAGTGTGAAACAGGCAGCGTCAGTGCGGTGATGGCAATGCGAGTGATGGTCACGAGGGCACAACCGGGCGCGTCTCCATGCAAGAAGACATTGGCGACGGGCGCAGGACGAGACAGGGAGGGAACCGTCACAAGTGGTCCACGGCGGAGCGGTCAGTCTTCAGCGTGCAGGGGAAATGTGCCACAGGTGAATGTGAGTCCGCCACATTGACCGACACTGGATTCGGCGGACACCGGACTGGCGAGAGTGAGCAGGATCGCGAGTCTTGGTTGCGAGGGTGAGCCACAGCGAGATGTGAATGGTGGTATGCTGTGATGCTGATGGTCTGTGCTCACGGGGTGTGCAGCAACAGGGCCCTTCCACCATGGTGTAATGGGTTCTGGATGCCACATTCGTCGTCGGTTGCTCACTCTGCACGCGCGGCTCAACTGCACACTGCATATATTGGCAGTTTACCCGCCGTCCACCGCGCTCTGCAGTGCGCAGTCCAGAGGCCAGATAAAGGAGCGCACAAGGGCGTGCTGGACCGCTGGAGGTGGACATGGGCGCCAATGTCCCGACCAGAGCGACCGTCCGAGCGTGGAGATAGCATGTGGGGCGGTGCCAAGACGACGTGGTCGGCGCCCCGTTGCTGTTCTGCCCTTTAAGGCGCAGCGCTCGGACCCGCAGCAACATGCAACATGAGCAGCGACTACTCTCTCTATGCATCTGGCCGGGGCACGCGTTAGGAGGACGTGTGATGGTTTGTAACGCGGTTATATATCAGAATGGGTTTGGGAGAGTACGACAGCTGCTATAGCTGGCCGCCACAGATTCAAGGATGAACCAGAGTGCTAAAAACAAACCAAATTAACAAAGGCGAGTTGATTTCTGCGGGCCATGCGCGTTCCCTCGTGTTACTCCTGTTCGGTTACGCTTGTTCCTTTGATCCGCAGGGCAAACCCTATACGTGGTGTGTTCCCTTTCGTCGTTGAATTTGCCACCCAACAGACTAAGCTTTGCATATGCAGGCCCCCCCCCCGCCTGGCTCTCACCGCCTCGACGGCCGTGGCCATCGTGTCCGGCCTGCTGCGGCGTCCAAGGGGGGGCGAATTCACTTTTTGCTCCCGCTCTCGGCTAGCACCCAAGTGCCCGATCGTCGCGCCTCTCGCCCGCCCGCCCGCGCCTGGCTGGCATGGCTGGCCGTCCACAGCCATCGCCCCGCCTGGCAGACCGCGTCTCCCTGAAACACACCACACACAAACCCGTATATCGTCGCCGACTCCAACATCTCTTCTTGTTACTTTTTCCCATCACACTTAGCTCATCCCCCCCTTCCTCTCACAACACAATGTCTGCCAACCAGGTAAGCCGATACCGCTGGCCCCCCTTGGCCTCCACACCGTCTCATCACGCGGTCTGTTCACTGACGCGAAAACAGTTTTACGGCGGCGGCGGGTACGTGTTTTCCCTCGTTCCTCCTCCCTTTTGATGGCCAACGTGCGCCGCGATGGCGGCGGTGCCAGTGCTCTTGGCGCTGGCGTTCGCGATACGGACCCTCCCACAGCCGGCAATGTTGCGCCAGTAGGCCAGTAGTGCATGGTGGACGGGCCAGCGCCGCCGACGTGTGTCTGCGTCTGCCCGTGATCGCGACTGCCTGTGATTGCGACTCTTGTGCTGCGCATCGCATTTTGTTTTCGCGGCTCGCGCGTCCGACACCGCGGGCTGTCTGTCGAGAGCCAAAAAAAAATAAACACACCGGACCGCTTGTCACCACACGTTGTGACGTGGCCAAGCATGATGCGTGCCGTGGCCGACGCCGCGCGCAGGATTCCCGCATCATGCTGCGCCGCTGTTGGGCGCACTGCCGAGTCTTGGGGGGGTGGTGGCAACGCGCAGCCAGTCCCCATCAGCTCGAGAAGCCGAACTCGGGGTTAATCGTCCCACCCTTCTGTTCGCTAGTTTTGGAGGCTGCAGGAGGCTTGGGACGTGGATCCTATATCCCTCATTCTCGTCCTGGTTCTTGTCCTTTGGACGAACGCTCGAGGCTGAAGCGAAAGCCACGGGTCACCGTCCTAGGCTATAAGACCCATGGCGTATCGCACTCGTTTCTGACCCCCCTTCTCACATCCTCGTCCACTCTACAAAACACATCATGGCTGACCCATACAACAGCCACCAGCAGCAGTACGGCGGTGGTCCCGGCTACGGCGGTCCCCCCCAGCAGGGCGGCTACTACCCCCCTCCCCCCCAGCAGGGCTACCAGCAGCAGGGTGGCTAGTGAGTACAGCTATCGAGCTATCGGCGTCGCGTCCACCCAGCAGTGTTGTGTACTTGCTCTCTCCTCGTCGTTTTCTCTCGACGTGTCCAGACCCGCACCACGGCCACGGCCACGGCCACGCAGCACCCAGCGCCTACAGCTACGCCAGTGCCTATCGCAGGCTCGCGGGCGTCAAGCCGCAGACCAACCCTCATATCGTCCCTCCGGTCCGGCCGCACCGCAGCACAGCATGGCAAAGAAGCGCCCATGCTCTGGCAACGCCAAGTGTGCCGGGGCTCCACACGTCTTTTTTTGCGGTGGGCGTAGGCGATGGGTTCGCAGGCGAGGGTGGCCCGACGGCTGGTCCGACGGGCTGAGCGTCGGTTACTGGTCGGCGTCGCACACGGCTGCGCCGATGACCTACAGCTGGAGACTCCTTTCCCTCAGCTGTCAAGTCCCTACGAGCGCGAGCACGGCACGGAGACAGTGGACGAGCGACAGAGAGAGAGCGAGAGAGCGAGAGCACTCGTTCTTGGACGCGGCGTCGCACTCTTTCTATACGGGGTCACTGACATTGTTACAGCTACCCCCAGCCCCCTCCCCAGCAGGTCATTGTCCAGCAGCCTCCCCCCCAGAAGGAGGGTATGGGCTGCTGTGGCGCGTGCTGCGCCGGTTGTGCCGCCGGTGAGTAAACTGTCCCCTTCATCCACAATCTCCATCTCGGTCTCCATCTCCAATGATGAACGGGAATGGGTCCTGTTCCAGTAGGGCTAGGGCCACCTAGGGCTGGCTCGCTGGCCCCACGATGTCGGTCCTTTCTCTGCGTCTCGTCACCTGAACGGACAGCATGCACGAGCACAGTGACGGCCATGTTCCCTTCCCTACCTCGACCTCGACCAGCTAGGAACCTCCCCAAGCGGAGCACACGCTGACCCCGACAGCCATCTGTTGTTGCTGCGCCGAGGACATGTTGTGCTAAACAGTGACCGCCACTCCCGTCTTGGATCCATCGCGCATCGCGCCTCCACCGCCTCCGCTTGAGCGAGTAGACTGCTCCTCCTTTCTTGCCCCCCCCCCCCCCCCCCCCCCTCCTTCCCCCTGCCTCTCTTAATGTCTTCCACCGTGCCGTACACACTATGCACGACGAGTACAACGCCCCCTGCCAGGATCGGTCTCGATGCATTTGGTCCTTCACTGTTTCTCCCACTTATCGTGTCCCCAGAAAGGACAACGCTGGTGTCAGGCCGCTGGGAGTCCCAGCAGCCCAATCTCCTGTCCTTGTCTCGTCGCTTCCCCTTGTTTACCACCTGGTCAGTGCCTTCCTTGCCTCTTCCCGCAGCCCGAGTACATTGCGCCCGGCGCTGCCGACCACAAATTGAATAATGCACGTCGATAACATGCCATGATGCTTTTGCTACCCCGCTCTCTCCCTCCCCCTTGCCACTCCTCGCACCCTCCGCCACCACCACTACCACCGCCACCTACAACCCAACCCCTACAGCCAGCCAGCGCGCCGCTCGCCGCGTTCATTGCGCCGCCGAGCTCTCAAATGCCTGTTGTTGTTGTTGCTGCTGCTGCTGTTGCTGTTGCTGTTGCTGTGGCGGCGGGCCCTGCGGCCCACCGCCCTGTGGAGGCAATGTCTGCTGGAAGTGGGGCTGGGGCGGCGTCTGCCCTGCAAACGACATCTGCTGCTGCACTGAAAGATGCGCGTCAGCTGTGGTGGGTCCTCCCCATGTCAACTCTGAATCAGCTGGCTCACTCTGCTGGGCCTGGTGCTGCGACGGCATCTGGCCACCCTGGAAGTACATGGGTCCCGGGCCGGGCCGGCCGGGACCGTTGGGGTGGAAGTGCATTTGCGGAGGCATGAAGTGGGCGTTGGGCGGCATGCCATTGGAAAAGTACATTGGCACTGGGAGCGGGTTGTCAGTTTAAAAAAGAGCTGGCTGTGTGTACAGAGGCGTCAAAACTCACTGCCGTTGGGGCCCTGTGGAGGCTGCTGGCCGAGGTGAGGCGAGCCCATCTGCTGAGGGAAGACGTTGGGGCCCGGGCTGAACATTGGTGCGGCCATCATGCCGCCCTGCACCTGCGGTGGCATGCCGGGCTGGTAGCGGTAGAAGGGGAGCATGTTGGGTGGGAGGCCCTGGAGCATAGGAGGCGGGCCTTGGTGGGGGCTCGAGGGGTCCTCGCCGTCAAAGCCGCCGCCGCCAGGCTGCATGGCCATGGGGTGCAGCGGGGTGTTGAACGCTGCAATCGACGAGCGACGCCCAGTGTATGGCCACGCTGCGGGGACGGTGTTGGCCTGGGGCACCTGGTGGCCCGCTGCGTTCTTGAAGGGGTTAAAGTCGCTGCGGGGGTCCACGACTATCCTCTTGGGCGGGCCGTCCTTGTAGAAAGGGTTCTGCTGCTTGGTCGACGCCGACGCCGAGGTCGAGGCCGCAGCTGCAGGGGGAGGGGCAGCGGCACCGGCAGCAGGCGAGGCGACAGGAGCAGGGACAGGGGCAGCGGCGACGGGAGGTGCAGCTGCAGCTGCAGGAGGGGGAGGAGGGGCCGCGTGCGCAGGGATAGCAGGAAGCTTGGCAGCGCCGGATGCTGGCGAGACGACGGCTGCGGCAGCGTCGGCGGGCTTGAACGCGGCAGCGGACGGGTTGGGCTTGAACACAAACGCCGATGCGTTGGGGTTGAGCTTTGCGGCTGCACCTCCCGAGGTGATCGACGAGTGCGAGGGAGTGGGCGAGGTCATGATCGAAATGTTCTGCGCGGCCGTCTCGGGGACGGGCACGGCAGGCGGCACCCTCTTGCGGAAGGGCGGGATCTCTGGAATCTTCATAGGAATCTTCTTGACGCCGCCGGGTGACTGCTTGGGCGTCTCGGGAGTGGACGGCACGGCAGCCACTGGCTTTGGCGATTTGGCAAGCTTCTTGTGCTCCTCAATCTCGAGCAGGGCCTTGTCGGCCTTGGTCTCAATCTGCTTTTGCTTGGCCTCGTCCTTGGACAGAATGGGCAAAATGTCCTTTGGAATCGGGAGAGGCACCTTGAACTGTGACTGCCACGACTTGAGGTCGGCAAGGACGTGCGCACGCTCCGTCTTGACCATGACCTGCTTGCGGGCCGTGGCGCGCTCACGCTCGGATTCAACAAACTGGCGGGCCTGGTCCAACACGGCGCCCATGGGTGCCTTGGGAGCGCCCGCACCTGCCTCGCCGTTAGCCTGCTGAGGCACCGAGCTAGTGCTACGGGCCATCGAAGCTCCAGAAGGCGGCGCGGGGCCCAGCGACGCGATGGCGGGGTCGATGATGGGGTCTGCAGACGAGCGAGTGCCAGACGCTGGGACGGGGGATGGGGAGGGAACTGGCGCGTTGGCTGGGATCGAGGCCGATGCCGGAGCCGCAGGCAGAGCAATGGGCGAGAGGATCTGAATCGGCGTGCCGTTGGTCTTGGCAACCGGGGCGGCGCCGACGACGGCGGCCTCCTTGGTGTCCTTGGGCACACCGGCAGGCGTAGCAGGACCACCAGAGCGGCGAGCGCCAGGGGGAACATATGCGTTCTGGCCGCGAGTGACGCCCGAGTACTTTTCCTCTTCGTCCTTGTGCTCGCCGCCAGGGGTCGCCTGGCCACGCTCCTCGGCAAGGTGGGGGTTGGTGGCCGTTTTCTAGAAGGAAAAGAAACACGTGTGAGCAACGAGGCAGAGAGAGCAGAGCGGCCGCGCCAGGCCACACTCACCGACAGAATCTCGGCGGCCATACGATCAGCGTCGCGTTCGCGCTTCTTGTAGCCCGCGCCCGACCGGTCGAGCTTTGTGGTGTAAAACTCCTCATCGTAGTCGGTCTTTGCGCCAAAGAGGCGGGCGTTGGTCTCAAACTGGTCCCACGGCACCGAGCTGGAGCCCATGCCAAACGTGAGAGCGTCGCGGACCGCCGCCGCGCCCGTCGTCGCAGAGCCCGACCCCGAAGCGCCATTGGCACCGTTGGGCCCGCTGTGGTCCTCTTCGGGACTCCATGGCTTGAGCTCGCGCTCGCTGCCACGTCCCGAAGCCGAGATGTCCGTGTCTGTCTGGAAGCCTAAACGTCAGCCCCGAACGCGCTGTACCCGTTGCGCACCCTTGCCGCCAGGCTTGTCATCTGGCTGCTTGCTGCTAACAGTGTCAGCACGTTGGTCTCGTCTCTTTTGCGCTGCCGCTGCTCACTCTCGACCCGAACCGCCGCCCGCGCCGCCGCCGCGCGAATACCCTGCTGAGCCCGGTGGACCGCCTCGCCACGTGCCGCGTCTGTGAGGAGTAAGCATGACACGAACGCAAGAAAACAAGCAAACAAAGAGCAAGAAAAACAAGGCTGTGTCGGTGGTGGGTGTCTCTGCGAAGCGCGAAGCAAAAGGTGGCCACGCGATCAGCGCCTCCCGGCGGCGCGCTGGCGCATCGTGGACGCCAGCATCATACCGCCGGGACCGTGTCCGCACCCAGCTGGCAACTGGTGTCGTGGGGGGAAGGGACAGCAGTACCCATGGGCCAGAGGCTTCAGGCTTCACTTGACGCAAGCGCAGGCAGCTACCGCTACCACTGGTGCAGTCTCCAGACAACGTCGATACCGAGTACGCACCTGAACGAGTCACCGCCGACCGGGCCGCCCCTTGCGCCGCGCCCTCGTCCGCCGCGCATCGAGGTCATTATCTCGCTACTGGCGTGGTGGTGTGTAGCGTCGTCGAACCGCTAGGTTGTCTGTGACAGCGAGGAGAGCGTCAGGTTGCGAGTTCAGGGGTGGGGATAGGTGTGGGTGCGGGTGGGGAGCAAACGGGGGGAGGAATGGAATGCTATTGTATTGGCCGTGGCCGTGGCCGTGGCCGTGGCCTGTATTGGGAGGCCGAGTCGACGAGCGTAAGGGACGCAAAGGCAAGGCAAGCGACGCTAGCCTGGAACCACGCGGTGGGGGAGCGAGATGCGGTGCTGTGCACGCTTCCCGGACGCCGACGAGCGGTGTACGTCGAGCAGAGGGTGGTGGTGGTGGTGGGGGTGTGTGCGGGTGTGGGAGCCAGCGTTCGGTGCCGGAAGGGAGGGGAGAGGGAAAAGGGAAGCTACGTGATGGCGGTTGCAAGAGAGCAACGGCTCACGACGCTATGCAGCGTGCACGCGATAGCGGCGGCGGCAGTGGTGGGGGCAGTAGAGTATGTCGAGTGTGGGAGGGGGGAGGTGTTGTGCTTACCAGACGAAAGAGGGGATTGGTTGTCGTGTGATGGGTGGTGTGGTGGTGTGGTGGACGAGCGACGCGTTGGACACAGGGGAACGTGCGGCACAGGTCGACGTGGGAGGAAGCCTTGGGGGGGGGGGGGGGGACCACTTTGCACTGCACTGGCTAGCAGGAGTGGCTCGAGTGACGGAGGGGAGGGGGGAGGAGCTAGCCTGCGCGACGAGTGGGAGGTGGGTGGGGGGGTGGGAGAGATGCAGTAATCTCTTTTTCCCTGTGTGTGTAGAGTGCCAGAGAGGAATGTGTAGGAGGGTTGTTGGAGGTGGCCAACAGCAGCGGCGGCGGCGGTGGCAGCAGCAGCACCAGGGGAAGCGAGCGGCGGCGGCGAGCGACAACGACGGACACACCCAGGCCACACCGTTCCAGCGCATGCAGCGTGCGCGCGTGGGCCACACGCTCGCTGCACACACACGCTCTCGCCCAGGCCAAGACCAACCAACCGCGGGATCAAATCCCCCACCCGTCTCACCTTTCCTCGCCACTGGCGGGGCGGACACACCAGGGGTCACAGAAACCAACCCGCCCACCCGCGCCCGCCCCCGGAGATATAACCCCGCCGCGCGAGTGTGGCACCTGCGTTGGGGTCGCTGTGGTGGGTGACCTTTGCCGTGATGTTGCAATCTTGCATATGGCTGCAGAGTCATCGGGGTACAGCATGGACGAAAGAGTTGGCAAGGACTAGATTGGTGAGGGTGAGGGCTATGCACGGTAGAAAGAAAACGAGCCGCACCCCGCTGCCACTATTGGCCATATTCAGTCGCCGGCGTGTCCCAGCTCACCCGTCCTCCGGCATCCTTTCGTGTCCACCTCACGGTGATGCATACAGACAATCATGCGAGTAGAGTTGCGAGTGAAAGATTATGTGAATGGGGGTTGTTGGGTTTGTTTGGGATTGGGGGGTTTCTACTGTGTTCCGTTTGAGTGCTTCCGTCATTCTCCTCCTCCTCCGTCTATGACTTCTTCCTCCTCCTCCTCCTCCTCTTACGTCCTTCCACGCCGCGCCAGGCGCAGACACTCGTCCTCGAGCCCCACGACGCGGTGCACGTCCACGCCGCCCTGCTCGAGGATACGCACACCCTCACACTGGACGAAATCAGGCGGCTCCTCGACGCCGAGGTACACGCTGTGGACTTTGGCGCGGACCAACTCGAGCGCGCAGCTGGGCCCACCCGACGTGCGCAGCGAGCACGGCTCCATCGTCGCAAAGCACGACGCCTGCGACAGAATGTCCTCGGCAGCGGGCATGTGCGTGCCCTGCGGACTGGCGGCGGTGGCGGCGTCGTCGAGCTCGACGAGCTTTTCGCGAAAGTTGACAAGCGCGTTGGCCTCGGCGTGCGTGTTGCCTGGGATCTGGCGCGAGTAGCCGTCGGCAAGCAGCAGGCCCGCAGGCTGGTGCGTCGTCGGGTCGGCGAACGTGGGGAAGTGCGCTTCGAGCTGGGTATAGTACGGCGACGTGACGGGCAAGAACAGAGTCGAGCCGACACAAAAGGCCGTGGGCGACACGGGGCACTGCATGGTGAGTTGAAGGCAGTGGCGCATGATCGCGAGGTTGAGCGGGTCTGCAGAACACTGGGTCAGCGCACTGGTAGTAACAACCTTTTTGGAGATGACAAAGAAAACGTACCCTGAGTGGAAGATGACGACGACGACACTGGCGTAATGGCCGCGACGGGGTTGGGCGAGCCCGAAACGTCAATGGTGACGGTCTCGTCCGTGTTCTTGCGCTCGTACACCTTGATCGTGGACGCAAACGCGCCCGATCCCGTCCTCGGCACGAGGTTGACGAGGACCTTTGCCTTTTTGCTCGGGCCCAGCGTGATGCTGATGGACGGCACCGACGCCACCTCACCGACAGGCGGGGTCGCTGCGCCGCTCTCCGTCGCGTCCTCGGCATCCGTCGAGCCGCTGTCCTCGGACGAAGCAGTGACAACACCAAGCTCGCCAAGACGCTTCTCGTACTTTGCAATCTTGTCGGGCTTGTTCTTGCGCCGGGCAATCTTGAGCTTTTGCAGCAGGCCCTCGACCTCCTCCTCCTCGCCCTGGGACAGGGCGACGCCGGCGTCCTTTTCGTCGCGGGACAGCGACAGCTCGGCAAACGAAGCGGCAGCGACATCGGCAGCCGCCGCCTCGGTCTCGACGACAAAAGTACGCTCCGTCTTGGACGTGTTGGTAATCACAAAGCCCGTGGAGGCCGGCCACGCTCCCACAGCAGGGGGCGCAAAGTCGAGCTTGGTCACGTCGAGCGAGAACGCGGGCATCTTGCGTACCGTAGCCTTGACGAGGACGTTTTGGTCGTTGTGCGAGTCGAGGACGTTTTCAACCAAAATGGTCTCTTGATAGTTGCCCACCATGGACGGTGTGAAAGAGAATGATGCAACCTCTTTCCGCCCAAACGCTGACACGACACCGTACCTGCCCAGTCCGAGCTTTAGGTTCCCTGACGCAATGGACCCTGAAGTCCGCATCCGGAAGATGCCGACACAGTCGCTCTTGTTGTGAATCACAATGGTGCGTGATTTCACGTCGCCCCGCTCGCAGGTGCCAAAGTTGATGGACGACTGCTGGACCTCGAGCACGGAGCGCACACACGACGACCGGATGATCAGGTCGCGCACGGGAAGCTGCGACAGGGTCGCGTGCGGGCCCATGGCCGTCTCAATCACCGACTTTTCATAGTCGAGCACCTTGATGTTGATCCGTGACTCGCAGCGCTTGGCACGCGTGGTGATGTGGGCGCGTGTGGATCCAGCAGGAGTCATAATGACAACCACTTGGCGTGACGACCCAGGCGGGACCGTGAGAGTGTGGCAGGGCAAAAACTTGCCGTCGCGAGTGGCATGGGCCAGTTCCTTGCGAAGGGCAAGCAGGCGGCGCACGTACTGTTCTTCCTCGTCGGCGGTGAAATGCGTGACAGCCGACAGGTTGCGGCGCGCGTCGTGGTGCTCGATTGCGACAATGAGCTCGTCGGGCGTGAGCTTGGCGACGTCCGAGACGGTCGCCGGGTCCGTTTTGAGCTCGATACGCTTGCCAGTGAGGGCGGGCGACTTGGTGCCAGCCGCCTCCTTGGCGAGGGGCGTACGCAGGATCGGTGCCAGTAGCGGGCTGGTAGGCGCCTCACCACTCCTGCCAGTGTTGACCGCCTTGGCGGGCGTGGCCGGCTTGTGCGTTGTTGCCTCGCGCTTGATCCCGGAAGTCGACTTGCTCTTCTTGGCCTTGACCTCTTTGCTCACGAGACCACTCGACTTGGCCGACGCCGCAAAGTCGAGCTTGGGGACCTTGGGATGCTGGCCAGAGAGGGTGCGCGGGTCTTCATGGGCAATAGTCTCCAGGAGATGGGAGCGCTTGGACGACGGCAACGTCTTGTGGTGCGTTGAACAAGGGGGACCAGACGCCAAGTCCAGGTACTCGTGGTCGTCGAGCAGACTGCGGTCCCTAAAGACCACGGCGTTGCCGTAAATCTGGACTGGCTTGCCGCGTCCACCCTTCTTGAGTGCAGAAGCGAGCGAGGCGCCAAGAGACAGCTTGTCGCCATCCTTCTTCTCCCTGGTGGCGCTCTTGTCCCGAGCCTTGGACTTGGTAGGCGCCTTGGTCTCGCCAGTACCGCGGTCCTCGAGGGACTCGACAAAGCGTTCCTTGAGGTTACCGCCGTTCTGGGGCGGTCGCTCGGCGTCCAGAGCAAGAATCTGTTTGCAAGGGGGCTTGGCATGTGTGATGGGTGCGTCGGCCCTCTTGACAAACAGCTGAATGTCCTCGGGGTCTGATGCCGAGAGGTCGAGAACGAGCGGCTTGTGCGTGAGGTTCTGGAACTGGACAGTACGCAGCGTAGGCGAGTGGACGACGACCGACCCAAAGTCGAGAAAGTTGGAGCCCGACGGCGTCAGGATACGGTACAGGTGCGAGTGGAGGGTGACATTGTACACGTCGACGTTCTTGGACCGCACCTCGATCAACTGGTTGTTGGCGCGGTTCAGGTGGTTGCGGACAAAGACCTGCTTTTCGTATCGGTCATTGATACGGCGCGGGAAAAAGTCGAGACGCTCCGTCACCGTCTCGTATGGCGGGATGACAATGACATTGCGGTTCGTCATCAACACCTTGGAGATGGCCGCGACCTCGACACGGGCCGAGATGGCGCTGAGGTTCTGGACCTCAAAGGTAGTCGACTTGGACGCGCCAACAGTGACCTCGCCAAAGTCGATAAACTTGCCCGAGGGAATGGTCACGATCGAGGTACACGACTCGGCCGTGCAGTGAATCACCTTGCGCGAGCGCGCAATGGGACGCGACCGCTGCGAGATGGGTGCCGAGTCGAGGAATACCTTGAAGGTTGACGTGCGCAAGCTGCCGGCAATCTCGGGAGGGTTGACGAGGTCACGGGCTGGGCGGTACATGGCAAAGACGCGGTACTCTGTACCAGGACGCATGGTGAGCTCCTCAATCTGGTTGGGGATGTCACGGTCGCCGAGGTTCTGGTTGTCACCGCCTCGGCCGATGTCTGGCCCGTCCAAAGGTTGTGAGGTCTGGGGAGACTGCTCGTCGTCGTCCGACTCTTCGGTGCGCGACGGCCGGTAACTTGATCCTCGTGATGTCACGCGCGACAGGGGTCTGGATGGCGGCATGGAGCTATCACGGTCACTGGCCGTGGTAGCCCACTCGTCTGTCTCAAACGGCCCGCTCGACACCGAGCCAGCCTCGTTGAACAGCGCAGACCGGCCGCCGGTGCTCGACCCCTGAGACACCATGTCGAGTGGGAAGCGGAAAGCGGCGCCCGAGATTTCACGTCCACGAGCGCCGCCGCTGTCACGCGTATCGCGCGTAGACGTGCGAGACAGTGTCTCCATTCGCTTATCTCTTGGGCGAATGGGCACGTCTTCATCGATATCCTCACCCGCCACACCGGCTAGACGGAAAACCACCTCGTAACCTGGGGTAGCCGAGAAATGAACGTCGATCGGACGGTCCCCAATGTTCTTGGTAGCAATGAGCTTCTTCGCCCAGGTCCCATCGGGAATCTGTCCAAAGTCGATCGTTGAACCGCTCTGGATCCGCAGCGTGTCGTCTTGTGCCGTGGCTTGGCACGAACCCAAGGCCTTACAGGTCACGACGTTGCCAGTCTGGTGGGCGTTGGAGATGACAAAGTCAAACTCGAAGTCGGCGACAGGGATGAGTGGTCGCAGATCGAGGCGAAGATGTCTGCTGGACAACGCTGGGAGGGGGACGGGGTCGGTCGATGTCTCGACACCAAACACGTTTTCAGAGTCGAGGTCGCGCAGCGAAAACCACACGCTGTCCTTGAAGCTCGAGTTGAGGACCGAAGTGGTCCACACCAGGTCAATCTCTGAGCGGTTCACAAGGAGAATGTCGCGATGGACCTCGTTGCCAACGACATTGTCGGTACCGAAATCGATCGACAGCTGGCCCGAACTCAGCTGCGCACTGGCAGCGAGACCTGTCGATGGGTCGATAACAGCCGCCGAGAAGAAGGAACGACACACTGTGGCGAAGAAGGGCAAGGAGATGTTCTGGTGCGCCTGCTGCACGGGACTGGGGCTGAGGGTGAGAAGGTCGTCGCCACCAGTATCCTGGGTGGTTGCATGAACGAGGACACTGCCGTGCACCGAAAAGGAACGGTGAACAGGGTCATTTCGACGGGGACCGGTCGACCCGGATGTGTGGCCACTGCCAGGAAGCGAGAGACCCGACACGCCCGACGCAACCGAGGACGCGGGCTGCGACGACAAGTCCGAGAACATGCTCCCACTCTGTATAGTGGCGGAGGGCAGACGATGGCTGCCAGGAAGGGGCGACAGATCGGCATTAGTCGTCGGGGCGGCGGCGGCGACCACGCGGGGCGTAAACCCGCCGTCACTTGATGGGGTCGACGTACCAGGTGTTGGTGGCCTGGACGTCGTGGGCTGGAATGCAAGGAAGACGGTCGTCGCGGACCCTGGTGGGATGGACAGGTTGATAGACGGAGCCCCCGCCGAGCTGGACATTGACGATACCGAAGACGATGACGATGGTTCGGGAACGTCGGAGTTGTCCTCGGCCACCCAGAACACGACTTGGGGACCGAGGTCAGACCCGACTTCGACGTCTACGGGTCCTGACGACACATTGCGCAGACCAAAACTGCGAACGCGGCGTTGGCCACCCGCACTGTCGAGGTAGGTGGACTGGAGGTGGATCCAGCCGCTCTGAACGTCTGCAAGCTGAACCAGCGACTCTTGCTGGAGTCCTAGTCGCGAGACGCGCTGAGCGGCCAAGGAGGAAACAGAAAGGTTGGCAGAGGAAGAGGTGGTCGCGTGCGCTTGTTGCTCTCCAGCGATGGGGATTGGTGCAGCGGCACTGGAGGCGCTGGCGGCGGCGGCGGTAGAAGACGTGGACACGGCGGGCTGTGGAGGTTGTGGTTGAGGTTCATGGGGGTTGAGGCTCTCGGCGGCTGGAGTGCCGCCGCACGAGCTGGGAGCAGCACCCATGTAGCCCTCGGCGATGCCGATGATGCCCTTGACGCCGGCCTCGACCGCGTGCTCGAGCGAATGGACAATATGGGACATGGTGGGAAGGGGATGGGAGGGAGAGGGGGGGAAGAAGACGGGGCTGGCGCAGGCACCAGGCGGGGCAGTAGGTGTTGGTGGAGGCGCGAGATGGGAGCTGGTGGAGGCGAGTAAGAACAAGCTGGCGCACAGCGCTTGGGGCTAAACGGTGCCGCTTAAGGAGAGGGTGGAGAACGAAGGGGAATGGGTGCGCTGGGGAGCGCTAGCTGGCGCGCTGGGTTTGCTCAGTGCCGACTCATGTTGAGGACGCGACCGAAGAGCAAGGTGCAAACGCGGGCTGCGAGACTTGAGATTGTCACGCGAGCAGCGCGGTGTGTGTGTGTGTGTGCACCGCTGAGCGAAGAGCGATGCGGCGGTGACGAGCTCGCGATGGTACGCTGGGTGGCGGGGTAGTGGTCCAAGCGGGTGTCCGAGAAGCCTTTGAGAGTGGGTCGTGTGAGACACCTACTGGCGGCAGTTGGTGTGGGTTACGATGAGGTGTTGGGACGAATCCAAGTTTGGGGGTAGCGGGGTTGGACGTTTGGTCACGGGTTGGCAGAGGAAGCGACGTGTGCTTGGCGGCCGGGTAGGGGGGGGGGGGGAAGCGTGCAGATGCGCGCAGAAGCGGCTGCCTGTGGGCTGACGAGGTGGAAGTGATGTGTGTGTTGTGGACAACGAGCTCGTGTGAGGTGGAAGCGAGGTGGTGGTGGTGGTGCGCGTCGGCAGAGCGGGGGTGGGGCAGCCAGAGGGGGCATATGTGTGTCCATCCACAGGTCGGAGTTACGCAGACACTTTGCGGCAACAGATGGCTCTCTCGTGCGGTCCAATGCCGCCGCCGCCGCTGCCGCCGCCGCATTCCCACCCAGGGACACTCCCCGGCGACGACCTGACAGCCTGCAGCCTGGCTGACAGACCTCACATGGTGTGCATGCCCGAGGGCCAAGGGCCGAACAAGGACGCACACGGAGGCGGCCAAAAAGCTGGCTGGCCAGAGCAAACGCAAGCCACCCCAGAGTTCGGCACTCGCGCGGGTATTTGGTTGCACACGTTTGCAGTTTGCGTTTTTTGTGTACACACGACACGACCACCCGGTGCCGAGCGGACAAGTACCGACCGCTGCCGAGAACAATTCTCTTAGCGTTCGAGCGTGATTGGGTTGTCCCTCCCCTCCCCTCTCCCCCCCAGTCTCCCGGGGCACGCACAATGGTCCAGACAGGCTTTCGCATACCCCCCACACAATCGCTACGACGCTTCCTCCGTCGTGCGTCTCCTTCCTGCCACTTTTGTAAACCAGAGAGCACAGCCCACCATATTGGTACCTGGCCACCTGGGCGACCTTGCCTCATGATGTCACCAGAAAATGCACTTGACCAAACGAGGTTCCCGTAAACAAGGCGCGGGAGCGAACAGGACCTTGTTGCGGTCTTTGCGGCACACCTGGATGAACGAAGCAATTGAGCAATAACATCAACTGGAATTCAACTTTGGCTGATTAGGAAATATTAAATAGGCTTATAGGTTTTGTGCCGTTCAAGGCCGTCCTCTGCCGGCCCCGTGGCCCCGTGTGTGGCTCGTGGTCCCCGTGTGGCCTGTGGTGTGGCGGGGCCTCGCTGCCTCGGGTTGACGTCACTACGATTTCATGCTTTTCACACCTGTTGACAGATCATGACAGGTCAATGCGCATGCGTTGCTACCGTTGCTGTTTGTGCCGTGCCCACAGATCACAGAGTTTGCTTTGCAACAGGCAACTGCGCAACAGGTAAACGGTGCGCATGGTTTTGTGCCAGATGCATTCCTCGCACGCGCCACGACGTCGGGCCGTTGGTTCCACCGTACACCTTACGCGTCGCAGAATGCGGGCCGGCGGCCGGCCAAGCGAAGCATTTCCAGAACATACCCCGACGACCAACTGTGGGAGACTGAGAGACACCGGCTGGAGACTGGATCCAGTTGAGGGAGATATGCACGTCCATCGTTCTGACGCTTTCCCTTGTGCCTCATACCCCTCTTCCTCATCTCCCTTTTTTGCGCTAGATGAACATTGATGCATTACAGCAGCTCTGCCTAGGGCCTAGCTAGGGGGTTACTCTTTGCAGCGCAATCTAACACTGGTACTGTCGTCACGTCATCCGCCTCCTTTCATCATCTCCACAGCCGGCCCACACTGGGCCACGCATGCGCCAATGGTTTGTCTTGCGCCCATGGTAAAAAGTGTCCACAGTTGTTTGGGGTACCGCCATTTGCCACGCGCTCGCTCAGGTATCTATCTAGAACAACACCCGCGCGAGAGCGTGTGAGTCTAGTCTTCGCCGCCATCGCCTCTCGCTGCGGTGCACATGTATGCCAGCCATAGCATCTGCCACCCGCAAATCTCGGCGCAGCGCTTAGTCGCTCTCTGCTAGGGCGTCAGCGTCAGTGTTCCTGCTCGGTAAACCCGGTGGCGACCACCGTAGCGGGCCCGTTTACGCACCCGAGATGAGCGCAAGGATCATGCTGGAGGATGGTTAGCGGTAGCTCTAGAGACCAGATAACAAACTCACCGGTAGAGGTAGTAGAAGAAGGACACAAGGAAGAAACCGAGCTTGATAAAGCTCTCCTTCTTGTGACCCGACAGCGTGCGGAAGATCTCAGTCGCGTCGTACATGTGGTTCTTGCCCATGATCCTGGGCTGTCAGCTGCGCTACCGTGACACCCACAACTCACTTGTTGACATTGTAACCGACAAGAGGGGCGTTGAGGAGGAACGCCAGCCACTGTCCAGACAGCAAGAAGAGGAGGGTAAGGAAGGCGTGGGCGATCATCTCGGGGAGTACAAACTGCGGGGTTAGCTGCGATTTACCGCCAGGCCACCCACTTGATTGAGCTTGTTGCAGAGGTCGATAGGGTTGATGTAGTCTGTATCGTCAGTAGGAGCTCACGGTACATACACCGGCACACGCTCCGGCGGCGTGGAACATTGGTGCGGGCGGCAAAGTCGTAATCATGGCAGCTTCGTGGTCCAGGTCACACGGGAAGCTGCGATTGACCAACCCTCTGCACCTCGCATGTCTCACGCCGCTGCAGGCATTCGATATACTCACCACACTCAAGGTCCGAGAACATGATGATCTGGCCGTCAGCAACGCGTCGCGTCGCGGGGTCCGGTTTTGCCCCGCCAGTGTCCAAACTCACAAAGAAGACCATAGTGAACAGGAGAACCGCGGCCATAATGACCGCGAAGAGGAACAGCCAGCCTGTAGAGTGAGCTCCAGCTCCCTTGCGTAATGTAGCTCCACGTACCTTCGCCGCCCATTGTGATTGATGTGTTAGAGGTGGTGGTGGTAGCGGTAGGGAGCCGTTTGAGTGAGAGATGTGACGTGTGGGACGACGTGAACGTCAGCGAGGACGCAATGAGCCGGCCAAGCAGGGAGGGACTGGCCGCTGCCCGCGCTGGCCGCGCGCCACGGCCCGGAGTTTTGAATTGAAACGCCGGATGCGTCTTGGCTGGTTCTATTCCCAAACCCTAATCTCATTTACAAACCGCCAGGTTAATCAAGCCTGGCCCGTTGTTGTTATTTGTTTTGGGCCCCAGGGGTGTTCTGTGATCTGTCTTCCACCCATCACTCCATCCCCCCCTCCCGACCATGTCGCGCTCCAGCTCAAAGCCGTATTCGCGCGACGCGTCAAGGCCCAGCACCGATTCGCAGTGGAAGCATGACCTCCACAACACGGTGCGCGGCACCCTCGCCGACCGCCTGGGCACCACCACGCGCAAGTCCGGATCCGGCTCGAACGGCCCCGGCGGCAGCTTGCTCGACCGCCTGTCTGGCGGCGCGGGCAAGGAGCTCCTCCCTGCCAACAGCAGCTCGAAGGGTGGAAAGATGCACGCGGACACACCGAGCACGAGCACGAGTGCCAACGCTGGCCGCGAACTGCTGCCCTCCAAGGCCGCGCGTCCAGTGCGATCAAGCCGCCCTCGCGGTGCAGGCAGGGTGGACCCCTCGGCACACCCCCTCCTCGCTCAGAGCCTCGGTGCGCTTTCGGGAGACCGCCGCGGCACTGTCGCTAGGTCGCCTCCCAGTCCCCCTACCCCAGCTGTGGGAGGCGGCGGTGTGACCATTATGGGTGCCGCAGGTCTGACCGTCGTTCGCGTCGAGCACCTCGCACGCGGCACGACTGCCGACGACGTCAAGGTGGGTTGGATTATCTGCATATGGCCTACTAACACGCAGTCGGCATTTGCACCCACCCCCATCTTGTCGGCCAAGATCGTCTCGGGCTCGCGCGACGCCACGGCCACCGTCGAGCTGGAAATTGCCGACCGCGCGAGCGCCGACGCCCTCATCGCGCAGTACGACGGCGTGGCGGCAGACGGCGAGATCCTCAAGTTGACGGTTGTGCGACCTCGTTCCCCGCCAGCGCGTGGCCAGAGTGGTCGCGCAGGAGGCGGAGGCGGCGGCGGGCTGAGTTCGAGGATCGAGCCCAAGGCGCGTCCAGTGCCTTCATCTGGGTAGGTTTTGAGCGCTTAGAGGGTTGAGGCTAACCTATACAGCAAGATGTACTCTGACCAGATTGCCGAGCCGCGCCCGGCCCCCCAGGCCAGGCCTGCAGCGCAGCCTCAGTCTCAGTCTCAGCGCCAACCCTCCCTCGCCGCGAGGTTAGGCCGTCGTTGAAGATGCCCTTGGTTGGTCCGGACCGCGTCGCCGACTTGGAGATCGATGGAACAGGGAGCTGGGAGGATCGAGGAGTGGGATCTATCTGTGAGGTTGAGAGAGAGAGAGAGAGAGACGATGGATGCTTGGGCGAGTGGTGACGATCTACACATGTAAGAGATGTACTGTAATACCACTCCAGTCGTGTCGTGTCTTGGACAGCTCGCCTCCCTGGCGTTGTCGACCAGCTGATCTGGGGACTCGTTCAGTCCCCCTGGCATCTGCTACGGAAGTCAAGCACGGTGTACCGGTGTAAGCGCTTCGTGCTTCTAAACGTGTCTGAAAGCGGCAGGCTGTCGCCAACACTCCGGACCTGATAGCTAGTTCCCTTACCCAGCGGTCCCCTCTGATGTACTTGTGCAGGCTGCATTCGACGCCACGGGGTGTCGAGGTACGCCCTTAGGTTCGGATTGCTGGGTGCGGTGGTGGACGCGTGTGTGTCACAGAGTCACAGAGTCACCCAGTGTGCCCAGTGTTCAGTGTGTACAGAATGAGGACGAGGGGCAGGTGGAAGTCGGCTGGATGTAAATAGATCAAGACCACATCAGTGTCAGCCGCGTAGTCTCCCAAGTCCACCCCCAAGACACCGACACACTGCCAGCAGCCATAATCTAATGCAAGAAATACAGTAACTCCTACAAAACTAACCACTAGGCGCCAGTGAGCTTGGCGACGCCACCAGCCTTACGGACCATGCGCTTGAGCTCTCCGGGCGTCTTCTGCCAGACGTTGAGCCTGCGGTCCATGGCTGCGGACGCAAAGTCGTCGCCGTGCTTCTGGACAAGGGTGGTGAGCCACTCCTTCTCGGCTGACGACGTGTGGCGGATAACGGGGGCGGTGGTGGCAGCGATGGCCTCAAGTTCTGGAGAGGGAGAGACAGGGTCAGCTTGGGTACAGCGAGGCTGATGAGACAGAAACCGGTCTGACAGCCTATCCTTCAAGCTACTCACGCTTGACAACATCGGTCTTGGCCAGCACGACCTCGGGCGCGCTCTCCTCGTCATTCAGAGGCTTGGTGCGGTTCTCCTCGTCAATCTCCTCCTGGGTCTTGCCCTTCGTCTCCTCGTCCTCCTCGTCGATGATGATGTCAATCACGTTGCCGTCCGCGTCACGGATGATACGACCAAACTGCTGCTTGGGGACGTAGTCGAGCTCGTCAATGTCCATGGAGCCGGGAATGAGCGGGAGCTCCACGCGCTGCTGGCGCGATGTCGAGGCCTCCTTGGCCACGGACATGGAAGGGAGCAGACCGAGGGCGGCATAGCTGCGCAATGTCAGTGACGGTTCTTGGTCGTTGGGAGGGGGCTGGAGGGAGGAAGAAGGTAACGAGCGGCCCAGGCTCAATGGTGGGTCTAACGGGTAGGCAGCACAGCGTGCGTGTAATACCAGCTCCAAGAACACATCGATAACCTCGCCTTCCTACCCCAACACCTAGCCTCCACGCTCCATCACACGACTCACTTCTGGAACACGGTCTTCTTCTTGTCCCATGCGGTCTGGAGCGCCTCGGGGCCCTTGAGGGGAGGAGCCTTGCGAAGCTTGGAGTGGATGCGCCTCTTCTGGGTAAGAGACGGCTTGGTCGACTTGTGCGACTTGGCCTTGGAACGCTGGCGTGGGTTGGCCATGGTTGTGTTTGTGTTTGTGGGTGTGGGGTACAACGGCAAGGTAAGAGCAGGTGGATTCGAGGTCGTTGGGCGGCAAAATATTGAACTTCAGGCACCGAACGGGGCCAGCGGTGACGAAAGTAAGGGAGACACCGTGGGAGAATGGGTCGTGAATGCTGCAGTGTGGGTTTTGGGTACATAAGTGCGGGGCAGCTGGGGCAGCGCTATGCATGGTATAGCCCAGTGAGCTGCTGCGTTTAACAGGCGGTAGAGGAACAGACCAGCCTCAAGGGCGAAGTAAATAGAAGCCAGGATGGCCGCCCGCAGACAGAACGTGTCCCCAACAGACCATCAGACTAGTCGCCTTTAGGCAGTCTTGTCGTGTTGCCTCTGCCCACATCGCAATCTATCTGATCCCATACATCATGCACTGCTACTGGTATTGTGTTCACTTCACGCTAGCAGGGGAAGGGAATAACCCACCTTCACCTGCATTACGCGGCGCAAACTTAGTCCTTCTCACCCACACGGACGAGCCACTCGTCGCGCTCCGCCTCGCCCATCGTACGGAAGCGGCCCAAACCACCCTTCTGGCCACCCTCTCCGGGCTCCTCGGGGGAAGTCGAGGTGATACCAATCTCAATCTCGCCGGCCTTGAAGTCGGTCGCGCACACGGTCGAGAGGCACTCGATGGCCAGCTCAATGACGCCTGCGCGGTCCAGCGAGACCGAGCCGTTCTCGACAGACTTCCACTTCTTCTCCAACTGAACACACAAGTCAGCAACTGTACCCACACTAATGTTGCAGGTTTACTCACATAGTTGGTGGCCTCGGTCTGCTTCTGTCCCGATGCAACGGCCTTGTAGCCCACAAAGAATCCAGCAGGGTCAATCATGAACACCTGGGGTCCACGCTCGTCATCGGGGCCAATGAGGATCATGCCGATGCCAAGGGGACGCATGCCCGCGCGCTGGGTGTACACCTGGTTGATGTTGGCCATGCGCTTGGCGACTAGGCAAGAGCGTCAGCTTGTGCGACGGACCGAGCAGCTGGTACTCACGCGCATCAGGGGTGATCTCGTAGCCAAACTTGTAGCGGAACTGGGCGGCCTCTGACCGTGTCCTCTGGACCTGCGCGCGAGCGTCGGCTGTAGGTGTCAGTACATCACCAGGGTGCAACATTGTAGCACACACCGATGCGGCCAGTGACAACACAGCCGATGGTAGGGGTGATCTGGAAGATGTGGGTGATGGTCTCGGGGTCGAGGAGCTTGTCCTGCTGGGTCAGCTGAGAATGTGACATGGACACCCACGGGAACTTTGCGCTGCGCAATCACAACGGCAGTGTCCTTGCCGCGAATGGCGACGGCGGTGATACCCGCGCCGCTGATGGCCTTGAAGGCATACTCTGGGATAACAGTCAGCGGCAGCTCACTCAACCCGTGACAGAGCTCGTCATGAGGGGAGCGGCGTAGCTCATGGGCGCGAGGAGTACGAACCAACTTGGTACAGCTGCAGGACGTTAGCTTAAGAGCTCCGGAGACGATCAAGTGGACTTACCCTTCCCTCGGGCGAGAAGACGGTGAGGTAGCTGTGTACTGTTAGCTCAAACGGGTAGGTCGCAGCTTACCGATCGTAAGAAGAACGGGACATGGCGCTGGAGTTGCGCGGAGCTGTAAGTCTAAGAGGAGATTCTCCAGCCTGAGTGCGTTGTGAGGCGAAGGGATGTGTTGTAGACGACGCAACAGACTGAGCGAGCTGCTCGAGAGCGAGGACGTCAGTGTCCCACTGCGAGCGACGACACGCGTTGGGTGATGACTGAGGGGAAGCACGTGACTAGCACGTGGCAATTAGGATAAAATACTATTAAATATCATTAGATATATTATCCACGTTAACCTCACATGGCACTACCCTGAATTACTGAGCGGCGGCGGCAAGATTTCTGACCGATGAAGACCTGCAGCCGGTCACTGCTAGATGAGAGCGCAGTGGACTGGCTTTGCTTTGTTGACTTGTCACCCACCCCATCACACATCCACACGATGGCCAAGTCGCTCCGCTCCAAGACCAAGCTCGCCGCTCGCCGCCGCAAGGCCCACGAGTCGCACTACGCCGTCGCTTCGGCTGAGCGTACCGCCCGTATCTCGGCCAAGCTCCTCAAGAAGACCGACGTCGAGGGCGACGACGAGGAGATGGCTGCCGAGGCCCAGGTTGACGGTGACGAGGAGATGAAGGAGGGTGAGGGTGAGTTATTCTAGAAGAGAGGAAACGAGGATATTGAGTGGGCTGTGCTCGAGGTCAGGCGGGTGTGCACCCTCGGCACATCACCTGCCTGTGACTCTGGTCGCACGAGCTCGGTAACTGCTTTGAGAATAACGCAAACGCAAAGCAGTACTCTCCATCCTAGTTTCCCCCTGTACACTCAACCACAACAGCTCTGACATTCATCCCAGAGCCCAAGAAGATCTCCACCTCGGTTGCCCGCGGTTCGCGCCGTGAGGAGTGGCGCGCCTCGAAGGGCATGGAGGTTCGTCCCAAGCTCAAGGGCCAGAACCGCCTCGGCCGCCCCGTCTCGCGTCACAAGGCCGGCAAGACCAAGCGCAGGCGTTGAGCGTGAAAACTATGACCATATCTGGCAGACCGCTGGCGTGCGTGTGTGACGTGAGGAGAGACCTCTTCGACCATAGATGTCGCTACGACGACACCCCTTCGATGATCCTCTCAACAGTCTGTATTTCCGGACCACCACACCGCCCTCGCCCACGGCCTACCACCACAACCCCTTTCACATGCTTCGCAGTTAGACGTGTTGTACGAGAGGATACCCCATAGACAATGCATATTGTCGTCTCTAGCTCTAAAACCGCACATCCCCCCCAGCTTTACCCTCTTGCTTAGTCGGCACGCTTGAGGTCGGCAAGCAGGTCGGTGAGGCGCTCCCACTCGGGCTCGTCCTCAAACCTGGAGTCATTGTCAGCTGCTGTTCCGCATTTTCCTGGAAGCTGTACTCACGCGTCCTTTGTCCTGCCCATGAACGTGCGAACAATACCGCGCGCCTGGAAACGCCAGTCGCCGCCCTTCTTGCCCTCAACCTTGGGCACACGGGGACCAAGCTGGCTGAGCGTAGCGACGAGGTCCTCGACCTCCTCCACTGCGTCACGCCAGCGCGTCCTGTCGCGCTCGACGCGCTCGTCAGTCGCAACAGTGACGCGGTACGCGCGGAGGTAGTCCTCGACGGCTCCGGCCCAGTCCTCCTTCCAGCGCTGGAGACGGGCGTGGGAGCGCCACACGCGCGCATTGTCGTTGACGCGAGTGAGAATGGTGGTGTCAAACAGGCGCTCGACCATGGGGAGCAGACCCCAGCCCTCGTTGGACGTCGAGGGGGGCTTTCCGTCCAGAGGACCCTTGCCGCCGTTGTAGTCGTCGCGGGTGACGGCGTCAACGAGCTTGTCAAGCACCTCGGGGTCAATGGCCATGATGGGGTCCTGCGATCCAATCTCCTCGACCACACGAGTCATGGCGCGGACGGCCTCGGCGAGCTCTCCGACGTCGACAGCGACAATCATGTAGTTTTGCCACATGCGCCAGTTGTTGTAGGCCATGCGCAGACCGTTACGGAGGGCACGGAAGGCGAGGGTCTTGTTCTCAAACGTGACGGGAGGAGGCTTCTCACCCTCGGGCACACCCTCTTCGTTGATGCGCAGGTAGACGGCGGCAAGGTTGTTCCAGCCCTCGGCATCGTCCTCATTGACACTGGACGTCGCGCTTGAACGCGTCGCGCGACTCGGACCAGCGGCCGAGACGCATAAAGGATACACCGAGGACGAACCAGGCCTGGGCGTACAGGGGGTTGATGGCCAGGGCAGCCTGGAAAGCGGGAATGGCCTTTTCATAGTCCTTGCTCGAGACGTAGAGGGCAGCGAGGGAGCGCTGGGAACGCGAGCTCGAGCGCTCCGACTCCTCCCATGCCTTCTCGTAGTATTGAATGGCCTTGGTGCGGACACCCACGGGGTCCTTGGGGGCAAGGTCCGAGTTGAGAGTGAGGTCACCAAGAACACAGAGGAGCTTGGCGGCACGAGCAGCCGACAGCTTGTGGCGACGAGCGTCCGACAGCGAGTTACGGCCAAGGTTCATGACCACATCCGACTCGAGCTTCTTGCCCTCCAGCAGCTCGTGAACGATACGCTCAGCCTCGGCCTCACGCTCCATGCGCTGGAGACAGCCCACAGCGTCCTCCCACATCTCCAGGCGGGTGAAGACCTCGAGAGCCGAGACGACGACACCGAGAGAGAGGTAACGCTTGGCAAGCTCACGCTCCATCTCCCACTTGGACGTCAAGGGCAGCTGGTGGAAGTACTGCAGACGCTCGGCGGTGGACGAGTCGGCGCTGGGCATCTGCTCGATAAGAGCGGCGAGCTGGAGGGTGGCACGCTCGACGGTACGCGAGCGGTGGGCCTCGAGACGGGAGCGAAGCAGCAGAGCGGTGGTGTGCACGCTCCAGTTGCGCGGGTGTGCGACGACACGAGTGAGGAAGGGCATCATGGTCTGGGTAGTAAGGCCGTGCGAGGGCGAGTTGTTGCCCTGGGCGAGACAGAGCGACAGAAGGAGGGCCTGGTCAAGAGGGTGAAGAGCAGGCTGGTTTCCTGGGTCGAGGTGGGAGAGGCGACCTGAGCCGGTCTGAGTGACCTTGGTAAACGCAGTCTCTTCCAGGAGGGTGTCGTCGTTGAGGGCCAGAGTCTCGGGAACGGCAATGGCTTGGACAGTCTCCTCAGTCTCACTGTCACGCTTGCGCGACTCGGCAAGGAGAACAAGCTGGGAGTGGTCGGCAACCTGGTATTTTGTACGCTTGCCGAGGGCTCCAGTGAGCTCAAACTCGAGACCGCTGGTACGCGCAGCAGCGAGGAACGCTTGGTTGGCAGCACGGTCCGAGCCGAGGCGGTGGTGCAGAAGACCAAGCTCGAGGGACAGAGCGGCCGAGGTGTCGGCGTCGGGGGGCCTTGCCAATGAGGGCCTGGACACCAACAATAACCTCGTCAGCAATGCCCACAGGCTCGTCAAGGAGAGCGAGGTGGACTAGGTGGGAGCGCAGGCGCCACCATGGCAGCGTCGCAGGCTGCACCTTCAGCTCGGCGAGGAAGGCAAAGACGCGGATCGAGAGGAGGAAGATGGCAGGAGAAGCAGCGAGATGGTATGACGGCTCGCCAAGAAGAGTGAGGAGGGGAAGGGCGGCAGCGTTGAGGGTGGTGTTGTCCTCGTCGGTCGCTGGCTTGCCAGTGATAGCGGGCAACAATGTCGGCGGCGCCAAAGTCCAGGTGGGGTCCAGTCCAGTTTGGCTGCACAAACGAATGCTGCAATGCCACAGCGGCAACAAGGAGAGTCTGCAGGTCGTCCTCAGACAGCTCACCGACCGGCTCACTGGCGGCACCGTCTGCCAATCCGTCGAGCAGGTGAGGGACACCCTTGAGGGCCTTGACGATGTCGTTGGCAAGGACGACAGCACGGTGGTCGGCGTTGCGAACTGACGACACGAGGTCGCGGAGGCGGGAAGGACCCGCCTCTGCTGGCAGGTCAATGGTGGGGGAGGCGAGGGCCCACTCAAGAGTCGACATGGTTTGGTGTATGGTGGTGAGAGGTGTGTTCTGAAGTGTTCTACCGCTGACCAACACTCAACTTTTGGACATTTGGGTGGCCATTGCCGAAAACACGGAGTTCTCGGGTGCAAACTCCGCCCAACACGTGTGGATCACGTGACTGTCCGCGTGTGATGACGACATCGGGGGGCCTGCGTCTACGGTGGTCGTCGGATCGTCGGTTACCTAAGTTACGGCAGTGGACGCTCAATGGAAACAGAGGCTCTCTGCTCCCCACCATCTCGACGCTCTTGGAACCGTCCTCTCTCTCTCTCATATTCCATTCACCCACCATGTCCTTCCGTCCGGGAATCCTTCCGTCCCTCCTCCGCGCTGCACACCCAGTGCGCGGCGCACCCACACGCTCCTTCCACTTCCTCTCCCGGGGCACTCAGCAGTCGTCGCCCGTCGCATCGCGTCTCGCTCAGCGCTTCGGGTCGGGTCGCGCTGGCCCGCGCGTCGTCACGCACAGCGCGCCCACCACACCCCGTGGCCGCGTCCAGAATGCCTACCTCTACTCCATCGGTCTCGGCCTTGCTGCTATCACCGTCTTCCCTCGTGCTGCTCACTGTGCCAGTGCCGAACCCCTCCCTACCCCAGTGACCCAGGGCAGGCCTCAGCCATCCGTCGCTGTCGTCAACACGGTGCCGGATGACCCGGAGGTTAGGAGCATTCTCTCTCTCGGACAGCTCTCGTTTGGTGCTGTTTGCGGTATCTGTGCAGGTGTCTTCGTGAAGAAGGGCTTCAAGATCGTCGCTTTTGCCCTTGGTGGTGTCTATGTGCTTCTCCAGGTGGGTTGTGACGTCAACAATGGCCGATGTGGCCTTGCTATGAACCCCGGCTGACAACCTCGTCAGTATCTTTCGTCCAAGAAGTTTGTCCAGGTCGACTGGAAGGCGGTGGGCACTGCCTATGACGGCCAGTTCGCGACCGTGGACCAGGCCACCGGCAAGGTTGTTTACCCCACGGCCACGGGCGTGTGGAACGGCTTTATCGACTTCCTCACCGCCAACTTCCAGCGTGAGTGCCAGCCAGGTCACCCGGTACCATCCGCGATCAAGCTGACATTGTCTTCACAGAGCGGGCTACCTTCCTTGCGGGATTCGTTCTTGGTGTCCGTCTGGGTTAGAGAACCCAAACACATTATTGTGGCGATTTGAAACAAGAAGATCTGAAGATGAATCAGTGAATCAATAAACGGAAACGGGGATCAGGAGGACAATTGACCAGATTTCTCCTCAAGGTTCAGAAACATCTCTTTGCATGGGCGTTTATCCTATATACAACGGGGCCCTTGGCTGCCTACAATTGAGCCCTCCCTCACTCCCAATCTTCCTCCTTCAGAATCAAGTAGCTCCCTTTTTACCTGACCCCGCATTTAGAGGGTAGGGCGCTCGGCCTGGGGAGTGAGACGAGCACCGTGGCGACGAGCCGGGGTGTTGTCAAAGTCGAGGTTGGCAGTGTGTGCCGTGATGCGGTTGTCCCAGAGCACGACGGTGCGGGGCTTCCAGCTGACACGGACCTGGGACTCCTGGCCGCGCTCAATGTGGTCGTAGAGGAAGTTGAGGAGGGCCTCGGACTCCTCGCGCTTGAGGCCGACGATGTGGCGCGAGAACGTGCGGTTAATGTAGAGGGCCTTCTCGCCAGTCACGGGGTGGCGGCGGACGAGAGGGTGCACGTTCTCGACGGGGTCACGGCCGACCTGGCCGCTGCCGTATTTGCCGTCGAGGGTGCTCTGGACCTGCTGGACGCCCGAGTGGAGGACGGAGAGGGTCTCGAGGTACTCGCGGAAGCTGGGCGTGAGGCGCTGGTAGGTGTTGCGCTGGTCAACGTAGCCAGTGTCGCCTCCAGAGTCGGGCGAGTCGAAGAGGAACAGGGCAGTAAGTCCTGGGGGCTGCCTCTCGTAGGAGACGTCGCTGTGCCAGTTGGTGCTGTTCGAACGGTCGGACAGGTCGTAGTTGTAGTCTGAGCCAGCCGCGCGGTAAACGAGGTGGAGCTCGGGGTGGCCCACGGGCTGCACAGTCGAGTGGTGGACGTGAGGACGGCCCCAGAACGCAGTCCAATCGTTCACAAGCCAAGAAGCGTCCTGGTCGATGAAGTCCTGGTCGCGGAAAGCCACGACGCCGCGCTGGGCGACAAAGAGGGCGAGATCCTGGCGGGCGGCGGTGTCGAGCTTGTGGAGCTGGACGCCCTCGACGACCGAACCCAGACGCGGGGAGAGGTTCTCGACCTTTCCAGCGGCCAGGAAGGCGCGAGGCTCGGCGTGCTTGAGCGCCTCGTGACCGGGGTCGACGTGGACGAACTCGGTAAGAGGGGGGCCCTTGACCTTCTTCTCAAGCGAGGGCAGGTAGTGCTTGTAAGGGTACTCGGACTCGGGGAGGCCGGTAGAGCTGAACCAGACGTTGTTGGGGACAGCAGGGGCACCGCTGAGCGAGAGCTTGGCGACACCCTCGGTGGGCGCCTGGGTGGTCTGGGTGATGGTGCTAGACATGGTGGAGGAGGAGTTTGATGGTCGTTCACAACGCTCCCCTCCTATGTCTTATATACCATCTTGCCTGCTCCATGATGCACACGTCGTTGATCTCTCAATCCTACCAGCCCAGTGTGAATCATGCGTTGGATGCACTCGACAGCCTGCGCAACTGTTGACAAGATGAGCACAATGGTGGATTCGAGCGACTGTGGCACCCAATGTGGCGTGCTCGCTCGCCACAGTGGTGCAATACACCTCGGTCACATCCGATTCCACCGACACGCCCCGCACCAACCTAGGTTACAGCTTGGCGTGTGCTGCTCGAAGCTGTTTGAGCACGTCCATGTTTCGATCAGAAATGGGGCCCAGATGGCCAAGCCGCTCCACCCCCGCCATCGCGTCATCCTTCCAATCACACCCAGGCCGTTGCGGTGGCGGTGGTGAGCGATGACGCTCACTCCCAGCCGGCCTTGACCGACACCACACCACAGCACGACACCTCTTCCGAATACTGAAAGTCACTCCATGCATGCAGAGGATGTACAGGATGTCTATTTTGCCTGTGGAGCATGAACAACAGCATGTCTTGCCTGTGCGCCTGTGCATTGCCTAGGTGCTTACGTGCTGGCCGGCCACGTCCGACCGTGTGACGCTTGGCACGACTTTGACGCTGGGCACGACTTTGCAGTCCGGCCAGTCGAAAATGTTTTGGGCAAGATGTCAAAGACCTGACACGCAGAAGCATCGAACGAGATCTCGTGGATGTGCATTGCTGACGTGCAGCTCGGCGACATCCGACAAGGGATGGTGTGTGCTGGACAGAGCCTATTGTTTCACATTGGGCGAGGCGGGTGATGCTGCGGACATGCCCCAATCCAATAACATCTGCATGCCCCGAGCAGACACTCTCACCATCGCCCAGCATGAACGAGGGTACACTCGCTTACGTGCTGCAACAGCAACAAGTGCCATAGATCATTACCTGCCGTTGATAAAACATGTTGACGTCCGCTAGTTTTCCTCGAGGCTGCGCCCAGAAATGAAGAAGAGTGCGCGTGGAATGCTCCGAGACAAACGAACTTCAAACGTCCATAACTGATGTGACTCGACACAAGTACTTCTCCATCCCGCAGTTCCTTAAAGCTCTTCTGGTTCGGGCTGGTCCCTGTTGAAATTGGTTAGCAAAGGGCGTTGACATGACCCAGAAACCCCAACGCACCACTCGGACTCTGGGTACGCAGAGTTCAGCGAGCTCTCGGGACCGTACTCGCTCGGCGTCTGGATGTTGTCGTCGAAGTAGTGGCGGGCCATCGAGCGCGGCGCTGCATAAACGTCAGTACACAGAAAACGCGCAACCCCTTTTTTCGCTATTGACTCACTCTTGGGGGTCTTGGGGAGACGGCAGTACTCTCCCGTACGGTGAATCAGCCAGGCGACCACACCAGTCCAGCCGGTCTGGTGGGATGCTCCCAGTCCACGACCGTCGTCGCCGTTGAAGAACTCGTAAAAGTGCACATAGTCGCGGAAGTATGGGTCCTTGTCGAGCTTCTTGCTGCCGCCATTGACGGCGCGGCGGCCGTCCTCGTCGCGGCCGAAAATGTGGATCAGGCGGTGTTGCAGCTCCTCGGCGCATCCGGCGAGGTTCATGTACTGGGGAGGTCAGAGCACGACGAATACAAGAACTCACGTAACCGCTGCCTGTGGGGCACTCGACCTGCAGGCTGTCGCCGTAGCTGGGGCTGTCAGTTGGGGGCTTTTGAACTAATCAGGCAACAACTCACAACTGGTGGAAGCGCTGCAGACTCTCAATGAGGAGGATGTTGACACACATCCAGACCGGACCACGCCAGTTACTGCAGAGTGGTTAGCAATATGCCCATAGGTGAGAGGTAGGAAGCACCTACCTGTTACCACCAAACATGCCCGACTTGGAGTCTCCAGGCCAATACTGCACACCAAAGTCCTGGCCCTTGACGTTCATGTTGAATGGCTGGTCCTTGTGGTATCGACTCATGGAGCGCACGCCGTAATCCGAAAAGAACTCGTCCTCGTCGAGCATCTTCTCCAGAATCTTGACCAGGCGTTCCTTGGAAGCAAGGGCAAGCAGGAGACGGTCGCCGCGACCACGTTCCTTCATGTTGGCGACGTTGCGGCCCGAAATGTCCGGACGGTTCTGGATGAACCAGTCGAGACGTTTCTTGAATCCGGGGAAGCGCTTCAGAGTCTGAGGCTCGAGGACCAGGGTCGCGTACAGCGGGATGAGACCGACCATGCTCCTGATGGGGAGCTGCTGGGCGTGACCATAGCCAAACTGGATACTGTCATAGTAGAATCCATCCTCCTCGTTCCAGAGACTGAGGTGCTGGTCGTTGGAGGCCGGGTACGTCATGGCGTCGGAGATGTAGAGGAAGTGCTCAAAGAACTTTGACGCAATGTCCTCGTAGGTCGGGTTGTGCTTGGCGAGCTCGAGCGCAATGCTGAGCATGTTGAGCGAGTAGAAGGCCATCCATGCCGTGCCGTCGGCCTGACGGAGGGTACCGCCGGTGGGCAGGGGCTCGGAACGGTTAAATGGACCAATGTTGTCGAGACCGAGGAAACCGCCTTCAAACACATTGTTTCCATCACTGTCCTTGCGGTTGACCCACCACGTAAAGTTGAGCAGGAGCTTTTGGAACGTGCGCTCGAGGAAGTCGAGGTCTTCGCGGCCGTACATGTTACGTTCAATCTTGAAGACACGGAAACACGCCCACGCGTGCACGGGTGGGTTGACGTCGGAGAGGTTCCACTCGTACGCTGGCAACGCGCCATTGGCCGACATGTACCATTCACGCGTGAACAGGTCGAGCTGCTTCTTGGCAAAGGCAGGGTCCACCATGGCCAGAGGGATACAGTGGAACGCAGTGTCCCAGGTGGCAAACCAGGGATACTCCCACTTGTCAGGCATGGACAGCACGTCGTCAATGTACAAGTGGCGCCATTCCTTGTTGCGCACCCATTTACGTTCCGATGGTGGGGGAGGCTGGCCCGGGTCGCCCTCGATCCACTCCTTTTGGATATAGCGGTAGTATTGCTTGGTCCAGAGCATGCCCGAGAGGGCTTGGCGCATGACATTCCTCAGGTCGTCACTGATGGGTCCACGTCCGAGACGGCTGTAAAACTCGTCGGCGTCGACGCGACGGGCCTCGACGTTGTCATCAAACAGCTCCTCGTCGAGAATCGAGGGGTCCTCCGACGGTGCGTTGGGCGTGAGCTTGAGACGCACGACGACACATCCGCCACGAGGAGGAATGTCCTTGAACGTATAGTGCGCGGCAGCCTTGGTACCTTCCTTGGCTGGGTTGACAAAGTGGGTAGCAGGGTAGCACTCGGGCGTGACGGTCGCGTTCACCTTGGGGAGCTGGATCGTGGCCGACTCGAGCTTGGCCGTGGCGGCCGTGACGCCATCTGCGTCCTCCTCGATAGGCTGCTCAGGCTCCGGCACTGGCTCGGGCTCGGGAACCTTCTCGGGCTGGGGAGGCTTGGGCCTGTGGCTGGGGATGACATAGTCGTGGAAAGCATCCTTGTTGTAAGGCGTGCGGTTCTGGCCGCGGTACAGACGCTCAAAGTTGGTGTCGTTTTCAGTGAAGAGCAGGTCAGGGGTGACGCCGGGGCCGTCGACGAGGACGACACCGCCCTTGGTCGGCGCGGCCGGCGAGGGGGAGGGAAGACAGTAGAGACGAGTGGAACCGAGCGTGTCGTGGGTCGCCTCGATGACGCCATCGGCCTCCTCGCGAAGCTGTGGCATGATCTTCGGCATCTCCTTGGGCCAGGACCAAGTGTTGCGGAACCACAGCTGCGGGAGAATGTGCAGGTCGGCGGCGTCCGGACCACGGTTGTACGCCGTGATGCGGACGGACATCGAGTTGGCGTCCTCTTCGTCCTTGGCATACTCGACAAAGACGTCAAAGTACCTGTCATCGTCCAAGACGTCCGTGTCCGTAATCTCAAACTCGGGCACCTCACGAGACCTGTTGCGGTTCTCGTCCAGCAGCTGCTGGTACGGGTACGCCTTCTGCGGGTACTTGTACAGGTACTTCATGTACGAGTGCGTTGGGGTCGAGTCGAGGTAGTAGTAGAGCTCCTTGACGTCCTCGCCGTGGTTGCCTTGCTCACCCGTGAGACCGAACAGGCGTTCCTTGAGAATCTCGTCATTGCCGTTCCACAGCATGAGTGAGAAACACAGGCGCTGGTGGTTATCCGAGATTCCAGCAATGCCATCCTCTCCCCAGCGGTACGCGCGGCTCTTGGCCATGGTAAAGGGGAAACTGTTCCACGCATCGCCGTTGGCACTGTAGTCTTCGCGGACGGTACCCCACTGGCGCTCGGACAAGTATGGGCCCCAGCGCTTCCAGTGCGTCTCATACCGGTCGCTCTGGTCGAGACGGTACTCTTCGACGGAGCGGTACCGCGCGCCCATCGACGACATGAGACGCTCGCGCAGAGGCTGAGGAACAACGTCAGTTTTCCCGAGAGGCGGCGGCGCTTATCGCTATCGAAAATCACACGCACCTTGCGCTCACGAGGCGTGTCCGTGTCACTTCCAGTACCTGGGTGAGCTACCAATTAGCTTCACGGTTCGTCATGCCCCGGGACGATGGGTTCAAAAAGCACTCACGCGACCGGGTGTCCACCGCAGGCGGGGTCTTCTCCTCTGGCGCAACTACTGGCGGCGCAGAAGCAGGCTGTGCATTGAGGTTGAGACGCTGGGGGAAGCTGGGCACAATGTCAGCAATGTCGTCCTGGTACCATGCCCCGTCGTTTCGGTGACGTACTGCTCTTTCTCGCGCGCAGGTGGTGCCCCGCTATTGGGCGTGGGGATGCTGATCTTGAGCGGCTCAGAAGCAGGCGTACTCGCACTCGCTCCGGGACCGACAGCTGCGGCAGCGGCCGCAGCGGCGATGGGGGCGGGCACTGGCGCAGACGTGTTGACGGGCGTCGCGGCGCCAGATCCGGGAAGAGACTCGGGGGACGGCACGTCCGTGTCAAGTGGGGGCACGGGGGACGATGTGCGGGCTGGCCCTGTTTGCTGTTAGCTGTATACGCAAGTTAACGATGGGGACAGCTACTTACCTCCCTGCTCCCCCTTCATGGCGCCGAAGAGCTTGGATTGAAGACGCTTGGCGGTCATGGTGTGGGAACGATTCGGGGGGCGGGTCAGGCGATAACGCCTAGAGGGAGAGTTGGATAAGAGGCGCTGGAGAGAGCACAGAGACCGTTGTCCACTGTCTGCGACTGAAGGTGTACAAGGTGTAGATGCGATGAGCGAGGAGAGAGGGGTGTTTGACAAAGTTGTGTGGAGTGAGTGACCAGTCGGAGTGGGGGATCCAATGGTCGAGGATTATGCGGCAAGTCGTGGGGGCGGCAACGACGGGCAGGACGACCGACGGCATTGCTGTGACGACCCGCCGTCAGCCGGTCAGGATTAATTCCTCAGGCACCATTCTCTTGGGCCTGTGCCGCCGGATCGACAAACGGCCATATCGTCCAGCCGCGTCAGGTGGGGTGGGGGGACGCATGGCCACGCAAAAATGGCGATGAGGTATGGGTATGAGGTGCTGCAAACATTGGGGCACACGACTGGTCGTGTGGCTGCAAAAAAGTATGGTGTGTGGTATCAAATGAAGATATGCATTCAAGAACTGGTCTATCCTGCTCCGCTCTAAAGCGTAGAGAAAGCGGTGAGGGTGGCAGGCTCGAACACGGGCAGAATGTGCGCCTGGAGAAAACGTCAGCAAGGTCATCATCATCGTCAAGATCGGGGCCGACGGGCCGACAGCACTCGAGACATGGGCAGCGTACCTCGGTGTTGAACACGTGCGCTAGGTGAGGCGTCAGTGAAATTGTTCCCAAAAATCACAATCGTTACGGGGAGGTATCCCCAACTCACTGTCCAGAGGAATGTGGTCTCCGTCGTCGAAGAGGAGGTAGAGGTACTCTGAGAGCTGTCAGCGGCAACCACCTTCACAGCACTTACTGAGCGTCTCGCTCAGCCAGAAAGTCTCCATACGGTCCTCCTGCTCGGCAGGAAGGATCTGGACGTCCTTGATGATGGCGTAACCGCCCGACTCGACGCGGCAGTGCTTCTGGAACGCCTGGAAGATCTGCCATCCCCAGTCACGGTACTTTTGGTCGCCAGTCGAGCGGTAGGCCAGGAAGAGCGACTCGACAGTCTCGGGACGCAGAATGTTGCGGGCGTCGACGAGGTTGTGGCCGGGCTTGATGTACCAGTCTGCGGTCTTGGACTCTTCGTCCTCGTGGTGGTAGAACATGACAATCTCGGCGCCGAGACCGGTGGCGGTGTTGTACGTGTCGACGCAAGTCTTGACGAGGCCAGAACCGAGCATAAAGTCCTCAGTGTCCCTCTCGTCAAGGTTCTTCCAGTCCAGGTCCTCCTTGTTGCCGCCCTCAGTCACGCCGAGGATGAACGAGCCGCCCAGGAAGCAGACCAGGTGGTCCTGCTTGGGCACAATCTGCCAAGTGTTCTCGCCGGACTGGGGGTGACGGGCAGGCTTGAGTTCCTGGGTGAAGAGAAGACCGCTCTTCTTGGTCTTGGCCACAAGCAGCTTCTTGATTCCGGACATGGCCTCGTCGTACATGTCGCGGTAGACGGTCTCCTGGCGCGCGGTCTGGAGGTACTGCTTGAGGAGGTACTCGTAGTACGAGTCGCCGCGCGAGCCGAGGCGGATCTCGGACGCGACAAACTGGCCGTTCTGGGGGTTGATAAAGATGGGGGCAATGCCGTCGTTCTCGACCTGCTGGCGGATAACAGCGGTCACCTGTGGGCAGTGTCAGCCATACGCCTTCCAACTGCGTCCAACCCACTCTCTCGGCCTTGCGCCAGTAAGTCATGTCGCCAGTCAGGTGCGAGAGGTACTTGAGCTCGAGCTGGAGGGTCGCCGCCTCGGCCAGGCTCGCGAGGCCATTGTTGTCGCGGTCTGGGACGCCGCTGCGGGTGTGCAGGTTGATGCCAGAGTAAGGAATGCCGCTGGGCGTCTCAAACGCGCCCAGGAGGCGGTCACCGAGATCAGTCGCACGCTCGAGGTAGAACGGAGCGTCAGCAGCAATGGACGGGTCGTTGCTGATCGAGGTCAGGTAGTGCGCGGCGAGGAGACCGCCAAGAACACGGATAGTGGTCTCAAACGTGTTAAACGTCGCGTCACGGTCAAAGTCGAGGTGGTCGCGGCACCACTTTGCTGCGCGGTGGTACTCGTCCTTGAAGTCCATCACCAGGAGCGAGTCGAGCGAGTCGATGACAGTGTAGCCGATCGAACCAACGTGCGACAGGTTCGAGCCGCCGCACGAGAGGGGGTGGAGCTCATCCTGGCCAAAAGCACACTTCTCTGAAGGTTAGTGACGCGCAGGATCATCTCAACCTACCGTAGGCGTGGTAACTCCACTGAAAACGTCAGCGTCACTGCCTTTCGTCCCAAGCAGCAAACCTACCTCGAACGCCTCGCGGATCTCGTCGCGCTTCTCGACGTCCGCCTCGAGATGCAGCTTCTTGGGGACATCGCTAGGCCTGTCCGAGGGCGACAGCATACCGAAGCGCATACCGGGGAGCACCATCGGCGTCTTGGCCACCTGGGGCTTGGCGATGAATGTCGTCTTGACCGTGGGCCAGAGCTGCATGTGTGTCAATACTGAGCAGTCGAAGCAGACGAGGTCCAACTCTGACTTACCTTGGTACCAAACCACACCATCGCAGCACCAGAGAGCACGATCAGCGCGATCCGCACAACGCCAGCGGTCTGGCTCTTGGGCTGAGAAATGTCAGCTATGCCATCACCGGATCTTTTAGCTCACCTTGGGCCGGCGCATAGCCGGCTTTGGAGCCACCTTCTCTGCTGTCTGCGGCTTGCGCTGTCGTGCGGCGCTCATGATGGATATGTTAGAGGACAGACGATGAGAGAGAGGGACAGCCAGATTGATATTCTCCACGTCTGCACCGGACGCGACTGCGCCATTGACGCAGACAACGTGGAGCCCCGGCGGCGCACGGGTTATTCTCGTCGTTGCGGTGCATTTGCGTCCACCTGCCATCAACACTCGTCCATTCTCAACTGGCGAGCAAAGTAGGCAGGGTGCTCGATAGATCGATGGCCGATGGGCATCTTGTAGAGATATTGGTTGCTTGCTGACATTTGTCAAACCCGCTCAACACCATCACTAGCACCACCTTCCCTGCGCGTCACACTCGCCTTCCCACCTCCATATTCCCTCTCTTCCCACCCAGTCGCGTGACGACCTATAAAGGTTCATATACAATCCATGCATGTGTACAGACCATCTAGCCTATCCCCAGATGTTGGCGAACGGGTCGCGCTCGTCCTTCTTGGGCGCCGGTGCGGCGGCAGGGGCAGACGCAGCGGCCCAAGGGTCGGCAGCCGCCGACGACGCGGCCGCTGGCGCGCCCCAGAGGTTCTGCTGAGCCTGCTGGGGCGGAGCAGCAGCCGCGACAGGCGATCCCCAAGCAGCCTGGTCGTTGAATCCGCCCCAGTTCGAGACGGGAGCCTGGGTCGGCGCCGACTGGGGAGGCGAGCTGGATGTGATGCCGCCGTTCCACGAGCCGTAAGGGTTGGCAGCGACTGGGGCGGCCGAGGCGTTGAAGAAACCGCCCGAGGCGACGGGCTGCTGCTGCTGCTGCTGCGATGATGGCTGGGAGAAGAGGGACATGATGTCCGCCTTGGCGGTCTGCTGCCTTGCGGCAGGGGCGGCGGGGGCTTTGAAGTCGAGGTCAAAGATGTTGGACGGCGGGGCAGCAGATGTGGGGGGAGGGGCGGCTGCCGCGGTGGTAGCTGGGGAGACTGGAGCAGCGGCAGGAGCTGCAGGTGCGGCAGTGGTCACAGGGGCAGCGACAGGCGTGTCGTCGCCGAACAGGTCAATGATAGGGGTCGCGCGAGCAGGAGCAGGTGCGGCCATGCCGGGTTTGGCCTGACGCGAAAGAAGCGGGTGAGCGCCGCGCGAGGCGGGAGTGGGGCCGGCAACTGGGGCAGCAGTAGGCGTCGGACGCGACGTCTGGGCTGCTGGGGGTGGGGGGCTGCTTGCGCTTGGGCTGGCTGCTGCGCCGTCCTCGAGTGTAGCCGGGTCACGAGGAGGAGGGCCATCCATCGCCCAGCGCCTCGACTCATACTTTGACCGGATGAACGACTCGATTTTGCTGTTGGGTTAGAGAATGGTCATAACCGACCCACCCACTGGTCAGGCGGGACGTGGCCCTTCTTGAGGTGTCGCTCCCAGTAGAGGTTTGCGCGGCGGTTACCCCACTTCTGGATCGACTGGAAACACGGTGAGCACAGACCGCCGCACGTTGAGCAATGGTCTGTTCGGCCGGGACGGTGTCTCGACAGGCAGGCCGTCTCGTTAAACGTACCTCCATCTGCTCCGGCGTCCAGATATCAAGGTCGATACTCTTCACTGAATGTTAGCTTGCGTGCCGGTTTCTCCACGAAGCTCACCTTTGCTAATGTGAGTGCCCATGGCACGGTGCATGCCGGAACAGCGGATACAGAGGTAGACACCACTGACGGGTCAGTATATTCAGCCAAGTTGCCAGTGACCCTTACAGGTTCCAGGATGCCCAGCGTGCGTCTGAGTTGTCAGCAGCATTCACACGATGTGTTGAGGGAAGGAAGACGAACCATTCTTGCGGCAGTCGGCGCACGCCTTGTTGTCGGGCTGACGCACAAGGTCGCGGAGGATGCGCGCGTTGCGCTCTGTTGTAGCCTTGTCTGAGCTGTTAGCTGCTGAAGTGTTAACGTTATCTTACCTTGCCTGGACATGGCTTTGTGAAGGGAGGGTCGTTAACAACAAGAAGGGAAAGGTTGAAGGTTGCGTTGATGAGACGCGGGTCGATCTCCCAACCGAGTGTCGAGGCACAGCACTCGTTCACCGTTGCTGTATGCTGCACCCGGTGGCGCACGCGCGCGCAACGGCCGCGCGCCGACGTGGACGCTTAATGCGTGTCATTTAGATCATTTTGACGTGCGCTGAAGGCCGATCGCGTATTTTGATTCCGGACGGTGTCCGGCCCGGCGCTGTGGCGATAAGGGGGCGCGTGAGCGGCGTGGAGCTCCTGCAGAACGGACGAATTTCCACTGCCGCAAAATGGTCCGCGGTTTTTGGCTGCGGCTGTGGGCGCCGTGCGGGCGGCGAGCGGCTTGCGGCAGCAAAACGTGTGTTGCAAAGTCTGGAGAAGCGTGCGGCAATGGCGGTCTGTGGAGTGGGTGGGTGTGGGCGGCCTGGGTGGCCTGGGTGGCCTCTGGGTGCCTACGCGTGTCGACGAGGCGGCGCAACATTTGGGCTGCAGCTGGCCATCTGGCACTGGTTACACCCAATCGTCGCAGGTGCATCTCATCTTTCTTTCCTCATTCTCTCGCCGTCCACATCCCCACTACACCATGGAGTCATATAACAAGAGTCAAGCACCAGAAGATGACACCAGTGCCCGTACGTCGCTTCCACTTGTGCACCATGATCCATGCTCACTGGCAGACGCATTCCTGAGCTCCTTCCTCATGATCGTCGTGTCGGAAATTGGTACGTTGCCGTCGTCCCCTCATCTTTTTGGCCCCAGTCGTGCCTCGCGCAACAACTGCACGGCGTGGCCATGTCAACACAGCATGTACATCGCACGCAGTATACATACACATGCGCGCGCGGGACACACGGCTACAGTATGCTGACCCCACGGCAGGTGACAAGACGTTCCTCATCGCGGCCATCATGGCAACGCGACACGCACGGTCCACCGTGTTCGCCGGCGCGTTCGCAAGCCTGGTCCTCATGTCCATTCTGAGTGCCGCACTGGGACGGATTATCCTTGGTCTTATCCCCAAGGTGAGTGTCTCTGCAATCTCCGTCTTGAGCGTATCAGCTCGCTCCTCGTCCTGTCCATCACGTCTCCTTCGAGGGTCGGCGGACGTGGCCGGTCAGCCACGTTTGAGCTCGGCATGTCGCCCCGAGATGTCATGTCGGCCCCCGGCAGGTTGCCCATGGTGGTGTCCATTGCCCGCTGGATGGTTCAGTGTTGGGACTGGGTGTCATGTTTTGCCCCGCGTGGACCGTACCACGTTCGTCTTTTGAGTGTCGGCTAACGTCGCCCCGCAGGTGTGGACGCTCTGGGCTGCCGCAGGCCTGTTCCTCGTCTTTGGCGTCAAGATGCTGCAGGAAGCCTTCCACATGTCACCATCACACATGGCCGACGAGATGCGCGAGGCCGAGGAGGAGATTGAGGAGGACGAGAGCATGCACGACCCATCCAACCCGCTGGGCACGTCGGTGCCCCTCGAGGCCATTGAGGAAGGTCGCGCTGCCCGTGGTCCCCTCGAGAACTCGCTTGCGTCCCGCAGCCGCGCTGCTTCCCCTGCCCCCGCACACCGTGGCGCGTCCCCGCGTCGCAGCCCCTCCATCTCCCTTCGCGACGGCGTCGGCGCCTTCAAGCACTCGGACATTCTCTCGCGTGCCCGTGAAGGATGCAGGAACGGCGTGCAGCTCATGACCAACCCCGTGTTCGCCCAGGCGTTCATCCTCACCTTCCTGGGCGAGTGGGGCGACCGTTCGCAGATTGCTACCATCGCCATGGCCGGCGCTCACGTGAGTTGGAATTGCGCTTTCTCAATGCTCCCAACTGACACGCCACCACAGTCCATCCCCGTGGTCGCGTTTGGCACCATCCTCGGCCACAGCCTGTGCACACTCATGGCCGTCATGGGCGGCAGGTATCTGTCGACCAAGATTTCCGTCAAGCACATCTCCCTTCTTGGCGCGTGCGCCTTCATCGTCTTTGGCCTCCTGTACGCCATCGAGGCATACCAGACGCCCTACGGCATCGACGTTCCCGAGATCTAAGATATCCCGGTTCTAGATTCTTTTAGACAACCAACAACAACAACGACAACACATCGAAATGTCTAGACCAAAAAATCGACTTGCGGGGGGTTACGACGCGCTTGGCATCGCTGTTTTAGACTGCGCGCTGTCGGGCGCGCGCCCTGGGGCAGAGGGAGGAGGAGGAGGAGGAGGAGGAGGAGGAGGAGGAGGAGGACACACAGCAGATACGAGTGGCCCATCGGTCTGGTGTTTACGAGTCATGGCGCATATAGAGAGTGGGCGCCTTACAGGATACAATGTTTCACGGGCAAGGATCGCTATGCATTCACGGCCCCAGCATACCCCACCAGGCAGGGCACGTCTGGTTTAATAAACAAAAAGAAAAGTAATTCTACAGTCGCAGAGTGTCGTGCGAGCTCGGTGCTTTACCACCAGACGATCACTGTCCACCGTGGACTCACTTGCCACGGCGCTGCTCGACCTTCTCCCACGCAGCCTGCGCGCCCTCCCACGCATGTGCGTCCAGGACGCCGGCCGTCACCTGGTCCGGGAACTGGGCGCCGAGCTTGCGGAGAATGGGCAAGGGGGAGTTGTGCAGCAAGCTGCCAATGAAGGGAATGTAGAGCGGGAGAGTGGGCGGGTGCGTGTAAATCTCCGTAATACGCAGTGCCCATGCGGGGAATCCCCACAGCTCGGGGGCCGGGCGAGGGAGGAGGCCGCGCCAGAAGCCCGGCGGGGACAGGTGGTGGATCATGATCAGCTCGGGGTCGCTTGAGAGGTCGAGCTCGCGCTTGATCGCCTCGTCGAGAGACTTCTCCTTGATGGAGGCCGGGTCGACATTGTCGTGGGCGTACTTGCGCGCGACACGGGCGATGGCGTCCGTGGCGGAAGGCGCCAGGAAGTGGACCTCGACGCGACGAGGTCCCGAGGCTTATCCGGGTTAGCAAATGAACAGAGGACAAATGGTCATGGGGCGTGCGGGGGATGACTCACAGGTGTTGACGTAGACCGACTTGGTGACGGTCTCGTCGCCGAGGGTGGGCACGACCTCGTCGGCGACCGTCTCGGGAGGAGACGACGGTGCCGACGAAGGAGGCGAGGGAGGAAGGTCATGCAGGCTGGCAGTCACGGCACCATGGTACTGGACTCCGAGACCCTCGCCGTCCCACACACTAATGGTAGAGACACCCCACTCGCCGGCCCACTGGATAGCGCGGCGGGTGCTCTCCACATAGCGATCAGCAACGGCCTTGCGCGGGCCCTTGCCAGGAACGAGGATAAGGCCTAGGTGGCTGGGAGCGTCCTTGGTGAGCTCCACGGGAGTTGCGGGCTGAGCCTGGACGACACGAAGGATGATGGACGAGATGGTGAACATGAGGTGCAGGCCCCAGAGAAGCGGAAGAAGGAGGTACTGGAGGAGATGGAGGGGGACGGCAAGAGCCTGCGAGACCACCTGGGACTCGGCAGAGTGGGAAGCACGAACAGATTTCTTCGGGCGGGGAGGCTCGACGTTGATGGTCTCGTACGAAGGCAGGTGGCGGGCATGGACTTGAGGGGACCTGGTTGGGCGAGTCTGGACGATGGGAGGAAGCTGGAACTCGATCTCGTTCTGGGTAGCAAGAGCCGGAACCGAGCCTGAAAGAAGAGCGTCCAGCATGGACGAGTCGTTGTGGTCGGTGCGGTTGCGCCATACAGCCGCATAGCCCAGGATAGCCTGCACAATGTCCTTCCACTCGGTCATCTTGCCAGCACCCACGTCACCGCACGCAAGCATTCCAGCACCCTGGGGTCCAAGGATGTAGTACTTGAGCACCTGGCGGATGAAGCTCAGGTGACGCTCAGTCATGGGGTGCGCATACATGTGGGTGTTCATGGCGGGGCAGAGGATGACGGGGGTCTCGGGCGAGAGAGCACGGAGAAGCGACAGGGCGAGGTTGTCGCACAGTCCACCTGCAATCTTGGCGAGAATGTCGGCCGAGGTGGGGGCAATAACGACCAAGTCGGCCCAGCGACGGAGCTCAATGTGCAGAATGGGGTCACCAATCTTCTTCCAGTCTGACCACTCGTCCACGTCGGTCCACACGTTCACGCCAGGGTGGGCAGCCTCGACCGCGGCCTTGTCGTAAAAGTGAAGCGACGACTTGGTCGCCACGACCTGAACCTCAACGTTGCCGTCGGCACACAACTCGGCGACAATGTTGGGGAGTTTGATGCTGGCAACGGAACCGGTAGTGATGACAACAACACGGAGCTTGCCGTCAGGCTGGTCCGGGCGGTGGTCGGCAGATACGAACGGTGGGCGAGAGGAGGACGAGGGTGTAGAGTCAGCAGGCAGCAATGGCGCAGGTGCGGCCACCTCACGGCTCAGCTGGCTGGGGAGGGAGTATCCTGCGGATCGGGTCGTCTCCGCGTGGGCAGCAGCAACGAGCTTCTCGGCCTCGGCGGCAGCAGCAGCAGCAAAGCTTGCCTCCTTCTCCGCCTGAGCCTCCGCGGCCGCCTGACGCTCAGCCATAACAGAAGCGCCCTGAGCATAGAGCTCACGACGAGCCCTCGACCGCGGGCTCTCTGGGGTCGCCGACTCGGCAACCTGAACAGGCGCGGCCGTCGCCCATGAAGCCGGTGGGGACATGATCGTTGACGTCATGGAGATGGCTGTAGGAGTAACTGAGGCCGACGTTGACGTTGAGGGCTGCGGGACGGGCGCAGGCTCCTGCACGCGCAAGCCCGACTGGGCGAGATCGCGCTCGTCGACCCAACGGTTGCCACAGGACACACACTCGCGAGCAGGATTGCGCGTGCCGTCACGGTTGCGCGGCATGCCAACAAGGGGCACACCGCGACATGATGGTGTGGGGCAGACGGTCTGGAGAAGGGAGTAGCCCTTGAGGAGGAGCTGGGAAATGGCATCCGCCGCGGCGTCGGGATCTCCACGGGCGGACGCGGTGTGGTTTCCTGGGGGTGACAAGGGCGAGGGAGGCGTGGGAGGCATTTCGATGTCGCCGTCTTCAAGACCAATCGCCTGGCGTACGGGAGTGGACGCCAACGACGAGTCTTGCACCACCTCCACCTCCTCGCTCGGGGTCGAGGCGGCAGTGGTGTACGACGACGAAGCTGCGCTGTTCGCCCGGCCTTCGGGTCCACCGTCACAGAGAGCGCAGAACTGGATGGGGGTACGGCCCTCGTTGCGTGCTAGAGCAGCTGGTTCGCGCATGAGAGGAGTCGCCCTGCACTGGTCGCAGTGCAGGTCCGTGAGGGTCCACCCCTTGAGCATATACTCGCCCAACTGCAGAGTCAGTTCAGCTTTGTCATCTCGAAACGTAGAGCTGTGTCTCGAAGCGCGGCTCCTCACACAGCTCTCCGGCAAGCACAAATGTCACGATTCTGCACTCACGATGGCGGACGTGTCTTCCAGTCTTGATGACATGCTTCGAAGCGCAATGGGCATGAGCAAAGTGGCGAGACGAGAAGGACAAGGAAGTGCATGTCGGGAAATCGAAATCCACGTCGCGGTAATGTCCGCCAGCTGTCGTCATTTGCTCCCGCACACGGTGTGGCGCGGGGATGGAACAATGACTGGCCTCTCCGCTTGTGTGCTGCTTGTATTCTCAACTGCTTATCAATATGTATCACAACTATATATTCACACGACGATGGGGAACCTGAGAATCTGTCAATCTACTGTATCATGAGAAATTTGAGAAATCGTCCTCAGTAACTGAAGCCCCCAGTCTTCTTCTTGAATGTCGGGTTTGGAAGCGAGAAGGGAACACCTTCCGTGGCGAACAGGCCTTGAGCGCCTGTGTAGTACGCGAGGAACGCCGTGATACACCCAAGGTATCCGCCGACCTTGATAATCCCAGTGGTCTGGGTGAGGTGGCCGATGCCAAGCACGAGGAAGGTAACAGCGAGGACGGAGACTGGTGGCGTCAGCTGTGATGTGGCGTGATAACAAGCCCTTTCAACTCACTAACGGAGAGCAGCCCGGCCGTATGGCGCGCCGACGGGATAATGAGGATAAAGGTAAAGATGAACCAGACCATCATGTAGAGGCCCAGTGCGGAGTTGAGCGCGTGCGCATCGTCCTCGTAGGCGGCGAGGATGCCGGACGAAGGCCAGAAGATCAGGCCCAGGGAGATCCAGAAACCGCCGTAACTGGATGTCAGCTTTGTACGCCCACGAACTGCGCAGCTAACTCACGAGCAAAACGCGGTGTAGCCAAATGTGTTACCGACCACGAACTCACACATCCCCGCAAGCACTTGCGCCAGACCACCGACAGCAAACGCCATACCGACAACCATGTTTGGGTCGGTCAGTTTCCTGGTCTGGGCATTGATGAAGGAGAGGAGGAGTGTGGTGGAGGCAAAGGAGAAGAGGCCGAGCGGGCTGGGGTTGGCTAGCTTGCGTGGTGGTGGTGGGACATAGGACATTGCTGGAGGGTTGGTTAGCGAGAGCACTGATTTGTTGACGACGAGGAACGCACCTGGGTACAAGTTGTGTCCGATCCGGCCACCCTTTTCGAGGTCGTTGGGTGCAAGGGACATGTTGTGTGTGGTGTGTGGCCTGGCATGTCAGTATACTAAAGATGGCCTTTGACTGGCATAGATGGTACTCACTGATTGAGTGGTCTGCTAGAGATTGTATCCTTTGTTGGAGTGGAATGTGAATGGCAGACGCGCTGTACGGGGTGACTCGTTGATATACTGGGGCATGCCAGTCCCCGGCACACGTCCACCGCTGACCCAACTCCTCCTGTCCCTGGCGCCCCACACCAGTTACTTGTGTTTTGCGGTCAGTGCCGGCGGCCGGGGGTGAGAAAATGTAGCGAGACGCATAGCTGTCCCTATACATCGGCCCAGGACACGAGCTGGGAGCTGGAGAGGAAGAGAACTCGCACAATGGAATTGTCTCAATCCCGCAACGGCGGTTCGACCCGCCCGGCGGCACATGTATCACACCACCGTTGTTTGAGCCATTTTTCAGCGTGCAGGTGCACCATTACAATGTCAGATCTTCTGTCTCGGTCCGAGGAAAATGCGCCGTGCTGTATGACGGTCAGTCGATCCCATTGTCCTGCCCTCCCGCAGAGAACTACCACCGCGGGGCATGCCGGCGGCGAAGCTGCGCCATCGAACGCCACCCAGGCCACCCCCCAGATTTAGAAAGTTCATAGTTCCGTTCCATCCACGAGTTACTCATGCTCGTTAGGTGACGTATGACGTTTGACATGAGGCCGTTGGATGGTTGGCACGTCGTGTAAGGTTGCGGGTGATGTGTCATTTCGTAGGTTATGGGCGATTTTTGGGCACCACCGTTGTGTGCGTCCTCTGAGGCATCGCTTTGTGCTTCTTAATATTTACATTGTCAAGAGGAACCAGGACCAAATCAACTGCCAAATCACGCCAGTGCCGGAACAGTGACACCCTCCTCGCGGCGCATAGTCTCGCCGAGGGTGACATACTGCTCGAGACAATCGGGGTTGCGGAGGGTCGCGGGGTTGATGGCCGACACGGCGGCGCCGTTGATGACCTTGCGGATGGGCACTGGGAGTGTGTGAGCGCTTTCACGGCACTCGTTGAAACAGGTATACACGTACCTTCAATCTTCTTGCCTGTCAGAGTCATGGGGACGTCGGTGACCTGGATGATACGCGAAGGAACGTGGCGTGCCGAACGGGCTGTGCGGATCGAGGTCTTGATGAGCTTGAGGAGCTCGTCGTCGAGCTCTGTGCCCTCACGCATCTTGACGAAGAGAATGACTTTTTCGTCCGAACCGTCCTCGACCAGGAGACCCACGACGAGACACTCCTCAAGACCACGGGCGGCGAACGCAGGGTTCTCCAGGACGCTGTAAATGTCTGTGGGGCCAAAGCGGATACCACCAGGGTTGAGGACGCCGTCCGAGCGACCAAGCATGATGAAGCCACCACCGTTACCGGCGCGCGACTCGGTGATGCGGATAAAGTCGCCGTGGAACCAGTGGCCCTCCTCGCCCTTGAAGTAGCTCTCGAGGAATCGCTGCTGGGCTGCCTCGACGTCGGCCTGCGCAATGTCGGCACCGTCCGGAAGCTCCTCCTTCGGGAGGGGCCAGAAGCCGACAGGCTGGATGGGGAACGCGTGCGAGCACATGAGTTCGCCGGTCTCTCCGGGCTCACGTGCGGTAGATCCGAGGGCACTGGGGTCAGTTGCATTGAACTTGGAAAGACAACTCACAAGCCAAGCATGCGGGCCTGGATCTCGCCACGGTAGACGGGGAGACTGGTGCAGCGGCCAGCAAACACGGAGCAAATGTCGGTACCACCAGAGACAGAACCAAGGAGAAGGTCCTTCTTGACGTTTGTGTAGACAAAGTCGAACAGGCCAGGAGCCAGTGGCGAGCCCGTTGACATGATCTGCCTAAGCGTAGTGAGCTTGTGCTTCTTGCCGACGTCGGGGTAGACTTTCTGCGCGGTTAGCCATTTTTCTGGCGCCCAGTCGACCGTACAGAAATCATTTCAATGTACTTGGCACTGGTGCCAAAGTGGGTGATGCCCAGCTGGTCGACGAGGTTCCACATCGAGGCAGGGTCCTTGAGGGGCGAGCCGTCATACAGCACCAAAGTCGCGCCCGTCGCAAGGCCTGAGATGAGGTACTGGAACATCATCCAGCCCGGGGTGGTGTAGTAGAAGAAGATGTCACCACGCGTAATGTCGCCTTGGAGGTGGTGTTCGCGGAGCGAGTCGATGAGCATACCGCCCTGGCGGTGGACAATGGCCTTGGGCTTGCCCGTGGTACCCGACGAGAAGAGAATCCAGATGGGAGCGTTAAAGTCCATGCGTTCAAAGGTGGGCTCGACATCCTCGGTACCGAGCCAGCTGTCCCACTGGTGCAGCTGGGTCCAACCGTCGTGGTGGCCGTCAAGGAAATCGGCGACATTCGACTTGGGGTCCAGGTCGTCGGGCAGCTGGTTGATGATGACGGTGGTGCGAGGGGGGTGCTGGAGGCTTGAGAACAGCTTTGGCAGGAGGGGAAGGAGAGCGTGTGGCTTTCCGTTGTAGCTAGGGGCATCAGCAGGGTAACAATATTGGTTGTGGCTAAACCTACACAACACCGTTGCCGACGATCAGGAGACGTGGCTTTATCTGGCAGTTGCGATCAGCAGAGGCCTCCGGGCAACTAGTGTCAGACGTACCTGCTGTAGACGCTCAATGACACCGTCAACACCAAAGTCGGCCGCGGCAGACGAAAAGATGGCGCCGATTGAGCTGCCGTCAGTACAATTTCCCACGCGTGTTGTCGAGGCAAGCCACTCACGAAGTGGCAAGAAGGACAACAGCCGATTCCTGACTTGTAAGCTGTGCTCTTTCTGTCCCGAATGTCCACTCACTAGGCGGTTGCCGCCCCAGTAAGCAACACGGTGACCCTTCTCAACGCCGGCCTTCTTCATGGCTGCCTGGCACTTGCCGACGAGCCCGTAAAGCTCACGCTGAGTGACGCGACGGGGCTCTGGGGCGTAGCCCGGGCAAGGCTCAGTCACATCAATGATCGCAATGTCCTCGGGGTGGGTGGCGTGGTTGCGGAGCTGGTTCTCAGCCCAGTTGAGACGGGCATTGGGGAACCACTTGGGGTTGTCGCGTGGGGGCGCCTTTTCGTCGACATACTACGATTGCTGGTCAGTGCCACCTTTCCTTGCTGCCACACATAGGACAACAGCAACATACCGGTCCCTCTCCCTTCTCGCCGACGACACCTTCCCAGTCCCATACCTCGCTCCAGAAGTCGCCGCGGTTGTCAAACGACCAGTTGAGGAGGTCCTCGTACGTGTCGAGCTTGAGGCCATGGACGCCGGCGACGTGCTTGCGGAAGATGGTGCTCTGGGCCCTCTCGGGGTGAGAGGGCTTCCAGAGGAGGTCGTGGTCGGTCGTTGTAGCTGCCATGTCGCTTTCGGCTGGTGTGTAGACGAGTTGGAGGGCAGTGGTGACAACCAGCGCAGTGATCGTTGGGGTACTGGGGCACGCTGGGCGGAACGGATTCCGGACAAGCGAGTTCCGTAGCGGCGCGCGCGTCCCACCTCCACCATCCGCCAACGCCGTATGCCGGTGTGACCGGTGATGCCCACCCACAGTGCATTACATTTGGGGACCTCGGCTAAACGTCGTTGCTAATCAATTTTCTAATAGATCTTAGCGCATATTTCAGTGGAACCAAATACACGTGGAATTACATAAGCTGCGCACGCGTCATGTGGTCCTCAGGTGCGCGGTGGAGGGGATCCTCGATACGCACCTGAGACCCGCATGGGTGTTGATCAAGACCGACGCATATCACCTTGGAGCTTGTGACTTTTCTCTCTTATCCTTGTCTCTCATCCCAACACTCCATCATGTCCTTCTCCCCGCTCTACGCTCAGCCCTCGGCTCCCCAGGACCGTGACCTCGCGACCCTGTCCAACTATCTCGACATTCTCGTCACCCACACGGACCTCGAGTGGACTATCGACTGGGACCAGAAGCTCATTGGCGGCAAGGCCATCCTTACTCTCACGGCTTCCAAGGAGGTCGACACTGCTGTGCTTGACACCAGCTTCCTCGACATCCGTGATGTCTCGGTTGAGGGCCAGAAGGCCGTGCGTGATATGGCCGTAGCGGCTGATACGAAACAAACAACTGACAAGGCCACAGGACTGGAAGCTCGGTGACAGGATCGAGGCCATGGGCCAGGCCCTCACTGTCAAGCTCCCCAAGGCTCTTTCCAAGGGTGACGTAAGGCCATGAATCAGAGTTATGACTGACCTGACAGGTTATTGACATCACCGTGACCTACTCGACCACCAAGGACTGCACCTCGGTCGGCTGGCTCAACCCTGTGTACGTTCTCGCCCCATTGTGAGAGTTGGTACTGACATGTGTAGCCAGACCAAGAGCGGCAAGTACCCGTACCTCTACTCTCAGAGCCAGGCTGTGAGCTGCCCTGATCGACTGCAGCTAACGTCAGATCCACGGTCGTTCGCTTCTCCCTTGCCAGGACACTCCGGCCGTTAAGTCGACCTACTCGTCCAAGGTCACCTCGATCCTCCCCGTGCTCATGTCGGGCCTCCGCCAGTCGCCCCCCAGTGACCAGGTTCTTGAGCTCGGCAAGAAGGTCGAATACGTTTACAACCAGGTGGGTGCCGCGTGCTTTGTGACCACCTGCTGACTGCAGCCTGTCCGCATTCCCTCGTACCTCATCGCCATTGCCTCGGGTGAGGTTATTTACAAGTCGTTCCCCGACATGGAGGGCCGTAACTGGCGCACTGGGTATGTGAAACGGTTACCATGGGTCCACAGGAGGAGACACTGCTGTGGGCCCGCCCTTATCCACCCCCCCACGCGCTAACGACCCAGTGTCTGGACCGAGCCCAAGACCATGAAGGCTGCCTACTGGGAGTTTGAGGAGGACACTGCCAAGTGAGTGTGTGCTTGGTTTTTACGCTGACGTTCCAAAGGCAGGTCGCCACTGCTGAGGACCTCACCTCGGCCTACCGCTTTGGTGTCTACGAGTAAGTGTGCTTTGCGTGGCATTGCTAATGGCAGCTTCCTTATCCTTCCCGAGTCGTTCCCTTACGGCGGTGAGTTGTCAGTCCTTCGATCATCAACTAACTCTCAGGCATGGAGAACTGCTGCCTCACCTTTGCTACTCCCACCCTCCTCGCCGGTGACCGCTCGCTTGTCGACGTTATTGCCCACGAGATCAGCCACTCATGGTTTGGAAACAGCATTGGCTGTGCCTCGTGGTCGCACTTTTGGCTCAACGAGGGCTGGACCACCTACCTTGAGCGTCTCATCATTGGCAGGCTCCACGGTGCCCCGGCTCGCGACCTGTGAGCACAAGGGCCAAACGTTCAGAATACTCACTCTCAGTTCGTACATTATCGGTCGCGTTGGGCTCAAGGAGTCGCTCGCGGGCTACAAGGACGTGCCCCGTTTCCAGCGCCTCATCCCCGACTACAAGGAGCACGAGGACCGTTCGTAATGGTTACCCCCTGTTAGCACGCTGACGAAATAGCCGACGAGGCGTACAGCCAGGTTCCATACGAGAAGGTGAGTGAGGCGTAGCCTGCTTGTGGCTCTCACGTTTTCCACGAGCATTACGCCATGCGTGCCCACCGTTCGCGTGCCATGTGCTGACAACCACCCCAGGGCGCCAACTTTTTGCTCTACCTTGAGCGCACCGTGGGCGGTCTCGAGGTCTTCCTGCCGTACATGAAGAGCTACGTCGAGACGTTTACCGACTCGAGCATCACCACCGCTCAGTGGCGTGCGCACCTGTTCGACTACTTTGGCAAGCAGCCCAACAGCGAGGAGTACCTGCGCAAGCTTGGCCAGGTTGACTGGGACGAGGTGGGGCCAGATCTGAGCAAAGTGCGGGGCCGGCGGTAAACTAACGCGCTCCACAGTGGCTCCACGGCGACGGCCTCGACCTGTGCGTTGACCTCGAGTACGATGACTCGCTGTCCAAGCCTGTACGTGTTTTTAGCAGTTTAGCCCACATGTTGCACGTGTGGCTGGTCTTGGCAGGCTGGTCTTGCCTCAATCTAGGCTGGGGGAGTGGTTCATGTGGCTGACGCCTTACACAGTGCCTCGAACTGGCTGCTCGTTGGAACAACGCTCGTGGCGATGATGACCTCACTCAGTTCTCGCCCCGCGACATTGCCGACTTTTCCTCCACCCAGCTCTGCGTGTTCCTCGACGACCTCGGCGCGCGTGCTGCGTTCCGCCCGGCGACTGTCCGCGCGCTGGACGAGCTGTACTCGCTCAACAAGTCGGAGAGCGCTGAGATTAAGCTCCGCTTCTACAAGATTGCCCTTTCGAGTGGTCCCGAGTATGCCGACAGCGCCGCCAGTGAGTTTGTCTTAACTAAAACGACGACAATATGATTGTCGGTGGCGTCCACTCTGTTCCTGACGTTCACAGCCTGGGTCGTGAGCAAGGGCCGTATGAAGTTCTGTCGTGTAAGTACAGCAACGCCAGACCCATCGCAATGGCAATGGCAATCAAAGACAGAGGCCCCGCCGCATGCATGCCGATCTCAAACATCCGCTGATCCGGCACAGCCCGTATTCCGCCTTCTCAACGAGCAGCGCCCCGAGCTGGCCCGCGAGACGTTCATCTCCCATGCCGAGTTCTATGTGAGTGTGACAGTGGACCCGAGTCAAACTGCCGTTGCTGTCTGTCTTTGTGGCGGACGTTGCTGTCCAACATACCACCTACCTTCATACCTTTCCGGGCGGCGTTTGCCCACAATGGCTGCTGTGCAGTCGAGAGCAGCGCCATCCTTGGCAGCGGCGGGACGGCGCCGACATGAGGCATGGCACCGAGATCCCGGGGTCCGGATTTCCGCCACAGTTGCCGGGGCCCATGCCGTGCCGGTCACGCGCCACTGCGATCGCCTGTGTTGGCAGCGTTATCCGGGCCAGCGGGGGTGGCAGGCGTGTGGCAGGCGCAGCAGACCGCGGCGGCGACCGGCGGAGCCTGTGTGAGCGCGCTGAGACACCGCGAGCACATGACCCCGGCGCGTTCTCTACGCATGCACCCCAGCAAAGCCCCATGCGAGCGAGAGCCACATTGCCAAGTACCACCCAGAGCCCACCGCTGACGGTGCCGCGCTACGCGGCTTTCTTTAGCACCCTATTGCACGCAAGATGATCGCAAAGGATCTCGGCGTCGAGCTGTAAATAAACCCACAGAACACCAGGAACGTTTACGTTTACATATACGTATATGTGTTTCTTCTTGTAGCAGACAGGGGATCGAGAACAAGCATTCTATCCTGTGTCCAACACACCCATCATGTCGCATTCCATGTCTCGTCCTTGTCCTGTCCCATTCCGTTATTGTGCGAGCCAGAACAAACGTCCCGCCCACGACGCTCGGCATTCTAGTCAGGGAATGCAGACGATGCGCGGGTGTGTCTGTCCACAGGCCACAGGGAGGGAACCTTTTTACCAAAATGTGCAGAATACCTCGGAACCAAGAGGATAAAGGGGCAAAGGGCAACGGCAACGGCAACGGCAAGGGCGACAGGCAAGAGCAGCCAAGAGACCAGGAGGCCGTGGCGCAGTAGGTGGGCAATGGAAGAGAAGAAGGGAAAGCGCCATCTTCTGCCCCCGAGCGAGTGGATGAGGATTGGAACAGCAACAGCAACAGCCACCGCCACAGCAACAGCAACGGCAACGGCAACGGCAACGAGCGTCTAAACCCCGACAACGCCAGCCCCAGCGGCCAGCGGCCAGCCCCCTGCCCCCCAGCTCCGACCCCGACCCCGAGACCCCGACGAACGGCAACTTGCGTCAAAAACAGGGTTTCGCAAGATGTGTTGTAAGCAGGGAGGCTTGTCAGCGGGCGTTTTTTTTTTTTTCATGCGCTCATCAGAGTCATCAAGCCTCCGATGGCGACGGCGATGGCGCAGGCAGGTGCGCCTAGGGTCGCGCGCGGGGTGCGGGGTATGAACGCCGCCCCCCTCTTCGGCACGCTCACGGCACCGCCCAGGTGGCCGCCCAGGTGCAGAGATGGCAGGTGCAGGAGAGCGAGGTAGGGGGTCGGGGGGGTCGGGGCGTCGTTGCTCGTCATTGCTGCGCGTAAGAGTTGCGCTAAACCATACTGTGCAAACCTTGAAAAATGTGGCTCGTAGGCAGAGGGAGGGAGGGGGAGGGATGAGGGTGGTGGGTGACGCTGCTGCTGACGGCCGAGGGCTGACCGTCGACTGAGAGTGCCCGTCGACGGATCGACCCTCCCTCCCACTCGCCCTCCCCCGCTGCAAGAAGTCCCTTGTCCGTGACATCCTAAGAGTTATGAGTTATGCTTTCTGAGCGCGCAGCACCTGTCCCCGTCCCGTCCCGTCCAATGTGCATTGTGCGCATCCTCGGTGTCCTAGCCACTGGAATGTCACTTGTTCGTCGCCCTTCTTTTCCACCTGAGAGGTGAGCCACAAACGCCCGTACGTGGGGGGGCGTCCGTGTTGGCGAGAACCGATGCGCGATGTGACCGGTCGGCGTCGGCGTCATAGGACAGTCCCGTGCCGCACAGTCGTCGGTCGGTGCGCTCGGTGTTCGCGTTGCGCAGCAGTGCCAGTTCAGCATCGGCTCGGCGTCTGCCCTCGTGCGCTGCGGCGTGTCTCTGATCTCTGCACAGGCGCACAGGCCTCTGGCCTCTTTGTCTCTTTGCCTCTGGGGCATGTCCGTTTTCGCTCCGTGGTCGCCCCTTGTTTGCCATTGTGGCCTTTTGTGGCTTTGCTTTGTGGCCTCTTTGTGGGATTTTCGCCATGTTGATTTTGCTTTTCCAATCGCGAATTCGCTATCGCTCCGGTATCCCGGAACGATGCTCTGATCGCTCTGATGCCTTTGATATGCCTTTAGCCTTGAGCCTTGGTACCGATTACCTCGGCCCCCGGCCCTCCCTGATCAGCCAGAGGACGGAGGGACGGAGGACCAGTGGCCAGTGGCCGAGCGCCAGTAGTACACCACACAGAGGCCCAGAGGTCCGAGCCGACCGTCACATCGGAGCACGGAGCATACAGCCAACCACGACAGAGGGCCCCAAGTAGCCAAGTAGCCGCCGGCACGCCGTCGATCCCCAGAGGTTCCAGAGGGGATCCAGGGGGTGTCCAGAGGCCAGAGGCCAGAGGGTGTGGATGCAGATTACGATGACCCATGACCTCGGCTGTGCGCGTGTGGGTGTCTTGGGCGCTTGGGCTCTTGGGCTCTTGGCGCGCTCGCGTGTACGAAAAGCGAAAGCGAAAGCAAACGTGTTCAACGTGAAAGCAGCTGCAGCTTGCTAGCCCGTCCAGGGCGTACACGACGTGCCGACGGCTCTGACGGCTCGGACGGCTAGACGGCTGCACGGCTGGCTGGACGAGACGGCGGGCAAGTGTCAGTAGAGTGGGGTGGTGATGTGGGGTAGCGCGGCAATGGCAGGCTGTAGCCGCAGCGAGGTGTCGGGAGGCAGACCGGGAGACCGGCCGGGCGTGGCACAAGTCTAACTCAAGACGTGGGGAGGGTGGTGCTAGAGGGGGCGGAGGGTCAAGGACGATAGCATGACAGGAGGACGCGAACGAGGAACGAGGAACCGATGTTGGGGATGCAGACGAGAAGGAAAAAAAACCAAGAAGAAAAAAAAACCTGCGTAATGGGATGCGGATGGACACGGCTGGAGCAAGAATGAAGAGACGCTGAGCAGAGCAGAGTACACCCGCGAGAAGCAACGCAACGCAATGCAGCCGACACTGTTCTTTGAAAACCTGTTCATCTGTATCTATGGCATGACAATGGAGTACAATGAGAGCATGACTATTACCACTATAGGCTTTGCCAATAATCTTGTCACTTTGGTTGGACAACGCGCGCTTGGGTATCGTCTGACGGGGTCTAGTATACAGTAGCGTGGTAATGGTGTTGTGGCCCGTTGAGGGCGCGGGGTGTGGCTCGGTGAGAACGAAGTAGGTGGAATGATGTCTCGGCCGGAAGGGAGCGGCAAGTAAGATTCAATCTTATTGTCCTCTCTGGTGGTGGAGGTAGCGGAGAGAAGTGGTGGGGTGTTTTCTTGATGCAGGAAAACAATTGTCCAAAGGCCAAAGGGTGTCCGGGAAGAAAGAGGACGTGTAGAAAACGAAGGAGGAAGAACAGAGAATGGGCAAGACTAGCAAGAATGTGGCCTACTGCACCATGTACTCGTCCCAAGGCGAAGGAGCCTCGGTTGGGGGAGTGTACATGGGTGGTGCGGCGTAGTACTGGCCCATCTGCTCACCGGGCTGCTGAGAAGGGTAGGCAGCAGGGAAGGGGTAGGCGGCCATCTGCGGTTGCTCCATGGGCGTTGCGTAGGGGTGGTGAGGGACCTCCATGGCGTGGGTAGGCCATCCCGAGCCCGGGTACACTGGTGACGACAGAGGAGCACCGATGGGGGTGCTCATGGGGCTGGGCATGGGGTGCGCATACATGTTGGGGGGAGCCGTCTGGGGGGTCGGCTGGTAGTGGCCATAGTCCTTGTAGATGTAGGCGTTCTGGGAAGGGTCCCAGACGGGCGAATGGGGATCGGTCACCATGCGCACATGGTACGGCTGGGACGCGCGACGGGCACCGAGCATGGTGTTGGGAGGAGGAGCAAGCACGAGGCTGCGAGGACGCTTCTTGAGCTGCTTCTTGCCGCCGCCACGCTCGTACTGGTAGTCGGGGAACTTCTTCTTGAACGCGCGCATGAGGCGCTCGGCGAGCTCGTTCCAGGGAGCCTTTTGGTCCGGGGTCATGCTGTTCCACTCCTTGCCGAGGAGCTTGGAGAGGTCACCGGTGGACAGGTTGGGGTTGTGAAGGGCGAGCTCGGGGCGACGGACGCGCATGTAAATGAAGTAGACTGAAGGTGAGGTGTCAGTAAGGGGGAAGAAGACGGCCGGTGGTGGGGAGACAAGATCGACGTACTGTTCATGGGGCGGCGCGGGGTGTAGTCTGCCTTGCGGTCCTGACGAAGGAGGTCCGGGAGGGCATCCCAGTCGTCAAAGTCGTTGTCGGGCCACTGGACAGAGGGGGGAAGGAGGGGAGGGATGACGACCGACTCGGACTCGGGAAGACCGTTGAGGGGGCTATACAAGTCGTACTCGGTGGCAGCGGCGTTGCGGTCGGTGGACGTGCGACGGACGACGGCCGGGGCAGCAGAGTTGAGGGTCGCGTTGGAAGTGGAAGGCGAGTGGTCGCTGTAGCCTGGGGGCGAGGTGTACGAGGACGATGCCGACGAGTCGGAAGCGTAAGGAAGGGACTTGCGACGGACCTGGTCAAAGTATTCTCCGCTGCCGTTGATGGGCAGTTCGGGATGTGAGGACAGCGGCGTGAGGGGCGGGATCGAGACTGGAGGCACGGCGGCGGCGGCGGTCGTCGACATTGTGTAGTTTGTAAAGGCGGGAACAGACCCGTTGTATTCTGATGGGCTGCTGTACTGGACGGTCTTGTCCATGGTGGGAACGGTGTTGGGTGGTGGTGGGTGGTGGGTGGGGGTGGTTGTTTTGAGCTGGGCCGGCCCCGTGTGGTGGGGTGGGTGGGTACTGAAGAAAGGTGCACCTTTGAGTGGGTGGAAGTGAAGTAGTAGCGTGTTTGTGTGTGCGTGTGTAGGCGTAGGTGGGTGGGGGGTAGGGAGAGTGGGTGGGAAAGGAAGTGTTCGTTGTTGATGAAAGGTGATAGCTTGCGGCGAGGGTGGTGGGAGATGCGACGGGGAGCTGGGGGGGTGTCGAGTCTTTATCTGGAGTTGCAGTCGAGAGACTGGTAGGATGGGTTTGTATGGGTGGGAGAGGGAGGAGGAGGGAGGAGAGAAGGTGCTGCTGCTGCTGCTGCTGGCTGCTGGCTGCTGGCTGCCACTGGCCTGGAGCCTGGAGAGCTTGAGAGAGCCTGGAGCCTGCCTGCCTGCCTGCCTGCCTGCCTTGCTAGAGAAGAGGACGAGAGGACTGGCCGGACGGGTGGTTGAATCTAGGAGCGATCGAGCCGTGCACGCGCGCGCAGTGCCACAGCCAGAGCAAGAGAGACCACAGCGCGCGTGCGGTCTGTCACCCTGCCCTCTTCTCTCTTCTGCCCCCCTCCCTCTCCCCCGTGCGCCCCCGGGGGCACGTCCATCCCAATCCCACCCACCGGCCACCGGCCCACACCGACACCGGATCCACTGGTTTGGCTCCGTTTTTATGTCGTGCGCCTCCAGGCACGGCAGTGGAGCGCACTCTCGGGCACTTGTGGGCGCCTCGAGGACACACACTGTCTTCCCTTTTTCTGCTCGGTGGCGTCGGGCGCTCCAGAGGCGTCGTCCGGGGCGGCGGCGGCGGTGGTGGGGTGGAGGTCGGTGGGTGAGCAGCAGCAGCATTCCTCCCCTGGGCGGTCTGGTGCATGCACGCACGGGCGTGACACAAGGCAGCACACACACACACCACACACACAAACCCTCTCTACCCTGCACGACGCCGTGTGGCGTTTTCCGGGTCAGGCGCTCATGGGCGGGCGGGGCGGTCTGCCTGGTGCAGCCGGCGCCGCGTCTCTCTCTGTCAGCCCACATAGTGTGTTTCTCATGGCCTCGGAAAACACACCATGGGGGGTTGGGGGGAACGCACGCACGCACGCCTGCTTGTTGGCTTGAACCTTGTGCAACACACGACGGCCCCTTGCCACAACGGGGGGGAGGGGGGGATGTAGCTGCTGTGGCCTATGCTGGCAACCAGCTGACGCTGCCATGCGCCTCTTCCGGCGCCATACCCGGGTCGGCCAGCAGACACAGTGTTCCCAGCCGGTTCCCATCCGTGACCCACAGTCTTGGGCCCACCCGGGCCCCCCGTCTGCTGGCGGCGGCGGCGGCAGCGGCGGCGGCGAATACTCTGAATTGCTTGCCCATCAGCCATGCCCAGCCAGATCGCCAAGCAAGGACACGAACAAATGGATCAGCCCAAGCCTCACCCTTTCACTGCCTGCAGCTGTCACCACCACACGCTCCGCGCGCCATTGCACGCACAATGCATTACGCCTCGCCTTGGACGTGCATACAGGACGCCTGGACCTGGGCGTGCATGCAACAAGGCAACAAGGGCGTCAGCTGGCGGGCACTGGACGTGAAGACGCGTACAGAAGCCTAAAAAGCCTCTTTCCCCAGCCTCTTCTTTCGAACGCGCGCACACGCACATAAGATACGCAGGCGCGCGCGTCTTACGTGTCTGCCGGTGGCCGGTGTTCAGAGTTTGGAGGCTCGATGCTTATTCCTTGACAAACACACCCCGGTATCAGGCCCCCCCGGTCCTTGTTCCTGCACCTAGACGGACAAGACAGACACCGCAAAAAGAGTTTTGGGACCTGCACCACACAATGATCAAATCAAAATGGCCATCGTGCGACAGGAGGGGAACAGGAGAGATCCAGAGAGAAACAACATGCGGCCGTAGCGCGGCCCCTCCGATGACTGATCGCAGAGGGACAAGGACCTGGGGGGTGGGGGGAAACTATGGCAATCTATGGATCAGGTCTCGCTGTCTTGGCCAAGGCGCGGCGGCGGATTGCGAGGCCATAAACGCTGTGCTGCAAGAAGTAAGCCCGGGGAGAGTTGTGGCAATTTGGTGGCATCGAGGCAGCAAGTGTGTGCGCGTGTGCGCGATTATTGACCCATGGCGCCAAGCGTTGCGGTGGAGCGTGGAGCAACTCTACCGCGCCCACGACCGATAAACGGACTGTTCTTGCTGCAGCTGCTGCTGCCATTTTGGGCACCCCTTGTCCCCCTGCGCTAATGATATCCCCCTAGGTTGAAACGTCATCGGTCGAGGTGTAGCTGATCATGCGATCATGCGATTGCCCAACCTGTGCGCCTGTGCGTCGTCGCCGTCGCCTGTGCGTCATGGTCGTCGTCGTCGTCGGCCTCTGTGCTCTCCCTAGGTTCATCGTTGACGCCACACGGCCACTGACCACTGACCAGTGGCCACGTACGGCACCACCTAGTGAACAGCAGCACAAAGACGAGTGTCGGAACTGGCGCGGTGCAGTGCATACGTGCATACACAAACGTGGGGCAGCGGCGTACGGGGCCGAGGCCGGACGCGATGGCCCGCCACACGCACGCACGCAACCTTGACCCCAGACCCAGACCCAGACCCAGACCCAGACCTAGACCTAGACCCAGATCCCAGACCTAGACCCAACAGCCACAGACGCGGACAGAGACACCTCACACCGACACAGGCGATGCAAGCGAAGTACCTCTGCACTGTACCTCTCCTCTCTCCTGTACCTCGCAGCCCACAGCCCACAGCCCACAGGCGAGAAATAGCACTGCCCGCGGGCCAATTCCGGCCACGGTGTTGGCTGCGCGGAGGGACGGTGGAGAGAGGGTTTTGAGGATGGGAGGGGGGGAGGGTTTGTGGAGGGTCGACGATGGCTGTCGAGGAAGGTACGAGACGCATGGTGGCGCATCGTAGACGCCACATCGATCACTCTCGGCCACTTTCAGCCAGGACCCAGGCCAGGAAGGCCAGGAAGGCCAGGAAGGCCCAGGAAGGCCCAGGATCTCCTCCCCCGCACAGGGAGAGAGAGATTGGGTGGGGTATAGTAGGGGGGGCACAGGCATGCAGAGTCCGAGTCAAGTCGCTGCTGCTGCTGCTTGCTGCGGTCAGTCACGTGCACGAACGGAACGAGAGCAGAGCGTACGAGCGGGTTCAGGAGTGTCTGTCACATGCACAGTCTAAACAAGCAGCTAGTATGTAGCTAGCAGCATTGTAGTGGGTCGAATATGGCGTTTTGGGCAGGTTATGACGCACGCACGTACTGTAACTGTACGAGACAAACCACCACCACCCCGTTCCTCTCGATCTGATCCATCGATGAGCCATGATTGAGATATAGGACGAGGCACGCCACACTCATCAACGATCAGAACCGCCACCACCCCCAGACATGGAGCTTGGAGCGCGCACAAAGCCAACAGCAACAGTAGTGTGGACTGACTGACATGCGTCAGGACGATGAACGCCGGCCGGCGTATGCTTCTCCTGTGAGACAGCGCCAACGTGTTCTGCGGAGCCGATAAACCAAACGAGAGACCGGGGTGGGCTGAGTTATCCCGCGTGAGAGTGGACGCTGCTGGAGAAAAAAGTGGCACACACAACACGAGACAGAGGCACACGGGACGGCGGCACGGCTGGCTGCACGGCCGCAACGGCCGGCCTGAGTAAGATGATGCCATGCTATCGGCGGGGCTCAGCTGACTTGACACCCGCCTCTCGAGATCAAGATCCGGGTACAGACCGAGGCAGGCAGCGTCGCTCGCAGCCACCGACACGGGCAAAAACCGTCCAGCGGAGGCACTGCCCACCCTTCAGCTCGGCCGTGCGTGCCGTGAGCCGAACAACTCGCGGTGCTCGGCACACCAGCGGCAAAGGGTATACACCACCACGCCTCCGACTTGTATCTCCACTAGTGCACGGCCATACACCCAATATACCCTGCAAGCCATGGTCCCATCGGTGTGCGTGCCCTCGCCTATCTGTCATGTGGCTCTGCGTGGCTCTGCGTGGCTCACCGTGGCTATATGTGGCTCTGTGTGGCTCTGGGCTGAAAGTGAAGTGATCAGCGACGGCCGTGTGCAATTGACAGGTTGGGTCGCCACTTTGGGACCTTTCACGCGTCCCACCGGCCTCGCGCAAGCACAAGCAGAGCACTGGGGGGCTCTTTGTCAACAAGACGCCTCGTAGGCGTGACCGCAATCCCAATGCACGCAATCAATACAGCCTCCCCTCTCCGTCTTTTGCCAAAGGCCCCGAAAGAACGCTCGCGTATGAATGTGCCGCCCCGCCAGTCCCAGTATCTCCGAGACGACGGTGGGTCCTCTATAGCCCCGTGTCGCGCCCATCGAAGCCATCGAAGCCGGGCGTTACAGCCCCCGCCAGACGGCCGCCATATGACTCATGGCCTGTCCCGCCGCCTCCTGCCAAGCCTGAGCGTGCACGTATGGGTCCCCCTGGCGTCGGGGAGGTCGCACTTGGTATACAGTGTCCGTCCATATCGAGGGGAGGGCGTTGACCAGCCGCAGTGCCGCCCCGCATGCCGCGGGGACTCCAACATCGATCAGTGGGAGCAAGTACAGTGTATGCTTGGTGGCAATGTCCTGTACCTTTACCAAAAACGTCACTGTGGCGTCTCTGGATCTCTGTGCAACTGGCTGTGCGCAGCGGTGTGCGTTGCATACCGCGGTGAGTCACAACGCCGCAATGGGTATTATGTCGTCGGTGGGAAGGGCGCTAATGCGTCGTCGTCGTGATTATATGTCCGATACCCTAAGCGAGATCCAACCCAGCAAGAGCTAGCGAGACGACGTGGTTCCAATGGGAACAAGTCTCGTGTTGGAGAAGAGATCGAAGGGATCGAAAGGGATAGACGAGGAATGCCGGTCCAGAAAACGCATGTTTTTGCCGTCTTGCACGAGGTGCTGACGTAGCCGACACGCGGATTAATAAAACCCAAGCGAGTCGCCATCCCACACCATGCTCCATTTGATCCATTACAAGACAGAGTAGTGTACTAGTGGCGTGCTCCGAGTCTGTGAGTTTTGTGTCGCATGCATCAGGCCCAGACACGGTGCATCAGGCCCCCGCTCCACCTGCGTCAGGGCGGCACCTCCCAGGCTCAATGTCCACGGCTCGTTTACGCCGAGACTGTTGCCAGCCGAACACCCGACATGGCAAAATACACCAAAAAATGGCCCCATGGGAATGCAAAGTTGGACCGCAACGCAGAATACGTGCGATACAATGCGCATGTAGAACCTTGACAGGCCGTGGCACCCGTCGCCTCGTTTTTTTTTGTTATTCTGTGGCAGAGAAGCGAAAGTGGTAAGTTGCTGATGGACAAGGTTGTCCGCCAGTCTCTCCACCACATGCCACACTCCATGCATTGCAAAGGGGGTGCTCCCGTGACCGGGACCGTGACCGTGAGAGAAACCGACAGCCACCGAACCCAACACCACAAAGGACCCCCGTCTTACGCGGTTTCCATGGGCTCAATGCCAGCCGTTACCGCGGCTGAGATGCCGCGGTAAAGACACCTCCTCCCATTCTCACATTGAGTGACAAAAAAAGCGCGAGTGGCTGCCTCCAATACTATACGTGTATTGTACGTATGGTTGTTCCGATGCGAATACGAGAGGCGTTCCGAGGAGCCCCGCCCATGCCAAATTCCCGCACCCCCCCAGCTTCGGACGCCTCCGCCGTCCGCCGCCGCCGCCACGACGACGTGTGGCAGCCGTGTTCTTGTATGAGGCTTTGACGGCGACGGCTGCGGGGCTGGGTGTGAATCTCCAGTGGGTGTCGGCGGAGCGGTGCAAAGTGTGGTTGGCTGCCTCACACAGAATGCAACGTGTGCGTCCCGGTGGCGTGAGAGGTGGACGGGCGGGTCGCCGTCCCGCCGTGTGGCACTGCGGCAATGCGCCTCTGTGTCTTCGCCGTTTTCGCCGTTGTCGCCACAGCCTTGGAGCTTGGCGGCCGCTAGAGACTGCTGCTGTTCGCTACATGCTTCGCAGCATGCATACTGCATACTGCATGCCACCCCCGTTGCCAAGTAATGTTACCATACGGGCCCCATTCTGGTCAAGAAGACATTTGACAGGCCGGTTCGTCCACCTCGTCCCTGGCTCATGTGGCGACTTCGCTGGCCCTGGTCCGAATAACTAGCTCCAGGTGTGGCAGCAAGACCACAGGGACAATAACTCACTCCTTAGCAACACCTCTTGATGTGCGTAGTTTGGGGGTAGAGCTAGGTGCGGTACTGCGGCAACAGGGCGTTCGACATGATGTGCATCGTCCACAGAGGACCGGTGAAGGTAGGGAATGCCGGTCGCGCGGTACCCTTCCGAGCGACTCTTCCCAGCCAAATCTCACCCCTCTTCACTGTCCATGCCAGGATCGGTCACTACCGTCTAGAACGAACGGGAGCGTTGCCGAGGTACACAACGTCCACCAACTTTCGGCAACGAGAGTGTGGCACTCCACTATCGTACCATCATCGTACGGCTCCGTACCAACGTTTCGCCAGCAACAAAACTCTCCGAACGCGCGGCGCCGGGACCTGGGAGCTGGCACAAGGCGTCGAGGTCCCGATGCATAAAGGCTGTTTTGCTGTACCTAGTACCTAGTACCACCAGCGTGTTCGACATAACGTGATCAGTCCATGTTCCTGGGCCACTGGCCACTGTCTGTTCCTCAGATCTCGTCGTACGCAGCCCATAGTACCGTAGTGAGAGAGAGAGAACACGTGCTTTTCGCTAAGTTCGTTTACAGTCCCACCACACCACACACCATCTGCTCGCTCGCTAAGATGGAGATCCTTGACAGCCACACACGGGCAGCATGCGTAGACTGTCCGCGCGTCGGCCCGTCCAGCGCCCGTCCAGCGCCCATCCAGCAGCCGTGTCCGCGGTTCTCGGAGCCGTCCACCGCCGCCACTGACCATGGGTACCGTGTGGTGCTTGTGGTCCAGATCTCATAGATCATGGGATCTGGAGCGCGTTGTCGGGATCTAGGAGGGGTGGGCCTGTGTTAAGCCTGGAACTGCACCGCAAACACGGCTGTTCAACGCACCAACGGCTCGTGGAGCTGAGATGAGATGAGATCAAAGCATCCGTATGTAACCCCCCACATTTCGTACCGAGGTACGCAACAGCCGCCGGCTTAGTAGCAGTAGCTGGATCGCTGGATCGTGTACGCGAGATTGCAATCCTTGTTATTGAAACATTTTGCAACGGCGGACCTTGGGCTGGGGGGTCTGAGATCCGACCTGGGAGATGCACCACACAAATCTGGGACACGCATACACGCACTGTGTGGATCTGTGGCCCGTGGCCTGCTTGCACACCATCTAACATGCTGCATGCAGATGCAAGAACCTTGTGGGATGCTTCTCGGTGTCGCTTCTCGCGTCAGTCCTACTGGTCGCCCCACCACGCAGCTCCCACGAACGCGTCCATGTCTGTGTCTGCCTCTGCGCCAGCGCTAGTCCTCAGCCGCCAGCACGCTGTGTGGTCCAGTCGCTCTCTCTCTCGCTCTCTCTCTCTCCCCACCGTCCCCATCAAACGCGTCTGCAGGCACCCGCCCAAGGCGTCAGCGCGTCTGGTTGCAATGTGCGTTGTGCATGCCCGCAGCTCTACGCTCGCAGCTCGCAGCTGACCTCGGCTGACCCCATCCTCGGTATTGCTCGGAACGGTCAGATGTACCCTCTGTACTCGAGGGAGAGGCTCTTTTGGGGCCTTTCAGTCGCTCAATCCCAACTGCCGTGCCGTGCCGTGCCGTGCCGGCAAAGGGGCCCGTGGGCAGCAAGCGCCCCCCGCCGATGGGCCGTGGCGAACGCTATTATAGCTGATCTCTCACGCAAAAGGAATTAAGCATGCGTGGTCCACTAGGCCAGGCGCGCCGAGGCGCACGCCGACGGCAGAGACGGAATATAAGCACACACCAAATGCCTCTAAAGGGTTCGCTGTCCGTCGAAAGGTCGGGGCGGCGGCGCAGGGTGGTGGGTGGTGGGTGCGGCGGTGTCGGCGCAGCAGGTATGGGCAGGAGACCCCCTCCTCAGACCGCTCCGAGACAGTGGTGCGCTAAACTTGTCCGCCTAGGTCCGTCGATAGGACTTTTCCGACTCAGGTCCGATATTCCGCAGTCGCTTTGCAGAGCCATTCCGAGGAGGTGGGTGGGGGCTGGCCACAGTTCGGCCCTTCAGGCCTTCAGAGCTTCAGAGCTTCAGGCTTTTTGGGCGAGCGCTCCGGCGTCCTTTGGGAGCGCGCCTGCCACACCCAACACACCCAGGTCCGGGCGTCGGGCGTACACGACTGTGTGTAGAGGTCGCGGCGGTCAAATTGTATCGGATAAGCCAAAGGTACACTTCAAAGTGGTGCAACAACAACAAAACAAACCAAAACAAGCAACAACGCGTAAACAGTGTGAACTGCGGGACGCACCTCGGTAGCAACGCTATCTATGACGCGTGCGAGAACGCACCCCGTGGGCGCGTGGCTGTAAGACCCCGAGACCAACGAGTTTGATTAAACCATTGTATCATTGTGCGTGACGTTGACGGTGAACGCCGGGAAAAGAGCGCGACAAAAAAAAACAAGGTCGCAGCGGTCGTGTCGTGGCGCTGCAACATCCTTTCCTGGCACGTTGGCACTCAAAAGAGGACCACAAACGGCAGAGGCGTTGCTCCGTGGTCGGACATGCCGTGGGACCGCCGGGACCGGGCCGATGCGATGTTGAGAGAGACCAGGAACCCACCTTTTGTTCTGCTGAACTCTTCCCCACAGCACAGTCCTCCCCACACGTACTGGGCAAGTGCAAAGTGCACGGACAAGTTGGGACTTGTGTAACCCAGCGACCGAGACCAATGTAGCGACCGAGGTGGTCAGTGATCGCAACCACCACGATGGCGACGACAACGACGCCAACCATAATCCCTGTCAACAACTGAAGCGAGCGAGCGATCCCCCTCCCCAACTCACACCACTGACCATGACGCACAACGCGACTGAATCGACGCCGTACGTCGCGCAGTGGGGCATTCTTGGGTGCGGCTGTAAGTCACATACACACAGCTGACGCGTAACTGACAGCAGGGATATCGTCCGAGTTCGCCAAGGACCTGTGCCGCTCACCAGCTGGACGCGGCGCCAGCGACATCTCTCATGCCATCGTCGCCGTCGGGTCGCGTAGCCAGGCCAAGGCTGACGCGTTTGTCGCCGAGTTTGTCCCTCGCGGCGCTGCGGCGCAAGTCGACGGCCTCTGCAAGGTCGAGCCGCGCGGACATGGAAGCTATGCAGGTGTCGTCAATGCCCCAGTGAGAGCACGCACGAGAGCCAGTACAAAAGAGACGCGGCTGATGTCGCTCGTTGACAGAATGTCCACATTGTGTATATTGGTACCACGACTTCTGCGCACTACGATGACGCGCGCCTTGTTCTCGAGGCCAGCAAGCACTGCCTGGTGGAGAAGGTATGCCCGACCTGCATGCTGGCACTGACTGTACTCACAGCCCGCGACACTCAACGCAGCCGAATGGGCCGACTTGAGCACCCTGGCAAAGAAGCAGGGCGTGTTTCTGATGGAAGGTATGTTCAAGGCATTAGCACGGATACCTAACTCCCGCACCAGGCGTGTGGACCCGTTTCAACCCGTGCTTCCTGGCCATTGAGAAGGCCATCTTGCACGACAATGTCATTGGCGACATTCGCTGTATCTACTCGGACAACAGTCTCGACTGGCACAACAAGAAACCCGACTCGACGCGCATGCTGTCCGCCGAGCAGGCAGGTGGCAGCGTGCTCGACCTGGGACCGTACCCGCTTGTCTATGTGAGTGGCACAGTCCCTGCCACCTCCCTGCCACTGACTCTTGGACTCCCAGACCATGATGCTCATGTACCGCCACCCCAAGAACGGCCTCACCCCGCCCGCCCAGGTCGGCTCGACGATGATGCTGTCCCGTACGGGTGTCGACCTCGCGAGCAGCGTGACACTCACGTTTCCGCAGCTCGAGGCGATCGCCTACCTCACCATGAACTCGCTCAGCTCGACGCCCAAGCAGCTCCACACCCGGATCGTTGGCACCACAGGGTGAGTTATAAGTTGGGGGCCATTTGTCGTGGGATGATCGGAAACCTGCATGCCTCGCTTGGCCATTTCGTGGCCCCATTACGAAAGTCTCCTGCATTCCTGGGACACGGACATTGAGAAGGAATGGGTCCTTTGGGTCCTTGGGTCCTTGTCAATAGGCCGTGATCGGCAAAGGATACATTCCTAAGGAGTCGAGTGGAATCTCCATACCAAGCCATAATTCATCCCGGCCTGGCTTCCGCACTATTCAACCCCCCCACCCCCTACCCCACCCCCGACATCGTGGCCGTGATCGTGCACCTTGAACATGTGTCTCAGCAGGATCGTCCTGCGTGACATGTGTCAGTTAGCGTCAAACGATGCCGTGCACGATGCCGCGCACGGGCTGGTCAAAGATCTGGGTCACTCCTAGATCTTCGCATATGTTTTTCCGCCTGCCAGGGGGTGTGGTTGTGAATGGCACATGTGTCGACGTCCAACTAACTCCCCTCGGCCCTGACATCATCTTGGGTTCTGCTGGCCCTACCTTCAGTGTCCTCCATTCTGTGCAATCGATTTGGAGCAGTTACTGACTGTGCACAACAGCGAGATCCTCATCAAAGGGTGGACCTCGCGCCCGTCAAAGTTTTGGATACGCAGGCTCGTCGACCCTGCTGAGGGTGGCGTCTTCCTCGAGGACGAAGAAGTCGACTGTGCCTTTGACGAGTTTGGACTGTGCTTTGAGGCAGACGCGGTCGCGCGCTGCGTGAGGGGTAAGATACTCGGCCCTGTGCACAACCACCATGCTGACAACAACCCCGAAAGACGGGCTGCTCGAGTGCCCTCGTCTGCCCCACGAAGACACACTCATGACCATGGGGGTGGGTGCGAACGGAAATGTAAAGCTGACACGTCAAGATCTTTGACCAGGTGCGAAAGCAGGGTGGATATGAATTCCTTCCGGGCCTCGAGAAGGTAAAGTAAAGGTTGTAGACGTCGTGATGCATGCCTTCATCGAAGGCCGACCTGGTCCAGGCCCTTGCTCGCCCACGCGACGCAGTAGTGGGAGAGCACTAGACGCAGCTCTTCAATCTCGTCGAGAATCTCCAGCTTTGATATCCTGAACCCATCAGCATCTTGAAAGGTCAAGGTCAACCGTTAACACACCTCTCAAGCTCCCGTTTGGGCACCACGGTGGTTCGGATATCCCACAGACTTTTGGCACCAGAGTCGTTGAACACGCCGGCGCCGAGAGCCGAATCGAGGAAGCGGTCTGCCTGCGCCTGTGCCGTCGCAAACCCGGCGCCAGGGAGCGACAAGTTGCGCTGCGAGAGGTTGCGTCGCATGACTCGTCCAAAGGCGTCACTGTGCGTCAGTTCTCAGTGCCGCCGGCCGTTGAACTCACTCCAACCCGTACATCTCGTAGATGACGGCGGCCGTACGCTCAAACGTCTGGCCAAACCACTGTATCACCGCAGCGCTCTCGTCTGGCGACATGTAGCAAAACACGCATTCGGCGATCAGCAGTGTCGGCTTGGACGGGTCGAGGAGGGGCAGAACATCTGCGTCGAGCGTGGCTGCGCCACCACGCAGGTCGAGGGGGAGGAGCGCATAGTTTGCCGCTGTCAGCGCCGTGCCGCCATGCGACACGGCATATGGTTTAGGCGAGGACGGGTCGGCAGACACCAGCGTGCCCGTCAGCTGCCGATTCCGCGCGATTCGTTGCGCCTTTATCGCAGTGAGTTGAGGGAAATCGACCTCGACGTAGCGGCCCAGGGGCGTCTGGCGCGTCTGCGACGCATCGTTCAGACGCCAAAAGCGCGTGTCGCTGCCTGCTCCAAGGGACACGATCTGTGCTCCGTCTCCGGCCGCTGAGAGGAACGAATCGACCACCGCATCCAGCGCAGCTGTCCTGTGGTGCGTCCCGACGTTGATGAGGGGGGCCTTGCGCGCGCTCTGGCCGGCTAACCGTTGCTGCTTGTACAGGAGTGACGCGTATGGGTCGGAGAGATAACCGAGAGAGACGGCCGAGCTGCGGGGTTCAGCTACGCGGCGTGATGAGTTGCTTACAATCTGGAGGCCGCAGCATCGTCGTCTGTCCCTCTGATGGCATCGTCAGGGTGGGATGGTGCTGCTGGGCGAGAGGGAGGTGGGGGAGGAAGCATGGTGAGGTGGTTGGAAGGATGAAGCACCTCCACTTTTGATGACGTTCATTGTGAAACGCGATCTCGCGTTCCGCTTGCAAATGCCACCGCATTGTTGTTGACACCGCTGGCTGACGTCAAGGGTTGTCAACAACGAACACATGCAGTCTGCATTGATGAAGGACCTGGCCGTTCAGTTGATTTTGGAGCTACATAGTTCTCAGTGTTGATTCAGTAGTTTTGGTTCCTGCACAGCAGGGAACCTGTCAAGTGACCGGAGGTGCCACTTGCTATGCGGCGCAACAAAACATAAACCAGACCACACCCGTCCTCCGTTCTTCACACCCACCTGCGCTTGTCACACATGGACAAAAGCACATGCATGGTTGATGGTAATGAACACACAGATGGTCTATATAAATCCTCTTGCTCTTCACTCCTTGGCGCCACCAGCCACTGGCAACGTAAGACTGCTCGAGCTCGACGCAGCCTCGTCGGACGTTGCCAGCGCAGAGTACGAATACAACTCCCCGCGAACCGTCTTCTTGCCCCCTGGCAGGGGAGAAGGTGTGCGAGAGATTGGCTGACTCTCGGGATCGTCCACAGTCCGGGGAGGGTTGGCCTTCAACGTCGACACTGCCACCCACGCCGCCGAGCTGAGGATGATGACCGTGCCGACAAACGAGAGGAACGAGGGCACAATGTGGAAGACGACGAGCTCCAACGTGACGGCAAAGAAGATCTGGAGGTACATGGCGAGGCCAGCGCGGCCGGCCTTTTCGCGTTGCAGACCAAAGGTAAGGCAGGCCTGGGCACAGAATCCAAAGACTCCAATCAGGCCGATGAGGGCGAAGCCGCGCTTGTCGTGCGGCCACTCGAGGTCGGCATGCCAGATCAACATGCCCACACCCGAGGCGATGGTGCATGCCATGGAAAAGTATCCGATCGAGTGGAGGGCGCTGGCACGCTTGCCAATGTGTCGGATTGAGAGGTAGGCGCCGGCGCTGAAACAGACGCCCATGAGGGCCCAAGTGACGCCGGCCATGCGTTCGGCATCGTCGGGCTCGCCCGAAGGAGCCGTCTCGGGCTCCACAGGCGGCGTCGACCCCCACCCGTGACCGAAGATGAAGGGCGGACGGGAGATGAGCACGACACCGACGAGCGAGATGCAGCCCGAGATGGCCTCCTTGAACGAGAACGACTCGCCCATGAGGAGGTAGGCGACAAGCGCAGTCACGCTGGGTGTCAAGAAGCCGATGGTCACCGCATCGCTGACGCTCAGACCTCGCAGAGCCTATAGCGTTAGCCCCATTTCGCTTCTTTCAGTGGCGGCATTGCGTTTACTCACCTGGTATGCGCAAAGCAGTCCCGAAAACCCGCAAAATCCACGGAAACACAGCAGTCGACGAACACCGGGCGGGCCGAGGAAAGGGTAGGGGTCACGCTGGATGAGGAGGGTGGCGAAGCAGCATCCGCCGGTAATGAGCATTCGCACAAAGATGAGGGTGAGGGTAGACATTGCGGTGGCTGACTGTAAGCCACACGTTGACGTGTTTTAGAGAGGCACTCACTTGTCATGAGAAACTTGACGCTCAGACTCATGCACGCAAAGAAGAGCTGGGCCATGGCGACGAGGAAAAGGCCGCAGTTGTTGTCGTACAGCGTCACAAGCGTCGGGGGAAGGAGCTGCTTGAAGCGCCGCGAACCGTACATTGCGATACTCTCACTGTCGTCGCTGCTAATGTCACTTCCGTCGTCCGAGGGTACTCGGGCTAGCACCCGTGCGGCCACCATAGGACTTGTGGGAGACATCGGAACGGGTGACAAGATGTTTGTGGGGCTCGTGGGGGATCGGGGGACAGTGGCGATGGGGGGACATGACCGTGTCGGTGTCTGTGGTCGAGGCGGTGAGGACATGTTGGAGCGATTTTGGTGAGGAGACGTCGTCGACGGCGGTCCTCTTAGCGTAGTTTTGATACTAGAAACAAAAACAACACGGGGAGTCAGACAGAACAAAGCTTTTTAGCAACGGTCGACTCCTTCCTTCCGCCCATCGCACATAGCCGATGTTGCGCTGCAGGTCCGCGGCAGTTCCGCCCAGAGGTCGGAGTTCGGGCGAGTGGGCTTTGTATTTCAAATAAACGGCATTACAATCGGTCTTCATCAAACATTAGTTCAGTGTCCTAATGGAGGGCAACGGTCGCGGTCACGTGATCTTTGTTCACGCTTACTTGTTGCTCCTTTGCCTTTCCCGGCTTGGCCGGTCCATCTTGTCTCGCCATCCAACTCTCTCAAAATACATGAACGAGCCAGGCCCATCGAGCGCCTACTACCGGCGCTTTGCGCAGCAGGCAGACGGTCCTATCAGGCCTCCTTCGCCTCCAGGCTCGCCGCTTTTGCCGCCCACGCAAACGACCGCTCAGTTCCTGGACTCTGAAGCCGAGGATTCGTTGTACGCTGTTCTCAACGTCGAACATGACGCGTCCCTCGCCGAGCTCAAGGACAAGTACAGGGCTCTTGCAGCCATCTACCACCCGGACAAGCAGCCCGATGATGTGCGTCGGCGTGCAGCTCACGATCGCTTCATGGAAATCTCTCGCGCGTACGAGATTCTCACCGACCCGGGAAAGCGCGCCATCTATGACCTCTTTGGAGAAGAAGGTCTGCGGACCAGCTGGGAGGTTGGACCTCGCGGTATGACTCCCGCAGAGATGAAGGCGCACTACCAGAGGCAAGGTGATACGAAGCGTCGTATCGATGTCGAGGCGCTTGTCAACTCAAAGGTGAGCTGCCGCCTCGGAGGCGTCGAGCTGACTTGTCCAGAGCGACATGTCGGTTACTCTTGACGCACGCGGTGTTTTCCTTCCCAAAAGCGTGTTCAGTGACCCCAGTGTCATCTCTCACTCGCCAATGGCGCGTATCCGTCGCGTCAATCCCTCGCAGATTATTCTCAAGCACTCGTTTGAGCTGCCTTTCAATGAACAGACCCAGTTTGTTATCGAGGAGACCATGGTTGCCGTGAGAGGTCAAGGTGGCGCTGGCCTCTCTGGTACCATCAAGCACCAGTTTTCGCCGCGTCTGTGGGTTCAGTACACCCAGGCTGTTCTGGCCCCATTCACCACATCCTTCAAGGGAACGTACACCTATGACGAGAACACGTAAGCCATCGGCTCACCTTTTCAGACTCCCGCTAACCGTTAGCTATGTGACGATGAACGCGGTTCAACAGGTGTGGGCTGCCCCTCCTGGTCTGCACATTAGCCTTGGACGAAGGATATACCCAGAGGCCACCGGATACATCAGTAAGTGAAGTGAGCATTGTACGACCCCAAAGCTGACCATTTTCCACAGCCTACAACACTGGTTTCTGGACTCTGGGACCCTGGGGCAGGTCCCTTCAGGAGGAAATGTACATGGTCAATCCCTCGTCGATGGCCGTGGGCATTACGTCGGCAAGCCACAATGGTGACGGCTGGACAACCGAGCTTCGGACTGGGTTTGCAGACAATGGTCTGAGCGGCGACTGGACGACCCACGCCTGGGGTCTCCGACTCAAGACCGGTCTTTCATGGTCTCTCATGGGCTCTCCCGCGGCATTTGCCGACGTGAGCGGTAGAGTCACCGAGAACACCCGTGCCGGTGCTCTGCTCGAGGTCAACCTCGGTGGTGGTATCCAGCTGCGCCTGACCGTCAACCGTCTGGGCCAAAAGCTCGCCTTCCCCATCCTCTTGTCGGCCGACCTCAACCCTTACGTTGCGTTCTGCACGACGGTCCTTCCGGCTTCGGCCTATGCGGCCCTGTACCACTTTTACATCTTGCCACGCAAGCACGAGCGGATCAAGAACAGGATCCACGAGCTGCGTGTCGAGCACGCCGACTACATTGCCGCCAAGCGCCAGGAGGCCGGCGACGCCGTCCTCCTCATGGAGCGCTCGGTCCAGACGCGTACCGAGGCAGAGCGCCAGCGCGACGGCCTCGTCATCCTGTCGGCCAGCTACGGTCTCGCCACAGCATTCACCCCGCGCGGCCTCCGCGAGATTGAGACCGAGGACGGCTACACGGCCGTCATCGACGTCACCATCCCCGTCCAGGCGCTCGTGCAGAACTCGCGCCTCGTCATTCCCGCGGGCAGGGCAAAGCACAACCTCCTCGGCTTTTACGACCCGTGTATCGGCGAGAACAAGAAGCTCCGCATCAGGTACCTCTTCCGCGGACGTCTGCACGAAATCACCGTCGACGACGTGTCCGGACTGCGTGCCCCCGTCAAGTCGCACGCCCTCGAGGACTAGAGACACATACTATCCCCCTCCATATGTTAATGTACACTGCATGCATGTCTACTGCTCTACTACTACACAGGATGATTGTTTTTCTACTCTACTCGCTGCCACTCGACGGACATGCCCGCGTCGAGTTGGTTCATGGTCGACTTGACCTCGGCCAGCATGTGGAGTAAGCGTGCGGTCTTTGCAGACTTGCTTGCTGGCGAGCCAGTCTCGTCGATACTGCGTTTGGTGCCCTTGTTCCTTTGCGAGGCCTTGGGAGGGGATGGCGGCAATGGTGTGCGCTTGGCGAGGGCGAGCTTTGCCTGCTGTTCTTGCTTGAGACGCGCCTCGGCTTGCGCTTGTGCAGAGCTGCGGGCGGCTGCGACACGGTTGGAAGCGGCGTGGAACGCCTTGAACATGGTCTGACACATTCTTGAGGCCAGCTGACCCGTTGCGTGTCCGTGGTGAGGCGGGACGAACCACTGGTCCAACTTGAGGGTTTGGCGCTCCAGCTGGCTGAACACGACGTTGCTGAGTGCATGCAGGACCGGAAGGATCGGGAGCGGCGTTCCGTTGACAGCACCGAGACGCAGTGGCCCAACAGCTAGGGCAATGTCGTCCACCCCGCCAAAGATTGGCAAGGAGAGGTACTCTGACAAGGCCGTGACTACACCAGGAATGTCGGTCGCCTGGATGTCCAGCGGTGGCAGCGGTGTAGCGTCGTATGTCGACAAATGGCTCACGGGCAAGTCGTCAATTTCGGCTTGGATCGATTCCCGCACTGCAGACAGCGCCGTGAGTGTCTCGGTGACCACGGTGGCGATGAGCTTGCCGTTTGACGGAAACTGTGCCAAGATGTTGGCGACAAGGAGGACATAGTCGGTCCACGGTTGCTCGAGCTGATAGACCACATTCACCATCGGGAGAACAACGTGCTTTTTACGCGGCTCGCGCGGGACGAGTGCGCGCACGGCACGTGCAAATCGGTCGTCGAGGTCCTCCATGCCGTCGATGCAGACAAGGTCGACGTGCTCAAACTCGGCGACAGCATCCTGGATCTGCAGACGCTCGACCAACTCGTCAAAGGACTCGTCTTGCCATGTCAGAAGCAGTAGCGCCGAGTGGTAACGCGCACCTTGCTGCAGCCTACCCGAAGCAGCAGCAAGACGGTCGTTGGCGTCGTCGGCGTTGAATTCCATGGACCGGCTGTTGAAGGTTTCCAGAGGCGCTTCAAAGACGAACAAGCCCGTGTCGACGGATCCAGGCAGATCGCCATGAACATCCGCGGTCGAGGCGATAAAGTCGACGCCGTCCGAGTGGAGCTCCTCTGCCTTGGGGATAAACTTGGACGCAAGCCATTGCCGCGCCTGGGCATTGGCGGGTGTTCCAGAGTGCTCAGCGGTGAGGAGAATGGTCTCCCACAAGGGTTCCGGGTCCTCCTCGCTTGGCTGAATGAGGGGAGCAACATGTCGGGCAATGTCGTGGAGGAACGACGTCTTTTCAAACAGCCGCAACCTTGCGTTCTCGGCTTGGTGCAGTTCCAGAACTATCTCGACCTCTGGCATGGTCGATCCCATAGCCGAGGAAGAGCTGAGGGCCGACGGTGCGCGCGACATTGACACCGACCCCAAGGATGCGACGGATTGTCTCCGCGAGACGTCGAGCAACTTTGAGTCAAACGAGGCCATGGAACGCGAAAGACCCTGGCCAGACAACATTGCAAAGTTGCGTTCCCGCTTGGCAATGAACTGCTCGCGCTCCCTCAAGCGCCGCGCTGCCCATCGACGCCAGTGAAGGGCCGCGTCTTTGACTCTGGCGCGGATCCGCTTTTCACGCTCGTACATTTCCTTGGCGAGGACTGCAATGTAGTCGTTGAGCATGGTCTGGCAGATGACCGGTGCCGCGCGTTGAAGCACCTCTTGTCGAGTCTTGCGCTCCTCGACATATTCGTGGGCCAACACACGCTCGTGGTTGATCTTTTCGAGCATGGGCATGCGATCCTGAACCATGTTGGCGACGACTTGTTCGACAAGGCGGTCGCGGAGCTGAGACGGTAACAGCCTCATCACATCGCGCGAGATTTTGATTTTGGGGATCTCGGGCTTGGTAGGAGGCTTGACCACCGCCTTCTTGACGGGCTGGGCCAAAGGTGATGGTCGTGGCGCAAAAGTGGGAGCTGAAAAAGTCGGTGGTGATGCTTGGGCGGGCGGAGGGGCGGCAGTAGGTCCTGTGGGCGGTGCTGCGGAGGGGAAGAAGCTGGGATTAGGGGCGGAGATGGACGGCGTGGACACAACAGTCTTTCGTTTTGATGGGCGAGCTGTTGCCGTGTCGTCAAAGAGAGTGGGAACCTTTGCTGCTGGGGGCGGCTGCACCTTGGAGAATGAAGGGAAGACGGACGGTGGGGGAGCCTTTGGCGTTGTGGATGGGGCCGGAGCCTCTTTCTTTCCGAAGAAGCTCGGAATGGCTGGAGGCGTGGCCACCGGGGTAGTAGATGGTGGGGCAGAGATGGTGACAGATGGTGTAGCAGGAGGAGTGGGCTTGGGCTGCTCGACTGCAGGAGGGGTAAACCCACCGCTCGGGGCAAAGGCACTACCACCTTTGTTGTTGAATGCAAATGCGCCAACAGCAGGAGGAGTCTTGGTGGGTTGGGAGAAGGCACTTGGGCCCTGGGTGGTGGGGGCAGCAGAGCCATTGGCAAAAGCGCTGCCCTTTGAGAATGCAGAGCCGTTGGAGAATGCACCAGTAGAACTACCAGACGGAGCGGCAAAGGCACTGCCGCCGGTAAAAGCACCACCCTTTGCAAAAGCTCCTGCAGCGGCACCGTTTGTAGACGTGACAGTAGGTGCACTGACAACAGGAACGACTGGCGCACGTTGAACTGGCGGTGTGACCTTGGGCGGAGGCTGCCAAGTCGATGTGGTAGTGACCGCAGCAGTAGCCGCACCGCCGTCCACGGCGACACCGGCGCGGCCATTGACGACATCCGAGTACGACGAGGTGCCCTTCTTTTGGCTGATAAACTTCCAGCGGCGGGTGAAGGGTGCGTCTTTGTTGTCGTTGTAGCGGGACCCGTGGTTAATCAATGCGCCGACTGGGCCGGTGTGGTCCTTGTACACTTCGATGCCGAACCGTTCCACAATGTCGACAGACTCGTCATTGGGATTCTTGCTTGTCGGAAACACGTCGTCCCAAGCCGTCTCCTCGTCTTCTTGCTCCTCAGCACCCAGGAGACCGTTTAGCATGGCCATGAGGATCATGCGGCGCTCCACAACCTCCCCGTTTTCGTTTTGGCGAGTGGGTCCTTGTCCCTGCTTGAACTTTGGGTACGTGCGTGTCAAGGCGCGAATGGCACTGCGCCGCATTTCACGCAACCGGATTTCGACGAGGCAGGAGAGCAGGTAAGGCACCTTGCCCTGCTTGAGAAGGCGAACGAAGCGGGTGATGAGGTTGGCACCGAGCTCGGCATTGAGCTTGGAACCCTCCTTTTGGCTGTCAAAGTTGCGCTGGGCAGCCTGGCGGATCTGGAAGGCCAGTTGGACGAGCGGGTGGTTGAGAATGACAGAAGGAAGTTCCGAGATGGGAATCGACACCGACTTGTTGTTCAGATCGTAGATGAGCATGTACGCCCTAAACTCGGGCTCGTTGGGGCACGGCATGTCCACGCGCAGCTCTTCCCTGCGGTCGTTGTAGTGTTGTCGAAGAGAGGTGAAGGCGCGCCCCAGCTCGGCCGAGTCAATGTGCATGTCGGTGTTGGATCCGGTCTCCTCTTGCAGCTCGCGCAGACAAAGAATATGCCATCGGGCAATACGCTCAAAGCAGGAAATAGCCTCGTCGTGTCCCCACGACGACTGGATGGCGAATTCCTTGCGGATTGCGCGAGTGCGGTCACGAATGTAGCCGGCAGTGTAACCCAACGCCCGACGCGCAGTGGGCGCTGGAGGGTTGACGGCGTTGGGGTTTGGCGGGGGCTGGAGCGGCATGATCTGGTTGATCAAGTAGTCGAGCGAGCGCTGTGTGGTAAGCAGGGAGTGCGCGTCGTCGTACCACTCACGGTCAGAGCAGCAGGTGTTCGCAAGTCGGAGGGAAGAATGGCAGCCTCACCATGGCCAGCTCCGGCGTCCGATCTTGTATACGCCGCGACCGCCTTGGAGTGGTCCATTCGACGCTGAGGTGTCTGCCATGTTGTTAGTTGACGGCCACGGACTGGTTAACTCACAGCCTCAAAGGGGTGGATCTCCTTTGTAAACTCGCGAAACTCCATCTCGTACTCGGAACACATGCCCTCGCATGAGCCGCGCATGTCGATGGCGGCGTCAAGCTGCGTCTTGCCCGAGGTGATGAGACCTTGTTCCAAGAATGCCTTGCGCTCTTTGCTTCGCAGCTGCTCGAGCTACGTATGTCAGCTTCCGGCACTGCCCGCCCAGCTGCTCACCTCCTTGTAGCGGTTGCCTGGAAGGACATTGTTGAAGCGGGCAGCACGCGCCGCAAGCCTTGCTTGCTTCTGGAGGCTGTCATCGCCGTCGGGGTCGGCTGCCAAGGCTGACATGGTGAGTACCGCGCTGCCGAGTCCGCTAGTGTGAGCAGACGCGGCGCCGGAAGAGTGTTGTAGTGTTGATGGAGGTGCGAGTAGGAGTGTTGCAGTTGATGATCACGGCTCGCGCGGAGTTGGGCGTCGGTGTGTGCCTGTTGTGACCGAATGACTTATTAGAACTCCTATTTGCCTATTTCCTATTTGATTTGACTTTTCTAATACATCCTCTGCTCGGTCACTTTCCCACGCCCGGCATATCCATATGTTCCGGCGGCCGGCCGCGTCTCCTCTCGGCCAAAGGCGACTCGACGACTAACCGTTCATCCTCATCTCTCTTCCACAATCACATCCAAATATGCGTCTACCATTGTTGTCCTCGTCTAGCGCATTGTCCCGCGCCGTTCCGCGTGCGGCTCGCATTCCTTCGCTCGCCAGGCGCGCCTCCACCTATCCTGTACGTCTTGCAGTGGCGGTTTTCCTGCATATCGGCAAGTTAAGTGGCTGACAAGCAACAGGCTCCTGCTGTCGAGTCCAAGGTGACCACTCTACCCAACAGGGTGCGCGTGGCCACTGAGGATCTCCCAGGTCATTTTCACGCTGTTGGAGTGTATGTGGACGCTGGTTCGCGTTTCGAGAGCGCTCGCACGAGCGGTACCTCACATCTCCTGGACCGATTGGCGTTCAAGGTGGGCTGAGACTCTCCTGCGTTTTTTGGGGTCAAACTAACAATGTACAGAGTACCGACAAGCACACGGATGAGGAGATGACCACATTGATTGACCAGCTGGGCTCGCAGATTACATGCTCGAGCTCACGCGAGACTATCATGTACCAGTCCACCGTGTTCCCGCAGTCCCTGGAGCTGGCAATGTCCCTTCTCAGCTCGACCATTCTCCACCCCAACCTCCTCCCCGAGGAGATTGCGGCTCAGAAGGACGCCGCGGCCTACGAGATCCGCGAGATTTGGGCCAAGCCAGAGCTCATCCTGCCCGAGATCCTCCACACTGTTGCGTTCCAGAACAACACCCTCGGCATGCCTCTGTTGTGTCCCGAGTCGCAGCTGGCCGTCCTTGGCGAGAAGGAGATTCGCCAGTTTATGAGCGACTGGTACCGCCCCGAGCGGTTGGTGGTTGCTGGTGTCGGCATGCCCCACGAGCAGCTGTGCGAGCTCACTGAAAAGTTCTTTGGTGCCGCCAGCCCGTCTTCGTCGCTCGACATCCCCTCTTCGTCGTTGCGTGGTGCCTCGGCGCAGCCTGCTGGTGCCAAGGGCTTTGCCACGGTCTCGGACGCCCCCACCAACCTGAGCGACGACTATGCCAGCCTCGCCTCGGCTCGTGCTCTGTACACTGGCGGCGAGCAGTACATCCTCAAGCCTGAGGAGGAGTTTGTGCACCTCTACATTGGCTTTGAGGGCCTCGGCGTCCACGACCCGGACATTTACGCATTGGCGACGCTCCAGACTCTCCTCGGTGGTGGTGGCTCGTTCTCGGCTGGTGGTCCCGGCAAGGGCATGTACACACGTCTGTACACCAACGTCCTGAACCGCTACCACGCCGTCGACTACTGCGCGGGCTTCCACCACTGCTACGCCGACAGCGGTCTGTTTGGCATCGCCATGAGCGTGTACCCGCAGTTTGCCAGCTCGGCTGCCAACATTATCTCGCACCAGCTCGACACCCTCACCCGTCCCCAAAAGGGCGGCATCACGCAGATTGAGCTGTCGCGCGCCAAAAACATGCTCAAGAGCCAGCTCGTCATGGCCCTCGAGTCGCGTCTGACCGCCGTCGAGGACCTGGGCCGCCAGACCCAGATCCACGGCCACAAGGTGCCCGTCGAGGAGATGTGCGCCAAGATTGACGCCCTCACTCTCGACGACTTGCACCGCACCGCCACGCGTGTCCTCCGCCCGTCGTCGCGTACCGTCCCCCTCAACTATGGTTTGGGGTCGGGCGAGGCGACTATCGTGGCACAGGGCCAGATCGAGGCGCTTGGAGACGTCAGGGCTACCATCAAGCAGTGGGGCCTTGGACGCCAAAACTAGAAGGTAGAAACGGAGAGAAGAGATCCTTTTTTGAGAGAGGTTTGACCCCCGCATCCCAGCGATGTATTGTACCCACCCACCCACCCACCCACCCACCACCCATCCATCCACCCATGCACACTGTTCTTCCCCAGAAACGAGGTAGCAGTTGGTCGAGTTGGGGTATTGGGTATTGCAATACAGTGCTGATCCGTGGGTGCACCTCGAGCCACCATTAACATACGCCGTTGGCGTCGCCGCCCGCAGTGGATGCGATCCACTTCTGATCAACTGGTTGCCTTCCCTCGTCGTCTTCCCTCCATCACAAAACTGCACACACTCGCATTCACACTCACGCTCGCACTCTCTCATTTACACTGTCCCATCCTCGCACGCAACTTACAGCTCCCGGTATCGCCCGTGCCAAACCATCGACAGGCGCATTTCCAGCCTAACTCAGACTGCACCAACCACATGACGGTGTGTGACACGGTGGGTCCATTTGGCGACCACAGTCCTGACCTCGCCAGTGCACGGTCTACACCATCGTGGGGCGGGAGCTCACCCTCGACCAGTGGATAGAGCTACAGGACACGATCGAGGCGTATCTCGACACGACTGGGCGTGAGTTCTCACATGCTTCGGGACATACGGGTGCGCAGAATGTGTGGAACCGCTGCGAGCACCCGTTGTCGTTCCTGCACTGCTTCGTCCAACTTCCATCTTCCATCCTTCCATCCTTACGTCCATCATACATCACTCCACCCCTGACCCCGCCCACGGACCTCACTGACCCCCAACCCCCGACCACACAGTCACCAGCTGGAGCCTCCGCATGGAATGGGGTATTCCCGGCGAGACCACGACCGAGATCTTCCTCCTGATGGACGACGAGTGGGAGGGCGAGTTTGACGACGCGATTGTCGACATTATCGAGACGCAGACGGGCGGGTTAATGTGAGTGACAACTCTCTCTCTCTCTCTCTCTCTCTCTCTCTCTCTCTCTTGCACCTCTCGGGTCTCTGCTGCGTGTATCCTTCCAAGCAGACTGACGGCCAGGGTGTTTGTGGACACGTTCGAACCCGATGACTGAGACGTGGGCCAAGGTGGCTAGCTCCCTTTCCACCTGTAAGGGTGGCGAGGGAATGGATGTGAGCGTCTCGTCAACGTCAGTCCTAGTGGCCAGTGGTCCTGTGACGCGCTGGGCTTGTGTGTTGTACTTTTAATGTTCTCGACTCTGAATTCGTGTATAGTTTCCAGCTCGCTGCTGAATTTGGCATTTTCACAGGGTCTTCACGGCCGTCTGGGTGAGCGAGGCTGGGGTGCAGTAGTGCCAGCAGCCCTGCTGTCCATGGCACACGCCGTTCAGAGTGGACGAGTGGACGAGTGGCGGGTGGCGAGGAGGGATCGCGTCGTAAATCCGCCACCCACGCACCTCCCAACCCTATACACCTCGACCAGCTGTATGCAGCTTGATGACAAGGTGGCCGTCAACTGTGCGCATGGAGAGCGCCTTCAGCATTGAAAGGCCGCAGCTCCACCAGTCCAGAGGGACGGGCGCTGCAGGACGTAGACGGAGAGTGAGGCTGAGGGGTGACAACTTTGGGAAGCGGAGGACGCAAATGGTGGCCTAGAACAACACGGACAAGTCGCGACAAACGCGACTGCAGATAACTGTCGGTATGCTACAGTCTGCCTCCCGTGCACTGTTGTACACGTAGTGTTCCGGAACAAACAGACGGCGGGGGTAATGTTGTTGTTGTTGGACCAGTCTGGCCCAAACCTTCTCGAGCCCCATATGCACGTAATGAGAGCCGTGTACCTGTCCTGAATGAGTGATCTGCATGACGTGAACTGGAGCCAGCAGCCACGAGCCGTCGGTAGTCGGCGGCAGGCTCCACTTTGTACTTTATGTGTGTGTGTTGCACTGCATGCAGAGGTTCCGTCTCTTCCGTCTCTGTTTGTGAGTCTGGACCACGGCCTCGCGGCCTCACGGACGGCGAGAAAGGGTTAATGAAGGGGGTTTTTGCAGTACAGATCAGATCACACGGACGGGTTTTGATCGATTTGATCACTTGCTAACAACAAACCAAACTTGGATGTGTCTCTGCCTGTTCCCACATCCCGAACTCGCGTGTCATCTCAGAGGCGAAACCGCAGGCCTCGGGCAACGAGCAGGCCAGCCCCTTTTTGCTGGGCCAATGCATTCCGCCGCAATCTGTTATTCTGCAATGACCCATTTGTTATTGTTGGAAGCGAGAGGCACATGGTTCAACCGCGCGTGGTGTCCCCGTGCTCTGTGCTCTGCCCGGGCCCCCTCGGGGTGTTAGGGTGGCCAACGGCGAGTTTTGTGGGGGAAAACGTCACTTTGGCCCGTCGGCGGTGCTTGGCGTCATATGTGCGTTTGCGCGCGTGTGTATAGGGGACAGGCGTGGTCACCGTATCTGTCTGTGTCTCGCGGTTCCAGGCGGTACACAGAGGGTCAAATGGGTGGGAGCGAGGGGAGGAAGGCGGAACGACAGCCATTCGGGCAGTGGACGCACAGAGGTGTTATTCCACCCACCGGCAGTCCTCCTCGTACGCGCGCCCTCTCCTCGTCGTCCTCGCTTGTTGGAAAACACCACCAGGGTACTCACGCATATGCCGCGCGTCATGCACCACTACTGCTGCTGCTACCTCCTTGCTTGCGTTTAGTCATTCCCATCCTCTCCATTACCACCACCACCACACGCACCAGCGTCATTGATCATCAAAACACAACAGCGTGCCCGCCACCGCCCGTGACGTGTGCCGTCTCCAAGCGTGCCCCTCTCGGCGCCTTGACTCAATTCCAAACACACCACACACCACACCGCCCGCAGTGGACCGCCGCGCGCCCACTTTGACACATCCCTTCTCATCTGCGCGCGCTGCTTTTTTCAACAGCGCACAGCGTTCCCCCATTGATCCATTGACCCAACTCTCGACTGGCCTCGACCATCGCCGTCACCGCGCGTCGACTTGTCGTTTGCGTAGTCTCCCATCGCCACTACTCGTCCTCCTCTCTGTAATTCAACCCCCGCCACCGCGCGCAGTACCCAGCCATGCATCCTTCCTCACCCAACGTGCCGCGCCTCTCCTCCCTGCTCGCCCGCGCGCGCGGCCTGCAAGGTCTTGGCCGTCGACCAAGTACAGTCGTGCTGGCCCTTCCAAAGTTTGGCGTCGAGGTGAGTCATTACGGTGCCATGGTGGATGTCACTCCTGGCGGGCCCAGTTACTGACATTGCACCCTCCCCACACAGCATTCCGACGCATCGTTGAATCACAACGGCCATCACCGTCAAGCGCGTAACTGGCGCAAACCATTCTTCTTCCCTCCAGCCCAGTCGCGCCGGACATCACCTCTACCCAAACCCACAATTGCGTGGAACGACCACCTCAGCATGGTGTAGCACGCCACGCACCGCAAAGCCCTTACACCACGATCGCACGAGCACTCGGCCTCGTCCGACCCAAACCAGAGATCCAGAGACCAACAACCGTCTCTCTTCATGACATACAACACCACTCACCCTCGCCGCTCTACCAGCCGAGAACACTGCTCCCCCCTTCCCCCCTGACGACCTTGTTTAGAAACAGACATAAAAAGAACAGATCCCTCCCACCCCGTTTGCTGTTGTGATATACCGCTTTGTACATAAGTCATGCGAATTACATGATACATGTTGCTGTCCGGCCGGACCCGGGGCCGTCTACGTTGCTGTCTCGCGTTGGATGTCAACACGGTTGCGCCGGGGTCCATTTGCGTGCTTGGTCTGCTGAGTCGCGCCTGCTGCGCCGCCTTTACACCTCCTCTCTCTCCCTCTCTCCCTCTCTCCCTCTCTCCCTCTCTCCCTCTCTCCCTCTCTCCCTCTCTCCCTCTCTCCCTCTCTCCCTCTCTCCCTCTCTCCCTCTCTCCCTCTCTCCCTCTCTCCCTCTCTCCCTCTCTCCCTCTCTCCCTCTCTCCGCTTCCTCCGCCACCGCCGCTGCATGGGTTGGTCGAGTCCACGCCACTCCACTAGTAGTCGTCGTAGTTGTCATCCTCGTAGTCGTCGAACATGCCCTTGCCGCCCTCGCCCGAGCCGCCGCCGCCCTCAGCCTCGCGCTTCCATGTGCCGATCGCTGGCAACGTGCCCGGAGCAGGGACCTCTTCCTTCTTTGCGTCCTCGAGCTTGACCTGCGCGGCAGACTTGCGTCGTGGCGTGGGCGCCGAGCCGTCGGCCGTCGACGCCTTGCGCTTGGACGCCGCGCCGCCGCCTTTACCCTCCTGCGGGTCGGGGATGCCCTCGACGAGCTCGCGGAGAAAGTCGAACTGGTCGCTCTTGTCGATCATCGCCTTGCTGGTGAAGGGGAAAGGTGGGGTCAGCTTGCGTGCGAGGTGTGTGCACGTCGGTCATTCTGTCCACGTACAGGTGGTAAGGGACCATCTTGCGCGAACCGCGTTCCCTCGTCTCCTTGGCCGTCTCGTCTATCAAGAGCTGCAGGAAGCACTCGAGCGACTTGGCTGTCATGGCGTCAGCTTTCGTCACGTACTTGCGTGTGGGTGCAGGCAGGCTCACAGATCATGACAGGCGTAGCAGAGGCAAGCTTGCCGACTTCCTCGTCCATCTGCATAATCTTCTTTATCCGCGCCTGTGGAGAGGGCCGGGCGTCAGCTGGGGTTACAATGTGCCTTGTTCTTCGAGACTGGACGACGCACAACTGGGAACTGGAGAAGGTGGTCAGCGGCGATCAGACGAGGAGCGGTGGGGGGGGAGCCCAGTGGGGGGACACCAGCGTACGATGGCGCTTTCATTCCACTCACGCGGGATGTCTTGCTTCGCTTTGTGAGCTTTGGTGGCATGGTGTGTAGGATGGGTTTGGGGGTTGGGTGTTGATGCGATGGCGAAGGGGGCCAAAATATAGGGAATGGAGTGGTGACACCTCTGTGCGAGGAAACAATGGCGCGCACAGGGTTTTGGATTTGAGCCATCTCCCTGCTTCGTCATTAGACATCTTCCTAATGGTAAATTTGTTTCCGCCGTTAATGCACGGTTCTAATCCTTGGAGCTGTGTGGCGATGCACTGATCCCACTGATCCCTCTCGCAACCAGATGCGACGGCTCCCTTCCTCTCTGCCCTACAGCTCGAGAATCGTTTATCATGTGCTGTAGCTAGCCAGTGAATGAACACTGTCATGCTTCAAGATGCCGTTGTGTACCGGCCCAGCTTCCTTGCAATGGGTAACCGCGACCTGCTACAGAGGTGGTGGTTTATTATTTCTCCTAAGCTTCCAACATGATTCGCGTGTCGCCTGTCCTGGTGTCCCATTTTTCTTGACCTGTAAAGGCCTTCTGTTTTACTGGCAATCTGCCGGCTATTGTTTTGGCCTTGCGAGCTTGCGGATCAGTCTTTGTGGTTTAAACAATCTATGGACACTCGCAATTAAACTATCATCATTTGTCTTCGCCATTATCAACACCAAGCCCTCGACCTACTGGAAACGTTGCCGTACAATGTACGTGTCATGACATGTTACCATAAAAATTACCATATGGCGCCTGTACTATCTATCGCCTTTGAACGACAGCAATCCTGCTTCAGACCAGCCACCATGGACGGCTGCGGTCAATGAACAACGGAACTACACTCCCCCGGACACCCAAAACGCACGTTCAAGTGCTTGTCATGCCTCGCCCTCTTGCAACAAACCCCGCATGCACCAGGCGTCGGCTACCCTCACACCGGCTCACATCGGCCTCTCTGTACATATACGGCAGCAACCCAATGCTTTGTCAACAGACGAGCTAGACGAGACAGGCAGCCTCGTCAAGAGCCACCCCACCTAACTCCCGGATGTAAACTTATCAAAAGCAATAATAAATGGTGTGGACAAAAAAACGGCGCCGGCCGTGCCTGACCAGGCCGTTGTTGGCACTGCGGGTCGTGCCATCGTTCTGCGGTGTGTGGGGGTGGAGATTCAAGGTCATGGCGATTTCGGCGGCTGCCACTTGTGCTTCCATTGTTCAACCATCACCATGTCCGACAAGGCTGCTAAGCGTGCGCGTTTCGAGGGTGTCTTCGACACCATTGCCGAGGAGCTCCTCGCCTACCTCAAGGGCGAGGGCATGCCCGCCGAGGCTATCGAGTGGTACAAGAAGGTGGGTGCCGTCACACCGGAAAACAATCGCGCTGGCACTGGATGGTGTCTGTGTGGATCGCGCGAGTGTGGCCTGCGTAAACTGACACGCCTGTGCAGAACCTCTACCACAACGTCCCCGGTGGCAAGCTTAACCGCGGCCTCTCGGTCGTCGACACCCTCGAGATCATGAAGGGTGCCGCCCTCACTGACGACGAGTACTTCCACGCCGCCCTCCTCGGCTGGTGCATTGAGCTCGTGGGTTCTTCAAGCCCGCACAGTCTTGTCTAACCCATACAGCTCCAGGGCTTCTTCCTCGTCTCGGACGACCTCATGGACGCGTAAGTCGGCCACCTGGCAGGTATGACTCCCCCTTTTCTAAACAGTCACAGCTCGATCACCCGCCGTGGCCAGCCCTGCTGGTACCGTGTCCCCACTGTTGGCAACATTGCCATCAACGACTCGTTCATGCTCGAGGCCGCCATCTACTACCTGCTCAAGAAGCACTTCCGCCAGCAGCCGTACTACGTCGACCTTCTCGAGCTCTTCCTCGAGGTGAGTTGAGGCTGGGCGCCAAAAGTCCCGGATTGGCGCGTCCGTCCGTCCGCGCGCGTCCAAATCGCGTTGGGGCCGCGGGCCCGAGATCTGCCTAAATATCTAACACTCCACCCACAGACCACCTTCCAGACGGAGCTTGGCCAGCTTATCGACCTGATCACTGCTCCCGAGGACAACGTCGACCTGTCCAAGTTCTCGCTGGAGAAGCACCACCTCATTGTCGTGTACAAGACTGCGTTCTACTCGTTCTACCTGCCCGTCGCGCTCGCGATGCGCGTGCACGGCATCAAGGACGAGGCCGCGTACAAGGCCGCGCTGGACATTCTCATCCCCATGGGCGAGTACTTCCAGGTGCAGGACGACTACCTCGACGCGTACGCCCCGCCCGAGGTGCTCGGCAAGATCGGTACCGACATTCTCGACAACAAGTGCTCGTGGAACGTCAACACGGCGCTCAAGTACGCCACGGCCGAGCAGCGCCAGGTCCTCGACGACAACTATGGCAAAAAGGACGCCGAGTGCGAGGCCCGCGTCAAGGCCCTGTACTCGCAGGAGCCCATCTCCATCCCGGCCCGCTTTGAAAAGTACGAGCAGGAGTCGTACGAGCGCCTCAACGCCCTCATCAACGAGATTGACGAGGACAAGTCGGGCCTCAAGCGCGAGGTCTTCACCTCGTTCCTGGGCAAGGTCTACAAGCGCCAGAAGTAAGGCGACGAGACCCGAACCTCAGCAACCCCCCCGACTCCCCCACACTATCTCACTGCGACTCCGCACTCCGCCTTAGAGGCCTCGTACAGGCCGCCGCGGTCTATCTCTTGGGCCATAGAGCATGTCCTACATGAATAATCATAACCCTATTGTGAAGGACAGGAACAATAGTTGCATGTCGAGAGGACGTCTTGCTGATGGATCGTGGGGGATCTTGACACGTGCTGCGAACAATGCACCGCGCTCGGCCCGTCGAGGATTGGCCTGTTGTTCTGTTAGCAGTCCCAGCAACAGACCACTGTGGCGCTACAGTCATATCCCATCTCTATTTCCCCGCTCGGCCAATGGCCCCACCGTGAGCCCCGACATTGCTACTGGCGTCGACCTGAGAATGTGTGAGAGCCCAATGGTGACACACACATACAGTCTCTGTCTTCCTGCCGGGCTGACAGACGAGGTACACGGCAGTACATGTTGCATAGTCCTGTTACATAAAAACGACATCTACGTATTTGGTGGCACAGCGGTACCGTTACAAGCGCTCGGGCGGCGGTGGCGAGAAGCGCACGGCAACCGGCCGGCGGAGGTCGATGTGCGGTGCCGGGAGGTGCGGGCGCACATCGACGTGCTTGCGGAACAGGTCCTCGACGTACGTCGCCGACGTCGCCGACGGCCTGCTGGGGTTTGGAGGCGGGAAGGGTGCAGCGTGGGCGTGGGTGGTCGCAAAAGGTGGCGAGGAGAGGTGGATGATTCGCGTGGGCGACTGGGACGCTGCCCAGTGCACGTGTGGGGAGACGTGCGGTGAAAAGGCCTGGAACATGTCGCGAGGCGACTTGACGCCAAAGCGCGGGTGCGCGACGTCAAGGTCCATGGTGCGTTCTGGCGTGGAGGGGCGGAGAGTGCTGCAAGGAGGGGGGCGGTCGGCGAAGACTTGGCGCGGCGACGTCGACGGCGACGGCGACCGCGCGCGCTTGAACAGGTCGACATACACTTCCTTGCGTGGTGCGACCTTGAACGAGGACGAGGACGACTCGCGCTTGACACTGGACTCCTTTCCACCCTTGTCCCGAGGACGGGGCGGTGTCGGGCGCGGTGTGAGTGGGAGCCCGGGTTTGCGTTTCTTGGTAGGGGTTCCCTCCTCGACGTCCACCTTGCGTTTGCGAGGCTTGGTCGGCGTGTCCCCTGGCGTGAGCAGCCCGAGACCAGTGTCCTCGGCCTTGACCTTGGTCGGCGTGTCCTTGACCCGCTGCGGCGTCCTGCGTGGCGTCTTCTTGGGCGTTGGGAGTGCCGGCGCAAAGCTGTCGTCGGCGACGAGCGCTGCAAACTCTTGCACATCGCCGCGCGCCCACACATCAAACACACCGTCCCATTCTGCAGTCTTGGCCGGCGGCTCAGAGTTGACAAAGACGGTGCGGATGGGCGCCGCCTTGCCGTCCCTCACCGAGGCGTCCGTCCGCAGCGACAGAGACTTGGCCATCTCCTTGACAATGCGCTTGACACCGGGGATGGCCAGGCTGGTGCCTGCGACGAGAAGCAGGTCGGCCTTGCCTTCACGCTCGCCGCGCCGCCCGGTCCCACGAAGGTCACGTTCCACAACCGCCCCAATGAGGTCCCCCTCGGGGTGCTCTTCGCCGTACAGGACGACGCTGGCGCGTAGCGTACCGACACGGCGCTGGCGCTCGGAAAGCGCCGAACGCAGGGACGACGACAGGTCGCAGGTGGGACATGGGATGGGTTGGGGAGGCAGGGGCAGGTGAGTAGTAATGGGCACCTTGGTGCTACACAGTGAACAATGGAGGTTGTCCAGCAGGCCGTGCAGGGGGATACAACGCGGTGCTGGCGGGTGGGACGGCGGTTCCGTGTTGGGAGTGATGTCACCGAGTGCGCTCGACACCTCAGACTCTGGGATGGGCGAGTCGACGGGGGTGTCCACAGCGCTCACACTGGCGCTTGCTCGCTCCTTGCCCTTGCGGCTACGCGACCGTTGCAGCGGGATGCCAGTGGCAAGCCCTGCGCGGGCCTCGAGCCCGTCAATGTTTTGTGTGTAACATCGCAGCAGTCGACCGTCATTGTCCAAGGTAGCGAGTAGGTGGTGGAAGGACGTGGGGTCCGCCGACGTCGCGCGTTCACATAGGTCAGTGAGCAGCGCGTGATGGTCTGGAAGGAGAGCGGCAGACTGCAGAGAGTGAGCTGGGTATCGCGACAGGTGCTGCACAACTCACGCTCAGACTCTTAATGTGGAAGAGGTCCTTGATGCCATGTCCCTTGCTGCCCGAGAACAGACCACTGGCTGATCGAAAGTCTGGGATGGCAGCTGCAGTGGACACGCCGGCACCTAGGGATGTCAGTTGCTGGGTTCCTGTTCGAAAGGGCACCACCTACCACAAATGACGACAATACGCTTGGCAGCGCGCACCCGACGCACCACAGTCGCGAGGTCTGGCACGGGCTCATCCGCATCAGGATCTGGCGCCTCGGCAAAGGCGCGGGCCCCAGCACGCGAAGGACCGGCCTCCGTCTCGTCTCGTTCGGCGGCGGCGCTGATGGGGACGAGGGCTGTGGGCATTATGACGGCGGTGGGGGCGGAGGTGGTGGCGGCGGGCGAGGGCCGGGGGATTATAGTCCGCGCGCCTGTGGACAAGTGGATGTATTCAAGAACGGGGGGTTTGGGTGTGGCCCATGTACAATTGCGATGCTGGATGGGGGAGAGATTGGCGGGGCGTGGTCAAGTGGTTGAGCAAAAGGCGAAGGTGGCGACCGCGTGTCCGAAAGGCAACGGATGTGACGGTGGATGCCAGATGCGGATGAAATGGAATGGGATGTCGTCAAGATGGCTGGGCGTGCACCCACACACTAGACACTGCTGCTGCTTGCAAGAACGCGTCTGCACACCCACGGCCCCGACCCTGCTTCCCCCATTTAGCCCGCATTTCACAGCCATTTGGCACCCCCAAGCTAAAGCGCGCGGTCGTCAAAAGGAAGAACGGCACGTGATATTAAGGAGGAGGATTAAATAAATAAATAATATAAAATTCAAGAAAAAGACACCCCGCTGTCAATGTCAGGGGGGCTCATGGCACCGAGGTTGGCAGCCACAGCGAGCCCAGCAGACCCACCCAGCAAACCCACCCAGCAGACTCACAGCACCAGCAGCTCTGTGGGCCGGATCTCGGCCTCTCTTGGCGACGGCTGGAGGGTTGGGTGCGAGCGACCTCGGACGGCCTGAGTCGAGCCACTGCCGCTCGGCCACTGGAATGTGCGGGGGCCATGGAACGGTGCGAGAAGAAATCTTCAACATGCCTCTTTTTCGTTGCTCCTGGCCCGCCCTGCTCCTCCATTCTCGAACCTGCGCCATTGACCGCAAGGGAGTGTTCCCTTTGTGCGGCCTGCTTTTCCCTCCCCCCACCCCTGATGTGCCCAGCCGGCCAACCGACCTGTGCTGCCGTTCTGACTGGCCACAGGACTCCGAACGCGTCAGGCGGACGGGACTTTTTCTGTTCGAAAAAAAACTCCAGCCAGGTGTCGGGAGTGACTGCCTCAGTACTTATTCAACGCCATCGATGGACTGTGATCTCCTTCTCTCTCTCCTTCTCCTTTCAATGCATAGCTGCTCGGCGTCGTTCCACACACACGCTCAGTACAAAAACCCCTCCCCTCTTCAAAAACGGTGCAACCACCACATCTCTCCCTGCTAACCATCAAGCTCTCCCAAACAGAGAGCACAGGGACACGCACCACCAACTCTCGACCATAGGCCGACGACACCGGACACCCCACTAGGACCCCCCCGCATCTCAGCTCTCGGTTTCTCGCACCCGGCCAGTCCAATCCCCCTTCTTGGCCCCCCCGCCTCCCCTCTCGGTGTAGACAAACCAATCATGGTGGCTCCCGCTCTCGACGACATCGTCCCCGGATCGTCGCCCGTCATCGACACCCCCGGATCGCCTGCCCAGGCTACCGGCAGCGTTCGTGCTAGCGTTCGCCGTGACATGACTCCTCTCCGCACCGTTGTCCAGCCTCTTCCCGCTGGCGCGCTCTACCCCCCTGCCTCGGGCAAGGGTGTCGACTTTATGGCCGGCGAGACCGCCTGGAACGACAACATGGGCCAGGGCGACATGGTCCTCGAGCTTGCCGACGGCCTTGCGCTCTCCGGTAACTCGTTCGGTGCTGACAAGAGCATCTCCGGCGAGTGTGTCTTCCAGACCGGTGAGTGACGACGGCGAGCTGCTGCATATAAAAAAAAATTGGCCGAAAATTCTAATTGATTTCCTAGGTATGGTCGGCTACCCCGAGTCGCTCACCGACCCTTCGTACGAGTCGCAGATTCTCGTCCTCACCTACCCCCTTGTGGGCAACTATGGTGTTCCCGAGCGTACCGCCCAGGAGCAGTCGACTGCCACCGACGCCGACGGCGTGACCGCCCTCCTCGACTCGATTCCCATCGAGTACGAGTCGAGCCGCATCCACATTGCCGCGCTCGTCGTTGCCAACTACCACCCCAGCTTTTCGCACCACCTCGCCACCTCGAGCCTCGGCCAGTGGCTCAAGGAGCAGGGCATCCCCGCCATCTGGGGTGTCGACACCCGCATGCTCACCAAGCGCCTCCGTGAGGGTGGTTCCACCCTCGGCCGCGTCCTCCGCCGCAAGGACGGCGCCGCTGCCACCCTCCTCCCCGCCGTGTCGGCCGACGGCACCGCTGAGACCTCGTGGCGCGCTAGCTTTGAGAACATCGAGTTCGCCGACCCCAACAAGGAGAACCTTGTCGCCAAGGTCTCGATCAAGCAGCCCGTCGTCTACACGTCGCTTACCGGCGTTGAGCCCCGCATCAACCCCCGCACTGGCAAGACCATCCGCATCCTCGCTGTCGATGTCGGTATGAAGTGGAACCAGATCCGCTGCTTCCGCAAGCGCGGTGTCGAGGTCAAGGTCGTCCCCTGGGACTATGACTTTAACAAGGAGGCCGGCAACTATGACGGTCTGTTCATCTCCAACGGTCCCGGTGACCCCTCCATGGCTACTGCCACCATCAAGAACCTCGAGGTCGCCCTCGCCAACTCCAAGGTCCCCATCTTTGGTATCTGTCTCGGCCACCAGCTCATTGCCCTCGCCTCTGGCGCCCGCACTCGCAAGATGAAGTACGGTAACCGCGGCATGAACATTCCCTGCACCTGCTCGACCTCGGGCCGCTGCTACATCACCTCGCAGAACCACGGTTACGAGGTCGACGCCACCTCGCTCCAGAACGGCTGGGAGCCCCTCTTCACCAACGCCAACGACGAGTCCAACGAGGGTATCTGGATGGGCAAGAACGGCAAGCCCTTCTTCTCGGTCCAGTTCCACCCCGAGTCTGCCCCCGGTCCTCGCGACACCGAGTTCCTCTTCGACGTCTTCATCCAGAGCATTGTCGACACTGCCCGCGAGGGCCGTCTCGTCTCGGTCGACGTCCCCGGCGGTGAGCTCAAGGAGCACCGCGAGCGCCTCCCCCGCGTCCAGGTCAAGAAGGTCCTCGTCCTCGGTTCGGGTGGTCTCTCCATCGGCCAGGCCGGCGAGTTTGACTACTCGGGTTCGCAGGCCATCAAGGCTCTCAAGGAGGAAGGTATCTACACCATCCTCGTCAACCCCAACATTGCGACTATCCAGACTTCGCCTGGTCTCGCCGACAAGGTCTACTTCCTTCCCGTTACCCCCGAGTTTGTGAGGAAGATTATCAAGCACGAGAAGCCCGACGGCATCTACTGCACGTTCGGTGGCCAGACCGCCCTCTCGGTCGGTATCGCCCTCAAGGACGAGTTTGAGGCTCTCGGCGTCAAGGTGCTCGGTACCCCCATCGACACCATCATCACCACCGAGGACCGTGAGCTCTTTGCTCGCTCCATGGAGAGCATTGGCGAGAAGTGCGCCACCTCGGAGTCGGCCAACAATGTCGACGAGGCCATTGCCGCCGCCAACCGCATCGGCTACCCGCTCATTGTCCGTGCCGCTTTCGCCCTTGGCGGTCTCGGCTCGGGCTTTGCCAACAACGAGCCCGAGCTCGTCGAGCTCTGCAAGGTCGCTTTCGCCACCTCCCCCCAGGTGCTCGTTGAGCGCTCCATGAAGGGCTGGAAGGAGGTCGAGTACGAGGTTGTTCGTGACTGCATGGACAACTGCATCACTGTCTGTAACATGGAGGTAAGTAAACAAAAGTGAACAGCAAAAAGCAGAAAGGCTGACCTTGTCTCCAGAACTTTGACCCTCTTGGTATCCACACTGGTGACTCCATTGTCGTCGCTCCCTCGCAGACCCTCTCGGACGCCGACTACAACATGCTCCGCACCACTGCCGTCAACGTCATCCGTCACCTCGGTGTCGTCGGCGAGTGCAATATCCAGTACGCTCTCAACCCCTACTCGAAGGAGTACTGCATTATCGAGGTCAACGCTCGTCTCTCGCGTTCGTCGGCTCTCGCCTCCAAGGCCACCGGTTACCCGCTCGCCTTCATTGCCGCCAAGCTCGGTCTCAACATTCCCCTCAACGAGATCCGCAACTCGGTTACCAAGAAGACGACTGCCTGCTTCGAGCCCTCGCTCGACTACTGCGTCGTCAAGATCCCCCGCTGGGACCTCAAGAAGTTCACCCGTGTCTCGACCAAGCTCTCGTCCTCGATGAAGTCGGTCGGTGAGGTCATGGCCATTGGCCGTACCTTTGAGGAGACGATCCAGAAGGCCATCCGCTGCATCGACGACAGCTTCCCCGGCTTTGGCGAGAACATTGAGGTCGAGGACATTGACTACGAGATTGCCAACCCTACCGACAAGCGTCTCTTTGCCATTGCCACTGCTCTCAAGCGCGGCTACTCGGTCAAGAAGATCAACGAGATGTCCAACATTGACCCCTGGTTCCTCCACCGCCTCGAGCGCCTGTCCAAGACCGAGGACGTCATGACCAACTTCTCGGCCGCCACCATCCCCTCCGAGCTCCTCCGCAACGCCAAGCAGCTCGGTTTCTCGGACCGCCAGATTGCCAAGGCCGTCAACTCGAACGAGCTTGCCGTCCGTCGTCTCCGTGTCGAGGCCGGCATCACGATGTTTGTCAAGCAGATTGACACTGTCGCCGCCGAGTTCCCTGCCTTCACCAACTACCTGTACACCACGTACAACGCGTCCGAGCACGACGTCGACTTTGAGGACCACGGTGTCATGGTCCTTGGTTCGGGTGTGTACCGTATCGGTTCGTCCGTCGAGTTCGACTGGTGCGCTGTCCGCGCCATCCGCACTCTTCGCGAGAACGGCCTCAAGACTGTCATGATCAACTACAACCCCGAGACTGTCTCGACCGACTACGACGAGGCCGACAAGCTCTACTTTGAGAACATCTCGATGGAGACCGTCCTTGACATTTACGACATTGAGCGTTCGTCGGGTCTTGTCCTCTCGATGGGTGGTCAGACCCCCAACAACATTGCTCTTGCCCTCCACCGCCAGAACGTCAAGATCTACGGTACCTCGCCCGAGATGATCGACACTGCCGAGAACCGTTACAAGTTCTCGCGTATGCTCGACAAGATTGGCGTCGACCAGCCCCTGTGGAAGGAGCTCACCTCGTACGACGAGGCCAAGTCGTTCTGTGACAAGGTCTCGTACCCCGTGCTTGTTCGTCCCTCGTATGTTCTCTCGGGTGCGGCCATGAACGTCGTCTACTCGGACGACGACCTTGCCGCCTACCTCGGCCAGGCCGCCGAGGTCTCGCGCGACCACCCCGTCGTCATCTCCAAGTACATCGAGGAGGCCAAGGAAATCGAGATGGACGCTGTCGCCAAGGACGGCAAGATGGTCATGCACTACATCTCGGAGCACGTCGAGAACGCCGGCGTGCACTCGGGTGACGCCACTCTCATCCTCCCTCCTCAGGACCTCGACCCCGAGACCATCCGCAAGATTGAGGTCGCTACCCAGAAGATTGGTGCCGCCCTCAACGTCACTGGCCCTTACAACATCCAGTTCATTGCCAAGAACAACGAGATCAAGGTCATCGAGTGCAACCTGCGTGCCGCTCGTTCGTTCCCCTTCGTCTCCAAGGTCACTGGCATCGACGCCATCGAGATGGCCACCAAGGTCATGATCGGTCTCCCCGTCACCCCTTACCCCGACGTCAAGATGCCCCCCAACTACGTCGGTATCAAGGTCCCCCAGTTCTCGTTCTCGCGTCTCTCGGGTGCCGACCCCATTCTCGGTGTCGAGATGGCCTCGACCGGTGAGGTTGCCTGCTTCGGTCGCGACAAGTACGAGGCCTACCTCAAGGCCCTCATCTCCACCGGTATCCGCCCTCCCAAGAAGAACGTGCTCCTCTCGATCGGTTCGTTCAAGGAGAAGCTCGAGATGCTGCCTTCGGTCCACAAGCTCCACCGCATGGGCTACAACCTCTTCGCTACTGCCGGTACCGCCGACTTTATCCAGGAGCACGGCATCCCCGTCAAGTACCTCGAGACCCTCGACGAGAACGACGACCCCCAGAAGGCCGAGTACTCGCTCGAGCAGCACCTGGGCAACAACCTCATCGACCTGTACATCAACCTGCCCTCGAAGAACCGCTACCGTCGCCCCGCTTCGTACGTTTCCAAGGGTTACAGGTCGCGTCGTATGGCCGTCGACTTTGCCGTCCCCCTGATCACCAACGTCAAGTGCGCCAAGCTCTTCATCGAGGCCATCATCCGCAAGCCCGCGTTTGACATTTCGAGCGTCGACTACAAGACCTCGCACCAGACCTTCACCTTCCCCGGTCTCATCTCGGTGCAGTCGTTCGTTCCCGGTGCCGCCGAGGCTGGCTCGGAGGACTTTGCCATTGCCACCCAGTCGGCTATCCGCGGTGGCTTCTCGGTTGTCCAGATGGTGCCCCAGGGTGTCAGCTCGGCCGTCGAGGACGAGATCTCGCTCCAGCGCGCTCAGCAGAACGCCTCGGGCCAGGCTCACTGCGACTACTTCTTCTCGGTCGCCGCCACTGCCGACAACGCTACCCGCCTCGCCGACGCCATCGAGGCCGGCGCCAAGGCCCTGTTCATCCCCTTCAACAACTTCTTTGGCAGCGGCAACAAGGTCGCCTCGGTCGCCCAGCACTTTGCCGCTTGGCCCCAGGACAAGCCCATTGTGACTGACGCTCGCGCCACTGACCTCGCGTCGATCCTCCTCCTCGCTAGCCTCAACAACCGCAGCATCCACATTGCTTCGGTCTCGACCCGCGACGACATTGCGCTCATTGCCCTCGCCAAGGAGAAGGGTCTCCCCGTCACCTGCGACGTTGCCATCTACGCCCTCTTCTACTCGCAGGCCGACTACCCCGAGGCCGCCAAGGTCCTCCCTACCGTCGAGGACCAGGAGGCCCTCTGGGACAACATTGCCAACATTGACGTCTTCTCGGTCGGTGTCCTCCCCTTCGAGCTCGGCCAGGCCCTCGGCAAGAAGGTCTCGGCCCGCTCGGGTGTCGAGGAGTCGCTTCCCCTCCTCCTCGGCGCTGTCACCGACGGCCGCCTGACTCTCGAGGACATTTCGCAGCGCCTCAGCGCCAACCCCCGCGCCATCTTTGGCATCACCGAGCAGGCCCAGACCTGGGTCGAGGTCGAGGTCAACCGCTCGTCCACCTTCCACCTTGACGGTGGTGAGTGGTCGCCCCTCGAGGGCAAGGGCACCTCGGGTGCTGTCCACCGCGTGGTCATCACCAACCACTCGGTTGTCCTTGACGGCAACGCGTTCTCGATGCCCCTCGGCCGCGACATTTCGCTCGCTGGCCCCGCCAAGGCGGTTGTCCCCGCCGGCCGCGGCTCGTTCTCGCGCGCCTCGCGCCCCAGCATCTCGCTGCTGTCGCCCCAGCTCCCCCAGCTTGGTCTCGGTCTCGGCCTCCAGGGCACCCAGCAGCCCAGCCTCATGTCGCTCGCTGCCCAGCCCGTCGCCCCCCAGATCTCGCCCATCCCCGTCCTCCAGACCCTCCAGCCCCACCCTGCGTTCACGCGCCGCCACATCCTGTCGGTCAAGCAGTTTGGCCGTGACGACCTGCACACGCTCTTCAGCCTCGCGTCGGAGATGCGCACCATGGTCGAGCGCCAGGGCTCGGTCGACACCCTCCGCGGCAAGGTGCTCTGCACCCTCTTCTACGAGCCTTCGACTCGCACCTCGACCTCGTTCGAGGCTGCCATGAAGCGCTGCGGTGGTGAGGTCGTCCAGGTGACTGCTGAGACCTCGTCTGTCCAGAAGGGCGAGTCTCTCCAGGACACCATCCGCACTGTTGGCTGCTACGCCGACGCCGTTGTCCTCCGCCACCCCGCGGTCGGCTCGGCCAAGGACGCTGCCAAGTCGTCGGTCGTCCCCATCATCAACGCCGGCGACGGCATTGGCGAGCACCCCACCCAGTCGCTCCTCGACGTCTTCTGTATCCGTGAGGAGCTGGGTTCGGTCAACGGCATCACCATCACCCTTGTTGGTGACCTCAAGAACGGCCGCACTGTCCACTCGCTCGTCAAGCTTCTGTCGCTGTACGACGTCACCCTCAACTTTGTGTCGCCCCCCTCGCTCGCCATGCCCGAGTACGTCAAGACCGAGGCGTCGCGCGCCGGCATCCGCTGGGCCGAGTACCACAACCTCGACGACGTCGTCGCCAAGTCGGACGTGCTGTACGTCACCCGCGTGCAGCGCGAGCGCTTCGCCTCGGTGGCAGAGTACGAGTCGGTCAAGGACATGTTCGTCATCAACAACGACGTCCTCGCCAAGGCCAAGGACAACCTCATCGTCATGCACCCGCTCCCGCGCCTCAACGAGATCGACCCCGAGGTCGACTTTGACTCGCGCCGCGCAGCCTACTTCCGCCAGATGCGCTACGGCCTGTTCATCCGCATGGCCCTGCTTACCATGGTCCTCGGCGCATAGTCTATAGAAGACAGACTTCAGACAACAACAACCCCCAAACCTCACGGATATCACCAGCATCATTTACCCCCCCCTCCTTCACTGGCTGTGCCGACCCCACTCGCTGTCAACCAGCGGGCGGGCGCGGCGGCCCCCCTCCAATCCGCTCTAGACAAAAACCAAAAAAGGGACACGGACGTTCATTTCGTACGCACGCGCGCGGCGCCCTGTCGATTAGTATCCAGTACCAATGCATCGTATTTTCAGAACCAGCAGTGCAGGGTGTGTGCAGTAGAGTAGAGGAGAGGAGAGGAGAGTGTAGTTGAGGGTGGAGTGGAGTCGGGAGAGTGTTGGGGGTGACGGGGGAGAGGCTGACTGACGTGGGCACCACCTGGCGGCCAGGAGTGCCACACTGGTACACTGGCTACACTGGCTCGTCTGTCCTGTCCCTGCGAAACCTGTCGCCTGCAGGTATGCTTAGTTGCCATATGCACAGCTTGCATGGCAAGCGCGCACCAGTGAGGGGTAATAGAGGCTGTGGCAATGAGCCTGCGTCTGCCGTGGCCAGAAGGCCAGAAACTGTACACCATACACCCGCGGTTGGACGTGAGCGACGGGTTGTCGGTGTTCTCGCAGGAGAAACGCACTGGAGACAAGAGACAAGTTGCAGCGTGCTTTGCCGGCCAGTTTCCCGGCAGGACCTGCACCATGACACCACTGCTAGCTACTAGCTACGATGCTAGCGCCAGCTGCTGCGTTTCGCTTCGCTCATCGGATCCCCGGCTCTCACCTCCCAGATCCCAGATCTGCGCTGAACCGACTCGTACGCCGCCGCATCATCATCAGCAACACACACAGGTACACAGGGAAAACTGGAGCACAACCCTGGTGCGTTCGCAATAGAAACCTCATGATCTACTTTTGACTCCACCCCCCCGACCACCGCCTCAAGGGATCAGAATCAGGAGGTGGTGGGAGCCAAGACGTCGACTGCCGGACCCACCCTTGGCGCGGACAGTCTGTGGCCTGTGACTTGTGACCTGTGGCCTGTGGCCTGTGGGTCCGCACATGTCCATTTACATTTACATTTACATTTGCGCACATGCGCACACATGCACACGCACACGCACACGCACACGATCTGTGTGGGTGCAGCCAGCTGATGTCTGATGTCTGATGTCTGATGTGTGAAAGCCCAGCCACCGCTTGCCGGTCCGGAAACCCGGTCAGCCGTTCCGAGCCCGCCATGTTTTGGGTAAGTGCTTGGCCTCTGGCCTCTGGCCTCTGGGACACACACGACGGCGGGCAGCAATGAATGATCGACCGATTAGGCGAAACCGCACGCGCTACCCGGCGCGCAAGGTTCAGTTTTTGCGGCGCGGGTGTAGCAGGTATACCCAGCCAGCCGGGCTCAAAATCCCCGGCGCCGCTGGAGAATGAAAACTGGGTCTGTACGTTCGACGTCTCTCACTGTATGCGGCGGCCATGCTGACGTAGGTGCTGCAGCATGTCCTCTGGTTCCACCGGGAGCCAAGTATATACTACCCCTCCTCTGCCTCTGCCTCGCCCATGTCGGAGATGTAGAATGGCAGAGTGGAGCGCAACATTGTATGCACAACGTGCCCGCCAACTCGGCTCCAGATCTCCACTGCAAGATCCAGAGCAAAGGGAGAGCGAGAATGACGACATCCCACATCCCACACCCAGAGAAGGGGAGGGGGCGTGGCTGATTTTCTGTCCTTTTTTTGTATTTTTCCGAGAGTGCGCGGAAAGACAACAATGTTGGGCGGGCGTTCCTTAATCCGTATCCTGGGTCCCATGGGTATCCCGCTGTGGCGCGCTGGCCGCTTGCCCGCGCTGGGTACTGTACTGTACAATTCGATCAGTCGTGTGCTCTATAGTGAGAGTTTGCTTTTCCTTTTCCTTGTCTATGGGGTGCAGTCCACGCAGCTCGTGCTCCTAGCGCACGCCGCCCCGCGGGGGAACACACCCAAAGCGCAGCACGCGCACGGGGTTTAGGGACGGCTCCTACCAGGCATTCCAGGCTACGCAGAACGCTAAAGCGTTGGTGGCGATGCGTTGGTGTCAAAAAAACGGTGGTACGATGGGACATTACGACATGTGACATGACACCCGGCGCACCGACGGAGCCTGTGACCTGTGGCCTGTGGCTTGTGGGAGGATAATGTCGGCTGTCGAAATGTACAAGACAATGAAATGGCCGGCGGCCGGCAGTGGCCGGGTGGCGAAAAACAAGGCCCCATTGAATGTGGTGCGTGCGACGTGCACAGGATGCGTGTCCAACAAAAAGCAGAGAATAATGCAGAATGCAGAGATGCGTGTGCGGGCTCAGTATACAGAACCCGGTGGAAGGCGTCGTCATCCTGGATCAGGACCTCGGCGCGGCATGCAGGCCTGGTTTGACGGCATGGGCGGCATTGGCCGCTGAGCCCATGGGAATCAGAGAGAGATTTCAGTGGGAGTGAGGAGGAGTGAGTGTGGGAGTGAAGAGTGTTGACCCCGCCGTCTGCTGACTGCTGCGCTGGGAATAGAATGGTGGAAGTATACAGTAGCTATAGAATGGTGTTCATGAACATTGCGTGCACGATTGGGCAACACTCGTTTGCCTACAATTGCTAACCGAGACGGGTGCCGAGACCCGGCCACCGCTAGGGCAATATTACATTGCGGAAGTTCCTGCACGCTGCAGCACGCACACACGGCCATGTCACACCGCAGTGATCGCAGTGATCGCAGCGAGGAAGCGAGAGCTTCTATCTCTGCTGAGAAGGGCAGAAGAAGCACAGCGAGACGCCAGTATGCTACGCAGTCGGTGGACGGAGGGCTCTCCCACTGCGCCAAGTGGCCGGTGGCCGGTGGCGGTCGAGAGGCGGCGAAGCCGGGGGGTTTCCCATCGGCCGCTAGGTTTTTTATTTTACTTTCGTCGGTCAACGTATATCTGAGGGATCTGAGGGATCTGAGGGATCAATGATGAGAAATGCGGGGCAGGACAGCGGCGGTGACTGCGCCTGTGATGGTGAGAACAGACGACGACGACGACGACGACGACGACGACGACGACGCTTCCGGCCCGCTGCAGTCCAACTGACTGGGCATGTGGCTGTTGGTCGCCCAATGTCAGGTGTGTCATTCCGCGCCAAAAACCTAACGGTTGTGTGCGGGGACAAACGAGATGGGGTGTCCGCCACTTGTGACTGATGTGCTGACGTCAGGCTCTGGATGTGAGAGCTATGAGCTGGTGTTCTACTTTCTACTTGTGTAAGGTATGCCTCGAAGGAGCATGCTGCACGTGCTGCAGCAACGTATGCATCCGTGCACGCCATCCCATCCCGCAACAGCAGCAACAGAGAGAGAGCGGCTGTCGTCGTCGTCGCTCTCTGTTCACTTGACTTTTTCATCGGTGCCTGCCCATTCCTGCGTTCCAGGGACGCGTCACAGGGAATGCAAACGATGCGGGGAGCATACCGCTTACAGTACACGGCCCCCGCGAAGAGAGAGAGTAAGCAGCGCATGCAGGCAGGCAGCGTCAGGCAGCTCAGAGACAGCGTGCAGGAGAGGCTGGGCCAGCCCCTTGTGATGGATGAGCCAGGCAGCCATTGCAGTGGATGACGACCTCCGTTCTCCTTGTCGGTGGGTGCGTTGTTGCTTGCCCGCCTGCCTTTCTGGCACTTGCCGTGCCCAGTGACTGACCTGGCATGCGAGGTCTTGGAATCCAGTACGCCCAGTGCGAGGTTCTACGGTGGGCAGCGCAAGAACCCACACCTTGCCACCCATCCTATTTTGTTCCTTTTTTTGGTACCAAGGCGGTGTCGGTTTCACCCTGCCACACCCGAGAAATTAAAAGAGAAATGGTCCCCCCACCCAGCAACGGCACTTTTGCCCAGGCTTGGTGGGTGGCGCATGCTGTCAGCGGCGCAGACATGGCGGCGGCGGCGGCAGCAGCGGCAGCGGGGAGCCAACGTGCGTCGACGTCAGCAGCAGCAGCGTGGCAAGTATATACATGTACGCTCACATGCTTAGATCCTAGAGCGATCCCTGTTTGCTAGGCGGCTGTCCATCTCACTGCATTGAGGGGCAGGCATGCACACACATGTACATGATGGCAGTGACACCACACATGTGCCCTGCGGCCAAAGGAACGACGCGGACTTCCGGGACAGCGAGACGACACAGAGCGCGCGCACATGTGTCTCGCGTAGCAAAAAAAGCCTTGTTGCGTAGCTCTCTGGCGCGGCACGAGGCGGGTCCAACAAAAAGGCACCCTGTGCAATGCAAAGTGTCGCCACCCGGGAGGAGCAAGAGAGAGAGAGAGCGAGACAAGGTTGAGCCATCGAGAGCCGTCAGAGCGCCAGACAGAGAGAGGCCACATCAGGACACACGGACTGACAGAGCCAAAATGCCATATTGCAGGCCCGCTTGCTCGGAAGGAAGCTCGGACAACCTCCGCCGCTTCTCTGGTGTGCCGCACCCTTTGCACGCTCACACCCAGTGGACTTGTGCTTCCTCCTCACCGTCTTGGGATCGACATCACTCAACAAACTACTGCAGCAGGACAGCATCCCCGCGCCTCTCGCTCCCTCCCTAAAACCGACTGCCCCGGCCACCTGCAACCTTGCGACGCTCGTTGCAGAAACAGGACACTGGTACACTGCATAAACGACTGTTGAAAGTGGCTCGTGTCTGGTTACCGCGTTTCACGTTGCCCGAGGTTTCCATCCCGGCACCCACAGCCCCCTCATCGTCCTCCCCTCTCCCTACCTTTCCCCTCGTCGACCTCCTACCTCCTACCTTTCCCCTGGGCCAACCAAGCTCAATTCCCATTTTGGCCACTCGCGACTGCCGTAGGGGCTTCTGGACCAGCAAAGGGGCTCTGCCGGCAGCACGGGCCAGTCGATCTCCTTGCCTCTCGTCTGTCACAGTCTCTCCCATCCGTATCCCTCTCCCACTCTTGCAACCACTCTCTTTCGTCGTTGCTTCAACCCTCTCCCCCAACTCCACACACTGCATTGCATAAGCCTGTCCTTTGTCTGGTTGAACGTCACGCACAGCCCAACCTTTCCACATTCCAAAATCGGTGAGTGACCCGCAACGCCGCCGAAACCGCGGCGAACCGTGCGGCGCACACCCTCCGTGCACACACCAAGTTGTCTCCGTCTCCGTGTCTCCCGGTGTGACGGAGCTGAATGGTGGATGCGGTGCGCGCATGTATGGCGGTGGCCTGTAGAGTCGGGGTTCTCGCAGAGTGTGCACTGCATACACGTGTCGGTGAACGACAAGCATGATGGCTAATCCACGCAGGCCGGCCCGCCGATCGCTCTGTCGTAGAAGCAACACAACCCCCCCGGACGTCATCGCACACACCGACACACCGACACTGCCACTGAGCGCGCCCAGTAACACACATCCAGTGCAAACAACACTGTATCTCTGGCATTTGTTGAACAAATTACTACTGGTAAGCATCAATGTGTTTCGTTCACGCCATGCCCATTGTCCTTTTTTCTTGCATGCCAAGAGCAGAGCCCAGTCGGCCGAGTACGGCAGGACTTGGGTTGGCCACCTGTCCGGCCCACCTGAAAACGCCCATGCGCCAACGCCGCCTCCGCGCCCGGGCTGAGCGCCCGTTCGCAACTCACAGTCATTTTCTGTGGACCTGTGCGCGCCGCCGTTCCCGACATTGCCCCTTTGTGCAGATGGGCCAGGTGGGGAGGCGGCTGCTGCTGCTGCCAGTAAAACTGCTCTACGGCATCTCTCGCCCTCTCTCTCACACCGTCCCCAACACCAAACACTCTCCTTTGCATAGTTACTGACAGTTCGATAAGCCAGCTCGCTCGCTCGCGTCGTTCGTCGTCGTCGTCGTCGTCACTCCTTCGCCCGCCTTCTCCCGTCTCCCCCCCTTCCCCTTCTTCCCTTCATCCTCCGACACGGCACATCGCTTTTCCTTTCGACACCCCCTCCCCCCGAGCCAACGTCGCCCCCCCCCACCCGGTCAGCCGCTTTGAACGGCCTCGCTCCTCGCATCGCCTAGCCTTTCGACAACAGACCAATCTGTTTCTGAACGGCACGAACGCGTTGAACGGCGACACTTGTCCTTGTCCCGTAACCCCCCCCCCCCCCCCGCGCCTTCCCTCCCCGATCGACAACGATGGCCAACGTCGAGACGCTGCGTGTTCCACCCGCGCTCGGCCCCTCGTACTCGCGCCCAGGCTCGCTGGTCGTGACGGAGGTCGAGAGGGCGGTCCCCATTATCGACTCTTACTCTCCGTACCCAGCAATCATGGGCTCTGACCATGCGAGGGATCCGTTTGGTCTCAACTCGTTCCTCATGAGCCCTTTTGACAGCGCCTGGGAGTTCTCCCACTCCATTCCCGAGGAGGCACCCAAAAAGACCGAGCGTCCAGCAAAGAGCATGTCGCGTCGGTCCAGCTCCAGCAACCTCCTTCGCCGACCATCGCCACTCGCCCAGCCTCCTGTGCTCGCCGACGCCGACGCCGACGCCGAGGCCAAGGCCGACGACAGCACCGAGGTGATCGACGACGAGGACAGCGCCGTGGCGTCCGATGTGGCTGAGGACAATTCCCCTCGCAGGCCCAACTCTATGGGTTCCAAGGGTCTGAGGGCGCTCATCGCCCGCAAGTCGACTCTCGTGACAGAGGCTTCTGCGGCGCCTGTAGTCACGGTTTCAGCCGCCGACGACCTGGAGCCCAACTCGGGACCCGCCATCTGCGAGTCTCCCATCTCGTCGGCGCCCCAGTCACCCATCATTGACAATGTCTCGCGCATGGCCGGCTCACGGTCAGACTCCATGTGCTCGGCCATGTCGTCTGGCTCGTCCACCGACGGCTCTTGCGACGATGGCATCCAGACACCTGGCGACCTTCCTCCTCCTGGACCCGTCGACGTTTCAGCTGCGTCGGTCCGCCTAGTCGCGGCCCTCAACGAGGACCGCAGCAGGCCAAAGTCGACATGGCGCGACTGGCTCAACGGCCGCCGCTCGTCGTTCCTGGGTATCCGTTCCGAGAGTGGCACTACGCTCCTCGAGTCGCCCCGCGAGTCCGTCTTGGACCTTGGCCCCGAGATTCCAGAGGCCGAGAACTCGCCCACCGACAACAGCGACGCTGCCCACGCTGCTGCCCAGCTCCGTCGCTTGTCGCTGCAAAAGCTCGGTGCGCTCCGCATGCCCTCGCCTCACCCATTGCAACTGCTGCTCACTCGCCAACACGTCAACCTCCCGGACGAAGTGGCATTCTCAATCCCGGCCACCAAGCGCGTGTTCCCCATGTCGGTTAACACTGTCCAGCGTGGCTCGACCGAGTTTGCAGCTGCCCACGGCAGCCTGCGTGTCGCTCTTGCTGTCCGCAACGTCGTTGTTCACATTGACCGTGGCGAGCGTCCCACCGACGCCTGGGTCCCCAAGAAGGCCTCGTCGTCCAGCAACATTCTTCGTCCTCGCGGTGTGCGCGACTTTGTTGCTCGCCAGCCCTTTGAGGAGCGCATGGTCACCTTCTTCCCTGATGAACGTGTCACGCACGTCAGCATGGCCCGCCGTGGCTTTGCCATTTACGAGCTCGAGTTCTCCGACTACATCATGGCCCTTTCCGAGTCCGAGGACGCGCCGATCACTTGGTCGCTCAGCAAGAAATCCAACCGCTCGACGTCTTCCTCGTCGCTCTTGCCACCGCCTCGCGCTGCGCCGACCAAGGTCACCAAGGTCGATGTCCTCGCTGACCAGAAACGTGCCAGACGTGCGTCGCGCGAACTGGTCGACAAGCGCCGCTCGATGGCTCCTCCTCAGCTGCCCGACATTAAGCGTCAATCGGTCATGTCCATCGCCCCGATTGCTGCCGCCGCCCCGGCCAAGTCGTCGTTCCGTGCCACCAAGCCCAAGGCCGCAGCAACGTGGGATGACAGTTCAGACGAAGAGGACGACGCCGAGGCGTCCAAGCCTTCCGCCACTCGCCCTGGTCGTCCCCCTGCTGCTCGCACGCAATCGGCGCCAGTCGCCCGTGCCCGCCAGTCCGTCATGATGGACAGTGACGCCGCACTGGACCACATTGCGCGTGCTCGCGAGCGTCGTGCCCAGTTCGAGGCCGGCGAGTGTGAGCGCAAGGCCGAGAGCAAGCGCATGAGCGTCATGCCCAGTGCTCGTGGTTTTGCAAGTGGCAAACCTCCAGCAGCAAAGGATGCGCCTCTTTCCAGCCGTGCCTCGTCCAGGTCGTTGGCGGCCGCCAAGGCTGAGCGTCCGCAGCCGACCAGGAAGGCGTCCAGCTCTACCCTGGCTGGCATGGCTGGCGAGCAAACCCCGCGCAAGCAGCGCACACCCACCTCGTTGCCTTCGTCGCCCCGCTCGGGCCTGCAACCCGACCGCCGCCGCGTCGTGTCCCAGTACGAGATGGCCGCGGCGTCGATGCAGCCCCGCGCAAGCATGATGGGCATGGCTGGCATGTACGGTGCCGGCGTCCCCCAGGTGCCCCTCATCCCCGCCATGCCTGTCATGCCTGCCTATTCGCCCGCAGTCATGCACCGTGGGTCCATGGCATTCCCCCCAGCCATGCCTACCATGACCCCGATGATGGGCATGAACGGCATGAACGGTATGCAATACCACCCTCAATTTGCTGGCATGCACTCGCCTCAGTTTGCCGGCATGCACTCGCCCCAGCTGCCGCAAATGTACCTGCCCCCACCGATTCCTGGAACCGGTCGCCGTAGGGAGCGCCCAGTGAGCTAGGCGCCTCACAGCTCTGAGAAGCACCTCTTGTCTCTAAACATCGGACTGCACCTCTGGACTTTTTGATCCACTACGGATCCCCCCCCTAACTCGTCTCGATATCACATTTTACACCGCACCAAACCCCCACCCACCACACTGTCACGATACCCCGCCGCTAATGGCGTAGACCTCGCCCTCTTACTGAGGGTGTACCCCCCATCCAAACTCTCCAGCACCACCACAACCACCACCACAACACACACGGACCTTTCATGACCTCCCCCACGATCCCTTGTAGTAAACCTTCATCATTTTCTCCTCTCCCCCTCACCCCACCCCCCACCGTAGACTAGCACATACCGTACACCGGCCGGGCGCCATGTATGCATCCCCCCCCCCCCCTTTCGCATGCACTGTATAGAATTCTGTTGCGTGAACGTGGAACGAACGTGGCGACGAAGAACACAGAGTGCACGTTGTTCCACCGCGTTTGCGCGTTACATGCCATATTGCCGTACACGACTGCCACAAAAATGCCAGTAGCCGGGCGCACGGGTGCCCACAAATCGCAGGTTGGCCCAGAACCCGCACTCCAGCTCCAGCTCCAGCGTCAAGGGCTCGGACCATGTCTGGGCAGGAAAACCCATTGATGGCTGGCTGGCTAGGTATATTTGCTCCGATCAGTGCGCCGGTGTGGTGATCGGCAGAGCGTGGCATGCATCGACCGCGCGTCAGCACTCTTTCGTCATGGGCACTCTACCTCGGTTGGTGGCCTCTGGCCTCTGGCGTCTGGCGTCCGTCTGGCCTCGGCTGTTGGCCTTGTTCGGGGGTGGCGTGCGGAGAGGTCGTCGTGTGGCAAGACAACCCCTCTTCGCCACCTGGCCACTGGGCCACTTGCCTGGCCTGGTTACTCTTTTGGGACCGCGTGTGGCTCGTCCCACACGCGACACGGAATGGGAATTGGGCCCCCGTCTTGCATTCTCATGATGGCTCATGGCTCGTTCCAGAAGGTTTCGCGGAGGGTTTAACTGCCAAGGGAGGCTCCCACTCCCATGCTCCCACTCCACTTGCTCTTTGTGGACAGGTGGACGGTGGTGAACTCTGTCGGGTCGGAAAGGACCAAGGACCAAGGAGCAGAACACCGGTACACCGGCCGGTGGTTGCCGCCTGACCCATATCCCTCTTTGTCCTGGCAGTTGAATCTCCATCCCCCACAGCAGTTGGTGTCCCGCCTCCTCCAGCCTGTCGCCACCTGCACCTGGCCTACCTCTCGACTCTGCTTGTCGTGAAGCACGTCTAACCCATTTTTACCTGATGGCCGTCGTTTGTCGCCGTGTGACTGGCCGGCCGCGTTCCTGAGATAAGAAGACCCACATTGCCCGTATCGGGCGGGATCAAATTCACCGATCTCTGATGGGCCCGTCTCGTCGTCATGGAACAGACACTGCTCTCTGGATCTCTGCACTGCCATCGTTTGTTGCTTCACCTTTCTCCTCCCGTCACAGACATTCACGCGACACACAGCCCACACGGCTCGCTTGTCTTGGAACATACCCGATCTGGCGACTACAGGAAAATATCGAGTAACGGCGCACAAGTCGTCATCAAGCAACCGCGGCCCCCTTCCTCCACCTCCGGCTTTCACGCGTGCACAACGACCCGAACAGCGTCCTGCCTGCCCGATCCGGCGGCACACAAGGACGAAACGCGATCCCGAGACGTGTTACTGGTCGTGATCGACGCGCGCTAGCACGTACTCTGGCGGCGAGGTTACAGACGTCGAAGCGGCGGGATCCACCCCAGACCACCCAGACCACCCCTTCAGCAACCGACACACCCCTTCTTCCCCTCCCCTTCCCCTCAGAACCATGGCCGTCCACCCCCCTGTCCCCGTTCCCATCGCCATGGCAGACTCACGCCCCATCCCGGGTCCCAGCGCGACACCATCAGCGCCATCAGCGTACGGCGCCGCGCCGTCCGCCGCCGCCCAGCACCTCATCTACGTCCTCCTCGACTCCAACCTGCCCACGGGCGGCTTTGTCGCCTCGGGCGGCCTCGAGTCGTACGCGAAACACGGGTTCCTGCACCCGCCCGCCGCGGCGCCGTTCGCCGTCCAGACTGGCGCGGTGGGCATCGAGACGCCGGCGCTGGTGCTCGCTACCAACGCAGGAGTGGCCAACGGCGCGCCGCCGGCCCAGCCGCGCGCGCGGCCCATGAGCGCGCCGGCCATGGGGCCCGGCAAGGCTGGTCCGGCGGTGGTGGCGTTTGCGCGCGCCGAGATGGAGAACTTTGAGCGGAGCACAGGCGCATACCTCTCCGGCGCGTGGGGTGCCGTTGACGCGGCGCTGTGCGCTCCGTCGAAGGCGTGGTCGGCTGATGACGACGTGCCCGGCGCGGCGGCCTCGCCCTCCGTGGCTTCGCCCGCGCCCTCGCCCTCGCCCTCGGTCGATTCCACCGTCGCCGCCCTCGTCGCCCTTGACACGGCGCACGAAGCCACACTCCTCTCGCATGTCCCGCGGCGCGCGAGCCGCGCCCAGGGCGTGGCCCTGCTCACGCTCCATGCGAGGGGGATGGGCGCGCCGCCTGGGTTCCCCCTGGACGACGAGGCCGACGAGGACGAGGAGAGCGACGGGGCCGAACCCGAGTCCGAGTCTGAGTCCGAGTCCGAGTCCGAAGACCAAGTCCCAGCCGAAACACGCAGCGGCGCAGGGGTCGAGGGAAGGGGAAGCGGACGGGGACGGGTGGGGGAAGGGGAGGGGCACAAGGCGGCGACGGCGCGGCGCAACGAGCTCGCCCGCGAGCTCGTCGCTGCGTACCGACATGCCATCCGCCGCGGGGCTCCGGGACACCTAGCCGTGTGCTTTGGTGTCGTCACGGCGTGTCTCGGACTGGACCTCGGTGAGTAGATGTAGTGGAGCTGGGCCCGGACGAGACTCGTAGGAACCACAGCTGACACAGCGCGCACGCGCAGAAACCACACGCCACCTGTACCTCTTCACGCACGCGCGGTCGACGCTGTCGGCGGCCGTGCGGCTCAACATTATCGGCCCCTACCTCTCCACCCAGCTGCTGGCACACCCCATGCGCAAGGTCCTGCGGTCATGCCTCAAGCTCGCAGGCAAGGAGGGCGCGTGGCACCCCGAGGTGGAGCTCGCTGCGTTCCCCACCGAAGTCGAGGTGGCGCCGGCGCCGGCACTGGCGGCAGAGCAAGGCGGAGACCAGTGCGAGGTGGACGCGTGGGCGTGGGCAGACGAGGCCGAGCGCGGACCAGCGACGACATGGCCGCTGGGCGAGATCCTCGCTGCGCGACATGACCTGCAGCACTCGCGAATCTTCAACTCGTGAGCCACGAGGGTGTGTGTGGTGTGGTACGTGGTGTGGTAGAAGCAGCATTTGTAGAACAGAGCAAAGCATGGGTTTATGGAGGATGCATGGGGAGGAGATAACGATGCAGTTGATGCCTTATACGGCTGACAGTTGAAGGTGTTGGTGGTTTTATGCCGTGCTAGAAATGGGTTGGGTGGGTTCAATGCAGTTGATGCTGGCCAAGTCGTCTCTGGTGTGTTTTGGAGGCGATTGGCAGCCGAGTCCGGAATGCAGTTGATGCGACAACAGGCGGTATTGGTGTCTAGGGTTGGTAGGATAGCAACAGGGTCTATTGTCTTGGAAAGTATCACAGACTGGATCGTGTCGTCAGCGCCAGTGTCCTTGAGACGTAGTGGTAGGTCTGATCATGCCAGACACGACCGTTCGTTCGCGGGGGTTCCCTCAGTCTCGCCTTTTCATCCCCTTCCGCACCCGCTGGCAACAATGCGTCGCTCGCAGAGGCATAGCCTCGTTGAACGGAACGCGCCGGCCAATACTCCATAGGAGCCGGGGTGCGTATGCGGATTACCAATATCGTTCATCATCGGGTGGGTGGGAGTGGTGGGGGAGCGCCACTTACATGTACAGGTGTTTTTTTTGGTGGTGTTGGTTTAGTGCGAGTAGTCGTACTTCTCAAAGAACGTCTGGGCGTCCTTGTACGAGGACTGTATGGTCAGATAGGTGCCATGAACGTCACATCTGCACTCACGTCAGTCTTGGGACCGCGCATGCGGCCCTTGGCCTCCTCCTTCTCGCGACGGAGAATGCGGTCCTCGCGAAGCCACTCGAGGGCCACCTTGAAGAGGTCGGCCTGGTTCGGCTTCCAGTGGACAAGGGCACGGGGAGTCTTGCCGAGCTGGATGTGGCAGATCTTGTTGGGGAACTCGCCGAGGCCGTCAAAGATGTGGGTCGCGTACAGGATGGTCGCGCCGCGGGTCTGGGACTCGTTCTTGAGGAAGTCGATGAGGTCGGCGCGGACGAGCACGTCGAGGTCGACGGTCACTTCGTCGAGGAGGAGGACATCCCACTCGGTCATGAGACCCATGCAGAGCTGGACGCGGCGGCGCTCTCCATCGGAAATCTCGTGCATGTGCCAGTCGAGGTCGACGTCGAGGATCTGGAGCAGGCGGTCGCGGCGCGCGCGGTGACGGTAGCCGCCGACCGAGTCGAGAAAGTGCGAGACAACAATGTCAGAGCGCACAACAGGGTTGTTGCTCCACTCGGTACCAAGGTAGACGACGCCCTGGGCTGTTAGCTTTGGTTGCCATGATGAAAGCTTACGCCAGGAGGGTTCATGAAGACGTCCTGTCCGAGGATACGGCAGTTGCGCGTCTTGGTCAGGCGCTTGCCCGCGAGAATGCGGAGGAAGGTGGACTTTCCGGCTAATGTCAGCTACACTATCCAGAGTATACCACAGCTCACCTCCGTTGGCGCCCATGAGGAGACAGCAGTCGCCGCGGTCCAGCTGGAGGTTGATGCCCTCGAGGACGGGCTCGTCACCATCGCGCCATGCGAAGGTGAGGTCGTTGCAGTCGATGGCCAGGAGAGAATCGTCAGACGGCATGGTTGGGTGTTAGTAGTGCTGGGGGTTGGTTGTGGGAGGTAGTGGTGTGTAGAGGGTGGAAGCTGCCTTGGAGGCAGTAGGTGTGGGGTTATGTATGGGATGGGACAATAGGGACGAGTGGATGACGGACGCGCCGAGATGGACCGATATGCGACACAACCATGTATGACTCGGAATGACGAATTTGCCACATCTGCGGATATTCCGCGGTAGAGGTCACGTGACTGTTGGTGCGTGTGTGTGTCTTGGTGGCGGTGACGTTGACAGAGGGATATGGCGACCCGCGGGAGCAAAATTCGCCCAGCCAGCGTGTCGATTGCCACTGCCTGGCGCCTGGCCCCCCGCCGCCCCCAGAGCGAAGACACGGACGCACCACCGCAGCGCCGTCAGCCCCGCGCCTCTCGTGTTGCTCCTCGTCCTCGTCCTCGTCCTCTCGTCCTCTCTCCTGTTTTTCTTTTTCCTCTCCATCCTCACACTCCCTTCTCCTCCCCCCTTCTCCCCCCACACACACACCCACCACCACCATGTCCGAGTCCCAGGACATCTTCCTCCGCCCCGAGGACTCCCTCGCGGCCCCCACCCCCCAGAACACCCCGCTCAACACCACCGTCCTGACGTCGCGTCCCGCCGCCATCGCCAAGCCCCACGTCGAGGACGTTGCCGAGGACGACGAGGAGGAGGACGACAACATCGGTGCCAACCCCGCATCGCTGCTCGCCAACGTGAGTGCCCCTTCCTGCGCGTCTCCCTGTAATCGTTGCGAGCCCTCTACCCCCCCCAAAGCACACCACTTGTGGTTGCGACCAAAAGATTTGAGAAACGCCGCGCCGCGTGCGCCAACGCGCGGCCCAACCCTTTGGGGAACAACCCCGCTACTGGGGTCCATGCGCGCGCGACTTGACTCGCCGGTACGGTCCTCGCACCCACGGGCTATATACGTGTGGTGATGCCGTTGGCCGGCGCGCGCGTTGATGGTGTGCTGTGCGTCAAAAGTCAAAAGGGCAAATGCGGGGCCGACATGGAACGTGTTTGAAGAAATGTTTGAACAGTGGTCGCTGACATAGTCTTTCTTGCAGAACCCCGCTCTCCTCGCTCTTGCCCAGCAGAAGCTCGGTTCGCTCGTCGGCCGCCCCTCGGGCTACATCGAGTCGCTCCCTGCCCCCGTCCGCAGGCGTATCGACGGCCTGAAGGGTCTCCAGGTCGAGCACTCCAAGATCGAGTCCGAGTTCCAGCTTGCCATCCTCGAGGTTGAGAAGAAGTTCCAGGCCAAGTACGCTCCCCTCTACAACCGCCGTCTCGACATCATCTCGGGCAAGGCCGAGCCCACCGACCAGGAGGTCGAGGAGGGCCAGAACGCCGACTCGGACGACGAGGATGACGACGAGGAGGAGGGTGCCGCCATCACCGAGCTCCCCGAGGAGGACAAGGACGAGGAGAAGGTGGAGGGTATCCCCGAGTTCTGGCTCACCGCCATGAAGAACGCCCTCCCCCTCGCCGAGACCATCACCGACGACGACGAGGAGGCTCTCCAGAAGCTCAACGACGTCCGTCTGTCGTACCTCGACGGCCAGGCCGGCTTCAAGCTCCACTTCTTCTTTGGCCCCAACGACTTCTTTGAGAACACCGAGCTCACCAAGACCTACTACTACCAGGACCAGGTGGGCTACGGCGGCGACTTTGTCTACGACAAGGCCATCGGAGACGAGATCAAGTGGAAGGAGGACAAGGACCTCACCAAGAAGGTCGAGATCAAGAAGCAGCGCAACAAGACCTCGGGCAGGACTCGTGTCGTCCGCAAGGTCGTTGCCACCGACTCGTTCTTCAACTTCTTCAAGCCTCCCCAGCCCCCAACCCGCGAGGAGCTCGAGGAGGGCGACGTCGACGAGGAGGAGCTCGAGGAGCTCGACTCGCGCCTCGAGATGGACTACCAGCTCGGCGAGGACTTTAAGGAGAAGATCATCCCCCGCGCCGTCGACTACTTCACCGGCAAAGCCCTCCGCTACGAGGACGACTACGAGGAGGACGACTTTGAGGACGACGACGACGACGAGGACTTTGAGGACGACGAGGAGGTAGGTTGCCACCCAGACACCTGTATCAGGCTGACGCGTTAGTAGGCCGAGGGCGCCAACGCCGCGCAGGGCGAGGAGTGCAAGCAGCAGTAAACGCTAGACACACACCCGACCAAACCCAGTCTCTTGTCCCTATCTCTCGCTCGCTCGCTCTCTCTCGTCTCCCCGTCTCTCTCGCTCCATCACGATCCCCAACCCCAACCTCCAACCCCCCTCTTTCATGTGCTGCATCGGGCGGCGCGTGAACGCGTCGTCTTTAATCCGTGCCCTTCGTCGAGGACTGTTTTATTTAAATGCAATCGATCATTGTCCGGACTCGGACTAGGGAAAATATAGCGAGCGCAGCGAGTGTATATCCAAGGCGTGCCGTGGGAGTGGAACGAGGCGAGCAAGGCGAGGACCAGAATGCAGCAGATAAAAAACACACACTGGGGACGACACAAGACACCAATGCTTCTGATCTTCTGAGCATGTTGCCGAGAAAATGACCGTCTGGTCCAATGCGCGCGCGCGCGCGCGCGCGCGCGCGCGCACGAGCGAGAGCGAGGTACAGGCACAGACCATTGCCCAGCGTTCTACGTGGCGCGCGCTGGGTCGGTCGTGGCGGTATCGGTGTCGGTTGTCGGTTGTCGGCGTCGGTGTCGGTGTTTCTCGCTCTCTGCTCAGTCTGTCCATTTGCCTTTTGCTGAATTGCTGCTGCTGCTGCTGCGACTTTTGCTGCCTAGGTCAGTTCCCTGTCCCTGTCCCCCGTCGCCGAGTGTAGCGAGACAAGTGCGCGCGCGAAAGCACATCGGCGACTTGCACAAAGGGGGCACTAAACCCGCCGTCTGAGCTTGGGGTCCCAACCCACGCCGCTGGCCGCACGGGTGCTGCGCACGCCATGCACGCTAAGCGGGCAAAGGTGCAACAGGTCCGTAACCCTGGGGGTTTCCAGGCGACCATTGCACGCCTCGACGAGTGGGTCCGTGGAGGCGCGTGGGGGGTGGAGGCCGAGGCGGAGACGAGAGGATGTGGCGCTTCTGACGAACGTGCACTGTGTCGGTGCTGGCTTGCTGGACGCAAGCGAGCTTGGGTGATGAAGAAGGCAGTGTGCCCCCGGTGTCAGCGTTGGCTTTGTGGCCTGCTACCTGCTACGTGCTACCTGCACCATGCTGCGTGCTTGCCTTCGGCGCTCTGCGTGTTCATCGGAGATCCATCATACAGCTACAGACACAACCGCGCCACTATTCATCTTTCTTCTGATCACACGACACACCTTTCTCTGGCCGGGGCACGTTCGGCCCGGGCTCGTCGTTTTTCTTTTCTCGTGGTCGTCACCTTCGTCGTCGCCGTCGCCGCCGTCGTCGTGTATCCCCCCAAGCAAAGTAGTAGTACAGGAATTATAGACAGGTGGCTTTGGCTCAGCCACGACCCCGACCCGGACCCGGACTACCCCGATCCCAAACCTCTCCAACCTCGCTACCGACCACCACACACCGGCTCCCTCCACACTCGAGCCTCACTCATCAACGAGGTCGGTTGGCGGGCCGATGCTCTCGAGCAGGCCTGCCCACGCACTCACGTCGTGTACGGGCGGGAACGAGTCTGCGCTCGGGTCCATCGGCGACGGGAACGCAAACCAGCGCGCCGCGGCGTCGTCGTCGTAGCCGGGCGCGAGGGTCGCGTAGGCGCCGGCACCAGACACGCCGGGGTGGTAGGGCAGGACACCGACGGGGGCCATGGGGGCCACGGGGGCCATGGGGCCGAGGGTGGAGGACGTCGAGGAGAGCATGGTGTGGGACGGATACTCGGCGCCAAAGGGCGGGAGCGGCGGGAGGAGGTTGGAAAAGTAGTTGTTCACGGCGCCGACGCCGACGCCCGCGTCGGGCGCGGCGGCGGCGTGCAGGTCCGCCACGGCCGGCGTGTGGTGGTCGGGCGGGGTGAGCGTGTTGGTCTGCATGGGCGGCAGAAGCGTGAATGGCAGTGGGCGCGGGTGGGCGAGTTGGGGGCTGAGGAGGGTGGTGCGTGGCGTGTGTGGCACCGTGACATGGGGAGGAGGGTGAGGGTGTTGCTGCTGCTGTTGAGGCTGCTGTTGCTGTTTCTGGCACTCGTCGACGCCATTCGGCGGCGTGGTGGTGCCCGAGCCGCCGCGGCTGGTGTGTGTGCTCGGAAGGGCGCTGGGCCGCTGGCTGGCGGCCGTGCTGCGGACCTTGGCATCCACCTCGGCCGCCTGGGCGAGCATCATCTCGAGCACACTGATCTCGTTTTCGAGCCTGCGGTCGCGGCGCTGCGTGTTCTTCTCTACTTGGATGTACTCTTTGAGAAGCTCGCGGATGGCGTCGTAGTTGAACTCGGTCTCGCGCTTGGCGCGAGCAAGGAGGAGGCCAAGCACACACGCGGGAGAGAAACCAGAAGCGACCTGGGGTGTTAGCTGTATCTTGAAAGGAATTACGGTAGCTCACTGTAAGCCACTTGAAGCGGTCGAATGGATCGTCGTCCGTCTCGAGGAGCGACAGGCGGTGGCGGAGTTCGACGCCGGCCGAGACGACACAGCACATGCGTGAGTCGCCATACTCGACCTTGCCCGAGGGGAGGAGGTATGGCCGGTGCAGGGAGATGCGCGCCTGGTGGTACTTGGACATGAGGGTGCGGCGCTGGAGAAGGAGCCAGGGAAAGTGCTCGTCGAGGGACGTGTCTGGGTCCTCGAGGCAGAAGACGGGTGGGAGGCTCGCCTGCCACGCGACCATGAGCTCCTCGCAGCGCATGACGTCGGCGTGGTTGCGCGGGTTGAGACCAAAGCACGACGTGAGGATTTGGCCGATAATCTGCGCGAGCTTGTAGTGCAGAATGAGGAAGGTGGATTTCGTCGTCGTCGTGAGTGGAAAGTCGGCGCGAGGAAGCACGTCCAGCTCCGTGTCGGGAATGTTGGCCGGGGTCCGCGTCGTGAACGATCCGTCACGGATGGCCAGAGGGCGGCCCAGGAAGTAGGAGATGGACCGGTCGAGAATGTACATTTCTGCATGTTAGCTTGACTGTCGACCAACGGAAAAGCTCACGAGCCCAAAGACGACGCCAGAGTTCTGCCTGCTTGGGCACCAGGTGCCACGTCTCGCCGTCAACCTGGAATCTGCTGGGTCAGTCTCCGACAGCACGAGCGCCTAGCCTACCCACCCTTGAGCCTGTGCTGCGCGCACGGCACTGCCGATCATGTGCCACGACTCGGGCATGCGACGCATGGATACGAGGTAGAGCGAAAGCTGTGTGTCAGTTTTTTGCGTACATAGGAAGCTGTAACTCACCAGAGTGTATGCAGCGACAGTGTCAAGGCTTTCGCCGTAAAAGCTCGCTGCCTCGGACAGGGCACGGCGAGCGCTCACAAAGCACCTGTCACTGATAGCCAGGCGCTCCTGCGGTGTGAGGTCTGCATGATTGTCGAGAAGCACGCCAAACGCCAAGACTGTGTGAAAGAGGGCAAACCACCGGAGATCGATGCGCGTGAGGTCCTCAAACTGCGAGTGTGTGTCCCAGAATTCGGTCGTCTTGGTGATGAACGTGGGGGCGTACAGAATATCCACCCAGCTGGTTGGGTTAGCCCAGTACGGTTATAAGGAACCCGCGACTCACGAGTTGTACTTGTCAAAAAAGGCGGCGACAAACTGGCCGCAGAGACTACGCTTGGGCAGTGCTCCGTCCAGCTGGCGGATTTGGCGGAGCAGCTCGGCGTCGCCGCTTGAGCGGTAGGGCGTGTCTGTGACGTCGGGTGCAGAGCTGCCACCATGCATCACCTTGGCAGCTATTGTCACATTAGTATCATTTCTGTGTGGAGATGCACTCACCGAGACGGGGTCCAAAGTGAGACGTGCCGTAAAACTGGAACTGGTCTGAAAAAAAAAAAAAGTCAGCGAAAATACTCCCAAAATGGCCGGGCATGCAACTGCCACACTCACGTCCATGCTCCTCGGCCCCTTCCAGCGCGAGACTGCCAATACCGGGGGCACCGCCTTCCTGCATGAGGTTCTTGTCCTCGTGGCGGTCCCAGTCACGGAGACGCTGGGGCGAGCGGCGAGAGTCGTCACTGTCGTCACGGACGTCACGAGGGCAGCCGCCGCCACCTGACCTGGGCACTGGGATGGGCTGGGACGTGCCTTGCTGGTGCTGCTGCTGCTGATGCTGGTGCTGCCTGTCTGGGTCGGGACATGGCTCAATGTCGCTGCGTATCGCCGAGAGAGAGGGGAGAATGGGTGAGCGCGGGGTACGGCGCCAAACAGCTGACGGCGGGTGGTAATGGAGCCAGTCGTGTGGAGGGGGAGTGACGACCTCGTGCCGCTCGGAAGACACGGGAAGGCAGGGAAGTGTGTGGATCATGTGTGGGTGGTACGAGGGCGTGTGTGCAGAGACATCCGGCGTGAGCTCGGGGACTGTATGGTGTCAGCAGGTCATTTTCATGGTTGGTCCATTGACCAAGGGCCCAAAGCGAGAGACGAACATGGACACGAACCAGAGTGGACGGACGCACTGGCGTGACTGGTGGTGCTGCTTCCGCTGGAGCTCGAGTCCGAGTCGGCCCATGTCTGGTGGTAGTTGCGGTCCTGTGACTTGTTGCGCACATCACGATCCTCGTGCGTGCGGTCGAGCCTTGGCCGGGCGGAAGTGCCGTAGAACTGGTGGCGAGGGGAGATGTGGTTGAGAAGGCTGCTGCCGATCTCGCGCTCGTCGCTGCGGCGCTTGGGGCTGGGGGGATCGTCGCTGTCCTCGCTCTGGGTGCCGCTCGACGCCTTGCGCTTGGACGGCGACGTGGGGGACTGCGACGAGGTGGTAGGTGGGGCCTCGGGATACTTGCAACCGTCGACGAGGTTGCGCTTGGCACAGTGGTGGCAAGGTTGGAGGCGGTCGCACTGGAGGGGTGTCAGTGACATGGACGGGTGGTGGTAGACAGGACAGAGAACATGTGTGTACATAGTAGGGATGTTGGTGGGAGGAAGACGGACGGGCGTATGGCGGTCCTGTAGGATTTGCCCTCTGGAGCAGCACAGAACTGCATCGCATCCCGACCTCGCTTCCATCGCACCAAGCTGCGCTCTGGAGGTAACCAATTCTCTCACCTTTTGTTTGCGCCTGTTGCACTCGAGACACGCTGTCGCCTGACGTCCCCGCCTGCGGATAACGTCGGAAGAAAGGCCGTCGAGTGGAGTCATGATGCGGTCGACAAATGCAAGTGACGCGAGCGGGGGTGGGTGGGGGTGACTTAGGAGCAACCTGCGGGGCTCTGCGTGGTCGCCGCCTGTGGTTGCTGCCGGGCTGTGCACGATGGAGGTCCTTTGAGACATGAGACGGTGGTGGTCTGGGCCGCCGTGGTGGAGCGTGTCTCTTGCAACGCTCGAGTACGCGGCCCGGGCCACTGTGGAGTGAGGTGAGGGCGCTGGAGGGAAGTGGGCTTGACGGAAATGGTCCTCTGGGTCTGACTTGTGGGTGGTGGACGAGAGCATGGTGGGTAGTGGGGAAGATGGCAAGGAAGATGTGGCGAGATGAGGAAGACAAGGTGGTGCGGGGGATGATGGCATGGACGACGGAGAGAGGGGAGGGAGGGAGAGAGACAGCTGGGCAAAGAGTTATGAGCCATGTGCGTTTTTTCTTGCCTTCGGTATCATCGGGGCGGGGCGGCGGATGGGTGGGGCCGAGAAGCATAGCGGGCGCTCATCAACTTGCGTGATGGCGATCAAAAGACGGACGCATGGAGACGCCCTCCTCCCTCGAGAACCCGTCATACTTTTCAGCAGCCACAGTGGGTCAACGGCGGCTCAGCGGCGTCGGACCAAAGCAGGCGTCTCGGGGGAAACGGACCCACACTCCGTCGCGCGGGGTCGGCGCTTCGGACTCGGCGTTGACGGGGCGAGAAAGAAAGGGGGATGGGCGCCAACCTGCAACGGCACAGTAACACCATCGTCGTCATCACCATATGTCACTGCTTTCCTATGACGGAGGATACTTGCTGTTGGCGGGGCTGGCTGCCACCTGCGGCTCGAGTTTGTGCGCCAGTCACCCCTAATGGTCGTTGCTGTGTGGGGGTGTATCCGTCAGGATTGTACGATTAACTCGTCCATCATCAGGTCCAACGTGGGTAGCATGAGGGACAGTGGGGGATGGTGTATGGCGGTGCATCTCCCCACTTTGAACCTTGAAGTCGACCCAAGCTTGCCGCTACGGGTAGCAAAGTCACTGACAACAGCGATTCTGAGGGGCTGCGGCATGTGGGCAGACATTGTGGAGCGCGTGGAGCCAGGCCCTCTTGCGAGGTATGAAGGACCTGGAGGGTATGGATAAGTAGAGTATCAACCACCAAGGGCGCTGGGGGGCAAGGCGTGTGTGTGGGTTTCGAAAGCAAACGGACGCGCGGGCACCAAGGGGTAGAGGTCTGGATTGTTCGACCTTGTTTTGGGCTGGGCTGGGCTGGGCAGCTACTGTCGACGGGTGAACGTAGCCAAATGAGTGGGACGAGGAAGGAGTGACTGTATGTCGATGTGCATTGGGTGACAGGAGCAAGGTGTCAAGATTGCAGCTTGTCGCGTGTGTGGTGGGCGGGGGGGCTTTGTATGTGCAGCGAGTGTGGCGATGACGTCTGTGTGATAAAGGGGAGTTTTTGATATTTTATGGGATTTAGAATTTAGACTGGCTAGGCGCACATGGCACCCAGATCTGGCCATGGCAACCGTGGTTGCGTCCTGCAAAGCTATACGCTCTGTCTCTCTCTCTCTCTCGCTACCTGCGGCTGGCTGTCGCCCGGATTCCTGGGCGTACCATAACTGTGGAATGTGGACAGGGCAACATGTCTCACAAGGCGATCCCACTGCCGACATTACTGAATTGCTCTTGGCCTGGCCATAGGCCTGCGAGGAAGGGTTGTGTGTCTCTGTCTCTTTCTCTGATGTCGACCTGATGCTTCTATTTGGCGTGCAGGCCACATGCACCGCTGCGGAGACGACGGCGATGAGGACGAGAGACGGGAGAAGGGTTGAGGGGCCGTGCCGAAAAACGCCGCGCCACCTGCGCCATTTGGGTGTCTATTGTGTGCAGGCAGGTTGTACGGTGCCTAGATGTGGGGGGGGGGGGGGGGGGCAGGAGGCATGGGCGGCGCTGTGTGTGTGTGTAGAGGCGTCGACCAGGGGAAGAGAGACTGAGGCTTGGGGGTTCATCCCCCCAGCACGCGCGCGCACACGCCCACCAGATCTCTCGGCAACCACCCACCCACCCCAGACGAGACACCAAAAGACACACAATCTCTCTCTCTCTCACTCTCTCGCACGCGCGCGCTCTCGAGCCTCACCCAGGAACATGGCGTGTGTGTATCGATACCACAACGAAAAGCCTCTTGGCCACCACACTGGCGTCGATGCGTCGATGCGTGTCCATGCACGGCGTGCAGACGGCCTCCGTTGACCTCACCCACCATCACGAGACAGATCCAGTACACCTCCCCCCCCCATCACCGTTCCATCACTGACCACGACCGTTGACCATCTCTCACCACCACCACCACACCACCACCTGGTCATCTCGCCACCTTGACCTCCGTCGTGTGTCTCGACACTCTCCAAGGCCGACAGAACACATTGTCGTGCCTCTCACGTCTCGGTTATTGTTGTCATCGTATCGGCAGTGGACGCTGCCGTTGGTGAGACGACATACAGTTCCCTCGACACCTACACATCACAGTCCCCACTCTTGGCGCCCACGAACCACACCCTCCTTCTCCGTCTCTGTCTCCCTTTCCGTTTCCTAACGTCGTTCCCACCCCACCCGTCCTCGCTCGCCCGCGTTTCAAAACCTACATTGCGCCAGCAACAGTTCTCGCATTGGTCAGGAGCCAGGTGCGTCCTCGCGCGACCATTCACACCGTCCCGTCCCTCGCATTGTGCTGGCTGGCTGCTGGGACGCACACCCTCTTCCTCCATAGGCTCCGTTCTAACCCTCGTCTCCAGCTTGCCACCTCTTCCCTCGTCTCCCAGCTTGTGACGTCGCCCGCCCCCCATACGCTCGCTGCAACCCATCCCAGTGTTTCTGTCGCCTGTACATCAGGACCTCTATACCCCCGGCCCCTCCCTCAAAAACCACCCTCCCGCCCAAGCACCGCGTTCGTTCTTGATCCACGATGGGCAACTGCATGTCAAACCCGAGCCAGGAGAACAGCGGACCGGGGAGTGATCGTTCCCGCGAGATCGACAAGCAGCTCAGAGAGGTGGGTGAACCGCGGCATGCTCCCTCCTCCTCGTCCGGACACCGAGCCGGCGGCTGTTGGTCCCTGTACAACCCGTACAACCCGCTGACACTTTTGGACAGGAGGAACGGCGCATGGCCCGCGAGGTCAAGCTCCTGCTTCTTGGCGCTGGCGCCAGTGGAAAGAGCACGGTTCTCAAACAGATGCGATACATCCACTCGCGACCATTCTCGGTCGAAGAGGTCGAGGACTACCGGTGAGTTGTTGTTCTTGTTGCCACCATGAAGGTTTTTGTTTTGGAGGCACATTTCGTAACCACTACTGGCTGCAGCACTGCCGGTGATGGCGTCGACGCGCAGTGACGCAGGGGAGCGCTCGACTCGGATGGCGCTGGACCTCTTCGCAACCCACGCGCTGTTGCGAGACCGCGTGTCCGTGCGGTTTCCTGTTCATGGTGTGTGTGTGGCCATGTGTGGCCCAGGCTTGGCACAATGACGTTGATGGCGTGCCCCCCGGAACAGGGGGTGGGGGTTAGGGGACTTTTGTGTGGTGACAGTGGACAATGCGGTTCTGGTCGTGAGCGAAATGTGGCTAACGCACACGTGTGCAGCAAGATTGTCTTTTCCAACATTGTCGGTGGCATGCGTGCCATTATCGACGTGATGGACGCCGAGGACATGGCAGTGGCGCCGGAGAACAGGGTGTACATTGCGTTGGTCGACAATGAGATCGCCATCAACACCGGCGACGCGTTCCCGATGCACTACTACCGGGCACTGAAAGCACTGTGGACCGACCCAAACGTGCAAGTGTGCTGGTCTCAGGCGTACCGGTTTGCTCTGCAGGAGAACATCCCTTAGTGAGCTTGGGCGTTGAGTACTCTGATGCAAGCTGACCACGTTGACAGTTTCTATTCCGACCTGGAACGCTTATTCCGGCCCGACTACACACCTAGCCGCGACGACATCCTCCGTGTCCGCACCAAAACCACAGGCATCAGCGAGACCCGCTTTGAGATCCGTGACATGGTGTTCCGTCTCTTTGACGTCGGCGGCCAGCGCAGTGAGCGGAGAAAATGGTACGTACGCCACACTCTCTTGTTGTTTCGAATGCTGTTCTGACCTGGGCGCAGGGCATCATGTTTCGAAAACGTCACCAGCATCATATTTCTCGCCTCGCTGAGCGACTACAACTCGTGCATCATCGAGGACGCCGAGTCGAACGGAATGCTCGAAGCCTTGATCCTCTGGGAATCCATTCTCAACAGCCACTGTGGGTGTACAACGGTCTTCATCAGCACACCCGCTCACGCACTCAGGGTTCTACAAGTCATCACTGATCCTGTTCCTCAACAAGGCTGACCTCCTGCGGGAGAAGCTCAAGAGCGAGACACAGCAGGTGGTCACGAGCTTCCCAGACTTTGACGGCGCGCCGTTCAACTTCAACGACGCCATCGAGTTCTTCAAGTTCAAGTTCCGTTCAGTGAACCGCAACCCAAACAGGGAGGTTTACGTGCAGTGAGTAGCCTCTCGTCGCAGGGAGGGACTTTGAGCTGACTGGCAGTGTTACCACTGCGACAGACAGCGCCCAGCTCAAAGTAGTCATGGCTGCGGTCACTGACACTATTGGTGAGCTAGTATGTTGCCCATTCGAAGCTGACGAAAACCAGTGCGCAACTCTCTGCGCGACATGGCGATCCTGTAGTGGGCGAGAAGGGGCACATTTCTTTTTGTATATATTCTTAATCATTCTGGCGACGAGGCCGCCTGAGGGCGATGTGCAGTGGGATATGATAGATACTGCTCGTCTCACGGTCCAAGGAAAGGGCTTGGCCTGCGAGCTCGGCCATCATACCAGGACGCCACTGACCAGCCACTCCGGGCCGGTAATGGTGGGGATGTAGACATTATTACCGGATATACAAATGCATTAGGATACAAAGGATACAATGCTAAATAATTTATTGCCCGCTTGGCTGGGCACACACAGTGTGCGTCACAGCTGACGGCCGAGAGCGAGTGACGACCCGAGTTTCAATTCCACCCACTTGTTCTCATCTCCCATTGTCATCTTCGTCGGCTCAGGCCTCACTGCCCCATTCCCCCCTCCCCCCCCCCCCCGCTACTTCTTGCGCTCCTTCTCCCACCCACCTGCCCTTACCACCAACCACTCCTACACTCGTTTACCTCGTCTTGTGGACTAGTCATCCACCAACCGCTTTCACTCGTGGCGTCCTCGGCTTTCCGACTTTACTCGCAACTTGTCGCCTTCCCGACTCACTTTCAGCAGCGGCTTTGAACACACAAAGCCTCTCACACTACGTCGCCTATGACACCGCCAGCGCTCTGCTAGCCTCGTCACAGTCATCTTCAACTGCACTCTTCCCGGCCCGAGCCGCACGTTCGCCGTTGCCGGACCTCGTCCATCCCTGTCCAACCATCCAACCCACGTTTTAACCTGCCTATCCCCTACCTATCCCCTACCCACGTCGCGACCATGGGCTGCCTCCCGTGCATGGCCCTCAATCCAGAGGTGACGGCCCTCAACGACTGCTACCCGCCTCCCAAGGAGCTCGTCAAGGCTGCGCCCGAGTTCCAGCCCCTGTCGCAAGACCTGAGCAAGCTCACTTACACGGCCACCAACAAGCCGTCGTCGCTGGCAAAGATCGGCGATGAACTCGAGAAGCGCGTCACGCGCGAAGCAAAGGGCAGCAGTGGTGGTTATCCCAAGAGCCGCGCGTGAGTTTGATGTTGACGTGACGGAACGCCTGCCGGACCGTTCTTCGGTACCCCAGGAGGAGACAGGCATATGGCGCGCTGCGGCGCTCGACCAGCCAGCCTCCTCGTCCACCTGCGTTGGCCCCAACTTTTTTTTCGAGGTGATGCTGACCTGACATCTCAGCTCGCTGCTCATCTCGCTGCGTATCCTGCAAAAGCTGTTGACCGAGTGCAAGCGTGACATTGGGCTGTTTACGCGCCAGACGATGCGCATGATCAGCGCGTCCCTTGATGTCAAGGTGTACCAGACCAACAACACGGATCTCGAAGTGGTGTCTCGCGCGGCGTCGTGCTTTGTGGCGTTTGCGACATACACGGATGGCGCGTCCATCGGCGTCGACGACTCGCTCACCCACTCGTACCTCTCGTTGCTGTCCAAGTTTGCCTCGCTGGCCACGTCGCACCCCTCATCGGAAAAGCCCGACGTCGAAGAACAGAGCCGCGCGCGGCTTATCGGTCTGTCGGCGCTGAGCGGCGCCGCAAACTCTGAAGCCGTGTTCTCGTCCTCGGTCGAGTTCCCCCGCCAAGTCAACGTCATTGTCCCGGCCCTTTTGTCGATCCTCGGCGAGGCCCCGCTCGCCGAGCTCAAGGTCACGTCCGCGAGCGTGACCACCGGCGAGCCCGTCTCGCCATACTTCCACGAGGTGGTCGCCGGCGGCCTGCCCCCCGGTCCCCGAACGGACCGCCGCGCCCCGTCGCTGCAGGAGCATGTTCCGGGCGAGAAGGGCCCGTCCAGCGAGGACGTCTACTCGGCGGCCTTTAGGTGCCTGTACAACCTCGTCTCCGAGTGCCAGAGCAACCAGGCCGAGCGGGTGCTTGACGTCGTGTTCAACTTCTTTGACCGCCACGGATGGCAAGACGTCGAGCGCTGCTGCTGGATCACAGAGCGCATGACTGCCGCCATGCTCCTCCAGTCGCGTTCGATTGTGCCCACCGCGCTCGTCGACTTGCTCCTCAACATGCCCGACGACGTTCCCCCGACCGCCAAGCACACCACCGTTGTGGCCATGGTGACGACCGTGCTTTCGTCGTCCGTCTCCCTGGTCGGTCTCGGTGTGACGGACATTCTCGCGTCCCTCATCTCGGTCATCATCCGCCGGGTCAGCGTCGACCAGCGCGACGGCCTCATCCCGGCCCTCGTCAACTGTGTGGCATCCCTCGGCACCCACATCTACTACGCCGACCAGATCAACGACATTGTCGAGGAAATCGCCGTCCAGATGGCTGCCATCCCGTCCACGGACCCTGCGCGCCAGGAAATCCTCCGCGTCCTCATCCACTGTATCACGGGTGTCATGTCTGCCGCCGACAGGGGTGACGAGGCCGAGGCCCGCGCCGTGTCGCCTACCTCTGAGTGGCCTGAAAAGTCTGACAAGGGCAAGGGCCCGCAGCTCGAGTCGCCCGCGGTCGAGATTCCCCGTCGCGACCTTGGCCGCCGCAACCCCATTGCCCCCGAGGTGTGGCAGGAGACACTGCCGCTGCTCTGTGAGGCGACCTACCCGGTCCGTGCCGTGTATGCGCGTGCTCTGCTCTTCTACCTCGAGACGGAGATGCCGCGTGACCGCAAGCCCAGGCCCGACGAGCCCAACATTGTTCGTTTCTGCAACGCGCTCCAGGCCGCCATCTACACGCTCGCGGTCAGCTCGCGTCTCGGCGTTGGCGAGCCACTTCCGTCCATGCCTGCCACGCCCAAGGAGGAGATCCTGGAGGGGGGCAACAAGACCCGGTCGTCGACGCCACACAGCATGACCCCGCCCCGTGGGAGCGTCACCTTCAACGTCGTCAGCCCGACCCCGGGTACCGAGACCCCGTCTGGCACCGGCCCCCTGTACGGCAACGGCCTCGGCAACGGCGTGCCCTCGCCGCGTACCTCGATGAGCAACAACGGCTCGGCCTTCCCCGGCACGTTCAACCCGGACATTGAGCGCACCATGTCGCAGCGCTCGACCCACGGCGGCGCGACCCCGCCGCGCAAGCCGCTCCGTGGCGGCCGCCGCGTGTCGCTGCCCCTCAACCGCCTCCTGCAGTCGTCTCCTGAGATCACGTCGTTTGACAACGTCGCCACCCCCTTCGACTACGCCGTCATCCTGCGTATCCTGGACGAGCTGAACAACTGCTGCCCCGTCGCCGCGCTGCTCACCGAGGTGCCGATGCTGCTCGCGCTGGACCGCGACGCCGGGTGCGAGCTCATCCGGCGCAACGCCGGCGCAGCAGAGGACTCGGCCTGGGTCCTGGAACGCAAGCGCGCGTGCCGCGAGACCGCCGCCGTGTCATGGCGCCGGCTCGGCGTGCGCTGGGGCGTGCCCCACGTCATCGAGCTGTCGGACCGCGCCATCAACTCGCTCTCTGAACCCTTCATCGTGCCAGAGTACCGTAACCCGGCCGGCCACGGCATCGAGTTCCGCGACGAGCCCGCGCAGTTTGTGCGCGACAACACCGAGGGCGAGAGCGCCGCGTCGTCCCTGCCGCTCCTGGACGCGACCGAGCTCATCGCCGCATTCAGCGACGCGCCCGCCCCCAAGGCCGCGTCGATGCGGGACGCGCCGTGGCTGCAGGCGCGCTTCAGCGCCCCCTGGTCCGTCGAGGCGGCCATCCGCGAGAGCGTCGAGCGCTTCACGTCCCCCGTGGCCGGCAGCGACAGCGCCGCGGCGGCAACCCTCATGGCCATCCCCAACACGTCGTACCAGTCCCTGGGCCGCCCCGTCAGCCGCGCAGTCGACGTCAGCGACCTGCGCGAGGCGCTCGGCAACGGCGCAGCCGGCAGCGCGGCGGGCTCCATCATCTCCACCAGCCCCAGTACCGGTGCCGCGGGCGGGTTCGGCGCGCTGGGCAGTGGTGGCCACGGCGCTGGCGGCGCCGCTAACGCCGGCAACGCGGGCGCCGTGGGCGCCGTCGCGGGCGAGAAACGCGCCAAGCCAGACGCAAAGGAGATCCTCAAGGAGATCTTCAAGGACAAGAAGCCCAGCAGGGCGTGAGGGGAGGGCCGATCCACACAGCGTGACCCCAGCCAGCGACATGTAGCTGGTGGCCCCCCGCCTCCCCGATTCATGTCGTGTCTTCCTTTCCTTCTTTTTTTTCCTTTTCTTTTGTTGTCAATTAGCATCCCCCCGCACCCCACGCCCCACCATCCCCCACTATCCCACCTCCCCGACCCATTCAGTAATCGTTCTTAGATAGACGAACGCGTTTCCCCTCCCTTGTCCCTTGTCCCTGTCCGTTCTGCGCGCCGTCATATTATGCACCGGATGCCCCCAGCCAGCTGCACGGCGGTCTTGTGCACGTCCCAGTTGTCTTCGATGTCTCTGGCCGGAAAGTTGGTATAGAGCGTTCAACCGCCGGCAGAGTTTGGCTGTGGCGGAGGTGGGGTACTCCACTCTCACTCTTCGGCTCCCACGCCTCGCTTGGTGTCAGTGCACGCCCTCGCCCACGCCCTCGCCCTCGCCCTCGACAACACCCGCAAGTGGCCCATATGGAGGAGCTTGTGACATGCCGTGCTAGAACGCTAAGGGGGGACACAAGACTAATTGAAAACTATGCGGTAGAGAACGACGTGAAAGAGGAGAAAAACGGCGGCATTGCGGGGGGAGACGGAGGTTGGGGACGGTGGGTGGGGGCTTGGGTTTGGGTTGGGGATGGGTGTGGGGGAGGGAAAGGTGACGAGAGACGCCAGGTTTCACTCTGCGCTTAACGACTGGGTGGTTAAAGAGCTCTGAACCGGGTAGGTATCGCCACCTGCTACGCTAACAGGGATGGAGGGTGGTGGGTGGTTGCGGTCCAAAGAGGTGTGGCGCGCGAGAAATTATCGACAAGGCAAGAGGAGGGGCTCGTGTTTATACAGCGCTTTGAGGGTTGCTTGGGTGTTGGGTTTGAATAGTCCGTTTACTCTGTGGCAATATTGTCAGCCATCATCACTGAACACGGAATGATGTAAGTGGCGGCGGCACTATGTGCCTTGCCTTGAGGCAGTACTCACCCTCGGACCAAGTGGTCGAGGCGTGGTTGATGGCCCAGTCGACGGCAAACGTCGAGGCGCGGAGGAACTTCTTGTTGGCATACTTCTTATAGACGTAGACCTTGTCGAACCCTGCCTCGACAAGACGCTCGCACAGCAGGACGGCGGCAGGGACAAGCTGGCGCTCGGTGAAGCCCGAGTAGAAGACAAAGGCGTCGTTCCAGTCGCCGCCGAGCATCTTGCGTGCGAGGTACATGCCGACCGCGGCGATCATGGAGGGCTTGCAGCGGAGGAAGCGGTGGTCGAGGAGGGTGACCTCCATGAGGAACTTGGACAGGGTACGGGTCTGGATGTCATAGTCGTCGGCCTTGGAGATGCGGCGGACCCAAGAGTAAGGCGAGCAGTACTGCGAGACGGTAAAGTCGAGGGTCTGGAGGATGATGCGCTCGCCCTTGAGAATTTCCTCCTTGGTGTAGCCATTCTCGGTCATGTAGACAAACTCGTCGACGCTGGGTGCGAGAATCTCCTCGTACTTGGCGGCGATGAACATGGCCGTGACACCCACAAGCTGGAGCTTGTTGAGCGACACGACACGGACCGAGAGGAAGCGGTCGACAAGGTTGACAGCAATCCAGAGCGTCTCAGGGAGCATGTGATAGCGGAGGTGGACTTGCAACAACCAGTCGATCAGGGTCGTACGCATAGTCCTGGGTAGGGTTGTCAGCTTGCGCTGCAAGGATTGAGGAATGCACATTCCTAGGTGTGCACACATCCGGCACACACGAGCACTCACCACTCAATTTCTGTCTGGTGCTCCATGTACACTGGGCTAGGCATCGTCTGCTTCTGCGAGGAATGTCAGTTTCGTTGTCACAAGAGGTGTTGTTCTGGTTGCAGGGTAGGGAAGACTCACCTCGAGCTCCTCCATGTGGGCAAAAATCTCATCGGCGTACTCGGCGACCATGGTAGTGTCAAAGAGGTCGACGTCGTCCTGGAACACTTCGCGAACAGCCTGGATCTCCTCGAGGCATACACGCTCGTCCTCTTCAGTCATGCGCAGCCAATTGTCCTCGTCATACTCGTCGTCATCAAGAAGGTCGTCGCCCTCAACGTCACTCATGCCACCGAGGGTCGCCTCGTCGTCAAAGTCCACAAGCGAGTCGGGGCCAAAGTCCATGCCGCTAGCCCTGGCGTCGACGTCCATCTCCGAAGCCTCCAGCGCCGCCAAGCGGTCCGCGGCCGACGAGTAGACCGAAGGCTTGGTGCTGCGGTGGGGCATGGTAGCAATGGGGCGGGTCTGCGCAGGCTGCTGCGTGCGAGCCGCAAGCGGCTGGCGAGCCTCCTTGGCCACGGGCTTGCCTGCAATTCTGTCAGCATACCATCATCATGTTTGGGTTGTTTGGTGGGGGTGGGTGGGGGAAGAAGCTCCGAGGGCATCACGCCGTGGGCTTTCTCCCGTCATCCACCATCACCAATCACGCACCAGACTTCTTGGCATCATCAACGGCGTCCTACATCACTGTCAGCATGGGCCCATCAAAGAAGCCGAGAAGAAGAAGAAAAAACGAGGACTTACCCTGGTGTTGGTAACGGCACCGAGAACGTTGCGCTCGCGCTTCACGCCAGCCTTGCCGGCGTCGACCTTGGTGGGCAGCTTGCCAGCGACGACGGCCTTGCCTGCGGCGCGGGCGACGACAGCCTTACCGGCAAACACGCCGTTGGAAGGGACGGCATTCTCGTCGTTGGCACGAGTCGAGCGGGTGGCCACTCGGCGGCCTTGAGTGGGCTGCGAGGGTGTGTCAGTGGGTGTGTACTGGGATATGTATGTGTGGTGGATGTATATACTGCGGACCGATGCAGGAGACTATGGAAGGTGTGGTGATGTACATGCAGGAGAGTGCGAGGGGGGCCAGGCAAGGGATGCACTTACTCGGTTCATGGTGGTGATGGGATGGGGGATGGGTGGGAAGAGAGAGGAGGGTAGTGATGCGTGGGAGCCTAGTGGTTCCAACAGAGAACAAGTTGTGGTGGTGCGAGGTTACCGATCGAGCCCGACCGCAGCGAAGCAGACGGCTGGAGGAACGAGGGGTCGCTTTAGGGAGGTAGAGTCAAGCCGAGGATGATGGGTGATGGCGGAATGTTTGTCCAGAGCTGGACAGACGGCGCTGGTTTGAGAGGCCTGGTGGTTGGTTGTGTGTGTGTGTGTGTTGATGGATGTTTGGGAGACACCAGCAGAGGAGGAGAGAGAGGGGAGTGGATTGGGGTGCCCCTGTGCAAAACGTAACCCTGTGTACGACTGCCTACTTGGATGTTGTCAAACAAGAGGATGTTTGACGGACACGGAAGGGAGAGAGTTGTGTGTTGGGTCTCGCAATAGCTGTGGGAGGCAGCAGGAGGAGAGGGTGGGGGGATGATGGAGAGACAATGGCCGCCGTGAAGGAGGGAGGGGGTATGGGGGAAGGGAGAGTGAGAAGAGAGGGTGAAGGGAGGAGGGGGAGAGACGGGGGGGAGATGTGTGGTGTGTTGATGAGAGAGGAGGAGGTGTGGTTGATGAGAGAGGAGGAGAGAAACAGAGACAGACAGAGACGGAGAGAGAGGGAGAGACAGACCAGACTGTCCGAGTGTTGTGCTCGCTCGCAGAAGCGGCGGTCGGTCGGTCAGGCGGCGGGCAGCCAGGCAGGCGGTGAGAGGCCAAGGGCAGCCAGAGCCAGGCAGCCAGGCAGGCACACCACCACTGCAGGCGGCGGGGGAGACGGCACCAAACACTCGTCTCTCTCTCTGAAAAAGCAGGCGCGCCCAGCCAAAAGAATTGATTCCGTTTCCCCCCCTTCCTTCACCCTGGCTGCTGTTTACACTCCAGAGTCCCCGCCCAGCCCAGCCAGTGCCCACAGCCAGGGAATGCCACCCGACCACAACACTCTCCAGGGCCTTTTTCGCTTACGCTGGCTTGCAATTGTATGGGCCACCACCAACGACGGGGCGGGGTCTATGCATGTGCGCGCAAACATTCTCTGAGACGAGGTGACAGACACCTCTTCCCCTCGGCACTTTGTGTACAGCTGTCTGGTCACAATGGTAACAACGTTCATCTGTCTCTCTCAACGTGTGCGCGTCTGAAACCCTCCTCCTCCTCCTCTTTGCCAGCCATCCCAAACGAAGCATCCAGCCCTCCTTGTCACACACACACACATGTGTCCACACAGCCCAAGTCCGAGTCAGTCACCTTTGTGTTTGTTGCGCGCTATTGAGCTTGGACGCTTGGGGACTCGTCTCAGGACAATTTTCGGGCCTTGGGTGTGTGGACACAAGTCTCATTTGAGCCTCCCATCAAAGTATCAAAAGGGCCAAGGGCATCCGTATTGACAACAGCACACAAAATGAGACCAGAGACAAAAACGTAACAATGGAACAGCTGCAGCTGAACGGGTAGACGGGGTGGTGGGTGTGCCTTGTGTGGTCTCTCTCTGGTCTTTCTCTCGCTCTGTGATCGCGGACGTCGTCTCCAGCCACGGCTGTCGTCTCGTTTCGTGCACGCCCGCCCGCACCAACATGCTGCGTGCTACATGCATTCCGAGCGACACAGACGGAGACTGCAGCACTAGTGGCCGAGTGACGTACTCTTCTCCAAGAGCTACCATTAGCCTGGACACCGTACAGCCTGTACAATGGGCCGGCCACATATGCAAAAGACGAAACGCGGAGACCGGCAGAAGAGACCCCACAACCCCCTCTCGCGGTTGGCGGTTGACAACAATCGTCGTCACTGCTTGCTCTATTCGGCTCAGCACTTCCACTGCATGCTGGACAGGCGAGGAATAAGGGGATTCTGGCACAGCTGTAGAACAACTCCCCCCCAGATGGCCAGATGCATTGGGAGTATGGATAGATTGGTTTGGGCTTGTTTCCGGCAACCACAGGGTTCTCCGCAGTGCCCGACAAGACCGGAGTGCGAGGTCGGCCAGGCTCAGGCCGTGCACGCTGGAGATGTGTGGCTGCACGTCAGTAAAGACGACGAAAGAAGCTGAGAAAACGCCGCCTTGGCGATCGCTGGATCGCTCTCTCGGGGGGAGGAAATTAATTTGGAAGAAGGCGGGGGAGGTGGCAGGGAACGAGAAGACCTTACTATTTACGGCCGCCACCGCCAGAGAGTGTCGAGACAAGAGAGGGTTCAACGAGTAGAGTACATATACCCGTGGCTGAGCACAAGCAAGGCCTCCAACATGCGACGTAAGCATGGCTGGCATGGCACGAAAGCAGCGTGGGCGGCGCGGACCGACGCTGCTCCATTGCTCCACCTGTCGCAGGCGCTAAAAAGGCTGCCGTCCAAAGAAAAACACAACGGAGACCCTGGTCACAACCCACAAGATGTACAGTCTCCCCGCCCCACCCTCTCCCTCCGTACCGCTGTTCTTGCATCCACACACGGGGGGTGTACCTCACTTGGCCAACTCAAACCGCAGCCCGCTATTCTCTCTTGGCTCCGAGAAATACACCACCAGTAACAGAGCAACAGCACGAGGAAATCTCGCGCCTGGTGGCAGGCAGTGTCAATTGACCGTTTTTGGGTCCACGATCACAAACACACAAACCGTTCAAAGCGCATGACATACCCCATGCCACCCCCCACATATACACATACCGCGGCACGGCCATGGCCGCTTTGCTCTTTTCTCGTTTCTCGTGTCTAGGAACGAGCAATCATGCCCAGAATGGCCAGGATACCCGTACCCATGGGCAGAAAGTAGTACTGTATTTACTCACTCTGCAGCGCTTCATTGACAGAGGTACAGAGGGGCCACAGGCCACAGGTCGGCCATTTCTGTGTTGTTTGGGTGCGGCGGAACCGAGAGCCTGGGCCAGCGGCCAGCGGCGGCTGTGCTATATGCCGCTGTGGCAATACGCAATACGCTCCACCGTCTCGTCGATAGAGACACCGACACCGTTTGGCCCGAGCCGGAAGCTCGGAAGTGGCCGAGACGGAATGTAGAGGGACGAGCCAAGAGCCAAGAGTCAAAAGAGTCAGAGTTGTGGCCATGTGTGTACAGAACTCCCCTTTCCCTCTCTACTCCGGAATCTACGGGGAGGAAGAGAGGTGAGATGATGAATGACCGTCCCGCGCTGCATGATGACGAACCAGAGGCACCGCCCCGCGCTCTGATCGTGACGAGATGACATGACGAGACGAGCCAAGCGTGTGGTGGTCGCGACCAAGTGTCGCCTGATCCCCTCTGGCCTCTGGCCATCAGTAGTGGGCAACGTAGAACGGCGCTGGCGACTCACAACTCACGCCGAGTCGTTGCACCAACTGCTGAAACATTCTCCACTCCACTCATCATACCGAGCAATGGGGGTCGAGTCACCTGGTCACACTGCCGTCCCCTGTTGACATGAGCGGGAACATGGTTAACGTGTGCCCATGACGAATGACGCGCACCCCCGTCGCCCATCTGATATGTAAGCCACTGGCCACTGTTTCGCCAGGACACGCTGCTGTACGTGCTCCCACCTCGCGTCGTTTGTTGCATCTCGCGACTGCTCAGGCCAGGTCATGTGCACATGTCTGTCGTCTGTGGATCTGGGGGCAGGAACACACACAGTGGTACAGTGGTGTCGTATAACGGCACGCTGAAACGCTGAAACATTCGCATTCGCCAGTTTTAGCTGATATAATATGACTTTTGGACCGCGAGGGAATATTTGGGTCGTCTTGGGCGCGCGTCTCTTGTCGCTGGGACGGCTGTATGAAACCAAAGCCATGGTGGTACCGTGGGCCAGGCAGCCGTCACGGCCTGGCGGGTTGGGTCGGTGGGTGGTTGGGTCTGCTCGTCATGTCACGTCGTGACTGTGGCGGCAGCGAGGTAGAGGCGGCCATGTCACTCTCAGTTGTGCAAACCAAACCAAACCATAGCAATACCCCTCGCTCGCTCGCTCGTACGTACGATCGATGTGTCACATGTGTTCGCCGATCTGAAACGCCAGTCGGTTGTAACTCGTAGCTCGTCGTCAGGACCCCTCTTGCGAGACCATGTGCATCGGGTTGACGAGCCCAGTGGCGACCTGCTGCGTCTCGTGTCTCTCGAGTTTTTCTGTTTTCGTGAAAGGATCATATACATTCTTCTCTGTCTGTTGCACCCTCTACAACGCAACACTCGACACTACCCCTTTCTCGCCAGTATCGTGCGGCGCGCACACCACTCTCGCTCTTCCCGGACTCTGATGGCGTCCGACAGACGCGCCTGAGCGCCGCAAAGATGACCCCCACGGCGACCGGCAAGCAGGGCCCGCACCACCGCAGGGTCCCACAAGCCCAAGGCCGAGCGCTGCACGCACACCGCGCCGCACCGCACAACTCCTCGACCCGGCCGCCTGGCTGCCCGCCCGCCGCTTAGCGCGAGCGGAAGGTACGGCCCGAGATGGTTTTGCGCTCGGCAGGTGCGGCGTTCTCGGGCTTGGCGCGGTTGAGGACCTTGAGAAACTCGGCGACACGGAAGCGCATGCGCGAGTGCATGTACGCCTTGGAGCACTTGATGTGGTAGTGCAGGTAGTCGCGGAACAGCTGGATGCGCGAGATGGTCTGCAGCGCCTGCGTGGGGTTGGCAAAGTGGCGCGGGGAGAGGACTGCGCGGGGAGGGAATGTCAGCTTGAGTTTGGGCATGCACAGAACCTCGACTCACTAAACGTCACGTAGCCGACGTCCTCGCTCCGCTTCAGTCCGGGGATCTGGCGGATCTCAAGAGGTGGTTCCCTGTTAGAGTACGTGACCTGCGGGGCGCTCTGGAGAGACTGGAGCTTGCGCGCGTCGACAAACTCCTGGAGGAACACCCTGCCGTAGATGCGGTCGGTCTCGTCCTTGAACTCGGTGGAGAAGATGACAGTGACACGGTCGTGGCTGGCGCGGACGAAGATGGCCTCGCCGTCGCGGTAGTTGATGACCTTGAGCTCGCCCTTGGACTCGGTGGGCTGCAGGTCCATCTGCTGGGCGCCCGCCGCGTCCTTGTAGTTGGCCTGGAGCTGCTTCTGCTCCTCAAAGGCGCCGAGGAAGGGCGCAGCGAGAGCGTTGCGCTTGAGCAGCGACAGGTGCGAGACGAGCTCGGCGCGCTCCTCTGTACAGGTGTCAGTGGGAAGGCTAATCGGTAGGTGGTTGGGGCCAGCCAGAGAGGATGTCGCGGAGGTAAAGCCTTCACGAAGCAGAAGCTATTGATTACCTCCAATGTGTCCCTCGGCACAGCCCCAACCAAACGTCCACTCGCACTCACCCTCCGTGGCCGGGAGGCGCTCGAGGTCAATGGCGAGGGAGACGTTGTACTCAAACTCGGTCGACGCCTCGGGAAGAATGTAGCCAGCGTACTGCTGCTCGAGGTGCTGGCGGGCGCCATACTTGAGGAGATCGGGCCAGCACTGGATCGACATGGACAAAACTACCACCGTCTTGGACTCGGGTGTCGAGATGTGGAAGCGCACAGAGTCAAAGTCGACAAACTGAATGTCTGCACGCGATGCCCTAGAGTGCGGGGGGTCAGCTGGATATAATATACCTCATTGGCAGTGTGTGCTGCTGGGGCCCATGGGGATGAGACGTACTTCTGGAAGCGGTCGGAGAGGACATCGCTGATGATGACGTTGTGGGACTCGGGAGTTGTCAGTTGGCTGTGCAGAATGGACTGGAACTGGGTGCCGGCGTAGAATGCTCACCTCCAAGAGGATCATGGTGTGTACCTGCTTTTGATGACGCCGCAGATGAGATAGACGGGAGGAAGGGGGGGAGTAGGATGGAGGATGGATAGAGGAGGACGGCACTGACAATGTGTCGTGTCGGTGCAAGCGGTGACGCTGAGCGTGGACGGCGGCGCGGCCCTGAGCCACTCAGCCCGGCGGATAAACGGGGTGGGCCGAATAAACAACGCCTCCCTTCCCTATGACGGGGGCCTGCCGCGCGCCGGAGACGGCGTACAGTGGCCGTCAGACTGTCAGGTGTCACCCCCCGACGGCGCGGGCCAGCAGCACCGCGCCGCGTACATTTGTTGTGGGATCCCAGTGCATCCCCTCTTCCTCTCTTCCGTTCGTTTGACCGTTGTCTCCCATCAATCTCTCAACCGTCTTGGTCTCGGGCCTGACAATGTCGTCCTCTCCACGCAAGCCAGTAGCCGCAAGCCGCCGTCGCAGCTCGAGCGTGACCAGCGCACTCCGGTAAGTAGTCTGTCTGTGATCTGTCCGCGATCTCTCTCCGGTCTCGTACCTAGCGCGACCCCCGTCATCTGCGTTGGGCGCCGCCCAAGTACCGCCCGCAGACGTCTATACACTGCGAGAACCAAGAGAGCGGGCCCAGCCGTGAAACCAGGTCTTTACCAATATTATCACTTTATTCTGACGCACATCGCAGCCAGGTCCCTCTCAACGAGCACAAGCAGGACAAGTGAGTTGTAGTGCTCGTTTGATAGTCTTCCTGCAGCTCGCTGAGACCGACTCCACAGGATGACTGGCGAGGTCCAGCCCCTCTTTGGGCCTCCGCGCCCACGTACCGCTGACGATCTCCCGGCTCGCTACAACACGCTCGGCTTCTGGGAGGACATTCGCACCGGTCGCTGGATGCTCGTCCCGCGTGAGTACACCTCTTCTGCCACCGTCAGCTCAGACTTTTTGCTGACATTGCAGTGTCGTCGTTCATCTTGATGGTCATCCCTGTCATCCTGTACTGGAACCAGTTCATGCTCATTGACCTCGGCATGATGGGCCCCTTCACCACCAACCCGTTTACGCCGTTCATCTTCCCCTCGCACAAGCTCCCCAACGGCAAGTACGCAATTGGCCTGGGTGACTTTGCGTTCATCGCATACCACATCATCTTCTGGTCGTTTGTCCGCCAGTTTATGACCATCCACGTCCTCCGTCCCATTGCCAAGGCCCTCGGTATCCGTGGTGGCAAGATTATGCGCTTCACCGAGCAGGGCTATGCCCTCTTCTACTTTGGCATGACTAGCATTGCTGGCATTGTGGGTTGATTCCTCCCAGACGTCCACTGACCCACCAGTACGTCATGCGCGACCTGCCCACATGGTGTAAGTTTTCGGTTTGCCACAGTGTGGAGCTCGTTGCTCACTCTTCGCGCAGGGTACAAGACTGAGAACTTTTGGATCGGCTACCCCCACGAGGAGATGACCCTCGGCCTCAAGCTCTACTACCTCCTCCAGGCAGCTTACTGGTGCCAGCAGACCATCATCCTCGCGCTCAAGATCGAGAAGCCCCGCAAGGACTTTACAGAGCTTGTGCTGCACGTGAGTGGAGATGAACAACCGTGTGTGGTAGGGGGACCCAGCGCTGATCTTTCTTTACCAACAGCACATCGTCACGCTGTGGCTCGTCGGATGGAGCTACTTCCTTTCGGTAAGAGCTACTCCGTGGATATTTGAGCTCACCATCACAGCTCACCTACATCGGTGTCGCCATCTTCCTGACCATGGACATTTCGGACGTTTTCCTCGCGGTGAGTTCATCTTCGCAAACGTGACCGAACTGACAGTTCCCAGCTCGCCAAGTGCGTCAACTACGTGAGCGAGCCTGCCTCGAACCCCTTCTTCGCCGTCTTTGTCGGTGTGTGGAGCTACTTCCGCCACTACCTCAACCTGTGGATCCTCTACTCGGTGTACACCGAGTTTGACCTCATCCCCAACGTGTACGACTCGTTTGAGCCTTGGGCGGGCCGCTGGATGGTTTGGTGGTGAGTAGCTTTGACGACAGTTGATCCCAGGCTCACTCCCCTCCAGGATGAAGTGGCAGATCTTTGTCCCCATCTTCCTTCTCCAGCTCATCAACTTGTTCTGGTATTTCTTGATCTGGCGTATTCTCTTCCGGTGAGTAGACGATGATCGCGATCGCGACCTCCGGCAGCACACAGCAGACGTTTCTGACACTCGGGCTCCAGCATTGTGTTCCTCAAGGTCACCAAGGACGAGCGGTCCGACGACGAGGACGAGGACGACGTCGACGAGGACGCGCCCAAGCAGGTCGGACAGGCCGACAAGGCCCAGTAATCGGGGGGATGGAGGATGGAGGATGGAGGAGGCGCGTAGAGAGCGGTAGCGCGAAGCGAAAGGGCTGGAGGTAGCGCGAAGGGCTGTAGGATTGTCATATCTCTGCCCCTGGCTTTGCCTATGACTCTGGGCCGATAAGTGGTCGGTCGGGCCGGGCTGGCCGGGACGAATGGGTATAGCCCCTGCGATATAGAGACATTTTGAGTCCACGATCTCACGCGCGGGCCTGTGCACAGGGGGGGTTCATAGTTTATTGTCTTTCGGGACACCTCCGTGCATGCCGGAGTTGTGGGGTGGTGGTGTGTCCTATATGCCACAACCACTGGCCTTGATAGATGAGAGCGTGCGTTATAGCAGCAGCAGCAGGAGCATGCCCTTTTGCCGTTGTGCGTGATACGGGGTTTTGTGTTGCGCAATGTGTGCGTGAATGCGGGGCACGTCATAATCGGTGGGATCGGTGGATTGTATTTACACACCGCCAGGTACCGTTTGGGCGGATGCGCTGAAAGTGGGCGGACGGGCGGAGGGACGAGCAGCGGTGCCAAGGAGCGGCCTGGGTGCTGGGTGGGTCATTCGCCACCCGCGCGCGGGGTGTGGGTGGTGGGGCAGAGGAGACATGGGGGGAGAGGGGGAAGCCAGGCAGCTGGCAGGTCATCGCTCCTCCCATCCACCACCACCGCTCCGCATCAATTGCCACCCAGTCACCCTCCCAGTCTGGGCCACACCTCCCACCGCATCGACCCAACCCAGTCTCACACATCTATAACACACACATACTTGTCTTCTATCTTTCCCGTCTCACCCTCTCCACCCCTCTCCCCACACTCCCCACTCTCCCATGCCAGGCGCGTCAAGCGCATCCAGCGCGCTCTCAGCAGCCATCATGTCCCCATTCGCCACCCGCAGGTCACGTCAGCAACACTCACCGCCCCCATCCGGCGTAGACTCGTGCTACGGCGTCCGAAGCCTAGAAGGCAGCGTCAGCTGGAGCGAACCAGGTGGAAGCGGCACAACCACCGACACTAGCGACCCCGAACCAAGCGACGAGGACGACCGCTTCACAGAGCCGCCCACTGTTGAGCGCGACTCCACACCCAGCTCGGATCGCACTATCGCGGGGCACGACGAGGATGCCGAACGCGCACGCGTCGTGGCCGAAGCCATCGAGTCCCGTCTCACAGACACCACGACCACACCACCACCACCTCCTCCTCCCCCGCTTCTGCCTTCCCACACGGATGCGGATACGGGGCGCGATAACGCGTCACTCTTGATGCACGCCAAGCCGCCGCTGGATCCCAGATCGCACGACAGTGGTGCCCATCTCGCCGCCAGCGTTCCCTTGGTGGGGCTGCTGTCACCTGCTCGTCCGCCAACCATGACGTCTTCGCCAACGGCTTCGCTGCAAGCGTCCCTGTCCAGCTTGCCGCCACCCGCAGCGCCCTCGCCACTGCTCCATTACTCGCAGACACCGTCATCACCCAACGCTCAACGCTCGCCACAGCGTGGCGAACGCCCATCTCCCCTCACACCAGCTTCCCACGCCTTGTTCGACATGCTCGCCGACGCGCCCAGCGAGCCCGGATCCCCGGCGTCGCTGGCGTCCTTCCCATCGTATGTGGCTTCTACATCGTCGCTGTCGCGCATCTCGTCCCCCGCAGACTGGGACTGGCGGCACCCGCTGTCACGCAGCATTGGCGCATTCGACTCGGAGCATGAGCACGAACATGATGGCCAACAGGCCGCTGACCACTCGGGGTCCGCCGAGCTCGTCCTCCCGACTCTGGCCCTTCCCAACACATCGCTCCATCTCGGCCTCGACCGCCACGCCGGCCCAGGCCAAGGTACACGTGTCGCCCTGCTCGCCGGCCCAGAGCACACGCGCGACGTGCTTGGCGTGCTTGCCAGTCGCCGCTCGTGTGTGCAGCTCCCGCACGGCGAGGTCGGCGTCGTCGGCGAGGCGGGACTCGAGGCCACGATCGTCACGGGCCTGCAACCCAGTGACATCCAGCGACGCGCACACGACGCGTACATTGGCCTGCACGCGCTCCTCAACCCGTCCCCGACGGCGTCGCAGCAGTCCGAGCTCGAAGCCATGGTCAGGACATACGCGACGAGCAAGGACTGGATCCACCTCGCCGTAGACCTTGAAGGTAGGTGGCATACAAGTACGCTTTTCGTTCCTGACACACGCACAGATGACGAAGAAGCAACCGACATGATCGATCTGGTGCCCTACACCACCCTCGATATCGAGGCCCAGCGCCTCGCCGACGCCGCTCATTCCGTCGACACGTCGCCCGCATCCCTCTCCCCGACCTCGTCCATGAGTATCCCCGACCGCACACCCACGAGCCACTCTGGGGCGTCCACGCCACTCTCTGAGCGCGCCATCGACGACACACCACGCCCAATGTCGGATATTGTCGCCTCGTGGCCCACGACGCTAAAGGCTTCGCAACAGTCGACGGTGGTGGAGGAGGAAGAGGAAGCGGCGGCAGGTGCCGCGCCGCAGCAGTCAATGTACTCGGAATACGGGCCCGAGGACCATGACGACTCTGTCCTGCAGGCCGTGGCCCTCCTCGAGCGAATCCTTGACGAGCCTATTCGCGTCCACGCCGCCTCGGCTATCGCATTCTTCAGCTGGCGTCCCAGCCCGCTGCCCGCCATCGCCTCACCTCTCACTGGACCATACACGTCCCCAGCATCGTCCACGTTTGAGGGTACGGGTCCCATGCCGACCGTCGCGCGCGCGCAGGGTGGCGGAGAGTGGGAAGCCACACTCTCACGCCGGCTCGCGCACCGCCGCGAGCTCGACGCGGCCGCCAGCTCGCGCGGCGGCAGTGCGTCTGGACAGAGCCAGCGCGCGCGCGGCCGCGGCACCCGCCGTCGCCGCAGCCACTCGCCGCCGACCAAACCGCCCTGCCCGACCCCGCTGTTCCCGCGCGGCCACCGCACCATCGCGTCGTCCGTCGGCCTCGTCGACCTCTTTGACGGCATGTTCTCGGGCGTCAGGCGCTTTGCGCAGACCCGCTGGGGCCAGGTCTTCTTTGCGTGCGCGATTGCCGTCGCCGTCGGGTGTGGATACTGGGCCGTCCGCACCCACGCGTAGAGGCAGGCCGCTTGCGAGTTGCGAGGCCATCAGCATAGCATAACTCTCTCGCGCGCACCCACAGACCAAACCAATGTATGACACGTTCCACGTTTTACACACAAGAAGAATCCCCAAGACGAATGAAGACAATCGCCCCGCCACCTCCCCCGTTGTTACAGTGTGTGTCGCTTCTCGACCGTCGCACCCGCCGTGTGCTCAGCCCGAGGCTGTTGTATATGTGTCTCCCCTCCCTCCCTCCTTTCCTTTCCTTTCCTTTTCTCGTCTTTCTCCCCCAGTTGTAATATCCCGTACTCGTACCCCCTCCCTCGTTGTTGCCCTCGCCATCTGACCTGCCTCTGGCCTGTCCTCGGGCTGTGAAATCTGTGAAATGTAACCCGTTCTCTGGTCTTGGATCCAGGTCATTGATCTCGGGGCTTTTTGGGCGGTGGCGCGTGCTCTCTGAGTCATGAGTTGGGTTTGTGGCGATGGGCGTCTTCTGTGGCTGGGCGTTTCCCGCGGTGGTGGCGGGTGGACGGTGGACGCCACTGAAAGAAGCAGGAGCGCGTCACGGTCGCGACACGGCAGAGTGGAGTGTGGCACAGAAGGGAGCGCTTCGTGGGGGGTGTATCCCGACGGAGGCTGAGATAGCACATGCACGACTGCCACTGTGCAGCGTCCGGCGTCCGGCGTCCAGCGCGTCCAGCACTCCAACCTGGACGTTGTGCAAAGGGAGTGTTGCGAATTGTGACCAAGTTGACGGACACGACCATCCCGAATGTTAGGAACAGGACCTGGTACTGTACATGTCAGCATTGTTTGTTCAGATCGGCGTCTGGTGACTGCAGTGCGATGGTGCTTCGGCACCTGCCAGCGTGTGGTTCAACCATACAAAAACGTGAAAGGAGAGAGATGATGCACGTCACCGTGGACAACTGGCGCTGAAGGGTTGACGTCATATCATGAGAGTCTCACTGTGAGTAACGAATAACGAGTCAGTTGATCACAGAATCACTGGGGGCGAGGCCAGAGCAGAGCAGAGCAGAGCAGAGCAGAGCAGAGCAGAGCACAATACGGAAAACATGGTGGCATAAGGATCCCCATTAAGGGTACCCAGTGCCCGAGAGTATACACAGTTGTGTGGAGAATACATGAAACGGCGGGTACAAATCTCTGCGGTGGTGGTGGTCTTAATGTGGCAACCAAAGGTCGCGAGTGGTTTTGGAACATGCAACGGCGCGTACACTATCTGCGGAGAGGTCTGGTGGTGGTCATGAACGTGGAAACTTAAAGCTCGCGGTCCTCCGCTAGTGATGTCAATACTGGTACACTACTGATGGCGACGGAATGCACTCACCACTGTGGATCTTCTTGGCCATGCGGTCCTAGAGAGATACGCCAGCGACGCGCTTGGTGACGGGCTTAGTGTTGACGCTGCTGCCGGTCGCCGTAGTAGACTCCGCGGTGGAGGAGCCATGGGCAGGACGCTGCTGAGTTTCGTTGAACGTGACAGTGGCGGCTTCAACCTGCTCGCTGTCGGCCTCAACCCTGTCGGCAAGTGTGCGAATGACCAGATCAAGCAGGGCCGAACTGCAAGTACCAGCATCAATCTTCTCCGCGAGGGTGGCGACAATCTCGCGGTGGACGGCCTCGGCGACAAGCACGTTGCCAGTGCCCGACTCGACCTTTTCGGTGATGACGCTGGAAACCTTGCGGATGACGGCTTGGGCAAAGAGCGCGTGGGCGTTACCAGAGTCGACATCTTCGGCGAGGGCGGCGGAGAGGCCGGCGAGGAAACCTCCCTTGATCCCGCAGTAAGGCTCGGGCACGCACTCGCGGTTCTTGTTGACGGCAGGATATATACTCACAAGTGTCATGGGTCTTGGGCTTCTTGGCACCGAAGCGGTCCTTGATGAACTCGAGGGGGGTGCTTCAGTGATTGTCCACTCGAGGACGAGTTTGAGGCCTTGCCTTCCAAGACTGTCCCCGTCATGGCGTCGGCCTCCTTGACCTTGAACTCGGGGGCAGAGGCCCGCTTGGAGTGGAGTACATCAACCAACTTGTCGCCGATTGTGTCGAGGGCCTTGGCGTCAAAAATGTCGACCTCTTTGACCTTGGGCTCGGGGGCAGAGGCCTGCTTGGACTGCAGGACGGTAACGAGCTTGTCGGCGATGGTGTCAAGGGTCTTGGCGTTAAAGCCCTCCTCGACCTTGGACTGCAGGGCGATGTCCAGCTTGTCGCCCACGGCGTCGACGTTCTCGAGCTTGCCCGGCGCTGTATCCAGCCATGAAAGAGAATGTCGCGTTGTAGGGGTGAGGGGCACAGCTGAGGTTGGCCTGTGTCGACAAGGTCGTTCTTGTTGGGCCCTCGACGGCGATCACGGCGCCTCGCGGGTCCAGTCGCGTAACGTAGGCAGAGTGCAAAGACCTTCATCATGTTCATGTTGTCCGACATAACGGATAGGGACAGGGTACGTAAAAACAGTAAAGAAGGTGGGGTTGATGCTAATAGGGTAAGGAAGGTGGGTGATGAGAGATGAGTCAGTCAAGAAACCTCACAACTGCGAGTACGTTCTTCCCCCGCCCCCACCACCGCCAATGGCGAGGTGAATGACACGCGGGTCGATGTCATTGCTGAGAGACCGTAGTGGCCTCCAAGTTATCGGAAGAGCTCTTCAGTGTCATGGCCGCCAAGTTCCCCATCGAGTCCAAGCTCATTTTGTCCTCGGCCTCCAGCTCGATCAGGCGCCATTTCCAAGCCCAGGGTCGTGTTCGAGAAGAAGCTTAGCCACGACCACGACGTACGCACCCAAGTCGACACAGCGCTCACCGACCAGCTCAATAATACACTCATCAACATCGCCCTCCGTACCCACAAGATCCGCTGGGGTCTACCAACATATTGGCACCCTCGGTAGCGCCGTTCTCTACATCAACGCCAGCGCCGGCCATGATATATACCAGCGCCAGAGCGGACTCTGCTACCCGGGCGGGCACCGATATATATCATCGCCAGTACGGCTCTGATACTCGCCAGTACGAGCTCTGGATATACTCCGCCAGGACGGCTCTGGATGAAAAGAGGTAAGAAATGAAGGGAGGAAAGAAGAGTGGTGTTTTGGCCAGGACAGACACTGGGTCAACCGGTCTGGCCTCGGACCCCGCCAGGACGGGCTCTGGATATACTCCGCCAGGACGGCTCTGGATGGAAAGAAGGGGGGAAAGAAGAGTGGTGTTTTGGCCAGGACAGACACTGGGTCAACCGGTCTGGCCTCGGACCCCGCCAGGACGGGCTCTGGATATACTCCGCCAGGACGGCTCTGGATGGGAAGAAGGGGAGGGAGGCAGAGTGGGGCTCAACCGCGACAACGCGAACGGCTCAGAGTTTGTTGTGCTGAATAGAGTAGAGTTAAGGGAGAAATGAATGAGTGATTGTGAGTGATCATTGATCATTGATGAAGGGACTCGCGCGTGTGACATCAACGGCGCGAAGGTCGGCATTTCGGAGTTACAGAGATTGGCGGTGGCAAACATGAGACGCCTCGACCCATAATTCCGCCATAATTCCGTAATTCCGAAATCCCGATTGTGACCCTCGAGCCCACAGACATAAACAACCCCAACTCCCTCCTCTCGACAACTTCAAATCCACTCCATGCGAGTACCCAGATGTTTCCCCGGCAGCGACCCCAGGACTGTACGGTTGATCGAGAGCCCGTCCAGGCGAGCATCCAGAGTACCTGCCTGGTGGGTGAAACCAGAGTCCCGGCCTGGCGGGTGAAATCCAGAGTCCCAACCTGGTGGGTGAAATCCAGAGCTCAAGCTGGACTGGTTGATCCATCGTCCGTCTTGGCGATCCGTTGTGGCGGATAATCGTCCTGGCGAGTACCCCAGAGCCCCGTTTCCTGGCGGGTTAAATCCAGGCCCAGGATGGACATGTTGATTCAGTGTTCGTCCTGGTGAGGGGAGACCTCCCTCCATCATCGGCAGCCGACCGGTTTACCAGAGTCTGTCCTGGCGATGATATATATCAGTGTCCGTGGGGTATAAGGCCCGCTCTGACGCTGGATATATATCATGGCTCGCACAGGCGTTGAACTATAGACTCTGGTCTCCCCCATAGGCGTAAGACTTCACGACACAACGAGACCAAAACGTCCCGTACCCACACATTCATTGACCTAGATCTCTACTACTAAAACTACAGTTATATGCGCACAAACTCTGCTTCATCTACATGGGGAACCGCTTGATCTCCTCCAACGTGAACCCGTGGGCCTGCACACTCTCAGCGCCGAGGTCGTGCACCTCATCGCGCAGGTGGTCGAAGAGGACTTTCCGGAACGAGTCGAGCGTATCGCGCATCCCTTCGGCAGAGTACGATTTGGGGTCGGCCTTGGACTGGGCAAGGTACTTTTGATATCTCTCTAGGCCTGCACTGTCAGGACACTGGTCTTGCCGTTCGGAGACTGGCATTGAGGTCTGGCTGGGCGGCGGGTGGGAGCGGTGTCACGAGGGAGGAGGTGGCAGGCGCTCTGGGTGACTTCAGAATCGCCACTCCCCTGTGCGCCTCTGCACACACCTGCAGCGAGGCCACCGTTGGCGTCTGCTGCCAACTGTGCAGTCGCTCACAGGAATGGTTCGGATCGCTCATCCGAGGTCAACAACCAGCACGAGCAAGTGGCCTGCATGAGCCAGTAGACCTCCCAGGCTCAAAGGTCCACCCTCCCCCTCCTCCAGAGGGCCATATCTCCACCCGCCGCCTTTCACCTTCACCTTTGGCTGTCTCACTCACCTTCGTGGATTTGCGCATGGCTGACAATATGCGCGCCCTTCCTGCTCCCTGCCCCGTCGGCGAACTGGGGCATCCTCTTGGCCAGTAGCGGGAAGATGTACGCCTCCTCGATACGGTGGTGCATGTCGAGGTGGTGGGCGAGCGTCTCGGATTCGCGGAGGTAGCGTAGCAGCTGGCCGTCGTTGATGAACCTGTTCCCTGCGTTCTGAGGAGGTGTCAGCGAGTGTCGCTCGGGATTGGGGTGGATGAAGAGTATGTCGTCGCACCTACGGCCACACCCATAGCCACAATCAGAGGCCATGCGTTCAACCCAGACGGACGATGGTATCCACACATGCCGGTTACCCACCTTGTACGCCTCGTCATACTCCCAGCTAAAGTGGTTATGGAAGCGCGTCATCGAGTCGGCAAGATGGTTCCACACGGCAAACGAGCCCTTGGACTCGTCCCAGTCGGCCGGTGTTGGTGAGACGGGCACAGTTACCGCAGACATGGCGGCAGTTTGCAGCACGTGCAGGACGACGGGTGCTGGTCTTGCGCGGTGACAGGCGATGAAGGGAGCACAGAGGAGGAGAGCTGGCGATCTCGACGGGACGAGTCGAGGAAGAATGAGGGGGAATGGTGACGATGCGAGCCAGATGAGCGTCGGCCACGAACCGAAGGGGACGTCGCCTTTGGTGACGGTGTGGTGGAAATGGAACTCTCTCGATGGGGTTACCTAGGCCCGGCGACAGAGTAGTGCAGAGCAACAAGAGGAGCAACAGCACGGCGAGGTGGTCCAATGTCTTCGGCGTGCCAGTGTCCTTTTTTTGTCCAGGTCGCCATGCAAAGACGTCAGGAAGGCCCCACCGAATCTTTCTTTGGTCTCCTTGATCTCTTTGTTCTCGTGTGTCTCGGCGCCGGAACGGCGCGGTTGGTCGGAGGTGGCCGGAGATGCGGTAGATTGGGCCAACTCAACTGGCCGGGGACGGTCGGAGGCGGGTCTCTGGGTGTTACAGATACGGATGCACGCGAAGGACGCCGATGTGCTGTGCTGGGGGGATGCTTGAGCGAGACTGGTAACAAGCATGACCAGCGTCGCAGAGGTCGAGATGGTTCTTTGGCTGGCTGGCGACGTCATCAGCACTTTCCACTGCAGCCAATTCGTCGCCACAGCCGGCGGCCGCGGAACGCCAACAAGGGCATATGCCGGCAAGCGGCAGACATGTGAGGGACACGGAATGTTGAGATCAAATCGATGCAGTGGCTCGTCGCAAGGAAACAAAACAACAGCAGCGGAATTGCTCCTGACCCCCAACTCGCTATTCGTCCCGTACAGTACATGGGTGCAATTCGTCACATCGTTAAAGTATCGTTTGCTCCTACTGCCTCGCAAGGTCTCAAATGATATGTGCACGCAGTCTGCAGTCTCCTCGAGACTACTTCTGCTGGGGTTCAATGATAGTGGGGATCCGCTGCGCCTGGGTCTGCGCCGTCGCGGTCAGTTTGCTGGTATTATAAAGTGGGTGGTGGATCTGGGCATGGCCGTGGTGGGCGTGGCGGGTGTCGTGATGGGATTGAGTGGTGCTGGAATTGACATTGGCGACGTGAGAGTTTTGAAGTGGGTGAGGATGCGATGACGAGATGGTGGTGCTGGGGGGTTTGCTGGAGTGGCTCTTGGAACTGTGGCCACTCTTGGAAGCGTTGGCCTGAGCGTGGTCGTGATCAACGCCGTCAAACGGCTTGGTCTCGAGCCACTGCTGGAGACGGTGCCGGTCTGCGCCGAGCGCAAACTCGCGCCAGTGGTAGTTCTCCTGCTGCATCGAGGCAATGTGGACCTGGTAGAGAGTTAGTCCCGAACTACACGACTTAACTCACGGCACTCTGCTCTGCGCGCAGCCTCTGTTCCAACGCTGCCGACCGCCACACGTCCAAGTTCTGGTTGACTTCGTGCAGCTCGGTCTCGAGCTTGGTCGCCTTCTTCTCGAGGTAGCTGGTGCGGCCCTTTTCGCCATTGAGCTGAATTTCAAGGCTGCGGCGCGCCGTGGCCTCGGTTTCGGCCACGCGCACAGCCTTCTCCTGCTCGAGGTTGGTATTGGCGTTGGCCTGGGCGAGCTGTACGCGCAGGTCGGTACGGGCGTCGTTGGCCTCGACAAGCTCGACGCGCAGGCGCTCCACCTCCTTTTCGAGGGAAGCCACCTTGGCGTGCTCGGCCTCGAGCTGCACGCGCTCGGCAGCCACGGTCTCGTGCTCCACTGTCGCGGTGGGGAGGGTGCGCTCGAACATGGCCAGGCGGTCGAACAGGGCGTCGCGGAAGCTGGTGGAGTCCTTCTGCATAGCAATGATCTCGTGGTGACGTTCCTCGGCAATGCGGTTGGCAATGTCTCGCTGATGGGTCAGTTCAGAAACTAGCATCACGCCACCCACCTCTTCCTTGAGAGCCCGGATAGCCTCCTCCTGCTGGGCGCTCTGTTTGGCAAAGAATTCGCGCAGCTCGACCATCTCCTGCTTGGCCTGCTCTTCGGACCGGCTTGACTGGACGAACGAGGCAGTGGCAGCAGCAATCTCAGCACGGAGGTCGGCCTTGAACGCGTCCTCGCGTGAGCGCTGCTCGAGCGCGGCCGTCTTCTCGCGCATACGCCGCTCCAGTGCGCTCTTCCTGTCCTGCGCGCGCTCCTCAGCTTCGGCCTTCCTGTCGCGTGCCCGCTCCTCGAGCTCGGCAACGCGCTCCTGCATGACGGCAAGCTCCCGTTCGGCACGCGCTGCCTTGTCCGTCTCGTACTGCAGCGAACGCTGGACGGCGGCAGTCTCTTGCTCGGCACGGTGGCTGCGGGCCGTCTCGTCCCGGAGACTGCGCTGGGCCTCGGCGAGCTGCTCGGCGAGGAACTCGGCAGGGCCAGGCGCCGCCGTCGCCTCGGCTGCGGCCTTGGCAGCGCGCGTCTCGGACTGAGCTTCGAGCAGAGCGTCCGTGACGGAACGCAGGTCGGAAACGGCACCCTGTGCCTCGGTGTACTCGGCAAACTTGACCATGAGGGCTTCCTGGCCGGCGATGAGCGCCTTGAACATGTCGTTGTGGGTGGTCGCGTTCTCCACGAGCGTCGTGTCGCCCTGGTCCGAGCCGGGAGTGGGTGTGCGATGCACCTCCTCTTCAACCTTGCGCTGGATATCCTCGAGAAGCGTGGTCTGGCGCCCGAGCATGGCCGTAACGCCCGCCAGGACGCTCTGATCCGGAATGTATTCTGCAGGGTTAGCTTGATGTCTCAGCGCGCTCAACCCACCCTTGATAAGGTCCAGAGCCTCTGTGGCAATGCTGGTCTGCGTGTTGGCATCGTCTACCCGGCGCACATTGTCGTTGGCCATCTGGTCGGCATCCTGCCTGAGAGACGCCACCTGCTCCTCAATCTTGTGCAAGAGGTGGAGAATCTCCGGCGCCGGGTCGTCCCCGAGAGGCATGTCGTCAATCGTCGGCGACATGAACCCACCGCTGCGCAACTTGGGGTCATCGTTGACCACGGCAAGCACGCGCGGCGGAGATGCGCGCAGGGGAAACTCGGCGGACGTGTGTGATGACAGGCCGAGCGATCCATGCCGGAGCCCGCCTGTCAGGGTGGTATGGCCGTTCCCGTCCGTTGTCCAGTGAAGCCACTCATCCACGTCGGGCGCCTCCGCCGCTGCTTGTTGTCGCTGCCTGTTCCGCTCCTCACGCTCTTTGGCGAGGCCATGCATCTCGGTAGCGGGCGACGAGCTGCGTTCGATGCGGTCGTCGAGGTCGTCCGGCTCCGTGATATCCGAGTGACTGCGCCTGTGCACCGAGTCGACGTGCTGGTGCTGGTGGTGATATGTGTGCTCGGACCTCGCGTCGGCGTGCGACGACCCGGCCACCGATGACGCAGACGCAGAGGGGAATACCCATTTGCGGAACTTGTTGTTGGAGTCGTCCGCCAGCTCGACGCGGATGTTGGGCATGCTGGGCGACGAGGACGATGGACCAGCAGAGCGCAACTGATCTTTCGATGGTGTAGAGTGCAGTGCGTCAAAGTCCGGCGCAGACTTGGCCGGTGAAGTCACGTCGAACGGTGGTGGCGTGGATGGCGTGGCGCCAAAAATGAAGGGTTTGGCCGTGGGGTTGAGCTTGCCTGGTGCGCTCAGACTCTCGCGGCTCATGTGCACTCCACCATTGAGAACTGCGTCTGTCGGCACCGTTCCCTCCTCTTCGTTGATCGTCTCAATGTCTTCAATGTCCGAAGGCAGCTGAGCAATGGGCGAAAACGTCTCGGCTGAACCAGGCATTGGGAGCTCTGGCGCTTGGGCCTCCTGCATCTCGGCGGAAATTTCGGTAATGGAATCGTTCTTAACCGAACGTATCGACCGTACCGACGATTTGCGGCCAGAAGAGTGTCTGCCGCGGATGGGACGCGACGGCTGGATCTGGACGTCGGCGCCGCCTTTGGTGGTGGTCTCCTTGACAGGCGAGACAGGCTGTGACTTTACGCCGCCGCTAAAGGACTCGGCGCGGTACGAGTTTTGCGACGAGCGACGTGCAGTGTGCTTTCGGCGGCGGGGCTCGCGGTCCTCGTCGTCTTCTTCGTCGTCGACAGCCTGCTCGTGGATCTGGTTATCAGCAGAGTATACACAAATGGAAGCACTCACCGCCGAGATTGGCCGCTCGATATCCTCGACCACGGCGCGAGGCGACGCCACGTCGCGGCGGGGCACCACAGGGCTCTCCTGAACGGTGGCGTTGGCCTGCTCGGACTCCTCCACGACTGGCAGAGCTGCAGGTTGTGCAACGGTAGGTTCCTCCGCGGCCGGCTTCCACTCGGCGGCTGTCGGACGAAGCTTGTGGGTAAATGTGAACAGTCCAAGTGCACCACCGGCATTGATAGAGCCCTTGGTCTCATCTTGTACCGCCGGGGTCGTGGCCAGACTGCCAGGTTGGAAGGGGAGAGCCGTGGGACGAAGGCGCGCCGACGATTCGCCAGTGGACAGTGCCACGCTCGACTGTTGGCGCGTGTGGCCGACAACGTGGCTCTGGTAAACACCAGACGGTTGGCGTTGGTGGAGGGGATTGGCCGAGACGCTCGACTGCCGGCGCTCATGTCCAAAGATGTGGTTCTGTGCAGGCGCGAACGCCGGAGCGAACCCAGGGTTGCCTGCAACAGGCTGGAAGGGAGTTGCAACTGGCTGGAACGCAGATGGAACAAAAGCAGGCGCTGCAGGGGCGAAACTGAACCCAGGGCTGGGCGTAAAGGCCGCAGCCGTCGGCTTGAAGTTGAAGCTCGACGACGTCGGGGCGGCAGGCTGGAACGGCGCTGCCGTGGCCGAGATGACACGCGTTCCGGGCTTGAAAGCCGGTGCGGTAGCTGAGATGGAACGAGTGGCAGGGCGAGTGACAGGTGCAGTGGGGACAAATGGTGCGGCGGTCGGCTTGAGTTTCTTGGCGTCGCGCTCATTCTTCGGTGGCGACCTCAGACGCTCGGAACCAGGCTCAGCGAGCTCCTCGTGGGACTTGGTGGGCGTGACAGCAGCCTCGTGCGTGGCGGGGTCTGACACCGCTACATTTGCGGGGACCGACAGAGGCGTAAGCGCTTCGGTAGCCGCAATGGCCTCGGCGGCATCCGAGGTGCCAGTCGACAGGACCATGGAGACCTCGGCGCTGGCCTGGTCATCCTGCGCCTCGACCTCAGCCTCGACCTCTTCCAGCTCTGCTGCCTTAGCCTCTTCTTCAGTCTTGCGACTAGGCTTGAACACAACGCCGCCGGGAGGAAGGAACGACTGCAGCTGGCGACGGAAGGCAGGGTTGGCACCAAAGTTGGCGACGGGGCGGCGTGTCCTCGTCTCAGACGAAGGCGAGGACTCGTCAATGGAACCGGGGCGCGAGGCATTCTTGCTCCGCTTCGACGGTGGCTGATCGGCAGCATTGTCTTCGCCCTCGCGGGTCTCGCGGTCACTGCCCGCCTTGTCTGAGGTCTCAGCTTCGGCCTCCTCAGCTTCAGGAGCGGTGGGTGCGGGCGCCTCGGGTTCAAGAGCGAGCTCAGACCGAAGCGGCGTGCTCTCGTCCTCTGCAGCAGCGACGATGACGACTGGCTTGGTGGGAGGAGTGATGTGGGACTCGTCGGGGCGTGTACCGAACACGTCCACGCCGGAGCTGTTGTTGACAGTGTCTTTAGGAGCATCCATCTCGGCCTCACCGGCACCCTTCTCGGGAGACCAGGACGGGGTTGTCTCGCGCGTCGTCGGGGTGTCTTGCGCAGCAGACGACAGGGAAGCCGAGAGCGACGCCGAGGTCGCGTCCAGTGAACGACGGGTTTCGCGGAGCATGCCGCCCAGTTGGCGCTTGAGGAAGGAGTTGGGTGCGAGACCACCGAACGAGCGGTTGGTGGACAAAGCAGGCACGGGCGAGGCTTCTTCGCCTTGTGCCGGAGCACTGTCGCGAGGAGGGAGCTCGGAGGGGCTCATCTGCGGAGTAAGGGCACGGCTGTGGACGGAAGGCGTGGCGGTACCGCTGTCCGACTCGTCGCCGTCTTGGGAGTTGTTGTCGTCGTTGAACTCGCTCTTCATCTGTGCGAAGGCGTTGTCGTCGGGGCTCGGGCAGCGGGTTGGCGGCCAAGGCTCCTGCAGAGCAGTGAAAGCGCGAGGTGAGTCGGCAAAGGATTCGTCAAATGCCGTTCCCCAGGTGGTCGAGTCTTGGGGCGAGTCGGGCACAGGTGACGGGGGACGAAGTCGTTCCCAGCACTCCTGTGATGATCAGCTACGGTGGACTGTCTCGTTAACTTACCTGGTCTGGGACAGTGATGCGGAGCTTCTTCCCTTGCCACACTGGTGGCTCCTCGTTGTCGGAAGGGAGGGATACTTCAGACTGGGCGCCGGGCGAGAGAACGCTCTCGACTGACGAGAGGTCGCTGGGAGTGGGAGATTGAGGAAGCGCAATCTCTTCTGGGGTGGTGCGAACCTTGGCAGGTGGCCAGGGGAACGCCTTCCTGCGGGGCACACGCTCGGACGTCGGTGACTTTTGGGGCCGCTTCTCAACCGTCTCGTCGTTGCCGCCTTCCGTGTCCGTGCTCTCAACGTTCAAGTCGGCGTCTTCTTCGGGCTCCTCAGTCCGTACGAGAGGAACAGGCGAGTCGGGGGGGCTGTACGACTCAGGCGGGAGGTTGACGCGAACCGTGTGGCCCAGGTGCTTGACCTCGTAAGCGGACGATGACGAGGGCACACGGCTACCGGTCACGCTGATGACACTGGGCGAGGGTGACTTGATGGGACTGACAGCACCCGAACGCAGCGGCGATGGGATGGGCGAGAGCGTCGGGCTCGGCTCGAGCGACGCAGACCGCGAAGGTGGAGGAAGGACCTTGAGCTCGTCGAACGTGCGGCCGCCGGGACCGCCGAGGATCGCCTTGGGCGGGGGGCCACGCTGGCTGATAGACTGCGTGCGGCCGTGCCCGCCAGCGCCAGCGCCGTGGGAGATGGACAGGTGGGGCTGGTGGGAGTGTGCGCGGCGAGTGGGTGGAGGACCTCCCAGGCCGCCTGATCCGATGAGCTGCTTTGGAGGCAGCGAGACGGACGGGTGGGTGACGTGTGTCCTGGGAAGAGGAGACGAAGTGAGGGGAAGCGACAGGCTGTTGTGGGGGAAGTGGCCGAGGGACGAGCGCGCTGTCGAGTCTAGTGTCCACGCGCGGTTCGTGAATGGGAGGAGAGGCGAGGGGGTGTTGAGACCGGGCTGGCCTGGCTGTCCTGGTTGTCCTGGCTGGCCGGCGTTGAGTGCACCACCGGGAGAACGCGAGCCGGGAGTGGGAGTGACGACCCCTGTATGCTCTGCCAGTGGGGCCAGAGGACGCCCGTGGGTGGGTGAGGCCGAGGGAGTGGTGAAGGGAGGCGGGGCGAGTGCGTTGTTGCCTGGTTGCTGGCGCTGAATGTCTGAGAAGCCGGCGATGGAGTGGTGGATTGGGTGACCGAGACCGATGGAACGGTCTACCTGGTATCTCTGACGCTTGCCAGGTGGGGCAGTGGCGGGACTGTCCTTTGTCTGACGCGAGGAAGGTGTTGGCAGAAACGGCGCAGATGGCGGCTGCGGCTGGGGCGTCGACCAGAACGGATACGCTCCGGGCAGCGCGACTGACGGCTGGATGTATGACAGCCCGCGCGAGTGGCCGCCAGGCTGTCCCGGTTGGCCTGGCTGCTGTCGCTGACCGGGTTGCTGCTGCAGACCAGGCAGTCCGGGCTGTCCCGGCTGGCCTGTCGGCGCCCAGCCCATGGCCGACGAGTCGGCGCGTCTGTGTGCTGGCACTGAGATGGACCCAAAAGACGGAATGACGTTGGCAGAGGACGGCCCGGCAAACGACTGTGCGCTGACAGACTGCCTCGACCGGTGGGTGCGCTTGTTACGCTGCTGCGACTGGGGCGGCTGCGACATTGTATCCCCCACTGCACTGCTGAACAAGGACAAAGAACTACTGCTGGGTGTGTCGTCGTGTCAGCACAAGAGATCGGGCGGACGCGAGAACAGGGCGGCCGGGGCGTCGGCGGACTGAAAGACACACTCACCTTTCAAGCTAACTTCTGGCGCACGCAAGTCACAGCCAGCTAAAGACCACAGGCCATGGAAGATGGAGAGACGGTGCGAGATTGAGATTGGGAGTGAACGAGTGCAAGAGACAGAGGAAAGATGTAGGACGAAATGCAACGTAGCGCACAAGGGAACACCGACAGATGGGGAGTGGGGGCCGGGGAGTCGGGCTCGTCGGAGGCCCAAGCGGCCACGGGTACGATGTGAGTTGACCCTCCTGGTCCTCCTGGAATGTCACGGTCGCCGCATGTGCGGACGTGCGGCTCTCTTTGCCCACTGCGTATGCTCGTTCACGGCAAGGACGAGCAATGGCGGCGATCACTCACTGTGACATGCAGCTTCTGTCGTTTGGGACAGACGGGCACTCTACACATTTCCGTCTTCCGCGACGCGTGCTGGCAACTCCCCGGGTGTCGGTCGACACGCGCCACGGGCAGCGAGTACCAGGACACTGTCCCGGTGGGCGTTCCGCATCTGCATCCTGGCATGTCCTGGCGCGTGCGGTACGGGCCGTACGGAGCACGTACAGTGCGTGACACTGACGGCGTTGCGGGGTGGTCCTATGGCGTACACGCAAACCCCACACTCACTCGTGTCCTCGTACCGACGCTAGGAAAAATCAAAGCAGGCGCGGACCTGACACTGGCGGTGGCGCACGACGTTGGGCACTCGTGAACAGTTGGGTTGGCAGATGGGGCGGGGTTGTAGATATTCGGGTAGTGCATGTCGCTCGGGCTGACAAAGATGTGAGATTCTTCAGACAAGAGACGATGGGATTACGAGAGAGAGCAATTCACTTCACAGTTGCCGTTTTAAACCTTGAAAAGGGTTGTCTGAGACTCTGTGCGGCGCTCCAGAAAGCCTCACAGGATCACAGGGTGCCATCCCGATTGTGCAGCATACACGCAGTGACCAGCAGTGTGACCAGTCGACGATGGGGTTGTCAGTCTACGATTGAGGAGGAGTTTGAGTGGCAGCTTTGAGCCTGCATGTCAGGCAGCCTAAGGCCGCGGCAGCCAACATGGGCATAGCATCCATAGCCAGATCGCCAGAGCTGTCCCGATTACGATCATTTTTCATCTCGGCATCTATGACGTCGCCAGCCACAGCTAGTTTGCCACCTCCAGCAACCCGCATGTGACGGTACTTCCCTCTGCCACATCTGCTTGCCACTCAGCTCCCTCTCGAGCCAGCTCATCACAGGCTCCAACATCTAAGTGACAGGGCTGTAAAGTGATATCGATACGCAGGTATAGATCAACGCCATAGCGGGCCATGGTATATATCAGCGTCAGAGCGGGCACTGTACCCAGGCGGGCACTGATATATATCATCACCAGGACGGCGTAGGCCACCAAGGCGTGACGCTGGATACTCGCCAGCACGGGACACTGGATACTCGCCAGAGCGGGACACTGGATACTGCCAGAGCAGGTTGATATCGCCAGGACGAACTCAGGATCAACCGGTCCGCCCTGCTCCTCGATACTCGCCACCACAGGACTCTGGACGCTCGCCAAGACGGCTCTGGATGCACGCCATGACAGACGCCGGAATTCTGTAATGGAGGATAAGTTGCGAAGAGGAATAGAGAAGACCAGGATGCGGGTGGCAAATGCTTGTTTATAAACAGGACGCGGGGACGCGACTGACCTTTCGGGCAATTATCGCGGCGTTATAAATGTGGCATATCCCCACACCATTTGGCAACTTGGCACTCCGTCAGATACAATGTCTCGGCCTGCGGCCAACTGACTGGCCTGACTGGGTAGTGCATGCCGGCTGGGATTGCGAAGATGCGGTGTGCTTCAGACAAGAGACGTGGAGACGGCGAGAGGGGGATTCATTAACTCTCGCTGGTTTGAACCTTGCAAGCGATCAGCGACGTCTGACATTCTTCGGCGCATACCCCGACAGTACAGCAAGGACACGCCGACAAGCGGTAACGAGTCAACGATGGACGAGGTCGTTGTCAGTTTACGACTGGGAAAGGAGTTCTGAAAAACAGCGCGGAGCATGCACGACATGGACTTTAAAAGGCTGCCGGCAGACCATGCTAGACACTGCTGCTCCCATTATTAGCAGTTGTCGGTCATGATCCGTGATCTCGGCATCTCACCTATGACGTCGCCGCCGCCCGCAGCCGGCGGTTTGAGTTGATAGCAAACGGTGGGGGTTCTCTGCTGCCGCTTAAAGCGTGTGACTCTCCAGACGTCTTACACATTGTCCGCTATCTGGATCTTGCAGCAGCAGTGTCTGCAATTGTGGCGTCACTGTGCTGCTCGTGGGAGCGTTGGGTGGGGGTGGTCACGCCTTGGCGCGCCGTTTATACATGACGTCCAACGCCCAGTTTAGCGACAGCGCCAACTGTATATATTTACCCGCGACGGGGTCATTGATCATTGACGTGTCCCCTTTCCCCATCCTCTCTCTCCTCTGCTTCTCACGTCCCACAAAAGGTCATCATTCTCAATTGATCCCAAGCATTGTGCTGCTCTACGGACATCGGGACGTGATCACGGATACCAGATCAACTAAACCCCCTCACAATGGCCAACCCAAACCCGACGCCGACCACCACTGCCGCGGTGCCGTCCTCCGAGTCGGCTTCTGCGCCCGCAGCCGCCTCTCCGACGACAGCAGTCCATGCCCCACCCCTTCCACCCAGGCATGCCCCTGTCGCTGCCAGCGTCACTACTCCGGCGTCATCGGCTCCAGTCGCGACTCCAGCCTCCACAGCCCCAGCGACAGCGACAGCGACCCCGGCGCACCCTATGGACATCAAGATCAATCCTGCTGTAGCTGCTGTGGCATCTGTCGGCCATGACGGCGAGACAGTCCAGACACCAGGCAGGCTGCCGCCCACGATCCCCTCGGTGTCCCCCGCCACCGCCGCTGCACTGCCTGCTGGCGCGCACAAGGTCGACTCGACAACACGGCCCGCGGCCGTGGCAAAGGCCGAGCTCATTGTCAATGCCGACACACCCATCACGGGCACATACTATCTGGACCCCTGCCTGAGGCACACGCTCTTCCACATGCCCCACGCATTCAGTGCCGCAACCGAGGCCGCGCTGACGGGCATGGGAGCGTACGCGACTCCGCAGGGCACGACGTCGACTGCGCCCACGACTTCGTCGACGCAGACGCCCATCAGCACGGCCTCTGCACCCACTGTCACACCGGCTACGAACACTCTGACCGCCGAGACGTCGGGGCCCACCCCAGCGCCAGCGGCCGCTGCTGCCGGGCGCCACGGAGAGTCCGCGCATCACCACTACGCCAAGGTCGCTCAGTCGTGGGTCGTGCCTCCCGACGCGCGCTTTGTGTCTGAATCTGGCCCCATTACGCTCTCGCTGGCGAGCATTGACGAGGCGACGCATGGCGTCATGGAGACCAAGACGGACGCGGACGGAAAGCCGACCCCAGTCACCCCGAGGGGCAGGACGAATGTGCGGGTCAGCGTCGAGTCCAAGACGGGCGGCGTGTACATTGATGTGGTGAGTTGGATATTACCCTTAGTTGGGCAACAACTGACCAGTGACCCTTCCAGTGCGACCTGGACCCGAACCGCCAAATCGAGCTCACAATCAACACGGAAGCCGACGTCTTCGTCCTCCTCCCGACCGCCTTTGTGGGGCCTATCAGCATCACGGCCCCGCACTCGCCGCAGTGGGGGTCGGTGCTGTACCCGCAGCTCGCGGCCGTGACCAACACGTATCCGAGCCTCTACACCACGTCTCTCGCGCCGCCCAGCGCGCGCCAGGTAAAGGGCCACATCGGCAGGCTGGGCGGGCGCCTCGAGACGTCGCTCGAGCACCACATCATGAAGAAGATTTCGAAACACATCCCCGACGAGCTCCATGCCCAGGACGGGTATGTCGACATGCTCGTGGCGGGCTATGCGTCTTTTTCGCGCGATAACCAGAGCAAGCTGGTCGTCAACACCACCAAGGGTAAAGTGGCTGTCGGATACCGCCAGACCCACGACGAGGAGGCGGGCAAGCGCGGCGGGCTCAAGGTCGGCGCCGCACACGATGCCGCCAATGCACCGCACAAGAAGTGGTGGAGCCTGTAAAGTAGCTTGCGGGTAGGGAGGGAGGGAGTATCTGTACATGTTGTGCTGTTCAAACGTATGTGAGACCATGGAACAAATACATATAACATCTGTGAAAAGAAAAGAAACTCTAGCCCTCTCGCATGCGAATGGTGCAGCCTACTTCTTCTTCATGAGACCCTTCTGCAGCCACCTGAGAAGTGTCAGTTGACATCACGAGTGTGTCCCAACTCACTTTGGCATCTTGACCTCGCCAGCAGCGCCAGTGAGGGTCTTCTTCTCGCCAGAGGCCGAGCCCGCGGTGTCAGCGGGCTTGCGCTCGGGCTCCCTGGTCGCAGGTGCGGGGAGGGGGGCCTCCTTGGCGCGCAGTTCGTCGGTGAGTGGGGCGGGCACGTCCGAGCCTGTCACCTGTCAGCTCGCAAATACAATCTGAAAGCTGTGGCAGAGTACACTCACCATTCATGGCCGCGTCGTCCCACTTGATCAACAGCATGCTCTGGGGCACGAGGCCGAGCTGGTTCAGGCTCTCGTTTCCGCCCTTTCCGCCCTCCATGCCCGCGTTGGGCGCGGCGCGCGAGTAGCCTGCCGGAGCCACGATATGCGTCTTCATCAGCGGGTTGTCGTTTGGGTTCTTGCGCTTTGCGGGCGCGGCACTGGGTGGCGGCGGACGTTCGGGGAAGGTCGTGCGCGGCGGCTGGTACAGCGTGAACGGCTGCTCGCGCGCCGAGGCGGACAGCGACTCGCGGACAAAGGCGTACACCGGCTGGATACTGAGGAATGGGTCAGCATGGGTTCGTTACAACGGTATTCATCTACCCACGGAGACGTGCTCGGGAACACTTTCTGGATCTGCGTGCCGTCCGAGAAACGTATCCTGATGGTCGTCTGTTTGTCAGATACGAGTCCAGTGCAATTCATCTCACTGTGGGCCACTTTGCTGCCTTCTTCTGCTCCTTGGCGGCCGCCTCGGCCTCGCGGTGCTTGGCGGTCACGAGCGGCGCGTCGTTCAGCTGCCTGCTCCGGCCGGACACGGATGCCTGGTAGAGCTGCACGTCCGAGATGGTCGGCTCAAAGAATGCGTCGGGGACCTCGGCTGCGGTGCTGGTCAATATACAGAAGGAGCAAGGAAGGCAGGCAGGCAGGCAGGCAGGCAGGCAGGCAGGCAGGCAGGCAGGCAGGCTTGATGACGTACCTGGTGCATTGGCGGCGGTGGGAGGTGCAAAGACCTGCACGTCGTTGGCAGCTGTCGATGCCGTGCTGGATCCCGCAGCGGGCTGTGGAGCAGCTTCAGGAGGACATGTGGGAGACGCGCTCTCTGCCATTGCTGCGTGCGTGTGTGGTGAGAGAATGGGTTGATTGTCAAGTGATGAGTGAGCGGCCACTGTTGCCAGAAGACAGTGGACGCTCGGTCATCGCCTGCGTTCAGTGATGGCGGGGCCTCAAAATGACGTGTGATGGGACGTTGATAACGAGGTAATGGGGTGATATATGGGTATAACCTGGGCCGTCCATTTTCATATCCCTTGCCCAAAACGACACTATCTTTGGAATTTCAGGCTGCACGGCGTGTTTTTCCCTTTCATCTGTGCCCTTGCTACTCAAAATTCCACATTGTCCCGCAGCGCCACACTCAACCACCCGAGAACGTATCCAGACGCTCGCATTTGACAGCTTGTTGCGCTCCAGGGGGAGCAACGTTGACCTACTGTAGGGTACTCGAGGCACTAAGATGCTTCAACACGCCATCTGCACGCTCACCCCCATGATCCAAATGGGACCCTCAAGGCGCACAAAGCGGTGGTGACTGAAACTAAAAAATCAGCAAAGGGATATCAAGGACAAGCGGTGCCGACTGTGCCTGCGTCATGCTGGTTCGCGCAGTCAAACATTTGGTTCCAACGCTGCGCCGCGGACCAGCTAGCTACAGGTATGCTGCTATGATTCTGGACCGCGCCTGCGGAGCACGAGCGCCTAGTGCACTGCGCACTGCTGCTGCTGCTGCCCATCTGTCCTGCTTTGCAGAATTTACCCCACAATGGTGTGTCGTGTGTCTTACGCAGCTCTCTGGAGCTTCCTGCTCGTCGTCAGCATCTGGACAAGCTCAGGCAGGCTACACGTTGCCGTGTCTCGTTGTCACTCAGCAACCGACCCCCCGGAACCCAGGGATTGGTAGCACACTCGACGCGTCCGAGACAAGGCTGCGACACCCACGACATTGCAGCATTGCCTGGCGACGTCTCCAAGCAGCTTCCGATACCGGCGGCCAACTGAGACCACACGACACATCCAGGCCTCAAGCTTGCAGGAAACGTCTCCCGTGTGTGTGCCCTTGCCCTTTGCCCTTGGGCCCCGTTGCTACGCCCAGTACGCATCATTGATATATACCCCGTTCCCACTGTCGCATCTCGTCCCCTCTTCGACAATCACTCCCCCTCACCACTACCACCACCACCACCACCATGTCCAGCCTGATCAACTGGGTCAGCTCCCAGAGCGGTAGAGGGTATACGGCCCTCCCGACCAACTCGGCACCACCGACGCGGTCGAACTCGCCTTCCCCGCACTCGCCCATCTATTCCCCTCACGCAATCAGTCATTTGTCAGCGACGATGAAACGCCGGCGGGGGATCCTCATCGTCACTGCCATCTCGATGCTCGTGTCCATGGCCCTCGTTGCTGGCGTGCACCTGCGCTTCGGCGAGGTCGAGGCGGCAGAGTACCCCGTGTGGCAGAAGCCAGACACATTGCCCGACGCCAAGGCGGACATGTGGGGGGTGAGCGAGCAGCTGGGGTGGGAGCAGACGGACGACAGTCTCCTGGATCCGGGACCGCTCGCGGACGGCAGGATGAAGATTGGGTTCGAGGCCGACGAACAAGGTACAAGGCTGTGAGTGCAAGGATGCGGAAACGAGGAAGGACATGGGATACCGGAAATTAGAGTGCAGCGGAGGCATGGCGGATGACCATAACGGCCAAAAGCTATGCCGCCGGCAAGAAACCCACAACGAAGGAAAAGTCCTGTGCCCATTTTGTTTCATGTTTTCTGCTATTTCTGGATCCTTGACAACATGGGCTGATATCCGCGCGCGACAGATACTACACCCAGCTGGACAGCTTTGCGCGCTCGTTGCCTGCCAAACTGCACACACCGCTCCTGACAGCGCTGCACGATACGCTGCCGCCGTCGCACGCCCGCTTGCTCGCGGCCCCGGAGCAGCCACACCGCCAACTGCCCTCGATGATCAGCTACAAGAACATTTTCCAGACGGACAAAAAGTCGGCGCACAATGCCGAGACGCAGCTGTGGGAGTCGATGAACCGCGCCGACGGGTGGACGCTGGATTTCTACAACGACACCGAATCCCAGGCGTGGGTCGAGGAGACGTTTGGCGACTCGCAGGTGGTCTGGGCGTGGGACTACCTGCCGCGCGGCGTGCTCAAGGCCGATTTCCTGCGCTACTTGTTGCCGCTGGTCAAGGGCGGCGTGTACAGCGACACGGACACGCGGCCCGTCCGCCCCATCGAGCAGTGGGGCAGCCTGAACGTCGAGCTGCTCAACCTGTCGCACACGGACGGGCCAGACTGGGAGTCGGCGCTGAGCACACACCCGGCCGTCATCGTCGCCGTCGACGTCGACGTTCACGCCCTCCCGCAAGACAACTGGAGCGTCAACTGGCCCCGCGCATGGGGTATCTGCCAGTGGACACTGAGCTCGGCGCCGCACCACCCCATCTTCCTGGACGTCACGCGCCGGATTGTAAACTCGACGCATTTCGTGCAAGACTGGGACACCGCGCGGCACGCGCGCGCCGACGCGCTGCGCAGCGACGACCGCCCCGCAGAGGCCGACGCCCTCCTCGCGCGCCCGACCAGCGACGCGCTCAGCGTCGTCGAGTGGACGGGCCCAGCGACGTTTACAGACGCAGTCCTCGCATACCTCCTCGCGCGGTACGGCGTCTCGTGGCACCGCCTGCGCGGCCTCGACCACCCGATCCGTATTGGCGACGTGCTCGTGCTCCCCATCACGGCGTTCAGTCCCGGCGGCCAGCCCGACTTCAAGGCCGAGGGAAGGGACTCGCCACAGTGTAACGTGGTGCACAACTGTGAGTCTGTCTAGCTGTCACATCTGTGTCTTTGGTAGAGCTGGTGCTAACGTACAGTCGCTGGCAGCTGGAAGGGCGACGGAGCGTGAGGAGATTGCGAGAGAAGGTGTAATATCTGGCTTTATATTGGACAGACTTTATGTAACTGTATGCATGGGAGCTTGGTCAACAGCGCGTTGGTTGGGCTTTACTAAACCAGTGTTCACACACCGGAACGCACCCGTCACATTGTTGCCTGCCACACTCGAGCCACCGGTGACCTCACCTCACCTGTCAGTATCACCCTACTGCCCCAAGATTCGCATTAGAGAGAACGTCGTTGCATATTCAGCCCCCCCTCACACCATCGTACACACCACTGGAGGGAACTGCACGAGCCAAATGGTCTACTGGAGAGAAAAAGAAGAGGGAAAAAATAACGGGGGGGAAGGGGGTGGGGGTGAAAAAAAGATAAGAGGCGGTGGGGATGAGGGAGAAAAAAACTCGTAGACTCAAAGGAAACTCTCTAGATGTACAGAAAGACCTGCGGGACGAGCTTACTCGGCCTTGGCCTCGGCCTCAGCGGCGGGAGCCTCAGCCTCGGCGGCAGCCTCCTCGGCGGGGGCGGCGGCACCCTCGGCACCCTCAGCGGCAGCAGCGGCGGCGGCGGCGGCCTCCTCGTCGTTCTTGCCCCACTCCTCAAGGACGCGGAGAGCCTCGTCGACCTTCTCGGTAAGGGCGGCGGGCGACTCGACGAGGTGGAGGAGCTCGGCGTTGTCCATCTCCAGGAGCATACCGGTGATCTTGCCGGCGAGCTCGGGCTGCGACTCGTGGATGAGGGGGTAGATGGCCTCACCGAGCATCTGCTTCTGCTCAACGGGCTGGGCACGGGCAAGAGCCTGGGCGTTGAGGCGGGCAGGAGCGGGGGCACCCTGCTGGCCGTCGAACTGAGGGCGAGCGGGGATCTGGCCGCGGGGGAGACCCTGCTGGGCACCGACGGGCGACGAGCCCGAGGGGCGGGCACCGGCGGGAGCGGCGGTAGGGGGGCGAGCACCACCGGCGGGGCGGACGGGGTAGTTGGGGGGCATGCCGGGGTACGAGCCAGCGGCGTTGGGGGGCATGTAGCCCATGGGGACGGGGGCACCGGGCTGGCCCGAAGGGGGGTAGCGAGCGGGGCGGGCGCCCATCATGGGGGGAGCACCGGGGTAGCCACCGACGACACCACGGACGGGCATCATGGGGCCGCCGTAGGGACCCATGGGGCCGGGGTAGTACATGGGCTGCATGTAGCCCTGGGGGCCACCCATGCCGTTGGCGGCGGCGTACTGGAGACGCTGGGCGTTGCGCTGCTGCATCTGCGACTCGAGGGCCTGGCGACGGGCCTCCTTCTTCTGGGCAAGCGAGACGTAGAGGGGCTTGGTGCCGATCATCTTGCCGTTCATGTCCTGGACGGCGCGGGTAGCCTCGTCGGGCGACGAGAAGCAGACAAAGCCAAAGCCGCGCGAGACACCCTTCTCGTCGCGCATGACCTTGGCCGAGGTAATGGTGCCGGCAAAGTCAAACTCCTGGCGGAGACGGTCGTCATCCCACTCGTCGTCCATGTTCTTGACGTAGAGGTTGATGTTGGCCGACTTGGTCTCAATCTCCTGGCGGCGCTCCTCGTGCTGGCGACGGAGCTCCTCGTCACGCTCGGCGCGCTTCTGGGCACGGCCGACGTAGAGCTTGCGGCCCTCAATCTCCTTGTCGTTGAGCTCGTCGACGGCCTTCTTGGCGGCCTCGTGCGAGGTGTAGTTGACAAAGGCAAAGCCCTTGGACGAACCAGCCTCGTCCGAAGCGAGGGCAGCGGAGACAATCTCGCCAAAGGCACCGAACATCTCCTCGAGGCCCTCCTGCGAGGTCTCGGGGTTGAGGTTCTTGATGAACACGTTGGTGAACTTGGCGCGCTGCTCCTCGACCTTGGACTGACGCTCCTTCTTCGAGATGTGGTGGCCGACGTAGACCTTCTTGTCGTTCAGCAGCATGCCGTTGACCGACTTGATGGCGGCGTCAGCAGCCTCGCCAGTCTCGTAGTGGACGAAAGCGAAGCCGCGCGAGTTTCCGTTCTCGTCGGTGGCGACCTTGCACGAGAGGATGTTGCCGAAGGCAGCGAACGTGTCGTGGAGGGCCTGTTGAAATTCAGTCAGCCGGGTGTTTCATACATTTTTTTTTCTCCGGTGGGGGAAACCGCGACGCGCGCCATCCTCCCATCACTCATCCGCCATCACGGCATCTCGTCTCTCGCTACGCACCTTGTTGTCAATCTTCTCGTCAAGGTTCTTGATGAAGATGTTGCCCTGGCCAGTCTTGCGGAGAGCGGGGTCACGCTGGCTCCACATGATGCGGCAGGGGCGGTTCTTGATCAACGAGTAGTTGAGGTGCTCAAGGGCGCGCTCGCCGTCGGCAGCGTTGAGGTAGTTGACGTAGGCGTAGCCGAGCGAGCGACGGGTGACGGCGTCGCGGCAGACACGGATGGAGGCGACGGGGCCGACCATGTTGAAGATCTCAAAGAGCATGGCCTCAGTGACCGAGGGGTCGAGCTCGCCAACGTAGAGCGAAGCCGAGGTAGCGGGCTGGCCAGCGGCAGCTGGCTGGGCCTTGGCCTCACCGGCGGCAGCGGGGGCGGGGGTGGCGGCAGCGGCCTTGGGCGAGGTGGGCGCGACAGCGGCGGGGGCGGTCTCGGACGACATGATGGATGCGGTTTTTCGAGGTTGGGCTCGGTGGGGTTGATGTTTTTAGTATGGGTTTTCTGGGTGGATTCGACCACGTAGGTTTAGCAAGCGTTGACGTGGGTTTTTTGGGAGGCTAGATGGATGGTGATGAAGGCGAAAGGGGGGGGTTTGTGATGCGATGGCACAATAGGCGATAGGATGCGGGGGTGTCGAGTGCAAGATAAGGTGGCGTATACGCGTCGCGGTGAAGGGGAGGAGGGGGTGTGGGTCAGCTTTGGCCTTGTCGCAAGGAGACAGTAGAGAGAAAATTCGCCGCCCGCCAGCGAGGTAGGGGAGGGCATGGCGGTCGTGTGGGACGCGAGGTGCAAGGTCGCGTGAGAGATGGGAGGGGCGGGGAGAGGATGGGGATGGGGGGCGAGGAGGGTGTTGTCTGTGGTGTGCGGGGGTGGGTTGGGGGGGGGCTGTACTCACGCTGAGATGCAACTAGTTGACGTCTCGTGTAAAACTAGTTGAAGAAGACGAGAAATGCAAGTTGCCAGCACAAAAGGACCGCCCACAGTGCGCGCGTACCCCCAGCCAGCAGCCAGCCAGCCCAGCGGACCCAGAGCGCCGTCCAGCCAGCCCAGCAGAGCCAGCCCAGCAAGCCCACCGCCGGTGCCAGCCAGATCAAATGCCCCCGCTCTGAGTGAAAGAATTTTGCTCCCGCCCGTCACCCCGTCTCACACACACCATGCGCGTTGTTGGGTTCCCACTGCTTGTATTTCCGCGGAGTTATGGCGGTTGGTGGCATCCTGGGCAAAGAGTATGGTGTGACCGTGCAAGTGGCGCGTAGGCAAGACAAGAATGGCACCCACAAACACTCTTGCCGGAGAGACAGCCATGCGGATGCGATAGAGGCAGTGGCAGTAGTCACGCAGGAGACATTGCCCGTCATGACAGATTGTCATCTCCGGCATCGTCTGTGGTGCGAAGCACCGAATCGCTGGCCAGTAGATGAAGGTTGTGGGGTATTCTGACCCTGAGGCGTTCTACGAGTGCGGACGTGCAGGGTGTGGGACGACGCAGGTGGGATAGGAAGGAGCCTGGCACAACGATACTCGTCATGAGGGGGCTCATGGAAGAAGGAACAGATCCAGTGCTCGGTGGTCAGTAGTGACGAGAGCTCGCATGTGATCCCGGGCTCGGGCTCGTGGGAAACAACACCAGCTGTCGCGACAGCCACAACAGCAGTTTTCCCATTGCGTCAGTAGGCTTCTGCAGCAGGCACCCCTGCGACTGTGGCAATCTCCCACTGGCCACTGGCCTGTCAAACACACACACACACACATTCATCCCCTCGCGGTTATCGAGGAAGAGAGATAACAAAGACTAAGAAAGGAAGAGAGACCCCAAATCCCAAAGAAATAAGAGAAGTTGTCGAAAGTAGAAGAATCAGGAGTTTTGGTGTTTCACGAAACCGAACGAAAGGGAGAAGAAACGAAGGCATGGTCAACCCACAAACAACTACACGCCAGCGTCCGCGCCGACCTCGCCCTCTTCCTCGTCCATGTCAGGCAGCGTGTCGTCGGATGATACGGGCTGCGGCGACATGACACTCGGGTGAGGACATCCTGCCACCGTGCTCTCGGACAGCTTGCTCGGGCCAGGGATACCCGACACGGACACCTCGGACAGATGGGCCGCCAGTTCGGCATACTCTTCCGGCAGGCCGGCGATGGACGCTGGAGGCGTGACCTGCGACGTGGGGGTGGACGCAAACGACACCAGGTCGTCCTGTGCGTCGAGGCTTGCGGCCGTGAGCACCGATGGGAGGGACGAGGTCGTGGGCGACACGTCCGGCAGGGAAATGTCCATGAGCGGCGCGAGCCACGGGTGTGCCAGCAGTTCGGCGGCGGTGGGCCGCTGGTGCGGGTCGAGGGTGAGGCACTGCTCGATAAAGTCGATACCGAGATCCGAGAGCTGGCCCGGTTCAGGTAGGGGCGGGTGCTGCGTGGCGATACCGATGTGGAACATGATAGCCCACTCGTTGTCGAGGTTGGACCACGGTTTGCGGCCCGTACACACTTCAAGCACTACACAGCCCATGGACCAGATATCCGACGCTCCCAGTCGACCCGACTTGCCCTTGATCACCTCGGGGGCGAGGTACATGGGTGTTCCAGCCAGCGAGTTCATGACGGCCGCGCCGGCCTCGTTGGTACCGCCTCGGGAGATGGCGCGCGTCTTGGCCATGGTGCGGTTCACTTTGGTGATGACCTTGGCAGCGCCAAAGTCGACATACTTGAGCACCGAGTTGGCGCCCAGCAGGATGTTGTCGGGCTTGACGTCGCGGTGCTCGACTCCCTTGGAGTGGAGGTACTGCAGACCCTGGAGCATTTGCCAGGCGTAGACCATGGTCACGTCCTCGTCCTCGACACGACCGTGCACGAGCAAGTCGGCGAGGGACCCGCCAGGGCAGTACTCTTCGAAAATGTACACGCGGTCGCGGTGGACTTCGATTCCGTAATAGTCGACAATGTTCGGGTGCGAGAGCATCTGCATGACGTCGGCCTCGTCCTTGATCGCCTTGTAGAGCGAGGGCGAGTTGGTGACGTCTTGAATACGAATCTCCTTGACAGCCATGATGCCGCCCGAGTCGAGGTTGAAGCCGAGGTAGACGGATCCGTTGGCACCTCCGCCGATAAACCCTCCTTGCTGCCAACGGAGCGAAATGTTGCTCGAGCTCGCGGCGAGGAAGACGAGCGCACGGTCCTCGCTGACCTCTTCGTCGAGGACACGACCCATAAGGTGCTGGTCGGTCCGCAGACCACCCAGCTGCTCCTCTACAGCTTGGATGAGCTGGAGGCGGTCCTCGCGGCACATGCGGAGCGAGCGGTCGAGCGCCTGAACCATCTTGGACTGGGCAGCCGGAGATGGGGTGCGCGGCAGCAGCCAGTCGTTCTCCACATCCTGCTCGTACAGCTGGGCCATGCGGCGGATCGTCTCGAGACGTTCGGCCTCCTTCTTGGCCTCGATGGACGACCGTGCGCCAAGAATGTCAAAGTGCGAAATCAGGAGCGTCATGCAGTTGGCCACTTTGGCGCGAAGGAGGGCAAACTCTTGCTTGTTGAGGTGCAAGATGTTGGTGCCACGGGTCATGAGCATGGCGTACTCTAGCGCATTGACAGTCCAGCGGAACGTCTTGCGGTCGGTGGGGTCACAGTTGTCGCAGATAAAGCTCACCCACGAGATGGCAAGGCGCATGAGCAACCGGCTGAAGCGTGCAAACTGCACGTGGTCCATGTGGATGGCGACGCGGTGCCCGTGGTCGGACGCAAACAGGTAGTAGTTTTCAATGAGGTCTTGTGTACCTGATGCACCACGGAGGTTACGCCTCACATGCGTGGCCGACTCGATAATGTTCTCGGAGAGCCGCAGGCCAGACCGCGCAATCTTCTTGAGCTCGCGGTTCACTTTTGGTAAGTGCGCTTGTGCCTCGATGATACACCGCAGGTGGATCGTTGGGTCCTGCGTCTCGGGGTCCAGGAATGAGCGCTGGAAGACGAGCTTGCAGTAGGTGAGGCGCGACATGACGCCGTCGGCTATCAGGCGGATACGGCTGTCCTCGAGTGCGAAATCGACCGCCTTGGACTCGCCGACGTCAAGCGTCATCACCGCGCCAGTCCACGCAAAGCTCTGTCGTGGAGAGACGAGGAGCAGGTACTGTGCCATGTCGTCTTCATACTCGTCCTCGTCCTCGCTGTGCGGGTCGGGGAGCGTGTTGCCACGGCCGCGGCCGTGGCTCGACGAGAGGTTGACCGCAAAGGCGCGAAACAAGAGTTGGTGCACGTCTCCTGGACGGTCCCAGAGCGACCCGTCGGCGAAAATGTACGTGCCTTGCTCCTCGAACACGTTGGTGTACACGAGGAAGTGGCCAGACTCGTGCAGGCTCTCAATGAGCGCGTCCGTGTCCTCGTCCTCGATGATGTACTCTGCCGAGTTCTCGAACCGCTGGGTCAAACGACGAGCGAAACGCTGCAGCTTGCGGTACCGCATCTTGATAGAGTCGAGAATTTTCGAGTACCAGTTGATCATGTTATCGGTCGTCATGGGCTGGCGCTCAAACTGGCGTCCTTCACCGTTGCGTGCGTCGTCGGCCTCGACCTCGTCGATAGAGATGGGGAGGTGGAGCGAGTTTTCGAAATAGGCCGACACGCGCACCATGAGCTTGTTGGCCAGGCTGCACAGCGTCTCGGCGACAACAATGTCGACGCCCTCGATACTCTCCGAAGCGTCGTACAAAAACTCCCACTCGGCCTCCATCACCTCAGTGTCCCGGAAGTAGACAGCCTTGGAGTTGCTTTTCAGCTTCCAGTGCAGGAGCTTAAAGTGCATCTTGATGCACTTGAGAATGACCTCGCGGTAATTCGATGGGAACGAGTCGGGAACGTTCCAGCGGTTCTCTGGGTCTGGCGCGACAATCTCCTCGTACTGCTTGCGGATAATGATGGCGAGCGATACCGAGTTGCGGAACGAGTCGGCAATGTCGTCGATAATAATGAGATCCGGGTTGGTGAGACGCTCCGCAGCGCGGAGACGTGTCTTGAGGGCCTCGATAATGAGGCGGCCGGGAAAGGAGATGATGCGCAGGAGCTCGTACAGAAACTCTGGGAGGTGAAGCTCTGCAAAGAGCGGGGAATGGGCAATGACAGTCTCCTTGGCGTTCTGGATGGTCGCAAGCTGATCCATAAAAATACGCCTCTCAAAGGTACGACTCAATGAGTCCTCCTTGAGGACACGGTCGACGAACGTCGAGTCATCGGCGGCGTCATTGAGCTGCTGGGCATGGGCGCGCGCCTTGGGGTCGAGTGGGTGGAAACGGTTCTTGCCCACTAGGGCCTTTTCCTTTGTGGTGTTGGGCCGTGTAATGTCCAGATCTTCTGTACCTGTCCACTTTTGCAAGATGTGTAGCTGGGACTGCAGCTGTGTCACGACAGAGTACCACGCAGACAACGCGTCCACGCGGGAACGGAACGCCTCCGAGTCGTACAGCGGCTTGTCGGCACGGAACGCGTGCTGGTGTGGGTACAGGCCCTCGATGACCTCTAGCTTTTGCAAGATGAAGGCCACCTGGTCGATTGCGGAGATCTCACTGTCGTGCTTGACGGAAAACGTCGCAATCTCCTCCAGGACCGGGTCGACGACGCGGTTGCGGCGCTGCTCCACACGTCGCTTCTCCTCGTCCTCTGTGCGGCTACGCAAACGGGCACGGATCTGCCACCATAGGTTCTCTGCAATGGTCTTGCGGAAAGAGTGGTGGTTTGGCAGCTCGACACCAATTCGGTAGCTCTCGCCACGCAGAATGTCGCCGCCGAGCACGGAAGCCAGCATGTTCTGCCATTCCAGTCGCTCTTTGCCCTCGGCAGTGTCTGGGCCGGCCGCGTCGGGCGGTGGTATGGGGAGGATGAGGCTCTTTGGATGGCCGACCCCAATGTGTGTGAGGCTGTCTGACGGTCCCACTGGCTCGTCGCCAGTGGTTGCGCGGCGCACAGCTTCGGCAACCAGCGCCTTGACCGGCCGGGCGTGTGCGTGTCCGTCTAGATCATCATCGTCGTCGTCATCAGAAGCCCACTCAGCCATCGCACGTGCATAGTCGGCGTCGGGATCAGGTCGATCCATACGGTCCGCTTCACCTCGTGTGAGTCCGCGGGGGCGCCGCACGCTGGTGCGGTGACCGCCGGGCCGCGGCGCCGACTCTGTGCGGTACTTGTTGCGCCAGTTGGTGTAGTTGCTGCCACCGACCATGGGTGGCGGGGCCGTCGCTGTGCTGCTCGAGGCGCCGCGCCCATACGTCGCTGAGCGCTGGACTTTGGGCTGAGAAGCGGTGAGGGTCGGCAGGCGTGAGGCCGGTGAGGTACTGCTGCTGGCGCCAGTGCCGGGGAACGATGACGAGCGAAGGTGACCGGGGGCGTCTGGCATCGTCAGTTTCTAGTCTTTTTCTAACGTCACCCATCTGCGACGTACGGTCATCGGGAGCTTTGGATAGAGCTTCTGGCGCAGCTCCCTCGTCGCTGGACGACGAGTCGTTGGAGAACATACGGACCACCTTGCGGCGGCCCTTGTTGGCCACTTGCTCGTCGGCTATAGAGGGCTGCGAGGCGAGTGGCGAGGTGCGGTCTGCCATGATGGGGCAACCATGAGAATGGCCTGCTTGTCGCGGTGTTGTGTGTAGAGTGGGTGGGTGATGCTGGAAAGAGTTAGAGCGATGGAGGATGCCTTGGAAGCAGATGGACCGCGATGAGAGCGCTGAGCCCGCGGGCCGAGTGGTGACGACGGCGAGGTCAGTTACGTATTCAGTCCCGTGGGCCCGACACAGAATTCATAATGCCACCCAGATTTCTAATAACCATCCCATTAGGAACAGCTAACGACTCCACTAATCTCTCACTCTGGCGCGGCTCACTCGCGCGTTTGCCTATGCACACCCGGTACACCCGTTAGCATCGCCGCCGCTGCCCAAAGCCTGTCCCAGGCCCTCAGCGTGCCAGTGATCCAGTGATGACCAGTGAATCAACGCCCGGGGCACTCCCAAATTGAACCACGACTGCCGGCTGCGCATTCACATGACTACCGGCCCCCGCCAGTGGCCAGTGGCGGTTCAGCCTCATCTCGAAGCGGCACGATCAAACTGTGTTAGCCAGCGGTGCTCTCAACTCGACCCTTTTCCGCGCAAGATAACACACCACTTGTGACACGAGGCACACTAGATATATCACAGCTTGTAGCCCAGCATACAGATCCACCCCGGCTGTGGGACCCGTTTCAGCCTGGCGCGAGCATGTGTGACTGATGACACGTAGCACAGATCCCGCTTTGGACGTGGAGCGGACAGCGCATTGCCTCATGGCAGTTCGACAAGTACACGGTTCCAGGTTCCAAGTGCCCAGCAGCGGGCCAGATACACTCCGCTCTCCTTTGCAACGAAATGTCTCTGTGTCTGCATTGCCGCTGACGCAGTATACCCGGCGCAGACCCAAAGGTACACCCGGCGCTTAAAGTCCCTTGCCAACGTTGCGCCTTCCGCCACATTCAGCGCTAGATCGCGCTTACGAGGATGTCCTCCTACTGTGACGAACTGCCTACTGAGACAAAGTGCCATTCGTTGTCATGAGGTCTGTAAGGCGAGAACCTGGTTCTGCAGACGGACGGGATGGCTGGGAACGAGAGGTCGGGTCTGCGTTGTTTCGCAGTGGCCCGCGTAACAGGTGACAAAGCCCATTCGTTTGCTACCGGTAGACCAGCATGCCCTACGGCCAGCCAGTCAAGTAAGGGGGCCTGAATGGTGTCCAACTCTCAATCATGTCAATCATGAAAGTGTACTCAGAAAGGCGCTCGACGGCCATTTTAGAGTTCACAACAGGATCCCATGAAAGCTGCACACCCCCGACGCCACACGACCATGTTTCGCAATATCCTGGAGTGGGAATCGCGGCGGTAGTCGTCGCTCGCTGGAAGGGAAAAGGCCAGTGGTACCGGCGGCATATGCTGCGAATAGCCTCAATGGCCGTGTCTGCGAGGGCCTCGCTGACTAGATGACGGCTGGGAATCAGACACAGGGAGGTGGCGGACCGCCACAAACGGGAGTATGCTTGACCTGTGGGATCTGATGGGCTGTGAGTCACAAGCCCTGGAACCAAGCACTGGGCGCTGCTGGCAGCCTCTTGGCAATCTCTCACGACCAAGACGACGTGTGCTGCCACAGTACAAACCGAGTAAGGCCCAAGTGGGCACAAGGTGTACGTACACAAGGTGACGGGCGTCAAAGGATGATGTCGACGATACACGATGAAACTGACAGCTGATCGACGACAAGTGGCCTGCTGCGCATCCGCCACGGCCGGGTACTCATAATGCATTTGGACTGCTTTTTTACACTACTGAAATGTGTCACTGCGCTCACTGCTCCTACTTGGAAATCTTGTACTTGTACGCAGGGTGTGTGGGTGCCACATGCGCGTTGCCACCGAGGCGCTCGCGCAGAGTGAGGGGACGAGCGTCCTCCTGGTCGACGGGTGGCAGGCGCCCCGACTTCCTCAACTCTGGGACGACGTACTCGATAATGTCTTCAAACGTGCCAGGCGACGTGGCGTAGGCCAAGTTGAATCCGTCGACGTCCGTAATATCCACCCATTCTGCACCCAGTTAGCACACGCTGCCGAGAAAAACAATTGGGGAAAAGGGTCGAAAAATGACCGAAAATGCCCTTCACTCACCTTCGAGAGTCTTCGCGACAGTCTTGCCACTGCCCACGAGCAGTGGTCCCAGGCCACCAATAGCAATCTTCTCTCCGACCTTGCGTGCCGTCCACTCATCCTCAATACCAGACTGCTTGCTCCACATCCTGTTGACAGAGCGGATCGAGTCGTTCTCGACATACTGGAGGGGCTGGTCCAGGGGAACCTGTGAGAGGTCGACACCCGCCCAGCCACCGTAGAGGGTAAGAGCACCGTCGATCGAGACGAACTGCTTGAGGTCGTCGTACTTGGCCTGAGCCTCCTCGTCGGTCGCGCCGGTGATGATGGTGACGAGGGTGAACACCTTGATGGCGTAGGGGTCGCGGCCGGCGTCGACGGCGGACTTGCGCACACTGGCTACTGTCTTCTTCAGGTATGCTGGGGTAGGGCCGCTAATGAACACTGCCTCGGCATGACGACCGCCAAAGCTCTGGCCCTTGGGGCTGGCGCCAGCCTGGAAGATGAAGGGGGTACGCTGCGGGCTGGGCTCGCACAGGTGCGCGCCGGGGACCTTGAAGTACTTGCCCTCGTGGTTGATGTCGTGAACCTTGGCCGGGTCGGCATAGATGCCCTTGCGGCGATCCTTCACAACGGCGTCCTGCTCCCACGAGCCCTCCCAGAGCTTGTAGGTGACCTCGATGAACTCCTCGGCGATGTTGTAGCGCTCGTCGTGCTCCACCTGTTCTGTGAGGCCGAGGTTGAGGGCAGCAGACTTCAAGTAACCCGTAACGACGTTCCAGGCGACGCGACCCTTGGTCAAATGGTCGAGAGTAGACATGCGGCGAGCGAAAGCATAAGGAAGCTCGTAGGTCAGGCTGACGGTAATACCAAAACCGAGCTTCTTGGTAACGGCAGCCATGGCCGAGATGGGAATAGTAGGGTCATTGACTGGCACCTGTGTGGCAGTGGCAATAGCGGTGTCGCGCGTGCCCTTGTAGACGTCATAGGTGCCGAGCACGTCGGCGAGGAAGAGACAGTCAAAACCGCCCTTCTCGAGCAGCTGAGCAAGGTTGGTCCAGTACTCGAGGTCCTTGTACGTGTCCGCCTTGTCGAAGGGGTGTGTCCACAGTCCCGGGCTCTGGTGGCCAATACAGCACATGTCGAATGCGTTCAGGTAAATGCGGCGATCGCGGGGACGGGGAGAAGCGACGGCACCGGCGGTACCGGCGGCACCGAGGGGAGCGAGGGTGTGGTACCCACCCTGGTGGTGGACGAGGGGACGTCCCTCACGGCGAACGGTGGTATCAACGCGGCAAAGGGCAAGGAGGTTGTCGCCCGCAGCAGAGAAGGAGACAATGGATCCCGACAGACGGGCGAGGGAGACCCCGTGGAGCTCGGGGAGACCGTCCGCGTGCCACGCCCACTTGGATGTGTCGACAAAACGCTGGTCTGTAGACTGTGCAAACCGCTTGGCAGTGTCTCCGGCATCGTGGTCCAGGAGATGAGCGGCAAATCTCAAAGAACGAGTGAGGGTGTTCAGACTGCTCGAGTTGCGGCCGAGGTTGAACGTGATCATGGGTGGGTCAATGGAGACGCAGTTGATGCTAATGGCGGTGAATCCCGCGGGCACGCCCTCATGGGCGCCCTGTTGGGTCAGCCCCGACTGGATTCCCCCGACTGGATTCCCAGGGTGAGTGACTCACTGTAATAACCCAGACACTGTTGGCAACGTCACGGAACGTCGAGCGGAGCTCGCTGCCGGACGACTCGCCAGACACAGAAGGCGCCGAACCTGTGCTCCTGGCACCAAAGCCTGTACCGTTAACGGACGAGTCGCTGCCAGCGCGGCGGGGAGGCAGTGGTGGACGCTTGCTCTCAAGTGACACTGAAGCGACAGCATTGATGACTCCGGCAACAGTAGTGGCGGGAGGCTTGAAGGTGGCCACCGGGATGCCACTTGCTGAGTGACCTTTAGACTGGCTCTTGGTGGGGCCGTCGGTGTTGGTGTGGCCGTTGGCGTTGGTGTGGCTGTTGGCGTTGGTGTGACCGTTGGCGTGGGCGTGGCTGTGGCCGTTACCGTGGCCCTGGCCGTTGGTGTGGCCGTTTGCGGTGGAGATGGCAATGGGTGCCATGATTTCTGCTGGTCGAGGTGAGAATAGTGATGAACGTAAACCCATCGAAGAGGTCTGTCACTTTTGAACGACGACGGTGGAGCTGGGAACGTTGGATTGACGCCCACCTTAGGCCCTCTGTGCCCTTTTTCATCACACCATCACTTGGGAGATTACAACTTTGGTACTTTGGACATGCATCAGCCGGACGAGAATCCTGACTCATGGTCCTGAGTGTGTTGTCACCGGCACACACTGTGCACTGCCAAAGAAGCAGAGCGCCCTGGTAAGCGATGCTGCGATATGTGTCATTTGTTGATTGTGGCGGTTGTGCCAGAAGACCGAGCAATGGCGATTATCGGCGAATATTGCGTGACGACGGCAAATCGCCTGATTGTCCCGTCCACTCGTGGCGCCCCCGCCGTCACCCGCGTTTGCGGGCCCTCTCTTTGGCTCGGCGTCTGTGCGACCATCTCGGACCGGGGTTAAAGTACAAGTATGATCACGGCAGTGTGTCGCTGTCGCCATCAATCACGGTATGCACGTGCTGCAGGTGACGCTAAGCAAAATGAGGCGGCGGATGAAACGAAAACACACCGTCAGAACCTGGGTCCAGTGGCATTTATTTGCCCCTCCACCGGCCACCTCTGCGCCCCTCGCCAATGTCTGGGGGGGATAACTCGATCTCGACATGGGAAAAGATGCAGCACCGAGATCGGAAAGTTGCATGGATAGGCGAGAACACAAGACATCATAAGACATGGGACGTGCATGAAAGTTACTCGCCCCCCAAGCCTGCAGCCGCACCTTGCTGTCTCCCATAATGTCCGACACAGTCGCCAACGGGGCGCAATCCACCTACAACGAGAAGGATACCTCCTCCGATAGCAGCGATACACACAATGGCGTTGATGTTCACCCTGTCGACCTCAAGCCACGCGGGTCCCGCCTCTCCCAGCTGTGGCACTGGGCCCAGGACCGTGACTACCATGTCTGGGTCATGAGTCTCGGTTTCCTCCTTCTGTTCACGTCATACCCAATCCAGGGCGTGCAGACCATCCGTTTCCCGGACACGGGATCGTACATCCTCATCGTTCTGTACTCGGCGTACTTTGTGACGTCAATGTGGGCCACATTCTTCCTTTCCTGGTGGGGTCTGGAGTTTTGCTTGATTTGTGGACCCATTTCGTACGGCACGTGGATCGCTTGTATGTTTGCCAACAACAACGCTGCCAACCTCGTCGGAGCTGCATTCTTTGGCTGTAAGTGGTCTCTCTTGCTCCCCTCTGGCCTCTGGTTTACCTCCTTGCCGGAGCCGGAGATTATTCAATGACGGCTAACAATGTTCAGGGGGTGCTGGCCTCCTGTGGCCTGCGGCTGGTCAACTGATTGCCACCGTCTCGACACCTCACAACCGCGCCTCCAACGCCGGTATCTACCAGTGTGCCTTCCATGTCGGTGTCTGGACCGGTGGCCTTGTGCTGGGTGCCGTTGAAAAATCACTGTCAAACTACAACGACCAGTACGCCGTCTTCCTCTCGCTGTGTGGCACCTCGGTGATTTGTTTCGTCATCCACGCGTGGTCGTTCCGTCGCCGGTTCCGCACCAAGCAGGTCAAGAGCAGCATTGCCGAGGCTGAGACTGCCGGCCAGAATGAGGGCAGTGATGGCGAGAAAGTCCACCGTGTACTGCTGGATGACGGCACTGTCGAGTACCGCAAGGCCGACAAGAGCACGCTCGTCAATGAAGACTCGGTCGTCCAAGACATGGCCCTTAACGGCGCCTCGAGCCACGGCAGCAAGTGGCAGTCTGTCAAGAACAACTTTTGGAATCCCGTACGTCCAGGCCACATGCTCAATTTGCACTATTCCGGCTGACAGGCTGCAGGTCAAGATGCTCTGGAACCCAGTGTACGGTCCCCTCGGTCCTGCCATCTTTGTTACTGGTAAGTGTCTCAATCCCGCAGCTAAAGCTCCTAAGAACCTAACATACCACAGGCGGCATGACCCAGGGCTGGTTCAACGCCTCGTTCAACGTCATCGTGTACAAGGTTGGCGGTGACTGGAACGGCTGGATCTACTCCATCTCCGAGTCGTGGGCCATTGTCGCAGCCATTGTCTTTGGACTGTTCTACGACCGCCTGCGCACCAACTACGTCGCCTCGCGTTACCGCTGGGTCATGTACGTCTACGTTGTGGCGTTTTACTGCATGTGTGCTCTCGCTCTCGGCACGTACTACCTCGGCGAGAAGGGAATCGGCTCTGAACCTGGCATGACCAAGCCGAGTCACTACAAGGTTGCCCTGTCGTTCACAGGCGCATTCTACAACATCCAGCTGCTCGCGCTCGAAGTCTCCGTCCTGACGTATCTCTCAACGTTCCTCACCTACTCGGCCGATGTGGCGTTCAGCTCCAAGATTGGCTGCGAGGCTGCGGGTTATTTGCTCGTTTTCGGCCTCGTCAACGTCCTGTCCCCCAAGTGGATGATTGTCGTCCTCTTCTGTGTCGGCCCGCCCTGCCACCTAGTCTTCCTGTTTGGCTGGTGGGCTCCGGAGCGTCCCGTGGCCATGGTGACCAAGGAGGTGGAGAGCGAGCAGAGCTCAATTGTAGAGTAGATGGGGGAAGATCGCGCAAGGAACAGTAGGTAGAGCCACAAAAGTAGTTAGGACATGTAGTAAAGTGTTTGAGGCTGGAAACCCTGTGCACAGTCGAATTGAAGTGGTTTGTCGCTGCGCGAGTGGAGACAGGTGCAACTGAGAAGTCCAGGTGAGATGAGGTGATCCGCCGAGGAAAGGCGCACCGTTGTGAGCGCTGGGTCACACGGTTGTAGGCACCGGGGCAGCTAGGTCATCAGCGGGCTGGTAGATGCCAGTGTGGGCCAAGCAAGCACGCAGGTGAAGGGGCCATAGATGTGAGTGGCAGATGTATCAGTTTCAACCGCCCTCTCTACCCCGCTTCTTCCTCGGTCTACCATTCAAGCACATGCATGCTATTTTAACCTCTCTAGAAGGGCTTGTCGCAGTCGGGGGTCTTGTCGGTGAAGTAGTCCTTAAGCTGGAGGCAGTGTCAGTACCGGTAACATTGTGCGCGTTTCGACTGGCTGCCGGTGTTTAAAGATGCTGCAGCCAGGGGATTTCCATCACTACTCACGAAGGGGAAGCGGTGAAGGACGTCACGCTGGAAGATGGGGACGGGGCTCATGAAGAGCGAGACGGCGACACCGGCACCGGCACCCCAGAACATGAGCGAGGGGCCGAAGGGGCGGAAGAACCTGCAGGTTCAAGTCAAGATGGCAAGTTGGCGTAAGTGGTGGAGGATGAGCGAGTATGTGTTATTCGGCCAGAGGTACACCAGAGCACGCAGGAGCGATGACAAGAGTCACGCCAAACGAGAGAGGCGAGAGGAGGTGAACGAAGGAGTGACGCCAAGGAAACACAAGGTCGGGGCAAATCGACAATGAAGACCAGATCGGATGAGAGGAACAAGAAGAACACCTGGTCAGCATCTATCACGGGGATCAACGACGGGGTACGAACTCGGCGCTGAAGCGGCCAAAGTGCTGTGGAGAGTCAGCTATGCACTGTGCAATGAACGGGAACAACACATAAGTTGACGGTTGCCAAGTCGCGCAGGCCGCTCGAGGGTGCAAACGAAGCTGCAAGCTCGATTCCTTCGCGCCCAAGCTCGCGGCCCGCACTTTCCGCCAACGTGTGCGCAGTGCGACTTCCGCGTAAGCTACTCACGGGGACCTTGGTGACCTTGAGAGTGTAGGGCATGGCGACGGAGTGGTGGTTGGGAAGGAAGAGCGAGCGAATGGCAGATGAGCCAATTAGCCTCGGGACGGAGCGGGCGGACAGGCGAGTGACGAGAAGAATAAAATGACGTGGACAATTGCTTTCCACACTTGTACACCCAGCCAACGTGATTCCACAGAGTGGTCACAGGCCCGCGAGTGGAGGTGAGCCAGAATGTTCAACGAAACAGCATCTCTACTCGTCAACAACAACCAGCCCAAAATGTCCTTTGCAAGGAGCGTCTTACGCATAACCCAGGCCGCGCGCCTCCCTACTACCGTTCACTCCGCCACCATCTCTCACGGCCTGCGCGCTGCGCCGACATCTCTTGCGCGCGGCTACGCAACGCTCTCGCCTCACACTCCTCCTCCAACCAAGCCGTACGAGGTATTTGACGAGCCCGCCAAGGCCCGTCAGAGGGACCGCGCGGTGCTCCGTGTCAATGAGGCTGTGGAGAACGAGGGTATCGAGCTTGAGATGTTGGACTATTTGCGCGAGGAGGTTGCGGACAGGATATGTGAGAGAATCGAGGTGAGTCATATCCGCGCATGGTTCAATGGACGCTCGTGCTGTCAGCCCGCTCTTGGTAACAGCACAACGAGTAGACACGATTTAATTGCGCATAATTTTATCTGGGTGGCCTCCATTGAACTCAGCTGACATCCCAGGACCTCAAGATCCCACCTGCCACGATCGTCGACCTGTCGTCGCATGCGGGCCAGTTGACCCGCATGCTCCAGGACATTGTTGGCGACGCACTGCACCCTTCTACAGAGGGAGCCGGTGTGGTGGGCTCGGAGAAACGGAGGTTCATCATGGTCGACTCGAGTAAACTCGCTCTGGAGCGTGATGGCGACGAGACCTTTACTTGTGAGTACGGCAGTGCTGGGCAGACGGAACCACGTTATCAGCACTTGAAGCCCAGTGTCGAACCGTACGGCCATGAGTGTTGCTTTGCAGTGTTGCTTTGCAGCTTCAAGACGACGCTGAGCCTCTCGATCTTCCTCGTGCAGATGTCATGGACTGTTCTGACTCTTCATAGATCCTGTCGAGCGCATTGTCGCCCCAGCCTCGGACTTTCTCAACGACCCCCAGATCGCGCCGTTGGCCGACAAGGTCGACGCCGTTGTGACTGCCGGTGGCCTGCATTGGGTCGGTGACATTGTCGGTGAGTACGGCGTCACCGTTTCTATTTGAAGTGGCGAGCTGTCTGCCGCATAGTGTCAGCTCACTAACGCCCACCGCAGGCGCCTTTACCCAAATCCGCCATCTCCTCAAACCCGACGGAGTCTTTATCGGCGCCGTCTTTGGCGGCGACACGCTCTTTGAGCTGCGTACTGCGCTCCAGCTCGCAGAGCAGGAGCGTAGGGGCGGCATCGCGAACCGCGTGTCTCCCATGATCAGTGCGTATAAGCTGAGTGTTTGATACCATCAGCTGACAATTATCCAGACACCACCGACGCGCCCTCGCTCCTCAACCGTGCCGGCTTCACCCTCACCACCGTCGACACAGACGACATCACCATCAACTACCCGTCGATATGGGAGCTCATGGCTGACCTGAGGGACATGGGCGAGAGCAACGCCATCCTCGGCCGCAAGGCCCAGGTCAGCAGGGACGTGCTGCTCGCCGCCGAGTCGATTTACAAAGGTTCGTTTGATGACTGATCGCGAGGTGGCCAAAACTGGCATGCTTGCTGACATTGCTTCAGAGCTTTACGGTAACGAAGACGGCTCGGTGCCCGCCACGTTCCAGATCATCTTCTTTATCGGCTGGAAGCCCAGCCCGAACCAGCCCAAGCCTGCTGAGAGGGGCAGTGGCAAGGTCAGCCTGAAGGATATCTTGTAGTCTTTGGCAGTCAATGGCCGTTGGTCTCGCGCCTCGAGAGGTAATGTAGTCTAGAGCACACATATGCTACTTTCATCTATCCATTCACCTGCTGTGAGCGACGCTTGTCTACGTTGGTCATCAGAAAGGCAGACAGGAACCATTCGGAACTGCGACATCGTGGGCTACCAGTCTTGACCGGCTTACGATTGCAAGGCGGCCCAGGACTGGTGTGCCATACACAGACAGCGCTCGTACCACACATCTGTGCAAAACGCTCCCTCACGGTTACCCGTGCAGCGTGCAGCATACAATGGGGCTTGCCTGCACGTGCCAAACGGCATGCCATATGCCATGCCACGGTACGGGGTCAGTACGACTCGTTCCGGATCCGATTTGGATGCCGCCATCTCGCAGTCTCTCTGCGCTACACGGACCCGACGTCTGCACTCTTGCACCAGTCTGACGTGCTCGCTTCTCTGATCTCTGAACGCAACGGCTGGCTGGCTGTACGACACACGCCACGCAGACGGTGAATAGTTTTCCAAAGTGCGCCAATCAAGGCCGGGTGATGCAGTAAACCCGTGGGCTCCATGACTATCCTACAAGAGAAAGCATCTACTGGTGCTCCTCCTCGCGCTCGACCTCGAGGATGCCGGCGCGCTTCTCGGCAAGACGCTGGGCCTTGCGCTCGCGCATGGCCTTGTTCTTGATACGGCGGGCCTCCATCTGGTCGGCGAGGTGCTTGGTGCGGAGCTTCTCGGCCTTGGCCTTGTGGATGTGCTCCATGAGGACACGCTTGTTCTTGAAGGTGTTACCCTTGGCCTTGAGGTAAAGGACGTGGTAGAGGTGCTTGTCGATCTTGCCGGCCTCACGGTACTTGCGGAGGAGACGACGGAGGACACGCATGCGACGGAGCCACTGGACCTTGGTGGGCATACGGGCCTCGGCGGTACCCTTGCGCTTACCAGCGCCCGAGTGGCGACCAAGACGCTTCGAGGCGGCGTGGGCACGAGTGCGGGCACGCGAGTGGATGACGGTGGGCTTGACAATGATGTGGCCGTCCTTGAGGAGCTTGCGGACACCCGAGCGCGAGTTGGCCTGGCCAATCTCGGCAGCCTCCTGGGGGTCGAGCCAGACTGGAAATTGTTAGCAGGCAATCCTCAAAAGTTGGGAATGATTTCGTGCACGGCGAGGGCTCCCTTGGTTGCAGGTCTTGAGAGTTTCACGACGACGGTGGGATGGAGGCGGTAGCGAGACTGCCACTGGCACGGCTGCCAGCAACGTTCTCACAATCCTTCTCCGCTGCCCTCCCGCCGCCGCTTCCGAAACTTTGGACCCAAGACGTCCAAAATCCCCATCCCATCCTCGCTCTCTCGGGGTAGCCCTCGCTCGTGCGCGTGTGCTACTCACTCTTGCGCTTGCCGACACCGGCAACCGACGCGGCGAGGCGCTTCTGAATGCGCAGGTTGGAAACCATTTTCTGGGGGGCAAGTCAGACACAAATGTTCACACGGATTTCGAGGTTTTGCGGCGCGCAGACGACGGAATAACGGGGGGAAAGTTGGGGGGATGTACGCTGTGCCGGGTGCGTGGTTCAATGTCGACGGTGTGCGTGTCGTCGCCGTGTCTGCGCTCGCTGTCGGCACTCACTGTTGCTTGAAGGGTTGGACGTATCGGTCAAAGACTGTCACTCGACTTGCAGCCACCACCCACTCCCCGTCCCACCGCAGGGGCAGAGCTTGTTTCGTCGGAGTTTGCAACGGAAATTCGACAACGAAAATCGTGTGGCGGATCTTTGATTCCGCGTTACGTAAAATAAATGAATTAAGATCTCCCACGGTGCCTCGCGTTCACCAGCGGAGCCAACAGTGCGGCAGATGGATCTGTGGCAAGCTCGCTCCTAGTTGCGATGATGTGCAAATAGCAATTGCATGAGACGTCTATGTAGGCTACTGTTACAACATGTTCAGACGGCGCACGAGATAGGAGGTAGATAAGGATCAACTAATTCCTGCCCTATTATGAGATCATTAGAAATTAGAGGTGTTCCTTCCTTTCCTCAGCCAACATGTGTCTCGTCGAATGTCGTGGTACGTCAATCTCGTTCAGGAGGAGGGGTGCTCGCGGCAATCCTTACGCCAGCGGTGGCACTACACACCTCTCAAGTGTCCATTTTTACTCAAAGTCGTCATACCCGACCTCCACCTGGGACCCCTGTCAGCTCGCCGCAGTGACTGGTCACTCACCATCTGGTCCGAGCCGTGGTACACCACTCGCCTGCCTCCGCTGCCCCAGCCCGTCCACCCTGCTCCCCAGAACCAGAGGGTCTGGCCCTTGACAGCCTTGGCCATACCACTGCCCGGCAGTGACGGGAAGAAGTTCTGAACCCAGGCCAAGGCCTTGAGTGTGGCAGACTCGGGGGCGTCGAGAGCTCCCTCTGGGAGGATTCTAAGGAGTAGTTAGCCACAGCTCAGAGACTGGCATTGAGGTACTCACAAGACGTCACCAACGCGTACGGCACCGCGCAGACCTCGCAGGTCATATGCCGTCACGCCATATCTGACGAGCAGGTACCGGAGCACTGCGTCGGTGAGGGGACCATCGCCGGTGAAGTCGGTCTACACTTGTCAGCTGAGCCACGTCGACACTACTCACAATAGACAGCTTGTCTGCGGCTCCAGTATCGACCTTCTCCCAAATCGTCGCGAGCACATCCACAAACACTGGGTGGTACGGCTTGGCCTGCGAGGTTAGCTCCTTGTTTAGGTCCTCAAACCCACGGCAATGACGTATTGCGAGAACTGGAGCTTGCGACCAGTCTTGACCGAGCCGACACTGCGACGGAGGCGGGAAATGGACCACTGCGTCATGCGGCGCCAGTCAAACGCAATGCTCGAGTCAAAGTCGATGGCAATGACGAGGTTGATGTCAGGGGCGAGGATCGAGGTCGCGTCGTCCGGAGGAAAGTTGTCGCGGTACTGCACGGGCGAGCGGCGGCTGTGCTGGCGCGACGACGGCGGATAAGGAGAGGTCCATGACGCATTGTTGTGCCAGACAGCCTCTGCAGCGAACACCTTTTCTGCGTGGGACTCTGAAGGGGACGTGGTGTCGGAGACCACGGGCGCCTCAGCATCGCTTGCGGACTCCGATGTGGCCGCTGGCAGCAGGGTGTCGTCAGAGTCGTCGGATGCAGCAGACGTAGGTTCAGACTCTTGGTGCTGCTCGTGGACAGCTGTGTCGCCCTCAGCCCCAGTTCCATCGGCGGTGGTGGCGTTCCCGTCGCCCGGGATTGCCGATCGGTCCCAGATCCGACGATGTGTCTGGTCTGCAGCTTCAATATGCTTCATGAGAATCGTGTTGATCAGGTCCAGGTCGGGATGTACGATTGACTCGGCGTCAAGACCCCAGAGGTACGGATGCGCAATGGGCTGAGCGTAAGCGTTTGATATACCTAGTCATCGGTGACATGATACCTACCACCGTGTCCGAGTCGGCATAGACACCACCTTCGTAAAGCATTGCGAGGTATCTGGTTGTTGGTGTCAGTCACAGTCCCTCGATGTCTGATGGTTGGGACCCACCTATACACATCCGTGCGCAAGATGCCGTGGCCGATGGCAGCCCAGAACTGGGACCAAGGGCCAGACCTTGGGTGGATACCGATCCAGTTGGTGACCTGTTTATCCATCTGCGTATCATCGGCAACGACAACCTTCCATGCTGCGCCCCTTCGGGCGGGATTGGCCCATTCCGTGTCCGGGAGCAGGTTCTCCACTGGCGGTCCAAGTGGGAGGGGTAGCAGGGCTTCCCAGAGTCGGAAGAGGTCCTGGACACCAGACTCGCCCAGGCGGTCGCACGAGTGGAAGCGGGTGGTGAACAAGGCCGTCGTTGGAGGGACATGGGCGGCGACACGGCTCACGGCGTGTGTGAAGCGTGGATGCATGGATGACTGCTGGAACGCCTTGCGGATGAATCCCAGCAGGCGCTGCGAGTATGCTTCAGACGACGATGTGAGAGTCGGGTGTCCGTCTGCCGTCCATGGTGGAGAACCCACAGAGCGCTCGGCAGCGTGTGGTTCGTAACCCGAGGCTTCTAGAAGGGCGACGCGTACCTCCTCATACTTGAGCGCGACCTCTTCTCGTCGTGCGATCCACAACTCTTTGCGTTGCTCTGAATCCAACACGCTCTGCTTGCGGCCGGACCACGATACGAAGGCCATGAGGAAGAACGCGACAATGGCCAGCGCTAACAAGCGCAGCGTCCACTGACGGGGCAGTCGGACGGTCCGCGTCATGGTTGAAGGATGCCGGGATGCAGCGGCGCTGTGAGACGGATGGCCGTGGGAGAGATGTGTGTGTGTGTGTCCCAAGACGCAGAGGTGTATGGTGTGAATGAAGGTGGACTCTGAATCGACAACAGAGGTTGCGTTGGAGGTGTCGCGCCCCCGTCGGTAGATTGGTGGCGGCAGTAGTCGCGCGCCGGGCCCGTTGCCCTTTCGGCGTGTCGCCGCCCCTTACACACGCCGGGCCGCGCTATGGTGGACGGATGTCACCCCGCGGGGTACACGTAACTGCAGCATCGTTGCTCTCATCCCGTCCGCCCTCTCCGTCGGCGATGACAGCAACCAACGGATCGCAAAGGGAGAGCATGTGCTCCGCTGGCCGCTGGCCCCCTTGAAATCTCAGCGCGGGCGCGCGGGTGCGTCTGTTGTGCCTTGTACATTACGACTCGGCATCCATCCTCGGTTGACCAAGCTCTTCGGTGCCACAGTTTGATCACCCGCGCCCCCTCTACCGGATGTGGACATCAAGCATACTTTATAGCGACTCTGGGTCCTATCCTATATGCATATACGCGTGGTCTCGTGCGTGAAGGTCTGGTGATAATCTCTACTGCAAACACTGGAGGTGCCATGTGATCGCCGTGGCATTCAGAGCAGCGCAGTAGCCTGACCCTTCATATTCAGCTCCAGTCCTCCAGGGTCAAGACCTGCTGGCCCACGTCGCGGGCTTGCAGCTCGCTCTTCCAATGGAACCCGGCTGTTGCGAACGACCCGTTGGAACATGCATGCCACGATGTGCAACTGTGTCTAGACTCAAAGCTCACCAGCAGCACCCCCACAAGGCGATCAGGCGATGGGCGTCGGTCGCAAACCAGCCGGAACCGCCGACGACAGGCGGCAGCAAGTGTCTTTGATAGCTTTGATCTTTGAGATGCACGCTACTGAGATACTGATCATCCATAGATCTCTATGCTGGATCTATGCCATTGCCGCAGATGCTCGCATGATTCGCTTGCGCGCTTGATCTGCCATATGCCGCTAAGACAGCTTGCACGCCGCCAAAGGTCCAATTCTCGACCGGACTCGGGTTTCAAATGCCTTACGTAAATACTTGCGGTCGTCTCCTCCAAAATGCCACTTCGGCGTTTCAGCGGCATTAGCGTTTCTCGAAATCGGTTGCTGCCCTGTGGATGGCGCTCTGTCCGCTGGGTGGTGGGTGGTGGGTGCCCAAGTCGTCTGTTCGCTGCAGCTCTCCTTCTGTGTCCCTCAAAAGCAAAGAATGTGAGTACCGCCAGCGGCACCGACAGCGACGACGACGACAGGCAGACAAGGCAGACAGAACACACCGCGCGCCACCTCGATGGAGGGAGAGAGGCCTTGGTCCGACCCCTCCAGCTGGTCGTGCGCGGTGGACACGATGCCGAAAGTCTCGTCGTGGCAGGTCGTTTGAGCAACCCGAAACCCATGCAGAAATTGCGACCGATGCTGACAGCGACCTCTAGCAAAATGTCTTTCCAGTCTAAGATTCTGCGCACTGCCAACGCGCCCAACACTCCCCCCACGGAGATTGAGCAGACCATTGCTCAGGCGCTCCTCGACCTCCAGACCAACGTCGCCGACCTCAAGTCCGAGCTCACCCCTCTCCAGATCTCGGCCGCCAAGGAGGTTGACGTCAAGGGCGGCAAGAAGGCCGTTGTCATCTTCGTCCCCGTCCCCCAGGCCAAGGCCTTCCACAAGGTCCAGCAGCGGTGAGTCAAGCGGGCGGCAGGGGGGCCTCTCGTGTGTTCGATTGGGTGTGGGTGCCAAAACTTCAAAACTTTTGGCATCTGTCTTCCTTTGGGACCACGAGTTGCTTTTCCCTTCCGCCAGCGATCCCCCGAGCACGACCGTTCCAGTCGAGACTCAGAGGTAGACGGAGGCTGTTTTCACGGCCACCTCCCTCTGTTTTTCCTGGCGGTGGTGCCGGGTTTGGCACCCTGGTATGTCGTCAATTTGCTGATCTCGTGTTCCCCTTCGTTGTCACCCACCACACGTCGCCGTAATGCCCGTTTATTTTTACGCCCATCCTCAACCCATACGTTTCCACCCTCGCCCTCGGCTTCGCCCTCTAGCCTTACCCGCGAGCTCGAGAAGAAGCTCTCGGACAAGTTCATTGTCTTCCTTGCCCAGCGTCGCGTCCTCCCCAAGGAGAAGCGCAACTCGAACGCCAAGCTCGGCCAGAAGCGCCCCCGCTCGCGCACCCTCACCGCCGTCCACGAGAAGATGCTCGAGGACCTCGTCTTCCCCTCGGAGATCGTTGGCAAGCGCACCCGCATCGCCGCCGACGGCTCGAAGCTCATCCGTGTCTACCTTGACGCCAAGGACCAGAACCAGCTCGAGTACAAGCTCGACACCTTCTCGTCGGTCTACCGCACCCTCGCCGGCAAGGACGTCGTCTTCGAGTTCCCCGTCCAGGCCGCCGAGTAGATTCTCTTCTCCGCCGTGTAGCAGGGGTGTAGGGATTACGACATGCATTCACCAGCAGGCAAATCGCCAGCTGTTGTAACTTAAAAAAACCATTGTGGCAGTTGTCCGTGACAGGTTGCTGTGAGCAGGTGCAGGACCATGTCAGTTGTGTATATGCGTGCCCGGCAGCTGTTGGGGTCTCCCCAGGTCCCTTTGCAGATGTGTGTATGAGCCATCAAACGCTGCTAGTTCGCTCCGCCACACCTTCCTTGTCCAGCTGCCAACTTCCATCTGCATGTTGATACAACGCCGTCCGTCTTCTGTTCTGTATAGTGTACCTTACGACCTGCTCCTTCGTTGCATGTTAGGTCCGCTCAAGCCCTGTCGACCTTGGAAAAGAAGTCGGCAAGACGCTGGTACACGTCGTCAAACTGTTTGCGGTTCTCGGGGTTGCTGAGGTCGGCACGAGCAGCGGCCCATCCGTGGTGCCTGCACTCTGTCAGCTTTCTTCCTCTCTGGCCAGCTGCCCGAGCTTCCCACTCACACAGTGTTGTACAGGTGGAAATCACACTGGCTTGCAAACGGCTTGGTCTTGATCGTCTGCTCGATGTACGCGGCCACATCGGCCGGCTCGTCCTTGGACGGATAGAATGCGAGCGGGCGCGCAAGCGCGTCGCCGTCGCCGTTGGCGATCATGGCCGGGTGGCAGGTCGCGCCAGAGCTGAAGGGCGAGTTGGGCGAGCCCAGCGCCAGGAGGGTGATCTTGCCGCCTGAGAGTGTCAGCTTGGGGACACGGGAAAACGCAGCTGAGCCTTACCCCAGCAGTATCCCAGGATCGAGACCGTCTTGAACTTGCGCTCAGTCTTGAGGAACTGGGCAAACTTGAGGACCTCGGGGAGACGGTCTTCGATCTTGGCCCTGTGGTATGTCAGTTGCGTTGCTCCCCGTGCTGAGATTCTCGCAACTCACGTTCCGTTGAAGAACTTGCCCAGCTCAACCTTGTCGCCGTCCTTCTCGGGAGGGAAGGGGTGGCCGCGGAACACGTCCGGCATGTACGCCTTGTGCGGGGACGTGAGGAGCAGGTGGGACACCAAGAGGTCGGAGCCCTGTATAGGTCAGCAAAGCCTTCGAGAGTAACCTACACGCTGCGTTGTCTCCCTGGGACTGTCAGCTCCTGCCCCCGGCTCTACTGCAGTGCACTCACCAGAAGCCGAAGATATCGTAGATGACAACGATAGCATGGTCAGCCGCGTCCGGGCCAGTCTGTTGTCAGCTGTCGGTCGCGGAGGCCATAATAGCTCACGACATAGACCTTGTCGAACCCGCCCAACGACTCGTAGCTGCCGCGCAGCTCATACTCGCCGGTGGCCGCCACGGGGTGCGCAACTTGCGGGCGAGGGGCCTGCGGGGGGCAGCACTCGGCGTCTGCTTGCGTTAGGGTGGTGTGGAAGGAGCGCGCAGCAGGCGCCAGCGACTGCGTGTGGAGGCTGCCGGGTTGGAGGACGAGGCCGGCACGAGGAGCTGGGCGCAGCGCATGGAGCTTGGGGCTGGAGTTGGAGCTGGAGCTGGTGCTGGTGCTCAGTGGCAGTACCGGTCCACTCCATCGCCGTGCGCTCGCCGACGCGATGCACACGCGCCGCCGAGCCCCAGCCCCCATCCAACCCTCACCACCGGCCATGGCCGGCGCGCCGCCCACCGTCCGCGTCGCCCGCGCGGCACCGCGTAGCGCCAGCGCCATGCATCTCATCTCACCCTTGGACATTGTGGGAGATCGATGTCTTAGATTTCGGTTTACGGTGGTTGTGGGGGCGGGAGGGAGGGTGAGGCTGGTGGAATGGGTGTTGTTGAGGAAGAGAAGGCAGAGCTCAATGTGGGGATGTATGTGAACGCGCAGTTCCGTCACCAGTGCGTCATCGGACGCTATTTGGCTCCATGTGGCACCCGGCGGGTTTGGTGTTTCAACACGGTCATGGGTTGGCTTCCGCCCCCATTGCTCCATTGACAGGTGAACGTTAAGGCAGAGATAGTCTAACCATGTTCTGTGCACAGGTCTAGCTGAGGCTGTGAATTACTACCCTTGGAGGTAAGCAAGTGAAGCGCAGTCGGACCAGTTGGGCCATCATTCCATCTCCTTTGGTGGCGCCCTTCCCGGCCCACTGGTTCAGCTGCCTCCCGCGGCCGTAGCCATTCCAGCATACGTTGACATTGAGCTGGGCCGAGTATAGCTGGCTGTCATCAGCAGTCATTGCCGTGGCAGCCAGGCACACACATGCATGCCGTTGAGACACAGGTTCCTTTTCAACACCAGGTCGCCTCTGGGCCGACACCTTCATCCTTCCGCCCATCGGCCGAACCCCCTCTCCACATCTCCATGCCCCCACGGTCCAAAAACGACGCTCTCTTCTACTGAAGAGGACCTCTTGACCACTGACAGGATCGAACTGCCGACCTCCGCATGGACTAGTAACCAAGGCTGGGTATTAGTACGATGCTCTAACCAGCTGAGCTAAGCGGCCGATTACGTCAGCAACATCTGCATGCTGAGAGAATGGCAAGGGGACGTGTCCCGCAGGCGTAATGCCGCAGGTGTGCGTCTCTTTTCGTGTTTGGGGCTTTCTTTGTTGGACGTTTTGAAAGGAGGGGGAGAGAGGGTGGCTGGCGGTAGGATTGGTAAAGCGAGGAGACGGAGGGAACGGGACGAAATGGCCAACACAGTGTTGTGTGGGGAGGGATTGGGGACGGAGAGGTGAGAGGGCGGTACAATAAACGTACGTGTCCTCCTCTGTCGTGCGTTGTGGAAGGCACGGCAAGTGAGTGATACTTTCCTCGAGGGTAGCAGTGTTCGCCCCCAGGCGAGCATCGGGTGACCAATTTATTTATTTATTTCTTTTTAATCCTTTTCCTTGTTAATGCCCCTGCGAGTGAGCCTCGTTCACAGAGACTTCGCTCCCGAGTCGCCCCATAAACGCGCGACAGGTATCTGTCTTTGCATGTTGTCTGTGCCTGGTTCGGTGAAAGTCACTGGATCACTGGGCCGGATGGTAGCTCATGATGATGGATATGGGATTTCGCCGGGCATTTATTTCATTGACAACTACTGTTCATTCGCACGAATAATGTGTTCCCTTCTGCACCACCCTGCACGTCCTGCACACGCGCAGGCTGCAAACATCTACCTTTGTTTTTGTATAGGATCCAACAGTTGCGTGTATTTACGGATACGGGCCCGCTCGTATTAATTCCAGGGTGCCCTTGACCCGTTCTGCATCTCACAGGCGGTGGCGGTCAGTGTCTGATTGTGGCGAGATCTTCTCTGCCGACCTCCGCTACGCGACAAAGCGGAACCCAGCGCGCTTCTGCACTTCAGTGGGGCCCTGGGGACCGAGATCCTCGCCCTTGTCGAGGCGGCTGTTGAGCTTTTTGAGGTACTGGCCTGTAGCGACTGCGAAAACGATGGCGAGGAGCGACGCGGCAATGTTGACGCTAAACGCCGCATAGTAGTGCGGCTCATGGCCAGAGTACAGGTACGACGTCCAGATACTGGGCGTGTTGGCCGAAGCGTTGATGAGGGCCATGGCGGTGGCGCGCTTGGTGCTGGTCCCAGTGATAGAGGTCGACATCCACGAATAGACGATGACGGCGGGCGCGTAGAATGCGCTCGGCATAAGCATCATGGCGAAATAGCGCGCGGCCGTGTTGGTGGTGGCCATGGCGATGATGTTGGCGGCGATGACGATGGCGTAGGGAATGGCAATGTGCAGCGCGCGTTCCTGCTTCTTGTCCGAGTGCCATGAATACGCGAGAATCACGGCCATGCAGAGGATGTAGGGCGGAACAGTGAGTGGGAGCGTGGTGGAGCGGTTGAAGCCGAGCGAGTCGATGATGAGGGCGAAAAAGTTGGTGGCAGCCGACGTGATTGCATTGAGGAGCATGCACAAGAGCAACAGCCACATCTTGACGTCGGTGAGCGCGAGACGCACGCTGGGCCAGAAGGGACCCGGTTCGTGGTATGAACCGAAATCCTCAGCGAGGCGATACACGAGCTGGTCGCGCTCCAGAGGTGTGAGCCAGCGAATGGTCTTGGGCGTGTTGGGGATAAACCCCGCAAACACAAAGGCGGCACCGACGGTGAGGGCTCCTTCGACGATGAACAGCCAGCGCCAGCCGGCAATGTGGTGGGCTCCGTCGAGGTTGAACACCGCCAAAGCGAACAGGCCTCCAAAGGCATTGCCGAGCTGCAGGCCAGAGTACAGAATGGAGGTACGGAGAGCGAGCTGGGCCTTTGTGTAAAAGGTAGACAGGAGGTAAAGCGCGCCGACGAAAAATGCCGCCTCTGTGAAACCAAGGACGGTGCGGCAGACGGCCAGGCCGGCGTACGACTTGACGGCGCCAGTGCATGCAGAGACCGCACCCCACAGGCCGCACATAAAGCAGATGTAGGAGCCGGGGCGCGAGAGTCGCGAGGCGATCATGTTGGAGGGGACTTGGAGCGAGACGTAGCCGGCAAACAGGACCGACACGCAGGTGGCGTACTGCGTACTCGTCATGCCGAGGTCCGTGGTCATGCCGCCAATCTTGGCCATCTGGAGGTTGTTACGCTGAGGCGGTCAGCTGAGGACTTTTATCACGCGAGATAGCTTACGTCAAGGTAGTTGAGCGTGTAGAGGGTGAGCAAGGTAGGCATCAGAAGGATGTCGACCTTGCGAGTGGTGGCGCGGTCAAGGGCAGCGAGCTCCTCGGCAGTGAGAGCCGCGAGGCTGGCAGGGAACTCGACCTTGAGGCGGTCGTCGATGATGCTGTCGACGCCGTCACTCATCACCTCATTCTGAACAACCTCGAACTTCTTCTCGTCGTCGATGATGGACATTGTTGGGAAATGCCGAGCAGAGGGGGAGGGATGGGGTCTTCAGCGAGACAGGATGGTCTGTATTTTATACACACTACAGCTGCCATCAGTGCGAAGAACCAGCATATGTCTGCCACGTTCGTGGCAGGCAATGTGAGGCGAGCTGGATGCCAAGGCTGTGTGTTACCCATTGTTGTTGTGTCAGGTGACACCCATCGGCCATCACATTGTGGGGAGCCACGTCTGTGCTTCTGATCGGACAACAGCTATCTTGATAATTGCCGCAGCTACGAGTGTGTGAAGGTGCGAAGCGATATCGGCGCCCGGCAAGTCGACGCTCCGAGAACTTGGCGGGCTCTTTCGGCCTCCGAGTGTGCCAGCGTGCCCGTCCGAGACAGAGGTGCTAAAGACACAGAACCACTGATGGGGGGAAGCATGTCCACAATCGAAGCCGTTGGCATCAGCCGTCGACTCTGCCACACCACCGACCGGGTTATGAGTGATTATGAATTCCATCTGCAACTCGCAAGAGATCGGCACTGAAATGCCACTTTTCCTCCCGACCGCCATCTGCCACAGTACCCGTATGGGTCTATCTATGGCCTCTATGGCGCCGACTCCCACTAGATCATAACAGGTGGGCCAACAAAACATCACCAATTGTGGGAACCTCGGTGCCTCGCGAAGCCCATGGGTGTTGCCGTACCTTTCGGGCCTCGGGTGCGCTTTCAGCTGCCTCCAACCGGTCCCTGCCCTTGTCACTCATCCTCTGTTGCATCTGTTGGGTATGGTACTGGTGGGGTCTGTGACCTGTGGCCATGGGGGGGGGGGGGGGGACCTGTGTGCCTATGTGCATTCGGATGTTAAAAGCACATGTGTGGGTCCATGGGTCCTCAATATAACCAACCTGTTGGCCGCACCATTCACTTATTCTCAGTATTCCCAGCACATTCAGCCCTGTGCAGCATGGTCCTCTGCATGCATATACTGGCGTGAAGAGAGAAGTGTGCATGGCTCCCCGTGCAAGGTCCCAGTGTGCTCATTCCCGTTCACGCACTTGACGTCAACAATCCCATGTATACGTCCCGGCCATGTCATCGAGTACGGCATCGGGAAATTAGATCACGCACGATGGGATCTGGCATCTGGCATTAACCTTTGTACCGACCAGTAGTTACTGGGGAATGACTGCCAGCTGGCAGCAGGCAGACTCCAAACAAAAACTGTGGAACCCCGCCCTCGTGCAAACCAAACACCATGCGCAGGCTGTGTGTGTCTGCTGTCCTCAGGCGCCCATACAGCCTCCCCCCACCGTCGTTTGGCCTGAAACTGGTGGGGCCCTCAGCCTGTGGGGGGGTTACTGACTGTGCACACCCTCGACCCCGACTCGTCGTCGTCGTCGTCGTCGTCGTCGTCGTCGTTCCTCTTTGCGTCAGAGCGGTCCCTGTGCATGCAGCATGGGTGCGCGCGACATTAGAGCCCTGTGGCCTGTGGCCTGTGGGCGAGAGGGTGTCTCGTTTCTTCCCGGGGCGGGTGGCGCACCGCCAAGCCGTTTTGGGCCCAGGCGCCGAGAGGGGCAGCGCAGCGTACTAGCGTACGGTGGTGGCCAAAACGCGCCAGACGAGACCCACCCATACGATGCCTTCGCGCCTCTTCCCGTGTCTGATTGAAACTTCTGGCGTTTCTTGCTTTCCTCTTTGTCTCTCTCTCTCTCTCCTCTTTGTCCACTCTCTTCCTTCTTATACTGCGCAGGTCCGCTGGTCCGTCTTGCGCTATCCCACTCTCCTTGGCTTCTCGCCACCTCGTTCTTTTTGTCCCTCCGACCCTCCCCCCTCCCCCCCTCCCCCCCCCCCCACGCGCTTCTTTCGTCATGCTCGCGCTGGCGGCTGTTCTGTTCGGCCTCCAGCTGGTCGCTGCGCGTCCTGCAGCCCAACTCCACCATGCCAGCCGCAACCACCCTCGCGCTGCTCCCAAGGCTCCTCGTAGCCTGCCCTACGTCAAGACGCTCGCGACCCTCAGCTACATGCCTACCGTTCAGAGCGCGTCCTATGTCAACCTCACGCACATGATGCCCAAGGTCATCGACAATGCCATTGCCATCACTTCCCACAGCTGGGAGTTTGGCGTCTTGACGCAGACCCTCCTCGAGGTCTACTCGCCCAACCTCGCCCCCTTTGACTGGATTACCGGCGCGCTGGGCAACCAGGATTACCTTCCTTTCATGTTGTGCAACGTCACTGCCAACGAGCTCTCCAGCTACGACTGGTCTGGCGCCCCGTCTGATGGCGCCGACAGCAACCTCAACGACTATCTCTGGGACAGCACATCCAAAAAGACCCTCTCCCCTCAACCCCTTCTGGATGGTGCTGGATCCCTGGGCGACCCGGCATCGCTCGGCGTCGCCGCCTGGGTGCTGGCTCACTACGCCGACCAGGTCAGCGGCCAGCTTTCATCGGTGCAGGATGACGACGCGTACGCCTGGGCCGTCGGAAACCAGCTTGCCTACCTGTATGCCGGCTACGAGTCGGACAATGGTACCATCTCGCAGCGCGAGGGCTACTTTGAGGTGTGGGCCGACATGGGCTACATGATCTCGCCGTTCATGGCGTACCTTGGCCTGGCGACCAGCAACACCACCCTCCTCACTGCGGCCCTCAACCAGTGGACGCTCGACTCGTCTGCGCTCCTCGACACCTCTGTCAACCTCTACCGTCACGTCAACACCTTTGATGCGCGTTTCTGGGCCACCGGTAACGCGTGGATGCTCCAAGGCCTGATGCGCATCCTCGCGTCCATCGACTCGGCGGGGCAGACCGACAACATGGGCACGAGCGTGTCCACTGCCGAGACCACGGCCGCCAACGTCTTCACCGCGCTCTTCAACCAGCTCACCAGCGACGGCCGTCTCCCAAATTACATGCTTACCGACGACTCGACCCTCTCCATCGCCGACAGCACCGGCACTGCGGGCGTCGTTGCTGCGTTCTACCGTTTCTACATTCGCCGCCCCGACCTCGCCAAGGCACTCACCACCAAGGCTGCCCAGGCGTTTGACGGCGTCGTGGCCAAGATTGACTCGTCGTTCTGGCTCACCGATGTCGTCGACCCGCTCGGCACCAACGGCTTCATCGTCACTCCTGGCTCTGGCACGCAGTCGCCCGAGGGACAGTCCTTTGTCGCCCTCATGTGGGCTGCGCGTACAGCAGCCAAGATCTGAGCGCCGCAAGACACAGACTACGAAGAAAGAGGGCGCCGACTTTTTGCCCTCTCGTTCGGCTTGGCGCACCCATGTAGCGTACGCGCTGCGTGCTGCGTAAAGCTGCGTCCTTGCTCTGCTTCTTGCCACTGGGTCGTCGCCAAGGCATCACGGGCCCACGGCCAAGACCACGCGCTGGACGCCACACACCCCCTTTTTCTTTTCCTGCACCACTTCCTGTTCCCCCCCCACGATTCCCGCATCGATACCCCCGACTGCCTTTACGATCCTCATTCTGCCCCCCCTGGTTATAACGCATTCTCGCTCTCTCCTCTTCATTTACGACGCGTCGAACCAAAGACGCGGGACGCGCGCCGCGCGGCCGCGTGCCCGGTGCACGCTTTTGGGCCCAATTTACCTCTCCTCCTGTTCTTCTCACGTTTTTATTTCACGTTATGTTCAATGCATTTAGACCTAGTAGTCACCCGCCGCCCAGAGTACCAGAGTGTCCTGCACCGCCGTCTTATTCTTTTCTTTTCTTTCCCTGGTGCCGAACGTGGGGCACGCGCGCGCGCGCGCGGCATGCGGCGAAAAGGCCAACGCCAACGCCGCGGCACCGAGCCGCACCGCAGTCTCGCGCGTCTGTTTGTTTGTTCTCTTCTGACCTTCTGTGTATCTCCCCGAAAGAACGAAAAAAGCAAACATGCGGACGGCCCGGTGCGCAGCAGTGTCTGTCCGTGTGGTCGATGATGGACGGACGTATGGACGTGTCCACCCAGGGTTGTGGGTGTGGGTCCGAGCACCACCACCGCCCGTCCGTCCGTCTGGATGTCTGGATGTCGCCGCACCACCACCACTTGTGTTCCCAGTCTACCCGTTGTAGCGTCTGGGCGCGACTTCGCGACCTCTCGCCTCACGAGTGGCATGGTGGGGCGGGGCAAAAACCAACGCGGTGCACGCTTGGCAGTAACCGTATCAGAAAGGAGAGGGCACTCACTACTATGCTGCTCCTGTAGTCGTGTGCGTCGACGACGCGACGCGTCTCGTTACACAAGTTAATTTTGGCTAGTTCGGTTCCCCCCCCCCCCGCCCCCCCCCGGGTTCCCCCTTGAGACACCAATTCATGACCGTCCCAACCGGCGGGGAAACAGTCGTGGTCGTGGTGGTCAGAAAAAGAGTCAATTTGGGTGCCAGAAGTGTTCCAGATTTGAGGGAAGAAAGGGCAGTCGCGTCGCACGCACTGCGTCTTAGGAATGGGGATCCGGACCAGTGTTGTCGCGTGCTGGACACGCGCGCTGAAAATAACACACAACGGGCACACGGGCGGATGTCACCCCGCGCTGCAGTATATCCCACCCTCCTGTGTCGCCGTTATCTCCCTGCGGGTCCTGATCCTGGAGGCACCTGCTCCCTCCTGTCGGCTGACGTATGGGTTGCAAACGCACTGTAATGGGCAGAGTAATGGGCAGAAGTGGCCAGTGGCGGCAGCGCGGCCAGTTTCCTGGTTTGCAGTTCAGAGTTCAGAGTTCAGAGTTCAGAGTTCAGAGACAGCCTAGCTCGCTTCAAACGACGTGCTGTAGCTACGCCAACCAGTGTGTCTTCATTGTGCTCATATACATTTCTCTCTCGACATATACAATAAACGTCACCAATGTTTGCTCTTGCTCTCTTGCTCTCTTACTCTCTTCTTCCCTTCTTCCCATCTTGTCTCTTCCCTTCTTCCCTTCTGCCTTTCTTCCCTTCTTTCCCATCATGTCTTCATGGTCTCTCTTTCGTGGTGTCTTTTCTTCTACTGGTAGTGGTGGTGACGGCCTTGGGCGTAAGCGTGAGCATGCGCGCGGGACGGCTGCTGCGGCGGCGGCGAGCGCGGCCCGTGGTGCGCGTGCGCATGCATGTCGTGGTGGCTGTAGCTGTGTCGGCGGTGCTGGTCGTCGCGCATGCGGGGGTCGTCGTACTCTGGCGCAGCAGCGGCGTAGCACTGCCCGCCAATCGAGAACTGGGTCTGCGTCGGGGTATGGCTGGGGCCGGGGCCATGGCTTTGACCTTGGCTCGAGCTGCTGCTCGTACCGCTGCTGCTGGTACTGACGCGCCAGAAGCTGTTGGAAGGTTGTTGCGCTGGGGCAGGGGCTGGGGCCGGGGCTGCGCGCGGGATGTGGCGAGGTGCGGATTCGGGGACGGTCGTACCAGTTACGGGCCGTGAGTGGACGGGCGGCGTGTTGTGGCCGCTGGGGTGCAGGAGATCCGACAGCTGTGGCCGAACAGGGCGGTTATGGTTGGGCGTGGACGTCCCAGTGGGGTGGTAGTACCCATTGGGATCACCGTTCCCGTTTCCATAGTGGTCCCGGTGGACAGAGTCTGCGAGTCTGCGATAGTCCTCCTTTGTGTGGCGCAACTCGGATTCTGGAATGTCAGTTCTGCTGCCATGGAACAACAAGCAACCCACCGAGACGCTCAATCGTGCCGGTATACTTCAGAGCTGGGAACGTCAGCTTAAAGTCACCAAGATCGTCCGATAAGCTCACCGTCATCGTCCATCTTGGCGGAAAACAGACGGTGCATCTCGTCCATCGCCTCCCGGTGGTCCTTGACGAGCGCCTCGCGGGCAGCGTTCCACCCGTCTCGCTGTTCTTGGCGGTGCTGTTCGCGCTGGATGAAGAGCTTTTCGGTATATTCGTGTTCTAGTCTGTCAGCTACGACCGTTTCGCATCAGCTGCGTACTCACTCGACCGTCCCAGCTCATCGCGCAGGTCTCGCATCGCAACCTCCCACCCGCGCCTGTCCTCATCCCACCGCTTGCGATCCTCCCGAATGACCGCGTCTTGCTGCTCCACGCGGCGTCTCAGGCTCTCCACTTCGTTGCGAGACTCGGCCTTGAGGCGCGAAATCTCCATGTCCTTCTTCTCCAGCGCTCTGTCGGCCGCGGCCACTTGAGCGACAAGCTCATCGATGCGGCTGTACGCGTGGAGAATGGCTTTGGCCTCCTGCGGTCGGTTGCGCGTCGTGTTGGTGCTGCCATCCGCGATCGTTTCCGTCTTGCCTGGCTCGGGTTTCTCTGGCATCGCCTCGGTCTCGTGTCCGACTTGGCGGCCCGCATTCGACGGCGATGCAGTGGCCGCCACGCCAACGCTCGCGTACTCTGGACGCGTCGGCGTCACAGTGCCGACACCGCGACTAGCGGTAGGAGTCGAATGCGTGGCAACGCCGCGGCTGTGCGACGGCGTCGACGTCGAGGCGGTACCGACGCCAACCGACGTGGTGGCCGCCGCTTCCGACTGGTCCGGTCCCGGTGTGGGCAGTTGCGCCGACGAAGGAGTCGGGGCCAACATTGATGGCCCGCCGACCTGAGCGGATACCATCAGAGTAGCCGACACGGGGAACGTCGGGGTTGGTGTCTCTTCAGACCTGGAATGCAAGTCGGGCTTGACCTCGCCATCTTCTTGAGGGCGCCTTGGCGGGGACGACTGGGCGGGCGACGAAAGCTGGCTGGAAACAAAGGGTGTAAGCTCTGACGCCGACGACTCGCGGCCCGGTGCTGAGGGGGTCTCGGACGGAAGGCGGCGTCGAAGCGGTCCCACGACGGGGACGACGAGGCTGTTTCGCGGCTGGCGCGCAGGAGAAGGAGACCGCGATTCGGGCTCGTATGACGACGAGTCCTTGCGTGACGACGAGACAATGCGCGAGGACGAGGCCACGCGGCGCTTCTTGTTGTTGGATGGCCGTGAGGGTGGTGTCTCCTCCAACGGCCGCTTGACACCCTTCCCCGAGGCTCTTCTGTTGTTGTCGCCCTTGGTTCCCTTGGGCTTGGGACCAGGCTTCTTCCTGGCGTGCAGACCGGCCTTGGCATCCGCAGCACATGTGCTGACGACTGTGAGCTGGCGTCCAGAAAACGCACGCAACTCACCACTGAAGATCCATTGTATCTGAGAACTCCCCCCAGAGGGTTGTGCCGGCGGCAATGGCGCCACGGGGCTTGACGCCTTGTGAGTCTATTCCCTTCAGCTGGTCCTTTTGCGCAATCCAGCGCCACTTTAGGTTGGCACAGGTCTTGCATCCCAGCTGTGGATGGCGTCAGTTTCAACGTATGGCGTGCAGGAGTTTGGGAAGGAGGTGGACGGGGGTGACTGCCGAGAGCGGGAGGCGACGGATCACGGTGGGCAGAGGAGACGCGGTGCTCGGCGTCGTGCGCCCCGTCCCGCCGCTCGGCGAGGACAGGACAGTGGAGGCTAGGGAGCTGGGCAGGGAGCAGGGGAGCAGGATGATACGCACCTTGACCAAGCGGATGGGCCCGAGCCATACCTGCCAGTCGTCGGCGCGCTTGACCTCGCAAAAGTTGTTATCAAAGCCGAGCAGCGCAATGTTGGACTCGTCGCCAATGTCGACCAGTAGATCCTCGATGCCGTCTAGCGGTTTCGCATAAGGGAGCTTGTGCGCCGCTACCGTCTCGACGTGGCCGTTGGGACCCATCTGGATGTTGATCTGCGTGCTGAACGCGGCGGCCGTCCATGCGTCGAGGAGCCTGTGTTTGTCAGCTCTAGCTCTAGGTCACAGCAGTTCCCAAGCTTTGCGCGTCCCTCCCACGCACCAGTCGCGCACGTCGCCGGATACCGGCTGGTTGGCAGCAATGTACTCGTCCATGCTGTGTCCGTGTCAGCTGTTGCACCTGCTATCCCATTTCCCAGCGCTGTACCCACAGGCTACCCAGTCGCGCGCGGAACTCGGCCCTGTCCGCTCTCAAGCGTGTGCGCAGGTCCTTGTCCATGACCATGGCCGGCAACTGTGCGCCGGGCACGATACGCTGAAAGTCTCCTCCGGGCGCAAAGACATCGCGCACCACTGCGAACGCGAGGTCGTCGAGGACGGCAATGTGCCGCGAGTCGAGCGGCTGGAGCGCCAGAGTCGCGGCGGCGGCCATGTCAGCCTTGGCGCCGGGGCGGGGGGAGGCGGCGCGTGTGTGTTGTGTGGGAGTGATGAGTGGGGAGTGGGGAGTGGGGAGTTGGGGGAGTTGTGCGAGGCTAGCTTGTGTGGTGGAGTGAGCTATGAGCTAGTTGTAGCGTGCTGCTGCGAGACGCGACACGGCTGTGTACGGTAGATGCGCGGTGTGGTGGACGATGACGTGGTAATGACGGTATGAGGTTGTGGTATTCAGGTGTCGTGTGTGTGGGGTAGAGAGATGAGAAAGCAAAGCAATAGAGTGTGCGTGTGCAACTTGTTGGGTAGGTGTGTTATTGTCAGGCGGGCCATCATTTACCCGCCCTGTGCGGCGTTTGGGTGTGATGGGTGTCCGCAGCGTCGTCTCACTCTCTAGGCTTGTCACTCTCTGATCTTGCTCGGAAGCTCGGATGGCTCTCTGGCGGATGACCGTTGGGCCGTTGTCAGCGCGTTCAAATGGGCGTTTCCCGCGTTTCCCTTATGGGGAAGACGGAATCTGGGGGGGTGCCCATTTGGCCACAGTGTGTCAGTCCGTTTGTTGGCGACGACCCAGCATATGGGGACCATTTGCCATACGTACGTACATACCATACAACTCCTTCTGCTGCGACGCACTGGGTGCCTCTCTCAGCTCTCCCTCCACACGCAGATCCCACGGCCCTCGCGGACAAAATGGTGGCGCTGTCCACGTACCTGAGCCGCAACAATTCATCGGGTAAGCGACGAGATAAAACCAAAAAAAAAGGCGCGGCACAGGCGCTTTCACGAAACATACATGCCATGTTGGGTGCACATTATGGGACGGGGAGGGGTTACAACAAGCAACTCTGTGATACGGATGATGAGGAGGAGGAGGAAGAGGGAGGAGGGGGAGGAGGGCGCAACGGTCGTGTTTCTTCTACACAAACAGCCGTTCTTCACGAGCCCCAAAAGCGCGGCTTTGGTGCCAAGGGCTGTTTAACTGGTGCAGGGTCGCTGGGGGGCGGCGGTGGGGCTCTCTCGGTGCGGGTGTTGTCAAGATTAGGAGGAAGGTAATACTGGTCGCTGGTCATTTGAGGCACGTGCTCCACCGGGTAGAAGCGCGGCGCATCATCTGGCATGGATGGCCGAGACGAGACGCCCAGGGCGGCGGCCACCATCGTGCTTGGACCAGGTAAGGGGACGCTGAGGTTTGACAAGGGAGTGGGTGGAGCCGACGATGCCGCGGACCTCGGACGACCTAAAATGGCAGTCTGAACGGAGGGAAGTCGCTCCATGGGAGGAGGAACTGGGGACGTGTGCTGAGGAGGAAGTCTCTCTGACGTTGGTGACACACGTTGATGCGAAGAACGGAGTCGTTGAACTGATAGTGTCAGGTCTATATCATCCGATGTCGCTGTCGCGCGGTACTCACGGAGGGCGCTGTTCTCGCGGTTCAACTGGTCATTCTCGCGGTGGAGTCGCGCGTTATCGGCGTCCAGCCTGTCTTGGCGTTCCATCATCTGGCGGCTCTCAAGCTCCTTCTGCTGCTGAAAGTAGCCCAGCTCGCGCTGGTGACGCGACACCAGCTCGTCGCGGTCCTGTTGGCGGCGCTTGATCACCTCATCACGTTCCCGCTCACGGCTGTCACGCTCTTGCTGGACATGGGAGAGCTGTTGCTGGACTTGTTCGCGGACTTGTATGGCGAGGTTTCGGTCTTGACGGGCGGTGTCCCGTTCTTGCTTGAGACGGTCACATTCCTGCACCAGGTCCTTGCGCTGCTGGTCTTGAGCGCAAACGTCCTTCTGCAGGCGCTCATACTCGGGCTTCATGTCCATGTACCTTTGCTTGATGATCTCAAACTTGTCTTTGCGTTCTTTAGCTCTCGCCTCAGCACGTCCAGAGTGGGCCCGGAGAACGTCGTGCTTGCGCTGGAGGGTTCGAAGCTGCTTCTCGACCGACGCAGTCTGCTGCTGCGACTCGCCAAGCTTGCGGTGGTAGTCGGCCAGTGTAGCAGTTGTCTCGTTGGTGTCCTGAGCCTGCCGTAAGAGGCGTTTGTCCATGCCCTGGAGTGCCCCTTCCTTTTGGCGCAGCTGCCTTTCGAGATCAGTCTTCTGTTCCACCAGCGTGTTGACTCGGCTCTCAAAGAAGCGTGTCTGGCTCAGTTGCTGCGTCATCTTGGTCTGAGCCCGAGCCAGCTGCGTCGGAGCGTCTGAGGACCCGGCGTCGTTCTCATCCTCAGAGTCAGGCGGTGGGGTCGAGCCAGACGTCGCAGCCATCCAGGCAGGAACAGCGAGATCGAGTAGCCGCTTGGCAGCAGTGGCCGATTTCGGAGATATGGCGTTTTCGTCAAACGTGGTGCGGTCGGCGGACAGCTCCGAGGGGCTGACCAGGCCGCTTCTGTCAGCCTCGCGAGGGATGAGCCAGGGGGATGCCTCGGGCAGGTCGAGGGACACGGCGTCGGGAGTCGTCGCCACTGTCGAAGAGTCAACACCATCTGGGAGAGGGAGGTATGACGCCGAGGTGGCGTCGTGCTGGGGCGCCCCGTTGACCCGTAGGCCCGTGGACGAGAATGGACCAGAGAATGGTGATGGTTCACGGAGTAATGGAAGAGGAAGTGGGCGTAACGCCGATGCAAGTGTGGGTGGCGTCGAGGCAGCGTAATCTGGTGAACTGCCAACGTGCCGAGTTGAGCTCGAGCTGGGATCCAGCTTGAAAGTGGCCAAGTCGGACAACTGGTCGTGTCCTGGGTCAGCGAGACCGGGAGTTGATGTGCGATCGGGTGTGTGTGCAGCCGCATTGGGTTGGCGCAAGGTTGCTGCTTTCTCCACATAGTCTGGGCACAGTTCTGGGATTGGGCTGCCAGTGATGAGCTCAAAGCCAGCCGTTTCAAAACCCCGCTCTGACTCGGGTGAAGGGGTGGGAGTGGGCAGTCTCTTGCGGCGCTGGACGACTTTGGATACAGGCGTGCCGTCCACTGCACGCGGGCGCTTTGACGGGACAATGGGAGGAGTCGTGGGCCTCGACGGTGCGGGTTCCTTCTTGACCTTGCGAGAGCCTTTGGGCAACTTGGCACAGTCGCTGTTGTCGTCGGTCAGCTCCTCCCATCACAGCCATCAGTCGTCTCTCCCCGTTCACTCACCAGTCGCTCTCACCACCCAATGCCCACAGTCGCTCGCCCGGCTGGATTGGACGGCTTGCGGAGACACATTGCAGGTTGGCACCGTCTGGCAAGCTGACGCTGGGGTTGATTGGCCTCAGAACGTAATGCGCGTTTGCACACCGCCTGCAGCCCTGCTTCAGGAGACGGATGGGCCCCGCCCACGCGTAGGGGATGTCCTTTGGGGACCAGTCGATGAAGTCTTCGTGTATTTGAAGATCTGCAATGTTGCTGTCGTGGTGGAGGGACATTGTCAGGTCTTCGATACCGGGAATCTGCCTGGCCTTGGGGATCACATTGCGTGCGACGAGCTGCAGTTCGCCCTCTGGTGTGACGTTGATTTGAGTAAACGGACCATAGAGAGTCTGTGCCCAGACGTTGATGAGCCTGGCTGAGTCAGCTTGTTGGTTGTGTTGTGTTATCTGGACGCACCATTCGCAAATGGAGTCATGGACAGGGCTCGTCAGTGACAAGTATCGGTTGAAGCTAATTGCCATCAGCGTCATCTATACGGCTTCGCGGCTTACATGGTCTTGAGCGTCTTCCTGAAGAACTCGTCGCTGGAGTGCTTTGACGCATCTGGACCGCCGCGGAGCTCGGAGGTGGATCCATTGGGTACGGCACGCAGAAACGAGAATGGTGCCTCGGTTCCCGGTGGACGCAGAAGCTCATGCACGAGGTCGAGTGCGTGGTCGTCGAGGATCGCCACCTGGCGCGCCTCTTGGAGCGTCAGGGTGTCTCTGGCGATGCGACGCATGGGTATGTGCGCATGGGATAAGAGTGAAGAGCAAAAAAAGGTTTGGTTGTGAGAAGGATTAAAGGAAAGAGTCACAGGGTGCGTGGGTGGGGAGGAGGGGTGACGGATGATGAGTGGACGCGCGCGGGACTTTGTTGGTGTCTGTGTGTGTGCTAGCTGCCGGGGGCTGTTTGGGTGGGTGCGTGTGTCGTATGCGGGGGCTCCACTTTGCATGGCCCCCCCATCATCGAGGCTCGTGTGCCCCCATCACGCACATGCCCATCGACAAGCTCATCCATACTGTGCATATGTATCACCTGCCCATCCCCTTCTCCCCATATATGCACGTTGACTCTGTTGTCTCACCCCCACCAGCGCGTCCACCGCCCTTGTTGTGGTGTTTGTCTCGTCCGAAAGCCCGACGCGTCACCCGCCCAGCCCCGATCTCCACCGCCTCCCGAAATGGCACGCTCACTTTCCCACGAACGCCAGCTGCACCTCGCCAGCCGGGCAGCCTGGCATCTGCTGGCAGACATTCCTTTTTCTCGCCACTGCGCCACTGATCCCCTGTACCACTGTCTTGCTGTCTTGCTGAACTCACAGCATCTCATTCAACACTCCCAGAGTCGCGTCATACTATCCATTAACCGCGGCTGACGGGGGTGCCGTGGTCGATTTTGGACGCGTCGTGGACCTGGGTGTCTTGCCACCAGCTACCAGGCCCCGTTTCCATAATGTCTTGGGATGGCTCGCAGCATCTGCCGTGTTGGCAGGCCTAAAGCCTGCCTAACACAGGCCATGCATATGCCAATGGGCCACGGGCAGCTGCGTGGACGCCTAGACGCCGAGAGATCGAGATAACTCTGCCTGCACGTGGCTCAAATCCGATGCACAGCAACGGCGGACTTGGGACTGTACAGAATCCCTCCGGTCCATGGCGGTAACTCGCGGCATAGGCCAAAGCCGTCTCCACCACACCGGAACCGGCCCGGAAGCTCGTCTCTGCAAGGACACACTACTGGGCCAGGCCAGGCCGTCTTTATACTTGAACGCGAGCAAGCTGCCCACTCATCTTCCCCACCCCACTTGCTCCCTCACTATCCTATCCCCCCCCCCCCCCCCCCCCAACCATGACAGACGTTTCCCGCGAGGCCGTGTACCAGCCCCCCTCGGAGCTGGCCGAGAAGTACAAGGGTGGCATCCAGCGTCACACCGCCGTCACTCCCCACCCTTCAGCCAGCGTCCCCGGCTCCACTCGTATCAAGCTCGTTGAGAGCTTTTACATCCGTCCCCGCTGGCTCTTTGTGCGCATCGAGACCGAGGGCGGTGTGGTGGGATGGGGAGAGGGCACTCTTGAGGGACACACCGAGGCCGTCCAAGGTTCGCTCAAGGACATTTCGCGTCGGTGAGTAACCAGCACATCTGCCTCGAGAAACCTGTCTAACGGGCATCAGCATTGTCGGATGGGATGCCATGAACATTGAGGACATTTACACCTACCTGTATCGCCATCGTTTCTACCGTGGCGGCGAGGTGCTCATGTCGGCCATCTCGGGGTGAGTTTTGGCGACTCGGTGCAAGGGTGTATGGCCTAACACCCTCTCAGCATTGACATTGCTCTGTGGGACATCAAGGGCAAGGTCCTCGGTGTGCCAGTTTGGCAGCTCCTTGGTGGTGCTGTGCGTGAACGCTGCGAGGTGTATGGCTGGATTGGTGAGTTGTGCGCATCTAAGTGACGAACTCACACCTCCAGGCGGTGACCGTCCCTCGGATGTCCTGGAGCAGGCCAAGGTCCGCAAGGCCCAGGGCTTCACCAAGGTCAAGATGAACGCGACCGAGTCTATCGGATGGCTCGACTCGCCACATGCCCTTGACGAGACTGTCAAGCGCCTCGCAGAGGTCAAGAGCATCGGTCTCGATGCCGGCCTCGACTTCCACGGCCGTGTCCACAAGGCAATGGCCAAGCAGCTTGCCCAGCAGCTCGAGCCTCACCGCCCTCTCTTCATTGAGGAGCCTCTTCTTCCGGGACATGTGAACGAACTGAAGGATCTGTACAACAAGACCACTATCCCTATTGCTGTGCGTTTGTCCCCGGTCACCATCACCACCACCACCTGTCTCATCCCGGAAAGAATCTCGGCTGACATCGCAGCTCGGCGAGCGGCTGTTTACACGTCTCGACGTCCGGCCGTACTTTGAGGCCGGCTGCATCGACATCATCCAGCCGGACATTGCGCATGCCGGAGGAATCAGCGAGACCAAGAAAATCGCGATCATGGCAGAGTGAGTATTATTCCGTTCTCGCTGGTGTGCAACGCCACAGACGACAACGCGTGTAACTTTATTGACGCGCCCACAGGGCGTACGATATCGGTGTTGCGCCGCATTGCCCGCTCGGTGAGTTCTCTAGCACAGCCATAGCGGCCCGTGGACGGGTGGTGGCCCAGAGCTAAACCAGACAGGCCCCTTGGCGTTTGCCGCTTCGCTGCAGGTGGGTTTCAGCACGCCCAACTTTGTCATTTGCGAGATGAGCTGGAAGGTGAGTTTGAGTAGCCCCAACACGGCTGGCGGATGACACTGACATTGACCAGATGCACTACAACGTCGGCGGCTTTGACCTGTTTACGTACATGACCAACCCGGACGTCTTCGCAGTCAAGAATGGCCACATTGATCTTTTGACAGCGCCGGGTCTGGGCATTGAGCTCAACGAGGACTTGATCCGCAAGGAAGCCGCCGAGGCGGCCAAGCTCGAGCCATGGCAGAACCCAATCTTTAGGGGCCCCGATGGATCCGTTAGGGAGTGGTGAGCGGTCTATACCCCACGTGTTACGGGTCGGCCCATGCTGCTGTAGTACTCTGTAGAGCGCGATGGACAGTGCAGTGAGAGAGTATCGGACGAGAGGTTCCTGCCCTCTCTGGATCTCTGGCTACAGACCAAGAAATGTGCGGCGGCCGTCCACCTGCGGGCGACGATGTGCGGGCTTGGCGGGTCAACTTCGGGCAGACCGGTCCATTTTAAACGGCCCGTTTCTCTCCTCCCTGCCAACATACGCAAAACGCTGCGACTTCCGAACCGCTCTTGCCCGCGCCTGCTCCCTGCTCCTGCATGTGTGCGCACAGGTGCACAGGTGCATATGCATGGCAGGTGCGCAGGTGCCTTTTTTTCCACGTAGCCGGCCGCGACGCCGCCGGCATGCCCCAGAGTGTTGCCCCGCGAGCGTCCTGCTTTGCTGCCTGGTGAGCCAGCCGGGAATCCGCATTGTCCCTGGTGGGCCTGGCGGGTGGGCCTGGCAGCCCACACGCCCACACGCAGGTGAGGCCAACGGTGCGGCTTATGCTGCGGCACAACGTCGGCGACATCTCGCGCCTTTGTCCTCGTCAGACCCGGCACCACCCACCTCCCGTATAAGAGTCGGGCACGATAGCGTCGTAACAAAGTCTCCTCCACCTACTACCCAACTTACACACCCGTATTCTAAACTCACCATCAAACATGCTTCGCGAGGACTTTTTGTGGGGTTTCGCCACCGCTGCCGCCCAGGTCGAGGGCGGTGGTGAGGAGCAGGAGCTTGCCAGCGGCAAGGGCCCTTCCGTGAGTTTTGGTCTGGCTCTCACGCACAACAACGGTGTTGCTGGGATGGCGCGATAGAGACGTGGCTGCAGTGGGCAAACTTAGCTGTGGCTCCATGTTTTGCGCTCCTCTCCATCGTCTATGCTTGTTTCCGGAGCTTTCAACTGACAATCTCAGATCTGGGACTGGTTCTGCGAGAAGCCCGGCAAGATTCTTGACGGCGCCAAGGTCAACAAGACCTGCAACTTTATCGACAACTACAAGGCCGACCTTGCTCGTGAGTAGGAGAGTGTGTCTGGCAGCTGGGATCGGAGCGCGACGCGCCTCTCAAAGTCAACGACGACGTGATTGCGTTGCGCGGTGATTTATTCCGATCCTGCCCAGGATGTCCGAAGGTGGCGTCCATGACGAGTAGGTGGCTGATACAGCGCAGTCATGAAGTCGCTCGGTGTCAACTCGTACCGCTTCTCGATCTCGTGGCCCCGTATTGTCCCCAAGGGCGGCAAGGACGACCCCGTCAACGAGCAGGGCGTCAAGTTCTACTCGGACGTCATTGACGAGTGTCTCCGCCTGGGCATCACCCCCTTCGTCACCCTGTACCACTGGGACCTCCCCCTCGAGCTCTACCAGCGCTACGGCGGCTGGCTCAACAAGGAGCGTGCCGTTGAGGACTATGTCCGCTACGCCAAGGTCTGCTTTGACGCCTACGGTGACCGCGTCAAGCACTGGCTCACCTTCAACGAGCCCTTTGTTGTTGCCATCCACGGCCACTCGTTCGGTGTCTTCGCCCCCGGCCACACCTCGAACACTGAGCCTTGGATCGTGGCCCACACCCTCCTTGTCGCCCACGCCACGGCCGCCAAGGTCTTCCACGATGAGATTGCCCCCAAGCACGGCGGTGTCATTGGTATCACCCTCAACGGTGACTGGGCCGAGCCTTGGGACCAGACGCCCGAGAACATCAAGGCTGCCCAGGACAAGATGGACGTTGCCGTCGGATGGTTCGCCGACCCCGTTTACCTTGGCGACTACCCCGAGTCGATGAAGCAGATGCTCCAGGGCCGTCTTCCCGAGTTCACCGCCGAGGAGAAGGCGCTCCTCAAGGGCTCGTCCGACTTCTACGGCTGCAACTTCTACACCACCAACATGATCAAGGCCGGCGCCGACGACGAGACCAACGGCAACACCCAGCTCCTCTTCACCCGCCCCGACGGCTCGTACATTGGCCCCGAGTCGGCTCTTGACTGGCTCCGCGACGTCCCCTGGGGCTTCCGCAAGCACCTCAACTACCTCTACAAGCGCTACCAGATGCCCATCTACATCACCGAGAACGGTTACGCTTGCAAGGGCGAGAGCGACAAGCCCGCCGAGGAGGCTATCCACGACACTGACCGTGTCAACTACTACAAGGGCTACCTCGGTGCCGTCCAGGACGCCGTCAACGACGGTGTCGACATCCGCTCGTACTACGCGTGAGTTCAGCCATGTAACCGGCCGTCGGCACTGGTCTCGGTCCTTGCACGGACCGCAGGCATGCTGCGGCCATTTCACCCGCAAAGAGCCCCGCTGACGCTTTCCACAGCTGGTCGTGAGTAACAATTCTGCCCCGTCCGGGTCACATGGGCCTCCAGCATCTCCGTGGCGTTGCAGAGTGGCGGCCCACGTTGGCATTTGGACACGCACATTCCGTCGTCCCTCCGGATGGACACGGAGCACACGAGGACCGCTTTTCTTGTTTTTTGCTGACGTGCCACAGGTTTGTCGACAACTTCGAGTGGGCCTCGGGTCTCGTTCCCCGCTTCGGCTGTGTGCGCTGCGACTACGACACCTTCAAGCGCACCCCCAAGGACTCGTCCAAGTTTGTTGGCGAGGTGAGTGTTGTTTCATTTTCTCATTCATTATCGTGCTAGAATCATGTGGCACGCACGGGCCGAGCGTGGCGAGTGTTCTGTCCCTTGTCTCCCCCTGCCTGCCTCTCTTGTGACTCTGGCTTGGCACGACCGGCAGAGGTCTATCCCGGAAGCGATCCGCGAGGGTCAGACGAGGCGTATGCTTGTGGTCCGCTAAGGCGTTCCGTCTGGCCACTGCACCGCCGTTCGCACGAGGCATGTGAGGTTGCGGGGGCCCGGTCGAGCGGCGGCGCCGGCAAAGCGAGATATGCTGCGCACCGAAAACGCAGCGTGTGCAGAGCACACAGGACACAGAACGGCCCGAATACTGTGGCGAGGAATTCTATGTGCTGACGGGGTTTCAGTTCTTCGACAGCCACATCCCTAAGAAGGAGGCTTCGGCTTAAACGGCGAGGTGAACACATCGCACCCTCCCCTCCTCCCTCCGACATTTCGAAAGGCAATCGTGTTCATTTTTGTTTCGCTGCATTGCTGTTATAAGTTTGGGGCGCTCGTCAAAGCACGGGCGCCATGCATTAGGGCCGTATCAATAGTGTGTATGCAGTTTGAGAAGACACAAGCGTTTCGTTGCAGCTGCCCCAAGTCTCGGGCTATTTATTATTGTACGGCACGCCAGAAAGTGGCAACCCGACCGCACCGCGGATTGCGAGCTGGGATCCGCGGGTGCACGCCCACGCCTCTGCGGACAGGTGGGTTGCGCCAGCGTATGCGGTACGTCTGATATGAGCAAGTACATTCAGGCGGCTGGCTCGCCGCTACCAGACGTGTCCGTGACGATCTCACTCATGGAATAGGGCTCAGCATCACATCGGTTGTTGTTGACAAAACGACCGCGACCGTGGGAAAGTTCCAGACGACAGTGGCCGCAAGGAGACTCGTCTCCGCCACACTTGTCTGTTGCCTCTCGTTCTTGTCTTTTCCGCTTTTCTCTATCTCTGTCTCTGTATTGCACTATTGTAATCATCGCCGTGTTTAATCCCTTTCTTACTCTCACTCTCTCTCGCTCTCGTTCCCCCCACACGTTCTTGTTCTCAGCCTCGTCCCCGGCATGGCATGTGTATTCGCGCCGGTCTTGCTCCCCGTCTCGATCGCTCTCCTTCGCGTTCCGGCGATTGAGCTCCAGCTATTACACTCCTTTATGTCGTAACTCGTTCCTCCACCCCTCGCTCGCCATCGCCATCTTTGCTTCTCCATCTCCGTCTCCGACTTGCCACGTCCGTCCCTGTCCCTCCAGGACCTCATCATGAACACGTACAACACGCAAGGACACCCGCGGTGGGATCTCAGCGACCTCAATCTCGACCGCCCGAACCTCACCGAGCTCTTGCCCCAGTTGCAGAATCATCAGGTTCGAGAACGGGAGTGGAACAGCAACCTGACAAACGTTGTCTCGGCGCCCTTCGGTTTCCGCCGCACCCCCGAGCACCCCACGCTGTTTCGATACGTTAATGGGGCGGAAACAGACCTATGGGACTCGGCGTTGGCAGATGGGACACGGTTTCGCGACGTACCGATGCAAAAGCCGCTCGTTGCCATGGTGGTGATGCGCAAGCACGGAGCCAATGCCAACGTATGCTTCGTTTGGTGACCAATTCTGACAAGTCACAGATGGAGACGCAGAGGAACAGCGTTGGAACCCACAACCCCGACCTGACAACGCTCCTGTCAGAAGGCCTCGTGGACGACCCGACGACCACCCTCCGTGTACTTTCCTTGGCCGGCGAGATCAAGGTCACTCGCATCAGGGCTCGCAACGGCAAGCTCGTCATTGCAGTAGACCCAGACAACGACGTGGAGTTGACGGAGGACATGGCCACGCATTACTCCATTCCGTCCGCCTCGGGGGACAAGGCCAAACTCGTCCGTGTCGACGAGGGTATCAAGTGGACCGCAGGCTTGTCCAAAGCGGTCATCTACCTGCAGTCACAGTATGAATACTGCGGCGGGTACTTGTCGGCCTCCGTGCTGGGCACGCGTTTCTGCCGGATTGTGATGGCAGATTCGGGGCACGTCATTCTCGAGGTCTCATCTGCTTTCTTAATTGCGGCGACGACCACAGCGCTACGCATACATGATTTCTTGAACGATCAGACCAACGTGGCCAGCCTACCATGGGACATGTGTGACGACCACCCCGGGGCGTTTCCAGAACACTCGTGGAACACCGATGCCATGGACCGTCTGCTGCAGCTCCACAAAGTGGCCGCCGACATCCTGACCTCGCATACGGCAAGCCACGCCGACCAGCCGTTCTGCCGTCTCACGCCAGTTCGAGACCTCGCGGGCGTGAGAGAGCTATTGGAGGAGATCGCGTCGTCGTCCTTACCGGCTCCGCTGGACAAGGACGATGACCTGCGGATATCGCGGGCTGTGAAAGGCGAGCCGGGGCCATCTGCTCTTGGCCTAGGTCCTACCACCCGGTCCCAAACGATGTCTGGCGCTACGTCAGAATCAGGTATCCAGCGATCGACCGCTCCGCCGGCATATCATGGCCAGTCCGACCTGCAGGAGGACACCACGGTCAGACGCTGGCGCGAGTCGCTTCCCGCTGTTCTCGACACCTCGCCAGGCGTGCCACCTATCCTGACGTCGCCGCCCGAGCTCGCGTTCGAGGACGGTGTGATCGCGGACGACAAGGAGTGGGACAGTGTGCTCGAGGCACACGACATGCCGATGGACCTCGAGCGTGGACGCGAGTGGGTCAGGCAGCATGTCGCGCCTGATTCCGACTTTGAGAGCGATGACGAGGGCGAGCATGTCCTTCTCGCTGACATGCTCAAAGCACTGGAGGAACGCAACGTGAGGGTCACGCTCGTCCACACGGACAAGATGGACCGCCTGGTGGGCGTGATAGAGAAGGCGGTGTGCGCCTGATACACTGTAGCATTACTTTATTGTACCAGATGTGAGCAGTTGTGTGTCAGAGCTCGGCAGCACCAAGAACAAGGACAGGGACCTCCCTCCTCACGCCCACCGTGCTGCGCAAGAGGGCTCTCTATCGACGTCTTTGAGACCTTACTCACGTATGATCCTGTTTCACCACCAACCTTTGCTGTCTCCCTCTTGCGCCCCATACGGCGAGTCCATCTGTCAGCGCCATTACACACCCACACTCTGCCTGTCGCACTTCTGTTTCGCTTTTTGTTTTGTTGACAGCAGAGACACATCCGACGCCACCTCTCGCCGGCGGCGGCCGCGCGCGCCTGGCGCTCTCGGGGCGTTGTGATCTCGGGCCGTTTTCGGTACGTTGCCCTCGATTTATCGACCCGAGATGCCCATCGCTCCGACCGTGCGGTTGCGCGACAGATTAAGTGCGTGTGGGTGGCCCATGGCCCGTCGCCCTTTTTGCGACGACCCCCCTGTGGGTCAAAAAAGGCCGACCCACGGCCCTCGACAGGGCCCCGATCTCGCCGCTGTGCATGCAACGAGGGCTCTTCATACGTGGGCACGTCGGTGTATTCGGGGCCCGTTGGGCCCGCTTGGCCGCTTGGCCGCCGATTGCCGGCACGGTGCGAGCAGATCGGATCGCCAAGGTAAGACAAGACACTCATGCGGTCAGTGCTTTTCAAACGAGCAGCCAGGGCGTGTCATACGGATCATAGGTAGTACATGCACAAAGGCAGTATAGACGTGTGTACTTAGGAGGCCGGGCAGAGTCCTCTACATTCCTCTCTCTCTCTCTCTCTCTCGTTCTTATAGTTACATTTCGTAGGGTTGTGGGTATTCCAAGGAAGCAAGAAACAGCAAAAGCCTCCTCAGAGACTGAAGCTCCCGTCATGCACCTTATCCACCATGTTCTGCACCCGCCGCAGGTCCTGCACTCTCCCCTTCTCCTTTTCCCTGCGGGCACTCTCAAAACTCAGCTCGAGCTTGCCGCTGTCCTCCAGCGCGCGGGCGATATCCTTGACGCCTCGGCCGGCAGTGGGCGGCGGCATGATGGGCTTGTCCATGAGCGAGCCGTCGCCGGACCTCACGCGGACGCGGGGTCGTGGCGTTCCGGACACGATGGGCGCAATGGCAGCAGACCGGTCAGGGAGCGAGGGGTAGAGTGGGGCGTAGAGGGACGTCTCCGAGGGGCCATAGCGATACTCCGTAGGCGCGGGGCGGGGGTACTCGGGCACGGAGGGACGGGAGCTGCTGGTGCTCGCCTGACCCTCGCCGATAGAGGTCATGCGCATGTGGGTGTGGCTCCGGCGCTCGAGCGCGGCAGGCATGGTGATGGGACGGAGCGGAGTGGCGGCCATGGTCACGTCGCCAATGTCAAACGTCTCGTCCACGCGCTGGAGAAAGCCAGCAGTCGTGTCGGCCATGGAATTGGCTGCACCTGTGGCGCTGGCGCTGGCGGTGAAGACGGCCGGGGTGGGAGACTTTGCACGGCGCTCGGTAGGCTGGGCACGGGCGCGGCGTGGAGGCGACGCGCGACGGACGGTCGGTGGCTTCATGCCCGTACCAAATACCCAGTTCATCATGCGCTTCATCGTGCTCGGCGGCTCGACGTCCGGGCGGGATCGTTTGGTCGCTGGCTCGTCGCTGTGTGCTGCTCGAGCTTTGGCTTTGTCCTGGAGGCGGGCGACGCGGCGCGAAAGAGCCTCGATACGCATCAAGAGGGTGTCACTGGTTGTCAGCTTGAATGCCACAGGCTAAGGATGGTGACTCACCGACTGAACTCGCCCACCATCTCAGACTGCTTGAGGCCCTCTTTGGCGACAAACGCGTCAATCACCCGTGTCGGGTCCCATTCGGTTGGGGCAGTAGGGCGTGTCGGCCATGGCGACCAGCTAGGCAGGGGGACGACATTACGCTCAGTGAGGTACTTTGCGTGTTCGGCGCGGTAGACGTTCTCCAGATGACGCCAGTCGGACACGGTCCACGCGCGTTCCGTAAAGGACGCTTCGGCGGCCTCGTGCTCAATGTCGACATTGTGCTCGCGCTCAAACGACTCGCGGTGCTTGCGCTTGGGCGTGCGCGTCCACCCGCCTGGAATGGCGAGGGCCGGCGATTCCGTGCGGGAGGGTAACCGGCTGACGCTGCGTGGGTAGTGCATGCTCGAGTTGGCAATATCGAGTTCGGCCTCGTGCAGGAGCTCGTTCTTGGAGATGGTGCGCGAAACCTCTTCGCTGTCAAAGAACCGCGAGCGCTCGGTGCTGCGGCCGGGCGTAGAGTACCGCGACGTAACAGAGCCGCGGCGAGAGCGAGAGACCGGCGCGGGGGTGCCATCAGGAAGCACTCCGCTCTCAATGTACGCATGGTTCATCTTGAGGATGGCAGCGGCGCGAGCAGCGGCGCGTGGGTCGAGGGACGAGACTTCGACAATGGAACGGAACGACTCGTCGTTGTCATCCGACTCAAAGCTGTCGTCTGCGGCGGCAATCTCCTCGTGCAAGCTGCGTTGAGGGGAGACGTCTGGGAGGCGCGAGGGACCAGCGGTGGGCGGGGCGTGATATTGCGAGCTTGAGCCACCAGCGGCGCGGCGGGAGAGAACACGCTCGAGGTCGTGCACACCGCCTGCAGTGTCGGTGTAGCGGAACACACTAGGGCGGTCCACCTGCGGGACTGGGAGACGTGGTGCAGGTGGTGCAGGTGGTGCCGGAGCGACGGTGCGTGATGGGCCAGCAGAGGCGAAGCGCGAGCGAAGACGGTCGGGACGCACCTCCTCGACCGACTCGTCGCTGACCTCGACAGGCTCAATCTTGACCACGCCACGGGGCACAACCCGGAGGATGATCCTGTCGTCGTTGAGGGGGACGTCGAATTCCTCCACCACACTGTTGTCGTATGTGTTGTCGCCGGCCTCTTCCTCGTCAGAGCCGCTGTGGTCGTCCTCTTCGTATTCCTCATCGTGCTGTTCCTCCTCATCGAGTTGCCGGTCGTCGTCGAACTGCTCCTCCTCGGAGACATCCTGCTCGCTCCCAACACCCTCATCCTCGTCCTCATCCCCGTGTTCCTCCTCCTCGTCCTGGTCGGAAGGACTGTCGGTCTCTTGGGGGTCGTGATTGCGAGCAGTCTCGTCAAAGTACGACTCATCAGCATCTTCAGCCGCCGTATCAGGTTCGACTTCAGGTTCGGCAGACTCGTCGGCCTCAAGCGAAGGCGTGGACCGCTCGACCGCAGGGGTGACGGATCGGGACCAAGTGGCTGGCTGGCGCTCAATGCGGGTAGCGTCCCAGTGCACGTCGCCGACCTGGTGCTCTGCAAAGTGGGGAGCCTCAGCCTCGGCATCAAAGGTCATGTCCGAGGCGGAAATGTCCCACATGGACGAGTCGCCATCAATGGTCGCGTCAGCGAGGTCTTCCTCCTGGTTTGTAATCTTCTTCCCTGGTGACCTTGGCACAGGCGATGCCGAGGGGAAGCGCGTCTCGTTGCGGTCGACGTTCGGGCTCGCGCTAGCATGCAAGGGAAAGATGGAAAACTTCTGTGGGGAGGTAATGCCAAGAGCCGAGGGCTTCATGGGCGACGCGGAGAGGTTGATGGGGCGCACCGGGGACGCGGCGAGGGCGGAAACCATGCCGGCGGTGAATACCGACGAGACTGACGGTCCCGGTGAGGGCGATCGAGAGCGAGTGATGCCAAATGAGGGCAGAATCGGCACCGTGCTAGCGGCTGGCGGACCAAGTGCCACATTGATATGGACAGGCGAGGCATCGGCAGCCGGGGTCACTTCACGGAGGGGAGTGTTGGCGCGGGCGCGCGGCGAGACGGTCTTGCTGAGACGCGGCGAGCGACGCGGTGGTTCCAATGGAGCCTTTACCACGGGCGACGAGCGCTGAGGAGAGGGTAGCGCGGAGTTTGAGAATCGTGGCGAGCGACGCGGCGAAGCTGAAAGTGGGACCGATAGCCTCGCCACGGCCGGCGCTGGCGGCGGCCGTGGGGTCGTGTGGCGGAGAGTCTTCTCGGCGTCTTCCTCGTTTTCCAGCTCCTCAGGCTCCTCAGAATCCTTACGCTCCTCCTCAGGCTCCTCCTCGGGGGAGGCTTCACGCGCAGGCGTCTCCACTCGCAGTGTAGGAGCTTCACGAACAGGAGTTGAATCGCGCACAGGAGTTGAGTCGCGCAAGGGAGTCGGGTCGCGGGTGGGAGTTGCGTCGCGGGCGGGAGTTGGCTGACGAACCGGCGTGGGCTCACGGGCAGGTGTGGGATCACGGGGAGTAGCCACACGCACGGGGGTGATCTCGCGAACCGGCGTAGCTTCCCTAGGAGTAGCCTCGCGAACGGCCAGTGGGGTAGGCGCGGGGCTGGCCACCTGCGGAGATGGCGCGCGCGGAGTCGCCTCGCGCACGGGAGTAGCGTGACGGGGAGTCGACTCGAGAACAGGAGAAGCTTCACGCGGAGTAGGGCTGCGAGCAGGAGGTGGACGAGTTGTGGGCTCGCGGGCGGGAGTGACTGCGCGAGGAGTTGGCTGGCGAGGAGTCGTTTCGCGGACAGGCGTAGCTTCGCGAACAGGTGTAGCTTCACGGGCCGTCGGTTCACGAGCCGGTGTGATGTCAGCCAGAGGCTCGCGGACAGGACTGTCCGCCCGAACCTCTTCTTCCCGGAGTTCGTCACTTGTGTCGGGCGACTGGGCCACTTGCGGTGTGAGGCTACGCCTCGGCACCCTCGGGGACGCGGCGAGCGCCGGAGTAACCTCGACAGAGGGACGGGTGACGGGAGACGGAGGTGATGACACGGCAGAGTGGGAGGACCTCACGGAGCGGATGGATCGGGTGGGTGAAGGTGGTGAGATTGGCGCAAAGGCCGGTGGGAGGGGAGACGTAGTGGTCACTGGCCAGTTACGAGCCTCTGGCGACGGGGTAGCAGCGGCAGGTGAGGCAGCGCGTAGTTGAGGTGTAGGCTCGCGCACCGGTGAGCTGGTGCTAGCCCTCACTGCTGGCGAGGATGAAGGGACTTTCGCGCTCGCAGCGACTGGCGAGCTGGGATGCAGCGTCATGGCACTGGCCACAGGCGTCGGCATCTTGGCAGTGGCAACGTCGAGCGCGTGCGAGGCGCGGCGGGGAGGCGTTGGCGGGCGAATAAAGCTCGCGCCTGCAGGCATGGGTACCTCTGCGTCCGAGTCCTCTTCCGAGTCTGAAGATGGAGCGGCCGCGAGTAAAGATCGCCAAGGGGTGTTGTCCGCTGGAGGTGCTGGTGCCGGCGACGCAGTGGTGAGGCCCACAGGGGCGGGAACAGGCGACGAGTGCGTAACAGCGGCGCTGGCAACCACAGTCGTTGACACACGCGGCGCCAGAACGGGGAAGATTGGCCTCGGAGCTTCACGTACAGGGGACGACTCGGCGGCTGCAGAGCTGAGACGCGCTGTCAGAGAGCGCTGCGACTTGGCGATACTGGCCACACTGGCTGGGGAGCTGAGTGGGCCGCCGACCGACTCCGCAGACGCGCTGGATAAGCGGCCACGGACGGGGGTGCTGCCTGCAAACATGCGACGGCGGTGGCGGAGGGGGATGTTCTCCTCTGGGGCAGGTGACGGCTCGCGGGAGACGGACGGAGATCGCGGAGGCGAAGACTCGAGTGACGGGCCAGAGTTGCGCTGAGTTGGGGCCGCAGGAGATACCTGAACTGGAGCTGGAGCACCAGTGTGAAGCTCAAGACCCTTGGCCACTGGACTTGAGCTGGGACCAAACCCCACCTGTTCTTCATCGTCGATCACCATACCGGCGCCAAGGGCGGCCTGGACCACGTCGGCAATGTCGTAGCGAGGCTCCGAGCCGGGGGAGTAGATGTTGTCGTCCGGCGGCGAGGGTTCATCGGGCTTGGATGCAAGCACGGCTGGCCCCTCAACCTCAGTTGCTTCAGCCGCAGTTTCGGCTGCAACCGAGACGTCGAGCGATGATGTATCCGCTCGCACAGTGTCCGCGGAAACATCCAACTCATCTGAAGGAGGGGAGCTTGGCGGGAGAGCAGCTGCAGTGACGGGCTCGAGGGAAGGCTCGGGAGTGGGCACCTGGACCGGCTCGAGCTCGCTGGAGGGAGAGTGTGGCGAGCTGGCAGCCACATCTGCCGCTTCCTGCGCATCGTCCTCGTCTTCATCCTCGTCCTCTTCCTGCCCCACAGTCGCTGTAGAGAGGTTCGCCACAATGGTATCGGCGGACACATCCAGCGCGGACATGTCCGCAGCCAGCGTCTCAGCAGACGCGTCCAGCTCGGTATCGGAGCCGTCGGCAGCGACAGAGACAGCACGCTGCACAACAGGCGAGGCGAGGCGCCGCACAGCAGGACTGGGACTAGGACTTGGGCTCGGCCGTTGGCTGTGGCTCTGCCTCGCTTGCATAAAGTACCCAGGGGTGAGGGGCGGCGAGATGGGCGAGACAGTTTCGCGAACCGACCTATTACCGCCTGGAACTGGCGAGGCAAAGGCAGAAGCGGAGGGCGAAGTGAGGGGTGATGGGTCGCTAAGGTACGAGTCGCCGTCCAAGATGACCGTGTCGTCTTCGGGGTCGACGTCCTCGAGTTCGTCCTCAGGCTCCACACGGGGGACAACAGTGACATCGGCAGTGGTTGTGAGGTCCATGTCCTCTTCGTCGTTCTCAGCGAAGTCGTGCGAGTTGAGCTCGTTCTCTGCACGGGGCTCCATACGCGGGACAACAGTGACGTCGGCGGTGGTAGTGAGGTCCATGTCCTCTTCGTCGTCCTCGACAAAGTCGTGCGCGCTGAGAGCGGGCGAAGAGGCCAGGAAGTCGACTGGCTCCTGCTCGTCGTCGTCGTCCTCGCCGCTCAGAATTGCCTTGGTCGGGGCAGTGCTTGGCTGGCCGACAGAGGGTGCCTCGGACGGAGGTTCAGAGGCCAGATGAGAAGGTGCGGGTGACGGACAGAGTACTGGCTGGCCGACAGAGGGGGCCTCAGAGGGTACGTCAGAGGGAGCTTCAGATGCCGCATCAGAAAGTACGGGCGACGGACTGCGCTGTGGCTCGGACACTGGCTGGCCAACAGAGGGTGCGTCGGAGGGAGCTTCAGAGGCCGCGTCAGAAGGTGCAGGGGACGGACTGCGTTCCAGTTGGGAGACGTATGTGGGCTCGAGGTCGAGGTCGCGATCGAGGTCGAGGTCTTCGTCCTCAGCCTCTGCCTGAGCTTCAGAGGCCGCAGCAACATCCACATCCACATCGACAGCCACCTCCTCAGCGGGCTCCTCAGGCGGCTCCTCGGAGGGCACGGGCACACTGGCAGCCCTGCGCGGTGAAGGCCGTGAGGCATCATCGCTCATCCTGCGGCCGTACTTGACCAGACTCTGATGTGTAGTCGGCAACTCGACGCTGTCAAAGAACAGCGAGCTGCGCTTCCGCCGGCGGCGGGGCGAGATGACGGTCGACGCGGCGTCTTCGTAGAAATCGGCCATGGGTAATGGTGCGCTCGGGGAGGAGACGGCGGGAAGAGCGTCTCGCATGGGTGTGTGCGGGCGCGGTGGCGTGGGCGGGCGGTAGATCTGGCTGAAGACAGGTGTATGCGGGCGCGGTGGTGTGGGCGAGCGGTATGCCTGGGTGGTGGGCACCTCTTCCTCTTCAGACTCTGGTTCTGGCTCCTGGTGCTCTGGCTCGGGGCTGGGGCTGGCCGGCGCGATAATCGTGTCATCTCCCGGGTCCACTTCCTCCTCGTCCTCTTCGGGCGCGAGGATAGGCTGCGGCGTGCGCGAAACTGAACGCTCCGCGACTTCTGGTGTCCTGGACGGACGCTCAGTCGCTGGTGTGCCGTGAATGGAAGCGGCGTTGGGGGAGAAGGACATGCCACGGAAAGTCGAGCCAAACGCGGGCGGCGTGCCAGCCAGCAGGGTCGTGTCAAAGTTGGCAGCTGGGAAGGGCGAGCTAGGAGGCGAGTCGGCCGGTGCCATGAACACTGGATCGTAAAAGTCGTCTGCATCGTCGTTGTTGTTTTCGTCCGCGGGGGCAAGACCGGGTGAGAACAGAGCAGGAGACGGAGCGGGAGGCGTAGGCGAGCGCACCGGGGCGACGGGCTCGTTGTCGACCTCGATATCGACATGCTCGTCGGGACCTTCGGGCGAGGCACTGTCTCTAGTCGAGCGACTGATGAAGCGCGAAAGATCATGCAGGGGCGAAGTCTGCTTTCGCTGCGTGGGCAGCTCCGCTTCCTTGATGACGGGACTGCTTCCGGGCTCTTCCTCGGCGACGATGGGCGGTACCGACCCAAGAGCAGAGGGGATGCGGCGCTGCTCACCCCGACGGGCCATGACTCCAACAAAGGTGTCGTTGGCCACACCCTCGCCATCACTGTCACTTCCGGCGCCACGATCCAGCTCGCCATAAACATTGCCGTACTCTGCCAAATCGCCATCCTCGAGACGAGGCGTGCGGGTGAACATGTTGGCCGAGGCTTTGGGTCGAGGTTCGGTCTGGGCGACCTTGGTGCGCTTCTTGCGCCTAACGGTACCGGGGGTCTCACCATGAGATGACGAGCTGAGCGTTCGGCGGCGCTGGCGAGGTTTGAGGTCGGGCACGAGCAGAAGCGGGTCCTCGCCAGGTTCGGCCTCGACTGGTCGTTCTTTGTAACCGACAATCACGCCCTTGAGGGCCCTGCGAGCGACAGGCGTGAGAGAACGTCGGAACCGCGCCGTTTCCACCTTGAGGGACTTTGGGGGCGAGTTGGTGAGGGTGCGGAGCTGCGTTTTGGGCGTAGTCGCACGCTGGTGTGCAGAGGCCGACTTTACTGGGGCAGTGGCAGGCGGGGCGCGTCGAGGGCGTGCTGCTGGAGTGGAGCTGGAGCTTTGCTGGCTCGCAGATCTTAACAGAGTGGTTGATGGTGATGGAAGACGCTTCTTGGCCGTGCCAGAAGCTGTAATAGAAACAGCCTCATCACTCAGACGCGCTGCCTTCTTCTTGCGAGGGTTGGGGCTGTCGTGCAATGGCTCCTCGTACTCGGCGACAACGTCTGGTGGCGCAGTGCGAACCGGGGAGAAGCTGTCCCGTGGGCGGACACGGCTCCGTGTTGGCGGGCGGGACGGTTCTGCCTGCTGGGAGAGCTCGGGAGTGGGAAGCGACTTGCGTCCTCGTGCGGTACTCTTGGGTACGGTGGAGAGGGATCCATTCTGGGGAATTGCAGTTAGCCTTGTGGGTAGCTTGATCGTCGCGTCATGACGCTCGCTCACCTCCTGGCTAGCCGCAGGTGTCATCAGTCCTCCCCCAGCGCGAGCGGCACCGCGGGCGGAGACCCGCCTGGTACTTGGCCCTGGCGCGTCGTCGTCCTCGCTGTCTTCGCCGAACAAGCTGCTGGAAGGCATGTCTGGAGGCTGGACATCCCATATCATGGTCTCGTCGGTACGCGCGATCGTGGGTGTCGACCCCACCGCCGCGCGGGCGGTGCGCTTGCCCATGGCCGGATCCTTGGGCGTCGAACGGGGGTTGCGTCGGAGGTCGGGCGATGGGAGCGCCGCAAGCGCCGCGAAGCGCTTGGTGGCGGCGGGTGCAGGTGGGCGTGGAGTTGCAGTGTCGTCGTCGTGGTCTTCTGCTGCTGCTGCTGCTGTTGATGGTGTGGAGGTCGAGGGGGCAACAGGAGCAGCGACGCTCGCCACCACCTTGTTGGTGGTGTTGGTGGTGGAGGCGGGGCGCGCTCCGCGACTGGAGGGAGCGGATAAGTTGTAGACCCGCTCCCCAAGCACAGAACGAGGGCGTGGGAGGCGTGATGTGGGCACAGGAAGCTTTGATGTGGGCACAGGAAGCCTCGAGGACGATGCAACCGAGTTTGTTGACTCTGCCCGGGAAGGGGGAGCCAGTGACGGCTGGCGCACCTCGCGCACCATGGACGTAAGGGCGGCCGCGGCCCGGGGGTGTTGATTAGGCGGGTGGGCTTAGGGTGGGTATGGGTATTGTTGCCAGGTATAGGTGGTGCAGGTGTGGAGTGCAAGGTGCAAGAGAGGGCAGGTGTGTGTGTCGTTGTACACAGGTGGTTAGAAGTGGGTAGAGCAAATTGTGTATCGGTGGATTGAGAGAGGAGGATGTCAATGTCTCCTGGTGCACGCGTTTGTTGACCTTTTGGAAAGGCAAACACGCGTTGGGAGAGCACTTAAAAAGGGGGTAACGCAAATAAATAATCGCGTGTCTAGGGTCCCAAATATCAAAATGACATCAGAGTTCAAAACTCTATTATTATTACGGGATTAAGGAGTTTAGGAAATTCATTTCGTTTTGACCCAATCGAAATTAAAACCTCCCCCCCCATCAGGCCATCAGGCCATCAGCGAGATTTGTTTTTGTTGGGATCAACCGATCAACCCATGACACCCCCGAAACATGTATCGCAGTGGCCGAGACAGCTGCGACGGGGACATCTGTCTGATGATATCACACCACCGGTCTCGCTGGTATCACCGGGTATGCGAGAGAGAGATTGACCCGTGTCGTGTATTGACGTGTGCTTTTGTGTCCTCTGTGGTCCGTCTGTCCAGCCATGAGCCAGCTAGCCAGTGTGTTGACGCTAACAGGCAAAACGCTCTCTGGTGGCGTTTGGTGCCCGTTTTTTTCCTTTGGTGCCTGGCCGAACCGCCCACTGCCGCCGCCGCCGCCGCCGCCGTCGCTGCGCCGACGACGACGACGACACACACCATCCCCCCCGCGCGCCCCGCCCCGGACACATCTCTCCAAATCCCACACACACACCCTTTCCCCCCGGCAACATCGTTTCCCTCGACACCATCCCATTTCTCTTTCCACCCCTCCCCCATCTTCCATCCACCATCCACACCCCGCATCCACATCCACCCACCTGCATCCACATCCACCAACCTCTCTCGTCCAACAACCACACATCCCCCCTTGCCCGCATCTTGGCCGCTGCTGCCCCCCGGCTCCGCCCCAACGTCTAGCTAGGCAAACGCAGACACGCCATCAACCCCAGGCCCCCCTCCACCTTTTCGACACTTTCTGCCGCACAGACTCTCTCCCATGAGCGAGCAGGACAAGGCCGCTCGCGAGCGAGCAGCGGCCAGAGGTGAGCATTGGTTGAGAAGCAACTCTCTCTCTTGGCCAACCCTGGGAGAACCCACACATTATATAGTCGCTGACATTCATCCCTTTCTCGGCTTCGGCTGTATGCAGACGCTCCGCCTCGCTTCTCTTATCCCGGGGCCGGCGGTGCCCGGCCCACCACCGACGCCGCATCTGTCTCTTCCACTTCATCCACCCACCCCCACTCGCATACCGCACCGCACCACCATCACCATCACCACCACCACCACCACAGCGGCCCGCTCTCGTCCTCTGCAGCTCCAGCCGATCGCGATCGCGAGAGGGAACGCCCCAGGGACCCTCCGCCGCCTTCCTCCACATCGTCGTCGGCACCACCCAACGACGGCCGGCCCCCTCCTCCAGGCTCTGGCCTGAGCTCCACATACCCTTCAGCCCGCCACGAGGGAGCACCGTCCACTGCTGCTTCCAGCGCGCCCCGGTCCAGCATGTTCAGCGGCGGGGGCGGCTTTGGCGGCTATGGCAACTACATGGCCGAGAAGCGAGAGCGTGAGCGCCTCCGTGAAATCGAGCGCGACCGCGAGCGTGATCGTCAAAAGGCAGCCGCCGGACCTGACGCTTCCCCCGGTCGGTCGGCCAGCTCGTACCCTCGCTCAGTGCTCTCGGCATCCACCTCGCCGACGCTCTCGCGCCGCGACCCCCCTCCACCATCCAGCGCGACCGCGCCAAAGTCGGCGTCCTCGGCCTCTTCATCCCACCCGCCTGCTTCTGGTGGAGCGTCATCGGGCACCCGTCCCGGACTCGCTCTCCCTAGCTTTTCAAGCCTCAACCCGCGTCCTCTCGGCTCGTCATACGAGGTGGGCGGCCGTGAACGCTCGGCGTCCAACGCCAGCTCCACCAAGGAGGCCGTCCCAGGTGGGCATCAGCGTACCCTGTCTAGCAGCAGCAGCCAGCAGCGGGAGACCCTCAGCGGTCTGTCGTCCATCGGCCAGACGAGCCCCGTAAAGACCAATGTCCCCGTCCCATCTGCTGCCTCGCGTGGAATCTTTGGTGGTCCCCCTCCTCTGTCATCTGGAGCGCGCGAGCAGTCCTCTGCCCAGCGCTCTCCGGTCACCAAGACCACCTCGGTTACTACCTCGCCTACTCAGTCCACACGCGAAGTGCCCCCCACGTCATCCGCTCAGGCTCCAAAGCCATCGGCCACTGGCGGCAACGGATCATCCTCGGCACCCCACTCAGCTCGCCCGCCCTACTCGTTCAGCTCGACCTATGCATCCGCCTACACCACCCCGTACAGCGGCTATGGTATGGGCGGTGGCTTCCTCGGCGGAGGTGCCGGCGGCTTTCCCTTTGGCGGAGGCCAGTACAGCGCCGCCGAGCGTGAGCGTCGTGAGCGTGACCGCGAGCAGCGAGAGCGTGAGAGGGAGAAGGAGCGCGAGAGGGAACGCCAGTTTGAGCGCGACCGCCAGGCTATTGCGGAACGCGACCGCGACAGCAAGCACCGGGAACTTGAGCGTGACCGTGCAGCTATTGCCCAGCGCGACCGCGAGGTACAGGCCGCTGCTGCCGAAAAGGACCGCCGCGAGCGCGAGTTGCGCGAACGTGAGCGTGAGCGCCGCCTCGAGGAGGAGCGCCAGGCCCGCATCCGCGAGATACGCGAGAATGAGCGCAAGGACATTCTGCGCTACGAAGCCGAGAAGCGTGACCGTGCGTATGGTGTCGAGGCCAAGCCATTCCAGCCGCCGCGCCAGACGTCGACCACCTACGGCGACCTGTACCGTCCGCGCACCCAGGCCCCAGCCGCCCAGCAGCCGGCCCACCAGGAGCCAAAGTACACCCGCCACATCGAGGTAATCAACCAGCCCGGCACTCAGAGCCACGAGGCTGCCAGGACTGCCCCGCCTCCTGTTCCCGCTGCCCCAGCCGCGCCTCCCCCTATCCAGCAGCCGCAACAGGCCCAGCAGCAGCAGGCTCAACAGGCGCAACAGGCTCAGCAGGCTCAGCAACAGCAACAGCAGCAGCAGCAGCAACAACAACAGCAGCAGCAGCCGCCGGCTCGCGAGAACCGCCCGTACGCAGGCTACGCTGCCAAGAATGAGCCTCGCGAGTACACCTACACGCCTCGCGACACCAAGCGGCCACGCATGGAGACTGCACTCGAGGACCAGGCCCAGAACCGCCGCGCCACCACTTCGCGTGCCAAGCGTACCCGCAAGGAGGAGGAGAAGAAGGACAATGCCCCGCGCGACCTGTCTGCTCTCACCGTGGCCGTCAAGAAGTGGCCCGAGGTCTCGAGCCAGCCTGTTGAGGCGTGGCTCAAGAGCCTTCCCGACCTCAACCGTGTCGTCGGCCATGAGGTCTACCACGGCCCCGAATGGTCGCTCGCGCAGACTCGTTCCACGGGCGTCGAGTGTGAGGGTGCCATTGCCATTGTGCGCGTCAGCGGTGCCTTCCTCGGCACGCGATGGAAGGTCCGGGGCGAGCCTGGTTGGGACGAGGCACGTTCCTCTGGCGGCGACGGTGCCGACGTCGGCCTTGGCTGGGGTGTCGGCGGCCAGGCCCGTCTCGAGAGGCGTATCTGGGGCACCGACGTGTACACTGACGACTCGGACCTGGGTCTCGTGCTCGTCCACGCTGGCTGGATCCGGTGGGGTGGCGCGGCTACGCGCAGCGACGACGACATTGTCAACGTCACTGTCCGCGTCGTGCCCCGTCTCGTTCGGTACACTGCCACGGAGCGTAACGGTGTCATCACCCGCTCGTGGGGTAATGGCCACGACGGAGCCAGTATCGTCGTCGAGGGTGTCGAGCGCGTCAAGGTCGACAAGAGCTTTGGCTCCCGCCTCCCGCGCCGTACCGCGCGCAAACTGCACATGGCCGAACTCGCCCGCCAGCGCGTGGCGCTGTTTGACTGGGCGCCGCAGACCGACTCGCTCGACGCCGACGCGCACCTCATGCCAGGTGACCTGCCGTTTGACGACCACAAGCGCGCCGCCCTGCCTGAGCGTATGATCTTCATATCGGGCCAGGCTGGGTTCAGGTACCTCCCCGACGCGCTTGCCGGCTACATTGACTTGCCCGGAGACGACAGCGGCCTGCGTACACTGTGGACGCATGATTTGGAGCTGGGCTCTGCTAACGAGACGTGAGTTTTAGCTAAAAGCCTCTTCTGCCGTCATTTCAACTGACATTTCCCTTAGGTACCGCCTCACTCTGGAACTCGAGGACGGCCAGCCCCGCATTACCATCATGTCCCGCGCGGCGCCCAAGCCCACGCGTGCGGCAGCCGCCGCCGCCGAAGAGGAGATTGAGGAAGACCTTGTCGTCGACTCGATCGACCCGGAAGCCGCACACTGGATGCCGCAGGGCCTCGCCCTGCAGCTCCAGCAGGACCGCGGCGTGCTCTGCGCCGCAAAGGTGTACCGCTGGATCGCGCGCAAGGGTCCCTCGCTCCTGCCCTCCGTCCCCACGCCCACACAGCAGAACGACGACAAGCTCAAGGACAAGGCCGAGCCGCCCGTCGCTGAGGGACTGCAGAGCCCGCGCAAGTCGGCGTCCAAGTCCCAGTCTCCCCAGAAGGACAGCGAGGCCATGGACGTGGACGAGGAGCCCGCGGCGGCGCCTGCTGCGGCCCCCGTCGTCGCTGCCGCTGCTTAGAAGGGCCGCTGCGATACACTAGTAAAGGAAGAAGAAGAAGGAGACCCAGAGCGGGAGTGAAGCCCAGGCAAGCACTTACGCGTTGTGTTTCGTTTGTTTCGTCAAAATATATCGAGTTTCGTCTTGTTCAGTGTTTCTCTCTCCCTCGAGTCCATCGTTCGTCATATGCAGATCCGTCATGAGACACTTCATTACGAGACACCTCGCTACAGTACAGTGCGATCAACTAACGCTCTCCCTCACTCGCTCTCCCCCTCGATATCGTTCTCCCTCGCGCGGCGGTCATGTGGACAAAGATGTACTACCACCCCTACACCCCACACCCCTTACCCCACACTGGCACATCTCTCTACGGCCGCTGCCATGCCCCGCCCCGCTGCAGACTTGCAGCCTTGCAGCCCTGCAGCCCTGCAGCCCTGCAGCCCTGCAGCCCTGCAGCCTATGCCTACTGGTTGAGGCTCGCGGCCCAGAGCGCGCCCACAAAGGTGAGGATGAGGCGGGGACGCACGTCGACAATGTCCTCTGGCACGAGGAAGATGAGTGCGTTGAGCTTGCGCGCAATGCTGATGGCGAGCTTTGCGTTGAGCTTCTTCTCGTCGGGGTCGTTGGTGTTCTGGTAGACGAGGTTGTAGTCGACGATGCCGGGGCGCACGCCGTTGAGGAGGTCGAGGAAGAAGACGCCGTTGGACAGGCTGGGGTCCTTGAACGAGCGCATGGTGGACGACTTGCCGCCGCGCTGGACCGTCTCGTTGGCCCACTTGACCATGTCCTGGTCGGTGACGCCGCGGCCGCCCTTGGAGATGGACGCGAGCGTCTGGGTGATGCTGATGCGCATGAGCTGCCACACGAGGCCGAGGACGAGCGTGCGTGCGCCGTCGGTAATGTCCGCGCCCTGGATGCCGACCATGTGCATGCCGTTGGCAGTGGCCAGCTCGACGGCATAGTTGGTGTTCTCGACAGCCTTGAAGCGCGACAGCTCTTGGCCCTCCTTGGGCTTGGAGACGCGGCGCCAAATGACCGAGCCGGGGATGACCTTGTCAAAGCCCTGGAGGAGGATGTAGCCGTCCTTGAGGTCCTCGAAGAGGCTGTACACTCCGGGATCAACGTCGAGCGAGTTGAGCCACAGGGTGAAGACGCGCGCCTCGCGCTCGCCCTCGGCGTCAAAGTCCTCAATCACAGGAGGAGCCTCGGCCTCCTCGAGCGGCGCAAGGCCCGGCCACGTGTTGAACAGGTTGGCAACAAACGCAAGGTTGAGCTTGGGGTTACCAGACACGAGCGAGTTGGGGGTCAGGAAGCGACGGCAGCCAATACGGTCGGCGCCGTCCAGGACCTCCTCGGCGCGCTGGTGAAGGTCGCGCGTCTGGAGGGGCGCGAGCGAGCACTGGTCCGGCTTGAGCTGGTTCAAGAGCACCGTGTAGTTTTCGCCGTCCGAGACGTCCTTGGTAAAGTTCGTGACGCGGCGCTCCCACTTGGCGGCCTTGAGGTGGTAGTTGAACCAGCGGAGGAGGATCTGGTCGGGCGGGAGACGCAGGAACTCGTCGAGCGTCTCGCCGTCCTCGAGCAGGCGGTAGAGCTCGGGGTGGATCTTGATGTCAATCTTGGCAAGCAGACCACGGCGGATGACCTGCCACACGAGACCGAGGATCAGGTGCTCGCGGCCCTCCTGGATGTCCGAGGGACCAATGTTGACCACCGAGCAGCCAATAGCCTTGGCCGAGGTGATGACAATGTTGTTGTTCTCAGTCATCTGGAACGCGTTGAGCTGCTTGCGCTTGGGGCCGGGCTTGTTGAGCACACGCTCGTCGATGGTGTCGGGAACAGAGTCGTTGATCAGCTTGCACAGAATCAGACCGTCGCGGACCTCGTCAAAGAGCTGCATCGTGTCGGTCGGGATGGGAAGGAGGTGGCCAACATCGGGGTCACCGCCAAGCACACCGTTGATGTGGTCGGTGAACGAGCGCAGCTCATCCTCGTTGATCGAGTGCTGGGCGTTGGTGCCCGCGGTACCCTTCATGGCAATACGGCCCTTGTGCGTCTCGAGGCTGGGACAGGTCAGTGAAAATACACAGGTTGTGCTTGTGGCAAGATGCGGCCAAAAAAAAGGACGCGGGCGTGTCGGCCGCACCGCTTTGCCTCGAGGCCTCATCATCGTTGCAGAGACAGTTGTCACTCACAGAGGCTGCTCCTTGGCCTTTTTCAACAGCGAGTGGAGCTGGACCCAGTCCTCGAGCTCGACACGGCCCGACGAGTCAATGTTGACATTCTTGAGCGTCTCACGCGCCTGTGGATTGGGCCGTTAGAAACGAAACAGGGGACGAGAGAGATCGGCGCAAGGGGGGGAGGAAACGATGAGGGTGATCGATAAATGCCCGACCGCCGTCGTGGTAACTCACAGAGTCATAGTCGGCATCGCCGCTCTGCTGGAGCGCAGAGATGACAGTGGCCTTGTCAAGCGAACCCTTGTCGTCGACATCAATCTGCCTTTAGGTGGGTGTAAGTTTGTGGAAAGCCAGCCAAGGCGGGAGACATGGGACTCACTGGAAGCGGTTGATCAGGTCGAAGATGTCCTCCTGCTTGAGGTCCGGGTACTTTTTGCCCAGCTTGAGGGCCTGCATGGTGGATGATTCGGGATGGATGAGCGGAGTGGTGTAGAGGGCGATGGGGGCTGGTGGCTGGGTGGGAGGATGGAAAGAACAAAGGCGGGCGATGCAGCCTGATGTGGTCTCTTGTGCGGCGGCTCGTCACAGCATCAAGGACAGCCTGCGAATGCGTCACTCCCTCCAACCGATCAATGACGATGGCTTTACGTAATCAAATCAACTCCCCAATTCATCGCTGGCTTCTTCCCACTTTTTATACACGTCGAAAGTGAGTTTACCCAGAACCAAATACGCCTGCGGAGCTGTGACAGGCAGGCGTACGGGCGTGCCCATGCTTTGGCCGGCACACAACAGCTGTAACAGCTTGAAAGACAGTACAAGGTAGTGTGTATGCGTCATCGTTCGCCACCTGGCAACTTTCTGCCCAGCCAACAGACCAGATTCACATTCAGCCCCTGTTGCATTCATTCCAGCTGCATTCATTACACACTGTCCACACGTCAGTGGCGGATTGTTTACGCTGATGTCACTACCACTCCTAAACTATGGCCATACTTGCACAGCGATGAGGCTCGACTACTTCTCACAAGTACTTAAAACCCAGCGCCCTCCAGTCCTTGGAGGCCGGGGAGGTGGGCTCCCTCGGCCGCGAACGTGGCATAGTAGAGCTCGGTCTCGGCGCAGATGACCATGCGACCCTTGCCGGCAAACTGTCCGTCAGCCAAGGACTCACAAAGGTGGGTAACAGTGGACGCAGTGGACGCAGTGGATGGCCGAGTTGCCTCCCAGCTGCTCTGTACTGCAGTTTTACAGAAGTGGATGAGCAGCTACTGCTCCTCGACCACGTGAGACTCACGGCAAAGTTGGCACTGGTGGCGCCGACATAAATCTTGCCAAGGAGTGTACCGGCGGGGTCCCAGACGTGGATACCGTCACCCACACCGGCGTAGAGGTTTCCAGCCTCGTCGCAGTGGACACCGTCGGGAATACCAGGTGAGACGTAGGCAAACAAGGTGGCGGAGCCGATGGTGCCGTCGTCGTTGACAGGGAAGCGGTAGCTGAAGTGTGAGCTCTGCCACTTTTCGCAAGCTGGCGGTAGGGGACGAGCTGGGTCCAGCAACAGCAGAAATAGATAGCTGGAATTGCACCAGAGCCATTGCCGGAACGCTCAACTCACATGCTCGCTGGAAGGCTCCAGTCCATGCCGGTGAATCCCTCGGCCGCACCCGTGTCGGCAATGTACATCCACTTTCCATCGGGGGAGAATGTAATGCCTGGAAGCAGAGTCAGCGATGGCTCGTGGTTCAGGAACAAGCAGAGAGCCCCACGGACGCCAGCTGAGGTTCCCGAGGATCCCAGCTGGGTACAGTTTCCCGCTCTGTCGCAAGGAAGAATATTGCCGTGCCCACTCTCCTCTCATCCTGCCGTCGTCGTCCACTCACCGTTGGGACGCAGAGCATGGTCGGTCACGGCCTGCACGACTCCAGTGTCGGGACGGAAGCGGTAGACCTGGCGGCGGATGTTGACCTTGGCGCGGAAGTCCTGGAGTACACCTGCGGCGAGTCAGCGCCACTTGAAGCGTATCCAGACCTGTGGTGTGGTGAACACGGGGACAGTAGCACTCACCATAGTCCACGTCAGTGAAGTAGAGCCAGCCGTTAGGGTGCACCGCCACGTCGTTGAGCGAGTTGAACTGGCGTCCGTAAAAGTTGTTGAGAATCACTGCAGAGCTGGGTCAGCGGCATTTGACGCCGAAACATTATACCCACCCGTGGTATTGTACGGCTCGACGGGGTTCATGTAGTACAGTGCACTGGCGACATCGGGTCCCTGGCCCTCGCCGCAGAACACAATCCCGCCGTTCCAGTTGGTGCCTCCGTTGGGGTTGATGACCTGCGGCGACGAGGGCACCGTCACCACATCCACCTGCCCTGTCGCGTTTGCGTTGCCGCCCGCGGCAGCAGCGGCGGCCTGACTGAGCGAAATCTTCTCGATGATGGCGCTCTTGGCCAGACCTGTTCCGGCAGCTTTGGCACCGGCGTTCTGGACAAAGAAGACTTCGTCAGTGGGCGGCCACCACACGGCCGCTTCGTGGAAGAGCGGGTCGGTGCCCGAGTCGGCAATCAAGGTGAGGGTCGGGTTGGAGCCGAGGATGGTGAGGAAGTTGTCGTCGTACACGTGGAAGGGCTTGGCTTTGAGTGACTCGGCAGTGGATCCGGGTGGGATGAAGAGCTGGTGGGGGGGAGACAATGGTGAAGACAAGGTGGTGGTCGCAAGGAAATGAAAATGGATACAGTGAGGGCCAAAGGAACAGATGTCAGTACATCACCCCTTGGCACGTTCGCCCGCAACACACATCCCGGGTCACTCACGTAGCTCCCATCCGTCACATTCTGGCTCGCAATCGGGTCGAGGTTGTTGAAGGCCTTCTGGTCAATCTCCTGCGCAGTGTCGGGCAGCTCCCAGCGAGTCGCGAGCGCGCGGGCGTCGACGGGTGTGGTGAGGCTCACGCCCACGAGGCTGAGGAGGATGGGCAGAGCGTACGCCAGCGTCCACTGGGAAGAGACCATTGCGCGAGGCGGGTTGAGGTATAGAGTGACGTTGGGGAGTGGAGGTGGAGGGAGATTGTCTTTCAGGACAACGTTCAGGATACCGAGCTGAGCTGGGCGGGGAGCTGGGCGAAGACAAGCCTGGATGGGTGGGGGAGCTTGGGTATGCGTCTCGCTGCTTTATACTAGTCTGCCTGCAGACTCCAAGAGACCAAAATGTGGGTGGAGCAGGTGGGCTAGCGGGGGTATCCAGCAGACAGGAGAGGAGCGATGCTGGGACGGTACAAGGTCATTCGCGAGAAGCCATCCGCACTATGCAACGACGAAAGACCGACCAACCCGCCACCATGGACGTCATCGGTGTTTTGACCGCTCTGCCGGCAACTGCCGTCGTGAACCGCCCACCACGGATACCTGTTCTGGCATGTCTTCTAGTCTGTGGTCTCAAGGCACCCTTTGGCGTCGACATTGAGTGTATGTAAGTTTACGAGTCGGCGTCAGTTCCAGGTGTCATGGCTGTTCCAGGCGACGAGCAGGAACAGGGGACACTACGGACATTGCATGTTTGTCAAAGAACGTCGTAAAAGACACGACGTCAAAACAGATGGGGTAATTCAGAAAGAAAGTCACATGAGGGAGGGGGAGGGGGGACAATGGTTTCTATACACAACGAAGGCGATGGTTAAAGTAGTAGTTGGAACAGCTATGCCACGTAACTCCGGAGCTCGTAGCAAGGCTCGACAGAGGCACAGCAAGGCTGGCAGGGACGGAACATCGGCCCAGCCCACCTGCAGTGACGCGGCCTGAGAAAAACACACTCTTTCTTCGTCTCTCACTCCACATCGAGTGGAGTATGTGGATAAAGGTCAGGTGGAAAGGCTACGCTAGTGCCTGTCCTCTCCCAACCCTTCCAAGCCCATAACACTAGTCCACCGGCTCGTACGGAAAACGTCGTTAAAAACACCCGAACAACAGCGCGTGCCGTGACCCCGCCTCAGGCCGGCATATGCCGTGAACAGGCGGTTCCTGCTGAAGCCCACCCAGGCCACCCAAGCTTCGAGCACGTCTCAAGTCTCATATCAGGGGGACTGGCCGCACCGCAGACAGTGTATCCCCGGTGCGGCAGTCGCCTCACCTGACCGACTTGCCGATCTTGGCGCCGAGTCCCTCACGGAGGAGGCTCGATTTCGTGGGACGAGGTCCACTGCTGGCTGACGACGTTGTGACCGAAGGCTTGAGGCTGAGCCTGCGGAAGATGGAGTCACGCTTGTCCGAGCCTGGTGATGAAGACCGCGACACTCCGCCCGAGAGCTCTGACGATATGCTCGCGCTGGGCCTGTGCTTTGGTGGGACAGGGGCAGGGCGGGGCGCGAGGTACTTTGACCGAGGGGAGGGCATGGGTGCTGGTACAGGCTTGAGAGGGGCCGGGTTAAGGTTGCTGGTACGCGTGCTCATGCTCGTGAGCGACGAGGTGGAGGTCGTTCGGGAAAGGGAGAGGGGAGCCGGCTTGTCGGTGCGGAGCGCCGAGGCGCGATTTGTGCGAGGGGCAATGACGGGCGCGGCAAGCGAGCGAAGCGGGGTGGTCATGCTCGCACGGCGTGCAGCCTTCTCTGCCTTGTCTGCTGCGAAACGCTGGGCAGTTGTGCGAGACGCAGTCTCGGTCGTCTTGGGGACGAACATTGACATGGGGCGCGCGGCGGGTGCCCTAGGCGTTGGTGCAGCCTCACCGGTACGAAGCATGGACGAGCGGTTCAAGCGTGGTTGCTGTGAGGGAAACAGGTCAGCCGATCTGCTCATCAAACAGTCACCGCCCATTCACACTCACAATCGTCGGAGCAGCCAGGCTCGCTGGAAGCACCACGCTCTTGCGCTTGGCCAGGCGCTCGGCGGCCTCCCTCTCCTTGTTCAAGACCGCCTGCTCGGCGACATCGCGGGGGTCACGGCCGTGCGACGCAGGCAGCTGTCCAAGACGCAACAGGGCAGCACGGTTCTGTCGAGGAAGAGATTCGGGGTGGGTGAGGTTGATAGGCAGCTGGATACTGCGGCGACGTTCGGCGCGCTCGGCCGCATCGCGTGCCTTGTTCGCGGCGGCACTGGCGGCCATGTCACGCGTAGGCTCTTCGACGCTGATACCGAGGCGAAGCATGGCAGCACGGTTTTGACGTGGGGCGACAACTGGCTCTGCAAGAGAGTCGACATTCTGCAAGTGGTTAGTTACATATATATGATTGGAATGACTTTGTCGCATGGCCACAAAGTTAGAGTTGCAGACAAACACCGGGACCTGCTGGAGGAATGACCGGTGTCAATGACCCCAGGTGGTCCCAAGTTGGTCCGGCACGTGCCGCCGACGTGCCATCCGTTGTTTGTCACTCATGACGAGTGCTGTCACGACGCGTAGCTCGTTGATCCACATGTGCTTTTGGCCGGGAAAGCAGACTCACCACTTGGAGGCCTGCGCGCTTGTGGCCGGGAACATTGTCAAAGATGCCTGCCTGTGCTTCTTCGCTGCTGGTGGCGCTGCGTCGCAGGTCGCGCGGGTCCTCCCACTCCAAGCCCTGGCGCAGCGCCGCCGACTTTGTGAGGCGTGGACCAACACCCTCGTAATGCGTCGACAGAGGGGCGGCGCGTGCACGAAACGGGGTGGCGGTCGGCTGCGTGTGCGCAATGTGGTGCAGGATGGGGTCGGCCTCGACGTCCGCACCGCTAATGGAAGGTGAAGTAGGCGGTCCGAGCGCAGCTGGGTACGAGGAGGCCGTGTCGACGACGGCCATGTGGGAGGCATGGGCTGCGTTGGTGATGGCGAGCTCTTCCAGTTCAGCGCCCGTCGGTTGCGGAGTGGCAACGCGTGCGTCAACAAATGCCTCACCGTGGCCGGTACGAGGAGTCTCGGCCCGCGTCAACCCTGGGTTGTCGGACAGGGACAGCGCCGAGAGTGAAGGCTCGGACATGGTCGGCGACTAGTTTTCGCTTGTTGGGTGTATGCACAGAGCGGTAGCGAGGAAGCGTAGAAGGCGGTAGGTTGTCGTAACGTGTTCGTGATGTAGTCGTGCTTCAGAGCGGACACACGGTGTTGGAAAAACAACGGGTCGGTGTGTGTGTGGTGAGCGACAGGTGTTGTTGTTGACGTGAAAGGGGTGGCTGGAGAGGTGTTGGTGTATCGTGGGGAGTGTCTGTTCAACAGAGATGAGAGGTGAGCGAGTGTAGGAAATGAAGAGGTGGTGGATGCTGTGCTGGTCTCTGACCTGCACGCGTGGATGAAGAGGATGAAAGAGGAGGAGGATGGAGATGGGAAGCAAACCAGCCATGTTGACGCGCACAAACGGGGGCGGCGGGCGGTGGTGGCGGGCGGTGGGCGGGCCTTGGCACAGCGAGGGAGGGAGACGCGCGCGGGCCACCCACCAAAACAAGCCTACTGGTACCAGCCTGAAGCAACAGGGGCCAAAACAGCGAGAGCTGTCTCTCAGAGTGCGGGGATAGACACGATCAATGCATATGCATCATACGAGCTGTCTGTAACGTCCTCGCTACAGACTACATGGGTCTCACTCTCAGTCTGCAGATCACCCACACACTCGGACTAATGTCAGCGGCTGAATAGAAACCCAACACTAAAACACACGCGTTTTGAGGGCACTGGCCACTGGCCACGGGACGCGATGAAACAGCATGTACAGCAGATCAACACGCTCCAGCCCGACACATTTTGGCACGTCGATACCTTCTAGACGGCTGCTCGCCATACTGGTCACTGGTGTTACCGGCGTGGGGTCACTTACATGGAGCTGGCGGACAGCCCGACTCTCGCAGGAGACTCACAGGTGACTGCTGGAATGCTACAAGAGGTACTACTGTGTGCGTCGTCGTCGCGCCTAACTTTCCTAGGGTCCTGAGGGTCGGACCCGTTTTTTTTTTGTTTGGTTTCATGACAGAACGTGAAGAAAGCGTGACGCTCACCCAGTGGCCATACCGGTTCTTCGGGTCCCTGTCGTCGTACTAACCCAGAAGGGCGACACAGAGAACGCGAGGGTTCAGCTGTGCAGGCATAGGCTTCAGCAGATGGCAGTGGCCACTACGGGTGGTTGGTGCTGTGGTGAGCATGACCTCAGGGACTGAACAAAGGCCTGTGGCACCTGCCACCTCCATCTCGCCTCTCCACCACCCCCACCTTCCACCCAACCAATCGTCACTGTCACCACCCCGCTACCCACCCCGCTACCCACCCATCCATCACACCCGCTCGCACGCCCTCGAGGCCAAAAGAGCAGACATCCCAGGAGATCTCCTGCCGTATTCCGACAATGACATGATTCGAACATGTGCTCCCGAAGGAAATTGATTTCGAGTCAATCGCGTTAACCACTCCGCCACATTGCCCCCTGTGCTTTTTCTCCTGCATGCAAGGTGTCGGGCAGTGCTTTGCTCGCATCGATTGGAGCTGTGGAAGAAAAGTTATGGACGGTTCAAGGTGGATGGTGTGGTTCCGGAGGGCGGCGAAAAGTGGCAGTTGTGGCGGACGGCGCGGGGGGGCGGCAGGGCGCGTCTGTTGCTCTGCTCCGCGCCTGCTTTTCACAGACACACTACTGCCACCGCACAGGTCATCGAATATCATATACTTCTTCTATCTTCTATCTACGGCCTGCGGTCCTCGGCAACGGTGCTGGTGGCAATATATTCCTTGGCGTTGGCGGCACCGGGGGCCTTTGCGAGCGCAGCCATGGTCTCGGCATCGCCCTTGGGGCGGAGCATGCGCGTCCAGCCCGAGCTGTACTGGTTGGCCGGGACGGCGGCGGCGCCGAGCTCGTGGGCGGCCTGGAGGGGGAAGTCGACGTTGCGGAGGACCTCGCGGGCGAAGAGGGCGACGTCGGCCTGACCGGCCTTGACAATGTCCTCGGCCTGCTGGGCGTCGGTGATCAGGCCCACGGCGCCGATGAGCAGGCCAGGGACCTTGGCGCGGATCTCGGCGGCCATCTCGACCTGGTAGCCGGGCTTGACGACAATCTTCTGGCGCAGGTCGTTGCCGCCCGACGACACGTCGAGCAGGTCGACGCCGGCGTCACGGAGCTTGGCGGCAAACGCCAGAGTCTGCTCCATGCCCCACCAGGCGTACTCCTCCTTCTGGCCCGGGTGGGCCTTCTCGGGGCCAAGGGCTGACTCGAGCCACTCGGTGGCGCTGGTGCGGTAGAGCAGGGGGCCGTCCCACTCCTCACGGGCAATCTTGACAATCTCCATGGGGAAGCGGATACGGTTCTCAAACGAGCCACCGTAGTCGTCGGTACGCTGGTTGGTGACGGGCGACTGGAACTGGTACATGAGGTAGCCGTGGGCACCGTGGAGCTCAATGTAGTCAAAGCCGCACACCTTGGCGCGGCGGATGGCGGCGCGGAAGGCCTCCTTGACCTCCTCAATGTCCTCCTTGGTGGCCTCGCGGGGCTGGGGGAACGTGTCCTCGTTGAACGAAATGGCCGAGGCCGACATGACGTTCTCGGGCCAGCCACCAGCCTCCTCGGTGACAGTCTCGCCGCCCTCGTAGCCCTGCAGCATGGCGCCGTAGTAGACCCACATGGGCAGAGTCGAGCCCTTGCGACCAGAGTGCGCGAGCTGGATACCAATCTTGCCCTGGTTGGCGTGGACGTAGTCGACAATGCGCTTCAGAGGCGCAATCTGCTCGTCCTTCCACAGGCCCAGGCAGTTGGGAGTGATACGGCCCTCGGGGGTGACACCAGTAGCCTCGACCATGAGGTTACCCCAGCCACGCATGGCCATGGAGCCCTGGTGAATGAGGGCATGGTCGTTGGCCATGCCGTCCTCGTACGAATCTGCGGGTGGTGTCAGCGGCTGGTCAAGAGGATCGCGGCGTGTTGAGAAGGGGCCGGAGCAAATGTTCGTGGCAGAGGCACGACGGCCACGTCCGAGCGCTTGTTGTGTGGCATATTTCCGCGTCCGCCACAAACGAAGCAAACCGCCCCCACCGTCCCGCAGTGTCAGGCGGGCCTAACTCCACACCACCACCACCACCACTCCGCGCACAACAATCGGTACTCACACATGCACATGGGCGCGACCCACATACGGTTCTGGAAGGTCACGCCGCGGATAGTGAGGGGCTTGAACAGCTCGGGCGGGTTGGCGTTTTGAGGGAACGCGGCAGAAGGCATGAGGCCGCCGATGGGGCCCATCTGCGCGGGCAGGTAGGAACCCGGGTAGCCGGCGTCCGGGTTGGGAATGCTGGTGAGCGCGGCGGGGTTGGTGCGCTTGGGGGTGGTGTTGTCGACGGTCATCTGGAGTGTGGGTGGTCAGCTCGGCTTCTTGGGGAATGTTCCGAGGTGGAGGCCAGACGACAGAGGACTCACTTTGATGCTATGTGAGAGATGGTGTTGGTACAGTGAATTTATCTGTGAAAGAGACGGCTACTGGAAACAGTCGCTCTCCTTCTTATACCACAACAAACAGACCGACGGTCCCTCAAAACTCTTGAGAATATTATTCATGACGGAATGAGACCCTTGATACAGCGCGAGAACCGTCCACGCCTGTCCGTCCCCTGCCGGATGCGAGTAAGCGGGGTCCCCAACAACTTTGCAGTACTTGTTTGAGCAGCGTGACGTGGGCTACAGCTCACTACCTCCACAGGCTTACAAAGTAAGAGTGGTCTGGTAACAGGGAGCATGTGCAGGTCAGGTCAGGTGAGACGTGAGGGCCCAGAGGTGGAAATGGGAGGGGGACGGATCTTTTTCGTTCCCTATTTCCCTCCTTTTTTTTCCGTCCCACACCCCCTCGCATTCCGCGTCTTATAAAACCTGGGTGAAAAATTCTAATTGATTTGGTATAGAGCGTTACTTGCCGTGTCCGCGACGCGGACACGGAAGCGGTCGACACGGCCTCGGACGTGGCCGTTGGACGGCGAGTGACGGCCGCCGTAACCTGCGCCCTGCCTGCGCCTGGGCGGTACAGCACCGGCGGTAAGCAGACACGTGAGGGCTGCTGGGACATTGGGTCCTGAGTTTGGGGTAGCTGGAACGATCTTTTGCTTGGTAATCTGCTGCGAGGTCAGTGAAGGCGGGGTAAGACATGCCTTGTTGTGATTTCGGTGAATTGAATTTTAGTGTTGTCGTCAGCGACCGGCACGATACAAGTTGAGGCAGTGGACATGTGACCAGGCGTGTGGCTTTCCAGTGAAAGAACGTAGGTGGTGAGGGTTGCTACACGCTTCAATTCTGCAGTAGTACCCCGTTGTCGAGCGTTCTACAGTAACGTGGACGACGCTGTGCAAGTGGCCATTGACGAGCTAGTAAACGAGCCCCTGGACACCCCTAATGACGCGGACAAAGTGGAGGCAGGAAAGTGGTTTGTGTCCCAAGACTGGTGGAGGGCAAGTGATGGCCGTGTCTGACCAAGAACCAGGCGCGAATGAGTGGAGGCGGACCATCAGATCGGGTGGAGGCTGACCAGCAGATCGGTTGTCAGCGTCAGGCGGGCATGGACAACCGCAGTTTCGGCCGCTTGTTGGAACCACCTGCTCTTCGGGTTGGTTTCGGGTCTTGGGAGCTTGGCACAAGACTTCATGTTTGTCCGTGGAAGCTTCTCGGGATGATCAAGTAGGGTGTGCCATAAACGAGTTGCGACACTGCGCAACACGTGAGAGGGGACAGCTCGTTAGTGCATAGCATGCCGCTGGTATCGTTTGTCAATTGTTTATATTCTAGTTGTGGGCAGAAGAGTAACAGGTCTATTGAATCGCCCCTTTGCCGCGGGTGGCCCGTTTCGTCCGCTAAATAACAAACTGGAGCGAGGTGTCGATTTCTGATTTCGTGTTAGCTTACACACTCCCTGCCACACCAGAATGGCCAAAATCTCACCGTGACAAGCCGACAGCTGTGGCTTCTGTGAATATCCGCCCTTCACCATCGCGTCACGGAGCGCGACCAGGAACTGCTGGTAGCTCGCGCGCGGATTGCTCTGCACTGCGCGGACGAACGCGTATGACATTGCGCCCGTGGCCTGGCCCTCGGCCTTGGTGTCTGCGCTCGTCTGGTCATCCTTGCATCCGCCCCACGCAATCACGTCCGCCGGCGCCGTCTTGGTGGCGCGCGCGTTGGCGACGCCCGTGTGCGTGCGGTAGGCCGTCGACCCGGCCTGGAAGAGCGTGTATAGCGCACCCATGTCGTTGCCAGACAGCGCGGCCATGCCGGCGTTCATGAGGTCCGGGGCAGCGTTTGCGATAAGGTTGGGCGACTTGACAGTACCCTTTGTCGAGTATGCCCATGGCAGGTCAATCGCACTTCCAGAGTGGCACGAGTCAAAGACCGCCGTAAGACGGCAGCCGGCTGGGAGTGGCTTGACGAGAATGTTGTGCACTGCGAGGTCAATACGGCAAACGCATGTCACCTACTGTCATCGTCGACGATCAGGCCAGCAGTCTGAAAGTCGACGGGGCAGATTGCCTCGGCGTGGCCGGCATAGTCGTCCTCGTTAACAGCATTGGTCAGAGTACCGTGTCCCGAGCTGTGTATGGGTTAGTCTTGGGATGGACCCAATGGGAAGCAGAAGGCACCCACTAGTGCAGGAAGAGGGAGTCATCACGTCGGGCACCGTTGGTGAGCCATTGCATCGCACGCAAGATGTTGGCGCGAGTAGGCATGCTGCGTGCGTCCTTGGTGTCGTCGGTCAGGAGAACCATGTCGTCTGTCGCGTATCCAAAGGTGTCTGTCGTCGCCGTCAGTGGACCTGAACATGTCTACAGCAAAGAGGTGCAGACTTGCTAGTAAGCATGTTTTTGATATTCTGCACGTCGTTGACGCAGCCGCCCAGCTGGTTGCTCGAGCCATAGTAATTGATGCCAATCTTTTACATCAGCACTTGGCCACTTGGCGCCTTTGCCACGGTGCTGAAACTCACCAGCAGTGCCTTCTTGGTACCGGTGCCTAGATAATATGAGCCTGCGTCCGACCGTTCAGTTCGTTCTTAAGCCACTCACACCTGGAGTAACGGAAGTACTGCTGGTTGGGGTCCGAAGTACTGCTCTGGGGAGGTGCGCCGGGAGGTGGAGTGTATCCGCCCGTAGGACGGCCCGCAGGTGCGGTGTAGCTACCCGTAGGAGGTGGGCCAGACGGTGCGGTGTAGCCTCCCGTAGGAGTCGCAGCAGGACGGCCAGCAGGTGGGGTGTAGCTGCCCGCAGGAGGTGGGCCAGACGGTGCGGTGTAGCCTCCAGCAGGAGCCGCAGGCGGTGGGCCAGCAGGTGGGGTGTAACCGCCCGTCGAAGAGTGACCTGGAGGAGCTGTTGCCGGCGGCGCATACTGCTGCGTCTGCTGGGTGGGACGCTGATAGCTCTGTGCTGGCTGGTAATTTTGATACTGCTGAGGCTGCACATATTGCTGATAGGCTTGCTGCGGGTACGAGCTCGAGGACTGCGCGGCTTGGGTGGCTTGGGTGGCTTGAGTGGACGACTGCTGGCTGGTCTGCTGCTGTTGCCCGCCGTGCTGCATCTGCTCGTAGACCTTGTACAGTTGTGTAGCTTCGCTGAGGAGAGACGACATTGGTGAGGAGTGCGATTAAGGATGTGGAAAGTTTGAGGGATGGAGAAGAAGCAACATGGGAGGGCCGCGGAAAATGCTATACTAAAATGCGCAGACGATCGACGAAATGGTTCAGCCGAGAGGCCGAGAGACCGAGAGAAACCCTTTATGCACAAACGACGTCAACAAACGAACCTCGCTATTTTTAGCAAATGCAGAGTAAGGTCTATTAGCAGCAATCCCAAATTCACATTAGGACATTTTAGGACTGAACTTCTAATCTGGGTATAGACGTTCCTTGCCCAGTGCCGTAATGGCCGCAAGGTATGTGATCGGCAGACAGCCTTGCGTATTGCGTGGCCTCTGGCCTCTGGCTTGGCCCATGCAGGACGAGCACACGCGGTGACACCTCCCAAAGCACACATTAGTCGACGCGTCCGAACGTGTACGAGGTGAACTCTGTCCCATGTCAAACCCCAGACGCGCCTCTCCTGACGCGCACAGAGGGGCGGACAGACAACACCCCAGCTCGCGGCCGTGAGGAGTTATAGCGACGACATGGCTCTGACACGGCGAGACGCAGGCCCATAGATCTCACGGGTATGTAGGTTGCTGACGTCGCTGAAACTGTATGTATATGAGAAAGGAAACACACATCCTTGAGGACAGAAGACAGACAGAGTGTACGGGCTTCGAAACAGGCCTCGCGATAAGGAGCGATGGGGTGGGGGTTGACACACAATCTTATCGGCGAATGGCGCTGCCCACTGGGACATGCCATGACGACGCCTCACACCCGGCACGGAGTGGTCACTGGTTTTGCCAGCGGTCTCCGGTTGGTTCATGGGAACAAGCACGTATGGTGCGATGCTTGTGAGTGGCAACCAGCACGCTATGCCGGGTGGCCACCACCACCACCACATGCGGTCCATTGAGCGCGATGGGCCCGGAAGGTGGCCCAGCTTGCGCCATCGCGGCGCCGGGAAGCGCGACAGTGGCGTCAGTCTGGTCCCGTTTAGTGAGATGCGCTACATGCCCCCACTCTCGGGCCAGATGGGCCCCGTTCGTTCCGGTCCCCCCCCCCCCCCCCTCGACCCTCTCGCAAGCGCGCCGTGGACGCTGCGCGCCGGAACTTGCGTGCTGACGGGAGACCGTTGTGTACGGAGTGTGCCAAGGAAAGGGGGGTGTGATCTGGCCATCTAAGCAGAGTGGCAACAGGGGGTGTGGGTCTTGCGTTCATGAGCTGCGAGCCAAGTCCATGGATCTGATGTGTGCGGCGCGTTCCGAACACATTGGGCCGGACATGCCGGACAGCGACAGCGTTGAGAGCCGCTTACTGGCTGATGATAGCAGCGGTCCGGATGGGGATCGGGGGTGGGGGCAGTAGAAGGGGGATGTCGGCCGATAAGAAGAGTCACCGCAACGACAGAGAGAACGCGGCCTCTTTTTCGGGCCCCACGCACACGCACGCTTATCGTTGGCTGGGGGGTGTGAGTGTTCGAGTCGGCGTGGGCAATGACAATAAAGGGTTTGGAGTGGCATGACGGGAGTAATGTGCGTGTCCTAATGGGGGAAGAAATGGGGGGTTATGAAATTGAAATTGAAAATGGGACAGAGAAATGACGTCGGCAGGGGCGGGGGGCCCGTGGCGTGACGGCGAGATTGGACGATGGCTGGAGGGATCGGGCGGTGCCGACGAACGACACACTCACTCGGCGCGTGCGGGGGCTATCTCTCCCCCCGTCGTGGTTGCTCTGTTGCTTCCTCCCCCCCCCATCCCCCCTTTATAACCAGTCCATCCCCCCCTTCATCTTCTTCCAGTTGTACACTATCTAGCTCTCACAGCTAGTTACACATCACACGCACATACACCACACATCACACCCTTGACACCATGCGCTCGGTAGCGCTCATCGCTCTCCTCCCGGCTCTGGCCTCGCTCGCCACCGCCGCCCCACACGACCACTCGGCTCGCCACGCAAGCGCATCACGCGACTCGCGCAAGTCGCTCGCGTTCGGTCCCAACCACGCCCACCAGCACTTTGAGGCCAACCCCGACTACCAGCACCACGCCCTCAAGTCCAGGTCCATCCACGAGCTCAACCCTCGCGAGATCGCCACAGACTTCATCGCCGCCCAGATCAACGCCGTCGAAGGCGAGGGCTTTTACATCCGCCCAGACGTGAGTTTGCCACCCATCCCCCCTTATCCCCTCCTATCCCCCCCCCCCCCCCCCCCCCCCCCCCGCTCCACCCCACCTGCTAGCACCACCCTTCACCCAAACCTAAGACGCGTCCACCGCGTCTCGTCACATGACCCCATATCTCGCGTTATCTGTGTCCTATACTGACCACGTCCGTAGACCTACACGGACCCCAGCACCCGCGTAACCCACGTCTACGCTCGCCAGCTTATCAACGGTCTCGAGGTCTCGGACGGTGACATCAACGTCAACGTCGACCGCTCCGGCCGCATCCTGTCGTGGGGCAACTCGTTCGCTCCCGCCAGCGCTACCAGCCTCCGTCCCGACGCCACGGCCCACCGTCGCCGCGCCTGTGCCGCCGTTGAGAAGGCCCTCGACGCTCACCGCGACGCTCTCGCCGCTGCAAGCCCTTACGAGGGTGCCTGGGGCATCGTCAAGGCTGCCGCCAAGGAATGGTTCCCCATCCTGGCCGAGGAGGAGTCTGGCGAGGACGCTGAGCTTATCCGTCGCAACATTCGCAAGGTCCAGGACCACTTTGAGGCCATTTGCGTTACCCCGCCTCCCAAGAGCGAGGGCCTCACCTCCACCGAGGCGCTTGCCCTCCTCCTTGCCCGCATCTCGCCCGAGCTCACTGCTATCAACCCCGACGACATTTCGTCGACCGTCAAGCACGACTTCAAGCCCAAGGCTGCTCCGGCTGAGCCCCCTACCGAGATTCTCTCGGGTGCCGCCCTCAAGGCCGCCGATGTCGTTTCCGACGTTCCCGTCCGCCTCATGATGACCCAGACCGGTGCCGAGCCCCGTGTCGTCTACAAGTTTGAGGTTGAGATGAAGGACAACTGGTACGAGGCCTACGTCGACGCCATCAGCGGTGACATTATCCGTATCGTCGACTGGGCTGCCGACTTCTCCGACCACGAGCACGAGCTCAAGGGCGGCAAGCAGAAGCCCATCCCCGTCCCCTCGGCCAAGGCCGAGTACTACGTCTTCCCTTGGGGTGTCAACGACCCCACCACTGGCAAGCCCTCGCTCGAGTCTGGTTATGACAGCGTCGCTTCGCCTCTTGGCTGGCACACGTTCCCCACTGTGGCCAACCCTTGGCCCTCGACCAAGTTCCCTGGTTCGACCAAGTCCAAGGACGAGACCACTGTGGCGTCGACCGTCGGCAACAACGTCGTCGCCCACGAGGACTGGGAGGGCCGCAACGCGTTCCTTGAGAACTACCGCCCCGTCAACGAGTCGCTGAGCTTCGTCTACGAGTACGGCGAGCCCGACGGCCTTGCACCCAAGGAGTACATCGACTTTGTCGTCACCCAGCTCTTCTACACCTGCAACCAGTACCACGACCTCCTTTACCGTCTCGGTTTCGACGAGGTGTCGGGCAACTTCCAGATGCACAACTTTGACAAGGGCGGTCGCGGCAGCGACCCCGTCATTGCCAACGCACAGGACGGCTCGGGCTACAACAATGCAAACTTCATGACCCCTCCTGACGGACAGGCGCCCCGCATGCGCATGTACGTCTGGGACACTGCCACTCCTTACCGTGACGGTGACCTCGAGGCCGGTATTGTCATCCACGAGTACTCGCACGGTCTCTCGACCCGTCTCACCGGTGGTCCCGCCAACTCGGGCTGTCTCGGCTGGGGTGAGGCCGGTGGCATGGGTGAGGGCTGGGGTGACGCCATCGCCACCCTCATCCGCCAGGTCGTCGAGCACAAGCAGTTTGAGAACGGCACCGACACCTTCCCCATGGGTTCGTGGGCTGCCAACCAGGAGACTGGTATCCGCAACTATGTCTACTCGACCAACTCGACAGTCAACCCCTCGACATACAAGACCCTCGACCGCCCTGGCTACTGGGGTGTCCACGCCATTGGCGAGGTCTGGGCCGAGTTCCTCTTTGTCCTCAACCAGCGTCTGATTGAGAAGTACGGCTTCTCCAAGACCCTTTTCCCTCCCGAGGACACTTCGGTCCCCAACGACTACTACACCAAGACCTCGACCGAGTCGGTCGACGAGTTTGGTGTCCCCGCCCCGCTTGTCCCCAAGCACGGTAACACCCTCGTCCTCCAGCTCATCATCTCGGCCATGAAGCTCCAGCCTTGCCGCCCCAGCTTCTTCAACGCCCGTGACGCCATCATCCAGGCCGACGAGATCCTCACCGGTGGTGACAACCACTGCATCATCTGGGACGCCTTTGCCGAGCGCGGCCTCGGCGCCGACGCCCGCATCGACGGCCAGACCCCTTGGGGCGGTGGTGTCCGCGCCGACGGCTTCAAGGTCCCCTCCAAGTGCAAGTAAGCAACACGCGCACACACGGAATCACGAGCGGCCCTGCCCAGCAGCGGCGCTCCTCATCGCATCTTAGATCTCCTCTTAGATCGCCAAGTCAACGTCATACAAGTGCTCCCTTTCTCCCAAGTGTAGTGTCTTGAATCCAACCCAGTGTGCTCCCTCAGAATATTGAATCGAATCTCAACAACAGTGTACGATGATTGTAGCTGTCGTCTCTTGCGCGCCTAGAGCGGGTAGAGTGTACAGGGCGTGTAGTAGGATTGGAATGCATCGAGTATAGCAAGCGGACCGCGTGCTGCGAGCGAGCAGACAAGGCACTTCGGCGCCGTAGCGTTGGGTCACACTGACGGACAACACCGATAGCGTCCTGTCCACACCCCCAGACCTTCAACACGCTGCCCTCGTCAGCCCAGCTGACGCATGCTCTTGGCCCAGCCCCAATTCCCAGCAACACCACCCAAGACCGCAGGCCAGAAGCAGAGCCAAGAGCAAAGGAGCAAAGGCGTAACATCGGACCGGCACAGGGACCCACCCTCCGGCACCGAACCGGCCCGGTGGCAGTGACGGACCGTCTTTCCGCCGGCGCCGAGCTTCCGATGTCCACTCCACCTGCTCTGTATATACAATCCCGCGTGAGACGTCGTGTCCTGTGACCTCACACCTCCCTCACACCCTCACGCGCCCACTTGACGTACTGGGATTGACACGCAAGCAGCAACAATGACTACTGGAACGACCAAGGTTGGCGGCAGGGTGGGAATTGTCGGTACGGGCCACCGCGCTAGGGTGAGTACAACCGAGTGTGACCAGCGTGTCTCTTCTGCGCAGTGTTGAGGAGGGTGGTTTGGGGGGAGAGGTTGTAGCGTGAGCCAGCTGTGTCTCAAGGGATTCAGCTGGGTGTGCTACACCCTCGAGTTGGTAGAGGGGTCCACCTCGACGTCGTCGTTGATCGGGGCGGACACCAACCTCAAGGCCAATGTCTGTCACTTCCCCCGACTCGTTCTCGTTCTCGTTGCCTTGCGTCCGATACTGTTGCTGACTTCCACTCCAGCTCTACACCACCGCCGTCTCGGAGCGCAAGGACACGTCCCAGATCGTCGCCCTGTGCGACCTCAACACGGAGCGCATGGCCGTGCACAACCGCATGCTCAAGGACCTCGGCATGCCCGAGGCCAAGACGTACCTTGCCGTGAGTGGACCAAAGGCCCGAGAATGTCGACGCCGCGGGCAGCTGCAAAGCGTGTGTCCTTACAGCTGTGCGCGATCATGATAATTCTGGCGCCTCTGACATACGGGGCATGACAGATAGCTAAGCAGAATGGGCAGCAGCTGACACACTCCCAGGCCGACTTTGCCAAGATGCTCGCCGAGGAGAAGCTCGACGTCCTCGTCGTCACGACCGTGGACGCTACACACGACCTGTACATTGTCCCCGCGGTCGAGGCTGGTATCCGCGTTCTCACTGAGAAGCCCATGACCACGTGAGTAGCGAGTGACGATGAGGTTTGCGACGCATTTGGCAGTTACCTCACGTATCCCACCCTCTCCGCGGCCGAGCTTGCCACATCTTGTGCTTTGAGCTCATGCTGACATTCCAGCGACGTTGCCAAGTGCCAGCGTATCCTCAACGCCGTCAAGGAGACCAACGGAAGCGTGCAGGGTGAGTTGAAGACATATAGCTGCCTTGGCCGTCCACTGCTAGCCCACTGACACACACCAGTCCTCTTCAACTACCGCTACAACCCTGTCCACTGGAAGGTCGAGGAGGTGATTGCCTCGGGCAAGATTGGAAACGTCAAGAGCGTCCACTTTGAGTGGCTCCTCGACACTGTCCACGGCGCCGACTACTTCCGCCGCTGGCACCGTTACAAGGACCGTTCGGGCGGTCTCATGGTCCACAAGTCGAGCCACCACGTAGGTTTCAGCTCGTTGAGTACAAGCGCTAACCTACTCCAGTTTGACCTCGTCAACTTCTGGATCAACGCCAAGCCCAAGGAGGTGTTTGGTATGGGCCAGCTGGCGTTCTACGGTGACAAGAACGGCAAAAAGTCGGGCTGGGCGCGCGACTACTACCGTGCTCGCGGCTCAGAGGCGGCCTCGACCGACCCCTTCGCCATCCACCTCGAGGACGAGCCCTCCCTCAAGGCGCTGTACGCCGACGCTGAGGAGCTTGACGGCTACCACCGCGACATGAACGTGTTCGCCGACGACATTACCATCGAGGACGACATGTCCGTGCTGGTCCGCTACAACACTGGCGCGACCATGACGTACCACCTGACGGCCTACTCGCCCTGGGAGGGCTACCGCGTCATGTTCAACGGCGACCAGGGCCGCCTCGAGCTCGAGGTGGTCGAGAGCTCGAAGCGTACCCCCGTCCCCAAGGGCGGTGCCGCCGACGGCATCACCCACGGCGAAAAGGAGCTGCCCAACTCGGGCAACACGCACATTACCGTGCAGTCGCTGTGGGGCGATAGGGAGAACATCCCCTTCGAGACCGGTGTGGGCGGCCACGGCGGTGGCGACGAGGCAATGCTCGACCAGATCTTTGGTCCCCGTCCGGGACATGAGGCGTCCAAGACTGCTGTGGAGAGGCTGAGCGCCAACGAGATTGACGGCGCGCTCGCCATGGCCGTGGGCCTTGCGGCCAACGAGAGCTTCAAGACGGGCAACCTCGTCAAGATTGACGAGCTGCTGGGTGTGACTCTATAGTTGTATTGAGGGAGAAGGATACATATGCAAAAACTAGATTGTTGGGTTTTACAATAGGGAGCAGCAGCCCGTTGTGGCCGTTGCAAAAACAGTGATAAATGCCGGCTAATTGTTCTTATCCACTCACCAGCCAAGGCTGACCTCTGATTGATCTCTGTGATCTCTGAAGACAATGAGCAAAGTGAGATCAAGATGACGCCAGTGTGTCTGTATTGTCCGTCTTTGTTTACGTTTGTTGATCCCACACGAGGCACACTGCGCCCAGTGCGTGGATGCCAGCCGGCACCCTCCACACGACGATCACTCCCTGCCTTCCCCCGTCGGCAGTCGGGTTAGTCAACTCTTGCCACCCGCCTCCCCTCCTTCCTGTTTTATGCTTTACACACTCATCCACCGCATTCACCCACACCCCCTTCTCCAATTCTCCAACCATGTCTCGTGCTCGCATCAAACCTCGTATCAAAGACCCTGGCGTCCCCATCAACACTGACGGCATGACCGACCGCACGGTCGACGCATACGGCCACCCGCGCGAGGGCGAGAGCAGTAAACATCCCTTGGCGCGCGCCGACGCGGCCAGGCGCGACAACGCCGACAACGCCGCCAACGAGTCACCACCCCCGTCGCCTCAGCCGCAGGTACCCAGGAAGCGTCCGCAGATCGTCACCACGGCCCAGGTGCTCGAGTCGGCCAGGACGGGACGGCCGCTTCTTGGCCCCCAAGCGGGTCGTGGTGTGCCGGCCAAGAGCAAGGTCAGCAAGGTTAGCAAGCCCAGCACGGTCACCAAGGCCGGAACGGTCAGCAAGCCCAGCACGGCCAGCAAGGTCAAGGCAAAGGACAAGGGAAAGGGAAAGGGAAAGGCGGTGGTCAGGACACCCGCTGGCAAGGAGAACGAGCCTCCTCAGACACAAGCTCAGACTCAGGCCAAGCCCAAGCCAAAGGTCAAGTCCAAGACCAAGACCAAACCCAAGCAGGAGCCCGAGCCAGTGGCCAAACAGGAGCCCGAGCAGGAGCCAACGGCAGAGCAGCTTCAGCCCCAGCCCGAGGTCGCACCCACCAAGGCGCAGATCGAGGACATCGAGAGCGAGATGGTAAGGGACTCCTTCCTACCTCGAGACTGACCTCGCAGCTTACCCAGCGCCTGGAGTACCTGAAGCGCACAGCGCTCATGGCGGAGCAGCTCATCGGCATGGCACAGAGCCTCATGGCTCCCGACGAGGTGGGTTAGCATAAGGAAGAGTTCGTGAGGCTAACCGCGCAGACTCGCGGTGTTGTCGGCCACATCCACGAGGCGCTGGAGCGCAAGCCCGACGTGAGTACAGCTTTGAAGTGTGGCCCGCTAGCTGTCTCCGGTGCTGACAGGTACAGACATGGCCGACGATCCTCACCATGGTCAAGCTGCAGATCAAGGATGACAAGGTGAGCTGGAGGGACTATTGGCGCTCCGCCAAGGCTCATATCTCTCGTGGTAGACGTTTGGCCATTTCATCACTGGTGTCCTCAATACGGATGTCCAGGTCAGTTGGACGCGGTATGGAGCAACTGGGCACCTAGCTGATGCTTCTCACAGGCCATCAGCGTGGCTGTCATCTTTACGGTCCTCTGGTTCCTCGAGACCCACATGGGCATGGAGCCCGCGGACATTCACGGCGTGCTCGAGTACATGCGCATGGGATACCAAGTGAGTGTAGCGTGCCTCTCCAGCTGGAAGTCGAGTACCAAACGCAGCCGGACTGACCTCGCAGGACGACAAGGACTACACGCACCTCGCGGACATGGGCGGTGCCGAGCTCGTCGACCGCGCTTTTGTCCAGGCTCGCCGCCGTACCAAGTCAATGACGGAGGCGGAAGTCGCCAACAACAGCAAGAAGGGGGAGGACCAGTCGCAGGTCGACTTGGTCTCGAGTGATGTGGACTAAGGGAGGAAGAAGGACATGGACGACGCCAACGGCGTGTAAAAGGGCACTTGCAGCTTGTCAACTGGGAGGGAGTGTGTATGAGGAGCGAACGCAGACGACATGGGGTGCTGTCTTGGTATGGAGACGCGCGTGTACATAGAGAGCATGTATTCTGACGACGATTCAAATGTTGTCACGGCCATCAGACGCATGTCGCGACGACCGCGACACCGTCGTTGCTGATGGTGTTCAGGCTTTTGAGAAGCAGCACTCAGGAGGCACGGATCGTGTGCCTCTCTTTAACCGCTGATGGTGTGGTGATGGCAAGTGTCTGATGTGTGTCTGCGTGTGTGCATCTATAACGTCTATAACCCCGGTGTCCCGGTAGCTATAACTTCACTTCCTCCCCACTCTCATCACATCCCATCTCTCCCTTCCACCTTCTCTCCGTATCAACCTCAATTCCCACTTCACCTCCCAAACAGAGCAACTGTGAGTAAGTGGGAGCCTCGTCGGGGTATACGGCCCACCCCCGGTGCCTTGCTTCGCTGGGATCACTGGGCCTGAGGCATGAAGCAGTGGCGAATGTTGCACGGCAGTGGCAAATGTTGACTGATGCCCAGACCATGTCAAACCATCGCCTTCCCCCCGTGGCCGAGCACACCGAGGCTGTCACCGATGACGACGACTCGGACTGGGAGGACGAGGCCGAGTCCACCGAAGCGGCCCGCACCGAGTCCGAGGTGTCTGACGACATGGACGAGGATGAGGACTCTGACACCGACACCGACACCGACACCGACGCCGACGCCGCTGACCACGCTCACCCCCCGCCGGCCTACGAGCACCACGACGAAGGCGCTTCCCCCGAGCACAACCCCGAGACCTGCCTCAAGCGCTTCCTCCACCTCAAGGACGAGGGCTTCGTCGCCCGCGAAGGCTTTTTCGCGTGGAGGGGCAAGACCGTCTTCGGCAAGCTTCGCGACGGCGTAATTGAGGTGTACCGCCAGCCGTTGGCCGAGCTCGTTACCACGGGCCACAAGGACATTGATGTGAGTGTGCACATGTATGGGACTGGGACTGGAGAGCCGGTGCTGATACCATGCCTTTCCTGCGCCCCACCCATCACGCTATCAACGTTTTGCTAACCAATAACCGCCACCTTGTCTCTGCCTCACTTGCCATCAGACGATCGGTATCAACCTTTTCGCGTTCGACAGGTCCAACGATCAGGACGTCCAGTCCGGGCTTGCTTGGAAGGCCATGAGCAGCATTAAAAACACTGGAAACACCGACCGCCTCGCAATCATTGATGGTCCCGCCGACGGGCCCGAGTGGAACAAGAATGACCCGCGCTGTGTCAGTGCCAAGAGCCAGGGTCTCATTCATGCTTCAGGCCTGGTCATCCCCATGCCGTGCCTCGCCTTCGCCGAGGTGTACGACGGCAAAACTGTCATCGTCAGCGCGTGAGTGGGAGGTAGAAGTGGGTGGAAGTTGGAGTTGCCACTACTTCGTGTTCATTTTGCGGCTGACTGGCTCTTTTCCAGGTGCCTCTACTGCCAGGTCAGTGGCAAGATGTGCGATTTCGTCGTGGGCAAGTACCAGGTCCCCACGAAAGAGAAGGTCGCCCTCGTCAACCGCGCCGAGCTCGTCGCCCGCATCAAGGAGAGTGCAGACCGCACGGCCGCGTTCGCCAACCAGTCCGTCATCGACTGCTGCCACCGCAGGGCCATGGACGAGGTCGCCATGCACCTCAAGTGGGTTGCCCAGGTGAGTGTCTCCTGCGTTGGAGGGATGAAACGACGGAGCAAACGTGTCAGCTGTCTGAAATACCTTGTGGCGGTGGGGCTGTCGTGGTCAGATTTGAGGTTGGAGGGCCGTGCTGACGCCATCATCAGCAGCTCGAGGCCGCCCACGCCCACAGCGAGGCTCAGTCGTAGTCACAGTCACAGTCGCAGTCGCAGTCGGCGGCGGTGGCGATACCGGCGCCACTTGCGTCCGGGACCCATTCGCAGCTCGCTTGGCGGTCAATGGGTGGCGGGGCACAAAGCGAAGCGAACAGGTGTGGGGCGTTATCCGCCACCGACAGTCAGTGTCTGTAGTTGTACATTTCCGCTCCGATAGTGAATGTTCGTATCTATGAAATCTGTCGCCAGTAATATAGTCTCAAAGCGGTACTGTCACCTTTATGGCCGCTGGGCTGCGGCAGTGCCTTTGCTCCCCGGTGAACATGTCTCGATAACCGAAAGCGAGTTGGCGTGAGATTTTGAATAACGTACCCCCTGTCTCCCAGCTGCCGACGGTTCCTCCAAGATAGACCACAGTGGTACAGTGGTACAGTGTACAGTGAGTGACTAACATTGCGATACCCATTAACATGCTACACTCGCCTTCCAACACCTGACCCTCCGTTTCTTTCCCGCACTGTACATTTCACCCTGTCGTCTGCATCCTTCCAGTATATCCTCACTATGCAACAGCCCTTCGTCCTGGTCCATTATCCACGCCACGACCGGTTACATACCACGTTGTGACCGGCGCTCATGCCCATTGACAGACATTGCCTGGCTCCCTGACACCAAAGCCGGGCCGATCCTCCGGGGAGCTGGCTGCTCTCTACAGCGGCACAGACGGCGAGGGATGGGCCCACGGAGCCGTCAGCATTGTGGAGTTTGCCCCGTCTGTCGGCCGTGTCTTTCCTGGACGATGATCCTGTAAATCGGTCTCTCTCCCTGCGTCTCTTTCCTGACAGGCCGTGGCACCGCTCCCACGCAGCAGTTTGGGTCTCTGGATGTCGCTGAAACCGAGGAGCCACGCAGTCACGACAGGGCTTATCTCGACATCCCTGTGTTCTCTCCCCCTCCGGGCAGACGACAAAGTGGACTGGAGGCTGCTGCATACGCCGACGCCACTGGGTTTGAACGGACTTTGGAAGAATTCTCGCTGGCTGAGCAATGGACGCTTAATTGCCACCCGTGCGATTTGCTTGTCACTTTTGCGTCATTCCAATTTCCCGGGGGCTGCCCAAGTTTGATTTTGGTTTTAGCGTTTGTCATAATCTTCCGCACTCAACAACAACGTTTCGCTTCCCCATCCCCACTATCTCTGCTGGGACGTGGTTTCGCCTGCGCATCCTCTTCAGCAACACTTTCTCCCTCTCAGAAAACACCAGGTCTCTATTCTCCCACCCCACGCCCCCTCGACAACGTCGACACGCTTGAGCCGCGCACCCCACCCGCTGCCCCTCGGCCCCTGTCTCGCGCCCAGACCCACATCCCCAGACCCATCACAGCTTCGTTTCTCGAACGCCAGCAACGACCCACCTCCATCCATCCCCCCTCCCCCCTCCTCTCCCCCACCAATTGCACTGCACTGCGCTCGCGCCGACCACCTCGCTCAACGTTCGTGTAACGAGGGGAAAGTTTCGAAAACCGACAGCGGCCAGCCGTGTGTGTGTGTGTGTTTAACATTGTACACGCCACCTCCTCCCAGGCGAGAAGCACCAACGCCTCTCTTTCCCCAGACTCTCCAAACTCTGTTTTAGGCCTTCAGCTCGTCTGCACTAGCTAGCTCCAGCGCCAGCTCATCTGTAGGATCTACGAATTGAGGAACGACAGCGGCGGACTGTTCGAGTAAACGATCAAGGAACTGTAGACCGAGATCTCAACCGCAACGTACGCTCCGGCCATCGCATTCGTGTCAGACCTCTCCCCACCCAACGTCAAAAGCAAACACTCCAGCCATGGACGATCTTTTAGCCCCCTCGGCTTCCGCGCCAGCGTCCAACATGCCCTCGCGCGTCCGCGGCCCGCGCAAGACGACCGACAACAAGGTCAACAGGGTCACGTTCAGCTGTGCCGAGTGTCGCCGGTGAGTGTGGTAGGATGGGACTGGTTGGGGGGGTTCCCTTTGCTGACGCTCCCGCCAGCCTCAAGCTCAAGTGCTCGCGCCAGCCGTGGCCGTGTACCAAGTGTGTTGAGCGCGGATGCTCGACCATCTGCCCCGAGCGCGAGCTGCGTGGTCATCAGAACAAGTGAGCAGAGACATCATGACTAAGCCTGGCTTTTGTTTTTGGTTGCTAACGTCCAGGCTGGTGATCAAGGGCACGGAGGAGCTGCATTCGCGTATTGTCGAGCTCGAGCTCGCGCTCAAGGCCGCGCACGCCAAGACGAGCAAGGACGAGCACCACCTCCTGCGCGACACGACGGCAGTCAAGACACCGAGCGCCGACGGCGACGACCTGGGTGCGTTTGGCACGCTCACCATCGGCACCGAGGGCGAAGCGCGCTATGTCGGTCCCAACGCCGGCAGCCAGTACCTGCAGGACGACGACGACGACGGGAACATTGAGCGGAGCGCTACGCCGCCCGTGGAACGTGCTCGGGGCGGTGCGTACGCCGACACGGGTCTGGCGCTGCTCGACTCCATCTTCCCTGCGGGCTCGGCGTTCACTGTCGAGGAGCTGCAAAAGGACCTCCCGGACTGGGACGCCGAGGGCCGCGCGCTCATGACGAGCTACTGGGACAATGTCAACTGGATGTACCAGATCATCCCGCAGAGCATGTTTGAGGCGGACCACTTCCCCAACGCCTACAGCCTGTCGCACGAGGTGCGGCCGCACGCGCACAAGGTCGCATGTGTGTTTCTCATGATGGCCCTCGGCGCCATGTTCAACCTCCGTGGCCGGCCGTGGGACCCGCGTGCGCAGGAGCTGTTCCACCGCGGCCGCGCGTGTCTCGGCCTCATTGGCCTCGAGCACGCCAGCCCCGCGACGGTGCAGGCGCTGCACCTCATGGGCACGTTCATCCTCAACGACCGGATGGGCAACGGCGCCGACGTCTTCTGGCCCATCCTGGGCGTGGCGACGCGCGTGGCCCAGAGTCTCGGTCTGCACCGTGACGGAGCGTCGTTTGGACTCTCGCCGTACGAGATTGAGGAACGCCGGCAGGTCTACTGGGAGATCCTGACGTATGACCGCCTGCAGGCCATGTGCTTTGGCCGTCCCGGTGCCCTGATCAACCGGTCGTGCGACACAAAGCTGCCCTCGGACCCGCACTGGATCCCGGACGAGGACGGGTTCCACCGCGCCAAATACGAGCTCATGGAGATGATGGAGCGCGTGATTGACATCCAGACGACTCCGGGGCCCGTGCAGTATTCCGACGTTGTCGAGCTCGACAAGGCCGTGTGCGAGTGTAAGTGTTGTTGTTGTGGTGGTCGTGGTGGATTATGACAGGAACGGTGACTGACCCGGCACGCAGTCCGCAACAAGCTCCCTGAGACACTCATGCCCAACATTGCAATCCCCGATCTGCCACTGGACACGATGACGAGCCCGCACTTTGTGATCCACCGGTTCGGGATCCGCCTGCTGGTCGCGCAGACGCGTCTGCTGCTGAACCGCCACTGGGTGATGCGCGCGATCCAGATGAACCCCAACGACCCGGTCGTGCAACACGACGCGGACCAGCAGGCCATGTTTGGCGGTGCGTTCCTTGCGAGCTACGAGAGTGCGCAGGAGATTGTCCAGGTCGTCAAGCAGCTTGTGCTGTACCACCCTGCGCTCATTGCGCGCTGGTGGTTCTTCTGGTTCCACGCATTCTCGGCTGCTGTTGTCCTGTGAGTTGGAAGATGCTATCTCTGTCGGCCACGCTGACTCGTCGCAGGGCCGCTGTCGCCATCCATGCGCCCAAATCGGCGTTTGCGGGACCAGCGTTTACGGGTCTGTCGCACGTGTGCACCATCTGCGAGGCGGCCGGCAAGGGTTTCCGCGCAAAGTCGGGCTTGCCATTCATGAAGCGGCTCAAGCAGCGTGCGCAGGAGGCGCTGTCGAACGCGGGCGTCCGCGACCTCGAGGTGGAGATCATCTCGCACCTGAGCGCCGAGGCCAAGCTCGTGCGCGTGGGCCTGTCGCCTCCACGACCCAACAACGCGTCGCCCAAGACCGAGCTGTCGCCGGCCCCGCAGGCCCCCGGCAGTGGGGCCGACCGGTACGACGCGCCGCCGCCCATGGCTGGCTGGCAGATGCACCTCGACCCGACGCTTCCGGGCGCCCAGACGATGGACTATACCCAGAACTGGCTGGACGGCGTGCCGTGGCATCCCGAGCTGGACTATGGTGCCGGCGGGGGAGTGGCCGGTGGCCATGGTGGCCACGGACATGGGCATGTCGGTGGTGGAGGTGGAGGTGGTGGTGGCGGCGGCGCGGGGATGGACGAGCGGTTCGCGATGGACAATGACCTGAGCGTCGCGATGGGTCTGGAGGGCGGGCATGGCGATGGTGTCGACTTTCACCAGTTTGTGAGCAACTTTGGCGGCCCGGACCGTGGTGGCATGTATGGGAGGTAGGCGTAAAGTGGTGAGTGGTGGGTGGGTGGTGGGTGGGTGGTGGTGATAAGGTTGCGGTATGTTATGTTATTTATTTTTGTCTTTTTATATTTTTGTTTGTTGTTGCTTGCTGTGCTTGCTTGCTTTGTTTGTTGTTGTGGCTGTGGTTTAGTTTCGCCGTGGCCCATAAGGGCCCAAGGCCAAGGATCCAAGGACCCGTTAATGAACATTAGGAACATGACAACCCCCGCGCGCGCACGCAAAGAGTCCAGCCATGCCAGCCATGCCGAGACCACGAGAGACACTGCACGGGATGACGACGAAGAAGGAAAAAAAAGTGGAGGCAGCGAGCCAAGACACCACAGAGGGAGCGGGCGGGCGACGACGACGGTCTGGCACAAAGGGTCATGTACCCTGAATTTAGCGTGCAAGGTCCCTGGTATCAGGAACACACCCAAACCCCCCCCCCCCCATGCTCTCTCGGCCGGAGTGTCAGAGAAGGACGACGACGCAAGCCAAAAACCATGCACCCACACACCACCAGGCTGGCCACAGGCCACAGGGAGAGAGCGAGAATGAAAAAAGCCGACACAAGACACACCCAGAACGGCCAGAACGGCCAGAACGAGACGAGACGAGCGAGGAAACGTGGAGAGAGAAACTGAGAGACTGAGACGGAGATCGACAGAGACAGCCCACGCATGTATCGCTGGCTGCCTTGCTGCATGCATGCCCCCCACCTATTGACGACGGGTGCAGCATGAAACATTCCACAGTGGTACATATACATGTGCTGTATTAGCTTGCTGGCTGGCTGGCTGACTGGCAGCTGGCTGGCTGGATGCGGCTTTGTGGGTTCCAGCGGCCATGACGGGGTGTGTGTAAGGTTGTAGCGATTGTATATTGGCGCGCGCGTGCGTGCGGGCCGGACACAAAGGATCGTCCACACACACACGCCCGCGCACCCTCCACCGCCGCCCGCCCGCCCGCCCAGCCAGCCAGCCAGGCATGGGCCAGCCAGGGTGTCAGGCCAGAGGGCAGAGGGCCCACCCACACTCTGCTCTGTACCATTTGGGTGAATCGTCCCTCTCTTGCACCATCATCCACCCTCCCACCCACAGCCGGAGACCCACTCCTATTACTGCTGTTGCATTCCAACAACCACTACACTCACAACACTCCCACTGCAAACACATCCATCCTCCCCCCCCCCATCTCCACCACCACCACCCCATTCACAACAACAACAACACCACCACCAACACTCCCACACCCAAAACCAACCCCCAACCCCCGGTCGCCGCCCACACACCCTCTCAGATTTGAGAGTGAGCCCCGATCGCGTGCGGCGGGGATCATCAGTCCAGTCTCCCCAGTCTCCCAGTAAGTACATGTCGTGTTCCTCCCTTCTTCTGCCAGCCGTGTCCCCTTGTTCTGCTTCTCGTGCTCGTCGCTGTTGTAGTAGTCTCGTTATCCCACCCTCCCTCCCTCCCTCCCTCCACGCTGTTAGTGTGCGCAAGCCTCCGGGGCATGTTGTTCATTCTGGCCCCTCGTTCTTCTTTTCCTGGTCCTGTAACCCCCCGCCGCCGCCGCCCGCCCTTTCCGGCACTTGCCGCCCCCCGTCATCCCCCCCCCCCTCTCATCCATGCTGCATCAACTGTGCGTACTGTGCATTGTGTGCATGCGTTGGAGGGGGGTCTGCAGTGATGATGCACTCGGCATACAGCACGCTATTGCATAGCGTTGTTCCGAGAGGCCGACTTGTCCCATCCCATCCCCCATCCACACCCCCCTCTCCCATCCTCCCATCCCTTCTTCCCCTCCACTTCCCACACACGGCCGCCATCGGTTTGCTACACTTCTGTGTGTACGGCCTTGTCGGTGTGAGGACGCGTGTGGGTATGGGGGTATGTGCATCTGCGTGCGTGATACGCCTGGCCCCGCACCCGTGCTCTTGTTGGTGTTTCGGTGAGGATCTGGCATACGGGGGGGGGGGGGGCCAGATCAAATGGTGAGGTGGTGTCCGTCACCCTCCCCCTTCCCCCCCGCTACACCCATATCCCGGCCCCTCGTCTCCCGTGCATGGCGCACAACCAGCGCGCCCAGCGCGCGCGCGTAATGGGGGAGAGGGGGGGCCTGGCGAGAACTGGCACGCTGCCTAGCTGCAGCTGCCTGCACATGCCTGGGCCAAGGCCTGGCACGAGATCGGGCCTCTCGGCAAGCCTCCACCGGGGGGACCTTCTTTCCCCCACCGGCTGGCGCACGCACTTGGAGGTTTCACCGAACAAAGCGCCGCGGCGTGATGGGGTCTGGTCGGTGGGTGTTTCCACCAGGTGTCATGCTTCATTGTCCGTTGGGTGGACAATCGATAGAGCATGGACAGAGAGGGGGGGCTGTCCATGGCCTGTGCGCTGGGGTGATGGGTCCATCGCGCATCGCGCATCGCCATCTCTGGTTGATTGCATGGGGGTGGGGATGGAGAGGTGTGATTTTGCGTTGCGGGTGGGTAGGTGTGGTCGATGCCCTGAGATTCCCCCTTCCTTCCCTCCTTTCCCCCTTTTCCCCCCCTGGCTCACCGCGGTGGTGGTGAGACTACTTTTGATAGACGGCGCGCGGGGACTCCACACGCGCACACAAACGTACTGTGCATTTGATCCCGCCGGCCAGTCCACCCCCCCGGTTTACAGTTGGACCATATATTCTTTTGGCCGAGAACCGGCTGGGCCGGCTGGCGGGCAGGGTGTGAGAAAGCCTGGGTGTGGGCCCTTTGCGCTTTTGGGTGGTGGTCGGTTCATCGACGAGAACAGGTTCCAGTGTCGGTGTGTCTGTTGGGTGTGTGCCTGCTGCCGCGTCCTTCTCATCCTCCTTTCATATCTCTCTCTCCACAAACACTCCTCCTCCTCACCACCACCAACATCCACCACCCCTCCCCTCTCCACTCCCCCTCAACCATGGCACGACACTAATACCCTCCCCCAGTAACAACAACCTGCGTCCGCCGCCAAATAATGTCGACGGCCGCCGTTGAAGTCTATTCCTCCCCTAATCCACCCACCACCAGCACCTTGCCCCCGCCTCCAGCCGCCACAACAGAATCCATCCCCCTCTCCACCAAAACACGCTACACTCGCGCACACTCTACCACATCACACCCAGCATCCAGCGTATCCCCCACCCGCCCATCCACGGCCGCATCGGGTTCAGCGCCCATCCCTGCCCGTTCCCGCCGCAGCCAGACATCCAAGGAACCGTCGCCTGAAAAGATGTCATCCACCCCACCACCGGGCGACGCCGCCGCTGCCGCCCCCGACGACGCGGCTACCAATGCCCAAGCAACCGACATTGAGAGCGCGGTTGACAACCCCGCACCCGCCGCTGCTGCTGATGATGATGCCGCCGCCGCCGACGACGACGACTCCAAGATGGATGTCGAGATGCCAGCCAACAGCGGTGATATGGGTGACAACAACTACGACGACGACGACGAGCTCGAAGAGGGAGAGCTTCCAGACGACACACACAACTCTCTCGACGCCCCGAGCGCAAACCATCATGAGACTACCGCGATCGACGCAGAGGATCCGGCCAAGGCGCAAAAGATTGTGCTCGTGATTGGGCGCAAACGCAAAGCCGACGATGAGATGACTACCGTCAGCTCGGAGCTTCACACCCCGCCCTCACGCCGAACCCCCTCGGACCAGGCGGAGGCCGCCTCAGGGCCCGCTTCGCTCGTCCCGTCCGCGGCAGCTTCTGTTGCGGCTTCTGTTGCAACCTGCTGCAGCTGACAAGGAGCCCGAAGAAGAGGAGGAGGATGAAGACGCCGCGGTTGAGGTAGACGACACTGCCAAGGCCGAGGACAGCATCAAGGCGGAGCCAAAATCATCCGAAGTAGTCATCAACAACACCACCGCTACCACGACAAAGTCCGAATCGCGCTCCGAGGGCAAGGCCAGCGCCGGATCCACCACCCGCTATGCAACCCCGGCCGAGACCACACCAGCACCTTTTGATGATGGCAAGCCCAAGCGTGCTCCACGAAAGAGGCGCAAGTGGCTTCGCAAGGGCGAGGTGGACCCAGATGACCACAAGGCCGTGGCAGAGCAAAAGGCACGGCACGCCCTCATCGACGCGGCCCTGGAAGCCCTTGACCAACAAGAACGCCTCCTTCTTGACGGTACACACCCTCAACTCGTCGAACTCTGGAGGGAATGCGAGCGTCGACGCGACCTGCAGCTCAAGTACAACGAAGAGAAGTTTAAGCGCAACACGTACGAGCTTGACGACCTGTTCCGCCAAGAAATGGTCCAGATTCGTCAACAGTTTGAGGTGAGTCAAAACTGGCAAATTACGTTATCCCTGAATATAACTGCGCCGCCGCTGACACTGCACCTCCCCCTCTCTTTAGCACGACCGCGAGGACCTTTCCACAAAGATGACGTTTGAGATTCGCCGTAACGTGTCTCGGCTGGATGCCGAAAAGACCTATCTCGACCGCAACCGACCGTCCAACAAGCGCACCTATACCAACATGCCAACGTTGGGAGAAGGCCGTGGCTCCGGCGGCTGGGTCGTTCCCACCAAGCACCTGTTGTCGACAGGCACGCAAAAGACCCGGCTCGTCAAGGTCGACGACGACGTTCGTGAACGCCGAGATGTCATCCTCGGCGTCATGCCAGCGTCACTCGACGACATTGACGATGACCTTGTTCGTCTTGGACTACGCAAAGCAGCGACAGTGTCACCCGAGCCGGAGCATATCCCCTCGCCGGTCCCGACCCCAGCGCCTAGGGCCGTAAAGGCACCCTTGGCACCAGCACCGGTAATCGACGAGTACATTGCCCCGCCACCACCGCCACCCCCACGGCAACAAGAGCCAAAGGCTACAAAGCAACAACCCATCTACGGTGGGGGCTACTATGGTCCTCCTGGCCTCCCAGCCCATCGCGGGGCAGAGCCTCCATACTATGACCAAGCTCCTCCGCCGCTGCCATTGCCACCACGCCGCGATGAGCGCGATATCCCTCCTCCACCTCACGCCTACCACGCTCCACCACACCCACAACAGCATGAATACTACCCTCCCCCTCGCGACATGCGCGATGCCATGCCCCCGCTCCCAGACCCGCGCGACATGCGCAACCCCCCACCCCGCGAACTGCCCCGCGAGATGCGCGATCCACGCGACCTCCGAGACCCACGCATCGACCTCCGTGACCCGCGTGCAGACCCGCGTGCAGACCTTCGTGCAGACCCCCGTGTCGACCCCCGTGTCGACCCTCGTATCGATCCTCGTGCAGACCCTCGTGCAGAGCTCCGCCCCGACCCCCGTGCAGAGCTCCGCGACCCCCGTGCCGACCCCCGCGACCCTCGCGCCGACCCGCGAGGACCTCCCCCGCACTCGCGGTACGAGGAGCCTGCGTGGTGGGGTGCTCGTGGTCCAGTGACCGCCACTGCCTCGGGTGGCTACGACCATGAACGTGCCCCAGGACGATACATGCCACCACCGCCAGCAACTGCCACTGCGCCTCCCTCCGTGCGACCTCCACCACAGCCGCAGACCGCCACACCGGCCGGCTACTGGGGCAACGAGTGGGGAGGCCCTCCTCCTCCACGCGGCTACTACTCTGGAGCAACATACGCGTCCCCGCCCGAGCGGCGACTGTATCCGCAGGGCGCTGCTCCAGCAGGCTACGCCACATCGCGTGGCCTGTAAAACCCGGCCCCCGCCTGGAATTACACGCCAGTGCGCGCCCGCCCCGCCCCGTGTCGCCGCCGTCGCGCCGCCCGATGCGCGTGCACACGGGCGTAGCGGCCAGCGGCGTATTCTGGTCGTTTCGGAGCACGCTCTCGCTGCTGCGGCACTGGCTTGCGGCTAAGCCAGAGCCAACCGGAGACCCACAAGCTACGAGCGCCAAGGGGCCGTGCGTCGTGGCGTGCGCGTCCGTCCAGTACCCCTCCCCCCCATCTTCCACGAAATCCGTACCCCGACCGGTCCTCTTGACGAGAGAGACGGACCTGCCTGCGTGCCTCCCATCCCACGCGTGCGCCACCCTCATCCTATTGCGCCACGCCCAAACCACCCACCCCCACGTAAACTACTCTTTTTTTTCCACCTTGTTGGGATCACGACCACGATCAAGACCATGATCCGTGGTCTAATCTGTATGCATGCATGGCGCCTTATATCATATATATAGCGACGGGCACCGGCTGATGACGAGAAGATAGCTGAACTTGTCCACGTCCTCGCCAGCGTGTGGACGACGCCGTGGTGACCCTTGTGCCAAAGCTTTTGGGTTACCGAAAATCGTGGCGCCGAGGCGTACGCGGCATGCCCTGCCGTTTTGCCCACTCTGCGCACCGTCGGGTCCTCGGGTCTCTGCGCGCATGGCCAGTCGCGCCAGTGTCGTCTTATCGTGCGCCACAAAGTGTCGCCCCCGCGCGCTACCCTCTGCGCCTCTGCCCCGCGTTCCCCAATTGGAAGCAAATGACATTTGTGCACGACTCACCCACCGTGCCGCCGTGTGACGCTCACGCTCACGCTCGATGGGAATTTTGCGTTGGTCAGTCGGCCAGTCGGGTAGTCGGGTCGCGATGCATCGTAGCCCAGTCCGTGCGCCGCAGCCAAGATTGAGCCAGAGTGCCCAGAGTGCAGAGTGAGTGGCCAATACCTCGTCGTCGTCGAGTGGCGGCGTGCGTGCATGTTCGTGAATGTGCTGCCTCCTCTGACTCTGCCGTGTGCACCAAAGCCAGAGAGACAAGACCGCAGCGGAGGGAACGGTACCCACACTGCAGACACTGAGACTGAGACTGACTGCGACTGAGACTGGCTGGGGCTTCGACTTGGCCTCTCCCTTGCGTGCCGTATCGGGACACCGGCGGGCGGCGGTCTCGGAAGATGGCGTTGCCGAGACCTTCTAGCTGCTGGGCCCCCCTTTATCATTACGTCTGTGGCAGTATGGGGATGGCGGGACCCAAGCACATTTGCCAGCAGTACAGGTTAGTGCCCGAACGAGAACGAGGCACATGGACATGATACATACGGGCAGGAGACCCTCCGTTTCTGTGTCCCCCGGGCCCGTGGTCAGTGTGGCAGTTGTCCGCCGAAGCCTCCCTGCAGCGGTCACCCACGATCGTGGTGAGAGATGGCGAGCAGCTGGGTTATCGACACAGAGGTGCGGCGAGGACCTCTGTATATACGTCTTCACTGCGGTGCAATGTGTGCTGGCGACGTAATCCCTCTCGGTCTCTATGGTTGTTTGCCCGCCTGAGTGGTGTCGTCGACTCGCGTCCTGCCCTCGCCCACAGTCCACAGGCCATGTCCGTTTCCACGTCCTTGTGTGATGCAGTACTTACCCCGATGTCCGCATTTCAGTAAACACAAAGAGGATAGCATACCTTGGCTACTACGGATAATGTCCACAACCGTATTGTTGGGGTGCCCTCAATGACAACTACCCAACGCCCGACATTAGTTCTTCGACACAACTTTGCATTGTAATCCCCTCTCAGCACATGTAGCTCACGGGAGGAGCACAGCCGGGTCCAAGGAGCTTACTCTCACACGATCAGTACGTATTTCTGCGATTATTGAATTATTGCACCAGTGTGTGCAGGTCAACAAGGAGCCAGCCATGCACAAGGAGGATGAATGGTAGACGCATTACTCTCTACCTGGAAGTACTACTTCATTGCGTTGGGTGTTTCTCGAGGCGGGTTGGATACACACTATGGGTCAAAGTCCGACGTGGCTCACGCGCGTTACTTGTTTCTCGGGTCAACAGCCGCGGACTACTTTTTGCCACACCGTCAACTTCGTCTTTGACACTGTCCGTCCTCCTTGTCTCCATCACCCTCCAAACAATAAACCCATACCCTAGCCTCCCGTGATCCGCGACAACACCCCTCTTCCCACTCTCGCCCATCGGCCGACTCCACCATGCCTCCCTTTACTGTCAACCTGGCGCACAGAGCCCAGAAACAGCGACCTTCCCTCCTCACCGACGGCAACCACACGACCTTAAACACCTACACCCGCTCCAACGATGGGCCCACTCACCTCGGCTTTGATGACCCCGGCCACATCCGCCTCAAAGACTCGCCAGACGTCAAGGGTCCTCTCCACGGCCACTCGCCACTCGCGGATGCGCGCCCCGATCCTGGCAACGTCACGATCGACACCCCAGTTGAGAGCTCCTCCACCTCCCGCTCGTGCAACCGCGAGCTCGATTCTTCTCCCAGCCACCACCGTTCCTCCATCCGCGGCGACTCGTCCAATGAAGCGGCCAAGCTCCCCACTGGACGCGAGGCCCAGCCGGCGTCGCAGCCGGTGATGCCCCGCCACGATGCTTCCGAGTTTGCTGCTCTGTCCATCTCTGCTACGCCTGCCTCCCTCCGCAAGAGCTCGACAGACGTCCAGCCCCAGTCCAAGGTCACCGAAATCGAGAAGCAAACCGACGTCGACCTCCAGCTGAAGGCTGCGCGTGAGGTGTTCCGTGCCCGCAACAAGGCCGTCGACGAGACGAAGCGCGCCACCACTCCCGCGAGCTCGGCTGGTGCTGTGGACCGCTCGCGTCCTGCAAACGATACCAACCAACCCCGCTCGTACACGCATATCCGCCCCGGTACCAAGGTTACGGCACCTCCTTTTTCCTGGGAGCTCGGTGCACAGCCAGCAGCCGTGTCGGGGCCTACCCCGCCCCCTAGCAAGGCCACCGCTGCCACCGCGGCCTCACCTGCAAGCACGGTTGTCGCCACCGGCACCAACAAGCCCACGCCCATCGTCTCGCCGAACGCGTCCGCGACCTCGGCATCCCCACATGTCACTGACGCTGCTCCACTCGTTACGGGGGACAAGAACGACTCTGGTGGCGCACCCAGTCGCCACGCGAGCCTCGGTGTTATCAACGGCGAGGCCCTCGACCAAGTCTGCACGGCTCACATGCTCACAGAGGTGCTGCGTGCTTTCCAGGGACAGATTAGCACACTTGCCGCCCAGGTCGCCTCCCTCACCGACGAGCGCGACCAGTTCAAGTCCCAGGCAGACGAGCACAAGGTGGTCCTGGAGGTGGCCCGACTGATGACTGTCAAGTCGGAAAAGGACGCGTTCCAAGTCGAGCGTGACCAGCTCGAGGCCCGCCTCGCGGCCATGCAGAGCAAGCTAGACGCGGCCAACGAAGACAAGGTGCATGCCAAGGAGGCGACGCTGCTGGCCCAGAGCGAGACCCTTCGCGAGGGACTCCGTTCCCAGGTGATTGCGTTCAAGACCGACTTTGTCAGCGTCAAGACCCAGGTCCAGAAGATGACGCCCCGCATCGAGACGCTCGAGGCCCAGGACCGTACCCTCGCCAACAAGTACCGCCAGCTCCAGGAGAAGCACGCTGAGCTCCAGGAGCGGACGGACCGTCTCGAGAGGAGCAACCAGGAGCTCGAGGGCCGCCTCGCAAAGTTGGACAAGCTCAAGTGAGTGGTGGTACCAGCTAACAAACCGCGACGCAAGGCGATTTTGCTGACTTTTGCACAGCGGAGTGCGTCCTTCCCACAACAAGTGAATGTGAAGACGACGAAGGGCAGTGTCTTGTAGCCGTACGCAGTAGTACCTGTTATGCAGAGAGAGTTGTAGGAAGACGCAAGTCAACACGCCACCATACAACCAAGTGCCACGGGCAATAACGCCGCAATCTCCGCCGAGCCACCGCCTGCGTTCAGGTCGATCACTTAGCAGCACCACCCAGGATCCATAACCACCAGCCTAGCTCGCCATCCACAAAGCCGACCTCGACGCACTCTCCGCCCCCCAGTGCATCGAGCATCCCCCTCGGCCACACCAGAGCGTCCCACCGCCGCTACGCCCCCTCCCCCTTTCTCCCCCCGGCCTTCGCGCAACCCCCTGTCTCGGCTTCCAACACTCCCAAACGAATAGATTATTCAAAATGGTTCGTTTCGTTGAACATGGTCGACATTGAGGCGCCGCGCGAACACATCCGACAGAGCGAGACGGCCTGGACGAGACAGATGGACGGGGATGGCATGGATGGAGTGGGATTGCCGCGCTGGCTGCAGCTGCCAGCTGCGTGGTGGCGGATGATGACGGTGAAGCGTCCACCAAAACAATGGCCTGATGGTGTTGTTGGACATCGCGTGCCGTCCCGCTCCCCTCCATTCATGCGTCGCCTCTGCCGTGCTCACGGTCCTGGTTGTGTCCCTGCGGCGCCATGGCCATGCCCCCGCGTGCACTGCTGACCTCCCACAGCCTCCCCCTAAGGCTAAGCACTCGAAGATGGTGACGCTCCTGCACTACCGTCTCAAGGTCACCTTGTGAGTGTGGCTGGCGTGTGTTGCTGCTGCTGTGTTGTGTGCCGAGCGATGCAGCAGCTACTGGCGAACAGTTCCCAGGACACGAGCAGCAGGTGGTTATGGACGGACGTGCTGACTCTGCAGGAACGACGGCCGTCAGCTCGTTGGCCAGATGCTCGCGTACGACAAGCACATGAACTTCGTGCTGGCCGAGTGTGAGGAGTTCAGGACGATCAAGGTGAGCTTTGGTGCGGGCATGTGGATGGTGTTGCTTTGGACTTTTGTGCAGCTACACGCCTCTTTTCCGTGGCAGCTGCACCCATCGAACCAAACAATCACACCCACTTGCCACCCCTTCGCGTGTCTCCTCCGTCCATCAACTCACACACTGCAGGGAAAGAAGACCAAGGAGCACGCGGCCGGTGAGCCCACTCCTACCGTGCAGCAGAAGCGCACGCTCGGCCTTGTCATCCTGCGCGGCGAGACCATCGTCAGCGTGTCCGTCGAGGGCCCTCCGCCCTCGGCGCCCGACGGACCCGGTATCGCCGCTGGTCCCGGTCGCGGTGTGCCCGCTGGCCGTGGCATGCCCCTCGGCGGCGGCGCCGCCCAGCCTCCTGCCATGGCCGCCCGTCCCATGCCCTATGCTCGCCCACCACCTGGCTTCCCCGCCGGCATGCCCCCAGGCTTCCCCGGCGCAGTGCCCCCCGGCATGCCCCCTCCCGGCATGCTTCCTCCTGGTATGCCTCCTGGATTCCGCCCGCCCGCCGCTGGCGGCTTCTCGGCCTCGCAGATGCCTCCGGGGTGAGTACGACCGTGTTTTGTGCAGGGCCTGGCGAGCGACGAGCTGGTGAACAGATGTCGCTGCTCGCTGAGCCATGGCATGACGAATTATGCCTTTTGCTGACTCCATATCTAGATTCCCCGCCCGCCCACCGCAATAAAGGGCTAGTGTTCGTAGGGTTAGTTTTTTTCGTTTCGCAGACAGATGCATCACTGCAGTGTAGCACATGAGAAGTGGCAAAGGATGGAACAGGAGCTGGAGCTGGACAGAGTGGCCAAAGAGGCAAGAGGCAAGAAATAGAGGCTACAGGGTCCGAACCGGGCCGAGTCAGAAACGAGTGGGTGTTGTCGAAATGTCGTAAACATTTGGACGCGTTCGCCACCGAGCGGGTTTGTTGCCAGACACACACCCCTTTGCCCTGCTTCTTATTTCTCATCTGTCAACCATCGTCGTCGTCTTCTTCTCCTCCTCTCCACACCCTCTTTCACTTACCACGTATACACTTACAACACACTCACGCCAGCACATTACACCAGTGCATACGACATCTCCTCGGTCGACCCTTTACCACCTCACGACCTCGCGCCTCTCGAACCAACCCTTCACGCAGCACACACCATGGGCGGCAACGCCCTCGGCACGCAGGCCGCGCGCCTCTCCCTCCCGCAGCACGCCGCGCTGTTTGCGCACGTCGCCGCGCGCCTCTCCCCACTCTTCTCGCCCATCACCACCCCGCGCTGCCTGGGCAGCAAGCAGGACCACGGCGACCTCGACGTCCTCGCCGGCTGGCAGGGGGTCGGGTGGGAGCCGTCCAAAGGACGCGGCAAGGGCGTTGCGGTGAAGCGGGACGCGGCGGAGCGGTACTTTGGTCTCGGCGGCGCCACGACGACAACCACGACGACCACGGCAGCGGCGGCGACGGCCGTTGACAACTGGCGCGCTGCAAACGTCACTATCGAGAGCAACAAGGCTCTTGTCGACGCGTTTTGTTCGGCCGTCGCGGGGCTGGTGGGCGCCACGCACTGGGAACGGTCTGGCGGCGAGATGAGCATCGCCGTGCCCGTCACGGTGCTTGATGGCGAGAGCGAGAGCCATGTTCCAGAGCCAGCTGTCGTGGACGAGGCGCCCTCACCCAAGTCCAAGTCCAAGTCCAAGTCCAAGTCCAAGTCCAAGTCCGCCACCGCCAGCCTCCCACCGGCCTTCTACCAGGTCGACATTATCTGGGTCCACCCCACCGCCCACGCGTTTGCGGCCTTTGTGCACTCGTACGGCGTGCTCGTCCTTCTCCTCTCGCACCTCGCGCGCCAGGCCGCCGGCACACGCAGCGTCACGCTGCAGGAGCACCGCGTCGTCTTGCGCCTCAAGCCGTTCCCGGCCATGCCTGCCGTCGACGTGCAGCTCACCGCAGACGTCGAGGCGTTCTGTACCTGGCTCGGCCTCGACTTTGGCGCTTGGACGCAGACGGAGGAGACCAAAGACGGCAGGCAGAGCATGGACGAGGTGTTTGCCTGGTTAGAAAGTGTGCAGCCGGGCAGTATTGGCGAGACGGGCTTGCGTCGCCTTGCGCGCTTTGGCGCGATGAAGGTCAGCCCCAAGAGTCACAAGAAGCGCATGGGCATCCTGGACGACTTTGGACGCTGGCTGCGTGCCCGTGGTTGGGCCGAGGACGCTGCCGATGTCCCGCCCGCGACGACCTCGACCTCGACCTCGACTCCGACCCCGACCCCGCCTCTCGCCACACCATCACTGTCTACTGGCTCGTCGGCGCCCTCCTCGTCACCCGCGACTCCAGCTCCTCCCACCGAGCCGCCGTTCGCGGCACCCGTGCCAGTCCCCTCATCTACGCACCTACCCGACACTGGCGCGATCGCGGACGCAGAGCCATACACCGAGGCCGACGGCGCCTACCTCCAGAACCGCCACGACCCCGAGAACCCCGTGCCCCCCACGGCGGCTGAGCTCGCCGTGCTGGAGTACTGGGGCCAGACGGACGCGTACCACTATCACGTCGAGGAGGCCAAGGCCGAGGCGAGGCGGCTGGCGTCCAAGTGGGCATATGGCAAGCAGAAGGCCCAGAGGAGGGAGATGGAGCGCATGACGGGGCTGGAGGGCGGTATGGCGAGCGTCCACCTCGCGTCTCACGCTGTGTGAATGAAACCAAACCTCTTTGCGAGAGACAGAAGACCCGAGCTATCGCAACGAGCGAGAGACCAGAATCCACCACACCATACATCACTGTAACCGGCAACCGTCCATCAGCACACCAGGTCCACGCCAGCCGCCAACTTTTGCATCAACCACGAGCCATCGTCATCTCCCCTGTCCACACTGTCCATTGTACCACTGTACACACACCAATAGTATCCAGCCTGTGATGCGATACATGTCATGCGATCCTACCCTGTTTTACTGCCGATGCACAACTGTGAGACGTCCTTGCCCACTCTCATGATGCCACGATTCCAACAATCGCGACTCGGTCCTGGCACTCCTTTTCCTTGGGTGCGCATCACCTCCCCTGCGTATGAGCCATACCGGCCCCCCATACACGGTGCCTCCTTGCACCCACACCAAACTCTCAGGCTCCCATCCCCACGGGCCACGGACGTGGTCGCCACACGCTCCGTAACCCCTCCAACCTGCCTCCTGCCTCCGGCCTCCGGCCTCACTTGCCCAGACCCCAGGTAAACCCGACCCCGCTGGCACTCACGCGGCGCACGGGGCTGTCTGCCGGCGCGGCGCGCGCGCCAAACGCGAGCGGCTGCGCCGGCCGCGCGGCCGAGGACGGTGTGCTGCTCGTGGTGCTCGCGTTGGGGTCGTTGTCCGTGCTGTTGCTGCTGTTCCCCTGCGACGGGGTCGGCGGGGGGATGGCCTGGGTCACGAACACGCCGCGCGCCGGGGTGACCTGCGCGGCGGACGAGGCGGACGAGTTCTTGGACGTGTCGGCGGGCAGGGGTTGCTTGTCCTTGTCCTGGTCCAGGTCCTGGAGCGCGACCTGCGACGGCGGCGGGACCTGCGACAGCGGCGTAGACTGCTGGAACTGCTGTGAGGAGAACGCAGGAGGGAGAGGCTGGGAACGTGTGGGGGGCGACGGCGAGCGCAGGAACGCGTCATAGTCGACGAGGGACGGGGCGGCTGCCGGTTCCGGTTCCGGCTCCGTCTCCGTCTCAATGGGGTTGTCGTTCTCATTGTCGGACGCGCTGCCGGCCATGGCGTCCTGCGAGAATGAGAAGGAGGCCGGGAGGGAAGGGATGGCGAACGAGGGCAGGGGAGGGAGCGACGTGTCCGAGATGCCGGCGCTCGTGAGGTTGCTCATCGTCGTCATCATCGACACGTCGCCGGCGCCGGCGCCAGAACGGCCGCCAAAACCTGCCAGCTCGCGGGGCAGGTTCAGCCCCAGTGGAATCTCGTTTGAGAGCCGGAAACTCTCCTCGACGAGGACCCACGCGCCGTCCTCGCGTCGTCGGCGCTTGTGGGCGGGCACGTAGACGGCGCGTTCACGAGGGATGTGGTCTTGCTGGAAATGGGTCTGGAGGGACGCGACGGTGTTGAAGGTGCGTGCGCAAAAGTCCCAGCGGCAGCAGTATACTGTGCTGGACGTGACGGGGGGGCCGAGGGACGCCATTGTAGAGGGGTGGGAGACACGCGGTGATGGAGCAACTGGTCGTAATGTGGGCGTGGGAGATGAGTTTTTGTTATTGCTCCGTCGTCTCTCGGAAGATAAGATCCCGACGCCGACGCCGACGAGTCACACCACAAGTCAACAGTCACCCGCCGCCGCCGTCGCTCTGTTGTCTTCTCGCCAACATCCATGTCCTCACAGCCACAGGGGGCTCTCTGCCCATCAACAACAAGCACAGGCGTCGTCCTCCCTGCCATCTGGTCCTTTCCACCATTCTTCACGTGCGTACAGCAACCTCATGACACTCTCCCCTCCACCTGTCCACAACAACACACAACGTTGCTCTGACCCAACCCTCCCTTCCACCACCGGCCCGTTCTCCAGCGACATGCACAGTCCGGCTGACCATTTCCCTCAGCCTTCAGCCCAACCCCGCAACCCGTAGCCATCAGCTGCAGCTGTGGACCGAGATCATCCTCAGCTGGGCACGGCATGACCGAGTCTTCGCTGTGAATGCCGACAGCCCAGACAGCCCCGGCGAGGTGTTCGCCAACAAGGCTATTGGGCGTGAGTTGCAACGCCGTATTGGCAGCTGAGTCGCAAGTCGCAACGACTAGCTGCCTACCACTTGACGGCATGATTGTCCCCGCGCTCACACTCGCAGGCAAACTCCTGGCCCCGGCGCTCAAGGAAGTGCTAGCCCACATGGTCCAGGAAGGTAAGTGAGGCTGCGGGAGAGTGCATTCGACACCGCCGGGTTTCTCGGAGCCTCCTGGTCCGTCTTTTATGACTAGTGTCGAGGTGCACCTTTTGCTGCCCATTGTAGCCCGCAACGGGCGACGCAGCTACCTGGCCCACCCCCCGCATGTCCCCACCAAACCAACAAACACTGAACAGAAGTGCTGACAGTCACAAGGAACCGCATCGCCTGAACCTCCCAAGCAGGCGTCGTCATATCTCATCTTCTGGCGCAAGCCCGAGGAGTGGGGTCAGATCATCTACGACTGGGTACGTGTGCATAATGTGGCAGGTGGAGTGTTTGGGCGTTTGTTCTCATGTCCATTTCAGGTTTCCGACAACGGCTTCGCGGGATCCATCATGACGCTTTACGAGATTACAGACGGCGATCTCAGCCAGACCACCGGTACGTTCTCCCCCCTGTTCTCTTCCCCTGTTCCATGGGACCATGAGGCCACGGGGCCACGGGGCCACGGGGCCGCCATGAGCCCACGCCGCTCCCCGGTTTTTCTGGAAAGGGTGCGTCCACTGACATGACGAACCCAGAGTTTCGAGAACTGCCAGACCCATTGCTCCGGCGCGCACTAGACACACTAGTGAAGCGCGGCAAAGCGCAGATTCTGCGCGGAGGCGACAACGACGGCGACGGCGTCCGGTTCCTGTAGACGCAGACGTTCTCTCTCTCACGCACTCTCGTTCGGCAGCGCGGAATGCCAATGCCACCGACGCTGCCGTGTTTTACGGGCATACATCTGGGTTCTGTTCCTCGCGATTCTCCTCGTCGGATTTCGGAACAGAATAGTGATTCTGAACGGAACGGTGGCGTGTCTGGGCCATGTGCGTTGGTGTTTTCCCCTCATGGTGGCCGGTGAGGGTACGTGTTGCGTGGTTCGCATAGACGTGTTGTGCCACGTCTGCACTGTGGCTGATTGCAACGTACACTGTCCGCTAGGGGTGGCAGGGGGGGGGGGGAGGAGGTGAGGCTGCACGTCACTGTCTGTGGGCACTGCCCGTGTGCGTGCGTGCCCGCACTGTTGTTGTTTTCCTCATGCATGCATGCGTCATGTCCAGCGATCCAGCGAGAGGCAACGGTGGTCGACGAGCTGGCAGGGAAGAACACACTGACTGGGACGGAAGCAAAATGGTGCCACCCAGAGTTCCAGGCTGCAGCAGTGTGGCCCCGTCGTCGTCATTCCAGCCAGGCAGAGAGCGGCCCCCCTCTCCCCCCCTGGCGCGCAGGCCCAGGCGCACCGGGTGGCCCGGTGGACGACGACGACGACACACTCTACGCACCCACAATCCTCACGCACTCACTCACTCTCTGGCCGTCCTCGTCTCGACACACTCTTGTGCGCGGGGACTGCATCGCACCTCGTCTCATACCGTTTCTTATCTCGTTCGCCAGTCCACATCCTCTCACCCACAAACGTCGACCTGCGCCCACACCACCCCCCTCTTCCCCCTCCCCATACCCGCCTTCGCCACCACCACCACTCCCACCGCCAGCATCCTTCAGCGTCGCGCCGGGCCCACCCCGTCCACTCTCCCTCCCTCAACACCATCTCCGTCACTCCGCTCCTCAGTGGGAACACGGCGTGCGCGCGCGCGAGTCCCTTCCTCAAGCCGCCACCCGCGGCGCACGCCGTCTGCTCGGTCTGTGTTGGCCTCAACGTACCTGCTGCGCGCCAGTGTCTCTTGTCCGTGTGATCAGACCACCAGTCCCTCGTCACGCCCCGCCAGCTCTCCCCCCCATCGCCACCACTCCATACCGCCAACTCCCCTTCTCGGCTCGTCTCGTTTCTCGACCGACTAATTGCAACGCGCCCCCGGCCCTCCTCCCTCCTCCTTCACACGTCGCCAACCGAGCTGCGCCAATTCTTGTGTGATCTCCAGTTGGCTATTATACAGTGCGTGCCCCGCTGGTGACTGAGATCCCCATCGGCGGCGACTACCACTTTCAACTCTCCGAGCGTCCCGCCCCCCACCACCCCAACTCGTCTTCGAGTCGGCTCATGAACAGCCATGTCGGGCCATCCGCCGACACTTACAGTGTCAACAGGGGGAGGCCTTCCAACGCCAATCCCCGCAGGACCAGCATCAGTCGTGTCCAGCATGGGAGCGGGGTCACTGCGCAACCGTCCACACGGCGCGCGCCGGAGAGCCCTACCCCCTATGACCCCTGGGTTGCGAATCACCAACCCCGACAACTCGGACAGTGACGACGCACAACCTCAGTTGTCGCCGGCACACGTTTCGCCGTCAAAGACATCGCCTGTGCGAGTGTCGCCGGTAAAAGTGTCGCCAGCGGTCCCCACCAACATTTCGGCGTCGGCGTCCGGCGGCGGCGGCGCGTCGTCGTCATCGTCATCACTTTCACTCTCAACCCCGGGACGTTCACTTCCAAGCACCACCACCGGCGGTACTTCCTTTGCTCCCTCTTCTCCGCGCGCAGAGCGCCCGTTCCCGACTCCACTCCCCTCCATCCCAGCATCGTCCGGCAGCCCAGCACCCTTTGCTTCTGCACCGATCCTCAGCGGCGGCATGGAGCCGCAGGGGTCCCGCGCCCTGCCCCCGCAGCCCCCTCCCCAGCCCGAGCGTCACCTCCGGCGCGCATTCACAAGCCCCACAGAATCGACGACGGCCCGTATCGACCCACGTACAGTGTTCCGTGACACGCCGTCGTCGCCAAACCGCGCGTTGCCACCTCTACCGCCCATAAAGGCAGGCTCCGTACCCTCCCCTAGCGTTGGCTCATCTTCGCAGACCCAATTGATGGCGTCCTTCCCCGCCATTTCACCACCACTCTCTATCCACCAACCGATCACTCCCATATCGGCCGTGTCTGCAGGCTCCTCGGGGTCCATGACCGTTCCACACCGCGTCGCCAGCCCGGACGATCCTCTGACAGGAACGTACATGGGCGCTGGTGGATCGAGGGCACGATCTACCTCTATCAACCAAAAGGTCCTGCTCCAGGCCACCGTCGACAATGAGCAGTTTGCCGTCGTCGACATTACCGGCGTCACTTCTGCAGAAGGAATACGGGAGAAGCTGTTTACGAGGGTGGGTTACCTGTCACCTTGGAGAGGCGCTAACTTGATCAGCTACGATTCCGCGATGACCAGTTCCCCTCGCTTGCCATCTACCGCACAGATATTGGAGAGGTGCCGGACTTGTCACTGTCCAGCGCACTCACACACATGGGCTTGGTCCAACTCGTCGAGAGCCTTGGCGACTCGCGTGCCAGCTTGAAGTTTCTCGTGCGACAGACCAGCATCCCCGACGCCTCAAACGCGACTGTTGTTCCTCCTGCCGCCGAGGCCAACAATGCATTCCGCACGACCCAGAGACCTGGTGTTCCACCAATCCTCACAGACATGGGCCCGGCGCCACCCTACACTCCTCATCCCGCTTCTTCCAGCCACAACTCGAGAGACAGCCTGGGGAGCAATTCCGCTGCTGTCGGCGCTGGCGCCGGCGAGGCTATGGACCGGAGCCGCGGCCACAGTCGCGGCAGCTGGACAAGTCTGAGTGACCGCGAGGAGGACGGAGAGGACTGGATCAACTCCACCCGCCTACCCAACAGCTCTGGATCCAGTCGCTCGCTAAACGCAGAACCCCTTCCGCAGCCGACACAGCGTCCATTCTCACCACCCCATCGCTCAGCCACCGAGCCACCCGAGGACGAGGGAACATACCGTCCCGCACTGCCACCTCGACCACCATCGTCCAACGCTGTTGCTGGCCCGAGCAGCGCCGCTGGTCCTAGCAACGGTGCGGGCACCTCTACTGGTGGTCCTGGTTTAGGTCTCGACTTTGACCTGCGCGGCGTCGATGCAGCTTCCGCGGCGCTCATCCTTGAAATGACGCGTCTGGAGGCCGAGGAAGAACGGCACCGACAAGAGGAAGAGGCTGCGCGTATCGCCCGCGACGAGCTGATTGCCTACCAGGCTCAGGAGACTGAGCGTGAGGTATGGCAAGTCATGCAGCAGATTGAGCTGGAGAAGGCTCGCGAGCGGGAAGAGCAGTCTCGCCGAGACGAACAGCAAGCTCGCCAGGTCGAGGCCCAGGAGCGGCGACAGGAAGAGGAGAGGCGTCGCGCAGAGGAGGCCACCGTCACTCAGACATCGCGCACATGGGAGGGCGACCGCAGCGGCCAGTTTGCCGCCGACAGACGGCAACGCCGCCAGCAGTTCCAGAACCTCAACCAGCAGCAACACGAGGACTGGGCCTCTGCCATTCCCGAGGACCAACGCACGCAGCCCCTTCCCTTCACTGGTCGTCGTACTTCCGACAACCAGCCCGAGCGAATGAGCACGCCGACCTATGGACTGGGTGCCTACGCGTCGCCTCCTGGACAGTATGGCGGCACCGACATGCCCCAGGCCCACACTGCCGGCTCACGGCCACCCATCTATGCCCAGTCAAGCATGGACCGGTATTCGGACAGCCACGAGCAGCAGCAGCGGCTGCATGATCCCCGCTACGCTCACGTGCGTGGTACTGTGCCAGCACCTTCAGGACGTCGTTCGTCTGGCAACCCTCAGCAACAGTATGTCTACCCTCCTTCCGACCACAATGTGCACGGCGCGCGCTCGACAGACAACCTGCGCATGTTCAACGGCCACAATGGGCAGCCGCCCCAGCCGCAAAGGCAGTACTCGAACGGACCCCGCAGTGCCGCCACGCCCCAGGACCCGTACCCTACAATGCACCACCGCGACTCTGGCGGCGACCTCCGCATCATCGACGGACGATACCCGGACCCCACCGGGACCCAGAGGCCTGGCAGCGGACACGACGGTCTCGTCCAGTTCCCCTCGCCCCGCCCATGGCCCGAGACAACAATGTCGCCGCCGCGCGCGCAGACGATGATGACAGGCGTGGGCGCCGGCGTGGATGGTCATCGCCCAAGCACGCTGTACGACCAGAACAGCCCTCGCGACCAGTACGGCTACGGCCGTCCACGCAGTACCTCGGATACGCGGTACGCTACTGGCGGTTCGCTTGTGTCGGCCACAGCTACGGCAACTACTGCCTCGCAGCTGCCGTACACGCACGAGAGTGGCTCCGAGTGGCTAGGTACCCCGGTCAGGCGCGACACTGGCGACTCTTCCATGGACACCATCTCCAACGCCGGCACAGCCATCTCGGACGCCACGACTATCTGCCCGCCGAGCGACTCGGACACTGCGACGGCACGGCCCCAGGACTGGGCACAGCAAATCAACAACATGCTCATGGGCAACGGCGCCATCAGCCATCCTGCCGGTGTACTGGATGCCAACGACATGGGCGAGGCTACGCTCTTCCTCCCTCGCATGTCAGCGTCTGCTCGCGGAGCCGACTCGCACCGGCCCAACCTCAGCATCGACACTACCGAAGAGCCTTCCCAGTCTCACCGTCCGCTTTCGACAAGCGAGTCGGACAGCACGTCGGACAAGAAGGACGAGTGGCATATTCGTCCCGAGCCCGAGCAGCTGTACGACAACCTCCAGCAGTTCTTCCCGAAGATCGACCTGGACAAGCCCATTGTCGACCCGGCAGTCTCGAGCACGCCGTCGACTCCCAATTCGGAGACGTCGCCGCGCACCACACTCGAGCTGCACCGGCCTCCACCTGCACGCCACGAACCCCCCACGACGTCCACACCGTCCAAAATATCGTCCAACCCCGCTCGCGCTGCCGTGGCCATGGCCACCAACGCCATTACGGCCGCGTTCAACAAGAGCGAGCACCGCAAGTCGATCCGAAACGTTGCCGACCTCAAAAAGCGTTCGTTGCAAAAGCACAAGGACGACAAGCACCAGCCGCTCAGCGTTGTCGAGGAGAAGAAGCTCAAGCGCACGTCGTCCATGTGGGGCCACAAGGTGGTCGAGGTCACGCCCTCACGCATGGCCATGGAGCTCCCCGTTGTGGTGCCCGAGGTGCCAGAGTCGCCCGCATCCGACGGCAAGCCCGCGACTCTCAACTGGGTCAAGGGCAAGCTCATTGGCCGCGGCTCGTACGGAAAGGTCTACATTGCGCTCAACGTCACTACTGGTGACATGATGGCCGTCAAGCAGGTCGAGCTGCCGCGTACCGAGCAGGAGCAAAACGACAACCGCCAGCTGAGCATGGTCGATGCGCTGCGCTCTGAAATCTCTCTCTTAAAGGACCTGTACCACCCCAACATTGTCGCCTACCTCGGCTGTGAGGTGTCGGACGAGCACATGTCCATTTTCCTCGAATACGTCCCCGGTGGCACCATTGCGTCCATCTACCGCACCCCGGGCCAGGCGCGCTTCGAGGAGCAGCTCGTCAAGTTTTTCACGGCCCAGATCCTCGAGGGTCTCGCCTACTTGCACGCCAAGAACATTTGGCATCGCGACCTCAAGGGCGACAACATTCTCGTCGACTCGAACGGCGTGTGCAAGATTTCCGACTTTGGCATCTCCAAGCAGACGACGGACGCGTACGACTCGTTTGGAAACGCGACCACCATGAAGGGGTCCATCTTCTGGATGGCGCCCGAGGTGCTGCACTCGCCCAACGAGCGCTCGTACAGCGGCAAAGTGGACATTTGGTCGCTGGGCTGTGTCGTGCTGGAAATGTGGTCTGGCCAACGACCTTGGGGCGACCTCGAGCCCGTCGCGGCCATGCTGCAGCTGTTCAACGGGCGCGGCGCGCCGGCCCTCCCACCCGACATCAAGCTCGACCCTGTCGCGTTCGACTTTCTCTACGCCAAGTGTCTCGTGGGCGACCCACACGACCGCCCGACTGCGCGCGACCTCATTGAACACCCCTTTGTCACTGAGACAGACCCCGGGTGGACGTTTGAGAATTCCAAGATTGGTAAAGCGGTCGCGCAGCGCGGCGCCACCAGCCTGCGCCAGGCGAGCACGTCGACGGGCGTGACGGCTATCGGGGCGTGATTTAATCGGGGTGGATGAGAGGTTAGATGGGGTCGGAGAAGGGTTGGTTGTGTTGTTTACTCTCTCGGACAGATTTCCGGAGCGAGATACCAAACGTCGCCATGGCCTTGCGCATGTGCTATCTGCATGTATCTCGTGCACTGCTATGGACAGGAAAGGCGTTGGGGAGCGAGGAGCGAGGAGCGAGCAGTGACTGACCCGGTGGCTGAGACTGGACAGCTGCAACTGAACCTCACTCACGACTGTTTCGCCGAAGAGCACGGAACACTGCTCTCGCTTGCCAGATCCAGTATATTGGTGGCACCGAGATCGAGATACGGATTTCACCTTCGCGTCCCATCTCGGGTCCCGGAGCGATCGGGACAAGCTCCAGGCCAGGCCCCGCGCAGCAGCACCCCACCAATCCACCGATCCACCGAGGCGTCGTCATGGTTTTCCATCCGGCCGAAATCCGACATCCGAACGAATCTCGCCGCCATACAAGGACACCATGCGAGTGAGCCAGATCTGCCATGCCGCGGAAACGTGGTCAGAGTGCGGGGGTCGGCGGCACCGTGGCTCCGGATGCACAGCGGCATTCCTGGCACGAATAAGTTGGTTGGATATAGATGGGAAAGCCGGGGATGCCGCGGCAGGGCGCGCAGGGCGGTGCGGTAGCGCCGGGGCCGTGCTATCGATGCGTGTGGGTGTGGCACTGGGGTCCCACGACATGGCAGCCTCGGTGCGCGACGCTGGTGTCCGATTTGAGAGGACGCTGTGGGCGAGAGTGAATGGGATGGGACGGTGGCCTGGAGAACTAACTGGTCTCGTCGCGGAGTCGTACACGTCACACCTGGCTACAAACATTAGCGGCTCTCGGCGTCTTCTTCTTTGCCTTTGCCTTGGGGGGCGCAGCGTCTTGTCATGTCAGTCCTTATCGCCGTTGTCCCATTTGTAGCGTCACAGAGTTACTGCCCACTGTCCACAGCTGCTGCCCATCTTCTTCACGTCCATCATGCTCAGAGCACACACACTAAAGCAACCCGTTTGCGCGTCATATATCTCGCATACACGTCAACCAGGCGGCCTACAATATCCCTACATATCACCCACCTCCTGTAACACGACACACCACGCCTCTTGCGAAACTCTGTACACCCACCCTCCCCATACCTCCCTCCTACACGCCCTCTGGGCTCTAGCGGCCGCCGCGACGGCCGCCAGTGCAACCGCCTCTCGGCCAGCCAGCAACTGCCCGCACCAGAGTCCTAGCCCTAGGCCTAGACCTAGCCCTAGCTCCTGCCGTCAAAGGCCCACAGGCCGCGGCCGAGGGACCCCGCCGTGCGCCTGGGCAGCGACACCGAGTCCTCCCAGGGACCCTTGGCGCTGGCGCCGCTCGCTCCGCTACCGGTGCGCTCGTGTGTGCGCTCTGCCGCGGTGCCGTTACCGGCAGGACCACCGGCGGGACGCGTGCCGTTGGGCGGCGAGGTGGCGGCGGCACGCCTGCTCTGCAGCAGGAGGTTGTTGCGCTCGGCCTCGGCCTTGTCGCGCGCCACGGTGCGGCCGCGGAAGGCGTCGCGGTCGCCGTACAGCCCGTGCAGGTTGTCGCGTTCACGTTCGCGCTCGCGCTCGCGTTGCTCACGCTCACGCTCGACCTGGGCAGCAGCGGCGGCCGCGGCCGGGGCGGGGCCAGTGCGCGAGGAACGTTCCTTGTCGCGACGCTCCTTTTCTTGCCTGTCGCGCTGGGCCTCCTCCTCGAGACGCTGGAACTCGGCCTGGCGTTTCCGCTCGCGCTCCTCAAACTCCCAGTCTTCAGTCTGACGGGCATTCGAAGAAGCTGTGGTTGTGGGAGTCGAGACAGTGGGGGCAGGGGTAGCGGCCGGAGTCGGGGTCGAATTGGCTGCTGCTGCTGCCGCGGCGGCGGCGGAGGCGGGAGTGTCGGTCATCTTGGTCTCGACCATGGCCAACAGCTTCTCGGTCTTGAGGAGCATGCCCTCGATCCAGCGCTTGCCCTCGCGTAGCTGCTCACGGTGCTCGGCAAGCTCGCGGCGGCCCATGCTGTAGTGGCCATATTGTGAGCTGGCGAGCGACGCCGACGAGGCGCTGGCACCAATGGCACCTTGGCCGCTGTAGAAGCGCGACGCAGCAGCGGCGTCACGGGGTGGCTCGGGCGAGGCGCGGCGAGGAGGCGAGAGGTGGCTGGCCTTGGGGGCAGCAGACGCCGGCGAAGCACCAGCGCCTGTTGCCGCCGCACCTGTTGCAAGGTCGCGCCTGCCAAAGCTAAATCCACCATACCTGCTCGACGAAAGGTTGGACCAGGGGGACGAGATGATGCTCGAAGCGTCGCGCGGGTTGGGGCCGTAGATCGAGTAGCGAGGGCTGGCGGTCGAGTAGCTGGGCGAGGCCGCGGCCGAACCGGTGGACGCGTTGAGACGCGATGCCGGGGCGTGGGGGACGGGTGCCGGGGCAGCGGCACGACCGTCGGTGGTCTGAGCCAAGGGGGAACGCGAGTAGCGCTCACGCGAGCGCTCGCGTTCCTTCTCGCCCGCAAGGCCAATAAGACCAAGCGAGTGGGCACTGGGGAGGCGGTCGTCCTCTGCCGACTTGCGCTTGACGCCACGGGGCTCGTCGTCCTTGGGGTCAACGTCCATGCGTGAGCCGGCCGATCCAGCGACGGACGGCTTCTCGCGCTTGTCGGGGGACGTGTTGGCCGACACAACCTTGGTCTGAGGTGCAATCGACAAGAGGGTCTCGGCAGCGAGCTGATGAGAGATCTGGGGGAAAACAAGTCAGAAACCTAAACCTTGGGGGGTTTTTGGGGAAAGCAAAAGGAAAAACAATGAAAACATACCTCTGGCCCGTGCTCGCGTTCCTTGTCGTCGCGCTCGCGTTCCCGCTCGCGGCGGTCTTCGATCCACCAGGGCTTCTTGCGCTCTTGGTTGGACCCGGCGCCAGCAGTGGGGATAATAAGCGGAACACCCTTGCGGCGGGCTTCTTGCTCGCGCTGGACCGCGGCTGACGATGGCGCACCAGGAGCCCATGGTGACGAGCCGATGGCTTGGTAAGCCGCACGCGCCTTGTCGTCGCCCGGGTAGTTTGCAGGCTGCTGGCCGGGCATAGGGGCACCGGGTTGCGGAGGCGCAGGGCCACCCTGCGAACCGCCACGGGCGGCGGCGGGGGCGGCAGCTGCAACTGCTGGCACACGCTTGCGGCGCTTGATAACAGTTTTCTTCATGGCAACAGGGCGGGGGACTCCATGGAGCTTGTGGTAGAGACCGCATGCGTTGCACTGAGGGCGACCTTCTTCGTCACGACGCCAGAGAGGGGTGGTGCTGGTACCACAGTTGCGGCAGCTCATACCGACAGGCGTGGCGGCGAGTCCATTGCCGGCGGGGGTGCCACTAGCCTGAGGCTTCTCTGCCGCATCAGACTCGGGGGACGCAGTGGAAGGCTGGGGCTTGGTGTCCAGGCCACCAGGAGTCGAGGCGCCAGATGGGCCACCGGACTGAGCTGGAGTGGTGTTGGAGGTGAGGGGCTGCTGAGGCCGCTGCTGCTGGTAACGGTCGTTGACAGACGACGACCTCGCAAGGCCAGCCATGAGGCCAAGGCCCCACGGGCTCGGGCGATCGGCGGGCCTCTCGGGGGCAGGCGAAGGCTTGGATGGGCGGTCGATACCCTCGGCGGGGCCGCTGTTGGTAGACGCACCGCCCTGGGCAGCAATAGTGTTGTTGTACGTGGGACAGCCTTCACAGGCCGACTTGCCACCGGCGCCGTTGCAACGGCCATCACCGGGACAGGTGCCAGGCTGTGCGTGGTCGGCGGCGGGAGGCGAGTTGGAGACGGGAGCCAACGACCTCCGCTTCTTGGCTGGGCCCTCCTCGTCCTCATCCTCCTTCTTCTTGACTACTGAGCGGCGGGGAGCGCGACGCTTGGGCAGCTTCGAGTCGCCATTCTCCTGCGCGTCGACAGTGGGAGTGCTGCGATCGGGATTTGACTCGAGCTCGTCCTTTGGTGCGACGGATCCGTCACGCGACGGGGCGCGAGAGTTGGGCTCCGAGGTGCCCAGGCGACCAGGGCCGCCTTCAGACTCGGGCGTGTCCTCGTCTCCTCCACGCTCGTTGGAAGAGCCGAAACCTCCCCAACGACCTCCAAACTTTGCGCGCCACGAGCTCATGCCAGGGTTGAGGTTGCGGTTGTAAGGCGAATCTGCCGCGGCAGTCGTATTAGAAGCAGAGGCCGGAGCGGTGGCGGTGGGTGCTTGGGCCGGTGCGGGTGAGTCGTCGTCGTCGTCCAACTCGTCCTCCTCCTCCTCGGGTTGGTTGGCAAGAGAGCCGCGGGTGTCCGAGATACGTGGGGCGGCGAAGCGGTGATACGACCCAAGCGAGGCGGTGCCTGCGATTGGAGAGTGTGGTGCAGATGTAGTGGTGCGGGGGGAGAGTTTGATGTTGGTGGGGGAGGTGGGGGCGGTTGTTGTCTGCAAAGGGGACGCCGTGGGCGCGGTCGGCATAGCGGTCTGCAGAGGATTAGTGTCGGAAAGACGATGGATGATGAGACAAAAGATAGAGAGATGTGATAGCGCGGGAAAGAGGGAGGGCAACGGGGGGTGTGTGGGATTGTGAGGGTATAGGACGCGCTGTCCGCCCGTTCAGGGGCGATCGGTTGGGTGCGAAATCGGAGCGAGCTGCGTGGCCGCGGCCAGCAGGAACGCCGTGCTTTGCACGCAGTCACACACAACACACTGCAAACACACAGTGAGAGGGTGATGCAGTCTGCGTTTCAGGCAGGTGTGGATTAATGCAGATGCAAGCAAACAGAGTATGCAAGGTACACACTCCCGAATGCGCGCCAAGTGGTGTTGACAGCACACGGCGGCCGCGGGCCGGCGGGGATGGTGGGTGTGGGGGGTGGGCGAGGAGGATTCTCTCCGGGCGGCCAGGCAGGCGCAACAGAGCGCGGGAGAAGCGGCGTTATCTGGACGCAGGGCCCAGGTGGCGGCAAGGGGGAGTGGATGGCGAGATGCAAGGACGTGCAGTGCTGCCGGCGATGGTGGATGGTGCGGCGACGAGTGTGGTGGGCACCGGGGGGGGGGGGGGGGGGGGGGGGGGGGGGGGGGGGGGGGGGGATGCGATAGCGGCCAGGTGGTGGAGGAAGACGACGGAAGAGAGGGAAGGGAGGGAAGAAGAGCAAAAACGGGTTATCAACTTACGTGCGTATGTGCGTTCCGAATGGCCTGATGGGTGGCCTGGGGGGATGCTTGGTGGCGGGTGGTTGGGGTGGGTGGCGAGTGGTGTCGCTGAGGATGTGGTGGTGGTGAGCGCGGGGCGATGGAGTGCGGTGGCGGGTGGATGGATAGATGGGATGTGGATTTTGCGTTGCGGTGGGGGGGGCGGATGGATGATGGTGTGATGTAGGGAGGGATGATTAGAAAGATGGGCTGATTATCTGGGCGGGGGGGAAGACGGGGGGACAATGCGCTGGCTGGCCTCTCTGTCGCTCATGCGGGCCCGCGGCCTTCTTTTTCCTCTTCGTCGTCTCTTTGCCACCGCCCTATTGGTCCGAGTGATCCCAAAATGGGCATCCCAAATATGTAATGGCACCGGGGGGTTCTCAAATGCGCTCTCCTCCCTCGCCTCTCGGCTGTTCAAGCCTCACTGATCAGAACATGGACAGAGAGATCCAGAGATCCAGAGAGAGAGACGGGGGGGGACCGCCCCACTCTCCTGTGCGAGTCACACACCATCACCATCTACATGCTATTCCATCATCATCATCATCATCATCACGGAGCATGGAGCGTGGCTGGCCATAATCTAACCTGCCGCTAGTGACGTCGCTCAGACAAGAGCACACGCACAATCTGCCCAAAACAGAACACACACCCCCGCCGCCATACGGGCTCTTTTAGTGCCGTCTCGGCCGCTTAGATGGGAGGGACGGGGGGGGGGGGGGGGGGGGAGGTCACGTTCAAAAGCAACCGCAATGGGCACTCCCTTTTCCCTCGCTGCCATCTCCAGCTCCGCCGCCCGCAATAGCCGGCCCGCATTTTTGTGGGCCAACACGCCGACAAAACGCTGCTCCTCTGCATGTAGCGTCTGGCCCGAAGCATATACCCCGCCCATCAGATTCTGCGATCCATCATATCGTCAGATGGGCTGTGTCAGATTCGGCCAAGAAGCAAAAGGGCAAAAAAAAAAACGCATGCCGGCCGGCCGCACTCGGGCCCTCGTCGTTGTTAGGTCGCTTGAACAGACGACCACGGTGCCGCGTCAGCCGTGGAGAAATACGGGAACGGGCGGCCAGCAGCTGACAACGGTAGCAATCTGCAATCTTTTAATCTGCCCCGCAACCCCCTTCCCATCGGCCCGCAGCGCCGCAAAAAGGTAACGCATCACAGTGGTCCGGCGGTAGGTACAGTGGGGATGGATGTGTATGTATACGTGCGAGCAGCACTGGTACATGACGATGGCATGCATGAGGAGAGGGGGTGCTGCCACCCCCCTCCTCACACGAACAACCGGAAACGACTTTGCGGAATCGCTGCTCGGAAGATATGTGTGACCCGGGTCGTCCAGGGGCCCGATGGGTTTTGCCGATAGCGTCGTGGTGTGCCCGTCCCTGAAAACCTCCCCTTCATCGGCCACAACGGCACACACATCGGCGACACGGCATTAGCAGGATAAGATAGGTCATGTGGCACTCTGGGCCATGGGATATGCCAAGGCGATGGGCCCGCGTACCTGAGCAGCGTGCGAGCAACATGCGAGAGCGTGCACCACACAGAGGACCGTGCACCCACACTGCTACCACTCTGTCGCGGCCGAATGACCTCTGCGGGTCCGATCGTACATCCTGTCGGTGTTTGGTGACACCCCCGTAGTTGGGCGTCAGCATCGGTGGGGGGTAACAGGCCACAGGGGCTGGGAACGACGGGGCGGTACAGTCTTAGTATCAGACGTCGTCATTCGGTTCAGTACGTGATCTCCAATAGGCCGGCCCCAGCGCCAAACGCCTCTCTCTCTCTCGCTCTCTCCAGAATCACCTGGTAAACTTCAATGGCAGTAGTTTTGGCAGTTGCCAAGCAATACCAAAGGCACAAAAGGCAAAGCGTATCGGAGCGACCGGTATCGCACCGGGGTTATCCGATCCCCGAAGCTCGGAAAAGCAAAGGCGAGACACCAAAAGAGACGTGTTCCAAAAACCCCAAGCCAAGCCTTGTGGCGCTTCGTGCCGTGTCGTCGGACCGCTCACGCCCGTGCGTGTGGCTGCTGCCAGACACACCCGCACATCGACCAATAGACTGGAGCAAAAAGGCCGAAAACGGCGTGCAGTGGAAGCAGCAGTAATCTGAAAAGGACTGGGGCTGGAAGCTCTGTGGCATGTGTTGCGCCGATGGGACAGATACAAAGATAGTGCCACGAGTACGTGCCAACAACAACATGCCACACACTCTGCGTTGCGAACGACCTTTGCGAACTGGCGTGCTGGTGGCTCAATTGATCAAGATATGAACACACCATTCGTAGTGGCCGCCGCAGCCCGAACCATTGTTGCGGCCAATTAGACAAGGAGGCTATAGCCCAAGCCCCCGTCGGTCATCGGTGCCGGCGGCACTTGTGCTTTGTGGCACACACGGGGGGTTTTTCAGTGGTGGGCAAAAGATTTGATTACGGATCAGATTACAGATTAGCAGATTTCAAGTATAGTACACAGCCTAGCGCGGGGGCAGGGACGAAAGAAGGAGAAGGGGAGACCCAGGGTGTCGGGTTGCGACAAATGCCCATCAAAATCGATCCGGACACAGGGATAAAGAGGATACGCAACCACCCGGTCAGGATCAACTTGCGGTGGAGCGGGGACGCATGTCGGGCTTGTGGAGAGGGCAACCTCGCAGCCAATCAGTCCGGTCGGTGGGGCTTTCTCGGTCAGCGAGAATAACTTGCGAGCATCGTGGGCTGTCATCGCTTAACGTTTAGATCAACGCCCTCGCACCAGGGTGAAGCAGGTGTACTGGCTCCGGCCGCGCGCACGTTGGTCAGAGCACATGGTGTATGCAGAACGAAGTGGTCATCCTGCCAAACTACTTGTCACCCCGCCGAGCGTGAGGAGGGAGGTGTACGTCGAACGTGACGTGTCACCCCAGTCGAGCCAACAATGGCGAGTGAACGCCAAGCCACACCGCGCAGCATATCGCATTCTTCCTCAGACGGTTCAATGGTCGGTGGTGAATGGCATCGCCGGTGTCCTGAATAATACCAGACCGAGAGGGCCCCCGCCCCACAGAGCATTGACCATTGAATGGTAGACACCCGACGATGAGGCTTGTCATCGCGGGCCCTCCGAGGTCACAGTAGGAAGCGGATTGGCCGGCCCGCCCGTCAACTCCGATGCCATGCCCACAGTCTGCCTAATCTCCTCACCATGTCACCACCGCAGCCGACCCAAACAGCCTAACCAACACGACATCCCGCAGCCGTGGTGCCCACCCACCACAATCCCGGGCCGACATTGCGGCGGCGCCACCGCACTCGGTGAGACTCCACAAATTCCTAATCGCTTGCATACACACGCAATATCCTGCCGTTTCCGCACCAGCGGTCCAAGCGTCGAGCGCCACCGATGGCTGCTTTACAGAGCGCAGAAAAAAAGCGTACACACACGCACACTCATTTGTTTGTCGGCTGTCGGCTCCCCGCTGTGTACCACCGCATTGAGTATGCGTGTTGACGACAGTAGCACCGAGGAGCGGTCAGCAGCAGCAGATCCCTCCCTCCGCAGTGGCCAGTGTGTTCGTTGACGATCAATCTGGTCTGGGCTGTCGCCATCTAATCCGCGTCCGCGCATCGCACGCTTGATGGCCGAACCAACCGGGTAGGTCCGTCGGCCCAGTACCAGCCGCAAAGCAGCGCGAGTACGCTGCCCATTTCATCCCCTCTCCGTTTCTCGTCCCGCGCCGCCGCCGCGGACATGATCAGCCTCAGCCTCGGTCTCGTGGGGCGGGGGTAGGGTGTGGGTGTGGGTGTGGGTGGGTGTGGGTGACATGCATCGTGGGGCTGGGGACAGCATGTGAGTTGTTCCGAGGCGTGCGTGCGTCAGTACATTCGTGTGGGCAGTTTTGCCTATTGCGCCTTTTCCCTAGATTGAGTCCTGAGGTCGTCGCAGATGCGAGAACCCAGGGCGATCCCCGCGCGCTATCCTTATCCTGTCTCTGGTCAGATTTGCACGCCGGCGCTGCGGGGGCGGCGCTGGCGGAGCAGAGGAGTGACGGTGGGGGTGGGAGGGTAAATGCGAGTTTCCGGGCCGGAACGAACGCAAACGGTGTTCGGTGTGGTCGGTCGTTCTCCGTCGCCGGATGCCAGCAGTGCATCCCACTCCGTCCCCTCTGTCCCGGGCACCTGGCATGCATTGAATTACCATGAACAGAGGGTTGTATTGCATCCCCAACGGCCACACCACAACGGGTCCGCCGGCCCCATCTTCTGCCCCATTTGGTTCCTCCCATCTCCGCTGTCTCGGTCAAAGACTCGGCTTTCAGCCGCCGGGCCGCCGGATATTCGCCCCATATCGCCGCGAACGTTCTATATCCCGACTCGCAAACCGCGAATGTGGCACTTTTTTTTTGGTTGCCGCGTCCCGAAGGATTTTTCGGCGACGGCGGAAGCAAATAGATCAAAAGATCTGATTGTGCGCGGGCGGAGAGCGGACACGAGTGGCCCCGCCCGTGATTACGATGTCTTGATTTGACGACATTCCCGCCTCGTCTGACGTCCGAACGTCCGGAGCGACAGAGAGCGAGCGAGGGATATGCCATGCCCCCCCCCCACCACCCCCCTCGTCAATCTCGTCAGAACCGCAGACCACAGTATGGCCGCTCGGGATCACCCTGCTCCTATGTCGGGGTGACATGTGGGTCGGAAACGTTGCGGTGGGTACCGCCGCGCACCAGCGTGGCCTCCAGCGCGGCCACGCAGCGAGCCCACATGGCCACCTGCGTGTCCGTCAGCGCAGACCGAGCTCGCTCGGCCTCTGACCGCAGACGTGTCCTGCGTCTCTGATCTGATGCCGGGGGTATCATCCATGCCGCGGACAGGCCCCGGGCGCCACCATCGGTGGTGTCCCCTGACACCCACGCGACAGATCAACCCATGGGCCATGGGCCATGGGCACGCCTGTGGGTGCCGATTTTGCCTGCAAACGCCTGATTTCGTTGGTGCCAATGCGGCGGCAGCCCGGCGTTTGCGGCGAGTGTGAGTGTTGAGTGTGAGAGGGGGGGTTAAGACAAGGAATGGATGTGCTGGGCAAACAAGACCGTCCTCTTGAAACCGAAACCCTGGTGTGGGTTTCTCTGTCGGTCGATGCATGTTGAATGCGATTCACGGACGATCTCGGCCGTGGGGGGACGCCACGACGCCACCCATCTGATCAACATGGCCTCGGACACAATATTACGCAATCTGCTAAACCCCTCGTCGCAAATAGCAGCGGGGGGCGACTTATCACGGGGGTTCTAAATAAAGAGAAGGATGCAACACGCGATTTCTATTTCCACACCCAGCGACACGCGCGAAAGCGAGATCATGTGGCATGTGGCATGTGGCCGGCTTGGCCTTTTGGTGTGTGTGTTCGGTCCGACATGTCTTGGCGTAATGCTCCTTTCGGTCCGACATCCACTGCGTATACCCACCCCAGTGTGCGCAGCAGGACCCGGCGGTGGCCACACAAGCTTTACATGCAAACGCTGCGACCGTGCCTCTGCCCTCTCGTCGGCACTCCTACTGGCGGTCGCGAGGTGACTGACTCGCGACCACGACCACGACACATTCCTACTGACAGATCTCACCCGGCCGCTTCCGCGCTCCCACGCACGTCGCGCTTCGCACTACACAAAACGTCAGCGTCCGTGTGTGCTGCGCGTGCGCGCGCTCGCGAGCGCGCAAACTCGCCGCGTCGCTCTCCACGGCCCACTGGTCCACAACCAGCACATGACCTCCGCGTTCATCGGAACAGTTCCAGGTATCGCTGTATCCGTTCCAGCGTCAAGGTGCGTGATACCGCCGGAACCTGCACGGCCGCCGCGCTGGGACGGGATTACCCATTTCCAGTCAGTCACAAGAAACCCAAAAAGCAAAGGAAGACAAAACGATAATCAATCTGGTTACAGGCCCCGTGGCAGGCACCTCTGTACAGGGTATGGTACATGCTACAAAGAGTGGGTCCGTCCAGTTGCTCGGAGGTTGCGTAAGGGGTTGTTGGTGGGTCCAAGCTAGCCCAATGTCACTGTCATTGCAAGGTCATATGTCCACCGTGCCGATCGTGGAGTGAGGCGAATAATACACCAAAAATTAAACAGCAATGCACAGAGAACGGGCACAACGGCCATTTCGTGGAGGTCTTGCAGTCGCCACCTCGGACCCACGCCCTCGCCCAAGTCCATCGCTCGCTGCCTCCATCGGTCGCAGTCACTCGGACGCAGTCGCACGGAACGCTTTTGCTTGGCAAATTGGGGCGTTGCAAATGAACAACTCGGGGGGTGTGGAGAGCTGAGAACGGTACGCGCTAACTAAGCGACGAGTGTCGGTGTGGCGCACCAACGAGGTATGTGGCAGGCTAATCCACGGGGGCCACCCTGCCGCCCGTTTCCAGACGTTACATGAGCCCCGTCTGCTCGAACATGACTGGCAACAGTCAGAAAATGCAATTAAAAGGGGCACGTGGGCCATAACTCACCGTCGACAAACGTGTTCCAGAACTGGCTCGAGTTGGGGTCGGCGCCAAGTGGCACCGCGGCCGGGGGCGCCGGGTAGAAGCCATTATGCGTCGCCGGAGGCGCAGCCGGCTGGCCAACGACGTTGACGCCGTCTCCCGCGTTCCAGGTGTACTGGCCTGCATTGGGGTCCACAGCGGCAGTCGCCATCTGCGGCGGAGGCACGCCGATAGCGCCTAGGTGTGTGCTGCCAACAGGTCCATAGTCGTATGCCGACGCAACGCCAGGTGCGACCCGGTCGTACTCCGAGTTGGCCGCCATAAACTGGTCAAAGAGGACCTGGACCTGGTCGTCCTGCCTGACGCCCGACTCTGACGCTGGTGTGTGTAGGCCCTGGTCGACGTCAATTGCCGAAGTGGGGGCCGCACTTACACCAGCGCTCGGTGCGCTGCCTTCCTCTGCAGATCCGGGACGGGACGCAGCGAGCGATCCACGCCGCTCAGTGCGCGCGTTCGAGACACGCTCACTCGACAGTGTCTCGAGCGGGTGGGCCGCCTTGGGTGGGTCCGCCTGCTGCAACGCCGTCGCGCGTTTATGGAGGGTGTAAATCTGATGTCAGAGAGCAAATCCTTTTCTTTTGCAAGGACTCACAATTTCCGCCTCCTTTTTGCTAAACTCATCGGCACTGTGCGGGTGGTGGGACATGAAGTTTGCCAAGATGTTCCACATGTCACTCGCGTGCGACGAGTGGGGCTCGAGGAGGAGACAGATACCTGCAATCATGGCCGTGTTCTGGGAGACTGTTAGCAAAAATAAATAAATAAAACATCTCCAAGTGCTACTCACAAACTCGCGGAACGAGCCGCCGAGGAGCGTCTCGAAAAAGTTGGGCGTCTCCGTGTGAAAGGCCTGGCGCTGCGGAGCAGGTCAGTAACAGCTGTGTAAAGGGCAAGCAAGAGGCCGGGGCGCACTATTTTGAAATCTGTCACTGCGGCCTCGAAGCAAGCGCGACGCGACACCGAATAGCGGTCGTTGTGGATTTGGCGCAGGAACCACGGGCGATGGAGAATGATCGTGTAGTGCAAGATTTCCGTTTGAATATAATACCTGTGCGTCGGCAAGTACCAGAGGTCTGTAAAGGATGCGTCAATAACCACGCATATTCCAGGCTGTAGGCTCTCGTGCTCACCACCGTCAAACGACTTGTCCGGGTTGAGCATCTTGAAAGCGGGCGGAAGCTCGTCTCGCAGCTTCTTGAGCTCGGCATCAATGTGCTTGACGTCCTGGTACTGGGTCCGGCCATGGAGGCGCTGGAAGCTGCGAACGATACGAGCCACAATGTCGGCGAGGCGTTTGCGCAGGATGAGGTAGGTGGCAAACGTCGGCTCTGACAGCGGTTTCGACTTGAGCGTGGCGGAATGTTCAAGCTCGTACATGTTGATGTTGCTCGGCAGCAGCGTGTCGTAGAACATGGGGTCGATGGTAGGCGGGCGGCCGATCAGGCAAGAGTACGTGGCGTCGGCATGACACAGGTATGACCAGAGACGCCGGCGGTACTCGACCGTATACGGATCAAGACGCAGCCGAGTCCCATCTCGGTGCAACCCAATCGCCAAGCCGGTCGCCACAGCTGCCCTAAACATCAGCCAGCCCTCAGCCAGGCGGCGTTCGTGGACAAGGACCAAGTACAAGCCGAGCTGGAAGCCACAGTTAGCACAAGGGGAAGGATAAAAACGCCCCCAAATTGGAAACAAGGGCTTGCTTGGGGGATGGAAACTCACCAATATGCGGGCCTCGACGAGCTGGAGGTTTTCGGCATTGAGAGACGTCGAGATCATGATCCCAAACTGAGCTCCCCAGAACAACTTGAGACTCAATTTCCGGCGCTCCTCTTCTTGCCCGGCCCAGTCAGAGGGCACCAGACGCAGTGAAATGGCGAGAACGGCGAAAATGAGGGGCAGAGCCAACACAGACTCGGGCGTGATTTCTCCTCGCGAGGCGTAAACCGCCTCATACGCTGACGTGATGAGCCACAAAGCCACGACATGTTGTTCGGCACCCTACTGGGCGTTTTGTTTGGGACATACCTTTACGAAACAGTCTCTGGTCGATGGGGTAGCGGACGTGGTTGACCTTTTCGAAAAAGAACCCGACCAATTGGTCGGCAAGGGATTTAGCAGGCAGATCATGCAATGACTTGTGCAACTGCGAACGACGTCAGCAAACACACCGGGTTAATCAGTAAAATTAAAATCACAGTGATCGATGCGCCCTCCTCCACAATGTGTTCCAGCTGTTCGCCGACGGTACCGTGATAATCGAGGCCGAGACGAATGGGCCCATTTTCGTCACCGCGAGGCAAAGGGTTCCGGCTCGCTGTACCGCGGTCGAGACCGCCAACCCAGGCCTCCTCTCCACTCTCCGTGTTTGTGTCGTTTGTCTCGTTCGTTTCGGAGCGTGCCACTGCAGCCGGGGCAGACAGTCCACCAGCCGAACCCGAGTCTGGTAGCGGACGCCCCAGTTGTGCCGAGGGCGGTCGGTCTTGAGAGTCCTTGGCTTGCGGATGGACTGCGGGGGCAACGTTAGCAGACACGCTAAGCAGGTTGTTTCACGGTGCCAGAGGCCAGAGGAAAAGGGCCGAGAGCCGAGGCGGCAGAAAAACACAAAGCACGGAAACTTAAAAGGAGTAGGCACTCTATGAACTCACATTGGCGCCACTCGGACAGGGATGACGAATCCACGCCGTCCATTCGGTCGAGGACTGCGTTCATCATCTTCTCGAGCTTGGAAACGCGGACGCTCATCGTGGGAAGGATTCCCGACGAGCTTGTCACCGGGCGGTCGCCAGGGATCTTTGTTGTCCGCACTCCATCGCCGTTACCGTTATCTGTTTTTGGTTTCTGTGCCCGCGGTGGCGGGGATCCAAGCCGGGAACTGGGGATGCAGAGGTGAGGTACCTTGCGGCTCAGACAGTGCTGGCAAGGAGTCTCGCGGTTGCATTTCTGCTTGCGCTTGGCACACTCTGCACACGAAAAGGCCTGACGCCGCTTCTTTTTCTTTGGTGGTTCGGCGCCGTCGGGTAGCGGAGCGGCGGCGTGTTTGGAGTTGTTGGACGACCGCGATGAGCTGGACTGTTGCGGCGCCGTCACACCCTGGATAGGTGAAGGTTCTGGCCGGGCCATTGACATCTGGCCATTAACAATGCCAGGCGGCGGAGGATGGCCTCCGCTGCTGGACAACTGGTCGCGCGGAGGGCCGGCAGAAGAGTATGGGGGAACAGGGCCATCCTCTTGACGATATGGTTCGGGCTTGGCGTACCCTTGTGGATGTGCCGCTGGACCATCCCACCCATGACGAGCTGGTGCATAGTCTGTCAAGCTGGGCAGTCTGTCGGAATAGCGTGGACTGACGCCCGGGACGGGAGGACTCCAGTGCCCCGAGTTGCGGCCAGAGGGAAGCGGCCGCATGTCATGTCCGGGAGGAGATGTGGCCGGGGCGTTGTTGTTCATGGACGACGAGCTGGCGGCGTTGCTGCTCCATGCTCCGGGATCGGTGAGGCCGCCGCCCGCAAGACCAGCTGAGGGCGATGGGGCGTCACGGACGTCCCGGAGACTCGGGGATGGAGGATAGTACCCGCGTGGACTAGCGGGAATGGGCGGTGGCAGGCCATGGAGGAAGGACGAGGACCGTGGAAGCGGTCTGTCTGGGAGAAGGGGATAACGGTCGCGATCGCGCTGCATTGCGCTGTCGATGGTGGACGAACGGCGCCGAATTGGCTTATGCAGTGCGAGGGGAGGGGTTTGTGTGTGTTGGGTAATGAGAAGTGTAGGGGGGAGTGGGGAGGAGGAGGACGAGGAGGGGGTTTGTGCGTGGGTGGGTGGGTGGCTGCCTTTGAGGGCCACGGAACGGTCAAAGTGTCCGAACCTTCGGCAATGACGAACGCGGGGTTGGGCGGTCCGATCTCTCTCTCTTTGTGGATTGCGAGCGAGCAACGGGGGGCAGCGCGCGGGACCAGGGGGGGGGGGGGTTGCAAGAGGAGATGTTGGATAGGGAGTATGCTTGGAATGCACGGTCTGCAACGACCGCAATGTTTCACTCGTGCTATGCTTTGTGCGCGAGCGCGTGTGGATGGGTGTGGGTGGTGCTATCGTGTTTCCGGGCGTGTGTCGTTTGGTTTCTGTTTCGGTGGATGGCAACTGCTTGCGCTGCTTCTCGGGGGGGCCCAGCGGCAAGCAGAGCCGGCCAGCCAGCCAGTAAACGAACGAGCCAAAAGGGTCTCGGGGCCGTGCTTTCTGCTCTGTCTCTGTCTCTCTCTCTCTTTGCCTTTGTGTGCCCGTGCGTGCGAGATCTCTCGTGCGTTGGGCCAGAAGGCAGCGGGGGAGTGGGGGGGGGGGGGGGGGTGTGGAAAACAAGGGACGAGTTGGCCGCCGAGACGAGGCTTGACGGCTTGCGACGGGCGACGACGAGGCGTACGAGGCGTTTGAAAAGGGTGGAGGCGGGGGAGAGACAGAGAGGGTCGATGTGGGTGTGCGTGCAGGGTTGATGGTGGTGGGTGGGGGACAAGTGGACGGTGTATATGTAGATGCACGATCCGTAGTGGAGAGATGGAGAGAGAAGGGAGACGGCGAGTGGAGCCACCAAATGGTAGTGCTCCTCAACACACGACACGACACAAGAAACAGCAGAGGGTGGGTTCCAGATGCAAAGGAAGGAGAAAGGAGAACAGACGGCAAAACGACCGTGTTTCTGGCCCCAGGTGCACATGGCCAGGTGTGCGTGCACACAAATGAGCGCAGACGGCGTCTCGGCGCGACTGTTTGCAGCCTGGAGAGCTGGAGCATTGCGATGGCTGTTTTACGACGCCTCCCATGCTGACCTGCTGCTGGGCTTACATATGCTGCATGCCCTCTCTCCAGGCCAGCAGGCCAGCAGGTCCTCGGCTAGGTGGACGGGCCAAAGGGAGGCGCGCAGGCTCGTTGTACAGGTCCAGCTCTCGCAACGGCGGGCCAGGAGAGCAGAAAACACCCACACTCGCGCAAAGTCGGTGCATCCGCGCTGCCCTCTCTCAGTGAAAAGGCAAAAGTGACAAGCTCTGCACTTGCCATGTGCCAGGCAGGTCCATGGCCCCAGGTCCAACAGACGTACACCACAGCCAACGCGCGCCGCCCCGAGCCGCAGAGCCGCACATCGCAAGGGGGGCCGGCCCGCGTTGCTCTTCCTCATTTTGGACGAGTAAAGAGCGTGGAGGGCTGCCGCGCACGCAAAGAAAGTCCATTGCGCTTTGAGCAGCAAGCAGAGTATAGGCGGAGACGCCGCGCCGCACGACCGCTCTGCTGCTCTGCGAGCTCTACAGCCTGGCAGTGATGGGTGGGTGACGCCAGGTCCGGCGTGCCCGGTGCCAGAGACGCCTTCCAACGCCTACTACGCCTTCTTTCGTCCCCAAGGTGCGTTTTTATGGGCACCTGACGCCTGCGGGCTTTGCGCCAACTGCTGTCTGCACGGCCGGACACGCCAGACCGACGACTGCCAGACAAACAGTAAGAGGGCCAGACAAAAAGGTGGGGCGGATACAGAGGGAGAGAGAGGAGAGAGAGGAGAGAGAGGAGAGAGAGGAGAGAGAGAGAGCAGCGACGGAAATACGGAAAGCACCACCCCAGTTGCCGCTGCATACCGGGCGACGTGCGCTGCCAAAGGTTAACAGGATCTCCGGGTGCACATGGGATCCAGGTAGTCCATCCCAGGCCATGCCCATGCTGAGCCCGGCCGGGGGGGTTGACAGGTTTCTAGGGTACCAGGACCTGCTTCCTGCGCGGGCCGACTGGGCCGCCTGACACCCCAAGACATCTCCCGGTCCAAACGTCAGCCACACCTCTGCTCTGCGGCAGCACTGGGCGATCGCCCAGAACCCAGCATTGGTACTGATCCAGGACAATGGTGAATGGGCGGACGCCGGGAAGACTGGGCACATGGGCATGGCGTCGCGGGTTTACTAATCCGCATCAGACCGGACAGGAACAATCGCGAGCGCTCTCTCACACGGAGCGTCCAACCAGTTGGGCCACAGACGGTACGTTAATGTGGTTAATGTGCGGCTATTTTGTGCTCTCGCCGCCGCTGCCTCCCCTCGCGTCTCTGTCAACAACAGGGATATGCGTCCAGGCAGCAGTCAGTCCCCCTTCGGGCACCTCGGCAATCGCCACACGCGTAGTACGTGCCCCAACAGACCGCAGATCCACTCTGTGCGGCAACGTACGGCAACGTCCTCCACGGTGCGCCCATGGAAACTGAGCGGGCCCATCGCGTCCGGCCGCGCGCGGCTGAAGCATCTTCACTACCATGGATCGCAACCCCCACTCTTTGGGATCTTGGGAAGAGTGGGGGTGTGTGGGCTCGAAGGGCCGGACGGACTGCCTGGGATAAATGTGCGCCGTCCAGGGCGCCTGCAACGAACAAAGAAAAAACGAGGAACAAAGTCGAGGTACGACGACGATAGGGTATACGACACGACAACGACAAGGCCCGCACGTTTGCCGCGCGCGCCGGGCCCACCTGCCACTACAACTCGCAACTCAATCTTCGATCACCGTGATTGCGGTGGAGAAAGAAAGACATGTCATGGCCTCGATGCGCAGTATCGGGGTCCTCCCTGCTTTTTTTGCCATTAGGCCCAATATGCCAGGTCGTCAGAGCGCGCGAGCGCGGCGAACCGGCAAATCAGTATTTGATATGGCAGATCATAAACCATCAACCCGTGACTCGTTACGCATACGGCATCGAGACCCCAGCCGCGAAACCTCCGCCAAAGCTCCTCTGTAGATTGCGTAACCAGTTGGAAAGGGCAGTACAAATGTGCGCGAAACGTGGGTGGGTCTGTTCAGTCTGCCCAGTCGACACGCAGCTCGTCGGTGATCCGTGATAGGAGGTCGAGACGCCACCTGTGGCCTGTGGCCTGTTGGGTGGCACCACCACTATTTGCGTCTTGCCTCCTCCCCCCGCATCCAGGGTCTTTCTCGACGACTGGCCCAAGGTCAAGGTCCCGCACGACCCGCAGCCAAGTTGTACCTTGCCAACTCTGCTCCGCAGACGTCCATTTGGCGGGCTGACAGACTCTCCCGGGAGCAGGACCTTGATCCCCGAGCTTGATTCAATCTTGTTGCGTATATCTCCTTCTTGGGACTCTGCCGAGGCTGTCAGCTGTGGCCAAGCACTGTCCTTTTCCCTGCGTGGCAACCGTAGAGTCCCCGCACGGCGGTCGGCCATCGGCCACCTTGCTGCCACTAGCGTCACATTTCGTTGTGTGCTCATCGCAATCTAGGATATGTACAGTGTCCCCCCTCCCCCCCCCCCTCCGCCAGCCACGGTCGGCCGCTGTGCCGCTGTGCCGCTTCCGGACGGTCCGGACGTTCACCAGCGTCGTCCGTCCCATTTCCGCTTCGCGGTCGCACTTGGGCAACGTCTTCAGCGTGCGATAGGCATGTCTCGTATCAGAGGCAGTTGGCCAGCACTATGTACTGTGCCAGCACAGCGTCTATCTGACGACAAGGTTGCAGCGCGCCACCCCAGTCCAAAACGATGGTTTCCCTAGGGTTATTATCGGGACGTCATCCTGCGCAGCATCGTCCCCTTCGGGCCGAGACCTGGCATCACTGGGATCACTGGATCACTGGACCCAGTTGTCATGGAGAGTTCGTCATGGGGGGACGGGTGTTTGCGGTTCATGGTTGCCACTAACTTCGGCCCGGCCGCCCCGAGTTGCAAGCACACTTGGTGCATTCCTTGGTGGTACGACGTTGCCGTGTGGGTACATCCGAGCGGAATGATCACATGCATATCTGTACTGAGCTACTGGCCGTCGTTCTCGTAACCTTGTCGGCGGTAGTTCGGGGGCACCACCGACGCCTTTGGGTAGCCGATAAAGGGCCAGAAAATCGCCGCAGAATGTCTGTGCTGTACTTGTCTTGCATGTGGCTGTTTATTGCTATTAAAATTGTTTGATGACGAATTTCGAGTGGATTGAGCGCAGAGAGGCTCCACGAGGCGTCCGTGCGACTGCACACTGTGGGACAAGGACAGACGACCACACGGCAGGTGGTGATGACAGCCCCCCACCACCAACCAAGTACCCGACAGTCGTTCCGTCCACACCACCCTCACAAACTGCTCCCCCCTGCCTCCGCAAGGTACCCGCTGCACCCAAAACCCACTGCCACCGATCAAACCCCCCGGTGGTCCCTGCCTCACACCTTGCCTCCCCCTGTTCCGCTGGCTTCCCGGGACGCGCATCCGAGTCACCCCCGCACTCTCCACAAACGCACATGTTCGCCTCACGCCGGCGGCGCTGGCCGCCAGCGCAAGCGGATGGGTGCACCGTATCCTCCGTTCGCCTCGCCCGATTTAGCCAAGGCACTTCGCCCAGCGGTTCGGGCGCGCCCATGGCCCATGGCGAGAGCATGCAGAAGTGTCTATGAGGCAGGGGCCGCCTCGCGTGCCCACTCCTCGGGGGTCTTGAGGCGGAGGCTCAGGGCGTGCAGGCCCGCGTCAAACTCGTCCTTGAGCAGCGAGTTGACCAGGCGGTGGCGAGCGATCTGGCTCTTGCCTGCAAAGGCACCAGAGACCACGGCGACTGCAAAGTCTGTAGTACGCAGAAAGAGTAACACCGGGGGACAGTGACAGTGCACAATAATGATGTGTGCGACGGCAACGGGTGACGAAACAAAGAGCGAGACGACGGGGGGTGCGCGAAACGCGGTGCCGGCAGAAGGGTGGCGATCGTGGATCGTGGCACGGGCGTTCGATGAGGGCCGAGACCACGCAAACGAGAAGGTGTGTGAGACACGTTTTGGCGATATGGTGGTCGTGCAGGCAATGGGTGTTATTTTGTTGGCAAAATCACACGACAGAACGAAGCAACAAGGTTCAGTCGAGAGAATGACAAGGGGGCGACAGGCACAGCGTCCGAACGCGGAGATGTTTCGAGGACGACAACGACAACAGAGAGGATTCGTCATAAGTCGCGCGAGTGGTTGAGGTGTTGCCGAGAGTTGAGTGTGCGTGGCACAGAAAAAAAAACATGGCCATGTTGTTAACCGGCGACCGAATCGACCGAAGCGACGATCAGGTGCAAAGATCGGCACGGTATGCGCAAACATTAAACGCACATCGCGATTGTTACGCGAAGTCACGAGGTTGCCACCAGTGCGGATGGCCGGACAACGAACCGCACAAGCGAGCGGTGTCATGGTCATCGGGCCGTTAATGGGTGGGACATGAGGTCGGCCGGATGACACAAGGAACCCCGAGGCGAGGTGAAAAGTGTGGGCGGCGGTGAACCCAGATAGTTCAGCAACGGACAGCAATTGACGACCGAATGTCATTTGAAGACACAAGAGTGACGCAATGTCCATGTGTTAGGTTGCACAGAGCGTGTTGCGAAAGCGTGAGATCGGGAAGAGAATAACAGTCCATTAACGAGTGGAGCGGGTGGAGCAAAGGAAGCGAGGATGCACGTCAGCATTCCGAACCACAATATGGGAGGTTCCCAACAACGTACGGGATTCACCGGAGCCACCGTTCTGCGCGCGCATGGCAGCGTGGTGGGCGTGCTTGCTCGAGTCGTTCGAGATGCGGATCAGCTCGGGGTTGAAAGCGTTCATGAGCTGTGCAAGTGTCAGTCGCTCGTCTCTGATGCCGCACCGAGGGAGAGGTTGGAAGGAAGCTGTCCGTACGCTACGCCTCGGTTCCGCAAGGCTGGGAAAACAAGGTATGGCCACTTCCGCCTGATGTTGGCGGGAACGGCCGATGGAGCGCACATCATGAACGCTCCAAAGTGCGGCCCACTCAAAGTTGCGCAGTTCGCACCACTACGCAACTCACCTTGGCCTGGATGGCAGTCTCGACCGGGCCCGGGAGACGAGCAGCAGTGCGACCAGGAGCTGCGGACGTCGACGCGGACTTGGCAGGTTGCGAGATAGGAGACGACATGACGGGAAGACGCGCGGTTGCGGGACGGAGGTTAGAGAGCCAGAAGCGCTTGAGAAGGGATGGCGGGCGGGTAGAGAGCATCGAGGCCGGTGGGAAAGGACGGCTGGGAGGTGCGGACCGAGTGACCTGTTGGTTGTAGAAGGAGAGTGGTGGTTGTTGTTGAGACCGCAAGATATGAGCTTCAGGCGTCGAACTACGGAGGCGATGATGACTTGCACAGTTATCTGATTGCTGATTGGAGACGGGTGGCCGTATCACTAAAACCACGTGGCAATAAATAACACGTATAAATTTTATGCACTGGGACGGAATTCAGGTGGCAACAACGTCGAGATTCATCTTTGTCAACAACATCAACCCTCACTCTATCCCCAGACACCAAAAATGGCCATCCTCACAGAGGAGGAACGCGAGATCGACGCATACTCGGCTCTAGAGATTGAGTCTGGCGCGACGGCCAAGGATATCCAGCGCGCGTTCAGAAAGAAGTCGCTCAAATGCCATCCGGACAGAGTAGGTAGTCTCGTCATTGTTGCGGTCAATGCTGACCTACCAGCACCCAGGACCCGAGGCTGCGGCCATGTTCCGAGTGATATCGGTTGCGCTAGAGATTCTGCTTGACCCAGCAAAGCGCAAGTTTGTCGACACCAAGCTCGAGCAGTCGCGCGCACAGGCGGCGCGGCGCGCAGAGATGGACGCCAAGCGCAAGGTCGGTGTCGACGACTTGCTGCGGCGCGAAGAGGAGGCCAAGCGCTCGCGCATGGATGCCATCGAACGACGCAAGGCCGCTATGGAAGAGGAGAGGGTGCGCGAGAGTGGACGCAAGATGGTGGAGGAGGCAATGGCCAAGGCGCGCGCAGATGCCGCAGCTGCCATGGCGGCGTCTGAGCCAACACCAGGTTCTTCGTCATCAAGGCCAAAACCCCCACCCATTGCCCCACTCGACCTTACTCTCTCCCTTACGCTCCCCCCCACCACGGCCCTTGGCACTTCCGATGCCCTCCGTTCCGCCTTGGCACCGTACGGCCGCGTCTCGGACGTTGTTGTTCGACCCGCTGCGCAGAAGGAAGGCAAGAAGGCAAAGGGCCCGCGTGCGATTGTCGAGTTTGCGCCCGGAAACTGGGGCGGATGCTGGGCATGTGTCCGTGACCATTCGGGCGGCGACGGTGCCACTCCGATCGAGAAGGGCGTCAAGGCCAAGTGGGCAGCGACGGAACCCGAGTGGCTCAAGTGGGCCGAGAACTACGCCAGTCCCGCAGAGCGCAATAGCGCGACTAAGACCGCACCCACGACAAACGGCACAGCTTCATCGGCACCCACACCACCTGCATCGACAAGCACCACCACCACATCAGCTGCATACTCATCAGCACCGTCATTCGCATCTGCGCCTTCCTTCTCTTCCGCACCGTCATTCTCGTCCGCCCCGGACTTTGGCGACCCCAACGCTGCTGTGCGCGAACATGAGAGGGCCCGCGCTGCCAAGATTGCGCAAGAGGAGCAGGACACCGAGCTGCGTGCCGCTTACGAAAGCGCCACACTTCTGCGGATGCGCCAACGTGAACGAGAGAGGCTGGCAGAGCAGATTAGGCGCGAGGAGGAGGAAGAGTAGTGTATTTCATTTGCATGTTGTCACATTATCTGCGGCTGTCGGACGAGACAAGGACTAACGGGCATGTCTACTAGGCGACTAATGGGACTTGATTATATCCACTCGGTATGGATGTGCCACTCGACTGTATCTCGATGCCCACACTGAGTCAGGGGGTTCAACAGACACAAGCTGCACCTCTACCTGACGCTCCTCTACAGTGAATCCTAGATCTGTGAGCTGATGTTGCAGCACTGCGCCATAGATCCGCCGCCACAGATCGTGTTTCGGGCCAGTCGCTCAGTGCGATCGAACCGCCACCTACTGCTTCTTACGGACTGCGCACGGTTGCAAAGATAACCCACCACCGATCATATTGTGCTGCCGATACTAGCATACCGTTCTCCACCACATGATATCGGCCCGACACTCCTCGCCGGTATGTAGCGGTCGAGGATGGACTCGTCTGGCAGTGGGAAGTGCTCGCCTAATCCTGGTGCCTCCAATCGGTCCGCCCCCCATCCCACGGCCCGCACCATTTGCCCGAGCCCGACAAGTCGCCCCGCGGTGAAATGCGCAGCTGACATCGTCCGGGCTGTTCGGCATCGCGACCCTGGTGGATACACGTCCTTCCTAGATCCCCTCCCCACTCGTCGTTCCTTTAACTTTCCTACAGGTTGTCGTGGTCCTGGCTGGTTTGAGCCTGGCCGTGGGTGTTTTCGTCATTGTTTGTTGCTCCCTGTTGCTGGCAAACTTTTGGAGTTTGTGCAATTGGGCGTCCTGTCAACAACTGCCTGTTGCTTTTCTGGGTCTTGCACGTTGGTCCTTCCCGGCGGCACGCGGGAGATCCAGATCTCGGAAGACGAATGTGAGTAATCAAATGGCCGCGTAACGTAACACATGTGTATGAGGACCTCCCTGGCGCAGACGTCAGTTCCCATCACATGCGCTCCTTTGCTGCCTCCCTTGTCCTGCCCCCGGCTTCCCTGTTCAGCTCAACACCACTATTGTTGTACGTTTGCATAGTCTTTTCCGTATGTTTTTGTGGTAGTTTGGCATTTTTCTCTAGCGGCGTCCCATCGGCTGCTTGCTCGCTGCGCGCAGTTCGCTGTGTCATGTCAGTTAAACTGCCCAACGCGGAGAATGTAACTCACTTGTACGCCGATTCGATGCACTTGTAGATATCACGGTACTCGACGACCAGACACGACTGGGAGTCGCGAGAGACAAGCATGACCTTCTCCCTGCTCCTTGCGCCAGCGTCAAGCTTGTTGAGCGTCGTGAGGACATGGGACATGTCCAGGACGGGCTTGCCATTCGCGTCGACTTGGTGGAAGACGTAGTCGCGGAACAGCTTGAGAACATACCGGTCGCCGGACTCGGACCACTGGGGGTCCATGTCAAACTCGGGACGCTCGTTGATAAAGCCCAACTTAGTTATGAGGCGCGCGATGCGGCCGTTCTCGACCTCGGCCCCGAGCTCGCTCTCGAGCACGTCGTTCTGCGTCTGCAGTGCGTCGAGCTCGTTGAGGATTCGGGGACCGGCCAGTCGGAGAACCTCGTCGATGCTCTTCATCGCCGTCGGCTTGGCGAGGAGGTAGGCGACGAGGTTCTTCAGGTCAAGACTATACGCGCGCCCAATGTACTCGAGGCCCTGGGCGTAGTGCTGGCCCGGCTGCATGTAGTCTGAGCACAGCGACAGGATCAACTGGCCAAAGTTGTACAGGTCCTCCTGCTGGAAGAGCGGCATCGGGGTGGCATTGTCAAACGCAAGGACGTCCAGAATGCCGACACCGTTGATGCGCACGCGGTTCTTGCCCGTGATGAGAATCTTGGTCGCATCCAGGCCGCGAACGGCAAGACCAGCAGTGTGAATCGCCTTGAGTGCGTTGGCAATCTGGATCACGTAGCTCCAGATAACACGCTCTGGGATCGGCACGTTGGCCTGGCGACGGCGCGCAATGCTCTCCTGACTGAGCCACTCGTCGGCGACGGTGACAGCCTCGGGATGGAAGTCGTACACCATGACAAGGGCTGGCGTCAGTTTAGACCTCTTCAACGCAACTCACAATTGTCATTGAAAGCCTTGGTAGTGAACGCCTCGCGCAGACCAACAATGTTCGCGTGCCGCATTTGGCACCAAGTCTCGACAGCGGCAAACGCTGCCTCGCTGGCAAGCTTGAAACCTGGCGTCAGCCCTCCTCTGCTTGAAATAGCTTACCCTCGATACGGCGAAGACAGTAAACGTTACCATCAATGGTGCTGTTGGCGCGATACGCCGGACCGGGGTGGTGGTACACCCTGCTGACAGCCGACTGGGTGGCCGGGTTGCCCAGGGGAACAAGCGAGTGGTACACATGCACCTCGCTAGGGAGGCTGGAGGCAATGCCTGGGTTGGCATAGGTCGCCTCCTGGCGAGCATGGATCATACGACGAAGGTCGTCCGGGATGAAGAACGAGCGCATGGGCTGCCTACCAACAACATGTGGCAGCGGCGCAGTGTACAGGTGGTGATCCGGCTGGTCGTCAGCTATCGCAATGTGCGCGCGTCAACTCACCACTACTCGGCGCTGCGGCGGGGCCATGAACATGGAAGCGTCCATCGGCTGCTCGTAGGTTGCCAGCCCCTCCTCGTATGTGTGAACGGGGACGGCAACAGGAGCGACGGGGGCAGGAGGAGGAGGGGGAGGGGGAATGGTGGGCTCGGCTGGCGGTGCAAACGGCGCGGCATTCATCCACTCGGAGCGAGTGCTCCTGCCGTCATCAGCACCGTCGACAGCAGCCACGAACTGCTGGGGCGAGGTCTCGCCGAGCGACGCTGTCTTGGGCACAAACACAGGCGCGGCGAGGTGCTCGACACCGAGACCCGATGGGGCGCGTGCCTCCTTGTCTGGCGTGGCGTACGGTACGGCGGACGCACTGGTGAGGTGTCAGACCTTGAGAATATACGAGGGAGCTCACTTCAGCGTCGTCGCCTTGGGAGTTGGAGGAGCATTGGGAGGTACAACAGTGGGGTCGGTTCCGGGCTAGCGGGGTCAGCACACTGCACGCAATGCAAAAGGTGGACGGCTTTGAGAGCCAGAATTGGGATCACACACCGGAGGATGATAGTACGCGCACTGGGGACATGTCAGCAAGGATCTCATATGAACGCCAAGACTGATGACTCACACCTTGGTCCTGGAAGCGACACGAGCTTGGGGGTCAACACGATGGCAGAGATGGGTTACGTACCCATAGATTAACACGTTCCGGCACAACCTCTGGGTCGCATCTGATGCTGGATGGTCAGCACAAGTTGTTGATTGTCTTTCGCGCGCCGCAGCTGTGCGCAGGACGCGCGCGTGCGTGCGCTTTGCCTGCGAGGCGCAAACGAGAGCGGACAGGGGCGTGTCCCACCCACTCGTCTGCGCTCGTCTACGCATACGCGCGTGCTTGCTCGCGACCACAGCCATCGCTCTACGCACCCTTCTTCCGGTCGGGAGTCTCGGGCTTGGGCGTGTCGGGGGGGCGGACGATCTGGATCGCCGCGGAGCGGGCGGGGGCCGCCATGGCCGTAGTCCGCTGCTACGCGGGTGCGGCGGCTAGGGGCGGCGGAGAGGGTGCCAGACCTGGGCGATGGGGGGTGGTGCCGAGGGAGGCGTGTGGACACAGAATGCCAAGAAGACGCTGAGAACAACGGAGGATATGTGTAATGGGTGGATGCAAGACGAACGGCAGAGATGACAAGGGAACACGTCTGAACGATCTAGCCGCTTGGCTTCGGGTGGCGGTTCGCACCGATGGTGGCAGGCTCGCGGGTACAGCGGCGACGTGCAGTCTGGTGCAGGTCGTTGACATGGATGCATGCTATGGAATACTCGCTCGCTGCTGGACGCTACATGGGCCACGCTGGACGCTATCGCACCTGCTGTTCTCGGCATCACCGACAGCGATTCAAACAGTCAGGGCTCTCGCAGTGCGCGCGTCCAGTCGATCCATTTTGCTTCCGCTCGCCGTGCACTTTGCTGGGGAGCCCGGATGTTGGGTGGCGCTGCGCACGCCATACAACAACCCATTCCGATCTCCAGAAGTGCAGCTGGAAATGCAAAGGATACATGAAAGTGGTATAGCAGTAGTGCAAGGTATACGTCTAGATGTCGGCCCAGATCAAGCCTGGGTCTTGTCCTGCTCGGCCTGCTTGGCCCAGTGGGCTTTACCGAAGGTGGCGGCAACGACGAGCGGGAAGACGAGTGTCGCGTCCGCGTACACCTTGACGCTCTGTGCGTTGGCACGAATCTTGCCCCACGAGACGGCCTCGTCAGGACGAGCGCCAGAGTCCGAACCATCGTACTGACGTCAGAACAGTTCCTCAGGGCAAGACTCACCTCCTGGCCGGTGTTGATGTAGACAGCGTAGTCGGCACCGTTGCGCTGTTTTCTGGTCAGCGAGCTTATCAAACGAATCGGGAGCTCAGACTCACGAAAAGCATGGCGTTGGCGATCTGGTGCTTGCACACACCACCACCGAGGACAATCATACCAGCCTGCTTGGCCTTGACGCTCATGTCGTTGAGACGGCGGATGTCGCCGACAATGTCAACGTTGAGAGCCGGGTCCGCCTTGTACGAGTGGAAGTACATCATGTCGCCGAGCGAGCCGTCGGTAAGGGCGGGGCAGAACACGGGAATGTCGTTCTGAGGGTCAGCTAAACACTAACACGGGTAAAGGACAGCTCACCTTCCAACACCAGTAGTAGACGCTCTCCTCGTTGTTGATCTCCTTGCCGAGACGGTTGATAACCTTGCTAGGAGTCCAGTGCTCCTTCTCGGGACCCTCCTGCTCCTTGACCATCTCGTCAAGGATGGGCATGACCCAGTCCTCAAACGAACAGTAGTTCGAGTTGGGAACCAGGAGGTTGCCGATACGGTTGAGACCCTTCTTGCGGAGACCGGCACCGTCGAGGTGGAACTCGCCAAGAATGGTGGAGCCAAGGCACTTGACAAAGTCCTCCTCGACACCGCCAGCGGTGGTCACAAGGGCGTCGATGAGCTTGTTCTTGGCAAGGAAGAGGATGATCTCGCGGAGGCCGGACGAGATGAGGTTCGAGGTGTAGCCAAGGAAGAGGGTGAGGGGCTCCTCGGTGTTCTCACGCTGCTTGCGCTAAAGGAGTTAGATTTGTCGCGGCAAGGTTGACTCACCATCTCTTCCACAATCTGGATAGCACGGGCCATACCAGTGGCCTGGAAGCCGATGGTCTCGTATGACTTCAGGAGATCGGTCAGGTCGACGGGCTTCTCAAAGTCGGGGCCCTTGACGTGGACCGCATTGGCGGGGATCTCCTCGGAGGGGGTGAGGACACTGGCGTGGGCCGTCGAGGTGGACATTGTAGTTGGGTGATGAGGTAAGAGATGCTTTCATTGCTGTTCTGATTTCTTGAAATCTTGAAATCGCTCGTTCCTTCGGCTCAACCCGGTGACTGGCGGATGCTCCTCCACGTGGTGTTACGTAAGTAATTCCGTCACTCTCACGGCCTGATATTGCCCCTCATTCAACACTGAAGTGACTTTCAACAACAACAATCACATACACCCCGCAATGGACAGGCAGGACAGGCCCTCACCGGGCATATCTCGTCTCCCAACAGCGTCAAGAACTCCGCTCGGTCGATCGACACTGGCAAGGACGCCCCTCAGCTCTACACTCGGCAAGCGCGCGGCTGGCGAAGCTGGATTGGAAGGTGGGTGATCGACTGGAGGCTCTGGCTTGCCTTGAGATCACAGCTGATTGTGTACAGATGCCTCATTGACGAGAAGAGCTTTGCATTCATCACAGGCGCGTACCTCTACTCTTGAGCGTAGGGTTGCCGAGCTCGAGCGCGAGGTGGCCGCCCGTGACGGAGATGTCGAGACACTGCAGCACCAGGTCGACGAGCTCACCAACACTCGCCATGTCCTCCTCGCCGATGAGGAGAGGGAAAAGGAGAGGGCCAAGCACAACGAGGAAGCATGGAGGTCGGAGCGAGTGAGTTATGATAGCTGCTGGTAGACGGCAATTTGTGGGGCGGGGCGTGGGATTGAACGCCCTGTCCGGTTGACAACCTACACGTGCTAATGGCAGAACGAACTCTTGAGGAAGCTCAAGGACACACGAGGCATGTTTGAACAGCAGCGCTCTGTTCTCACCGACCTGAAGGGACAGTACACCTCCCTCGCCTCTCAGTACCGCACCATCAAGGATGAATCCAAGCGCGAGGTCGCCCTCCTCGAGAGCCGGTTGACCGAGGTTGAGAGCGAGCGCGACAGTCTCAAAGGCTGGCACCGTCGTGCACAGGCGCTTGCGATTGAGCTCGAGGAACAGAAGCGCAAGGCCGAGGAAGGCGCACAAGAGAGGGACGACGAGGCTGCCGAGCGCAAGCGGGACTCTGTGGTTCGCGCCGAGCTGCAACGTGAGTTACGACGGGCTCATGCGTGGTGCTAAACTCCCAGGTCAATCCCAGAATCTCGTTACCCTGCAAACTACCAACGAGGTACTACAATCCGAGCTCTTTGAGCTCCGCAAGTGGAAGCAGGAGGCGGATGCCAAGAACCGAGTGGCCAAGGACAATGAGCGCATGCTGAAGGACGAGATCAAAGAGCTCAACGTCGAGCTGCGACGCGCGCGTGATGAGGTCGAGTGGGTGAGCAGATCGGAATTCAGCTAACCCATACAGCTCTCTTACCCAGACATTCCCTGCCGGCGGCACTACCGAGGATGCTGCCACACTGCAGTCGCGCCTGCAAGCCCTTTCCACACTACACGATGAGACTACCTCGGAACTGTCCACCGCCAATCGTGCAAACGACGAGCTGCATGCCCGCATCACAAAAGTCTCAAAGGAGAGCGCAAGTGCCATGGTCGAGCTTAAGCGCCGCCTTGAAGAGGCCGAGCGCGAGCTGCGTTGGGCCAAGGAGGGAAGGAAGAGTGCCGAGTCGCGCGAAAGGCTCGTCAGGCAAGAACTCGATGCCACGCGTTCCACTGGCGGCGGCAGCAGCGGTGGCGGTGACGCTGCACACGTCCAAAGGCTCGAGTCGCTTCTCGAGACATACCGTGCCGAGATTGAAGGCCTTTCTCGCGACTCACGCGACGTCGAAGACCGAGTTACTCGCGGAGCAGGTCTCGTCAAGGCGGACGAACTGGCTGCGGCACAGGAGCGGACTCGGGCACTCGAGCAGGAGCTCGTCATGCACCAGGGTACAATCGACGCCCTCACAGCCGCCAATAACTCGCTGGATGCCGAGGTGTCCGAGCTCATGCAGCGCCTGGCGTCTGGCGAGTTTAACCCCGAGCGCGAGCGTTGTCTGGAGCTGCGCGGTAACCCCGCTGCCAAGATCCACGCAGTGCGCACGGCACAGCTCGACGAGCTGAGAGAGGAGAACCAGGCACTCTTAGCACGTCTCGCGGATCTTGACCGCGAGGTGCCCGACGCCTCGGCAGCCGGACGCGGCCTCGTCCCTCGCGAGAGCTACGACAAGGTGGCCAAGGAGAAGGAGGAGCTGGAAATTGCCCACGAGAAGCGTCTGCGGCGGCTCAAGGAGGTAAGCTGGAACCTCTGTACCTCTGTACCAAGCTGACGCTGTTAGATCTTTGGTGCCAAGTCGCGCGAATTCCTCGAGGCCGTCTACTCACTTCTCGGCTGGCGTATCCGCTTCGACGAGAATGGCGCGGATATCCGTCTCACGAGCATGTACGCTCCCAAGGGCAAGATGGGCCTCACGCTCAAGTTTACCTCGAGCGAGGGCCATTTCGGTACCATGCACATGAGCGGCGGCATGGCGCGCTCGCTTGAGGAGGCACGCGATTTCTGGGTATCGGAACGCCAGAGTATCCCTGGATTCCTGGCACAGGTGACAAGCGAGCTGTTTGAGAAGACGACAGTGAGTCAACTATCTGACGAGTGACACAGCTGACGATCAGATGGGACGTGCGGCGGGATATGTGGGCCTCGACTGATCAGTGCCAGACCTTGCTGGATGGAAAGAAGTTTAGGAGGAGGCAGCAAAGACGAGGTTCCTGTAACGACTACATGCATATCACTACATCTCACCGCACTCCGATATGCGCACGCTGAGCTTTGGCCTGGGTGTGAGCTTCGCTGACGGGTTGGTCGAGCTCACCTGTTGTTGGCACCGGTCGGGACGTTCTCAATCTTGCGCACCGTGAGGAGACCGTCGATGACGCGGCCAAACACGCAGTGCTTGCCGTCGAGGAAGGTCGCAGGAGCAGTGGTGATGAAGAACTGGCAACCGTTGGTGTTGGGACCAGAGTTGGCCTGGGAAGTGTATCAGCACAGGCTGGTGATCGGACAATGGGCACAGGGCAGGGGGAGGGAGAAAGGGGCAGATGCAGGCGGTCAAGGATAGGGGCAGATGCAAACCGAGGAGTGGCCATGTTCGCTAAGCCGTCGGGAAGCAGCACGTACCATAGACAACAGGCCCGGGCCAGTGTGCTTGACGGTGAAGTTCTCGTCCTCGAAGTTGGCGCCGTAGATGGAGAAGGTGCCGGTACCATCGTGACGCAGGAAGTCGCCACCCTGGACCATGAACTGGGGGATCCTGCTGGTCAGCTACATTGCGGTGGTGATGCGCATAGGTGTCGTCCGAAGGGCAAACAAGTTGAATGGGTGAAGGTAGAGTGGACGTCGTCCATGCTCACCACGGCCCATCGCTTGACTCGGGTTGGAGGGGCCAGACAGACAAAGAGAAGAATACTCACACACTAGCAGTCAGCTTATGAAGACACGCAGTCGAGTGAGGCAGCTTACCGGTGGAAGGTTGACTTCTTGTAACCTTGCGGGGTGCTGTTCACGCTACGTGCGGTCAGTCAAGTTCAACCCGATATAGAGGAGGGAGCAACGCACCGGTGCTCGCCAGTACACAGCTGACGGAAGTTTTCAGCAGTCCTGCATGTTAGCTTTATCGAGAACCACAAGGCCGAAGCTCACTTGGGCGTGATGTCACTAAACAGCTCTGTGCAATGTCAGTTGTGTGCCCATAACGGGATGAGTAGAAGTTGAGGCCCGCTCGCTAGACTCACCCATCTTAATCCTGCCGGCAGGAGTGTCTCCGATAGTGACGTCAAAAAAGACAATGGGACGGGTGACACCCGCTGGTGCGTCGAGGGAAGCCATTACGGGAGTCTAGTCGGATGAGGAGGAGGAGGAGAGGTAAGAGATCAGTTGAGCCGTGTTTTGACGGCGAGCGTTCATGTGCGGCAAGCAAAGGTGGAGGTCAAATGACGGTCGCGTCAATTAAGGCGGAAGCAAATATCTTCTAATAGAACGGAACTAAAGGGACCCTCGCTTTGTTTTATTAAACAACTGGGCAGCGCCTGGGGGTACTGTTGGAGTGTTCTTCCAAGCCGTTGTGCCTGCGACGCGTTCGTTGACTGTCACGACTCCATATGCATCTCAAACTTGGCCACACGCTCGCACAGAGTGCATGCAGCCTGCAGATGTTCAAGCATACGCTCCTCTTCGGCAGCCTTCGAGGCGGTCGTGGGCCTGGTAGTCGTAGGAGAGGCAGGGCCGTAGTGGTGGCGGTGGATTCTGCTGTGAGAAAAGAGTGACAGTGGAGAGGGGGATTGGAGGAGTGGTCGAATGAGTGTGGATGCGTGTGTGCGTGGATGGGAAGGATAAGGGTAGAAGAGAAGAAAAGGAAGGGGGGAAGACACAACTTGACTCGCTCTTTAATGCCTCGCTAAACCAGGTTCTCCATACATGCATCGTACCACTCACGCCGTGCGTACGGAAAAGAAAAAACAAATTACAAAAACACCGAGGCAGCATTCTGCACTGGCGCACTGGCGCGCCGAACTGGTCGAAGGTCCTGAGGGTTGTTCGCGAATAGCGGAAACTTGAGGAACTGGCATAATGTAGGTCAGCACGAGGTTGTCTCGTATGTAAAACACTGCACAAGGGATATCGCCTCAGGAGGAAGCGGTAGAGGGATGATCGGGGTTACACTCACCTAGAGGCTAGAGGAACGTGTGACGCAGGGGCATGGAGGCGCTGAGGCGGTGGGCGTGCGCGTGCTGCGAGCACGGCACTGGTGGGTCACGTGACCGACCTTTTGGCACAGGCCACCACGGGGGAGTGCTGGGAGGGGCACCAGAGCCGGGCGCGGGCACCCACCTCCTCCTTGAGGGTGGCAAATTCGGCCTTGAGGGTGGTCAAGTTGTCCTTCAGCTGATCGACATCCGATGGCGGCGGACGAAGCCCTACCGGGATGCATTGCTCGTTTGAGAGCACCAACTTGATCAATTCGGCCTTGATACAACCTTCATGAGCAATGCCGTGGGCACTTGAGGGATCTTCCGGGCCCGGGGGAGGGAACTTGAAGAGAGGGGACGCTCGCAGGGCGATGGTCGTTACGAGGATGTACTAATTCTGATGTCTGTCAGCACTGGAGAAGACCGAGACTGAGGAGAGAAGGGAGCATTGAATGGGGACCACACGTACCTCACTCCGAACGGTAGAGCGGGAACCGGGGGATGGGCTTCGATGCGGCGGTGCTGCGGCTGGTGGTGCCCTGGCCAGAGATACCGCGGCACATGCGGGTGAGATGGCCGCTCTGGCCACATTCACCACACACGGCCGCGGCTTCCTTTGTGGCCACCGTACCGCTCCCCACGCGACGAGCGGGAAAGGCGCGGGGGACGGACGGGTCCGCCCCAGGCGCCTTGGTCTTGTGCTGCGCGAGCGCGTCGACGCGCGCGTCAGCGAGGGTGTTGTGCTGCTCGAGCGCGTCGACGCGCGCGTCGGCGAGGGTGTTGTGCTGCGCGAGCGCGTCGACGCGCGCGTCGGCGAGGTTCCTGTGCTTGTGGACATCGTTCTTGAGGGTCCTAAGCTCGGCATTCAACGACGAAACAGCGTCACGGGGCTTGTCGAGAGGCGACTCAAGTGGACGCCTGTCGGACGGGACACAAATATCATTCCTGACCACACGGTCAACAAGCTGGCGCGATGCCGAGGTTGTTGTCGTAAGCCGCCATCGGCTTGCGGATGTGCTCGCGGCACATGCGGGAGACGTGACCCGTACGTCCGCAAAAGCCACACTTGGCGACTCCCATCGGGTCGGTCGCCTCCTCGTCGACGGTTTTGTTTGCCTCGGAGGACGAGGCGACGGCGCGGTGGCCCGCGGCACCATCGGCCTCCTGCGACTTGAGTGCAGTGACTTGCTGTTGAAGGCGCTCGTTGGCAGCCTTGAGCTCCTTCATCTCCTCGTCCTTGATGGCAAGGTCGGCCTGGAGAGCCTTGACATCGGCCTTGACGTTCTCCACGGAGACTTGGAGGAGGTCCATCGGCGAAGGAAGAGGGAGGAGGTGGTCGGGGATACACGTGCGGTTCTGGACCACACGGTGCACCAGAGCCGTCTTGGAACCCTCGACGCTGAGTTCCTTGGACTCAAGCCAGGAGGTGAGAGTCTTGACGGTGTGGCGACCGACCGTCTTGTTGGACACTTCGGTTAGCCTTGCGGGCGGCTTGCCAGGGCGCGCAGGAGGCATTTTGGTGGATGCGAACGGTGGATGGGTAATTGAGGACTCGATTGGACAGGTGACAAAGGAAGGTGGTTGGAGATCAGCGAGGAACCAAACATCCAGTGGCTGGCGCTCGCTGGTGGCTGGCGATCGCTCCTGTGGCCCCCCGTTGACCGTTGGAACCCTCATCCACGTTTATGCGGCAGCAGCGAGCCGGCCAGTTGGAGTATAGTCCAGGCGACTGCATTGTGCATAAATGGTATGCCGCTGTATACATTCACTCATGGCATTGGCGAACACCCACTCGCTGCCGGACACGAGTTCCATGCTATCGAGGTGTGTGCGCCCACGCGCCGCAGTGCCCCTTCCTTGCTGCACCGCCAACACAGCATCCTTCCATGGCCACGCTGCAGGCAGCCAGATGCACAGCTGCTCGTGTGTAAAATCAGGCCAACCGATCACAGACAGCCATTTTCCACGTCAACATTGAAGGTGCAGGCTCATCTTTATCTCTCTTGGTTCCGAACAATCCCCCCCCCCCCCCTCCCACAGCGTGGTATTGCGTCGGATTATCATCTACCTTCCCATCTGGGATTAATCGTTTTAATGGCAGCGAGCGTACCATCCATCTACAGGTTCTTGCCTGCCAGATGTGAAGGCAGGTGTTGGGCATATAGTGGAAGAGCTCTTGTCGAAACGCCACTGTACTCAGGTCAACTGCGGGACCGCTCTCTGCCTCATTCCTCGTCGGGGACGAGAGCTGCCTTATTTTCCACCAAGAGGCCAGGGCCGCAAGAGGTGGGGGGAGGGGAAGAGCGAAACCCGAGAGTTACAGCGTGTGGTACCCGTTCGTCTACAGCAGTACGCCACCAATCTGTGCCAGATCCGCAGCATTAACTCCGGCTGATTACGCGGCAAAAAAGCCCCGCCAATACCGGCGAGGATGCCGACCCTTCCGGACAACGACAAGAGGCTGTGGCATGTGGGTCCATCGCCGTCTCAGTCGACGCGGGCATGTATAGTCGTGGCGGGCTTTTGGCTTGGGGCGCAGTGGAGCATGCATGCCCGATCCTTGTGTGCACTTTATTGCAAGACAGTGAAAAGCCATGGCCAAGCATGCAGAGGCGGACAGTGATCAGTGGTCAGTGAATGGACGAGACTTGACTGGCGGTGATGGACGCCGCGAAACGCCCAGCGCTGGGCGTTGAGGCGCCTCCAACAACAAATTGCAGCAGATAGGTCACTTGCTGGCTGGTAGCATATGGTTTCGGACACGGTCTCATGCACCGTCCCTCGGTCGCCGCGCGTCCGAGACTGCTGCCAGGACGAGTCCTTTCAAAATGCGGGTTCGCTTACTGGCAGGCTTCGTGGCCTCCCGGCCCCCGGTGATCCAATTGACGTCACTGCGATCTGGGCACCCGTCAACCACTACACGGCCACTACATATATTTAGCCCGTACGGCCCACGTTCATGTCTCGTCTCTCTACAACATCACACACATCCAGCTCCACAATGGCGCATCCACCTCCTGACAAGTGTCCTGCCAACCCTGCTTCGGCGGCGACGTGTCCAGTCGCCCATGACGCTCCGGTTGCTCCGACCCCAGCGGCCGCCACGGGTCGGGGTGACCCCCCAGAGTGGGTGGACGATGGCACTCGCACCGCGATCCCACAACCGCCTGAGCGCCTGCTGGTCGGTAACCTACTCGATATCGATCGACAGGAGGCGATCCAGTCTCTGCGCCGCCTCGCCCACCTCTATGGCCCAATCTTTCAGCTGCGCCTGATCAAGCTCGTCTGCTTCGCCTCTTCCCGCGTCATCGTCAACCAGTTATGCGATGAAAACAAGTTTGAGAAGATGCTGAGTTCTGCCCTTGTCCAAGTTCGGTCCTTTGCCGGCGACGGTCTGTTCACGGCGTACACGGGGGAGCACAACTGGGACCTTGCGCACCGTATCCTTGTCCCAGCGTTTGGGCCCCTGGCTATTAAGAAGATGCAACCCATGATGATGGAAATCATCTCGCAAATGCTGCTCTTCTGGGAGCACCACGCCGGACAGCCGTTCGAGGCCGCCGACCAATACACCCGCCTTACCTTTGTGAGTCCTGCAAGGTTCGATTTGCAACTGACACCCAGGACACGATCGGCTGGTGTGCGTTCCGCTACCGCTTCAACTCGTACCACACCGAGAAGATGCACCCGTTTATCAACATCATGGTCGACCTTCTCCTCGAGTCTGGCAACCGCGGCCACCGCCCTGGTCTCATCCAAGCCTTGATGTTTAACAGCGAGCTCAAATACCAAGAGAACATCAAGGAGCTTCATCGGCAGTGCGACGAGATTGTGGCTGCTCGCAAGCGTGACCCGGATCCGGACGCGCATGACCTACTCAACAACATGCTTCTCGACAAGGACCCCAAGACGGGAGAGAAGCTGTCGGACGAGAATATCCGCAACCAGATGGTTACATTCCTCATCGCCGGCCACGAGACGACCTCTGGTTTGCTCAGTTTCGCGACCTACTATCTCCTCAAGAACCCTCGTGTGCTCATCAAGGCCCGTGAGGAGGCAGACAAGGTTCTCGCCGAGGCCGGCGGGAACCTCAACCACATGAACTCAGCGAGTCTCGTTTACATTGACGCTATCTGCAAGGAGACTCTGCGCCTCCAGCCGACCGCCCCCGCGTTCACGGTCACGCCGAAGAGCAAGGAGGGTGAGATCCTGCCTGGCGGCTACGAGATCCCCCATGGCCAGGGAGTCACTGTACTCCTCCACGAACTTCAGCGCGATCCAGAAGCATGGGGCGAGGACGTCAATGACTTCCGTCCCGAGCGCTTCCTCGAGGCTCCCATCCCCAAGAATGCCTGGAAGCCATTCGGCAACGGTGCACGTGGCTGCATCGGTCGTGGCTTCGCCATGCAGGAGGCTGTGCTCGCCATCGCTCTCATTGTCAACCGCTTTGACCTCGAGATGGCCAACCCAAGCTATGACCTGGGCATCAAGCAAACTCTCACCATCAAGCCCAAGGACTTCTTCATTGTCGCTCGCCCACGCAAGGACCGTCACCAGAGCCTCCTCTCCGAGCTCATTGCCGGCGGCACCGCCACCGCTGCTGGCGAGGACGAATCCAAGAAGACGCCTGTTGCTGCCGGCACTGCCAAAGCGGGTGGCAGCAAGCTGTATGTTCTCTTCGGGTCCAACTCGGGTTCGTGTGAAGGCCTTGCCCACGATATTGCTCGTGACGGCTCCCGCCGTGGATTTGACGTTACCCTCGGTGACCTTGACACTGTTGCCGGCACAGGCAAGCTGCCGACCGACGGCCCTGTTGTCATCTGTACAGCAAGCTACGAGGGTCTGCCGACCGACAACGCACGCATGTTCTATGCTTCGCTCCGTGCCGACAGCAAGGACACCATGAAGGGTGTCAAGTTCTCCGTCATGGGAGCCGGTCACCACGATTGGGCCACCACGTTCCACAAGGTCCCGACGTACATCGATGAGCGACTTGAGGAGCTCGGCGGCGAGCGCCTCCTGCCACTCCACAAGGCGGATGCCGGAGGCGACATCGTCGGAGACTTTGAGGAGTACCAGACCGATCTCTGGGCCAAGCTCGGCGGTGACTCGAGTGGTGCTTCGGCCACTGCGACGGCAGCAGCGGTCCCCGCTGCCGACACTGGTGCCGGTGGCAAGCCCAGTCTCCCCGTCCGCATTGTGCCCCGCTCGGCCAACGCCGCTGCCCAGCGTGTAGCGGCTGGTATTGACAGTGTCGGCACTGTCTCGTCACAGGATGTCCTTGTCAACGTCAGTGCCGATCACCCGCAGATGAACAGTATCACCATCAAGCTCCCCGAGGACCAGACGTACCACGCTGGTGACTACCTCGCTGTTCTCCCCAAGAACCCAGTTCAGGCAGTCGAACGTGTTGTCAAGCACTTTGGTATCCAAAAGGACGACAACATTGTCCTCTCCCTCCCCGGATCGTTCCTGCCGAACGATACGCCCATCAATGTCTCGGACCTGCTCAGCGAGTACGTTGAGCTCGGCCAGCCAGCTTCCAAGACACTCCTTCCCAAGTTGGCGAACATGTGCACCGACTTGAAGGAGCGTGAGGCAATCAAGGCTCTCGAGGACGACTATGTTGAAAAAGTCACAAAGGCGCGTCTCTCCCTCGTCGACATTCTGGAGAAGTACAAGTCGTGCGCGGCGCCACTGGACTTCTTCCTCGCCAACCTCCCAAAGATGAAAATCAGGCAGTACTCCATCTCTTCTACTCCCCTCGACAGCTACGACACGGTCAGTCTCACGTTTACGGTCCACACGGTCCCCAGTGCCGACGGCAAGACCTACTACCCCGCCGGCGTGGCCAGCAACTACATTGCCTTCCTCAAACCCGGCGACAAACTTTTATGCGCCGTCAAGGCCAGTGCCGAATTCCACCTGCCGACCGACCTCGCCACGCCCGTGGTCATGTTCACGGCGGGATCGGGCATTGCCCCCTTCCGCGGTTTTGTCATGGAGCGTGCGCTGCAGAAGGAGGCCGGGCGCAAGATTGGCCCCATGGTCCTGTACTACGGCTGCCGCACCGAAGACGACATGGTCTACCGCGCCGAACTGTGCAAGTGGGTCAAGGACGGCGTGCTCGACCTGCGGCCCGTCTTCTCGCGCTCCACGGCCCAACCAACCAGCTTTGCCGGCACAAACACGACCATTGTTCCTGGAGCGAAATATGTCCAGCACCGCGTGTGGGAGGAACGCAAGCAAGTGGAGGACCTGTTCCACGCCGGCGCCCAGTTTTACACGTGCGGCTCTGGCGCCAAGCTCGGTGCCGACCTCCGCAAGACTCTGGTCGACATCATTGGCCAGACGAAGAAGTGCCAGGAGGCTGGAAATGACCCGCAAAAGGTGTACGAGAAACTTGCGCAGAACAGGTACAAGACGGACGTGTTCCTGTGAGTTGAAAAAAAAATTAGCAATAAAATAGCAATTTGTATCCCAAGTGTGGCCTGCTGCTTAGTTGAGGCGTGAATGCACCGAACGCGTGGATTGTCATGCAGGCCGCGGGCCGTGAAGAGCTCAGGCTCGACATCTCTCGCACCAGCAGGGCCCCTTCACACAGGGCTGTTACCAACACCGAGGCCTGGTTATATCAGTCGGTAGATAGTTTGACTCTTACTCCATTGTTAGGATATCAAAATGTCATGGGTTCGAGCCCCATACTAGGCTACAGCAGCATCCCCAAGGTGCTGTTCGTCTCTTTTGGTCCCCCCGGATGTCGAAAAGAGTCGACAAGAGGTTGGTTGACAGGGTGGAACGACGACGCGCGGTCTCTCGCCGAGAGTCGGAAGTGCCACAGCCGAAAAAGAAAAGAAAGAAAAACGGGCCGCCTGTGTGCTGGCGCACGGATCACCGCGCACGGCTGCACACTCCCGCTCACTTGCAGGTATGCACAGCGATCCAGCGACCTGGTACGCTTCGGGAAGTCAGTCGTACCGCACTGTGTGCACCGTGTGCACCGTGCCCACCATGGGCCACCTGACCCTGGCAGGGGAGGTGGGAACGAAGAGGAACAAGGGGGAGGGAGGCCAGATCTCCAGGATCTGAGGTGGCGGCGGCGCAGAACAGCCGCCGATGGTCCAGATGCAAGCCACTGTTGATGCAGATATGCTTATGGCAACGTGGGGGATGAGGCCATAGCCATAGGCCACACAGGCCCGTGTTCTTTCGGCGCAAAGTGCCACCCATGTGCCCATGTGTGCCGGACTGCGTGCCTGCGTGACACCCACTCATGTAGACGGAATCCCGTCGTCCCATGTGCTCCCCGCCGCCTGTCCCATGCCCTCCCAGCGTCCACTCCCAGCGGGTGCTGTAAGCGTGACAAAATAGAGTATGACATGTCTGCAAGTGTTCCCTTTATATATGTAAGCTCCTAGATTGCACGATTCTGGGAATCGCGCATCTCCGGTGTGAATGGTTGTGTGGTGGTATGGTGGTCATAGTGGCGTGGTGGTGGTACGTGTGGTCATGAATTGCGTATTGCGTAAGGGAGGTAATCATGATCGTTCGCCCGCGTGGTTGCCGTTATTGCTCATGAGTGCCTCGACATCGTCATGGTGTCCTGCGGAGCCATATCGCTGCTGCTGACCGCTCGCCGCCGAGGTTGACGCTGTAGCCGAAGGGGCGAGGGACAGGTTATCGCTCGACTGGGCGCTCTGGCTCATGTGCTCGCTCTCAATGTCGTCCAAGCTCAGCTCCGAGGTCGAGTCTTCGTTGGAGGGCTCAAGCGCTCGTCCAGCGAGACCTAACATGGTGTCGGCACCGCCGGCATGGTAAAGCATCGAGTTGCGCTTGTTCCGTGCTGCCGAGGTCGCGTCGTCCGGGCTTCCAGCGCCGCCTGGTGAGGCAACCTCGCCTGGCACCTGGAGACCAGCCGCGGGCGTAGCCGTAATCTCATCAAGCGGGAGCTCGTCGACACCTTCGTCGTCGAAGATGGCGCCGAAGCGGCTGACGAGCTCGTAAAAGATCCCGGCGGGAATACCAAGAGTGGGCGAGAAGACGATACCAATGTTTCGCAGCGTCATCTTGTTAACGGACGAGTTGCGCACAATCAGGATTAGGTGTGCGGTGAACGCGCGTAAGAGGGTGTAATTGGCTGGCGGGAGCTCTGCGACAAGGCGCGACAGCTCGGCAACGCGGGCCGACGAATCGACAAGGTCTGAAGCGTTAGCGGAGGTGGATGGAGAGGGAAGGGAGACCTCAACTCACCAATGACAGCAAGGAATCGGATGTGCAGCTCCCTAGTAAGGAGACTAGTAGGAAGTTCGCGCAGGTACGTCTTGAGGAGACCGGCGATGGCATGTGGGTCCCAGCGTTCGTCCATCTGGAGAAGGTTGACATCGCCCTCGTGGTTGAACCTTTCCTTGAGGCCCTTGATGACTGCACTACTGCCACTGAGGCGGTAGATACCCTCTTCTTGGTCGGCCTGCTTGGATTCGAGGTATTCGATACACCGGAAGACAATGGCTGGGAGGCCAGCGACAGAGGCAATGGCAAGCGAGTCTGGAAGCGGGATCCCAAAGACGGGTCGAGTGGCTGCGCCCTTCTCGGGTGGCGCCTTGCCGAAGCCCCAGAAGCGACCCGACTTGGCCTTGCGGTCGCGGTCACGGTCCACAGGGTATCCTGGCACTGAGCTGATGCCGTCGTTGGATAGCTTGGAGAGGTAGGCTGGGGAGAACGACTGTCGAACGGGCATGGCACTCTGGCGTTTGGTAGGTTTAGGGGTCGGTCCGTCGATGGGGCTGGACAATTGGCTTTTAATGTCGGCACTGTTCATGCCCGAACCACTCGTAACAGTAGTCAGGGGATGGCCTGGACCTCCAGCGCTACTGGAAGAGGGCTCTCGGCTGGGCGTCTGGCCAGCAGTTGTGTGGAGGCTGCGCTGCGACTCCATGAGGTTGATGACGCTCGGCAGCGGTGCGCCCGAGATGAACTTTGCGTTGGCGTCTGGCATCTGAGACATGGGCTTAGCCGAAGTGACGACGACGTCCTTGCTCGACTTGCGGATCGCACTCCGTCGGCGTTGGTGGCCTAGTTGAGCGGACATGGCGTTAGGTGGGCCGCTAGCGTTTTGAGGCGGCGGGGATTGCACAACCGGTGCGGGTGCAGGTGCGGGTGCGGGTACGGGTGCGGGTGCCGGGGGCTCAGGCTCGACCTGACGAACGAGCATCTCGATCCAGCTGTCGCGCTCCATGTCGCTGCCGGCGCACAGGACGTGACGGTTCTGGTCCCTTCTGGACGATGCCTCGATGATAAGGAAAGCATGGCGGAAGTTGCGCTCGTCACTCGAGTCGGGAGCGCGGTTCTGGCGCCCGATTTGAGCGCCGGTGATGGTAATCGTACCCAAATAAGTGCCACCACGAGACTCGTAATACTTCATGACAGGGCCGTCCAGGATGAAGTAGCGCGTTTTCCAACCGCCAAAGTTTTTGCCCTTCTTGGTAAGGTAACCTTCCTTGCGTTGCTGGTTCAACTTGGTCTGCACCACGTCGGTGGACAAGAAGTTGCAGAGATCCGACTTGTCGCTCACGGGCGCGACGAGGAGCGACTCCAGGTAGTGCTCCAATGCGACCTTGCGCTGATCAATCTTGCTGGGCGCAAAGTCCTTCCAAGCCTTGCCCTCCGGCAATGGCGCGACCATACGTTTCCAGTCTTTTCGGTTCTTGCCAGACCGTTCCTGTGTGCGCTGGTCGAGTTCCATAAAGGCTGAAAAGGTCTTGCCGACGGTCCACTGTAGTGGTTGGGTCGAGTTCGGTGGACGGACCTGCACTTGGACGATAAAGCAGAGCACGTCGCGCCCGCTTTGGTTGGGGTAAACGGACGAGTGGGGGATGGAGAGCCGGGCATGCGGAAGGAGCGCTGGGGTGAGGACCATGTGGTCGGGAATCTGCTGGGCTGCGGGAGGAGTGATGAGGGTCGTGGATTCAATCGATGGTCGTGCGTCGGTGGCGGGCGACATGGGTGGACGGGACGTAACAGTATCTTGAGATGGTCGTGGCGAGGTGCTCGTGAGCTCCTCGGACAGCTCAGCGATTGGCGATGCGCGCGCGCTCTCGCCTGGAGAAGTTGTGTAACCAGTTGGGACGTCTGAGCCCACAACCGCGTTCTCTGGAATGAAGGAGTTGCTGAGCTGCTGGTCCTTCTGGTCGGCCAATGCCATAAAGGACGCGACCTCGGGGGGAAACGTCATTCGACTCTCGTGACGTAACCTCTTCTCGGGCATCAGTGACGGCAGCAGTGTTGTCTGCGCATGCGCAACAAGACCACTGTTCTCACTGGCGCTGGATGGCGGCATTCCTGAAGGTGGGTTGCTGGAGATAGGCTCGCCTGGAGTCGACGTTTCTGACGCCGAACGATTCGGGATGGCGGCAGCTGCGGACCCGGTCGACGCCTTGTCATCGCCGTCGACGTTCAGTCGGCGCCCAGACTCGTGTGACCCCGAGCCCAGAGCCATAGCACTGGCACTATGGGGTACCCGTCGATTGGGTGCGGTGACTGGTTCCAGCCCTGCCGACACTAGCCGGCCATTTGCGCGCTCGCGGTCGGCGCGCAGCCGGTCGTTGTCAGCTGCGAGATGCGCACACTGTGCACGTTGTTTCTCAATCAACTTCCACAGTTGCGTGTTCTGTGCTTGTAGGCTGTTGCGGTCGTTCACGATTGCGTCTAGTGTCCGCCGCACGTCGCCACCATGTGAACGAATCAGAGATTCGACATCCATGCTGCCAGACGGGTGATGCCTGGGCGAACCTGGACTGGGCTGCATGGGTGAGGTGAATGGTGACATGGCCTTTGCGACGCCGAGCGCTCCAGTGGGCGCACTCGACCCGAACAAGCCCACTTGGCCGCTGGGAGAGCCATTCGAGCCTCCAGGCGTGTTGATAATTGGGGTGACGACGGTGCCGCCGGGAGTTGCCTGCAAAGACATGGTCGTGCGAGCAGCCTGTCAGCCTGTTTACCAGGTCAGCATCGACAATGCAGAGCGGTAGTCTGGTCATAAAAACTCCCAACACAAGGTGTGTTGCTTTTGGACTGGGGTACGTACGCAGAGGCCTATAGACACGAGGGCGAGATGCGCAGACGGGTGTTGGAAGAAAGAAGGGGACTGACTTGCGAGTGCTCGTGCTCGTGCCGTTGTTGACACGGCCGAGCCTCGTGCGTCTTGCTGCGCGCAAAAGGTCCGGGGGTCTCTGTCGCGTTGTCGCGAACCGGATGGACCACTTGAAGGTGACTAGACAACAGAGTGGAACAACGGTGCTCTGTGATGTGTTTTGCGTCTTCCCAGCGAGGAAGGCTCGAAGTGTAGAGGTAGCGGGGTGGGAAAATCGGAGCGCGGGGAAGGGGGCGAGTATCTGGGGGCCAGGGGGGGGGAGCGGCCGGGTGGAAATGTGGGTATGAAGAGGTGTGGTAGGTGAATGTGCGGCGTGGATTATGAGACTGGATGTAAAAGTACAGCCGCCCGTGGGTCGTGGATGGTGAAGTGGAGAAGCAGGAGGAGAAGGGGGAGGATGGAGGAGGAGGATGGGGGGGGGGAGGTGATGGCGGAGAGAGAGGGTGCAAAGCGAGATATTGAGATGAATGGGCGAGAGGAGGGAATGAGTTGGCACAACCCCCCCCCCCGCCCGCCCGCCCACGCTAGGCTGTGGTCGCGACGGATCGTCCGCCAGCGAGCACCCAGGGTGACACCACGTGGCATCGAAACACACAGTCAGGGGCCATCAGCCCACTCGACACCTCCATAGTGTGTTTGCATCCTCTCTCGCTCATATATCCACACATTCACAACGACACCGTGCAACTGGCCTGCCCACAGTTCACTGGTATATGCATGTCACGGCTGCCGCTCTTTTCTCATCTATGTTGTATCATGGGGGTTTAACCCCTTCTCACAAAGTAACGCGTCGCACAGATAACGACCCAGTTGCGCGCGCTCGACGCGTTCCCGAAACAGCTGAAACTCCAAGAGGGGAGAGGCCAGGACGCGCGTGCCAGCGTGGCTCCTGGTCAATGTGAGAACAGATCGTCAGAACGTCAGAACACTCAGCGCTGCGCGAGGACCCAATGATCCAATGAACGAGTGCACGATCGCAGCACCACAGGCAAACCCTCGCAAAAGAGAGGCAGCATAGGAACGGTACGCAGAAGCTGACATACCTGTGGAAATGAGGCCAGGTGTGCACCTGGGCACAAACTTGAGGACCGCATGGGTTGGCCCCACCACATTTTCCTGCCAGCTGCTGCGCTGCTGCTTACCTTGATAGCCGGGAGACAGCACACAGGACCCAGGCCTTACCCACACATGCACATACATACGCAGGAAAGAGTGTCTTTACCCGAGAGGAGTGCGCATTCACTCACTCCACTGTTTGTCGATTCCAGCGTACAAGGACAGTTTCACTCCCACGCTCTGCCTCCGACAGCTGGTACTCCGACATAAACGGGCACTGAGAGAGGACATGTGCGTACAGTAGGGTCCATGAGGTCGTCGCAGTCCACAAGCAATCGAAGTCCACCTTCAACAGCAGTAGTGTTTACCAAAGTGCCACACTAGCGTACATTCAACACAATACATAGTGTGCCGTGGAATTGGAGCCACAGTGGTACAGTGGCATTACAGGCGATCGCGAAGGTTGATGTCTCGGCTACCTGCCACTCACCATCTTACGTCCCTGTGCCACCTCCACGTCCCCACTTGTCAAAGGAACGGGTCCGTGGCCGACAGTAGGTGCACAGACGCGGCCCCCGTCCGCCATCTACTTGTGTTTTGCATGGAGCCATTCCTGTGGCCGCCTGAAGGTGAAGGGCTATCGACGACCATGGGACTGGCGCACCACCTCTTCTCCAACAGACCGCCCAGGGCCATGAACGACTCTCGCCGCCTCACACTCCGCCCCGCACAGTCCGCCCCGACTCCGCCGTCCACCTCCTGGCCCGCGTTTTGTCGGGGTGGGGCTGCCCTTCCCGTGACTCACCCCGGGACGCGTCGAGGCACCAAATCGGTATCAGTGTAGTTGTTGCGTTGGGTGTAAAAAGGGGGACACGACGCGCCGGGGATAAATTGCTGCACCAGTGCATGCAAAAGCGAGCCCATTCCATTGGGTCATTTAAAGTATGGGGTCAATGGTCAGGATACAGGGCACGGCAAAGCCATTGCGTGTATGCATGTACGGCAGTTGCGACTACCGTGTCTGGTATCTTTCGATTGCAGAACCGCTGACCGTCACCGGCCGGTTGCAGTGTGTCTGATATCATGATATCGTTGCAGCTTGGCGTGATCGTCGCGCCAGATGGGAAGATACACTAAGCTTTCTTGACACGGGGCAGCAACTCGTCAGGCAAAGACGTGGCAACAAGGCAGACGGACAAGAGGACTCTCCTCTCCACCATGCATCATGTGCAAATGTGCGCTCCAATTCCGACATCGTAACGGAGCACGATCACGCTGACATGGGTAGAGGACCTGGCATGGACATCACGCCCTGCGTTGACGCACTTCACCGACGCACGTCGGCAACGCACGCACGCTTTGCCGTCCTGCATGATAACGAGATCGTGTGACAATCCACGATGCCCACTTACTCCATCAATCTCTGGTAGCGGGCAGGCTTCACATCGGTCGAGATCTGGGTCGCAGTCACCCGCTGGCTTTGGCGTCCATATATATTCTGGGGCGGCGTGGCGGCCGAATGTGGCTGCTTGCCAGCTCTCATCGCATGTCTAGTACCGCCGTTCGTCGTTGCTCCGTGTTCCATGTCTGGCTACACGCGCATCCGCGCGCCACGTCAAGTCGAAAGTCACTCGTGCCTCGGGCGCGTACACTTTGTTGGCCAAGCGATGCCGTTAACCTGTTCCCAGCTCTGACCTGAACACCTGGCGGCGGAACATTATGGGAACATGGGTACGCCTTTATCCCCGCGCCTCCCCTCGTTGGCTTAACCAACTGGAGTTCATACAACGCCTCCGATGCCGTACATGTGTACTGGACATGAGTGAGTAGAGCAGTGGGCTGACAGAAGGCCAATGGTTCCTATTTCCGAGTCTGCAGCGCAGACGTTTCTATAATGTGAGGTCCTGGCCCATTTCCTTCGCTTCGTCGAGGCACCGTCGGCCGCAAACCTTGTTGACTCGTAAACCAGTCGGTTGTATTCTTTTCGTTTCCTCCAGTCTTCTGCAGGGAGTTCAGATGTCAGAGAGGCCACGTTCGTGTCTGATGCAGTCCCGTGTATGTATGTATTGTACCCTTGCATGAACTGTTTTGCCGCACGAGACGCGGCACAGGTCAAGGCAGAAACGTTGGCAATACCCCGGCAAAAAAAGGTTCTATGCCCACCATCAAAACTTTCATTGCGTTTAGCGATACGGCAATGGCGACCATGTCGTTTGAGAGTCCATCAGTGCTCAAGAAGTGTTGATTGACCGCGGAGGACTGACCGCGGAGGAGATACGCAGCATGTGTTTGTCTGAAGCTGACATCAGAGTGCCTCAAGGACTCTTTATATATCGGTCTCCACAGATGTTGTTCCTTCCGGCACTAAACATGTGTATAATCGTCCTTCAGAGACGGACGCTGGGCTAGTACTTACAGCCACCATAGGCTAGTGAATACCGCGGCCGTAGTGCCAGTTAATTTGGCACACTCTGATGCGTCTCGTTCTCCAACCGAGGCACGCAACTAGGCAGGGTTGTTCGTCAATCCACGTTACATTTCTATGTGGGGAATGTGCGTATAAACAGTTGGGGTGGGAAAAAGTGCGTGAGGTATCGGCAATGGAAGATGATATATGAGTGGTAAACACTGGTCGCGTCTGTGTGTGGCAGAGACAACCATCCGAGATCCAGATGTCGCTTTTCAGGCGTCTGTGTGGCACATCCGCGCTTCCGGCAGCCTCGAAAGCTTCGGCAGAGACATCTTTTGCGACCAGCGCGACAGATGCAGAGCTGAGTCTAGAGCTGATGGCTGGTGGAGGCTAGTGAGTGCGAGGCGCGGAGAGCGAGTGTGAGAGGTTTGTGCTGAACATGGTTGACGTAGGGAGGTGTCGTCGATGGCGGTGTGCACGTCGCTAGTAGCCTGGTGGTGTAGCTGGTACCGAGCGTGGACTCTATGGGAACGGGTCCAGGTTGCTGGTGGCCTCGGTGGTGGTGTGGGCCGTTAGCAGGTCAGAATGGCCGTGGCGGTGGTGGTGGGGGTGTTGTCCAAGACGAGCTGGAGCGCGTTGCCTTCCCGGGGCTCCTCGGAGGACGTGAACGCGGTAGGCCGGGAGGTGGTGGAGCTGGGCGGGGTTGCGGCGGCGAAGGTGAGCACGGACACCTCGAAGGGCCGGTGGGTCTGTGCGATAGCCATCTCAGAAGACAAAGGGACGTCTCCCTGGGTCTCCTGAACTGCAGACGCCGTTGACTCCGAGGCCTCCTGCACGGGGGCCGCACCTCCGTGCTCTGCCGGCTCTTTCAGCGCCGCGAGCTCCGCGAGTTCCTTGACCTCCTTCTCCTTGATCTCCTTCTCCTTGATCTCCTTCTCCTTGATCTCCCTGTCCTTGAGTTCCTCCTCCTTGAGTTCCTTCTCCTTGATTTCCTTTTCCTTGAATCCAGCCTCCTGTTGTTCACTCTCCTTCTCCTCGGCGATCCGGGCGAGCCACTGGCCAGCGTAGGCGTAGCTGTCGGCCTCGCTGTAGTTCTTGGGGTGGATGTAACGGGCCACACCACCTCCATGATGGCAGAGCCTGGCCGCGAATACGGCGTCGGCTCCAGCGGCGTCGCTCGACTCGATCCAGTTGGTGGCAGCAGCCATCAAGTCCAGGGCACGGTAGGCTTCGGGTGAGGGAAGGTTGGGCGGAAGCCCGCGTGTGGGGTGTACCTTGTGGGTGCGCGGGATGGTGATGGTGACAGCGGCGGTCGAGCTGCCCTTGCCCTTGCCCTTGGTTGCAGTGGACTTGGACTTAGCGACGGTAGTACCATTTGAGTTGGAGGCAGCAGTGGCGCGAGCCTTGCGAGTAACAGGAAGATACGATGAAGCCTCAGTGCGTATCTTCTTGGCGTTGGTCGGCTCGTCCATGTCGCCCACGTCCTCTTCGCGAATACGCTTGAGGTCGAGACGGAGGTTGATCTTGATTGCAGAGTCGGTGGGGCAAGGGGTCTCGGGCTCACGAATGCGAACCCTCTTGGACCGCGCGTCACCTTCGGCCTCGATGCACTCCGTCTCCTTGTCATCACGCGCACGCTTGGTCGAAACCTCGGGAGCCGAGTTGTCGAGAGGAGGAGTGGGCGGCGTGGTTGCAATGTGCGACGACGACGTCGAACCACGGCAGAGATCGGGAGGCGAGGCCGTCCTTTCAGGAGAGGAGAGGAGTCTGTTGGAGCTGGTACCGCCGGGGTTGGTATTTGCTGTCAGGGACCTGGGAGTGCTATGGACAGGAGGGGAGGTGGGCTGCTGAGACTGTGAAGCGACACGACTGGAGCGGCGAAGTGACTTGGTAGTAGCGTCGTTGTAGGTGGTCGACATGATGCTCAACAACGGTGCGTGGTGATGAGTGGTAGTGTAATCGAAGTTTGGAGATGTATATGGTATGAGGATCCAATAGAGGGTCGACTGTGTGTTGTATGTGTGTGGATGTATGTGCTTGGAGGTCGGCCGTGTGGTGGGTATGGCTCGAGATCGCGGCCTTTTAAGTTGGTGGGTCGCCGTCGTGTTTCAATCACCGGTTCGCCCATTGATGGCAGGACTTCCACTGATGACATCTGGGTACTGCACCGCTCTATCATCAGTGAGTGACATGCGAACGCTGTTTTCAGCTGCAAGCAGGATGCATGGACTGTGGCCATGGGGGAGAATTGCAGAAAGGTTGCACCAGGGATCCGCGCATCTGGAGGCACCCCCCCCCCCCCCCCCCCCCGGATTCCAACGTGGAGGACCCAGTTGTGTGACAATGGAACAAGTCATAAGCTGCTGTAGGAAAACACGGGGATTCAGAGTGGTAACTTCAACTCGACACGGCTGCAGGATGAAAAGACCTACTGGGAGCTTGACCTAAATCGAGAAAACCAAATAAATCCCGAGAAAATGTCGAAAGTCGGCCGGCAAGCAACGCAGCTTTCCCACGTTACAACTCTGTCTAAACGTGCACACAGTTTGTCTAGACCGGAGTTGAGTAACGGCAGGGGCTATATACATACTTTAATGTAGTTCAAGTGGATTGTTCAAGACCTCATATCCCACACTGGGACAAGCGCCGTATGAATCTGGAGAGATTTGGTCACCTGGAATGGAGAAGACTCTCCTCCCACCTTCAGCTTTGCAAACTGAAGATATTAACGCTGATCCGCCACCTAATTAGCTTCCACACGCGTACGCACCGGGTCGTCCACGACGGCACGCGGTTCATTTCATGGCTGTAACCACTCGCCACACGGTGCCAACATGCCAACCAGCCGCATGGACACACCATTCACCTTGCACGTGATCACATCACACAAGCGGCCGGGCTCTGGGAATTACGGTCAGCCCAACACCTCCCTAGCGCGGACGTGGTTGCTTTTCCTTTGTCTCAACCGCCTCCCCATATCATCCATCCAACCACTCCATCCACCATTCCATCCATCCATTCCATCCATTCCCCCTTTGTTGGCGGTCCGCTGCCCTGCTTTAGGACACAGCCCTTCCTTCAATCCTTCCACTTTACATTACATGTCACCTCCCTGTGGAATGACGCCTCCATCCCCCTTCACCTCCTCCTTCTTTACCCCCTTCCTACCTCTTCACCCCCTCCCTCCGTCCCGGTTCGGGCGGGACATCAACAGAAGCCGACCTGGCGGATACCAGAAGCCGTCCCCTGGCGAGATAACCAGAGCCCGTTTCCTGGCGGGATACACAGAGAGACTGTAGACGTTGCCTGGTAACATTTGGCCATTTGTTTTAGTGATTGCTTCCTCATTTGACGTGACCCAATACCCCAACGCCGCGTCAAAGAGCGGGAGTGATCACTAAATCGAATGGACAGGCTGTGCGCAGAAAATCCAGCCAGCAGCGTCCATGGCGTATTGAGATCCCCTCATGCCAATTATCCCATGAACAAATGATACAGTCTCACGCGTGGACCCCTCTCAAGAGCTCCTCACTGCGACTGTACACTTGGCACAAGCCAGCGTGGGCAGGAAGGAAAGCAGTGCATTCCCCCCACCGTTGCGAAACTTCGCGATAGACAGAGGTGGTGAGACACACAGTATCGGTGCCACCCGCTGTACCGCTGTGCTGTCGGTCGTCGCCATTTGCACTATCGACAGGAGGTGGTAGATCAGCGACGATTGTCTGGTCCCAGTGTGTATCGACTAGCGATAAGGTTAGGTCGCATGTGGCAGTGCTTGCCCGTGGCCGGACTAACCTGGTGCGGTGTTCGAAGGGAGCGCATGATCGACACGACAATCGTCAACCACAATAGTCTTCCCCCCTGCCGTACGGTCTATGCAAAACAGCCGCTCTGGGGCAGGAGCTCACGTGTAATATTGCAGCAAATTGAATACATGTCTCATTCACTACGGCTTGTACGGGACCTCTGCGTCGTCATCTACCTGCTGTCGAGTGGCAAACGGCTGCGTCAACCTGCCTCCCGCAGACCTTTCGAGTTACTCAGTCGTTGACGGAAAAGTCAGTCTTGAGAACGAGGGGGCCGTTGGGACCACGGGGCATCATGATGGCCTTGGGGAGCTTGGTGTCGAGCACTTCCGATCCGTGGTGCTGGGTCTTGTCATTGCAGGCGTGGGTCTCGTGGCAGTTCTTGTGGGCCCAGGCGCCGTCTCCCTTGTCGCCGACCGCGTAGCTGTGGCCGAGAATGTACGAGTTGATGCACATGACGGCGGGGCACTGGTACATGTTGGGAACTTGGCCGAGGCCCAAGGGGCTCTTGGTGTGCATACGGCCGTAGACCTCGTGGAGAACTGGGTGTGAGCTGTGAAAGCAGGGTACAGCTCACTGAAACCGGCCCTGGAGAGGGCATTGCGGGTGGTGTAACGCGCGTTGAGAATGGCCTCGCCACAGTCGAGGGCGTGGGCGTACCACTCGTTGAAATCCGTAAGACGGCCGATCTTGATGGCAGTGAGACCGAGCTTGGCCCAGAGGTCAGATTCGCTGGGTGGGTTAGCCAACGATAGGTTCCTCATACCCACAGTTGGGCGATACCAGTCGAAAACGCCTGCTGGTTCGTGAAGATGAGCGGAGTAGCCGCCCAAGGGTAGAGCTCAAGGAGAAGCTTGCAGTACTCGCGCGCAGCAGCAATGTAGTTGCCAGTGTCAAAGAGGCTACTGTGAGCGTCGCTCGTGGGCTGCTAACTCACGCCTTGGTGACGATATCCTTCTTCTCCTGCACGCGCTTGACGACACTCTTGATAGGTTCGACAGCTTTGTTCCTCTTGCGGTCACGAGGGTGGACCCAGCCTTGGCCGTAGTTGTCAGGGAGGGTGGTGTTGGCGTTCTTGCCCTTGCCGCCGCTGTTCGTGAAGATGGCACGCCACTTGGCCGCCTCAACCTTGCCCATGGCGGTAGGAGTAGGAGAGTCGAGGAATCCGTGAACGTGGAGAGTGTCCATCAAGACGTCGAGGTAGGTCATGTTCCAACCGAGGCGAGCGCGCTCGTGAGGAGGAGCACAGGCCTTCATTTTGGCGCCGAACGTGGCATACGTGCCGTGAAGCAGCCTATAGAGGGTACAGTCAGCTCAACCAAAGGAAGGTCAATTGGGCCCCTCAGAGGGCAGTTTCCCAAGGCTCACATCTGGGATTTCTCAGTGTCTTCTCTCTCGCTCTTCTTGAAGCGGGCAGTAAGGATGCCCTTGGTAGTGTCGATGTCGTCCCAGGGGAACAGGCCCCAGAGCTTGGCGTTGAGAGTCTGGTCTTGCTGGCCGAGATGAGCGTCGGCGAGCTGAACGGCGCGGGTAAGGTGGAACCCGTCGCCACCGAGGGTGAAGGGGCAGAGAGGGAGAGTGAAGAGAGGACCCCACTCGGGGACGTGGAGCTCGCCGCCCATGGAGGAGAAGACCTGCATGATGGCGAGGTCAATGGATGGGTGTCCGAAAATGAAAAGGGGTTTGTAAGGTGGGATGAGAGAATGTGAGAAAGTAAGAGGATTGTTGCTGGCCGCTGGGTGAAAGGGCGCGTCAAGTCGCGTCAACCGCCCCGACTGCCAGTTTCACGGTGTGGGGGGCCCTGGGGGCGTCATGACGTGCATCCCAATCGGTGTGTGGCGGGTCACAGTAGTACATGAGAGCGAGCCCACATCTCCTGCAATACTGTGAGGTATCTGGTATAACTTGGCATGCATGCAACCCAAACGCCCAGAGTACCAGAGTCTTGCTCCATTCTAAAGCGCACCCGGCTGGACTCCATCATTTGAACCGATTTTCTGTTATTTTCCGGTATCTCTGCTTCTACGGCTTTCTTATAAAAATCCGCTTTGTCACACCCTCCAACAACTCCCACGACATTTCCAATCTAATTTAACGAGCTTCAGTAAGCGTGTGTGTCACTACGCGCTGCGGACGTCCCTCCCCAGCGTTGCGTCCGAAAGAGCCGGGAAAATGGCGACCATCTGCCAACTAAAAACGGAGGTGCTGCAGCCACCCAATTCTCGTCCGTCCCCACGCTTCTCGGTCTTCACATGCCTTCCAAAAAAAGCAATACGGCGCACTCCACGCGTCTAAAACAAAAGATAAATGCCTTCTACCCGAATTGAACGGGTGACCCTTTCATACCACAGCACGTTCTGGCGAACACTACTAGTGAAAAATTCTAACCACTGAACTAAGAAGGCAGATGAAATCTCAAAATTGTGCAATATGATGAGGCGCCAGAATGTTTTTGACAACTCGGTCTCTCTTCTCCTTACGACTGGGTATCTATGGAGGACAACGAGGTCTTTGTTGAGGAACAACACCGTGAGAGGGCGGTGAACCGCCGCGCGGATACTCCACCAGGCATGGCCTCATCGGTATCACTACCGGTCTGTCTCTATCCGCCTCCCTCCGTCTGTGTCCGACTCACATGGCGCACCAGTCACTCAGCGACGTATCCCATGTACAGCCACAGATCGGCCACAGATCCACAGATGCCCTTCCACGCCTGTATCCGACATCGTTTTTCTGACGCTGTGGCCCTGTGGCTCTGGTGTTTCGGTTGAGGCGGTATCCGGAGGATCTGCAACAGAACGGACACTCTGTCGCAGCTAATCTGGGCTGCCGCCACCGAGGTACTACCCCGGCATCAAAGCAATGGGCAAAGTTCGTGCCCCCAAGAGCCGGCGGGACTCACCGCAGCCAATCTTCAATCGAGACCAGATGTTTCGGAACGCGGCCGACGTGTGCTCATCACTTGATCACTTGGACAACCTGCCTGCTGCTCAAGGCTCCGGAGCTCGACGGGGACAGTCAACAACTCGTCGTCCTTCGGGGACGGGCCTGGGCGACCGATGTGGAGAGAATACCGGCTGGGCCACGACGAGATGCCCACATGCCTCGAGGTACTGCAGGTACCCGACGGCCTGCGACCAAGTGACCGACGGCTTGACCTCAGGTGTTGTCTACACTCGTCGCGTCGCTGCTGCTGTGCTGCTGTTCATCAGTTCGCGGCTGTTGTTAGATCCATATCCGTTTTGAAGGGCGGTGTCCACCAAACATTGCCCTAGTGACGTCAGTTGATCGCAATGCAGATTGTTTGTTCTTTCCACATACGCACTGCCAAAGGTCTGAACAGCCGCGGCTAGCTAGCTACAGCTCGTCAGCTGGCCAGCTGGCCAGCTCTCTGGGGATACATAAAAGGAAGACCACAGGCACGCCGTCTTCCCCCCGCGTTCTTGCATTCTCTCCTCCCACCTCCCCACACCCTTTTCAGGTTTTAACGACCCGGCAAGCGTTTACGCTCAACGCAGCGCCCACTCGCCACCACGCTCCCCACACCACCCGTCTCGTCACATCCCCCAGAGCTACCTCACCCACTCCCCCTCATCCAACCATGCCTACCCCCTCGAGGCGTAGAACGCGCGCTCGCACCATGCCCGAACTCAAAGCCCTGATTGATGGCCAAAGTACAGGGTTCTCCAAGAGTGGATCAAGAAGAAGCAGGCCCGGTCGAACGTGCGCAAGTCACTTCTCGTTGAGAGTATCGCCAAGGACCCCACCCTCATGCCGGAAGACAATCACACCGGCTTCACCACTATCGAATACTCCCCCGAGCCCAGCCCCGAGCCTGCCAGCCCTGCGCCTGCGGCAATGGGCCAGTCCATGATCTCGATTGTGGAGGAGCTCATCGCCTCTGCCGTCAGGCCCATGGAACAACGCTTCGTGAACGCCGAGGGCAAGATCAGTCGTACTGTCAACAAGACGGAGGTCGCGTCGACCGCATCGAGCGCATCGAGCGCATCGAGGCCCGCGACTCGCACGTTGCCGAGGCCGCCATCAAGCCCGTTGTCGATCGTCTCACGGCACTCGAGACCCGCTCCCTTCAGCTCACGCCCGCCCTCGTTGACGTCATCAACAACGCGGTTGCCGCTCGCACCGCGTCCCTCGTCGACCGCATCGAGGGTTACGAGGCCCGCGACGCGCACGTTGCCGAGGCCGCCATCAAGCCCCTTCTCGATCGTCTCACGGCACTCGAGACCAAGTCTACCAACGGTATCACCAACAACGTTAATTTCATTGCGTCGCCTAGCATGGGTCAGCACACTGCCTCCACTGCCGCCCTCACCCGTAGTTTGTGAAGGGTACAACTCCAACGGCTGCTTTGACCCTCTCTGCGTCAAGGCTCATGCCTGCGAGGCGTGTTGGCGTGTCGGCCACACCAGGCACACCTGTCGCAAGCCTGCCCGTAATGGTGCTGGCAGCCGATAGAATGCTCCCAAACAAGTGCTCAGATTACTACTGTTGCGCAACCTCTGTCTCCGTTTCCCTCCCCTTCCCCCCCAATATACCAAGAACAGTTGAATACTATGCCTTGTAGAAAACGTCCGTCTACATACCAGCCCAACGACGACCATGGCTGGCTGTTGTTCGGCCTCATGCAGTTCGGTTTACCCATTCGCTTGGCGCCCACGCTTTGGTTGGGTTGTGCAGCAATACTTGACCGCATCGAATAGGTACTGGTGGATCAATAACGGGCTCCTGTGTGGCAGCAAACGTGGATGGTGGGTCGACGGGATTCTGGTGGCTAGGCAGGGGATAGTGATGCTGCCGATGCTGGGGGCAGGTCAAAGTGGCGCGCCACGATGGGAAACTCCTGGGCCGGACGACACTAACCAACGGGCCAACGGGCCCACGTCGTCCATCTTGACCCAGTCATGCGAAACTAAAGTTGCCCATGTGCTCGAGGTACTGCGCCACCCGACACACCCTACGACAGAGCGACCGACAGCTTGTCATCAAGTGTTATGCGCACCTCTCGCAGCTGTTGCGCCTGCTCATCAGTTCACCATGTCCACCTTCCGGCTGTTTGTTAGATCCAGATCCCAATACGGTTTGACGGCGGTGTCCACCAAACGTTGGTCCTCACTGGATCACTGGATCACTGGATCACTGGCCCACTAGTCGCGTCAGCTGACGGGCCACCTCCCTCTGCGGTTAATCTCCTGTTTATTCCGATAATATCCATCATCGGCACCTCGTGGTGACATCCGAAGATCATTAGATCAACAGTGATCCAGCGAACACGCAGAGCAGAGGGCAGGACAAGCTGAGAATCCCGGCGTGGACGGACGGATGGTACGGTACGGTACACCGGGTACTCACGCCCATGTGCGGCGAGTGCGGTGCTATGACGCACGGGAGGAATGTGAATGTCGCACAGCTAGAGCGCCAAATGCCCGCAAATGTGTCCACGTCCAACATCTTGCTCGAGTCGAGACAGATAGGCGAGAGAACGAGGCGCTACTCGCCACTCCCGCTGCACGAGTCACACCGGCCCGGTCGGGTTTGACGTAAAATCCACATTTGGCTTCGCTTCCGGATCTTGCGCGTCCACAACACACCGAAAAGGCACTCACTCACCCGCGGCGCGGGTATTTTGCGTACGGCGAGATCCGGCCTTGAGATATACATACTTTGTTGCTGTTGATGTGCTACATGTCAGAGCTAGGCGCTGTCCGGAGATGAGCGGGCATGCATCTCCTTGCGAGGAGTGGGAAGGCAAGGCACCGAGCCGTGGAGCGGACGCAGTGTTATCACTTGGTGTCGAGACATGGGTTTGTGGCACTTTGAGCGGTGCGACTGGAGACTCGTTTGCGCCATTGTTGACACTGTGCTAACATAATGCTACTACATGCTCTGAATCCGTGGGGCCCTGCGTCTCTGCACTCAGCTGGCCCGCCAGCCTGCGTCTCATCTACTCGTATGTCTGTCCTAGTTACAACAAAGCTGCCTCTGGGCGAATCTCTCGCTTGGGGGCGCGCGCGGCTATCCACACCAGAGCCCGTCGAGCTCGGCAAACGTGGGGGGGTCGACGCGCCAACACCTGTCGCCGCGGCCCCACCCCATGCTCTCCAGAAGACGCTCGGCGTCGTGTGCGAGCCACCCAGGCTGGACGACTTCAGAGGCAAAGCGCCATCCCTTGCCGTCCACTCCACCAGCCGAAAAGCTCATTCGGTCGGCCATGCCTCCCGGGTTGACGGTGCCGTTCAGCACCCCGAGTGTTTCGGCGACGCGGCGGACCAGGCTGCCAAATGCGGATGCCTTGAGGTCTGCAGCGCGCGGGGTGAGGTCAAAGACCAGGCGCGTGAGGAGGGCGGTCGCGCCCGATGTGGAGCGCATACCGGCGCGGGCGGGCAAGGGAGCGAGGAAGGCGAGTGAATAGACACACAGGGCGATGAGCTCTACGCGGCCGAGATAGTCCTCGATCGAGTGCATGGCCTCGACGTCACGGGCCGAAAGGGGGAAGAGTTTAATCAAGCCCGCGAAGAGAGCGACGAGCTCGTCACCGGGGACAACAGCAGCGAAGACTTCGCGGTTGTGGTCAAGCAGGGCGAGACGACAGAATGCCTCGAGTGCGCGGTCAATGCTGAGGACGCCGACGGGGGGTACATCGCGGATGGAGACACAGGGGCCAAAGCCCGGGTCACGCGAGCGGTTGCACTCCCATGCTGAGGCGAGGAAGCTGGCCAGGAGGCGGAAGACGGACAGGACCGAGGCATGGGGGATCAATCGCAGGTCAAACTGTTGACCAAGGTTGGCAATGATTGACACGGCGTCGCGGCGGACGCGGGCGAGTTCGAGGATCGAATACGGCTTGACAGAGTCACGCTCGCCCGGAAGACGGGCAAGAGACTGGTCGGTGACGGCGGCGAGGACGTTGAAGAGCTCAGGACGGGCCATGCGTGCGCGGTTTGCCTCAAACAGGGAGAAATTGCGGATAATGTTCAGTCCGGCAAAGACAATGTCGGTGCGGCCACCCGTCTGCTCTTGGGGTCCTGTAAACTCAGCGTCATCGTCCTCGACCTTGAAGTCAAAGTCGCGGCCAAGCTGCTCCAGCTGGGCATAGCTTAGACGGCCAAAGTCGCGAGACGCTGAAGCGCGAGGCGTGGTCGTTGACTTGTCCTTGTCCTTTTCGGCGGCAGCCTGCTCCTTGAGCCAGCCGTCTACTCCGTCTTCTCCAAGGGCAGCCTCGGCAACCAAGTCGAGAACCTCCAAGTACACGTCGATCAACGGCTCGATCGGGAGAGAATTGACCTGCCCGTCATGCAGGGGCATCGAGAGCATGGACAAGACAGTGAGACCGTATCCAATCTCGGTTGGTATCCGCGACCTCAGACCCATGAGCACCGACTCGACGTCCACTTGGAGCTCGTGCAGTGACCGTGTTGGTCGTCCGAGGTTGTGCTTTGGGAATGCCGATGCAATGGTGCGCTCGTCCCAGCCGCCCATCGATGGTTGGGGGAAATGCAAGGGGCGGTACTCGACCTTGTAGCGCGCGCGCTTGGGACCTCTTGGCTCCGAAGGCACAGCCGAGACGGGGGTCGCTACTGCCGACGCCGGTGTGGAAGACTTGCGCTTCATGGCGCCGCCGCCGTTCACAGGCGAAGGCGCTGCGGCCGGAGGAGCCTCAGCGACAGTGGGTGATGGCGCCGCAGCGCTGGGGAGAGAAAGGTCCAGTTTGGGTTTTGGTGGGGCCACTGGAGCTTCGGCGACAACATGACTGGGCGCGATGGGAGCAGGCGGTGGTGCGGTGGGAGTGGGTGCTTGAACCGGTGCTGGGGTAGGTATTGCTGGCGCGACTGCCGCGGGGCTGGGCGCTGAGATCACGGGTGGAGTAGGGGCGGCGACTGCAGGCGAAGGCGCGGGGACAACAGCTGGTGAGGGAGCAGAGAAGGAAGCCTGGGGCGAGGGTGCTGCTGGCAAGGTCGCGGGGGTTCTAGGACCAGCAGTCTCTGGGGTAGCGACTGAAGGGGGCCCCCCAGGTGGTGTTGGCCCAGCTGGTGAGCCCGCTAGAGGAGGACGAGGAGTTCCACCCGCAGCTGCGGCCATTGCCTGCTGTTTTTGGAAAGCAGCCAGCTTTGACCGCGCCATTGCCTGCTCGAATGCAAAGATCCAAGCGCGGTAGGCAGCGACCAGGTATTGGACTGCACTCGTGGTCATCTGTGGCGGCGCGCTCGGGTCCTGGCCTGGCTGGCGGGGCAATGCGACAGCCTCAGGCAGGTTGACTGGAATGTTTTTGCTGGCGAGAATGGCCTGCCAGACGGCATGGTCGGCGATGTTTCCTTGCAGCAACTGATATCAAGGTTAGCCAACACATCCACACTCCTCGATGCGTCACTACTCACCTTTGTCATGCCGCCCAAGCGGAAGACCATGACGAACATTTCCGTAAGCTCGACCCAGTTGCCGCCGAGCTTGAAGGCTCCATCGCGCTCGCCGTTGAAGACCTCGGTGGGCAGCGGCTGATTGGTCTGCCTGTAAAATGCGACAATCGAGTTGAGGAGCTGCTGCTTCTGGAGCATTGGCTGGCGTATCTGGCCACCACCGGGCGGCATCCCACCTGGTGGGCGCACACCCGCGGGACCTGCTGGCCCAGCAGGACCGGGAGTGGTAGGTGTTGCCGGCTGACGAACGGCCTGGGCGAGGGCAGACATGATCCCGGGCGATGGTGCCGACGCGGCGTCCGCTGGGAGGAGCTGAGAAGTGGAGAGGGGAGTGGGGATGGTGGCCGCAGGTGATGGAGCCGAAACGCTACCACCAGCGGGAGATGGAGCAGCGACAGATGCTGGCGATGCCGCGGCCGGGCCCGGGTTGACTGGAGAAGGAACAGCGATACCAGGCGCGTGCTTTGCTCTTTGCTGATGCGATGCGTGAAGAGCTTGCAACTGGGATTGCCGTGTCAATCCTAGCCATCCTCCATCCACCATGAATCTTGGTACTCACCTGCTTCATGATAGCTTCGCGATCCGTGCCGAGGTTGAGCATGCCGTTCGCTGCTGCTGCTGCTGCCCAATCTGGAAGGCCATTGGGAGGTTTAGGAGGTCCACCAGTAGGTGCGGCGGCACCACCTTGTTGTTGCTGCTGCTGCTGTTGCTGTTGCTGTCCTGGCTGCATCGTCTGTCCTCCTGCTCCCCTGAGCGCTGCAGCCTGCATTGCCTGCTGCTGACTCTGGATAAGACGCGCCTGGAGCTGGGCCTGGAGGGATGCGACGTCTGGTTGTTGTCCTGGCTGGGCGGACGGTGAGGACCCAGACGTCGAGAGAAGGGTTGATGCGGACGCGGCGGCGGCGGGGCTGTTGCCGTTGGTGGGCGCGGCTGTTGTGCTACTTGCGCTTGTTTTGCGGTTCTGCGGGAGGGTGAGGTTGGGGAGGTTTGCGAAGAAGGGAGCTGCTGCTGGGTTGCCGGCGTTGCGTGCGGCAAACTGTTGGAGAATGGCCTCTTGTTGGGCCGAAAGCTCGATTGTTCCCGGGGCTGCGGTGACGGCGGCGGCGTGAGCTGCTGCTGTTGCCGAGGGGCCAGGCGTGTGCTGCTGCTGCTGCTGCTGCTGCTGCTGTCCTGCGAGTGGTCCTCCAGGTTGGAGCGAGTGGTCTCCGTCGGTGGAGGTTGCTTGCCCTGCCTGGTGCGACATTGCCTATGCGTTTGGACGCGTCGTCCACAGGCCAGGAGCGTTCGAGATTGGAATGTGACGTGGCGTTATGCGCGTGCTGCTGCAGGATGGTTGTGGGTGGATGATGGGTGGGGCCGATGGGGTGTGCGCAAACACGGCCGGCGCGGGGGTGGGTGGCCGGGTGTGGGTGGGATACACGGGAGTATATTTGCTCTCTGTCTCCCGCTAACCGCGCACACCCGCGCTGCGACCGCTCGCAACGGGAGCAAAATACATAAAATGGATGCGGTCGGCCCCGCGCTCGGCAGGAGCGAGAGCAAGACGCGCGCAGTGGACGGCGTGTCGGCGATATCCATGGATGTGGCATATTTGCCACGTGGGGTTGCACGGAGCCGTCGACCCGCGTCCCTCCCAGCTGAGTCACTCTGTTGCTGATCAAGCATTTCCAGCTAGGGGCGCGGCCAGGCGGCGGCAGCGCGGGGGGGCGGGTGGAATTGATGAGTCTCGACTCCTGGGCCTCCTGCCTGCCTGGCTCTGGGTGCACGCACCAAACGCTCTCCGTGTCTCTCCTCGTAAGCGACAGCCCACAACCTTGCCCCCCTTCCATCGTCCGTCCTCGTCGTCGTCGTCGTTCCACACCATTCCCTTTTGGAAAATAAATTCCTATCGTCTACCCACTCTGCCTCGACCATCGTCGACCACGCTGAGCCTCGTCTAGGCATCGCACCTCTCTCTATCTCTCTGTATCTAGGAGAGACCATTTGTCTCTCGCGCCACACCGCTCCACGCCCATCGGCCATCGCGGTTGCCTGCCCGCCGGCTGCAACCTCTATCTCGCTCCTTCGGCCGTCGTTCTCTCCACCACCAGTCCTCGCTCCCCCCTCGCTCCCTCCCTCCCTCCCTCCCGCTCGACACCCTTCTCACACCAGTACCGAGCACTTGGCAGCTCATTTCACTGCCGTCGTCTCCAGCATTCATCGTCACCCCGCTCCGAGCACAAAGTTGGTGGGATTAATCCGTCCCTTTGCCACTTCACTGCTTGCGGACCCACTCGAGTTGCGCGGCAACCACACGTGCTCCACGCCCCACCTGGCAACAGTTCTCGGTATCTCCGTTAACACCCACGTCCACGCATCTCGCCGCATCTTGACGTCGTTCGCACACAAGCAGACACATCGGCCGCAGCCTCCAGCGAGAGAACACACCACGCAGACGAACCCAGCACTCACAGGACGACACGCGGCTTAACCACACCCCTTCTACCCGCACGGTCCTCGCTCCAACTTGTCTACAATGGAGGCCTTCAATCCCCTTTCCCCCAACACGGCTGCGTTCCTCGACTCTATTGCTGCGTCGGGCGACTTTGAGCCCAAGACAGTGAACCCCACCTCCTTCCCACCTTCCGTGTTCTTTGGGCTGCCCGGCACGGAAACACCGGAAGACTCGTCTCCGTCATCCGCCGGTGACGCCAAACAGCTTGGCCAACAACGGTCATTTAGCATCTCAGACGATAGCGACAACGACATGCCCGCCACTGCGCCCAATCACAAGCGCAAGGCGAGTGAAAATGACGTTGCTGTCAAGGAAGAGGAAGACGACGACGATGGTTAGTCATGTCCATGTCGTCACCGAGTCTTGTATCTAACCCGCTTCCCACAGACTCGCTTTCTGAGAATGGCCATGAAGACAAGCGCCAACATCCCAATGAGCCCAAGCGCAATGGCCCTCGCCGTAGCACCGACGGCAAGAAGGGCGCCGAGAAGCCTGGCAAGGACAACCTGACCAAGGCGCAACGCCGCAAGGAGCAGAACCGCGCAGCACAAAAGGCGTTCCGAGAAAGGCGAGAGGCCAAGGTCCGCGACGTAAGTGTCCCACGTGGGGGGGAGGATCCAAACGGGGGTGTTCTGGTAACTGACATTCTATTTACAGTTGGAACAAAAGGTGGCTGAGCTAGAGGCCAAGTCCTTTGGAGCATCGGTTGAGAATGAGAACCTCCGTGGCATCCTGCGCCGTCTACAGGAGGAGAACATGGCTCTCAAGAGCTCGGGCTTCACCTTCTCCATGCCCAAGTCTGGTGCGGCCGCTGGCCATCAGTCCCAACCCATGTTGCCGCAGACTCAGCCGCAGGTTCAGCAGCTCAGTGGTCAACAGACCCCTACCCAGAACCAAAACGGCGGCATCGACTGGTCCACCTTTGCAAACTTCAAGGTCCAGCCTCAGGTTGCAAAGCCTCCATCCCCGCCTCAGAGTGTCTCCAACGACAGCTTGCGAAGCATCCATGAGCCATCGCCGGGTCTTACCCACCGTGCATCGACTGGCTCCAACACGGGCAACAGCCCCGAATCGCTCGTCTCGCTGGGCCCCAGCCCCAGCTCGGCGTCCGACCCTGCTAGCATGCCCAGCCTGTTTAGCAACAACGTCAACTCGCCGTTCCAGGTGCTCAACCGTTCCAACAGCAGCGGCAGCCCCGCCGACGCCATCTCGACGGCCAGCTCGCTCGGTGGCACCAACAAGGATGATGTGGATGCCCTCTTCCGTAGTCTTTACCCGAACGGCATTGACGCCGTCTTGGCATACGCCGCCAATGCGTCGAGCGTCGCCAGCGTCCCTCCCATCGCACCGCCTGCCATGCACCAGCCGCAGTACACGTTCATCGGTACTCAACCTGGTCTCACTTCATATGCCGACTCGACGTCCAACAACCTCGCCAAGCTGTTCGGTGACGCCACGTCGTACCGTGACCCCTCGGCCGCGGCGCTCCCTACAAATGACTCCCAGTCCCTGTTCGGTAACATGTCGGGCAACCCGTCGGCAGCGGCACACTCGACCGCTCATGTTTCAACCGCGACAACCACCACTACCACCAACACCGCGGCTGACATGGGCTCGCTGTCAAACCAGACTGCCTGGTCTGGCTTGACCGAGAACAGTGTCAACGAGTTCCTCGCTTCATTGACAGGTGCCGACGACTCTGCATTGATAGGCGCCGACCCGGAGGAGTCGTTCTCGCGCCAGATTGAGGCCCTCATCGCCCAGTCTGGCGGTGGTGTCTCGCCTTCTGCGGCATTCAACGTGCCGTCAAACAACCTGGCTTTCAGCCCTACCAACTACCTGAACATGTCCCCGTCGCCACTCCAGTCCATTGGCAGCTCGCAGACACCGCGGTCGACCCCATCGTCGAACGTTACGTCGCCCCAGACCACAAGCGACAGCGTCACCGGCGAGGTTTGCGGTGCATCCAACGTCATCCACGTGCTGGGCGAGAACGGCCGCGTGATGCGCCCCTCCGAGGTCTGGACCCGGATGGGCATGCACAGTTCAAGCGACCCAGGAGACTTCCTCATCGACGACCTGTGTGACCAGATGAAGGTCAAGGCCACTTGCAAGGACGGCCGTCGGTACATGAGCTTTGACGACGTCGAGGAGATGGTCCGCTCGCGCGAGGAGAAGCACACTGTCCCAGATCACTGGAACGCACCCCTGCCCGCACGGCCGGCTCAGGCCACGAGCGAAACTTGCGCCAACAAGGGTGCCCACGACCCGGCAAAGTGCCAGGCCCGCCTCAACGAGGCGTACCTCGAGGCCAACGGCGCCGGCATGTAGTCGGACAAACCAACCCTATCGAGTCAAAGCACACGCTCCTGTGCCCCATTCCTCCATTCGCAGTCGTAGCTCGCGAGCTCCTGCGCCTCCCCCGCCCGCTGCGGCCGGCCCACACACCCACCTCTCTCCCTCCAGCCCCTCGCGGCAGTGTATCTTCCACCCCCACCGCGCTCTACTCCGCGCCTAAAAAACGTGTGTAATGCTCTCCCCCAAACCCCATACCACCTGCTCGGGTGCAACCACTACTTTTGCCACGGATATATGTACCGTAACAGAACCGTACTCCCACTCCCCCCGCCATCAACCAAACCAACTCTTACCCTCTGTATACTATCTCTCGTGACCCGTTTTTTTGACCATTTTTTTTTTCTTTCTTTCTTTTTTGCCAAACCACCTGCGGCCTTTGTAGAAATCGCAGAAAACAAATGCATGTGATAAAAGAAATAAAAGCTCTACCCAACCCAACCAAAGGCGGTGGCAGACAAGACGAGACGAGCAGTGGCTTTGCATATACCCTCACTCGCTCCGTCTCATTCATGGCCAGTATCTCATCTCTCTCCCTCTCTCGGTGTCACCCTCTCTCTCTGCCCTTCCCTGTGTTGTTGCTCTTTTGCTCTAAGGCCTGTCGGCGAGGGTCAGGACGAAGCGCTCGGCACGGTCGTCGTCGCTAATGTCCTTTTCGCGCACCTCGACGCCGAGGACCTTGCGGTCCGAGGGCATCTGGGCAACGTCCATGGGGATGGCGTAGATCTGGGCCTGGAGGAGGTCGTGGCTCGTGGCAATGGCCGGAGCAAGGGCGTCGGTCTCGCCGGCGTCGTACGCGTAGAACACGTCGACGCGGTCCGTGGGCTTGAGGCCGGCAGACTTGCGGAGCTTGTTGACACGCGAGGTGAGCGCGCGGATGAGGGCGACGGCCTCGAGGTCGTCGTGCCTGCGGCAGTCGATGAGGATGGTGGCGTCGCCGTCGGTGGCGGTCTCGTGCGACTCGGCGCGGTCGGCAGAGAGCTCGACAAAGCGCGTCACGACGAGGTCGCCCTCGACGAGCTCGACGCCGTTGAGGACGACCTTGCCGTCGGCAATGTAGCCCTTGCACTCCTCCGAGGTCATCTTGGGGAGGTGCGACTTGACCTTGCCGAGGTCCTTGCGGAGCTTGGTGCCGAGCACACGCCAGTCGGCGGTCGCCTTGTACTTGATGCCCGTGGCGGCCTCGTCCTTGGTGTAGATGATCTCGGCAACGTTGAGCTCGGCCATGACGTACGACTCGAGCGACTTGACGTCGTCGAGGTACTCCTGGTCGTGGTGGAAGAGAACGAGCTCCTTGAGGGGCATCTTGACCTTGAGGGTACGCTTGTCACGGATGATACGGCCGAGCTCGATGACGCTCTTGAGGCGCTGGACCTGGCGCTCAATGACGGGGTCGAAGTACTCCTCGCGGACCTTGGGGAAGAGGAGGAAGTGGACGGAGCGGACGTCCGAACCGTCGGCGGGAGCCGGGGTGGTGGCGCGCAGGCTCTGGTAGACCATCTCACAGGTGAAGGGGGTGAACGACGACATGGTGAGACAGAGGGTGTACAGGGCCTCGTAAAGCGAGTTGAGGGCAGCCTTGGTGTCCTCGACACCGAGCTCACCCTTGAGACGACGACGGTTGAAGCGAATGTACCAGTTGGTCAGGTCGGCAATGAGGTCAAGCAGACGCGGGATGACAGTGTACAGGCGGTACGCCGACATCTCCTGGTCGACAAGCTTAATAAGGGTCTGGCAACGGGCGAGGATCCACCTGTCAAAGACGTTGGTCGACTTGGGTGCGTCGTGGTCGTACATAAACTTGCCGCCGGTCTGCTGGTCAAAGAGCTCGACCTGGTTGAGGTAGAAGTTGAGCGAGTTGATCCACTTGAGGATGACGTTCGAGAGAACATCACGGACACCCTCCTCGCGGAAGCGGAGGTTGTCACCACGGACGACGGGCGAGTTGATGAGGAAGAGACGGACAGAGTCGGCTCCGTACTTCTCGATAACGTTGACGGGGTCGGGGTAGTTCTTGAGCTTCTTGGACATCTTCTTGCCGTCCGAGGCGAGCACAAGACCGGTAACGATAAGGTTCTTCCAGGGGGCAGTGTCAAAGAGCTGGGTGCCGAGAACAAGGAGGGTGTAGAACCAACCACGGGTCTGGTCGATACCCTCGGACACAAAGTCGGCAGGGTAGCGCTGCTTGAAGAGCTCCTGGTTCTCGAAGGGGTAGTGCGACTGAGCGTAGGGCATGGAGCCCGACTCGAACCAGCAGTCAAACACCTCCTCGATACGCTTCAGAGTGCCCTTGCCCTGCTTGGAGGGGATGGTGATGTGGTCAATCGACTCGCGGTGGAGGTCCTTGATGCCCTGGACACCCGAGAGCTCCTCGAGCTGGGCGACCGACGAGATGCAGACAACCTCCTCCATGTCCTCCGAGGCCCAGAGGGGGATGGGGGTACCCCAGTAACGGTTACGCGAAATGTTCCAGTCGCGAGCGTTCTTGAGCCAGCCACCGAAACGGCCCTCGCCGACGTGCTGGGGGACCCAGCGAGTCTTCTCGTTGTTGGCAACGAGCTGAGCCGACTTGTCGGCGACACGGACAAACCACACGGGAACGGCGCGGTAGATGAGGGGAGTACCCGAACGCCAACAGAAGGGGTACGAGTGCATGATGTCGGAACGGACAATGAGGCGGCCGTTCTTGGTCAGGTCCTTGATGATCCACGAGTCGGCGTCCTTGATGTACTTGCCGGCATAGTCGGGGACCTCGGAGGTGAAGATACCCGACTCGTCAATGGGGCAAGGGGGGATCTCGTCCTCGCGGACGACCTTGTGCGCGACGGCAATGCGGTGGTCATCCTCACCAAAGGCGGGAGACTGGTGGACGATACCGGTGCCCGAAGTGTCGGTGACGTAGGTGTCGGCGAGAACGCGGAACGCGCGGTCCTCGTACTGCTCGGTGAAGTAGTCGAACATGGGCACGTAGCGCCAGCCGACCATGTCCTTGCCGAGGAACTCGCCAATCTTCTTGAACTTGGGCTCCTTCTTGGGGTCGGGCTTCTTGCCGTTGGCATACTCCTTGTACACAGTGCCAAGGAGCGACTCGAGGAGGATAAAGTTCTGGTTACGCTCAATGTCGTGGATCTTGATGTAGGTAAAGTCGGGGTGAACACAGAGACCCAAGTTCGAGGTAAGGGTGTAAGGGGTGGTAGTCCACGCAAGGAGCGAGGTGCTGGGGTCGTCCGCAAGGGGGAAAGCGACGGTCACGGCGGGGTCCGAGACGTTGCGGTAGTCCTCACCAGCCTCAAAGTTGGACAGAGGGGTGGTGCAGCCGGTCGAGTAGGGCATGACACGGAGACCGCGGTAGACCTGGTTCTTCTCCCAGAGCTGGCCAAAGACCCACCACACCGACTCCATAAAAGTGGGGTCGAGGGTCTTGTAACCAGTATCAAAGTCGATCCAGCGGCCGACACGCTCGACAGTCTTCTTCCACTCGCCCGAGTAACGCATCACAATCTCGCGGCACGCGGCGTTGTACTTGTCAATGCCCATGGCCATGACGTCCTCCTTGCCCTTGATGTTGAGGGCCTTGTCAATCTCGTGCTCGACGGGGAGACCGTGCGTGTCCCAACCGAAACGACGCTCGACGTGGTGGCCGGTAGCGTGAGCGTGACGGGTCACAATGTCCTAGAGGCAGAATGTCAGCAGGTGCGCTCGTGTATGGTCGGCCATCATCACTTTGATTTACCCACCTTGATGGTACCAGCAAGGATGTGGCCGTAGTGGGGGAGACCCGTGGCGAAGGGAGGACCGTCAAAGAACGAGTACTCGGGACGGCCCTCAGAGAGCTTCTGCTGAGTCTGGAACGCATCGATCTCGCGCCAGAACTCGAGCACGTTGTGCTCCGCCGTGGGGATGTGAATCGGCTTGGAGGCTGGAAGCGAAGTGTTAGCGGCTTGGTCATGGGGAGTGGTGTGGCAGGGAGCTGCTAGGGGTGGCGCTATATGGAAAACTCACGGTCGTGCTTGGTGAACGACATTTTGAGTGTCAAAGGAATAAGGAGGGGGTTGAAGAGAAAGGATAAGAGGAAACTGGGTGGCGAGACGGTCGGTTGACTGCTCGGCGCTCAGCTAATCAATAAAGTCCAGTTGTCGAGTCGACTTGGGGACTTTTGTTGGGAGCAGTGCTGGTCGTCTGATAGACAATGAGCACGGCGGTCGGCACGTGATTTCGCTCGCTAGTGCCGCTGTGTAGCGGGTACAAGAGAGCTAGTGTCGGGGGGAGGGGGGGGGGGGGTCGTGGAACGGGTGGTGACGACTGTACAGAAGTGTGTCGAGGATGCCGGGTTCGCTCGTCGGTCGAGTTTTCTGACTCGGTTGGCTCTCGTCTCGCGTGTGCGTGTGCGGGTGCTGGTCCGTTCGCTGTGTGTCCAAAATGCTCCCGCGCGTTGTGTGGAGGCCCCTCACCGCCCATGTGGGAAAAAAGGATCCGTCGGGGTTATCCCATCTGAGGCACTTTTGATCCCGTCGCCGCCCCCGCATGCGAGAGACTGGCTTCCCAAGATTTCCAGAGCGGCAACTGCAGAACGGAACCCACAATTGACGGCTGATTGTTCAACCACAACAACAACAATAAATGGCAGCTGCCTCGTCCTCACAGGGGTCAAAGGCAAACAAGGCCAGCAGACAGAGCATCTCCCTCACCGGCTCCCCAGCTCCCCACCCCGACAACAAGCCCAGCGGCTCGGGCGCGACAACCCCCAAGCGCCGCCCACAGTCAAAACGGCATAGACGTCGCGGGAAGAAGGCAGGGCTCCATTCGGCACCAGTGACCGATACCGACGCCGACTTTATCGACATGAGCAACGAAACTACAGACGACAGTGACATTGAGTTTCTCGATGGTCCCAGTGCGGCTGGCCCCAGCTCGCGCCCCGACGAGACGGCCGGTGGCGAGGTTGCTGCCACCGACACGAAACGCAAAGGTCGCGGGGACACTGACCTTGATGCGCCGTCGACACCCTCTACTTCTACCTCATACCGCCCGACCACCTTTACGCCCTTCCGCCCCATGACGTTTGGCATGGTGGTGGACGCCGAGGACGACGACGAACAGGACGAGCAGGAAGATGGCGAGATTGTGGAGAGCAGCACACCCGCAGCCAAGACGAGCAAGAACTCGCCACCACCCGGCGACAAGGGCGACCCGGTGCAGTCCAAGCCTGTTGTGCACGACCGTTACGACAGTGGCAATGAGAGTGTCCTTCTCCTGCCGGGGCACGTCACCATTGCCAGTGCGCACGCAGAAGGCGAGGAAGGTGAGGAGGAAGACGACAGTCCCATGGAGGACGTCGAGGGCGTGTACACCGTGGACGATGACCGCGCAAGAGTAAGTAACGGTTTGTGCCGTTGGGACCTAATTGTTGCAGGGTGTGCAGCGCTATTACATGGAAAAGGACGCGGATGTGGCGGCCTTCCTGGCCGAGGCGGACCAGAGCAAGATATGTCGCAAGTGCAAGCGACCAGGACACCGAGAGAGGGACTGCCCACACATTATTGTGATTTGGCCGTAGTGTGGAACGCAAGCTAACATTCAGTGCACAACGTGTGGTGTGGAAGACGACCACGAGCGCAAAGACTGCCCGTACAATTTGCTGTGCTATGGCTGTGGCCAGCGCGGACACAAGAAGCAGGACTGCCCCGACCCGGCGTCTCGCAGGTTACGAATCACTGGCTGCGTCCGCTGCGGCGTTCAGGACCACACTGAGAATGTAAGTTGGCCAACCGTTTCATTGCTAACATGCCCAGTCCTGCCCCCTCATCTGGCGCGTCTACGTCTACCGTTCTGCCAAGGACCGCGAGGGCGTGCTTGCTAAGAAGGCTGCGTCCAAGGGATGGGAGCGCGAGGCTCTTGGTGGAAAGGGAGATGAGTGGTGGTGCTACAACTGCGCTGCATTGGGCCACCTGGGTGACGTGAGTACAGCTGATTTCACCCTCGCTGACTTGTTTTAGGACTGCAAGCTGCGCAGAGGCAGTCTCGGCCGCGCGGTAGCCCACTCGGCATTTTCCGACCACACGGCCTCGATGGGACCATTTGGCAACAATGGATGGCGCGGCGGCAAGTCCATGGGCAATCCCTCCGGCCTCCACCAGCGTTTCGATGACGACGAGAGGCTGCCCCATGCCGAACGTTTCCAAGGTGCCGACGCCGGACGCAAGACGCGCGAGAAGGAGAAGGAGAGGCAACGTGACCGCGAACGCCAGGCGGAGAGGGACAGGGACAGACAGCGCCAGCGAGACCGTGACTCTGAGTATGACCAGTACCGGTCCAGCCGCGACCGCGATCCTTACCGCCGCGGCCGTGACGCCGACCGCCCGATCCTCCACGACAGCTACAGGCCATGGGACTCTGAGCGCCGCCCACGCTCGCCTGAAGGCCGTTACCGTCCATGGGACTCTGAGCGTCGTCGTGGACGCTCGCGCTCGCCCGAGCGCCGCGACTCTGGACCCAAGGGCAATGTGTTTGGCAAAATGTCCATGCCACCCACACTCGCTGCGCGCATCTCGTCTCCTGGACCAGCCGACTCGCCGTCCATTGGCCGTTCGCGTGGTGGTGGAAACGGTCGCGACTCGCTGCTCCAGCGTGCGCTCGCCGCGGACCCGGGACGCGGCAGCGCCTCTCCTGCGCCGTCGAACGCGAGCTCAAACGCCAGCGGCAGCGGCAAGATGAGCAAGAAGGCCAGGAAGGCCGCCGCCAAAGAGCATGCGGCCGAGCGCGACTGGGAAGCTACTTGGCGCCGGAGTGGTGCTGGAGGCGGCAACGTTTCCTCATGGGGCGACGACATGGACCGCGAGGAGCGCGCGGCGGCGAAGGACGACCGCGTCAAGGCCGGACCGGTCAAGAAGGCTACAAAGGGGCAGAGGTATACTGGCGGGTATTGAGCACCCGAGCAGAGATGAGGGGAAGGCATCGTCATGTTGGGAGGGCAGCATCATGTTCATGTGTGGGATGGGATGTACATACGCATACGCAAGGGAACCGGCCAGTGTGAAGTGCGTGAAATCCGCTTACTTTTCTGACTCTCCCGGTTCACGACACCACGGCCGTTTCGCTTACTCTTCCACCCGGTCCTTGGAGAAGACCGATACTCAGTGCAAAGATAGCAAGATTACTCACCGCACCGAACCTGGACACCTGGACACCTGACGCCGCCAGCCGGACCTGCCCCCACGAACCTGACGCTTCCGTCCAAGCCCGTGATCACTAGGGTCCCTCCGTCTAACATGTCTCTCAGCCTTCGTGTCTGATCTTCGACACCACCCGGTGGCGTGCGTAACTGGTCTTCTCCCAACGACGATCCACGCCGAGGTCAACGTCGCCGTCTCAAGCCCACAATCCCCAAGCCCAAGCCCCGAGTCCCAGGCCTGGGAATCGCCACCTTCCCATATCCCATATCCCATGTCCCATACCCCAACACCAGGCCACCAGGTCCCACACCACGCAGACCCACAGGCAGCCCGCAGCCTCAAGTGAAACCAAGACCCAGCCGCAGTCCAGCACCGGGGCCCGTCTCGCCGGTCGCCGGTCGCCACCGACCCATGGCCTTGGCCTTTGTCGTCCACACGCGCCGGCCGTCCAGTCCCAGGCCGCGCTTTTGTCCTGGCCGTCCTGGGAATCTGTCTCGAATTCAACGAGCGGACCCTCTCGCTGCCTACCGTGGTACCAGGCGGCGCGGTGCGGCCCGCAGCAGAGCTGGAACAAGGAAAGGAGCGTAGGGAGCGCTAGGGAGCGAGTAGAGACCACGCGGTACGTGGGCCGCCGGTGCGCCGGCGGCATGGGTTGGGCGATCAAGGCTTGTGAACCGGGACCGTAGATGGCTGCCGACTCGGGCCTTGGCTGTGACCATCGGCCATGGCCGTGGACGTACACGGCTGTACGGCTGTACGGCTGGGTAGTGCCCCACTACTTACTACTGTCCACTTGTGGTTCTGGTTCCTGGGGTGTGTGCGGCCCCCTCAACCCCCCAACTGGCCGGCTTTCCAGCTCTGGTGGTGTGGCGCGTGCGCCGGTGGCCGGTGGCGGCTCCGGTTCGCGATTGGGCCCGACGAGCTGGCAAGGAGGTGTGTGGGAGCCGATTACGCTTGGGCCTGGAGAGGCCGAGTGTCGCTGGCAAGGTTTGGGCAAGTAGTGGGCCGAGATGGCCAAGTGGGCCGAGCTAGTCCAGAGGGCCGAGCTGGTCAAAGTGGACCGCGTGGATCCAGTGTGCAAGGCAAGCGCAAGCACCCCGTGTCCGAGGGAGCAGGAGCAGTGCCGGCCGGCCCGGTATCTTGCCGGCTCTCTCGCGCTCGATGGACGATGTGCAGTCCCAAGCACATGGGCCGGCCACGGGGACGTGCGAGCTAGGGAACGCGGCAGGGAAAGGGAAGAGGAGCGCGTCCGTTGAGGATTGAGGATTGGGACCTAGCTGAGAAAACCGGGAACCAGATCTGGACGTGACCAAAAGGGCAACATGGGAATGGGAGACGGGAGGCTAGGCGAGGGGACAAGCTTTGTGCAATGCTTTGTGGCACACTTCCACACCAGGGAAGGCAGGGAAGGATGTAGCATAGAGCACGGCCGGCGTGTTTCATAGTGTTCTACTCAATGAACGGGAATTACAAGCTCTACCTATGTACTTGAGCTGTGGCGGACGTGTGGTGGTGAAACGTGTGTGGGGGGAACCAGGAAAGGGGAGGTCGTCTAACTATGGAAACACATGGACGCATACCCTTCTTGGGAGTCTGGGAGTCTTTGATAGTATACAGCTGTTGGAGTGCGTGCGGCCTTGCACCGTTGCGGCGTGTGTTGCGGTAGGTGCTGCGGGTGGTTTTGGAGGTGGTGTTGCGGAGGTGGGGTGGCGGAACTACTGGGTGGCGCCACGGAAGTGGAGAAAGGAGGCAGATTGACTGGTGCTGGCGGCGCGATAGTCGTAAAATGAGCCGTCGCCGTATCCACTGATCGTCGGCGGGCCGGAGGGAGCGCCACAGCTGGAGCCGCCGTATCGCGAACTTTGGGAGCTCTCATAGTCGTCGGCCCACTGCCTGAGCTCGCCGGGCATGGGAACGTGGTGGCACCAGTCGCCTTCCCACCACTTGTCGACTGCCGTGGATCCCCACACGGGCTCGGACCGTGTGCGACCGAGGTTTGGCCTTGGCGCTGTCCGTCCCGTGGTCTCGCGTGCGGTGGTTGCAGTGACTGGGGGTGCGTCTGACATGGGGGCTGGAAGGCTGACTTGGAGTATCTCGCCAAACTGCTGGTTGAAGTGGTCGACCGTGACGTCGAGTTTGCGCTTCTCCTCGGTCTTGGCTTGGGCCTGGATACCGTCCCAGTACACCCTTCCATCCTGAAGCTCTTTCTTTCCCTCTGGGATTTCAGAGTGGACTGATATCGGTGGTCAGCGAACACAGCGTTGGAGTGGCTGGAATGCAGGCTCAGAAAGACTTACCACCGCCTTTGCAGAACCGTGAGATCTCGGGGTTTGTGACGAGTCCTCGGCACATGTTCATGTCCAGGTTCATGCCGATGCATGAGTGCTGGAGATGTGTCAGCACGGTGATCTGGTGGCCCGATGATGGGAAGGGCCATGTGGGTGGCAAAAACCAAACAAAACACAGTACGCACAAACACGCAGTAGACGCTGTCACCGGTGGCGACCCTTTGACACGACATGATGGGGGGCTTGCAGCACTGGAAGAAGAAGCAGTTAGATTGCTGCGCAAGCGAGTTGAGACAATAGATGGTAACTTACGCCACCGCGAGTGACCCAGGTTGCCTGAACGTCGGTCATGGCCACGATACCGAGCACCGGCGCTTTTTGTTTACGCTGCTGTGTGGTAGTCGGAACAAGCTTCGGGCTGAGTGGCGGTGTGGAGATTTTCGTCGAAGGCGGAGCGGGGGGAGGGTGCTGCATCTGAGCGGCGGCTTTGGCAGCACGCTTACGGCGCGCCGAGGTAGTGGAAGTGGTGGTACCCCTGCGCTGCCTTCTGAGAAGAGGGAGGGTGGACAAGTCGATGCGGACGACGGGGGTAACCGGCGACGAACTTGACGCGGAAGACGAAAACTCGCTGCTGTCGTCCTCGGGCGACGCGGGCGGAGTCTGCAGAGCCGTCATTTGAGGAACCGCCACAGAACGCATCGAGCCGGCACGGTCATGGCTGTCGTCGTCGCCGTGGACCGGGTGAAATGAGCCGACAGCGGTGACTACGCTGGTGGCGACCGAGGCAGACTGGGCAGGGCTGGTGGCGAAACGGGTGGGTGGGACTGGGGATGACCTGCGGTCTGTGCGCCTGAGGCTGAGGCTGTTTATGGAACGCGAGGGGGCTGAAGAAGACGCGACCGTGGTGGTGGTGGAGCATGACAGGTTGTCATGTTGGATGGCGGTCTGCATGGTGGTGCTGATGAAGAGGGGGAGGGTGTTGGGTGAGAGGGGGGAGGACTGTGAGGACATGGAGGAGAGGAGGTGGTTGAGACGAGGGACGGTTGTGGGTTTATTATGTCTTGCTCTTGCCACAGTGTGGGTGACCAGGTGCGAAGTGGATGCTCTTCCCGCCGAGCTCTTGCGGACGGTGTAGAGTGCACACGGTGCGCGAGGTGTGGGTGTGAGAGAGTGGATGGGAGAGTGTGTGATGCTGGATGGGATGTGGGATGGGTGATGGGTGATGGGTGTGATATGGTGGGAAAGAGAGACAAGAGATCCAAGAGACCTCCTGTGTGACTGATGGTATTTGGGTGGCCGGCAGAGAGAGCGTGTCTGTGGACTTGTGTACTGCTGTTCTGCTAGCCAGGTTGCCCAAAGATGCGCATGCAGTGGTGGCCCAGCAGCCAGCGCCCAGCTGCAGCCTCTGCGCGTGCCGCCGGATAGACGTGTGTGGGCCAGACCTCGTGCGGGCGCGCATCGCAGAGGCGTGTGCCCCCGGGGTGGGTAGCTGCAGGCAGCCGCGTCCATCAAAATGCAGCACTCGTCGTTCGTCCTGTCGTCGTCGTCGTTTTGGGCGACAATCGCAGACCGTCCGTGCTGGCCGTGCTTGCCGCTTGTGCCATGCTTGTGCACACACAGAGAGCACAACGCCACACCGCCACTGCACGTCTCTTGCAAACCCGCGCCGGCGCCACACAATCCGCCACCCAATCTGTTCGTCTATCAGTAACGCGTCGCGCGCGCGCGCGCACGCAGCGCGACGCGAGAGCTCGAGAGACGAGAGAAAGACGAGAGACGACACACCCCCAGAGGCCAGAGAGCCAGGCACACACAACCACACCGCCCGTCTGGCACTAGACTGACTCTCTCTGCTGCCCCGCTGGCCCGCTGGCCGCTGGCCGCTGGTCCAGCGCACATTCATAACGGAAAGAATGGCCACCGGCGTCTCGGACACACCGGTACACCGGGGGCCCACACAGAATACAATTACAATTGCAACGTGCTCAGCTGAAGCAGCAGCTCATCAGCTGAGCGGTACACACAGTACACAGTGTTCCCGCAGCGCCATGCCTGTTATGGCTAGCTGCCATCCGCATTGAATGCCGCAAAAAAACAATGGAGGCACATTCCAGTCCATACATTACCATTCCTCCATTCCTGGGGCCTGGCCGCCCCCCGTGTGTTGCACAGTTGCACAGCGTGTCCGGTCCACACACACACACACATGTGCAACTAAAGCATGACTACGATCCACTGCGCCCACTGCACTGCACGATCAGCGAGAAGCATCGCACTGCACACACCCCTTCCTGTGCAGTGGCTCGGAACATGCCGGGAAAGGGGATGGATGGGCGCGTCACTCGGCATGGCCCATGGGTATGAGCTGATAGCCGTCAACTGTGCAACTGTGCAACAGTGGCGACCCCCACTGCATAGGCACCGAGAGAGGTCTCCTGCACACATGTCCACCGTTGCCGGCGCGCAAAGACGCCGAACAGAACACCGCTCATATACCCTGTCCCGTCAGAAAGAGGCGCAGAAGTCACGGTGTTTGAACATTTGAGCCAGTGGCAGCCACAAGTTACAGTCATGTCCTCTAGCGCCCAAAGGGGGCCAAGGGGAGGGGGGTGTCCCTCCTGTCTAGCCTGTCTGCCTCTCTCGTAGCACAACTACTGTTTCGAGCCCCGTGTACCCGTGTACCCGTGTTTGGTGCATACACTCTGTAACCTGCGGAACAGGCAGGGCCGTCACCCGCCTCAGCCTCACCGCAGCCCACGCAGTAAAGTGGTCTGAAAGCTGAAAGCTGAAAAGCTGGAAAGGACTCGCCATAAAGACATTTAGAGTTTCGATCGCGTCAATTCGTGCTGAACACGAGGCAGTGGGAACATGCCGAGACCCAAAAGGTCCAGAGGTTTGGTAGCCGTGCAGAGAAGACCGCGTTTCGCATGGTTGCTGGGTCCTTGTGCCCGCTTGTAGTCTCGTACAGACGACTGTGACAACCAGAGACGAGCGGCATGGCCCCAAGCCACCACCGTCATGCCGGACAGCAAGCCCCGCTCCGGGCCTGGAGCGGTCACCAACCGGCCGCCAGAGGCGCTTTGGAGCCATTTGGTGGGCATTTTGGAGCTTTGGAGCCATCGCCAACGTCGCGTGACAGCGTACTAGCCAGCGATCCAGCGACCATCGACAATGAGATGGACGCGTTAGCTCGAATGGCTGCCCCTGGAATCGAGACGTGCCGAGCGGATCCGCCGGTCTAGACATTGGCATGGCGTTTTGGGCGCGCTACTTGGTAACTGGATTTGCAACAACACGGACACCCGGTTTGCTCTGTTGGCTCAGCTCCACGACCAGAGTGAGTGGGCTTGTCCACAGTCGCAGCCACTTCATTGAAGCCAGGAGCCAAATCGACGCCTGCCGGGCACGCGGCGCCGACGCCTCTCCGCTAGCTCCATTCTATTCTCCATATTGCCTCTCTGCGTCGACGCACGAGATGACAGTCGATAGCGCGGCATAGATGTAGTGTGTGGGTGCCAGAGGGCAGAAAAAAAAGGTAGTGTGGTTGTTGCTCGACGATCTGAGACTGCTTTGCGCACGGTCGAGCACCCCCAGTGTGCACACATGAGAGAGACGGGGCGTTTTAGATGTCGCAGATGGCAGTCGTCGACCATTCGCCCGGAACCTGACAGTTTGCGAGGGGCGGTAACGTTGCTCAGGATGCTCCGAGCCGAAGTCAACTTTAAAGCGGCTGCAAGAAGTCTACAACATCTCGCAATCCGGTAATCCGTTTGTGATAATATGGTCGACATGAACAGCAGCGCGACAACCGTCGCCATATGGTGCCTCGTTTCCTGCTGCCACCGGAGAGCGCCACTGACGGAAGTATATTGGCCGCATCATGGCCCATAGTCACGTGACCCGCCCAGTCTGACCTCGCCGCCAGGCTGGAGAGCATTCTAGAAGTTGGAACCAGTCCGCGAACGCGATCCGGTGACGACCAGCAGCTCATCAGGCATCTAGACACTCTAGGAATCACCTATAGCGATCAACATGTCGACAGACTCGAAGCCTCTCACTGCATTCCAGCAGTCTTACCACTGGCGCGTGAGTGTGGAAACTGGGAAAAAAAGCGACGCCGGCCCGTTTGGTGTCGTCATTTCACGCACCGACGGCTGCCATGTCTTTGATCCTTGAACTACAGACCTGTCCAAACATGGGCCCACCGCTGACACGCCTCGCAGAACAAGAACTGCGGTCCTTGGGCGCACAAGTGGGTCAAGGACAACCTCCCTGGCCTCAAGGTGGAGGACGGCACCCTCGCTGCCGAGCTCACCGAGGTGACCAACGTCAGCGGTGACTGCGACCTTGGCCAGCGCAAGGGCAAGTGAGTTGAGCTGCGTCCATGACGTTGATTTTAGCTAACACCCAGGCTCCTCACGATCTACGACATTGAGATCGAGGCCAAGTGGAAGGGCGCCACCAAGAGCGGCAAGGAGGTGACTGGTCGCCTGTCGGTGCCCGAGTTCAGCCACGAGGCGATCGACGGCCTCTCCGACTACGTCTTCACTTTCAGCGTCGACGAGTCGTCTGCCGAGGCCAGCGAGCTTCTCGCATACGTCCGCAAGGCGTTCCCTCCCGTCATCTCGGAGCGCTTCAACGCGTTCCGCGGCGAGCTCCTGAACGCCCACGGCATCTTCACCGACGCCCACATCACCCCCGGCGCTTCGGGTGCCTCGACCCCCGTCTCGGTCGCCGCTCGCGCTACCGAGTCGTACTCGCCCGCTCCCCCCGGCGAGGTCCGCGCCAAGGCCACCCCTTCCCCGGCCCCCAAGCCCAAGGAGGCCCTCACCAAGACCTCTACGGTCGAGGTCACGGCCAACCTCCAGGCCTCGGCTGACGACCTCTGGTCCCTCCTCACCGACCAGAACCGCGTGCCCATGTGGACTCGCTCGGCGGCCAAGATCCAGCCCGTGGCCGGCACTGAGTTTGAGCTCTTTGGCGGCAACGTCACTGGCAAGGTCGAGAGCGCCGAGGCGCCCACCAAGCTCATCCAGTCTTGGAACACAAAGTCGCCCGGATGGCCTGCTGGTGAGATTCTTGTTTCAGTACTTGATCTGACAACGCAGACCACTTTGGCACCATGACCATCACCCTCAAGCAGGGCTCGGACTCGACTACCCGTGGGTACATAGTATTGCCTCTCACGCTGACCCGTACAGTCACCTTCAACCTCGCCGGCGTCCCGTCGGGCAAGGAGCAGGACATTGAGCGCGCGCTCGACGCATTCTACATCCGGGGGTGGGTGTGCTCTGCGTAAAAGACTTGCTGACCCATTCAGATTGAAACAGATGGGGTTAGTACTTGATTCGTCTTCGCGCTCGTACAAGGAGACGCGGCGAGCGGCTGTTAAGACTGCCACTGGCACGGCCGCAAAGAAGCCGCAGCGCAAGCGCAAGCAGGAGACCGGTGCTGGCGCCGGCTCCCCGGGCCTGCTACAGCGCCTCGCGACTCCACAGGTCGTGGGCGGCGCCGCGGCCGTAGGCCTCGCGGCAGTCTTTGTCGGCCTCGTCGCGTCCACATTCGCGCGTCCCGCATAAAAACCATTGCCATTCATTTCCCAAAAACGATAAAACTAATGCACCATCCTCCTCCTTCTCATTTAACAGTCTCGGCTCCATCCTCTAAGAAAACCAGTCTCTTAGCGCCCCCCAACCCCAACCCCTCCCATGTCGCGTCTGCGGCGGGATTCCGTTGCTGCGTCTCCTCGTGCGGACGAGGCCGTGTCACCATAACTTAGATTCACGCGCCTCGCCTCCGCGCACCGAGCCGCCGACGGAGCCCGCAGCGACGCATGGCGGATCCGCCGGTATACGCCGTCGAGTCAGTTTGTAGAGGTAGAACATGTACATGCGTCGCGTTGAGTTTGGGCAATTGGGAGTGCAGCTGTGTGGTGGGGTGACGGGGTGCGATGTGGGTGTTGTTTCCGGACAGTCGACGCGTGCCCGACAGCGCGGTGAGCCAAGGCCGGCACGGCAGTACGGGTGACCGACTCAGTTCCCCAGTCGTAGCGCGGCTTGCTCGATTGCTCCCTATTGCAGCAGAAATATGGTGGCATGCGAAGGTAACATCAAAGCAGAGAAACGGAAGAGATATCGATCGAGCTGTACGTCCAAACTATGGGAGGCCGGGGTCGGATACCCCACCGACGACCCTCAAACGAGGACGGTTCTTCTCGCACCCTCCGCGAGCGTTGGCGACCGGTAGGAGATACACGGTCGCCAGTCTAGTGTACACCAAACCCTCGTGAGAGTTTGGTGGAGAGATGCGTAAAGAAGAAGAAAGGAGATGCGCTCTCGAGAAAAATAGTCGCGGCCGGCGGCGGGACCAGGGCGGGCAGGCGCGGGAGTATATTTTCGTGGACGGGTGCGAGAGGGGGATATATGGTGGCTATATCCGTGATTTGTGACCATTCCCGACATTGATAACGGGACGGGTCGTCTGTCCAGCTCCAGGGACAGACGGGGCGTGGCCTCCATGAGGTGATACCCACAGGCGTTGGATGGAAAGGGATGTATTAGAGCCCAGAATTCTCACGGTTGCCCCCTCTCCTTCGTTATTTCGTTCACCATGGCGGCCGCCTCTGCGCGACACTGCCGAACGTGGCGGTGCCACCTTTGACCTCCACAACTTCACCGACCTCCTGCCTACCCACAAACCGCGCTTCCCCACCACCCACATTTGCTGCCAGCCACACCAGAGCTAGTTATTGAATTTGACCAGCAAGTACCCATTCGATGTCCTCGATGTGGTCAAGTTCCGCGGCACAACCCAACCCTAGCGTGTTTGCCGAGCGAACGAATAAATAAACTATATAAAAGTGGAGAAAGGACTGGCGACCGTTTCCAATCTTGAAGCAGGTTTGGCAATCATGAGGCCTGTGACAGTTTGCGTCGACGCAGTTGGCGTTAAAGACCCGGCAGACCACAGAAGCCGACGCCGATAAATATGTGGAGAGAGGAGCTGGTGTCGTCACAATCGGGCGTGGCGTCTTGGTCGGGGGGTTTCAACGGCTCGACGGCGTGGCCAACGATCTCCGATATGGTCGACAGCGAGATGACCAGGGGCGCGGCTTTTAGCGGGTATCGATGGTGGGCCTCGATGAAGTCGTCTCAGGCGTAGGCGGTGGGGGGGGGGGGGGGGGGGGCTTCAGTGGTCGTGACGGCCGCACATAGGTGATCGGGCACCTCGTCGGGTTTGTGCGATCCTGTTGACAAGTATGACATCCCTTTGCGAAGCCATTGTTGAAGAATCTTGTTCTTGTGGCTCGCTATGGCCTCCTTTGATCCTTGCCCTCCACAAGGGTGTGGGGACGAGTCCAATGAGTCGGTGTGGTTCTTGGCGATTTTGTCCACCAAGATCGACTTTCGGCTGGTCGCTTTGGCCTTCTTCGGGCGTGCTGTAGCCAGCCTTGAAGACACGGTGCAGCTCGGACAACCTCGCTTCGCGCTTCCAAGGTACGGGTACGGGTCCTGCAAGTCACCACCGGCGCGGACATTGCGCGTGTGGTGGTTTCCTCGCAGTCCTAGCTCTTAGCTGATTGGCGATGGAGTGAATAGAATGAACAATTCCATTTAACTCAATGACGCACAGCAAGACAATTTTCTTCCATCCTCATTCTTGTCCTCTCTCATCTCTCAACCACTCGCACACGCCACCCCAACACTCGCTACCCCTTTACTCCTATCCTCAACCCGCCACCCGCCCTGTCCCCCACTCCCCACAAGCGACCCCTCAACCCGAACCACAGGCCCCCTGGGGTAAGGTCACCATGCCTCCCCGCCGCACTCCCACCCCTCGCGCCCTGCCTCGTCTTTCCCGTATTTCGCGTGCCGGCCTTGGTGTCCTCCGCGTGGAGGAGCTAAAGTTCCTCCTCGAGGAGGCGAAGATCGACATTCCCCTGGGCAACAAGGCCCAGCTTGTCAAGCTGGTCTTTGTCAACGAGGGCATCTGCATCCCCACCGCCATGCGTCCTCTGACTAAGCCCCCTCACGTCCCGCAAGCGACCGTCGAAGAGGTCCTCAGCCGCCTGACCAAAGCTGAGGCCAAGATCGACGCGACCACGGACCGCGTGGGGCAAGCCGAGACGAAGATCGGCAGGATCCAGGAAGGCCAGAGTGGTGCGAAAGCACAACCGCGCCGCCTCCGAGCCGCGCCTCAGCCAAGCCCCAACCCGCCGTCGAAGCGCGTGCCCCCATCCAAGCTGCCCCGTCCCATCCGCCAGGTCTTTGCTCCTCGCCCTGAGGCCAGGCCTACCCCTGTGCGGAGCCCGTCCACAAGGGGCACCGTAACGTTGTAAGGAGCCACTCGCGCAAACGTGAACATTTTCTTTCCACCCACAATCTCTCTTGTCTTCTTCGCCACCGCCACCACCACCACTCCGCCACCTTGCACCACCCACATCCCCCCCTCCCCCCTCCTCCAACCCCTGAGTCCCCACGGGCCACGGGGTCCGACACCCCCAAGTCCCGTGCTCATACACCCCCCCACACACCACACAACATGGCCCCACACCGCAACCCTCCCGCGCGCCCCATCCCTCGTCTTACTTCGATTACGCGTCCCGGCCTGGACAAGCTCCGAGTGGACGAGATCACCACGCTTCTCTCTGACGGCGGGGTGACCGTCCCGGCGGCGACAAAGCCCAAGCTTGTCCAGTTGCTCCTCGACAACGAGGAAGTGTGCATTCCAGCGGCTATTCGCCCTCGTTCCGCTCCCAAGACCTCCACCGCCGACGCCTCCATACTCACTCGTCTCACCGATATGGAGACACAGCTCAAGCTCGTGTACCCCAGCCTCGACGCCCTGGAGGCGGCGGCAACCCCAAACAAGCCCGACGATCAGGTACCTCCCAAGCCCACCGTCCCCAAGTCCAAGCTCCCCCGTACCCCCGTCTTATCCGTCCCCCTCAGGCATTGGCGCCGAACCCCCCGAGGCAACGAGCCCGCCGGCATCTGCAGCCGCTGCGGCCGCCGTGGCCACATGCGCCGTCAGTGCCACGCGCGCCACAGCGTGGGCAAGATCAAGATCGCCAAGGCTGGAAGCAGCCAGCGTCACTAGTGAGTGCACCCCAACGCTCCCTCTCACAGCAGCCCCCTCAAGCGACCATCGAAGATCGAAGAGGTGCTCAGCCGCCTCACGAACATTGAGGCCAAGATTCCCGCGACGACGGACCGCGTCGCGCAAGCGGAGGGCAAGATCGACAAGATCACTGGTGCGGGTCACAACCGCCGCGCCGTCTCCGAACCGCCTGAGCCAAGCCCGGCGAAGCGCGCGCCGGCCTCGAAGCTGCCCCGCCCCATTCACAAGGTCTTCGCTCCTCGCAAGGAGAACATTGTCGCGCCTGTCGACCCCAAGGCAATCTGCACCAAGTGCAACAAGGTCGGTCACCTTCTGCGCACATGCCGCGCCTAGTGAGTGCACCCCAAAATCTCAGCTGAGGTGATCCTGTTTGGTGCTGACTCTGCCCAGGGTGACTGCCCTGCCCTGCCCCCCCGCCCCTCATCACCATGGCCTCACCTGCCGCCGCCCACGCGCGCGCGCCCTTCCGCGCCTCACCTCCATCACCCGTGCCGGCGTGAACGTCCTGTACGTCGGGGAGATCACCAAGCTTCTCTCCGACGGCGGCGTGGCCGTTCCCCTGGCCACCAAGCCCACGCTTGTCAAGTCAAGCTGCTCAAGATGGCCCCACACCGCAACCCTCCCGCGCGCCCCATCCCTCGTCTTACTTCAATAAGCCGTGCCGGCATAAACGTCCTGTACGTCGCCGAGATTAGCAAGCTTCTCTCCGACGGCGGCGTGACCGTTCCCCGCCGCGGCGAACAAGCCGACCTCGTCAAGCTGCTCGTCGATAACGAGGCGACCTGCATCCCGGACGAGATCCGCCCACTCACGGCGTCAACCCCCCCCCCCCCAGGCCAACGAGGCCGCCGGCATCTGCAGCCGCTGCGGGCGTCGTGGCCACGTCAGCCGCCAGTGCCATGGCGGCCTCAAGGGGGACAAGCAGGCTGGCCCCAGCCAGCGTCACTAGTGAGTGCACCCCAACGCTCCCTCTCACAGCTGAAGTGATCCTGTTGGGTGCTGATTCTGCCCAGAGTGACTGACTGCCCTGCCCCGGCCCCGGCCCCCCCATACCCCGTGACGCGTGACACCGACCATACCTCCGTCCTGTCCATATACATAGAATTCTCCGATACCCCCCCTTTTTCAACCCCAGTCCAGCATCATGCTCGGGCCTTAGGGTTCTGTAAATACTTTACATGTATCGCTATGATGTCCTCTCAGACCCGCAGCCTAGACTTTCAGTGGGTGGGATGCATGCTGCAGTTGTGACCTCGCGTTTGCTGGTTGTCATTGCCTTGGAATTGTGTAGGAGAATGGAATAAGATCTGAGGAGGAAGGCAGTTCACGAGCTCGCTCGCTCGACTGGACTAGGGATCGTGGTGTGGACAACCTCAGTGGTGGAATTGGCTGTTTCTCTTCAACGTTCGTTTCCGGTACCCCCCCCGGCCCGGGAGGACTCAACGAATGCGATGCCTGCCGCAGATCGCGATGTCGTGGAACTCCATCCCGCTGCCGAGCGCGACAACTACTTGGGAGCTCAGGTCGCTGCTGTCAACGCTGAGCTCGCCATGCAGACGGTGCGCACGAAGCGCTTGGAAGCACTGAAGGTCGAGGTCGACAGTTGACAATGTTGCCCGTGCGCAATCACAGAGGTACGCAGGTAGACAAGGCTACAGGAGTTGAATACAAGGCCAAATGCGGAGGAGCCATCCAAATCACAAGCACGCGGTCTAAAGGATAGAAATCACGTCGAGTCACCTGGCCTCTTCTTTCCTGTCTTGTCTTTTTCCTCTACCCTTCCTATCAACGCGCACCGGCGCATCCACACTCGTTCGACCGCTCCTCCAATCCCCCTCTTCATTCTCACTCTACTGGCACACCATGCCCGTGACCTGCTCAGTCACCTGCTCCGTCGCCCGCTCCACCAGACGCACGGCCACCACGAACCCCCTTGCCTTTCCAAGACCACCTCGCTCAAGACTACCAAGCCCAATCCCACTTCACAGAATGTCCAAGGGGAGCGTATGCTTGAGAAGTTGCGCCTCCTGAATGAAGACGGCCTCGCGGATGACCGCCAAGTGCCCAAGTTGTGCCACGTGCACCACGTCCTAAGGGATGCCGCCGGCGCTTTTTATCCCCATGTCACATGTATCTCTCATCTTCAAGCGGAAGTGGCGAATGTATGTACTGGCAGTCTTGATTGACCACCGACTGGCCCACAACTTACCCTCTCCTACGGAGGGCGAAGGGGCCGTTACATAGACACACGCAACGGCGACAATGTCCTCGGAAAAGCTGTCCAAACGTGGCGAAACACTGTGTACTGAATTATATCGCCACCTGCCAGCCCAGGTGCGAGTATCGATTCCGACAGCGCTCACGAGCGGTTGCCACAATAGCCGCTAGTGAAACACTATGCAGTTGCATGAGAAAGGACCTTATGTGCATATGGAAAAAAGAAAAGAAAAGAAATCGAAGGGCTGGGCGACGGACGATGAAGAACGACGAAAGGGGCTCGAGTCATGGACAAGCCAGAGAACAGGAGCGAGGTGAAGAAGGTCTTGGAGATGGCCGAGGAATCGCTGTGGAGCTAATACTCGTTCTCGTAGGCCTTGCGGGCCAAGGCGAAGTTGGCGGTGCGCTTGCGGGCACGCTTGACACCACTGATGGCGGGGTCGACTGGATCGACGAAGTAGGGGTGGGCGCGAGGGCGGGCGGCACGCGCGAGGTTGCGAGCGCGGTTGTTCGCATCGGCGGCCTGGCGAAGGTCGGCGATCTCAGCCTCGAGCGCGCGCATGCGGTCTTCGTTGTCGCGGGCCGCCTGGCGGTGGTCAGCGACCTCGGCGCGCTGCATCGCGGCCTCGGCCTCCAAGTTGGCGACACGGCGCTGCTGTTCGTTACCGAGGCGAGCCAGGGCGCGCATCTCGGTGCGCTGAACGCCAGCCTCGACCTCGACGTCGTCGAGACGGCCCTGGTCGGCCTCGGCAGCGCGGCGGAGTACCTCGACGTCATTGAACAGGTGGCGGACGCGTTCGGCGTCGCCGGCCTGGGGAGCAATATCGGCGCGGAGCGCGGCGGCCTCAGCACGGAGACCGGCGTTCTCGGCCTCAAGGTCGTTCAGGCGCGCTCCGAGAATGGCGTTACGGCGGGCTTGAGCGCCGGCGGCGCGGCGCGCGGCAGCCGCAGGATCGGCGCGGTTCAACTCAATTATGTCGGCAACCACAGGGGGCATCACGTCCGCGTTCGCAATGACGGTGTTAACCATCTCTGCCTTGGAGACGCCCCACCAAGGGAGGTGCTCGATGGCGAGCCAGGCGGTGAGGGTTGGAACGCCCAACCAGGCGTTGAAGAAGCGGTGAACCGGGCTCGGCATGGGTGCGGGTGGACGTGGGTGGGGGGGGGGGGGGGGGACTGCGTTGTTGGGTCGTGGGTCTACAGTTAGGTAGGTTACTGAAGAGCGGCGAGGGCCAGCTGCAAGAAAACTCACGACTCGTGAACGAGAAACGCAATAAAGGAGCGGATGCGCGTGGATGGGTGAGGAGGGGAAGTGAGAAGAGAGACTGAAAGAACCAGGAGGGAAGGCGGCCGGGTGACCTTTCTTATACGCTCTCTTGTCTGTCTTCCTCGCCACCGCCCGCGCGTCCGCATCGGGAAATAACACGAGAACAGCTGCCACCGCCTCCCACGCGCTCACGTGATCAAACGCGCTAGTGGCTGATTCCGTCGTTCCGTTATCCCACGGTGGTCTGTCTCGTCTTTGGTATAAGGATTAGAAAAAAATGTTATTGTTGTGACAGCGTGCCAGGCAAATTATATGTACAGCAAGCTCTTTATTAATTGCAGCCGCGTCTTCGTCTCTGACGTGTCGTTCCCAACACACCAGCCGCAATGAGGCCCTGCCCAACCTCGTACGTGCCCATTATGATCCAAGCGGTCCACGCCGGGATGAGGTCGCCCATGAACAGGCGGAACGCCAGCAGCGTGTCCGAGGTGAGGAAGAAGATGGCGCCAGCAATAACCGTGGCAGAGCAGCGGGAGCTGCAAGCGCTCGTGCCTCCCAAGAGGACGCCGTAGGCCGCAATGCCCGTGAAGAGGGCGCCGGCGTGTGGTCCGACGTAGGCTAGCATGCCTGCCCACCACAGGAGGTACACGCCTGCCCAGGCCGGAGTCGATGGGCGCACAGAGGCGTGCGTGAGGAACAGGGGGATGTAGGCGACGTGTGCAATGCCGAATGTGAGGAGCATGGCCGGGACATAGGGTAGGAACGGGAGGAGGACAGCGGCGTTGTCCCCGACCCAGCTGAAGAAGAGAGCCGAGAGGAGGTATCTCTTTGGGGTTCCCGTGAGATGCTTGCCATCCACCAGCACGGCCAGGGCGAGCAGGGGCATGAGGACCAGCTTGAGGGGCTCCGAGATGGACTTGATACCCTGGCTGAGGAAACCCATGTTGGCGACACACGCAAGTGCGTACGGTCCGTAGACGAGAGTGTTGGAGCTGGTGAATGGGCGGGTAGAGCCGGACGCGAGGCCGCCGTTGGCGCCTGTACGCTGGCGTTGGCGGAGCTGGGACATGACGGCGCGTCTGCGTGAAGAAGCCCGCCGGATAGCCACTGTCATTATATAGCCCGTGTCAAAGCCAAACAACAGTGCGGCCGGCGATCGCCGTCTCGGTGGTCTCGGCCCGCGTCCAAAGGCATCCCACCAGGTGCCACTGACCTTGTACAGAAACCTGGTTTGCATCGGCTACATGAATATAAAAGACGTATCTATAGGAAACGGGAGTGTGTGTGTGTGTAAGTCTCTAGAGATGGCCGTTGGGCTTGCTGCCGTTGATCCAGCCAGCGACGACATCGGCCACTGTCTGCGAGTGGGCGTCGTCTAGATGTCGTCAGCCATGATTCCAACAGTCTGTCACCTTGCCGCACTCACTCAGAACAAAGGCATGCGGGACACCGTCCAACACCGTTGAGCGCTTCTCGCCGAGCACATCACGGATCATGGGTCCCTCCTTGCCAACCCAGCCGTCGAGGCTACTGCCGGACCACACGCCGTATACGCCGTTGGCGCGGGGTTTCTGCGCCTGAGCCTTGTACCACTCCAGATCGGGGCTCCTGATGACCTTCATCTCGGACGTCGCCATCGTGAGGACAGAGCGGACAATGTCGGATGACCCGATCATCTCAGCAGTGGCCGGGTTGACGGAGAAGGCGCTGCACACCGCCGAGGTGACCGGCTTGGTGGTACCTGCGAGCATGGGGAGGAACTGGAACAGCGGCGCGCGGAAAATGGGCTGCCAGAGTCAATAGGGGCTGTGGGATCGCTTTCCAGCTACTTACCCAGAGCTTCCATCCATTGTGGGTGTCAGCGATCCAGCCAAGAGTCGGGAACATGAGGTATCCGGCCTCGATGTCAACGCGCTTCATGATTTCGACAGTGAGCCACGCGCCGACCGAGTGACCGACGAGGGCGACCTTGGGCTGAGGCGCATTTTCGTCTGTCTCGCGCGCCCATTCCCCCAGCGACTGCTTGAGCGATTGGATAAAGTCGATCTTGGTCGCCAGGTGCTGTGGCAGGTCGAGAGGCCCGTCCTCGGGAGGCGGGAGGCGAGGGTCAGCGCCGACATGTGACAGAGCGAGGAGCGCATGCGAGTCAGGCAGCTGGTCCTGGATATAGTGCATAAACTTGGTGTAGTAGTCCAGGCTTCCCGGGTTGCCTGTGAGGGGAATTGTCAGCACGTTCAAGTCAATGGGTCACGCGTTCACGGTTGCCACTCACCCAGCATGAGTACTGTGACGTGTTCGGGGGCAGTGTCGATGCCGCGCTTTGCAGGCCAATAGTGCACAGCAGCACTTCCCAGTGTTGACTGCTGAGCAAATGGAAAGACAGCGTTGATAGGTGACTTGCTCGCTGCGACGCGCAGGAAGAAGAATCGGTCGGCCATGGTGAAGGTTGCGGCGGTACGATGTGCAATGAACGTGGGCGAAAAAAGCGACTGGGTTGTTGCCGTTGCCGCGTGATTATAAAGGGAGAGTAGATGTGGCAGAGGTGCTATGCTGGTAACCGGCCGCCGATACCCGCTGTCTGCTGTCTGGGCCTGTGTGCTGTGTGTTGATATTGTGGATTGCGAGTCGCTAGCGATGACACTAATGCCGGCCGCCGTGTGCCCATGCATCGCGCGCGCTTGGGTGGAGGGGATGTCGATGTCACCCATGGACTTTTTGATCCCGTTACGACCCACAATGACGCAACGGAGCCATATTTATTTTTGCTTCCGTGGTGCGCACACCCCGTTCATGAGAAGTGGAGGTTGGACGGTTGACTGGACCGCGCGACGCGTCTCGCAGAGGGAGGGAAGGAGTGTTGTTGTTTTTGCAAGTGGACGTCGACAACAATCCAACAAACAACCATCGACCTCGTGCTTCCACACACTTGGTTCCCACCACCACCACCACCACCACCACCACCACCACCACCACCACCACCACCACCACCACCACCACCACCACCACCACCACCACCACCACCACCACCACCACCAAAAAGGGCCGTGCATCATGTCCGAACCAAAACCCGCCCTCTTCTTCCCAGCGGAATCCGACGACGAGGATGACAGTATCCCCGTTGTCGTGGGCAGCAGGCAGGCTGTTGAGCCGTCGCCTTCCCCCGTACCACCGACCATTTCGCGCGCGTCCAGTTCCTCAACTCGCGAAGCCTTGTTCTTCCCCCATGAAGATGAGGAAGACGAGGACGACATTATTGAGGTAGCACCAGCCCCTTCTTCCTCTGCCGGCCCTTCCTCGCGACCTTCATCCTCCAAGCCTTCATCGTCTTCGCTGAAGCGCCCCATCCCGCCTCCTTCCTCTGCTCTCGACACTGCACCTACATTGTCCCAGTCTGGCGTCCGACCAGGTTTCATGCGTGGATACCTTGGGGAGTTTGTCTGCGAGGGATGGTCGTTGTCCAAGGGCAAAGGATACTGCACCCCCGGCAGTAAGGTCGTGTTCGAGCGTCCCAAGCCGCAGAAGAAGGCTGAGACCAACGGGATCCAGGCGAAAGCCGGTCCTGCGCGTATCGTTAATGGAAAGGTCGTCCAGGCAAAGGCGCCTATCGGAGGCAAGCAGATGAAGCTCAGTGCCATGATGTCCAAGAAGCCACCAGCGGTGAGTTCAAGGTAACCATGCAATACTGACCTTCCCTCAGCCAGTGAAGAAGGCAGCGGCAAAGGCCAAAGTTGATCAGATTGTCCGCTTCAGGAATGAGAGGGGTTTCGGTACGTGTTTCCAGGCCTGAGTGTAAATGCTGACAATCTCAGAGGGTGAGTTACCTCAGCCCGCTGCATGCTAACGCTGTCCAGTTGGCCGTCTGTCAGTCACAGAGGCAGGTTTCCTCGTTCACCTTTTGGACGCGGGTGTTAGTGAGTTATACCTCTTGCTCGACTGTGGAGCCGCAGTGGCTGACACCCGGCAGTCGAACTGGAAGGCCATGTCATCGACTGCCCGCAGGTTCTCGCCACAGGTTCGACGATCCTCCTCAACGTCAAAGTCTTCCTCGGTCGCAAGGGCTTTGCCAAGATTGAAAGGCAGGACCGCACGGCCCAGAGCACGTTCTGGCAGGAACAACAGGAGACCGAGGAGGAGGAGGCGATGCGTAACCGCAAGGACGCACTTGGCGCCCTGTTCAGTGGGTTTAAGACCACGGCCATCGCTAACCCGTCAGGCAGGATCGGTGTCAAGCCCATACGCTCAAACTCTCTCCTTCTCGCTCAGAAGAAGAGTGGAACTGCCGCCGTGACCATTGGCGAGGAGTCTCTCAAACACTTTGAGTCGGGCAAATCGTCCCCAACAAAGAGCACCAGCCCTCGTCACAGCTCGCCAGGGAAGGGCAAGGCCAAGGCATCAGCGCGGAACAGCGACGATGAGGACGAGGACAGTGGGGACGAAGCGGAGAAACTCAACGACGAGCAAATGGGCGAGCTTGACACCATCTACCGAAAGTGGGTTCTTTGTATGATGCCGTGCTGACCCACCAGGGCCCAGATGAATGACGCCAAGCTGGAGGAGACGGACGCACCGGACTCGTTCCTTTACACCTTGCGACCTTACCAGAAGCAAGCACTGACATGGATGAGGGCGCGCGAGTCGGGCAACGACAACTTGCGAGAGTCCAACCAAACTCTTCACCCCTTATGGGAGGAGTAAGTGGTTGCAAGGTGATGCTTTGTTAACCACCCAGGTATGCTTTCCGCAAGGAACAGGCAATTGATGAACCGATCGAGATTGAAGACGACGACGACTGGATCGACCCTTCGCGCAAGTTCTACTGGAACCCTTACAGTGGCGAGCTCAGCCTTGACTTTCCCAAGACTGAAGCAAGCGCTCGCGGTGGTATCCTGGCTGACGCGATGGGCATGGGCAAGACGTGTATGATGGCGTCTCTCATTCACATGAACCGCGAGGACGAGGCAACTCCACCTTCTCAACCCGTCGATGACGAACCAGAGGCACCCAGCAAGCGTCGCAAGTTTGTCCAAGTCACCCTCTCGAACCAGTGGAAGGCCGTCGCGAACGCGCCCAAGCCGACCAAACAGCCTCCACGCGCGACGCTTGTCGTCTGCCCCGTGTCACTCGCGCAGCAGTGGCACGACGAGCTCGAAAAGATGTCCGCCAAGGGATCGCTCTCCAGTTTCCTGTGGTACGGCAATGACCGTGCCGACGTTGGTCGTCTCCTGGCACAGGAAGGCAAGAAGAAGATCGACGTCATCATCACCAGCTATGGTACCCTCGTCAGCGAGTTCTCTCGTTGGAAGAAGAACAAGGACAAGCCAAACTACGATGGATCCAGCATTTATGATCGTACGTTGTACCGCACAGTCAGTGGCTAACGTACAGACGAGTTCCTGCGCATTGTGCTTGACGAAGCTCACAACATCAAGAACCGCACGGCGCAAATGTCCAAGGCGTGCTACGAGCTCAAGGGCCGCAAGCGCTGGGCTCTAAGTGGTACTCCTATCGTGAACCGCCTCGATGACCTCTTCTCTTTGCTGTGAGCTGAATGACTCCGCAGAGTACTGAGCTAACGTCCAGCCACTTTCTCCGCCTCGAACCGTGGGGACTGTACAGCTTCTTCCGCAGCTTTGTCACCATTCCTTTCCTCAACCAAGACCCCAAGGCCATCAACGTTGTGCAGTATATCCTTGAATCATGTCTTCTTCGCCGCGAAAAACACATGCGCGACAAGGACGGAAAGCTCGTCGTCGACCTGCCGCCCAAGAACATCGACGTCCAGGTCCTTCGATTCTCTCGTGCCGAGCGCAAGATTTACGATCAGCTCGAGAGCAGCGCCAAACGCCGTTTCATCGAGATGGACGCCGACGGCCGTGCCATGTCCAACTACACATCCATCTTGGCCATGCTGATGAAGTTGCGCCAGTGTGTTGACCACCCGCTCCTGGTCATGGCCAAGGGTTCGGGTGAGGAAAAGGATGGCGACAAGTTACTCGACGACGAGGGCGATGTCAAGCAGCTCATCTCAAACTACGCCGGTGGCGACGATGGCCAGAGCACGAGCGCGGTGGACCCGACATACGCCCTGCAGGTCCTCAAGGAGCTTGGAGACGCCGAGTCGTCCCCAGAGTGTCCTCTCTGCTATGGCGAGGTGTTTGACGAGGTCCTGCTGCCATGTTATCACCGAGGGTGGGTACCTTCATGTCATTCATAGCTAACCCAAGCAGCTGTCACGACTGCATTGTCGACTATATCGGCCACTGCGAGGACACTGGGAAGGAGGCGTCTTGCCCTGCATGTAACAAGGGACCGGTCAAGGTGTCGGACCTGCGCTCCGTCCAACGCCGTCGCCGTCGCAACCTCCTGGACAAGGGCGACGAGACATCGATCACGCTCGGTAAAGTGGACATTGTGTCCAGCACCAAGCTGCGCGCGCTTGCCCGCAAGCTCGAGCAGATGCGCCAGGACGAGCCACAGTTCAAGGCTCTTGTGTTTTCGCAGTTTACGTCTTTCCTCGGTGCGTTACGGCGTCGAATGCGACTGCTAACGCTCAGACCTGATTGAGACCACACTCACCAAGGAAGGTGTGCGCTGGCTGCGGTTTGACGGATCCATGAGCCAGGCGCAGCGTGCCGCCACCGTGGAAGAGTTTGGACAGCCCAGCAAGGAGCCCGTCGTGCTCCTCATCTCGCTCAAGGCCGGCGGTGTCGGTCTGAACCTGACCATGGCGAACCGTGAGTACTCAGCTGAGTCCAGATCTGTGATCGTGTAGCTAACACCGCAGACGTCTTCATGATGGACACATGGTGGAACGAGGCCATTGAGCAACAGGCCATCGACCGCGTGCACCGTCTCGGCCAGACCCGCCCCGTGTTTGTTACGCGGTACATTATCAAGGGGACCGTCGGTGAGTCGCAATCACACAGCTATTCGACGGGGAGCGAGCTGACCCGTGTTTGTGTTCAGAGAAACGCATCATGAAGATTCAGCGCCACAAGACTGCCCTCATCAACGCTTCGCTGTCCAATGGATCCAAGGACAAGAACGCGACGTTGGCCGATATTAAGAAGATCTTTGGTCTTGGTGAAGCGGACAGCGAGGACGACGGGTTCTGAGAAGCGAGAGAGAGGGAGAGCAGTTTCTGCCCAGTCAGGCATGCGGAATTCACGTGTACACAGCACCCCCAATGACACCAACATGTATACAGCATATGCATTTTCATCTGCACATACATAGACGGCAGTGGCACTTCAGAGACGGACAAGACATGCGAATGGGTTTGTGATAGAATGCGAGACAAGGCAAGATACGAAACAGTGTCCTCGCGACGTTGTTATGCGTAGTCGAGGTTGAGTGCCGAGGTGGTGACGTTGGCGTCACCAAACACCTCGTTGAGGACCTTGGCCAGCCTCAATCCACCCATAGCCAGGAGCTTCTCCATGATCTTTTCGCGGCCAATGTGGCCCAGGTACCTGTCCGTGTCGAGCTCGATGAGCGGTCCCGAGCCAGTGTACTCTGTGGGCCAGCAAACGTCACAGTTGAGTCCGTGGATGGCCTTTGCCCAGGTATAGGGGCAGGCAGGCTGCTTGAACTCGCTACCTGTAGCGGACAGGATTGCGGGCGTGTTGGCGAGCAGCTTCTGGTTGAACCCCTGGGTCAACTTGGCTGGGGCCGGAACGAACGGCGCGACCAGGCCGTGGAGCATGTCGGGCAACACGTCAAGAGCGGCGTGGGCGATATCGAGCGCGCCCTCGAGCACGCTGCCGCGCGACGCGGTGGCCTGTGTCTTGAAATCGGCGGGATACGAGCCCAGGCTCGAGTGCGGGTACGGGTCGCCGTCGGCGGGACACGCGAGCCACTCGTCGAGGTCATCGGCCCACCACTCGCGGATACCTTCCCACACGATCCAGCGGACGTATGAGTCAAAGATGGCACCGGGGAGGTTGTCCTCGATCTGCTTGGACGGCAGCGGGGTGGTGTAGTTGGACAGCTCGCGGATGTTCTTGGTGAGAATGCCAGAGTCCCAGACCGAGTGCAGGCTGCGATGGGGCTCGTGTCAGTGAGGCTACCGAGGTAGATCGCGGAGCATTGCGGTGTGTACTTACCTCCTGGCACGGCCTTCGAAGCGGAACAGCGCGCCGTTGCCGCCCTTTTCCCTGCCTGTAAGGTGAAGGGGCTGGTGCAGGTCGCCGATAAAGTGGACGAGGAAGCGAAGCGCAATGTCACTGGTCGAGAGTTAGTGCAGCCCAAAACGCACAACTCACCCTTCGCCGTCGGCCACGGCCTGGGTCTTGTTCAGAATGGCAGTGAGGACATTGACGTCCTCGTTGATCCAGCCATTCTCGCCAAACTCGCAGTGGTCGGCCGGGTGGTCATACTTGGCTACAGGGTGTCAGTTACTAGTGCGCGACAGAGACAACATCAACCCGCCGATCCTCGGTTGAATGCCCACGTTCCGGCCGGCACTCGCTGGTACTCACGGTTGACATAATGCATGGGTCCCGTCTCGGGATACCGCCTCCTGACGGCATCTGCCCACGCAGCAATGGGTGCGAGGTGGCAGTGGGCGGCCTGGGGGAGGACGCTGCAGAGCTTGTCGCGGACGTGCGGGTGGAGATGGATCTGGGCGATGGTGGCAACAATCTCGTGCCCTGGAGCGTCAATGTCCTGCAAGACGACTGCTGTGGTGGCCGTGGTGGTTGGACTTACCCGCAGCACCCCATGCGAGGGCTGATGGGAGCACAGCTGCGGCTGCGAGGAGTGGGATGGATATCTTCATGGTGGATGAGGTGGATGGGAACGGGCAAGAGATGATGGAGCGCTGTCTTAGAGCCACCCGCCCGCCTTCTTGGCCGCTCGACGCTGATAACGGCGCGCACACTGAATGGCCCAAAGCGGCCAGACGCCGCCGTGTGTGAGCGCACACTGCGCGCGCCACCGACGCGTCTGCTGGGCCGGATGGTTGTACGCAGCAGAACAGTCATTACGTAATTGAATCTGATCACGGCCCGACTGCCGGACCATTTGGGGTGGGGCCAACACTCTGCCAAAAGCGGAGCCACAACAGATGTGGAGAAAAACGACGGGCAGTGCAACGAGAGCGGACAGCACTGGTCCGCACACTCCTCGGCACACCTTGTAGGTTTGGAGCAACCCCGCGCAAACGAGACCCCCCATCTCCCTGGGGAGCACAGGGCAAACGGGGGCCAGCAAACCCACAGAAAACAAAGACACCGACCCCCACCGCTTTGCTCTTCTCCACCTATAGCTACCTACCACCTCTCTGTCACCTACACCTCGTGTCCTCTTCTTCAACCGAAGAGAACAGGTATATGCCCTGGGGTCCCATATGACGTACACTCCCAGCTCGATGGACACCGGGGTCGACTCGCTCGCCCACAAGATTGTCGCGGCGTACAACAGGTGAGTTCTTTGGTCCCAAAAGTGGAGGAGGCGTTTTCTCTATCTCTGCACAGACTCCATTTTGCTCACGCGACCTTCCTCCCCGCCCTCTCCATCTGCAGGTTGACGCCGGACCGCCGCCTCCTCGTTGCCGTTGCCGGGTGAGTACTGGTAGGAAACACCAAGCGATTGCACCCCCGCTGACGACCTGCAGCCGCCCCGGCTCAGGCAAGTCGACATTGGCGTATCCTCTGGCCGACCGAGTCAACGAGCTCATCTTGGGGCGTCCCGTGGCGCACCCGGCGGCTATCGACGGCGAGACGGCCGTGGCAGCTCCGAACGCTGCGTTGGGAACTGGCGACGAAGTGGCCATTTGCGTCGGGCAGGACGGGTGGCACTACACTCGTCAACAACTGGACGAGTTTCCCGACCCAAAACTCGCACACTGGCGTCGGGTGAGTAACCGTTCGTGTGGTGATGTGCAGAGAGCCGCACGGACAGGCAGCGTGCCGAGGCGTGTATGGGACGCGGCTGGCGTCTGATGATGGCGTTCTCTTGGTGTGGGATCCCGTGCCGGTATCCGTTGGCGAGGAACAGATGCTAGACGCCGAGAAGGTACCACGCACGAAACGTCCGCAGGCGCAGCGTGTCCCACGGCTCTGGCCAAGAAGCTCGACCAGAAGCTGCAACATGAAGCTGACACCCACACCCCCACACAGGGAGCGGCATTCACATTCGACCTGCCTGCGTACTCGGCCTTCATCGACGCGCTCCGCATCCCCCTCCTCCCTACTCCACCACCTGCCATCCCCTTCCCGACCTTTGACCACAAGCTCAAGGACCCGCGCCTGTCACCCGTCCCCGTCACTGCGCACCACCGCATCGTCATCGTCGAGGGGCTGTACACCCTCCTCTCTGAGCCTGGATGGTGCGAGTGCGCCGCCCAGATGGATATGCGCGTGTGGGTCGAGGTCCCCCGCGACGTCGTCCTCCGCCGCGTCCTCAAGCGCAACATGCAAGCTGGGATCGTGACCGATCCCGAGACGGCGCGGTTGCGAGTCGACCAGAGCGACATGGCCAATGGCGACGACGTCTATGCCTACCGGTACTTGCCCACAGATACCATCTATCCCGAGGACCACCCGCAGTATTAACGCACGCACACAGCACCAAACGGTCTTTCCGCGATCTTTTGTCTAGAACTGCACAGGCTGTGGCGCGTGGCGCCTGCCGTGCCACGCAAACGATATACCCACCCTCCTCCCTCCCACCTCTCCTCCCTGCACGCCTAAATTGCATGTCCATAGTAGTCTTTAAATGTAACCATGTGCCAACACTCTACGACGCTGGAGAACGGAGAAGGAGGGGGGGGGAGGTGGGGGGGGGGGGGGGCATGTGTGAGCTGTTGGCAGGTACAGTGGGCGACGCGAACAGAGTGGGCGACGGCGAACATAGTCGGCTGGCAACCAGAGGCCCATCCACATTGAATTAGTGCAAGCTGTGGCCAGTTACAGACATGTGCATTATGCCATCGTGCGCGCGTGCAGCGTGCCTTCTTGGGACGGCTGTCGCATCGCGCATCAGCGCCTCGTCTCGCCCTGGCTCTCACGGGTGCTGTGCTTGCTCTGCTCTCGGCCGGTGCGCATGCTTGCTGCTTCCACTGTCTCTGATCGCAGTGGGGCAGTGTCTGCCACTGCCCACGGAGCCCAGAGCAAGCATGCATGCTGCCACCCACTAGCCACTAGCCAGTAGCTAGCCGCAAGCTGCCGTGCTTGGCACCTCGTTCCGATGCCGCTTTGGCTCCGAGATCCGAGACGATGTCATCATCATTATGGTGGCGAAGTGGGGTCACACAGCTTGCATCCGTTGCTCGTGACCCATGTGGGTGCAACGCGTCGCCACCATATAAGCGTGTTACCCTTCTCCCATTCTCTCATTCACTCGCCATTCGCACACGGCCAAATCCCATCAAACATGCAGCAGCAGCAGTACGTACCGCAGCGTCGCGAGCGTGGTGGCGAGGGCAGTGGCGAGGAGAGTGGCGAGAGAGTGGAGGCCGGCCGGAACCCACCCACATGGACTGATCTGACACTGGCACCAGCAACAACGACGCCAGGTGGACGGCCCTCCCGCTTCCAGGCCACACGCACACGCACACCGCACCGGGCGCCGAGCCCGCGCCACCACAGCAGAAGAGCAGCGAGCTGACGAGCCCTTCCACCTCGCCCGTCGTCGAGACGAGCGCGCTCCGTGAGTCGGAGTCTGCCCGCGCCCATTTCCATGACAGTTGGCCCACGTTTTGGTGAATGGGACCAACTGTCAGCTCACGTATCACCGTAGTCCTGTCCAAGCTGACGATGCAGCGGGTACGAGCCAGATGAAGAAGGGCACGGGACTCATGTCCGTCGACGACTCGCCGCGGACCCGCTTCTGAATGGCCGCGCCCGCAGTGTCCTGGAACGTGCGTCAGTTCAAGAGACCGAGAGAGGCGCCGGTCGATCTCGATTGTTGCGATCGTCATCTTCCGACCTTGCAACGACACAGAAGCCGGCACCAGGTGAACTGAAGAGCTGTGAAGGCAAAATGTGTATTTGAAGGAATGTGTACTGTCCGAAGGCATAGCTGTATGTATGTGAACGTGCCGCTGGCCGCTGGCCCTGGGCCCCAGTCGTCCGCGAAGCTTCATTGCCGGGAGATGGGCATGACAGTGCCAACGGATTGGACGGACAGCACCCGTCGTTCTCGCTGTCACGAACCACAGCTGATCTGGGCATGACGGCGAACGACGCGCTCAACCGTCTTGTCCCTCTGAGACCACTCCAACGGTACGGTCTCGCCCCACCGATCTGTCATTCGTGTCGTCCCTCCTTCCATGGTGGTTAGTCACCTTGCCTGCCTCTTCTGCACACTCCACTTTGGCAAATGGAGTAGAGGCGACCGGTCGTCCGGTGGCCGGTGGACGTCGGCCATGGGCCACGGCGGCCATGGTGGGTCCAGGGGCCAGTGCGGAATGGGGCTGGTGAGGTGAGATTTGCATGTCTGCTTGGCACAGTTCCGTTGTCAGTCGTTGGGGGGCCATACCGACTCGTTTGCCAAAGAACAAGGACCTCTTGGCTTCTCGGGAACGCCAAAACGGCCACAGCGACGAGTGCCAAGATGATGAACCTTTACACAATTCAGCCATGGGTAACAGGTGAAAGAAGCCCAGGACAGGACGGGAGAGGAGAGGCAAGTGGCCAGTGACCAGTGGCAGTAAGCGAGCGAGCGCGAACAGCCAGCTAAGGAATATGGCTCGGTGGCGCCGAACCCCGTGCCACCAGCCCTCAGCGGCAAAGGGCGAGCATGCTGCCAGATATCTCGCTGTCCTTGGAGACGGTCTTACCATGCTTGCCACAGTACCAGTGCGATCATGTATCCGGTGCTCGACTATGTATGGAGGTAGGTGTCCTGGAATGTCCTGGACTTTACAGGACACCCACGGCCCACAGGCCACAGGATAGCGAGGGGTTGGGGCGGCGACATGGTGCAAGCTAAGGGGTGCTGGGTCTCCTGGGTGCAGCCTGCGGTATGTAGTTTGTGAAGAGCCAATGCGCACAAGAATGCAAGAATGCTAAGGAGGAGCTAGGAGCTTTCATGGCCGCTGGATCTCTGGTGGTCGGAATGGCAGTTCAGTGTCGATACCGCCGCACCCGCCCCGCGTTCCTCGGTCGCTCTCCCTTCCGACAAAGTCTCGAGCAGCGCAACGCGCAAGATGCGAGAGATGGGAAGGGGGGACGCGGTCGATGCCAAGACTCCTCGCCCGTTCCTTCATTGAAGAGAGTGTGCTGGAAAACGCACAGCAGGTGGTTTGCACATGCCCGCCACTCCAACCCCCCCGGTACCGCAGCCCACACACTACTGGTACACCTGTGTCAGCTGTCCAAAAAGGTTTCGCTAGGCCTCTGTGCGGTGGCGGCGCCGTCGGTTGGCGCGTTGGAGGCGGCGGCATGCAGGCAATGATGCACCAGGATGCAGGATCCAGAGTGCCATATTCCTGGCTGGGGGCCTGTTACGATCCTCAGTGTGGATCAGTGCCAAACGTTGGCGTGACGCCGCTTCCGAGGAGCGAGGAGATTGCTGCGAAAGGCTGCACCGTGCGCGCGTGTGTATCACAAAGTCCAGAGCCAGAGCCAGAGCCAAAGCCAGAGCCAAAGCGGAACAGACGGAGCGAGAGACAAGAGACAGAGAGTAGGACACGCGAGTGAGCGGCGCCGAGGAGACGCCATGCGCCGCGGTATTTCAATGTACCTTTTGGCCTTTGGGCAGTCGACACCAACAGGGAGAGGGAGGTGGTGACACATCAAAGAGCCCCTGCCCCCCCGTCTCCCCCATCCCCCCCAGGTTTTCATGTCGCGACCGAGAGATCTGTGACCTGTGTCCGCCTGTAGTCTTGGGCTGCGCAGGGATGAGAGACATACCATAGGAGTGTGTGCAGGTGTGCGTGACGGGCGGGGGGAAGGGCCGCGCGCGCGTCATTAGGACATTAGCTGATGTGCGGTGTGATTAGCGGGATGGACCCGTTGGTGGGAAGTGGCGTAATACGGGGAGACGGAGAGAGAGACGAGCGCGCGGAAACACCGGAGCGAGCGAGAGCGAGACAGCGGTACAGCGGGCCAGCGAGCGGGGGCCTGCAGGTCGAGACGGACAGACGGACACAGAGGTGCACAGAGAAGCAAAAGTGTTACGGGATTGACAACACACACACTTTCTCTCTCTCTCCCAACAACATTATACACGTCGCACACACCGTGTGCCCGAAATCACCGCCAAGCCCGTCTGCCTTCCTCCGTCACACACAACACCCAATTTCCACATTCTGCACGCGTCCCCCGTCTCTCCACTCGTCTCTCTCTCCTCTCAGCATCCACCTACACCCCTTCTCGACCACTCGCCCCGCGCACACCACCGGTTCCACTGCGCCCCTCCCTCCCCCCATCGCTGCTTCCTTCCGCTGGCCGGTTCCACGTCGTCTCCTTCCTGCTCGTGTCCGCGCCCAGTGTCCAGACCATACATCAGCAATCACCCTGTCGGTCCACCCCCATATCCTCTCTGTCCTACACCCCATCCTTCTTCTCTCTCGCGCTTTCCACGCACCCGACGCGTCTCCACCACGTTCGTTCCCCCCGTCTGCAACACACAAACCACGCGCAGGCATCGCACCTGCTGTCCCTAAAGACCCGCACACAAGCGCGCGCGCCTTGATGGCACACGGCTGGGATACCGTCGTCCCTGTGAGTGGCAACATGTATGCGGTCCGTGTGGGACGAGGGCCCGGGAACACCATCGTACTGACGCCGTGCTCCTTCCTCATATACAGAACAAGCCTTTGCTGTGCTCTCCAGTCGCTTAGACATACCCACCCACCCCCACCCACCACCCGTCCACGTTCACGAAACTTGCGTGCGCGAGGCGTTCCACCCAGTCTCTCTGTGCGGCAAGTCCTCGATAAAGCGCCAAAGCGGTCCGAGCGTCATCCAGCCCAACCCCCAGCAACGCCGGCCCAAGCCTCCACCCCCTCGGCGCACCCTCGCTCGCCCCTCACACCGCCGACGCAGCAACTCCTCTCCCTAGTCGCCGCTGCCGCCAGCAACTATTGTCTGTTGGACATCACAGGTTACCTACCCCCCCACCTGCCAGCGCCGGCTACACCCCCCTCGCGACACGCGAACCCATCCGACGACCTCGCCGTGTCCAACACCACGCGCCTACCAGCACCACGCTCGTACACCGTAAACGTGTAGACGCAGTCCACCGCGCGCGCGTCCACATACCTCGCTTCCTATTGAAAATCGTTGAAGCCCTCTCTGCGAGGTCTGTGCAACCCCAGCGAGCCTCCCACACCCCTCCCCCTACACACAACAATGAGCCAAGGCGAACCCCCTCCGGCGCCGCCAAAGGACATGGTTGTAGACCACTCGTCGTTGTTCCAGTCCGCCCGACGCCAGATGGCAGCACGCGATGCTGAAGCCATGCGGCGCGCGCGCTGGGCAGTGCCCTATTCTTCAGACTCGGAGCCACCGTCGTCAAGATCGTCACACGGCCACGGAAGCCTCCTGTCGCCTGGAACGGGGAGTATCCGTCGCAGCTCGCTGTCGAGGCAGCTGGGCATGACCGAGGCAGCACCAAACAGTCCACAGCAGCAGCAGCAGCAGACGCATTCGGAAGAGAGTGTTTCCCTGGTGAGTGACGGCAACGTAGCTGGAACAAGTGCGCACGCTAACACTGTCCTAGCGCACCTCGCCTCGAGCTGCGTCCAATTATGTCATTGCCGTCGTCGGACACGAAGGCGTCGGAAAGACGACAGTTATCCGACGCGCTGTCAAGAGTTGGTCTGGCAGTGCACCAGTGACCACCTATACGCCAGAGGGCCATGCTAGTGAGTCTCGACCGCGCGAGAGAGAGGTACAGAAAGAGAAGAAGAAGGAAAGACGCGTCCATCGCATCCCGGTCCGGTTCCTGACGCACAGTCTCTTCTTCCTTTGCCCAGATCAAGGCGGGCGGCAAGCTTGCGCACGATTGCAATGTCGAGTTTGTCGAGGTAAACCTCAAAGCCCTGGATCTCTCCGGCGTTGCTCAAGTGTGGCCCGCCGGAATGTCACCTGTTTCAGGTGCTATCCTGTGTTACGATGCCGAACGCAGAGATACCCTGCGCGGTCTGAGCGAGGCGCTTCGTGAGTCCACACGCTGCACGCAGCTCTCTGCCTGCGCCGGTTCGGGCCGACACGGTACACAGGTGTTATGTGTGTGCATTATGCTGACGCCCTGGCCTTTTTCCTGTCTGTAGACCAACTGTGTCCGGCTCTCCCGATGGTGCTCTTTGCATGCAAGTCGGACCCCGATAAAAAGCTAGAGGTGGACGCGCAGGTCGGCGACTCTATCGGCCAGCCGTACAACGTTGGGTTGATTGAAGTCACGACCGCGGCGACTGCTCAAGGCAAACACAAAATGCGCGCAGGGCTGCGATGGCTTTTGTACCGGCTTGAGGAAAGGCAGCGTGAGTCGGGCCCTTCTCCCTGGATGCGGCATCAGCCACGTCGCGTGTTGCCACCAGCGAAAACTGACGGACCGGGTTTAGGCCGAGAGGCACGTCGTTCAGATCCAAATGCCTGCGGCGCCCAGCCTCTATCCACCACTTCATCACCCAAACCCAACGACAACAGTGAATCAGACTCTTTCCCTTGGCTCCGTCATTCCAACCGCGACGACTTTTCCGACGCACACTCATCCTCATCCAGTCTCGGGTGGATGATGAAGGGCAACAGGCAGAGCGCGACGACCGTGTCGACGGAGAACTCCGTCGACTCCACTCCCACACTGGAGGGTGAGAAATCTGCCGGCGCGGCCATTTCGATCCCGGCAACAGTCACACCAGCCGACTCGTGAGTTTTGCTTCACTCCTGGGGTGGACACTGCGCTGACCTTGGTTCCCAGCAACGATGCTCAAGGATACACGTCCCAGTCCGAGCTCATGACCCGGCTGTTCACCGCCATCGTGTCTACAGAGAGTGAGTTTCGATCAGTCATCCTCCCAAAACACCGCCCCTCCACACCACCACCCCTCTCCCATCAACGCCACTGACACGACACCCTTAGATGACTCGTTTGTCAATGCCTTCTGTATGACCTATCGCCGGTTTTGCCACCCAAGCGAGCTCATGGCTGAGTTTCTCGACCGCTTTGTCGAGGTCGAGGGCTATCCGGTATCGCGCGACATTCGAATGTGGGCCCTGATGAAGTGAGTGACACCGCAATACTGCTGGTCGCCGCCCTAGGCGCCGCAGCGACCATAGCTTGTGACGCTGACACGCCACCCCCACAGGCTCGCTGGCGCACTGCTCGACTGGGTGACCAGATACCCTGGTGACCTTTCCGACCCCGAGACCAGGTCCTTGTTCCAGAAGACGGTCAGCTGCATGCTCAAGTACACCTTCTTGGGCCACATCACAGACGACTTGGCTCTGATCGAGGGATCGGTTGAGGGTACCCCGGACGTTGACATTTCGTGGTCGTGCCGCCGCTCAAAGGATCCCCCTACGCTTACGGTCGTGGTGGGCAACGAGGACCTGCGTGAAGACTATGAATCGAGCATCAACACGCCACGGGACGAGCCCTTGTCAACACGGAGCATCGAGGAGAGCATCTACTCGAAGCGCCCCATGGCATCCGACCAGACCACCACCACCACCGACTCGAGCTCTGACCTGTCTCGCTCAATCTACTCTGGCGACGACACCGGTCACCAGCGCTGGTCGCAGGCGTTCCATGCCGTGCTCCAGATGGACCCGTACACTTTCGCGCTCGAGCTCACCCGCATGCAGTGGGAAATGTTCTCGGTCATCCGCCCCCGAGACGTGCTCCGCCACGACCTCGGCAAGGAGCGCGACGAGCCCGTGAGCCGATCCATCGACTTTTTCAACCACGTCGCACGCTTCGTGTCGACCATGGTCCTCGCTTCGCCAAAGCCCAAGAACCGCGCAAGGGTCTACGAGGCGTTTGTCAAGATTGCCCACCAGCTTCGTCGGTTGAACAACTATGACTCGCTCAGTGCCGTCATCTCCGGTCTGCGCGAGACCTCGGTCCACCGCTTGGGCGAGACGCACAAGCTGGTGCGCCTCGAGCCGACGTTGGCGCGCGACTTCCAGTCCCACATGAGGCTCATGGACCCCCGCGGCGGATACGTCATCTACCGTCGTGCCCTCCAGGCGGACAGCACGTACGGCCACACCGCCATCCCCCTCCTGTCCGCCGTCCTGTCCCTCGTCTCCCGCCTGCAGGCCGGTCGTCCAGAGGACCGTCGCCCATCCGACGGCTTTGTGCAGTGGGGCAAGTTCCAGCGCTTTGGCGAGATTCTCGCCGTCATCCCCGACTTCCAGTCCCGCGGACCCATGGTCCCCGGCACGGCTTCTGCGTCGTTCCGCCGCTTGATAGAGGCCACCCCGGTCATCCCGAACGAGGACGGTCTTTACGAGCGCAGTAAGCTCATCGAGCCCGGAGGCATCCAGGGGACCAACATGTTGAGGAAACTCGCCGCCAACCTGGCCCTCTAGGCGGGGACGAGGTCTGCGTTGCCACTTTAACGCGTCACACGAGCGAGAGAGCGATCCAGGGCTACCACCACCACACCACCACCATACATCGATAATCGTTCGCCCTTTCCCACCACAATTGTACCACCTAAAACCAACCAACCAACCAACCAACCAACCCAAACCCCGGGATCCACCTTGGTCCCAGTGCACCTACACCCCACCCTGCATGCTATACCAGTAATTTGTTGTTCGCGGGACGAGAGCGAGAAGAGGGGGAGAGCGTCCATACCAGAATGCGCCAGAGGAGGAGAAGGAGGAGAGGAGGAGGAGCGAAAAGGTCGGGATCGTAACCACCGGTCTTGAGGGATGCACAGTTTCGTTTTTTTTCTGCAACATGGTGGCAGTGGGGGCAGGCAGAATGAGGCAGAGCGAGGACAAAGTGGTACAGACCAAGCACAATGACATTTGAGGCGCTACAAATAAACTTGCCACACAGAAACCAAGCAACATGAACAGCTACACTACATAATAACCAGGACGAGGAGCGCCACTGCGACGCCTGCGCCAGAGACGCGCATGCCCATGCCCGCTGCACCACTGGGTTTCGCTGTAGCTGTGCCCGTGGCCGTCGCGTTCGATACAGGCTGGCTCGTTCCGCCCGTAGTGGGCACGCTTCCTGTCGTTGTCGACAGCGACTCGGGGTGCTGCGTCGAGCTGACACTGCCCATACTACTTCCTGCTCCGGATCCAGACCCAAATACACTGGAGCCGCCGGCCGTGGGCGTGGGCGTGTCTGTAGGCGTGCTGGCCGTGGTGGTGGTCGCGTTGTCGGCGAGGGTGGAGGTGACGGCTGAGCTGTCGCTGCCGTTATTGAGGATGTTGGGGGATACGGCGCCGTCGACGACTTGGAACGCGTCCGACTGGCCAAAGATGGCTAAAGAAGCCGTGTCAGTGGAAGGTTTCTCCTAGACATGGACATGGACACGGCACGGCTCGCTCGCTCGCTGTAGGCGGACAGGCTGTGGACGGGAGTGGACGGGCGGGCGGGCCAGAACGTCGCGTCGGGTGCACGGCAAACTGCCCGACCTCGATGGACACAGGATACCTTCTTGCCGCCGATGGCCGCCCTGTCCAAGCCGCTAGTGTCGCCCGCCGGCTCCATTGTCCCAGTACGCGCTACCACCCGGGCAGTGCGGAGGACAGAAACGAGGCCTTCACCTGCGCATGGCCATTGCTGTCCGCGCGTAAAGGTAAAGGCAGGGAAGGACGGCGGCGTCCACTTTGGCGTCCACTTTCCCGCTTTACACAATGAATGCGGTGGAGACGGCCACACGCCAGAAGACGCCTACTCGCGCACCCTCCCGACCTGAAGATCAAGAGAGCCAGCCCCAAAGGAGATCTCAGGAGGGAGCAAGGAACAGACGAAGAGCAAAAACGAAGGGTGGTGGGAGGCACAACCGGGACAGGGTTTGGCCCAACGCCTACTCTTTTTTATCTTTTTTGTTTTGTTCTTGCAAAGGGACGCAAAACCAGTCCACTTACCAGAAGCGTTTCCCTTGAGGGCTACCACGAGGACGTACCCGTTCCCGGGCTTGGCGGTGCTGATGTCGGGGTTGGTCGGGGGCGTAAAGTTGTCGCCTGGGAGTTGGTGTCAGTTACGTTGCTTTCACCGTGGACGAATCGTCGCAATTCCCAGCCGCCCCGACATTACAACCTCGTCGGGGTGCGTGGAAAGGCGACGCAGTTCGCCGCTGCCCGCTGGTCCGCCAGTGCCGGGGCTGAAAGCAACAGCATCCACTCACCGCCGTTGAGGAGCAGGTCGCTGGCGAGTAAGGAGGAGTCGGGGTTGTGCAGGATCCAGTCCACTTCGGGTAACGGCGGACAGCAGATGAGTGTCTGAATGACCTGTACGTCGATGACGTTGTATCCACCGGTATACCCTGCGTGCGATGTTAGTCGATGCATCTCAATACGGCGCATCCAAAGGGCGAGAGCAGTCACAGCTGTAGCTGGGGTGGACCAGTAAGTACATACAGGGTTCAGTGCTGTTGGGCGAAAGTACGGTGACGCCGTAGACCTGTCCCATGTAGGTGAGCGCGCGGACCGTGCTCATGGCAAGACTGAGGGTGGCGACGGACCACCACATCGTAGTCTTCATGGTGCTTGATGGCCGTTTCGAGGAGACGTGTGGCGAGATCAAGTTGTGACCAAGTGGACAACGGACAATGCTGGGCGCGTGGGCGTGTTGATAAATATACAGGAATGATATGACGGCGAGTCATGTGCCGCGCGCCAAGACTTCGTCAGCGTCGGCGGCGTGCATCGCATTTTCGGTCCCAACAATGGCTCTTGCGGTAGCTGCAGGCCACCATGGTCTTGAGTGAGTACAGGTGGTGCATGAGAACGTTTGGACTGCGCAGTTCTGCGCAGCTCGAGTAGTGGCCAAGATGTGGAGACGGGGGAGGAGCCATCATGCACGGTTTGTCGTGCCAAGTACAAGTTAGCGTGTGGGGCCTGCATAGCCTCTGTCGAGCACCACGCTAGCTTGCTAGCTAGCAGGACGGCAGAACAACACGTGTCTATTCCACAGCTGGCGCTTGTGTGTGGTCTAGAGTGGATGGAAGGTGTGAGCGATGGACAAGATAGCACAAGACGGCCACGGTCGCGGGTGGCAAACGTGCTCTCGCTGCTGGTTGCTCCTGAAACAAACAAACGCGGCTCGATATGGCCACCCATTCCCGTCCCGTCGTTGCCGGCGTATGAGCTCTGACATCAGACATTGACGTCCCTGTTTGCGATATCATCTCTGATCTCTCTGAAGGCTGACATAAAGCCCTTCAAGGCCGTAATGTAGAGTGGCTGGGCACGCAGAACACGCCTCCACAACGCGTACTGTGTGCCTCTTGCAGCCGAGGACATACTCGTTCCAACAACGTGGTTTCCGTCACCAAGGCAACAGGTCTCCCGCAGGCCGCAGGCAGAGGACGACCCCAAGACCTGACAAGCAACAGACCGTGTGGGCGTGCAGTACAGCAGAGGCCGGAGAAGGGGCCAGATATCGTAAAACGTTCCATGGGGGGAATGAAATGGCCCAGCCGCATCGGGTTTGAGCGAGGCACGACGTCACACGCACATTCCATTTCTGTCCATAAATGCCGCGCACAGGAGACATCTGACTCTCTTTTGTGTCTCGCCCCTCGCCACCTCTCCAAACGACTCCACACAACTCCATCCACACCGTCTACGCAGACAGCGCTGTCTAACCATGGGTTCCGCTTTGTCGTGAGTGTCTCTTGGGGGTGGGCTGCAGTTGGGGCACAACGGAGGAGGAGGTCCAGTGATCGGCCGTGGCCGTCACATCAGCCACCGAGTTGACTCGCCATCGCACACAACCTTCTGAACTCGACGTCGGACTGTCATCCAGCGCGCCCCCATGCACATCCTTGACCTCAATCGGTCCCCACAGCTCCTCACGAGCCCAGAGCCATCACTGACACCTGCTCCAGCTGTCTCTCGGACCCTTCAAAGGCCGACAACAACAAACCCGCCGCTGCTCCGGCCGCAGCTGGTGCCGGAGGTGCCGCTCACGCTGCCGCCAACCCCACCAACGCCAAGTCTGACACCTCCTCGTCGTCGACGGCGTGTCAATGCAAGAGTGGCGGGTCATGCGTGTGTGGTGCAGCTGGGTGCACTTGCGGCCAAACCGCCGTCGCCGCCGGAGCCACGCCGTCAAAGGAGGCCGCGTTGTCTCCGTGCAGCTGTCAGTCTGGCGGCCAGTGCGCCTGCTCGGGAGCCTGCACATGTTCCCAGAAGGCTGCGGGAGCCGCCGGCACCGTTGCTGCGACGTCAGCTTGTGAATGCCAAGCTGGAGGCCAGTGTCGCTGCCCGTCAGGAAGTTGCACGTGTTCGCAAAAGGCCACTGGTGCCGCCGCCGCCGCAACCGCTCCTTCGACTTGCCAATGCCAATCGGGAGGCCAGTGTGGCTGCTCAGGCGCCTGTACCTGCTCACAGACGAAGACTGCCGCGTGCGCGTAAGTGTCTCTTCCTCCCTCTCATCTCTGTCTGGCGTTGGTGGTCGAGTGGTGATGGAGACCGACGCATCTCAATTTCTAGCCGTTTTCGGCTGGATCGTCGTCATCCGTGGTCTGCCCACTGAACTGGGCCCACCGGTGGACGGGTTTGGGGTGCGGGTCGTGACGTCGACGCGATTCTGCCTCGAGTCTCGTCAACCTGACCTCTAGTCCTGTATTCACCACAGCCCCTCCCTCTTTCCCATCCCACCTACCCCCTCCCCCAATCCGTCCAAACTCGGTGACTTGACGGTGCTTCATCTGCGTCCCAATGAGCCCCAGTCAAACCCCATGCCTTCAGGAAAACTGCTGACCTTCCTCCCAGTTGTGGTAGTGGTTCTGAATGCCGCTGTGCGCCCGGTACATGCCGTTGCGGCAAGCCCGAGCAGAAGACGAACTGCGCGTGTGCCGGTGTGTGCACGTGCAGCGATGAGTTTGACTGTAAGCCTGGGGCCTGTCAATGTTCGACTTGCCCCAAGCCCGGCGACGACGCTGCCCGCGCCGCCATTGCCGACCTCAAGGCCGAAGGCCACGGCTGTTCCTGCGGCCCCAGTTGCGCCTGTGGGCCAGGTGAATGCAAGTGCTAATCGTAAGTAATAGCGCACGCTTGAGGGTTTGTGAGCGTGATCAGGACTCAAAAGGCTGACCGAGGAAGACGTTTATGTTTCTTGAGTTGTGTGATTGCCGCGACTTTTGATGCCGACGTCCGACCGGACCACGGTGCTGCAAGAGGTGCAGGAGGTAATAGGCGCTGTCTGACTGGTGAGGTGTTGACAAGTCGAAAAGATGAGAAAGAAGCACAGCCAGAGATCCCGAGAGCGATGTATAATGTGGACCCGAGGAATGACCATGGAGCGAGGCGGTTAGCACTGATGGCGTGACTGTGGCAAATGAATGCACTACGTCCAGCGCGACTGACTTTGCTCGTTTACTACGTGAATCACAGTCTTATCTCGGATTTCAGTGACGTATACGATCTGGGTACTGCGTGTCGGGAGAGTCCCCTCACCTCAAGTTGAGTTGGTCCGTCTCACTGTTCACTCGACGATCGCAGATGGCGCCACTTGGCCGATCCAAATCAGCTCCACGCTTTGTATCCCATGTTGCAGATTGGGTCCTAGTGAGCTAGTAGCATCCATTGCTGAGCTCGGTAGAGTCGTCCCTCGGGTGTGGGGGCCAATCTTCACGTCTACCGACGGAGCAGAGGCTCGACATGGTATCGCCATTGCGCGCAGGTGGAAATGGAGTTGGTAATGGGTGCTGTGAGAGGTGGAGAGGAGAGAGAGCAAGAGGAGGAGTGCAGAGTGTAGCAAACAAGGTCGAAGTACATATCCGGAAGGCCATCTGCGGTGTGTGAGGGCACCGTTTACATGTACGTCTGCCCACATGCGTTATTCAGTCAGTCAGCGAAGTAGGTGTTGGTGGCGGGAGAGGACCGAAAAAAGAGTACAGACGACAAGGACGATTGGGAGTTTATTGACATGTGCAGCAGTGAATCGCGTCCATCATAACTGTCTTCATCGTTACGCTCATGATTTTTTTTTTAATTGTACATATCTCAAACACATAAAGCGAGGCGGAGGTTGGGGGGAGGCGGGAGGTAAGGGGGAAGGGGAGGTAAGGGGAAGGGAGAGAGGGGTATGGGTTGGCAAGTGTAGTACTCTCCTGTGGGAGTCAGCATTGGAATCGCTCTACGAGAGATGGGTCGCGTGGACCACCCCAAGAACAGTGGAGGGCATTCACTCACAGGCGGGGTCCTTCTTAACGAACGGGTTCAGGTTCAGGGGGAATCCTGGAACCTTCCTCTTGCCAACACGGCAGTAGCAGCGAGGGTGGTCGTCAGCGTCCCAGCGCGCGCAGCGGTGAAGGTCGGGGCAGCCGCTGAGGCTGCATGCGCCCGTGAGGTTGAACTGTTCGCAAAACGTAGGGGTGGGGGCCTGGGTACTGGAGCCCGGCAGTGTTGTTGGTTATGTTTGAAACATTGACGATGCGACTCCAAATTACCGTATGGGCGCCAGCAGCACTTAGACTAGGCTGAGGGGTGGCGACCGCAGGAGTGGCAATGGCGACCGCAGAAGCGGGAGGGCCAGCGACGAAGGCGACTGGAGCGGGAAGGCCAGCGACGGAGGGGACAGGAGGGGGAGGCCCAGCGACAGAGGCGACTGGAGCGGAGACAGCTGGAATGGAGACAGCCGCCGCGACGGTGGTCACCGCGTCGAGGGTCTTGTTGGCGATCGCGCGAAGCTCCTCCAGGGTGGACGTGACAGAGGTCATCGCAGGGGGAGTGTCGGCAATGAGGACGTAAGGCCTGAAGTCCTTGTCGACAGTGGCAGGGTTGTCGTAGATGTAGCGGACCAGTTCAGCCTTGGTCGCGCCTGAGCGAAGCTCGGTGGTAGACACACAGCAGCTGCGGAGGTCGACGTTGATGGACTTCAGCGACGGCATATACGGCTTGCCAAGAGGATAAACGGGGGTGGGGGGTTGACACGGTAGTGGTTTTAGTGGCCAGAGGATGGAAGGAGGGAATATAAAATTGAAAAGAGTGTGTTGGGGGGAGAGAGCGGGGATGGGTGGATGAGTGACAGAGAGAAAGCGAAAGAGCTGGGGGGGAAACGGTAGCTGTCGCCCTTCTTATACCTCTTGGAGCCCAGTCCATATCCGTGCAGTCGAAGCTCCAGTGGCCTGTCAGTGCACCTGTCAACAGACTATGGCTACCAATGGCCGCACCAACCGCACCTCCAGCCGCGCTGCCTACGTGCGGGCCTCCGTTTGCTCGATCCTTCTGCTCTTTCACTTTGTCCGTTTCCTTCGTTTTGTTCAAGAACTTTCGCTCTGTGGCGGTTTCACGTCGTTCTTTTACGTCGTTCATGCCTTTCGTATTCCGCGCTCGAAACTAATATATAATTGCAAAGTATTCAACTACCTAGTACATAGCAACCACCGGTCTGACGTGAGACTGGGGCTCGGGTTCACAGCTTCGATGCGGTTGCGCAAAAAGCTAGTGACTCTGCGGAGGCCTAGCTGGCGTCATGGTCGGCTATCGTTAATACCGTAACACAATACACAGACTCGCCTTGCTGGCCGTGAAACAGTATCCCCACAACCTGTACCCGACCCTGCGTGGAACACCTTGTTCTTCTCCTCTTCCTTTGTGACAGTGCTAAAAGTCAAGGTGGCGTTGCCAGCTCGCCGTCTCGCGCTCAGCACGAGGTCACGGCACAGAAAATCCAAGAGAAAGAGGCACAACACTATCATTCTGGGCTCCAGCAAGGCATGCGCCCGTTATTTAATTGCTGTTGCATTACCTCATGGCTAGAAGTCACACACAGTCTGTCTCTGGAGCAAGTCAAACGAGCGTCCTTGTTATCCATGTCGGGACTGGTTAGAGACATTTTGCCACACCCAGTTTGGTTTCCTCGCACGCAGCAGCCAGACTCCCCTCGAGACCATTCTCGCCCACACACGCGACAACCTGGCCGATGTCACACTGCCCGGCTGTAGCCCTGCGGCCCGCGAGGTGCCGCTGCGGCACTGCTGTTCTGCACGCTGAACGCTGTGCGGAAACGGAAGTAAATGATCATTGACAAACGGCCCCCTCGCATTCCCACGCTATTTAACGCGTTCGACGTGGTTGCTTTTCCTTTGTCTCCAAACATCTTCTCATTCATCCATCCATCCATCCATCCACCCCTCCGTTCTGGCGTGATAACCAGGCCCTCCCCCCCCCCCTTTCCCCTTCCCTCCTCCGTCCTGGCGTGATAACCAGCCCCGTCCTGGCGTGATAACCAGCCCCGTCCTGGCGTGATAACCAGCCCCGTCCTGGCGTGGTAACCAGCCCCGTTCTGGCGTGATAACCAGTGTGTTAGGAGGGACCGGTTGATCCAGAGTTCCTCCTGGCGTACAGTACAGTCCACCACGAAAGGAAGTGAACTGCACTGTACACCAGAAAACTGCTATTGTTACTCGTTCGTGGTCTAACGTTTGAAGCCTTGTAATCTGGTGTAGTTGATGCCCGTCACCAGTTGGCCGCTGACCAGCTCATTTCAGATGATGGAAAGTGTGTAGTGTGAAGTACCCGCCAACTGCACCTTCCTGGATCGCTGGACATTTCAGAGGCCATTGACGTCCCCCACATCGAGGTCGCTTGCCGAGACAACGGACCTTACGAGGGAGGTTTACTGAACTCAAGCTCACAAGGCGTGCCCGATTCAGTGCTGCCTTGCACGGGAGACACGACACACTCCCCAAGCGTCCTTGAGGACCACCACCTCGCTCGCTCTAGAGTTCCCATCGACTTCAGACAAAGGACAGGCCCTGTGCCCAGGTGGCATGGTCCGGTCGTGACCTCTTCCGCGTGAACGTGAGAGCAGTACATTAACTCTGAGAGGGTGCCCTTCGTCTGTATTTTGTTCGTCTTCATCAACGTTTCCTCAGTCACCCGTCGGGCACGTCACGTCCGGCTCTTAGACACCAGCAATTGGCCAGCAAGATGCCTCCTCCCAAGACCGTGAACAGGACCAAGCCCAGAACCCGCTCTCCGCCTGGGTTCAAGGCCGGCCTCGAGCTCATGGCCCACCTCGGTGGTATCCAGGTGAAGGGCAATGGCCAGCACCCATATTTCTAGTGAGTCTTGTCGCACGAGCATGCTCCGAGCATCTGGTCGTGTGTCACTCTGGGAAGAACGGTCGGTGTGCGGTATGCGGCGATGGGAACGACCAGGACACATTGTGCCCGTACTCGCTCCCAGGTCAGACTGCAAAGTTGACTGATTTCTCAGCTTCCCACCTGCCACTCGCACCCGTGTGGGTGTTGAGCGCTGCCGTCGCTGTGTCAACAAGTCTGGCGAGACGGCTCCCTGTCATGTCCAGCCTCTCACGCTCGTGGGACGCAACCTATGGCTGTCGCACCAGTGTCATGGGTGTATCCTTACGCCGGACGAAGACGACGAGTGTTCGCTCGAAGGGGCTTACTACTTTGTCAACGAAGAGCAGCACCTCGTCCGCTGCGACAGGGAGGGAGTAGCCGTTGATAGTGAGACCTTCCAGGGCAGAGTCCTGGAGGTACCGCTCCAGGCCATGTCCGGACCTGTGAAGTAGGTTGGGACCGCCGTCCTGGCCACCCATAGGCTGACGGCTATCAGCTCTGACTTGAGTGACCCCATTAGGCCGCTTTCTCTCCCCATCGCCGCCGTCACTGCCGACACGGTCTCCGGCACACCCGTCGACGATATCGACTACCCTCAGCCTGACCTCACCCAGAGCATCTCCTCGGCCATGGACGAGGTCGTCTTCACTCCCCCGGCTGACTTGGACCCCACCAGCCCCCTTTGGCCGGCCTCGGAACCAGTCCCCAAGGCCTGGTGCTCTGCCGAGGACCCCAACTCCGACCCCAAGTCGCTTCAGCCTCAGACTCGCCGTTCCCGCGCCTCGTCCTACTCGAGCAACACGACGGAACCCACCCCGCGCGCCCCTGACCCTCTCCAGCAGCTCGGCGCGAGTGGGCGGGACACGCCCAAGGTCCTCGCGTCCTTGTCACACAACTTGAACAAGGAGCTGGCGGCACTCTACAAGATCGACCAGGAAGTGGCAGACCTCCGCCACACGCTCAAGATCAAAGAAGGCCATCGTGAGGCTCACGCCCTCAAGGTGGCTACGTACCGCCATGCCATTGACGATGCGCTTGGCGCGCTCGAGGGCGAAAAGGCTTCGTTGCGCGCTCTGTTGAGCCGCTTCGAGAGGGACGTGGGGGTCTAGGTGAATAAACACAAATATATACATTAAAGAATGCGAAAGTATGCCGGTTGCTCGCGTTGCCAAGACGCCAGTGGAGACAGTGGACGTCACGCCACCTCTCAACCAATGAAAGCCCGCCAACATGACTCCTTCAGGGGCCCAGGGGTGTCCACCTCGCTCGGTTCCAGCTCAATCCCCAGCCCTTGAAGCTACTACCTGCAGCTGAGAGTGAGAAGAAGACGGACAAACGTGCGGAGAGGTCCGTACGAACGCAACGGCCCGCGATAGCCACCACAACCTCATGCACATGTGTGGGTGGGTTTAGCACAGCGGTAGTTGCGAGAGATTGCAAATCTCTAGGTCCCCGGTTCGATCCCGGGAACTCACTAGCAAGCCTTGTACAGCATCTGTTGAAAAGGTTCGTTTTTGCTGCTCAATGAAGCGGAAAGTTGACAAGAAGGTGGTATGTAGGGTGAGACTTGGGGGTGCCACAAATGTCCGATCCGCCACTTTATTCGGGCCCCCGCCTTTTGACCTCCACCTCCACCGGGCACATCCAGGTGACGGTGTTGTTTGCGGTTGACTCACCTCCCACTTCGCAACCATGACCCGCGCGAAGCAAAAGCAGGCAGAGGACAGCGCAAAGATAGCAACTGCTCGGTCCAGGCGGTTAAAGAAGGTTGATACTGTACGCGGTGACGAATCGGCAGCACCCACAGAGACCAAGGTCGACCCAGAAGGCCCAGAACCCGCGGTGTTCACGCAGGTTACGCGCCCCGAGCTGGCTCAATATCGCGTCGAGCTGGGCTATGGCGCAGACGTCTACTTCCAGAAAGAGGTATGGTGTAATCACGGCTTCATGTCTATCTGTACCACCTGACGATCCCAGTTTCTGTCCCGCACCGAGACACAGGAATGGTATGACACTCTCTTGGTACTTGACACCTGTGAGCGCACTGTTTCCTCGCCTCGCTGACATGCAGGGTGTACGTCTAATCTGCCCGCTATCCGAGTTGCATTTAGCTCACTGTCAACTCACTTACAGACCAACCCACGTTGAAGCTGTACGGACGCACCATTACCCAGTCTCGCCAAATCGCGGCGTACTCGACCGGTCCGATGAACATGAAGTATTCTGGCGCCGAGATTGACGTCCACCACCCCTTCCCGCCTGCCCTCGAGGCCATGAGGCTACGGGTCCAGGCCGACTTGGGAATCACGTTCAACCATGTCTTGTTGAATCGGTACGACGACGGCAGCGTGTACATTGGGTGCGTCAACGCATCTTACAGCTTTGGTAGGGGCCCACCAAGCTGACCCACCAGTCGACACTCGGATACAAAGGACAACGGCGTGGTAGTCAGCGTCAGCCTCGGTGCAGAGCGGACGTTTATCATGAGCCCACGGCTACCGGCCAAAAATGCGCGTGTGGGCGTTGCGGTACCTGCGTCCGAGGCGGGAGCGCTGGCGAAGCGCAAGAATGTAAAGTGGCAGTGGGTAGCTAGGCGACAGGATTCGGTGAACCGTATAGCTGACAGCAGGCTTACGAGCGGCAGCCTCTTGGTCATGCAGGGTGAGTTAGACGATGTCCCAAGTCTTTAAACTGACATCAGGTTCCACGCAAGAGTTCTGGAAGGTGAGGGTTGGGGAACGTTCGCACAGCTAACCACCCAGCACGAGATCCCTCGCGAGGCAGGTGTAAAGGCCGGCAGGATCAGTCTGACATTCCGGCAACTGTCATGAGCGCGTCCGCTCTGTGTATAGATATTCACCTGTTGTGCTACCATGTGTGCCACGCGCTGAGATGCAACGCAAAGATACACCTCTCTGCATCACCCTTCTGACCAATGCTCTCCGGTCTAGACACACGCTTCTAGAGCTTGGCCTTGTCGTCCTTGACGACCTGGACAATGGCCTTGCCCCAAGTCTTGCGGTTCTCAATGTCGCCCAGGCCCTCGGGGACCTTGTCGAGGCCGTCGTAGAGCTTGTCAAAGGTGTAAGGGACGAGCTCGCCGCGCTCAATGTGTCCGAGGACGAGGTTGAGGACCTCGTGGTAGCGGGGAGGGTCGCGGATGGCCGTCGCGCCCCAGAACAGGCCGACGATGGAGCACTGTTTCAAGAGCACGAGGTTGGCGGGCACCTTTTCAATCGTGCCGGCGGCAAAGCCGACGACGACGAGGCGCGAGTTCCACGCCACGCACTTGAGCGAGGGGACCAGCATGCCCACAGGGTCGTACACGACGTCGACGCCGTGGCCGCCCGTAATCTTCATCACCTCCTTCTGCCACCCTTCCTTGCCATAGTCGATCGTGTAGTCGGCGCCGCCCTTGTCGACGCAGATCTTGCGCTTGTCGTCGGAACCCGCAGCGGCAATGACCTTGCACCCGAGCATCTTGGCGATCTGGCACGCGGCGAGACCCACACCACCGGCACCGGCGAGGACGAGGACCCACTCGCCCGCCTGGGCCTTGGCGCGGCCCACGAGCGCCTCGTACGAGGTCGGGAAGGTGAGGTAGATGCCCGCCGCCTGGGCGTACGAGACGTTCTTGGGGATCGGCAGCAGCGACTTGGGGTCGGACACGACGTGCTCCGAGAACGCACCCTGGGCGTAGCCGAACACGCGGTCTGGACGAGTCAGCGCGGCCACTACAAGAGGGGGGGGGGGGGGGGGTGAGAACGAGCAAGGCCAAAGAGACGACGAACTGCAGCTACTATGACCCATGTGTAGCTGTCTTGCTCGTCTCTCGGCCATCGCCGCCGCACCCCCCACTCGCTCAAGCGACTCACCGCCATGCTTGTACTTGCATCCCTTGGGAATGGGCGAGCGCTCGCTAATCTTGCCACCAAACTCGGCGCCGAGGATGAACGGCATGGGGGGCTGGTCTGCACCGTCAGCTTGCAAGCACAGGGAGGGAGGGAGGGAGGGGGTTGTTTCCCACTCGATCATTCAAGGCGACGACACGATACGTACTCTGGTACTTGCCCTGCGACTGGAGGATGCTACGCCCGTTAGCCCATGTTTGCACAGTGCACAGCGGCCAGGCCGACTACAGACTACTACTCACTCGAAAAAGTTGAGACCGGCAGCGTGCACGTCGACGAGCACCTGGCCGTCGGCGGGCTTGGGCGCGGCAACCTCCGAGCTGGGCCATGTCAGCGATCAACGACGAGGAGCGGCTTTACACAGCTTGAAGACGTACACGGAGAGCTTGCTCGGGTGCTCGTGCTTGGTGATCTGGATAGCCTTCATGGTGAGTGCGGTGCTGGGGTAGGAAGGAGTGGGGGGACGGGGGTGGTTGGGGAGAGGAAATCCAGCACAGATGGACAGAGATTTGTATCTCGTTGGGGGTAGATGTGGGCAGGTGTGACGGTGGGTTGCCGGCAGACCGGTTAGCCGGGGGCCGAGCATCGTCGGCCTTCTCCACCCACACACTCCACAACGGCCACCACCGTTTTTGCTTCTCCGTCCAAGCTTTTGAATGCCCATTGCTCTCCTGGCTCATGCTTAACGACTCGGACGATGATGATACATGGATCGACTGGGACATTGTCCGCGCTATCTGCTATTGCTATTGCTATGCCGCTCCTTCAAATCCACTTGCAAGCCTCGGCATGCACACCAAGACGGGCATATGCTGGCTACTGCTGGAAAGTACCGACACGAACGCAACAGTCATGGGGTGTGGGGGGGAGGGGACTGGTAGCGAGGTGTGTATAATAAAAATATCTTCTTCGGATCTCTTTCGATGCGGAATGGCGGTGCTGTTACTCGGCTACTGCCCCACGACAGCGGTCTGGGGTATGGGCGCGTTGGCGGCGACGGTCGAGAGCGCCGATGTCGCCTGGGCCTTGCCTCGGCGTCCGAGGAGGGTCGCGTTGCCCATGTTGAGCTCGAATGTCGGCGCCTTGCTGCCTCCGCGAGCGCGGTCGCGCTGTCCTGCACGGCCGTCGTAGAGCGCCGCCTCGGCCTCGCGGCGGTTGGCGCCTCCACGCCCGACATAGTGTGTGACGACGGGCTGCTTAATACCCGCCGCCTTATTTGCGGCTGCACGCGCGCGGTGCTCGTCAATCTGTCGTGCAACCGCCTCGCCGTGCTTGCGCCGTGCTTCTTCGACCTGGGCGTCCTCGTCCGCGGCCTCGTCCTCCTCGTTGAGACCGTGGAGGAAGCCGCGAACGCCGGCGCCGCCGGGACCGTTGTACGCGCGACGACGTGCGCCCTCCTCCTCCATGCGGTGCACAGCATAGGTGATGTCAAAGGCCTCCTTGAGCACGCCAACACCGGGGGAGCGGCCCTCGCGGTTGCCTGCGCGGATGGACGAAAGGAGGGGCGAGTCCATGGGAGCATTGCCCGCCTTGACCTTGGGGATGGTGAGCTCTGGCGAAGCAGGCGCCGGCGTGTTCTTGATCCATGGGTGCTCGAGGAACTCGTCAATGGTGTACCGTTGCGCAGGGTCGACGCAGAGGAGGTGGGTGATGAGGTCCTTGGCCGAAGCGGAAATGTCATCCCACCATGGGCTGAGGAACGTGTAGTAGCCGCGGGCCACCTTCTCTGTGAGGACGTTGATGCTTTCGTCGTAGAAGGGAGGGAAGCCACACAGCAACGTGTAGAGCACACAGCCCAGAGCCCACATGTCCACAGACTTGCTATACCGCTCGTCCTTGACAATCTCAGGCGCAGTGTACCCGACGGTACCGCAAGGCGTCATGGTCTGCTCGTCCCAGACAATCTTGGACAGGCCAAAGTCTGCAATCTTGACTCGGCCAATGCCGCCACCGCCGATTCCGGGCTTGAACTCGCCCTCGTCCTGTTTGTCCTCGTCATAGGGCCGGTGAATCGGGTTGTCTGAGGGGACAATGGGGATGCGCTCAAACAGGAGGTTTTCGGGCTTGATGTCACTGTTTTGGCAACGTCAGCTGTTTGTCCGCCCGTCCTCTACGCAGATTGCGAAGGCTTACCGATGCACCACGCCGCGCTCCTCGTGCAGATGCCTGATGCCCTCCGCCACCTGGATGATGACGTGGCGGGACAGAGCCTCGCTAAAGTAGGTGAACTTTACGATCTGATGGAACAGCTCGCCACCTTCCATGACTGTATGACATCAGCACATACTCGCGGTCCGTCATCGGGGCAACATGCCATGGGGGCACTCACGTTCCAGGATTAGGAAATAGTGTTCGTCGCTCTCGGTGAACCCGAGGAGCTTGACGATACTTGGGTGGTCAATGCCACGCATGATCTGCACCTCCTTGAGAATGTTTGCGCGCTGGAATTCAAGTGTTAGCAGGTTTGTTTGTGTGTGTGTGTGTGTGTATTTGTGGGTGAGGGGGGTCACAGACGACCACACATCGCATGCGTCCGCTCGAGCGCGGAGCTTGGCACGTGAATGCACAGCCACTCAGACGCTCGCCAGCCAGTAAGACCAAGCATGAGGCAGAAAACCAAGAGAACGACGAGAACACCGAGACGAAAGGGAAAAAAAAGACGGCTGATACCAACCTCGGTCACTCGGGGGCGCTTCTTGAAGTTGGGGTTGAGGTGGCGGTTGCCGTTCTACCCATGGTTAGTTTTGCTGGGGGGAGGTTGACCCGAATAAGGGGAGAAAAGGAGGGAGGGCCGCCATTGTCCAAGCTCCCAGTCTGGCCAGGACTGGGACACAATGACGACCAGGAAAAACCACAATCCGGCTATGGGAACGGCTATTGGTATGGAGGAGGAGGAGGAGCTTGTACACACTTGAGAAGAGTTGAGCTCATATTTGCGCACGACCTTGACGGCGACCTTTTTGCCGGTCAACTTGTCGACAGCCTTGTACACGTTGGAGAACGCGCCATCGCCCATCTTCTCGACGAGCTGGTAACCCTCGAGGCCCTGTTTGTCAGCTTCATGGGCGTTGGACACTCTGACAGCTGAACCCCACCTCATAACTAGGCATGCGCTCGCCTTGCAGCTTTTCTTCTGCCACAATCTTCTCTGCCTCTTGACGGTAGTCGTGTGTCTTGACCTCGCGCTGGGCAGTCGTCGTCTTTTCGACAGTGGCAGTCTGAGACTTCACGTCACGAGACACTTCAGGGCCATGGCCATTGTTGGCGATGCCGTCAGCGGCTGAGACAGGAGCAGTCGCCTTTACGGGCTCCAAGGGGGCCGAGGCCTGGACTGGGCTTGCATGCTGGTGGTTGTCGGCGCCAGCGGCATGCTTGCCATGACGGAGGATCTCTGGAGCAGGTGTAAGCAAGACGAAGCCGAGTGTGCATGAAGCCAACGTCCGGGACAGATGATTTCGGAAACCCGGGATAATGGGGACAAGCGGCGGAATGTGTGCGCAAAAAAGCGTTGTGCGGGATCGCTCTACCCTCGCGGCGGCGGGGCAGTGATCGATCGCCACACACGCACACATTACCCTCCACCGTAAATCTGAACCCGCCCGGCGGTCATCGTTTATGGAGGGCGAGATCTGGTCTGGCCCAGACACCCCCCCTGCCCATACCCTATACTAGCTCTAAACACCAACGCTGGTGACAATGACGACAGCACTAGCGGGGTATGCTGGAAAGTCTCTCATGCCCACACATTGCCGGCCGGCCAGATGCGGCCGGATGCTGATGGGGGAGAGATGGGGGCAAAAGGGCAAGAAAAAGGTTGACCATGATGATGGATGCAGGGGGGGTAGTGCAAGTGGGGGGGCTGAATCATGGGCAGGGAAAAGCCGGGGACAGACGGGGGGGTGGAATGGAAACGGGCATTGATTTGTAAACTCACGTTTGAAGCTCGAGAGCATGTCGGGCTCCAGGCTCGCGTTCTGGAGTCTATCAAGTGCGACGATGTAGTTTTGCTGGACGGCAGACTGGGTGGAAGGGGAAGCGGCGACTGCGCGGCGTGCTTCCTGTGACTGGGGCGATGATCCGCGAGGCTGCTGGTCCTGCGGGTGGAGGTGGTTGGGAGAAAGCCTGGATGCCTGGGGCCAAGCTGAGATGGAGGCTGGGGTCACACCGATGGTGCTGTGGGAGTGGTGGCGGGTGGTGCTGCGGGTGGCCGCGTTGGTCAAGTCGCGCGTTTGGCCTGCGCTGCGACTGTGAGACCCGAGTGGGGAGAGCGGGTTGGATGGGTAAGCAGACGGATCGGTGCTGAGCGGGACGATGGATGAGACGGAGCGAAGGGATCCGACTGCGCTAGTGCTCGACGCCGACGAGGTGAAGGAGAGGTTGTTGTTGGACGTTGGGGGTGACCTGTGTGACGACGATACGCTGGACGATGGGGATCCGGGGGAGGGGCAGGTCGGGGCTCTTGTTGCAAGAATGGGGACGGCGCGCGAGACGGGGGCTGGAGGGGGTGGTGGGTGAGAGATGGTGGGTTCGCTGCACAGCGGTTGCTGGTGTTGTGCCTGCGATGGTGGTGATGAGGATGGGGGGGATGAGGATGGGATGGAGGAGAGAGTAAAGGTGGACTCGCGGGGGGATGCGCCGTCCACAAGAGGGACGGTGGTCACGGCTGGCACGGTGTGGGAGTGTGTGCGGGTTTGCAACTGAATCCGATGACGGGCGCGGCGCTACACTGGCGTCGGTGGCGTCGGCAATGGATCGCTTGTGACGCAGCGCGGCTGGGGGGGGGGGGGGGGTGGAACGTTGGTGGTGGAGGGGGGTGGGGGTGACTGGCCACTGGGTGATGGACTACTGTACTACTGTTTCGGTTGCGATACGTGGGCAGTGTGTGTGTGTCGTCTTGGAATGGGGGAGAGAAGAGCGCGATGGATGAGGGAGGGAGGTGGGTGCTGCTTGGTGGTGTGGTGGGCGGTGTGGGCGGTGTGGGTTGGGGGGTGGTGGGATGAATGAATGGACCAGGGTTGCACTGAAAGGGCGGCGGCAGGGGGGGCAACGGGGGGGAAGGAGGCAGTTGATGGGGGAGGAGGCGACGATAATGATGGGGGGGGGACAAAATAGGCGGGGTGGGTGGGCAGAGAGAGAGAGCGTATGGTGAGGAGGAATGAGGAATGTGTCGGTTGGTGTGGTGAAATATATGCGAGACAGTCAGTGAGAGTGCTATATTGGAGAAGAGAGAGAAAGAGAGAGCGAGAGACAAATGGATCGTGGTGGAGAAAGAACACAGGAGACAGTGAGTCACTCCATAAACCCCCTCCAGCGATGGGAAACACAAGTGGTGCACCCAGAAATGGGATGACGAAAGAGGATGACTGTAGCGCAAAGGGGACAAGAACGCAAGGCCGCAATACAAAGGAGAGGGAGGGAGAGAGGACTGGCGCATGGTGACGCGCGCGGGTGCACGACTCCCCCCTGGTCTTCCCCCAACCACACGTCCCCAACCCTCGCGTGGCCTTGCTACTCAAAGGATCACAGGTCTTGCTGTCCCGCTGGATGAGGCCACTGCCTCCCCACTTGTACACACCATGCTCCCTGCCACCGTTGGAGTGAGCTCGTCATGCCGAGGTTGGCCGCGGGACACACACATGCTGGGCGCCGCAGCCAAAACCGAATCCAAACAGCGTGGTGTCACTCGCTCACCCGCTTACAGTACTCACCAGCCCCCACTCTGACGGGTAGTCTCCAGCGGCCAGCGGCCAAGCGGCCAGCAGAATGACCATGTCCATAAGAGCACCTCTCAACACCAAACGTGGCCAGAGGCAATGGCAATGGGCGTCACTCGTCACTCGTCACTCCCCCTCCCGACAATGTTCGCCCTTCCTATGATCCTATGCCGTCACCAGCCCACGACAAACTCGAGGCCCACCGTTCCCGCTCCAAGCCAGCTATTCCTGGGAACGGCACACGCGCACCCGTTGCACACTGGCACCACTGTATGGGATGGAACACCGCCCTCGCGCGCTGCAAGGTCGCGGCTCCACGTCGTGTAGCGAGAGTGCGCTCTGGGATCGGTAGCGGCAGTTAAGTGTTTGTCCAGACGTCCAGACGTCCAGACGTCGCGGTTGGTGGACCTGGCCGACCTGGGGCCTGCCACAGGCCACAGACGCACAGACTGATTTATTTTCCGTCCTCGATACCCAACAGAGTAACAAAACGACGATGGGCAGAGGGTACAGAGCCCCGGGGGGGTCCCATCAATACAAATTAACCTTGTCGCCGTCCTGCACTTCCCTGTCGACTCAAATGACTCCCATGACTCCATGACTCCATGACTCACCCGATCGGACTTGTGTCAACGTCGCATTCGTATTCGTATTCGTATCCCCCATGTGTGCACATGCACACCGAGACCACACGCTGCACGCTTGGGGGTTTGGCGCTGGCCGACCGCTCCACTGCCACTCGCGAGACCCAGAGCTCGCGCGCTCGCGGAAAAAAGATGGTGTGACGTGCTCACTGACGTCACTGCCGCCAAGCCACCCAAACGATGTCATCATGGATCATGGGGGGACGCGCATACCTCATCGCGGTCATATTGCATTGCTCTTTGGATCGCAAATTGATGCTGCTGCATCAGCCACATGCACGCTCTCGTCCATGGCAGTTTCTGGCAAAAAAAAAGGTGGCAGCGAGAGGCAATCTGTGTGGCTGTTGCTTGGGGCAAGTGGCAGAAGGGGAAAACAGGAACGTCACATCGCATATCACACTCGGGCACCCGAGTGCAGAGAGCTGAGAGGGGATATGTCGGGTCTCTATCTATAGAGCTACACGTTGGATCCCGCCATCATAATGTATGCCACGCAGGGCAAAACACCCTTTGGGCAAAGTATAAACTACTGCTGTTCTTTGGTTACGTCCTTCATTGACTATACTAACCCCCTCGCCCCATGCTACAGGCGCGGGGGATACCCTGGTTGCGGGGACACGCCGCCTCGCTGTTGCTGTTGTTGCTGCTGCTGCTGCTGTTGTTGCTGTTGCGGGGGAGGCGGCGGCGGCGCGCCTCCACGAGCGTCAGGCCCACCAGGTCCGCCGTTCGGCGCAGAGAGGTATGGCCGCCAGTCACCTTGCCGCGGGTACTCGCCAGGACGTGCTGCCGGGTGGGAATGGTGGTGCAGCGGCGGCGGTCCGTTTGACGGCGGGAAAACGCCCAACGAAGGCAGGACCTGGGGCTGCTGCTGCTCCCACCGTTCGCGCGCGTCACGGTGATGCGCCTCGCGGCCGTGGGGGTCGCTGCGAGGGTGGTCGCGCGACGGGTCACGCGCATGGCGGTCGCGCGCGTGCGGGTCACGCGAGTGGTCGCGCGGAGGAGCCGCCGTCGGCACGACGGGCGGCAGACGGCTGGGCTGGCCGGCTGGCGACGCGTGGCGCGGTGGTGGAGCATAATAGGTCGTCTGCGCCTGCGGCGGTGGTGGTGGCGGCTCGCGGCCGCGGTCCCATCCTGGTGGGGGAGGCTGGGGGGCAGCTGCGACCGCCGCGTACGAGTACGTCGAGGGTGGCGGTCCGCGAGCATACCGGTCCTCGGGGGGAGGAGGGGCACGGTCAACGAACGGTGCACCATGCTCAAACGAAGGGCGGCGGTCAAACACGTCGCCGCGGGGAGGGAATAGCTCGCCTCCCTGCGCTGGCCGAGGTGAAGGCCGCGTCGGCGCCGGACCGTCAAACTCGCGCTCGTCGACCGTACCGTCCGAAATGACCGACTGGCTGTCAAACGGCTTGGTCTCCTTGGCAGGCGGGTCGTCGTTGAGCAGCGCCGAAATACGCATGCCGCCGGACCGCGAGGGAGGGTTGGAGGGCGTGTCGCGAGCAGAAGAATTGGCGCTGCTGCCGAGTGGGGGCGGGCCGTGGTGTGGGCTTGGGGGGAAGACGGCCAGACGAGGCTCGGGCGGGAACTCGTGAGAGCCACGATGCGTAGCGCCGCCGCCATACTCGTACTGCGACGACTGGGGACGGGGAAGGCCCGGAAACTCGCTCGCAGGATAGGCGCCGCGGGGGTCGTCGGCCGACACACCGTTCACTTTGATGGGCTGGACACCGACCTGCGTAGACGCAGGCGGCACAATTCCAGCCTGGCGAAGCTGGTCAATGGTCAGGTTGTAGTGGTTCCTAACCTGGATGACCGTCTTGGTGTTGCCAAGCCTGTCCGCAATGGCACGAAAGTCGGTGCCGTGCTCGCGGACGAGTTCAGGAAACTTGTTCTTCTCCGCAACTGACCAGTACGAGTTGGTAGTCGTGCGACGGGGCTTGGGCTCGGTAGCCGGGGGAGGCGCAGCGTTCGGGTCTGGGGGAGGAGCGTTGGGGTCGACGGGCTCGACAACCTTGCGGCGCTTTGTACGCTTGACGGGGGGAAGGAGGGGTCCAGTGTCAATGACCAGGTTTGTCACGGGGTCGATGAGCGGCCCAGCGGCCGAGGGCAGGGGAACGGCCGGCGTGCCATTGATAGGCACTACGACGGGGACAGGCGCAGGAACAGGCGGGGGAGGAGCAGCAGCAGCAGCAGCAGTAGTAGTGGTGGTGGTGGTTGTAGCAGCTTGCACGACCACTGTGGCCGCAGGCGGCGGCACCATGACAGCAGCCACCACGGCAGCCTCCTTGATCGCATTCTCCTCCTTGACGAGTGTGTCCTTGGTGACGGAGCTCACGCGCGGACGCTTCTTGCCCTTGCCGTCGCCGCGCGGAGCGCGTGGCTTCGACCTGCTAGCGGTAGAGGGCACCTCACTCGGGGCACGCGAAGGCGTCGCACTGGGGTCATTGTCGGTCTCGATACCGGCCTTGTCCTTGTCCTTGTCCTCGGTCTTGCGCTTCCTCGAGGGAGGCGCGTCCGTGCCACCAGGAGTCGCAGGCATGTCGGAACCAGAGCGCGGGGCGCGATGCCTGCGTCCACTGGGCTGCGGGGTGTTGGTACCAGACCCAGTGTCGCCGCGGTCACGCTTGCCCTTGCCGCCACTCGTCGCCTCCTTGCCGCCCGTCATCGTCTCCTTTTGACGCTCAATATCGGCCATGAGCGCCGAAGACTTGTTCTTGGCAAGAGCCCTGCGGGCCTTGACGCCACGGCGCGCGGCGAGGAGCGACTTGTAGTCCTGTTCGTACTTTGTGCGGTAGTAGTAGAGCACGCAGTCACTGGCCGTCTTGTTCGGCAGCACCTCGGCGATACGGCCAAACTGCTTGGGGTACACGAGGTAGCGCTTGAGGAACTTTTCGCGCTCCTCGGGAGTCCAGACAGCTTCGCCCACACCCTTAAAGTCGTAAAAGTCCAAGGGGTCGCGGATGAGATTGTTCTCGTCGTCGTACACCATGTTGCGCTCCTTGGTCAGGATCATGTCGGGGATCGTCGCGGCCGTCTTGGCGGCACGGTGCGTAGGGTCCTTGGCGGCGCTGTCAGCCAGACCGGCCAGAATGGCCTGGTACTCGGCCTCGGTGGCCACAGCGTCACCGGCACCGCGACGGCGGTTGCTGCGAGCCGGGAACGTCTCCTCCACAATCGGCGTAGTAGGCGGCAGGCCAGGCGTTGGGGCAGGCAGGATTGAGCCCGGAATGGCATACAGGTCGGCTGGGGGAGGGCCGCGTTTCTCCATAGACTTTTCGAGGAACGCGCGGTGGTCGACCCACGACTTGTCCAACTCGAGGTACTCTTCGCGGAGGTAGGCCACCTTGGCGTCCAGCTCGGCCTGTTCGGCTGCCACGAGCGCGGCAACATGCTTGGCAACTGGGCGTTGGTCACGACGGAGAGGTCGGGTGATGTCCTTGATCATCTGCTCGGCCGACCAGTTGGGATCGGTCGGCACGCGAGTGCTCTCTGTGGGCGCTGCAGCTTGGTTCCACTTGAGAATGGCCTCAATGTCCACCTCGCACTGAACAGGCTTGCCAAGCTCCGCCCTGACCGCAGCCATGATCTTGAGATCCTCGGGGTCCAGAGGAGTAGTCGGGGCCATGTAGTCGTCGCCGTCATTGTCAGCATCGGTGCTGGCAGACGGTTGGGGGTCCCGAAGGCGCTCCTTGGCGGCACGAGGAAGAGGCTCCTTGGTGGGCGGCAACTCGACAGCACGGCGCTCGGCGATGGTGCTGCGCCGGGTGACTGGTGCCTCCCTGACAGGAGGCTCTGGCTCGGGCTGGGACTCGGGTTCCTTGACAGGCTCCAGCTCCTTCTTGGGTGGTGGGAGTGGCGACGCAAAGGTGACCGTCTTCTCATCCGGCTCCTCGATAGCCTCGGTAGTGGGTTCGGCCATTTCAATGTCGACCGTAACCACTTTCTCAACCACAACAAGAGGGGCAGGAGTGGGCTCCTCCTCCACCACTGCAGCAGGCGCAACAACCGCGGGCTCTGGCTCCTCCATCGCCACATCCTCTTCCACGACTGGGGTCGGGGGGACCTCAACCTTGGCGGAGATGGGCGAAACGGGCTTCACTGGGCTGGCCATGTCCACATCGCCGTTGACGTCGACCTCAACGGGTGGTGTCGGTGGGCGAGGAGGCGAAGGGCTACGAGCTTCAACAGCGGGGGCAGCCTCTTCCACAGCGATAGGCTCGCGCTCAGGTTCAGGCTCGGGGACGGCTTCCTTCGTGATGGGCTCGGGCGTGGGCTCCTTCTCAGCGATTGGCGGAACAGGGACCGGTTCGGGCGACTCGGTCCTGTCGGGGTCGAAACGGTCGGCCGTCTCCGTCTCGATGGGCTCAGGGACTTGCTCCGGCTCGGCGGCCTCGACAACTTGGGGGGCTTGCTCGATGGGGGCAGGCTCCACAGCGGGCTCCTCGGTAGGAGTGTCGGCTGCTGGCTCGACCACGATAGTGGGAAGAGGCTCGGTCTCGGCCTTGGGAGACTCGTCTTTAGGAGGCTCCAAAACAACGACCGGCTCCGCCTCTGCAGGTTCCTCGACGGGCGCCTTGGCCAACGTCTCAGGCTCCGGCTCAACGACGGCCGCCTCCTCTTGCTCAACAGACTGCTCTTCAACAGGTGAAGGTGCAACCGGGGAAGGTGCAGGCTCGTCCTTGGCCTTGGGCTCGTCGGGAGTAGAGATTTCCACTGGGGCAGGCTTGACGACGATGGGAGCGGCGGGTTCGTCGATAGCAGGCGCGGGCTCCTCGTCGACCTGTATGCCGTTCTGCACAATCTCCTTGGACTCGGGAGCAGGGGAGGGAGAGTTGCCATTTGGTCGTTCGTCAACCGCGCCCTCCGGTACACCGGTGTCGAGACCCAACTCGTTGTTGGGCAAGGAAGGTTTGCGGTCTTCCTCGGTCTCTGCAGTCCTGTCGCGCGCAGGGGGTGAGCGCGGTCGAGACGAGTCGACGTCGCTCGGTGGCGCGGCCGGGCCTTGAGACCCCCCTCGCCTAGACTGGATCGGGGAACTGGTCGCACGAGCACGGCGTGAAGCCCAGCCGTCATCTAATGGACGACCAGCGAACGGTGGCGAGACGGGACTGCGCTGTCGCGACCCTGGCCGGCTGCGTCCCCATTCTCGGCGCCATGGTCCACGGTCACGGTCACGGTCACGGTCGCGTTCACGTTCGCGGTCGCGCTCACGGCCGGGGGATGGCCAGCGGCGATCGCTGCGCTCGCGGTCTCGGTCACGTTCGCGGTCGCGGGGTCCGTCTGGCGCCGGCCAGCGCAGGGGCCGCACGGGGGAGACGACTTCCCCTTCTTCTAAATCGCTTGCTTGAGGATTCGTAGGGCTGGGTTGGGGCTTGGTGCTGAGTGGCAACGCAGAGGTGGCGTCGACTGGGCTGGATGAACCGCGCATTGAACGAGGTGCGCGAGGAGGAGACCATTGGGCCATGGTCGATGGTCCTGGTCCTGGGACGCCGGTAGGCCGTCCACCCTCACGGGCGCGCGGACCATTCCGAGGCCCTCGTGCTGATGATGGTGGTGGGGAGAGTGGACGGCCCCTTTCGCGAGAACTAGGCTGAGACCTGGGTGACCGCGGAACCGACAATCTGATCACCGTGTCAGCACAAACAACAAACAGTCCTTTACAGCCCCCCATCAGGACGACTCGTCCCCAACGCCACTCACTGTCTGTCGTCTCGGTATCGGTCGTCACGGAACCTGCGCTCGTCGCGGTCCCAGTCTCGGTCAAACTGTCGCTCCCTTCCTTGGGAGAACGGCGGGCGGCTGTCTGGGCGCGGCGGTCGCCTGCCGCCACCCTCGCGGTCGCGTTCAAACCCCCATTCTCGGTCTCTGTCTCTGCTGTCCCACTGGTCGCGGTCATAGTCACGGTCGCGGTCTCGGCGGGGAGGGGATGGGGTGCGCGTGCGGCCGCCGGGTCCGATACCATTGGGCCCAGAGGGGCGGAAGGAGCTGCCGCGCGCCGAGCGGTTTGGCGGCCAAGCTCGGCCCTGGGTACGTTGGCCACGTCGTTGTCGTCGTCGTCGAGAGAGGTAACAAACACAGATGGTTTTGCGGGTTCGATGGTTGGGAGGAACAGGAGTGTCAGCAGTGGTACCATGATGGATGCGCCATACGGCGGCGGATGACCCACCTCAGAGGGCCAAAAGCTCGAGCCAGGCCGCCCGTCGCGGCCGTCTCGTTCGCGAGCGGGCACGGCGTCGATGTCCCGGGAGGAGCTGGGGCGTGCTCCACTCGCGTCCTGCAGCGCCGCAGCTGGCTTTAGCGGTAAATGCGGCGGCGGCTGGCGCCCCTGCGGCGTCATGGGGGCGGCGAAGCTGGTTGGGATGTACCAGTCGCCCACTAGGGAGTTGAAGAAGGGGACGGGGTCAAGGTCGAGTTCGGCGGCGAAGGATGGGAAGGGAGGAGGCGGGGTGGATTAGGTCGCTCTGGCGAGGGGGATGGGGTGCGCGCAACGCGCAGACGGTGTTGCCCGTGGTCTGGACGCTGAGCGAGACTGTTGGGGTGTGGTTGTTGGGGCAAGGATGTGAGAGGTGAAAAGGAGTGAATAAACGACAGAGTCGTGGCCCCCTGTGTAGCGTCCTCCTCTTCGTTGACAGGCGGCGGCGGGGGGGGGGAGGGGGGAACAGAGTCGACGGCCAGCCCGGGCAAAGAGTGTGGTCGCGCGCATTAGGGAGGACAGGGGATAGGTTTACGAGTCAAAACAAATCAAAAATACTCCCGCTTTTAAATGGTATGCGGGAATTTGAATTGGAATACGGCTAATGGACTGTGGGTGGCACACGCGCCACACTGTGCCCGCATCGGGAGAGGGGGTTGGAAAGTTTCCGCTCTTCTCCCCATTTTTTGATCCCGCTTGCTCCTCGTGGGCGGGGGAGGGACGAGAGTGTCAGGTGACTCTGGCGCTGGCCTCTGGCCGTCTGCCCTTGGTGCACTGGCGCACTGGGTGAGAGGGTGGGGGGCTTGTGTGGAACAGCGAAGTTGGGTGGCAAAAAAAAGCAAAACACACCAGCATGCAGCAGGTGGCCGTCCTCCGTCATTCTGCACCGTCATCCATCATCATCATCGATCATCCCTAACAGTCTAAGAGGCATCCAGCGTTGACAACATTGTCTTGCATTCGCTCCATCACTCATCCACCCTCTTCTCTTACTCCTCTTTGCTTTACTCAGCCCCCACACCTCACAGCGTCCCCCGTACCACCCACCATCATGACTGATCTCATTCAGGGCATCGCCCACACTGTCCAGGTGAGCAACACCACCACCACCACACGCATGGTACACACTACTAACATACAGGGCATCGTTGAGAGCCTCGTCGCTATTGTCCAGGCTGGCTTCCACGTCGCATACACCTTTGTGCACGGCCTCCTCACCATGCTCTGGAACACGATTGACAGCTTTGCCACCTTCCTCGGCGCCTCTGTCAACTTTGTCTTTTGTGAGCTGGCCGCCACCTCTTTCGTGATAGCTAACGATACAGCCAACATCATCCTGCTGGTGGTCCTCGTTGTCTTCTTCATCTTTTACCGCAGCAGCAACAGCGCCAAGGCTGCCGTCTCCAAGGGCACGGGCAAGAAGAAGGCAGAGTGAGGGCACCGTGTTCTATGCCACCGATCGGTGGCGAATTCCAGGCGGGCACCCGGTGGCAAACAGTGAATTCCCCCACCAACCCCACACGTCCACACGTCCACTCTGTCCGTTCGGTCCGTTCTCTGTTTCTCGCCGCCTCCAACCATACCCCGCCAGCATGTTCACTACCAAATCCCCCTCATCTCCTCTCGACAATGTCCACCTCCTTGGGCCAATTGCCCGCGTGTCTCTGCCTTCCCTCGCCCCTCTGCGACACGATGACCTGCGCACCTGTGCGCTCTGATGGTGTGAAAACAACCATAATATATGGCCACAGTTCCAACGCAGCGGCTGGACGTCCCTGCTCTCCATAGAATTGTAGTATGTAGCGGTAAATGCATGATAAAAGGACGGTTGGACCACGACGATGTGGTCAACAGCACGAAACGCGGAGCCTATTGGGGCTGCCCCATTGCCATTCGGACTCGTCCGGCATATATACCCCGCCTACCGGGCGTGGCGTTGGGGCACCTCTCGGCAGTTGAAAGCCGGAGGGGTGTCTGACACATTCGCCATCTGTCACCTTTGCATGGACCCATGTCCTTGTTCATCCACTCTGCTACATTGCTCACTCGCACATCCCTCGCCACCTCCCGACTCCATCTCCGTCTCCTCCCCACCTCCCATCGCTACTTTACAACCAACATGAATGGTCCTGGCCCGCTGGAGGCCCTCCCCAACGTGACGCCGGTGAGTTGGGGCTGCACACACCACCCATCGACCCATGCCATGCGTACTGGCCACTGACACGCTTTCGCACAGCTCACGCCGCGCGTCACCCGTATCCTTGGTCAGAACCCTTCCCTCATGACGCTGCAGGGGACCAACACGTATCTCCTGCAGCCGCCTTCGTCGCCGTCTGCCCCAGCGATTCTGGTAGACACGACCATGCCCGGCGACCCTGCGACGGCATGGTCTGAGATTGTCCTCACCCATCTCAAGTCCACCTCGGCTTCCATTGCCCACATTGTCCTGACGCACCGACACGTCGACCACGTCGGTGGTCTCGTGCCCCTCATCGCTGGGCTCAAGGCCGCCGGCCTGCCGGCCCCCAAGGTGTGGAAGACGCCCAGCGTCGACGAGGCAACCCTCCAGGCCTCGGAGCGCGAGTGGGACAGGTACTCGTGTGATGCCGGTTTGGCCAACATGCTCAACGAGCTGGGAGACGGCGCGGTGGACGCGTTCAAGCCCCAGGACCCTATCCACCCACTGGCCGATGGCTCGCGGGTGCAGGTCGAGCATGAGGGTAAAGCCGTTGGCGTCACAGTTGTCGCGACGCCGGGCCACACGGCCGACTCGGTGTCCCTTGTTGTTGACGGAGAGGACAAGGAGGTCTTCACCGGCGACACCGTGCTGGGGCAGGGCACGACAATCTTCCAGGACTTTGGTGCTTGTGGGTGTTGTGCTGGCTGCCCTTCGTCGGACATTATTAGCTAACATGGCAGACATGGCCTCGCTGAAGCGTCTCCTGGCCCTCGACGCCGGCGTGCTGTACCCGGCCCATGGGCCCGTCATCAAGGGCGCCGAGCACGTCCGTACCCACTTGACAAACTACATTCGCCACCGGCAAGAACGCGAGGACGTCATCGTCTCCGCGCTGCAGTCCCTCAAGGCCGAGCCGGGCACGCTCGGCATCAAGCTGGACGTCATCCGCTCCGCTGCAGCAGACAAGGCGCGACAGGGCGAGAGGGCCGACGGCCACCGCGCTGCTGGCGCCACGGCCGATGCGCACCAGGCGGCGTCGGACGCGGCGCTCAACTCGACGCCCATCGCTGCGTCCTTCCCGACAAGCGGTGAGGCGGCCAGCGCAGCCACAGTGCCCCTCCTCGTGCGTCTCGTGTACCAGACCGGCCACGAGGGTCTCATCAACGCCGCGAGCCGGACACTTGCCTCCCACCTCTCCAAGCTGGAGAGGGAGGGGCGTGCGCGTAAGATTACAGCGACCATGCCCCAGGTCAAGGACTGGGTCGTTGAGGGCAACGACGCGGGCGACGCCTGGGAGTGGATCGGCGAGCCGGCCCCGCCAGTGTCGGGGACTGGCTGTTGCTAGAGATATATACACGGATACTTGTGTGGCACGTTATCTAAGAGAAGAGGAAACAATGAAAGAAGACGCCGCCGCCTGGCTACAGCCGCGGCCGTTGTATCCGCTATGTATACAATGCATTTCGTATCGTCAAACGCACACTGCCTGCCATCTTTCCCTTCCTGGCTGAGGGAACGGGGCTCGCTCAGCGGCGACCCGCCAGCCGGCCGGCAAGCTCGGCGCGGAGCCTCTCCTCGGCGCTCTTGGCCTCGGCGCCCGACTGGGAACGCAGCTCGCCAATGACGTCCTTGGTCTTGCCAAAGTACACCGCCGAGAGGAGGTTGCGCATCTTGATCCTGGGAGGCTGTTAGTGGTGGTGTTGACTGACATAACAGAACTGTGATCCAAGTCCGTCATAGTGGCTCGACTCACTCCATGTCCTCGACGAAACGGCCGAGGTTGGGCACGTGTCCCGCCGTGCTTGTGAGGTTTGCGTCAAACTCGCCCTGGCGCGTCATGCTGCCGCTGAGCGTCACGTCTCCCTTGCCGTTGCCAGCCGTCGTCTTGGTGTCGAGAACGAGGATGACCGTCGATGTGAGCTTGTACCGCGCGCTGCGGCCGCGCTCGACGCATTCAAACACGTGCAGCGAGTCCCACGATCCCGACAGTCCAGAATCAGCGGGGAGCACTGGGGCAAAGTCAGCAGTGGCGCAGTGGTGGTCGGAAGAGCATGGGTTTCGGCTTGCGGCGGTGGCCCATCTAGCCGCAGCCCTCCCTGTTCCCCCCCGCCCAACTCACCCTTCTTCAGAAGCACGACACCGGCAAAGCTCATGTCCTTGGTCATGCTGGGCTCCTCGTCCTGGTCCCAGAGGTACACCGAGCTCACTCCCCCCTCAAAGTACATTTCGCGGTACGTGTCAAACGCGGCGTTGAGCTGGACTTCCACCTGGCGCAGGCGGGCGCTGGGCTGCGGTCCGCCGGGCGAGGGGGGGATGTAGCTGTCCGACCATGGGGAGCGGAAGCTGTCGCCGTCGCGGTTGTAGTCGCAGCACAGAAAGTCGCGGCTCGAGGCCTCGTCGCGCATGACTTTCAGCGGCTGGTCGACGTTACCGAGTAGGTCCTCGGCGTAGTCGGGCGCAAGCTCGCACAGCGTCTCGACATTCTGCTCGACGCGAGTAGGGGGAAGGCGTCGCAGGAGGTCAAGGAGGGACTCAAATGTATCTGCTGTTAGCTATATCCAGGTACTCGTAGCTCACTGTCTTCGGCCATGGTTGATCTTGTTGAGGTGATGCAACACGTCGGTGGACGGATGAGAGATGGTCATACACAGCCGGGCATGCGTGCGATGACGCGCTGGGTGTCGCTGGTGATACAAAATAACACGTCATGCTCAGGGCCGGCGGTTGTGCGGCGGCGCGGCGGCAGCCCCGAGTCGGTATCGTTCTCGACATCGGTCCGGCGATGGAATTCTTGGAGTGTCCTTGATTTCACAACAATCCACAACACCATTCCTACCATGAGCCCGCGCCCCGGAGCGCTGGGCACACTGGCTGCCGCTCAGCTGGTCATCACGGCCCGCCTGGCATGCCCGCCGGTCACTACACCGTTGCGATCCCTGGTCGCTGGCCCAAGCCGCCTTCCTTGGTCGCCGCCACCCAGTGGCCCGCGTCTTCAAACACGCACGTTGTTCACCCGAGCAACATCGTTTTGGGCTCCTTCATACCCTCCACCTACAAACGATCAGTCTTGGGTGCCCGCGATCCCGCCCCGTCCAGGAGCAGACCTGTCGCCTCCGCCTCTACCGGCTCCCAGCCCTGTGACGCAGGAGAACATCGCGCCGAGCGATGGCCGCCGGAGTCGTATCAAGGAGCGATATCTCGACAGTCTCATGGACAAGGCCGGCGAGCTCGGTCTGCAATGTAGGTAATAGACGGCCTCCTGAACCTAGACTAACTCGCTCAGGCTCCATCCTCGACTCGCACGGCAACTGGACAGCCGAGGAAGGCAGTTATCGCAAAATGGATCTGTGCCGCGCGCACGACCTAGACCCGCGCGATTTGCGCAAACTCGACTCGCTCAACCCCTCCCTAGTCCCCATTATCCTCACGCGCCGGTCGTGTATCCTCATTTCCATCCTGCACATTAGGGCCCTTATCAAGCCCGACCGTGTCATCATCTTCAACGCGCCCGGGACCGAAGAGTCCGAGGCTGCCCGCCGGTTCAAGGCGCACCTGCAGGCCAACGTCCAAGCCGGTTTGGCACTGGAGCGTACGGAAAGGGAAAAGGTCGAGCAGGAACATCCCGATGGTCGTATCCCGGAATTGAGAGAAGACGACCTGGGGCTCAGCTACGAGCACCGCGCGCTCGAGAGTATCCTTGTCGACACGGCCAATGCGCTCGAGGAGGAGATGGGCTTTGTCCGTCGCCTGGTCGAGGAGCTGCTCGAGTCCTTTGAGCACGACATTAACCGTGACAACCTTCGCAAGCTGCTCCACTACTCGCGCCGCCTCGCCGGCTTCCAGAGCCGTGCCAAGTATATCAAGTCGGCCGTCGACGAGCTTCTCGATTCAGACGAGGACCTCAGCGCAATGTACATTTCGGACCGTCTGCAGGGTAAGCCCCGCGCTCTGCACGACCACGAACAGCTCGAGTTGCTCTTTGAGAGCTTTTCGAAGCAGGTAGAGGAAATCGTCTCGGAGATTGATACCATGGTGGTGAGTTGACCAAGTAATGCGCTTCTCCAGCTGACATCCAGGCCAATGTCCAATCCACTCAAGAAGTCGCCGAGCTCATGCTCGATTCAGGCCGCAACGCCCTCCTTGCGCTTGACATCAAGATCTCCATGGCCACCATGGGTGTTGGTGTTGGCGCCCTCGTCGCTGGTCTGTTCGGCATGAACCTGGTCTCTGGCCTCGAGGACACGCCGCACACGTTCTTCATCGTTACTGGAGGTGCCGGTATTGTTGCCCTCCTCGTGTACTGGTACTCGTCTCGCGTCCTTCGCAAGGTCCGCCACGTCGCGCTCGTCGGTCGCCCCACGAGTCTTCCCGAGTCGGTCCGTATGGCCAAGGAGCGCTTCGTTCGCGAACGTGCAGAGTACGCCCGCGCCGAGGCTCAGGCAGAGTACGCCCGTGTCGTCGCCGAGTGCGGCGGTGACCCGCACGGCGCAGCGGCGACAATGGTAGCAGTCAGGAGCAATGCCGCCACCGCCGCTGCTGCTGTCGCTTCCACTCCCATTCCCGACTACGAGGCTCGCTGGCACCTCGTTCGCCGCGGTCTCCGCGCCCGGAGTAGCTGGTGGGACCGCATCTTCCGCCCCCATTCCCTTCGCCGCAACCTACTGGGTATGCGTGGCCAGCCGCCACGCGGCCAGCCCATCCCAGCGCGCGTGACGATTTCATGGAACCCTCCAAAGGGCACTGCTCCTGGAAACAGTGCACGTACCGCGCGTGCCACGGCCGCAGCAGTGTCCACTCCGTCCCACCCGGCCACGCGGCCCACGACACCCAGGCATGACCAGCCGACAGGCTACAGGTCAGAGTACTCGGCTAGGAAGTAGACCCCACCCACCCACCACCCACCCAACCACGTTAAACGGCGTATCTGTACGAGGCACGCACACCACTCACGAACACATGCTCAACGCTAGAGCGCCCGCTCCTCGAGAGCGAACGCGAACCCATTTGACACACCTCCCCAATCTCCCCTCCATGCCTGGCATCTTCTAGACCCATGTTGCAAGAAATTGTATGCTACATTGCCACGAAAACAGAAGCTCGTTGCAGGCCACCGCTAAGGCTTAGACTCTATAGCGTTTCCCGAGATAGGCTGAGATTGTCGGCCATGACGTCACGTGATAACGCCCGGTTGACTCAACCGATTGTTGACGATCCCCTTGCGGGCTGTCGGCTCGAGCACAAGGCGGGTTGGGTTTCCATCCTCCATTCCCCCCAACAACACCACACCAACCTTCCTAAAACAATGCCACCCAAGGCCAAGGCCCCGCCCAAGCCCACCAACTCCGCCGCGCAGGCCGCGGTGCTGTCCAGGACGACGGTGCCCAAGACCGAGCCGTTCACGGCACCTGCACCTGCTGCTAGTGGCGGGCGCACAAAGCAGACTGCACGTAAGAGCACCGGCAGCCGTGCGCCTAGCGGTCGATACGATTTTGATGTCGACAACCACGAGGGCTATACCAGTGGATACGACCGGTGGCAGTTTAACGACAACCACAAAGGCGACCCCCGTGGATACTGGGGACACGATCGCTGGGGCAAGTGGGGTTGGCATTGGCACGGCAATTACACCGAAGGCGACCGCATGTGAAGGTGAGTTTGAGCGCTCCTTCGCACCGCTGACACAGCAGCAGAGCAGATGTCGGTTTGAGATTGTATATGGCAGTGTTGGATCTGTTGCAAAGGACAGAAGTTGTAGGGCGTTGGATTGTATGCACCCCCCCCCCCCCTCGGTATGGATCGTTAAGCGGTGACCTGTTGTGTATACTGGCCAGGAATGGATCGCTCGTTGGCGAGGTTGGCCTGTCCTTCGGCCACCCGATGGCATGTTGCACCTGTGTGTGTAAGTGGACCCGTGGTGTAGCCGTCGGTATCAATGCAAAAAGTGATACATGGTGGGGTGGTTGCTGCTGTGCTCCTACTTGTCCTCGCTCTTGACGCCGGCGGCCGCCTCGGCGTCGCGCGCCTCCTGCTCCAGCTGCTCGGTCCTGTGGTGTCAGCGAAGGTTTCCACTGCCCAGCCAATGACTGGAATGAGGTAGGCTGTCGGCAGTGGCAGCCCGCTACGTTGTCACGAGGAACACAGTGTAGCAGAACTGAGCCAACAACCTCTCCCCGTCCCCCAGACCCATTATTCCAACTCACGTCTTCCACACCTCGCCCGTGGCGTGCATCAGCTCGTACAGCTGGCCGACCTGCTCGTTGCTGAACGTGTTCATCACCTCGGTGTCGAGCTTGCGGCCCGACCACAGCGCCGCGCCGCCGTCGGCCTTGAGCGCCGGCTCAATCTCGTCGAGATACCGCTTCCACTGGGTGAGGAAGGCCATGATGTGCAGTGGGTTGTCGGTGGAGCGCGTGGCGCGGAACTCGGACTTGATGTACGCGTCGCCCATGAAGCGCATCTCGGCGGGGAGCAGGCGGTGCGCGCGGAGAAGGCGGCGATACAGGCTGAGAGTTGGGGTCAGCTTTGGCAAGTGGAGAGGGAAAGGAAGGAATGGAGGGGCAGAGCGCGGGACATGATCAGGTAACACTGCTGTTCAGCCCAGGACTTTTAACCAGCAGTGAGCATGGTGTTGGGCCACGCTGATGCTCCAACAGATGGTGTGGTTGCCTTAGGCCTACCCCCCAAACGGTCACAGGCTGGCAATCCAGCTTGACGCGTGCTGTCGGCGGCGCCGAGCTCGACCAGGACTAAGGGAGCTCAGCTGCTAACAGGCAAAGCCCTTCGATCAGAGGAGCAGCTAAAACGTGAGGCGTACACGACCATAGATACTCCATTGAGGACAGGCTTCGGCCCCGTCCCAGCTCAATCCACGGCGGAACAGCCTCGAGTAGAACGCCGATGACGAAATGTCAAGAGAGGAAGGAAGGTGGTGTGCGTGCGAGTGCGGTCAATCCACGACACTCACGGAAGAGGCGGCAGCACCTGGGCCGAAGCCTGTGAGAGGGAGAGGGGGATACGCCCCGTCTCCGCTGCGCGGATAACTGTGGCGAACATGGTGTCAATAGGGTGTGAGAAATGTCAATAACGAGCAGCATTGTTCGTCGTGCCCGGCTGACATTGCCTGGAAATCCACTGGCCACTGGCGGGTGGATGCGGTCGGCGATCGTCGGAACGTATACGCGACACTTACGTAAATAACCTCTGGCGCCACGTGAGACCCACGAGTCATTACATAATACGTTGACGGAGGCGCCGAACACGCCGACCGTCAAGTGATCGGCACGGCGGAGATGCCACATCCGAGGAGCGGAGTGGCACCGTCCGCTCTCGTTTCCGTTTTTGCTGGTCGACCGTGCTTTCGGTGTTGCCCGTCGACGGCAGGCGTGTGGGCAGCAGACGTAGACGATGACGGTCGTGCAATGACTCTGCCGGTGGAGGCGGGGAAGAAGACACAGAGCAGCGAGCCACAGTCGACGTCTTCAGCACGGTGTTAGCCTCGGAAGAGACCGATCTCGGTACGGCTTGCAAAATCGGGCAACCAGCTCCTCTGCACCGTCTTCATCAAGACACTCTGTTCATTCTCTGCTGGCTGGCTGACTCTTTTTTTTAATTTCCAAAGACCACTTCTGATCTCCGAACATTGTCCGGGGCCCTAGACGGTTGTTGGAAAAGCCATTATCTCAAGGCGAGCGCCACTGCGGTCAGGTTATCCTTCCTGCCCCACCCTCTCGCCCGCTGCCACCAGAAGTCGGTTCCGAGAGGCGTGTGGGTGCTCTGGTTGGCTGCAGGCTCGCCCGGGAACCCGGGCCGGGGTGGGGACGAGGATTGCAGGAGACTCTGGCCAAAGGGCGAGGGGAGGAGCAGGCTGACGGCGCGAACGTTGACTGTGCCACCTAGCCTCTTTGTGGTGTGCGGAGGCACTGTGTATGCAAATTACCCGACCAGAGTGTGTTGCGCTCTCGCTTGAGCCGGCAGTTTGCGGCGAGCAGCGGGCGTAGTAGTGGCCGTAGTGAAACCTTTGTTAGCGGGGGAAGGCCATGGCCCATGGCTGCGTGCTGCAAACCATAGCTTGTGCGCAATGCGGGGCGCTCGGGGACCGGCGGCTTTGGACGGCGGGCAGCGAGCTGGACAAGGGCACTGGCACTTTTGATGATGATATGCTCTGCCCATGCATTCCAGCATTCAGGCATCAGAGCAACAGGTCCCCACCTCTCCCACGGTGGTCGTTCGCAGAAACGGTGTGCGTCCCCTCTTTTCCAACAGCTGGGCGCTGGGCAACAAACGAGAGAAACGAATACTGGGACTCGGCCGAGCTGGGGTGGTGACCGCCCCCGCGACACGACGCCCAGAAAGAATCCTCGTGACGAAGAGGACGAGGACGTCCTCGATCAGTTGAACAGTCACTCTCTAGCTTGTGCAAACGGCGAGCTCATCGCCCAACCCCCTCCCCACGTTCCCCAATCGCCCCCACTGGCCACCCCCGTCACCGCACTGAACAGCATGGTGAGTACATGGCGTCTACGCGCGCCGTTTGGTGGCCGTCAAAAGGCCGCCGTCGGAGGGATAAACCGAACATGTCCGACTCCACAATTGGGCGAGAGACAAGCACGAATGCACCGCACATGGTGGTGTGGCCGGTGGGCGGGCGAGAGCGAGCGACCAGGTCCTAGAGCGTTCCCCCCGGCGCCGACCCGCGCGCGCGCCGTTCGCAACCGTTCCGCCGGGCAGACGCTCGTGGTTTCTCCACGGGGGGGCTTGTTGGCCCAGTCTACCGCCCCACCCACCCCCGCCCACACACACTCCCCGTCCCCCCCCCTCTCTCCCGGTCGCTCGCTCTCGGCGTCTCTCTTTCTCTTTCTCTACTGTTAAAAGCACTTCGCTCACCTCTGCTCCTATCAGCTTCCCTCTCTCTCTCGCCCTCTGACGCGTAACCTGCGTACCACCCCCTCCATCACCTCCCCCACCCGCCTCTTCCTCGCCAACATGTCGCACGCCGCTACCCCCGCCGGTCTTGAGCGCATCAAGGCCAAGAACCCCGTCGTCGAGATGGACGGTGACGAGATGACCCGCATCATCTGGAAGAAGATCCGTGAGGAGCTCATCCTCCCCTACGTCGACGTCGAGCTCAAGTACTTTGACCTCGGCATGGAGCACCGTGACCTGGTGAGTATACAGAGAGAGCACCATCACCGTGTGTCAAGCGACATTTTGTGTCTGTTGTGTCTCTGTGGTGGTGGAATTCCCCCGAGGCTTTTCCCCCGATGACCCCCGGTTTTTTTGGCTGACCAACTCTCCAGACCGACGACAAGGTCACCGTCGAGTCGGCTGAGGCCACCCTCAAGTACCAGGTCGCCGTCAAGTGCGCTACCATCACCCCCGACGAGGCTCGTGTCGAGGAGTTCAAGCTCAAGGAGATGTGGAAGTCGCCCAACGGAACCGTGAGTTGCCGTGTGGCGCCGTTTCCCCGTGGAGAGGGGAGGTGGTGCACACACCAAACAACATCCAACCAGCAGCGTGCTAACACACATGCCAGATCCGTAACATCCTCGGCGGCACCGTCTTCCGCGAGCCCATCATCCTCGCCAAGATCCCCAAGCCCGTTCCCGGCTGGACCAAGCCCATTGTCATTGGCCGTCACGCCTTCGGTGACCAGTACCGCTCGTCCGACCTTGTCGTCCCCGGTGCCGGCAAGCTCACCCTCCAGTTCCAGCCCGAGGACGGCTCGGCCCCCATCGCGCTCAACGTCTTCGACTTCAAGGGCAAGGGTGTCGCCATGTCGATGTACAACACCGACGACTCGATCTACGGCTTTGCCCACGCCTCGTTCAAGATGGCCATCCAGAAGAAGATGCCCCTCTACATGTCGACCAAGAACACCATTCTCAAGAAGTACGACGGCCGCTTCAAGGACATCTTCGCCGAGGTCTACGAGTCGACCTACAAGGCCGACTTTGAGAAGCTCAACATCTGGTACGAGCACCGTCTCATCGACGACATGGTCGCTCAGGCCATCAAGTCGGACGGCGGCTTCGTTTGGGCGTGCAAGAACTACGACGGTGATGTCATGTCGGACATTCTTGCCCAGGGCTTTGGCTCGCTCGGCATGATGACCTCGGAGCTCATCACCCCCGACGGCAAGGTCATGGAGTCGGAGGCCGCCCACGGCACCGTCACCCGCCACTACCGCCAGTGGCAGAAGGGAGAGGAGACCTCGACCAACCCCGTCGCCTCCATCTTCGCCTGGACCCGTGGTCTCTCGTTCCGTGCCAAGCTCGATGGCACCCCCGAGCTCGCTGCCTTCGCCGCCGACCTCGAGGCCGCCTGTGTCGAGACCATCGACCAGGACAACATTATGACCAAGGACCTCGCCCTCGCCATGAAGGGCAAGGCCATGAAGCGTGAGGACTGGGTCACCACCTCGGTCTACATGGACAAGGTCAACGAGAAGCTCGTCCAGAAGCTCCTTGCCCGCAAGGCTTAAGCGCCCTTGTCTGTCTTCACAAGACACACGCACATTCCAAACCAACCCTCGCACGACATAAGGACATGCTGCGCGGGGGTCTTAGCTACCCCCCTCCATCTCTCTGCAGCGCTCTAAACAGTTAAAATAGCACCCCCGTGGGCCCACAGCTCGCGAGACCCGAGTTCTCTTCTATACGAGTCTGCTTGAGATGCACCATCTGTATACTACAACCCAACCTCTGCTGCTGCTGGCCTGTTTCCTGCTGACCTGTTTCTGTTTCACAGACGACGTGGTCTCCCACTTGCTTGGCCTTTTCCAGCCCCGCAGAGCCCCAGTAATTAGCTTCCTAATCCATCCCTGCAGAATCCCCCCGCCTGCAGTCTGGAGATCCGGAGACCCGAGCAGCCCTAGGCCGTCAGCCAGCCTGCAGCGAGCAAAGGGGCACACGATTTCCCTATGCGCAGCCGCACATGTCCGGCCATGACCATGGCCATGGCCATGGTCATCCCCCAGCGGGGTCCGGCACAACACCAGAGCCGAAGTACGTGCTCGGACAATGGCCATTCCAGGTAAAAAGTCCAGGATTATCGATTATCGGGTGCCGCGAGCGTACAGTCGTCCCGACATTATCAAACTTGCCGCCAAAAGTTCGAAAAAAAAAAGACAGGACCCAGGACAAGCGGCGGCGCGGGGGCGGGCGGTAGTCACTGACGCCTTCAGCCGACGAATACGTCACTGCAACATGCTAGGCATGATGCTGGGCTGGGGGAGTGCGTGCGTGCGTGCGTTTCGGATCGGCATATCTGCCCGCTGCGCCGAGAAGTGGGAGGGAAGCATCCTGCATGAGCTTGGCTCATAGCGTCAGCCTGTTGGACAGCGGTGGCCGGCGAGTAGAGCCCGGTCACCGGTGTCATGTGGTTATGCGTGGTGCATGGTGTGCCATGGCCAGACGTACAGACGTCCTCCTCTGCAAAGGTTTCATTTGGCGCATTTAGCTTTAGCCTTGTCCTATTCGACACCCCCTTTCGGTCGTAACTAGTCTGCCTTTCGGACCTGTGCGGCGACCAAAGGTCCTCTCTCTGCAGCACCAGTACCTCCAGAGCTGCAGGGACACTGGCCACTGGCCACTGGAAGGATAATGGGTCTGTGGGTGGGTGGCCGGAGATGCCAGCGCCGTTGGGCCGCTCGGGTGCCGGAGAATCATCGGGCCGGTGGCGCGGCATATGGCGGACCGACCGAGATGGCCACCACAGGGCTCAACGGGCCGCGGCAGGACCGTCTGGCCTCGCTCTCTCTACTCTGGGCATGGAACATCGGAACAAACGGCTCGGGCGGCGGGTGGTGATATCGGGTTTCTGGTACCTCTGTATGGAACCTGGATCGTTGCATGGGTCGATGGGCGAGGAAGCGAGCGAGCGAGCGCGAGAGCCACAGCCAACTTGGTCGGAAATCAGCAGCTGCCGACTGGTCAACAGCGCAGCGCCAAGGACGGCTTGCTTGCAACCGAGCATGTTGATTCAGATAACCCTCCTTTGGTCCGACTGGTGCGGGCTGTTGCTGGAGTATCTATCATCAGTGCCTTCGGGTTTCGGTCGGCCAGTTGATGAGCGGTTCGGTGCGACCGGTTTGGGTCAGTGCCTTGTGCGGGGATGTTTGTGCTGGTAGCTCGTAGCAGGCCAGCACGACTATGGGGGTATGGGATGCTGAACCACTGGGAGTGTGAGCATCTGTGAGAGCCTCTGTGCAGCCATGGACGACGTTCCAAGATGAGGCCATCACGCAACGCCGATCTGTCGGTCCACCCGCTTGTCATGGATAGCCAGCTACGCTGTCTCTACGACGGGCAGTTGGTGGCACCAACGCGATTCTGCCACTCAGAGAGTACACGACGCGTAGTATGACCAGACATGGACCTCGGGTACTCGGAAATGTGATGCCAGACCTATACAAATGACTTTTTGTTGCGTATTTTTCAATCTTATCAAACATGCCCGCGACGCTGACTTGTTCCGTCTCCTTCAGCACTCCTGACACCTTTCAATCGACCGGCAAACACCCGCAACACAAGGAAACCATCAACGGGCAACAAAAAGGGCAAAAAGGAGAACTCCTGAGAGCGCTCATTGCCTTCTACCCGAATTGAACGGGTGACCCTTTCATCGTAGTCATCGAGGATGAACCTCGAACAGTACTAGTGAAAAATTCTAACCACTGAACTAAGAAGGCTTTGATGTTTGTTTCGCCTCAGTGTTGTTGACTACCTGCCCCGTTGCCGTTCAGATGTTTGCTAGCAGCTCAAGTGAGGACAACGAAGATGGCCGGCATGGCGTGGGAGATGGTAGGAGGTCGGCGGAGTTCGGATTGCCCTGAGGCAGACCTTCTTTCTGCCCTGAGTTTCCCCCTTCCCCCGTCCACGGTGTCTTGGACGTCTTGAAACATGAAGCCGTGGTTGACAGCCTTATGAATTCGCTGCTAATGCCTAAGGCAAGGCAGGATAACGTCCAGAGGGTTCACAAACCTCGACAAAGGTCGGATCGCCAGACCGCGGCCCACACACGTTTTTCTTAAACATCTCTACACCGTTGGTGAAACGGTATCATGCGTCGTTGCCATCGACGCGGCAGGGGTTCGACTCCCTTACGGTGTATAGCATCTTCTCTTTTGCCCTCTGGGGCATACGTTTTGGACGTCGGAAGATGGTTGCAACTTGAAGACGTTGCAGAGGTCGATGGAGTGATGGTGGATGTTGCCGATCACACTAGTCGATCTTGTCTCACCTATTTACCGAAATTTCGGTATTTATTTCCTTAGTGTATTTTTTAGTCCCCGGTCACTTGGGCACCTACCTCTCGTAGCTGTCTGCTTGGGATGCCAGTCGTGGACGTGAGGGGAAAGTCCAATACGTTGAATTGTTCTTCGCTGTTATGGTCCAACCTTCAGGCTTTGGGAGGTTGAATGGTCGACAATGGTAAAGTCGTGGAATAATATCTCCTGGAAAATACATTTCACGAATTGTTTTACCTGGCAAGTTTGACAATGTCGTTGAACCTGGCTGGAGCCTCGCTGCTCCTACTATACACTCCAACAGACCCTTCACATTATTCAAGGTTCGTGGTTTAGTTCACGGTCAGTTGCCTGTCCAGTCAGAGAACCGTGTCTTGACAATATTACCTCGCCAGGGGGCCTTGCACACTTTAGTTGATAACGGAGTAATACTTGATGATATCTGAATATACTGGTACCCGAGGAAAGCAACCGTACATTGCCACGAGGCCAGCGAGCCTACACGGAGAAGGTAGGAGACGGGGACGCTTGTGTGTGAGCCGGCTCTACACGGATCCACGGAACTGTTCCGTCGACAGAGGACAACCACAACGCTAGTGCTCTCTTGAGAGCACTCTTACCAAGCACCCGGGAGTCAACGGCCAAACATGGGAATTCTCATACATCGCCACCTCCTGGCCATAATCTTCCTCGCTTGCATCGACGGCTGTTCTGCCCCTTGAGCGCAAGTACCACAGGTTGTGAGAGGATTATAACAGCACTCACTACAGTTCCGACGGAAATCGCATCAATCGTCCTCATGTCTACCTGGGTCCCTCATGTGCTGCGTATACGAGCCAGAGAGGTATACACAAAGACCCATTGTATCAATACCATCATTGTCTCGTGGATGTATCGTATCATCTCCATTCTCCACATGGCGGACGTTCTCCCAAGACTACACCCTCGGTGCCGCCCACACATTGTCTATGTCTCCATACAACCTAGGTCAACAACGGCATGCCCGACACTGGGAGTCTCTGGCAACGAGATGTAGAGCTCGCCGTAACACCCTCTCCGCATCTTCATTTACCATCTCCAGGAGTAAATGGACTGCAAATGTGCCGCCTGCAAGTGGGTGACAGGGCCGAGAATGCTGGAGTAAGCCACCGCGTTGTATGTTCGCGTGGCCGGTCGGTCCGACTGTTCGAACAATGTTCCTGTCCATCAACAACGGCCCCAAGCATTTCCAAAGTCTTGTACAACCCATAAACAGATACCTGGGTATCTCTAGTCTTTGCCTGAAGTCCATCCAAGGCCCCACGAAGCGAAGAAACAAAGAAATCGAGGGGCAAACGATCGCGATGAGAAGGCCAAAGTAACTGACATCCAGTTCTTGATCGTATAACGGTTAGTATGCTCGCTTGTCATTCAGCTCGCGGGAGATCGGAGTTCGATTCTCCGTCAGGAAGCTCCTACAGCTCTTCCTCTGAGAAGTGTCTGCTTTTTGGAGTTGCTGGACGGTTGGAAAGGACGGCGAAAAGATGGATGGTTGGTTGGGAAAAAAAAATCGACGGCCCAAAGTTCAAAAAGTTGGAGGTATGAAAATCGCCGAGTGTCCCACTTGACAGCTGTCTGTTTTTCTCGGTGTTGCTCTGCATATGCACATGTGCTCTGCCTTGGGTGTACGTGTATACGGCAGACGTGTCCGTAAGCGCACCGCAGCCCCGTAGAAGGCGGTGGACACTTGTGTGGCACTTTTCAGTGGCAGGAAAAATGTCCGCTCGAAATCGGCAAGTTCTCTCGGCCATCAACACCTGCTCCACCTCTCCAAACTTCGTCTACTGCTTCAGAAAGAGGAGAAACGAAGACTGGTGTGTCGGAGTGGTTAACGAGTTTGACTTGAATGGACTCTATTCATCTATCAAATGCCGAGAGGCGCGCAGGTTCAAATCCTGTCACCAGTGATTCTCTCTTTTTCTGGGGCCGCAGAGACGCAGCTGCATGTCTCTTTTGGATGCTGAAAGGTTCTTCAACGTGTGCGCAAGCTGGAGATCCGATGTGCATGTGCTGTAGGCGAGGTAACGGCGGATGGTGGGTTGAGATAATTGGACATGAACAGGTGATCGTCCCGCGACCACGATTTTTCACCACCCGTCGGTGGCACTTTGTTCGTTCTTCCCAGGTCTGCTTCATGCGTGAGCCTGTGGCCTGTGGCCATGGCCGGCGGCCCCTGGTAGCGTGCGGCGAGCGGGAGTCACCTTTGCGTATTGCCCAGAGTGGACTGACGCCGCCACACTGGGTGCTCACCCTCGTGGCTGACATATTGAAGGGTGCAAGCAAAGGGTGCGTCGTTGGCGGCGTTGTGCACTGTCCTCCTCTCTGCATCGTTACACAAGGTTTGCAGTCACTAGAGCATGCACCAGTGCGTGCATCTGTAGGTCAAGCTGAGCATTGTGCCTGCGGCATTCGATGGTGCTTTGGCTGGAGGGTCACGGGTGTGTTCGGTGAGGCGTATGGCCATGCACGGATGCAAGCTTGGGATTCTGTCAACAAAGGCCACACTGTGCTTCACTTTCCCTCAGCCTGAGCTTCTTGAACAGCCTGGGTCGCTGCTGCGCAAGCTGGCCGTCGTTGTGATGGAATTTCTACAGACCCCAGCCAAAGGTCAATCATCCAATGCCAACGAGCCAACGCCGGTCCCAAGGAATGAACGATGGCAGGGCTGGCCGCTAGCACCACAGGTCACGCTGCCTATAGCACCGGCGGCAGAGATTTGTGCCCCGCCCCCCACCAAGACACTCCTATGCACTGTTACACATCGATGTGCACAGACAAATCTTCGAGGCCTTTTGCTGGTACACACATGCCACTATGCAAAGCGTGCGCACTAGCGGGCTGTGGGTGACGTATGGTCAGAGATCCAGAGAGCAACAACAAATCCAAAACACAGGTGGACGGGCACGGATTCCCCTCGGCGGTGGTCGTTCTCAGGGTCACACTCGCGCGAAAAAAGAGAGCACACTCGCTGGCAGGCAAAAGTTGGCTGTGACACACGCCGATATAGATAGCACACAGAGCCGTATCAGTGGCATGCACGCGTTCTTGGCCGCTGTGCAAGGCCAGACACCCAGTCTCACACACACACATGTCACGCGTATGCCACGCCTGCTGCAAGGACGAAGGACATACAAGTGTTGTGAGACAAGAGCCCCCGTCGTCCTCCCGCCAAACAAGGCACCAGTCGGGCTCTCGTCTCCCCTCTCCTCCCTTTGCGGCGCGGCGGCGCTCTCAGCGGCGTCGACGGCTCGCTCCTCCTCACCACTCGTCTCTCTCTTGTCGTTGCCCATCCACCTCACTCACCACCCTCACGCAATCCACACCCACTCGGCACCCAGCCCGGCACCCCGACACCACCTCTTGTCCTCCCCCCAGACGCACCGTCGCCGTTGTCAAGCGCGTGCGAACGAGCGAGAGACACAGACAGAGACAGAGCGCGTTCTGCTGCTCGCGCCTTTCCCCAGACGCCGTGCCTCCAGATACACAAATTCAGAGCCACCACGACCCGCTTCGTCTCTATCGCTCCCACAACGGTGGCCACCCCATGTCCAAGTCGCTGCCGCCGCCGCGGCGGCAGGCGTACCGAGCCAGCATGTCGACCCCGCCGCGCACCCCGCCGTTGTCGAACGATACGACATTGCCGCCGGGGCCTCCGTCGGTAGCAGGCTCGAGCGCAAGCGGCGTGGATGCCCTGTCCTCCACCGACATGGAGTCTCATCTTGCTGCGTTTGAAAGCCTAGGTCCACCAGGCGCTTCACGACGACCCACGCGCCGTGTGCGCAGCATTGAGCGTACTTGGCAGTGGGTGAAATCACGCTCGTCCGTGTATGGCGAGGCCAGTCTGCTCGACCCGACAGACGAAGAGGGCACGTCTCCTACTTCAACACTCGTCGTCGACAACCCGGGACCCTCTCGCCCCCTCACCGTCGCTGCCATGGGCGCCTCATCCGAGCTCTCGCCGACGACCGCGTCGGTGACGCGCCGACAGTCGGCAGCGGACATTGACCCCGAAGAGCGGCGGAGGAGGAGGCAAGGCCTGACACCAGAATCTGGTCTCCGCCCGCCACCGCGGCCACGTCCCGCGTCCCGCTCCTTCACCACTCCTCCCGCCGGCGCCAGCTCTGGGGCCAGTCTCAGCTCGAGCGCAAGCAACGGTAGCAGCAGCGGCGTCAACGTCTCGGCGCGCCATAATACCACCATGATGCCTGCAACCCGGGACCGTCCCCGACCTCTGCCCATCATCCCTCCCAAACCCGGGACAAAGGTGTTTCCAGGCGCCGTCCCTTCGATCCACGACATTGTCAAGCGGCATTCCACCGCCGTCGCGCTCGCAGAGGAAGGAGTCAAGGACCGTGCGCGCGCCGAACTCGCGTCGCACCCCGATATTCTGCTGGCGGCGGCCCGCGAGAGGAGAGCAAGTATCAAAACCCGGTCCTCGCCCCTATCGACGTCGCCGACCCGCGCACCGGCGGTTTCGCCACCCAGTCCACAAAAGAATACCAAGACCAAAGCGTCCTCGTCGTCGCCGTCCCATCGTCGCGAACCCAGCAGCCATGGGACATTGACCGATGCGAGCGATACAGACTCTGTGGTGCGCGAAATCCGGCTGGCACAGGCAGCGTACGACCACCTCACTCCCAAATCGTCCACACCGGCCAACGCGCCCGTCACCCCTGTGCAGCAGCTGGCCCCGGCGCCCACTCCTCCTCCGACAGCCACGCCGACGCCCAGCGCGACAGCCTTCGCGCCACAGGCACGCAGCATGTTGTCGTCGCCTACGCCGGACCAGTCGCCGCGCTCAAAGTACTATCGGGGCGAGCGTGATCGCGACCGCGTCACGGCGGCGAGTCCCGACCCAGAGCAGATGGCACGTAATCGCTCGACCACCTCGATTGTGCGCCCCAAGAGCGCGTCACCGTTGCCCCCAGACGACGAGGCGCATGCCATGGCTCTGTACCTTCGGTCAGCCCAGCTCAACCGGATCATCCTCATTCCGCGTCCCTATCCCGAACGGCCGTTGCAGGTCTCGTTCGCCGACCTGGGCAAGCCCGACGGCCGGCCCGTGGTCGTGTTCCTCGGCCTCGGCTGTGTCCGCTACCTCGTCGCGCTGTACGATGACCTCGCGCGCGCGCTGGGTCTCCGTCTCATCTGCATCGACCGCTGGGGTCTGGGAAAGACGGGCCAGGTACCCCAGAACCAGCGTGGTCTGCTTGACTGGGCCGATGTGGTGCGCCATGTCCTCGACGAGCTCGGTGTCGAGCGTTTCCAGATTATCGCACACAGTGCCGGCGCGCCATATGCGCTTGCCACAGTGCTCAAGATGGAATCGCGCGTCCACGGCAAGATCCACCTCCTTGCACCATGGGTCGGAGGAGACCCAGAGGGTGAGTTTGAATTCCCGCAAACCAGCTGACAAAAACCCCCAGGCTACAAGTGGCTCAAGTGGGTGCCCAACACGGTCATCAAGTCGGCGCTCGCGGCCGAGTGGCGCCTCGAATCGTACTTTTTGGGCAAGGCGCCGACCATCAAGCCCGTGCGCGGCAAGCCCGAGGCCATGATGAGCTCGACGAGTCTCGACTCGGACGGATCGCGTTCCCGGACGTCGTTTGCACAGGACAACCGCCCGGAGAGCCGCACAGCCGACAACGGGCCCGACGGGTTCGGCACCCTCGGCAACGACTATGTCCACTTGCCCTCGCAGTGGTCTGGGTCCGGCACCGCGTCGTCGACCGTCACCTCTGTCTCGTCGTCGCCGGGCTTTCCGCAAGCGCTGCTGCAGGCGTCCCACGCCGAAAGCCTGTCGGGCACCACGGCCGACCTCCTGTCCGTGGTCCTTGGACGCGACGCCAAGCCGTGGGGATTCAGCTACACCGATATCCGCCACCCGTGCAAGATCTGGTACGGCGCCGACGACGACCGCGTGTCTGAAAAGAGCATGCGGTGGATGGAGCGCGCGATGGACGCCGAGCTCATCGTCGTCCAGGAGGAAGGGCACAACCTCATGAGCTCCCGCATCGTCATGTTTGACGTGCTGGACAGTCTTGCCGAGGACATCTAGGCGTCGGCGCGGGACACCGTCAACCGTCAACCGTCAACCGTCAACTGTCAGCAGTCAACAGTCAACACGTCAACCCGTCGTCATGTCGACAATTTAATTCTTGTGTTTCCCGGGTCTTCTCGTTTTCTCGGGTCTAGGGCTCTCCCTCGGACCCAAACTCTCTACTCCGACGCTCTCTCCCTCTCTCTCGCCTTTGCCGGCCTGTGCTCCCCCTGCCCTGGCTGCTGCCGTGCGGTGCGTCAACGACCATCATCTCTTCCCATCATCTCCTCTTCACCATCTCTCTACATCCATCTCAAACCTTTATAAGTGTTCCGCCCCCGCCTTATTTTTTTCATGCCCCAACGCCACACACCGTCCTTCCTCCCCCCTTGCTTTCCTATTATTCTTTTCATTATATCGCGTTCTCCCTATATCAACGTCTCATATTCCATCCCATCCCATTCCGACCCCGACCCACGCTCCGGCGGTGCGGCAGACCAACGACCAAGACCAACGTCAATTATCCTCTATAGTGCCAATTTGGGCGATGTATGTCACTAGTTCATGGTTTATTTCGTCTGGCGGCAGCACGCGGAGTGGGTGCGCGTGGGAGTGTGGGTTGAGTTGGTTGGCAGCTCGCACATATATCATCCACAGTGCCCACAGGGCCACGGTCGAGCGCGGCCGACACACGAACGTACGAACGTACGAACGCCACACATCCGCGCAGAACAACAAAAAACAGGAACAGACGCAGCGGCGGCGCGCAGCCACAGCCGCGGACCGGGTAACTCGAAGCCACGACGACAGTGGCACACGACCCGCACGAGCGCACGCACGCACGCACGCACGCATCGCATTGCATTCTGTTGCTTCCTTGGGACGCGACGGGGACGCGGTATGGGAGAGTGTCTACGCGCCGACGCGCCGCGTTACATTTCTGTCACAGCAGCGAAGACGGTGGGAAAGTAAAAGGAGGGGGATTGAATAACATAACTGATCCACATGGGGATATGGGCGGGGCCAAAGTCACGTGATAGCTGCGTCCACTCACTTGATCTCGCTGTACGTCACTCTGTTTACCACCCGCAGTAGCCACTTTGTCGTCGCATTGTCCACTGGCATCACCATGGCCATCGCCCCGTCGCTGTCCTTTGGGGCAAAGCGTGCGTCTGCACAGTCTTTCCTGCAGTCACACCGGGGCGTCGTGCGCACGGCATCGACAGCTGCACCACGCACTGATTTGTTCGTGTTGAGCCGTTTGTGATGGCTTACTTACATGTCCAGTGCCGACCATATCACTGCCCTCGGTCACATCTTTCCAGCAGTGCAGCCCACCGTTCTGCGCTCCCGCATTCATTCATTCCCAATTGCCCTAGGTCGCCGTGGCGTCCTGCATGCGATCCCTCCATGTCACGCGCAGTACGACCACATCCAGCGGTTCTCGGCCGCCACGACTGCCAAATCGCGGTCGGCCCCGTCCACAGGCGATGATCCCAACTCGTTCCACGCGGCGGCGATGCAGCTGCTGTTTGACAGAATAAACCCCCCAAAGGCTGACCTTGCGGCCGTCTCGTTCCGGTACAACCCGCTACTCCTCTCGCAATGTTTGTCCGCCCTGTTCAATGTCCTTCAGCCCGTGGACAGCGTGCCGGCGGCGCCTCGGACGCCTCGGACGTGCCCTCCGAGAACACTGACTGTTCTCAGCGCGCTTGCTTCAACTTACACCTTGATGTCACAGTCGGGGCACCGCACACTGTCGCACCTAGAAGAGGACGAGCGCGCGCTCGAGAGCGAGTTTATAGTGGGATTCGCCAATGCATACCTGGGCGAGCCCCAATTCTTCCGACACGGAAGGGCCCCCTCCGCTCGCCATGTCAAATGCGTGGATCCACGCCGACCCGTCTCCCTTCGGCTCGACCGACTTTGGTCTTGTCGTCGGTTCCCTTAACGACTCGGCTCGTACCGCCGCCTGTTTCGACTTGAAGCCTGCATCGACGTCCCTTGCCAACGAGATCTACGACCTTGTGCGAGTTGCGCCATGCACCATCTCCTGGATCAACCGCACCCCGAGCTACTCCTCCTTGCAGACGATAGGCTCCCTGACAGAAGACGTGGCCCGCGAGGTTGAGCTGCATCTGCACCAGGTGCGTCTGCAGTGACCATGTCTTACTCTGGCATATCGGCAAGTCTTCTCTGGTGCTCACAGTTGCAGATCGTGCGCGAGCTCCACGCAAACGCCAGTGACACGCTCTGGTATGGTAACCTCGGCAACGCGCTCCTCTTCAAGCTTGTGGCACCAAACGTCGTCGAGGTGTCCGACCGGGTCCCTCGTACCGGACGGCCTGTCCAACTGCACCAACCGTTTCCGGGCGTTGGCGACACCATGACAATGTCGCTTCCCACCGGCCTGATAGCGGCGGCGTGTGGTAGCAAGCCGCCACTGTCGCTATTTGCACCGGGGCTGCGGCAAGCTTGGCACAAGCTCCACTCGGTACCTGGCATCCAGCGTCGCGCAGAACCCATTGCCCTGCCGCGTCTGCCTGCGACCGTGAGTCCTGTCTGTGCTTGTCCGCTGACACACACAGATACGTGGCCCTCATGTCTCCAAGACGTTGGACTGCCTTGTTGGACGTCGATCTGCTCTGGAACTCGCTGTCGAAGGAATGGACCTCGGGCCCGCGGTTCTGCCGCGTGCGCCTGTCGTCAATGGTGCCATGCTACCGGACGATGAACCCCCGCTCAAGGTCACGCTCACTCGCTGGTTACACTCGGGACGAACGTACGACGGCTACGCCGCGTCCTTGACAGGAGGTACCAACCGCGCTGCTGCGTCCGCGCGCGTCGTCGCCAAGGTCGCCCAGCCGGCGTTCGACATGGCGCTTCATCGCGACTACGAGCCGACAGGCGAGGCACCTCCACAGCGTCTGGCCCCCGAGGCTGCTCACCAAGCTGCGTCCCGCGTGTACGAGGAGGCGCGCCTTCTCGATGGCGAGCTAGCTGGTCTGGTCGTCACGCCCCGGTTCCGCGGTCTCTGGGTCGGCAACGCCCTGGGCGACCTGTCGCCCACGGCGGCGTCGTTTGCGACTTACCTCGTCATGCTCGTCGACGACGCCGGCCCCAGCCTTGCCGATCTGGGATACACCTGGCCGTCTCTGCCTAGCCATCTCCGGTGCGTGTCCTTGACCTTCAGCTCCTCGGGGGAGCCGGGGAGCCGGGGAGCCGGCACACTGTACACTGGCCTGACCTGTCGCAGCACCGGCATCCGCAAACTCTACTGCACACTCCACGCGGTGCGGGTCGTGCACGGGGACGTCGACCTTCGGCACATCTGCATGACCCCCGCGGGAACGCTGTCGCTGATCGACTTTGAGGGCGCGCGGCGTGTAGACACGGCCGATGCCCAGGAGATCCGCGACGAGGACACGCTGGTCGAGTCCAACCTCTCGCTGTGACGTACTATACACCATGGGACGATAGTGATAGAGATACATTAACGATTAATAACAACGCGCCAGCGCATGGACGGGGACAAGGACAAGGCAGGCCACGCTGCCTTCAACTGGGCCAACGCTCGTTTTGTTTCCCTTTTTACGGCCTGTCTAATGGGTTTGGTTTGGCCATGGGATAGTGGGTGACGCCTGAGTGCATGCATATGCGCAGCACTGATGGCTGTAGGAGTAACATATGTCATTTATCAACCACTTTCCTCCACCCCCACCTCATGCTGCGGCGGCGTATAACCACGGCCAAAGGCCGTTGATGAGAGATGCTATGAGCATGTTCCTGGGACACAAAGTCCATCACCACGGCGCTTTCCTGATGTTTTTGATGTTTTGCGAGAGGTGAAACGCTTCAAGGGTTAAACCTCGTCCGCTGGCCGCTGGCCGCTGGAGCGGACGTCGGGGTCGCGAGATCGGGGGACGGCCCGCCGTCCGGCGACCCATGGCCAGTGGCAGGTGCATGATTTCAACACGACGAACGCCCCCAGTCCGACTGGACGGACGAGTGGGCTCGAGCGTCCTGCCTGCGTCCAAGCCGATGCCACGGCTGGCTGGCTACCGAGTGAGCGAGTGAGGCAACGCCGCAGAAAACCTGCACAGGGGCCGTAGCAATGGGCTAACGGGGTTGGCTGCGCGGACAGGGCGGAGAAGCTCACGGAGCTCACGGAGCTGCGAATCGGGAAATGCGATAGGAAGTGGCAGTGCCCACGGGCCACGGAGATGGAGAGATAGAGGCGTGCAAGATTCGTGGCAAACGCTACACCACACAACCTAAAGGGGGTCATTTGACCGACATTTGGTGATCACATTCTGGCCAGTGCGCCAGTGCTGCCGTGTCGGCGGAGATGTGACGCACATGTCGCAGATGCGATGTACCGAGACCGAGAGTGGGGGTGATCTGACACACAAGCACATCCGGCTCCACCGGCAAAGGCCAGTCAGGCCCGTCACATACCGCGGGTGATGGGTAACCGGCGGCACTCTGGTACTTTGGGTCAACAACAACTGTGCTCCATCTGCGCGCATCGTCGTGAGCGTGAGCGTGCAACCGAGATTACCATGCTGGGTTGCCCGAACAGCACGTGTACGTGGGGCCACATGTTGTTCGGGGGGATACGTTCAGACCACAACCAGCATGAGGATCCCGCTGGCAGAGATGCAGAGATGCAGAGATGCAGAGATGAGATGCACCCGGGAAAATCAAGCCCAGAGACCCATAGGCATTTACTTGGTCTTCTCTTGGATCTTGCTTTAGCCTCAGCCCTAGCTAGTTTCTGTGCCGGTCGCTTGCGGGGGCCGTATGTGCGCCAGTGGCCAGTGGCCAGTGGGGGGTCGTACTGTGCCGCGCCGCAGCCAACCGCTGTTGTACCCAGAGACCATGGTACCATGGACTGACTGTTCGATCCTCGTTGCAAGCCCACCGACCACCCTGCGCTCGGTGGTGCTGTCCGGTGCGAGCTGGCCTGCGATCCGGAGACTTTTGCGATCAAAAGCCTATACTAGGACACATGGGCCTTTTTGGCGCCGCTTACGGGTGAGTGCTGTTGCTTGCACCCGAGCGGTTGCCAATCATATGCGTCTGTGTGGTGTCTGACAGCCGGACGAGACCGGACTGGGTAACCTGGGCAGCCTGTCAGGTAGGAGACACAGGACACGACACAGCAGACACACCAGACGGTGACGACGACGGGCCATGATATGCTGATGGATATGGTGTGGCCTATGATGGCCGATCTGGGGGCCCTGGACAACGGGAGAAAGGGTTTTGGATGTGCAGGGTCTGTTTTGGGTGGGGTGGCGAGCAAACGTGTGCAGCTGATAGAGATACCGGGGGGTGCGATGCGCTGATAACCACAGACACAGACTTCTAGATGGCACAATTCCCGACCATGAGGCAAGGAATGTGTTGTGCGCATATATGGACGCATCCCATCCCCTCCCATCCACGCATGCATCTGTTTAGGAGATGTGTCTTGTGGAGCTGCGTTGTACCGGCTAAACGAGACACCAACCCATCGCCCATCGCACCCCCCCGGGATCTTCCGCTTTTTGCCCTGCCTGTGCCTCACTCTCCGTGGGGAACTCTGCGGGTCCTCCACACCCACATGCGTTTGCGATAAGCTATCTCTGCTGCTGATTGGTGGACCTTTCATGTTGCTATTCGCGTGCTATGAGTGGTCAGACGGGGGGGTAATACCCCGCGTCACACACGCTCTCTCGCTGTCTGGCGGGATCCAAGACATGTCCGGTTGGGCGGAACAGGATGGGCACGGTGGGATGGCACGGTGGCACACCCACCCAAGCGGGTATCATTCTCCCCTACCCAGGCCCGAAAAAAGAGACAGACAGAATGAACCCACCTACGCCCCGCATCTCTCTCTTCCATTCTCCCTTCTCACATCCCCTCCGCTTCACCTACACTCACAAAGGGCTCGACAGCTGCTTCATACCTCTACACAGGGCATAGACTGCCCCACACCTTGTAGCTACAACCCCCTTCTCACTCACCCCTCTCGTAGAGGCGTATTCCCACACCACGCAGGCGCTATCGCCTCCTCGTTGCCGCTTTCCCCTCGCCACTTCAAAGTGAGCAGCAGCCTTGTTCTCCCTCTCTCGCACAAGAAACCCTTTACTCACACCGTGTCCCCAGCCTTAACAGTCCACCCGTGCCACCGCAGAATGTGTGGTGTCGGGTTCATCTGTCATATCAAGGGTAATGGCAACCACAAGATTGTGAGCGATGCCCGCAGCATCCTCTGCAACATGACCCATCGCGGCGCCAGTGAGTGGCATTGAACCGTCCCGGGGCCATGGCCGACCGCTGACACCCCATCGTAGCCGGTGCAGACGCCCGCGATGGTGACGGTGCCGGTGTCATGACCGGTATCCCGCACGAGTTCTTCCTGCGCGAGTGCCCCCACTCGTTCGCCGCCCAGCTCCCCGAAGAGGGCCACTATGCCGTCGGCAACCTCTTCTTCTCAAAGGTCGAGTACGAGTCGCAGCAAAAGGCCTTTGAGGAGGTCGCCGCCGAGCTCGGCCTGCGTACCCTCGGCTGGCGTCTGGTCCCCACCGACAACTCGATCCTCGGCCCGGCCTCCAAGAGCCGCGAGCCCCGTATCATGCAGCCCTTTGTAGTCCTCGCCGCCCACTATGGCTCGGGCGACGTGTCCGCCCACGGCGAGTTTGACGAGCGCCAGTTCCAGCGCCAGCTCTACGTCCTCCGCAAGAGCGCTACCCACAGGATGTAAGTGTCGGAGCGGAGAGACGTGGGGGTAGATGTGACCCCGGCCCACCCACCCCCACACCGTTCTGGGCCGGCGTGCGCAGTTGTGGCGCCTATCTAGCCCTTAGTCTCCCCCCTGGTCTCCATGTTCCGTAAAGCACTCGCGCTGACTGGTCGACAGTGGCCTCAAGCAGGGCTTTTACATTTGCTCGCTCACGCCGAGCAACATCATCTACAAGGGCCAGCTCTCCCCCGTCCAGGTCTACAACTACTACCATGACCTGAACCACGCCCTCTATGCGTCGCACTTTGCCCTTGTGCACTCGCGTTTCTCGACCAACACGTTCCCCTCGTGGGACCGCGCTCAGCCCATGCGCTGGGCCGCCCACAACGGTGAAATCAACACCGTCATGGGTAACAAGAACTGGATGCGTGCCCGTGAGGGTCACCTCAAGTCGGAGCGCTTTGGCGAGGACCTCCAGGCCCTCTACCCCATTGTCGAGACTGGCGGTTCCGACTCGGCGGCGTTTGACAACGTCCTCGAGCTCCTGACCGTCAACGGCGTCCTCACCTTGCCCGAGGCCGTCATGATGATGGTCCCCGAGGCATGGCAGAACAATGACCTCATGGAGCCCGAGAAGAAGGCCTTTTACCAGTGGGCCGGCTGCCTCATGGAGCCATGGGACGGCCCCGCCCTCTTCACCTTCTCGGACGGCCGTTTCTGCGGTGCCAACCTCGACCGCAACGGTCTCCGTCCCTGCCGCTACGTCGTCACCTCGGACGACATTATGGTGTGCGCCTCCGAGGTCGGCACCATTACCATTGAGCCCGAGCGTATCATTCAGAAGGGCCGTCTCAAGCCCGGCCGTATGCTGCTTGTCGACACCAAGGAGGGCCGTATCGTCGACGACCGCGAGCTCAAGCTCAACACTGCCCGCCGCCAGCCCTTTGCTTCGTGGATGGACAGCCAGACCATGCGTCTTCCCGAGGTCGTCCGCCGCGTCGCCCGCCACAACGACATTGAGGTCAAGCTCGACCCGGTCCCGGTCGCCCAGGACCCCCGCCTCATGGCCTTTGGCTTTACCCTCGAGCAGCTCTCGATGCTCATGGTCCCCATGGTCCAGGACGGCCACGAGGCCCTCGGCTCGATGGGTAACGATGCCGCGCTCGCGTGCGTCTCGGGCACTCCCCGCACCGTCTACGACTACTTCCGCCAGCTCTTTGCGCAGGTCACCAACCCCCCCATCGACCCTATCCGCGAGTCTATTGTCATGTCGCTCGAGACCATGGTCGGTCCCGAGGGCAACCTCCTCGAGATCACCGCCAAGCAGTGCCACCGTCTCCACCTCAAGTCGCCCATCCTCACCATCCAGGAGATGAACGCCATCCGCAACTTCAAGGAGGCCTATGCCGACTGGTCGTCGACCGTCATTGACATTACCTTTGACAAGAGCGAGGGCCTGCCCGGCTTCCGCGCCTGCGTCGAGCGTGTCCGCTCCGAGGCCCTGGCCGCCGTCAACGAGGGCTACAAGATTGTCATCCTCTCGGACCGCGCCACCGGCCCCGACCGTGTGGCTCTCTCCACCCTCCTCGCTACCGGTGGTGTCCACCACTACCTCGTCTCGCAGAAGAAGCGTTCCGACGTGGCCATCATGGTCGAGACCGCCGAGGCCCGCGAGGTCCACCACATGTGTGTCCTCTTTGGCTACGGTGCCGATGCCATCTGCCCCTGGCTCGTCATGGAGATGATCTACAAGATTGAGCGCGAGGGCATGGCCAAGGACGGCCAGTCGGCCGAGGAGCTTATTGGCAACTACCGCAAGGCCAACGAGGAAGGTATCCTCAAGGTCCTGTCCAAGATGGGTGTCTCGACCCTTGCCTCGTACAAGGGTGCCCAGCTCTTTGAGGCTCTCGGCATCCACGAGGAGGTCATCAAGGAGTGCTTTATCGGCACGGCCTCGCGTGTCCAGGGCGCCACCTACGAGCTGCTCGCCATGGACGCGTTCGAGTTCCACGAGCGCGCATGGCCGTCCCGCTCGACCGTCCGTATCCCCGGTCTCCCCGAGTCGGGCGAGTACCACTACCGCCAGGGCTCGGAGATGCGCATCAACGACCCCGTCTCCATTGCCTCGCTCCAGGACGCTGTCCGCACCAAGAACCAAAAGGCCTACGACACGTACGCCAAGAACTCGCGCGAGTCGACCAAGCGCGCCACGCTCCGTGGTATGCTCGACTTTGACTTTTCCAAGGCCACCCCGGTCCCCATTGACCAGGTCGAGCCCTGGAACGAGATTGTGCGCCGGTGCGTCACCGGTGCCATGTCGTACGGCTCCATCTCGATGGAGTCGCACACGACCCTCGCCGTCGCCATGAACCGTCTCGGCGGCAAGTCGAACACTGGTGAAGGTGGCGAGGACGCCGAGCGCTCCATCCCCATCCCGGGCCCCGGCCACCAGACCGAGGGCCACGGCTACACCCACGCCATGGAGCTGCTCCCCGTCTGGGACTCGCGCCGCTCGGCCATCAAGCAGGTCGCCTCGGGCCGTTTCGGTGTCACCTCCAACTACCTCGCCGACTCGGACGAGCTCCAGATCAAGATGGCCCAGGGCGCCAAGCCCGGAGAGGGCGGTGAGCTGCCCGGCCACAAGGTCTCCAACTCGATCGGTCGCACCCGTCACTCGACTCCCGGTGTCACCCTCGTGTCGCCTCCTCCTCACCACGACATTTACTCAATCGAGGACTTGAAGCAGCTCATCTACGACCTCAAGTCGTCCAACCCGCGCGCCCGCGTGTCGGTCAAGCTCGTCTCCGAGGTCGGTGTCGGTATCGTCGCCTCGGGTGTCGCCAAGGCCAAGGCCGACCACATCACCATCTCGGGCCACGACGGTGGTACTGGTGCCGCCAAGTGGACGTCGATCAAGTACGCCGGTCTCCCCTGGGAGCTTGGTCTTGCCGAGACCCACCAGACGCTCGTGCTCAACGACCTCCGTGGCCGTGTCACTGTCCAGACCGACGGCCAGATCCGTACCGGTCGCGACATTGCCATTGCTACCCTCCTCGGTGCCGAGGAGTGGGGTTTCGCCACCACCCCTCTCATCGCCATGGGCTGTATCATGATGAAGGCGTGCCACAAGAACACTTGCCCCGTCGGTATCGCCACCCAGGACCCGGCCCTGCGTGCCAAGTTTGCCGGCCAGCCCGAGCAGGTCATCAACTTCTTCTACTATATCATTGAGGAGCTGCGTGCCGTCATGGCCAAGCTCGGTATCCGTACCATCAACGAGATGATCGGTCGTGCAGACCTGCTCGTGGTTGACGAGACCCTCCGCACCCCCAAGACCCAGCACCTGGACCTCTCTTGCATCCTCAAGCCCGCCCACCTCCTCCGTTCCGGTGTGGCCACGTACCGCGTCCGTCCCCAGGACCACAAGCTCTACGTCCGTCTCGACAACAAGTTTATCGACGAGGCCGAGCCGGCGCTCACCAAGGGTCTCCCCGTCGAGATTGACTGCGACGTCGTCAACACGGACCGTGCCCTCGGCACCACTCTTTCGTACCACGTTTCCAAGCGTTACGGAGAGGCCGGTCTTCCTCGCGACACCATCCGCATCAACATGAAGGGTTCGGCTGGCCAGTCGCTCGGCGCCTTCCTGGCGCCCGGTGTCACCATCGAGCTCGAGGGCGACGCCAACGACTACGTCGGCAAGGGCCTGTCGGGCGGCCGTCTCATCGTCTACCCTCCCAAGAAGTCGACGTTCAAGGCCGAGGAGAACATTATCATCGGCAACGTGTGCTTCTTTGGCGCCACGTCGGGCCAGGCCTTTGTCCGCGGTGTCGCAGCCGAGCGTTTCGCCGTCCGCAACTCGGGCGCCACCCTCGTCGTCGAGGGTACCGGTGACCACGGATGCGAGTACATGACCGGTGGCCGCGTCGTCGTGCTCGGCCTCACCGGCCGCAACTTTGCCGCGGGCATGTCGGGCGGTGTCGCCTACGTCCTCGACATGGCCCACTCGTTTGCGCCCAAGTGCAACATGGGCACTGTCGAGCTGGGCAAGGTCGAGAACCCCCAGGAGATTGCCGAGCTCCGCTCGCTCATCGAGGAGCACCGCCACTACACTGGCTCGGAGATTGCCGACCGCGTCCTGCGCAACTTCCACCACTTCCTGCCCATGTTCGTCCGTGTCATGCCCCTCGACTACAAGCGCGTGCTTGCCGAGCAGGCCGCGGCCGCCGCCGAGGCCAAGAAGAAGCAGAGCGTCATCGACCTCATCCCCTCGCAGACTGCGTCGCAGGTCGACCTTGTGGCCACGGGCTTTGACTCGAGCCTGCCCCGCTCCACCTCGGCGCTCACCATCTCGACCCCTCGCCCCATCATGACCGCTCCCCCTTCGCCTAAGCTCAACGGCGACGCCACCGTCCTGGACATGGAGGACGCCATGCTCGACGAGGAGGCCGCCAAGCTCAAGGCTACCAAGTTTGACAAGCTCCGCGGCTTTATGAAGTACAAGCGTCTCAACGAGGCGTACCGCCCCCCGCGCAAGCGTGTCAAGGACTGGAAGGAGATTTCGAACCGTCTGTCAAAGTACGAGCTCAAGCAGCAGACGGCCCGCTGCATGGACTGCGGTATCCCCTTCTGCCAGTCGGACACTGGCTGCCCCATTGCCAACGTCATCCCCAAGTTTAACACGCTCGTCTTTGAGGACAAGTGGCAGGACGCGTGGAACCGTCTCATGATGACCAACAACTTCCCCGAGTTCACCGGCCGTGTCTGCCCCGCGCCTTGCGAGTCGGCCTGTGTGGCCGGCATCAACGAGATGCCAGTGGGCATCAAGTCGGTCGAGGCCGCCATCATCGACCGCGCATGGGACCAGGGCTGGATGGTGCCCCGCCCGCCAAAGGTGCGCACCGGCAAGACCGTCGCCATCATCGGCTCGGGACCCGCCGGCCTCGCCGCCGCCGACCAGCTCAACCGCGCCGGCCACACTGTGACCGTCTACGACCGCAATGACAGGATCGGTGGCTTGTTGATGTACGGTATCCCCAACATGAAGCTGGACAAGGCCATCGTCGACCGCCGCACGCAGCTCATGGCCGACGAAGGTGTCAAGTTTGTCACGGGCGCCCACGTCGGTGTCAACGTCGACGCGGCCGAGATCAAGGCCGCCAACGACGCCGTCGTCGTCGCTACGGGCGCTACGTGGCCCCGCGACCTCAAGCTCCCCGACCGCGACGCAGACGGTATCCATTTCGCCATGGAGTTCCTCCAGGCCAACACAAAGTCCCTCCTCGACTCCAACCTCGAGGACGGCCGTTACCTTAGCGCCAAGGGCAAGGACGTCATCGTTATTGGTGGCGGAGATACCGGTGGGTCTGGCGAGCTCTTCTGATGCTTCTGGCGCCTTTGGGAGAGGTTGGGAGGTGTTGGGAGATGCTGGGAGACGTTGGGAGGTGTTCGGAGATGTTGAATGATGGAGGAAGTGAAGTGGTTCCGTCGATAAGGAAAAATTCCGGGTAAATTTCGGAAATATCCTAATCAACCGTCCACCGTTCCTGGAACTATTACCCGCGTCTCTCCCCCACCCCCAGCGACCAAGCCATTCTAGCCGTGCTCCAGAATCATGCTGACAGGACACAGGTAACGACTGTATCGGTACCTCGATGCGCCACGGCGCCAAGTCGGTCACCAACTTTGAGCTCCTTCCCGAGCCTCCCGTCACCCGTGCCGAGTAAGTTTAGCTCACTCTTGGCTTGCAAGTCGGCTAACACCTCCAGCTCCAACCCCTGGCCCCAGTTTGCCCGTGTCAAGAAGGCCGACTACGGCCACCAGGAGGTCATGGCCTACACCCAGAAGGACCCCCGCGAGTACTGCATTTCGACCAAGAACTTTGTCGTCGAGAACGGCAAGCTCAAGGGCGTCAACACTGTGCGCGTCGAGTGGGAGCAGATCAACGGCCAGTGGAAGATGGAGGAGGTCAAGGGCTCGGAGAAGTTCTACCCCGCCGACCTGATTCTTCTTGCCTTGGGCTTCCTCGGTCCCCAGAAGGAGCTCATCGACGCCATGGGCATCAAGCAGGACCCTCGCACCAACATCCAGACCCCGGCTGGCGTGAGTACCCACACCCCCCCAGGTGGTCTTGTACTGTCGCTGACACCTGCCACAGAAGTACACCACCAACGTTCCGGGCGTGTTCGCCGCGGGCGACTGCCGCCGCGGCCAGTCGCTCATTGTCTGGGGTATCAAGGAAGGTCGCCAGGCCGCCGAGGAGGTGGACGCGCACCTCATGGGCTCCACGCGCCTCGCGTTCCAGGGTGGCATCCCCCTGCGCTCGTGGCAGGCCCCGCCCATCACCAAGAAGGTCGACGACGAGTTCAGCGTCACCGTCAAGTCGGCCGGCTCGTCGTCGGGCTCGGACGCCGAGACCGAGACCGAGACCGAGACCGAGTCGAGCGACGTCGTCACCGTCGAGGTCGCCGCCTAGACTCCCGACTGAGGGCGTCGAAAGCGACAAGAGAAGCAAGGCGAGGCAAGGCAAGGCGAAGCAAAACAAAAAGCGAGTGCGACCAACGGCAGGGCAAAGGATGATACACACCCCGCGCGTGCACTCGCATTTCGGATCGCGCGCAGGCGCCCCACTCTCACTCATGCGCATCGAGAGTGCCGCCTGCGGCCGGACTGCTCCCCTAATTGGCACCGGTACGCACAGAGCTTGGCTTTAGAAGAAGAGAGAGAGAGAGAGACAGACAGACAAACATAGTCGTTGTAAAAAGTGGGTTTCGCGCGTTTCCCGTTTCCCGTTTGGCCGAGAATGCAGAATCGTTGTTTTTTCAATTGTTTGGTTCCGTCGCCACACCAGTACATACACACGCGACTTGAGTCATCTCCTAACTCTTGACATTGTACTTTTGTCATATTCTCATCCCACCACTCCATAACTCTCTATACATGGGTCATCGCCTTTCCGAGGCTTCCTCAATGAGGCATACATACGACCAAATGCCTCCCGCATGTGAGCAGCACGTCGACGACGACTGCACCAACGAATGTGGCGCCCGGGTCCCAACGATAAAATCCTCATCGATGCTCTTAGGTTCCTGAGTAGAGATGAACTGGAGACGGTAGGTCCCTCAGCCTCATTGGCACTAACTCATGCTCAGGTAGCAGGCGTCGTCGAGGTGGCAAAACGTCATCTGGCCAGCGTTTCGACCGGCCAATTTGACTTGGATGAGCACTCACGATTGCGTAAAACACGCCGATACCGTGGTTCGTTTCGTGACGTTTTTCTAACGATGATCGACACCTCCAAGGTATCCGACAAGCACCGCGACGTGCTGCGCGGCTGGCAGTGGTATGGCATCGCCGTTTGCGATTTTCGTAAAACACGCATACACACCAGTTCGCGAGGCATACCTCAAGATGGCTCACACGGGTGGCTTCCTGAACGAGAGCTACTACGCCAAGCTACCGTTTACACGCGGTAAACGTGTAGACTGCATATACGAGCGACGAGTCAAGGAGGAGTTTGACCCCGACCAAGCCATTGGCCCTTACGACGGCCGCTCTATAAACGGACACGCACGAGACCTGGCGCACACCAACAGCCCCGGTATGAACCATCTCGTGCGACAGGTCGAGGCAACTTTTGGCCCCGATGCCTTTGAGAGCCGGCTGGGTCACGTCGTTTGGCTCGACCGCCATGTCCAACATGCCACAGCCCGTTAGCTGTGTGATTGAGAGCACTCACATCGGTACGTTATTCCTCACAGAATAGTTGCTGACAATCATAGCCGCGGTCAACGGCATCGACCGCCCGGGAGCTCTCAACGTCAACCTCACCGACTGGGGTTCATATGAGCCGGCCGCCGCCAAACGTGCCATTGAATCCAGGAGAAGGCGATTGACGTTACCGTCGAGGTGATTCGTCACGTCTACGAGGCGGCCAAGCCGGTCCCCGGTGGCGCTTGGGGGGCGCTCCCTCCTCTTGCGAGTGTCTGGGCGTGGAGGTCATACCTCGAGCACCTCCCGCGATTCTCTGCTTTGTTGCCCCTTCAGCAAAACAGAGTCATCGCCTACCTCACCGCCGCACGATACCCCGGCGGCGAGGACGGCCATCTTCCCGCGAAGGTGAGGGCGGCAAGGGAGGCGTACCCAATTCCCAGCGGTACCTTCGCCGTAAGTCCATTCTTTCATTAAGTCGCTATCCTTCTCCTCCCCTTCCCCGAACCTTCTGGCCTTGACTTTGGTCCAGACATGCCCAACCCGTTCTTCGTGTTTAATTCAAGCCCTTTCAACAATGACGCCGACTCATACTTCCTTCTCGGCGACATCATGGAATACGACAACATCGTGGACGACTTCAGGAACCTCATGGGCATCAACCATGCGACGATGGCCACCCTCGTCCACCGCGTCCCCGACGAGAAGTGCACCCTGCCCGTCCTTCTCCGTGTGCGCTTTGGTGAGCTGGACCCCCACCAGCCGACTCTGCGCGCGCTGGTCATGAACTACCAAAAGTCCACGCGCGCCTTCCGCCAGCCCGGCACACCCGTTGTCCTTGCGTCCACCCCACTCCCCTTCGTGAAGGACTCTGGGTCGGCTGTTGTGGCCCTCTCCGAGCTGATGCTTCTTACGCATCTCTCGAAAAGTCAGCTCGTTTGGTTGTTCAACTCGCCGGTGCTGGACGGCCACGACTTCCGCTCGCTCGGTGGATTGCGCGCGCTGGTCTGCATTGCCCAGTCATACCGGTTCGCCAAGACACATACCCCCACCGCAAAGTGGTTCCCATCCGTGCGGTACACTCGTGGTGGCAGCGGAGCGGCTGTCGGCCATTCACAATGGTTTCTGGCCGACCTCCTCCCCAGTCACCTCGGCCTCGCGAGGTTGGGTACAGTAGGAGCGAAAACCCACTCCACGGACCCCAAGCTCAGCGCAGTGAAGGCGGTCGCCGCAACCCTTGCTCGACAGCATGGAGTTGAGGACTGCTTTTCCGCTATCACTCTGGACCTCGCGACCTGGAACCTCTATGTGTACCAGGTCTTCGGCCTCGTGTACGCTGAAACCCGGGAGAAGGACAACGCCACCGTGGCGCCTCACTTCCACGACATCGTCAGCGACTTCGAGAGGCTCACCCTGACGCGTCTTCTCGACAGTGACCAGCGCCAGCTGCGCACGTCACCTCGCGAGGCGGATATGGCGTTGCTGCGCCTTTGCTACATTCTGTTTGGTGGATTTGACGACCCTGTCTTTCCGCTTCTACAGGTCGTGTTGCCAGTGAGTTGAGGTTTCGTGACCCTTCGCTGACTTGTAGCACGTGGCTCTGCGCCAATTCCTGCAATCACACTGGGCCTTCTTTGCGCGCACCAAGCGCACGCGCCGCGCCCTCGACCAGCTGCTCGGACAGCTGCCATCGTCGTCGGTCACCCTCGTCAACGACCCGCTCAAAATCGAGGGCGTTGCAGAGCTGATCGTCGATCGCCCATGGACGATCTCGAGGCGCAGTTCAAGGCCGGGGGTATCGACTTTCAGAAGCTTGTCACCAGGTTCTTTACAACAAACTCCACGCCTGGAGGAAGGCCGAGATGGCCGAGATGGCGATGGCCGCGGCCGCTGCGTCAAAGCCCAGGGGCAGCAGCCAGCCAGCCGGCACCGTCGACAAGGACCCCAAGAAGGCCAAGCCTTACGACAAGAAGCCGTCGCAGGTAGGTATGGCATTAGCTCAACAACAATCTTTTCGACTGACAGTGCATGTACAAAGTCCTCGCAGAGCGCTGTCCACAAGTCTTCGCACGGCCCCATCGACGACGAAGAGGAAGAGGAGGAGGACTGTCCTGTGACGTGGACGGTGAACGCGATTGTCATTGGCGGTGGCGATGTTTGCTTTGTTTGCCAAGGTGGGCCCATTTTGTACGATTCCTGCATTTACTGAGCCTTTGTCCATACATGGCTTACCTTCATCGCGGTATGCGTGCCCATCTCCTGAGCGCACTCCAGGACTCGGAAGCTGCCAGTCGTCGACTCCATACCCGCGTGTCCTCGTCTCCATTACATTACACCTTGGAACCCCCCCCCCCAGTCTACCCTTCCCTGAACACATATTATCTCATTATCTTTCCCGGGTGCCCTTGGCCCATGGTTAATGGTTGCGATACGATCGGGTCGAGAATTACATCACGCCATCCAAAAAACGAGTTGCGTGTCTTCAGGCTTGGGCTGACCGGTATGATTCATTTTGTGTATAATGGAAGTTGTAGTCTGGCATTGCCACAGATGACCTCGGTCGGACAGACTGAACTAGGAAAGCTTGGTCGAGATACAGTTCGGGCATTCCTTCTCGACGACCACTGGGATGCACTTGGGGTGTACCAGGGGAGAAGGGTCTTTAGCCGCACTCGTTTCCGCCGGTGCCCTTCTTCACCCTTCTTCTCAACACAAGATTCAAACTACGAGATTGTGGGGTATATAGTGTGGAGGGTCCGCATGCAGGACGGTGGAGGGGGGAGGGCTAACGTGTGGCGAGGGACACCGACTCCGGGACAGAGATATACACCCCTGTTGCTGAGGTTAACAAGATTTGCATTTGCGCACAGAGTACAACAAAACGGACTGCTTCCACTGCTGTAGTGGGTCAATATCTTGGTCTTATCTCTACTCCGGTGATCCTTGTTCCTCGTGGGACCGCATCGAATCGAGCCCATTACCCTGGCTGCGGGCCTCGTCTGTCATCGGAGTGTTGTTGCAGGTCCGACAGTGGCCTTTCTCTGACTAAGCTTTGGATGCCTCCCCCCCCACCCACCTCTCTCTCTCTCTCTCTCACTTGCCATACCCGCTGCACGCCGTCTCCACGACCTCCACAATCTCCACATCCTCCCCCACTCTCTCGCCGGCGGCCGGAAAGACCATATGTGGGACCGGCGCCACCGCCGACTGTGCCGCAGGCCCCCCCACCGCGCGCTGCCACCCCGCCATCCGGCCCGCCCCGTTTGCTCCCGCTTCTGCCGACTTATCTCATCGGGCCAGCTCTCCCGCGCCGCCACCACTACAACCGGCGTTCTTTTGTGTTTGTCTACTTTGCTGGAAACAACAACCCCCCACTCCATCAACACCCCCCTTTACCCAGGCAATCCACGCGGCAAGCCTGGGACCACACAGTCTGCGTGCAAGCAGACACCACCACCACCTCCCCACGTACGATGCCGCCGTCAGCCTCGCGCACCACGCGCGACGACTCGGCCTCGAGTCCCACATCCTCCTCGGCGCCCGCTCAGAAAGTGCGCCGCACACGCATCTCCCGTGCATGCGAAAACTGCCGTGCTAGACGCATCAAGTGTGAACCCCCATACCCATGTGTGGGCTGTCGTGAAGCGGGACTCGAAAACTGCCTGGTCCGCGATAAAGCTCGCCCACTCAGGTATGTGAAGACGACAAAGAAGGCAAAGTGGCCTAGGAGGGACGGAGGAATGGCGGGGGAATATAGGATTCAGCTCACACACCATCAGGCGCAGGCGGTCGCAGCAGGCAACAACAGCCGCTCTCGAGGGCTCCACCTATCCTGAGCGCACGAGGTTCATGCGTGTCCTGGACGAGGAGCTAGAGGACATCTACCACGCGCAGACTGGTGAGGTTGCATGACCTGCTGACGCGGCGGCGCTGACCGTCAGGCCACAACATTAGTCTTGGACTCGAAGAAGCCCCCTCCCACCCATCATGCGACCTCAACACACCTGTGCCGCCCATGCCCCATCCTCTCCCACCGAACATTGCCGATGCCATGACCCAGTTCACCGAATTCATGCTCCCCTTCAGCTCCCACCTCACCGCGCCAAGGATCTTGGACCTGTTCGACCGCTACGTGTCGTCACCGTCCACCCTGGCGCCCGATCAGCTGTCGCTCATTCTCATCTGCATCGCTATGGGTTATCTTCGTCTACAGGGCTTCACGCCAGGCGGTACTGTCGACTCGGGCCAGCAGGCCGGACGCGCCATCCCAGTGCCTGATGACGAAAGGATGGACGTTGCCTTCTTTCGCAACTCGGTCAACGTGCTGGAGAAATGGGGAAGCGTGAGCTTTACCTCTCTTCGTAGGTCCGATCATCATGACATCGATGCTGACCTCGCAGACGCTCTTTGCGGAATCTGGTACTATTCGTGTCTCACATGCACGAGCGATACAACGCGGATTATTGTTTCGTGGCTGATTGCGCAAGCGAAGGAGCTCGGCATCCACCAGGAACAGACGCCGGCGCATGGCTACTCCTCTACAGACCGTGCCGACCTCATGTTTCTGCAAGTCCTCTATGCGCACTAGTAAGTTTACGAGATGTCGAGATGTCATGGAGTCCATGCTGACCCACCAGCTGGACAACCGCATTGACCGGCGACCCACCTATCATTAGCGCGGGCGAGTTTGAGAGGATGACCTTTCGCTCTCGTCCGTTTCAAGATGACGACGCCGTGGTCGCTCTCGTTGTCCGCCGTTCATTTACAGAGCTACTCGTCTTAAACACTCAAGTCATGATGGGCCTCCACGACTCGCGCAATGCCACACTCTCGCTCGACTGGATGCTCGGCATCCAGCAAAGGTGGGCTACGTGGTGCGGCACCTGGGTTCTGGACGGCCGTACCACTGGGAACGTCTACACCGACCCCTTCCTCGGTGTGCTGTGGGACTGGGGCCGTATCACTATTTCGATCTGCTCGAGAACGGACAAGCGCGTGTCCATGTCGTCACTGTCGGTCCTTGCCCGTTCAGCAGTCCAAGTCATTGTTCGTTACAGCTCGATTTATCGCAGGCTCCCCTACAATCTCATGCACCAGCACCTCCAGCAGATCAGGACCTGCGCAAACATTATTGTCCTCTGCTTCTGGAAGTTTGAAATGACCAAGACCGAAGCCGAGGTCTCCATCGCCATGGCCGTCTGGATGATTGGGCTCATGGTGCCTCGTTGGGGCAAGCAAGCTGCCGACGCCAGCAGGAAGATTACTCAGCTGTCCGAGGCTGTAGGCCTGGACATTTCGCCAGCGTCCGTCGACGGCAGCCTCCAAAACTTTAGCGCTGGAGCTCTTGCTTCCATGAGCTCGACCGAATCGTTCATCGACGCTCACGGCGCCTTGGGCAGCTTGTACGAGACGTTCCAAAACTTCAACCAGAACACGGCGAGCCTCCCGTCGTGGACCATCGACCCGCTGTTCCTCGCCGCCGAGTACCAGTAATAAGAGAGTACAAAGGCGTCATATTTCGGCGTCGCGCGCGGCACACCCACCCTAGAATCGCACAAAACGTAACAGGTCTCCTGTTTTCTATGCTCCCCCCCACCAGTCTTGGTATATTGAGCGCCCGCAGTGGGTGCATAGTACGGTTAAACGTTAGTAAATTGATGTAACATGTCTATCCGTTACCAGTGCTTCATCTGACTGGGCTGCACGCATCTCCAGCCGATTGGAGCTCACCATCGTTGGCCCTTTAGTTGGTCCTCCCTGTTTATCCCTACAACTACGGCCACGAGGCTGCTGTGCCCTCGCACTCGTTCTGTCCTTCGCGTTGGGAACTGTGAAATCTATGAGGATGGCTACGACACATGGGCTGTTCAGCTTGGCTGCCCCACAATGCAGGCGAGCGGCCACGAAGACACATACCATTGCCGGATGCGGACTGCCACTGGTGGCGCAGTAGTTTTGTTTTCGACAGGCGCGATCAAGCTCAACCACTTTCCTTATGCATCCTGCATTGTACACGAGGGAATGGCATGCTGAATGCAAACAAATGGCGGTGCAGAGAAGAATATAAGAGTCGCTGAGATGCAGCTGATCTTATTGTTCTTGCCATCACGGCCCAACACACAAGAACGCACACTCCATTCCCCGCTTCCATCTTCTCCCACCGCCACAACCTCCATTTCCCATGTACACAGCATCCCACCAAGCCAGTATGCTCCACCCAGTACACAGCGCCTCACTCCCTGCTCCATCACTTTACCCAACCAGCCTCTGGGCACCACAGCCGGCGGACGGACTCAAACCCGTTGGCAGAGCTTGGTACTCGTCCTGCTCGGCACCCATGCCTCTCTGTGAGCTATACGGTAGAGCTCTTTTGGGCACATCAACTGACATCCAGACCCTCGTCCTCACCTTGTATTATTTCCACCTGCCCATATCCAATACACACAGGCTCCCAAGCCAAAGCAGGATCGCAAGCCGAAACGCACGTCGTGGTCGTACACGCCCGTTCCGGCCGCAAAGTACATTTTGGGTGGCGCTGCTTTGATAGAAGAGCGTCCGACAGTAGCGTAACCGAGTGACATTATGCATCCCTTGCACCCTCCATCAGCAGCTGGCGGGCTGGCCATGGCTGAGACAACGGTGCTCACCACCACAGCGACACGCACCACCACCGACGACCGTCTCGGCGCGGCGATCAACGGGGCTCTAGCCATGACGTCACGTGCCGGCGACGGCCGACAGTCCTCTCGTAGCGCCCACATGGGCCGACCCGACAAGATCCAAGCTATCAACTCGTGTTCGCATTACCCTCCAGTTCTCCAACACCCACCACTCCGTCATGATCCTCATCACCGGCTTTGAGCCCTTTGGCGGCGAGACCGAGAACCCTTCTCGCCTGTCTGCTCGCCTCGCGGTCGAAAACTTGAATCGCGAGGGCGTCTCCGCGGCCTTTCTCGAGGTGCCAGTCGTGTTCGCGCGCGCGGGGCCGGCCGTAATCGACAAGGCCGCTAGCGTGCGCGCCGACGTGGTCGTGTGCGTCGGTGTCGCCGGAGACCGCAAGCTCATCAGCCTCGAACGCACCGCCTACAACGTCAAGCGGGGCCGCATCCCCGATAACGACGGCGCCAAGCCCGACGGCGAGATTATCCTTCCCGGTCCAAACACTTTGACCACCCGACTGCCTGTCAGCAAGGCTCTGGACGCTATCAAGGCGGCTGGGATCCCGGTCGAGATCTCGGACGACGCAGGACGCTACGTCTGCAACACGCTCCTGTACACGGTTGTCGCTCAGCTCCCCGAAGAGACGCCCGCCGGATTCGTTCACGTGCCCCAGGCCTCCGAGGTGTCCATCGAGAAGCAAGCCGAGGCGCTCCAGATTGTCGCCATGCTCGCACTGGAGCAAGTCAAGGCGCAGACCCTGGGATGAAGGGTTCGTGTGTGCGGTGTGTATAGATTGCATAATAATGGGGGAACGAGGGCAGCGGCAGAGCATGTAACAAGCTGCACGAGACGTTGGCCGTTGGAGCACAGTGCCGCCGAAGCCAGTCAAGTGACTGGCATGACTGGTGGGCGTCTGAGACGCACGACGCGGTGGAGTTGAACATGGAGGACATGTCAGCTTGTTAGACGTCCGTCTTGGAACTATGTGTTGGGCGGCTCCCTCATTATCTGTTACCCTTGCACTCGGTCTACACTTGGTGTGCACTTGACTGCTCGACGTCATCCGAGTTTTGGCGGACCGAGAAAGAGTATTGAAAATGTTACTAGGATTCCTGATTAGGAGGGGTTTGTTGACATTAACCCCACAATTGAAATGTCCTGTTCATCCCGTCAACCAACCAACCGCGTCATTCTGTCAACACACACATCCTATCACTTATCCACTTCAACCTTCCGCGGCGACAGTAGGCTCAAGCACCAGCCAAAACCAAGGGCCTGCATCCATTGGAGTGTGTACACCTCTTTACAAGCGCTACTGGCTTGTGTCTTGCCACGATTAATCGTCCCTCGACTCACGGCACAACACCGGCATCGTCCATCAGTGCTGCTCGCAAAGGGGGTCAAGATGTCGTTTCGAGGTGCCGTTCCGACCCTCTGGAGGGCCACGATGCGTTATCGACACTGTGCCTCTGTTGTATCGGTACAAATGCCCCTAGGGAGGCGATTTGGTCACTCGACTCCAGTCGGGGACGCCGACCAACCGAGTGCCGGACCGTCCATGAAGCCCGTCGACAAGGCCGCAAGTCTGACTGCACTCGGCAACACGGACGAGGCAACGTCATTAGAAGAACCGGGAAACTCTGATCGCTATGACAATATGACCATGTTTGAGCTCCAGGACGAGCTCATGAAACGGCGACTCCATCACATTTATCCTGGCCGGACCTTTGACGATATGCGTGTCAGGCTACGCAAGTCAGAAGTGAGTCTTTACGTGTACTGAATTGCTGACGTGCAGGGGGGAAGTGTGCCGGAACACTGGATGTGCGATTCACCCTGGACGCCGCCAACACCAGATAAGTCGCGGGACGCACCACCAACACTGGAGGCCCACGAGATCTGGGCGCTTCAGATGACACCACTGGTCGAGGTTTGTAAACAACGCGGACTGTGCACGCATGTGCTCCCATATGATATGCGCACGAGACTGCAAGCCTTGGAAGTAAGTTGCCTGCGTCTTGCTGTGAACGGTTACTCACCGCAAGTCTGGCCAACAAGTACCAAGGGAATGGCTGGCCCGAATTAAGTCACCATTCAAAGACGAGTCCGGCTATAATTCCTTGACGGGCCGGCAACTGCAGGAGCTTCTTCGTGAGCGTGGATTGAAGGGGAGGTGGTCGGGTTTCACCAACGCCGAAATGGCTTCCCGTCTGCGGGTGTCAGATGTGAGTTTCCATCCTTTGCACCAGTTCTCTGACCGTCCCAGGAATGCCTTCCACACCAGATTCCGAAGCGCTGGCGCTTGAAGGAGGCCCCAACCTACTTCGCGTCAGCGAGGGCTGAGTTATACAATGGCTTGACCAAGGCAGAAATTGACCTCGTACTGAAAGCTCGAGGACTTCGAAGTCTTGGCCACAAAGAGAATGTCGACGACGCCATCCGGTGCTTGGTGGCGTGTGATGTGCGTTATTCAAACGGTATTTCAACTTTGCTGATATATCGCAGAAAGGAGAGGCGATAGGTTTCGGGTGGCTCGCCCTTGGCAGTGAGTGACATGCTTCAGATTGTGACTGATGTCAGTAACCCACATTCATGATATCGATTCTGCCAAACTTGTGCAGAACATAAAATCCCAGAGGACTGCAGCCAAACCCGTCTACTCCAGGCTGTCATCGCTCGACCCAAGCGCCTCCCCACTCGCAGCGGCGGCCGATGATCCTGGTGAGGATCACCTGCTCTGGCATTCAGCTGACTCCTCCAGTGGCCAAACGTGCGCGAGACTATAACGCGATGTTCACCTATCAGCATATCGTTTCAATGTGTAAGCAAGAAGGTCTGCGGTGGCAGGCTGCGGGATTGAGCGCGCGAGTTGTCAATATCCGCAAGGACATTCTTTGCTACCGGCTCGCATTGAAAGAGGTGAGAATGGCCGCTACCTGTTCATCCCACTGACGACCTAGGCCGCACATGTCGAGGAGGACTGGCTACTCGAATCGCTCGACATACCCAAATACGCGGCTAAACCTAAACCGGACTCCGAGCGCGCAGCCAGACCTCAAATTACGAACCGAGGCGAGAGTTCTATCGACTACGTCAAACTGTCCTTTGTAGCCCTTCGGCTCGCTGTCAGAGGTCGTGGCCTCTCCGTTTTACCCGACGAGGAACTAATGGCGTTCAAGCTCATGGCCCACGAGGTGTGTGGACGCGACCTTCGTCGGCGAGATGCTGACAATAGATCCAGCACAAAGGCAAGCTTCCTGAATCCTGGTTCGGACCGTTCGGACGACAGTATTACGCACACCAACCTCGCGTCATTGAGTTGAAGAACTTGGGCAAGGACGAGCTCGTAAGACGCCTGCGGGAAGCCGACATTCCAGCGGTGACGAGGCAGGACTTGGTGAACAAGTTGATCAAATCGTAGTCAACGATGACTATGAACCAGAAGAATGAAGTTCTTGTATATCATGCATGTGTCTCAGTGTCCAAACATCCCAGAGACTGATATGGTCTGCTGAGGATTCCGCTGCGATTAGCACTGTTTATTAGAAAACGGATCAACTGATTTGCTTGGCCGGAATCAAAAATATCTGCCAGAGCGCGTCCCTCCACTTCTGCAACAGATATTTCCATGCGTCTGTTTCGCCTCGTGTGTCCAACAACATCATCATCACCCACCATGCCGCGCGTCACCCGTAAACAAAAGGACGGAGGCAAGCCCGACCACAAGAAGAAGACCTCTTCGGCAGGAGCATCCCAGCGCAGTGGATTTCGTGTCGGCCCATCGCATGCGCCAAAAGATGCCTACCTCGGCAAGGGTGAGTTTTCCGCGTGCAGTGTATGTAACCTAGACGCTGACCTCGCCCCCCTCTTCTCCTCGCAGCACGCAAGATCAAGGCCGAATTGATTGAAAAGGCCAAGATTAAGAAGCAGTATGCTAAGGTTCTCCAGAAGGAGGGTCTGAGCAGCGGTCGTCTCGGCGACGGTTCGCGGAGGCGTGGCGAGCGTGACGCCGGCGAGGTCAAGAGCAAGACCAAGAACACCGCCAAGGGCAAGGGCAAGGCCGCCCCCTCTGGAAGCGACGATGAGGGCAAGGCCGGCGGGGCATTGGACGACTCGGACTATGACTCGGACGACGACATGCTCGGTGCTGAGGGTGCCGCGTTCGCCAAGGCCATGCGCGCGGCCGCACGCGGACGCGCCGGCAGTGAGGAGCCTGCGCAGGAGCCCAAGCTGCACGGCGACGAGAAGCGGATGGGCCGCGCTGGGCCTGCGCCTGGCGACAAGCCCCACCGCGAACGCGGAGGCAAGGGTGACCGTGACTTTGCTTCGCGGGGCAAGGGCAAGTTTAGCTCGGACCGCAACAACAACTCGAACCCGAACGACCGTCAAGGCGGACGCCGGCCATTCAAGCGCGACGACGCACCGCACGCCGCCTCGGCTGCCCGTGCGCGCGGCGTGCTCTCCCCAGAGCCCACCGTGGCGCCCAAGGAGGGCTCCATGCGCACACTGAAGAAGGAGGCGTTTGGCAAATTCCAGCGCGCACCGACAGCCAAGACGAACGCGACGGGACGCAAGGGTCAGCCCAACATGTCTGCGAGGATGGACATGTTGTTGGAGAAGATTAGGAGGACCAAGTAAAAGAGGGACGAACGGGGAGACGAGTCGAAGGGTTTGACACACTGTGAGTGCTTGTTTCCTGTCCCACTTTCCCTCCCCCACCTGTCATCGTGATGAGCCAAATGCATAGGGACAACAGACCTGCGGGAATGTTGATTATGCCGGGAGATCTTGTAGTAATTGATCGTGTTTTCTCTGACACCCACCCATTCCTTCGCTTCCCTCGTTCGTGCTGCAGAGTACAGAGCTGACACGAAAACCTTAGACCTGCGATTACCTCTTCGCGGCGCGGCTTTGGATGGACGACAGCGCTGGCTGTGTGGACCGACGAGATAGACACCACGCCTACGGGTGTAGGGATGTACATTACTGCATGCAACTCATAGTGATACAAATTGGACGAGGGAGGACTGAGTCGAACGCGATCTGGGAGAGGCGGAACGTTGCTAATGTGCACGTCCACTGAGGACCGTGCAATCTGCATTCTTTTCGGTCTAGCTGCACCCACTGGACGCCTCCATCAATTACCAAGATGTCCCTCCGTTGTCATTATGTTCTATCTCTTGGCACCCTTGTGAGAACACGCAAGCCGCCCCGCAGCCCTCGGCAAACACTCCCCATATCATCTGCATCGAGCGTCTACTCTACTAAAGAGATACACTACACTACACAGTCAGCTTGGTCTTGCTCTTCTTCTTGTCCATCGAGTCGGAATGAGCCTCAAACTGGCAATCAGTCGAGTAACCACCACCAAGCTTCTGCTCGAGCTCAAAGCCCAGGACCGACACCTTGAAGTGCCTTCCAATGTCCATGACGCGCTTCAGGAGGGGCGAAGTCTCCTCGGTAAGCGCAACGTCGGGCGCGTCCTTGGTCCAGATCGCGATACGGTAGCTGGAAATGAGTGTCAGCCAAACACATCCGTGTCGTATGTGATCCGTGGCCACTTACAAAGCAGGGCGGCATGACATGATGACACCGGTCACGAGGTCCGAGTCGCCCGGGGCAGAGCCGTCCAGCGGCGTCTCAAAGGTCTCGCCAATGGCTGCGAGCATGGTGTAGAGCCACATCTTGTCGATGGTCGACCTCGACTTGTCACGGGGAACCTGGACCGACCACTTGCCACCGTTCTTGTTGGCGGGGTCCTCCCAAGCGGGGATAATGCCGTTCTGGAAGGAAGGGTGGTGAGCACGCTGAAATGACTCCACGGTGCGAGACAGCTTACCTTGAACAGGTAGTAGTTGGCCTTGCCAGGCAACTGCGAAGGGGGGACAATGTTGTTGTAGAGGCCCCAGAACTCCTCGATCGAGTCAAACTGGATGACCTTGCGAATGTCATCGAGCCAGCCGCCGTGGTTGGCAGCGGAAGACGACAGGGTGGTCGTCTTGGGCAGAGCCTTTGATTGAGGCGAGTCAAAGTAGAGGGTCCAGGGGGCATACAGGGGGTGCTGAGAGGTGTTAGTAGAAGCTCAAGAGTTGGACCTCCAATATCGGGCTGGTGCTGCGGACAGGACAGCGCTGAGCCAGCCGCCAGCTCGATGGCTCGCGTGTGAATGGCTTCCCAACTCCACCCAGCCAGCGCAGCTATCCAGACTACCCACCTTGATGTTGAAGCGGGAAGAGTCGTGGAACACAGTCTTGGGCGTGCCGTCGTCCTCCTTGATCTCGCCATCCTCGAGGTCCTCCTCGGTCTTCTCAGGCTGCTCGACGGCCTTGTCGTCGGTCGTCTCGGGCTCGGCAGTGATCGAAGCAGCAGCGAGCGCGTCCGACAGAGTCTGCTCGTTGGCCGCGGCCGCGGCGGCGGGAAGGGCGGACATGGTTGTGGTGGTGGGGGGAAGGGGGGAGGGGAGGGGAAGGGAGTAGTTCTAGATCACTCGCACCAGAGGAAGGTGGCAAGAGAGCGTTGGTTGACGGGCGGTGAACAGATCAACGCTGTTCTGGGGATCTTTTTTGGGGGAGAACCGAACGTGTGTTTCGGTTCTGTGTTATCGTAGCCTGCGAGGGGTTGGGTGGTCGTGGATACAGTCAGTGTTGAGTTGACTGGCCTGTAATAGCAGTTGGAATCTAGTTGCTCAACGCTCGTCAAGAGGAGTTTTCCACTCAGGACGGAGACCACGTGAGCACAATGACGTGTCCTCAACCGGCCAGCCGTGATACCGCCACTCAAGTCCACCGTCTGGCGTCCACATCCATATATCATCACAGATGCATCTGGCTGACTGAGACACCTCACTCCCTCTCCCTCTCCGTCACCTCTCACAAGGTCCATGTCAACAGCTCGCTGAAAATAAACATTGTATAACAGTGGTCGCATACCGTCCGGCACACACCTCTGCGCGCGACCCGCCAACGCTCCAGCGCTCCAAGTCCCTGTCTGGCAGGCGTTCTCTCAGGTGGAGGTCTCATTCCACCACCGTCTTGTCTGCCCCTCTCTTCATACTCCTATTATCCTCACCACCATGTCGACATCAGCGGCTCGACCGACCCTCAAGCGGCCAGTCAACCCCGTGCGCCGCCCAGGCGCGTCCGTGGGCATGCGCCGACCACCTGGAGCCGCGTCGAACGGTCCTGGTGCCATCTCGCGCGGAGCTGGTCTCGCGCCTGGGTCAAAGGGCAATGATGACGGATACCTGTACGTGGCAGGCGTGAGGGATCCGAGTAAGCGTGTGACAGAGTACAGGGTGGGTGTGCTGCTATTGAGCAAATCCGCAAAGCAATAACTGACATGACTCAGACTGAGCAAGACGTGTGTCCCGTCTGCCAGACCGACAGGCAGTTCAACAAGAACCTCCGCCTCCTCGTCTCACCGTGCTACCATAAGATGTGAGCATTGTGTGAAGTAATAAAGCTGACAGAGCAGGTGTGAATCATGTATCGACCGTCTCTTCACGCTCGGCCCCGAGCCGTGTCCGCAGTGTGACAAGGTGCTGCGAAAGGTCAACTTTGCCCATCAGACCTTTGAGGACCTCAAGGTCGAAAAGGAAATCTCTGTGCGGCGACGAATGGCTGAAATGTGAGCTGAGGGAATCTTGAAATCAGCTGACAAGCAGTTTTAACAAGCGACGAGAAGACTTTGAGTCTCTGAGAGACTATGACGACTACCTCCAGACGGTGGAGGAGTACAGTGAGTTAATTGTCCCGTCGAAACACTAACTCTCCAGCGTTCAACCTTCTCAACGATGTCGATGTGCCAGCAACTGAGGCCGCACTGTCCTCGTATACTACAGACAATGCGAGCCTGATCGCGACCAACCAGCAGAAGAAGGCGATGGAGGCCCTCTCCCAGACCGAGCGCGACGAGGTGGAAAAGCGTGCCCGTGCCGAACGCATCCACATGATCGAGGAGGCTGAGCGCGTCGACCGCGCCGAGGAGATCCGCGTCAAGGCCGAGATTGTCGATGCGCTCGCGCGGCCATCGGGAGGCCAGGAGCTAGCCAAGGAGATTGCCGATCGCGCAGCCAAGGCCAAGGCAGCTCGCGCAGCTGCTCTGGCTGCCACTGTCCCGCCGTCCCTTGCCGCGCTGTACAACGTCAAGGATGTGGACGAGACCCCGCACTCGCCCAACTCGCCCTCATACGCCGGCCCCTACGTCCCCATCCCGTACTCGGACCCCGACGAGGCCGAGTGGAGCCACTGGTACAACCTCAAGGACAACTATGCCGACGGGCGTGCTGGCGTGGTCTGGGCGAAAGAGGACAGGGAAGGGGCTGTGCGTGGTGGTGGCTGGGACATTTCATTGTTCTGGGAGATGGAGGTGCGTAGCGCTGTGGAGGCGCTCAGCCTTGAGCCGCTCGCGTAGAGGTAGCAGTAGACAGGAACAGGCAAACCATGTATCATCATTAGCATCTCACCAGGGTTGCAGGTATTTTAGCAAGCTAATCCATCTGTACTCTAAACGAATCTATGGGACAGGTATGCAGTGCAAACCTCTATGTGTCCTCTACACTGAAATACCTATACCTACATACCTCCAGGGGATCTCATGATCAAATCCCCGCGTTATGACCAGCATAACCCTGCCGTACGGCTATTAGATGAGCAGGGCAATGACGGCGGCGGCGACGCCAGCGACCGCGCCATACTGCACCACACTGCGCGAGCTCGCGGCCGAGCTGCTGGAGCTGCTCGTCGAGGTCGAGGCGTTGGTGTAGACGTTGACGTAGTTGATCTCAAAGTAGGCGTTCGCGTAGGTGGTAGTCTGGGTGCCCTCGACATATGTGGTGTAGCATGTCGCGTCCCCAACGAGCGCGTCGCAAGTCTCCTCCAGGACACTGGCGGTTCCGGCCCACGAGCCACACAGGGTGATGTCCAGAGTCATGCGCTGGTCGCCAAAGTAGGTGTCAATGTCACAGGTCGACGAGGGGTAGTATGCCGAGGGAGTGCCGAGGTCGTCGGTGTCAATGGTGGTCGCGTTCGAGCTGAGCGAGCTGGGGACGCTGTCACGCGTGATGAACCAGATCTTGATCCACTCCTCGGCATACTCGGCGACAAAGACACCGCCACCAGCACTGGCAAACGCGGCACCGTAGCTGGCCGTGCTGTTGTCCAGCACCGAACAACCCTCGTTGGAGTTGTACGAGGTCGAACAGTTGGTGTTCTGCATGGAGCCCGAAAAGGTCACCGAGTCCGAGGCGTAGCAGCCGTTACCCTCGGCGTGCAGCGCCATCTGGTTGGTCGTTTGCAAGTTGACACCCTCGAAAATGTCGATTTCACCGTTGGTGGGCCAGTCGGTACCCTGCGTCCAGAATGAGGGCCAGACCGAGCAGCCGTACGGCAGGTGGACGGCGTCCATGACAAAGACGGTACCGGCGGCATAGCCCGTCTTGGAGATGAGCTCGGGTGCATAGCGCTTCTCGTTGTATGCGACAGTAGACGTGTTGTCAACTGCGGTAGCATGTCAGCTTGTGAATTCCGATGGATCGCGGTGGACAGCCACAGCCACATTTTGAGGGATGTTGGCACTATTGGCCCGTTATGAAGCCAACCGGTGGGGGGCCACAGCATATGCGCAAGACCCCCGGAACAAACGGTGAATCAGTCACTGGTGACACCGGCCACCAGCGAGCACAGCCTTGTCACGGAACTGGTATGGCGCAGACTACGGTCCGCGAAGAACGTACCCTTGAGAACCACACGTCCAGCGTCGTTGACGTAGATGAGCGAAGTGTTGGCGGAAGTGGCCCAGAAGACATCTCCACTGGTGGTGTTGTCCTAAAGAGTCAGCTTTGACCCTCAGTGGGACTCTAGCTGAGGCCTTGGTAACTTACGTAGGTGGCAGCGGGGTAGTCCCATCCGTCACTGCGACCGGTCAGCGTGTGCCTATCTTTCAGGTTTGGGTGGTCGTGGTTGCGCAGTGCACGCGCCCCCGATGCGCAGTCATCACCCCGGAATCGCAAGGTTGTGCACTGAACGCGTCCACCACGCTCCATGCATTGCTGAATGGCACTACCAAACGACAAGCGTGTGGTCGCCGTTGTGCATGGGATCGTCTCGGCATCCATTGTTGCCGCGGCACTTGCAACTCAAGATGCCGATGTCGATGTCGCCAGTTGCCGCGGCGCGGTGGACGCCCCCCATGGCATAAGAGGTAACCGTGGACGGCCGGAATGTCCCACTCACATGAATCCGTCGCCCGACCAAGAGTCCTTGAGCGGATAGGACGTAGCGGCCACGAGCGGTGCGGCGAGTGCTCCCAATGCGAGTGCAGTGGCGATCATGGTGTGGTGGGGGTGGGTGGTGGGTTGTGTGGAAGGAAGAAAAAGGCGTCGAGCAATTGCTCCGATGTGTGATATACCCAGAAGGGCCAAGCACTTTACATATGCGCGACAACTGATATGCCACTGCGCAGAAAGGTTGAATGCTGCGCGGATGATGCGCATACATGTATGGCTGTGCATCGCATGGCATCATAGTCCATGGGCCATGGCCTGACAACCAGAACGCGCAGGGGGACTCGGCCTCTTGCGCTGCCCCCCACGTGCACGGAAAAGCAGGGCTTCTGACGCGTCGCTCCAAAAAGTTGACCGCAGTCGGAAGCGCTGTACCGCCATAAAAAATGCGTCCTGTGCGCCGTCTCTGCCATGTCCGTCCTTTTGCACTGGGCAGATCTGAGCTCTGAGCATGCATGCCTGCATGTATGTGCGTTTGTTAGATTAAAGCAAAAGCATACATTCACAGATCTTTTCATTCCCAGCACATCGTCCCTTACGACGATGGGAGGCAAGAAAACAAAACAAAACAAAAAAACTTAGGCACCGCCTCCACCCCTCAACCCCTCAAGACTAAATAGAAAGCAGAACTCCTGTACACCTGAGACCTGGACTTCCAGCACCAATGCGCAGTCATGCGGCACTCATATCGCAGCTGTCACTACTGCGGCCACTGCGCGCTGCGCACAGACGACCCGTACAGCACCCCATGGTCCATGTTTCATGAATCATGCTCTGCATGCGCAGCTCACAGACGCTCATCGCCGCATGCTGCGCTCCACCGGGATCCGCAATGCCGAGGATCCTACGCACCGCCGTCCACTGCGGAACCGACTGCACCCCACCCGGCGGCATGCATGCCCGGCGGTGGTGTCACGCGTGTCGGCGTGGTGTGCGCCGGCGACTGGAAGGGCACGGCCGTGGGAGAGAGCGGTGGGAACTCTTTGCCGCCACCGTTGTTGTGGCCGTGTTGCGAGTGGTTCTGTGGAGATGTCGGGGACCGTCCTCCGCCAGTCCCGATCGGGCCCGGGCCAGCGCCGACGACCAGGGCGTTGCTGGTAGGGGCCAACACTGCCCTTGTGACAATTGACGCGAGACTTGGGCCGCCGGCAGAGTTGGAAGCGGTCGAAGCGCGTGACGTAGGTGGAGAGTGGGTGGGGAGAGGCGGGAACGCAGGTGAAAGTGGCGAGGGCTTGACGCTGCCTGATCCTCCCGTGGGCGAGACAAGCGACGAGTTTGAGCTCGACCCAGAGGATGAGGCGGCCTGGGCTTGCTGCTCAGCGAGGACGCTCGGCGGAGGGTGGAAGTTGGGGGTCGGGCGTGGGCGGACGCTGTTGGGCAGATAGATCCGGTGCTGGAGCTGGGGAGGCATGAATGCAGTGTGGAGTGCCGGGTCAAACGTGCCACTGGCGTTGGATGCGGGGCCACCTCCAGCCGTGTTGGAGAATCCAGACGGCAGGAAGGGAGCAGCAGCTGGATTGGTGCCGCTGCCGCCACCACTTCCGCGAGTGTTGGTTGCATTGGGCTTGGACATGGTCGTATTCCACACCGGTGACGTTGGTGCGTTGGGTGGGAAGAACGTTTGGTTCAGGGTGGGACTGGGTTGGGCCGGGGGAGCCTGTTGACGGCCACCAGACGGGTAGCGATGGGTGAAGCCGCCGCGAGGACGGAAGCCGGTTCCGGTGCTGCCAAACCCGCCAGCAGTGCCAATGTTGTTCATGCTGGGGCGAGCAGACAGGCTGCCACCACGTTCGGCAAAGGCCCCACCGCCAGCACCAAACTCGCCAGGGACGGCAGCACCGCCAGGGCCACCGACACCACTAGCCTGGGCTTGGGCCTGGGCCTGTTCCCAGCGCAAACCAGGGTAGTAACCTGCGCGACGCATCGTCTTCTCCTCATCGGCCTTGCGCTCAATCTCTTCGCGCTGGTGTTCCAGGTCCTCGAGACGTTTCAACAGCTCGGTGCGCTCGGCCTCCTTCTTGTCCTTGCGTGCACGCGCCTTGTCAATCTTGCTGTTAACCTCGGCCAACTTGCGGTCCTCGTCGGCGCGGTTCTTCCTGTCGGCCTCGCGCGCGTCTTCTTCGGTTTCCTTGACAGCCATCCAGTCGGCGTGCACAGCCTCCAGATCGGTGTTGACGGCAGCAAGACGGGCCTCAAGAGCAGGCATCGCAGCCTTGACCTCTCCAGTCTCAGTGTTGGCAGTCTCGGAACCGGCCCAGCCCTGCTTGACCTGTTCTTGGAGGGCCAGGTATTTCTGCTTGTTGCGTTGGTCGCTGCTGCCGGCCTTCTCATTGCTCTTCTTCATCGACTCAATTTCGGTGCGCAACGACGCCTCAGAGCGCTGGGCCGTCTTGCGGGCCTCCTTGATCTGGAGCTGGAGGTGTTCGCGCTCGGCATGTGCTGCCGCAATGAGGTGGCGTGTCTGCGCAGTCTGCGCGTCGATTGGGCTAAGAATCGAAGTCGGCACAACGCGCTCGTCAGGGAGCGGAGTTGAGGAACGGCCAGGAGACGAGGGGATCTCAGTGCCCAGTGGAGAGGGAACGGGGTGGACGGGTGCGGTGTTGATCGAGTTGGATCGGGACCTGGGACGCGACCTCGAACGTAGCGAGTTGGCACGCGAGCGGGGGTGCAGCGATGAGCCGGTGGTAGGCAGCGGGGAGATAAGGATAGTGTTGGAAACGGGGACTGTATTGTCAGTTACCGAACCATATTGGAGGATCGTGCGCGCAACTCACTGCTCTCCTTGATCTCGCCGGCGAGGCCGACAATCTGCAGCTCAATCTCGTGCTCCTTGCTGGGGTCGAGATCATATACGACGACAACGGCACGTTCGCGATCCCATCGGGGTCCACGATCCGGCTTCTCCGTGGGCTTAGTTCGAGGAGATCCAGCGGGCCTAGTCTGGTCTGCACCCAAAGGCCGTTGGCGTCTGCGGCGACGGGGGAGCTGGCCGTGCTCGGTGCAGCTCGAGTTGGCGAGTCCTTCCTCGGTGCCATCGCCATGGTGATCCCACTCATCCTCCCAGTCGCCTTCATCATCGCTTGTTCCTGGAACCCCTCCGTCCTCGTCCTCGTCGTCGCTCACGTGTGCGACGATACGCGACCATGGCATGCCGTCCAGAGTGACAACGACACCGTGACTCAGCATGTCTTTGAACGTTTGTCCATCGGAGAGCATTGACGAGTAGGGATACGCTCCGGGGATGGCATTGCCATCATCATCACCATCGTCTGCTGCGTCGTCGCTGTCGCCCGCGTGGTGGGTGTGCGCGTTGGAATGGCGCTTCTTTTTCTTCTTCTTGCTGTTCGAGTGTGTCACGCCATTACTTGAGCTGGACGCACCCCCAGACGAGGCACCGCCTGCTGCGTGTCCATGGCTGCCGTGCAAATGAGGGTGGGCGTGAGCGTGATGCGAGTGCGCGAGATGCTGTGTGAGGTGGTGCAGGCTTGTCGCGGACGACGGTCCTGGAGCCGAAGGCGGGGATCGTGTGAGGGCGAGGGTGACGGACGTGGGGGCGAGTTCAAGGATGGAGATGGAGAGTGGGCGTGTCAAGGGGCTGACGCTGTGCCACTGTGTTGTGGAGCTCGACGAGCCCGTTGGCGGGGACATTGCCGTGCCGTTTCAATTGTTGTTTATAGGAGACGAGTAACAGTAGAGACGAGAGAGAGGTAGAACACTCGTATCCTTTGTGTGCTTTGTGTGTCTCGTCTGTCCGCCCGTTCCGCGCGATCGAAGATCAGCACACAACCCCCCCAGCGGAAGCAAAAATGACGGACAATCTCCAATCTCCATTTTCTTTGGCTCTGGTGGAGGGCTTCTCCATCAAAATAGTCTCTCTCATCAGGCGCACCATATCCTCCATCTACAGCACACCCACAGCCATGGCGTCGAGCAGCACAGCGACACCAGTCCTCCCGGGCACAAAGCACAAGGTCATCGGACTTGTCTCCGGTGGCAAGGACAGCTGCTTCAACCTCATGCACACAGTCGCCAACGGTCACGAGATTGTCGCTCTCGCAACTCTCACACCCCCAGCCAATATCGGTGAGCAAGGCTCGACGACGAGGCAACATTTTCGCTGACGGCCCCCTCAGATGAGCTCGACTCGCACATGTACCAGTCGGTAGGCACGTCTCTTCCGCCTCTAATTGCGGACGCCATGGGTCTCCCCCACTACTCGCACGTCATCACGGGTGGTGCAGTCGAAAAGGGCGCCGAGTACGGATCGCGCGAGCGTGGCGGCGACGGCTCGGGCATGGAAGGTGACGAGACTGAGGATCTCACTGTTCTCCTCAAGAAGATCATGGTAGGTTTGTGGACATCATCCGGTGGTCTAACGTGTCAGGCACTTCACCCCGAGGCGACTGCCATCTCGTCCGGCGCCATCTTGTCCAACTACCAACGCCTGCGCATTGAGCACGTCTGCCAGAGGCTCGGGCTTACTTCGCTCGCGTACCTTTGGCAGAGCGAACAACTTCCACTTGTCACTCGTATGGTCAGCAGTGGTTTGAATGCCATCCTCGTCAAAGTCGCGGGAGTCGGCCTCGGTGTCAAATGTGTCGGCAAATCGCTCGGCCAGCTCCTCCCTCTGCTGACTCGCTTGGTGAGGTTAGGCATGTACGACATGGACGCTAACCTGCAGCAAGCCCAGTATGGAGCCCACCCTGCTGGCGAAGGTGGAGAGTACGAGACTCTGACCCTCGACTGCCCCCTCTTCTCCAAGCGCATCAACATCACCAAGTCAGAAGTTGTTATCACCGACCCGGAGCCGTACCCTGTCGCCTACCTTCGCATCGAGGACGCCGAGCTCGAGCCCAAGGACGGTTGGACCAAACCTACCGTTACTGAGCTGCGTGAGCTCTTGGGTCTTGACGAGGAGGAGGGCTTGGAGGGCCTCGATGAGGTCAGCCGAGAGCTGTACGAGCAGAACGACGACGCAAAGGTTGTTATCGGTGAAGAGATTGTCGAGAAGGGCCAGGCCGAATCAAGCCCGGGTGGAGAGCGCTTTGGGCGCAATGGACGCTGGTTCACCATATCGGCTGAGGGTGATAGCCGTAACGGCCAATCGGTTGGCGAGGAACTCTCAGCGTGCTTCGACGCTATTAAAGGTGAGTAGTTACTCCTGCGCATTGTCTGACAGCTATACAGAGCGCTTAAACACCGAGGGCCTGTCTCTCCCACTCCACGCCACCCATATCACCCTCCTCCTCTCCCAAATGGCGCTCTTCCCCGCGGCCAACGCAGCCTATGTCAAGTACTTTGGCACGTCCCCTCCTTCTCGCGCCTGTGTCGGAGTCCCTCTCCCAGCAGGGCAAAACATCCGAATCGAAGTAGTCGGCTTTGATGATGCCGCGGACGATGGAACCTCACTCGTTGGTGGCCGCTCCGCTCTCCATGTCCAGGGAATGAGCTACTGGGCACCGGCAAACATTGGCCCATACTCCCAGGCCGTGATGGTGGGTCAGAAAACGGCATGCTGTGCTAACCTTCAGGTCAATAGCCGCCTGCACATTGCGGGCCAGATCCCCCTCCAGCCCGCATCGCTCACATTTGCTCCATACCCTCCGCCTCCCGCGAGTCCCTACCCCCACCAGGCGGCCCTCGCTCTCCAACACGTTCGCAAGATTGTCGAGGTGTTGCGTAACCCCAACTCAACCGGTGGCGGATGGAACGGCTGGGCCGAGAGCTGCGTGGCATGGTGGGCACGGAACGAGGGGTGTGGCAGGGAGGGACCAGCAGTCTCTCAGCGAGCTTGGGCGGCGTGGTCTTCCGAGGTGGGTGGGCGATAAACGATCATATTGAGCTGACCCGTCAGAACGGATGGGCAGGTACCCCAGTCATCTTTGCGCGTTCCACCGAGCTCCCACGCGGAGCGCTGGTCGAGTACCAGGTCAACGTCCACTCTGGACGACAGGGATACGAAGGCGCCGCACAGCCCGTTGACGGTGACGACGATGACGACGAGGAAGACGAGAACGAGCTCACGGGCGTCTATGCCAAGGGCGACGTGCGAGGAGCGTACTGGGAGACCTGCCAGGCTCCTAGGAAGCGCCAGGGTGCCCGCGCAGCCATCTTTCTCCCGGGTGGGTACACGTGGCAAATCCACAGACTTATTACTGACCCGCTCAGACACGGCCGGTCTGCCCGAGCTCACCGCCGTCCCTCAGGTCGCCGCCGTCCTGTCGCGCGCAACGACCATCCGCGCATACCACCTCGCCAGCGTGCAACCTTCTCTTGGTAGGTTCGTTAAAGCGGCCAGTCACTCACCTACCCAGAACCGATTATCAAGCAGGCCGAGGCCCGTGGGGTGTGCTGGACCGGTGTACCCGTCCTTGAGCTGCAGGATGTCCAGGGCAGGTCCTACCCGCTGGCTCTGGAGGTGTTTTCGGCTTGAGGCTGGGGCAATACATACTAGACTGTACATACTTAGACTTTTGCATGTTATGTGCTTCGCTTGGCTCCGGAGAGATCAGAAAGCAGGCGTGAGGGAGCGCCAGCCCAAAACTTTGGGACAACTTTCTTTGGGACCTCCCACGCGTTGATAAGGTACAGACAGTGCTTGCATATCCGGCCCCCCATATTTCGTCACTACTCCCTCTCCAGATCTCCAGTTCTGCTCTTGCCCGATAATGCCTGCCAGTGAGGGTTATGCCTCGGAACACTGTGACGCCATTTGTTGGGTATTTCCCCAATTTTCCACTTCCAACCGAGCCTGAAGGATACAAGCACCCACTCAACGATACTTTACCAAACATATAAACCACCAAAACACCAGAATACTACGTCGGTGTTGGGTGGCCTGGCGTGGTGCGGGGTCACGGCGTCGCTGGGATCGCTGGGATCGCTGGGATCGCTGAGTGCGCGGTGCCATACAGTACCACACACTCTTGGCACAGGGCGTCCACCTGGCTCTTTCTCACGTTCCACACAGCGCACACAATTCTTGCAACAACGCCATTCCTCTCAACCATCCCATTCATTGTCGCTTGTGATCGAGTACCGCCCCGCCTTTCCCACGTTCACCAATATCGAGGATGTGATGGAGCGCTCCGAGAAGATCCCTTTGGAGGACCGCCTCGCCTACATCAAGAAGGAGGGACCCGTCGGTACGTCAGGGTTGTGGAACAGAGTCTCGCTGACCCACAAGCCCTCCAGGCTGAGAAAGAGTGGTACAAGAACCGCGCTACTGAACTCAAGACCAACGAAAAGACTATTGACACGGCTCTCGCCTTTCTCCGTATTCCCAAGTACGCCTCGTCTGTCCCGACACTGCAGATTCTTGACCAGTGGGCTGGCGACCTCACCAAGAAAAAGGATGCGATCACCCGTCTCAAGGCACTCCTTAACACCGCCCGTGCCGTCGGCATAAAGAAGGTCCAGGAGGACATTGCAGAGAGCCAGAAGCTAATTGCCGAGCTCCCCAAAGCCGCTGAGGAGCTTGACCGCGACGGACTCAATATGTCCGACAACATGCCCGCCGTCATGCTGCAGCACATGATGCCACTCATTATGAACGCTGCAATCTCGAATACCAAGGAGAGGGAGCGCCAGCTGCCCATCCAGAAGGAAATGCTGCCCCTTTGTACTCGCCGCATCAACTTCATGATGGACCTGGCCACGAATCGCGAAGAGATTATCGACCGCAGCATTGTCAAAGTTGAGAAGCTCCGCGCCTACCGCCTTGGAACGCAGTAAACCGACGCTTCCTAAACACCAAACGCCCGCATTGCACTGGACGTATGTACCTGGAACCGATCAGGATAAAAAGGATACGGCTTCAGATGGCGCTTTTCGGGAACAGTCTGTAAAACTCGGCGACATTATTTCCCGCTGCATCCCTCAACCACCTCCACTACCTTTAACCCTCTCGAGGCAAAAAAAGAGATGCTGTCCTTGAACTGAACAGCTACTGATTGGAGCCAGAGTGGATTGAACACCCGACCTAGCGATGTCCAAGCGTGAACCATATTTTGATCCACGCCAGGTCTGATGACTGAACTTCAGTCGCTCGCTCTCCCAGCTGAGCTATGTCTCCGATCATGGCAACCACATTCCCCGACAGCTGTTGACCGGTTTCCACTTGCCCCCAGCACTTTGAAAGGTGCAAAAGGACCAGCTTGCTCAAGAGCAGCTGCTCGTGTGCCTCCACAGAGACTCGAACTCTGGTTGCAGGATGTACTCGTGATTCGAGCTCACACTTGTCGTATGAGACCTACGTCCTAACCATCTAGACGATAGAAGCCACACGTCTGCCATTTGTGGCGCCTGCTTATATTTCCCGAGGAAAGCGCTGCGACGTCGACGCCAGGAAGCTGCACGCCGTGTTCACGACATCCGCAGGCAACAGTAAGTGCAACACCATTCTAAACGGACCATGTGATTCCCAAGGAAGCTCGGCAGGCGATGGCAACAGAGCAGCAAGTCGCCGAGGAGTCTATTTTCGGGGAATTTTCATCATTTTCTCTCCTATTTCTTTCATCTTTGTACATGTACGCTCTGATACCCATCTGCACCTGCTGGACACAGATAGTGGTAAATAGCCAGTTTTAACCATGAAATAATTTGCTTTGGACAGCTGCACCACACGCTCATGCACACGGGAGAAGCAAATGGCCACCCCACGGGTTCGGCGATATGTGTGTCAGAGGGGCGCAGGCAGCGCAGGGGCCATGGCCATGCCTTGTTGTGCATCCGTCGTCCGCTTCTTTTCTTCAAACTTCTCTATTCCCCTCAAACAAGACTTATCCGCCAACATGGAGTACCCTCCCCCACTCCTTGAAATGGGATACCCACCACCATACGCGGCGTTTGGGTCCCTGCCCGAGGTGATCACGTACGCCTACAGCATCCCCTTCCATGACCATTTTGCCTACTTCAGCACCGAGGGACCACCTGGTAGGTGGCCCATTCCACTTCGAGACATCCCGAACTCACCTGTCGCAGCCATCGGGGCCGAACGAGAGATGTACCGATGGGTCTCCACGCAACTCCAGTCCCTCGAAATGACGGTTGACTTTCACGTCCGAAGCCTCAGCAACTTTCCCTCCCCCGCCGACATGGAGTTTCCAGATCTATCGACCATATACCACTGGTCAAAGGATCTTACTGAGCTCAATAAAGGAGTCCAGGCAGTCAAGAACGCCATGCTCAAAGACCGGCGCCGTCTGAAAACGTTCCAAGCCAGCATTATCGATCTCGAAAAGGAAGTCGTCCAAATGGAGTCTGCCGCTGCCACGGGGCGCGAGGACGTCGTTTCGGGTGTCTCTAACGGGACGGAGGGGCCTGAGGATCTCATTGGAGCTGCGCGGACGCGCCCCGCGTCCGCCGAGGCGACCGCGAGCGACCTCCCCCACAAGAAACTGGAACTGGCCACGTGGAGGCTGGTCCACAAGCTGTGTACCAACCGCACTAATTGTATCAACGACCTGGCGTATTGCCGTCAAGAGATTATCCAGCGGACCCTTCCCAAGATCGAAAAACTTGTGCTTTACCGCCGCAACCTCAACCTCCAGAACGACCTCCAGAACGGTCTGCCGGGCGACAAGAAAGACAAAACGAAGGCCAAGGCGTGAATTTTCTGTTAGAACAGTGGAACTGAACCCCTTCGGCATGTAAACGTCAGGCTCCCGACGGGTTATCGCAACGCCTGATACTTCTTGTTCTAAAGGGCCATACGGCAACTGCTTTATTTGTGTACAGTTTTCCTTCCTTTTCTTCACCCGTAGTCTTGTTTGTTGGCATGCACACGCAAATGTCTGTTCAGTGGCCAGTGGAGACTGAGAACGGCAGCACAGCCATGAAAACACTGTCCGATACGGGGCCAGACAACGTCCGCCGGCGCGCCACCCACGGTGTATGTACGGCTGGCTGTGCGCGGTTCGCGGTTCGAGGGCGCAGCACGTGGCCAGCGTCGCGTGTATAGGGTGCTTCCCACAATTAACACCTGTTTTCCCACTTGACTCTCTCTCTCTCTCCACCTCGCCATCCACCGACAATGCAGGTCACTGATGCCCCATCTTACACGACGCTCGGGGAGGTGTTCAAGGGCGCCAAAAGTGTCGCCCTCGAAGGCCAACTCGAATACATCACCAAGGAGGGAGCCATCTGTATGTTCACATCACCTTTCACACGTATTCCCTCTGACATCCTTAGCTCTCAAACAGGAGAAAGCAATGTATAAGCAAGAAGCATCACAGATCATCACCAATGAGGCCACCATCGACGGAGCAGTCAAGGAAATCGACGACCCTTCCCCGGAGGCCAGGTGGTGCTTCCCGCCAATGGCCGACCTGAATATCTGGGCTGAGAACCTCGCCGACAGGAAGAGCGATATTCAGACACTCAAGGCGTCCATCGTTGAAGAGCGCATGGTCCTCAAGAGCCTTCAAGCCGATATCGTGGCCAAGGAGAAAGAGGTGGCGGAGTTCGAAAAGCACATCGACTCGCCCGCGACCTTCCCAGACGATACCCCAGGTCCCATCCTGGTGGTCATAAAGGTCATGACGGAAGCCATGAATCCGGCAATCAGACGCAAGTTTGAGGAAAGGAAGACAGAGGTCGCAATCATGAAGGAGTTTGCCAGGCTCCTCACCAACCGGCACAACTTCGTCATCGACCTCGCAAACAACCGCGAAAAGATCATCGATCGCAGCATCGCCAAGGTCGAGACCCTTAAGGCTCACTGTCGTACCCTAGGCCGCCACGACACATAGTAGCCATCAGGTCTCAATCGTGTACACAGGCCATTTCTTCTGATTTCTCGCATCCGGTAGACACCAGTTCCCTTCCTCCTAGTCCACAGGGTTGGAATAATGCATGTATGTGCTCCCAGTTTTGATGGCCAGTGAACACGGTGCACCACTACTGATACTTTCCGCCCACTGACACCGGTCACACAGGCAAGCGTCAGTCCCGTTCTTCCACCAACCGCATCGACTGAACGCTTTCAAAAGTCAAAAAGAAACTTCCTGACGGAGAATCGAACTCCGATCTCCCGCGATCAGTGCAGAATTGCAGTGACAAGCGAGCATACTAACCGTTATACGATCAAGAATTTTATATTTGTCTTTTCCAATTGTGGCCCCTTTCGGAGACCATCTTTTCAGCGCGATTTGTGGATTCTGTAGAGGCAGAGCGGCATGTGGTGCATGGTATAGTCCACGAAGAGTGGGTTTGGATGCATTTGGAGGTGTAGGCACCATTGTAGCGGCCTCAGAACGGTGGGTGATTGCAAGGGCATTTCTGGTGCCGCGTTCCTCCACCATCGTCGCGCCACAACAAACAAGACTTGCCGTCGTGGTGTTCCATTCTCCTCCCTTTCACACACTTGTCCTTCGCTCAACATGTTCTCTCTTCAGCTACAGGTTCTCATGTCGGTAAGAGAATTTGAGCAGATATCCTTCCGCGCCCAGGAGGCTGCGATGGAGGACCGCCCCACAATCATCAACGTGGACGGCACGGCTGGTGGGTGGCAATTTACCAAACGTGATGCTGACGGACAGCCCTGCAAGCGCAAAAGGCCCTCTTTTACCAGCACAAGGAATACCTAGAAGCCGATGAGCAAACTTTGGACGCCCTTATCTTGTCCATTCACACTGGGGCTCAGCATGACCCACAGTTTGACCAGTGGACGACGAAACTCTCGGTCGGGAAGATCAGTAACGAGACTCTGACCGCCCACGTGAGATCGATGGAGGCCAGCATCGCCCATCTCGTGTCCAGTGTCACCGACATGCAGAATCTTCTCCTCCGCCTGTACCACGAACGCGATGAGCTCGTCAAATACGTCACTGGCAACGATGCTTCTAGCCTTCAACAGATTCTTCACGACAGTCATCAAAATATCACTCAGCTGAGAAACGAGATCACGCTTCACATTGCCTATCAGGAGGAACTTCTCGTGCTGCGGACAGGCCACGTCACTGCACTCATCGAATACCTTGCCGACAGCGACGCCATCGCCACTAGGATGACGACCAAGGTGGAGCACCTTCGCACCTTGTCCTCCGCCTGTACTACCCGCAAGTGAACTTATTCCCCTTTGGACCACTTCAGTTCTTGCTCAGGCGTACACATTTTCTCGTTATTACGAACTATGTTTCGGTCTCTAGCCAGTGTCTATGTATAACCCTTGAGCGTCCGTCACATGCGGTGGCGCCTGCACGGCATATACTGGGTACTTGTGAGTGCAATCTGATGTCAACTGGGCAATGTACTGGTATGTACTTACACCGTGTACCGTGTGCCGTGTCATCGACCGCGATCCTTGCTTCCATACTTAATCCGCAAGTTCTCTCTATGTATGTTGTGTCCGAAGGGCAGCTTTCCCTCAATGCTACCTATAACTACCTGTGCATGTAGTAATGTGCATTTGGCAGCCCAACTGCCGACGGCCAGCAGTTCGCGGTACCGCGGTGGTTGCAATTGTTGTGTTACCCGGGGCGCAAGGGGGGCATGACTTCCGTGCCGTTGTAGCCGGCTCCTGGCGACGACTTCTCTACTTCACACTTCTCCATCTCCTACTACCATACCACCACCGTGCAACCACATGGACTGCCCAGCCGTTGACATCCACCAGGCGCTTTTGGAGGTGACCCAGCGCGCCGAAAACGCCCCCTTGGAGGACCGCCTCGGCATCCTGCACCAAGACGGTGCCGTCGGTACGTGGGCCAGCTCGAGCATAAAAACCAGCTAAACAACCAGCTCTGAACGCCGCAAAGGCCATGTACTGCCAGCAGGCCTCAATCCTCGAAGACAACGAACGTTCCCTCGACACCGCTCTTGTGTGCACCACCGTTCCCGACCTCATGTTCCAAGTCCCCACCCTTGCGTGTCTGGAGGAGCGTTCCCAGGACCTCCAGAACCAGCGGCAACAAAACAACCACAACAAGAACCTTGCAACCGAGTACCTCTCCAACATCAAGCCTTTCGAACTGGTCATTGCTGCAGAGGAGAAGGCGCTTGTGCAGCTAATCAAGTCCCGCGATGCCGTCCTCCAGCCCCCAACCGACGTCGCATCCCACAATTCGGCCACTCCTGTCGCGCGTCGCACCCGCCGCTCTCTTCTTCAACTGCAAACCGGCCTGGATGAAGCCAATGCCAAAGTCGACGACAAGACCATGTATGTCGCCTACATCCAAGAGAGGTACCTCTTCGACACCCGCTATGGTGTCGTGGTTGCAGAGTGCGCGACCGATCGTAACAGCATCATCGATCGGATGATGATCAAGATTGAGAAGCTTCGCTCCTGGCACCTCGCCACCCCATAAAGACAACAGGTGAAGGCAGCAAACACGACACTTTCTCTGTAGCATAACCCATATGACCACTGTTGATACCCGCAAGGAGGCTTCTATTGTTAATGAACCCATCTACCTGAGAAGCATGGCCATCACCAGTGGGAGCCGCGCGATGCTGTTTGGGGGCTGCTGTGGGTACAGCTTGGGAGGTGAAATTGCTCCCGCTGGTGGCGATCGCCGTCTCAAAGGGTTACGCGACTCGCCTAATCACCTGCGTTCCTTCTCTCCACTCTTCCCTTGTCCACCAACTCATACATCACCACGAATACATCCCATAATGGACACTTCCGGTCCTCCCGGCCCCCCCGGCCCTCCTTACTCCCGCCCCGAGCAGACCTCCGACGAGGGCATTGCTGGCGACCGCCCTCAAGGCTGGCGTCTCCTCAAGGCTCAATATGAGGCGGGCGAGGACCTCGACTACCTCCCCCGTGGGTTCTCAATCTTTCAACGAGATGTGCTGACACTTCCAGACATGAAGCACGCCGTCGAGAAAATGAAGCTCCTCGAGAACCAAGCCGAATCCCTTCTCAAGAAGGTGACTGCAATCAAAATCCCCGTCCCTCGCCCGGCCAATTTCGATGTTGCAGGCGCCTACGCCCAGCTGGCTGCCATCGAGCAACAGATCCTGCAGTACAAGGACATGGAGGTAAAGCAGTCGGAAGTTCTCAACATGACCGATAACGACACGCACGTGGCCCGCTTGCAAGACCTTCTTCAGGCCCACAAGAACATGCGCGACCAGCTCCTCAATGTGGCCGCCGACGGCCGCAAGGTCCGCGTCCAGGTCACCAACACCACCAACGACCAGGAGATTTGCCCCGGCGACTACTATGACCTGCTCGCCAGCTGCTTGAACGACATCAAGGAAACCGAGATGGACATTGCCGTTCAGAAGGAGGCCGGCGACGTCGGCAAGCTCCTCAGCAAGATGGCCGTTGACGGTTCCGCTCAGCGCCGCCCCAACTACAAGCAGGTCGAGACCAAGGTCGCTGAACTCCGCAAGCTCCTCGCCTAGGTGCACGCCTTGATGGATAGAGCAGAGTACCAAATATAAGATGATAGCATTGCCATGATTTAATGGAGTATGTGCAGAACACGAGCATCCACTGACCTTCTGCCGGGTGGGTTGGGTACGGCTTGTTGGACTTGTACGACCATATTTGATCCCGGCTGTGGCAATCTGTTTCTGCATTCCCGTCCCATGGGTGACTCAACCATGATCAACCACCTTCCCTCCCTTCCTTTCACTCTTTGATCCACCTTAACAGCTCAATACCTGAAAACCACCAACATGTCCACCCCTTCTGCTGGAAACCGCCTGGGCACCCAGGTCGGCGGTGCTCCCAGTGCAACGCCCTCCACACCCCTTCCCAGCACCATCCAGGACGAAGACACTGGCGACGAGTTCATCGATGTCGCCGATGAAGACCTCCATAACCGTGAGTTCTGTCGATAGGAAAAGCTGCTGACTACGATAGTGCTCCTTGCCCTCCAGGAGGTTTCGTCCAAGAAGACGGAGGAGACTGAAGCCCTTCTCCAGCGCGTTCGCGACATCGACTTGTCCATCCCTCTTCCCGTTGGATTCTCCGTTACCAAGACGATGGCTCAAATCACGGCGATTCGTAAGGACATTGCGGAGCTCGAGAAGAAGGCTGCAAACGAACTGGAGTGCTACAAGGACAACATCCACACGACCACCAACGACAATGGAGGCCTCCCATTCCTCCAGAAGGCCCTCAAGATGTACGAGGCGAGACGTGACTCGCTTCTCGAAGGAGGACCACACGATGCCGAATACTACGAGGCTGTGACCAGCTCCCTCAAGTCCATCAAGCAGGTCGAGACCCTCATCTCCGCCAAGTCCTACTCCATTGCCATGACGGTCCTGATCCACAAGATGGTAAGCGATGGCGTTGCCGAGCGCCGCAAGCTCTACGAGACCATCAAGACTGAGGCCGAGGTGCGCCACCGCCGTCTTCTCCCCCTCCTTTAGGCCTGAATGAGCCGGAAAGCCCAGCAAGGAAGGGCGGTCGGTCGAAGGGGAATGGACACTGGAGGCATTCATACGTCGGCCTCTGCCGTGGTAGTCATGAGACATGTACAACATGAGTAATGGTATCACTGTGTGTGTGGTGTCGGACACTGGCGCTGACTGATGTCACAGGCCGCGGACTAAGCGGACTGACACACATTTTGGGTGATGTCACGCCGTCGGCTTGTTCCCAGCAAACACCTGGCCACCTGCCGCAATTCTCAACCCCAACCTACAGTACATACAGTACTGCACCTAACATGTCCTCTGTGAACGTTACCCCCACGAGCTAACCCAAGCGCAACCGACTTCACTGCCGTTGACAATGCGGGCTACCTGGGGCACCGCGACCGGAGTGGAAGTAGGTACAGCCATGTGAACCGATGGGCATTGCTGACTGACCTAGTGCTGGGACTCATGGAGAACATGGTCGAACGCAAGGTATTCGAGATCGAAGCGCTTCATGCCAATGTATCCCATCTGGAAATCCCACAGCCGCTGCCCACCAACTTCCCCCTTGCCGAAACCATGGCAGAGCTGGACACCACTGAACAGAGGCTCCGGTGGTTCATCGAGTCCGACGCAGAAATCACCGAAACAATCACCACCCAGCTTGCCGCCGTACTCGAGCGTGGCCGCCCACTCACCGAGGAGATGCAGAACGAGCTAGAGCGGACGAAGGCACTGCGCGACCTCGTACAGCGCAGTGAGGCTATCGAACTCGTTGTTCCGGCCGATGACCCATCCCAACCCAAGGTTACAGTCGGCCGCATGAGCGCGGATGGGCTGCTCAGCACCTTCGCTTGGGACATTGCTCGACTGGAGGCGGGAATTGCGACCAAGGAGCGTGCGATGGAGCAGAGCGTTTTCGGCTTTCGGGTGTCGCTGGAGGGATAGAACCGTATGAGGGAGCTGTTTGAGGATATTGCGAGCAAGGTCAAGGAGCACCGCGAGCGGCTTGGAGCCTGTTGAACGGAAAGACGAGATGGGCGGGCAGAATAGATCCTGGGGGCTCGTTTGTCCAGAGTTAATGCAAATGTGCACCCCGCAGCACGCGCCTGTTGCTGCTGGAGTGGATGCAGCTCACCACATCATCACCATCAGTGCCAGTCCCCGATCCCCGACTGCCTGAGGGTGATCTTATGTGCTGCGCCCTCTGATCCCAATCCGATGGCACACCCCTTGGGCCAAAAAACGTCCCGCACCTACACCCAGTGGCCAGTGGCCAGTTGACTCACCTTTTGGCCTCCTACCATCCTTCAGTTGCATCGTCCTCGCTCTCGTCTCCAAACAACCCATAACACGATGTCTGCTGGCAACAACACTTCCCAGGGCCAGACCGGCGACAGTGTCCCCCTCCTCCAGCACAAGGGTATCTGGGGCGAGGCTGACCGTCAAGCTTTTTGCGTCGCAATGAACACGCTCGACAATGATGACATGGTCGCCAGTGAGTGTTTGCTCGCCATCCAATGCCTTGTCCTCTGCCTCGTCCTGACTGTAACAGTGACCACACTCCACGAGACGATGCTCAAGCGCAAGCTTTCAAACCTCCACGCCATTCGCAACACGGTCTACGACTACCACATCACCTTTCCTCTCGTCCCCAACTTTCCTCTCGCGCACACTCTGGCCGAGTTTGTGGCCATTGAAGACGAAGTCAAGGCCTTCCGCGACCACATGGAATATGTCACCCGCGACGCACAGGACAGGCTTAAAGAATTCGCGGACCACCCCCCTTGCGACAACTGCTCTCTCCACAAGTTGGAAGCCAAGCTTAGTCACAGCAAGGCCCTCCGCGATGTCCTCCAGCAGTCTGACTCGGCCCGCGCTATCGACCCAACTCTTCTCTTCTCCAAGGTCTGCGACGTCCACAAGGCCGAGGTCCTCGAAGAGCTCAACAACGACATTGCCAACATTGAAGACTACATTGCGAACCGTTACACGACCGAGGAGGGTTACAAGATCACCGTCAAGTACCATGGCCTCATGAGCCCCGTTTGCACCGAGATCGAGACCAAGATTGCCGAACACCGCGCTCGTCTCGCCCCTTACAGCTAGGGTGAAGGGCCGAGTTTCACCAAGATTTGTGCATAACCGTCGCATCGTCTCTCGACCGCCACCAGTCGTCGGATCAGTTCAGTCCGCTCAGTCACCAAGCAAGGAGCAGGGCACCAAGTGTATACTGCCCTCGGGGAGAGTTCACCATGCACACATGTGGCCTAGTTGAAAAAAACGTGAGGTGCAGTGGTGTGGTACGGCTGCTTCGACACGCGGAGTTTGGCAGCTGGCTCGTGACGTCCCCCCTGTTCTCGTCCTTCCTCCTTGACGGGAGTGAGTCTCCAACCCATCGAATCCCACTGAACCCAGTGGTCAACGCCGCACTAGGATACACCTGCAGAACACCAGCTCTGGCCAATAATCATTCTCTCTGCTCCATTCCATGCTGCTCTGACTCGTTCTGACGCACTCACTTGGCAAAAGGCGATTGCGCACCGCTGGTTGGCGAGCGTACCTGCCCGTTGGAACTGTGTCCACAGCCGAGTCCTGCGTACAGGCCCCACGGTGCGCCGGCCACACGTCGTCTGTGTCTTTGCAGACTGTAGACCATCGTCTGCTTTCGTTCAGGTATGGCCTGATTCGTTACGACCAAGGGCAGGACATAGATGTGGCTGTTGCGGATGCTGATCGGCGCGTCGAGTCGAGTCCCGCAGCACACTCGGCAATTTCTGAAAGTTGTCCACAATGGCACCACCATCCGCGGACCAATGTGCTCCGCGCAGCACATGCGTGCTCTCCTCCCTCCTCCCAAGCTCTGAATGTTGATGCTCGTCGGATCGTCGGAGCATGCGGCGTGGATCTGGCCCTGGATACAGTGCTATGTACCGCCCCGCCTCACCTTCTCTTGAGGGGGCGGATATCACGGGCCGGCGGAAGCACATGTTGCCGACTCGGCACCTGTCTCTGGTGGCTTGCGGCACACCTTACTTTGCTGTTGCGTTTAACTCGAATGTGGAGGTGGAGGTTAGCTCCTTTTTCGACCCACTTGGCGGAATAAGGCTGTCAAAGTTGACAACTGTTGCGGCTGCTCACCCTTGACATTTATACCGACAGATCAAGCGCTTCTAACAATCTGACCCTCCATTGTATACCCATCACCCAGGACGCGAGGCATCTCGAGAACGATCTCGGCACCGCGACCCTCGTGCCATGACCCACCGCCCAGCATCTCCAACGCCGTTGGGAGGAGGCTCAAGCCCTGAACCAGAAGGTTTCCTCTCGCGCCAACTATCCAACGAAGCATATGCCGAGCTGGAAATTGCTGAACGGGCCGCACCACCAGGTGCTGCAGACATTGGCCCGCCGCCTGACGGCGGAGCGCGTGCGTGGTCGGTGATATGTTCCTCCTCGCTGGTCTTGTTCTGTGTATTCGGCTTTGGTAGGTGTCCGAAGGACGTCGCAGAAACCTAACCCACAGTCATGTCCATGGGCCAACTCGAGACGTATTACCGCGCAAACCAGCTGAAAGATTACTCCAAGGCGACTGTCGCGTGAGTTCAGCTTTCAGGATCCACTTCTAATCCAAGCTGACAGACAGGTGGATCGAAACCGTGCAAGGAACCATCGTGTACATTGGCTCAATCGCGGTTGGACGATACTTTGATGCCCACGGTCCACGCCAGCTCATCTGGACAGGTACCCTGCTCTTGACGTCTGCCCTCGTCGCCGTCGCATGTACGTACATCCACTTGGTGGGACGACCGGCTGACCCCACAGTCTGCCACGCGTACTACCAGTTCCTTCTCGCGCACATGCTCTTTGGTATCGGTGGCACGCTGTGCTACTCGCCCTCGACATCCATCTCTGCACACTGGTTCGCCAAGCGACGCGGAACGGCCGTAGCGGTCATCATCACGGGTGCCGGTGCTGGCGGTGTCATCTACCCCATCATGATGAAGGAGCTGTTGGACGTGTTGTGTGAGTACACTGGCAGCTTGATCTTCCGATTGATGTAGCTGGGGTAGACAGGTGTTAACGTCCAGCCTTCCGCAACACCATGCTCATTATCGCCTTTTTCACGTTCGCACTCATGGTCCCGCCATGCCTGTTCATGCAGTCGCGTCTGCCGCCGCACCAGCCACCGCCGCTGGCTACGCTTGCCCACCCATGGAAAGAGGTGCGATACACATGTCTCGTCCTCGGTGCCGCGCTGTTCCTGGTCAAGTAAGTGCATAGCTCTCCGTCTCCGCCGATCCACCGAGTCGGGTAGCAGCTAACCGCCAACCAGCTTGTTTACACCCTACTTCTTCGCCCCCTCGTACACACAGTCCAACGGTGTGTCGGCCAACCTGGTAGACTACTCCATCGCCATCATGCAAGCTGGCTCGTTTGCGGGCCGAGCCGCCGCTGGCCCCCTCGCCGACAAGTTTGGCGTCTGGACCGTCTTCGGCACCGTCACGTTCGCCAACGCCGTGGTCATTTTCGCATTCTGGACGGGCGCACCGGGAGCCGGTACGGCCATTGCGGGGCTGGTGCTGTTCGGTTTCGTCTCTGGCGCATGGCTCACCCTCCTCACTGCTGCCACGGCTGCAATCTCGCCAGTGAAGGAGATCGGTATGCGTATCGGCATGCTCTGGACTGTGGGCGCCATTCCGAACATGGTCGGACCGGTCATCTGCGGCGGTGAGTGTGCTGCAATAGGGAGTCGTTACGGTATCGACAGCACTGACATACCCAGTGCTCATCGGCGCTGCGGGCGACAAGTTCATGTACGCGGGTGTGTTTACAGGGTGCACTTTCCTGCTAGGCGGGGGCCTGATTATGGGGCCGCTTGCGTGGCAGTTTGTGACAAGGAACACAGCAAAGTGATCATTGGGAGCCGGAGGGCAAGCATTGGGACAGAGTAGGGCTTTGTTCAAGGTACATAGATTATAATTCTTGATGTTGCGTCTCCAGAACTGGTTGGAGTTGTGGTGGTCGCTCAAAGGCACCGTCGCTCTGGACGTTCCCGACCTCCGCCTCTGCTCGCACACATCCCCAGCCAAGTCCAAGCACTTGGTTGAAGCTGCGGAAGGCCGTCGAGGATGTACTTACTCCACGACATGGCCGCCGTCAGTGCCCACTTTATCCCTTGACTTGTCATGTCGCCTCTTTGAACACACTGTCGCAGTGTGGACGTGCGCAGTCCTCGGCTATATTGTGAGATCTTCCCTGGCAACGTGAGCAAGAATGCGTGTGATTCTGTTCCTCCAAAAGGCCATGTTCCGGTCACTTGCTTATGCACTTTGTTGTGCACACCCTCTGCCATGCAGCCAGCTCTCAGCTGCCACGAGCAAGACTGGACGGCCCACCATATGGTCTGTGCCACAAAAGGCGACGCCATCCACTGCCAGAGTGTCTCGGTGCCTGCCCAGCCTTAGCGTTTTGCCTCTCCTTGTACAATGACGTCTGCCCCGCCGCCGCCCGCCCGCCCAGCGCCGCCCGCCGGAACCCAACATTGACGCCTCCTTTCTCACCCCACGCTGCCTGCCTGTCTGCCCGCAACGCGTCGCGACGGCCAACGCATCTCCTTCCTGTTGTCTCTTTCTCTCTCTTTCTCTCTCCCTCTCTTTCCAACACATCCACTACATACACATCAAACCAGCTCCAAAAGCCATACACGTTTTCGGCATGGCAACGCTCTTAGCGCTTCCCGCCGGCCTCGTCCCCCGCGCTCATACCTCCCTCTCAGCACTTGCCTTTGTCACAGCGCTGTTTCTCGGTTGGGCCGCGGGCCTTTGGGAGCAGCTCTGCGAGAACGCCGTCTCGGCATGGCCAGTAGAGTGGTTCCCTAGCGTGTCAGCAACGTACGTACGCACGCGTTTCTCGGTCGAGCGAGCCACTGTCTATGGGAAGTCTGTCTTAGTGGTTTGTGACGGACACTCTCCGGCTACGTCGTCCCGACGCGCCGAGGGCGGCTTGGCCAACGCGTCTTGTTGCAAGCCACTGCGGCGCTGTCCACCATCCACACCTGGGACGGCTGGGAAAACTCTGCCTCTGGACACAGCTGACAGACACCCAGCATCGGCGACCACGCAGCGCCCCGCGCACCTTTCCACATCCTCATTGCCCTCACTGCCGGACCTCGCTTCGCGCTGCTGGGCTTGCAATGGATCGCACACCGCTATCCTCCGGTCGGCTCGCGGGGACACACAGGCAACAGTGCCGCGTCCTCGTCTGCGGTGCAGACCGGTGCCGACTCGACTCGTCGTAGGACGCGCAGTGCCAGTGCCAAGCTAGACAATGGTAACGGCAACGAGTCGACAGCCGACGAAGCCGACCTCGCCCCAGCTCCTCGCGGACTGGTGGACGTCGAGGTGTGCTGTGGCCTGGCAAGAACGTTCTGCTGGTGAGTGCTTGGTTGAAGGAGTAGAGCTGATAGACCAGCGGTGGATGGATGTTCATTACATCTCGTGACCAGCATGGTGAGTTGCAGCTGGCTGGCTCTCAGTGCGTCAGCTGACGACAGACCTGCACGACCTCTTCATGATCGTCTACCTGGTCCTCAACGTGCCATGGATGGTACTCTCGACTTTGCACTCTACCAACGACCGTGCCCGTCGCTGGCGTATCGCCACGGGCCTCGGCTTCCTTGCCTCAATCCCACCACTCATCTACCTCTTCATCGAGCACTCTGTCAAGCACGTGCCCGGCGCGTACACCCGCTATGCGTTCTTCGAGTGGTCGCTCGTGTTCTGGGACGTCGCGTTTGATGCCGGCTGCATGTTCGAGCTCGACCACCTCCAGCTCCTTATTGTGGACACGACCAGAGCCGAGAACGGCAAGACTGGGTGGGTGCGGACACGGGCGGGCGTGGGCAAGGCCTGAAAGCTCTGGCTGTCACACCGCCCTCCTATAGACCGGTTGTAGCCATATGTACTGATTGCGCCTACAGGTCACCCAGCACGGGTAGTCTCTTCCTCGCTCCTACAGCCAAACGTCCCCGAGCCCCCGCCGACTGGACTGCCCTCCCTTCGCCCGAGTCCCAGATCCCCCACCGCGCGCTGCTGGCGTGGTTCTCCGACGTCTGGTTTGCCACGGCATTCTGGACCATGTTCACCTCGGTCTCGGTGCAGCTGTTCTACTGGTCTGTCTGGTCGCTGGCACTCACGGGCTCCGAGCTCGCCATCTTTGTCAACATCCAGCCATTCATGTTCAGCCGCCGTGGATCCCGCGAGTTCAACACGTCGCGTGACGGCATTTTCACAAACCGCGCCATTCTCTACATCGTTGGCTTGGGCTGCTACAAGCTTCCCAACAATGCTGCTCGCTTCCTGTGCGCTGTCATTGCCGTCTGGTGCGGCTGGGCCGCTTTCCTCGGCGACTCGTTCCGTCTCCGTGGCTCTCTCGAAGCATATGCCAATGCCAAGATCTTCCTTACTGGCCTCCTCCTGAGCATGGTGCTCAAGTATGCCAACCACTCGAACAACCCCTTCTGGCCTATTCTTGACGAGTCGTCTGGTGGCTGGAACAAGACGGGCCTGTTGATCTCGGCACTCGCACTGGCCGAAACGTACTACCGACCCAACAAGTTCTTCGCCGCGCCACCCACCGATGTCAAGGACAAGCCCACTGCCGTGACCACAACCAGGACGCAGCGTCTGTGCTTTGCCTTCGGTATCGGCTCGCTCTTCAACCTCCTCCAGACCTTTGTCATGGACGGCGGTACCATCATCTCGTGGACCTGGACCGGCTTCCCTGTCACTGGCCCGACGTTGCACCCCTGGGGCGGTGTGGTGATTGCTGTCGCGTCGCTGGGACTGGCTATCGATCTCCCCGTACTGGAGCCCAAGTTCTGGTTCGCGTCGGCCCCCGCTGCTGTTGGGCTGGTCTACTACCCGGACTGGATTGGCTTTATCGGCGGCCTCTTCCTCGTCTTCCATATTGTGACCATCACCCCGACCCTCCTCCGTGCTGCCACCGCCATGCCTCCCAACACCTGGGGCCAGGCAATGTGCTGGAACGCCTTCCTGGACGTCGCCGCCGTCTTCACTGTCGCGTACGCGTTTGTCCCTTACGGTTGGATCCTGCGCGAGCGCACCGACATTATCATGCTCATCTTGCTGCTTCCCATCCCGGCAGCGCTCTGGGCTGCGTCCAAGCTGTCACTCCCTGGCAAGGCTGACCTCCAAGCGCGCTCGGTATCGCGCGTCGCCTTGTCCAGCAAGTGGACCAAGATCTCCGCCATCTTGCTTGCCGGTGCTGCCCTTGGTCTGGGTTACGAACGCAACCTTGCCTCGGCATCCCAGACCAACAAGCCAGTGCCCTACTACCCAGACCACAACATCCTGACTGGCGGTATTTTTACAGTCCACTTTGGCATCGACGAGCCAGGACGCGACTCGCAGCGCCGCATTGCTCAGCTCATCGACGAGATGCAGGTGGACGTGCTCGGCATGCTCGAGACGGACCTCCACCGCTTCGTTTACGGTAACCGCGACTTGACACGCTACATTGCCGAGGAGCTTGGCTACTATGTCGACCTTGGACCCGGTCCCAACCAGCACACATGGGGTGCCTGTCTTCTGTCCAAGTTCCCCATCCTCAACTCGACGCACCACCTCCTTCCCTCGCCCAGCGGCGAGCTCGCGCCCGCCATCCACGCCACTCTGGACGTGCACGGCCAAAAGGTCAACGTCATTGTCTCGCACAACGGGCAGGAGGAGGATCCTGTTGACCGAGAGCTGCAGACGACTGAGCTTGCACGTCTCCTGCACGAGACTGGAGACACGCCGACCATGTTCCTCGGCTACCTTATCACCCACCTAGGTGACGAGGCCCCCTCACCGTACGGCATCCTGTTCAACGACCACACTGGTCTGATCGACATTGAGACGCTCGATAGCTGGCGTTGGTGCGAGTACCTCGGTTTCCGCAACCTGTGGCGTATCGCCTACGCCCGTCTCGAACACAGCGATGTCACCGACACTGAGCTCCAGGTCGGCAAGTTTATCCTGCCCCTCCCCGGAACCAAGGCCGAGTACAACTCCAAGGACGAGCTGTACTGGCACATTGGCGAGGACGACGTTCCGGAACCATGGCGTCTCCCTTCAATGTTCCGCGGCGATGGCGTGCGAGGACACAGCTACCGTATCTGGAACGGACCGCTGTACTACAACCCGCCGTATCACTCAGGTGTGCGCGAGTACGGTTGGGGCAACAACACTCAGTGGCCACCATCATATACTGGCAACTACCGCAATTCATAGACCGAGTGGGGGAAAAGGACAAGGTCCGTAGATGCCATTCGGATGCAGTTGGTTTTGCCTCTCGACTTGTAGGAATGCTGTGGCCCGGCGCTGTGGGTTCTACCGGGTCCGAACAAGGTGATCGCCAGGCCCGTCCACATGTTTCAGTGCGGAGCTCCCAGTTTGTGTTCCCAGCCTCTGACGTGTCGACGAGACAGCACGCGTCGTCGCGACCAGCTCCTTGACATGTCGCCTCAAAACTCCCTTCCCCCGTCGCTGCGCACCCCGCAAGCAGAGCCCTTGCTGCCCTCTTCGGATCCTGCAAGGTCGATGAGGACGCCCAGCCAACCACAGCAACCCAAGCTTCCTTATCATTTCGGGACTGGTGCATGATCCGAGCCACGCAGCCAGAGGGAGGGATGCAGGGCTGCAGGATTACAACCTAGGGGCTAATTCCTAATCCCTATTTCTCCACCGACGTGGTCTAAAATCAAATCCACAGTCCAAAACGTAATAGCGCGGCAAGTCAAGCGCCCACTCCCGGCGGCCGGCGGCAACTGGGTGGAACAGGCGGCGCCTCTGCTGCGCCGGCGCGGCTGGAAATGGCCATTTTTTTTTACTCGTACCTCCTATACCTCCTATAGGCCCATTCCTCCAGCATGTCCGGTTCTTGCACGAAGCGACAAGCTGCGCACAGTGGCGCGGGATGACGCTAGGACGCCGACTCTTGCGGCAACCCGGACCGGTCCTGGTGCCGTAGTGCTGGTGCTGCTGGGGAGGCACGCCCCACCGGCTAATTGGCCCTCCTCTGCCCACCTCCATTTTTTTTGTGTGTCCCGATGGACAAGGACGACGGGGGAGAGGCGGGTATGGAGGCGCGTGTGGGCTGTTGTGACGGCGACGGCCCGCAGACGGTAGGGTGAGTGTGTAAGCGAGGCAGCATGTGACTCACAAATCAGAACTGCAGAACCGGCCGTCCGTGGCCCAAACGTCTGTCCTGGGTGTCCTGGAAATCCTGGAGGCGCAGGAGAAAGCAGTGGTCCTCACTGCCGGAGGAGGGATATCCGGCATACGCGCCAAAGAGCGTCCAGCAGCACACCTTGGGACACAGGGCAAACCCCAACGGCCAGCGCGTGGAGTTCAGGCGCTCGCAGTAAGTCGACCCTTTGCAGACGCGACTCAACGTACCAACGTCCTACTGCCTGGGCACGCGGCCGCACTCGGCATACACGGCACACGGACGTTCGGTGAACGCGGGGCAACGGGTGGGCCTAGAATGGACCTAGCTAGGGGTTGCCGCTAGTGGTGGCGCCTATTGGCCGAGGCGGTCGAATTTTTGTTTGCTTTTTCTCGTGTTGGCAGGGCTCTGTCCCGATACTGTCCCAGTTCTCTCTCCAGGTCCACCAGTCGGACGAGGGCGGGGGAAGTGGTAGCGGCAGCGGCAGCGGCGGCGACTGTCGGTCGATGATGTCGGCGGCTAGGGGTCAGAGATAGGTCCAGGAAAATCGACAGCACCTTTGCTCGCCTGACCTGTGCCGGACGGCTCTTGTACTCATTTGCTCATCAACCCATCTCTCTCTCTCCAGTTTCCATCTCGACACCCACACCCACACACAATTTGTTTCGCCTGACGCGCTCGACCTCCCTGCGTCATCCCTTCCCCTTCCCCATCGACCTTACACACTCTTTTTTCTTTCCTCCGCGCAACAGCGTAACTAGCCAACATGGGTGACGACGAGAAGACCGTCAACGATGTTCTCCCGGTCAACACTGAAGGCATTACCGTCAACTCGCCTTACGGTGCCAGCGGTTCCGACTCGGACCCCGAGAAGGCCTACAAGTATGTCGACACTACCAACGGCAACCTGATCATGAACGGTGGGTATGAATGACGCTGCAAAAAAAAAGGCTCGAGGTGGCGGTGGCTGACGAAATTAATTCAGAGCACGGCGAGATTGAAGGCGGCGTCAAGCGTACGCTCAAGGAGGTGAGCAGCTCGGAGCGATAAGAGAGAGGTATCACTGGGCTGACATTCAGCGTCACATGTCCATGATTGCCATTGGTGGTGCGATCGGTACTGGTCTGTTCGTTGGTTCGGGCACTGCCCTCAACACTGGTGGTCCCGTCGGCGTGTGGCTCGCCTACTGCCTGATGGCGTCCATGGTGTACTCGATGATGGTTGCTCTCGGCGAGATGGCCACTCTCTACCCTGTCGCTGGTGGTTTCACTCACTACGCTTCGCGTTTCGTCGACGAGGCTCTGGGTTTCGCCGTCGGTATCAACTACTGGTACTCGTACGCTGTCACCATCCCCACCGAGCTCGTGGCTGTGGCCATCGTCATCTCGTACTGGGACGACAAGACCAACCCCGCCGTTTACATCACCGTCTTCTTCGTCCTCATCTACGTTGTCAACTTCTTTGGTGCCCGTGCCTACGGTGAGACCGAGTTCTGGTTCTCGTCGATCAAGGTCATCACCATTGTCGGCCTCATCATCCTTTCGCTCATTCTCATGTGCGGCGGTGGTCCCAACCACGACGCTATCGGTTTCCGGTATTGGCGCAACCCGGGTCCCTTCAACCAGATCTCCGTCGGCACCGTCACTGGTCCCGAGGGTGTGATTGAGGGCCGCTGGGGTCAGTTCCTGGCCTTCTGGAGCGTCTTCGTCCAGGCCGCCTTCTCGTTCATTGGTACTGAGATCCTCGCCACCACCCTTGGTGAGGCTGAGAACCCCCGTGTCACCGTCCCCAAGGCCATCAAGCGCGTCTTCTGGCGTCTCGTCATGTTCTACGTTATCGGCATCTTCTTCATCTCCGTTCTTGTCCCTTACAACGACGACCGTCTCCTGACCGGTACCTCGGACGCCTCGGCCTCGCCCTTCGTCATTGCCATTGAGAACGCCGGCATCAAGGTCCTTCCCTCGATCGTCAACGCTGTCATTCTCATCGCCGCCTGGTCGGCCGGAAACTCGGACCTCTACGCCGCTTCGCGTACCCTCTACGCCCTCGCCATCGAGGGCAAGATGCCCAACGTCTTTGGCAAGGACATCTTCCGTTACTGCACCAAGAACGGTCTCCCCCTGTGGTCGGTCATTGTCACTGGTCTCGTGAGTACAAAACGTAGAAGGTGGATGGGCCAAGAGTGGCCCCCGCAAATGCTGCCAATAACGGAACTGTGTGGCATCACACGTCTGCCCGCTTCATGCCACTTGCCACTCCTTCTGCATCGATGCTGACGCGATTCTAGTTTGGTTTCCTTGCGTACCTGAACACTGGTGGCGAGTCTGCCTCGAAGGCTTTCGACTGGCTTTACGTGAGTTGCATGACAGTTTCCCCAACTCCCATGGACTGACACTCTTCTCAGAACCTGTCCGCCATCACCGGTATCCTTACCTGGTGGGCCATCATGGTCTCGTACCTGCGCTTCTACTACGGCCTCAAGAAGCAGGGTATCTCGCGCGACTCGCACCCCTACAAGGCTCCCTTCCAGCCTTGGCTCTGTAAGTCAAAATTGCTTCCGCCACCAACCACCTTCCTTCCAACATCTCCTTTGCCTCTCTTCTCTTCTTAATTCGCTTCAAACGCTAACAAAGTTAGCATGGTACGGACTTATCTGGTTCTCAATTATCACTCTCTTCTGTGGCTGTAAGTTGCCCGAAAGTCGTAGAAGACAAGCCCAGCGCTGACGCGAACAACAGTCCAGGTGTTCCTCCGTGGCAACTGGTCCGTCGCCGACTTTATCGCCGCCTACATCTCCATTGCCATCTTCATTGTCGTCTGGGTCGGCTGGAAGGTCTGGCACAAGACCAAGTGGATCCCCCTGGAGGAGATCGACTTCTTCACCGGTCGTCGTGAGCTCGACCTCATGGAGGCCGCCGACAAGGAGAAGTTTAAGCCCGACACCCCGTGGAAGAAGTTCTGTAGCATCCTCTTCTAGATTGGTTCTCCTACTAGAGTTAGTTAGACTGCATCGCGCTTGTTAGATGGACTTTTTTTCTGATCAGCACCGGTCGCTGCACCTGGAGCTGAGCCTTGACATTACGATATCCTATTCTGACAGCAGGGCTCAAATGGTTTCAGGCATATAGGGCAAAGACGTCGGGCTTGAAGATTGAGCTGCTGCAAAACAGCAATAGGTCGAAGGATTCGCATGAACGCTAGCTGCCGACACTCGCGAGTCGGCAACCCATGGCAACTGTGAAGAATCCAGAGAAACAAGCGTCATTCTCGTCGTCGAACATGGTAGTCCAGGTTGATGTCCGACAGCGGGTTTGGAAAGGCAACGTGATAGCCGTAGCTGAACGTACGGTCATGCGCTGTGGGCAGTAGCATCCATGCACAGGACGTGAATTCAATGCGCCAGCGTGCCTGTCAATAGAACCACCTGGGGGGGTGCCCCATCCAAACAAATCGGATTCCAAGCTTTGCCTCACACAGACTTGTAGAAGTGATGATCACTGTGAATGCAATCGGGGCAAGGACGGGCCCCCAAGTCTGTACTAGGGATCCAAGCCCTTGTTACATGTAAAAGGCACCCTGTGCATTGCTGTCCCGGGCCTTCACGCCTATCAGAACTAGCACGGAACGCTGCAGTGTTGGAGCGACGTAAGTGTGCAACACCATCCATGTTATGCCCAAGCCAGGGGTCCATAGTGGCAGGCTGTCAGGAAGATAAGGGCTTGTGGGCCCGGGGAGGTCCTGCAGCATTGAAAGCGAGTGAATACCAAAGATACTGGAATACAATACTAGCCAGGGTTCGCTTCCGGAGGTATGACAATCGTGAAAGTGGCACTGCACTTTAGGATCACGCCACCAATCCACCACTCCGCCGCCGCCCACAGCCATCCTCCACGACCATTCCAAGCCTCCCTATGCTTCCAAGCATCCCCAATGCCAAAAGGATGGGCGCACGAGTCACCTCGTGTTGCCTGTGTGCCTCCACAGAGACTCGAACTCTGGTTGCAGGATGTACTCGAGATTCGAGCTCACACTGTTCATATGAGACCTACGTCCTAACCATCTAGACGATAGAAGCGCACACGATCGTTTCTCCGCCGCCTGTTCTTTGTTCTGAGTGAATTCCGATGCCTGCATACCTCTCCAGGCAAGCATGGCTGGGTCGCGTGCATGCAGGGGGAAAGGGGAGGGATTCCATCTGACAGGAAGTACCATCTGCAGCTCGGTGCAAAAGGGGCTTTGTTGAGAGGGAGGGGCAGAGGTGGCATCTGCCTCATCTGTGGCACCGCGCTTCCGCCTCCGGTCGCAGCTTCAACAGGCCTTCGCTTAGATTGTCGCTCATGCTGGGCATGCTTCCGTCCCAGCTGTCTCTCCAGGGAGTCGTATTTACAACGTCTGAATCACATCTCCTCCACTCAAGCAATGTACGTAGGACGGCCGCGCATCACGCCGATAAGTCGAGCTCGAACGGCCACGAAGACCCTCGACAACGGATCACACAGTCTTCTTGGAAGCCATCTCCTGCATGCGGCGGTAGAGCCTCTCAGCCTTGGTGTTGAGCTCCTTTTCGAGAGCCTCGACAGACGCTTTGGCAGGGGTGATGGTCGTGAGCGCGCGTGCGGCGAGGTCCATCGCAGCCGTAACGTCGCGCGCGAGGACGGTGGGGTTTCCGTGTACAGCGAGGGTGGCGCGAGAAACGTGGACAGCGTGGATGAAATCGATGAAACACCTCTCCATCTCGGCCAGGGTCGTGTAGCCGTTGACAAACGCCTCGATCTGGGCAATCTCGAGGTCCATGGCATAGACGTCTGGCTTTAGGTGGTGGGGCGTGTTTGGGTCGGCGAGGAGCTCATAGTTGGGTTCAAAGACGTCGATGCAGTCGCAGCAGTTCTTGAGCTGGGCGGGACGTTCTTTGTCGGCCTTCTCGGCACCGGTGAGGACTGTCTATGCGTCAGTGGTTCCAAGCAGACGGAGTAGGAGCGCGACCCGAGACCCACGGGTAGGACCTTCAGCAATGACACGCCTGGTGCGTTCGTGGATCGGAATCTCGGGAAAGCGAGCGAAAAAGTCGAAGAGGACCTTGAGGCCATCTCCAGAGGTGGTCGCGGCCATAGTGGTTGGACCCAATACTGAGCGAACAGAGAAGAGTGGGTGGAAGTGAATGAAATGCCTTGGGTGGTCGCTGACGACGAGGGGAACGTGCTCCACTTGGGCGCCTCCAACAGGCATCCCTTGTGCCCCAATATGCATCGCTGGGCGCACATGTTCCCCCACCGTTTGTGTCTGGCACTACACTACTGCACGACAGGTGCAGAGCAGCTTGTATGCAGACGGCGTCTGACTACCGAGTTGTCTACCCAAGTTGCACCCATCCGCCACCAACTTGTACCGGAACCGTCCTTTTCCCTCACTCCGCACCGGACACCAAGTAAAGTCTCATTGCGCATTCATATCACATATGCTGTCCAGTGGAACCATGTAACTTCACTTGCTGACCCCATAGAGTCTTTTCCTATTGAACCACCTTGGCGGAACGTCGCGCCAGGGCCGTGCCGTTCCAGCACTTGGAGAGCGTTCTTAGAAAGCCGAGCGACGCGCGTCCTTGAGAGTTTCCGCCGTTTGCAGGATGTGCTCGGCAAGCGCGCTGGACTAGGTCTTCATCTCCAGCTGAAGCGGCTCGAGACGAGTTCTAGCGGTCGTGGCAACGGCGACGCCGCCCTCGATAAACTCGAGTATGGCGGCCGATTCCACCTTGGCCGACGCAGACGTCATGTCGGCAATCATCTTGCGAGTCACGGCAGCGCAGTCCTCCCACAAGGCCTCAAATGCTTCCAGCGAGAGGCAGCTGTCATAGGCGACGACGACGGTATCGATCTTCCTGAATTCGGCGTCCATCGCAGACACGTCGGGCGCGTAGGCAAGAGGGACCTTGGGTTCGGCCAGTGCGACGAGGTTGATCGTGAACGCGTCGATGCGGGTACAGATGTCGCGGAGGAGAGTGGCGCGGTCGTCGATAACAGTTTCCGCACCCAAGAGGACTGGAGCGAGGTCAGGAGGCGTCGTTCTATGCGTGTGGTTGGGACTCACGAGAAGGGCCTTGGACCTTGACCTCGTCAATGAGGCTGTAGGGGTCGACTTGGCAGAGGAAGTGGCACAGGGCCTCGAGGCCATCGGTTGGAGTGTGGTTGCAGTTGCCCATTGTGTATGAGGTGTTCGCAGAGGGAGTGGGCAACAGCAGAAGTAACACTGCTCCTGTTGGTCGTTAACGCGGATGCTTGTGCGTGGGATGGCGCACTAATGGTGCAGCTGTGCGGGGCGATCAGTGTGGGCCCACATCCACGACCATCATTCTGCCAATTTCTACCGGGCGCTGCTGGCCGCTGCACACAAGGTACATCCTCCTCTCTTGCCTCTGCATTACAACTTGCTTCTTCACTTCCTCACACACACGATATCAAAGACATGGCATTGCCCCACCACCCATCCCGTGCCGCCGTGACCCGGCAGAGATCGAGGTGGTGTACCAGTTCATCGCCGACATGGCCGACGTTCCCCTGCCCTTTATGCTCAGCACGCTCAAACACAACGAGCTGCAGGGTACGTCCCCTCCTCCTGCCTTGCCTTTTTTTCACTCACACGCTCCCCCAGTCCTCTCCTACCTCTCCAAGACAATCCACGAGCGCATCGCCCTCCTCCACACGCACCGCGCCGACCTCGACGCCGCTCTCGTCGCGCTCAAGCGTCTCGATGACCCGCGCGTCCCGCCCGACGACAAGCCGTCGCTCACAGAAACGCTGCACCGCGTCCTCGCCACCCAGCGTTCCGTCAACCACTACATACCCTACAAGGCCACCCAGTGGCACTTTGCAGCCATGGTCATGGCCTTCCAGCACGCCATTGCCCAAATGACGACACGCCACAGCCCCAGCCACAGCCACACCCACAGCCCAGATTCAGACAGCACGCACACCTACACCCAAGCCCACGACGCGCTGGTGCACGCCCGCGTCCTCGCCGTTAACCGCGCGCTCGCGAGCTTTGTCGATTCGGCACATGGGCTGTGTGCCGCGTCCCTTGGGCGTGTGGGTGTGCTGGAGAAAGAGGTGGCGGCGGCGATGGGGAGGGTTGACGCGTGCATGGGCATGGAGTCGCTGCCCGTTTGAGGGACGGAGGAGAGCGAGCGAGCTCGTTTTCGGGAAATAACAACAAACGAGTGGAAAAGACCGAAAAAGCAAGGCCATCGAAACGTCATTTTTGGGGATATGGGATATGTTTGGGCCGTGGGACGGATAGACGGTTGGGCAAAGTGTATCTATGCAGGCTGAGTGGGAGGTACGGCATGGTATGCGTTGTATCTATCTATCCTCAATGGGGCATTCTGGCAGGCAGGCAGAGATCCAGTGAGGTCTGACGCCAAAGCCCAGTGGAGGAGAATAGGACTGCCATCCGCGCACCTGCTGTGGTTGAATGAATGCGCGTGAGGCACATCCGATGACACGGCCGTGACGAGAGAGAGCGTTATTCGAAGAGGTGTGTGTGTGTGTACATCTCGAAGCTATGGAGGCCGGAAATGAAAGAAGCCCGTGGTGTGGCAGATGTGTGTGGCACCTGGGTCGACGCGCACGTTGCGTCGACAATGGGAAGCTCTCTGGATCTCTGGGTCTGTGGCCTTGGCCAAGCTGTGGGCGGGCATTGTACCACCCTCCAAGCACCACCTCGTTCCCCCGCTCCAGCTATGAATCAGGCGTTCACATTCGTATATACAAAGACGCGCCATATAATCGCCTCAGACGAGGTGAGAACGAAGAAAAACAGGGCGGTAAAAAGATATGGCCCCACTCCAACACACCCCCCTTTACTCTAAGACACCGCCCGCGCCAACGTCACGTCGCTGGCCCGCCACTCTCTGGTCTCTCCGGCCGTCGCAGAAAGGTTCATCTTGTCTGGGTCGGGATCGGTGGGTGAGAGGGGAGAGCCGCTTAGCAGCATCCGCCCGCAGCCTTCTGCTCGACGTTCTGGCCAAGGCCCTTGATCGTCGACTTGCCGCCCGGTCCCGAGGCCATCGAGTTGGAGCCCATGCTGGGGGAATTGGGTCAGTAAAGAGGCGTCCAGCTAGATAGGCAGGTTCATCCACTCACCGGTCCTTGATCTGCTTGGACATGGTCAGGAAGGCCTGCTCGACGTTGGTGGCGTTCTTGGCCGAGGTCTCGAGGAAGGGGATGCCGAGCTCGTCGGCGAACGCCTTGGCAGTGTTGTAGTCGACCACCTTCTTGGTCGCGAGGTCCGACTTGTTGCCAACCAGCAGCTTGTTCACGCCCTCGACGGCATAGCGGTCAATCTCCTGCAGCCACTGCTTGACGTTGGCGAAAGTGTCGCTGTCGGTGACGTCGTACACGACAATGATACCGTGGGCTCCTGAAGACAAGCGTCAGCGGCTGAAACCTTCCCCCTTAGCTGCACTTACCGCGGTAGTAGGACGAGGTGATGGTACGGAAACGCTCCTGGCCGGCAGTGTCCCACTGTTCGTACGAAGAATAGGAGGATAGGGGGCAGGGCGGTTTGCGGAGGAGGAATAGTGAAGTGATGGGAGAATGGGATTGTGGAGGTCCGTTTGTTTGGTGGACCGAGAGAGGGGAGGACGCGTACGAAAGATTACCAAAAAAAACACAACACGCGCCGAATTCATAGGCGGACGAGGTGGAGTTTCAGGTGAGTTGCAACGTTCGGGCGGAGCCGTTCGCGCAGAGGGGCAGAGAGAGATTGACAGTTGATTGCAGCCAGGGCGGAGCGAATGCAACGTGACAAGATGTTGGCGAGTTGGACCAGATTGACGAACGATTGACGCAAAACAACACGAACGATTGACGGCAGTGAGGTGAACCCAAATTGACGAGGAAACCGCAACGGAAAGTGCACCAAAAACGGAACCGAGTTGACAGCCACGAGGAAGACGACGATCGAGACGACCACAGCGTCCGACGTACGAGTCGTATGTACCAGCGAACAAGACGACGAGAGCAGCCAGAACCCAAGAAGGTCAGAGTGCAACCGCAGCGCGAACATGTTCGAGGTGAGTGGACGGTTTTGGGAGGGTTTTGGAGTTGACGGGCAGCAAGGTGAATGACGCAGGTGAAAGCCATTTGGCGCAGTGAAGCAGAAACGCCAGAGGCGAATTGCGGTTGAGACGATGAGACCGGTAAATGCGAGGTTGTTGAAAGCCGGACAGTCACGAAAAGCGCCAGAGACGACGAGCAAACGCAACAGACGCGCCCCACACCGATGACAGCACCGCACACAAGATGACGAATGGACGACAGCGACGAATTGACGAGCACCAGTGAGACCAAGGGGAGTTTTGAAGTGCAGCCAGGGCGAACGGTTACGGAGCGCACGGACGCGAGAACGCAACAGTTGGAGATGGCGCAACAGAGGCGAGGGCCGAGGAACCGAGCAGACAAGGAAAAACGCAGCAGCGCACCAGGTCAGTCAGTCCGGAGGGGAGGAGGGTCAAGGGCGGCACGAGACAGGATGACGAGACGAGAGGAAAGGAGAAACGGGGGCAGGGAAGGGAGGGAGGGGGACGGGACCGGAAGAGTTCGAGATGAAAAGAAGAGAGTTGAGGGGGTCGAGTTGAGAGAGGAAGATGCGGGGTCAGCAAAAGGGTTTAAGAGGACGCTGAGTGCGCGGGGGGATGAGCCGACGCACGATCTGGAGCTTGACGGTCTTGCCCTCGAGGTCAATGGTACGGATCTTGAAATCGACACCAATGGTCGAGATGTAGCTCTCGGTGTAGGTGTCGTCGGCGAATCGGAGGAGCAGACAGGACTTGCCGACACCCGAGTCACCGATGAGGAGAAGCTGCGCGAATGTTAGCAAGGAGACACGCTGTAACGAGAACGAGGCTGCGGAGCGTCATGGCCGCCGGTGATTGCGCCAACTCGCACGCGACCAACGGCACAAGCCATCACCCCTGTGCTGGCTGGCGCCAGAGGCGTGCTTGGCTGTCTCGAGCGTGTACTGGCCTCGTCACTGTACACTGCAACTCACCTTGAAGAGGTAGTCGTACTCGGCAGTTGCGGTCATGATGGAGGGCTAATGGTCTAGGTGCTGGAGGGTGGACCGACGGAAGCGGCAGGTGTTGTTGGAGACGACAAGGGGGATGCCGGGAAGAACGGAGGTGATGGGGGGGCGTGTCAAATAGCGTGGATGGTGTTGACGATAAGGCAAGAGACAAGTGAGGATCCCAAGGGAAGGTTGTGCACGAGGAGGGCGGCAGAGATGAACGATGGCAGCGGGCGACGATCGTGCGAAGTGATGTCGATGTGGGTGGCGTGGATGTGGAGCCCAGGCGGTTTGGGTGGCAAGGTGACGCGAAGGGGGCGGATGGGTTGAGCGCAGAGGGGACCAAGGTGGGGGGTTCGTGACGCGAGCGGATGGGGGAGAGGTGTTGTGGAAGGAGCGGCGAGGAGGGGGATACGGCGTGGGAGAAGACAAAGGGCGTAGACGCGAACAGCGTCAGCATTGTGCAAGGTGTGTTGGGGTATGTGTTGCGCGTCTGGGCATCGCCTCGCTGCGCGCGCGCGGGGGGCTGGGTCGATGCATTGCGGCCCCAGAGGGAGCGTGTACTCACGTGGATTAAGAGAGGGTAAGAAGAGGGGGGTATCTCTGCCGTATATGTGTGGGGTGAGATAGGCAAGAGGGAGGAGGAGGTGGGTGGTGGTGTAGACGGGAGGTGTGGGATGGGTTTGGGTTGCAGATGGAGGGAAGGTGGGATGACAACGACACACCTATGGTGCACAGCACACCCACCCAGCCCACGGCCGCGCGCCCAGCCCACGCCGCCCACACCCGCGCGCACAGGGTGGCACAGGCGCCCCTCTCGCTCTCACAAAAGGGAGCCCACAGCGGGCCACATTACGTCAGCCTCACACGTCCAACACAGTCAGCCTGACACCAAAACAGCCTCACCCAATAATCCCGCGGCAATTGTTACAGTGGCAGTGTGCCAGCGGAGCCAATTCCACGTGACATGACGGAATGCGCCGGCCCCCCTACGGATCCACGGAAGCGATCGGCTTATCGAATTTCAGAGCGAGAGAGATCTGTTGTAAAGTCGGTCGAGTCGAGCCGAACACCGAGAATCAAATATTTGTTTTTGTTTTCCAAGCGATCAAGCGAGAGGCGACCGACCAGGCGAACGCGTACGGCCTTAATCTTTAATCTATCTACGTTTCGACACGACCTGCCCCCCTTCCCCCCCTCCCCCTCCATCTTCTCCACATACCCTCTCCCCCACTGCACCAACGATGACCGCCGCCGCCATCGCCGCGCCCACGAGCGCGTTCGGCCGCGTCTGGGCCGCCTACCTCCGCCAGCTCAGCTTGAGGCCGCTGAGGACCAAGATGATCACCTCGGGCACGCTCTTCGCCTTTGGCGACACGATCGCCCAGTTTGGCATCGAGGGACGGAGGTTTGGCGCGCCATCGCTGGAACCTGGCGAGAGCGACAAGGACCGTGTGCTGCCATGGGACGTGAGTGGAGCCTGCTGCTGCTGCTGCCAAGGAAGGTGCTTGTGCTGACCCCTTCACAGCCGACCCGCGCACTGCGCCTTACTTGCTGTTCGTTATAAGTGGCAGGTGGTTGCTAACGATCCAGACGGCGGCTTGATCTTTGCACCTCTCGCACACACATGGCTCGGCTGGCTTGACAAGATCAAATATGCTTCCAAGTTTAAGAGTGAGCTTTGTTCCTCCCGGGCAGTTAGCTGACGTCAGCCCTGGCTGTGCGACTGGCACTCGACCAGTGTCTGTGGGGACCGTTCATTGTGTCCAGTGAGTTGCAAAATCATCGGCCCTCAGTGTAACTAACGACAGTGTTCTGGAGTTCCAACGGTGTCATGGAGGGCAAGAGCCCCTCAGAGGTCAAGGCCAAGGTCGAGATGGCCTTTGTCACCAGCTACATGAAGAGCGTGTGCGTGTTCGCCCCCACGCAGATCGTCAACTTTACCATCGTTCCCCTCCCCCACCGTCTGGCAGTGCAGCAGACTGTTGGTCTTGGTACGTACCCACCACCAGCCTCTTGACGTTGTGCGATGCTGACTCCCCGCGCTAGGCTGGAACATCTTCCTGTCGTACCAGAACAACATCAACAACAAGCGCCTGGCCGCCGCACAGGCTGACCTCGCCGTTGCCCAGGCCGAGGAGGAGGCCGAGGAGGGCCATCTCGCCCACGTTGCCGCCGCGCAGGCCAGCGTCGACAAGGCGCAGGCCCGCAAGGACCGCATTCAGAACGCCGAGGGCGGCGGTGCCACGGGCGTGGGCACGCGTATGGGCTGGTAAGCTCCTCGCAGCTTGCTCGTACGCTGGCCCCGGCGCGGTCCCCAGCGGCAGCGGGGTGCATGTGCATCGCGCCTGTCACCGGCGACGCATGCCCCCAACCCTCTCTCACCATGTCTCCTTTCCCCATTCCGGGACGCACACGGCCGGTCACCCGGGCGGCCCGTCTCGGTCATGCCGCCGCCACTGCCACTTCAGCCTTTGTATCGCGGGCGATCCTGCTTGGAAGATGGGTTGTATATCAATCACCATTAGATTACCTAGAATAGCTAGACAGCTAGACAGCATAGACATGGATAGCGCATGCTACGACGAGTTGGCTGCCGGTGTGGCGGTTCTGTCGTGGCGTGTGGGCGCTGCCACTCTGCCTCCTGTGTGCGGGCGAAGCTGTATCTCGCTGTATGGTGACCTGACCCAGCGGTAACCGTCTTCGACCAACACCCTCAGTCCCTGTTCGCAGCCCTTGCGGGGAACGCGTACATGGCTCGTATCGCGCCGGAGCGAGTCGCCCTTGAAGGTTGGCCGCATCCGATGCGACCGCCATCACCAACACCACGGGCCAAGCGGGTCCAGAAGGCTCGCCTGAGGACGCGACATGGGCAGGGGACCACAGCGTCAGCTTTGGCACCTCCAACCTCGCCATCGCCGTCTCGGACACCTCCAGTGAACGATCAGTTGGGCGGACTGGCGCTGGCCGCTGACGAGCCACAGTACAAACAGAAGCAGTGGCATGAATACAAACAAACAGTATATACACAACGAGGAGAGCGTGTTCCTGTCGCGCTCAGCGATACAAGTGTGGCGGGCTCAGAGGAGACTGGTGCTGGAAGGGGGTCGGGGAAGCAATGTCCTCGTCACTGGGCAACGACGCAGAGTTTGATGACAATGAAGGTGATGACGACGTCGTGTGCGGTGAGGTCTGCACATCAACAGTGGGGGTGGGCTGCTGCTGCTTGGCAGTGTGAGCTAGTGGTGGTGTGACTGGGCGAGGCAGGTCCCGGCCCAAGCACTCTTCAACAATCTTGCCGTCGGCGTCAATAAACCAGACGAGCTTCTTGTCCTCGGCCAGTGGGTCGTCTTCGAGGTCGTAGCTGACGACCGTGAACGCCCGCGGGGGCAGCGAGACCGGGTCGGGCATGTACTGGTCGGTGAAGCGGGTCTCGTCGTAACCGTGCCGATGCAACATCCCCCACGAGTCGATTCCCTCCTTCCAGACACTGTCCATCGCGCCACGAGCGAACAGGCGAACGTCGGCTAGCGTCGGCAGCTCAAAGGCAGGGAAGCGCGCGCTGACTGCCTTGCACGCCTGAGGACGAGGGATCAGTAACAGCACCACCCCAGGACCATCAGCAGAAGCGGGCCACAACCTACAATGCTGAATGCACGCCGGATGAGCTCGTCGGTCAGCGTGCGCCATGCGTCGGGCGTCGCCACTCGACGACCGAGCTGTTTCATAACGGCCGGCATGTGGTCCTTCCTGAAGAAGGGTCAGCTGGGGTAGAGGCAGCGCAACGTACATGTGCGAGGCTACGTCAAAGACGGCGACTGCGAAATCAACGGCGTCGAGTGTGCCAATGTCGTCCGTGTCAAAGGCCGCCTGCCAGCGCTGGCTGGCGGCGCGGGCTGCGACGCGGGCCTTGGCGTCCAGCATGCCGCGCGGGATGGGATGGAACGAGAAGAGAACGCCGTCCCAGTTGGAGCGTGGGAAGCGGCGGACGGGTGCGGGAAAGACGGGCTGGCGGCGCGGAGGACCACCCATGCTGGCGAGTGAGTGGGGTGAGTGAGTGAGTGGTCTGTTGAGTGTGAATGCACGCTGGTGATGGTGGCAACACCATTGTAATCGAATACTGTTGCTAACGGCTGACTGTCTTGACCTCTTCAGCCTTTCACTTTCACGGATACTCGCGAGCCGCAAGCCAACAGGCATATGTCAGAGCGCGCTCACAGGCGCTGGCTACCAGCCAGTCACAGTATATGACACTACACTCGGCACTCACTGCCCACGCGTACAGTACACCGTGACGCGCGGCGGCAAAATAGTCGCCAGTCCCTGTCTCTTTCCAGGTACCACTGGCCCGGTGTAGGATTCCTTTCAAACAGTCGATAGAACGTATAGCGTGAGGCGGCCAGCGGCCAGCGCTGTCACGGAAAATCGAACCAGGAATCAATTACGTAACATATTTCTACCTGTTTGTTGTGCCTCGCCGCTCATCTCGTCGAGATTCGAGCAACCTTCCAACTGGGTGTCTCTTGCCATCACATCTCCACCACCCACGACACCGACGCGAAACGCGCCATGCCCTCCGTCCTCCTGTTCTCGGGTCTCCCGCTCGACGTGCGCGAGCCCGATCTCGCCGTGAGTGAAGCTGTCCCCTTAAAGGAAGGTCTAGTCGCGACAACATGTTGCCGCGCGCGCGCCGCCCTGTCTTCTCCATGTTCCTTGTCCTCGTCCTCTCCTCACCTCCACCATCCTGGTCGCGCGTGGCAGTTTAGTACCCCGTCACCGGATCTCACTCTTCCCTTCTCTTCCCTCTTACCAGCTTACCAACCGCGTCCCCTCACTGACACCCCCCGCCCAGGAGCTCCTCACCGCCGACCCGACGCGCCTCCCCGCCGCCTCGGTGGCCGTGACGGCGCTGCACAACAGCGCGGGCAAGTTTCTCGGCACGTTCCTCGTCGAGGTCGGCAGCGACGCGGATGCCGAGCGCGTGAGGCTGCAGTACTCGGGCCAGGTCATTGACGGATGTGAGTAGCGAGTGCGGGTTGACTTTGGTTCAGCGCGGGAAGAGGAAGACGGCCAGCTGGAAGGGACATGGGCCTGTTGCCAGCTGGACAAGTGTCTTCCTCCCCTGATCTGGCCGGTGGGACAGTCCAGCTGTTGGCTATTCACTGGGACCATGGACGGAGTGGGCCAGCTGCCCAAAACTGTTGCTGCAGCTGGCACCTTGCTCCCTCGCCAGATGATCGTGGCTGTGTCTGACAGTTGTGACAGCCATGTCCTTCGTCCTACCAGTCGCGCAAAGGTGTTCCACCGTCCTTGGAGCCACTGACACACCCAGCCCACTCTCTCGCGGTGCACCACGTCCTCCCCAAGACGCACGCCCACCCGTCCGTTGCGCCACCCAAGTCGGTCGCGCAGCGCATTATCCCCAAGCTCGGCGCGCCCGCCAAGCCTGCCCAGCTGGCCATGCAGCAGGCTCAGCAGCAGCAGCAGCAGGGCGGCAGGCAGCAGGGCCGCAAGGCCGCGGCTGGCGGAAGCAGCGGTGCCGAAGCCAAGCCCCCCGGTATCCAGCTGCTCTCGCGCCTGGGCAAGGCTGGCAAAGCCGGCGAGAAGGAGAGGCAGAAGCTGTGAGTAGCGTTCGCCGCCGACGAGCGAGGCAGCGAGCTGCGGCATCACTCGTGCGCACAGCTGGGCGCTCCGTCTCCGTCTCCTTACCACCCCACTACCGCTACCACTGTCATTGTCACTGCCGCTGACACTCTTCCCCTCCTGTTCAGCCTGAAAAAGCCCTCGACACCAGGCGACGCCCTCCTCTCGCGCCTGGCAAAGACCAAGGCGACCCAGAAGGCGTCCCCGACCAAGACCGCCGGCGGCGGCGGCGGCCGGGCCAAGCCCCCGACCCCGTCCGCCGCGTCCAAGGCCAAGGCCAAGACGAAGAAGACGGGCGCCGGCCGCGGCGCAGGTGCCGCAAAGGTCGCGCGCGCAAAGGCCGACGCCGGCGGAAAGATGGATGTCGACAGGCCCGCAGTGGGTAACGTCAAGTCTCAGGCTCAGCCCCAGGCTCCGGCCCAGCCCCAGGTCAAGACGCAGGCGCAGCTCGACGAGGAGATGCGCGCGTACGAGCGTGCGCGCCGGTTCGGCGCGTAGAGTTGGCGACAGTGGTGTGGCGTGCTTAGCGTGAGGTTGCTGGCTGGCGAGGACTGTGATCCTGTGGCGAGACCACTTTCACTTTCCCATTCCCCCCATGTTTTTTTTCAGCTCGCAGGGTGGGTAGCATGTGATGGATGGCATGTAGATACATTAAACACGGCTCCTCTGCAAAGTATAGTCTAGCTGTAGGCGCGGGACTGTGGCTCAGGCTGGCGCTCCGGTTGGGCTCTGGCTGGGCTCTGGCCGGTGCACTTGCCCGCTCTGCCTCTGGGTCTCGCCTGCCCGCTCGCTGCGCTCGCGGCTCACCTCGTCTCACCTCCTCATCCCCGCCGGCGCCTCGAGCTGGGTCCGCACCCAAGTTCCACCACACATACACCCGCTGACCCACGTCCGCCGCCACGCGCTCCATGGCGACGGCACGCCGCCGCGCATCACGTTGTGGACGTGCAGCACCGTCCGCGCGCCGCACCGGTCGCAGTGCGCCGTGGGCATGTCGCCAATGACGGCGCACGTCGCGCCGTCGCGTTCCGGGCTTGGGGTAGGGTACGTGAACAGCGACGACGGGGTGGGCAGGGACGCCAGTAAGGGCGGGAGGAGGGTGGCGATGGGTGCCAGGTCGAGTTTGAGCAAGGACGCGACGGTGTCGGCGTCGTTGGGCCGTGGGGCTGCGTGCCGCGCGTCAGTGGAGAATTCAACATGGCAGGGAAGGACCCGGGACTCACCCTTGTTCAATGCCGCGAGGACGTCGCCCCACAGCGCGAGGTCGACGCCCTCGCGCACGAGCGCGTCCTGTACCCTCGCAGCAGCGACGGCGCTGGCGGGCGCCGAGCGCGTGATGAGGAAGGCAGAGTCGGGGGGCCGGATGGGCCGGTCGAGGTTGGCGACGAATTTCGCAAACGCGGCGAGAAGGGCGACGAGGCGGACGAGGATACGTCGCAGGAGCGGGTGGATGAGGTACAGGACGCGCGTGGAACCCTCGGTGCGCGGTTCACCGGGCGACCACTCGGCGCTGGCCTTTTCGGCGACGGCATCCCGGAATATACCGCCCAGGGCGCCGAGGGCAAACTCAAAGATGTCGACGAGGTTCCACACCGAGTCTGCGGATGGGTGTTAGCTCTAAAAGAACGTTGTGTAGCTTACCGAGATCAAACGAGATGACGCCGTCGCGCTCGTCACCGCAGAGATACATGATCTGCCCGGCCTCGCCGAGACGGATGAGCTCGGCCGCGACCTGCATGCGCGGGTCCTCGGCCAGCGCCCACACGGCGACTTGCAGGCGGAGAATGTGCGGGACGTAGCTGCGCGAATGCTGGATGAAGAGGCTGAGCGCCTTGTCGAGGATGGCCGACGCCAGGTCACCGGCCTCGCCACGAGGCACGGTCGCAAACGCCGCGCGCACAGAGTCGCTCCAGTCCACACCTTGGACGACGGCCAGCTCGATGGAGCGCGCGGCGCGCTCGGCGACGTGCTTGACCGTCTCGACGGGGTGGGCGGCCGCACCCAGTCGCGGGGATGGGACAAGGCGCGGGCGCGAGCCGCCAAAGATCGCGACAAGGCCCATCTCGCCGCGCCGTGTACCCTGCGAGGGTGTTGCAACGACATCCGCGAGGACCAGGCACATGTCCAGGGGACACTCTTCGCCCACGAGCGCGGGCCAGCGGGTGGCGCCGTCGGCATCTTTATCAGAGGCCTCGGACGGAGGCACGAGGTTGACGTGTGTGAGCGACAGGCCTGTGGGGCTGGAGACGAGCGCGAGGGCGAGGGTGTGCGGCGGCACGTCCGGGAGCGGCGTCAGCGAGAGAATGTTTGTGCCCTCGGGCGACATGGCGGTGCGTCGGGCCGTCGGCGACGGCAGCCAGTCGAGTGGCGAGGCGGCGTCGTCGCCCGATCCAAGGTCCTTGAACCCGTCCACGACAGTGACGGGCCGCTGGCGGATCTCGACGAGCTCAAAGCGCATACGGCAGCGCGACGGAGGGATGGTGTCGTCCACGTCGCGGTAGACGAGCACACAGCCGATGGCGCCGTCGTCGTTCTTGTTATCGTCGGCCGAGCCATTCATCACACCGTGGTCCTTGAGCGGGACGAAGACGAGGTCCTGCAGGTGCGACTCGAACACGGCCGTTGAGTCGGCAAACGGTGGGACCTGCGGGCGCGGGAGCGCAGGCAGCGGGGTCGTCGACATGTCTGGAGAGCGTTAGTTTTGCTGGGAGTCGGCCCGAATTGACGCTGCTCACATGGCATGTTGTTTGCGTCAAGCCCAATGTCCACTCGAATCACTTGCACCTCGCCGTCCTTCTCCACGGCGGCCCATACACCGTCGCTGCCGCCGACCATGCCGAACCAGCCCCGCTGGGCGCCAAACGCCGGCAACGGCGCCACCTGCGCGGTGCTCGAGAGGTCCGTATAGGACCGCGACCCGAGGGGACACTTCAGCGCGTTGATCGTCCAGTTGAGCGGCGCCGCGTCGCTGCCTCCGGCCGCCGAGATTGATTCGCCGGGGACAGCCGCGCTCGACTGCGTGTCGAGCACCACCGTCGCTGGCACGGGATGCGGATGGAGGAAATACAGCACGTCGGCCGTCATGAAGAGGCACGTCGGGCCGCGCGACTTGGACGCGGCATACCCCGGCGGCGGGGCGGGTCCCAGTGCCGGCGCGGCGCGCTGGCCACCGGGGCCGAGCCGCGTGCGCGGCGGGTAGAGGTAGATGCCGGACAGCGGCGTGGTTACGCCAATGGGGAACGTGGCCGCGGGCATGAACTGGCCCATGGTCATCCCCGAGTCGAGGATCTGGGACGAGAACACAAAGAGGTCGCCATTGAACACGGGCCCACCGTGCATGGCCAGGCTCGGCGCGCTGTGGTACCCGACCATCCAGGCGCCGTCGGGCGAGAGGGACAGCAGGCCCGAACTGGAGAGGACAGGCGGGAAGGGCAGCGGTCGCGGCGGGGTGTCGGCGAACACGGACGTGATGACGTGGTGCGTGCCCGTGCCCGATGGCGGGTAGATGAGCGACGACGTGAGGGGGTTGAATGCGGTCGAGTAGCTGCGGCGCCGTGAGTACAGGTTGTGTAGAGAAGGTGTGGATCGGAAAGATCCAAAGACCACCTCCAACTCACGGATTGGTACGGGACCGGCTCGCGTCGGTGAGGCGCTGCATCCGCCTCAGGCCATCGCGCGAGGTCTCGGCCTGCTCGGCGCTGTCGCCGTTAACTGGCGTGTGGACGTCGACCATTGAGGAATCCGTAGGTAGTGATGCCGAAGGAGAGTTGTAGATGGACAAGAGTGGTTGAATCTCGCCGCGGTCAGTGCAAGTGGAGAAGGGAATGGGATGCAGATTTGGTTCCGTCGCTTCACATGTGGCATCCTTTGGCGGCGACAACTAACAGCCTTCTCCATGGACACAACGGCGGCAAGACAACGGCGAGGAGGGCGGTAGGAACACAGGTGGTACGGATACGAGGTATGGACAGTGGTGGATGTACAATACAATGTCTAAACAACGCGCTCAAGGGGGCGTACGAGTGGAACATGGAGGGGCGCGGAGACGGGGACTGGACTGGACTGGACGAGAGAGGCCGGCCGCCTCAGAGGCGCTCGGCGATGGCCTGCTGGAGCTTGTCGCCAGCGGTGCGGCAGGTCACTCGAGGGTCAGCCGACACCCAGCTGTGGAAGGATGGCAAAAACTACTCACTCGCAGTGTCCTGCTCGTACCTGGAGCAGGCGGACGAGATGGCCTGCATGGCCTTGGAGGGCGTGATTTCGCCGCGGTTGAGCTGGGTGACCGCCGAGCCGACGTCGGCCGAGAACTCGAAGCGCTGCGAGTTGAGCGAAAGGCACATGTGTTCAGCACTTACGAGCTCCTCGAGCCTCTTGTTCTTGTTGCGGTACTTGAACTGGGCGGAGCGGTTCTGGGCCATGCGGCGCTCGCCGGCGCGGGCAATCCACGAGGCCGACTTGGGCTTGGGGCGCGTCGCCGACGACGACGACGCCTTGGTGTGCGCCGACGACTTGGACTTGCTGCTGCGCGCAGGAGGCGGCGGGGGTGAAGGGGTAGGGGCCTTGCGGACACGCTTGGTAGGGGTGGCCTTGGTGGGCTTGGGAGGCGGCGGGGTGTAGTCGGAGACGTCCTCGTCCTGGAGCTCGTCCTCGCTCTCGTAGTAGACACCCGCAGAGTAGTGGGCCATGTTGGTCGTGATGCTGGGAGTAGGACTGGTAGGAGGGGTAGTGGTGGTGCACTTGTTGTTCTGATGAGGTTAGATGAGTAACATCAGCAATGAGGATAGGACAACTCACGGGGGACAACTTGGGGAGCGACGTGGCCGCACGCTTCTTGGTAGGCGTGACGACCTGGGCCGTGGGAGGAGTGGGTGGTGGATCCGTGTACGGCGATGAATCCTTGACAAGGGGAGGAGGGGTGGTGGGTGGGGTGATGTGCGGCGTGCCAAAGGGGGTCGCCAGCCAGTATGGCTTGGGGCCGTCCTCGTCGTGGTCCGTTGCCAAAGGTCCTTGCTCACGGTCCGTGTCGCCGCCCTTTGGGGGGCACGTCCAGTACTTGCAGTCTGGAAGACTCGAGGGGACCGAGCTGGAAGAGCTTGGCACACGTTCCGCCTGGGGAAGCATCAGGCGGTCGCCGTGCTCAGTCTTGATGGGCGAGCGCGGGTCGTGGATCGGTGAGGGGGGCAGGCTGGCCACAGTGAGAAAGGAAGGGTCGATGCACGAGCCCATGCTCGACGTCGACGTCGTAGGTGACATGCTAGTGCTCGTGACAAGGCGAGGCGAATAGGAGTCTGTGGGATGAGCTTTGATACCAAGCACAACGGCCATCCTTGGGATTAAAACAACTCACAGACATGAGTGGGTACAAATGGACCAGTAAAAGGTGTAACAAGGCTTTCAAGGCCGGCGACGGTTTCAGTGCCACAGACAAGCGCGTGGCTGGCGCCGAGGTTGAGGTTGGGTGGGTATTGCTGGCGGACGAGCATGGGAGGGGTGTAGGGCTTTCAAGTGTCAACACGACGAGCAGCGTCAGGACTCACGTCCAGGTTAGTAGTAGGCATGGAGAAGGCGTTGTTAGGGAAGGCCTTCTGGATGAAGTGAGCTACAGTGTAATGCGGACCGTAGCTCTGTGGCCTGCGGGCTCACCTGGGTGCCCAACATGGCCACGGCGAGATCATCAATGTCGAACTGTGTCATGAGCATAGTGACGATTGGGGATGGAAGGAAGCGAGGAAAGAGTGAGTAGGTATTGACTTGGTGTGAGAGGGGAAGAGGTGGTGGAGAGAGAGAGAGAGAGGTGCGCGTTGGGAGGGAAAGGGTGGGAAGCTGGGGGTGAGTCGGCTTATAGCGTACATGGCTTCGCCTGCTGCTGCTGCTGCTGCTCCTACAGCGTCGTTGCCATACGGTTGTGCCCACGACGGCTCTGTAGTCTCTTGGACGACGACAGCCGCCGAGAAGAAGCAAAAGCATCATTGTGGACGAGTGGGCGCGGGGGGCATTAATCCAAGTGAGCACTCGAGCCGCCCGGCCCGTGGACGCTACAGCATCCTTACATGGGTCCTGTTGTTGTTCTGGGCGTGGCAGTGAGCCTACTGGGCTGATCAGCTAGCAGAGATCAGAGATCAGAGAAGACTCTCAAGTGAAGAGACTAAAAGAGAGCGCGTGTGCATGCAGAGCAAGGGGACGCGCCCGTGAGGGACAGATCGACCTGCGTAGGGGACGAGAGAGGGTGTGACCTGGGGGGCGCACGCGTCCAGACGGACAGACGTCGAGAAGCTCGTGTGATCGTGTGAGCTGGCCCACCCGTCAAGAGCTTGGGCCACTGGTCTGTTGCCAACACCGTGAGTTTGTCCTCGGTGGCACACTGCGCCCAGTGGCCAGTGGATACGTGTGCAGCACGCTGGCTAGCTGGCTGTTGGGTTACAGGCCGAAAGAGCAGTATGGGTATACTGTGCTAGAATTGCTGTGGAGTACTGTTCTGGGATGAGATGAGACACGCAAGACCGCAAGAATGCAAAAGACACACACCCACGACGACGAGGACGCCCGGACGGGGTTGGATTCGAAACCCCCTGGTGCTCGCGTGGCGGTGAAACACCGTTTAACGTGTGCTGACTCTGTGTGCAGGCCATGACGGCAGTGGCGTTTGGTGTGCGCGCGCTCTACGCGCGCGCGCGCTGAATGCGTTGAATGGACGACTGGCGGAGACAGCAACGTAGCAACACGCGTCTGGCGTCTGGGCATGGGCGAAAGCAGCGCACAGTGCATTTGCACACAGATCCAGAGAGAGAGACAGACAGAGAGTGTGGAAAGCTTTTGCAGACAGAGACGGGGGGGTATATGCCCCCAGTCCTCCTGGCGCGTGTTGCCGTCATCCGTTGCAATGTACAGACTCTGGAACAAGGGGCGGGGGGGGGGGGGGGTGTGTCTCCCAACATGGCAAGTGTCGTCGTCTCCTCTCCAGCTGGCCAGCTCCCGTGTCGTCACCCCCCCTTGTCTTTCGCCTTGCTTCCGTCCTCCCATTCAATTCACATCCACTCTCTCTCCCCCCACAGCAAAGCCCACAGCCCACAGCCCACAGCCCACAGCACAGCACTCTCTGGCACAACAACCTTTCACTCGTCCTCCCTCTTCCAACGCACTACTCTCCACATCTCATATATATCAAACACACTCCCCCTCTCACACCCTCCCCCCCACCATGGACACTGCCCAGTACGTCTCCCTCACACCCCACACACACGCACCATACTCACTCCCCACCCCAGGCGTACACACCTCCAGCCTGCAGGCGCAAACTTCCTCCTCCCAAACCTCCCAAACACATCCACCTCCAGCCTCATGGACGCAGTCGTCGGCGGAACCCCCAACGGAGCTCGCCCCTCCGCCCCCGCTGCAGTTGGCGCATTCAGCCTAGGCCGCGTCGCAGAGGAGCAGCCCCTCGGCGACGCCAGTGCCAGCGCACGTGTCAACAGCAACGGCGTCAAGGACAAGCAGGACGCTGCCGAGGTCCGCGAGCTCGAGCTCAAGCTGGAGAAGAGGTGTGTATTCTGGTCTCTATCCCGATCGCCAACGGTTCCCCGCCGACAGTCACTCCCGACGACAACGCCCCCTCGCTGACATCCACACCCAGGCGGAGCCTTATCCCGCACCTCGAGAACGAGCTCGCTGCTCTCGAGGCCCAGATCAAGGCCGCCGAGGAGCGTCTCAGCCGTGTCCAGCAAGCCCCCCCGCAGTGGTGAGTAAAGACGCCCCTGTTGCTCGCTTGCCGGCACCGGGTCCCACGGACCGCGGAGTTGGGTAACTGGTTTGTTACCCATTCTGGTCATGCCCCTCTACCTCGTTATCCGCACTCCCGCACTCTCCACTCCCACCTCTTCACCGATACCTTTCTCGGACTCGCTGACGCAGACCAGACGGCGCTCACCCACCGCGGTGGCGCGACGCCCAGCGTGACGCTCACGCCTGCTCGGACACACACTGTCCCACTCGCGCCGCGTTTCGCTCGGACCCACGCCACATGCCACCCCATGCCCATGCTCGTCGCTGCTGTCGCCGCTGGCACTGGCCCCTCCCTCGCACCCAGCAGAGAGAGACCAGAGACCAGAGTCCCTCAACCATCCCAACGCACACGCCCCGGATCCCCGGACCTACCCGTTACATCCCAGCAACCCGCAAACCAGCCTGTACCGCCGGATCGTATCGTAACCCCAAACCCATCCCCCATTTTCATTCATTCGCCTCTCGCCTCGCCACGTCTCCTCCTGTAAAATGTACGCTCAAAGAAATGTACGCCCCCCCTTTTCGAACACCCTCGTCGCCGGCCCTCGCCGTGTTCCGTGTTTTCGGTGTGCAGCGGCTCTGCTCGGCCTGCTGTTATCCTGTTGTCCTGCATGTGTCCTGTCGGTGAACCGCCAGGAGGGAGAGGGGCGAGGTGTGCTGCCAGTTGTGTGAGAGGGGTCCCTGCGCTCAGAGCCCCCATCCCTGTACTAAGGGTCGCCGATGACGCTGGGAACCAAACAAGTGACATTTGGCGCACATGGGCGGTAGAGTACTTAGAGTAGTGATCACTGATCACTAACCCCATGACACCATCCACCAACTAACGTTTTTGCGTCGTTGCGAGTTGGCAGGTTTTTTGACAGTCGTCGTGCACGACGCGCGCGTCCGTCGTCAGACTCCAGCGACGGGAGGCAGCAACGAGACGCGTTGGGTGAGCTTAACGCGCGCGCATACGCGCGTGCGTGCGTGTGTGAGAGAGTGCGAGCGTGCGTGTGAGTGTTCCTGCCCCTGGTCCGTCCAATATGGCTCCGGCGGGCCGTCACGACCCCCGTGGCCAGTGGCCGGTGGGTTTGTCGACGACGAAAACGTCGCAATGGCTGGGGTGCATGCTGCGAAACCGAAAACATGTGCGTGCAGAGCATGCAGAGGCTCCATGTCCATGCTTTTGTATCGTCAGATATCCACGGTTCTCTCTCTCCTCCCTCCACAACACCCCGCGACGCCACGCCATGGGCAGCCACCCCTTAAAATACCGGGGTTGTGGTGTGTGTGTGGCGTGTTGTTGATCGATCGATGACAATTGACTACTGACAACGGCTTGGCGCAGGCAGGCAGGCAGGCAGGCAGGCAGGCAGGGAGGGACACTGGCCATACTGGACAAGAGCAACAAACGTGTGCAGAATCGAGCAACAGACGTGTATAGCCAGCCCGGTTGATCCACAACAGACGAGCGCAGGCCACAGGCCACGAGAATTGCAGGAGCGAGAGGACGGGGACGTCGGGCGAGCCTCTCATGGTGGCCACCAGCACAACACTTCGCGACCAGTACACGCAGACAGACAGTGACAACCACCACCACACAGCCACCGCGACTTCCGTCCACCGGCCTCCGGCGTCCGGCACCGGACACATCCCTATCGCCCTCGCTCGGTCGGCTGGCTGCAGCAGGCGAGGGAGGGCTCGGCTGGGATGGGATGGTGTGTACTGAACAATGCTGCGCCGCGCTGCGCATCGGCTACCCTGTTATTAACAGCTTATTAACAGTTACGTTTTCGGTGCATCGGTGGGTTCGGTCAAAACTGTATCGTGTGTGTGTCTCTGTGAGTGTGTGTGTGTGTGCCCTCGACCGCGCGATCCAGGGCTTGGGGGAGGCATGTAGTGTACAGTATGTAACTAGACGTCATGGCGTCCGGAACGGCGATAGCACGAGGTCGAGAGGCGGGCATGCAGACAGGTAGACGCACACTGCTCGTACTGCCACTCCCTGCTTGCTTGTGCGGCCCCCAGAGGCAAGCAACCAGCGTCAGCAGCCATCCGTCGACGGCCAGCGGCCAGCTGGTCCAAGCCGAACCGCGAGGGCACAGGCCCATGCTGTCTACGACGGCTGTCACCTCCAACGCCCCGCTGGCGGCGTCAGTGTCGGTACCGGTGTCGGTGTCTCCCACACACAGGTGTCTCCGCCGAAGCCACACTATGAATGACGGTTTCGGCCGTCTGGGCTGTACCTGGGATACCTACCGACGCGGGCGAGCTGCGGGGACTGAGCAAAGAGGATGTGGAGACAGAGGAGGCCTGTCAAGATGGACAACAGCTGTAACGTCGATGTGCAGCACGTTGCTGTGTACACCGAGATGCAATCTCGAGTGTGGCACGGGAGAAGCCAGAGGATCAGAGGACGTTGGGGATCGGTTGTTTTGTCGTAACCAGCGGCGAGCGCGGCGACGATGAAGGCCGTATGGGCGGCACGCAGGCCAATGTCGTTGGAAAGAGACCGCATCTACTCTCGCTGCCTCGACGCCATATGCATACATTGCTTGCAAGGTGGAGTCGATTGTATCGACGTGGTCACCAGACACCAAGCGCGGGGTGGACGCCGCCGACGGTTGTCGTCGGCCCTCGGCATCTCGGTTATAGCCGCGCGCGACTGGTCGCCAAAACGTCTCAGGCCACGCTCACAGCTTCTCCACAGATGCACAGATTCCACGCTCTCACACCCTTCATGTGCTGCGCGTCTGCGCGTCTGGAGCGGACCCCCGCGCGGCGTCCGGGTGCTCGGCCCGGAGACCCCAGCGCAATGTAACTGAATTGCAGCAGGACGCGGCGTTCGGAGAGTTGGGAGCGCGCCGCCACTTGCCGCCGCTTCCCGTGTGTGCGTCCTCCACCACCCCAGGATCCATCGATCAGGTCACGCAGCCATCACCCCGGCGCGCGGCGCGGGGGGAGCGCCAGTGGCCGGTGGGCAAAGGTGACAGTGGAGGGTCTAGCGCCGTTGTGCGGCTGCTTTTAGATGCATAGGTAACAGAGGTGGATGTGAATTGGGAAAAGGAAGACAAGGAAGAAGAAAGAAAAAAAGTCCCAACGCTAATGCTTTACGTAAGCAGAGATCCCGGGCCGTTGACCGTTTCCTGCCGCTTTGCCGCCCCCGCGTGGGATGGAGCGGCCGGTTGCCATGTTGAGCCCCGCCATCCGCCTTGTTGTTTCCACTCTTGACCTTCTTGCACTCTGTAGCAGATCGCTTGCATCCTCGCTACCACTGCCTCTACACAATAACGTTGATCGACCACGCCTGCCCTAGTCCTCGTCCCCGATTACAGCCAGTCCCCCCGTCGCCGCTCTCTCGCTGTCGGACCGACGGATCACTGCTGGGGTAACCACGTCAAACCTCGGCCCCCAACACCTACCACCACCGACGTTTCGCGGCCAAACTCAGATCACCACCCAATGCGCCTCTCCCATCCGCCCTCACGTCTCTCCCCGCCGCCCGGATCGAGCATGCACGAGCTCGTGGCCGCCAGTTCCGCAGCCGCGCACTCGCTGAGAGAGGAGATGGACGGCGACGACAGCTATGTCTCGGAGGGCGTCCACGGCAATGGCGCTGGCGGGACCGCAGGGAAACGCAAGGAGGACGATCGAGTGCCGAAGCGAGGCTACCGTGCTTGTGTGAGTGTGGCCAGAGAGCTGAGAGACGCTGCTTGGTGTGTGGCTACTGCTGGTCGGTGGTGCTGTTTCCGGATCCCCGGTTCGGACATCCGCCCCGCCCGCAGTGGCCCTCCCCACCCCCTGTGTTGTTGCTGACTAGCCCCAGGTCCACTGCCGCCTGCGTAAAGCCAAGTGCGACCTCGGCGACGTCAACGCCCCCTCTGAACCACCGTGCACGCGGTGTCGGCGCGAACAGCGGAACTGCGTGTTCCTCCCAAGTGTGCGTACCACAGTGCTGCTGCGCGAGTCGGTTTGTAGAGCAGCCGCACGCTGACACGCCTGCAGAAACGCCGCAGAAAGGCGCTCAACGACGACGACGTCAAGCCCGAGGTCTACCCGGCCACTGGCGGTGGAGGGCCAGCGCCGAGTGCTCCCTTGGCAGCGTTTGGTGGGCTGATGCAGCACGGCCGGCCGCAGATGCCGGGGCAGGTGGACGACGAGCTCGCCTTCCAGCGACCCCGCAGCGGGTACAACGGCGTTGGGACTGCCCGTCCACCGCAGTGGGGCGACGCACCAAGCATGGGCATGCACGCTGCCGAACCCAAGCTGTCCCCGCTCTTCGACCCGCCCTCGGCGCTCACGTCGTCGTCAAGCGGGCTGTCGGGCTCGACCAATTCCCCACACCACATCCGCCGCAGGCGGCACCACGGCGAGCCGGACGCGACGCGCCGCATTGTCGTGGCGAGCTTTAGCAACGAGACGGACGCGCTGGAAATTCTCGCCAAGGCAGCCACAGACGCGGACGGCGACGGCGAGCCCGGTGCAGACGCCGTGCGCGGCGACGAGGCGCCGCGGGAGAAGAGCAAGCGCGTCGCGTTTGCCGTGGGCGAGCAGCAGAGTCTGGCGGATTTCATCCTCGTCAAGCGCGGCGTGCTGGACGAGTCACGGCTGGGATTGCTCGTGAATGTGTTCTTTACACACCACCACCCTGTCCTTGTATGTTTTCTGTCTGCACGCACGACCTCCAGCTGACCATCCCCACTTTAGCCCGTCGTCCAAACTGCGCGGATACCCCACAGCAAGGCGCAGCTGGCGTCGTTTGCGCACAACGACCCGTTCCTGCTATGTGCCATTGTCTGCGTCGCGTCCCGCCACCACCCGGACCCGGGGATGAAGGACGTGCACGACAAGACGTACGCGCTCGTCCGCGAGACGCTGACAGACTATGCGGCCGCGGGCCTGCAACCGAGCGTCGGGTTCGTCGAGGGTGTGCTCATTCTCGCTGAGAACCTGCCACGGGACTCTCTCAGCGGAGCAGCTGCGGACATGACGGGACCCACGACCGAGGGCCGCGGCCTGCACGGTGTCGAGAACCGGCGGTCGTGGGCGCTGACGGGCACGGCCATCCGCGCAGCGTACGGTATTGGACTGGACCAGATGGCGCTCGAGGATGACCCGGGCCCGCACCCCAATGCCGACATTGAGCGCGCTCGCGGCGTCTGGACGTGGTGCTACCTCTTTGACCGCACGCTCGGCCTGCGTACAGGTCTGGCGTTCTGGAGTCGTGGGCCAGCACTGTGTTTCCAGGGCGTCTCGGATATCTCACAAACGGGCGAGGCTGCCGCACGGCTCAACTTCCCATACATGATGCAGCAGGCCGACACGCCATCGACCAACGCGCCGTCACCGGCGGGGCCGATCGACACAAACGACTCGGCAGCCATGATGCAGGCGCACATGGAGCTCACGCAGATCATGACCAACGCGCATGACATTTTGTTTTCGACACCCGCGCGTACCTCGCAGCTGGTGCGCAAGGGCGAGTACTTCAAGTTTCTCGACCACTTCCGGCGCGCGCTGGAATCGTTCCAGTGCGCATGGGCAGACAAGGTGTGGCACCTCGACAGCGTGCGCGAGCTCACGTGGTGCACGTACCACTTTGTCCGGCTGTACGTGTCGTCGTTTGCGTTCCAGGCGCACGTCCAGCGCGCGTCGGAGCGTGCAGAGCACGAGCGCGACCTGGGCCGGACGGGGCTCACGACCATCTTCCCCCGCGGGTCGGCGACGTCGCCCGACGCGCTGTTCATCTACGAGTCCATCGAGGCCAGCCACGACATTCTCAACATTTGCCTGCGGCTGGGCCACGCGGGTGTCCTGCGGTACCTGCCCTCGCGGTACCTCATCAATTTCGCCTACTCGGGCACGTTTGCGCTCAAGGCCGCATACTCTGGCGCCGTGGGCAAGGCCGACACGACCAAGACGGCCGACCTCGTCGAACGCGTGTGCGCCGCCCTCCTCCTCGCGTGTCCCGACAAGGACCACGCCGCGTACCGGTACGGCACGATGCTGCGACTGCTCACGCGCCGCCTCACCGAGCTCAGCGACCAGAGTGCCGTCCCCTCGCGCTTCCAGTCGCCGGAACCAAGCCACACGCCAGAGGTACGCGACCCGCTGCCCATGAACCTCGCGGCGGGGCTCGGCGTCATGGCCGGCGGCGCGGGTAACCTGGGCATGGACCTGGCTGGGGCCGGCGCCGGCGCCGGCATGTCGGGCCTCACGGGCGACGGCACGCTGTTTGATCTCTCGCAGGTGCCCCATAACCTCTTTGATGGCGCAGACGTCAACCTCGGCTTCAACCTCGAGGGCTTCTGGGACGACTTTACGCTCACGGACAATGGCGGGTTCCCGTTCCGCTAGCGCCGAGCGTCGGAGCGTCGGAGCGTCGGATCGTCGGATCGTCGGAGCAGGCAGGCAGGGAACGGGATGACCTCTGGTGGCATGCACCTGAACTGCTCATTGCCCCGGCGCTGGAGGCTGAGTGAGGGCATGAGGGGACGGCCGTTGCCGCAGGGACTGGCACTGTGGGGGTGGTGGGGGTCCGCCACTTGCCCTGCAGCCAGCGACGCCGCAGTCGACTGCATTGCTATGGCTAAGTCGGACAAGCATGAGTGTGGTCAGACTGCGCGCTGGCGTGATGGGAGAGAAGGAAGGAGAAGGGGAGGGGGAGAAAGAGGCAGCTTCTGGCCGCAGTAGATAGACGAGCTGAGAGACCGACCGTTGTCACGAGCGAGATGGCTGTAGAGTTAGTTGTATGCACACCATCGTGTTCGTTGTTGCAAGAGAGCAGTCCGCAGTAGGAATGTGCACCTCGGCACCATGCTCGCTGCCGGCCGCGTCCGGCACCCTCTGCAGCCCAAGGGATGTGGCGATGCAGCGCCTCTTGGCTGCCGGCTTGCTGTTCTGCTCCAGGTCCCCCATATACCCCATATATCCTCACTCTCAACCATGGCGCACACCGCAAAACCCCTCTTTCGGCGCCGCGGTGCTGTGTGCGTCATTTTACTTTCTTCCCCAACGAGTCAGCGAGTGGTACGAGTACGAGTAAGAAAGAGTACGAGTACGAGTAAGAGTACGAGAGTGGTCATGAAAGCTCCAAGGTCCCGCGGCCATGACCCGCGGTGTGCCGTGATGCATGATGCTGATAGGAGCGGGGATGTGCGCAAGTGCGATGACGTCGAGAGTGTGTTTTGCACAGCACAGCGCGTGTTTTTTGGGTGGCGACGAGCAATGAATTCGACGAGATTTCTCCGGCCAGGCGCGCGTTCCCTGGGTGTGCCATCAGAACGGGCGGTCATCCACAAACGTCACTGTGTGGGTGTGCAGGTCTCACATATCTGTTGTCTCTCCTTATTCCATTCATTCACATTCTCCCCCTCTCTCTCTCTCCCACACTCCCCCCATCATCCTACACACACCTTCCTACACACCTTTCCACATCCACTCCTTCCACTCCTCACCCCCACCACCACGATGGACGCCGCCTCCGCCGTGCTCCCCATCCGGCACTCTGGCGTCCCAGCGCTCAACGGCCTCGGTCTCGGTGGACCAGGCCTCGTCAACGTCCCCTACGAAGGCGGCTATGATGCAGTGTACGACGCCCCTCCCCCGCCCATAACGATCAACGGCCCCGGCTCACCACGGAGTTCCAGCTCTGGACCCAGCTCGCCCAGCAGCAGCAGGCGGCAGCAGCAGCGGTACAGTATGCCGCCAGCGCTGCACGTCACGCCCGACTATGTCGCGCCCAGCTCACGCGAGCCGTCGCCGCTCGCCGCGCTGCCGCCGACGTTTGCGGACAGTCCACAGGTGGATGGGCCCATCCCCGGCGCCGAGGCTGCGGTGCCCGGCGGTGCCAGTAGCAGCAGCAGCGGCGTCAGCATCGGGTCGGCGAGCCCGCGCCCGACAGGCCCACAACAGCCTGCGACCGCCGCCAAGCCATGGATCCACGACTCGTCGCGACTCTACTTTCTCCCTCCGTACCTCACCTCCCCCACGCCGACGTCTCTGCAGCTCGTCACCGACTCGCTCGAGGTCGCCAAGGACTACCGCGAGTTTATAGACACGATCGGCCGCCTCGAGGCCGAGTATGGACGCGGGCTGGCGGCTGCGGCGCGCAGGCTCGAGCAGCGGCTCGACGTGGTCCTCCAGCCTCCCCCCGGCGGGCGAAAGCCGCCCGAGCCCAGCGTCGTCAAGGGCATGCGCCAGCACCTGGGCCACGTCTCGACTGTCGCTCGCTTACACGCCAAGCGCCCTGAAGCGCTCCAAGACCAGCTCGTCAAGCCGCTCGGCACGCTGGAGCGGCGCGGCGGCGAGGTCGCGCGCCGGATGGGTCTGTGGGCCAAAGACGTGCGCGGGCGGTGGGACACGGGCCGCGAGCGCGTCGACCAGGCCCGCGGCAAGTACCATACGGCGGTGAGGGAGCATGACGGCGCGCTGGCGCGGTTCCGGGCATGCCCAGCTCCGGTGCAGGGAGGCAAGGCCGACTCGGAGTGGGTGCGTCTCGAAAAGGCCGCGACAGAGGCCGAGGTCGTTCGCGCCGACCGCAAGCACGCGTACCTCGTCGCCCTGGCCGGCGAGGGCAACACCGGCGGTGGCGGGCGCGACCTGAGCGAAGGTGGTGGCGACAAGGGCTGGGGCGAGGAGGCGCGCGCGCTCTATGGCCATGTGCAGAGCACCATGCTCGAGCTTGTCAAGCACCAGGCCAACGAGGACAAGAGCCACGCCGACCTCGTGCTGAATGTGTACAAGCGCGCACAGCGGAGCTACGACAATGTCGACCTTGGCGCAGACGAGAACGCATTCCTGGACTGGAACACGACCCACCCGGGTTCCGGGTCCTTGGCACCCTCTACGGCCGGCGGCGACGAGCCTGTGTCCCCCATGAGCCCACTCGCGCCGACGGCGACCATCGAGGATTCGGCGTCCGCCACGTCCCAGCAGTCTGGCGGCGGCGGAGGCCTGCTCGCGTCCATCCGCCACACGACGCATGCGTCCTCTGCCGCCGGCACCAGCCACCCAAGTCTCACATGCTTTACATTTGTGCCCCCGCCATCAGCAAGGGACGAGGCGCCGATACTCAGCACCGACAAGCGCGACGACCGCAACTGGCTCACGAACCGCTGGCTCCAAAGCGCCCAGGCTCTGGCCGATGCCGAGGGCGCCGATGGAAGCGGCGGCATGCTGGAGATAAAACGTGGGTGAACGATCCGCGAGAATTGCTGACTCGTCCAGGTAAAGAGTTTGAAGCCATCTGCAAGCTCTGCGACACGTACTCTGCCAACCGCGGCCTGGGCAACCCGGAAGAAGTCTGGGAACGTCGCATTGCCCTCCTCCGCGAAATGGGCGAGGACGAGCGTCGCGTCGCCGTGGCCAAAGCGGAGATGGCGTGCATCGAGAATGTTCTTGGTCGTGAGTTTCGAATCGTTCCTTGGCTAACTGTCAGCCGACCCCGCCCCCGAGATGCCCCACGACTTCAAGGACAAGCAGTTCGCCATTTCGGCGCCGTGCGACGCGTGTGGCCAGTCAGTGTGGGCGCCCATCAAGCCCGAGATGGCCTGTCGGTCGTGCGGTATCGCGCTGCACACGAAATGCGCACTGCACGTCGCCCCAGAATGCACCGGCCTCAAGACGACGGCCAAGCGCCGCGGCCACCAAACTGGCAAGATCCGCCGGTCCATCACCAACGGCAACTTTTTGCGGCGCAAGTCTTTCCTCGACGCGCCGCACGGCGCCGCGCAAGAGTTCAAGCCTGCGGCCATCGGGCGCCTCGAGCCACTCCGTGACGACGAGCTGCAGGTCTCACCGTTCGTGTCGGGCTCGGACCTCGACCGCCCCGCCATCGTCGCGGCGCTGGACGAAGAGGCAGCCGACGGTCCGGCCGAGTTCCTCTTCGCGCGCGCCCAGCACCCGTACACGGCCGACGGTCCCACCGAGCTCTCCCTTGGCCGCGGCGACGTGCTCCGTATCATCGAGCCGGACCTGGACGGCAGCGGGTGGATCAAGGTCCGCCGCGGGCTGACGGACGGCGACACGGGCCTGGTCCCCGAGTCGTTCCTCGGCGTCGTCGGCGCATCGACCCCGCCCCTCGATGGCGGCGCCGGAAAGTTTGCCGTTGCGCTCTTTGACTTTCCCCCGCCGTCACATACCCTCGGCCGCGGCGAGATCCAGATCCGCCAGCACGCGCTGTACGAGCTCAGCGACGAGGGCATGGCGTTTGACGAGCTGTGGTGCGAGCTCGTCGTGCCGGACGGGTCGGGCGAGCGGAGGGTGCGCGGTGTCGTGCCCAAGACATATGTCAAGCCCGTGGAGATGTGAGCGGGGGGAGGGGGAGAGGACGAGGACGACAGTCGGAGAGGTGGCACGCAGTGAAGATACACGTCAACGACACGCAACACACACACACACGCATAACACACGCATCACGGCCAAAACGACGATATAGACGAGCCCTTCCTGAGGTCAACCACCACGCGCAGTCCCAGGTGTCACTATACGATCCTCCACCAGCGTTTTCGCAACAGGCGAGATTGGCATTGACACTTAGTTGTGTGGCTGCACCGCGCTCGGAAGTACGGAAATGGGTGAGGTTGACCTCACCACACACTCCAGTGCTTTGTACTGTTCCCCGGTTCTCCCTCACGAGCGGGGCTCCGTCCCCTTGTTACACTACTACTGTTCATCACATGCATGTACGTGTACCCTTTGTGAATTTTGCAAAGGCCGGGATGGAGTGGGTACGGTCGTTTGCGGCGTGCACGGCGCTGGACACTTGGGCACTACATACATAGTTTGACGACAACGAAGAGACATGGCGCGGGGAGGACTATGGAGACACGGCGGTATTTGATCTGTCTGTGGGATCGCGGAAAAGAGGTGGGAATGGGAACGAGGATGGCACCGGCGTTCACAGCGGCCCAAAGGTCAACGATCGCCGCCACGAGCGGCGGCGTCTGGGATCCGCAGCTTGCGCAGCCCAGAACAAGGTGTACAGCAGCAGCAACAAGTGAACACCACGACAACAAGATTCTCAAAAGCAGAACAGTCGACGAAACAGTCGACGAAACAGAGGAAGGAATCTGTAACGTCCACAAAGGCACACGGCATGCGTCGCCAGTCGCGTGTGTGAGCGTTTCTATGCGGAAGGCACTGACATTACCTTTGGCGGCACTGGGCACTAGCCACTGGGCACTGGGCACTGGGCACTGGGCACCGGGAGCCCGAGTACGGGACACAGCTCCCCGTGGCGTGTCTTGGGTGGTTACACACCGCGGCGGCGGCGGCGGCGGCGGCGACCAGGCAGACACCATGCAGTGGCTGTGACGGTGTCGGAGACGGAGACGGTGGCGGCGAGACTTTTGTGGGTACCGATCAACTAGCCTCGTTCGTGCATGGATCCAGACGGCGGTGCACAGCTTCACAAGTGGGACGGGAATGGACTGCAGTGGTCGGTTGGTACATGCGATCCCCGCTGAAGCCACGCACCCGATTAATGCCTAGACACTGCGAGCGCTGCCTGCAGCTGCGCCGAACCCCGCGTCCATGTCGCGTCGTCGCCATGTCAACAAGAAGACGGACAAGACGGACACTTTAATAGGCTGGGGTAGGTGTATGCACATGTTCCTTGGGCGAGCAACAAAACGCTGGCGAATGGTAAGGCCGTCTTGTCAGCAATCTCAGCGGATCAGCGGCCGGGGCTGCGTAATCGCCGTCCACAAGTGGAATCTGCCACCATCCCACCCCGTGGCAGTAAGACGATCGCTGCTCCGTCCCACTGGCCACTGAACACGCATGTGCTTCCTGTCCGTTCGCTACGCCGCGCTGTTGCACACACACACACACATGCCGAGCGGCATTGACTTTTGGGCCGGTGTTTGCTACAGGCACAGCGGGGCGCGGAAATCGGCTCCACGGGCACGACAGGAACGGGTTTGTGGCACGGGAGTGTGGCAGTGGTCTGTCGCGTTGGTTCTCGGTTTGGGGAAAGAAACCCGTTCCACCATCAAACGCGCCCATGCTTGTCGGGTTGGAGACTGAAATTGAGAAAATACTTGCACCGTGTCGATGAGCAAGGTGAGATGGATGAATGAGATGGCAGTGAGCAGGTCAAAAGAGTTTCAAAGACTCGTGTTGCAAGACAGAAAGTACGTTTGTTTAACATCGGGCAAAATTGAGGCTATGTAAAAAGTCCATGAGAATAGTCCGTTTTGATGACCCCTTCACCGCTGGGCATCTACACTGGGAAGGGTGCTGCAGACCTTGTTCCACGCGTGAAATGTATCCATGGTGAAAGATTCGAAGGGCGACCGTGGAGGCGACTCGGCGCGATGCGCTTAGTCGAGCTCGTTGATGGAGCGGCCGGTCCAGCCCTGGGGGCACTGGAGGTGGCCGTTGGACCACGAGCCGCCGATGGACTCACCCTCGCAGGGCTGGAGGGGGCGGGCGTAGCCGTCTCCGCAGTCCCAGTACTGGACGCCCTTGGAGTCGCAACCGGCGTACTTGTAGCCGTGGCCCTCGACGGTGACCTGGTAGTTCTTCTTGGCACCGTTGCAGTTGAGGTAGCCACTGTTGTGGACGTAGACACCGCTGTTGAAGCCGTTCCAGCCGTGGCCACCGGAGCCGTACTGGACAGGAATCTTCTGGGAAGAGTGGGAGCCGAGGAGGCCAAGGAGGCCAAGGAGCAGACCGGTGCGCTCCTCCTCCATGTGGGTGGCGTCACCGCGGGCCTCGAGGCCGCTCTCCTCCTCGTCGCGCTTCCAGCCGGCGCTGCCGGAGCCCCACGAGCAGCCCTTGGCGAGGCCGGCGTTCCAGCCCTTCTGGATGGCGAGGCCGGATCCGGTGCTGAGGCCAATGCGGACAGGGCAGAGCGAGCCGCTCGAGTGGGTGAAGACGGGGACGTTGGCGCACTTGCCGGCGTAGTAGCCCTGGTAGTTGCCAAACTTGCACTGGCTGCCCTCCTTGAGACCGTCGAACAGAAGAGCGCCGACAGCGAGGAGGAGGAGGGTGCGGCCCTCGTGGACGGGGGTGACGTCCTGCGAAACGGGGATGGGGGCGGGGGCAGCGAGGGCAAGGGCCGGGAGGGCGGCGGCGGCGGCAACAGTGGTGAGCTTCATGTTGGCTTGGTGTTTGGTGGTGGTGAAGGTAGTTGGAAGAGAAGAGGAAGGTAGAGCGGATGAAGAGGTCAGAGGGGGCTCAGAGGTGCTCTTTAAATGTCTTTTTGCCAGCTCGAATGGCCGTTCATCGTCCAAATCGCCTTCCTTGCGTCTGCTCCCTCGTCGTCAGCGTCGCTACAACAGCATCCTTGGACAATCTGGCATCAATCAGGGTCAACCGAGTCTACAACGACATGAAGACCGAGCGTCTACCAATAGCCGTTGGGAGGCAGAGAGGCCAGGGTGGACCGACACTCAGCGACCACGAGCAGAAAGCAACATGCCACTGACGATGGAAGCTAGGCCCGATGACATACCGTGTCAGCCCCAAAGCACCCCAGCCAGCCCCATCCTCGCTGCTCCCACACTTGATGCACGTCCCCGACCACGCTCTCTCGTAGCCGGGAACGCAAGTGCCTGGACCGTGTTGTGTGTGCCCACCATCCGTCGACTGCAATTAGTTGATGCCAAGAGCGGTCGGAACCGTAAGGTATCCTCCCCGGGCCACAATTAAGGGTTTCGCAAGGAACGCAACCATTGAAACTATGGGCCTTTCATGTCGTGAAACCACAACCTTACCTGACCAGTGGCGGAGTGTGGCAGCTCTCTGTGGCTGCCAGGTCTCTAGTTCCAACAAGAGACTGGGGTTGCAGCCAGCATTTGCCCCTTCTGGAGGGTTTGCATCTACTGTGGTCCCGCCAGCGCGATGGGAGCGTCATCAGACGCGCACAGACGAAGCACACGCACAGACGAAGCACACGCACTAGAGAAACGAACACGAACAATGTTACGTTGCTTTGCCCAACGGGCCAGCCCATCCCCGCGTGATGGCTGTATTCTTTGCCGAGGTTGGGCGTGTCAGATTGAACTGCACAGATCTCATAGTCTCCATCCGCAGTGCGTAGCGCCGACCAGAAACGCTCCCAGCCTGGTGTTGGGTAAATCGACCCGGATCCGCCGCATGCCACGCAAAAACATTGTTTCCTCCGATCCCGTGCAGCGCTAGAACCCGTAGTGTTTGTTCCCTGTGCCGGCCAGGCTTCGACTGCCAGCCAGCCCTCAGTAGTAGTGGCAGTAGCAGTGCAACCGCCCACACACACCCCTCCCCCCCTTCCCGCAAAATGATCCTGGGTCCGTGACAGGAGCTTGTGTCCGGCGCCACACGTTACGGGAGACGGCTCAGGCACCATCGCGGTGAACAAACTCGGTGCTTTGTTGGGTTCCTCATTCCGTTCGCCAACTGGCCAACGCTCAGGTCGTCGCATTACAGCATCTCTGAGGTTACCCTCCTTCGCTTCCCTATCCTCGTTGACGAGGTTCCACTGTCAAACATGCAGGTTCCATGTAAATTACAGCGACCAGGAATCAAGTCAGGCTAGAGACTACAGACATGTTAAGAGTCTGAACTAGGACACGGGTACACGGGTCGACGCCACATCAGCCTCGGGTGGGCGATACAGCCGTACTTCGGCTTGCACGCACTTGTTGGTGTCATGTTTTGAACCACTGCTTGTCGACTAGGCAATGTTTGAACCGCACAGAACCGGGTCTGATGGGAACGCGAGTGGAAAGGCTGCTACGCCGCGGTATACGGAGCCGAGCCCGTATTGTCAGGCGCAGCCGATGCGATCTCTGCCACCACAGTATCGACTGCTTCCATCTCCCCGCTGCCGGCACGGTCACGTCGGCAACAGACGGGATGACAAGCATGACACTGTTGCGTGGTGTGGTGGGCAGCCAAACTTGCCCCAACTCCGCCCCTCAATGCCAGCCCTGCCTCCCTCCCAGCCTTAACCTCTCCCTAGCAAGGCCGACCCTTAGTCTCAGCCTCCGTCGACTAGCATCTCGCCTTCTCGGTACAGTAGGATGTAATGCATCAGAAGTGAGGGCTGCCGTGTCAGCTGGGGTCCTGTTATTGTTTTCTGGCTTTAGCAACGCTCGTGGGTTGGTGCCTGGGTAAGTGCGGTTCCTTCGGATCACCAACAACAGATCGGCAGCATGTTGACCACCCACACGTGTGCCGGCATGGATCTATCTTCCGCCTCCCGTTGCAGTCAGAACCGAGCGCTCGTGGCTCGTGGGGATGGATGCCTCATGGCTCCATCTCATCCATCAAGTGCACCATTGCTGTTACCCCCGTTCTCAAGACCGAGCCCACGCAGTTGTCCGGCCTCTGATGCACCCTATTCCGCCCGGAAATATAACAATACCTGAAAGGTGTCAGTCACTCATCATGCAAGCCGATTCCTGATCTCCGTCAAGGCAGCCCGTAGCCTGTGTGCTGGAAATACACTGCTGCATTGCTCTCATTATCTTACAGTGGTTACCGGCGGCGAAGCACCACCCTGGTTGCGCTCGGCGCAACCGAGCAAACAGGAAACGAAACGATGGCTGAGACCCGACTGCGCACTGCGGGAGTGCTTAGTGGCATGGCCGCGGATCCTGCGGATTTCGGTCGCTCCAAGCCACATTCCTATGGGTCCAGCCCCTATCGTCGGTTCGCGTATGTACAGTACACCGAGGAGCACTATTACTCTACTCTGGAAAAGTCGGGACGACCTGACGTGCTCGGTATCCGAATAACAACGATCGAGTGCGAGCTCGTTCGCTTGTGGACCGTCCCTCACCGAGTGGCCAAGCCCACTTGCCACTCTGAACGTCTCAGTCTATTCTTCAATGTTACGTTCGTTTGCTGGTGCTGCAGGAAGATGGGTGTGGCATCTTCCGCGTTGAACGCGGAGGCTGGTGTCATTTACCGTCAACATGTTGGGCATGCACACCCACAGAGCCACAAATCAGTCTCCCTCACGTACTCCCCAGAGGTACCCACGCACCTCTTCGGTTTGAAAAACAGCAGGACGTGTGCCGCTCGGCACCGCCTATGCAACAACTTGCTTCTGCACTTGTTACTCGACAGCACGCCCCACCGCGCTCGCCCACGCGAGCAACATTGAGTTACTCAGTTCACCAGCTGACTTCCAGGTACTATACAATCCTCGTTACGACATGAAACGTCGGACTCGAACCTTTGCCGCCTCCCATGACGTGGGTACGGGGAGGTATCGCGGCACGGGGCACGGCATGCGTGCGCACTCCACACCTGTTTGGAAAGCTACGATGCAATCTGACGATGAAGAACATGAGAAATGCATTCTTTGGCTGTGTTGCGACGCAAGGCCCCGTACCGGCCTCTGACGTTCTTGTTCCTCGGGCCTTGATCCTGCCGGGGACCTGGCAAAGTTGGAATCGAGGTACGCCCATGTGCATGCTGTCCGTTCGGCGGATGCTGCGCTTGGATCCTGCCATCTTGGCTTTTGTGTGACCGCTACGTGTAATGTCCGTCTCTTACGGCTGGCCTCGGTGCCGTTCATGTCCGTGTCCTTTTCGACCATGTCTTTTGTAACGTAAATGCCTGCCACAACCGCCTGGATCCCGACAAACTCGCGTTGTGCGGCATGATGAGGCCCACCTGACCCGACGCAGCATTGCTATCCTACCCTTCCTCCTTGTGGTGACATTGCGAAAGGAAAACTCACATACTCAGTCACGGCTGGGTGCAGAGCAAAAAGTCCACTCCAGGTCACTTGCCGTATAGAGAGACAACACCGGTCCAATGAGGCGAAGGCTCTCATCCGCAAGTCCCAGAGTTCCCTGAAACCCCCGCGACGTCGGCTACCCATCGCCGTTGAAGTCAACTTTATGCCTAGAGCGTTGAACCGAGTGAGTGGGTCCCGCATGGTTTTGGAATGGCACATACTCGCGATGTGCGCGACCTTGTGGCCAGCGAGTGACAATTCGACGAGCCAGACAGTCTCGTCCTCCTGGAAATCGAAAGTTATATCCCCAGCCCGCCTAGGGGTCCATTCACTGCGCACTGCGCACTACGCACTGCGGATCACGAAATGATAAAGAGCAGCCTCGAAATGACAATTTTGTCGGAGAACATAGCTAACTTTTAATATTGACATTATTCACTCATCCTCAGCGCGCTGGACACCGAAAGTGGAGGTTCTGGTTAAGCGTATCACCACATACCCCCACCTTGGCGCCATTCAAGCTTGCCCACAGAACGGGTGCTGCGCTTGGCGCAGTGTCGGCAACCTACCTCATCTCTCGTCACCTGGCCATTCACTAAGCTTACAACTCTCCGCCCCTCGTCGATCCTTTTCAATGCTTCCCGCGGCGCTTGGTGCCGAGAGAGAGACGAGAGACACATGTTCTCGCCCGTCCCAGACCCCAGGCCATTGCGTAGCGCGATGGTGAATGCTCCGTTCCCAATGTTTTGGTGCGCAGCTGATGGCTTGGCAGCAAGTTCGAGTGCAATGGGACAAGACTCGGCGCGGCTGATGAAGACGGGAGGACTTGCCGTAACTTCTGCATCGGACCGTGCTAGCACCAAATGTCGTTTGTCCAAATCAGGTGCTGCGGTGCGGTCAATGCCAAGCATACAGTGAGCATATACATAAGTACGTGGGCTGCAACATTCCTAGAATCAGTACGTGGGATCATTCAGTGACAGAGGCTGCGACATCTGCGCGTGTAGTCACCGGGTTGATGCCACTAGTTGCCCATGGCCAGAAAAAGGATCCCAGTACCACTCATGCTTTGTTTGCGCATTACACACCCTGTGTTGGATCCAACCATCTGGATCAAACAACAGGAGTCTACCAAACGTACTGATGTCTGTCGGATGACCAGCACCAATATTCAACACGGACTCCCTGCCGAAGTACCTTGCGAGAGCTTACCCCCTCACTTCCACAACTATAATGTTCGGCGGTTCCGGCTCCATTCCATCAGACATACCATGCCCACTCGGGTAGGGACATTGACGACATATGACGATCAACAGTGCAAGGCAATGTGGCCTCGGATGGCAATAGGCGTCGCCGCAGTTTTCACTCACGAAAGCCCAAGCTTGGGCCGTGATGATAATTGCCGCGGATCGTCCGGGCATTTTATTATCCTTCACCCTCCACACCCATTCAATCACACTCCATGACATGTATACCTCACGTCCTGGGGCCAAAATTCATAAGTGTGAGCATTGGAGTGTTCAGAGACTCCCTGGCGTGTTACCAGCGCGATGGAGATCTTGGCAGGCGTAACGTTCATCCGTTCATCCATGCAAAAAGGTGGCCAAACTGATGGCCAACATGACTCAACATGGTATTGGGAAGACTGAAATCTGGCCGGTGTCTTCTCACATTAGAACCAACTGTCTATCACCTTCCTGGTATTGATCGTGTGCGACCTGAATGCACGTTTGGGTGAGTCCTGCTCGCTTGTTGACACCGGATTTATAAAAACAATCCAATTTGGACGATTAAACCCGAATAAATCAACGGAATTCCAGATAGACGGACGATGCAGCACAAAAGGGCGCCAAACGGACGTGAAGATACTCTGGGTGTACTACTGTTATTTCTGTGTCAGCGGCATTATCCCAAGACAGCCCCATCCTGACAATTAAGGAGCTCGCAACAATCGCCCCATTTTAAGTACCCGATGATGATACCATAGCTGTAATCCTCACAAGAATTGTCCAACCCAGTCTCTGCTTTTTCACAAGCGCAAATATACGACGACATGGACGCCCTCACATGGCATGGCACAAGTGCATAACGACGACATTGTCCTGTAAGTGTTCCGTGGCGTTCCTCCAACTGACCTCAAATCACGAACGTGGCACCGAATTCTCGCATGCGAGAAACACACCTGAGAGCCCGAGCACTCCAACTCACAGAATACCTAGACTCTCCAACTACCACGGCGCAGCGTTCTTTATTGTCCCCCTTAGCCGCTGCGCCACGAACATCTCGATATCTGCCACCTGAAGCGAGACAAAGGTGGAGCAACCAAAGTGGCCGAAAATATCCCGTTCAGCTGCCACTCACCAATTCCGACGCCGAATCGAACGTAAAACAGCACCTTGAGGTAACTTTGGTGCCCAAAGTGACAGAACAGATGCTCGTAGATGCATTGAAGGCAAAAAAACAGGCAGTTTAGACGGGAGCTCAGCCTGTAGGCTCTGTCCAAAATCCCAAAACATCAAATACCCTATGGCTCAGTTGGCTAGCGCGTGGAGCTGTTATCTTCAACACACTCCGAGGTCCACGGTTCGAGCCCGTGTGGGGTAGTTTTTGCGCTCCCTGGCATGTCCTGGGACTCATGCATGTGCCCGTTGACGACTGGAGGTCGAGGCAAGCAAGTTGAGACGGTGTCGGAGGTGTAGACGGTGGAATGGTGGTTGTGGCCTTTTTTGTGTGCTTTTTGCGCCATTCTGACGAACATGCATGTGGCTAGCCGCTGCCTGGCAAGACCCCCCGACCTCCGAATAGCTTTTGGAGCGATATTGAACCGGAAGCGAGCGCGGTGGAAACATAAACGACATCTCGGGTCATTACGGAACGTTATTAATCAGCCAAAGCCGTGGATCGTCATATTCGGAGTGCCAAGTGCATCGACACTGCTTGGACCGCTCGTGGTGGCCTGCATGGATGACTGCGAAGACCGAACGAGAGACTCTTTGAGCCGCTGTCGTGCTTTGTCGTCAAGTGACGTCGGTTTGGCGGGGGGTGCGACTGTCCGACGCGGAGGCGACTCCGAATTTTTCAAACGTGGCAAAGTGGAGGTTATCCGGTGATTCCCATCGCTTCTTCCCGAGGAATGCGTGCTCGTCGTTCAGCGTTCAGCAAGTAGTAGTAGTGCGGCAGGCATACACCTCGAGTTCTCAAAGAAGACAGCAAAATGCCGGTATGTTACCGGTGAGCTGCAGGTGGCAGTGTGGGCTGGCTTCGGTGCTCTTTGCCTCAAAACAGTAGACTAGGCGATTGGCGGGGTTTACATCATCGTTTACGAACATATTATATCGTCACGCACCTCAACACCTGTTCATTCACCGAGAAGGAGTGTAACATAGTGTAACATAGCCACCAAAGAGGCTCCGGCACAAGACCGGTCGGTGTCTGCTGGTACATGGATGGACATGTGGGACGGTTGTGTGTTTATGCCACTTCGCAAGATCAGGGCGGTCATGTCCGTGTCCCTGGGGCGCAGACGATGGTAATGTTGGACGTAAGCCACGCTACGCTGATGGGCGACCTGTAGACATCGGCGACGTCGACTTCGATGTCCAGACTATCAGTCTAGCCGTCTCCTGGCCTCCTGGGGACATGAAAAGTGCGTCGAGGACGATTTTTACGGGGCAACCACGGGGGGGGGGGGGGGGGGGCCTGTGGAGCACATTCCTGGAGGCGCATTTGAATGCAGAGTCTGGATGTGCAGTCTAATAGTCTAATTCATTTACAGAATTACAGAGAAACCCTTTGACATATTGGAGGATGGTTATTCGCCGAGAGCGGACGATTGGGCGACGATGAAAATTCGGATCTCGATGAAAAGGACGCGAGCACGCCATCTGACGCACGCGCACGAGCAGAAGAAAGCATTCGTTACTTTCCAGATCCTCTGGTGCGCGGCCTGGGGCTCTGGGCCCGGACTTGTGCCCGCCGCCTTTTTTTTTTGCTGCCACCGCACGCTGACCCGCCCAGCCCAGCCAGCGTCCATGACACGGTCCGCTTGCCCCGGTGGGTTGGGTGGGTGTCGTTCGGAATGATGGTGTGCTGCCCAGGCTGGCCAGAAAGTTGGGCCCGCCAACCACCGTCGGCGCATAAGCAACACCACCCGGCCCCACCCCCCTTTACTCCCATCTCTTCTCAACCTCAACCCCCTCCCCCTCCCCCCCCCCTAAAACAACACCGACGAGGCCAGACGAGTAACAGGACTGGTAAGTACTTGCACACAGCAAGCACGCGCACACACACGCAGCTGCCATGCTGCACACATCGTATACGGGGTGCTCATCGCTGCAGACAAACATGTCCCTCGTCGCCGCGCTCGCCCGCCTTTCGGCCACTGTGGCCCACCCCGTGACTGACAAGCCCGCGTCAGTCGAGGCTCTCAACCCCTACCTCCCCCTCGCCTCGGGCACCTCGCTCCTCACCTCGCCCGTCTTCCTCCCCTCGCTCCCCCAGCCCGCCGGCAACGCCGTCGTTCACGTCCTCGGCGCTACCAGCGCCGCCGCTCCTCGCGCGGCCAAGAACGTGACCCTCATCTCGCGTTCCGCTCAGGAGGCCTACGACCGTGCTCTCCTTGCCCTCCGCCTGGCCAAGGACGTCGGTGCCGTCGTCTACCACTTCATCGCCCCCGCTGCTCTCGAGGGCGAGGTCGCCGAGGTCGACGCTGAGGCTTACCTTGCCGCTCCCGCCAACTCGCCCGAGGGCGAGTTTGACGAGGCTCTTGTCAAGGCCTTTGACGCCGAGTCGCTTGCCATCCTCAAGCTCACCCGCCGTGCCCAGCGTGCTCTCACCCAGACCGGCGAGGCTTCGGGCCGTGTTGTGATCAACTTCCTCCCCACCGAGCTCTCGGTCGGTGCCGTTGTCGATGTTGCCCTTGCCTCGCCCCTCGCTCGCGAGAAGATTCGTGCCCTTAAGGCCAGCGAGTTTGTCGTTGTCGAGGCCGGTGCCGGCAAGTACGGCCCTGCTTGGGCTGCTGTCGTTGATGCCCTTGAGGGCCTCGACGTTGCCGTCCGCTCGGTTCTTGTTGCCTCGGCCAGCGCCGTCAGCGAGCTCGACTCGGCTCTTGCCTCGGGTGCCCCCCTCGTTCGCGTGGGCAGCCCCGCTCCCGTTGCCGAGATCCCTTCGACCTCGATCGCGGTCCCCACCGCCGAGTCGGCCTACACCACTCTCCTCGAGTCGTCGCCTCACCCTCTCGAGGTCCTCAACGACCCTGCCCACCTTGCTGCTAACGAGACCACCTCGCCCCTTTACGCCTTTGGTAAGGCCGTTGCTGTCCGCCAGGAGCGCGAGCACCTTGTCGAGCTCGTCAAGAAGGTCCTGAAGGCCTCGGAGACCCGCCCCGAGGTTCACGCCGCTCTCGGCGACTGGCTCCTCGTCAAGGAGGACAAGAAGTCGGCTGCTGCCGGCGACAAGGCCGCTGCCGCTCTCGGCCAGGGTGCCAACGCCGACGAGGCTGAGATCGTTGCCCTCGGCGCCAAGGGTCACTGGACCAAGCGTGCCCTCTGGATTGTCATTTCCAACGCGTGGGCCGCTGACCTCGCTTCGTCGGGTCTCCACCACGCCCTCGTCTCTGGCCTGGACATCAACCTCCTCGTCTACGAGACCCAGCCCTCGCCCTTCTCGCCCCTTGCCAACAAGCAGCGCGAGCGCAAGAAGGACCTTGCCCTCTACGCCCTCAACCTCGGCGATGTCTACGTCTCGTCGGTCGCTGTCTACGCCGACTACGCCAACGTTATCAACGCCATGCGTGAGGCCGAGAACTTTGAGGGCCCTTCGCTCGTCCTCGCTTACCTCCCCTGGGGTGAGAAGGCGGACGGTGCCTCCGTTGGTGGTGACGAGAAGGCCGGCGCTCTCGAGCGTCTCCGCGAGACCAAGCGCGCCGTCTCGGGTGGTTGGTGGCCTCTGTTCCGTTGGAACCCCCTCCTCGCCGACGACAAGCGCTTCTCGCTTGACGCTCCTCACATCAAGAACGCTCTCTCCGAGTTCCTTGACCGCCAGAGCCACCTTTCGCAGCTCACCAAGGCCCAGCCCGCTATTGACCCCAAGGTCACCCAGTCCAAGGGCCAGGACCTCGTCGCTGCCCGCAAGCAGAAGGCTCGTGAGGCCTACGACCGTCTCATCAACTCGATCGACGGCCCCGGCCTTCTTGTCCTCTTCGCTTCGGACGGTGGTAACGCCGAGAAGCTTGCCAAGCGCCTCGTCTCGCGCGCCAAGATGCGTGGTGTCGCTGCCTCGATCCGTGTCCTCGACTCGATCGCCAAGGACATTGTCGAGACCCTCTCCGAGGAGAAGAACGTTGTCGTGATCACCTCGACCGCCGGTCAGGGTGAACCTCCCCTCAACGGTCGTGAGTTCTTCAAGGCTGTTGGCGCCATCGACGCCGCTGCCGCCGCCCCCAAGCTCGCCGAGACCCGCGTCGCCGTCTTTGGTATGGGTGACTCGAAGTACTGGCCCCGCAAGGAGGACTACGTCTACTACAACAAGCCCGGAAAGGACATTTACCCCAAGATCATGGCTCTCGGCACCCAGGAGCTCGTCCCCATTGGTCTCGGTGACGACTCGGACCCGGACGGAAAGGAGACTGGCTACAAGCCCTTCGAGGCCAGCCTGTGGAAGGCCCTTGGTGTCGACGCCGTCGAGGTCGCCGAGGTTGTCGAGGAGACTGTCGCCAACGAGCACATCAAGATCGCCTCCAACTACCTCCGTGGTACCATCCTCGAGGGTCTTGCCGACGAGTCGACTGGCGCCATTGGTGCCTCGGACGCTCAGCTCACCAAGTTCCACGGCACCTACATGCAGGACGACCGTGACATTCGCGAGTCGCTCCAGGCCCAGGGTCTCGAGCCCGCCTACTCGTTCATGATCCGTGTCCGTATGCCTGGTGGTGTCTGCACCCCCGAGCAGTGGCTCCACATGCACCGCATCGCCGACGAGCACGGCAACGGTACCTTCAAGCTCACCACTCGCCAGACCTTCCAGTTCCACGGTATTGTCAAGAAGCACCTCAAGCCCGCCATGCAGGCCATCAACCGTTCGCTCCTCGACACCATTGCCGCCTGTGGTGACGTTAACCGTAACGTTCTCTGCTCGGTCAACCCCGGCTCGTCGCCCGTCCACCAGACTGTCTACAACTTCTCCAAGGCCATCTCGGAGCACCTGCTGCCCAGCACCTCGGCCTACCACGAGATCTGGCTCGACAAGAAGCCCGTCTTCACCGACGCCGTTCAGGACCTTGAGCCCCTCTACGGCCCTTACTACCTGCCCCGCAAGTTCAAGGTTGCCGTCGCTGTCCCTCCCGACAACGCCGTTGATGTCTTCACCAACGACGTCGGCTTCATTGCCATTGTCGAGAATAACGAGGTCGTTGGTTACAACGTCTCGGTTGGTGGTGGTATGGGTGTCACCCACTCGAACAAGAAGACCTACCCCCGTCTCGGTGACGTTATCGGTTTCGTTACCCCGGAGGACGGCTGCCTTGCCGCCGAGGCCATCATGCTTACCCAGCGTGACTTTGGTAACCGTCAGGACCGCAAGAACGCGCGTCTCAAGTACACTGTCGACCGCCTTGGCCTTGCCAAGTTCAAGGAGGAGACTGAGAAGCGCATGAAGAAGCCCTTCCAGCCCGCTCGTGCCTACACCTTTGACTCGAACCTCGACGTCTACGGCTGGCAGAAGGGCCACGACGGCAAGAACCACTTCACGCTCTTCATCGAGAACGGTCGTGTCGAGGACTCGCCCCGCCACCAGTTCAAGACTGGTCTCAAGGAGGTCGCCGAGGCCCACAAGGGTACCTTCCGCCTCACTGCCAACCAGCACGTCATCCTTTCCGAGGTTGCCGACGAGGACCTCCCCGAGATGAAGCGTCTCCTCGCCAAGTGGGGTCTTGACAACGTCAACCACTCGGGTCTCCGTCTTTCGTCGTCGGCCTGTGTCGCCTTCCCCACCTGTGGTCTCGCCATGGCCGAGTCGGAGCGTTACCTCCCCGTCCTCATCGACAAGGTTGAGAAGATCTGCGAGGAGGCCGGTGTCGGCCGTGACGCCCTCGTCATGCGCATGTCGGGTTGCCCCAACGGTTGCTCGCGTCCTTGGGCCGCCGAGGTCGCCTTCGTCGGCAAGGCCCCCGGCTCGTACATGATGATGCTTGGTGGTTCGCACGTTGGCCAGCGTCTCAACAAGCCCTTCCGCGAGAGCGTCACCGAGCCCGAGATTCTCGAGATTCTCGAGACCCTCATCAAGCGCTGGGCCACCGAGCGCAACGACGGCGAGCGCTTCGGCGACTGGAGCGTCCGCGCCGGCGTCGTCAAGCCGACCCTCTCGGGCAAGACATTCTGGGATGACAGCAGCGCCTCAGCTTAAACCCAGTGGTGATTGCGTTCAGAGGAATTGGGGAGCGTGTAGAGTTGTGCATGGGACATGTCTAGCCTTATCAGTATCAGTAACAATGGATCGTTTGCATTTGAGCAACGTTTGTGGGCGAGGGGGGCGCATTGCATCATTGGTTGTACCTTCATCACATCACACGGCGCACGACTAACCACTGGCCAACACTCTTCTCTCTCACTTACTCTCACCCAACTTCTTGACCATGAGCGACACCCGCGCGCCACCCTCTCACCTCCCGGCACCACCGCCCTCGCTCCTCTTGAAGAGTGACCTGCTCAAGCATGGGGATGCGTCAAACGATGTCTCTCCCTCTCCTCGCTACCCACCCGGCCCGAGTTCCCTACCTGTACGACCAGTCTCGCCACATCTTGACCCTGTAACCCAGGTCGCAGACGCAGTCGAGGACTCGAATCTCCTCTGGGCTGCGCAGGACTCCTGTAGCAGCCGCAACAACGTGGACTGCCGACCATCTGGGTCCGGGGACGGCGGCGTTCTGGCTGCACTCGTGGCTGAGGCGAGCTGCACTGAACCGAACACATTTCCGGGGATTGAAAGCTTGCCCCCCTCGCCGGCCATCACCCCCTCGCGCGACCTTACAAGAGCCACACCCATCCAGCACGCCTCGTACGGCGACGTTCTCGACCTCACCGTCTTCTCTGGGTCTTCTCGCGAGTCGTCCGTCGGCCCAATCCTCGTCCATCCTCAACCCAGGCACTGGAACACCACCCGTGATCGCCCTGCGCCGTACGTGCGCCCGCCCAGCCCCGTTCCCATGCCGAGCCTGCACATGGTGAACGAGCTCGCGAGCGCCATCTCCTACGTTCCCCCCGAGCACCGGACTGGTGATCTCTGGGTCTGTGTGAGATACCTGCGACACATCGGTGGGTTGCAGAGAGAACCGCACGTTCACTCGACTGACATTTTTAGCCACTCTCGACCTGCGAGAGACCCAGGGACGGGGTGGAGGTCGAGCAGCGACCAAGGGCAAGAAGGGCAAGCGCAACGACAAGAACGGCCGTCGTGGGCGCCGTGATGTGCAAGGTGGTCCTGATCCTGGCCGTCACGGTCGAGGCCGCGGTCCCGCCAATGACGAGCCCTACGACGAGGACCGCAGCCGGCGCATGGTGGCAGACCGGCACCTCGACGAGTTCCTCGCAGCCACGAGGCGTCGCCACGAAGACGAGGTCAAGGCCGAGAAGCACCGCCAGCCGGCTGGCCTTCGCTGAGGTGGTTTGGGTCTGTCGGTGAGGGGCGAGGATGGGCACTGAGACGCGCCATGTGATGTGATAAAAGAGAACCTCGAGTAGCCGAGTAGCTGGCATGTCACGAAGAGATGTACTGTACCCTCCGTTTACAGATTGCCAGAATTGCAGAATTGCAGAACCTTCCCTCTCGCTCCGCCACACTCTACTGATAACAGATTTCGGAAACATCCGCATATCTGCGGATGTCTACGGGACACCGAGCGAAAGGGTTTGCCGTGCGGGCGCCGCAAAGCATGCTGCATTCCTACGTGCAGATCTGAAAGACCAAATGCATCGAGACCCACGAAATGGATGCTCACCAAATGTGCGCATCCCAGAGGCCCATACGGGATCCGGGAGCCACACGGCGGCCGCGAGGTGACAGCAGCAATTCAATGAGTCAAATGATGTCATAACCCCCCTACCACCAAGAGCAACTCACCGGAAGATCACGGCAACCCATGGCGCGGTCATGCGGTCTCAATGGTCACCGATCGCCGACGGCTCCCGTGCACACACGAGTGACTACCTGACGACTACCCAAAAGATGACAAGAATCCCTTGCTCGCATTTCTCCAAAACCGTTTCACAACAAGAATGCTTACACGAGTCACTGCGCCACGTACTGGCATCAACTTGAGCCTCGCCCGCGTTCGGGCAACGCAAGCCGCGGTCTCGACCACTCCGCGTGGGTTCGCAAGCTCGGCCAGCGCGCTCGCCAAGGAGCGCCTGCTCGTGCTGGGCAGCGGCTGGAGTGGATACAACGTTGCTCGGTGGGTGGGCCATTGGTTATCACTACTGACAAGCAAAGTAAGGTTGACAAGAACCTGTACGATGGTGCGTTGAGTTTGGACACGGTCGCCTTGGACCTCCGTCCTTCCACCGTCCAGTTGAGCTGACGACGACCCAGTGACTGTCGTGTCGCCCAACTCATACTTCTCCTTCACCCCCTTCCTTGCATCCACTTGCGTCGGTACACTCGAGTTCCGCTGCGCGACTGAGCCGGTCCGCAACATCAAGCATGTCACATTCTGTCAGGGTTGGGCCGATAACGTCGGTAAGTGTGGCCTGAACTCGCGGAGGTTGTTGAGTTCCGTCGCCTTTGGCCAGGAGCTAGGCGATTGGCGGCATCGAAAAGCTGGACCAGCTGACAGGCAGACTTTGCGAACAAGGTCGTCCGTGTCGGCCCCTCCCTCCCGCCACTGCGCGACCCGACGGTCGACTCCCCAGTCAACGTTCCCCAGCACTACAGCGCAGAGATTGAGGCAGCCTACACTCCCTCGGACGCCTACGATGTCCCTTACGACAAGCTTGTGATCGCCACCGGATGTCGCAGCGCGTGGTTTGGTACTCCTGGCGTTCGCGAACACGCCCACTTTCTCAAGGACGTGCGTGAAGCCCGCGCCATCCGCCTTCGTCTTCTGGAGTGCCTGGAGCTCGCCAGTGAGCCCGATGCGACCCCCGAAGAGGTCGCAAAGCTCCTGTCCTTCCGTGTTGTCGGCGGTGGTCCTACCGGTGTCGAGTTTGCCGCCGAGCTGCACGATTTCGTGCACTCGGACGTCTACCGTCTCTACCCGCACCTCAAGGACAAGGTCACCATCACCCTCTACGACGTCGCCCCGGGAATCCTCATGAGCTTTGACTCGAGCCTCCGCGAGTATGCTGAGCGCAAGTTCTCTCGTGTGGGTGTCAAGGTGCAGGGCAACACCAAGATCGTGGGTGTGGGCAAGGACTGGCTGGAATTCGACTCGGGCGAGAAGGGTGAGTTTTGAGACCAACCGCTGCGGTGTCTGACAGAGCACAGAACCATATGGCCTCCTCGTTTGGAACACTGGTCTGCAGGTGAACGAGTTTGTGCACCAGATTGAGGGAGTGAGCAAAGACGTAAAGGCGTAAGTCCCTAGCGGGGATGACGCGACTCACCGGTACCAGGATCAAGGTCGGCCCTCAGCTTCAAGTCCTCGATGGAGACGGCAAGCACATTCCTGGCGTCTTTGCGATTGGCGATAATGCCACCCCAGCGGACGGTACCAGGCTCCCACAAACGGCTCAAGGTGCGTTATATATCTTGGTGGTATCAATTAACGCTCGTCAGTCGCGTCCCAAATGGCAGGGTACATGGCCTCGACGCTCGGCGCCGTCGCCAAGGGCAAGTCGCTCGAGTCTCAGGCTGCCTTTGAGTGGAAGAACCGTGGTAGCATGGTGTTCATCGGCAACTATAACGTGAGCTTGCAACTGTGAATTGAACTGACGGCAGGCAATGGTGGACCGCTCCGGCAAGAGTATAGAAGGTCCTCGCGCGCGTATCGCCGGGTAAGTGGCGGCGTGGGGGATCATGAGTCAAGATGACATGGCTGATAGCCCTAGCATGGCCGCGTGGCTCGTCTGGCGCTCATACTACATGACCCTCGCCATGGGGTGGCGTAACCGTATCCTGATTCCAGTTTACTGGGCGCTCGCATTCTTCTTCGGTCGCGACATCACCAGCTTCTAAGCGAAAGCAAAGACACAAACAATTCAGGCCGGCGGAAATGGTCGGCAGCTCCATTTACAGGAGCTGCCTTGTAGCATAGACATATGGGCATGAGACGTGAGGCGATTACGATGACATTCACTTCCTCTAGATTAACATGGACCTCTCCTTCGGTGGTCGATGACCAGAAAATAGTGGAAATAACGGATAAATTAAAGCGCCCCAGACGCATCCCACTGCGGAGCACCAACGGGGACGTTGCAGCATCAAATCTAGCACGTCATTCGCAAGACTACTGATTCTGCATGACGCTCATACTGGTTTGTGTTTTTAACTACCGAACTGTCGACTCAAAAGAGACCACTCAACGGTCAGAGGAGAGGTACGAGAGAGAAAGGGGGTGAAACGAGGAATACAACACTGAATAGAAGCCAACCAGAGGTCACCTGTCGCTAGGATCTTACAGTGCCCGGTGCGTTGGCGGCAGTTGCTGCTGGACGTCGCTGGCCAGCTTTTGAGCCTCGGTCTGCTGGCCCGGGAGCGTACCCGGCTGGGTGTGCTGACCCGGGAGCGTACCCGCCTGAGTGTGCTGACCGGGGAGTGTGCTGGCCTGAGTGTGCTGACCAGTGAGCGTACCCGCATGGGTGTGCTGACCGGAGAGGGTACCGGCCTGCGTCTGCTGGTTGGGCTGAATGAAGCCATCGTTCTGTCTCGTGGTGTTGCTGGCAACACCGCCAACCGCTGGGGACGCAAAGCCAGCAGGCTGCGCCGAAGCGCTGGTGGGTGCACCGCGGGCAGCGCCCACAGCACTCTGGGGGGTCGTCGCAGTGTGGGCGGCAGCAGGAGACACCGAGGTGGCACCGCCGTGCTGAGTGGTACTACCCGGAGGGCCGCGGCTAGTGGGGGAGGCAGGAGTCTGCTGGGCGGGGGCACGAGCCTGTTGGCCTGGGACACTAGCGGCAGCGACCGGAACACCACCAGCAGCGACTGGGGCACCAGTGGCAGCGGCATTGTTGTGCTCGTTTCCAGTGATGCCAGCGGTCAAGCTCTTACCGGCGGCAGCGCCGGGAGTGGCGTGCGGGTGGTGTTCGCCCGTGGTGGCGGGGTGGCGGTGGTCGACGATCGAGAAGGCAGGCGACTTCCAGTCAGTGCCAGACATGGCTGCATCCTCTGTCTTCCAGAGGCGCTCGGTGACAGAACCTGGGACCTCCTTCATCATGTCGCCGAGCTTCTCATCCTTGCGGTCGATGACGAAGTGGAAGTCGGTACCGCGCTCGGCCACCTTCTCCTCTGCGTCGGCCTTCTTTTCCTCGGCGACAGCCTTCTTGCGCGCGAACATGTCCTTGAGGGCCTGCGTACGGGTTGTGTCCTCTGAAGACTTGGCCTCCTCCATGCGGTTGCGGACCCCAACAAGTTCGTCATCGAGGTACTCGAGGCCCGAGCGGATCGAGCTCTCAACGGCCTGGGTGATGGCCTGCTTGATGATCTTGACAGCCGCCGGCTTGATAAACTTGTAGAGCAGGTCGTGCTTGCTCTCGCGGATCTTGAATGACAGCTGGTCGATGCTGGTGTTGACGCTGCGGACACGGAAGAACGAGTCGCGGCGGTCGACGGTCTCAATCTCCACAGCAACGGTGATACCTTGGCGGGCAATTGTCACATCGGCAAGACCGCGGTCGGAGATCTTGGGGAAACCGCTCTTCTTGCGGAACGCGAAGCGCACATCCTTGATGTCGGCCTGGATCTGCGACATGCCAATGTGGATGCGGTGGTAGCTCTTGTCCGGGATGCTGTCAAATGGCGAGAACTTGAACTTGTTGACGCTCTCAAAGTTGATCACGTTGGGGAACAAGTTGGGACCCGACAAGGTGACCCCCTCAACCGTCAGGTCGAGCTTTTCGTCAATCAACTCTGCACGCGGGATAGGAATGTATCCAATGTTGCGGATAGCCGCGGGAAGAATGACGCGACGAATGTCGTTCCAGAGATGAGGCTTGAACGTAAACTTGCCGTCCTCGTCGTAGACCAGGTGTTGCGTAAGCCGCTTCCAATCGTCACCAAACTGGCGGTTTAGTTCGTCCTCGTGGAAGGCCTTGAACCAATTGGAAAGTTGGTCCCAGAGGTTGTCCCAGTGGGCCTTGTATCTGCCGTTCTCGCCAAACCATGAGCTGGCAACGCGCTTGAGCTGCTCTCCCTCCTGGTCGCACTCTTCGTCCATGACGTAGCCAGGTTCGAGGAGCACGCGGTGGACGTAGTCATCGGCGGCCTTCCACCATTGCCTGAGCTCGGGATCATTGTTGGCGTCGGTGTACATCTGGTCGGCAGCGTTCTGGACCGGCTCGAGCGAACGACCGTTGGCGAAGCGCTCAAAGATGGTGATCCAGCTCTGGACAGTACCAGTGGCATGTTTGTTCCGGGAAGCCTCCTGGTGCGCATCGACACCCTTGCCGATAACGTGCTCGGCATGCGAGTTGTACTTTTCGGCAGTGTCAAGAAGCCAAGACATGGCCTCGTTATAGTCTTTGTGCTGCTGCACCTCGTACAGCACCTTTTTGAGACGGTAGATGAACTGGTCGCGGCGTTCTTCCGGGAAGGCGTCATCGATCAGGCTGGTAGTCTCGCTCCAGGCCTCGGCAGCGCGCTGACGGTGTTGCTCGGGAATCTTGTTGGACAGCCTGTTTGCGTGGCCTTTGGCTTGGTCCTTTGCGTCTCGCGCCTGGGGGTCCTGATCGAGGTGCTGGATAGCACCATCACGAACCTGACGGGCCTGAGTGGTGTACGACGCGTTGGGGTCCCGGTGCTGGTCAATTGCAGACGCATGGTATTGAGCAGTCTGCTTTGCCTGGGCGACGTTCGGGTCCTGCGACGCGGACTGAGAGGCGGACTGGGGGTCCGTGGCAGCCTGTGCGGCCTGGTCCTTGAGTTGCTGCTTCGTGTCCTGGTACTGAGTGTATGCCTCGCCGGCGGTCGTGACGTTGCCCTGTCCATCGTGGATTTGAGCCTGGCTGGGAGGATGCTTTGGGTCGTACCGGATCTGGGTGCCGTCGGGGCCCTTGACCGCGAGCTGAGGGGAGTCGTTGGGCCCCAGAGTCTGGCCGTCGGGTCCAATGAAGGTGTTGGCTTGGGCGGGGTTGTCGACCTGCCCCATTTGCTCCTGACTGGGACGAGAGGCGTCGGCAACCTTGACAGCAGCGTTGGAGAGGAGCTCGCGGCCAATCAGGCCCAAGTCCGAAACGAGTTTGCGAACCTCGCCGTTGGTCAAGAACAGACTGGCAAGAACACGAATGTGCTTCGCCGCTTCGTCCCCGTCAGCCTGAGCGTCGGCCTTGCTGGTTGGATTGACACCTTGCTGCTTGGCGTGGGAAAGGTCGACCTGTTTCGAGTGCCACAACGTTTTCTGAATAAGCTCATCTCCGTTCTTGGAGCGGACAACGTCGCGTAGAGTGCCGATCATGTCTCTGATATCCGTAATCAGGATTTTGCCGTCGGGCGACAGCTTATTGATGTCAAAGCCGGCATTGGCCTGAGCGTACGACAGGGTACTCTCAATCTGGTCATTGTCTGGGTATTTTCTTGTCCGTCAGTACGGTTTAGGCGCAACGTGAACTCACCCGTCACGGAAGGCTTCGATAACACCCCACAGCTTGATCTTGCGCGAGATATCGGCGTCCATCTCCTTGCTATCAACGGCTTGAGTGACGCCGCCCGACGCTGGATGCTCGCGGACGTCGGTGTGTGTGTTCACTGAAAGAACGTTGGTTAGCCGACCTTATCTATCTCCGAGACCGCCACCAGGTCCTTTTCTTCCGAGACAGGGCTGTCACGCATGAAACGGGACGTCCAAACACTTACTGTTGTTAGATTATTGAAAGAAAGAGGGACTGGCTGTACCCATCAGCGACCTCCCAGCACTTATATGCACGCCTGTCGGCGAGTATGACTCCACGGTTCACGCACGCACCAGTTGGACCTGCTGATGTCACCGCCGCCAACTTGTGATTGTCGGAGGGGGTGAGCCGCCACATGTGTGGGGAGCAACTGCCAGGGCCAAATGATGTCATTGCCGACGTCACAACACGACGCAACGCAACGAAGGCATTTTCCGTCGACCATTACTCCTCGGATGTTGTGCTGACAGTAGAGGGCATGCAGACTTGCAGGAAGAACACGGCGATGACGGGTGACCTGGGGTGAGAGCGAACGCTGGGAGATTGTTTCGTGTGGTTGCTGCTCCAACGGGAAGGTTTTGGCCCATTAGCGTGAACAGTGGTGTCTTCGGGAGTCCCAAGCAAGCCGGCCCCTCTTTTATAACGTCACTGTCTCACTTGCAGTTGGTCCATACTGATATACTGGGTTTTTGTGTGTGTGCGTGTGTGTATGTGTGTGTGTGTGGGGGGGGGGGGGGGGGGGGGGGGGGGGGGCACACAATTAGAGCATTGGTGAGTTAGAAGAACATCGTGGTTAATTGTTAATTGTACGTGAGCGAACGGCGACAGGAGCAACCTTCCTTTCGGTTCTGTCGCGTTGTGTTCGGACCGACAAGGCAGAATATATACCTGCGCTTAGAAATCCGGGTACTGGCCTACTGCCTACAGGTGGGCGTGGGTCCCGGTGATCCGGAGATGGTATGTCAAATAAAATAAAGCTGGGCCAAAAGATGGACTTTTATCCAAAACAACGACAGAAGTTATCGTTTGTATGTTTAGTGATGTGATGCATGGGGATCTCCGCTGTCATAAAACACACTGGCAACTAGGATACGCTGAAAACTAGGATAGTAAGCTAATCAAAAGTCATGCTGTCCATCATACATGAACAAGCCTTCGATGTGGAGGAAAGCGTTTGTGTATCCAAAACTGGACCACATCAAGCAGACGCTTGCAGGTGGGGTATCACCAGTGTTTCGGTCCTTGGATATCATTCTCTCAAGGTTCTTTTCGATGACAATGAGTCCCTGTCTATCGGGTGATGCTCTGCCACGCGCATTGATGCTCGTCACCTAGTGGTCTGGCGAGGATATTGGAATGTCATGGTCTCTTTTCTCCGAGGGGTTGCCACAGCTGACAAGGAAATAGGTTAGGAAGCGGATTACTGTTACTAGTACATATAGCACCCAGTAAGGGTGTACGAAAGACAGAGTGGATCGAAATGAGATATGCATGGCTGCAGTGTTATGTAGGTAGCGCTTGGGGGACTGCGGACATTGTGGCGGACACCAGGTAGTCGAACTCCGAAAATCTTGTCATGGCTGCCTAAACGTCCTAAACATGACAATGGAGCAGGGCGGAGAGCTGGCTGCAGCTGGGTGACGTGTTGAGCGTCGGTGTAACAGTCGAACTAGTTCAGCGTCAATGGCAGTTTGGTTGACATCCAGGCTCACACGTGTGCCCCGACAATGGAGAACCCTGTGTGATCATCTGGTGCAAGTATGTGTGCATGTGGATGTACCGACCGACCCACGACTGCCAACTGCCAGGTCCTAAGCTTCGACCGATCTCCGGAGTGGACTTTGCTTTGCAACGTTTGTCAGCGACCACCGATAACAATGTGGTCATGGGATCCGTGGGTGTTCCCTGGTCGATAGCGCGCCTCGATATCCTGAGCGGCCGGCAAGATGGTTCATCCGGCGCCGCCAGCGCCGCGCCAAGCCTGTCGTCCTCGTTCATCTAATAATCGCTGGCATTCCTCATTCGAGTCAGCTTATTTCCCATCTCTAAACCGACAACCCGTAAATACTCGGTCGGATCCAGAGGATTCTCCACTCTTCCGCCCGCACAACTCTCACCATGGTCGCCTCCCCCTCTCTCTCCGAGCGCTACCTCAAGCGCCTGGGCGCGACGGCGCCTACCACCCGCGACTTGGCGTCACTCACAACCTTGCTCGAAGCCCACCTGCGCGCCATCCCCTTTGACACCATCACGCCCTTCATCGGCCAAGCGGTGTCTCTCGACCCAGACGTTCTCTTCAAAAGCTCCTCGAGGACCGTCGCGGCGGGTACTGCATGGAGCAGGCCACCTTGTCATTCGCGGCCCTTGGTGAGCTGGGCTTCAACGTCGAATACGTCCTGGCACGCGTCTACATCTCGCCGGGGATCACCCGGCCCATGGCCAAGACCCACACAGCCGTTGTGGTGAGCCTACCTGAGGGCAAGTTCCTCTTCGACCCGGGATTCGGTGGATACACACCGACCATGCCGGTTCAGCTCGGGGTCGGGGACGATGCGCAAGAGGGCAAGTGGGGAACCTTCCGTGCAGTCTCGGCTGCCAACTCGATCGTTACATCCGATCGCCGCGGCGACGACGTGCACACTGTCATGGAAACGCTTGTCAATGGAACGTGGATGGCCATGTATGGTCTCACCAAAGGACCCGTTGTCGAGGCGGATATCGAGGCCTTCAACTGGTACGTCTCGACCAGCCCCGACAGCCACTTTACCAAACGTCTTATGCTCTCTCGATTTGCCGGGGTGGAGAAGGTGACGGGTATCGACGCCTCGATGAAGCACCGAACGGCTAGTGGAGTGACAGACTATTCAATGGACACGTTGGAGCAAGTCGGCAAGGTTCTCCGAGTCGACATGCAGCTGGGAGCCGATGACGCGCTGGTACAAAAGGTGTACAACCGTCTGTTGCAAGTTGGCGCTATCAAGCCCGAGTAGAGAGGACGGGTCGCGACGGGCGTCGTCAAGACTCGACATGATAGCCAGTGGCTTGCCAGTGTTGTCATAACTGGTGCAATAGTCAAAAATCGCGCCCAGGCAACACTGACCAACGACATGCGCAGCAACCTCAGAAGCACCTATAACATACACCTACGAATATGTATTTCCGTTTTATCTAGCTCTATACTCATGACACCTCCAGCTCACCCCCTTTACAGCTTAGCAGGGTCATCGGCGGGAGGGGTCGCAGGCGTGTGGAACTGGCCGTAAAGCTTGGTCCAAGCTTCCTTGCCTCCAGTCTCAATCACGTCGCCGTGGCAGGGCACAAGGCGATCCCATTTAGCCGCAAAGATGGGTGCAAGCTCCTTCTTGGCGAGACTGTCTTTGTTAGCCAAATGTCATTGCAGTCGGCAGAGTTGACCTACTCGGGCTTCGCCACCAGCGATCCAATGGCGCTCTTGTGCAACGATCCGTCAGGGCTGAATGATCCACCGAGGAGACGGGAGAAGAAGGTCAGTCCACCGGCACGCGAGTACTGTTCCTTCGGGGGGAGGTTAAAGAGAAGGTCAGCCTCGAGAAGCGTGCCGCTCGGGTGGTGGATAGCGGTGAGCTCGTCGTTGACGTGTGCCGAGACCTGGTGGAGAGAAATCTGGCCATTAACACACTATATCTGAGCATATGGCCACTTACCTCTGGCTCAAAGCCGTACGTCTTGTCCTCGCCACCGGCACCGAAGAGACCGGCCCATTTGACGTTCGGCTTAGCCTTCTCAAAGCGAGAGACGCCAATAGCCCTGCTCGTCAACATTGTCATCCAAAAGCTGCTCAGCGTTACAGTAACAACGTACTTGGCCTCTGGGAACTGTTCGGCCCAAGCCCCGATGTTCATGCCATGCTCGCCGTCAGGCGTCACGAGCCACTTGACTTCGCCACCGAGCTGCTTGAGAGCCTCGGCGGTGGCAGTGGTGTAAGGGTGGGAGACGTAGACGAAAATGCCGTCGTTGACTCGAATGGCAGTGGAGCGACCGCCAATGGGGACTACGCCAAAGCGGCTCTGTGCGATGTTAGAGATGGACGGGACGCCGCAGTGGTGTGCGAGAGTGACGCTTACAAAGGGTTGGCTAAACGTAATCATGCCGGGAAGCAGTTCGCGAATGACCAAGTTGGCGTCGCGGGGGTCGGTAGAACCCTCTGGAAGAGAGGAGTAGGAAGTCATTGTGCGGATAAAAGTAGACAGTGGAAATGTGACCGATGTGAGGGAGCGAGAACGAGAAATAAGGAGCATGCGATGAGAAACGAGGGTTTGATCTTTGGAGAGATGGCGCAAGATGCCCCTAGATCCCAGGTTCGTTGCTGACATCGAGAGGGAAATCCATGACGTAATCAAAAGAATGGAGGTTGGACCTCATGTCCGCGCCACGTTGTGCGTTGTCTACATCACGTGACCTTCCGGCTATTGCTCAAGCCTATACCAACTAGCCGAGCCTCGGTTATCACGCCCCAGTGACGGGAGCAAATGCGCTGCCCCCCAGTATGGAGCACGTCGGGGGACCGACTAGGGCCGCCCAGTCCATGGCGAGCTGATTGACGAGTGCCATTATCCTTCATCCTCTCAATCACCCAACCCCACACAGCTCATGTCCAACGTGTCCACGTCGCCTGACATTACTATGGATCCTTTCCTGGCCTTGTTTGGCTCGGCAGGTGATCCATCATCCGGAGGAGACAGCACCGCAGAGGCTGGCAGTCAGCGCTCACGATCCGGCTGTTTTACGTGTCGCCGCCGCAAGGTCAAGTGCGATGAGTCGCGTCCCGTCTGTGAAAAGTGCCAAATTGGTCAACGAGAGGTGAGGGGGTTACGGCCCTACATGTTTTTATGCCTCGTGGCTGACAGACGCAAAGTGCACATGGCCGCCAGATGACCCGGTACAGCGTCGCAAGAACCGTCCCCGAAAGCAGAGGAGCCACAGCGTTGCTGGCGGCGAGCCCAAACGTCGCTTCAAGCTGCCCTTCTCAGCGCCAGACTCGTTTGTATCGTCGTTACCGCCCCTTGGCTCTGTCAAAGGCAAGGAGCGTGAGGTTGAGCTGGTGCCCGAGCCACTTCGCGCCGAAATGATGATGGACCCGTGCGTGCTCCTCAACCGTTGTGTTCTCTGCTCACCACCCGCCTAGGTCCTTCTTGCAACCGTACTTTCCGTCGGTGTACGTACACGCAGCGCCGTACTTGGGCCGGCATTTGTCCCCAAAACTCCGCCATGATCACGACTGACCCTCTGACAGCGACGAGCGCCTCGTCATTCGCCACTACCTCTCTCGCACGGTCCACATCATCCTCGCATTCGAGGCTCCCCATAACCCATGGAACCCGTGGCTTACTGTCCACGCGCCACTGGCATTTACGCATCTTCCCGGGTGAGTGTCTACTGACTGCGTCACAAACACACAGCCCTATGCTAACCAGTCAGCGTATCCCCAGCTGCCGACGCTCTGCGCACCGCCATGCTTGCCGTTGGAGCAGTGCATCTACGCTACGTCAACAACCCAGACGATCAAGAAGGTGCATGGCGTATCACCCGTGCTACACGACCACGTGTCCTTGACCTCGTGCGCCTCGCTTTAGAGACACCGGACGGTCAGCCGAAAAGTATCGACAAGACCGAAGTGGAGCTTGTCCTCGCCGCGCTGCTGAGCTGCACCATTGCCAGCGTGAGTTGAGTCTGGAGAATAGCCTGCTCACAGCCTAAGTCACTTGCCGCAGACGAAGCATGGCACTCTCTCCTGACATCCGTCTTATCCCTCATCACGCGGATGGGTGGAGCGCAGGCCCTGCTCGTCGACTCTCCGCGCGACCACCTCTCTCCATCGCGTTTTGTCCTCGAACAACTGGCTGTTCGTGACGTATTTGGCTGTATGACTACTGAACTGGCTCCCTCAATCTTGCGAGATGCCTTCACACCATGGTTCTTTGAGGCTGAGACTTGGTCGCGCACTGAAAACGAGTGGGAGAGCATTGAACGCATGTTTGGCATGTCACGCGGCATGGTGGATCTCATTGCAAGGGTGGGTAAGGTGCCGCGTACAAGCTAACCTAACAGGCCTGCACTCTCATTTCACGCGTTCGCGAGGCGGGCTACCTCCTCAACGAGCATCTCACGGCTGCGCCACAGATGGCCTCGCTCCTGCTCCGTCTTCCTGCGCGCGTCACCGCGCGTCTCCCGCAAAGCGAAGAGGCTACACCGGCACCGGAAGAGGAAAAGCCCAAGGCACCCGTTGACGAGCGTTCCGAACGTTCCCAGCTCGAAGAACAGGCCAATGGCCTGCTGGCCGAACTAAAAGTGTGGGACAATGCGTGCAACTTTACGCCCTTTCACCCACGAACCCAGTATGGCAACATTGCCTACCGCCACGCCACCAAGATACGTCTCCTGCGTATCGTCTTTGGCGTGTCGAGCAACGACCCTCGTATTGACAGTGCGGCTCGAGCTATTATCGAGTTGGCAAAAGAGATGCTGTCGCAGTATGGCCGCATCGTCTGGCTCACCTGGCCCCTTGTTATCGCCGGATTCCATATCCCCAAGGACGACCCGGCGCGTCAGTCTGCTGTTGAACTGCTTTCAGAATTTGGGTAGGTAAATGTTCTCCGCCCAGTAGCTAACCCATGCAGTCCACACGCGTGCTTTGACAACCGCGCAGCCAGTCAGATGATGGAGGCGTTCTGGCACTACCACGACCACGACCCGGAGGACCTTACACCATGGGAGGTCGCGAACCGTCTCAACTCGAAGCTGTTCCTCGACTAGACGGGAAAGCGTCCACTCGAAAATGATCTGGTTGTAATAAATGACGAAAACGAAACGCTCATGTAGCTGCACTGAGATGCATCATGACACGCCGCAACGGTTCCCCTACTTGCACAACTGACTACCCCTCCAACTCCTTGACCACTACAAATCTAACGCCGATCCTCAGCCGCAACCACGTCCGTCACCTCGGGATGCTTGTCATCCTCAGCACTGGCCTTGGGCTGAATACCCTTCTCGACCACCTCGGCCTCGTAGTTGTCCTGAGGCATGGGTGCCGGCCAGCGACGGGCACAGTAGGCGATAGCGCCGGCCACACCAACGGAAGCGGCACCAGTGACGATTGTGGCGATTTGTCCATTCCGGAACTTGGGCTGGTCGACAACTGGCCAGATGGCAATACCGTACCACAGTGCCCACAGGTTGGACCCCAGGTTCATGCTGAACAAAGTGAGGGACCTTAGCATTTCGTCGTCACGCGTGGACGAGTTGGCCCAAGAAAAGTTGCTCGCCTGGCCAGCGTAACCGATTCCACTGATGCTGTAGGCGAAGAAATGGCCAGGGATACCGATGTTCCACGCAAGCAGCATTGCAGAGGAGATGAGGACGGCTGCGTACATGATGACGTTGGCGAAAAAGCGGTGGCCTGTGTGATCACAGTACACTGTCATGAGGTACGTGCCAACAATGGCGACAGCTGTCTGGATGGTCGGGTAGTAATTGACCTGGGAGGCAGTGTAACGTGCGGTGCCGTCTGCGTTCTTGACCGACTTGACCCAGAAAAGCTGAATAGTGAGTAAGAATGGGTCGACCAACGACTGGTTTCTTATAGTAAACTCACGAACTCAGAGTAGACACCCGTCTTCTCAAACGCGGTCGCCGAGAAGGTGAACAAAAGCACGAACAGGGAAAACCGCCAAGTAGTCACGACCTTGGTAATAGACTGCCGGAATCGTGCCCACGTAATGACGTAGTGCTCCTGGTAAGGAATGCGCGTGCGGCACATTTCACGTTCCTCTTCGGAGAGCCAGAAGGCCTTGGACGTGTGAGGCGTGTCGGGGAAGAAAAAGAAACCGTGCAGCGCAATGACGACGGTCATGGCAAAGTTGATAATCTAATTTGTAGGTGTCAGTGTCAGAATGTGGCAGTTGAGGTTCAAAGGCCGCTTACAAAGAGCCACTGCCATCCGGCCTTGCCGTGGCGGCCGTCGAGGGATGACTTGATAGCACCCTGCATGATACCCGAGAAGAAGGTACCGAACTGAGCCGCAGAGGTGAACACGGCGGTACGCTTGCCGAGCTCGTTGTCGCGGTACCATGTTCCAAGAATGTAATGGCTTCCGGAAAATGTCGATGCTTCGAAGATTGCCTGGACAAAGCGCACCGCCATTACCTGGTGGGGGGTGGTGACAACTGGGGAACAGAGTCAGTCCGGGGGCTTGGGTGATACGATGGGTCGAGGTAGCCGGTGACAATGACCCTTGTGGCGCCCCGCACAAGGTCGTCCGACTCGCGAGTCGACTACGAGTCGCTCGCGCATCGAACCATGCCATGCATGGAACAAATGGAACGATGCGATGATGCAGTCACAGGAGAATCGGGGGGGGGGGGGGGGGGGGGGTACTCACAAGCCATACCAAGGGTACAGAGTCCCCAGGCGAGACAGCACAAGGGAAAGTAGAAGCGCGGCGGGAAGCGACCAGAGGCAAGGATGACGGCCGAGGGCCACTGGCCCACAATGTAGCCTGCAGTGAAGCATGAATTGGCCAGTGTGTACTGGTTGCCAGCAAAGCCGACTGCTTGCTGCATGCCCGTCACGTAGGCGTTGGCAAAGTTGGCACGGCTGGAGAGTAAGTAATGTGCGGAAACGATTTCGCGAGGCCATCGTGCAGTCTGAAAATGACACGAATGCCAACAACAACAAACACTGTTTATGTTCCACGCCCCGGTCACGCATGCCACTCACTCAACATAGTTGATCCAGTAGTTGAGACAAATGTACGACAAGATGGCAAGGTCGAGCTTGACGAGCAGCTTGCGTTCCTTTGGATCCTTGGGCGGCGTCCCCCAGAAAATAGTTTCAATCTTGTCGCGTCTGGCGCCCATTGTGTGGATGTAGGGGTGTGTGTCCAAATGTTCAGGCCGAGTGGTGTTTACCTGCACCCCGCTACAGGGGATAGTGTGGCGAGAACTCGAAAGACAAAAGTGGGTGAATGGGTATCGTCAACATGTGGTTCTTAAGGAGTCACCAGACATCAATGACCTAAGCCCTCAGGCTCAGGTTCAAACTCGGCACACGGCCAACGCCGACCGACTTTCGAGAGATTGGGCGGCGCTTGTGGACATGCGCGCGTATGCTCTGCCGTCCTTGTGCCGCACGTTGCCCGCAGCGTTCCGTGCCTCTGAGCCCGCAGATGCACTAGCGCACATTGTTTTAGTTGCGTTGTTGGCGTGCAGCGGCACGGCCACTGAGACAGAAGGAAGACCAAAAACCTGCAGAACGACCGCACCCAGGGATTGCGCGCGTCGTTGGCCCTGGTGGCCGAGTGGATGGATAGTGGCGTAATCGACCAGTTCATTTGCACCTGCCTATCGCCTGTACGTCCGTCAGCACTGATACGGATGTCGAGTGGTTGTTATCTTGTCCTTCAGGGGGTCATCATGCATGCAGCGTTCCCACAGCCTGCTTCATGCAGAGGAGGGACCTCGGCATTCTGTCTTCTTAGCGGTTTGCCGAACTGGCACAGCACGTTGCTTCGACGATTCCCAACGACAGCCGCCGTCCTTTCACAATGGCGAACGCGATAGACTCACATGCCCACCTTCCCATGTTCGGCTCGGTCCCAATGCGCAGCTGGAGAGCATCACATGAGCGGAACAATGTCGGGCTGGCATCCATGCCCACTCCACCATTCAACGACTCCTTCACGTTTCGGTGAATACACCGACTCGGAAGCGGCAGTCTTGGTGGGCAACATATGTTGTTGGACACCCACCCCTGGCCTTGCTTTTGTGATACGTTCGTAGAGAGACTTGGCTGTTGCTCTACCAACACCCCAGATTGCTATCAGCACTGGCTTCTGCCCATACAGGAATGCCGCGGCCCCTGGGCTTGGATAGCCACTAAGTTTTCTAATGGGAAGTCTGTAGTCATATGGCTCGTCCTGGGTACCACTGTAGGTGTCAACAACCATTTGCACACTCACTCTTGGCCCGCAGGATATCTCGTGGAAGAGACAGGTCACGGTCACAGGCAAGTCGTTTTCCTACTGCATTGTGGAAGCAACCGACATGCACGTCCCCTTCCAAAGTGCCTTATCTCAGAATGCAAGTTCCTGATACCCTTATTGGTATTGCGGGTGGGGATCTTGGCAGCAGTGGTGCGCCGTTTCGTATCCTTGCTCTATCGTCGGATATGTCCTATCATTATACTTGTGTATAGCCCCATGGCCGCGTATCAAGCTCACGGTGTTGGAGGTATGTCTACCGGGTCGCCAGACCACTAGGACGACGACCAGGTATCAAGCGATGCTGGTCCGATTGCCCTGGCGGACGAGTGTTTCGTTTGTTCGTACGCCTTCTGCAGTGGTGGGTGTACGCTCGTTTGGTCTCTCTTCCAACTGCCGATGGTTGGTGGCCATGGTGGAGACCATCATGGTTGACATGTCGTCTGTGATGTTCCTGCCGCTCGCGCTGAAAGTAGTGTGCGTGTACCACGTCTGTTTTATTTGGTTAATTCCCATCTTGAGACCCCGTCACGGGCCGAGACATGCAAGAACAGCGACACAAGGACAGTACAAGGGCTGGCTCATCGGCCAATTTTGGGCAGGCCGGAGAACGCCGATGCACCACTTTGAGATCAAGTGGCGGCACCTCCGCGCTGGTCACGGATCGACCGTCGCCATCACGGATGACCCGCAAGCGCACGGAGGGCCCGTTTGTCAGCTACTTTTGAGCCATTGACATGCAGCTGGACCCTGCATCGCGTTGTTATCGTCCACCAAGCAAGGTGGCAGCAAGTAGTAACGCAGCTGCTGAGTGACTGACAACTTTCATGACCCAAGGTTACAACGGACTGTATACGCACAACCACTCCTATCTACTTGGCCAGCGCCTGGGCCGCGATACCGGCGAGCTTGAGAGCCTTCTCCTCCTGCAGACGCATAGTGACCATCTGGAGTGCGACGGGGGCACCCACGACCTCTTCCGGATCGTACCTGTCCCAAATACGCTTCTCGACATCGTTGCGGAGGTCATGGACGACCTCGGGCTTGGCGTCGTTGGGAGTTACGCGAGTAACTGGGAACACGGCACCCGGCTGGTCGGTAATGTTCCAGATAGACGTGTACGTGACATGCTCAAAGGTGTAGTGTGGAGGAGCGGAGAATGGCGAAACGGGTGTGATGACGCCGTCAAAGGGACGACCGGTGCTAGTGAGCTCCTTGGAGGCCATCCAGTGGTCCAGCGCAGCCTTGCAGTATGCATTGCGCTCTGCCTGGTTTGTCCACAGGTCACTGACGAGCGGGGGGTTCGCCAAGCTGAAAGCGGCGGCCTTTTCAAAGTCGATAAGACCAGCAGGCCAGGGTTCCTCACCGGCCTTGATGACGCTGGAAATCTTGTCACCACCATCGCCGACGAAGAAGCGCTCAAGGATCGACTTGGACTGGCCGGTGTTGTGTGGCGTCCACTCGATAACCTTGTGGCCAGCTGCCTCAAGCGCCGCCTTGGTCTCCTGCAGGGCACGTGTGATAGGTGGGGTGGGCATGACGATACCGTCATCCATCACGATACCGAAGCAGAGCTGCTCAGGGAGCTCGACCTCGCGCCAGGGGATGGGGAGCATGAGTGGGTCCACCTCCCATGGCCTGGTGTCGACGACTGTCTTGGCCCAGAGCTCACATGCAGCCAGCGACGCTGACATTGGGCCGTTGATAGAGCGCACGGCTTCCTGACCAGGCATGCCAGAGCGCGCACCATAGGTGGGGAAGCGACCAAACGAGGGCTTCAGGCCGTAGAGGCCGGAGAAAGCACTGGGGATACGAATCGAGCCACCAATGTCGGTACCCACACCGAGGGGAGAGCCTAGGGAGTCAGATCACAGAACGACAGATGCACCACTCACCCTTCATGGCAAGGAGAGCACCCTCGCCACCCGATGAGCCACCAGACGAAGTCTTGCGGTTCCAAGGGTTCAAGGTGTATCCCCAGACGTTGTTATACGATTCGCCCATCATCTTATCTCGTCAGCTGTTGCGGGGAGGCGTGGCCACATCCCACCTACCATGGCGGTGGGAACATTGGTCTTGCAGAAGATAATGGCGCCACAGTCACGCATAATCTTGGTCATCTCCGAATCGTAGGGCTGTGGATCGTTGCACCACGCAACGAAGCCTACAGTGGTATCGCTACCCTTGACGTTGAAGTTGTCCTTGAGCGAGACCGGGAGGCCGTGAAGGGGACCGAGGGGTTTGCCAGTCTTAGCATACTTAGCATCGATTTCCTTTGCACGGGCAACCGCCTCGTCAAAGTAGATCTCGGTGAGGCAGTTGGTCTGATAACGTTCAGCTCAGCACTAGAGCGGCTGCCCTATCGAGACTCACAAGCTGCTGGGCAATGGCCGCACGCTTGCAAAATGCAGTGACGACGGCCTCGGACGTGAGCTCGTTGGCGACCATCTGCTTGACAAGCTCGGGGGCCTCAGTCTCGGTGATCTTGACCTCGGCGGTGGTGAGGACGCCGCAGGTGCGCGGGATGTCGGTGACATCGAGGACGTCATCAGGGACGCTCACGAGCCATGCCTTTGGGATCAGAGCATCGCGAGCGGCGCGCTTGTTGGCAGCGGTGGTCTCCCAGGGAGCAGGGGTCGTTGGGTCAGTCATGTGTGTTGGGGGGGAGAGGTAAGAGGTGTGGTGTGCAGTCAGACGAATGTGTTGCAAAAGGTGGGCCTTTAAGAAGCGTCTTGGAGTGGGCCGTATCTCGCCCACCTGACACCATACAGGCGTTGCTAGTACTCGTCCTGGCCGCCGACGTTTTGCGATTCGGACATGTCCGAGTGAGGTCATGGGGGGTGGGACCTTTCTCGGGGTTGCATTGCTCTCTCCCATTTGGCGTCAATGGCCAGAGATACAGAGATACAGAGATACATATGTATACCGCCCCAGAGGCCAGAGATGTGGGCATGTGGCCATGTGGGCAAGGCCGATGCAGACATGCAGACAGACATGCACACCCACTCAAAAACTCGGCCCCTCCGCGTCCAGGCAAAACGGCCCGGAGCGCCGCGGAGTCCAAACGACCACGCGAGCAGTCGCAACGGCCCTGCATCAACGGTACGCGCCGCGCTTGCAGCCATCGCATAGCGCGCATAGACTTCGCTTAGACGTCGCATCTCGGCTTCTAGGAAAAGGCGAGAGCGGGGCCCTATGTGCACGATTCCTGGTGGTTGATGGGGCCGCGACTGGTGCGTGTTGGCTGCAGATACGGTGGGCATGGAGTCATACCGCGGAGATTATCCAGAGCGGGCCTCGCGCAGAGCGGAGTAGCCGCGTAGCCGAGCGCGATGCTACTTCAAGGCCCAACTTTTGGCCCATCCTGTCTCCTTCGTTCCTCATTCACACACAGACACACAACTCAACATGCGTACGGCTGCCCTCCCCGCCCGTGCTCTGCGCGCTGCTGCCCAGCGTCGTGCATTCTCGTCGCGCTCGCTCATCCCCAACGAGCCTCTCAAGCCCCAGGTGCTTACCTCTGCTGTCCCCGGTCCGGCCAGCAAGGCTGCTGTACGTGCTCAACTGATTTGCTGGTCCCATAGCTCTAGCTGACAACGGTGTAGTCTGCTGAGATCGACAAGATCCAGGACTCGCGCACCCACGTCCTCTGCGCCGACTACGCCAAGTCGAGCGGCAACTACCTCGTCGACGCCGACGGAAACACCCTTCTCGATGTGTTCGCTCAGATTTCGTCGATTGCCATTGGATACAATGTCCCCCAGATGATTGAGCTCGCCAAGACCGACGACTTTATCACTGCTGCCATCAACCGTCCCGCTCTCGGCTCGTTCCCTCCCAAGGACTGGGCCAAGTGGCTGGAGACGGGTCTCATGACCGTTGCGCCCAAGGGTCTCGACAACCTCGTCACGTCCCTGTGTGGTTCGAGTGCCAACGAGACTGCCTTCAAGGCTGCCTTTATGGCCTACCGCCAGCGTGAGCGTGGCTCGCGTGACGCTGGCTTTACCGAGGAGGAGCTCGAGTCGTGCATGCTCAACCACTCGCCCGGTACGCCCAAGCTCTCGGTCCTCTCGTTCAAGAGCGGTTTCCACGGCCGTCTCTTTGGTTCGCTTTCGGCCACCCGCTCCAAGGCTATCCACAAGATTGACATTCCCGCCTTTGACTGGCCAGTCGCCCCCTTCCCCGCTCTCCAGTACCCTCTCAGCGAGAACATCGAGGCCAACAAGGCTGAGGAGGCTCGCTGCCTCGCCGAGTACGAGGAGATCCTCATCGCCTCCAAGGCCACCCAGCCGGTCGCCGCCGTCATCATTGAGCCCATCCTTTCGGAGGGTGGTGACCGTCACGCCTCGCCCGAGTTCTTCCGTGCCCTCCGTCTCACTGCCAAGAAGCACGGCGCATTCTTCATCGTCGACGAGGTCCAAACTGGTGCCGGTGCCACCGGTACTTTCTGGGCCCACGAGAAGTGGGGTCTCCAGGAGGGTGAGGAGCCCGACTTTGTCACCTTCTCCAAGAAGATGCAGCAGGCTGGTATCTTCCACAAGCCCGAGACCCGCCCCAACGCTCCTTACCGCAACTACAACACCTGGATGGGTGACCCCATGCGTACCCTCCAGGCTCGCGAGATGATCAAGATTATCCGCGACAACAACCTCGTCGAGCACACTCGCAAGACTGGTGACGTGCTTACCGCTGCCCTTGGCGACGTTCTCGGCCGTCACCAGGGTCTTGTCCTCAACCACCGCGGCCAGAACGAGGCCACTTTCCAGGCCTTTGACTTTGTCACGGCCGCTAAGCGTGATGCCTTCGTCGCCAAGATGCGCTCCAAGGGTGTTCAGTGAGTCAAAATGCCTGATTCTATCGCGAGAACAGCGCTAATTCTGCACAGAATGGGCGGGTGCGGCGAGGTTGCCGTCCGGCTGCGTCCGACATTGACCTTTGGCGAGTCTCACGTTGCCATTCTTGCGGACGCGATTGACGCTTCGCTCAAGGAGTTGTAAACCCCAAAACCAAAAACGGTTGGAAAACTGCCACATATTATTTTCATTAGCTGTACATTTGATGGACTCTCATGCTGCGTACACTGTCTGTCCCACTCGGCACCATATTGGCTCGCTCTCCTGTCAGTTTCGCAATCTCAATGCTGTGTTGAGGGAAAGATATCTGCCGCGAATGAACAAGGCAGGTGGTCGGTCCAGTTGACGTTGGCTGAGGTAAAGAGGGGGTAATTAAGGATGATCATCCGGTTAATTAAAATGTCGTGCCTGGCACCTAACAGGCGCGCGGCGCACCTGCAGAACCTTCTCGCGCCTACGGCAGTGGCCCCGCACACCGCGCCCACACAGATCCACGCCCTGTGGGTACCTGTGTGCCGATCGCCACTGCGCACAGCTGCGCATACTGCGCAGAGTGGCGAATGTTGCGTCATTTTGCGTCTCATTTTTGGCCGGGCGAGTGACGCACAGCATCGGCACAACACAAGCATCACGCATCGTACGCGTCGAGACGCGCAGCACCAAGGTCGCTGCGCTCGCTGCGCACAAAGCCGTCCAACCGGATGGCCGACCTTTCACCGAGCCTCAATGTAAGAGATATAAGGACGCGCGTCGAGACGTTCATCTCGCCACCACCTTCCCCCTCTCCCAACTCACAAACCAAACACCCCACCATACACACAAACCCCACAATGGCAAACTTCACGTACGTCTCTACCCCCACTGCTCAGCCTGACATCGTTAGGGAGAAGCCAGAGGGTTACGAGGTTATCGACACGGTCGAAGCACGCGAGAAGTCGGTTAGCGACTCTACGATCCAGCCTGAGGACTCTCAGGTCGGTGAAAAGGAGGCCGCGATGCCTTCGCGCGAGCCCACTGCCGATATCGATGACGACGCTGCCGCTGCGGCACTTGCTGCTGTTCACATTTCTTCCCGCGAGTCGTCACCTGAGATGGAGGCACATGTCGAGGAGACCGAGCCCGGAGCTCGTTTTGTTCGCGTCGTTTACTTCAAGGGAGGCCGTCGCCACGGTCGTCGTTCGCACCCGCGTGACCACTTCCAAGGCCCTCCTCCTCACCACCCTCACCACGGAGGCCGTCACCATCGTGGCGGACCTCCCCCTCCCCCTCCCCCTCCGGGTTTCTCGCCCGAGGACCTGCCCCACGCTCCCCCTCACGGCCCTCACGGCAAGCATGGAAAGCACGGCGGCAAGCACAGCCACGGCGACAAGGAACGCAAGCGGGGAGGCAGCCCCCCTCCTTGGGCCGGCATGAAGTTTAACTGTCACGATTGTCACTGCCACAACCGCGCCGACAAGGACCAGTCGACTAGCGAGAGCGAGTCTGAAGAGTTCTGCGACCCTCGCTTCTGCTTTGCCGGACCCCGCCCTCGCCACTGCGGCAGGGGAGCTCCATTCGGCAGGGGTGGACCGCACGCCGGCGGCTTCCCCTTCCAGCACCCCGCGATGTGGACTGGCTTCGACCGCCCTCCTCCTCCCCCCTTCGGTCTATTCGGCGGCCCCGGCAAGTTTGGCCACGGACGCAAGCACCACAAGCACCACGGCAGGGGCAAGGGCGACAAGTTCCGTCACTTCCCCTACGGCTTGCCCGTCGAGATTGAGATTCCCGAGGGTGTCGACCCCAACGACATTGACTTTGCCGCCGAGTTCGCCCGCCTCAAGAAGGACCACAAGACTGCTCGCAAGGCCGCCAAGGCCGCTTATCGCGAGCACTTCAAGGCCGACAAGAGGGAGCGCAAGCGCCACCACAAGCACGGCAAGAAGGGCAAGGGCAAGGAGACTTCCTCGTCGTCCTCTTCTTCATCGTCCTCTTCGTCCGAGTCCGAGTCCGACGAACCCCAGTTCCGCGGGGACTACCCTTTCCACGGTCGTCACCATGGACGACACGGCGCTGCTCCCTTCGCCGGTCCATTCGATGGACCTTGCGGCAGCCACTTCGGCAAGTTTGGGCCTCAGTCCTTTGAGACTGCGGGCCCCTCCGACCACCCGTTCGCCCGTGTATTCCACCACGGCAGCATGCGCGGCGGTCGCCACCACGCATTCGGTGGTCGCGGAGGACACCATGGTCGTGGGCCCCGCCCCGACTTTGAGCGTCCCGAGCGCCCCGAGTTTGCGTTCTTCAGTGGCGCGGGTGAGCAAGACTTCACCCCGCACTTTGGTCATGGATTTGGAGGTCGTCGTGGGCACCACCACGAGTTTTTCGGCGCTGGCACCGACACTGAGACGCGCCAGTTCGACAGGCGAGGCCACCACCACGGTCATGGCCACGGGGAACGTCGCGGTGAGCGCCAGTAGGCGCTCTCGCGCGCTTCTCCCCGCCTAGCCCGTCGCCGATCAACCCACCCCCCCACAACCACCACTTTCCATTTGACCAGCAACTTCCACACCTACATTTAAAGATATGACTCTTATCGAGCCTAGCAACCCGGTCGACGACGGGCTCCGCCCTGAGACCCTCTGCAAAGGGGACCAGTCATCACGAAGATACACCAACGATACCAACACATCGTACCAGCAGCCTGTCGGCTTCTATAGCCCACAGCTACGGTACATGTCGGCAGCTGCCGACAGACAGCCTCACTCCAGAAAGTGAAGTTGATCCATACCCGACATCAAGAACAGAAAACAACAGAAAAACCCACTTCAGACCAAACAAATGTGCTGTTTCGTCGTAGACCCTAAAAAAATATTATAAAACCCCCTACATACAATGTTTCGAAAGCAATGAATTCTATTGCGAGTAGCTCTTGATTGTTGCACGCTGCACTTGGCTTGATGATGAGAACGGTGACGAAGGAACTGACCGAACTGACTTGATTTGTGGGCCTGGGTAACAAGTCACCTTGCGTGCTGTCGGATGTGCCACTACCAACGCGGGTCATGTGCATTAGCGCCGTCCGCGTCATTTCCGGCTCCGAACTGTCCTGGATTGAGCAGAAACAGTGAAGTCGGCCGAAGCTCAATCTCTGCGCAGCATTCCGCGCTTGGAGCTAACAATAGCGCGTCCATACGTGAACCCTCGACAACTCGACCTTGTATGTATACATTGAGAAAGCTGGGTACAATAAGCTATAGGCCACACACACACACACACACTCCACTGCACTCTATTGCACACCACTGCACAGCACACCACTGCACATCCAGCTACACCGGGAGGCTCTGAGAGCCGTCCAGAGTCGCGTCAAATCCAAACGCAACCCAGTCACCCCATGACCCGGTGCCGACGAAGCCACTGCTGCCACCCGTCGACTGTGAGTATTGATTCAGGAACGCCACAACCTCGTCCGGTCCGCTCATTGACGGGGTGTTGGACCAGCCCGAGTACGATTGCGGTTCTTGGTACATGATAGGCGCCTGGGGCTGGAGAAGCTTAGTTTCAGCTGTAGAAAAGAAATGGCTCACGCTCGGAAGCATGCCAGGCCCAGAGCCAGACTGATGCGGGATGCCCATGTTGTTGCCATTTTGAATACCGTTTGGCACGCCGTTGAGACCAGGGAGACCGAGCTGGTGGTTGAGCGCAGCGTGCTCCTGTTGGATGTACGCATGAGGCAGTTGGGGGCGGCGGGGGCCATTCTCACGCAGTCCTCGTACACGACGAGACCATGGGTCCTGTCCACCAGGACTGGCAGCACCAGACGTGTCCGAGTGTGCACCGCCGTCAAGGCCATGGCGACGAAGCATCCGGCGCGTCTCCTTGAGCTGTTGCTGTCAGTCTTGCACTAAAGGAGGAATAACATACCAACCAACGCGCGTTACCCAAATAGAGCGACATGTGGTCGAGGAACATGAAGAGGACCTCGGTGTCGGCCGAAAGCTCTGCCAACTCGGCGGCCTGTGGGGCTGGTGGGAGAAGGAATGCGTACTGTAGTCGAACGCGAACACATTCGTAAACGCAGATTGGGAGCGCCGAGTCGGCAAAGACAACCGTATCCATGTCGACGAGGCTGGCCACAAACTTCAGAGTTTGGGCAACGCTGCGAGCACTCTGGACACACATTTCACGCGTCGCATCGATCCAGCCTGGCGGCGCAGTCGCGGCAACGACTGGTTCCAGACTCTCGTTGAATCCGGGCATAGCCAGCCGAGTGAGTTCGGCCAGGTTTTGGTGATACCAGACGTGGAGCATGACGAGACCAGAGAGCTCATTCTGGCTCTTGCGCGCATAGATGGTGTCGGCGTTGAACTGGAACTGGGGAGACAGGGATGCCTTCCAAGCGCTGAGCTTGCGCTCGGCAGCGACAAACAGAGACGATGGATCCCAGGCGGGTAGGTCGGAGGGGTCGCGGTTGCGGGAAACCCGCAAGATCATGGTGCGAATGCCATACAGACGAACGTGAAGTCCAAAGATACCAACCCCTTCCCATTGTGCCGGATCAGCCTCGTCGGGATGCTCGCTTTCAATTCTCGGGATTGGCGTGTTGGTTGCGATTCCAAAGAGATACTGCTGGTCGTCGCAGGGAATGCGGATCTTGAGGTGCTGAGCCGGTGTGGCCAAATACTCGGGCACTCCTGTTGACATCATGCGGTCCAGCGAGTAGCAGCCCCACATCAGGCGACGACGCGTTTCACGTTCAGTCCTGGACATCGGGTTGTCGGGCTCAACCTCGTGGTGAAGCTTGAGCTGCAGCGCCATGCGCGTCGCTGTGCCGCCGAGGATAAAGGCCTGGCTGAACCGCCCCGCGAAGATGTCGTGTTTGGCGAGGATGAGGGCGGCGGCAACGCTGTCCGGAGTAGCATCCTCGGACAGGAGGCTCGCTTTAGCCTTGTCCGCCCACCCGTTTGCCATCGGGGTGCCCTTGATCGTCGGAACAGTTGTTGGCGCACTTGAAGGAGTCACTCCCGATTCAACAAAGCGGTTTGCCGCAGCGCAGATAGCATACACCAACTTCGCCGCTGCCTTTTTATCGGCAATATCACGCATCAGAGTCGAGCGATGCACGACGGCGTTGGCTTGGACGGGATACACGTAGGTGAAGAAGGCGTCAATGTGTCGGTCGAGCGTGGCACGAGGGATACCATGTAGCCTGTTGAGGTGGTCAGCACGCGTGCGGGAGGTGATCTACAAGCGAGCACGGGAATAGTCCACACTCACGAGTTGCCATAACGGTCGTGCTCGTCCGTCGGAGACGCCTCTGCACTGCTTGGTGTGAGGCCGCTCTGTTGATGGGATTGCGCCCTGTCGGCCGTATACTCGCACGAAGTACCATGCTCCACGCAACGGGCACACGATGGCCGCTCTTGAGAACATCTGCAGCGCGCAATACGGCAAGCAGAACACGCGGCTTGGCGATTACGACGGATCGGTCCGACTGGAGAGACGTTAGCGTTATCTCACGGTGCGCGGTTCTGCCTGAAGTACAACACAACGGACAGGGAGTAGACGTACTGCTGGACGCTTGTCCATCGGGGACCTCAAGCTTGACAGCAGCAGAGGAAGCAGTGGCGCGATCATCGAGAACATTGCGCACTTGGGGCCATCGGCAGGCCAAGAGCACTCTTTCACAGTTCCCACACGTTCCCGGCGCTTCATCACACTTGACCTGCAGACAGTCGTCAGCTACAGCTGCACAAAGCGGGGGCGAGGGAGCGAGAGGACATACCTTGCGCGCGCGACATGTCAAGCATCCTGATGGCGAGTCAGTCCTGTTGTGTTCTTTCATGCTTGGTGACCCTAAACATACCTGTTCGAGTGCGCTTTCCCTTAACGCGGCGTGCTGCGGTGGATGAGGCGGCTCCAGTTGGGGTTGCGGACGACTCGCTCGCCGTCTTGGGCGTCATGAGTCGCGAACAGGTGGTGGACGGAATAAAGAGCAGAGTAAGGGGAGGGTTGTGGGTTGGCCAGCGGCGGTGGATGACAGGGCAATGTGAACAGCAAAGTGTGACTGTAATTGTGACTAGGCCCACTGGGCCACTGAAACCGGTGACCGGTCACGCCCCTCTCTGGGCAAGTGGCGGCGTACGCTGCGGAGGACCCCGTCACGAGCCGGGCAAATCCGAGCACCACTTGCTGCGCATAGGCTATTTGGGACTTGCACCTGTGGCCAGTGGCCCCAAAATGCATCGCACGCGCTGGGCTGTATGAGACAGATAACATGTGTGACACTCCCTCCCTCCCTCCCTCCCTCCCTCCCTCTCTTTTCTTCATACGGTGACTCGCGACTACCAGGACCATATTAAACTGTATGAACAAACTGCAAAATGCTGCTGGCCATTCCATATCTACTCGAGTTCCACCTTGGGCTTCTTCTTCGCGCTTCCGTCGCCACCATCGACCTTGCGCTTGGCCTTGGGCTTCTTTGGTGCTGGGCTTGTTTCGGAGGCCTGTGGCATAGCGTTAGCACCTGCTCGAACCATCACCATTCGCACAACACAACGTACCAGCTTGGAATGGATGTCCATCAGCTTGGAGTAGTTGACGCCCTGGCGCGGCCAGAAGAATGACGCAAAGCTGCGGTCGTCAGTGTGCGCGCCCTCTCCCACTTGTGTTTATGACTTACACCCAACAATGCTTCCTCCATTTGCCACCGTCTTGGCCCTGCGCCTGCTTCTCCGCGACCACCTCGTCGATTCGCGAACCAATGCCAGCCACACACTCCTTGAGGGCGGCAATCTTCTCCTCCCGGCTGAGGTTTTCGGTACCAGACTTGAGCTTTTTCTAGGAACTGTCAGCAAGGCCCCTTTCGGCAGTCTCTATATCAGGCATAGGTCAACTCACAAGGTGGCGCTTGGCGGGACGCAGAAGTTCCTTGACCGCGTCCTCGTCCATCGACTCGTAGCTCTCGTCGTCCTCCGAGTCGGTGTACTCGGGAGTCTTTCTCCTCTTGCCCTTGTCCTTGGCAGATGAAGAAGAGGCGGCGGCAGCGGCGCTGGCAATGGCCTTGCTGCTGCTGCTGCTGCTGTGAGACGCAGGAACGACAGCGACGGGAAGGGGTGGGTGGTCATAGCCGTAGCCCTCCTTGACAGGCATGTTGGCGATAACCGCTTGTTGCTCGATGAGCATACGGCGGTTCTCTTCGTACTCGCGGATAAGACCACAGAGGTAGTCGCCGCGACGAACAAGGTGGATGGGGCCGGGAATGCCAGTTTTGGCAGCGCCAGCGTCCTTGACAGCCTTGGGGTCGTCGAGGAAGATCATGTCGCCGAGCTCAAGGATGGAGTCGGTCTTGATCAAGTCCCAAGCGCCAAAGCCATACTTCCAGATGCCAACCAGCAGGCGCGAGTCCTCACGGGCTCCCCACTCGACTGACCAGTTCATGGTAGGCTTGAGGTTGTCGTGAGGGATGGCGTAGGTGTCAACATCCTCAACACGCTTAAAGTGCTCGACAAGGGCCTTGAGCTCGTAGTGGCGAGCGACGACTGTCTCGGCGTTGATACCTTGGATACCGCGGAAGGTGAACAGAATGGCCTTTTGCCTGAGCGAAGACGAGATGGTCTCACCGCGCTCCTGCATCGATCGGAGCTCCGACTTGTGGGCCGCAACCGCCTCCTCAGCCTGGGAAAGGATGTCGTCGCAAGTCTGAATAACGACCACACGGTTCTTGGCCTGGAGCTTTGCTTCGTCGACGATGGTGTCGTAACGAGTGCGGATAGGACCCCACTTTTGCAATCCACGGATGAGAACACGGAGGTCGCGGTCCTTGAGCTCGACGGCACGCTGGGCGTTGCTCTTGCGGGGTCCCGAGACCTTGGCCTTCTTCTCGGAAGGCGAGGCCGCCTTGCTGCCAGACGGTTCAACATCGGCCTCGTCCATACCTTCGTAAGCTCCGGGAGCGCGAGCAGCGGCACGCTTGCGTGAGCCAGCCATCTCTTCGGCCTGCAGCGCCCGGCTCTCCTCCTCGTCCATCTTGACACGCTCGTCGACAGGGATAATATCATCCCAGCTGAGGTCGTCCGTGTCATTCTTGACGTCCTGAATGGCTGCAAACTGTGCCAAGAAGGCCTCACCACCGGACGAGGTACCGGCAGGAGCAGCTGCGGCCTCGGTGTCGAAGTTGTCGGCTTTAGTAAGAATGTCGTCCAGGTCCATCGCATCAAGCTTTTGGTTCTGGACGTTCTCGTCGGCCTGGAACATTGACCTGGCACCAAATTTGAGAATGGCGGCAAGCTCCTCCTTGGACAGATCGCCGGTCTTCTCCTTTGGTGTAGAGGTGCCATTGATGTGGCTGCCACTGGTGTCGGTCTGGTTGATGATTGCGTATTCGAGAATCATCTTGCGCTTGGCCCTCTCGAGGATATCCTCCTCAATGGTGCCTTTGGTCACAAGGCGATAAATGTTGACGTGACGGGTCTGACCGATACGGTGCGCGCGAGCCATGGCCTGCAGGTCGTTCTGAGGGTTATAGTCGCTGTCGAAAATGATGACCGTGTCGGCAGTTTCGAGGTTGATACCAAGACCACCGGCACGGGTGGAGAGAAGGAAGGCGAAATCGGGAGAGCCGGGAGCGTTGAAGTGCTCAATGCTCTTTTTGCGCACGTCCGAGGGCACAGTGCCGTCAAGACGTTGGTGAACGTAACCACGTGCAGCCATGTAGTCGGAGATGATGTCGAGAAGGCGGACCATCTGGCTGAAAATCAGGACACGGTGACCGTCGGCCTTGAGACGCGCGAGGAGCTTGTCGAGGAGCACCATCTTGCCACTGTTCATGACGAGGCCACGCAGTTGTTCGTTGAGAGCCTTTGAACGGTCTTCGGCTCCATCAAAGAGATATGGATGATTGGCCGCCTTCTTCAGTTCCATGGCGACGTTCATGAGAGAGACGCTTTGAGTGCCACCCTTGCTCAGAACGGCAAAGTTCTTGGTGAGGATGTGCTTGTAGTAGTGCTGCTGAAGACCGGACATTTCCACGCGAAGGATGGACTCCGACTTGGTGGGGAGCTCCTTGACGACATCCTTCTTGAGACGACGAATCATCAGGGTCTCCAGCTGCGAGTGCAGAGCCTTGATCTTGTGCTCCTGTTCAGCGTCACCAAGCTCAAAGTCGTTTGCAAGCTGGAACTGCTCGGGCTCGACAAAGTGGAGCAAGGCCAAAAGTTCCTTTACCGTGTTCTGCAGCGGAAGTACCAGTGATGAGGAGGCGGAAACCCGTGGAGAAGCTCTGCAGCGCCTCATAGAGTTGAGAGTCCGAGTTCTTCAGACGGTGCGCCTCATCGACTTCGAGAGCCTGCCACTTGATCTGCTGGAGGTCCTGGCGGTCCTTGAGGATAAACTCGTAGGTGGTGAGGAGAACGTTGAACTTGAGGTTCTTGGGAGGTCCGAATTCGGTCTGGCGGATCATCTCACGCGAGGCTGCCGATCCCATGTACATGATGACGTTGAGGTCGGGCGCCCAGGTGCGGAACTGCATCTGCCACGCATTGATGGTGGAGAGCGGGACGACGACGAGGAAGGGGCCGTACTGCTGCTGCGTGTGGAAGAGATATGACAGGAAGCTGACCGACTGGACAGTCTTGCCAAGGCCCATTTCGTCGGCCAGCATGCCACCATGGCCACCCTTACACCATAGGTAGGCGAGCCAGTTGAGACCCGTCAGCTGGAAAGGCTTGAGGGCACCGCCACACTTCAAGTAGTCGGGGTCCTCGGCAACCTTCTGGTATGCTGGTCGTGCATGAACAGGGTAGTTCTGGGAGCGGGCTGGGACAGTGGAACGAGCCATGCGTGCGTGGTACTCGGCAATCGCGGCCTGAGCCTGGTCCTTGATGTCGTCATAGGTCTCCCAAGTGCACTCGTGGTATTGGAGATTGGTCCACTTGCAGAGGAAAAGGGTGACAGACTGGCCATCACGGAAGTCTTCTTTCTCACCGACGACACGCTCGACAACCTTGTAGCTCTCCTGGAGCTCGCTGATGCGTTCACGGTCGATCTCGTACTGTTCCAGGTCCTCTCGGGAAGGCTTCCAAGCATCTGGTGATGGGTGGTGGTATGCCTGCTCGACCAGCCAGACCTTTTGAATGTAGTTTTCCACCTTCTTGAAGCTACCCACGTCAGTCACATGTTTCATGCCCTCCAGAAGATGCAGAACAACTCACCCTTTAAATTGCTTCAGGAAGGAATACACCTCATCAGTGTTGTGGATGTGGCTGTAGTTCTTCCACTTGATGTGGAACCTCTGCGGTGCAAGTCAGCAATTGAGCATGCAGTGTGCCACTCACCAGGTTGGTCTGGGGGTCGTCTTTTTCGTCCGACGCATGCTCCTCGTCCCGGGTGTGAGACAGGACGAGGTCAATCTCGTCGGCGTTGCCGTTTTCTGCCTGTCAGCCCAGCTATCCAAGCTACCCATCACCTAGTAACCCACCAATAGGAGCTTCCCTGTCGTAATAGACCGCGCCCTCCTCGTCCTCGTCACCCTCGCTGTCGAGTCCGTAGTCGACGCTGGCCTCGTTATACGTGACAACCTTGCGAGCAGCGCCGCGGCGCCAAGATGCATTGTCCGAGTCACCAAAGCTTGTGTCGGGAGTTGCCGTTCCACGCGAGTTTGCGCCAGAACGCTGGAAGAACTTCTTCTTGTGCGACTTGACAGCATAATCCTCGTCCGACTCGGAGGTGGCACGCTTTGAGATAGGGAACTGGGCAAGAGGAGCTGCAGCTGATGAAAGGTCAGTTATGTATGTCACGACGTCAATGTAAAAGAACGTACGTTTCTTGGCCTTTGGCATCTTTGGTGGCCCCTTGCGCTTCGGGGTGTCTCCAAAGTCGGGATCGTCCTCAGCATCGCCGCCGTCATCGTCCTCGTCGTCCTCGTCCTCTTCATCGTCAAAGTCCTCCGAGTCTGCTGCCTGTTCGGAGTCGCTGTCGTTGTTAGACGTCGCTCCAGTCATCTTACTGGGTCAGCAACAGCCAGGCAGAGTTGTTGTTGATGCTTACAGGTCCATCCAGGTCGACCTCCTCCTCGCCCTCGGCGTCCTCGCCCTCGGCGTCAGACGGTTCGGGAGTGAGGTCTTCCTCGGATGCCGGGCGAGGAGGATTCAAGATCAGTTGGCGAGGCTGTTGTTGTTAGCCGAGGGCCTCATTGTAACCCATGCAAGGTGTCGAGGGCAAGGGAACTTACCGCCGGGAGGCCGGATGCTCCATGTATGCTGGCCATGTTGGTGGATGGGTGGGGAGAAGTTGGCGAGGAAGAGAGATACGGTTCGGGGGAAGACTCTCCAGACTCCATATAATGGATGCCTCCTGGCAGCCGATCAGCGCGTGTTCTCTGAGCGCGTCGCGTGAAAACAAGGATATGTGATGGGGGACTGCAATGTCTCGCGGGCATGGATGGTTCATGAGACGCGACGGACAAGATGGCAATGTGCTTGCTCGTTCGCGTCTGCTCGTCGTCTGTGGTGGGAAGGAGGCAAGGACGACAAGGGGGTCTCCACTTGGCCCCCACTCTCATCTTTCGCGGGTTCCATTCTTGACTTCTCTCCATTGCCTATTCACCGATATATGCACTCGTAAGTTGTACTCACCGCGAACGGCGTCGATTCGGCCTGGATGGGGACTGAAGAGACTCGTCGGAGAGGCTGGGACTTGGTGGGTGGGGAACCGCGGCTGGGGGCTGTCGGTCCGGGGCTGTCGTGGGCCCGGGGTCGGAGCCGGTGGTGGTGGTGGTGGTGCTGGTGCTGGTGGGTGTGTGTGGCTGCGTGGAGCGGCGCGCTGTGGTGTTTGGGGGGAGGGGGAGGTGGTGTGGTTTGGGGTGGGTGGATGGTGAGGAGAGAGGTTTGAACGCGCCGGGCGCCTTTGGGGATGGTAGCGGGGAGAAGGTGAAGGATGGTGAGAAAGGGGGGTTGCTGCGCGGGCATGGGCGGACGACGACAAGCGCCCGCCCCCGACCCTTTCCAACGCCCTCTGAGCCAGCTCCCCGTCGCTCTCTGGCTTTTCCGTGCCACCGTTCGCTGCCATTTGAACGCCGCGCGACCCGACCCCACTCCAAAAGATCGCGCGGGCCCCTGTGTCACCCACCAAAGGCAAACTCTCCCCGTCGCCCTCTTCGCATACCAACCGTCATGGGCCCCTTTGCACACTCTATTGCTCTTTCCCCTCCTTAGCTCCTTGCGCGCTACCGCCCACTGTCTCTCTGTCTCTCTCCAGCCCAAGCATCAGCACACCACCACCGCGTTCGCCGCCGCTGCTTCCGGGGCCTCCACCACTGCTTCCGCTCCGGTCACACCCGCTCTCTCTCTCTCCCTCTCTCCCCGCGCGCGGGCTTTTGCCGTAACAAAGTGCCGCGCGCCATGCGCCATTTCAACACCGGTACACCGCCCAGGTGGCAACAGCCGCGCATGTCGCACCGCATGTGTCGTGTTCGGGGTAGCTATAGCTATATGGTGGGTTCAGAGTGTGAGAGCCGAGTGGCGAGAGCGGCCATGGAGAGAGAGGGCGGCGCGGTGAGCGCATGAGCGAGGTGTCCAATGTCCAAGAGCATCATCGGGAATACCGTACCTGACCAGTTGTTTATGGTGCTGCTGAGAGGAAGAGTTGTATTCGTTGTAGCCCTTGCCCCCCCCCCCCCCCCCCTTTGATGAACCCGTTGTCTGTAGAGTGTGTCCAGCGCTGTGCAGCACACCTTAATGGTCTTGCTCGCCATGCATCAGCTTGCGAGGCAGTACCATTATCAGCCATGGGCTCTGGCCCACCGGCCCACCGGCCCATAAATGACCCTGCGCGTGGTGGAGGGGAGCCAGGGCCTGCGAGCGGACGGAATCAATGACACGTTGTGCTTGCGCCGCTGCTGCCGCACCCACAGCTTCCACCTCTCTGCTCTCCAGACTCGATACGTTCATCTGGTGTGCTCGCACGCGTCTCACAATCACCATCGCACTCGTCCCGTCGACAGACATGGCCGCCAGCATGTCGGCCCTCTCAAAAGCCCCTCCCAAAACCAAAATGGAAAAGTGTACGTTTTGCCGATGCGACACGATGACGATTTCGTGTTGACAACATGGACAGTCACGTTCACCTTGGGCAAGCTGGACGCAGGAATGGTGCGTTATCCTTTGCAAGGCTGTGGGATTGCAACTGACCTGTTCTTAGGCCATTCTCCTTGGTCCCAACGCCCATCTTCTCGAGTTTCCCTCTCTCCTGCTTCCCTCCCCGTCTCCCGATGACCCTCCGCTCGGCCCCGGCTCCATCCTGACCATCACGGTCGCTCGTGACCTCGAGGCCGAACGTGAGAGGGCCAACGCGTTTGACGCACTGCAAGAATCCATTCTTGAAGCGTACGGCGCCCGTGCCCCGGCCAACCCGGTCCTCAAGCTTCAGAATGTCACCCAGACCAGCGTGTGCCTTGAGTGGGACCACCTTGAACTCGGAAGCGCGACGTTCCGTGGTCTTGAGATGTACCGCAACGGCCAGCGTTGGGGTCGTATCGGCGGTGATGCTGGACCCAAGGACGAAGCGCGCGAGTGGAAAACTGGAGGTCTGCAGAGCGGAGAGGAGTACACCTTCCAGCTTGTCCTGTAAGTGCAACACAATGTTCCTCCCCCGCTGACCGCAACAGCAAGACCACTGCCGGGACGTACGCCTCCAACCTGATTCGCGTTCGCACCCACACCATGGAGTGAGTTGCCTCTTCAGAATTCTCTCGCTAATAGTTGCAGCAACCTCACTGGACTGTATATTACCTTTGGCACAATCCAGCCCCCTTCCCTTGTCAAGCAGCTGCGTGGCTGCCTGGAGGAGATTGGTGCCCGTGAGGCCGCCCAGGTCCAGCTCGCCACCACCCACTTTGTCTGCACATCGCCTGTCGCCGAGTCATCTGGAGTCGCGCATGCTGATGAAGGATACGAGAAGGCAATGGCAGCCAATCTGCCCGTTGTCGGCCCCGGATGGCTTCTGGCCGTTGCGGCGGAGCGAAGGTGAGTCCAAGTGAGCGTCAAGTGAACCTAATCTAACGTTCCAGACTCGTACCCATTGCCAATTATCTGCTCCCTGCCCCGTCCGCTAGCCACTACTCGAGCACAGATCAAGTGGTGAATCAGAAGCGGGCGTCACTTCCTACAGGTGCTTCTCCCAGTGGCAGCAGTGGCCAACCGCAACAACAGCAGCAGACCTTGGTCAGGTCCCCAAGCCCGGAAACTATTGCTCGAATGAGCCAGACTGGCCCAGCCATGAGCCCATCGTCCCGCACCGAGTCGTTTGAGAACCGACGTGTCGCTCAAGACGCTCTCGCCGAGTCCGAGTCCAAGAACCCGCTTCATGTCCGGCCCCGTAGCCCTCGGCCACAGTCCGACGGCCGCCTGGATCGCAGCTTCAAGTTCCCTGTCGCTGGTTCCAACAAGAATGGCCAGACGGACGTGAGCGAGTCGGATGTGCCCCTCAAATCGCCACCGATGAGCACTCCAGTTGTCCACATTCAAGCCCCAAGCACGGATGGCCCCATCTCAGCCCCAGTCGGTTACACGCCGGCCGAGGAGACTGAGCCGGTGAAGGAGGAGGCCGAGGAGGATGTGGTCAATGAGACCGTCACGGCGCCTGAGATCCCCGAAGACGACCCGCCTTCGTACACACAGGAACAAGTCGAGGAAGAGACAACCAACGAGGAGCCGGTCAACGGGTCAACGCCCGACGAACCGACCAACTCAACGGTGGCCGAGGCCCAGCAGCCAGCTGAGGAAGCCCCATCCGCTGTCGAAGAGGTTAACGACACCGATACCAAGACCAAGGCCGCCGACGTGGAGGTGGATACCGGTTCCCAGGAGCCAGAGGACGACGATAATGGCCAGAACATGACCGAGGTGGACCTGAACTAGACAACCCATAGTAACCCGCACCCGTACCCGTGATGCCAACATGATGATCGCCATGACTATTGCCCAGCTACGTACAACCTGTACCCTGTCCAGTAGTTACACAGACTCCTATTCCTCTGCGACCTGGCCCCATCCTGGAGCAGCTCCTTGGCCAACCAGGACTTGGCGGTCCACGATCTCGCCTGTTGTCAGTCGCTTGTACGTCGAAACCGTCTCGCCAAAGTCTGAAATGTTGTAGACGCGGATGCGGCGGTCGAACCCCTTTTCACCATAACCTGCGTACGATGACCCGCCGTCAAAACACATCCACACACCCGAGACACGTCGACAGCGGTCGGTGTTATGGCAGTGGCCGTGACTGATGACTTTGACCTCGGTCACACTCTTCGCTCCTAGCAGATCTCCATCGCGACTGCCGCTCTGTTCCAGTGCTTGCTGAACAGCGTTGGAGAAGAAACCTCCGTTGTGGCCACTTGCGCCCTCCCTGTCCTCTTGAACACCGAGGTCGAGCGTACCAGCGTAGGCGGTATCCTCGGTAATGTCGGCCGCCAGGTAAGCCTCAGGAAGGGGAATGTGAAAGAACATGATGGCGTTGGGTTTAGCTAGAGTCACGCCACTCTGTCGTTTGTGCTGTTTCTCAAGCCGACGTTTGCGAGACGACCAAGTGGGGTCTAGATCGGTTCCCCCATCTGGGTGGAACGGCCGTTCAATGGGCTTGACGCTGGCCGACAGATCCAGGAACCAGTCGATCTGCGAGGGTTTGATGTAGTCGTAGTCTGGACGCGCCCATGAGACAGGGAACACGGTCTTTTGGTACGAATGTGAGTCGAGAAAGTAGAGGGTAAAGATGTGCGTCCGGGACGCGTCGGGGGAGTAGATTCTAATATCGTCTGCCCTGTCAGTATCCTTGAAGGACTCCGGGTGCTCACAGTTGCCTACTCCATCCACCTCACTAGGGCCGGCCCTTGCCAGAGAATAAGGCATGTGCTGCATGGCAACCATTTGCTCTTCTCTGTCTTCGGCAATCTCGCTGTCGTGGTTTCCTGACGTCAGATTTGCGAGGGTATTGGGGATATACTCACCAAAGACAGCGGCCCAGGGGATATGACGATCAATAACAGGTCTGGCAAACTTGGCCAGGACGGAGCGCGCGTCATATGATGACTTTTGGCCGTTCAACTGGTCGCCCGAGAAGACCACCAGGTCGGGTTTCTCTGCGTCCAGTGCCTCCCCCAACCACTTGGCTGTGTCCGGTTCACCCGTGCAAGGTACCTTGTCCGTGTCCTTGCACTTGCCCGGGCCGACGGAGTAGTGAAGGTCTGCGACTGAGAATCGTCAGCGTGGAGGTTATTTGCTTGGACTCACTTTGCATAACCTTGTAATCTCCTGTGACATGGAAACGAGGGAGCGGCGCGCTTGGGGGTATGGGGTTACCCCGCCGGTAGACGATGTCCACGCTGTCCCATCTGCCATCCTTGCCTGGGTTGACTTTACCGCCCTCAATGCGGTGGTATCCAAAGAATGGGTCTTCATCGCCATAGTGCACAGACAGTTCGGTGATGATGTCGGCATCGTCAACTGCACGCCGCAGGCCGTCGACAAACTGGTCGCGCGTCTTGTACCAGAGGCGCATCTCAGGTTGGCTTGGCCACAAGCCCTCGTGCAGGTCCCCACGCGCTTGGGTCCAACCCTCGAGATTCACGCTTGCGGGAGGTGGGTGTGGGAGCACTTGCACATGTGCGATGAGCGGCACATCGAGTCGGCGTGTACGGCGATACCATACATTCAAATACCTGGTACGTCAGGCAACAGCCTTTTTGTCTTCCAAACTCACCAAAGGCCAGTCTTGGCATTCAGATCTGGTTGCACCATCACCCACTGTCCCTTGAGCTTGTCATCCTCAGGGGTAGAGGCTGGCCGACAGTAGCTAGCGAAGAGTATCGGGGACATGTAACAGGGTTGGATGATAATCTCTGTGAGACCGGTAGTGTGCAGGGCCATGGGATCCTGCAACAACATCATCAGCTCGGTTTGGGGCTCTAAACAGCCTGGGGGCTCGATATCGATATCCACTTACCCATATATCAAGCGGAAGACTCGGAGCTGTCCCATTGGAAATTGTATGAGCCTCGGCATGTTTGGCTACCACGTCCCACGCCTGCCATCCTAAGCCTTGAGTGAACGCTGGAGATCGAAACGTTGAAAGATAGGCGTAGCTGCCCAGACCAAAGGACAAGACGACGAAGGTGATGAGAACTGGTAAGGTGGATCTAATGTAGGCCAGTCTTGGCGGCCGTCTCGTGTTATGGTAGTCTCGCCTGAGTGCAGGCATGTTGACGTCTCGGGAGTGGGAAGTTGTAAACGAGAAGCCGGAGCAGTTGTGGGCGACGTCATGTCCGCAGTGGAGGGAGGCGGCGAGGCGCCCTGACCGGCGCAGCGCGCCGCAGCCCTGGCTCATGGCTCAGTGGATCAGTGGCAAATGGGGTTTTCAGCGGCCACTCGTGTTGCATTCTCCCTGCGTTTGCGGGCAGCCATGGTGCTGAAGCTGCCCTCACACTTCGTCTATGTTCTTTTTCGATCACGTAGCAGCGGGAATCACGACAGGTGATGTACATTAGGCCACAACACTCTGCAAACCTTCAAACCCTTATAAACTATCACTTTTGGCGGTCTATACCAGGTGCCATCTTCTTTCGACTTGAGACCAAACTACCACAGGTGTGCAAGCAGTTATAAGGGTGCCGTAGCCGAGCGCAACCTGCGCATCTCGAAATCACTTCTTGTATTGCGGGTGAGAGGAGTTGGCGGACCCAGGTAAGCTTGGATGGGCACCTCTGCTTCGCGTTGGTCGCTGGTGTGGTCAGAAATCAATAGAACGCCTTCTAATGACCTACGTTTTCTTCTTGCAAAAGAGACACCAGATACGCCTAATGGCGCCCCAAACCTTTGCCAGAACAGAAAGCTGAATGTTAGCCCGAAAACAACGACCCAACTCACAAGCAGCATAACGAGAATACGACTCATTTGGAAACACCATTTGAGCACTTTATATGCGGGCCACAACAATCCACCCAGGACTGTTGTTAGCGTCATTCATTTAAGGGTAGTTGCTCACTGCACATAATCGTGAACATCTGTAACGACGCCAATGATGACAACAGGGTGTGCAGCTGGTCCTGGCGGGTCAGTCGATCTGATGGAGAGAGATTGTGTGCCTACGTTAAGAGCTTGAGCTGTATGAGACGCGCCAGTGAGACTTGTCGCGAGAGCCGCGGCAGCGCTGATGGAATTGTTGACGGCCTGCAGTAAGAAGGAATTCCAACAGGTAGACTCACTGTGGCAACCACAGAGAATTGGGTTTCCAGCGCCATGGTGAAGTAACTCATAGTTTCCTGCAGTAGTGAGTAACAGGCCGGCTTGGCCTGTGCCACTCACGAGTTGCTCCGAATGCTTCTGTTCCCAGGCTGAGAGCTGGGCAAGGGCGTTGTCAACGCGATCACTGAACCCATTAAAGCTTGACGTGTGCTAGTCCTGTGAGCATGATTTGCATCAGTAGTTGCGTACCTGGAGTGTGACGTCCTGGACGGCGATGGCGATCTGGGGGTCGTTAATATCAGCTTTCTTCTTTCCGACCCACATCCTTCTTTGCCTCATCTGCCATAGATTCAACAATTTCTCCCAACCGATGAGTCAAATCACCCCTCTGCTGCTCCAAGAAGCGAGCTTGATGGGCTGACAACGACTGGATGGTAGACAGGGCCTCTGTCTGGAGTTGAGCAAAGCAGCGCTCGTTGGCCTGCATCTGAAGAGTTTGCAGCCGTTCTTCGCGCGCTAACAAATTCTCTTCGCGGGCTTGCAGATGTCCTTCTCGAGCTTGTTCGCGGGCTAGCAGACTTTCTTCGCGGGCTAGTAGATGTCCTTCGCGAGATTGCAAATGCTCTTCGCGGGCCTCCAGATGGTCCAGTAGCGCTGTTTTCTGGTCGGTAGAGTGCTTAAGCAGGTCCTCCGCACGTTCTGCAGTCAGTGGCTCCATCTCTTCCAGGTGACCCACGAGCCTCCTGTTGTTGCTTCCATAACTGCCAGGTTAACGCTGTAAAGTAATTAGTCATATGCGGTGCAATGGCCACCCACTGGCTTGACCCAAGAATACAGTGTATGTGGTCCACTCTTGAGGACTTCGGTGGAGGGCCCTGTTGGTCAGCCCTTTTCTTGGCCCAATGCTCACGCCAAGCACAGAAATCGTTGCCTATCCGTGCGCTGGCTTTTGGAAGACCCGTGATCTTGACTTGGTGTCGCTGTCCAAGACCGGCATTCCACTGGGATCTGTTCTAGGGCCGTTCTTATTGAACAAAGAGTGATGCCAATGGTCACTGGTGCTATCAGTTCTGTTTGGCTCGCCATCCGCTCACTGTCAATCTTGCAGGTTTCACTCAGTGTACCGCCATGATGCTCTTCCAAGGACGCTAAAACAATGTCTCGACAATGGGTCTCTGGGACCTGAAGCGCAAATTCAACGAACGTCAGCGCGCAAGGGAAGGGTAACCTACCGTGGGCGAACTCTGCAACGACATCCAGGCCAGAAACCTCCAACTCGGAGATGTCTAGACAGCGTCAGGCTGTTGCAGAGTATGGGTTTTAATCAACTCACGGGTAGTTGAAGCCTGGGGAGTGTAGGTTGCTCCTGCCAGCACAAGGAGCAGGGCGCTCGCGGCGATAGCCAGGACGCGCATCGTTGTGGCGGGGAGGAGGGGAGGCGGGCGCTTCTAAATGGAGCTTGTCCCGCCGTACGTGCGTAGGAAGAAAAGGGGGATTGGGGGATGTATATAGGAAAAGAGCAGAGGAGAGAGAAGATAGGGGAGTGTCAGTTGAAGAAAGACGACGAGGGAAGGTGACGAGGGAAGACACCCATGTTTGGTCCTTGGTCCTTGGGGCCATATGGGGTGGGTGGCGGAATGCCCGCAGCGGCGGCTGACTGGACCCTCCAGCCGGGGGCCATTTGAAACAACGGTTAAACGTCGGGCATCCCGCCCTTACTTTTGAAATAGGCTTTTACTATTGCGATCTTGAAAATATCCACACTGTCCATCGTGCTGCCGTCTCTCATGCATGGTTGAGGTCATCGAACAGGGTGCACTGGGTACACATCCTTAGGGAACATCAACAAATGAATACATGCGAACACGGACACTGCCATAGTACATAAAGGACATGATCATATGGATACCACTTTTGGCCAGTCTTGCATCCTCAGCCACTCGCCGTTGGGACCAAATCGAGGATTCTGATGAAAGTGGAGACCATCGCCGAGTGGACGGCCGATCGGCAAGACCCATCCCGCAATGTTGCGACCCATCTCCTGCCTCCACATGTCTCTCTTCCTCCCAAACGCCCAACGATCGTTGACAGCTACACCGCCAAAGTCGGCGTTCCACTGGCGCTGCATCTTGTTCATGTCCCGGAAAGACCAGCACGAAGGGAATTCGCGACGCAGAGTGATGGTTTCGATTTGCTTTTGCGCGTCTGCCTGGAAGGATTCGTTTGTTGACTTGCCACTCATGACGAGGGCGATGTGGGTCGGCAACATTGCCCAGGTGAAAAGGCCCAGAAATCCAGAGCTGGTGTGCGTCAGCGATGGGTCGTGGGCACTTTTATTACGCACATCACGATCAAAATAACCTTCTGAGGATCAACTTTGGCTGAGCTGGCGGCGTCGATGATGAAGACTATGACGTTGAAGGCGCAGAATAGCCCAGCCCAGAGAGTGAATGTGATGAAAATCGCATGGTTGCGCCAGCCCACGCACTGGCCGATCCACACACAGTGGTCTGAAGTGTAAGGGTGCGCGACAGACAGAGAGGGGTGGCAAGACTCACGGTCAAACTGCAGAATGCAGGTACCACAGTGGCGACAGTGGTGAGTGCGGTCAGGTTTGACAATGTGGCAGTGGTAGCACCAACGGGGGCCCAGAGTGGCATTGGGGACGGGTCTGGGCACGTATCGCGCGGGACGTTCGGCAAGCGTCAACGAGGCGGCGTGCGGGGAGGTGTTGGAAGTGTCAGGAGCACGCGTTGGAGGGGGAATGGGTGGTGGTGAGCCTGCTGCTGTTGCAAGTTCATCTCGTTTCTCCTCAAACGTAGTCTCGGGAATCGCCGTCCCTGCCTCGGATGGGTTGGACACGTCCAATGATCCAGCCCCTTGAGGATCTGGCTGCCCCCCATACAGGACAACGTCAGAGCTTCGACGGGTTCCGCTCTCGGTGTTGGCTTCACCATACTGCTCGTACGGGTTGCTAGAGGTTGCAACGAACTGAGGTATTCAGCCAAGCCCATTGCACAACAGATGCTCACATCTTTCGCCAAGCCGGGAGGCACTGTGATGACCTGGCGTATCAGAGTTGTCTCGCTATTGGGCTGGCGCAACTTACAGCACTGTACGACCACATGAACATGGTCCAGAGGACAATGAATACGACGAGAATGCCCACTACCATCAGCGCGCGCTCGACATCACACGACAGATGCTCACCACCAGCCCCTCGCTCGTACGTCGCTCCGGGCTTTTTCTGAATTGCAGGTACACAGAGTCTGCCTACCACGACGTAGAAGTCCCACACAGCGAGGCAAAGGACAATGCTGAGGGGTCAGCAGATGAAGGTTGAGAGCTTGGCTTACATGACGGCCAGCTTTCTGGAAATCCATGGGTCTGGACAACTGGGCTCGAACTGGCGATTCCACTTTTGCCACGGGGTCATGGTATCGCGCTGAGAGCTGTCGAGGCCGGACATCTTGCGGTCGGCTTGAAGCCGTGCAGCTTCCAGCGAAGGGGGGAGTATCACCGAACGGGCCACACCTCGTTTGCCTTCAAGATATGTGGAGTTTGGGTAGTTGTATGGGGGCTGTGCTCCACTGGCCACTGGAGAGCGGTGAACCGTACACACGAACGCACGTCATGAGTTGGGGGCCTTGTATGACCCGCCTGCTACGTTTTGATCCCGTCAACTGGCCCAGTGGTTGTTTCCACCAAAGCGGCTCGTTGTTCCATCACACCTCGATCGTTCTCTTTTCTCACCCCATCTCGCATCCATCGTCATGCCTAGCACCTACGTTGGACGTCTCCCTCAGGGTGAGTTAGAATGTGCTTGTGGTTGCGATTCTGACGCGTTCTTTTATACAGGAGTCACCAAGGCCGACCTTGAGGACGTAGGTTTCCGTCTTCCTTCCGAGCTCATCCATCCCCAGCACTTCAAGACCATCGGTCGTGTCGTCGACATCCGCCTCATGGCCAACTTTGGCTTCGTCGAGTTTGAGACTGCCGAGGTATTGACAACTTGCCCGGGTCAGAGCGCTGACGAGGATAGGATGTTGAGGCCGCCTGCCGCGAGCTTGATGGCAAGACTCTGATGGGCGAGAGGTACGCGTCGTCCAGTCGATAGAAAACTCACATCCAGGCTGATTGTCGAGCCTTCCAAGGAAGTTCGCAAGCGCGACTTTTACGAGTGCGTGCTTAGAGATTAATCACCGTTTTATGTACATGAACTAACCATAAACAGTGGCGCGCGTCCCCCTCCTCGTGGCCCTCCCCGTGGCCGCGGCATCCGCATCAACGTGATCGGCATCTCCAACACCACCAGCTGGCAGGTGCGAATCCTCAATTCCTTTCCTCTGAGATCGTGTGGTTCAACGCTGGCCGGACATGACAATGCTGGTCGGCAGAGTTCGAGGCGAAGACGTTGTGGCACTGGTCGACCCAGCGAGCCCTGTGTTATCCTTGGAGCCAACGGGCGTGGCCAAAAGAAACGTTTTCCTTCTGCAACCATCACTTGAGGCGCTCGTGCGAAAAGGTCTGATCATTCCCATTACAGGACCTCAAGGACTTTGGCCGTAACGGAAACGAGTCGGTCACCTACGCCGATGTTGACCGATTCACGGGCCACGGGTGAGTCTCCTCTACCCCACACCGGCGTCTGACTTGGCACAGTGTCATCGAGTACCCTACCATGGTTGATGCCGAGGACGCTATCCGCCGCCTCGAGGGTGTCGAGATTCAAGGTGTTCCCGTCAAGCTTGAGATTGTCCAGGTTTGTTGTTGCGTCACATCCTAGACATCAGGCTGACAGTGGAAGGATGCCGGTGGTGGTGGCCGTGACAGCTACGACCGCCCTCCCCCCCGCGACTACGGACGTGACCGTGGATATGGCCGCGAGCGTTACGACGACAGGGGCCCTAGGTTCGACGACAGGCCTCCTCGTTTCGATGACAGGCCTCCTCGTTTCGATGACAGGCCGCCTAGGTTTGACGACCGCGGAGGCCGCTTCGACAGGCGCGGCGATGACAGGCGCGGTGATGACAGGCGTGACCGCTACGACGAGAGGGACCGCTACGAGGAGCGCCGTTACCGGGAGGAGCCGCCGCGCGACTCGCGCGACCGTTATGAGAACCGTGCTCCTCGTGAGGACCGCCCCCCTCGCCAGGATGAGCGTGTCCCTCACCAAGATGAGCGTGCCCCTCACCAGGAGGAGCGTGTCCCTCGCCAGGAAGAGCGCTCGTACTCGCGCGAGCGTTCGCCCCCTCGTCGCGACTAAGGTCCTTAGTTCCAACTCAAGAAATTTGGCGGACAATCCGCATCGAGAATGTATCAAGAAAGTCGATGGTTGAAAATACAAAAAGAGAGAGGGAGAGCGACGGCGACGTCGACAGAGATGGTGGGAAAATGAGTGGTTCGTTCTATGATGGTATATGGCCTGTAGTTTGTTACGCTGAAAAGCAATGTCAACTCCATGAGGCGTATGGTTGCATGAGTCTCGCAATGTACAAATGGGAAGACAAAGGCGTTCACAAGCGCCTGAACTTCATCTCGGGCATGTTAAACTTCGTCTCGGGTGGGGCTAATCTCGGTTGCGGTAGTAAATCAGGCCAGCAACTGCTGCAACGACGATCACTGTAGCTATTGGGATGGACTGGAGGTGGTCAGCAAATAGAAGGCAATGGATAGAAGCTGCTCACTGGAGCTATGGCGTTGGCAGTGGGATGGTCGAGTTTGCGGTCTCCAAGGTCCTTGTCGCCTCTTAATGTATCGGCCGACTCGCGTCCGCTTTCGGACGACTCCTTGTCGTTAAACGTGCCAGGTGTCGATGAAGCGGCACGGGCAAACTTGTCACGCGCGGACATACGCTTGACACGACTGAGTGCATCGCGGCGAAGCTCGCGCGCGCGAGGGGCCTCGGGGACGATGGAAGGATCGACGGGAGCCTTGGGGGTCGATACTCCTTCGGCGTTGGTGACAGCGCGCAGCCCACGCATGGCGAGAGACGTCTTGGTGCTGGGGCGCCTACGGCGGGGCTTTGTCACCCGCGAGGGGGAAACATCGGCAATCTCGATATCGTCGTCTGCGGCGTCCAGGCCACGTCCGGCCGGCCAGCGGCTGTGAACGGCCAAGAGCTCACTAGCCTCGACATCCTCTTGGCCAACATCTTCCTCCTCGTCGGCGAGCTCATCCTCGCTGAGGTGCTCGTTCATCTCCCTCTCCTCTTCTTCCTCAACAGCCCGTCGACTGGCTTCTTCCCAGTCGCGAACGATACCACGTAGCCGTTCCCTCTCACTCTCCCAGCCATCGCGCTCGTGCTTCCACCGGTCTTCGAACTTGTTGCGCCACGCGGACCAGCGCTCCTCGGCCTGTACCACGGCAGCGGTAACGCGGTCCGCAATACCGCTCTCGAGAATGTCAAGTCGGTCCGTAAGAAGCTTGACGGTGGACATTGCCTCGCCATGTTGAGCTTGAAGAGTGCGGGACAGCTGAAGGGCGTCCTCCATCTCAACCGTGAGGGATTGGATGCGAGTTGCGAGGTCGACGTTGGACATGCCAGTGGAGGCGTCCTTTTCAGAAACGTCACTCGACGCCTTGTCAGGGCCGTGTCCATTCTGAGGGCCGTCGTCGGGCATAACAGTTGCGACACTACGCGCATCGTCGTCGTCATCACCGTCGTCATCGGCTTCGTGGGACGAGCCGTTCATATCCATACTGTGAGAGGCTGCGAGGAGCACTTCCATCTCAAGCTTGCTGTCCTCCATCTGTTGGCGGACTGCAGCGATCTCTTGCTTCATTGTCTCTTGCTGTTGAAGCTGGGTCTCGAGCTCGCGGATGCGGCCCAGGTGAGTGGTGAGGGAGGATTGCGTGTCGGTCATCTGGGCCTGGAGGGCGATGAACGCGGCGGCCTGAGGTCCATGGGGACCTGCCAAGGCAGCCTGCGCTTCGGCGGAAGGATTGCGGAACTGCGCAGGAATGTACTGCGAGGCCGAGCCGTTCTGCGCTGGTGACTGTGTGTTGTTAACCTCTACGCCTGAGCAATTTCACACTCACGAGTCCGCCACCCATGGTGTCCTGGACATCGGTCATGGCAGTGTTGAGGCCATGTAACTCGTGGCTCGTCTCCTTGCTCTTATTCAACTCATTCTGTCATGTCAGCAGCCGTTGTCAGACAGGAACCAACCTGGAGCTTTTGCAGAACGTGCTCAAAGCTAAGCCCGTTCGCCTTGCCGCCAGCACTCATGATGGACGGCCCCATCTGGCTGAGGGGGTTCACTCCACTGCCTTGGGACATGGAACCCGCAGCCGGTCGACGAGCTCCACGCGGGTCATTCTGATAGTTGGCAAGTTCCCTGGCTGTCAGCAAACGCTTTGCCTTGGTGAATCTACCTTGCGCTGAGGGCCGCATCGTCTGGCGTGAAGACGCAATATGCCCTGGCCGAGACCTTGTGATGGATGATTGTGCGATTGTCCTCGCTGATGATGTCGATACCAAATTCCTGCACATTGTGAGCTTGAGAGCACACCCGGCTGCGGTGAATAATGTTACGCACCACCATGTCCTCGCTCTTCAACTCGAATGGCTCGCTTTCCACCGCTTCCGGTGACAGACGAACGCCGTTGATGAACGTGCCGTTCGAAGACTTGACATCCTTGATATAGATCTGTTCACACTGGGTCAGACTGTGTCCTCTGGACAGGCGTGGCTGGCTCACCTTGCCTCCTTGCTCCCAGATCTCGGCGTGGGTGCGTGACAGAACCTTGGAGTCAAAGTAGGCATTGCGCTCGCCGGGCACGGTTTTGTTGTTGGTTTGACGACCGATTTTGACCTGGCGACAAGATTAGGACCGGGAAGCATCGATAAGTGACTAAACGTACCTTCTGGCCTGTAGGCAGGTGGATCATCTTCATCTGGAAGGTATCCTGGACTGGCCACAAGTGCAGGCTGGGGAATGGGCCGCCCCATGGCTGTTGCCCTGCGGAAGCCGCCTGGTCATGTTGATTAGGGGGAGGGTGGAACGACTGCTGGGTCTGTTGCATGTCGCACTGTGGTATATGGGGCGAGTGAGCCCAAAGTCGGCTGTGTATCGAGCGATGAACAGGCGCTCGTGTTCAAACGGCGGGACGCGTCAAATGGGTTGGAAAAGGAGGCAAGGTTGGGTTTGAGGGGTCGTGTGGGCAAGGGTAAGGGCGGCGGTCAGACGTCGCTGGCGTATTTCGATATCAAAACCCAATCGTGAGGAGCGATGGAGAACAGTGTGAGGAGGGCTGCTGGTAGTTGATGGGGATGCAGGAGACACCTTGGTCGTTGTGACCGTTGTGACGGCACCGCTCGTACCGCTCGTGGCTTGGACTGGTGCAATTTGCTTCCGTGTTGGGTGGAGTGACGAGCTGACGCTGACAGCCTGCAGCCTTCATACGTACACAACCGTCGCCACCGATCCACGGGTTCGTTCACTCACACTTTCTTTCATACATATATCATACTCGTGACGCTCATATACTGAACCCTCATTACACGACTCTCGCTAACAGACATCGGGGAAACAGACCACTCAGGTCGTGGGTAATTGAAGTCACCACGTCCATCTCGTCGCGCCATCTTCTCTTTCCTGCCATGCACCATCTTGTCTTGCTATTTTCGATCAACGTCTTGTATTCACCTGAGCTGACCATCAGTCTGGTGCAGGGTTAACTGGCTCACCTAATTGTCGTCATCAAGGTTCCAGGTGGACGTGGATGACCATGCGTCAAAGCTGGTTCCAGCGCGGGCCCGAGCCAGTGCCTCTTCCTTGGTGATCTCCCAGTGGTTCCCGCGGCTGGCATGCCCGATGGGGACCTCCTCGACGGGGATGGGGCTACCCGTCGGGCTGGGGGCTTCAGGCTCGTGCTGGAACAGCCCCACACGCACCACGCCAGTTGGGAGTGGTCCCCAGCTCTCTGTGACACTCCCGAGCTGGTCGCGCTTTGAGTGGCCTCCGTACTTTGGGGGACGCATCCACTCCTTGGCGAGCAGGCGGTCCGCAGGCTGAGGCGCTACTTTGCGGACTGCTTTAACGTCGGGTTTGAGCAGAGCTTGAAGGTCGAGAGCTGGGACGATCTCTACGTGGCGGTTGTGGTTGCGTGATCCCTCCTGCCGCCCCGGAGGAAGGACTGCGTGCAGGGGTGTCGACGAGTAGAAGCTGCTTGGGGGAGGAGGAGAGCTACGTGCGGTGGGCGAGTAGGAGGTGCTTGGAGGAGGGAAGGCGGCGGTACTAGCGTATCCCTCTGATAAAGTAAAAGGCACACTGCCGCCCGTAGTGGAGCCTGTGATCATTAGCCAAATTCATCTTCGGCACAGTTTGCTCAGACTGACTGATCAGCTGTTCCTGGTCCCTCGGTGTATTGTGCTGGTCGTAGACGCGAGGCGCTGGGGTGGACTCCACATCTGTGGCCTGGGTGTGGTCCCAGGGGCGAATCACCTCGTCTGACGCATCGTGGTGCGCCGAGTCGAAGCAGCGCATGCGCATGTTGACAGTGATCTGAGGTGATCGCGTACGGGAACGAAGGTGTCGCGTGGAAGATATGTGCAATGCGTAAGGGAGTAATATAGAGCTGAGAGAGGAAGAGGAAGAAGATGATGATGATGAAGAAGGAAGACGCTGAAGGAAGGTCAGTAATCGGTGATGCGAGGGAAGGCTGCGCCAGTTGGCTGAGGCTTGGTGATAGGTCTTCTACAGCGTACACTAATACATGGCCCTAGTCCAGCTTGCCCTCCTCCTCGAGAATACCCCTCTTGCCATCGTCCAGCGGCCGCTGCCAGTATGCAACCATCTGAATGGCCAAAACGAGGTTCAGCATGGCGGCACCCGCAAAGCCCCAGAAGACAAGAGGGTCATTGACCTCTTGCTTGGTGGTGAACAGACGCGCCAAGCAGCCGAGGAGGCCGCTAAACACTGCAAACGCTGAAAGGTTGCCAGTGGAACGGTTGGTGTGGTTCTCCAGGATCTGGGGGGCCTTGGACAGGAGTCCCAGTGGAATGGTGCACAGTTGGAAGAAGGCGACTGTCAAGGGTGTCAATACGCTGGGCAAACAGACACGAGGTTTACGCACGCAAAGGGGGGGCACAAAGGCTCTCGGAAGAGAGGACAATGCAACAGATGGCAATGATGGCAGCGCCAATGAAAACGCCATTCAGGCTGCGCTGCGGTGGTGATGAGAGCGGAGTTGGCCCACTCAATCCGTTGTACGCCGACTTCGGTGTGTTGTAGAACAGGATCATAAGGGTGATGACAATGTTCTGGACGGTAATGAAGAAGTTTTCGCCATACGTTGAAAAGGGGAAGCGGCCACGCCAGGCATAGGCAAGAGAGATGGCATACGATGCTGTCTCCAGGATCTAAGACGGTCAATCCCAGAGTTTGTGTCAGAGAGCGACTCACATATGCTGAGAGGGAGAGGCCACGCGCCGATTGAGTTCCGATGATCTTCATGATCTGAATGTCAGACACTGAGAGCGCGAGGTAAGACCAACCTGAGGTATCTTGACTATGCTTCCTCCAAGCACGATGCCAAACCCGAGTCCTTTGGAGAGCGCATACTTTAGGCAGTCCACATCGGTAATGTTAAAGTCGTAGACGAGCACGCCGTAGCACTTCTCGCCTATGAGGGCTTCTGCCGGGACTCGAAGGAACCAAGGAATGTTATGGGTAACGGCTGTCACCTATGTCTGTCAGGTCCTGTTGTGGTGCAAGAGCTGCTTACCGCAGAGTGGAAACCCATTGTGCCAAATCTCGTTGGAAGGAGAGGAGGAACGACACATTGACATCGGTCCCGGTGTGTCGCGTCGGCGCGACGTGGATCGGCCCGGAACCAATTTTGTTTACATGAATGGGACACGCCGCGGACAGCGACACCTTCGCACCGAAAACAATCGTGATGCAGAAATGTATTGGTCTAAGGCCATAGGAAAGGCTGCTACAAGTGTTGTGTTTTACTGAAAATACTCTATGCGGTGGCCTTGAGACCGGCCATTTCTTGAAAGGCTGCGTCAAAGCCGCCCATGCGCAGCCCGTGGACCCACAGCCCAACCTTGCGCACTCTGGCTCCCACGTCCATACCCAGTTCGATTACGCCAAAGAAGGTGTTGTAGTAAGTGTACGTGAACCAGGACTTGGCAAGGTCTTTGAACAGACTCAATGAGAGGCCTGTGGCCTCGTATGCTCGGCGAAGGTTCAGCTTGTCTGCTTGCCACACTGATGTGGCACAGTAGCGACCGATGATAATGTACACACGGTGCTGGCCGTGTGTTGTGGACAGGCTGTAGTCGAGGGAGCGCTGTAAGTCGGAAAGCTTGAGAATCATGAGCAGTCGCCTTGGAACTCGACGAAGGAGCTCAAAGATTCCTAGGAGAAGGCCCTCGCGGTCCAAAACAACTGCCCTCAGCTTGGCAAGCTGTTCCTGGTCGGTGTTGCTGTCCGATGCCGAGCCGGTGTCCAAGAGGGAGGATCCAAGGCCACCTTCGGCGTCATCCATGCTCACACGACCAGTGATAGCGCTCTCGAGATATGGGTACTGTTTTTTGTCAGCAAGCCTCACTTTGTCCCAGCTACTCACCATTTCCTCATCAATGTTTCCCACCAAACGCGCGTAGTGCTTGCGCGTTCGAATAGTCTTTTCAGAGGCCGGTGTCATGAGGGCCAGCCAGAAGTGGGCATAGTTGACGCGCAAGTCGTCCGGAATGTCAAAGTATTGTCCATGGTCCAGCAAGCAGACGTCAAAGTTGAAGGGTGAAGTCGAGTTGGCAGCCCTTGGGCGGACCAACAGGTTGCCGTGGTGTGGGTCCGCATGGAAGAAGCCGTTGATATACACCATCTGGGAGAAGATGCGCGAGAGCTCCTGGCTGACCTGGTTGCGGTCGATCTTGTGCCTCTTAAGATACGCCAGGTCGTCTACACGACCTCCGTCAATATACTCCATAACGAGACACCGGCGCTCGGCCCACATGACCTCTGGGAGGTAGAGACTGGTTTTGCCCTTCAACGGTTCAAAGTCTTGCAGACAGCGCTGAGAATTGGCTGCCTCGTGGCGAAAGTTCATCTCAAGAGGGAGCATCTCGTTCATCTCCTCGCCGAGCCAGCCAAACTCAAAGTCGGGGAAGATGTGCTTGACAAAGCTGATCGCCACGTTTACGGTCGCCAAGTCGATCATGGCAAACTCTTGCAAGTCGGCGTGCTGTACTTTTACAGCTACCGGCAATCCAGTCCGCCTGTCGACTGCTCGGTGAACCTGTGCAAGGGATGCAACACCAATGGGGTGGGCGTCAAAGTCGACGAACAAGTCGTCAATGCCGAGACCGAGATCCTCGCGAAGCATGGCGTCAATGTCTTGAACGGGTGTCGGGAAACATTGGTCTTGCAGAGGAGTCATCGTAGACGTCCACTCCTTGGGCAGGACCTGTACTGCAGCGACGTGCTGTCCAATCTTGACGTAGACGCCTGAGTTCTTCTTGAGTGCTTCGAGCATGCGCTGAGCTGAACGAAGATGACAGGCCTTGCGAAGCTCACGTCGGCGGGCGCGCTGCTCAACGGTCAAGGTCAATGCCTCGCCAGACAGGCCAAGCCTTTCCTCATGGGCAAAGGTCTGCTTATAGTCCCAAACGTCGAGGATCACTGCCCTCATCAACCTTGCGCATCGGACGATGGCAAGGGTAGTGTGGCGAAACGGGGCATACGTGTTGTAAAGGACCGCCAGCACGACGAGGATGGCCAACGCGTATTTGAGACGACGAGAAGGGCGAGTGCGCAAACCATCCTTTGGAGCTACTGTCGCCCTAGTCGCCAATGTCGTCAATGGGCGTTGGGGAATGAACTTGGAGTGGTTGAGGTAGGCGAACTGGAACGGGCGAATGGGTTGCTGCTGCACAGTCGGATGGAGTCGGGGCCGAGAAACCTGCCGAAAGCGAGATGCCAGCTCTGGTGAAGCGCATGACAAGGACCGAGAGCTCAGCAGTCGAGCTGACTGGCAGGTTATCCTGCCTACGGCCAGTTTGGAGACTGACCGCCCAGTTAGGACAGGCATTTTGTAAGTGAACTGAACGAGGTTTAACAACATTGAAGATCGGAAGTTGCTTTACCGCAACGGAGCCGGCCGATGCCGGGCATGGGCTCAGGATCTACATAATGGCGTGTGTTTCATGTTTATCAATCCTCCCCTCCCTGCCTCTCGCACCGGAGTTCCGTTGTTCGAAAGTGCGAATCCGACCGCCCGTCGCGGCTGATGGTATAAAGGTGAGGCGGCGACCTAGTCTGTCTCCTTACTCATCTCGATCCCGTTTATTGTGGCGACGTTGGGCTCCTCCCTCCCGACGACGCTCTACAGGAGGATCTAGAGTAAGGATATTCCATTGGACAGGATTTTTTGCCGGCTCATCGCGTGGTATGTCAGTACTGCGTGTACTTGTGGTGTCCCCCGGCCTGGGTTTTGTCTACACTTTGTAAAACCAATGCAGAAACGAGTATGTGTGAGCCCCCGTTTATGCAGACCCGTGAGGTTGGTCTGGAGTTTTGACAGGCAAAGCATAGCGATGGATTGACGTGGAGTCTGCTTGCAGACTTCACCTCTCGAAGTTTTCTGCGGTTGTTGGCAGGTCGGGCGGAATCAGGCGGCTGCTCTTTTTTTCTGCATTCTATTGGCCAACTGTGAAACCACTGTGCCGTGGGTTGGTTCTATAACAACGCGAATCGAGAACTGGACGGAGGCGGCGGCTCGTGGCTTACGGTATGGCTGACACACATGTCTGTCGACGTCAGGTAGAGAGAGTTGTCCAGCCAAGCTGCCACCCAAAGCGGCCCGAGTGGGTGTCACCTGTTTTGCATCTGGGTTAACCATTAAAGCACGGTGTCTTGAGTTTGGATTAATTGGACCGTCAAAGGAAGGCGGGCCATTGGGCTTGCTGGCCTAGATGGCCAGGGTGGCTCAGGCGGACGTTGGACCGGCAAACGTCGAGTGCAACCTATGTTGCGCCTCGGTGTAGCTGGCAAATTCCAATATCACAGGCCAAGGATGGAATTGCGAATTGAGCGGAGGGTTTCTACACGGCTCCAGCACCACGAGAAAAAGACCGACCAGTTGACAAAACAGAAGAAGGGTTTGTACCTATACGTCACGCGTACTGGCTCGCCACAGCACAACAGCATAGATACATATGTACATTGGATGCTGCCACACACACACACACACTGTCCGCGTGATCTGGGGGGGGGGAGGTGGGCGCGTTGTGTAGTGTGGAACGGGGTGCATCCCAGATTTAAGATCCGGCGTGCGTGTGTGTGCATGTGTGTGTGAGTAGTGTGTGCAAGGGAACGCCACGCCCACACAGGTACACAGGCCACACACCGCCCAAGCGTGCAAGCGTGCAAGCGCCCAAGGTATGCAAGGTACGCGATGGGCGACGCGGCAATTTCGGCCAGCTGCGACCGTGTTGCCAATCGGGCTGCCCACCATTTCGAAAAAAAGAGAGAGCGAGCAGCCAAGCGGGCCCCAGGGGGCGCCTTGTGCGGGGGGACGCGGAGAGAGGCTTGCGACGCCCCATGCGTATCGCAGGGCAAAAACAGCGAGTGATTGGGCTGGGGGCCCACGCCCAAAGGGCCAGAGGGCCAGAGGGATGGGTATTGCAGGGCGCGCACACACTGGGCGGTGCGGGGTAGAGCCCGGGGGGGGGGGGGAGTATGGGAAGTTTGCCATCGTGCATTCTCCCATGGCCCATGGCCCATGGTCCATGGTGCTCTGGCCTCTGGCCTCTGGCCTCTGTGGGGCATTGCGGGGACACTGGAGGGACAGGATAAACTGCTCGCTCTGTCTCTTGTGGCAACATGCCCTCTCTCTCTCGCTGTCTCTCCTTCTCCCCCCCCCCGCGCCGCCCTCTCCCCCGTCCCCCCCGGTCCCCCCCCCCCAACACACACCTGCGTCTGTCAGTCTCCCCCTCTCTCTGCTCTTCACACTGCATTGCCCTCGTCCTTCTTCCCATCACCCCATCCAGTCATTCAACCACAGCGTTCACCACCCCACCACCACCACACCACCACCCATTACACACACACACACCCCACCCGTCTCATCACCTCTTACTCTCTACCTCGACCACCTACCCCCCATCTTCACATCGTCCGTGTTCACCAGGCGTGGCACAATGTCTGGCGCAATCAAGATGGAAGGCTTCCAGTACGGTCTTGCCCTGGCTCCCAAGTCCCGTCCATCCATGCTGACCAAGACTTCCTTTCCTTGTCCATGCGCCGCCACCCGTTCCCTCGTGCACGTTACTCGCTGTCCACGTCCACTCTCTTCTCCAACAGACCTTCCAATGGCAGTGGCCTGCCCCCCAGTCCCCAACGTCCCATTCTCAACCGGCCCTTCTCAGACGGATCCATGACCGTCGACTCGTCATTCCTCACTTCCATCATGTCCCCCCAATCCTTTTCCTTTTCGCCCGGCAGCCTTCCAAACCAACAGGGTGGCCAGTCCAACAACCCTTTCGACTACAACATGGTCTCGCCCCACTCGGGCGCCGTTGAACTGCCGTCTTCGTCCTCGCCTCACAGCTTCCAGCCCCATGCCATGTTTGGCCACCTCAACTTTGGCGCAGAGAACAGAGAACCCCCAGTTGTCGCAGCATCCGACACAAAGGACAACCGCTCGCGATCCCAGTCGTCGTCACGCTCCTCCAACATTGGAAAGGCTCCCAGTGCCCGCGCTCGCTCCGGACGTAAACTGTCCATGAACGACGTTCGACCAACCGTTCAGCCACCCCGTGGACGAACAATGGCCCCGCCTCGATCCATGTCATTCCAGACGGAGAGCAAGCCGGCCCCCGGATCTCTCCTTCCCCTTGGCCCCCAGCGAGCCAATTCAATCACGTCCGCCGACTTGGCCTTTGAACACCAGTACGGCATCGCCATCCCACACACCGACTTTGGCCAAGGCATGTGGGCAGGAGGAAGCGCGCCGAGTGTACTTCCTGAGGGCATGGCCAGCTACGGGGCCAGTGTAGAGGGTGGTGGGCTTGAGAGGTGAGTTTGGAAACCCATCTGTGTGTGCGGCATAGTGCAGTGTACTGACCATGTACCTCAGCCCCGTTACGCCCGCGCAGACTGTGGCTACGCTTCTTGGTGACGAGAGTAGGAAGCAACGCCGCCGCGAGTGCCACAACCAAGTCGAGAAACGCCGCCGCGAGCACATAAACGCCATGATCGAGGAGCTCAACAAGCTCCTTCCCGCCAAGTTCAAGATGCCCATGGATAACGACATTGCGGTAGAGGACGACGAGGACGAGGACCCAAACAACCCCGAGTCCCCAATCAAGAAGAAGGTGGGCATCTTTTGGTCCCTTGCCACCGCCACCCAGGTTATGACTAACACATGTTTTAGAAGTCGAAGCGTACCGCATCCACCTCCAAGCAACAGAAAGACTCTGCCCAATGCAAGGGTCGAATCCTTAGCGACAGCGTTCACTACATTCGGTATGTGTTGTTGGTTAATGCTTCATATGGCACTCTGCGAGGCAACTCTGACTCTCACAGCGACCTTCAATCCGTCAATGAACAGCAGTCTTCCCGTATTCGGTATCTCGAAGGGCTACTGGACAACCAGCTCTTGCAGCAGAACCAGTCTTGGGCGTCGCAGAACCAGTCCAACGACCTCCCCTACCCTCACGAACAACTCGAGGCCATGCGGGCTAGTCCCGAGCCGGACAGGCTTGTTCCTTTGACCCAGTCCGGCTGGTCTGGCTTCAACCAGCTCGTGTTTGAAACCTCACCCACCGAGGCATCGTCCGGTGGTGACATCCAGCGCTCTACTCCTCAATCATCCGACTCTCCTGAAACTGACACCAAGGACCCCGTCGTGTGGGGGCTGGTCGACTTCGCGGAGGAGCAGCAGCGGGAAGCGCGCAAGGACTCTCAACACGAGTTGCAAAGTTCACTCAGCAACATGGAAATTGACGTCCCCGTTGAGGACAGGCGCTCGTGGTCAAACTTTTAAACGTCGTTACATGTCATTTGACGCAGTATCACGGTGGTTGTAGTAGTTTTGTAGTGAGACATTCTCTCCTGGGTGTCTATAATGTCTTGGTGCCAGTGTGTAATGACAACCCCAATGTATTGTGCGATCCACATTCGTGCAACTGTGGCATCGGGCAATGCCCCCATAACCGACCGCCCACTGGCCACTGGAGTGTCACGTTACACGCCCGATTTATATATGCAACGAGTTTACATGCGTCAATGCAACACCACCATGCCTCACTTTACAATGTACAAGGCAATCGCTGCCAGAGCTCTGCGCACCGTCAGAGACAGAGAAACGTCGGAACTTACGTTGACAAAATGAACATAAGCGCATCTAAAATTGTCAGCTCGTGCTTCTCTGGAAGGCGCGGACTCACATTGCAAGAGCAGGAAGCTGGCCAAAGTATGCGCCGTGCCTGCTGGATTCAGAAGCTGGGTGACTACGAGCTGGTTCGCCGCAGCTGGCGTTCCAGAGAGGAGAATAACAACAAAGGTGCGGACTTCAATGTCAGTTCATCAACCAGGTGTGGAAAGTTACTTTTCTGGGCAGGAGGGAACAACGAGGTGTGCTTCTGCAACGCTTGAACAACGAAACTGGCCTGGAGTTAACAACAGAAAGGGTTATCCCTAAACGACACTTACATGGCGAAGACGGGCACAATGATCACTTGGAGAAAGGTTTTAGCGTCTGCCAAAGATCGTTATTGCTCACTCTTGATCACGGTCATTGACACGATTGCCATCAATGGCAAGTCTCGCCACCGACTTGGTACCTGTATCACGTCAGGTTTGCAGATGGTGTCCATAGAAAGAATTACCGACCTTTAATCGAGCAAAGCTAGCCCCAAGCAATATCAATGCCATGGGCACGGTGATAGCTCCCAAAAAAGTCGTTGTTTCCAGAATGAAGTGCAGTGGAGGGTTTCCGTCAGGGGCATCTGGCATTCTTGTCTCTGTCCAGCCAGCGGTGTCGGTTAAAAGGGCTTTCAAAGGTTGGACAAGAGAAAAAGTAATTCCCAACACAACAGCCCAAGTCGGAGGTGGAACGTTCTTGAGGATTGTCAGAAGCATTGACACCACAGAACGACGCTTCCGACTGGGAACAGGCGAAGGCGAGCGAGGAGGGGGCGGCAGCTGTGCCCGACCTGACAGGACAGGTTGCATTTTCTCCCCCATCGAGGAGGGCTCAGAAGGGTCATGAGACCCCTCCAGAGGAGTGGTCGGCGGGATACGACCGGAGGAGTCTACCATTGCAGTGAAGGAACGAGTTCGAGGTTTAAGATGCGTCGGACGTCTTGCAAACTTCTGCGACGGTATCGACTGAACGTCGTCACACTCGTCCCACACAGAATCCACTGCGGTGGTGGTGACCTGGGAAAGCACTGGAGATGGTGGTAGCTCGGGGTCTTCTGTCACGACCGACTTGTTCTTGCCACGGAGGCGGCCATAGAAGCTTGTTGCGTTGGCGGCCCTTCGTCTCCACCGCTCTTTGAATGGGATGGGGTCTTCCAGCATGTGGTCGTCCATAAAGTCCCAGCCACAGATCTATTTCAGTCAGCAAAGGGACATTGGTCTATCTTCACCTTGTGAACACCAAGGGCAAAGAAGGTCGTGTTCATTATCAGGATGAAGATACTAATTTGGTGAGCCCGACCCACACGATGGCTCGCCACTTACGCAATGTACGCGACACCCAGGTCAACATCGGTGCTGGGATCAAAAGGCGATTCTTTTGCCATTGTTTGGACAACTGCCGTTGGGAGATTACCTATGGTTGTGTAAGGATACTGAGTACCAAGTCACATATGACTTACCCCAGTTGGAGATGACGCCCATCTTTCACGCTCGTTAGCCCCACCACATACCGATGTATAACTGGCAATTCGAAAAACTCACCACGATGATTCCCCACCGAAAATCCCTGGGCACATAGACGACCTCTCTCACGATCAAGGTACATAACAGGCCGACCAGTTGGTACATGATGGCCATCAACACGAGGGGTCCAAATGCTGAGATGTTCTGAGGCGTAAATGCCGACACCATGGATGAAAAAATAAGGCATGGGAGCGAGATGTTCTGTCAGGTCAGTGACATGTCGGACGATTTGTACTGCACCATTGTTATCAGACTGATGCCTTTGGTGCTATTGGAAGGGAGACCACCGGTCTTGGTGAGAGCAAATCCAGCGACGATGCAGAGTGCCATCTTCAACGTTGGAGTGAACGCTGTGGTGGTCAGAAACAACGCCGCAGAAATTGCAGACACCTTTATATATGACCGCCCCGGCAGATAATGAGTCCGACATGGCGGCGAGAGGGCTATGGCTTGCTGTCAAGTGAGCGCAGAATACCTCGTGCCGAGTAGTCCATGAGATGGTAGTGAGTGCGAATGCAGATACTCACCCACTCCTGTAGTCAACCGATCATTTGATTGAACCCACGGGTACGCGACGGTGTGGAGAAGACCGATAAGTCGGCCGAGTTGTCACGGCTTTCGGCACGTCGGTCCGAGTTCCGCAGCCACGTTGCGTGATGCAATAACGGTACAACGCGTACAACGCAATAGTGCATGCAACAACGGCGATATGCTGTTGCGTACATAGCCTTTCTGTCTATGGTACATACGTGGCTGCGAGACATGTAATGTAACCGTAAATGCCTGCACAGTGTGCTATCGAACTCCCCCACGTTCACGGCCCGGCTTGCAGCTTTTCGGCTCGCCATGCTCAATTGTCAAACTCGTCCGAGTCCAACTGCCACTCGTCTTGATCGGTGTCCAAAAAGGCCAAGCAGCCTGGGGCGCAGCCAAGCCACTTGATAGGAAGGTCAGGTGTTTTGGCCACCTCCAACCACTCGAATCGTTCTTCCGCAGCGTGGAGGAAGACCCGCCTTATCGGCCGATCAAGCGGTTGTGGTGAATGTTCGTCCCATTCTTGATGCCGCGGACACGGACAAGCGTAGTAATATGGGTTGGCAGACGCGTCGTCGGGTTCCGGTGTGAGATGCGACCGAGGGTAGGGGTTGACACGCCGCGAGCCCCGTCCACCATCGCTTCCTCGCGAAGCAGCCGCACACGCACTTTTGACTGCCTGCAAGACCCGGGTCGCGTCGTGCACCGGAACAAACGGCATGCACCCGCTCAACGAATTTGCGTCCAACAGGGGATTGTTCGCTCCTCGCCCACAGGCATCCCAATCGTAGTTGATGAGCGGTGGCAGGTTATCAGGTGGCCTGGGCGAGATAAGGACGTTCATACAGAGCGAGGTCAGCCGGGGAACGGAGGAGACGCGTTCGTTGTTCAAACAAAGTGACCGGATTGGTGACAGGACGCGAGATGTGTCTTCGTGCGGTTCGGCATCAGTCGGGGGTTGGAGCCAACGGTTCGGATGAGCGGAAAACTGCTCCAGGGAGAGGTTTAAGATGGTTGAAGGTAGATATTCCTGAACACGTCAGATAGTCTCAGCTCGTAAAGACATACTATGCGATTATTGCTAATGTTCAACTCTTTCAGATGCACCAGCCCTCCAATAGCTGCCGGCAGAGATTGGAGCTGATTGTTCCCTGCAAAACGGTCAGTCTGTGGCACAACAGAACCGCTCCTGGCTTACGAAGACTCAGTACCGTGATATACCGAATCTCGAACAGAGCGCTGGGGAGCCTGGGCCCATTTAGTATCCGTGCGTGGTGGACGTAAACCACCCACCTGGTGAGTCTGTTCTGACTCAAGTACACCCCGATGCTAGGCGCTGCCCTCTTGCTGAAGTCAACAGCTCCAGTCTTACTCCTCCCGAAACGACGACGCATGTTCGGAGACCCCGTGAGTGACGGGCTATCTGGCGTTTGAACAGGGCTATCCGAGTCGTCATTGGCGACTTCCGTTGCACCAAGGGCTCCAAACGGCGCGAGGGGAAGAGCGGGAAGCAGCGAGGAACGGTTGCTCAGGTTTGATGTAGGGGATTGCCTCAGGCTTGAGAAGAACGCTGCCGAGGCCGGGGCAGACTGTGTTCGGGAGAACGATCTCTCGCCAAGCGCTAGAGCTCGCGAACTCGGTCCCGCGATGGCGGCGTTGAGGCTAGGAGACTGGTTGGCCATAGCGCGTGACAAACGAGCAGAAGGAGATGCCGTAGGAGATTGGGCTGTTGGCAAGGTCACGAGGTCGCCGAGATCCGCAATCCTGGTTGACAAGCGTTCGAGACCAAAGTCACTTCAGTTAGTTCTAGAGAGCATGATCAACGCACGATAACACCAAGTCACATTTGGCATTGTCCACACAGTGGGCGACCCTCATCTGCATCCAGTCGTCACTTCCAACAACGGCTTTGTAGGGGCTAGGAGACCCCAGCAAGCCGCGGCCAACTGGAGTAGGCGAGGACACGCTGCCATGTCGGGCATGTCCGTAGACTGGGGTCGGAAAGGCCGGAGGAAAGTCGTCTGGTTGGTGACGCTTCGGCCTGGGAATCTTTGGAGCTGGTAAGGAAGCAGAGGGTTGGGCATTGAGATCAAGGTCATGGAGTGTAGCAGCAAATGGGAGTGGTCGAGATGGGATAGAGTCCCAGTCGGGCATGGGCTTGGACGCACCCGAGTAAGGGTGGAGCATTGGAGAAGGGCGATAAGGGGTACTGAGACGGGAGAAGGGACGATATACTATAATGGCAATGATATGTAAATAAGATCAAAGGAGAAAAGGAGATTCGGGTGGGGAAAGGGAGATGATGATGAGTGTGTGGTGGGTAGTCCTCGCCCGGCCTGCCAATGTTGTTGTTGAAGTATCCCCGGGGCTGTACGGCGTGCGGAAGCAACGTGGTGCGAGGCGGCCCTCGTCGCGCCTGACTGTAGAGGGCCAGAGCGTCTCCTTCTGGGGGCTTCCGCAACTCCACATTACGTAAACACTTAATAAATGGTACCGCCCAGCAACTACGACGGCGCGTCAGCGTTGATTCAGCTCCGCGTCATTGCGTGCGGTTGCTCTCATTCATCTCTTCCTCCTTCCATCCTTTCACCACTTTCTTAGACTACAGTTACCCACATATCAACATGGCAGACCCTTCTCAGGTAAGCTGTTTATTCCACGGACCCCCCTCTCGCAACCCACGGTGCCAGCTTGGCGGGTTCCTCCACCACCACGCGCTCTCCACTCGAATGAGTCAACTCCGCAAACAAGATGGCGGCAACTGTCGGGCTCCGCTGTCATCACCACACCTCACTCCTCTGGATTCTGGACGTCCCATGAGCTATTGAGCTGATATCCCTTCTAGCCTGCCCCCGATGACTCTACGGCGACTGCCATCCTTCGTCAGAAGAAGTCGTGAGTCTTCGGTGACGATTGATCACCGTGTATTTATCACATAACTGACGGTCCCCCCCCACCAGTCCCAACCGCCTGATGGTGGACGAGAGCCCTTCCGACGACAACAGTGTTGCCATGCTCAACCCCAACACCATGGAAACCCTTGGTCTCTTCCGGTTAGTTGCGCCAAGAAGGGTGTGGGCAGTTGAACGGCCGCCCCCCAAAGAGCTTGAGCTTGTTGTTGCACCTGCTGACCAATTTCAGTGGCGACACCATCATTGGTGCGTAAATAGCAGGACTCCGTACCCTGCACCCCCACTGACGACTTGATCTCAGTTCGCGGCAAGCGTAGGAAGGACACTGTCCTTATCTGCCTCAGCCAGGACGACGTCGAGGAGGGCAAGATTTGCATGAACAAGGGTGGGTCAAGGCCGCGACCTGTATGCACTAACTTGCTTAAGTTGCCCGTGGCAACTGCGCCATCAAACTCGGTGATCTTGTCCACGTTTCGGCTGCCAACGACATCAAGTACGGCAAGCGGTACGTCTTTCGCTGGTGTCCGGCCATTTTAGGCTGCTTCGGTTGAGTATGGCTGACAATTATTGCAGTATCCACGTTCTTCCCTTTGCCGACTCCGTCGAGGGTGAGTATCAGTACCACCTACCGCCTGAATGCTAACGTTCTAGGACTTTCCGGCAACCTCTTCGATGTTTACCTCAAGCCCTACTTCCTGGAGGCGTACCGCCCCGTCCGCAAGGGTGACGTCTTCCAGATCCGTGGCGGCATGAGGACCGTCGACTTCAAGGTCATCGAGGTTGACCCCTCCCCTTATTGTGTACGTACGGCCCTTGGCTTGCTCTGACGCTGCACTGCGCTGACTGCTTACAGATTGTGGCTTCGGACACGGTGTGTTGTTTGAAAAACTGGGTGACTGGTCGTTACTAATAAAGCTTAGGTTATCCACACTGAGGGAGAGCCCCTTGACCGTGAGGCGGAGGAGGCTGACCTCAACGCTGTTGGTTACGATGACCTCGGTGGCTGCAGGAAGCAGCTTGCACAGGTGTGTAGACGCCCTGTGTGTGTGTGGACGCACGTCACTGACGATCCAGATCCGTGAGCTTGTCGAGCTCCCTCTCCGTCACCCTCAGCTCTTCAAGGCCATTGGTATCAAGCCCCCCCGTGGTATCCTCATGTTCGGCCCCCCCGGTACCGGTAAGACTCTGATGGCGCGTGCTGTCGCCAACGAGACCGGTGCCTTCTTCTTCCTTATCAACGGTCCCGAGATTATGTCGAAGATGGCCGGCGAGTCCGAGTCCAACCTTCGTAAGGCCTTTGAGGAGGCGGAGAAGAACAGCCCCGCCATTATCTTCATCGACGAGATCGACTCCATTGCTCCCAAGCGTGACAAGACCAACGGCGAGGTCGAGCGCCGTGTTGTGTCGCAGCTCCTTACCCTCATGGACGGTCTCAAGGCTCGTTCCAACGTTGTCGTCATGGCCGCCACGAACCGCCCCAACTCGATCGACCCCGCTCTTCGTCGTTTCGGCCGCTTTGACCGTGAGGTTGACATTGGTATCCCTGACCCCACCGGCCGCCTCGAGATTCTCCGCATCCACACCAAGAACATGAAGCTCTCGGACGACGTCGACCTCGAGCAGATTGCCGCCGACACTCACGGTTATGTCGGTGCGGACATGGCCTCGCTGTGCTCTGAGGCTGCCATGCAGCAGATCCGTGAGAAGATGGACCTTATCGACCTTGACGAGGACACCATCGACGCGGAAGTGCTCGACTCGCTTGGTGTCACCATGGAGAACTTCCGCTACGCTCTCGGCGTCAACAACCCCTCGGCTCTCCGTGAGACCGTCGTCGAGATCCCTACGACTACCTGGGGCGACATTGGTGGCCTCGAAAAGGTCAAGCGCGAGCTGCAGGAGACCGTCTCGTATCCTGTCGAGCACCCCGAAAAGTTCCTCAAGTACGGCATGTCCCCCTCCAAGGGTGTGCTCTTCTATGGCCCTCCCGGTACCGGAAAGACGATGCTTGCCAAGGCGTGAGTGGAGCCATACGTTGTCAAAGGTATAAATCTCCTACTAACTCTGAACAGTATTGCCAACGAGTGCCAGGCCAACTTCATCTCCATCAAGGGCCCCGAGCTCCTCACCATGTGGTTCGGCGAGTCGGAAGCCAACGTCCGCGACGTCTTTGACAAGGCCCGTGCCGCCGCTCCCTGTGTCATGTTCTTTGACGAGCTTGACTCTATTGCCAAGGCTCGTGGCGGCTCTGGCGGTGACGCTGGTGGCGCCAGCGACCGTGTGCTCAACCAGATCCTTACCGAGATGGACGGCATGAACGCCAAGAAGAGTGAGCCGAGCTGTTATTTAGACCTAAGCAACGCTGACCAGCCCTTTTTTAGACGTCTTCATCATTGGTGCTACCAGTAAGTCCTGAACATACCCATGCTTGATGTGGTACTGACTGCAAACAGACCGTCCTGACCAGATCGACCCCGCCCTTCTCCGTCCTGGCCGTCTCGACCAGCTCATCTACATTCCTCTCCCCGACGAGGCGTCGCGTCTCTCGATTCTCCAGGCTACTCTTCGCAAGTCTCCCGTCGACCCGCGTGTCGACATGAACTTCCTCGCCAAGAACACTGCTGGCTTCTCCGGTGCCGACCTTACCGAGATCTGCCAGCGTGCTGCCAAACTCGCTATCCGCGAGAGCATTGAGTCGGACGTTCGCAGGGACAACGAGCGCAAGGCCAAGGCCGAGGCTGCGGGTGGGGACCTCGACGTCGACCTCATGGACGAGGAGAACGAGGAGGACCCTGTGCCCACCATCACTGTGTAAGTGATAAACAAACGGAACACGAAAGAAAATGTTGTTAACTGGCTTTTAGTGACCACTTTGAGGAGGCCATGAAGTTTGCCCGCCGCTCCGTTTCCGACGCCGACATTCGTCGCTACGAGATGTTCAGCACGTCGCTGCAGCAGTCCAGGGGCTTCGGCAACAACTTCAAGTTCCCCGAGAGTGGTGGTGAGGCTGCCGAGGGTGGCGCCACCTTCCAGAACGAGGCCGATGACGACGAGTGAGTCTTGCGTTCCTCCCCTTGCTCCTGACTAACATTTTTTTCAGCCTCTACGCTTAAACGGCACGCACTGAAGGCGGCGAGCCACTTCAGGTAGCGAGTATCGTGACATCAGGGCCGCCAAATGTGAGATGGGACCCCCACAAGTACAGACAGACAGGTAGAAATCCATGAATTGTGTGTGACATGAAGCAACTACGCAGTGAAACGCTCTGTCCAGCCCATCCACCATCCGACCGCTTTACCCATGCCATCGTAGTCCACTCGACAGAGCAGCTTCTCCTTGTCCTTGTACGGCAACGCACTTCCAACCAATTCTGGCAGGTAGAAACGAGCCTCGGGCCACTGCGGTCGTCAGGTCTCTAACCTATTCTGCACCAACCATTTGGTCATAGGGAAGTGCCGTGTCGTCCGACAACCGGTACCACTGGGGTCGCATTTCCTCAGATCTAATTGTGTCAGCATGCAGATATAACCTCAACCGGTCCTACTCGATTGGTTTGTTCTGCCATTTAGACGCATGGTACAAATGTATTTCAGCGGTGACGGGTGTCTCTTCGTCGGACACAGATCTGACAACCAACAGCCGCCCGCGAGCGTGGAGATCCTCAGGATGGACGACGAGACCGCACTCTTCCTGAGTGCATTAGAAATCAAACGTCGAAACTGGCAACGTTAATTCACTTGCAGTTCCCGGATGGCACACTCGTCCATGGGCTCATGAAGACGAGGCTTTCCCCCAAACCCGTTCCAAAGACCTTTGCCGAAACCTCGCTTCTTCAGCCCAAGAAGTACCTAAGTGTTAGTTGCAATGGTTATCCCAAGCTCGTACCTGCGGTTCATGGCTAGCATCGATGATGAAGATCAGTGAGAACTTTTGTTCGGCTGCTATTGTGGATGGCACCGGCAGCCAACCTCGATCGGGTTTTTGCAGCCGAAAAATGTCCAAGTCTTCATGTTGAAGTTCTGGCGGCCAACCTTGACGAGGTTCTGACTGGAGCAGGTTATGGGGATCGGTTGGCAGAGCCATGGGACAATGTGGATGAGGTGATGACCGACCGGCGTGGTGTCAAAATCAACGGTTGCGTCATCGCTCAGACCTCCACCCCCAGCCTCCACGTCCAAAACCGCTCATTGCCAGTCTGATCACCATCAACTTCTTTTCCATCCATCGTCAGCAGCTCATGTCCGACATAACGTCCCTCCAGTTCCCTCCAGTAACTGCAGTACTACTTGCAAGCACGGCAGTGGTAACACTGTAGGTCCTTCGGCTTCCAGAGTTTCTCGCACAGTGCTGACTCATCAAACAGGCCGTGTCTCTTGGGTATCCTCCCCTTCGGCTACGTGCGTGACCCACGTCAGCCGTCGGTCCGAGTGCCACTGACACCCGTTAGATATATCTGAACTGGTCCTCGGTTGTGTTCAAGCTCCAAGTCTGTGGTGCAAAGGCGGTCCAACGAGTTGGGTACTGATGATCTACAGGTCTGGCGCATAGCGACCAATGTGTTCTTCGGTGGCACCGGCTTCCCGCTCATCATGGACTTTTTCCTCCTATTCCGCACCTCTACTGCTCTAGAGGCAGGCTAGTAAGTGTCTCAAGTGTGCACCAGCAGATGCTCACTGTTTGTAGCGTGTCCGACATTGCCTCATACGTTTGGACCCTCGTGGTGCTGTACTCGACGATTCTTGTAAGTTGGCCGCCTGTACTGAACTGACCGTAGATCCTTAACGTGATCCCATTTTTTCACAGGGTTTATCTGTTCCGCCCCACATTGACATCCCTGCTGTATTTGTGGTCGAAGGAGAACCCAACTGCCAAAGTCAACCTCTTCGGGCTTGTCAGCATCCCGACAAGACGTCAGTTTGTTGTTCCCTTGCGTTGTTGCTGACCACTCAGTTTATCCTTTTGCCTTGATCGTACTGGATCTGATCCAAAACGGTCCCCACGCAGCACTGGGATCCATTATGGGACTGCTTGCTGGACATCTATAGTGAGTTGTCCTTGGCCTGTCTGTCCTTTCAGGCTGTTTGGGGTTTGGAAACCTCTTTACGACATTGGCTAGTAGCCTGACACCCTGCAGTTGGTTCCTCACCGTTTACCTGCCGTTGCAAGCTCCCACCGGTGTGCGACGCCCCAACCCACTCCCTGTACCCAGGTGGTTCCGCCAGCTGTTTCGTCGGTCTCGACAGACAACACCGGGACCAGCGTCATCGAGCGTTGCAAGCGGCGTCAATGTGACCAACTTCCGTAGTGACGCTGCGAATGAGGTGAGGCATCGTTGGGGCTCTGGCCAGAGGCTTGGTGGCAGCGCCTTGTAACCCCACCACCATGAAATGATCTGAAGTGGCCGACAGTTGAAGCAACTGAGACGATGAGCTGAGAGGGCGACACACCTGCCGTTTGTGACGGAGGCTGCCCCTGCATGGCCGGATCGGCATCTCTGGTTCGATCAGGTAAATATACCAGGACGCAGGACTTCATTGCCAAGTCCAAGCCGACTAACTTTTGGCACACAGGAGGAACGCGTTTCCGGTGTGTCGGTTCCTTTTTGTCGCGCACATGAGTACTGCACATATCCTACAGTACATACAGTGCAGTACAACATATGCAGGTTGACCTAATGACACGTTGTGACACACACTGTTCTCTCACGTCTCGCTGTCTCTAGGCCAGTAACGTACCTGTTTGCTTAAGCCGTGAAGCTTGGTCACCCGAGCTGCAAAACATGGCGTCCCACGTTCCGTGTTCATCGAGACGCGTGCGTGTTTTGTACCGTATACGACCAGAGAACTGTCCCACAGGGAGAGGCTGCTGCCGCCGGAGTAATGGGCCCGTACCATGCCAGCTCTGGGGTATGACAACCTGATCAAGTATGTATATCAGCCATTGAGCCCTCATCCCCCATTTTATGACGGCGCAATGCGCCTTGATGGCGTTTTGAAAAACCTGTATACTCAGGTTCAAGCCGGGGGATCCTTGCAGAAGAGCTGCACCAAACATGAGAACCACCGGGTGTGTGCCGTTTGGTGGTGGAACGGGTCAAGTGGCTGCGCAACTGCGCGTATACTACTTTTGTAACATGGTCATACAGGTGGGACATTGTGGCTGAGGCGTGGCGGGCGCTGCAACATTCACGGAGGACCGCAACAAAACAGACGTGCTGTCAACACGCGACATCCGGCGAAAGGCTTAAGGGCGCGAGGCGACCTTTACACCGTCTTTAGCTCGGTCAGTCTCGCAGCTCCTCACAGCGATCACAGCCCTACCCGCGAGATTTCAATTCCACTAAGCTTACAAATGACAAACTCACGTCTCCGATCTCCACTCCTTGGCTCCCTTCACTGTTCAGGAAAGAAACGGGACACAACGCCCACAACAGGAAGGGGGGTCCATTTTTTTGGGTACATATCCGTACTTGGCAGGACTTGCTAAGCTTGCAAGCTTGCAACAGGGTCCGACGGATCAACGGCGAGAGCCTCGAGCCGTTTGTGGTTGTGCACGCTGTTCGGCGCAGGATCCACGCGCCCATCGTTTAGGATCCGCCTTTTCTGCCGCTTTGCCACCGTGTTTCGTTTCAGGCTACCGCCCTGCGATCCCTGCGACCTGAAAGGGTCCCCACGTTCTCCGTGGGAGGATTCGCGGATTGGTGGTGTCCTCGTCTTGGTTTTTATTTTTTCTTTATTTGGATACATAATTGTTCGCTCTCCTCAATTAGAAATCGTAATTGCACTATCATTAGAACTGAGTCAGGAATAGGGCAGACGCCACAGCTGCGCGCCCGGGGAGCCGATGATGCAGGGTGGGCCCATGGGCGCTTGGGAGGCGTGTGGGGAGGCGGGGGGGAAGGGGGGCTTGGTTCCGTTCGTGCCTGGTGCGTTGATCATGCTCGGCGCACGTCCTGCACAGTCAGTTCTTTGGCGGCCGGGCGGGGGGCGCACCCGCACGCACGCGCGCGCTGGCGCGTCCCTCATGTTCGTGATTTGGGGTGCTCTGCCGGGCACCTGGCGGGAGCTGGGCGCGGGGGGCCGCCAGAGGGCCTAGGGCGAGGGGCCCGAGCGTCTGTAGGATCTGACCTCATCGTTTGAATAAGTGTGACAGCCGCCCCTGGACGGGCGCGGATGTGCGAGGCAGAAGTGCCGAGGACGCTGTTGATCGGAGGGACCGGGCGCACCCCACGCGCTCTGGCAGTGTGACTGCGGGCGCCAAGGGCGGGCCTGGGTGTGGGCACACCACGCAAGGCATCATTCCCGCCTAAATCCCCGTGTGTCCCAGGTGAAAGGTGTTTGCTTTGCACAACACTGTCCTCCCAGCTCGCTCTCGCCCGCCCCGGTCGTTGTCGCGTTTGGGTTGTCTTGTTCCGACAGGTCGTCCTCTTGCTTTATCACTCTCTTCTACCAACTCTGTTCATTCTATTTTTCCAGTTTGTCTCCCCACGTCCTTCTCTATCTCTTTCGCCTCTTCGACACTCTCTTCTCACAATGATCTTCCGGGCAACGGCCCTCTCGTGGGTTGTGGCAGCACTGTGCTTCACCCCGACCGCATTCTCAGTCACCAACTATGCCGATGACTTTGTCGACCCCGCCTACATCCTCGACTTCCAGTACCAGACGGTCACTGCCAAGGCTCAGCAGATCATCGTGCAATGGGCCAACGCGCTCAACTTGGCCTCGCCTTGGAGTAAGTGGTTCCCACAGTTTGGCTACAGGTGGTCAGAGGTGGCATTTATCGTCGGTGGTTTGCAAACCCATTCAATTTGCCGCCCACCCCCCACGCCTCCGCAGCCGGGATCTGTGACCCAAACGTTGTCAGGTGTGATTACTGACCGATTCCCAGGTGTCACGTCCAAGAAGTATCTGGCCCCTTCGGGAGACAAGCATGACTACATGAGCTGGAGGCCATAGTGAGTGTTACCACCGCTGCCTATTTTTAAAAAACAAAAACCATGCCGCTGACCAGTCTAGCTACTGGCCCAACTGCACCAATGCTGGCAACACGACGGTGCTCACCGTCGATGAAAGTGAGGATTTACAGACCGTCGTCAATCCCCATGCTGACAATTTCTAGTGTTCAAGACCTGTGACTACTACAACGTGGATGGTGCGCTCAACCCCGATGCCCGTCTCATCAACAACGTCGGCGACTTTGACGACCTGGCAAACGCCGTCCTGTACAATGCGCTGGCGTGGGGCATTACTCGTTCCGGAATCTACTCGAAGCGTGTTGTCTCCTACCTCAACACCTGGTTCCTTGACGCGGACACGTACATGAACCCCAACCTCAACTATGCCCAAATGGCAGGTGGCCCTACTGGCCAGAACGGCACCCATACCGGTGTCCTGTGAGTTGCGCAAGGACTTGTCCCCTGCGCCTTTTGCTAACCACTTCCACAGCGACCTCAAGTGCATGGCCAAGATTTGTGCTGGTGTTGAGCTTCTGCGTCAAGGCAATGCCGAGGGATGGAACTCGACATTTGATGCCTCCCTTCAGGGCTGGGTCACCCAGTACATTAGCTGGATCACCACAGACTCCATCGCCGTCGAGGAGAAGAAGTCTACCAAGTGAGCTGGAGTGCAGTCTACTTGTTGGATTATATGCTGATACGTGTGCTAGCAATCACGGCACCTTCTACTTCGCGCAGCTGGCCTCGCTCTACATTCTGGCCAACGACACTTCCAATGCCGCGAGCACCGCCCAGGAGTACTTCACTACTACATTCATGGCCCAGATCAACGCCGACGGCGACCAGCCTCTGGAGTCTGCTCGCACCCGGCCCTACCATTATCTTGCATACAACCTGGCGGCCATGATTGTGAGTGTCTGCCCCTCTCTTGAAGCAACAAATGGCTGACGTTTTAGACTGTTGGTCGTCTTGGCCAGTACGCCGGCTACGATGGATGGAACTCTACGTCGACTCTGGGTGGCACCATCCCGGCAGCTGCCGACTTCGCAATGGCGTACCCCCCTGGAGCTGATACCGCCTCCGAGTTGTACCCCTTCATCGGTGCCGTCGGAGCCATCTACGGCGACAGCGACAGCACCCTCGCCAGCTGGTTGAACACTCAGACCAACGGCTCGTACATTTCCGACGCCAGCTACCTTTGGAACCAGCCGTTGTCTGACAGTGGCGTCTCTGCCAACATGTCGTACATCACGTTCGCCGCCAACCCCAAGGGAACCGGTACCCTTTCCGTTGGCACTCAACCTACTGGAGGAACATCCTCCTCCGGCGGCTCATCGTCATCCGCTACGCCCCGTTCGTCCGCCGTGTCCTGGTCCACCATCGGTGCCATGGTGGTCCTGGCTGTTCTGTGCCACTTGTGACCTTGTCAGGTCTGGTAGTATGGGATCGGCAGGTTAGTCATGCGAGGCATTGTCCCAGGAAACAGGAAGGGGCCGTATTTTTCTCCTCTGTCCTAAGTTGCTGGAGCCCTCAGGGAGGGCTTTACATTTTAGCCGTCGATGAGATCAGGAAGTCGACGTCGACGGCACTTTCAGTCATTACTACCATGGAACAATATATTTTTGTGTTCTAAGAAATGTTCATATACATGCAGCATAGATTTTTAAAAGGTTCGCCACTGACTTTCCGACAGGCCTTGTAAAGTATCAGTTTGGATGCGGTCCATGTGCTGCTCGGCCAGACCATCCAGACTGTCCGACGCAGACTCGGAGCGTTCTCTTGATCTCGTGTATAGGATCGCCACTTGAACGTAAAAGGGTCGAGGATACCGAGTGGCTAGACTGATTGCCACCTGTCTCTCACTTCTGTCCGTCCACTCCATCGGACCGAGGATACAACTTAATCATGCATCCAAGACAATCCTCCGCTCCGCTCCGCCGTGCTTGGCAGTCACATTTTATGGTGATGGTGGATGCTTTTTGGCATTGGAACTCTCACCCAGTCAGACGCCAGGGTTCTGTTCAGTCAGAGTTCTGAAGACTGAGCCTTGTCACGACCACGACCACAAGTCTGCGATGAGAAACAAGAGTCGATCTGTCTGGATATGTCGGTGCCATGTGTGCCGTTTTGGGATGTCTCAATTCCGGTCGTCATTCTCGCTCTCTGGTCATCCTCTCATTCCCACACGTCGTGGACAACCGTCCTTGTACGTCATTTTAATGGTTGTTGCTGGAGTATGCATTCCTTGTCGTGCGTCGTCATGTGATTGCCAAGACGGCCACACTACGACCACGCACTCCATATTGCGCACCATTGTATTTGTCGAGATATTACACAATGGTGCCTGGAGGATGTGATGGCTGGGTGCATGTCATGAAAGTTAGGCAGCGATAAGCACCGCTTCGGCCTTCGGATTGAGTTGCAATCTCTCAGCCATGAGCTATGAGCCATGAGCCATGGAGTTCCCACGTTCGTAATTCACAGCTCCCGTGGACCTTCAGCAGTGAGAAGCTGCATGCGGAGCGGAGGCCGTTAATTTGGGGTCATGGGGGATTCAGTGTTGAACGGCAGGGTGAAATCCTTGGCTGTTAGAATGTACATGTGGCCGCAGTGATGTCAGACACTGCCCCGCCATGAAATGTCACGAAAGGGCGGCTGAGTCACTTGAATGGATTTTGATATGAGACAGTGCCACGTTGGACAGTTCACAGCACCCGGTTAGTTGAGAGCGTCGAGAACACCACGACCACCGCATTAGACCGGGTGTATGCTAGGCCAATCTGCCACGAAGGCTCGTATCTGCTTGGACGCCAACGTAAGGCCGGTCCAACGTCAGATGTCGTCGTCGCTCTAAACATAAAGAGAATTTGACCGTCGTCCGCCAGCAGAATGTTCTTGTATGGATTGAGATTCAGACATTCCACGCGTGCATGACATGGATAACGCTCTAATCCGGGAAAATGAGCCCTAATTCAGAGAGTAGATGTCTCCTACACGCCTTGGATATCAGCGAAGTGCAACAAACCGGCAACGAACAGGTGCTGTGTTGAGAGGGTGGAGGACCATCACTTCTTACTAGGTAAAGACAGTTGAGGACCGACTTTTGAATCTTGGAGAAACCGTATGGCCTGGCACAGCCCGTGGAGGTCATGGTCGCAGCGAAGAGGGATGTACAACCGTTCTCGAGCTGATGAGTGGCGACCGGTGGCATCATCAACATCAGTGGAATAAATTAAATTAAGGACTAACTGGAACCCATACACCCGCACTGCTCTTTGTTATACTGTCAACCGCCGCCAGTCTCTTGCAAGGTGATTGTTTGCCAACTATGTATTGGATTCTTTTTAGCGTTCTTCGACCTGGAACGACTCAAAATACCAGAATTAGGGCCAGAAAGCTGGAGTCCCCATCAGCTGTAGTACGCCATTCGCAGAAGTGGAGATAGCGACGCTACTTCATTTCAGCTTGCCGAGATCTTAATGCAACCCACGTCCAACACAGCTCTGACATAGACTGAACCGCATGCGGGTTAATAGACCGCTGCCCATCGTTTAAACCGCTACCAGTCAAACTGCTTTCCCTACATATGTAATATTGAGAACATGATGACTCCCTCCATCCTCATTCATTCAATTCCTCTCCAACACTTGCCTTGCGCGTGGTATTGTCATTAATGCCACCCGTTCCATTTCTGTGACAGCACTCCCGTTAAAATTGTCCCTGTAACTGAGCCCTGTCACTGATGGTGTCTGATGTCTGGGCCAAGCCGTTAGACCGCTTCCTTGACTGACGGTACATATTGCTCATCTTCCCTGTGGACAAGTGGACAAGCATTACCACGAGGTTCACCGCAAATAATGAGCGTTGAACTTCCACAGCAGATTTCTTCCTTCTAGTTGCTACAACCAGCTGATAGAGGGACTCTACAGACTTGCTGAGTCTCTCACTGAGTGCTACATACATATCATACTGCGCCAGGGGAGAATAGCAGAACATAGCTGTTGAAACACATGGGTAACTTTGGGTGTTGCTCTTGGCGAGGTCATCAGGTCGCTGGTGTCGCCGATGCCCTGTTGTGAGGCAAGCAGCGTCTGATCTGCGATACATTTGTTTGCCTGCAACGTCAGGAATCGACGTCCTACCCACACAGCTCAAATACACAATATGGTCGGTTGCTCTGGAGGTTAGGCCCTTCCTCGGTACTCGGCGAGTCTCGATATCTGGTTGGGTTGGTCGAAAAAGGTGCGTAAATGAGCAGAGAGAGAGGGCGCAATCGATGTTATGAATGCCTTCTTTGTCGGTTGATGTGAGCCAAAGTGCGACTACTTAGATATATGTCGAATGAAACATTTAAATGAGCGGCGACCGTTCGTGAGGGTGGTGGTACGTTAACCCAGTGGACTGGAGCCGTGCGGACCGAGTCCCCCCCCGCCCAACCAGGAAACTCGAGCTTGGAAAGTCGGATATCTGTTACCCCGTCGAGGTCGAAGCCGATTCGCTGTTGAAAGGAAGAGAAACCGAATAGACAACTTGCCCGGCCTCCTTTGTTCTACTTCGCAACGGTCGGGTTGTTCGTCAAGGATGGTTAGCGCGTCCAGATAGCACTGTCAAAGGGCGTGGTTAAATATGGGTTCGTGAGAAGTGAATCGTGAAATGCAGTGCCAACACGCGGAATGCGGAGCGGGGATTAATTGAGACTGGACACAGGCTATCTAAAGAAAAATGAAGTACAAATGAAACACGAAAAGGATGTGCCCCACAGACTCTGTCTGCCAGGTGGTGCATGACGCTGGCTAACCTCAAGCGTAAGTCCCCTTCCTCGATGTGGCCAGTGAATGTGAAGCTGTGGCCAGCAATCCCAACAAGTGCACCAACATCGGGGATCACAATGCGCGAAAGTCAAACAACCGTTTGTTATATTCTAGACCTCACACACATAGCTTTTGGCACATCAATTTGCAGGAATGTGATCATTTGTGACGGGCCCAGTTCATCACAGCTTCTTTTTTTGCGGCGATAGCGACTGGATACGAGCACCCCGGGCCTGTCGATCAAGGTGCGTGCAGCATGGATGAATGATGTCAGTCTGCACACCCTACTCGCCAGCTTGCCAAACGGGCGCTGTACCTGTCCACGGGCTCTTCGCCCAACTCACCTAGCCCAATGTCTCTCTGTCAGATTAAGTGCTCGCGCGGGGTGGGGTGGTATCTCTTTATTTCATTTTGGTCCCATCTATAGTTACAGTACTTACAGTACTTACATAGCTTGGTCTAGTGTGCCTCTTATCGCTCTATGCAGAAAACAATAAGCAAATCTGAAAAGAAAAAGAAAGACGATAACATCCACGGCCACCCCGCCCGCTTTTGCATCCCGACGCCAGTGGGGATTATTGCTTCCCATTTTCCGCTGGCCGCTGGGTTTACTTCCTTTTCCTTTTTTTTTGTTCTGTAGGTTTTGGGTTCGCTATCAGCTTTTTCTCAGATTGACTATATGTCCGTCATCTCCGTGATCACTCCCCACCGACCGCTTGTCAGGGTGGTGAGTGGGGAGCTTTGTTTGCTGGTAAATGGTGCGCAAAGCACCTCCTGCAACAAACGCCGGTTACCTGTGTGTGTGTCTTCACTTGGGTTGTTTCACTTTGCCATGAAACATCATCCAGGAGTAGTACAGCACCACCTTGGTAAATAGACATTACCTGGCTCACCATTGCCGCAGGTGAAGTGGTTGTGCTATCGATATTGAGTAGTGTAGCCAATAAGAATCCTGTAGGAAGCGCTACAGACTTGTATAGGCAATGGGGAAGCGGAATTACATATAGCTTACAGGAAACTATCAATTATTTCAATAAGAGCCGTATACCTAGCATTTTCAGTGTACTTACAGTACGTGTTTGTGACAGCACCTGCTGACCTTTAGGTCATGCAGAACGAAAGAGCCATCCTGTAACTTTTGTGGGTCTCTGCTTCCTTTCTCCAACGGTCGTGTTCGGTAGTATATTGGCGGTGGGTCGTCCGTGACACATCCAATCTCTTTTCCCACATTTGTCAGGGAGTCTATTTACAGGCAATTATCCACCAGCCACTCCGGAGTAACAATCATTACCTTGTTCCCAAATATTGGAAAAGTCTAGAGCATTAACCCAGAGTAGAATCAGTATGTAAGTACTGTCCTGTGTGCGACCACGGTACCCGATGAACTTTCATTTAGATTTGGAGGCGACATGATTATAAATAAAGAATTCAGCCTGAAAGCTAAGCAGGTCAATCAATTCCATGGAGACATTTGGCTCATGGTTCATGACGTACTTACCGGTTATCTACTTCTAAAAGTAGTACTGCTACGCTATGCAGAAGCATCTGGCACCACCATCGCTATGTAGTCCACATACATTTTGGAGTTTTGGATTCTACATCGCCAGTTG